TCCTCCTCCTCCTCCTCCTCCTCCTCCTCCTCCTCGACGAAGAGAGAGAGAGAGAGGCTGAAAAAGAACAAAGTAGGACGTCCGACCGTTCACGAGAGGCACATACCTCTTGGTTGTGCAGGTGAATCTGAACAACTCCCTCGCAACGCCACTGAGCGAGTGGCCAAGTGAGCAAGTGACCATGCGAGCGAACATCCTGACAATAATGAGCGGCGAGGAAACACAACCCCCGGGTCTCGAGAATCACAGAGTGTGACTTGCGAATTGTAGTAATTGAAGCGGTCCTCGTTGGACACAGGTCTAGCACGATAGCCTTTGCCAGGTACCTACGTGGGTCGCCAACATTTACTCGGTATCTCATGACGCTCACCCCGCCTGCCCTGCCCACCCCCGAGACGAAATAAGAGCTTACTTGATAAAAACTGCATTTCTTGTTTTCTCAACAGAGAATAAAAAAAACCACAGGTACCGCCCGATGAAATCTATATGCTTGAAAAAGAATTCTACAGGTGGAAGGCGTCACGGGGGGTACAAGTCTGATTCCCATTTTCAAGTCGAGCTTCAACTGGTTAGTGGTACCTCCATGTACATAGGTATGTATATATGTACTTAGGTCCATTGCCCCCCTATTTTCTTGGCACAATCTCAGCCTCGTGCGTTTACCCTTCACCCCTGCCAGCAACAGCCCTGAGTATCTACATACATTAATATGGAAGAAACTAGGATCGGAAAGGAACCAACTGCTGCAATTTGTCCGTGACTGAATAGAACATCATACCAAGTTATTAGCAACGTTGGAGGAACCCGCCCTGGAGAAAGCTTGTTACTAGTAATTGCCCATGTAAACTTTCTAACGCAAGAAACATGCAACTAATAAACTCGTAATGTAGTAAACTCCACTAATCAGGCCTCAAAGACACAAGTGTCGGCATCGAGCCGTCTCGAAGAGTACAAGAACATACTGTTCCGATCTTCCAACCGTGATTCCCCGATATCACCACCACTCCAGGTCTAAGACTATACCACGTAGAATGTTTTTTCAACTTTGCTCAACTGACCCCCCCTTCAACGCAGGACCATGTTCTCGATATCCTGATTGTAGTCGGGGGTAGTCAACTCAGACTTTTCAAATGGTTTGGTGAATTTGTAAGTCCAGCCTGATTTTTCAGATTCCTTGTCCTTTTTCTGACTTCCGGAATTGCTAGCACGACTTTCTCCAAGATTCGCGGCACTCAACTTCGTGATGACTTTGCCCAACTTTTTGCCAACTGGACTAGCCAGTAGTGACAAGCCTCGCTTTTTTGCCTTGGACACGTGGGCAATCGAAGGTTCACCAGTCTCTGACACCTCTGGGTCTTTCGCCTCGTCGTCTTCGTTTCCTGCGTCATCGGTGGACAGCAAGGCACCTTTACGGCGCTCATCACTCGCAGTCGAGGCAGACTCCGATATATTGCTGAGTGGGGTAGTCAAGGGGCGACCTGCTGCTGATGAACTGCTACTTTGTCGAAGCTTGGCTCTGTGGATCCACCTCTTCTTAAGCGAGTCGGGGATCTCATGAGCATCGAGGTCCCTGATCGAACTATGCACCGCGAGACGTACACCACGTTTTGAGAATCTCTGTGTGAGTAAGTCCGCTTCCTTCTTTTCAGTCGTCCGAGGTAGAAAGTTTTCGACTGCAGGCGTATCTACTCCAGTGGCAGAAGACAGATTTTGACCATGGGGCCCAGGTTGAAAGGTAGCGGTCTTTGATGGAGCAGGAGGCGAGGTTTCATGATGCGATTCTTTTGTGGACTCTTCAAGCTCCGTGATGGTTTGTTTACTAGCAAATACCGACTGTAAAATGACCAGATCCTCTTGGAGGGTGTGTGGAGATGATTCTGCGAGACGTTCTGAAGAGCTTGAAGCAAGTTAGTCTGCGTGTTCATCATCAACGAAAGACGTACGCTTACCTTTGTTGTCCATATTCTGTGCCGTGATGCAGCACTGTCCTCATGACTACCAGGGTAGTCTTATTAGCCTCGAGATGTTTGCGTAGTCTCTTGACGTATGGTTGACGGTGAAGCCAGCCGATAGTGGTTGCCCCACGTTGGTCGGCCTTCTGCATCTCCTTGCAGCAATCCTCGACATCTTCCAAGGTACCCTCAATATTGTTGTAGACCTCCCCGAGGTCTTCTCTGAACACACTGGTATACTGCTCTTGATTTGCATGCATAGCTTCATTAAGATTGTTCAACTCATCGGAGAGAAGTTTTAACTCTGCGGCGACTTGAGAGATTTCGACCGAGGTGCTCTGGTGGCCACATTCAGCCTGTTGCTTGTTCAAACTTGCTGCTAATACTTCGGCGTGCTTGGAAAGGTAGAGTAGGTCAACTTTACCAGCTTCTTGTTGGTCGAACATCGTGAGAAGGGCTTGGTGAAAGAAGAGGTGACGAACGCACGGATATCGGGTCCTAGATGGAGCATTCGGAACATGAAACATCTGAGGTTGTCACCAGTGCTTTTGAATATCAAGAAAAGAACAACCGGGGATGTTTTCGAGAGTGAAGGGGGAGCGCGTGTCGCTGCCCGCACATACAAAAAGCCGTGCCTTCCTAAGAGCCATAGTCACCGTTGCCACCCAAGGGTATTGCAGTGAAGAAGCAGTAGCAGGAAACATCTCCCATGAGCACCCAACTCAAGGGCGACAGGTCAAAGCGATAACACCTCACGATCATTCAACGAGCTACCGAGTCCCTTATCATCGTAAGAGCGCAAATCAGAGTATTCATTAATGCCCAAGCGACCAGCAAGTGACTCAATGTCGCGCAAGCTAAAGCAGGCCAGTGCTCTCGAGAGCTGGTGTTGGCTTTGACCCAACAGCAATATGCTGTTCCGACCGGCGTGGAGTCTGCTGTAGCGTTGGATACTCATGATATGCTCAGCAAATGCACGAGAGGGTGGCATGCGGGTCCTGGCCTAGATTGTGGCATTGATACGATCATCATTCGGAAGCTTGTAATGGTTTTGCTTCATAGCTGCTGATCACTCGGCGAAGAGATCCTCCAGAGTCTGCAACATCTTCTGCTGCAATTCTCGCAGCTCACCCTTGTCGATTCTTCCTTTTGCAGCACCGGCCTTCTCTGGTCCGTCTTCCAGAATTACGAGTTCGTGTTTGATGGCGTAGAATGGCACCCCGAGCGATCTCAACTGCCTGTCAAAGTCCGCTGCCATGGCCAACAGTCCTGCATATACTTTCTTATCGTAAGCCTCCAATTCAGCTTGATCAGCCTTCGGATCTGATGAAGCCATAGGGACTTCTTTACCGCCCAAAGACTTCAGCAAAGCAGCGACCTGCTGCGAGGTACCGACTCGACCCTGCTGTCTCGTTACAATTGCTTCCCGTCCCGCCCACCATTGACGTTCATGCTTATGCTGTTCAGAGATCAGGTGTTTGATGCGATTCGCCGCCTGTTCATTTGGTAGGAGATGACGAGTTACATGCTTCAGGGCCGCCGGCCATGTTGTTATGGTGGACGCATCTGGTACCGTAGGAGTTGAAGATTTGCTGGGGACCTCTCCAGGTCGTGCTTTGGGCAATGATGAAGTCTGGTGTCGCTGAATTGGAGGAGGAGTGATCGGTTTCTCTTGGCTTAGACCTGGGGGGAGAAATCCCAACCCGGGGATGAACGAGTTGGTTGACGGCGGGTTGGGCTGGGTCAGCTGCTGGGGATTGGTATAGCTATCCGGAGGAGCACTTGATGATGTTGAAGAGTAATTGTTTAGCGCGGCCAAAACACGTTGCAGCTCGGGATTGCGGTCCATTTTGCGGACTCTGAAGTTGACTGGACCTCGGTTGCCACGTTCAAGTGATAGGGCGCTCCACCCATCAGAAGAAAGTCATCCGTGAAGTGTGAAGGCATACATCGATCCTTCGTGTCGACAAGTTCACAATAACGACTGTGTTACAAGTTGAAGCAGAGTAAAGGTACATGTGAGGTCGACGAAGGGGCTTGGCATATAAATCAATATCTTCCGCCGCTTTTAGTTTGCGTCGACGAGCAATCGTGTTGCTCTTGCTCAAGTTCGCTTGGAACAGGATCAAATAAGCGATATAGCATGGGTAGAAAAACGAGAGAAGACAGAATTTTTGCCAATTATCTCCTGGACTAAGTGAGAATGGCTTCGAGTAATGTCGTCGTCTATCAATCCACCTCGTGCGCCGGTAAAGATTCGGTTCACATTGCGTGTCATGTTTAGGTGCGCGCACTCTTCCATCGCAGCCGTAAACCTCGGAAGATACACATGTTTCTTTGCGAGGCTCGAGGAGGATTTGTGGAAACTGTCCAAGCCCCAGCTTACGACACCTGGCAATCTGGCTGGTTAACCAGAGTCTGCTGGATCGTGTGGCCCGGGGCGTCATAGTCACACCACTTTGGTCCGAGATCCATTATCATATGCCAGCTGCACTTGACGCCGGCCCAGACTCTCGGAAAACATCACATGCGCAGCAAAAGTATTCATCCCTTACAGTATATCATGCGACGTCTTCAGAGATGGGAACGGGTTTCGGTTCCATAATGATCATCATTCATATTGTCACCGTCATCACTAACAACGAAAGCACTCATGTATTACAGTAGCGGCAACTACGAAGCATTTGCGAGACCACGCAAGCCTCAAGGCGTCAACGACAAGACAGCATGGTTTATTGGGTCCGGATTGGCTTCCCTCGCAGGAGCTGCGTTTCTTGTCCGCGATGGCCAGATGCCAGGAAAGAACATCACGATTCTGGAGGAATTGGCGATCTCGGGCGGAGCCCTGGATGGCCTCGATGTACCCGAGAAGGGCTTCGTCATCCGCGGTGGCCGAGAGATGGAGGACCACTTCGAATGCCTGTGGGATCTCTTCCGATCAATCCCCTCTCTTGAAATCGAAGATGCTTCGGTCCTCGACGAGTTCTACTGGCTGAACAAGGACGACCCCAACTACTCGCTCCAACGAGCGACCATCAACCAGGGCCAGGACGCACACACCGATGGACTCTTCGGGCTCAACAGCACTGCACAACGCGATATTTCACGGGTCTTTCTGACACCACGAAAAGACCTGGAAGGAAAACGCATCAACGAAGTCGTCAGCACGGATTTCTTGAAGAGTAATTTTTGGATGTACTGGCGGACCATGTTTGCATTCCAAGAGTGGCACTCTGCTCTGGAGTTCAAGCTGTACCTGCACCGCTTCATCCACCACATTGGCGGGTTGCCGGACTTTTCCGCGCTGAAGTTCACAAAGTACAACCAATACGAGTCTCTCGTCCTGCCGCTGCAGAAATGGCTGCTCGACCACGGCGTCAAATTCCAGTACAAGACCCAGGTGGTGGATGTGGATTTTGAGGTCGTCGGAGGAAAGACACATGCTACAAGGATCGTCTGGATCAAGGAAGGGAAATCAGGCGGCGTCGAGCTGGGCTCGAATGATTTGCTATTCATGACCATCGGATCGTTGACAGAGAACTCCGGCCTCGGAGACCAAAAGACACCCGCGCAGCTGAATGAAGGCCCGGCACCAGCATGGGACTTGTGGCGGCGCATCGCATCAAAGAATCCCTCCTTTGGCAGACCAGAGGTATTTGGCTCCCACATTCCAGAGTCCAAATGGCAGTCCGCCACCGTCACCACCTTGGACGAACGCATACCGAGATACATTCAAGACATCTGTAAGCGCGATCCATTCAGTGGCAGGGTAGTCACCGGTGGCATCGTCACAGTTAAAGACTCGAGCTGGTTACTGAGCTGGACGGTCAACCGTCAGCCACATTTCAAGAAGCAACCTCGGAATCAGATCGTGGTCTGGGTGTATTCGCTCTTGGTGGATGTGCCAGGAGATTATATCAAAAAGCCCATGCAGGATTGTACCGGTGAAGAGATTACGCAGGAGTGGCTGTACCATCTTGGCGTACCGACAGAAGATATCCCGGTGCTTGCTGCCACAGGCGCCACCTGCGTACCTGTGATGATGCCGTACGTCACGTCCTTCTTTATGCCACGGCACGCAGGCGACCGCCCGGACGTAGTGCCAGTAGGCAGTGAGAACTTTGCGTTCATAGGTCAATTTGCCGAGACGACTCGCGACGTCATATTCACGACCGAGTACTCAGTCCGGACAGCCATGGAGGCCGTGTATCAATTGCTCAAGGTCGAGCGTGGGGTTCCTGAAGTGTTCAATTCGACGTACGATACTCGCACACTGCTCGCTGCCGTGAGTCGGCTGCGTGACGGAAAAGAGTTGGATGCGCCGTTGCCGGAATTTCTGAGGAATTGGATTGTGCGAAAAATGGACAACGAGGTCGGAAAGCTCCTCCAAGATAATCATCTCATTTAGGTGCATAGGTAATAGTTGTTGTTTGCAGTTTCAGAACGTCCCGATCAAGGGCAAAAATCTCCGACCATCACTGGCAATGTCATTTAGTCTTCATGTGTCGTTGCCCAGTCTTCTGGCAAGCGATAACCTGGTGGGATGACATATTGTCCATAACAGCGACTCTGTGTGCAGTGCGGAAGATTACACCGGCCGTAGAGTTGACAGTAACACTGCTCTGCCGAAGGACAGGCTAGCTCGTTCAACCTTTCCAAGTCGATGTGCTCGTTCACAGGGTCGTAGTTCAAGAACAAGATGTGCCAGACGTAGGAGAGGATGCGGCCGGCGATACGGTCATCTGATGGCGCGGCCTTGATGTTTCGGGCAGACTTGGAATTGGTTCTTTGACTTGCACTCCCATCAAGCAGCCACTGTCTCAGTGCGACGTATTCCTCGCGGGTGTGTCGATGAATGCTCTCCCTGGAGACTACGAACTGTGCACAACACTGGGCCCGAACAGCGTCGTGGCGGCCGAGATGCACCTTTACTCCAGTCTTGAGATTGTCTCCATCCATCCCGAACAACGCTGTCAGGGCTTCGGGTAGGGCAGCATCAGATACGAGTCGCTGGTTCCATGGCTCTAACATGGCGTTGATCGAGGTCCCGAAGCTACCCTGCGCAACGGCTTCGGAAGGAGGACAAGTGCTAGCACTCCAATCGCAACGAAGGTTGTGGTAGCCCCAAGGCTTCAAGGCTGAAGATATGTTGAGCGCAGCAAGGAGGGCGGCGTTGTCGTAGTCAGGGCCATCATTGTGCCAGGACCATCGTGCACCGTGGACGAAAACCGCACCTGTGGAAGGGAGGGCGTCGTAGTTGTCAATGATGAACGTTAGATATGTCATGGCCTCATGGCCACGGTTCTCCGGCACTTGGAGATAATTCGACGCTTTAATCTTGTCCACTGGCGAGTCGGAAGTGTAAACACATAGATGGTACTTGTCTGAAAGTCCGTCGAGCCATTTCGTATTATCTGTGTTGATTCGAGCGACGACAAGTGCTGGTTTGACCGTGTCCGAAAGGCCTGGACAGACCCCTTTTCCCGACGGGAGAGTCGAGGCGGTTGTTCGATAGCGCACTGTGCGCCAGGCAAAATTCTTGGGGCCGTGGCCCGAGCCTGCAATGTTCAGATAAAGGATGAGCAAGAGGACGAGGCAGAAGAGCACGACATTGACCAGAGTCCCTCGCGTTTTGCGTCTCATTTCGCTGGTGGGAACGTGACAATCGCGTCGTCACCCATGTTGAAGTTGACGAAACAAAACTTACCCGATGCTTGGACTTTTACTTATTAATACATATCCTCAACGCCGCAGCCGCAGTTAGACGGCAAGAGGATCGAGTCGGCATCACCGGGAACCGCTCTCCAAAATCTTCTCACGAAAGGGGCGAATGAGACGTAGGGGCGGCCGGCTTTATCGGAGGGCGAGCCCATGAGACCTCGCTAGCTTACCTCAGGCACAGTCTGTAATCCATTTAAGATGCAACTGGAGTTGACCCTGAAAACGACTTCATTTGGGACACGTTCAAAAAGCTACCGCATCATACAGCTATGCTGCTGATTGCTAGCAAAGCCAGGCACTGTGAGGGATTGAGGACTTGGAAGTTTGACAACGAGATCTTTGCTGTCATGCCTTGTGCAGGTCAAGCATTTTCGGGGCATTGCGAAATGCTTAGCATGCTTGGTTCCCGCTGAGCCAATCACTCTTGGATGCGCGGTTCGGCCTTGGAGTCTAATGAGCCTGAGATTGCCCGGCCCACGATGGGGGGCTAAAGAGGTTGCCGCGTCGTTAAAGCACCTGGCGCGTCAACGCTAGAAACATGTATGCACGGCACGCCCTCGATGTTGAATGTCTGAGCTGATATATTCAACAATCTAGCCCACTCTCCCAATGGCCTTTCCTCATGCTCCAGGCCTCCTCCCTGCGGAGGTGGCCTTCCTCTGCGAGATGGAGCAAATCACCGTCGTCCCACGACAGCGTCTCGATCGTCTGGACTTACTCGGCGTGAGTCTTTCCCACGACCTCTGCAACATCTGAGGTGCGAGGCACACACCTTCAACCCGACTGAGGTTTCTTGCTGACACGTCGTGACATGAATAGGGACCCACCAAAGCCCTCATACCTCCTCAGCGTACGACGCTTCCGTTGTGGCTTGCGATCCTGTTAAAACGCCAGCGGCGTACCAACATCATACCTCCACCATGGCTATCCACGGAGAGCCTCGAGGAAATTCTCGAAATCGAAACCAGGCATTTCACAGAAACATTTTCTCCTGCCCCACAGATACCGGCGACGCGACAGACAGATTACTCTGGGAGACCGTTCTACGCCTCCCCGCCTTTCGTTGGCTCTTGTACTGCGAACGCTGCCCCAACTGCCCTGCCTTATCATTGGTATGAACTCTCAGAGATATTGCTCGAATCTGCAAGCGATGATGTGTCAGATCCGGATAGAGTACGGCAGCTTCTCAGAGATATCAGAGAAGTCCGATTAGCCAAGATGCGAAAAGAGGTTGACCAATTATCAGGAGATGGGGAAGGTACACGGCTCGACGGGGTTGGTGCCATGGAGATATCTGAATCCAGAGGCTTTGTCACAGGAGTCATGGACGGCCTGAGGAAACTCGACGCCAGCCGAGAACAAGCCCGGCGTGAACGAGAAGAAGAGGAGAGAGAGAACCGAAGATATGACGACGATGATGAAGACGACGAAATGACATAACTACTTATTCGACTTGTACAAGGGAATTTGTTTATTGAGGCATGGGCATCCAAATCATGAGAGAAATGTTCCAGGTCCACCGGCACAGCGACATCCTCGAAACCAAGAGCGGTCGATAATTGTGATCGTCGCCCACAGCTACAACTTGCCAGGCTATTTGAGTCCAAAGCCGCCGTGTGCTGTGTGACTAATGCATTGAACGCGGAACCCAAGCGAGGTCGTATCAACAAGTTGGAACGACATGAGGAATTGCTATGTAGATCCTCAGTGCCATCCGTTCTGCAGGGTGTGTACTTCGAGACGGAATATGTTCATAATTTGCGGCCGAGGCAGAAACCGGAGGGTGTCATGAGGAAGGAAAAACAGAAGGCCCTGCCTCTCTTTCCTGCAGCTTTCTTCTGGCCTCCAGGATCATTTCATCTCTTCTTCGCTGCAGCATTTTCTGGCGTGCTTCTTTGCTACTTGCCCAACCCGGCGCGGGTGCTTCCTCCTCCTTTTCTTTGCCCTTCGAGTTTATTTTTGCTTGGAGGTTGTATCGCGTGATCAGATCAGGCGGAAGCGACTTGAGCTGTGGATTTATAGACGCGCTTGTAGCGTTCGCAGGCGATGTCGTCAACGAGATGGGCGGCTGAAAGGATGGCGGTGCCTGTTGGTTCCCGGTCAACGTCGTTCTGCGGCTTCAATCAGGTATCTGTCCAGGGACGGCGGTCTTACCGGTTCTAATCCGTGGCCATTCAGCACTCTCTCTGTTGTAGCCTGCACGCTTCCTCTATTCCGGTGCAAATCCCACATGATGTCTCTCCGGTTCAATTGCGGGAACATCTGGGCTATCTGTTCAACTTGCGCCGGCGTAAAGCGAAGCCCATTGTTCCTCGAAGACGACGACGGGCTGCCATCCGCGCCGTCTCTGGGCGCAGAGAAAAAGTATCGGTAGATGAAGTAGCCCAAGACGGCGACAAAAGCGAGGCTAGGAATAGAGATTGTGGCTTCCTCTTCCACCGGAGGTGACATGATCGGCGTAGATTGAACGAAAGACGGGATGTTGATAGGTGGATCGTATATGGTCTTCAGACCTTGGGTGTAGATTGTGGTGAATATAAACGAAGATGTAGGAGATGTGAGTCGCTCAGAACAGTCTGCGCGCCGTAACAATACCCTTGGACAGAGTGTGGTGTTGAGGGACTTTCTACTGGTATCGCAGTCATAGCCCGCATCACGTCGCCAGTCCCCTAGTCTCGCGGGATAAAAGTTTCTCCGTATTCCGAGGTGCCTCGGATCGGTTGTTCCTTAACGGAGCAATATCCACCACCATGGCTTCCACCTTTGACGAGGCCAGCACCTCTCACAATGGAAGCTCTTCAGCCGTACAGTGTCGCATGAGACGGTATCTTCACCTGGACTCGAGAACTCGGAGCCATTTTATGAGGCGGATTTTTGCACTAGACCTGATATGCGCCAACTTGCCAAACTTGAATTTTAATACACTAAAAGGTCCCATTGCTAGAGCTGAACCCTTGAAAGGAGAGGATCGCTACAAACTCAATTTCCATCAGAAGCACCCAGGTGTGAAGAGTGACCTAGCATAAGCCGGCTCTTCGGTGTGTTTCGAGCGTACGGCCGAGATAGAAACACACGCAAGGAATTCAACATGGTATATCGGCGGTGGTTGTTTTTGACAACGAGGCGTGGTAAATTCGACGTGCGAAGTGGTCAGCCTCGGGCATTCCTTCTCTAACTAATTTCACACAGCAATCCTGCATGCTCGTCGAAAGAGCAATTTCATGTTTCAATTTGCCTTCGCAGGGGGGACCTTGTGGTGCCATCTTCCGAACTCTTCTCTCTTATCATCCTGACCAAAGTCATGGGTGTGCGCAAGGGTTCGATGGTCAAGATCGTCGACAAATTCAGCTGCGATTTGGATTCCTCCTTGTTTCTCAAGTTCGCGGATTTTCGCCTCGGCGGATTTAGGGAATTGGATCGTCATAGGGCATCTGTACCAATCTGCGAAGAAAATCAAATTCAGCATCACCCGAACCTGATCGGCTGTCCGGTTCGGCATTCCAGCGTGCCACAATCTCATATCACGGATAATGACCCCGCCTTTCTTCACCGTCGGCTGTATGGGGGGCCCGTGAGTGCCGACTCTCTCATCGAGCAGATGTTGATGGATACCTTTCATGCCGTTCTGGTCTGAGAACTTGGTGGTTGTATGTGTTCCCGGCCAACACTCGGTCGAGCCATTCTCGGGCGAGCAATCAATCAAGACGATGTTAACGGCGAGACTAAAGCACGCTCGAGGATGCTCATAATGTACATCGCTGTGGACGGGTTGGCGGCTCTCTCCGGGGAAGTTGGTGTTTGCCTTGTGATATCGAAGCACTGGGTTGGGTCCCATCATTGTCTTGCAGACTGCCACGGCAAAGGGATTTGCATGTACGTCGGGGAGCAAGTATTCGGGGTCTGGGATCATGTGTTGGAGGATGTTTTGAGCTTTAGCGTCGTAATTGAACCAGGTAGATGATCCTTCCCTTAGGACTTTAGCTTCCTCGACCATGCGCGGGTTCAATAAATCCAGGCTCTCCTCCGAGACGGCATTGTCGAGGATGACTACTCCGTTTTCTGAGAGCGCCACGACAGCTTGTTCCAGGTTCTGCTTGGATATCTGTCCAGACGCACGCTCCTCTGGACTGATCAGGACATGGACAGCGTCCGTCTGCTCCTCCAAGGGGGCAATCATCTCGTATCAATGCAGTGTAGGAATGGGTTGAGGATGCGAGATAATAGATAAGAGGGAGGAAAACCTTCGAGTCCTTTGCTTGCGTCAACAGATGCTGTCGAAGATTTTCAAGGAGCTATATAATATTTACCACCACTTGTAGTCTTGGATTCTGGGCAACCTGCGACGAAAAAGGAACGTGCCAAACGCCTCAAACGGGCCACCCAAGCCAGGCGTATTCACTCCAGATCGAGCGTGGCGTGACGTATGGGGATAGCTCAACTGTTGAACTTGCCTTTCGGGGATTTTAAACACATCTGATCTGGAGTGAGCAGAGGGAGTCTAGCTATTGCAAGACTGGGAGCCCGGACGGACGGGTCGCTGCACAGCTCGGCAACGAAGAGAAAGGATGGTAGAAACATCCCGAACGGGAAGATGTCGACAGCGGGCCACTATAGAGGGGTAGAGATCATACAATACTGTCGAACAGCGTTGCCGGGAGATGCAAACGGCGATAAGCCTCCCACGAGGTGACAACGCAGAGAGAGTCCCCTACCAAACCACATGGGGCATCTCCTACAGTCCTGTCCCACATGGCGCAAGCCACCGCTGCACATCCCTCCTTTGGTACTTCTGTCAAAGCTCGAGCTTCTTTCCACTTCCCTTCTCGCCTAGTGCCAGCCGTCGTTCTACCACAAAGGACCCCGTCGCTCTCGCGTGAAGACCATTCCGCCAACCAGGATTACGGGGCCGCCGGGGAAGACAAGTAGTCGCCGGGCGTGATAGTTGACCGCCTGCTTATTCGCCGCAGCACGCCACCCTCTGCCAGGCATGGTCCTTTGATATACCGAGCCATGCACCACGACGAACAGAATGCACTAGGCTGCTGGTTTGAAGAGTATATATTCTCTCTTCTTGAGGCTCGCCTCACTGCGAGCTTCGCGCGCACACGCATAACTTCCGCCCCTCCGCCTCTACAGACTGGGCGACGTGAAGCAGGCCGCGCCGGACTACTTAGTCGCAGAACACAATGTCCCAAACATCGACAATGGCGGCCGATCGTGAGCCTAAGCCCTTGCGACATCAAAAAAGCCCACAGCAACTAACATCGCACAGTTGACCCAGAGCATCAGCATGCTGTGGTCGTACCGAAGAAGCAGCGAACTCTCTTTGGGTTCAAGGTACCCAGATACTCTGATCCAATGGTTCAGATAGTCGTTGTCGGTTTTATCTTATTCCTCAATCCAGGGTGCGTTTTCTTTTTTCCCAAAAAAATTCGCATTTCCACATTCCAGCTTGCATAGTCTCTGCGTTGCAAGTGAGACTGACACAACTACCTCAATAGAATGTACAATGCCTTGGCCGGTCTAGGAGGTGCAGGCCAAGTCGATCCGACAGCACAAAACAACGCCGGTATTGCACTCCATACGACGTTTGCCGTGATCGGGTTCGTGGTGGGTATCGCCCACAATTTTTTGTAAGGCTGCGTGTCCGATGCTGCGAGATTTGGCCGTCGTGCTGATTCAGCCTTTCAGGGGAACCAAATGGACCATGGCAATAGGTGGCATCGGCTACTGTGTTTACTCGGCCGCATTTCTGTGCTACAACCACACCAGGAACGAAGGGTTCGTTATATTCTCCGGCGCCCTTTTGGGCTTCTGCGCCGCGTTCTTGTGGTGTGCACAAGGGGTGGTGATGATGGTGAGTTTGTGTCCTTTTCAATCTCTTATCTTTGCGAGGTCCATGCTCTCTAACCCGTAAATTACACAGTCCTATCCAGTCGAGTCTCAACGAGGGCGCGCCATTTCCATCACCTGGCTTCTATTCAACCTAGGAGCAGTCATTGGCGCCGCCGTGTCGTTGGGCCAGAACTGGAGCGTTAAGGCCGGCCACGTCACAGACGGAACCTACGTTGGTTTCATCGTCCTCGAAGCCTCCGGCGCATTACTCTGTTGTTTCCTGACACCCAGTGAGAAGATCATTCGAAAGGATGGGACGAAGGTGCAGAAGGTCATTCACCCAGGCCTCAAATCTGATATCTTGGGTCTCTACACGACCCTCGTCACGGACCCGTGGGTGATTCTGCTATTCCCCATGTTCTTCGCGTCCAATTATTTCTACACGTATCAGTTCAACGGTAAGCGATCCAGCATTTTTGCGCAAACAGAATGAATCTGCAATTGTCGTGCTGACTGAGTGCACCTCGTATTTCTTTTTGCAGATGTCAATGCCTATTTCTTCTCCACGAGGACGAGAGCTTTCAACAACATCTTCTACTGGATCTCCCAGATCATTGCTGCCGCCGCGTTCGGCGCGTTTCTCGACTGGACGCGCTTCAGCCGGCGCACTCGGACCCTTGTCGCGTGGGCTATACTCTTCACATTGGTCATGGCCGTCTGGGGAGGTGGATACAAGTTTCTGTTATTGACCCATCGCCACGTCAAGGGTCCTGGAATGGATCTTTTCGACAAAGACTACACTTGGTACCTTTTGGTAGGCCGTTCCGACTTCTCCTGGTCCACATCTTTAGCCAACCCTTCCTCTTTTGTTTCGTACCTATATCTCCTTGACGCTGCTGACAGCAATGATTAAAAACCAGCTCTACATGTCCTACGGCATGCTCGATTCTCTGTGGCAGGTTTTCTGCTACTACACCATGGGCGCCATGTCCAACGACCCTCGCAGACTCGCTTACTACACTGGCTTCTACAAGTCCATCCAAGCTGTTGGTGCTACTGCAATTTCTAAACTGGACGCGGTGAGTTTTTAGCTGTTAGTCGATAACCATCTGCCTCTTCCTCCTTGAACTCGCGTCTCCCTTCCTTTCGGTCTGCCTCTTCATCTTTCCCGTCTTTCCCCTCGAGCATTGCACAAATCGAGAAACAAGAAAGAGAAAGAGAAAGTGCGTGTATCGCTCGCTAATATCTGACCGTTCGGGAATTCCCTTTTAGGACAAAGTCTCATTCCATATCAACTTTGGGACTTCGTGGGGTCTAATGGCCGGTGGTCTCGTCATCGCCTTCCCCCTGTACTGGTTCCGGCTTCACAACACCGAGGTAGACGAAGAGGATTTCATCGGCGTACCTACTGGGAAGGAGGTGCACAAGAGCACCGTCACGGACGTCGCGGCCAAGGGCGAAGGGAGCGCGACCGTCAGCGAGAAGAAGGCCCCAGATGATCATCACGAACTGGACAAAGCATCCTAGACATACGTCGTCGCGTTGAGTTGTTCGTTTCTTCGGACGAAAGGGAAGGAGACTAGACACTCTGTCTATCGTCCCTTTTTTCCGAACGAAGAAAAGGCTGGAGCCACAGGCATCTAAAAATTGGCAGTTTTTGAGCGAAGCGTTCTGGAAAGGATTCATGGCATGATGACGTGGCCGTCTACGGATGAAAACTAACCACGGATTGGATGGGATATAACTTAGGTAACGTTCGTTGATTGTTGGAAGGGTTGGACTTGGACCAGGATACCCTTTCTAATTACAAATCAGAACACCACTGATCATAGGCACGTACAGCGGCCACATGTCGAGGTAACACGGAAACGGAGGGCGAAACATAAAGAGTCAGGGCCCTTTTTACCAATGATTTCAATATGTATGGATGATGTCTACAGACAGATCCATCTGGAATTCACTTTACTGAACAAAATGAACTTGTCATGTCTACAGTAACATCCAACAGTGTCCATAAGACAGTCCGACACTGGTCACGATTCAGTGGACGTGTGCTGGAACTTCAGCCACGGCATGGTGCTCAACCACTGGCTTTTCCTCGACCTCAGACTTCTTTTCTTCGCGCATCGCAACGGCAAATTCTAAAAACGGCAGTCATCAGTTCTAGCCCGACTCTCCATAGCCGATGAGGAACGAGTGCAGAAAAGAACTTACGGTCAACGTGAGTATATTTGAACTTTCTGGCCGGCACACGGTTTTCGAACATGAGGTCGATCTCGCCAAATGTACGGTCCTTGGTCTCTGGTAGACGGAACCAGCACCAGATATTGCAGAGCAAGTTCGTACCGGCGTAGAAGAGGCCGGTCTTTGCGCCCCAGTTCCATGCTTGAAAGTTGTGTTAGTTCGCAGTGCCCGTCAGTGACGATTCTGGGACCGAAGACTTACAGGTGGCAGAGATCATGCGCGGTGTCACCGAGTTATTGAAGATGCCCGTGAGGTTGTACACGAATCGCCCAATTACAATGGTCTTGTACCGAAGTCTTCCTGACGGGGTTTCCGCCACGATGGGATAGCACGCCGGACCCGTGGTGATCATGTTGCAGAGCGTCGAAATGACAAGAAGAATGCCGATGGCGAGCTGTGCGTGTTTCGATTTGGACCATCCCAGACCGCCGATGGCGATGAGGCACAGGAACATGAACGCCATGCCGCCCATGTAGATCGTTGCACGTCCGACGTGGGGGAACATCAGCCAGCAGATTATGCCGCCGATGATGTAGCACGCCGACAGGGAAATGTTGACGTCGAAGGCCTGGAGCTCGGAGAATCCAGCTGCTTCGAGAAATTCGACAGAGTACCCGAGGATGGCGTTGCCGCAAAGGATCTGAGCTGCCCAAACGACGCAGTTCTAGATAATGAAAAAGTCAGAAACAAGGCCGACGTTGCCTTGTGGCACGGTGATCCAAGGGGAAGAAGGGAGGGGGGGCTACTTACGATTTCTGTCCGGCGCAGGTTCGTCCCTTTGAAGCACTCGATGAAACTGGCATTTTCGGTCTCGGCCCTTTCCAACTCCGTGGTGTATTTGATATAAGCAATCGCCGCCTCGACACTTCTTTCTTTCTCTGGTTCGTCTTGTCGAAGCCGCATTAGAGACTCCTTCGCCAGATCCATCTTTCCTCGGCGCACCGCGTTCCATGGCGACTCGGGTGCAAAGTATGTGCCGATGAACAAAGGCAGTGGCCAGACGAATTGCAATGCGAATGGCAGTCTCCAACCCAAGTCACCCTGGATTCCGGCGACTGCGCGGACAACGCCAGAGGATAAGAGGATACCGCCGCCCCAGCACATGCAGACGTACGCGGTGAAGTAAGGACGAAGCACAGTTGGAACCACTTCGGAAGCATATGTGGTCGATAGGGTCTGAGCGTGGTCAGTTAGCCCTTGAACTCCCCTGGCCATTGTTGGGAAGGATGGCATTGGCAGAAAGGCAACGAACCTGAAAAACACCCCATGGGATCCCGCACATGGCTTCACCAAATGCCAACACAGACAGCGACGGAGCAAAGACCGGGATGAACAACACAACTGCCATCCAGACCATGAAAGCCATCATGGTCGGCCTGCAACCGAATCGATCTTGTGTGTGCGCATTGATCAAGAGACCAGCCAATTGACCTACCAGCGCCGAGTTCGAAAGACCCGACTGCCATTCTGCCGGAATTGTCTTCTTCCCTGTCTTGGGATCTTCGACACCAAATCGATTTTGAAACTGCGTTTGTCCGTAGAATGAAGTGATCTGCGCGGCTCTGTGTCAGATGATAGACGTTCAATCCACGGACAGAGTGTACTAACAATGACCAAATCGTATCCTTCCATGACCAAACTCGTCGACAGGAACATCGCCCAAAACACGGCTTTTTTGTACTTTTTCAACGCCTGACCGATCGTCAACTTCCTGTCGGCCGCATCGCTTTCTTGTGCATGGCGGATGAGATCGAAGTTCTCGTCACTGGTCAGATCGAGGCTGGTACGCTCTCGTTGGAACGTTGGCACAACCTTTTCTAACTCCATTATTGATTCTTGCTGAAGTTGAAGCAGAAGTTCATGGAATTATGGACATCAAAAGCTGCTCTGCTCGGGATCTCAAAGGCGAGAAACCTATCCGTGTACTGCCACGAGGACCACCAGGGAAGGACGATCACTAAATAGACATATGGGGTTTTGCGTTTTTACCCCGACATAACAAATCCAGGATCATGCGTTCGCCCCATGGGGATCAACCCCCTTCGGAGGATGGGGACTTCCATGGCCGAGGAGTGGGTGCTCCCACCGGAGTTGACACGTGTGGCCGCATCATGGTCAGTATCGGGATCCAGCGGCCACGCCTGATGCTGAGACGTTGCCGGCGAGAATGAACTGTCCTGTACAATAGTGCCATTCTGTCGGGCTCTGCAATATCACGGACGAGGCAGTACGCTCCTGTAGATATGCCCCTTGACTCTGATGTCGGCGCTGGGAGGAGAGAAGCCTTGTGGGTCTCGGCAGATATTCTTATTCAGACAAGACTAGACCAGACGGAATGGGGAATTGAACACGTCGAATTTAGCTTAGAGACTTACACGGTAAACGAAGGGGCTTCGGATAGGAATCGTTGCCAGTCACAGAGAAGGGTGGCAAGGCTGTGACCCAGAACCTCGACTCAGCGAGCCATGCAGTTCATGACTGGTTGTTCATTCGACGTGTATCCGTGCTTCGCTCGCGGGTATAGTCGTGTATCAGTAGCGTGAGCGCGTCACAGTCTACCAGTAGCACCAGTAGTTGCATATTCCAACATACAAGTGGAAGTCAAAGCCAACGTGACTTTGCAGCCGGGCAAAATTCGCGTGGATAGGACCCCCGGCCCTCGCGTCGTGTCCGCAATGCCTATGCTCTTCGATCTTGCAAGGGGCTCAATCCCGGTGGTCAATTCAGACGTCAGATGTTGTTCAAACCCCATCAAAACGACGATCTCAGTTCCGCGGCTTTCTTTAGAGGTGCAAGTGGTCCAGATATGCTGGACCATCTCATGATACAACCGTATGGGATGATGAGGAGTCGACGGGTCTTATGCCGGTGGGATGTCCAATCAACTGCGAACCTCCCACCGGGCCCTCGTCTGCACGACTCTAGGACGTGGGAGGTGTCAACGGTGTTTTCTTGCGGGGAGACGTTCATGGACCGAGTAGTGAGTACGAATCCATGTCACGGTCAATGGCCGTGGGGATTTGGCAAATGTTCGAGAGAGCGAGGCAGCAAGGTCGTGTAAGTGCCGTTTCCCAGCATCTCATCGTCGTACGTGAGTAACAGAGAGCAAAAACGTAACACGTGTTGAGCATCCCGGATCTCGACAAGGAATAGGACAGAACGCAGGTCCATTTGGTCTTTGTTTACCTCTGTACAATTTTTCATCTTGAGACAGGCAAGCGTGCTACACCTTCTCGCTTTCAAGCCCATAGAAAGCACTACCTGACGGCACATCAAAGTTCACGGTCAAGTGTGATACCAATAATGTCATATCCTCAAGAGTCATTCATCCAGACGTCCTTACTTCCTGGTTCCCTCCTTGCCCGGAGACGCGAGGTTGTGTCGTCGAATACGCTGCTGTACCAGCTCGAAGTACTCAAGAAGACGGGGAGATACGACGCCTTCAAACTGAAATGGCATCCATCGTACTCTGATCCTCCCGAGACGTGGCCCATCCCAAATCATTTGTTCTGGTGAGTCTGAACGCGACTCATCCCATGCCCACATACGCACCCACACGAGGAACCGTGACTGATGACCAGTGACGCCGATCCAGGGACTCTGATATTGGCAAATGGATCGAAGGGGCATGCTACTTCCTCCACAAACAGCCCGACACCAAGATCCATTCAGCCATCAATGACCTGGTGAAGATGATCCGGTCGGCGCAGCAACCAGATGGCTATATCAACATTCACTATACGGTGGTGGAGCCTGGGAAACGGTTCACGAATCTCCGCGACTTCCACGAACTGTACAACGCCGGACACCTGATCGAGGCCGCGCTAGCTCACAACGACCTGTACAAGAACGGTGACCTTCTCGAGCCGCTGATCAAGTACGTCGACCTCCTATGCCGCACTTTCGGACCCGGCAAGGACCAGATCCACGGCTACCCCGGACACCCCGAGATTGAACTCGCGCTGCTCCGTCTGTACCAACGCACCAAGGACCCCAAACACCTTGACCTCGCGAGATACTTCATCACCGAGAGAGGGAACCCTGCGGGCGTCGACGGACGGCACTATTACGTCGTCGAAGCCGAGAAGCGAGGCGACCCGGCGCACGCGAGGATGGTGTACTGGGGCGGCAACGACGACGCGCTTTGGTACTACCAGGCCCACAAGCCCATCGTGGAGCAAGAGACGATAGAAGGACACTCTGTCCGCGCCATGTACCTACTCACGGCGGCGTCTGACCTCGTCGGGATGAGCACCACACACCCGGTCGCCGGCGCAAGTGAACAGCAGCACGACGACAACACTCGACCACTCCAGGACGCCATCTACAGACTGTGGGACAACATGGTGGAACGCAAGATGTACGTGACGGGCGGAATCGGGGCGATCAAGCGCTGGGAGGGGTTCGGGCTGGAATACTTCCTCCCCCAAAGCACCGACGAGGGAGGTTGTTACGCCGAGACGTGCGCCGCCATCGGCGTCATGATGCTCGCTGAGCGCATCTTGCAGTACGACCTGGACCGACGGTTCGGCGACGTGATGGAGTTGTGTCTGTACAACGCCATGCTGACGTCCATGTCCCACGACGGCACCAAGTTCACGTACGTCAACCAGCTCGCGTCGAGCGACGCCGACGCCTCGAAGCGGGAAGAGTGGTTCACGTGTGCGTGCTGCCCCCCGAACGTGCTGCGCTTGTTTGGGCAAATCGGAGGCTACGTCTACAGCGACAAACGCCGCACCACCGAAAAGGACGACGCCACGCAGGTGAATGTGCACCTGTACGTTCCTAGCCGTCATGAAGTCGAGGTTGGAGGGCAAGGGCAGGGACAAAAGGTGGTCTTGACTCAAACGAGCAATTGGCCTTGGGACGGGCGTGTCGAGTTCGAGGTGCAAGGTACGACGAGTGATACTGTCGCCGGCACCGCTCGAGTGAGTATTGCTTTGAGGATCCCAGCCTGGGCCAAGTCATGGAAGGTAAGAAGGAAATGAAGAAATCTCCTTTCTCGTCGTCACAAGCACACTATACCATGCTGCTGTCATGCTATTGGCGCATGTTTTGTGCTGTGCGATGCTGTTCTGTGTTTTTGCTGCAAGGTTCAAAAACAGATTCTGACCTCATGGGGGCATCTAGATCACTCCATCTACTCCTACCGCTGCCGCTGCCGCTGCTACTACTACTGGTGGTGGCCATGCCGACGCCGACGCCGATGCGGGCACAACCTTACAAAAGGGATACCTCATTCTCTCTGCGCACTGGGTGTCGCAACACCCCAAATTCACACTCGACATCGACATCTCTCCGCGCCTGGTCTCGCCGCACCCGTACACCAACCAGGACACGGTCGCCGTGGCACGAGGACCCGTCGTCTACGTGGTCGAGGACGTCGACAACGCCTGGGTCACCGACCACTTCAAGGGCGTACAGCTGGACCCGGAGTGCTCGATACGGGAAAGGACCGTGACCGACGGCACGACGGGCGACACCTTTGTGGCCCTCACCGTCCCTGACGGGGGCGCGAGCATTCTCCCATCAGCCGGCATCCACGCTTCTCCAGGGGTCGAGACCGGGAAGTTGCGCGAGGTAGAAAGGTCCGCCGAGGCCGTCATCGACGAATTGCACTTTGTGCCTTATTATTTTCGCGCGAATCGTGGCGGCCGCGGACAGGCGAGAGTCGGGTTGAGGAGGTGGCGAAAGTAGTTAGAACGGCAAGAGTCGGGATTGATGAGGTGGCGCAGGCGGAAAGAATTCAATCCATCATGCATTGATACATACACACACACACACACACACACGCAAGTATACACGTGAACGTATAGATGAGATGAGCGTCGGTACAAGAGGCCGGTCCACCGGTCCCCCCTTTGGGGTATAACTCACGTAGCAGCTAAAGAAGTTTTGTTTTATGATTTCACTTTTATTATCGTTTCTCTGTCATCTCAACATGGACAAAGGATCTGAAGCCGAGGACGCTTCAACGGCAGCATGAGTATCGACGCCAGCCATTGCCGTGACCTTTTCCAGCCTATTCAACACCTTGACCCAGTAATCGGAAATGCCTCTCCAGCTGCCGAGACTGAGGAGCAATTTCTGTCCCTCGGCCAAAACCTTCCTGGGACCTCGGGGCCCAAAGACGTCCCCGACACCAGTCATGTTGGCGCGCATCGAGTCACCCTGTCGGACGAATTGCTGCACGAGCTCGTCGTCCGTCGGGCGATCAATAAGAATAATATCGCAGATGTCCGGCGACGGCGAACTACTGCCGTCATGGTCATCATCATTGTCGTTGTTGTTGTTGTTGTTGTTGTTGTTGTTGTTGTTGTTGTTGTTGTTGTTGTTGTTGTTGTTGTGGTTGTGGTTGTTTGGAGACAGTCTCCCACCGCCGGGCGCACCACGACTGGTTGGTCTGGTTTTGGATTTCTTGATCGAAAAGGCGCTCAGGGCCCAGAACATCAACGCCGCCAGAGCGACGGCGGTGGGCTCGTAGAAGGCGTCGATCGAGTAGAGCCGCACGTGCCAAAAGACCGTTCCGGCGTGGATCGCGGCCAGTCGCGCCTTGTACTGATCCTGGACCGCCCAGCGTTGAATGCGTCGCCTGTGCGCCTCGGCCTCGGCCGCGGACACGCGAGGGAACAGGCGGTTTGACTCCCTGCTCGACCGGATCAGGTAGTGGGAAAACAACAGAATGTCATTCAGCGGCGCCAGCAGCACGACCCGCGCCAGGTGCAGGTGTAGCACTGTCGGGTGCTCCATCCCGCTCGCCGCTCCTATCGCGGCGTTGGCGCTCCAGTGCAGTATGTCCAGACAGTCACAGGCAGAGTTTCTCCACTTGTTGAACAGAGGTTCTGCAGGAGGCCACACACGCTCAGTGTGCGTTGTTCCATGACTTGTTGCTTGTTTCAACGCTGACGGCTCGAGCCGCGAGAAACTCTGCGTCACTGTCGTCTCGACCTCCCATGTCCGATGGAAGATTCCGTGGATAAGCAAGATCCGGCTGAACTCGCCCAAGTTCGGGAGCAGCCGTTTGTCGATGTAGAGATTTTGAAGCGCCTGGCCCAGTGTCGGCGGATCTGACGAGCCATAAGCCGCTCTCAGCTGATCAAACTCAGTCGCGTCACCGCACGCCCACAGTCGATCTGAGCAAGGCAGTTGATGATTCGTGGCATCATCGAGATGGAGGTGCGGTGGCTGTTGAAATTGAAATGTCCACATGGAGTCCAAGAGCCAAATGCAGTAGCCGAGACGGGTCTTTTTCTCTTTCTCAATCCATGTCTCCCAGTCAGACGAAGACACTGTGTGGCTGCATTCTTCTGGGCGCCACGTCGTGCGGCAGAACTCGGCTGCGATCTGCAGTGACAGTGACGACGAGGTACGCAGAGGGTCATACACGGTGTATCTTGCTCCGATGGCATGCAACAGGTGGATTTGCGCGAGAGTTGTAGTATTTTCCGGACGCCAGTGCCTCTGCTCCTGAATGAGAAGGACGAATCGGCGCACAAACTCATGCATGGATAGAGCGAAATGGCCAGATTGGTCAAAATCTGCGTAGCAGCTGCCCAGAGCCATCATGGCTAATACCAGGCCACAGTGTTCTTTCTCCAGCTTGAAGGTCGCCAGATGGATAAATGGCACCGTTCGGTCGAAGTGTACGAAGTATAGCGAGAGAAGATTGGTTAAAGCACTTCGAGGAGGAAATGCCGACGGCGCGTACTTCTTGAAGATGGCCGTGTCCAAACAAAGCTGATGGTAGAGAAATTCTAGATTGCTATACACCTCCTCTGGCAGATCACGTCGGGGCGGAGTACTGACAGCGGATAGTGGAGTGCACTTCAGCGAGAAGGAAGGATCGTCGAAGTCGTTCAGACTCCTGACCTTTGCAACAACTCGGCGGCGTTTCGACCTGGGCAATCTGCCGGCATCTCCATCGACGTAGTACTCCCCGCATCCTGTCGGAGGAGGCACAGAGTCTGGTGAGGCAATTGGTTGCGCATCAAGAATTGCCCGCGCCGGCCGTGGTGTCTCCTGGTAGATACTGACGCTCGAATCGAGTGTGGCCCCGGAGAGATCAACGTCAGGATGCTGAGTCGGGCTGACAAAGTCAACACTCGGCGAGAAATAGTAGTTCTCGGGGAACACGGGAAAGAGGGTTCCAAGGTCCTCGTCATCGATATTGAAGCTATCGGGCTGAAGCCAATTGATGGTAGATGTGATATTGGAGTTCCAGTCAAAAGTGGGCATGGTTGTAGTATGATCGAGGTCGCTCTGTGCGAAATATGTCGACTCTTGTTGCGTGATCTGAACATCTGGCGTCGTGGATTCGAGCCCTCCAAGGCCGATGGTGGTGTTGTCTGAGATTTGCTCTGAAGGAGGCGCCGGCCCCTGATAGACCAGCGCCCCCTCTGTGACCCTACCCATTTCAGAGTGGGCAAGCTCTAATGCAAACGGGCTGCGCTGATGTGATTCTTGCCCGAGATTGTTACCTGCCATTTGTGTGGCGCTTGCATTGTTTCTACCCACAGGGTATCGACAGACTGCTCCCTTTGTCGCACATCTCGTGCAGGGTGTTCCTCCGGAGCAGCGAGATTTGATAGCAGCGCAAGAAGAACAAGCCCTGGCTCCTCGCTGCAGGAGCGAAGGGACAGTAGATCGATGGGTATGTTCGTGTTTGGCGAGAGCATCCTTTCGATGGAAAGCTTTGGAGCACTGAGAGCACTGAAATTGAGGCGCTTTGTGGCCCTGTTCATGGCGTTTGAGATGCTCTTGTCGGCTGAAGACCTTGGGACAAGTCGAGCAACGGAAACCACCCATCGGCACGAAGAGTAGATTCAGTTAGGCGGCTCTTTGCGCCGTGCGAAGACTAGCAGGTGAGGGTCGATTTCTCCTTTGAGTTTACATTGCAAGGGTATTTACGCAACAGGCTCTGCAAGTTCAGAGAAAGCCGCAGATTAGTTGTTCAAGATAGCAATGCGTGTGGACGTTTGACGTCGAGTGGGCAAAGTTTTAGGGCTCGGAGTGGGCGAGAAGCACAAAGTGAGGTGGATGTGGGCATCAATGGCCACCGGAGAATGATCCTCAATGTCTAGTATTAAGCACGCACCCCGACGTCTTAGTGGCGGTGCTTGCGGCACCCTCTACCTACCTACGCATCTCCCCATCTAGTCGGCCCTTTGCGTCTTTCGAAGTTGACTGGGGCCACGGTGACAGGGTCTTGCTGACATTGGGATAGGCGCCGTGTCGAAATCGCGGCACCTAGAATGTCTATCAGAGAGGTCGAATACCCGATCTACTACTTAGCACGCATAGAGCAGACTTACAGATACCTCGTATCATGGACCAGGGGTTCGGGCTTGGAAGATTTTTCGGCAACATATTGGAGAAGACTTGATTCGTTCATTCGTTAATTCCTCATAACTTGACCCGGTCGTGAAACTAGCAAACCAAAATTCTGCAGCACATGAAGCTGGCCATCAGTTCAGATCCGAATATGCGGGCTACCAGAGCAAAATCAGAGGAGCATCCAGGACAGCGAGGTCTGTCCCATCAGACTTCCATACCAACTCAAGCCGATCTCGAACCGAGTCTATCGTCCGCACACCACGCCTGAGTTTCAACGCCGCCAGCCGTTCCTTGATGAAATCTTGTGTTTCCTGGTCGGCTATGCCCGTTCGGCTATTGAGAAAGCTTCCGGCCATATAAAGTGGCCACGTATGGCTTGCTGCAGACGGGCTGTCGAGAGAAACCTGTCCAATATGTCGAACTATGGCCCTGCAGTAACTTAAAATTTCCTCCCGATCACATTCAGTCAGCGAGCTCGAGGTCAACTTGTGGTAGTACAGGAGGCCAGCATAACGCATTGATTGGGCCGTGTTGCATGCGTCACTGGAGATTTCTCGAGGGGGATCCCAATGTTCCATGTCGGCTTTGAGGGATCTTGCTCTTGCAAGTCGAGAAGGCTCAATGGGTTCTGGGGGTCCATCTGCAGGCGATGCCGGGAAAAGCTCAGAGAGCTTGGCGACAAAAGATATTATCTGGTCCGCTGCCGCAAGGAAGGCGCCTCGGTGACCTTTGAGGGCGGACCAAGTGTCTCCTCTATAGTAGTCCATAAACAATGAGCTTTGGTTCGTGCCAATGAGGGCGAGAACGCTATGGTACGCAAAACTGTCAAATTAGTTGGTTAGTCTGGGAGCAGGTCGGCTTGATGCGGGGCGCAACTACATATCTAGCAACATTCGTGTTTCTTGATCACACGTCTTCCACTGCGGCAAATTTCGGGAGATGATCTGGGAAACGGCCTTCAAGTGCGTGACCCATGTATCGGGATTTGCTTCAAAGACCTAGATCCAACATTAGTCGGTGCGTAAGTACCACAATCCAAAATGCCATCACCTCATTTATGCTCATCATGATGATGGTTGCTAGGATGATTTTGTCGAAACCCTGCCAGTTCGCGACGTAGGCACGAAGCTCAGGCAGGACGCGGTGGCGATAATGAGGCACGTCGAGAGCGGTTTGCTCAGACCTGCCTGCAAGGTGCGATGCTGAAACCAGTAACAGCGTGTTCATCAAGAGATTAGAATCCCAAGCCATGCGCAGTATGGTGTTGCAGTAAGTGTTGATTGTTCGATCATCCGTGCTTGAGAGCAGCCCTGAGACATGGTGGACATAATGCTTGAGTAGAGCCTGGTCTTTGGAGGACAGATGTGACGGTGGCGATGAGCACAGCCTGCCCACGCTCTGCTGTAAAAGTTGTTCGGGGTCGGAATCAGGGTGCAACAGTGCTTTGGTTGCCTTCGACCTAGGCGTCCCCGGGTGGGATTGACCTTTCCCACGGTTCTTGATACGGGAGGTGCCTTCCATCCATGTCAGTCGGATATTGTATCCTTCGCATTCAATACCCAGACGTGTGCATGCCGCACAAGCTGGAGTCCCTTCGTCGCAGCGGTATCCACGCCGGCGACATGTCCAGCATCCTAGAGGCACGGTCAGAGTTGGCGACACAGCGAGCACCGGCACCAAGGCGTTTCTCGGCCTCACCTGTTCTCACCCGCTTAATGCCTGTCGATACCATTGCAGCGGGGCATAGCGGAGACCAAGTCTCTCTAGCGCACTCAGTCCGACTAGGGGCGAAGCCGTCCAGACTACAACGCGGTCAAAAGAAGGTTCAGCTCCAGTTCTCAGCGTGGCTTCCGTTACAACAATGAGGCGATTGGAGTGCCGAGACACGCCAAACAACGGTGTTCGTGGGACTCCACAACAGAGACCGCGAGTGTGTAGGTGGAAAAGCAGTGGATGGGACGAAGAGGTGTGGTAGGAATAAGTAATATATCGAAGATTTCCAGCCAGGTGGATGGCGAGCGAGGCGGGTCACGGCAGAAGATGCCAAGAGGCACCAGTGACATTCCCCGGCTTCGACTAAAGCAACTTTAGACGGGCCTTATCTTTGTTCCGGTCAATCTTTGGACTGACGGGAACTAGATCGCTCCGACAGCGTCAGCCACCACGTCGGTATGCGTTACAATGTACCACTACCTTATGCACCCGTCTCGAAGAGGTCCTGCGAGGTGGATTTCTGTCTAGATCTCACTATCGCGTCATGCTTGACTGAACTTCGACAGGGCCAGCACATGCCAGCCACACATGTCGCTAAACGTGGAATCATTTCCCAGAGTCCCAGCCCACCCAGGTGCGTGGCATTATTCTCCAGACCATCACTTCTCCGCTCTTCAAGTCGCCAACCTTGAAACTATGCTCTCTCAGCTTCGGTTTCTTACCCTTCTCCAAGTCTCGCCCTTGTTCCAAAGCCCGAATCTTTTTCTTAGTGCCGTCCCATTCGGCCACGATCGCCACATGTTCCGGCTTCCCCACATCAATACTATACTTTGTGTGCATGGTACCAGTATGGCCTGCAAACTTAGCATTGCGGAAGGTGACTATGTCCCCTGGACGTATCTCGTCATACTGTTGTGTCGAGGCGTTGCCGAGATTGGCGTAGACCAGCGCGCCATACGCCCTTGTCCCTACCGGCCGCAGTGCTGTCGTGTGCGGTTTTAGGAGTTCAAGGATGAGCCCTTGGGCAGAACCGTCGGCAAGGGATAAGCCAAGCACACTAGTAGCTGCCTTGGCGATCTGACTGCCATACTGTGCTGATGCACTTTCGAGTTGGTCTCGCCGAGGTGGTGGCGGTGGTCGTTGGTGATTTTGCTCCAGCGTAACATGAGACGGATCTGCTGCGTCGAAGCTGACGTTGATGGTTGTCTGCGAATAATCCATGTATAAAACATAAATATCCCTCGTGATACTAGTTCGGCCACCGCGCTTAGTAGACGAAGAAGTCTCCATTTCCAACAAGACGTCTTGACGGCCTTGCAGTGAGGGAGGAAACATGTTTTCCTGGACCCACCACATCGATCCTCGGCCCAAGTCGATGTCATGGGCAATATAACTCTGTTCCCCACTCGGTCTCGACTGCTCCATGGAACGACGTGAGACTGTGCCAGATCGTTTAACATCCAGAGAAGGTCGTGGGGATACCGCTGGTGGGGGTGGCGCGAATCCTGTAGGCGCTTGTGCATACTCCGACCTTTCAGGTGGCGGCGGGGGCGGAGCACTTCTTTCAGCAGGGGGAGGAGGGATGTGTACAGGCGGAGGACTTGCGCCATACATGTCTTCCTCTTCAAGTTCCTCCTTCGGGGACTGAAGTTTGGTTGAGTACTGAGTCTTGTTCGGGTGTAAAGGTAGCCCATGCTGCGACCCAGAATATCGATATGGATCATATTCCTCATCATCGGCAACTTTCGGAGGTGGGACTGGCGGGGGAGCGGCCCGAGGTGCATCCATGGAACTTCTTGACTTAGGTGCGGGTTGTGAAGGAGCAGGTGGTGGTGGTGGAACATCCCGAGGCGCGGGTGCTGGTACTGGGGGTATCGGAGGGACAGTCCGCGCTGTAGGGCTTTTAAGCGATTTTGTTGCGTCGTCTGTGAGCATATCGTCATCTAGACTAGAATCTCGATTGTGGGACTTTAAAGCATCCTTGTGTTTTGCACCAGAAGCGATGTCTGTATCGTAGTCACCGTCATATTCCGTGACCTCATCTTCATCACTAGCATCACCCCCAGCGCCTTGGGAGACACCAAAACCGCGAGAGTCGCTTGTAGACCGCCGACTGGGGGGAAGGCCTGGAGGAGGAGGAGGTGGTGGTGGTGGAGCTCTCGTCTGAGGAGATGCAACCGTCGGGCTCATGGGAACAGGCGGCGGAAGCCGGCTCGCACGCTTGTCTGTCGCTGGAGAGGCTGTGGAATCGTTCGTGTTGACCCTTGGGGGCTCGGGAACTCCCATAGGAGGAGGTGATTGTACACTAGAAGGACCAGGAGACCCATCGGCTGCCGAAGGCTGCCCTGATACGTCCTCTTCACCAGATAGTTCGGCCTCGAGTTCCTCATCTTTTACTGGGGCTTCGACCGCGGAGGGGGCCGTCGGAGGCAGAGGGGGCGGAGGTCGGGCTGCAGGAATTAGCACTGTTTTGACAGAGACAAAGGAATAACGTACATGTCGGAGATTGAGGATTGGGTGGATGTGGTCTCGACGAAGCAGGCGGAGGTGGCGGGACTGCTCTGGTTTCCCGTGGAGGTGCAGCAGGAGGCGCTATACATGGTTAGCAATACATAGACGGTGATGTTGCAAAGATAAATACCTTGAGGAATTGGCGGAGCAGGTCGATCAGTTGAACGCCTCTCTATCGGACGTGAAACATAGTCCTCCGATTCCTCATGAACGTGTGGTTCTTGGGGTGTAGCTTGAGCTGTCTGATCGTCACTGTCCTCAGCTGGCTCTTCTTGTCGTTTGGAAACTACACTAGACATCCCTGGGAGGGCCATGATTCGAACAGGCGCTGGTCGTTCTTCAGGCGCCTCCTGAGGCTGAGGGTCGGCAGGCTGTCTAGTTTCTGCAGGCTTCGACTTCCTCGCTCCAGAAGCACTCATTCCTCCTGGTGGGCCGAACATACCCATCATGCCCATTCCGCCGCTCATCTTTGCCATACGCTCCCGGAGCTCCCTTCTCCGGCGCAGTTCAGGATCTTCCTCTTCCTCCTCGTCTTCCTCGTCATCCTCACCCTCGTCGCCTTCTTTGTCCTGCTCGGCTGGTGCTGCTTTCTGCTTATTCACTTCGCTTGTTCGCGAGTCAACACCCTTCGATTTCGGTCGCTCTTCCTCTGTAGATGTTTCTTGGGCGTCTTCATCGTCACCTGCACCTGAATCATCGGCATCATTGGTGTCACTGACAAGTTCGCGCACCGGCTGAGGCTGCGGTGTGACTCCTGCTATGCCCGTTGCACGCCGCGACAGAGGGGCGACGTCGCTCTCATCCTCAACAAAGTCAGTAGATGGACGACGAAATGTATCTTCAGCGCTGATCTGCTGGACTGCAGGCTCTGCAGGTGCAGCATCTTCCAAAGATTCCGTAGGCTCGACTCGCTTCTTGGCTGGCTTCTTTGGCTTTTCCTTCTTTTCGGCATTTCGCGCGGCCTGTTCCATCTGTTGCTTTTGGAGCAGGGCTATTCTGTCCTTCAAGCTCTGTGGCTTTGGCTGATCCTCTTCCGGGGGTTCTGGATGGGAGGATGTATGGGGTTCTGCTGCTTCCTTTGTTTCGGCTTCCAGTGAACTTGGTTCTTCTTCTCGTCGATATGGCTTCTGCACTGGTTGCTCTCGCGCAGGTGGAATGTAAGCATTCCTGCTCGGGGGAGGCGCCACGAAGGGTTTCTTGATAAAACCTGTGCTAGTGCTGCCACCAGGCTTAAAAGGCGTGATAGGGGCTGCAGCCGGCTTATTGAATGCTGCTATCCTATCCTTGAATGAGCTTGATGATGGCTTATCAGCCACGGGGGGAGGTGACCTCGAGGTCGAGACGACTGCCGGACTGGGAGCGGCTGGCTTTGGCGCAGGCGCAGGCGCAGGCGCAACAGGTTCCTCCTTCGGGGGTGTATCAGAAATAGGAGCTTCATTTGAGGGAGTTGCCTCTTGTAAAGAGTGTGTTTGCAAGGGTTCGGCAGGAGGAGGTGCCTGCGCTGGAGGAGGTTCCGGCGTATGTTCAACATGGACAGGGGCCCGCTTAGGAGCCCTCGCAGGGCGTGTAGGAATCGTCGGTTCGAATTTCTCGACAAAATTCCTTGGAAATATACCTTCCCGCCGCTCTCCCGATTCATCGACGTATTCGCCGGTATACCAGTCGGCATCCTCTTCATCGGTGACCGTAATTATTTGACCATCGCGAAAGCTCAAGTCGTCTGGCTCCTCCGAGGCATACTCATAGAGAGCTTTGACTTTGAAAGAGCTGCCAGGCATGTTGGCTCGAGTTCTGGCTGCTTAGGATGCGTGCAGAATCGCTGTCTTGCTGAGCGTGTCAGGTTGAACAGTCTTACCCGACCAAACCGGTGACGCAGCGCCTGCGCCACCCTGCTCACTTCGATGCCAAGGCGAGGCAATATGACGGCTTATAGATGGACAAGGTCGCGGTCACCTGAGCGTCGGTAGAGTAGGAGTGGTGAGGAGGGCCAAAGATAAAACGCCAGAGGCTACAGCAGCTTGGTAGGCAGTCGTGGCTTTTAGACCAGGTGGTGCTCGAGTACGTGGGGCAGGAGTTGTAGGTGAAAGTCCGGCGTAGTTCGGTGTACGAGTAGTTACATCAAGCCGTCTTTGGATTAGGACGTTTGTCTCGAGATACTTGCCGCCATCTCTGCCCATCGCCAAACATCTTACGCTATCATCGAGCTCCAATCATACTAGGTGTCTCCGCCCTCATCTGTCTCAGACGCATAGTCCCCGCTGGGTCCTAGGCCACAAGTCAAACGACAAAGGGGATGGGATAGTATGAGCTCCGAGTCGCCAAAAGTCGATGACAGGGAAAATCGCATCCGCTCCACCGCTCTTCGCCATGCTACCGAGATTGAGGACCGGAAGAAACTACAAACTCGAATTGCTGATCTAATAGTCGAAGCATTCGAACTTCCTACAAAGCCAGATGCCGATCCAGCGCGCCCGTCACCATCAGACGCCTCTCTTTTCAAGCAATGCCTGGGGTTGTTCCAACAATCCGATCTCGACGATCTTATTTACGAACGTAACGTAGACAACAGGTGCGGCTATGCCTTGTGTCCCAAACCAAATCAGAGACTCTCACATACCGGCAACCTGGTCTGGAACAGGAAGGGTGGCAAGGACTTCAAACTTGTTAACAAGGCGGAAATGGAGAAATGGTGTTCGTCTCTATGTGCAGAAAGAACAGCCTTCGTCCGTACTCAGCTAGGGACCGGTCCGGCATGGTTGCGAGACATAACGGCAGTCGATATCAAATTATTCGATGAGTTTGACACTGACCACCTTGCGGAATCTTTGAACGTATGACCTTAGTAATTTTGCGATATTTTGAAGTCTACCTGCTAACCTCGAAAAGGCTCTGTCCGTTGCCAGAACAGCGGAAGACGAAGTGGCAGAGAAAATGCAAGCGCTTGCACTTGAACGCGGAGAGCTCAAGGTCAACCGTAACGAAGAAGGCGTGACACTCATCGAAAAGTCAAGTGACGAGATTCCCGAACCACCGTCGTTGACATCGCAGCAGCAGGGTACCATTGAGGGTTATCAGCCACGAAAGGTCCGTTTCCAGAAGTCATAAGCAGACTCTTATGATACAAGACGCGCATTCCGGGCACATCGCAGACGGCCTGATCCGACGTTCACGGCCTTTCAGCCGGCGGAGGTAATTGGATGTGGTTGAGTAACAGTGCTGTGAGTTTGTGTCCTGGCCCTCTCAGCCAGTACCCAAGCCACGCTGTATCATCTTCCAGGAGGAGATGTGGAGCGAGGAGAGGTACAGCACAAGTATCTCGAACCCAATATGCGGTGGTCATTGAAACAACTGGATAAGCCCAATCCTTTAAAATCAATGGCGGGAAAGACCCAAACTCTTGATATGCTGAAAATGCGCAGCAGCTCTCCGGAGCAACGTTGTGAGAGGTTGTACTGTCACCCTCCAAAGGCAAAGTATGCTCTTTCGAGCGGTTGTCTCTCAAACTCCCATGCCAACCAATCGCTTGTGGTCGTAGGTAGCAAGCCCATGCTGTTGACTTTGTATATTCCCAAACCAAGCAATAAGCATTGCATCAGTACGTAGACCGCTTTTACTCCCAGCATTTGCGAACGTGTCCCTTCACTTTCGAGTTTTGAAAAGGCCATATTTGTCTGAGAAATAGCTTGGATGGGATTTTTGAACCTAGGCAAAATCAGTACCGGTATGGTTAAGACAGGGCGCGGTGCACTTACAACATCCATACCATCATTATAGAGAAGATTTGCAGGGAGTTTCCGGACATGTAGCCCATGATAGCCTGCATTGGAATTTGCTTTGCAGGTCCCAATGCGATTTCCCATGCTTTCTTCAACTTCAAAGTCTCCGTCTCTTCAGGTGTGGGCGCCTTTCGGGCAGAGACTTGTGCCTTCTACAACCCGTAAGACACTGGCTTGAGGGTATCTCGAGACATTGCTCACCTGCTTGCCGGACGTTGACCTCGAAGAGTATCCGGGAGGATCTGGCAGGCTGCTAGCAATCTTTGACTTGGGTGGGGGACCGTTGTTGAGTTCAATAACCCATTTCGGTTGTGTATGCTCCATCGTGCTTTGCATTGACCGGTGTGGACGAGTGATTCGACGATGGTGTTGCGGGTTGTCGTGTGTAACATGTTCCTCGCAGGAGACGTGGACAGTGGACGGTGGACGGAACGGATCATCTCAGCTTCCGCACTTTAGCGTCGGCGTGTCCATCCCTTTCGCGACCGACGAGTCCTTTCAGATTGCCAGTCCAACTTCTCATGATCAACATTGAATCTGTTCAAATTAAACCAATGCAGTCCAAGCCTTGTCTAGGACCCCTCCATGTGTATGATTCCCAACAATGATACCCTGACACAGTCCTAGACACATCGGGCTCATCGACAATATCACCCATATCAAAATCGGAGGCGAGTCAGCTTCGACCACCGCTTGTGCCTCTGCAAACCCATATCCGTCAGAATGTCGTCCGGACACGGCGACGCGAAGCTCTTCGCCAGAGTAAGTCAGTATGAATACTAGTCACTGTCACAACTTTCCAATTCATGAGCGAATTCCGCCCTATATCCTAAACCCCCCTATTTCCACATTGTTTTGCTTCGGCACTGGCCGGGGTTTCAGGCCAGTGACTCTTTGTCATATGGCATGGTCCTTCTTCGTGACCTGGCTGACATAAGACCCAGGGCAAAGTGGCCGAGCTACGTCAAGAACTTACCAACCCAGGCAAGAAAGACAAAAATCACGCTGCGAAAAAGAATGCGCTCAAGAAGATTGTGGCAAATATGACCATGAGCAACAACGACATGGTTGCGCTCTTTCCAGATATCGTCGCCTGCATGCAAATACCAGTATTGGAAATCAAGAAGATGTAGGTCTGGTTCTCTGGGATTTTGGACGCGTACTGACTTGCGAAGGTGTTTCTTGTATCTTCAACACTACGCTCGTATGAAACCGGAAATAGCCCTGCGGGCTTTACCATTTCTCCAAGATGTGAGAAAATTGTTCCATTACGAGCGAGTGCCACTAACGTGTCAAGGACATGCAAGATCCAAATCCATTGATTCGAGCGCTAGCTCTCCGGACAATATCTTATATCCACGTCCGAGAGTTTGTCGAAGGGACCATAGGTCCCCTGAAGAAGTTAATGTCAGACCAAGACCCCTATGTTCGCAAAACAGCCGCCATTACCGTGGCCAAAGTCTACGACCACGACAAGAGACTCGTCGAAGGTTCCGACTTGATAGACAGACTCAATCGAATGCTCCAGGATGACAACCCAACGGTAGTCGCCAGTTCTTTAGCGGCACTTCAAGACATCTGGGAGCGCAGCGAGAACATCAAGTTAACCATCGACTACACGAGCGCATCAAAAATCGTCGCTATTCTTCCAGACTGCAACGAATGGTCCCAAACCTATGTTCTTGAAGCTCTCGTCTCATATGTGCCGCAAGAATCAGGGGAAGCACTGCTCCTGGCAGAACGAATTGCATCTCGTCTATCTCATTCGAACTCCAGCGTCGTCCTTACTTGTATCCGAGTCATCATGTACCTCATGAACTACATCTCCGATCAACGCAAGGTCGATGAACTCGCCCGTAAACTCTCTCCACCTCTGATCACTCTTCTTTCCAAGCCACCAGAGATTCAGTACCTTGCTCTTCGCAATGCCATCCTCATACTCCAGCAACGCCCCGAAGTCCTTCAGAACGATATCCGCGTCTTCTTCTGTAAATACAACGACCCGATCTTCGTCAAAGTCACCAAACTCGAATTAATCTTTATGCTCGCCAATAAGAGCAATATCTCCGTCGTCCTGAATGAGCTCCGGGAATATGCCACCGAGATCGACGTGCAATTCGTTCGAAAAGCGGTTCGAGCGATTGGCAAACTTGCTATCAAAATTGAACCAGCAGCTCGACAGTGTATTGACACGCTTCTGGACCTTGTAAATGCCAAGATTCCGTACATTGTTCAAGAAGCTACAGTGGTGATCAAGAACATTTTCCGCAAATACCCCAATCAATACGAGTCCGTGATTTCGACTGTCATAGGCCAGATCGACGAGCTCGACGAGCCGGAGGCCAAAGCAGCGATTATTTGGATTATAGGAGAGTACGCCGACCGTATCGACAATGCCGATACGTTACTTCAAGACTACTTGTCAACGTTCCATGAAGAGCCTATCGAGGTTCAACTATCGCTATTGACTGCCACCGTCAAACTCTTCCTCCACCGACCAACAAAAGGTTCATCAATCGTACCACAAGTTTTAAAATGGTGCACCGAAGAGACAGACGACCCCGATCTTCGTGATCGGGGCTTCATGTACTGGCGCCTGTTGTCTACAGATCCGGTAGCTGCAAAGAAGGTGGTCATGGGCTCCAAACCTCCAATTTCTGCAGAAAGCGAGAAGCTTGACCCAAGTACCCTGGAGGAGTTGTGCCTGGGTATCGGCACGTTGGCGACAATTTATCTCAAGCCTGTGCAGCAGGTGTTCCGTGCAGCTCGACCCAGACGTCTGCACGAATCGCCTGCCCTTCAACGGCGCAAGCAGGACTTTCATCGTGCACTTGTTTCGCCAGCAATGAATTTGGCGAACCCATTGTCACTCAGCACTGGCCCAACCTCGCCTGGTGGTACTCCCTTACCAGGCCACCAAGCCGCGATTGCGGCTGCAGATGACTACTTCAAGAATCTCAGCCTGAGCGATAACAGTGGCGGTGATATCTTGACAAGCCCTGGTGCAAATGATATTGGTGGCAATCCATATGTTGTCAGCCAAAATGCGCCGCAACAGGTACTTCGCCCACAGACGAATATCGCGCAGAACGGGGATTTGCTTTTGTAGTGTAGAAGGTCGATGACCATTACATAGCGGCGGTGAACATAATAGCAAGCGGTTTCCAATATAAGTCCTACGTGAGAAATACTGTGACATCCGATTCCACTCGCGCTGTAGAAATCCATCGTAAAGTGCCCGAGCTGAAATACCGGGGGAAATATGGCATCAAGGAGACAAAGACGACAAGGGAGAGGACAGGAAGTCCCCGAACTGCACTGAACGGTCGAGTCATTGTGCCCAAGTCCCACGTCACTTTTTGACTCGTTTCTCCAAAATCCAAAGTTCGAAATGTGGCATCATACGAGCACAATATACGACCTACTGCGGCAGAGCAACGCGAGAGTTGTTACCATCTTCCACTACGCACCAAGAGCATTGTGTACTCGTATCACCCCTTTCCAGTTTCGCCTTTTCCTTCCGGGTCGCCTCTTCAGACCGGACTTGTACAGCGAGCGGACAGGACACCCCGGGCCCAGCACCACACCAACAGGCGCTTCAACAACCCCAACAGCCATGCTCAGTCTTCTCGTGGTCGTTTTCCTGATTCAACTCGTCTGCCACCTCGTCCTGACCATCGGTTCCAAGCCGATCAACGATTTGGTAAGGGGGGGCCCGCCTTCTTCCCGTCCCTGTTTCTCCGCCCCTCACAGACACGACGCATTCGTTACTGACAAGATGCCTCGGCGTGCGTTAGCTATGGCAAATCTACTGCCGTCTCCCCCTACAGTCCTCGAGAGACATGAAAGAACAGTTACGCCTGCGCCGTGAAGTGGTGCGGTTAAAGCGAGAGATGAACGCCGTCAGCGCGCAGGACGAGTTCCCCAAGTGGGCAAAGATACGGCGACAGCACGACAAGGCCATGGAAGAGCACGACAAGAAGGGTATGTTGGAGTGACGTCTCGTCTCCCGTCTCCAGTTTCGTTGCGGGAGACAAAGGGGGGCCCTTTCTTTTTTTGTCTCTGTCTCTCTCCGGCGTACTTGACATGAGCTCTTCCTTGTTTTTCCCACGTCCTCATGTACTTGATCTCTGACCGGGTCTTCTCCAACAGCTGCCGCCGTGTCCTCGTTAAAAGCATCGTTCGATACGAAAGCGACGGCGATTCGATGGCTATGCACCAGCGGTCTACGGTTCGGCCTGCAGTTCTGGCACGCAAAGACACCCATATTCACCTACCCAAGGGGTTGGTTCCCATGGTACGCCGAGTTTCTGCTTGGCTTCCCCAGGTGTCCGTACGGAGGCGTGAGCATCAACGTCTGGAGCACGGCGTGCGCAACGGTGATTGCATTGGTTTGGGACGTGGTGATATACGTGATACAATACATCCAGGAGACGCGGACGGGACTAAAAGCAAAGAGACCCGTACCCGTTCCTGCTGGCGAGAAAAGCAAGTGACAACGAGAACAACGCAAGGATGAGGTGATGATGACAACAATAAAAGTTGAAAGAGCCGAGATACCCTGTGATACTTCCAGGGTCAAACGGTCCAAAAATGAAAAATAAATATAAAGTCATAAAAATAAGTACTCGGCCTCAAGGATGTATCGTACAGCGTGCTTCATTCAGAGATATTCAATCGTTGCTCGTCAATGACCAACCATGCTCGTTTCGAGGTCATGGAGATCTAAGTGCTTGACTCTATTGATTGTGCGCTCATCATGAGAAGCGGAATCGTGCATTGTTCTCCGTCCTTTCTGATTTCCACCGCGACCGTCGCCGGCGATCTTGACCATGGCCCTGGGCCGTATCCTCAAGACGTCTAGCCACGCAACAACAAGTGTTGATCCTCCTCCTCTTTCACACCATTCCCCTTTTCTTTTGTGTTGTCATGAACCAGTCCGGTCCCTTTGACAGGACTTCTGCAACGCCGGAAGAATCTTCCGACGTGCCGCTTTGCCATAAGCTACAGACTCAAAAAAATAAAAAGAAGGGTAATGGTGTCTTCCGCGCCTCAAGAATAAGCCCCGTCGAGTTACTCTCCCGTCTCGGTTTTTGTTCCCTTCTTCTTCTTTTGTCTCCGTGCGAAACGGAAACAGAAGGGAAAAAAGGGGGCAAACCCAAGTGACAGAGCAATCGCATAACTGTACTCGTGTGACGAATTGCGCAACCTTCTACCACTCTTGACATCCCCCCCGAAAACGGTCCCGCCCGGGCGCAAATACTCCCAATGTGATCCCTCGCCATCTCTTCCACTGTGACGTGCCAGGAAAAAAAACCCCCCCAACACCAAGCCAGCCGGCGTTCGGCGTCGAGGAGAAGCGTCTAGCCGAAACCCAACAAAGGGGACGGACTCGGTATCTTCATCCAATCCCAGACGCCACCCTCTACAGCGTCAAGCACGGCCGACCGTTTTTTCCTTCCGAAGAAAGAAAGAAACAAGGAGGAGGGGGGGAGAGATCCGGCAAACATCGCCAGTGGAATGTGAATAACGACAAGACAAGGTCGGAGGCCCGGGCGGTCCCGGAGGGAAAAGAGTGAGAGGCAGAGGAAAAAACAAAGATACCGCGGTGAAGAATGCTTTTATGGCGGCAGAGCCTCGCGGCAAGTCCTGACGTTCTTTCTGGGGGGAGATGGAATCTCGCCCAGAAAAGGTAGGGTGGTCCGGGGACTTTCTCCCAAAGCCAAGTTGGTATGCCTGACGGAGAACAAACCTCCCCTCATCGAACCCGTGAAGGAAAGACAAGGGGAGATAATCTCCATCGGCTGTGCGTGAGCTTTGAATGCGATTCTTTGAACGCGGAAGACTGTAAAGAGAGAGAGAAAAGAGTTTCATTTGCCTCTCAGGGATCTTTTTACCCAAGACTGCAGAATAATCGCCAAGTCTGACCCCGTGACCTGCGCTAGACCTAATTCGGACATGACGCTGGATCGCGGCTCGTCGGACACTTGAGCGGACGGAGAAGCTCGACGTGGAGAGAAGAGAAGACAGAGAGAGAAAACCAGCTCGAGCGCCGGCCAAGGGTTGCAAATGCCCACGCCCTTTTATGATCAGTAGAGCCCGTTGAGTATTATTGATATTTTCTCGTCGAAGATTTCAATCATATCGTCGCGTCTTCAGCTTGACAAGTTTCAGCAAATCTGAAATCGGGAGATACTCGTAAACCACCAGCTACAGCTGATACACCATCACTGCACGACGCTCGCCATGCCACCTCCAAGAGCGCTGAGGCAGCTTCAAACGGCTGTCTCGCAAGCCGGCAGAAACATTCCACGACGCTCGCTACGAGAACTGAGCACTCTTCTGACAAGACCGACCTCGTCACCACCATCGCCAGCGTCAGGACCCGCACCAGCTTCACAACATCTCAATGTGCCCAGCGGAGCAAGAAGCCCACTATCAAACGTGTCCAGACACTGCGTAACAAGCCGCCCAGCGGCGCGGTTTGCGTCCAGTAGTTCCTCGACGCCACTCAAACACACTCCTCTGTACACCCTCCACGAATCCCTTGGGGCCAAGATGGTACCCTACGCCAACTTCGCCATGCCCGTCGAATATCCCGACCAGTCGCACCGGGACTCGCACCTGTGGACGCGCTCGCACGCCTCGCTCTTTGACGTGAGCCACATGGTCCAGCACAAGCTCTCCGGCGAGCTCGCCGAGGAATTCCTCATGACCATCACGCCCACGGCGATCAACGAGATCAAAAAGCACCACTCGTCCCTCTCGGTCCTGCTCAACAAGTCCGGCGGCATCGTGGACGACACCGTCATCACCCGCATCGGCAAGGACAGTTTCTACTTCGTCACCAACGCCGGATGCCGCGACACCGACCTCCCCTTCATCCAGGCCGAGATGGACGCCTTTCTCAAGTCAAAATCTGCCGTCTCGCCGTCCAACAATGCCTCGGACAAAATCACCTGGCACATCCTCGACCACCATGCGCTCTTGGCCCTTCAGGGGCCCGAGGCCGTCTCGGTTCTGCAGGCCCTGGTCTTCAACGACCCCGAGGACGAGACTCTCGACACCTCCCTGGACACGCTGTACTTTGGCACGAGCCGCTGGCTTCAGCTCACTCTTCCCGAGTCAGGCATGAATACCCCGTCCCTCCTGATCAGCCGCACCGGATACACCGGCGAAGACGGCTTCGAAATCTCCATCCCACCCGAGTCCGGCGACGCGACCGAGCTCGCAACGTCCATCGCCAAAGCCCTGACCGCAGACAGCAGCAAGGTGCGCTGGGCGGGGCTGGGCGCGCGTGACTCCCTTCGTCTCGAGGCTGGCATGTGCCTGTACGGCCACGACCTGAACGACAGAATCACGCCGCCGGAAGCAGCATTAGGTTGGGTCGTTGGGAAATCGCGGCGCGCCGAGTCGCCCACTCCCCCTTTCAACGGTCATGAGGTCATCAACAAGCAGCTGGCGAGCCCAAAGACAATGGCTGAGCGCCGCGTGGGATTCACCCTCGAAAAAGGCCCCGCTGCACGTGAAGGCGCCGAGGTTGTAGACCTGGAGAACGGCAATGCAGTCATCGGGCACATTACGTCTGGGTGCCCCAGCCCCAGCTTGGACGGACAGAACATCGCCATGGGCTACATCAAGAACGGCTTCCACAAGAAGGGCACGAAAGTGGGCATCAAGATTCGCAAGAACGTCAAGAAAGCCGAAGTTGCAAAGATGCCGTTTGTCGAGAACAAATTCTACAGGCCGTCGTAGAACAAAGCCATTCATCCAGACAAGACGTGGTCCGGCCCAGGTCTGGTCTGGTCTGGCAATAGGAACGTGGGTGGCTCCTTGTGCGACCGTGTCACCTGCGTGTCTGGCATGAACTCCACCCTCAAGGTGTTGGCGCGGCGCAGACATGGACTCCGTTGCACGTATCCGTGGACGGTCTTAGACACCGCCTTTCTCGGACTTAGGCATGGTCCTCCAACGCATGAGCAAGGCATTTTGGGTGTTTTCGGAACGACAAAGAGGAAAAGGTTGAGGGCCAGGAATAGCCGTCAGGCGTAAATCGGTTCCGCTCTGGCTTTGGCCGGGAAATTGCGAGTACCAGAGACAAGACTGCAGCAAAACAAAGATTTTTCTAGCTCCGGAGTACGGAGGATGCAATAATAGATCAGTACAGCCAGGGTAGGCAACATGCACGATCGGTCAGGTTAATATTGAACGCGGTAATGCTTGTCCTTGCCATCTTGGGGATTTGTCTTTCAACAAGTGCTCCTGATGACGTGCAGGTGCGCATATCATGGTCGTTCCTTCAAAGATATTGTCGACGGCCTTGCCTCAGTTGAAGCCTCCAGGTAAGGCTTGTCATAAGCACCGCCATGTAGGCGGCAATGCGAGTACGGTCTTGAGCCAGATTTTCGGTGAGACCTTAAGGTCCAGACGAGCGAAAAGCATGATGTGTTTGATCTTGGAGTCTCCACAGCTTTAATGCGTAGCTTCGGTGCAGTGATGCAGTGACTCGCATGTGTGCCCGGCCCGGCATGCTGCCTAGCTTCCCCGGTGTCCAAAAGCCTCGCGCGTTACCTACTTAAGGCCACTAACTTCGGCTTGATGGACTCAAAACAAGACTGTATGGGAATATTGACGCTCCGGGGAAAAAGGGTATGGAACTCTCGTCGATCAATCCGGGTGTCTGCGCGTTCATACATCCGCACGTCCAAGACCACTTCAGGAAATAAACCGTTGCCTGGCTTCTTGGGGCTCGACGGTGCAGCCTGCTGTCTGCCACAGTCTTCGGCCATACCGAAGAAGCAACAGTGGTCGGTGGCGCTTATGCAGCACTCTTCCGGCATGTCTTGGACTTACCGCTCACGTTACTCCGTAGCGAAGATTCGTCGGGAGCAGAAGCCTCCTTGGTTTGGAACTTGAACTGCCAAGTCATGTGTCGACAGTTTGATCGCGAGGTCCGGCTAATGTCGGGGGCTGGGAAGCGGTGATAGACAGACAGGCCATGGCCAGATGCAAGCGTTAGATAACTGAAGCTGACCCGGCGACGATGCCAGCCAGGCTCCAACTGGCTTCACTGGCCCGGGTCCCAATTTCCGGCGGCTGGTGGGCCGCAAGTGCGGATTGGTACAGTAGCTTCGTCGACATGAGATGGTGGTGTCGGCAAGACACTACTGTAAGTAAAGGACTGGGGCGATCACTAAGCACCCGCCGCCCATGTGCACTGGTGGCTCTTTGACTTTGAGTCCGTCCAGAGTCTCCATCTGCCAATTTTGACGACATCGCAAAAGGACTCATCGCCTGCGATCCGCGGTCCTAGAACCCTGAGGTGCCTAAGATGCAACCCAGCAGGGCCTGGACCCCTCGTGTGAGATCATTGCTGCCTTTTCTCCGTGACTGGCCGCCTGAGCTGTGAACTTTTGTGAGGCGAGAGAACAATTGAAGCAGTCAGTTTTGCCCCATCGAAGCCCACTGCACCCACCCAGAAGATTCTGTCCCGTGTTCATCTTCGGCTGCAGAACGCCCGGCACACCAGCACTGGTACCTCGGCCGTGTTTTTGTTGGAACTTCAATAGGTATTTCGCACCCTGTAGAGCGGCAGCCAGCCCTCTGTTCTCACCTCGAGAACACGAAATCTCCACAGTGGCAAACAACAGTGCTGGGTGGTCCTCAGAGGCCAGTAATCCGCGAGTGTGGCCATGTGCGTCACCTCAAGGAGCAGACAGGTACCTGCACGGGCAACCAACGACTGCACGAAGGACCCTTTCTCGTGTGAAAACACTGTGTAACAATTTCCCCCCAATGGTCATGCCTTCCTAGGGACTCTCAGGCAGCCTCCTGCTAGGCCGAGCTACCTCTCTTACTCGAGGATCGGCCAAAGGGGAAATTATCGACCTTGCGGAAGTTTCTTTGCACGGACCCGGACTTCAATCTGTTCCCTGAAATTTATTGAACTGCTTCACCAAAAGGAAAATCATTCGCACGCGCGCCTTACAAGGAAATTGCCAAAACGAGAAAGATTCCGAATGCAGACCGATGCATGTCTTTGGTGCCCAAGGACCAGCTCTCGTGGCCTTGTGACCAGGTGTTCACGAAAGTTCCCTGAAGACTGGTATCCCTGTTCAGGGTCCAGCTAGACTGGAACCGCGCGGAGGACTGAGGACTCGTAGGGTGCTAAGGCCACCGTAAAGGGAGGAGCTGAAAGTCCAATCACTTTTTCTTCCTCGGTGAGTTGAGGATGTTTTGGTTTTGCAGCAGGAAAACAGGCCACCAGCTTGCCCTTTGGCGCAATCACCCCTCCCTGCAGGCTACTGCATGCGATTCCTCGGGTGATAGTTTGTAGGCGGATTCCACGAAGGGCAGGGGGATGCACCGTAATGCTTGGAGCATGCCACGAACATGTTTTAGCCGTGGACAACCGCCCGTGGGAGCCCAAAGGCGCCTTGCTTTCAGTGCTGGTACGTTAGGCGCTGGCATGTCAGGCGCTGGCAAATGGGCTCGTATGTGCGTATATGCGTGACAGGTTGACGCTGCTGAAGCACTATCGCTGGATCACAGCCAAGGTGACCTCGCTCACACAGGCCGTATCTGGGTACGGGAGGGATCCGAGTCAAGGCTAGTGATGCTGATCATCCACTGGTGGAAATTTGCTGTGATAGTAATGACCTCAGAAGCACGAAGCGGCTGTCCCCAGTAACCTAGCACATATGTATGTTAGCGTCACAGGTCACTCGAGGGGCCAAAAAGTTGTACAGAGCGTCCTCCGATGCCCCTGCTAAGCTTCAGGTTAGTGACAGTGACGGCTGAGTCGTGCAGATCCTGCAACTGGAGAGGCTGCTATAAGCGGCTCTGATTCGAAATGGGACGATCATTTCGCATGCGAACAAGGCGCAGCTCAATCACACTGATCTATCACAGCTGCATCTTGTCATCGAAATGTTCAGACAAAGTCCTTAGTCCTACACTCCCTGATCCGGCGTTTCTACGATGACTTTGTTAATCCCGGCGGGTGTGGAGTAAAACATCTCATAGGAATACAACTCAAATCACAATCGTGTATGCTCTTGTGCCCTGTCGTGACATGGCCCCGTACTTCCCTCGCGCGCTCTTCTTCTCCTCTTGGCCCCGTTGATGTATAGATGTTTCTGCAGTGCAAGAAATGACTGTACCTGTACCTGCATCCGAATTATACTGCTGGGGTTAGTGAGCGGTCCAAATTCTTTCTTGGTCCTCCGTATGTCTGCCATATCTTTGCACCTACACAATGCTGCCGAAGATCATAGCTCACTCAGAGCGTGTTCAACGAATGCTGTCCATCATGCGCCATAGTCCAAGGTCATCTCGTGCGCCATGTACCGCGTGAATGCAGTGGGTATCTCTAGCGTTTGCCCTTGCCAACAATGCTTGAACCCTTGACTCCTTGCTTGTAATCCCTGTACCGCTAAATATGCCACAAAAGAATGCCTGGAATTGAACTCCACAAGTTTCCCTGCTTTGACAAGAAGGGCCTGACATCATTGTCTCCCGAAACTTTCACTTCGCCTCGTGACCATATGTTTCAGCTGGTTGCACACTCTAGGATGATGCACAGAGCAGTTTCGAATATGGGGCAGTCGAAAATTCGACCAACGGAGAAGTGCTGTCAGTGAATGGTCCTGGAAGATGAAGTCGTAATTGCTCTTCATTGCCATCATCTTCGTATGATCTCTTCAACCCCATGTCAGGGCGGCCGAATGGTAACATCACGTCTTCATCTGCGCTCTCCTCAGATAGCGGTGTCAGAGGAGAATGAGCCGTGGATAGCGTGCAGGGTGAGTTTGCGGGTCGATTACCGCAAAGGTTAGGTTCACTTTCAGTTGGTGTGCTACCCAATGTGTTTGACGAAGCCATACTCACGGGGGAGAGATCTGATCCCATCGCCTGTCGGTAGATTGAACCAGGATAGTGTCCGTTCTGTCGGTGGTGCTCAATATGCCAGTTCATCGACTGTGAATGGGAATAGCCTCCTGGAGGCAGTGACCCAGAGCCACCATCCCCGTCATGACCGTTCCCGCGGTCAGGATCCATGCTGCTTTGACTGTCTCGCCTGCCATTGTCTTTATAGTGGCCAGGTGATCTACCACGAACGACCATAGGGTCTGACTCTTTGGTGGCAATGACAACCCAGTTCTCGTCTGCTGGTGTTCTGCCAACGTTGACAGAGAGCTCCACAACGAGTAAAAAGTACTGCTGTTGTGCTCGGCGTTTACCATTGTTCGCTGTTGCCTTTTGGAATTGTATTCTCTCAAAAGTATAGGTGGTAGGAACAGCATTGGCGCTATGATTGTCAAAGGCTCCGTATGCGCCTATCATCGTTGGAGGAATGTGATGCTGGGTACCGTATATATGGGCAACCCCGGCATAAGCTCCATTTGTGGTTATCGACTGAGCAGGGGTCGGAGAAATCAGGTGCCTTCCAGGCACGGTCTCCGTGGCCTTGTCACGCTTCGGGGTGTGCTGAACAAGGCCACGGGTCTCGCTCTCGCTGTTACCACCCAGGGCGGTCTTTGCTGAAATCGAAACTGCAAACCCATGGATTAGATCATCCTGACCGTTGCGATGGAGGTAGAACGGGCCTTCGGAGCCATGAGTTTTGAATGAAAATGCACAAGAAACTGCAAAGTAGTTTCTTCGATAACAGGTCCATTTCTGATCGACTTGAAAGAAGCCTTTTTGTATGCTAGCGGTTATTTCCGGAATCAGTTGATGATTTCGCACATTCACAATTGGATGGATAACGTGTGTTTCCTTGAAAGGTGGTCCATCATGACGGGTGAGTCCAGAACTGTCTTGGAAATGTGTCGGCATGGTAGACCCCGAGTACGAAGTGCCGCTTCCAGGGGAGAATGAAGCGACGGAGGTGCGAGCCGAGTAGATGTCTTGGGGGTATCTAGGGTTCTGCTGTTGAAGATATCCATGACTTGCTAAAGAGCCATTGATTTGATAGGCATGAGGCAATCTGTCAACCGAGCCCCTATTCGTAGGCAAAGCTCCAGGAATGCCGTGTGCCGCGTAGGTCAAAGGAGGGGATATAGGCTGAGGGCTGTACCACATGAGTCAACACCAGTCTCTCACACGCGTCCGATGACAAAGGGTCTTGGACCTACACTCTGGGGCGCTCGATACCCGTCATGCTAGTAGTATGCCAGTTGTTGGACGAGAGGATTGCTGGAGGAGCAGTCGCAAACTGTTCTGCTGTACCTGCATTGCTGGGAAACGGTTTTGGTAGAGCATAGACAAAGGATGAAGTAGTCGGATTTCCACTAACGGTTGCAGAGCCGGCCGTGGAATCTGGGGGACTCAACAGCAGTTGAGAATTGGAATGGTATCTAGGATTACATTCCACAAGTTAGTGAGAGGAAACTCTCGAATTGATGGTGTCCGGGTTATATGTGACACCTTAAGAGTACGAGAGTGGTGAGCGGTCGTGGCCTTAGCGCGGCGCATTCTGAAAATGGCGGCTGATCCCTGGACCGACTTTCCAGCGATTTCTCAGCTTTGCAGAATGGCCAGCGCAGGCGCAGGTGCCCAACGCCCAAAGCTTCAGAATCTCTGCTCCTAGCCGAATAGCTGATTTAGTGAAGACGCTGATGGACACTTTCAGGGTGCCTGAACCGTCGCGGGAAGTCAAGATCGAATACTTACGTTGTGTCGCTCAATAACGAGTTGCCGTTGTACTCGAGACTGGAATTTGTTGGCAATCCCACGGCGGAAGTTGACGCACCATTCGTCAAAGCCCTCTGGTACTTTCGTGAGGCATAGTCATTGGTAGGGTAGGAGGGATTTGAAAAGGGACGCTCGTGGGCAAGATATTTGGATTCGGATGAAATTGGAAAGTCGAAAGGAGAGGAATGCTGGAGCAACGCTGCCAAAAAGGTCAGTGGCCAGTAGTGATTAGAAGACGATCTAGGGCACGATTTGAGAAAATGGACAAAAGCCTGCCACAAGGCCGATGCATTTCGGCGGGGTATTGTCGTGTACAATTACCATCGAGAGCCACTTAGGCAGGCATGGTAACACGGCGGGGCATCCTGGTCAAGCAAGCGTAGGCGGCAACCGTGGCGCGAGATGAATGCACAATGCCCTCCGAGAGCACGGCATATCAATGCTAGATTGCCGAGCTACCATGCGGTACGGTGCGCCGCCTGATCATCCGCGCGAGGACTCGGCAGAGTCAACACCAAGGAGGAAGATGTTCAGATGCTCATGCTTGACGGAGTACCTACTTGGATCCATTATGGCAGCAAATGGCAAGGCTGAAAGAGCACGGGGAGTCCGTTTTAGCCTTCCCCACTCGTTTGCTTTCACCAGATCAGGCGACTGATCCTGTTTCGCTGGCTTTGTGATGTCGAATGTCGGCCCGCGCAACGCCCGCTAGTCACTCTTCGGATGTGATCGACCAGGATTTGGTCGTTGACCAGGGTGATACTCTCGCTGTAGGCGGATTTCTGGAGCCCAGATACAGATATCGTCACCGCTGGCGCAATCCTTTGAAAGACGAGCTTGAATGCGCAGCCTGAGCAATTGTACTAGCCTGCCTCCTTGATCAGTACGAACAAGCTCGCAGCTCGGCCGCACAGGTAATCTTTCAACACATAGTGGCCTTACCCTATATCTCTACCCGCGTGACTTTGCCGGCTTCTGACAAGTTGTAAGTCTCCGGTTTCTCCTGTTACAGCCTAGCGTTGCAACTGGTCAACATCTCTGCGTCATGAGCACGATTTCAAGCTTCAAAAAGACTCACTTGTTCGATGGAAATGAAGTTGTGCCCCAAACTTCTTGTCAATAAAAACATCCGTGTCTGAAGGCCCTTGGTCTCTGGTTCGTTGCCTGTTTCTTCGGTGTGAAACAATGCAACCACGAGAACAGATGCACTGCTGTAGTACCGAGTCTCTCTTTGAGCAAAATAGCGGAGAACGCACAAACAGATGTTAGTTATGTGGATACAGCTAGCACCGTGTGGAATAAAGCGTCGGTTCTGTATAGGATAGAGGATTGGAGGAGGATATTTGAGCAACTCAGGTAGATTTGCGTTGAAGAGTGTAGGAATCCGAAGCGAGAGAGCACATAGTAATAAGTTGAGCTGAAGGAGTGTTCAAGGAAAGCGTGGCCAAAGATCAGCCTCGAGGCAGGGAGGCACGGATCCCACGACAGCCTTAAGTCTTTTTATCGACCCTGTTGCGCAGGCAGAACTTGTAGGTCGGAATGTCTTGATCGAATGTAGAAAGAACCAGCTCACCCGTCGAAAACAGTTCGAGATCTGACAGTTGATTACCAGCATTCGGCGAGGAGTAGCATGGACCAAACGATGTGGGCAAGGACCGTTTGATGGAAAACCGCATATCATCGAGAGCCAATGAATCACCGGGCCATTACATCTGAGTCTTCAGACCGCCTGACGGTCCTGCAGCCGGCCTTCTTCAATAGCCCTGCCATCAGGCTAAAAATTGCCACAGCAATAGCTTGGCTGTCGCATCATCGCTCTCCCATACAACTTCGAGGAGAATTTGGAAGAATTGATACAAAGTTGGACCGAAATGCAGGAACAAAAAAGTCTTCCAACCAGGACCTTGCAGAAGCTGTTTCAGTTGTTGACGACCCCGACCGAGATCCTAGTCTATACCAGAGGGCCCTCGCGTCCAACCGATTGGTAAATGCTAGAGACAGAAATCGAGCCACAGCGTCGCATTGAACGTAAGGGAAGGCCTTTTTCAGAGGGCCCACCGACCAGATGGCTTTGTTCGCCCTGATCAGGGTCTCACTCACCAGCCATGCGGCATATTGGCGGAGTCGCCATGGAGGGTCAAGGCGAGGTTCAGCCGGGCAAACGCCTCAAGAGACGTATTCAAGTGCCCGGGGAAATCATACGGGACCGATGTTGACAACGAAACTTGATGTCTGAACCTAAATAGACCCAGGCGCATGAAGCCGCCTCCCGATGAGCCGATCTTTGGCCAGCTTGTGAAGTGGCCAATGGGTCGATAGTCACGGCAAGGACGAATCCTGGCGCATTTGGGAATGGATTCCTACCCTTCATAGACATGGCCCAGCCAGGAGAAAATACCCCGACTGGCAGGACACCCACCGGTTGCAGGAGAAGCCTCGACAGGAGGACGCCACGCACGAATGTAAGGGAGAAGATAGTTCTTTCATGCCTGGAAGAGCTCCTTGACGATCAGGGTTCTCCTTTGAACCTTTCAGGGACCAGAGTCCGAAGTACCCAATCGTGCGAGGCTATCTGGACGGCAGCGCCTGGGAAGTTCAGCCCCAGACTGAAAGGTCCCGTCCAGCAACAGCCAACGAAGAAAAGATGGAGTTCGACAGGGACAATGATTGGACGCAAGAGGCCTGTTCCCAGAGGAGAAAACGGGCCGCAGCCTGTTGGCACCTGCAAGTCATTAACATGTCGTGCACAGCTACAGCGAAGAGCCCACCAGAGGGTCTGAAATGTCAAGGGATCAGGGGAACTAGGGGATTGCGGCCGGTGCCGCGTCACCTCACCATTGTAGGTACCGCCGATGGCACTGTACGCAACTGTCGGAGAATGCTATGTCATTAACAGGCCAGGAAGGGTTCAGGAAGGAGATGAGAATGGGGGGATGGTGTGAAAGGGTCAAATGGTACAAGTTGCAGGGAGGAGACGAAGTTGATGCGACGGCGACGGCGATGGCGATGACGGCAAGTGGCACCGGCGCTATCGACAACTGACACTGACACCACCAACGACCAACGACCAACTAACTTCCGCCTGTTGCTTCACCTCCTTCGTTGTGTCTTTGGCCCTCAACACCCTCGCTACCATTACTTTTACCGGCACCGGCAATGCAAACCGATCCAACTCAGCTCAATCCAATCGCAGACTGATCGCCGCCGCCGACTCTAAGCCGAGTGAGCTCCCGTCATCTCTACAACAAAACTTGATCGTTGAAACTCCCCAGCCTCGCAAGCAACCACTCAACGCCTTTGGAATGGCACAATGGCCACCTCTCTCCACTAGAACCAAAGAATTACCTCCTGCTGCCAGCTATATGGATCGTCTCCCGGCTCTTCTTTGCTCGTAACGAGCGCGAGAACGAAGTACCTCTCTCCCATTGCTCCAGGAATCTGCAAGGTTGTCGACAGCAAACCAGCCATAAAGCGCGGTGGACCTTTCGCTCAAAGCAATCCGTGCGCATAAACATCGGCTTGACTGAGGCCACAGTCATCTTGTTCTTCCATTCGGATTCTCTGCTGCAAGCCGCGCGTCTGCCATGGATCAGGGCCATAGTCCTGCGCGACGTCTTCTGGGATGGGACTTAGTAAGTGCGTGGAGAAACCTTCCGAGGGCGTTGAGGCTGCTACCATTCCTGGGAAACGAAGCTACCGGCATAGGTAGCCCGCTCCAGCCTCGTTGTCAAAGGCCTTGTTTCGCCCCTGCAAGAGGCCTCCCATCATGCTTTTGATGCCTTGACAAATCATGCGACTTTGACATGTTGTACGGCCACTGCCTATTTCTCAGCTTGGACCACCTGTTCGCAAGTGCCCTTGCCATCGGTGTGACCTTCTTTCGGTTGTGTCGGGTCCGCAGAGGCCAAAGGCCAGAGGCCAGCTGAGCCAACACACTACGTTAGGGTGCCGATCACTTTTTCGGTCTTATGGTTACCCATACGAACCTGCAGTTTTCTCTATCTGTAATTATCCTAGACACTGGTTTTGGCTTTCTTCTTCGTTCCCACTGACTCAACTCTCCAGAAAGAACCCTTCTGGGTAAAGCCAGGGTATGGCGATGCTGTGCTAGGCCACTCCTCTCAGTCATCTCTGGAATGCGATTGAACGATTTCCGACCACTTGTGCATTCCCTTGCAGGCGCTGGCCGACCACGAAAAACACTCCGAGATGTATGGTTTCAGACGGGTTGATTGAATACCGCTTCTGAATCACCCAACGGGCACAAACAGTCCTGGGAAAGTATTGCCCAATCTGGTGATTTCGATTTGAACCGTCAACAACAGAATCACTCCGCCCGCGATGACCTGCTCCTCGTGGTTCAGCCCCCCTACCGCGGCTCCGCTACCGGCCCAGGCATCCTACGCGATCCCACGCTCAGCCGAAAGGCCCTCACGATGTGTCATGCGTCAGAAGCCATACTGACGTGTTCATGCATACCTAAGTTCTTAAAATTGGTTGACGTGCCAGTCAAGGTCCGGATTGTCAGGTTCCATCTGGTTGCCTTTTTGTGAGTGACTCTTCACGCACTGCCTAGTCTTCTGCCCACGCGAACTGGGAGGTATCTGGTTGCTTCCTACTCCTCTACGAACGGACCATTGACATGCTTACCTCGAAATGACGGGCACCCCACGACTTGGGAATATGTATAGAGTACCAGTAACTACAGGGCACAGGGTTTTCTGTTGCCTCTTTGGCAGCCTCAAATCCTAATCTCAAGTGGCGAAATGACGGAGGAACAAGGAGCGAATCTCTACCGACCTGCAGCGACGTACTGCTACATGGTTCCGTCCTGCGCACCTTACTTCATTGCCCGGCACCAACTGTCGGTCATCTAGCGCTTGAGGCGACCATCACACTACTAAGTCTACAAGAATATTGTGCATGTCGAGCACACAGAGGTCAATCAAGCCCATGCCGTAGAAATTTTGTGTCATGATACAAATTTGGTATTTTCGTGTTGGATCTCATAACCATCCGTGGAAAGGAGCTTTATGAAACCCATCCCGTCGTCACAAATATTCTAGTTAGGCTTCTTTGCAAATTCAACCCTCAAGATTAAATGTCTGTAACCAAAGCCATCCATCTTCTCGCATGCTCTCGCAGCATCTGCCCGGTCGACGTAGGATACAAAAGCAAAGCCTTTCGCACGTTGCGTCTCTCGGTCTTTAGCCAAGAATATCCGGGTGATGCGACCGAACCGCTCAAACAATTCACGAATCTCAGACTCCTCGGCCATTTCGGAAACCTAGAAGAAGAAGAAACACCCGTCAGTGCGCGCACATTGGTGAAAAGCTGTGGTGTAGACTCACATTTGTAACACGAAGAGTAGCCTGGTCGTCCCTCTCGAACTTGCCGCCCATTCTCTCGCCTGCGCCCTGCGCGCCTTTTCTCAGGTGAGGAGGCACGTAGCTGCTACCACCGGCTCCAAGGCCGCCGGCAGCCTTGGCTTCGTCGTCCTCGGCCATGGGGTCGGCGACGGGCGTCGCGCCGTCGTCGGCGGGCGCCATTGTGTCCTTGAAGGGGCACCTTGCCGTGAAATGTTCACCCTGGCAGATACGGCACTTGACCTTCTTGTCTCTGAGTTGCTCCTTGAGGCTCTTCTCCTCGACCTTGCCGCCGCCGGCCTTGGCCTCCTCGGCCTGCACGTTCTTCCAGTCCCTGCTCGGCCGGAAGACGATGTTCTCGCCGACCGACGTCGTGTCAGGCTGCGGGCCCTTGGGCTTGCCCTTCTCCAGGCCGAACTTGGCCCACTCTCTCCTCTCCGCGACCTGGGGGTTTACTCTCTCCTTGTGGACGGTTGTGCGGGTCTTGCGGATCGTCTTGACTTTGCGCCCTTGGTCGTCGAGCCGGTACGATATCGTCGTCTTGGTGCCGTCTTTGTTGACTGTGGTGACTGGGGGTGGGAGCGCGGATGGGTCGATTTGTTCCGAGTCAGACACATCGTCTGCCCAGTCGGGGCGGCTGCGAAGGCGAAAAATCATGTCAGAGACGGCTTTCTTCAAGGACAGCATGCATTTCGGAGCCCGGAGGATGCGACTTACCTTGCGGTTTTCGACATTGTGTGATGCGTGGTCTGTGAAGAGAGAGCCGAGATGCGAATTGGTAATTCCTACAAGTACCTTGTGATTTTGAGCGTTATGGCAAAAGTCGTGGTTCATCATTTCGCAGGGTGGACGCTACTCCTGTTTGGGTTAATGCAGCCAAGGAATCGATGACTAAGTTAGTGCGTGTGGTTAGTGGCGACGACGCCTCCTTCCATTCTGCTCCAGAAGATATTTGACTCTGGAACTATTTACGATCAAAGAATTGTCTGGCAAATTTATTGAGACATCTCGACTTTCTTGCTACTCGCAGATTCTCTCCCTGCTGCAGGCAGGTGTGTCTCCTTCGACCCCTTGAAGCACTTTGCATTGCCGTCAGATGCTGCCCCCTGAACCTCCATCTAACTATCTTGTTCAGCTGGTCAACGTCTAGCTTCTAGCTCCAGGCAAACAGGCAATCGGTGTTATTTCTCCTTCTCTCCCCTGATTTGCCAACGCTGTTCAAGAAACTGCCGTGCCTCAAGCTGGCTTGTATTGTACTTCTCAGACAAAAGCTTTGGGCTTCCCACCGCGCGGAATCGTGTGGTCAAATTTGACAACGATGACTGGCTTGCACAACTCGATCCGCTTGTCCTGTTGAGTATCCCGTCGAACAAGACCTGGAAATATCAAGCTCAACTTCTCTCCAACCCTGCCGCCCTGGTCAGCGATCACCTTGCTGGAAGCTCTCAGAGGAAACCCAGTATTGCTGTCGATGATTGAGTAGTTTTTCATGTCGTCGGCCATCATGACTCTCTCCTCCGCGCCGCACTCCGCATCTAGAGGAAAGTCGAAAGCATACTCTGCCATGTTGATCCGAATGTTCTTCGCGAGATCTGCAGCCATGGAGACAATCTTGTGCAACTCATCCTCCATTTCCACATCCTGATGTGCTGCCGGTACAACAAACTCCAAGCATTCTAGAATCAAGCGAGTGACTTGCTTGACACCAGCGCTCTCCACGTCCTTCAATCTCTCGGAAGCTCTCAATGCACGATGCATGTCCATTTTCCACATCTGGCAACTTTCTCTATCTGGCTATTGTTAGCGGGGCCGGAATGATACGTGTTGGAGCCTCACCTTTCGCTGGTTGCAGTCGGGCGATCGAGTCGCTGAGAGACTTGAGGGTTGACTTGCTCGCTGCATCTAGCCGCACCATCGGACAGCTTTCCTTCAAAACTTTGTCGTGTAAAATTCGGAACACAAAGGACGCAAGCATTGACTTGTCGATGGACATGTTGTCATTGGTGCACTCTAATTCTTCGTAACTGAAGAGTTTCCAGACCCAGGTGTTTTCTTGATCGTCCATCTGGGCCATGGCCATGGAAACGATCGTATTATTCACGTCACCACAGTACAAATCCGCCCATTCCTCGATGTCCTCGTACATTGATTCGTACAAATCAAGAATTTGGTTATCTGACATTCCTTGTGCTGGTTGTATTGCGAAAATGCGCTCTTTGCAATCTTCCAGACTTCTGTTCAATGCGAGAATTGTTTCTTGAGATCGCGCCAGCTCGAGTTGGGCTGCTCGCAGCTTTTGATATGTTTTGTCATACTTACTCTTCTCGATTTCCAACTGATAACCCTTATTGGCTAGCTTATTGCTGAGTCGAATGTTGAGATCCTTTTCCCGTTGAGATCGTGGAGAAGATGTGGTACTCTGCTTGTCGGCGACTCGGATCAGCATCGAACCAAAGTCTTCTGAACTTCTTTGCTCGTCCAATTCCAAATTGTTACTTGATCGTGCTCCAGGATCCATTCTTGCAGGGCTCATCTTGAGGAGCTGCTCATGCTGGGCGTCAGCTTGTCCTTCGTTGGCAGTTTTTCTCACATTCAACTCGACACTAACGACTCTGGCGCAGTTGCCCTGCTTTCGTCAGATCCAGATCCACAGTATTGTTTCTCTCCTACATTTATCTGGCTTCTGGCAGCTACCTGGTCACTGCCACCGCTCCCAGTGTAGGTACTGGTATAGCCGCCAGGCTTATGTCGGGGCCGCAGACCTGAAGCTTGGGGTCTATAAGGCGCATCCCGTGGTTCGGGAATGCGATCTCTCCGTTGTGTATTGCGCGGTCTATGACTGCCGATGTCATTCGTGTTGGCCTGGCGAGGACTAACCCCGAGAGTCTTCAAAACCACGTCTCCAAATGGCATCTTGGCTGAGAGAACGAACGTCAGTCACGTATCGTGGCTTCCTTCAGGTGTTATGGTCAAGGCAAATTTCTGGAAGGGTGGGCAATTTTGCGTGGACAGATTAAGGAGAAGTGATACTTGTAATGAACGAAGCAAGGCACCTTAACCCAAGGTAAACTTCACTCAAAACTTTCACCCCTTCACTGCCGTCGCTGGAGGCAACATACTGCTCTGTCCTTCCGCAGTATCGTCAATTCGGTCTCACTTGTATCTGCGCCAACCTTTTTATTCCACAGCACGCTTTGTTTCATTCTCCCTTTGCCTGCCTTACTAGAATTTCAGCTAGGAATTTGGAGTACAGATGGGTCTCAAAACTACGAGCAGTATGTCTGAGGGATGTTAACGCTACCTTGTGGTCGCGATAGACTACGGCACGACATTTTCTGGCGTGGCTTGGGCTCAAACAGCACGAGTAAGTTGTCATATCGGCGCGGATGAGCAATGCTGAGGATCAGCAGCCAGAAGTACAGACCATCATTGTCGAGTGGCCAAACGCTGAAGGCGAGGGGGGCTGTACCAGCGACAAAGTCCCTACGGAGCTCGCGTTCAGTGGTGACTGTCCAAAATGGGGCTTTCAAATTGACGAGGATGAGCAGCGATACCAGTGGTTCAAGCTAGGCATCGACCCTAAGCAACAGCAGCAGCAGGCAGTATCACACTTGTCTATAGCCTATCCAAGTGCGAAAGCTCTTCCACCGGCTTCCGATCCGCATCACAGTCCAGTCGAACTGGCCACCACTTATCTGATTTGTATCCGCAGGCACGTTGAGAAACTCCTGACACTAAAGCTTGGGAAGGGTGTGATCGATACAACGCCAATTTGCTACACGATTACAGTGCCAGCCATCTGGGATGATGCAGCCAAAGCTCGTACTCAACAGTGTGCAAAGAATGCCGGTATGGGCGACGAGGTCCGCATCATCTCCGAACCAGACGCTGCGATTATCTACGCGATTGATACAATGGATCCACACAAATTCCAAGTCGGTGACACGTTTGTCGTTTGTGACGCTGGCGGCGGCACAGTCGACTTGATCGCCTACAAAATTATTGCTCTGCATCCAAAGGTCGAGATCAGTGAAGCAGTCTCTGGCGATGGCTATGCATGCGGCTCGACATTTCTCAACCGTATCATGGCTCAATTTCTGGAAAAGCATCTCAAAAACGTGGAAGGTTATGATGAGGACACTCTTGATGAAGCTATGCAAGACTTTGAAACACATTCGAAGCGTAGATTCAACGGAGAAACCGCAATGACACTCCGAGTCCGAGGTCTAGTTGACGATCAAGAGAATGGCATCAGGCGTCAACGTCTCACTATCCCGGCAGAGAAAGTCAAATCAATGTTCGAGCCAGTGATGTCGACCATCCTCACCCTCCTCATGGCACAATTGAGGCAGGTGAACCAAGCCAAGGCAATACTGTTGGTTGGAGGCTTTGGTCAGTCACCGTATCTTCGAAATTGCATTAAGGCAGTAGTACCAGAAACAGTTGAAATTCTGGTGCCTGCAACTGGGTGGACTGCTGTCGTCAGAGGTGCGCTGATAAAATCTCTCAGCGATATTCAGCCCGATACTTCAAGAATCACCATAGCATCTCGCGTCGCTCGCAAGGCGTATGGCGTTTGCTCTGGCCTTATCTTCAATTCAAAGGTCCACCAAGAATCATCGAGGTAGGTTATGTTCAAGACTCTTTGATAAATCTAACAGAACTAGATACTGGGACCCTTTCACCGGGCAATATCGAGCTAGAGTCATGAACTGGTTTATAAAGCAGGTAAGTAATGTGTCCCAACTCTGCACGACCTGAGAGTCACACTGCATCAGGGCGATCGACTCAAGGATAGTGAACCTGTCACGGCATCCTTCTACCGAACACAAGCGTTCCGAGAAGGCGCGTTTGGTGTGGTTAAGCTTACAATCCGCGCTTTCGCTTCCTCTGAAGGTCTTCCTGCTCCGATGCATCAGACTAGTGGTGTGTCTTAATGCCACCTCAATTCCAAAAAAAAAAGACTTGAATGCTAACTCCCTCCAGACGTCGGGGACTTTGTCGATCTCCATGCTGATCTTTCCACAATTTCTACCTCTGTGATCCCCATCGAGAGAGGTGCAGACAATCGTCGATATTACAAGCTGGACTATGAGATCAAGGCGACTTTTTTCTCTGCGCACACCGAGTGGTCCCTGTGGTATAACAACGTGGAGTACGGAAAGGTCAGAGCCGAATATGCATGAGCTGGCAACGACAACTTGACAACACATTGTATTCTGACTGAATTATCCGCAGCCGTCTTGGACATAATTCAAGGACACAGCACTGCTTTGGAGCAGATGAGATCCTTCACACAGGGACATTGTTGAAGAGTTAGAGCGCAGTTTTCCTGTGTAGATTTTGTCTTTGTCTCGTGTGCGAGCGAGACGAATTGTTTCATCATACTACCAGCACGAGAACGGTGAAGGACTATGGTCAAAAATTTTAGTTCAGTTTTCGTTTAGACATCGTTGCTCACATTCAGCCACTACAACGTACAGTACATAACTGCCGCTCTCTATCTACAGCTTGCTTTGAGATATGATCAGGGAGCTACCGTTTTGCAAGCACTTGACAGCATCATTGACAAACTCATCAACAATTTCCCGTGCCGACTTCTTCTCATTGACCACGGCAGCGGCCTTACCCATGAGGAAAGGTCGAGCATTCTCCATATCCTCGTCGGTCAGGTCGTCTCCCTTCTCTTCGAAATCGTGCTCGACCTAGGAGTACACATGTTAGCGTCTGATTCACGTATCTGGCACAAGGGGCGTTTTTATTACCGGAATGACACCCTTTCCGGTGAGGGTCTTAATCTCTTCCTGTCTGTTCTCCTCCCAGTTCTTGATGTAGTCGTTGATGCGGACGCGCAGAGGTCGTCCGGTGAAAATGATGGTGCGGACATTGTCGTCGAAGCCGGCGGTTCGGACGGCTTCTTGATGAGCCTTGGGAGCGCCAGCTTCCTCGGAGAGGACGAAACGGGTGCCGACCCAGACGGCGGAAGCGCCCAGCATCAAGGCGCTGGCCAGGGATTGGCCGTTGAACATCCCACCGGCAGCGATCAGTTGGACGGGCTTGCCGGTGAATTTGGATGGTGGTGCCTCTGCGCAAAGCTTTGCGACAGCGGGGATAAGAATGCTCGTGGGGATATCGCCCTTTGTACAAGGGTTAGCTATTGGAATGTCCACAGGACAGGAGAGAGAAAAATTGTTCGAGACATACCGTGTGGCCACCACCTTCACCTCCCTGGGCGCAAATCAAGTCGGCTCCAAGTTCGAGACACTTCTTAACGTGCTTGACGTGGCCGATCATGTTCTACAGATGCAGTTAGCACTCTTGAATCCTGGGTGAGGGGGGCATAGGGGGTTAGACAAACCATATATAGGATACCATTCTGATGGAGCTTGTCGACAACTGCCTTGGGCGGTACACCAACGGCAGAAACTGTGGTCGCGTGTTAGCTAAGTGCATGGGCAAAGGTCCTGGAACGCATACCGAATAGTTTGGCACCCGAGTCAATGATGATATCGACCAATTCACCCAGTTTGCCCTTTGTGTAATCGTAGCTGGTCACGCGTTAGTTCCCCTGGATATATGTATACGTATAGTGTATGCTTTCTCACTTTGTCTTTCTCGCGCTACCGCCTACTTGCGGCAGGAGTAGATCAACACCGAAAGGAGCGTTCTTGTCATTGAGGTATTCCTTCAATTCGGCAATTTGTTCTCGGAGCATGTCAGGGGTATATCCGACCTGGTATCTGGTATGAGCTTGTGATTCTTTTCCATCTTTGTGATGATGATCTTACACCGCCAATGACACCCAGACCGCCGGCGTTAGTGACTGCAGCGGCCAGCCTGGGACCGGCGGCCACGTTCATGCCCGCAAGCAGGACTGGGTGCTTGATGTTGAGCAGATCGGTGGCCGTGGTTCTGAGCTTTTGAGGAGATGCCATCTTGAGATGTTGATTTGGGATTGATCTAGGGAGTGTGTAATTCGTGGTAGTCCGCGGGCACCGGGGTTCGATAAAGGGACAATCGAGAGGTTTTGAGGTTGACAAAAAGACAGCCAGAGGGAACGAAGAGGATGATCACTTGTAGAAGACAAAAGAGGAGAGAGAAGGGAGGAAGTTCATGTAGAAAGTAATCACCATTACCGACGGCCTGCGCATGAGCATGAGGGTCGTGGGCGGAAACGAGCAAAGTACCGAGGCAACTGGATCGAAATTTATTCTGTCTGACGAGACCTGTCTGCGCGTTCTGAATTCCATTGTGCCACTAGGGGATCATCGTCAGACGCAGCCTATCTCGCGTTACCCCGAATACCGTGGCTGGTGCGGCACTGGCACACGGAGTCAATAAGGTGCAGTCAGTCCCCAGATCCACTAACCTGGGGTGGGACAATGGCAACGTCCGGTACAGAGTACAGGAGTACATACAGCTAAGTCTTAGGAGAGGAGAATTGCGATTGCCGGGATGTTTCCAGAGGGAATGCAAAGACTCCCATTAGCCATGTTGCCTCTGTCTCTGCATGGGAGTAAGACCGCTCTTGAGGCTGCGTTGGGGAAGCATCTGGTCGCTTCAAGACTTAGAGACTCAGCGTCGGCAACGATGCCTTTTTCAGCGAGTTTTCATTTTTTGCTCTGCGCTAAAATTTTACTTCAGGGATGACATGTGCTCGTTCAGCTACAGTATCTGTGAAAAACTCATACTATATCTTCCACGATAACAACCTAGTGGTGTGGGCTGGGTGTACTTGTTGATTTCTTCTGTTCTTGGATACTTATCTGTGTCAGGCTTACCATCTAATGCGCCCTGATGACCTTGCCGCATCTCGCTGGACATACATCCGGATACATTACTCCCAAGTATAGTGCTATATCCTGCGCACAATGCAGGTATATTACAGCTAGCTATGGATCGCTCTCACGCCTTAGCACCCGACGGAATAGTCAAAGAGCATCTTTGAAGAGGCCAAAATCTCCGCCGCCAGGTCATCGACGTCCTACGATTTCTAGCTGGCGACAGTTTTCATCTACCCCTATGAAGCGGACACAGTCGCCTACCAGGGCTCTGAACAGAGCAGCAGTCGCCTTTGGTAGTAACATGGGCGACCGGGTCGCAAACATCGAAGCTGCTCTGGCCGAGATGAAGCAAAGGGGCCTAAGTGTCGTCAAGACGAGCTCTTTATACGAGACCAAGCCGATGTACTATGATGACCAAGATCCATTCTTCAACGGCGTCTGTCAGATCGAGACATCTCTCGAGCCGATACCATTGTTGGACGTTCTGCAGAGCATCGAAAACGATCTAGGTAGAAAACGAATTATCGACAAGGGGCCCAGGACGATTGATCTTGATATCATACTCTACAACTCCGAACGCATCAAACACCCCCGACTTGAAGTCCCTCATAAATCGATGCTGGAGAGAGAGTTTGTTCTGAGGCCGCTAGCCGAGTAAGTACCACATCACCCTAGCTTGAGTTTTGTATAGTCCAGCAATGGAACTGATTGGCGAAGTATTCTTCCGGAGGAACACGTGCCGCCTAGCTTTTCTTCCAGAGGTAGTAGCAGCACGATCGCGCAGCATCTTAGTTCTCTAGCGACAAAGGACAAGACGATGTCTCCAGTCACTGTGCTCAATTCCCGAATGCCGTTACTTCGCACTCATGACCCAAGCCGCAAAACCCATATCATGGCCATCCTAAACCTCACCCCAGATTCTTTCTCAGATGGTGGGGTACATAGTCCCAAGGATCGGGACTCTATCAAGTCGACAGTCAAGAGATTCATTGCTGCGGGAGTCCAGATCATCGATATCGGAGGACAAAGCACACGGCCAAATGCAGACTTTCTCAGCGCCGAAGAAGAGCTTAGCCGAGTTCTGCCTATCGTCAAAGCTATTAGGGAGATGAAAGAAGCCGAAGATATCGCCATCAGTATTGACACTTTTCACTCCTCAGTCGCGCGTGAGACCATCCATGCAGGAGCTGACATCATCAACGACATCTCGTCCGGGGTGCTGGACGAAGAAATGCTCCCTACAGTTGCAAAACTCGGGAAGACAATCATTTTGATGCACATGCGAGGAAATCCACATACAATGACCAAGCTAACCGATTATCCCGATGGTGTGGTCAACGGAGTAGCTAAAGAACTCAGCGAGCGTGTCAGAGCCGCTAAGACTGCAGGCATTCTGCCATGGCGCATCATCCTGGATCCAGGACTTGGGTTTGCGAAGAACCAGTCTCAGAACCTAGAGCTCCTACGCCGGTTAAGGGATCTTCGAGAGAACACAGAACAGTTGCGGGATCTCGGGAATTATCCGTGGCTCATGGGTCCAAGCAGAAAAGGCTTCGTGGGCAAGATTACCGGAGTTCAACAAGCCTCAAAACGAAGCTACGGCACAGCAGCGGCCGTGACTGCGAGTATTGAAGGCGGTGCTGAAATTGTCCGAATCCACGATGTGGAGGAGATGATTCAAGTGACGAAGATGGCGGATGCAATCTATCGAACCCCTTGAGAACCATGCTCGAGACTCGACAGAAGTCTAGATCTTGAACCATTAACGACATATCATTCAACAACTGATGTCGACTCTTTATGTCTGCGACAATTACTGAGAACTGGAAGATGGATGCGAAGTACAAGAACAAAAAGCGGGTTTGAAATGACGTCACCACGTCAACTACACACCTCGATCTGCAGCGACGACGAGACTATCAAACCAAAAATGAAAAAGAATTAGCAATGGCATCGCAAATGTCCTTTTTTCCCCGACCTTGAGCACTATCAGCACAATCCATGGCCCCTTAGCCGAATATCTGTACAGTCCTGCTCGCATCGCAGTGTCCCGGGAGACATGCCGTCATCTAAGAAAGCAGTGCCTCTAGGACTGCGGTGGCGTGCGTCCACTCTTTTCATCATCTCTACAGTGGCAGTTGGACTGTTCACCGACCTCTTTTTGTACGGGCTTGTGGTTCCAATCCTCCCGTTTATGCTCAGGGACCGTGTTGCTCTCCCCGAGGATAAGATACAATCGTATGTCTCTGGACTGTTGGCTGCATATGCCGGTGCTAGTGTTATTGTAAGCTGCTCGTCTCGTTAGTGTACTGAGGTGCAAGGTGACCGTCTAACAATGTCCAGTGTTCCATACCAGTCGGCATCATCGCAGACAGAACAGGTGCCAGACAACTACCCTTCCTATGTGGCCTGGCAGCCCTCTTAGCCGCAACTCTCATGCTGGCATTTGGCAAGAATATTCCCATGCTCGTCATGGCAAGACTGCTCCAGGGGACCAGTGCCGCTGTCGTATGGACAGTAGGTCTGGCCATGGTCCTCGATACCGTCGGTCCCGAGAATCTAGGCAAAGTGATTGGCACAGTACGTCTGAGATACTAGGCACCTATACTTCCTGCCTGCCCAACTATCAACGCCTTGCAAGTTCTCGTTTCTCCCTCGCACCCACTGACGATCAACAGATCTTTTCATTCATATCGGTCGGCGAGCTCATGGCTCCAGTGCTAGGCGGTGTCCTCTACCGCAAGACGGGGTACGCCGGAGTCTTTGGCCTCGGATGCGCTCTATTGGCCGTCGACTTTATCCTTAGGATATTAGTGATTGAGAAAAAAGTAGCAGCAAAATACGACGGATCGTTCTCTGGCCCCAAGAACCCTCGCGAATATAGCAGTCGAAACGAAGACCAAGACCAAGACACCGAGCAAAATCACGAAGGAGAGACTGTACAGCGGCACCGTGTAGACGCCAACCGGGACGACGACCACCACGAGGACGGGAACCGCAACGACACATCAAGACCGCGCACCGAATACGATCTCCTGTTGCCGAAAGCCACGGACGGCGCAGACAACGGCGACAACGAAAGAAACGATGCTCGCCACGCCATCCCCGCCGGTCAAAACAGGCTGATCCGCACTCTGCCCATCCTGTACTGTCTCACGGACTGCCGCCTCCTCGTCGCGCTCCTGTTGGCGTTCGTGCAAGCGGTGCTCCTCGCGACGTTTGACGCCACGATCCCGACCGAAGCGCAGTCCCTCTTCTCGTTCGACTCGCTGCAGTCGGGCCTCCTCTTCGTCGCCCTCGACGTGCCGTACCTCGTCCTGGGCCCCGCGGCGGGCTGGTGCGTGGACCGGTACGGCACGAAACCCGCGGCGGTCGCCGGGTTCGGCTTCCTGGTGCCGACGCTGGTGCTGCTCCGCCTCCCTCCCGCGCGGCTCACGCCCACCGCCGAGACCGACGTCGTCCTGTTCTGCGGCCTGCTCGCCCTCAACGGCGTGGGCCTCGCGGTCATCGGGTCGCCCAGCATCGTCGAGGCGAGCGACGTCGTCCGACGCTACGACAAAGCCAACCCGGGCTTCTTTGGCGAGAACGGGCCCTACGCCCAGCTGTACGCCTTCAACTCCCTGGTCTTCAGCGCCGGCTTGACCATAGGCCCCGTCCTCAGCGGCGGCCTGAGGGATGCCATCGGCTACGGGAACATGAACCTCGTCGTCGCCGCCCTCTCGGCCTTGACTGCCATCTTGTCATTTTTCTTCGTTGGGGGGACGGATTCAAAACTGTCCATGAGGAAATAGATGTATCGATATATATTGCGGTCGTGGTTGGAGTTTGGGAGGTATTTGCCTTATTTCTCTCTCTCTCTCTCTCTCTCTCTCTCTCTCTCTCTGTCTCTGTTTCAAGGAGGAGGACGAGTCTGTACATATAGTAGAAAGGAACACTACACACTCACACGGTCCAAGGAGGACCTTTGTACAATCACAAAAAGTGCACAACGACAGAGACGCCCAAAGACTCTCCTCAAAGACTTGCGTATACAACATCCCAGAACGTACACATGTGTACAGATACACATATGTAATGTAGTACGAGGCACCTATCTAGGTACCTAGGTACAGGTGACCTACCTCCCTTCACAGTCATGGCCAAGTCCAAGTCTTGCCCTACAGGGGGTGGCGCTTCAAGATTCAATGCATCTCTCTCACCGAAAAATAGAACTCGATGCTTTGCTTTTCGTTTGGTCCATCTTCTTCGATGTACAGGTTACTTACTCGACTTTAGTCAACATGGTTTTCACTCTCCTTCTCATCTTGTAGAAAACAAGTACAGGGTCTAGATTCCAACCAAAAAAGGACAAAATGTCTCGACAAACCAACGAGATCATTTTCTGGACCTCCGTTTCCGCGCTACTCTTTGTCCGAAACAAAACAAACCACTCCATTACAAATCCCTCCAAGCCAGAAAAATAATAGACCCTCCGCTCTCAAAAATAAAAAGATGCCACCGGGTTTTCTTTGGTCATTGTCGTGTGTCGGACCAGATCTGAATTGATGTTATGGTCGGGTAGATCTTTTTTTTGGACGCATCTTAATGATATCGACAATTATCTGATCTGGCAACCAGGACGGAGGGAAAGGGAAAGGGAGTTCGACATTGTTCTCTTTAGCCCACTCGCGCCTCTGTTCCCAGTTGAAAAGATTAGTGAAATACTCGACAAATTCTTGGGCTTGCTGAATACGTCCAGACCGGAGGAAAACGGCATCCAGCGCGCGGATGGTCGACCACACCTCGCCAGATTCAAGACCGCACACTTGGAGACGACCACCCAAGGCCTCCAGGAGATACGTTTCTGCGGCCTCCAACTGATCGGTTCTCAGCAACAGTTCTCCAAATCTGTGCATCATCATCAATCGGTACTTTCCTAGGTCAGAGCGATCGCTGTCAAATCGTTCCACGACTTTTGCAACACTCGCACAGGCACCGACCAGATTACCATGTTCATCGAGAGCCCGCGACATCAAGGCCCAGCCAGCAACGGTAAGGATACTGTGAGGTCCCAAGCGTCGCTCGCAGATGTCAACATACGCTGTCAACAACTGTATAGCGCTTTCGAGCCGTCCGTGATGGAGATCGTTCCACGCCATGTATGTTGCAATGGCCAGGGAGTTCGGATGGTCGATCCCCCATCTACTTGTGATCCGAGCGTGTGCTCCCCGTAGCCGTTGACCCCATTTAGCGGTGTCGCCAGAATTCCTCGTAAACTCAGCAAAAATGTATCGAAATGGCACGGCAAAGGCAGTGTGGTCTTCCAGGTGCTCCGCTTGCTCAAGTATAGTGTAACCGATAGAGAGGAAATTTTTCAGCTCTGCGTCTCGGCCATCTGACTCAAGAACCAAGTGCATCCAGACAAGGCCAGGAAGGATCCAGTCACTGAGTTCACAAAGGCCGTAGCGTAGTCTGATGACCCCGGCTTCGTCATTTTTTGCCTTGATTCCCTTGACCAAGGCTTTGAGGGGCGGCGAGAGGTTTGAAATATCTAGCCTATCAACATCGATCCTGTGACCGAGGAACTCTTCCTCTAAGGAAGTTGAACATTCGCCTGAATCTGAATTGCTGTAGTATCCTTCCTCCATAAGGATACTCAGAGTTTCGGAATTAAGGAAACTGTTCACCGATTCTTCCATGCGCAGATAAGCTCGAATTCTGGGCAACAGGATCCGTGTATCCAGTATAGCGAGGAGGAACCTCAATTGATCGGAACAATGAGTTAGCGTTGGCACGGCGTGACTTAAAGCTGCCGAGCGTTCAGCGCATATCACGGATATTGTTTGAGCACTGAGATTATTCAGTTTCCAGGACGGATCATTATCTTCGCATGTGCTCCATTGGGAGTCGTGGAAGTCCTTCATAACCACTGACGTGGGCGAAGAACAGGCTAAGGGCTCGCCATTCAAGGTAATAATGTTCGGGTGATCAATTTGCACGGTCGAAATTTGGTTCCCCAAGAGAGAATGGCTCGCCCAGTTAGTTTCCAGACGGGCGAAGTTATATTCTTCGTCCAGTTCTCCCTGACTAACTTGGCTATCATTGTCAATCGAGGCAGTCCAATCCGTGTAGTTTGCGAATGGTCTTCCAGGAGCATAACATCCATGGCCGTCCGGCTCACCCGGTATCTCTGGATAAGATTTTGATCGAGTCAGATCGTCCGGTTCAGCTAAATGCCGACTGATGCGAATATCGGCATCCCATAAAATTCGCTCGGCGACTTCGTATGATGGGAGTGAAAACTCGACATGAGCATTTTCATACTTTTTCTTCACCCTGTCACATTCCTTCTTGATCTTTTTGAGGCTGAAATAAACCCGACCGTCCCGCTTTGGTACGTCGAACTTGATTTTGTAGCCATCAACTCGCTCAGAGTTTGCATATGACAGCATTGCCAGGTAATGTTGAGACGGGGTTTTTTTGCTCTCATATTTCCATTCTCTGAGCCGGTTCTTAATCTGCCTTTCACTGCATGAGAAGTCGTTTGAAATGAGGTAGGCCCTAATATCTCCGCATGTCTTGTTCTCGTGCAGGTACATATGATCGATTGTTTCCCTCCAGTAGTCCCACGCATCTTTTGGATGATACAGGGATCTGGAGCTCGACATAGTTGACAGAGGCTTTCGTGCATGCCTAGACAGTCGCTGGCGGGCTTTCGAAACATCGACACTTCTTGAGTTTGTACCTCGATATTGGAGCAAGAACATGTGCTGGAAATCTCTGCAGGCCTCCTCGTCAATCCCACACTTTCTGGGTGGGAGATAATGTAGAAAGCGTAGCTACACATCCAAGCAAACGAATCATGCAGCTTCTGATATGCGGGAAGCCACTGTCGTATCTCAAAGTCTGCCCTCATCGGAGCCGGGGAGAACTACCCAGGGAGTTGCTGAGCATCGATTGATAAACGCGGGCGTGGGTGGTAGGCTCGATAAGAGCTAGGAAGAGAGGAAAGGACCAAATAGATGTAGGCAGGATCGCAACCTGGCCCAGGATATTGATGGTGTTTCTGACCTGTTCTATCCTCGACGGAAAGAGGAACGGTCACGAATTGCATATGCACGAGGAGCAAGTCGCAAGCCGGAAGCGAGTTGAAGAGGGGCAAAGCAGGGGCAGACGAGGATCTTAAAAAACAAACATAGGGAAAACCGAGAAATCGAGAAATCGTTGAGGATGGAAAGTAAAACGTAAATGTAATGGAGGCAGAAGAAGTCAAGACTTCCCATTCGGTGGAACTGCTCACCTCTACTACTGCTGTGCAACAGCTACAGCCCTCCGGTAGGCACAGGAGGTGTGTATCGAATGAGAGGCTGGGGAGAGGCGTAAAGAGCGGACTGCCCTGCATACGCCGGTAAAGAGTCTACTTAAAGGCGGCAAAGGTCAGCCTGAAGATCAGGAACGAAGCGAGAGCGATCGTGAAGAGGGAAGAAGGGACAGAACAACTCACGCGTTGGCATCCTGGAGACACCAGACAACAAGGGCAATCCGAACAGCATGAATGGGGAAACGGGAGAGAACGAGGAGATGAGGTTGGTTCTCGCTGTGCTGTTCGGAGACGGATCGCCGACGTGGAGGAGGAGCGGAAGAAGTTTACTAGTTAGCAGGGGCACAAAGGACTTCCACTCCACAGGGAGAGAACTAGTTAGTAGTTAACCAACTGGTTAAGGTAGTTGATCACTGACAGAGACCTGGGATGCCCCCAAAAGGCGGCCTCTAGCAAGCCTAAGACCGCCTAAGTAACCGCCAATCGTTAGGTCCTTCAAGTAGATGGAAGCCTAAGCTTGTTCTTGTGCACATTATCACAAGAGCCTACAATTGGGGCCTTCAGGGCACGGCATGTAGAGAACAGCCAGTCAAGTACGGACTCACAAGACGGAGTCTCCCGGTGAGATATCAGGTACTCTCGAGTGTACATATAGTCTACAGGTACGGTACTCCGTGCTCTCCAACAGTTGATACGCTGGCACAGGCCTGACCTGGCTGTTCTTAGGCGCTGTCTCATTCGCCCTCTCCGAGCATAGATAGGGGCTAATTACTGAACAGAGTTACGAGCACCTACAATCAGGAACTTGGTTGAGAACCTCCTCTCCCTGCCCAGGTAAATTTCTCAGGGACCCCAACCACGGTCTGCCCGGCTCCTATGTACATGGCATGCGGTGCGGTGTGCATGACAGGCCGGCTTCGTCTCTCTGCTCTCCGCTCCTTCGCCAACGACCCGTTCGAGACGAAGCTCCGTGTTTGCAGGCTGCATGGACAACGCCAGCCAGCTTGCCAACTGGCGTTCGACGTGCATCGAGTGGCGCGTGAGTGGCTGACTTGTGAAGCATGACTGCCCAGCAATCGAGGCATCCACTCGCCTGCCTGAAAAATCTCTCCTTCACCAGTGATGTGATCTTACAACCCCGGCTTTTAGCTGATTGCATTCATCCTGGCTGGCGTTCGTGGGTCATGGCATTTTCGTTCCCCGATGCAATAGAGCACCGTTTACCCATAACGGCCACTCGTTCCATGAGACAAATCTCATTTGTGTCGGGTATCCCGATCCCGCGAGTGGCGGCGCAAGCCCGCGAGAATCATGGAGTCTACGACCGATTGGCAATAGAGTCTCGACGTCAAGACTGGATCGCCTTGATGTTCTGCGTACGAAGGAGTATGGCGCTTGCCTGTGTTGTCCTAGCGATTTTCACATCGTGACCGTGAGTGAGTGGCCTGATTTGTGGCCAGGGGGACTGTCCTGCGAAGTCTTCGGCTGGAGAAAGAACCGTGTTTTCGAGGCTCATTTCGAAAAGATGAGAACCCAGGGGGATTCTCGCTAAGCGAGGGAGGCCCAATGTCAAATAGCTGACTGGGCGCAAACGAAGCACAACAACGACCTCGGCCAGAGACAGATCTTGTTTCCACGCATCCTGGTCCTCAAGTGCTGCTCTACTCCGAACCTTGACGCTAACTGATGCATCTGTGTGTTGCAATTGACTTTGTTGGTGCCACTTTGCACCAACCACGCAGCCTTTCTGGAGTGAACCGACTAGTCCCTGATTCGACGTGCTCTCGAACTTCGAGGAACAGCCTGTCGAACTGCAAGTGGACCACAGGCTCGGCGCGACCAAGGCGAATAGCAAGAGAACGAGATCGAACTATTGTCTAACTTCTGGTCGCTCACTCATTGATACCCGAACGAGGCTTTGACGATCAGAAGTGATATGAGCGAAGACAGCACATCGCATTCTCAAGGAGCGATTCTCATTTCATTCTGTGAGTTAGAACTATAAGAAGAGATTCTGGCGCCGCGGAAACGAAGGATCGACTAGGTCTGAAAAGAAAGCTCATAGCTCATGCCCCAAACAAGATCCTGTAGCAACATGCAGCTTGACTGGCATTCTCTGGTGAATCTGGCAATGCCTCAAATTGCTCAACACTGCATCGAAGCGCCTATGACGATGCCTCCCTCACGAGAGGCCCGGCATAGGCCTCGGCTCTTGCGGTTTAGGAGGTGGCCGTGTTGGAGGCGGTTTTCCGACATCCTTCATAACGTTGACGCTACGGCTACCTCGCATACAAAGCAAGGGTTTGGGCGCCTTCGTTACACCATAGGTCTCGCGACACCCTGGGATAAGTCAGGCAAACTTAACACCGACAAGATATTCATCTCTGTCATACCTTGAATCTCCCCAACGCTGTTGATACCTCCATGATCGTACGAGATATTGTTGGGGCTCGGGGCCTCAACCGCTAGAGATCATGGTCAGTAACTTTGACCGCACGATGAGATGACATAGTGTAGGTGTAGTGCATGACGTCTTGTCCTGCGTACCTATAGCTGTTCGAGTAATTCCTTGATCCATATCGGCAATGACCAAGATGTTCTTGGGTGCCCCCAGGAAATTGTTGTCAGTTTGCGTAGCAACCACGGGTGGAGATTTTGCAGTGGGAATATAAAGAATCAGAAAGGTCGAAGAATGGGCTGGAGGGGGAGTCGATACTTATAGCCACCAGCTTGGGGCGTTTCTCTCAGCGGTCCTGTTGAAAACGCTGGCCACCCACACCCTGTCAAGTCGATGAGTCTGTGCAATAGTCGTTTGACCTTCGCAAAAACTCTGCATCAGAAGCTGCATAGGCTCCATCGGCCAGAAGCCATGGTTCAATTTCAACATGAATGCGTCCATAGCGCTCGGCCGGGTTGACTTTGCAGATCAAGTTGGCGAATTGGACTCGATGATGGGCATGGTTCGAGTGATGTGACACGATCAGTCCCCGGACACGTCTCCAGCATTGGCTGCGGATGTCGGCTAGAAATTGGCCTCTCCATATCGTCCCTGCCGAATGCACGCAAGCAGTATTTGCGAGAAGCCTTGGACTGCATGGGCTATCATGCTGATGCAAGTTATCAGCTGCTTTGCTGCGTTGTTCAGCGGAGGTGCTGAAAGTGGTCATCCGCGAACCTAGGCATTATTGTCAGCCTCTAGGATTTGCCCGCTGAGAAATTCAGCCAGCTGTAGATCTGTACTGTTGGGTAGCTATAGGTGACTGTTTGGCATTGCGGCTCTGCTGTGCGGGCTGTGGTCACATGAGCACCGACAACGCGGACAAGGCTTGCCCTGCTGAGGCATTGGTGTGCCAGATGAGAACAAAAATTGCGCATATTGTGTTGATGTCGAGGGGGAAATATCCCTATGCTCGTTAAATAGGCCCATCGTGGATCGCAGTCCGCGAGGTGTCTGCACTGCTGCGGCACTGTGGTGGGCTCTTGCGTGTTCACTTCCAACAATTGACGGCTTACCAGACAACCTGTCTGCATTGTACCTCTCTGAGAAACAGGTCCTTGATGGCTCAAAAGTTATTGTTCAGGCCCTAACTTTTAGTGACGTCTTTGTGGTCGGCGGACGCGTTTTTGAAACCCCAGAGATGTGATAGTGCTTTGACGACACCACACGACGCTGATATGATAGACAAAAGGCTCGTCGTGGTACAACAGCCAACGTCAGGCCATGATTCATGAGAGCACTATTACCTCACCGTTTCCCCACGTTTGATATGGCACGAGCTGCCTGTATTCGGGGACGGAATTGCAATTGTCCTGTCGGAGACCTTTATCGGCTGAGAATGCACCCGGGCAAGAAAGAAGCAATGTCGACGTCAAGGTACCAAGGCAGACCGAGCCGGAGCCAGCCAGAAAAAGATGTTAAGGACACGGCGGCAAGAGGAAGAGATGAAGGATTGAGGTGGAAAAAGTGAGGACGAAATAGAGTTGCAGTCCAGGGGCTGCGTTAAGGGGGACACTACTGATAAGTCAGTCTGGGCCACACCGTGAGCTTCACGCACTAGTCAGGGTAAGGTATGTGTTTTCGAATCGGAAAAGAACAACCGCACCATCGGCAGATCTGGCGTCAAGAGGTGATGACGAGGAAAAAGAGAGAGCCTTTCTAGGCGTTATCCTGCTACAAGCCTGGTGAAAGGAGACACATATGTTGGCATTTCCCCTTCCTTCCTGCACCATCGCCAGCTTAAGAGCTTCCTCGCCAACTCCTCCCACCAAACTCTCAATCCTCCTCCAACACGCCGGCCGTCCTCCTATCGTACCGTTATACAGCAAGCGCTACCCTCTAGCACGCACTAGGCTGGTGCTCAACTGGCATTGCTTACACCGGTTAAGTCCTTGGAGACAGATGCGCCGAAGCAAGCCACTTAGTGGTGAGACCCCTAGGTGGACTGACAATCCAGCAGATGGCCTTGCCCACGTACCTGGACCTGACGAATCCATGTGCCCAACGTGGTCCTTTCAACTCCTGCGACTGCAAAGACCACATCCTCAAGTGCAGTCGGCCCGCATGATATGCGAGTCACTGGAATTGACCCTATGAGAGACGAGGACGTCTGAATGTGGCTGACCAAATACATTGCTCGCTGCTCTCCTCCGCACTCATTGCTCACGGCGCTTAAGCATCTGAGGCATGCTCGCTGAAGATGCCTAATACTTTAGCCTCGACGCTCAATGGCCACAAAATGCGTTGCATATTTCACACGCATCCATTCAGCTGTGATCCGAGGCCACAAATACTAAATGGACTAGACTTTGTTCAGACAAAATGCTTGGGTATGGGTAAAGGATGAAATTGGCGGGACAAATCAAAACTCCGAGCAAAGGCGAGAGCAATTTTGTTGCGGTGAGTGTCCTGCTGACGCTCTTTTTTTTGTCTACGACTCGTCTACGTTCTGTATGAGACATTCTTGAAATTGGTTGCTTCCTGGTTCCAGAATGCATGGCACAGGCTGTTTGTGAGGAGAGACAGCAATTTACACTCGACTCAGACCGCCTCGATCGAGTGCCGAGTGTGCTCAACATCATCTGCACCAGCGCATACCACGCATACTAATGCATGCAGCCCTTGTGCCACTGCTAGTGTGCAGGAGAGGATGTGAATGTTGACCGCTTCGTGCACTTGGAGTGGCCCTTTGCCATCTCAAAGAGCCCAAGGCGCATGTTTCGGGTACGATATCTTCCCAATCTGACACGGCACGCCATCCTTCACTGCGTTAGGGGTGCGCTGGTGCTGACGAAGCCCGGGCCAGAAGACGAGTGCAAGTCGGACACACGTTTATCATGCTCGAGGAGTGGGCCAACGAACATAACTGGCTTGATTTCATTGTTCGTTGGTGCCAATCACTTTGATTTCTTCAACATATCCGCACTTCCAGCACGCAACCCTTGGAATTTGCAAGTTGGCAGAAGCAGAACCTTGGCCCTTGTGAAGCGCGGGATGCATGGTTGATGTTTGGATCTGGACTCGCAGCTAGCCCCTTCGCCGCGCGTTCTGATTTCGATGCTGGTCAAGACACCGAACCATTGGTTCGTGAGGTCTTCCAAACCCAGAAAGACAGCTGGATTTCTCAACTCCAAAGGATGTCATTCGAGGAACGTGGCATAGTGATCTGCACCTACATGGCATAGAGGACGCTCCAATTGCTTTGCATACACGATGAGGAAAACACCCAACCGGCTCGGGACTCGGGCCTATGGAATTAATTGCCGACTGACGTGGACAATAGTGTTTCTTCTTCAGTCACGGCATTGATCGTACGCGCACAAATTTGAAGTGTGCAGCTCTCAATTGTCAATTCTGGGGGCCATCAGGGCGTTGTTCAGGGACACAATCATTCCCAGACAGAGCCAAAGGCCACTATTTCCAGGCGTAGCATCCCATATATTTGAACGCCTAGACATCGCTGCACCATTTTACCAGGACATCACCAACACCAGTCCCACCAGCTCTTTCTTTGACAGCCCAGGCTATTTCATCCAAAGTTACATCGACTCTAAAGATTTTCGTGCCTACACCCTCACCAGCCACAAGTCCATCGTCACCCGACCTGCCTGTGCCTCCGGCACCCGCTCCCGAGGCTGGCACGATGACCTCCCACTGCGCAAGGTCTTCCCACGCCCCTCGCGCCGTTGCTTTGCTCCACTGTCGTAGACCGGCACCGGTCAGCGTCGAGCCACCCCTATTCATAACTGACAGCGACGACCGCTGCAACTTTGCCCGAGCAAGAAGTTCAGTGTAATGAGTGTAAGCGAGAGCAAAGTTGACGGCGAGCAGATTGTGGACAGTCTCCAGACGAGCAGCAGCAATGAGTAGAGAAAGATGAAGAGTCGGGAGCTGCGGAAGCAGCATTAGAAGAGATGGTGCTGCCGTCGACACAGCGTCGATCATGGAGGTGACGTTAACGGCGACGTCGTTGGTGTTGTTGTTATTGTTATTGTTATTGTTGTTGTTGTCGTCGTCGTCGTCGTCATCAGCGATCGGGACTGAAAGAGTGGCCACGGGGATATACAGTGCCGCAAGAACATCCGGGAGAGACTTTGTGCTATAGTAGGTCTTTTTCAGAAGTGCTTGGATAGTAGACGACGGGAGGAGTGTGGTCTGGCGTTGAAATGTAAGTGTTAGTCACAGTAAGAAAAGAAGATCTGTCTTTCTTGAGTTGTGGGTAAGAGCCGTTCAAGTGCTTCACCCTGCTCAATCCTTTCCCGGGCATAGCTCACCTTCATGGCGTGATTCCATCTCTCCCTCCACTCGAGTTCGTCTTTACTGACACCCAGGGCCTCCTTGCCGTCAACACGCATCGACAGAATACTCGACACGGTCTCCTCGAACGCGGGAAGGCTCTTCGCGCTGGGCACGTGGAGCCAGCGATGGCTGAAGCGACTCTTGACTCGCTTCTCAAGACAGTCGACGACGTCCATCCGTGTCGAGCATCCGATTACCGCGATGGGGGCTTTCTTTGCCTGCGCAATGTCAAACAGGTTGTACAGCAGCGTCTGTCTCGGGTGTGTCGTGAAAAGGTCAAATTCGTCCATGATGAAGATGATGCTCTTTGTTGTCTTGAGATCTCCATTGTCGCCTCCGTGGTTGTTATCTATGTCCATGTCCATGGTGTCCAGATCAGGCTCGGCAAGCTCTTCAGGATGAGAGAGCAAGCTAAGCAGACTTGCCATGGTGTCGGCGTAACTCGATACTTCGCCTGCCTCCTCTTCTGGCACGGCCATCTCGCGGCCAAGTTGGCGCCATATCTCGCGCAGAGCGAGCTTGTCGTCTGTCTGGAAGAAGCCGTCTAGCTTGACGACATGGAAGTCGTCGGCGTAAGACCGAGTTAGATCGGCCAGGGCGTGTGACACGAGCAGGGACTTGCCGCTGCCTCGAGATCCGAGCAGAAGTAGTGAGTTGGATTCGCCGGCGGTTATGGTTGCGAAGAGCAAGGAGTGGAGGGTGCTATATTGAGTGTGGAGGTGGCATATAGGTGGAAGGGACTTGTTGGTTATACGGCGTAATATCTCGCCCTTGATCGTGGCAACGTGCTCATTATCCCGCTGGTGTAGTAGTGTTTGCTTGTCACCGTGTATATCCGCGCCTGCAGTATTTAGTAAGAGTATCTCGTCCACGTCAGGGACTGTTTGAATGTCCGGCACATCCAAGTCATCGTCTGAAGCCGACTGAGGCAGCTCGGTATCGCCTGGTGCATGTCTGTTTCTACTCGGTGTACTCTGATGGGCATCGGCAGTGTTCTCTGATGCCTGTCGGGTCTTGTTTGTTTCTTGCGACTTGGCCGAGTTGTTGATGTCCCTGAAACCAAGCTGTGCCTCAATTTGCCGTTCGTCTGCATCAAAGACTACCGATTTTCGCGGGCCGCTCTTTGTCGTATGTCCACGCCGGGTTGGAGTCAGAATACTTTTTGGTTGCTGCGACTGCAAGTCACTTTCGATCCTACCAACCGCGGACTTGGAGGCTTTGCCCTTTGAAGCCGATGTGTTGGTCGACCGCTTCTCTATCCGGGTTGTATCAGATGAAAGGGCCCTTGAAGAAGCTTTTCGACCAGAGCGTTCTGGTGGTTCAATATCGTCTTGTTCATTCTGGTGGGCCTGTCCTGAGACAGTGTTTCCTGCAGGTTTTGTAGGTTTTCCAAGAGAACCGTCTTCTCCTTTTTTCACATTCCTTCTGATAGGCTTCTGTATGCGAGTAGGAGTGGCGTCCTCCTCAGCTTGGGCGGCGCGTTCGGTGGGCTTTCGTTTCCGAGTACTGCTGCGGCGCGACGTTGTCTCTACCAATTGAGTACTATCTTCGGGGGGCTCTAAAGGTCTAGCATCTTCCTGTTCGGTACTAGATGGTGCTGATTCATCGTTGTCCGAGACGACACCATTTTGCTTGCTACTCTGGCTCCGGTGAGTTGTCGAGTCGCGCGGAATTGAAGTATCGAGAGTCGTTCTTCTGGTAGCATACGTCCCAGTTCGTCGCCGCTTCGAGGATCGAGGAGAGGCTTCGTATTCCTCCATTGTGTATCTATGTTGCCTTTAGTCGGTCACTAAATCGATGAAGGAGACATTGTGCTCGTCAGAGGCAGGACGGGATGTTGACAGGTGTGTCTCCGTCTTAACATTGTCGTCTGAGATGCAAGCACTTTACGCGACGCGTCGGCAAACTTGCCTAGAATTCCACGCGTTTGGAGGGCGACAGGCTCCTCAGCACCACCAAAGTTCTTATTTGTGTTTAGATACTTTAGATACTAGGTACGTTAACGCCAGCTTGTCCAAATCGATGTGCATCGCACACTCGTGCAGGGCATGCGCATGCTAATCCTCAGGTCGGTACATGTCTTGGTTCAAGGCGAGAATCAATACTTAACCGAAGCACAATTTACACCAATGAAGTCGGAAGACATCGCAGGGGGAAGGGTTTTTACTAGGCTTGGACATATAAGAAAGCGAAGCAACACCCTTCTCTGAAGATGTCATCTAATCAGAAAAAGACTGTACGCATACATGCGGCCAAGTTTGTGCATTGAACAAGCCCCTGAGTGCACCGAGATTGACGCGAACTCACGGACCGACTCTCTCGCCATACGAGACTGACTGAGATGCTCCTCCATCAGATCATTGCTCTAATATATGCCTAACGTTCGATGCTGATATTTCAGAGGTAACGCGGCGAGGTGCTTTCGCCTCATGCTTCGATCATTAATCATCTTACCACCGAGTTCATAGCGGAGGTCTGCTTGAGCGCTACGCCAATGCCACTACAGCGTTGCCATAAAGTCGTCCTCCGTCAATCATCGGACAAATCGCATTCGACTACGACGGCGGCGATCTCTTTCGCTTGCAACGTACGTTAGGCGCGGTGCTCCAGAGTTACCTGTTGTGTAACAGAAGATGAGGGGGTGCATTACATGATCAAAAGCGATCTAAGTTCTGATCTGGGAGAGTTTGGCATGAGGTGGGCACAAGACAATTTCACCGAGCTCGCTGCATGCACCTGCCTCGCCGTTACCCTCTACCAAACCCTTGGAAACCCCATCAACGAAGGGTGACAGGTCTAGGCGACGCCTGGCCCGAGCGACTTGAAAAAGCTTTGTGGGGGTGGATGGCCCCAACAACCCCAGCCTCTCGTTTGGGGAATGACCTTGACCACGATCGCTTCGCTTCATCCCTAGCAGCAAATCATATGGCTCTCCCAGCGCCATCACCCCGTCGCCTCTCTTACCGGCCTTTTTCTCGGTCGCAATCGACGAATCAGCTGACTATCGCTGCTTCCCATCGAACTCTCAAGATCCAGCTCACATATGCCATCATAATTAGACACGAGACTGTCAAAACTCTTTCCTCCCATCGTCGCTTTCTTCCTCGTATCTCCAGGAATTGCTTCTGGTCATGACTTCTGCAGTCTCAGAGTCCTGTGTCCTATCCAGCAAATTCAGTATCAATGATGTCTCGCTACCCTTCTTCACGTGTCCGAAAAGGCTCACTTGAGTCATGAAGTGAACTATGATTGATCCGGACTCGATTAACGATGACTGATGCGAACAATAATGGCCATCGCCCTGGCTTTTCAAGGGAGTCCGGGGCCTCAACTGACAAGGCTCATCCTTCCGAATTTTTGGAGTTCGTCACCCTGGGTGATCCAACGTTGCAGCATCTAGAGCGTTTGAAAACTCAGCAGGAGCAGGAGAGCAACCAGCAGACTCAGGTCAATGTCACCAACTCCAACGATGAACTCTTTTCGGGCCTTTTCCACGCTATCCCAGATCTACGCAGGCTATCTACCGATGCTAGAGCAGCCACAAAAGCCGAGCACACCATGACCTTTCTGCGAGGATGCAGATTGTACCCTAAGGCAATAATGTGGTCCGTCCTTTTGAGTATGACCATCGTCATGGAGGGTTATGATGGAGCCTTGATCAACAGCTTTTACGCATTTCCTGTGTTTCGCAAATCCTACGGCACCCCGACCAACCACAAGCCTGATGATCCGAATTCTAAGCCCGACTATCAGATATCCCCAGCGTGGCAGACAGGATTAACAAATGCCGCGGTTTCTGGCGAGATTTTGGGGCTAATGTTTAACGGATTCCTGACTGATAAGTTCGGTTATCACAAGACCATGGTCGGGTCCCTAATTGCAATGTCATTATTTGTCTTCCTGGCATTTTTTGCCGTCAACATCGAGATGTTGCTCGTCGCGCAGATCTTTTGTGGCTTCCCGTGGGGCGTATTCCAGGTGAGGATCTCTTTTTCCTTTCATTGCTGGCTTACATCTTAACATGTTTGTCAACACAGACCCTGTCTACTACCTACGCGGCCGAGGTCATGCCGATGACTCTAAGAGCATATTTGACTAGCAGTGTCAACATGTGCTGGTTGATAGGACAGCTGCTGGCCGCCTCAGTGATTCGAGCTTTGGTTCACAATACGTCAGAATGGTCGTATCGACTTCCTTTCGGACTTCAGTACGTTTCTCCTCAGTTTATCATGTCTCTACCTTCTATGTTATAACCCCGTGTTGTTCTTGAGGGTCTAGCCAAGGCTTTTAATGTGACGTGGGAGATGCGCTTGATCAGACCAAGGCTTCTTCTTTTGTACTCCTTCAACCTCACAATACAGACTCGAGCTCTTATGCTGACTAGATCTGCACGATACAGATGGGCATTTGCCGTTCCTATCCTTATCGGCGTCCTGTTTGCTCCAGTGAGTAGCCTTGTTCCTGATGTGTCCGCGGATTAGCCACGTCATAATGGCCTAACAGACAATAGGAGAGTCCGTGGTGGTGCGTCCGGCATGAGAAGATAGACGAAGCGAAGAAATCTCTTTTACGCCTGACCACGAAAGGAACAGACCCCGACTTCAATGCCGACGAGACCATCGCCATGATGCAACAGACCAACGCAGTGGAAAAGTATCTCAACGGTGGCGGCGTCTCATATCTTGACTGCTTCAAAGGCACCGACCTCCGCCGCACAGAGATCTGCTGTGTGGTATGGTGCACGCAGGCCCTTGGCGGTGGTGCCATGACCGGATACGCAGCGTACTTTTACGAACAAGCAGGCTTCAACACCGCCAACAGCTTCAACCTCGCAGTAGGCATGTACGCAGGTGCCATCTGCGCCGGCATTTTGTCGTGGGTTGGCATGCGCAAGATTGGCCGACGCACGCTATACATCGGCGGCCTCGCTGTCTCACTAGTACTACTCATAGTGACCGGCATAGTCGGCACATTACCCGAAACGAATACCACATCTTGGACGCTGGGATCGATGCTCATCGCCTTGACCATCGTTTATGACTTCACCATCGGACCCGTTTGTTACGTTCTCGTCGCCGAGGTTCCGTCGACCCGTCTGCGTGTCAAGACGGTCGTCCTCGCCCGGGTCGCGTATAACATTGCCAGCATCGTCATCAACATCCTCACGCCACGAATGCTCAACCCTTCAGCGTGGGACTGGAAAGGCAAATCCTGTTTTGTGTACGCTGGCACTGCGCTCGGATGTCTTGTGTGGTGCTGGTTTCGGCTCCCTGAGCCTTTCGGCTTGACTTACATGGAACTGGACATCCTGTTCGAGAAGAAGGCGGCCGCGAGGAAATTCAAAGAGTTTCAAGCTAATCTCGCCGGCACGGGATACTTTAGCCTAACTCAGGCGGGTACCAGATCCGACAGCGTTTGGAGAGGGTATCAATGAGGAATGGGAGGAAGGAAGGGATAAGACATCCACGCATGCGAGCACCCCTCGGCAGGCGTGGTCCGGCAGCTATTCTAAAACACGACCAATGGACGGAAATGCACACAAAGCAAGTCACCGCGGCGTACCTTGACTTGCCACGTGTAGACGAAGTGAAAAAGGAGTAACACTGTACAGTCACACAAGGGTAATTATCCCTAGTTAAGCGCTAATTCTCTCTCGGCTAGGCTGTTACGTGCCAGGTAAATTACCTGTTTCCAACACTCAACTTGAGTACTCTCACACCTCTACCACCTAGTACTCCTGCAACCATGGCAGGTTCTAGTCCTCCAACGACGCCTAAGCGTCATCGACTTAATCGAGATCAACGACGAGATATCCTCCTCATGCGACGACTTGGTTATACTTATCAATATATTGCGGAGTTCCTGAAAATCTCACAACACGCAGTTCAATATACCTGTCAACGTCAACAAGCCACTCCACAACATCATAACGCAGGAAGACCTCCTCGTCTATCTAAGGAAGAGACAGATAGAGTTGAACAGTTTATTATTCAATCACGCCTAAATCGTCGAATGTCATATTTACAAATTGCAGAGACTCTCTAGCCTGATGGTGAGGTGAGTACGTTATCTATTCAGCACGCTCTCCACGCACGTGGCTATTCTCGACATATCGCAGTTCAAAAACCTCCTTTATCACACGCCAATCGATTAGCACGTCTTGAATGGGCTCAAGAGCATCTTACATGGACAAGAGAACAATGGGAGAGAGTTTTATGGAGTGATGAGACCTGGATAACACCAAAAGCACATCGTCGAGTGTGGGTTACTCGACGTCATGGAGAGGAACTCGATCCAACCTGTGTTGTTGAGCGTCAACGGCGCATGAAAGGTTTTATGTTTTGGGCCTGTTTTAATGGCAATCAACCAGGTCCTTATCTATTCTGGGAGAAAGAATAGGGCACTATCAACTCACAAACCTATTCGGAGCGAATTATTCCACTTATTGAGGGTTGGATAAAATATTCGATACAAGAGAGAGGAATTTCACTTCTATTTATGCAGGACAACGCTCCATCTCATACAAGCAAGGAGACTATGGAAGAATTCACAGCAAGGAATGTTATTCCTATTATATGGCCAGCCTATTCGCCAGATCTCAACCCCATCGAGACTATATGGAATGAAATGAAGGATTGGTTGATGCGGCACTATCCTGGAGAACGTGAGGTTCCATATGAGACACTCCGACAGCGCGTTATAGAGGCCTGGCATGCTATAGATGGGAGCAACCTGTTCCAATCGGCCGTTGATAGCATGCCTCAGCGTTGTCAGGCTGTGATCGATGCCAATGGAGGCCATACCAGGTGGTAACAGGCTGTAAAATGACGAAGTTGTTGTTGCTCTATTAGGTATAGGGTCAAGAACCATTTAGCGCCTTACTAGGGATAATTACCCTTGTGTGACTGTATGATCTGTCGCTCCCCGACGGTCTGAGGAGTTTCAAGTACCCTCCCTCTTGGGACGTTCGCGCCGAGTTGCCCTTTCAAACTCGACAGCCGCCGGTGCTGGGGAGACTTAATTGGTCAGGCCCTTCTGCGAGGTGCAATACGAAGCGAGTGGGATCGATGGGACGAGTCCAGCCGACAGGTTACAACAACTCACGGCTCGCCGCCCCGTGCATACATACACACCTACCCTACGGGGAACTTCGTTAGTTTGCGAGTACGGATTCATGTTCAAGGGAACCCACGTTCGACTTGTGTACACGCAGCCTTGCGTTCGGCGTTTCACCATCAAGTCAACCCCTGAACAGTGAAACGTACAAGTGCTCGCACGCTACCCGCGGTTGTATTAGACTAGTGGCCGGATGTCGAATGACTTGCATGATGTCGATGATCCCAACGACGTGGGTCATTCCACATACATACTATTGTTATGTCGGTCTTGTACAATCCTGGACAAGCGCAAATCAACCCCCTTTCCTCTCGGCAGCGGTTGCACTTACCACCATTCGTGGCGGTTCATAAAACAAACCACTACGAATACGGAGGCCGATTTCGAAAATAGTACGCGTACTCCGTACGGGCTATACATCACACTATGCTTCGTAAAAGTGGCATGTGCTCACAGAGTATTGTACTACTGTACGTACGCAGCACTCGCACTAGCAATGCGTACGTGTACCATGAACCTTTGCCCGCAAAAGAAAACAATTGACTAGGTACTGACTGGCCTTGTTGACAACCGTAAACATCGACATGGCTCGCTTCGTCAACGACTCACTCTCAAGCGAAGTTTCTGCTTCTCCAATGCCTACCCTAGCCAAGATGACTTATAGCTTTTTGTCGAAAGAAACAAAAAAAAACATTTTGGGACAACTGTACAGTTTTGGTTCTTGAAAGCCCTGTCTTGATTGCATTGCGTTTTTGCTTCTATCTATTTGGATTGGGTTGTAAAGTTTTTTTGGGTAATGCTTCATAAAAAACAACTGCCAGAAGAGTAAAGGGTCGAGAGCAACGCATCGATATCAATGCAAAGCCGCGCACTCGATGCCACTCACATGAGTCCCATCTCTTCTGTCGGCAATAGACATGATCGTGGGCAGCAAAATAAAAGTCAATCAACTCCCCAACCGCGAAACAAGAAATTCCAGCGTGGATAGACGTTAACAGTCCACCACGAATATTGACGTTTTCCGACCCATTGACCAGGAGGCGTTTTGGTGCCCCTCAATAGATAACCCATGTATCGATGCAATCCGTAAAATGCGCGAGTGATAACCTTTGATGTCCATGACCAAAGCCCAACCTGAACGCGTCCCATGCATGCGAAAAGTATCACGATTAGAAGGTTGACCTCGACCATTGTGCGCAACACCACGCGATCTCGATCTTTCCCAAGAAACCCATCCGGGTTTCCGTAACTGCTGCAAACCAAGGAGAAATGCCCCGTTCCGATTGCTATGATGAATGTACAAATGAGCAGGACCACTTCTACTCAACATGGTTGAGCGGAAGGCTTGGTTGGACAAGAATCGAACGGATATAACGTATCGTCTCCAGTTGGAGTTCCAGACCAAAGCGCCTGGCTAATGCAATAATAGAATGAAGGTGAAGGGGCATTATGCGAAAGCTGCCGGCTCGTCAGAGATCATTGCCAGAGGTCGAAATAAGCCTCTCATGTCGAGGACTTCTGATGCTGCAGCGTAATTCTCGTCGATATATGCAACACTTCCAGGTTCCTCGCCCCTCCGAGCACCGTCTGTTCGACCCCATTCGCGAGCTTGTTTGAGTCCCTGAAGAGCCTGCTGTAAGCGGGTATCTGGAGGTAATTGCCAGTCATGAAGACGATCAGGTTGTAGAAATGCTCGAGCAAGCCAGTAAAAATGGACCCCATCACGGCAGAATCCGATACGCTTGGGGGCTTCGGAGTATCCATCGGATGCAGGGTACTGAATGGGCAAATCTGCGTCCCAAGACTGTTTCCACCGAGCCAAAGCCATATTGAGAGAGTTGTACATATTAGTTGTCTGCTCCAGAGAACTGTTACTTGACGGAGAGGCCCCGGGGCTGCCGAACGAACGCTGACGTTGAACTTGCCAAATTTCCGAATGAAGTGCGTGAATAAGGATGAATTTGGAATAGATGTTGGTGGTTCGAGGATGCATGAGTACTGACGTACTATGCAAGGCACTCATCGCATGGTGCATCTCCAGCTGCTTTAACCGGTGAGATCCCGTCACGTTGATCCGCGATTGTGCCGCAGGGCCTCGGAGACCAAGCGCCTGAGCACAAGTCTCAGCATCCTGGGCTTCCCATGCAGCATCATCGCAAGGCAGGGGAAGTTTGATCTCAGCCGAGGAGAATTGAGGGGGAACATTGAAGTACATGCACATGGCAGCGTCCCACAAGAATACCGAAAACATCAACCTGGAACGCTTCTCCTGTTCGACCCATGAGCGCCAGTCCCAGCGAGAAGGGTCGGCTTCGTCACCTGGCTGTAGACTGTGAAGATAGCTGTAGCCGATGGGATCATCAGGCCCGGCCAAGGTCAACAAGTCAAACGTTCGCACCAGGTACATGATTCTCTTGCTTTCAGCCCGTGCCAAAGCGCGCTCGTCAGGGCCGCCATGCCAGACGACAAGGGTTTGCAAGATCGTCAGCGCCAGAAGCTCTTGATATTCGATGCCGGATGCTGAAAACTGCGAATACGGTATGCCGTGCTCCAAATTTTTGAGAATGCTCGAGGTCCGTTCAACGCCTTCTTTGACGCGCTGCATCAAGACCCGCACCTGATCTTGTGAAATACGATCCGAATATACAGCTCCAGTGCAGATAATGACAAGGGCGAGGCCGTCGTAGGCGGTAAGGAAATCAAAAGTTGGTATGTGCAGCCATGGGAAATGGCCTTGGAAATTTGGGAAAAGATCGAGAAAGTGTTGGATTGCGTCGACGGTCAGGTATGCTTGCAAATTGAGGTTATTTTGCTGCTCTTGGAGCGATTCCTGTATTCCCCCAGGGAAGACAAACGTTAATAAGGCGTTCACTTTGGCTTGCAACAAGTCTTGCTGATATGCATGCAGGTTCCAGAGAGGGGGTCCAAGCGTACCGTCAGCTCCAAGGCTCGTAGAAGGAATGTAGTAACCATTCGATCCACCTTCATGAGATTCATACTCCTTTTTCACGTCACCCTGTGACTGATCATATCCACCAAACATGGGGTTCATGTAGCCCTCGTTGCCCCCGGGAGGGAACATGTGATTCCATTCGTCTCCCATGTGATGAGCGCCAGGCATAACGTTGCGCTTGTCGTCCCCTCCACCGGGCTGCATGCCGTAGTGATTAGGATTTGTAGAAGTCGACTGGTACATCAGCTGATTGCCTCTAGCATCATGCATCTGCCACGAGGCGTGGCCATTGGGATCCATACCGCCAGGCGCAGCACCCGCCTGCATGGCTTGTCCCTGACGTTGCATATCACCTTGACCGTTGGCACCCATTCCATAAGCCATTCCAGGCGCAGAAGCAGTCGTGGTAGGCGCAGACGTGCTCGGCATAGTGGCAGTAGTGTAAGGAGGGTTCGCCATGACGCCACTAGTGGGGGTAGAAGCGTTGGCTGGTGAGTTGTTTTGTCCGGCGGCGGCAGCAGCTTTCGCAGCAGCTTGCTGGGACTTTTTGAGATGGGCGGCAGGGTTGGATAAGTGACTGGCCCCGGTGGGGTTGCCACGACGGACGGAACATTTTTGAAAGTGTCGCTTCAGGATATCACTTCGACTGAAAGTATCGTTGCAAAGGACGCACATGTACGGTCGGTCACCCGTGTCTGCGAAGTGTTAGCTCGGAACGGCGCAGCAGCAAAGGGGGTACATACGTCTCAGCATGTGACGCTTGAGATGCTTAGCATGGAGGTAGGTTTTGGTGCAGTTGGGGCACGGAAATTTGCCGTCGGCATCTTTCTGAGGGACAGCGTTGCTCTTTGTAGAACCGTTGACGCCGTTTGCCATGACCGGAGGCCGGCCAGGCGCACTGGGCAAGATGCCTCTTCTGCCTTGCGAACCGACCACATGAGTTCTCGTTGGATCGCGCCCTACATCACTCGTCATGCCGGGCATCGACTCTGCACCGGTCCAAGGTTGTCCGCGGTTGTCAGGTTGAGGGTACCCTTGTCCAAGAGCATCGATATTTGGGCGTGGCGGTGCCGGAGCAAGTGGCTGCGGGTAGTTCTGACGAGGCGGCGGCTGTTGAGGATAGCCCTGGTGTTGCTGGGGGGGTTGTTGCTGGGGAGGCTGTTGCGGCTGTTGATGAGGGGATGGCAGCATGGAAGTCGGCGGCAAACCACTCATGGATCCCTGAGGGTTCATCTGTGAGGCGTATCGATTGTCGGGTGCAGGCGAGGGCACCGGGGCAGTTGAAGGTGCAGAGGTGTAGCGAGGCAGATCGTTGCGGTACTGTTGCTGCATGTAGTTTTGACCCGCAGGAGGGAGCTGCGAGTAGTTGATGGGTGGCAGATGAGTGTTGTTCTGGTAAGGAGGCATGCCGTAGGTCGTAGCCATGTTGTTGGGATTGTATGTATTCTGCGGTGTTCCAACACCGGACGATGTTGTCCTTGAAAGTGATTGCCTAGGGTCCATCACCTGGAAGCAAATCTATCTGTGGAGTCGCAGAACTCAACCGACCATGGGACGACCGAGATGAGCGACTGCTGAGGATGAGAGAGAAAGCGTCGTAGGATGGGGACACGAGCGTCGAGATGCGGGTCGATGGAAGTCGATGACTTTTGTCGATTGACTTTCAGTGAAGGCAGGACCGATTAAAATTTTTTTCCGGCGGCACGACGACGAAGAGGCAACAATGTTTGTATCTGCAAGGCACAGGAGCGACGCGACCAGTCAGCAAACGCCCAGGCGGAGTACAGGTTGTGTGCTGTATGAGACGACGCGAAGGATAGCAACGAGTGAGGCTGAAGGTGAAGAAGGCTTTGGGCAGGGTATGATGGTAAGAGGGTGGAGGAGGGAGGGGGGTGGATGTGTGGAAAGAAGAAAGGGTAAGGGTGCGTGTCTGTGTGCCTGGTGTGATGTTTTCTGCAGCAAACGCGTGCAGGTGAGAGGGACGAGTATAGATGAGGGTCACTGACTGGGTCCTCCTTGCTCCTAGCTTGTCAGACACTCGCAGGTGGTGCTGGGTCTGGCGCGGGAGGTGGGAAGGTTTTGCCTTGGACAGGTATTTTGGGTTGGGGGTTTTTTGACGGTGGGTGGGCTGGCGGCGTGGATGCTGCTGACGCCGATGCAGATGCTGCCGCCCGGAAAACAGTTGTGGGTATTGAAAAAAATCGGGTGAAGCGGTGGATGCGTCGGTAGAGAATCGAAGGAGAAACGTACGATGCCTCGTGATGTTTTGTAAGAGTCGAGGGGGTCGATGAGAAACAAGAAGGAGAAGGGAGAAAAGAGAATTTTGACGAGAGGCAAAACCTTTTCTGTTCGCCAGAGGGAATGAAAGAGAGAGAGAGAGGGAGAAGAAAGAGATTTGATTCGGGGATTGTGAGAGCGAGCGACTCAACGTGTGGCCGACGCAGCTGATGGATGATTCGGGTAGGAAAGACGAGAGGAAAAGTGCGCGGCAAGAGGCAATAATTGCACCAAGCAGCCAGAAAAGAGAGTGCGATCGGATACGGCCTACTGGGCGACTAAGCTACTAGGCCGCTAGTCTACTGTACGGTAGACTTGTTAGTCCAAGCGTCGGCGCTGCTGTGACGCTGGTCATGTCGCTAACTAATCCATCCATCGACTGTCGATCGCGAGGCCACTCGGTGGCGCTGTCTCCCTCTCCCCCCTGGAGTGATGACTCCTGGGACTCGATGCCTGCTCACTGGTCGCTGGCAAGTCTAGTCGAGTTGTGTACGAGACCTAAGCTAATCCCAGCACACCCTCGCCGGCGCCCAAAAAACGCCCCCTGCGACACCTACGCAAACCACCTGTTCCAAGCTCACCATCCACCGGCAATGTATCGCGACCCTCCTTTTCCGTTATTGTGTGGGTATTGATACTCTCGCTGCGAGACTGTGGGCTCGAGGCGTTTGAGATCCCTCGAGGCTGACCGCGGCCACGGCGAGGAATTCGGGCTAGGATACCTACGGAGCAACGATGGTTATCGTGATTATCATCATGATGCTGATCCATATCACTGCCCTTGCTCGAACTCGTGATGCTGCTGCTCATACAGTAGTCATACTAATCCTGAATTCCACAGGGACACCTTACGAGTATTCGTCACCGTCATCCTCTGTACGAATACTAATACACACCTTCCCGCCACCCACACGCATACAGAGCCTTTCTCCGGATGACCGGACGAGCTGCGGCGATTACTGTCAATTATTGTTAAACGCATCGTCATCACACACACCTCATGCGAACCGGTTCGGCGTGACGGCGACAGCTTGCAACGCTTCAGGGATGCTAGTTCTGCATTGGGACGGCAATCGAGGTTGGCGGAAAACTCTGACAGCGTAACGTCTACACCTAGTTGGACGGCGCCCCGGCCGATGGTCGGACCGGGGGTCAGACAATGTCGACACCCCCAAAAGTCAAAACGTCGCCCTTGAAAATAACTTGGTACTGACAGGTGAGATCTAAGGTAACATTTATCCGATCGCCTTTTACTGGATCAGAGAACCATCCTGTTCGATATCGTGCCAGGGGCCATCCCTACAGGATTATCCGATTATGAGATTGGGAGAACGTCTCTTACTCGTACCAGTCTGTAAGTTAGGTCTGGGAATTGTCCGTCGAGAAGGCATGGCGTGTCCCAGCAAGACAGGGGTTGCTTGTGATGAGCATGCACAATCACTGACATGATGCACATCGAAGTAGGACTAGGTGCCGAGGGAAAGCTTTGACGAGGCGAAGTGAACAACACGACGGGACAGGGATCCTGCTCTGAAACCAACGCCCAGCTTCGGACCTTGTCCGCCGAGGAATGTCGGCCAGAAGACAGAGCGCGACGGTACTCGTGCGGTGAAATACTCGTGCCGCCGGCCGCGGATCGCTTTGCTCTGCTCGAACAAGCGCTCGTCTGAGCATATTACCACGCGTACAGAAGAAGATACAGGTGTGAGGATGGCTGATTGCCGAGCACACCCCAATGATACTAAAGCGCCAGGGCGGATTTCCGCGAAGATTTAGGCCAACAGGAAGGTAGTACACGAGCCACTGCAGCCCGCGTAGTAATTATCCGGCCGTGTCTCTGGTGAGATTGTTCGCAATAGTCACTCAGACTGGCTGTCGCGAGGAGCCTGGTGAGAGCCAGGGCTCACGAGGCACTAGCACAGCCGCATCATAAAGTTGCCTGAGCCTTGTGCTGAGAGGTATGTTGTTCGTAGACAGCAGCATCAAGGCCGCTATGATCACATTCCGCCGGCGCTTTGGATGGCAAAGTCCGTCTCGGCATCACCAGGCCATGCAATAGAACACCCATCATGATCAAACAAGCCCTGACCATCTCTGCTTCACTTGGCCGAAGCATGGGACACCTACGGCTACTCGTACCCAGCCGGACAAGAAGGTAGTATCGAAGCAAAACAAAGAACAGCAGGTACCGTACGAGTTCCTACAAGTACAAGACTGCCTCAGGCAGCGAATCTGACCCGGGATCTTATTTCGGTTGCTGCAAGAGGCAAAGAAATGATGGTTAGCTGACCCAATCCAGCAATACCGCCGCCTGTCGGTTGGCCTTGCCATCGCGCTCGGCGTTTGAGAGCAATGGCCGAAAGTGCTGTGCTGTGCTGTGCGTCTCGAAATTTTACATTGCAACATGATTAGTACGCGTTGATGCAACCTGGCTCTGACAAAGGTTTGGTTGAGAATGTCTTACCTTTCCGAAACCACGTCAATCATTTTCGTTTTCCCTGCCGTTCTCGAAGTTTGTCCACGTATCCTCCAACGCCGATCGGCCTGCGACATTAACCTTTCAGCCGTCGTGTCGTCTAGTGTCGTCCAACTTGGCCACAGAAGAGCGACCGGCGAAACGCCCTGCAGCCTTGTCAAACTCGAAGCGATGTGGTACTAAGATCTTTTTCGGGTTTCATGTACCCTCGGCCATGTGATGAGAGAGAGGCGGTAAAAGGTTGTCGCCATCAGCCCTCGTACGGCGACTGAGATCTGCTGGCTTCAATCCACGTCTCGACATCTCACAGGCGCACGAGGCTCGGCTTGTGCATAACCCTACGGAGGTACGCGTGCCGTAGCACTTGTGCGCTCCGTGTTAGGTATTCTTAACAGCACAAATCCCAGTTGCCAACCCGAGCACAGGATGCGGCCACACTGTGGTATGGGCTTCACGCAGCTCTTTGGGACTTGTTTGGCTGAGGCACACATTTTGCCACGCTGACAACATGTTCATGAGTCAGGGCTACTCAGCATCAAAGAAGACTCCCGTGACAAAATCTACCCTACACATAGTGGCCTGAGCTAAGCTTGGGGGAATTTTGTTCCTTGAGCATAAAGTGTTCCTTCAGGATTCGGAACAAGTAAAATCGACACAAGCCAGCCGCATAAGGAACTCGACGATCGAAGATCGACTCCTCTTCCCGTACAGGAGCGAACATTTGAAGGCAATGATCTTCACCTTGGCACACTTTGCCGTGTCTTCATCCGCCTCTCTTTTCCGATTGTGAAGAGAGACCTGCGAGTAGGAGTCGTAATGGCGATAGCGACAATAATGCAGTTGCGTCAATGGTGAGAGACATCCCTCCTCTGGAGGAGTGTGCTTCGTGCCTGTTTGAGGACCAGTTTCTACAGGTAGCGATGTCGACGAAACATCACGTTTATGGCACCATCATGTCCTGTGAAGCTACAATATACTCGGTATATCCACCTTGATTCCATTCTCCGCTATCCACGTGTTGGTGGCTGGCGGCACACATTTTTGTACAAGGAGGTTGTGTCTCTGGGGCTCACCCTCTCCCACTGACTGCAAGGGACTGTTGGAGTTTCCCAGAACAGACCCGCTAGTGATCGTCGCGAATACGAGGTCGACCCAGCCAACATGTTTGTATGGCTGCGCAAAGTTTCAGTTCTCGAGCCATTATGATGTTCGGGATTTTTCGTGACTTATTGTTAGGTGAACCGTAGAGACCGACATGCTCCATGGGGGTTTGTCTCTTGTTCTTGATCCTTTAGCTAATATGTTTCAAGGCCAAGGACAACTCTTACCTTAGCTACCTTACGGTCTGGTATTATTTGTTCCGCCTACAACCATTATCGCCCCTCTCCCAAAGTAGTTGTGGTGTTGTTATTCAACAATCCACGAAAACTCTATATCTCGCAACCGATTCAGCGATGCTGTATTCCTGCCGCGACGTCACCGACAGCGCATCTCGTCCTCGTACATTATCATTCGCTGCAGGAAAATTCCACCCACATCGGAAAGCCGGAACTGTCAATTCGTGCAGTCACCCGCGACCTCTCCGAAAGTCATCTCCATGATTAAAATTACTGCGACGAAAACGAGCACGAGCACCAGTGCGGAACTGATTGACAATTGTGTGCTCGATGGCTCGTTATCAGAATCTCGGCCGACGGAACCAAACCATGCCTACATATACGAGCATCTCCCTAAGGCACCTAACTGTTGGGCTAGGGTAGTTAGTGCGCACAATAGCTTGCGGTAGGCCGTCGCAAGGCTCTTTACACGTACACATCATCACCATTATTATTACTATCAGCTTTCATTGCGCCTCGTTGGCGTCAAATCATGCCACTCACTCACACAGAGTTTACCTAAATTTTATAACATCATGTGTGCACTGTCAAAACCTGATTAGTAGATTTGTACATTACTTTACAGTATTCTCGTTATTACTACCACGGGCATTTGCCCCAAACAAGATCTCTGATCCGGACCACGTACAACACAATAGGCAATACCAATATCCTTGAGAACCCCCAATTAAGCTTCTTGCCCTTGATTAATTGCTGCTTCTCAAACACCGTTTCGGGCAGGGATAGTCGGTCAAATCTCCGAAAAAAGCCCCTCCAAACCTGATGAGGCGCTTTACCATGTGCTTGTGCTTGTACTGTCCCGAGTACTCCCTACAACACAATAGTACGAGCACCCAAAGGACTTCACCGCGTCTACTCGTAAGCTGAGTTTCTTTTTCTGCGAACCTCTTCCTTCTTACGGACGGGAGGTACAGCACAGGGTGCGCACCCGGAGGAATCCTCCGTACAGCCACTTACGCTTTGACGTTGTGGCGAGCAAGATTGAACTCTACTTGGCAGCCTCGGACGGATGTTAGCGGCCCCTTTTCTGGGACAGGGGCCGGACTCCATTTATGATTCCCCGTTGACAAACTATCTACAACGGTGCTCGACTCGACAGCCATGACACGAGGACAAGTGATGCACTTATCACTGATCATTGGTCAATGATAGGAGTGATTCTCGGCTGGCGAGGGGTTCAAATAAGTGAAAGATGTGAAAGGATTCAAGAGACTTGCGGACGATTCACGAAAACGAGGAGAGCCTCTCCCGCCCCCAGCGCCGCCAAGTATTGTACGCCCAGGCCCCTAAAAGCCACAAAGCCTCTTTACTCCGTACCGAGTCCTGAGTTCTCACTAGCCTCGCAATTATTACCGACACAACTTTGTTTGACCCATTCTTTCCAGAAGAGAACAAATCGCTCCCTCCCTGGCCCCATTTATCGTTCCCAGCAGTTTGGCAAGCTACCCAGTTTTTCTTCTCGTGCCGTTCTGTTGCGCCCTGGAACCCACCTTCTGGTGTCAAACCCACTTGTGAATCCGATTCAGATCCAAACAATAATGTCGTTACAGTACTCATACCCGTACGGGAGAGGCTCCCTGGGTTCTCAAGATTGCCCAGAAGGAAGTTTGGGTATGAAATGGGCAGCGTGCGCACCTCGAGAGGGATGTGTAGACCACCAGAACCCCAGGCCTGTTGAAGAGACACAAAGAGGGGAAGAAACTGCAATGCGGTACTGGTACTCGACTCGTACGGTTTCAGGCTTTGGGCTAAACTGCTAAAAGCTCAGATCTGCTGCATCGCTGCCCCCATCTCTCGTGGCATGAGTTGCACGGCTCATTATGCACGTGATCAACGCCTACCCCCATTATCGTATTCGTATTCGTAAACCCTCGCAGCTGCTTAGTCAGAATTTCTCACTGGCACTTGCGAGGCTGCCACCGAGCTTAATCAAAAGTGGGAGCCATTTTCGTTGACGACGTGGTTTCTCAAGATCAGGTCTTCCAAAGAGCCAATTCTATATCGTTCCAAACAGACCACAATTATCCACCTTTAATATTCCGGAATGAGAGCCTCGGGTATGTGGGATATCCCCTTGAGGCCAAACGTGGGCAAGAAGAAACAATACCTAGAGTCTGTCCTTACGTCACGACTTTCAGCCTCCTACAGCGATCCCATCAGATTCATACAGACCGTTGACCGACCGACCAATATTGGATTCTCTCTTGGGAATCAGATCAATCAGATCGTATCTATGTTTGGATACTTGTACCTTGTGCAACGCCAGATCTGTGCTCGTATCATGAACTTGTAAGTTGGAGCATGACGGCACAAAGTGGCCTTCTATGACCCCCTTTTCTATCCGTATATATGTAAATGGTTATGTACACGCCTCCCAAAATTTCCTACTTGTTTTGGGGTTTCTGTTGTTTTTGGTTTGCTCCAAATCCTCTTGCGGAGAGCCTCTGTGTAAGATACGGTCCCTATTTTTGTCCTCGACCCCAACCGCCCTATTAAAGCAAACACACCAGGAAGTCTGTAACGATGTCCAAAAGAAACGCTCCAGACCACCCGGAGAGCAAGCATCCTACCACGAAACGAGCAAAGGAGATTGACGCCCACACACCGTACGAGGAACTCTGCAGTCTCCTTGAGAATCAAGAAAGCCCCAAGGAAACCAAGAGGGTACTGCATTGGTTTCGTAGCAAAGACCTACGCATCCATGACAATAACGCGTTGCACGCTGCGTCCACGCTTGCGGAAGAGGCGAAAGCTCCCTTGATCTGCGCGTACATCAACTGCCCAGCCGAGTTTCGATGGCATGGGACCTCGCCCGCTAGGACAGACTTTATTTGCGAAAACCTCAGACTCATGCAATCGGAGCTCAAGGAACTAAACATCCCCCTGGTCTTTCTGGAAGCCGGCGAGCGAGATGAACTCGTGTCTACCATCCTGAATTTTATTCGCGAGAACGACGTCTCCCACGTCTTCGCCAACTACGAGTACGAAATCGACGAGCTACGCCGCGACATCAAGGTGCTCAAGGCAGGGCCCTACGAGAACGATTCTTCCAAGGTGTTCCAGATATCCTTTCACCACGACCAGACGGTGGTCGAACCAGGTACCATGCTCACAGGCAATGGCACGCCAATGAAAGGATTCACACCCTACCACCGAGCGTGGCTTGCCGAAGTCAAGGCCAACCCGAGCCTTTTGGACACGGTACCTCCACCGTCCAAGAAGAAATTCAACGGTGGTGTTTCAGAAAAGCTGAAATCGCTGTTCGACAGCAAGCCACCCACTTCTCCTGATGAAAAGCGGTTCAAGGACGAGTCTGAACGCAAGCGCATCCGCACTCTGTGGCCAGCGGGCCACAACGCCGCAATCGACCGCCTCAACCACTTTTTGTTCGACAAGATCGAAGACTACGCCGCTACCCGCTCCAACCCGGCCAAGGACTCGACATCGCGACTGTCGGCGTACTTTGCAGCGGGGGTCTTGTCTATCCGCGAGACTCTCTCGGCCGTGCGCAAGGCTGCCAAGGGGTCTGCGGACTTTTCACAATCCGGCCCCGGTGGGTACGGAATAGCGTCCTGGGTGCGCGAGCTCGTCTTCCGCGAATTATACCGTCAAACCACACTGACGACACCGCACACCGCCATGAACCTGCCGCAGAATCTCAAATTCGATTTCGTGCACTGGGAGGACGACGAGGAGGGCTATGACCGCTGGGAGCAGGGCACGCTAGGTGTGCCATTTGTCGACGCGGGGATGCGTCAGATCAAGCACGAGGCTTACATGCACAATCGGCTGCGCATGAACGTGTCCAGCTACCTATATTGTAACCTGTTGATCGACTATCGACGCGGTGAGCGATATTTCGCCGAGACCTTGATCGATTGGGACCTCAACAACAACACCCAAGGCTGGGAACCTAGTTACACCGTCTTCAACCCCGTCAGCCAGGCTGAGAAGAATGATCCAGACGGGGAATATATCCGGAAATGGGTCCCAGAACTAAAGGACGTAAAGGGAAAGGCCATATTTGACCCTTATCACAGGTTGTCTAAAGACGAGTTCGAGAAGCTGGGATATCCTGCTCCGTACGTGGACTGGAATGAGACAAAGCAGAGAGCCAACGAGAGGTTCAAATCTGATATGAAGGATGCCGAGCCTTGAGCCATTGTGGTCCGATTCTTTTCTCGTCGCTGCTAAGGTGTGGGCTTGTATACCAGCTACATACACGCACAATAATTGCCATGCAGACAAAAGCTGTTGGATCTGGGACGGACGTGATATCCATGCATTTCGATGTCTTCGATACCCGAAATGCTTCATGAAGGGTACCTACCTCCTTGGTATCAGTTCGTGTTCTAACTCCTGGGCAAGATAGATCCCACCTCCACCCTTTGACATGAAGTCTCTCTCTCATATCATTCCTGTTGTATCGTTTGTATTAATGTATTGACTTGTTTCTAGCGATGAGATGGGTGTTTTTAGGACTGTCAAATGAGCAACTCAATGGCTTCCTTGAGTGTCGTTGTCGGGGGTATAACACAAAGGACGAGGATGGTGACAATGATAACACAAGCCAGCCCTTCCTCCGCCTCTCAATAGGTCCAACGTGTGCCAGAGTGACATCGTTGAATACAACGTGCGTGCCAGTGAATTCAGATCATGTTAGTCTCAGTGACATTGAACAGGAAGCGCGTCAGAATGCCTATCGGTGTTGAAGACTCAGGTTCAGGCTCGGCGACCACATCCGCCCTGTGGTTAACCATCTCGGTTCTCTTTCACCAAACTTGACCGCCTCACGATTCTCATTAACGTTCCCTCCAACGCGTCTCGTTAGCGCGTTTTGCTGTGCCTGCTGCTGGTCCAGAGTCGATATTTCAATCCTGCCTCACCATGTCCTCCCTCTTCTGTTCCCCTTCTCCTCAACCATCATCCACCAACAACCTCCACAACCAACTCCTAGAGTTGGAGAGGAAGCGACGCGGCCTCAAGCTCAAGAAGAGCAAACTACAAGACCGAATCAAGGTCATAGACACGTTGATAGCCGACAATATCAACGACGCCCGCGTCAAGATGAAGGATCTTGACGCCAGCTTGGCCGCCGAGCAGGCGGTCAAGCCATTCCAAACCGTCCTCGACCACCTCAACGGCAACGACGAGGTGGTCGAGGGACTTTGCCGCCAGATGCAGGGCGACGCGGCGTTGAGGATTGCCGTCCACGCCATTGCCAATGGCCGTGGTACCGCTGACCACAAGATGAGAGTGGCGGCGGCTGTGATGACTGAGTTGGCTGGAGATGCCACTCAGCTCATCCAAAACATTGCGACAAGAGCACAGCAGCGCGTCAACAGTGACGTCAACGGCGGCGACGACGACGATGAGAATGTCGACGTCGACCATGGCTCTCAAAACCTCGACATCATGTCAATGTCCGATGACAACCCGACGTTCCTCCACGAGCGAGTCATCAGACAACCCTCGCTTCCAGACGCGATGTCTTCTCACCGTCACCTCACCTCTGCCGGCTCTCCCAACGTCAAAAGCGAGGAGGACAGCACCAGTCATCAGCCGACTCCAATCCGAGCAACTCCAAGCATGTACGCAGCTCAAGCCAACCTCACCGTCAACAATGACAACAATGACACAAACACACCCTCATCCTCACCTGCCAACGTCAACCCAGCCCGCCAATACAGCTCTGCAAACATGTTTGCTCAACCTTCGATTGCTACCGCAGCAATGTACGCGTCGGCATCTAGCACTACTCCCGTAGCCGCTCCCACTGCCACTGCCGCTGCTCCTACAGGTACAGCAGCGAGACTTGCAGCAGGAGAAGGAGCAAGAACTGGAGTGACCTCGATGTTGTCGTCTAGAACTGCGCGCACCAACACATCACAAACACAAGCTTCTGTCCAACCACCGGCCAGTACTCGAGCAGGACCTCCGCAAGCAGCAGGATCACCAGCACGGTTCCAAATCCCAGACACCGCTTCCAGAATGCTTCGTCTTGAGAGCGCATTCCCGGGTCTTCTTGAAAGTATCAACCGTCCTCGTCCACCACCACCTGCACCGAAGAGACCTGCACCGCCTCCCGGTCCTACTCCACAACCTCCGGAGCGGCCAGTCACACCAGCTCGACCCATCAAGCGAAACAAAACAAGTAAAGAAGCGAGTAAGTTTCTATCTCTTTTGGTTTTGTTTAGCGCGGTTTCATGCCGCGATTCCGTATCTCTCTCGTTTGTTTGTCATGATGAAATTTTGTCCTTTGCTGGTATGAAAAAAAGAAATGAGTCAAACTAACCGCACACCACAACACAGTCCTGCAGCCGGCCTTTGTCGAATTCCTCGTCAAACTTCAGAACCTCCACCAGAGCGGCAAGTCGATTGCCCGTGTGCTCCGTTGCTGCAAGTGCCAGAACGCACGTCGTGACGTCCGTGTCCTGTCCTGCCTCCACCTGTACTGCCACAAGTGCATCATCACGCTGCGCAACGACGCCTCGGCCGGCGACGCGCTCACGGGCTTCAAGGCCGCCTGCTCCGTCAGCGACTGCAAGGGCGCCGTGAGCGGCAAGACGTCCGTGATTGACGGCGACATTGTCGACTTCCTCAATTGGTACGACACCCAGGACGCCGCGGTCGGAACCTTTGCGTCACAGATACAGGTCATGAAACTCGCACTCCAAAAGACCCCCGACGATGACGACGTTCGTGCCAAAAAGATTGCTGTCGAGAGAGACGTCAACGATGCCAAGAGAAAAGGAGAGATCGATACACCTGTCGACTTGATCAAGCTTGTGAGGCTGATTAGAAAGCCTTTTTGAATACCAAAATTGCAGATTGCAGATTGCAGATTGCAGATTGCAGATTGCAGATTGCAGGATCCAAACAGGACAGACAGAATTGCAAAGAGCATGGAACAGACAATATTGTGACGATGCAAGCAATCAATCACTCCAATCAAATCAAATCACAAGTCGACGACATCGAACATGAGAAGATGAGTCATGATGGACCGAATGGCGAATGCGAATGGCTGAGAGATGAATATTTGAACATCCTCTTCAAAAAAAGAAGACAGTCACAAAGAACCAAAACAAAACAACCGAAGCACGGGATCCAAAGATGGAATCTTGGCCTTTCTGGCAAGTTTGTGATTGTGGTTATAAAAAGGGGCTTTTGCGGAATGATATGATATGAGTATGAATATGATGATGATGAAGAAGAACATGGAGAACACGAAGTACATGGAGAACACGAAGAACATGGAAATGCACACCAGAAGTGCAAATTATGCACATTGCAGCAAAGGTTCTTCACACAGGGACACAGAGGGCCAGAGAGCCAGAGAGGTGTGTCACAGACGTTGGCACACAACAGCTTTTCTCTTTTCTTTTTTCGGTTTGCAGAATATGTACGATTATGAACACAGGGAGACACACCAAACCACGCACACACAGAGAGAGAAAAACGCACGTACGCAAAACGGATGAGAGAGAGGTGTGCTTTGAGGTGTGCTTGTGTGCTTGATTGCTTGCCTTTACAGAAAATTGAAAATTCATCATCGAAATTTGAACTCACAAGGTTGGATGGATGGATGGACGGAAGGTGTGAGTGGCACACTCCCCCTTTCTCAGGTCTCTCTCGTCCGTTGCGTCCCTCGTCTAAGATCTGCCTCTGCCTCGTTCGGAGGGACCCATCCCCCACTGCTGCTGGCCCCCCCCCCCAAAAACCCCATATTTGAGAGTCTCTCTCGGTTGTAGGATTTTCCGAAGGAAGCAAAGGTTCACACCAGGTCATGGATGATCATCGATTGCCCGGGCATGCCAGATTGTAGGTCAATGACAATGACAGCTATCAAGAACCAGGGATAAGGGGGGGATCGGAAATAGGGGGGGAGGTGGTAGGGGCGGTGGGCAGTCTTTTTCATTTTCCAAAAGCCAGCATCGCCATCGACACCGAGTTTCGAAGTTTCGAAAATTGAACATTGGGATTTGAGAACCGAGAACCGAGAATCGAGAACCGAGAATCCGGGACGAGAGAGACCGCGCTGATCTATACCTGATGAATGGGGGGATATGGTGCATCTGCCTGGGCACCAGAATTTGTCGCCGGCGACAACTTTCGACCTTCGAAACTCGAGACTTCGAACCTTTCAAACGTGCCAATGGCCATGCTCGATGCCTGCATCCTCCCAAGGCTGGAAGGAATCTTGGTATCTCGGTCCTGTGGTACTTTGGTCACTCTGGTACGAGGTTGACGGGTGAAATTTGGACAGGATCCTCCAGATCCATGACCAGTCTGTACAGACGAAGACAAAATCAAGAGCCCTTTTCAATACGCTGCGCTAACCAAATAAACGTGACTTGGATAGAGAGTATGTGATGCTTTGTCTTTCTTGGTTTTACCCTAGTTTAGGTACTTGACCTTCAGCCCTTGGGCGTTTCTGTACAATGACATTTCTAGTGTATATTCTTACACAGTCCCACCACATATTGCCCTTGCTCTCGCCCTTGCCCTTGTTTTTTTTTCCTGTGAAGAAACAAAAGAAAACGGCCCCCTTCTCGGTTTCGCTCTCCGAGGGCATTACCTGCCCAGGTAGGTATCAAAGTCTGGTGTTCTTCCCCCCCTACCACCCCTGCTTCCTCATCCTTCTGATCTTGCCACATTCGGCAATGAAACCTTCTCTGAACAACCTCCTCCACCGCAGCATGCGCATGTCCTTCTTCCTCTGACCGCGGCGCACGTGTCTCTTTTGCGCCAGCGAGTCGCTCTTCACCTTGTTCTCGGTACACTTGCGTTCGAGCGCGCGGAACGCCCGTGCCGGTTCGCCGTAGACCCCGTCGACGGTCCGTCCGAGCGACGGTTTCAGCCGGAGCGCGATCGACGACGTCCCTGCCATCGCGAGCTCTCGGGCCATGGCGTCCTGGTCGAGTGCGTGGCGGGCGATACTCTCGTTCAACCCTGCGAGGAGGCGCGATTGGGACTTTTGACCACGGAACGCGGACATATTGGTGCTGCTGCTGCTGCTGCCGCCGCCGCCGCTTGTGCCGGATCCGTCCCTCGACGTCGGTTGCATGGGTTTCATGGATTCCATCATCTGTTTCCACGTCTTTGATACGTTGGACGCATCGGGTTGGGAGGGAGGTGAGGATTGCCGCTGTTGGCCGTCTCGGAGACGTGTCAGCGACGTTGTAAAGCTTCGTTTCGCTCGAGAGGAATGTGGGAGCTGTTGTTGTGGAACTCTTCGAACACACGTCGAGGGAGAAAATAACGTCTGTTGTCTAGGGCGAGAAAGTGCGAAACACCGCCGCAGAGACGGTAGTGGCTCCATCTTGCTTTGAGCGGCGGCGGCGCAACGGCCGACGCGTGCTGAAGAGAGAGGAGAGAGAGAGAGGTCAGGTCCGAGACTATAGTACAGTCGGTGGTTGTTGGTGGTGTAGCTCGTAATTGACCTTGACAGTTGATGGGTCGCAGGAGGTCGAATTCTCAACTTGAGCTCGCAGGTCGATTGTGGCCAATCAAAACATCGGCTGTGCGGAGCCAAAACACTTTGTACTAGAGCGAGACTCTCTCTATCTATACACGGCAGCCAACATCACATTTTCTACAAAAGACAGTTCATGTTTGCACGTCCCACAACACCTCTTCTACGGCCACTGCTCAGCAAAAACAAGAACATATTCGTGTCGCCCTGTTGTCGTCGCAGTGGCCCTTATCTACTGTCCGCCCGCACCATGTCCTCTGGCTCCGCGCCCATAACCCTCTCGTCCCTCACATACCTACAAGGCAAAACCCTAGCACCTCTCCTACTCGAACCTACTGAACAGGCAAAGATTGCCGTGATTGATGTACGGGATTCAGACCATGTAGGGGGCAATATCAAAGGGAGTACATGGATCCCGCTTGACCAGCTAGATGTGCGAATACCCGAACTCTTGAGGACGCTCAAAGACAAAGAAAAGGTCGTTTTCCACTGCATGTTGAGTCAGCAAAGAGGTCCTCGTGCGGCGTTGATGTATACGAGAGCGAAACAGGCACACGATTCCAAAGCGCAAAAGACAGAGCAGGCGGGTGAAGAGGCGTCCCCGGCGCAGGAGATATGCGTGCTAGAGGGTGGTTTCGGACAGTGGCAAGCGCAGTTCGGAGAGGACCCTCGATTGACCGCGGACTATGTGCCCGATATCTGGCTCTGAGCACATACACTGCATTCTCCTTTAAGAGTGTGGGTAGTACGACTCGAAGAAGGGCCTGCTGTCGTTCCTTATCACCTTGAGGAACTTCGCAGCATCGCAGCACTCGAATGCCCTGGAATGACTATACGTCTTCGGATATCGATGCGGTCATGATCAGAGGGCTACGTGGTTGGTGAAGCATGTGCAGATTGCGTACGCCTCCCCCCGTCCTTGCTCGAAAGATCCTTCGTGCTTTTAAGAGCTGAAGATGCTTCCATCATAAATACCTTTGAGGAAATAAATGCCATTTCCGTCCGGTTGGTGGCTAAGCGTGAAGATCGGCATTGAAGGCAACACCTCGGCGATTGTGGACTTGCCTACCCTCATTGGAAACGAAGGAAGGAGGCCATTCAACACAGGGAACCCTCCTTGGAGAGAGGAGACAGATGTTGTTGGTGCTGGTGGTGGCCGGGGTCAATTGTTGGAATTTGTTTCCATGAGGCAGTCCCCGTAGGTACGTCTGCTAAAGAGACGAGGTAGCCCTAGCATGCGACAGCGCAGACTGCGACACGTTGGTGATTGTTTAGACGGTTCTAGCATCTTCTCTGCTCAAGCGATTGGGTAAACCTCAGTTGCAGCATATCAAAATTGCAATCCCATGACTTCTACTGTGTAGTACATATGTGTGTCTGTATGCTCTTGTTAGCTTCGGACTACTCTACAACAAAGTTGTCCCAGTGTCATACCCCTTGGTTGTACAAGGCTGAGTGGAAAAGGGTTGCCAAGCTGATCCGGATCCCTAAAATAGCATAAATTTAATCGGACTGAGAACGACCCAGAGCGTCAGCCAACTCTCGAACTACAGTCCCGTTCAGAAAGATTCCAAGAACCACCTCGAGAACCGGCATCTAAGTACACAGAGAGCAATCCCCATCATGTCGACTACCAACAAGAAGACATTCCCAATGTGCGGCGTCTCGTACGTCAGCCGCATCGAACACGAATATCTCCACAGCAAGAAGCTCTCAGTTTGTGCAAATTGCCTGGCATTGGGGTTTCAAAAACCTCTCAGACGCTGCAATGGATGCTTACTCATTGATTACTGCTCCAAAGAGTAGGTAAGAAGACCTCATTCTCTGAGAAATGTGCTGATCCGCCCAAGGTGTCAAAAAGCACACTGGCCCATCCATAGATCCTTTTGCAATCTAGTCCAAGGAAAAGGCGCCCCAAATGCATATTTATCGTCCTTGGAGCGCGATCAAGCGCTAAGAATGATTATCGATGCTTATCGACTCCGGGTTGAGACGGATCATCTGTCGCGGGACGAAGACCACGGAATATACTATCCAGGAAAGCCAATTGATGGATTGGTCTGGGTGAAGGGCGATGGTATGATTCCACTTTGTGCATGCCGCAAATCTCAGAGACATCTGGCACTGAAAGTACTTGCTCCTTCGAGCCCATGCTAACCCGTCATGTCATAGCTGTCGATGACTTCCAGAGGTTCCTCGATCTACTGGAAGGCACCGCCATCCTGCCTGAATGGTGGCACTCGGAAGATAGGATGGCATGTCTGGTTCTAGCAACCGATAAGAATGATCCGGAGTCGATATTCAAGCCAATAAACCAAGCCGAGCTCCCGACACGATACGGCGGCGACATGTCAGTACGGGTGGCTCTTGCAATCATAGCTGAGATGGTAGTGGGATATGATGGAAAAGGTCCGGCGAAGGATGATACCTGGTTCCAGGAGTTTCAGGAATTCTTGGATCTGCATCCACATGAGAGGGCGCGTCTGATAAAGGGGAGCATAGAGATGGCGGATCAAGTCCTCAAGGAGCATGGAGAGCAGTTTAGTTAAATCGTCAGCCCGGGGGGTTTGGAGACTTGAGCAGACGTGCGGCATTAACGAATCGCATTTAGGAGGTGAATGCTCTTTATTGTGACCAGGAAGGCGCAACCGACCCAGTGAATGTGTTGTTGACTCGGTCCAAGATGTTTCGAAAGGCCGGCGATCAGAGAAAATCATCTTTTGCAACATCGACACAGGGCAACACAATCTTTGAAGCTATCAGACATGGCCCTCACCAATAGATTTCCAATGTAAGTGTCTTGAGAAGCCAAGCTGAATGTCCCAACGAAGCTGTTCAGTGCTGACGACTTCTGTCACAGACCGGCCACGGTGGGTAGCAATCCCTCAGGGACAAGACGCCAGCTGATCGTTGTTTCAAGGATAATCATGATGGTACTATCAATATCCCCTTGCCAGAGTACACGGAACTAGTAAGTTGTTGTCTATACAAATGATGGTGAGGGCTTGGACTGACCGTTCTTCGCGTAGCTTCGGTCCGAACGAGAATACATGTCCCTTCGACAGGCCCTGGTAGCAGGTGGCTGCGCCGTTGAGACGGTCAACGTCCTCATCGAGAGCAATCTTTCCTCAATCGCACCGCGCACTTCCTCGAATGCTGCCTTCACTACTGTGAGTAGCGACATGGCCGACACAGGAGGAGGCAGCCCATGCCACCCTTCAGACTGTATGCAGATCAGTCTTTCTCCCCTGTCAAAAGAATTCCATCCGAGACATTCGACACAATTTCACCCTCCCGCGTACTCCCCCGTATTGAAAACAGAGTCTCCGTCTGAGTGCGAGGGTAAAACCGCTCATGTTCTCCAAGAGAAGGTGCCGATCCATCCTGAAACCCAACATCGTACAATTCTCTTGACTGGCTTGCCGCCATCGGTGAATTTGCAGGACCTCACAAAAGCGATAAGAGGTGGTCAAATTCTTCAGATGTCCCTGCGTGATGGAGACAAGTACGCTCGAGTCTCGTTTGTAGATCCCGATGCAGCTGAGATGTTCTTGCTGCATTCCGAGCAAAGTGGAGTCTTCATCAAAGGACAGAGAGTAAGATTGCTACTGATCATCTATGAGAAGACTCCTTTCTGACAGACAGCAGGTGCGCGTGTTGTGGAACGACCGCCAAATGAATCTCACACCACACCTTGCCAATCGAACCGCAAGCGGTGCCACACGCAACCTCGTGATTCGGCACTACAAGAAGTATATGACAGCCGACTCTATCCGTCAAGATCTCGACCACATCCATAATCTCCAGGTCGTCAGCATCCGCTATTCCGGTCCACACTGCTTCATTTCTCTTACCAGCGTTCAAGGCGCCTGTGCCGCCAGAAGTTGCATGCACACCCGGCAAAAGTACAAGTGTGTGCAGATCGAATTCTATCCCGACGAGTGTGCCCAACCGTTACCAGAGTGGCGGCCGAAGGAATATCACTTGAGCAAGAGTCCCTGTATCGAAGTAAGAAACCGCTTCGAAGTCCTGCTTGATGATTCAGAGGAATAGCTTGAAGCATCCTGAAGACGGGTAGATTATGATCGATGCGAGACTGGAAGCGCTTTCAAATCCTATCAGTAGTTTCACTATGGGGCAATCCCATCGGATTCTTTGAAACTGTGGAACTAGGGATATGGGTATCATTATGAGCTCGACGACGGAAACACCTGATTTCTGGGTACGGTGTATTGATTAGGAGGCGCGAGTGCATCATTGCCGTCGGCATACGCAGAGTGTTTTATCGACCGATCGACCAGGTACTTACTGTATGTCCTTAACACGCAATGTGTTATCCTAAAATTCGAACTTTTGATCACGTCAATTTGACCGTGCCGTTGCTGTTTCATGCTGATATCGTTGTTTTTTTCGATGAGGTCAGGAGCTGAATAAGTGGATATCACATCTGCGGCGGCTTGGACGCTTGACATGATTACATTTTCCTTGGGGAGCTCGAAGAGAGACGTGATTGACTGTTGAAGGACTTGATGGGGCAACTATCTCGGAGCTGCAACGGATGAAAGGACGCTCAAAAGCAATCGGCATGGACAGATTCGCATTTCGACAAAGAGCACGGTAAATTGTAGCAGACAGCCCAAGTTCACATCAGTTTGCTCGCTGGACAGCAGCATATGTACCCCGCCCACGGCCTGCTCGAAGCCTCCCCAAGCAAAAATCATCTCCTGAGTTCATATCCGTAGTGCCACGACGGACTCGCCATGTCTTCCCTGATTTTGTAATTCTGCTCAGCGAGATCGACGGTCTTCATGTCGACTTCGACAATGCGCATCCCGGGGGTGCTGTCTTCGAAGCCACCCTGCACGGGACCGACGAGGGGTAGGACGACGCGAGAGAGGCCCGCGTAGTCTTCTTCGGGCGGACCGCCCACGTTGCAGAATATGATGGCGCATGTGTTTTCAAAGGCCCGCGTGATGAGTGCGTTCTTGAGAAACATGATGTCGACGTCTGGACCGTACCGGCGAGCTTCGGGCGTGAGGTCGTCGCGCGTCCAGAAGGTAGGTATTATCTAAGGAAGAAATGCCCGTTAGTTTCTCTCTCTCTGTCCCTGTGTCGGGGGGGCACAGGGAGGCGAGAGGGGTTTCTATCATCAATACAGTAGACAGGGTGATGTGGGGCAGGAATGGTGAGTGGTGGACGGCAGCAAGTGAGGCACCGCCAGAAGGAAATCAGGAAATCAAGAAATCAGGGTGAAAACTAACAATCAATCTGGCTCCTTGTCTGACCAGTGCACGGAATGCTTCGGGGAAGGCCAGGTCCCAGCAGATCACTATTCCGACGGGACCCAATGGTGTCTCGATCACGGAGTGCGGATTGGGAGGCGTGGGCGGAGGTCCTTCGGAGGACACAGGGCCGGCAGCGTGGTGTGGCCTTGTCGAGTCCGGGCCCGAGGTCAAGACTGCGCGCTCGGGGAGCCAGAGGTTCGCTTTGGTGTACGACCCTAGTAGTTCGCCGGTGTACGAGATGAAAGGCGCAATGTTGAGCAGGGCTTGTGGCTTCGTCGGCGTTGTACCGTTGCTGGCCCCAGGGGGAGGGTGATTGGGGTCGATGGTCACTATTGTCCCTGGGACAATGTTGATTTTCAATTCACGTGCAAGATCCTGGTACCGGGGGACGTAGGAGTAGGCTGTCTGAGCAAGCTCTGAAAACTTGGGATCGTCAGGCACCCAGCCTGTCAGGTGGTATTCGGGGAGAACGGCGAGAGAGGCGCCTTGAGCTGCTGCATCGCGGATGTGGCTCGATGCGGCAGCGAAGTTGTGTTCTGGGTCGAGAGCCTGCCATACACACATGTTAGTGAAATTGAGACGACGAGCTGTATATGTGGGAGGGAAGTCGTCCAGCAAAATGCGTCGAATCTCTGGACTCGTCACATGGAGTGTCGGGAGATGATAGCATAAGAGGAATATAAGCTCGCAGTGGCAGATTGTTTGTCACATTTCGGACTGATTGGTGCATGATTTGGCATGTCCTTTTCTGCATCTCGCACGAAGACCGACCAACTTCTTGACATCCGTTTGGCTATCTTGTCGAGGAGATGTACAAAACCTGTTGTGCAGTGTGATAGCTGGATTCGGTTGGTGTCTCACCCACCCTAGGAGTGCATCGGTGGTGCCGCGAACTCGAGAAAGAGGCTGATGTTCAGCTAGATGCCACGGAAGCAATGCTAAGTCTGCAGCGTTGGATTGTTTCTTTCGAAACACCTTTTATCGACGACGGCAATCCACAGTGCTCGCCTCTGGTGTGCTGTTGATGCGACGAAAGAAGTGCAAGATGGTATTCTCACCTTGGGATGAAGCTGGATCAAGGCGACCTTGAATGTCTGATTGAATGGTTCGTAAGAGGTCGCCATGTCTGTTTGACATTGACATGAGTTGTCTCGTCTAGAGTGATTGGAAGTCTCCAAACAATCCACCTCGAGTTCATCGAGTATGATGTAGTGGGAGCGCCAATACTAAGCAAGGCTGAAGGGGAGATCACCGCTCGTCACGTGCGAGGCGACGAGGCTGCAACTCTACGGCGGAGCACAAGGTTGGGCCACATACACTTTTCGAAATTTCGACTGCGGGCCGCACTTTTGTCGGGGCGCAAGCAGACCAGTATTGCATTCTGCCCAAAGTCCTACAACGGCAGAGAAGAAGACGAGCCTTCTCGTTCCAGTCGATTCTCTCCCAACCTGCAATAACCTTGCACGTAGTCTCTTCTCCCTCTTCCACATTACTCGAACCCACCATAGCCACCCACGATGTCGTACCAAAACGGCAACACGATCGATGAGGACGATCAGCTTGAGGAGGAGCTCGTCCAGGATTACCGGGAACAAATTCAATATAATGATGGCGAAGACATTGAGCGGACAGACTCCCTCAGCGGCCCTGCAGACATTCGTGCTCAGTTGGAAGCCGCAGCAGCCCCGCTTGAATATCAGGCGTCTCTGGAGACCAAGTTCGCTTCATACGACAACTATTGCAGTCTCTTCCACTACATCCTGAATTCAGATGGACCCGTCGATATTGAGCAACCTTCCTACTTCTGGGCCTGGGACGTGATCGACGAGTTCATCTACCAGTTCGAGTCATTCTGCAGATATCGAAACCGCGTGGCCCGGACCGCACCAAATGAAGAGGAGGCACAAGTCCTCAGAGAAAATCCCAACACATGGGGTTGCTACTCCGTTCTCAACGTCCTGTACTCTCTGATTCAACGGTCCCAAATCAACGAGCAGCTTGCGGCGCAAAAGCGAAATGAAGACCCAAACACCGTGGCTGGCGAGTACGGCTCGCGCCCACTCTATCGCATGTTGGGTTACTTCTCCATCATCGGTCTGCTGCGTGTCCACTGCTTGTTGGGCGACTTCAGCCTCGCTCTGAAGACCTTGGACGACATCGAGATGAACAAGAAGGCAATGTTTGCCCGCGTCATGGCCGCACACCTCAACACCTACTACTATGTCGGCTTCTCGTACATGATGCTCCGCCGCTACGCCGACGCGGTCCGCATGTTCAGCCACATTCTCGTGTACGTTTCGCGGACCAAGAACTTCCAGAAGGGCAACCAGCAGTTTGATGCTATCGCCAAGAAGACGGAGCAAATGTACGCATTGATTGCCATTTGCGTGTCGTTCGCCCCAACCCGTCTCGACGACACCATCCACACTGCTCTGCGCGAGAAGTACGGCGAGAAGTTCGCCAGGCTCCAGCGCGGCGGCACAGAGTCTCTGCCCGTGTACAAGGAACTTTTCCAGTCGGCGTGCCCGAAGTTCATCACCCCGACACCCCCAGACTTTGACAACCCATCTCTCAACATTGACCCGGTTGAGCACCATACCGACATCTTCATGGACGAGGTCATGAACACCCTGTTCAACCCCACTGTCAAGTCGTACCTGAAGCTCTACACGACCATGGACCTGAAGAAGCTGTCCAGCTTCCTGGAGGTCGAACCGGAGAAGTTGCGCAGCTGGTTGCTCGTCAACAAGCAGCGAAGCAGACAGACTCGCTGGACCGAAGGTGGCCTGTTGGACGGCGAGACCGTCAATGGCAGTGAGCTCGACTATGCCATTGAGGGCGACTTGATCCACATCAGCGAGGCGAAGCAGGGACGCAGATTGGTTGACTGGTATTTGAGGAATCTTGCCAGATCTTATTGAGTTTGATTTTGGGCTTGAGCTTGATTGACCGTCGGTGCGTGCATGGCTGTTCCTCATCTATTCAAGGGGGGAAATGGGTTTACGACTGCACGCCAGTGAACGTCTGCATGATGAGGGAAAAGTTGGTCTCGTTTGTGCAGGCTTGGGGACATTCAGTCACGCAGATAGAAGGATTGCCCGGCCTGTCTGCGCATCACCGGATGTCCATTGCGAAATGTCCTTTTCCTTCTCCTTCTCCTTTTCAGGAGGGACTTGCGTAGATTCGTGAGCCCGCCGAAGTGAACGAATGACAATGTGAACAAAACAGCGAGAAAAGGGCCCAGAAATGTGGAACAAAATTACCTGGGTAAGACGGTGTGCACGAAAGAAGTTGTTTCATCAGGCAGTGGATGTCACGCTTCAAGCGTTGCTTCGTGTCCGCCCAGGTGTGGTTTCAAGCTCTAGGTAGTGGGCTTTTGAGCATTGATGAGCATCGACGAGTGCTTGAGCCATGTAGAATGACAGGAAAAAAGTTTTAAAACATTGCGAATAGATGATGATGGTTTGCAGTTACGAGATCCGATTCTCGTAAACCTGGATGCACGAGGTAGGTCATTGGGGACGACCTTTCTTTTAGGAAGTGGAATCCCAAACCTATGTTGCTCAAGCTCCTCGTGTCTCCAACATGCCGCCACGCTGAAGATGTCAGGCCTGATGCTACATAAAAACCCAAGCTGCTGTTACTCGAATGGTCGACCACTTTCAGTCATCGTGCATTGCATCCTCGTCGTCATCTTCGTCGTCGGCGTCCCTCCGTTCTCCATTGGCTGGTGGCGTGTTCCTGTCATCGTCTCTGTCCTTGTGCCGTATACCGTTGGACGTACTGACGTCCATGTCCTCTCCGTGCTGCACCTCCTCCATGCTTACATCCTGTGCGCCCGCGTGAAGCTCTCCTTGCTCTTGAAGAATTTGTTCTGCACGTGCAGCCTCGGCGGCAGCCTCTCCAGCACGCACGATCTCAGCGTACTCGTCCGCAAAAGCGTCATCGTAGTCTCCACGGAATTGATACCTGCCCACCTTCTCAGCAGGGCCGGGCTCTTCGAACATGACCATTAGCTGGTCGGGAACAGGCAGTTCTTCGGCTTCGTCGTAGCTTCGGGCCTTGTTCAGATTCGCTCGGTCCGCCTTCATTCTCACTCGCTCAATGATAGGGTAGTAGTACGCCGCGTTGCCCTGTTTGTAAAACCTCGAATCGGGCTGTAGTTTATCCTGGCTGACGAGTGAGACGGCCATGATACGTCGAGGATCTACGACGGTTTGAGTCGCAGAAGTGTACACGCGCACTCGTTCAAATGGAAGACGCTGCGACCCATCTGCGGATTCTTCCAGGAGGGGAGCGTATAAGCTGGGATCGTCCTTGGAAGGATTGCTGTCGTCGAAAATCTTGCGCAAGCGCGAAGTAGAATCTGGTTGCTTTGGGATGTTGAGTGACCACAGGTACGGCTCTTGACCAGGGTCCTCGTAGAGCTCTGGGTGTTCGTCGAAGGCCTTCTTTTTGGCGCGCCACTTGGCTATCTCAGCTGTGTTCTCGGTGCTCATGAGCAGACCAAGGTCGATACGGTCGTCGCGCCGGCCACGAATAGGTGGCAACGGCGGCTTTTCGAACTTCAAAGCCCACCAGTTGCTCGCCAAATCCGTGGTCGCGTCGAGGTCCGGTAGGACGGGGAAGTATTCGACCGGTTTGAGGCGCGGGTTATCAGGGTGAACTGGGTTATTCCATGCTTCACGCTCTTGCGCAGTTATCGGGTTCGCCTTTGCTTCGGGCGGGTTGTAGGGTATGCTATCTGGGTAGGCGAGGTCGAAGCCTTTTTGTATGTGTCGTTTAATGTTGTCTGGGTCGTCGCGAACCACCGGCGCCGGGGCGGGTTTGTTTTCAGGTTTTCGTGCCCGAGCGGTCGATCGCATCAAGGGGTCATTTGCTCGGGCCATTTGCGACGCAGTCATGTATTGTGTTTTTCGAAGGAAGGAAACGTTATTCTTTGCGCCTTGACTCTTGAGCTGCTCATACGAGAGCAGGAGGGCGTGGTCGGCAGGATCCAGAACTGGCTGGATTTCTGGAGCCATGATCGCGCTCTCGTCACCTAGAAAGTAGCCTGGTACACCGACCATATCTATCGGCATTCCGCCTTCTGCGTCTACCTCAATGTTTGGTTCTTCTCGTTTCGCGAGGGATGAAGCATAGCCGGTGGTCAGGTACTGTGCAAGACCGCCCGTGTCGATGTCGAGAAGCTTTGGAGCCATCGGCGGGGGAGGCAGGTCATTTCGATATCGTATCGAAACGACCAAGTCCTGCTTGAAGGCCTTCGCATCGCTGGCGGTTGCCATCTTGACACGAGACAGTCGTCAATATTGTGAAAGAGTCTCTGACGGCGCGCAAGTCGAATGGGGGATGGTGGACTATCGAGCACTACTTGGAACAATATAAACTTATGCTCAAGGTAGATTCATCGTGACGGGATCAAGCGTGGTGGTCTAGACAGTCGCAGGAGAAGTGGTGTTTGATGTACGGTATTCGATGTTGTGGTGTCCAAAGTGCTTTCGCTGCCGCTGCCGCTTTGCGAAATAAAGTGCAGATGCGGGTCTCATACATTTGCACTGTATCGACGCTAATAAAGTACCGCATCTTCTCATCTTCACTTTTGCCTCTTGGACTCTTCACAACTATTCCCATCTCGACCTTCACTTTCTGTCAGCCTAGCCAAGAATCGCGATCAGAAGCAATGGGCTGGTTTTGGGCAGACACTCCCAAATCGTCTCCTGCAGTCGTCGCACCATCGAGTGCATCACCTCCGGTTAGTTCGCAGCCGCAAGGCATGTTCTTATTGTCTCATTAACAGTCTCAACAGCCATCATGTCCTATGCACAAACCCTCGGAATCAAACGCTGCGCCATTCCCTCCTAGACAAGATGCTCCTCAATCCATACCCTCCTCTTGTCCCGTCAGCCGGGACCCGAAGCATCACCCACTCCTCAAGTCCCAATCTCAGTCCTCGCCATCCGTAACCGAAACGCAGCATACATCTTCTTCCACCTCCTCGACGTTGTCCAAACTCAATCCTTTAAATTTCATGCCATCACTCAGCAACGCCCGTCCGACAGATTCGCCCCAGTCCATCTCTCTCCCGCTCGACCGCGAAACCTCCACTATCCCACGTGCCGATAATGACGAAAACTGGGAATATCCATCACCTCAGCAGATGTATAATGCCATGCTCCGCAAGGGCTATACAGACACCCCGGCCGAACACGTCGAGTCCATGGTCGCCGTGCACAACTTCCTAAACGAAGGCGCCTGGCGTGAAATCGAAGATTGGGAACGGATCTTCGCCCCCGGGCTCAGCCACGCATGGGAGATTTGTTCGAGAGGTGAAAAGGGCATTGCGTTTGAAAGAGCAAAGCAGGAATTCCTCGCCGCCCGCCGCGAAGCCCTAGGTCTCCCGCCAAGCCAGGAAGAAGAACAATTCAAACCTAAGCTCGTCCGCTTCCAGGGGCGGCCGAAAGAGCCCTCACCCAAGGCCCGGATGCTTGGGCTGATGGGTATGATCATGCCGGAGAAGTTTGGCGGTGAACCACCTTTTGACCGGCACGATTGGTACGTGGCAAGAAGGAACCCGGACGGAACCGTCACCGAGGTTCGGTACGTGATCGACTACTACAGCGGAGGCGTGCAAGCGACGGGCGAACCGGTCTTCTATCTCGATATCAGACCCGCTCTGGACACACCGACTGCAGCGGTTGAGAGAGCCATGCGGTGGGGTGGTGATGTATGGCACCGTGCCACCGGCGCTTCAGTCAGAGAAGCTGCGAAACGGGATGCTGAAAACAACGGACGGTGAGCTCAGTCTTTCATGGAATACGAATGTATAATGTCCAACGAAATTGAGAGGCATCTACGCTGGAAACTGCCTCTTGACGGCCATCCTTTCTTCCACTAGCGTTGATCGTGGGAGGGACCGATTGAAAGCATGTGTAGCGACGAAACGGTCTGGTAAGGGTTGTCGGTATGATGTCTCTGAAATGGTTTACTCGAACCCGACTTGAGTTCTCTAGATTCCGCCATGTTTATGACAAACGAATTACTGAGGGTTTCGAATTTTGTACCGTTGGTGGACTTGGTCCACGATTGCTGTGCGAGTGAGTCCGGGCGTTTCTCAATGATCGTTGGGCATGTTTTGCGCCTTTCACTGGAAGCGTGCAAGTATGAGATCTCTGCTCTTGATATGGGATACGAAAGGAGTCGAGACGATTATTTACGTAGTTGCAGATCTAATTAGTTAGGTACCTAGGTATGTATATGGTGCTTCACATGTATTTCCATATGTCGATGATCCTTGTATCGGTGTTGTGTCCGAGACCATCAACGAATGAGACATGGCAATACGAGGTATAGTTGATTGTGAACTGCCTCCCTTTTGTAATGACCACCCTTCGTCCTAGGCGTGGAAGAATGGGAGATCCAACAATCTCTGACCGCTATTGCAGTGCTTAATCTTCTCAGCTTGTCGCTTTCACTAGACCGAGGTCGCGGCCCCTTCTCGCCTTGTCCCACGTTTCTGCCCAAATCGTGGCCTGCGACTGAGGCATATACAAGTATCCGGCCAAGAGCTGCTCCATCTCCAGCCAGGACAAGAAGCGCAGGTCGTCGGTCATCTGGACGATCAGGCTGACGAAAAAGTCTTCTTCCACCTGCCCCAGGGCGCACTGGGCGAAGACAAACAACGCCCACGTCACGGCCCTGCGCTCTGCGGAAGCCGCGCTGCTCTTGGCCCTGGCCTTGTCGGCTCGTAGCCAACTTTCAACGGCGTCCTTTTGATGGCACGTCGTGGCGCGGCCGAGCCCCGTCGAAGGCATGATGGCGTGCGGCGCGAAGGACCTGAAGCCGAGAGCAGCCATGCGAATGACGCGTTCCAGCGGCGGCACGAACGGCTCGGCATTGTCGCCATGCACGAAGAAATCGGGATTGTCGTAGGGATACGAAACGAGGTCGTATTCCACCTCGGTGGCTTTGTGGCTCAGCATGGTGTTTTCCGAGAGGTTGAGCCCCTTTGGGTTCCTAGAGCTGTACTCGACAAAATTGCAAATGTCGCGACTCGTTCTAAGTAAGGCGTGGAGAGTTGGGCTGAGCGAATCCAGGTGTCTGAACTCGGACCCCATGTGTGAAAACGGGCTCTCTGCCGGCGGCGTGAGCCGGTCGAGGACCTTCTCGGGGATGGCCGCTCGCTTCCAGGGCAGAGGTAGGACCGGCTTCTCTAGCAGGCCGACAGACACCTTGACATTGGCGACTGGGAGCCATATCATGGACTCGTCGGAACAACCGGCCCGCGCTATGACTTGCGCGATGCCCTGGAGGTGTATACGTGCCTCTTTGAAGTTGCCGACGACAGTAGCTATCGAGACTAGTCCGAAGCAGGAGTCGATTATGTATTGGCTCGGCCCCTCGCTGTTTTGGATCATGGTCCTGACGGCGACGATGGCTTCGTGTTTGACCATTTTGTAGTCAGGGTCGCTGATCAATTCGTCGTGGTCGCGATCGGACGGCTTGAGATCCTGATGCCGGCCGTACAGAACGGCTCGGTGTGCCGCAACCGTGGCCATAAATCCAAGGTACGTGGCAGGGTTGTTCATTTTGCTCTGCAGCACCATTCCCTGACGAGCGAGTCGTGCTTTGGGCTGTTTGAACTCGACCGAAAATGTGGTCGGCAGTAGCACGTCGAAACCTAGACCAAAAAAAAATCATCAGCTCTTAATGTCCGTACCAACTCGCGGCCCAATGACGCTCACAGTAGTTCAGAAGCCCTTCTGACGTCTTATGCGGCAGGTTGTTACTGGGCAGGGTGCAGAAAGGGTCATATTCGTGGTTTGCCGGAGAGATCGTGAGTGGTGTACGTGGGGTAGTAGGAGAGGTCGCCGAGAACACCACGATTTGGGGTCTGGCTTGAAGAATGGTTTGCAACTCGGGTTCTTGAATAACGGGCTCGTCTTTGATAGAGACACTCGACTCGGTCGAGCTCGAACTTGCTCGAGATTTGTTTGATATGGATCTGGTCCTCTTCTTGCCCTGCGCCGACTCCAAACGACGCACCCTTTGCATGGCATGGGATCGAATGACATGGCGATGTAGCTTGCTGCTAGATTTTCTGCTTGCAATGGAGCTCACGTCTTCGGTGTGGTTCACGAAAGTGAATTCGATGGGCACCTCAGAAGCGGCCGGTGGACTCTGGCTCAACCCGGTCGCGGAGTCTGCTCATACGGACGGTCAGTCACGGTAGAAGTGAAGATGCTGCCAATGTGCACAGTCCATACCTTTGTCTCTGGCATTGCGACGCATAGTCTCTCGTCCATATCTCCAACACTTCACCCTGCAGTATAGATCCAGTATGTACGGGGATTCCGCGTCCCGCGCATGTGACAGCGACTGAAGGAGTCGCAGGAAAATACCAAAGGGACGGAGACCTATGCCATGGTTGAGGACTAGCAGTGGTCGTTTTCCAGCGCAAGGACAGATGTGATTCTAGAAAACAACGTCGGAGGATAAGTCCAGAGACATCAACGACAACAGGCACTGGACGAGCGCATGGAGGTGCTCTGCAACCCCAATGGATTTGAAGTGGGCAAAAGTTGGGCCTAGACCGGTAGAAGAAAAGATCGAGCGTCCCAAGAGGGGCCAGACTTTTGGTGTCAGTGCGCCATGATCGCCGCCGTGGGCTGTCGCCGTTGACCACATGGGTCCAGACTCCCAAGGAGAGACTTCGATAGAGTCCCAGCACGAGAACAGTTGCAGAAAGCACGGCGAGTTGTACGTGTGGGCATTTCCCAGGTCGTGGTTCGTTTCGCTTGACAGTCTTTTCCGACGCCAGCATCCGGGAATCTGTGCGCCCTCACTGCCGAACCTCGTTTACCGAGTACTTGTACCTTATCCATTTGGTATCTCGGTGTAATCTAGGTCCTCTCTGACTCCGTGATTCCGCGAGCGCTAATTGGTCTTCGACTGCGAGGCGCTTCGGATCTCTTGTTCTCTGGCTTGTCATCTATCATATTTGTCCTTTTATCCGTATCATTTGCAGAATCTCCAAAACAGCGGCACCATCGAGAACCCTGCCCAGTCTAACAGCAATCACTCTGGCCCCCAAGGTGTTGCAAGTAAAGTCAAATGTGCCACTGCCTGATCATATTTTTGCCAACCGCCAACCAGCCCTACCCTCCCAGTAAAACCATCGCTTGAACGTAGAATGCATCATGATTCTCATATGCGACCAGAAACGCCTCAACCGACGCTACCCGGAAGTCACACCTGTCACTCATCTTCACCGAGTACTCTTCCTGCCAAAACGTAAACGAGGAAAAGGCCTGCCATGATCCAGTATTTGTTCCTCCAGATCCATCCTTGACCGGCATTTCTTGCTGCTTGGCCCCCGTGTACAACAGCACCCACCCCGGCACCACTACCCCCAAGTATCCGTCGAATTGCTTTGGTTTCCGGTGAACAATTGATGGGTTCGCCCTCGGGATCTGGTAGTATCTTGCCTGTGGCTGGGTCGACGCGATGCTCAGTCATCCACTCCCAATTCTCCTTGTCTTCTTCAGGAAACTCGGCCTTAAACTTTCGACCACCATCACCAGCCTTGATACCCCCGAGACCTTTTGTTGAGTGCTGTATCCCGGCGACTGGTCTTGAAGCGGTACCACCTCCTGTAGAATTGAACCATCTCGATCTTGCAGCGTGCCATTTCCGCTCTGCTTCCGTCCCTCCAACGCTGCCAGCAGTCATCTCCTCGCTGTTCATGAATGACATGAGGCCGATCAAGATCGTCGACACCGACCAAGCAGGATTGAACGACTTGGGGTGATAGTCACTGATGCTCAAACAGAGTCGTGTGTTTGTCTGAAAGCGACCGCTGGGAGTATGCATTCGAATTGCTGGAGGCGCAAATGGATAGTCTGGGGGGAACATGAGAGTGCACCAATATTGTCCATTGTAGTAGGGGGTGTCCGGGGCACCAGTCAGCAGGCAGTGCCATTCCAGAATGTTGGATTCGGAGGGATGCGCTGAGATTAGAGGGACAGGGTTCTTCTGGAGTATCTGGAACTCTCTTGTCAGACGCTTTTGCGCGGCTGGAGTCGCCATCGTGCCGTAGCGCGCCCGGTAGGTGGTAAGAGTATCCTACTGCGTTAAGAGTGCAGGCAGGTCGGATTCGTGATCGAGGCGGGTCGATTTCTGATGAGGGTGGAGTGTAAGATGGATGACAAGTTACCGACAATGGAAGGCTGCGCCTGCAGATAGTCAGGAAGAGAAGGAGCGTAGCAACGGATAGGTGTTAAAGATGGAGCGAACAGTAACCTGAGAAGGAGAGAAGGTATGAACCCATAGAGGCACACGACATAATAATGGCAGCGTCCTGTAGACGGAGATAGTGACTGCGGCGGACCAGACAATCCGCTCTCACGTGGGTGGGCGTTATTGACCTAGGCGCCGCTTTAAGCTTTAACGGCCACTCTTGGCCAGCCTGATCATCTCGCTCTTCTCTCAACCGCGCTCCTGATGCAGTGCCTGTTGCAGGAGAAGAGCGCATCGACATAGTCACCAGCCGGACTGCGGAAGGCGTCGTCATCCTGAACAAAGGGTTTCCGCATTATTGGGAACTCGGTGACACGAGAAGCCATCCTGGGATGCATACGACGGTGCTTTCATGACACAAGCGCGGTCCCATGATACGAGACTGAAAACCTTCTCCTACGCCGTCTATCGTCTACAATCGCTATCTATGCATGACCGTTGGCTTCGGCCTTGGTAGATTTGGCAGCCTCCCTGGAACTTAGTACGCGACTGTTGATTTCAGCATACTTCTTTCCCAAGTTCGTCATGCCCGCCTGCAACATAGAACCATCCGCTCCACTCAAGGACCACGTCGCTCCCATCTCAAAGAACTTCTCAAGCAGGTCAAGCCGGGGGCCAATGCCACCAATACCAATTGGCTTTCCGGCCTTGACTCCTGCCTTTATGATTTTGGCGATAGAATCCAGATACAACGGATTATCGTATTGACCAGGAATGCCGAGGTCTGTGCAGAGGTCATTGGATCCTACCAGGATCCCGTCGACGCCTTCAATGGCGAAGAACTCGTCCGCGAGTTCTACTGCTCCCGGCGTCTCGATCATGGGGATGACCATGGTCTCGGTGTTGAGTAGTTGATTCTGAAGTTGCGTCGGTACTGCCTGGAAATTCAAGATGGGTTGGTTGTTTGTGCAGCCTCGGCGGCCCAGAGGTGCATACTTTGCGTCTTTGACGATCTCTTTGACTTGTTCCACCGTCTCGCAGTGCGGAATCACCACTGCGGCGGCACCTGCGTCCAGTATCCGGCTGAGGTGCCAGTGCGCCTTTGATGGAATCCGAACTATCGGGCTGACACCCACGTAGTTGCATGCAGTGATAAGCTGGGAGAGTTCTCGAGTGGTGATGGAAGTGTGTTCCATATCGATGAACATTCCGTCGATGCCCGCCATCTTGGCCATCATTGCAATTTCGTTGCCCAGAACGTACTTGACGCTCATGACTGAGCAAACCTCGCCCCTGAGGATCCGATCACGCCATGGATTGGAAATTGTGAAGGACGGTTGAGACATTGTCGAATAGCAATGTCCTCCAAGTTTATCAAAGGTCAAAGATGATAAAGACAACTTGTAACAGGTACGATGGCCGGCAGACACAACGATGCTATGCTTTGGCGAAGATACGCTTTGGCGCCCGATGCCTTTATGAGTTTCGACAAACCTCGACAACCGCGCTATTCCGGACGTCAAGTTTGGGTGTTGTTTGCGTGCGGGAATCCACCGCAAACTTCTGCTCAGCGAAATTGTCATGAAGTGTGCTGGGTTCCAAGTTCGGCCTCAAAACGGGGCTTTAATCACCAACTCCTCACATCGGCCCCTCTGAAACATTGTTGTTACCTCCAATGTGATATCTGGGGGGCTCGTGTAAGCCGAGGATAATATCCGGTCTCGCTTCGAGCACGGATCGAGACCCCATGGAGTGGTGTTGCGTGGTGTTGCGCGGGCATCGGACACCGGCCGAGCAGGTCCACAGACATGGCGCCCCCACATTTCCGACGACCACCGAAGACTGCCGACAACTGGAGACTACTAGTGATGAGTCTCACAGGGCCAGCGCGAATGGCTAGTCGACTACGATGGCGATCCTATGCGGAGAGGAGATGGTCGACGTCCTCAGCGGACTCAATACCCCGTTCTAGATGGCACATTGTCGGCTCCGTGGATACCCAGAGTGCGAGTCACTTGAGAGGGGTTCCCAGCAAGAAAACCTGGCAGACCGGTAGATATACAAGCACGACGCCTAGTTTCAATGCTAGTAGAATCCAGTGGTACATGTCCAACTGTGGCCAACATCTGTTTATTCCAGCGTCCGCCTATTTTTCTCACTTGTTCACAGCCTTCCCGTCACCCTCAAGATGGCGCCATCAGCAGTGTCACCTCCTTCAAGCATCATCGGCATCACGAAGCCCACCCTCTACCTCCTAGACACTTTTCATCCTGCTGCTATTGAGAGGGCTCGCGAACTATTCACCGTCATCCTCCCATCAGACCCTGAGTTCACTGACTGGCAGCAACATGCCAAGTACCTCCTCATCCGCGCCTCGTCCTTGACGGCCGCCCAAATCGAATCAGCGCCACATCTCCTGGCCATCGGCAAACAAGGTGTTGGCACGGATCGGATTGATGCGGCGGCCTGTGCCGCCCGTGGCATTAAAATCTTCAACACGCCGGGCGTAAACTCCGGAGCCGTGGCGGAACTCGTGCTGTCCCTCACGATGTCTCTGGCACGACAGATACGGCCCATCAGTGTCCGCATCGCGCGAGGTGAAGTGGTGCGCAAGGAGGAATGCGACGGGCTGATTCTCCACAAGTGCACGCTGGGCCTTGTGGGCATGGGCAACATTGGGAGGAAGGTCGCCGAGATCTTCCGGGGAGCCTTTCAAAGCGAAATTGTCGCTTTCGACCCGTACATGGGTGCCGGGGCGTGGCCCGATCTCCCTCACAAGCGGGTGACCAAGTTGGAAGATCTACTGAAGGTGTCGGACGTGGTCAGTCTGCATGTCCCCTTGACGTCCGAGACGCGGGGGCTCTTGTCGTACGAACAGCTGGCGATGATGAAGAGGTCGGCGCTACTGATAAACGCCGCCAGAGGGGGTATCGTGGACGAAGCCGACCTCGAGAGAGCGCTTGCCGACGGACTTATCTGGGGTGCCGGTTTGGACTGCCACGAACAAGAGCCACCCACACCAGAGAGATACGAGAAACTGTGGCAGCATACCAATGTCATCAGTCTGCCGCACATTGGTGCGGCCACCTCTCAGACTCAGAGGGAAACGGCCACGGCCGCAGTCGAGAATCTTTATGCTTATGTAAAGCAAAGGGAGGAAGCGACGGTCAACGAGGTGCCTTGATTGGAGCCGTCTGAACTCGACCTTTTTCGTTATAGAGAATTTAGAACTCATTTTCACATTGAAACTCTTTTTCACATCATAACGGAACTTGAGTGCTGCTCTCTTTGAGCAAGGAGAGACGGTCGAAAGAGAGAAGCAGCCAAATACCATTTTTGGTTTGTCTAGAATCATTCATATGCAGTCTCTTCAGTGGCGATGCGCCTTACTTTGCCTAGTGTTGTTGTAGACCAAGTAGCCCTCGGAGGATGTAAGATGCACTTTTGTCTATACATATACGCACAACTAGAAATCCAATGACGAAAATTGCCAGTCTGTTATTGCACAACGGTACGATGAGTGTTCCTGTACGAATGTGCTCTTTGTGCATGGTCATGGGCTCTATAGTGATAAGTGAGAATATCCTAGACAGCCAAGGTCACTCTCTGGGGCCCAATTTCGTGCACCCGGGAATGTGTCATCAGGTCCTCTGGAGCTGCTGGTTCTCTAGTCAAATTTGTGCGAGACACCTTTCTAGACTTTGATGATCTCCTCCTCCTGCACCTCATGCTTGTCCTCTTTAATATCGTCAGGGTGAAGATCAGCTGCTCGTTCCAGATCCTCTTTAGTTGGATAGGCGATTTCCCGGATTCTGTAAAGGGGACGTTCGAACAGCGCGTCCATGGACTCGAGTGATCTCCCAGAAGTTTCCTAGAGGTTGTGAGTGAGGGGTTTAAAAATGACGCAAGTGGATGATATGACGGGGACTTACCGGCATGCAGAAAAAGACAAATACGAGCGAGATGATACAAATGGATGCGAAGAAGATGAACGCTCCGTAGCGATCAGTGGCTGCGAGCAGGCTAGGCATGGCTCGAGAACATCCAAAATAGTAGAGCCAGTGGAATGCCATCATGACAGACATGTTGAAGGATCTGATGCGGATGGGGAAGATCTCGGAGTTGATCAGATAAGGGGCGCTGAACCAACCGATAGACCAGGCAACAGCGTGGAGGAAAATGGCAACAATCGCCACGGTCGATGCGTTCTCGATAACGGAGTGGCTAGAGATGTAGGATGCGCTCATGCCGTTGGTGGCACCCAGGTAGCCAGCTATGTAGATCAAGGTTGTAATCTGCAGGCAGATGCCAGTGATGAGCGACCGTCGTCGGCCGATAAAGTCGACAATGAACAAAGCGAACAGGAGCGTCGACACGAATTTGACGATTCCGTAGATACCAGTCGTCAAGAACTTGACCTCGGTGCCGGTAATGCCGAGCTTTGTTTCGTTAGCATATTATACTTACTTTCAAGCGTAGACGGATTCTGATGAAAAAGCACACTCACATATCCAAGAATTGTAGGAGAGTATTGCGTGATGGCGTTGGCCCCGGACCACTGGCTAAACGTGTGCGCCCCCAGCATAAGGAAGAACCGACGACGGTTCTGAACGGTAGAAAAAGTCTCTTTCATCAGACTCCATTGACTTGCGCCGCCCACCACCTCGACTTCGTGGAGTATTTGCAAGTTGATGGCGGCGAGTTCTTCCCTCACATATGGATGGTCCTCTGGCAGGTGACGGAGCCGAGTCAAGTTGCGGATTGCGTCCGACTGTCGGTTGACCGACATCAGCCACCGAGGCGACTCGAGAATGAACAATGTGCCTATTCCCCAAATGGCTGCTGGGACAAGTTGGAGAGCGGTGGGTAGCTGCCACTGGAGCTCGGTGTTTTTGTGGTACTTTGTGATGCCGTAGTTGAAGAAGAAGCCAAACACTACACCCAGCTGCTGACAGGCAGCATATTGGACCGTCATAAGACCTCGAATCGGCCTTGGAGCAATCTGTCACCGGAAATTAGCATTTGCCTGCATCATCCTGACCTGAGGGGGTTGTGCTTACCTCTGAGAGATATACACTTGGTACCACGGTTGTACCTCCAATACCGAAGCCTGCGATGACTCGTGAAACGTATAGCGCTGCCAGTGAGCCATTGGAGAATGTCTGCCCAAAGATTCCACCCATGTAGATGATGGTATATATCAACAGGGTCTTCTTCCGACCGAATCGAGTGTTAAGCCAGCTGCACTTTAAGGCTGTCAGATTCATTCGACTAAAGTTAAACACCCAACGAATAGTGAATGTGAACCCACAATAAGACATCCAAAGACCGCACCCGCTGTCGCAATGGAAACAATCCATCCCTTGGTGTTCGCATACTCGGCGTCAGATTGAGAGTCGAGCCCGAACTTTTTCATAAAGATCGGCATGACAACAACGGAGGCGATATTCCCTGCATGGCGTCGTGAGGAGGATATACATGACCAGAACCTCGGAAGGGAAGCTCACCTTCATCAAAACCTTTGGCCACGCCACTGAAACTCACAGCCAGGGTGCAGAAGATGAGGTACCAGTTGAAAATCTCACGAGGACTTTCACGGACCGCCTCTTTGGTGAGGGAAATGAGGTTGTTGGACTTCGGCATCTTGGGAAAAGAAACTTCAACTGTCATGCAACTCTGCCCTCCAAGAATCATGAAGCAGTGCACGATGTGAAAATCCGAGTCCCAAAGGTGAGGCGAGTATCACATATTTACAGAAGTTCAAAGTGGGGTCCCCGGCCCCGTGCCACAGTAATCCATCAAGCTGGGGGAGCGCATGGTCGAACTTACGAAGCGACGCGGTAGAGGCTGGAGTAACAACATTCAAACAAAGTTAAAGGCCGTTGCGGACTTTGTCGGACCCTGGGGCGAACATAGACCCACATGTCCGAAGGGCCCGAGACAAGCTCAATCGCCGACCCCGGCTCTCGCAGACTGACATCTCTCGATTGTGGCCTGACCGCTTCGTGTTGTTATTGAATGGGGAACACAGAGCACAGCACCTGTTCGTCCTTTCACGTGTTGTAGAAGGGAGTGACCCTGCATTTCTACGTTGGAAGCTCAATACCATACATGATACATCAGCAGTCGAGGCAACACCGTCCACGGAAAGCTTCGATTACAATCTTGACACCGCTATTCCAACAATGAACTTCTATCCTCCACCTCCTGTTATCACAGCAGATTTGCATGTGACGATTCCAGAGGAATTGTACTGCACCGAAGAGAGCGAGTGGCGAGGAGGGTTTGTTGGAAAGTTTCGAAATATCTTCTTGGAAGGTCCAACGGTAGATGCGAATGGCGACCTCTTCGTTACAGATATTCCAGGTGGCCAGATACTCCAAATCGACAAAGAAGGCTGCGTGACGAAGAGAATCAAGTACGATGGAGAACCGAATGGGATGGCCATTAGACACGACGGCAAATTTGTTGTTGCCGACTACAAGCAGGTAAGTAGGGCAAGGATCGAGGCAGCAATAACACATCGTCTCTGATGAGTTACCAGGGTTTACTTTTGTTTGACCCAGAAAGCAACACAATCGAGCCCCTGCTCACGAGAAGGAATTTAGAACGGTTCAAAGGTCCAAATGATCTAGTGGTCAGTTCGACCGGCGATATCTACTTTACCGACCAAGGCCAAACGTCAATGGTCGATCCGACAGGACGGGTGTACCGACTTTGTCCAGATGGGAGACTAGACATGTTGGTATCAAATGGCCCTTCGCCGAACGGACTGGTCCTATCACCAGATGAGCGTTTTCTTTACGTTGCCATGACCAGGTCAAATGAAGTGTGGAGGTTGCCTCTGAACCCTGATGGTTCCACGTCAAAGGTTGGAGTGTTTTTTCGGTCATTCGGCAATGTGGGCCCAGACGGCCTGACCATAGATGAGGAAGGAAACCTCTTCATCTGTCATCCTAGCCTAGGGTCCGTATTCGTGGTAGACAAGCATGGAATCCCAAAGGCGAGGATTGCCAGCGGAACAGACGGCATCAACTTGACAAATTGCACATTCGGCGGACCCGAGGGCAAAACATTGTATATTACAGACAGTCTTCTTGCAAATGTACAGAAAGTGGAATGGCATTGCGCCGGGATTAGTACTCTGAAGAAATAGCTGGTCTTCTCCAGACTGGAAATGGGCCAAGAAGACAAGTTTCCCCGGCACGATATACCAATACCTGGGTATGCTTGGTCTGCCTCCATCAAAGCTAGACACTATTCCACGAAAGCCATGCAGCTGCACCGAAACAAATGTCTCTGACCGGGGACGCTACTCGAAAACATAAGGGTTTGCAAATCCGCTCTTCCTTCTAAGGAGTCCTAAGTGTGACGGATACTTCCCCGATGTCTCAGTACAGTCTCTTCGACATGCGCACGTGAAATACAAGTTCCAGGGTACAAATATCGCTCAGGAGACACTATAATCATCAACGCCCTGTTCTAGACCATGGCAATCGGACCAGAGCGGGATTGCTCAAGATGGAGGGAATAGATCAAAATGTGGGCTTTCAAATTCCAGATAGTGGTTGATTCGACCAGGAGAGTCAAACCCTAGTACTATCTAGTCAAAAACCGTATAAACTGACTAATAGAAGTTGATGTCTGTACTGTGGCCGTCTAAATGCAGTGACATAATGAGTTCTGGCCGACGAAGGGCATAAGTGGGATAGAGCACCTGGAACCCGTGCCCAGAATACCTGACTTCGCACTATATCTGGTCTTCTTCGAAAAACGTCTCAATCGAAGGAGAATTTTCATTCCTTTGTGCCCATATATTAGGAAACGAGCTCCTGCTAATTATCGAGGTCAGCCTCGCCAAACAAATTGCCTATTCGTGCCTGTTGCATAACAGCATCCGGTCCACAAGGGTTTGATTTTCGTCATCTTAGCGTCCGTCAAAAAGGCTTGAAGCTCCGTCTGTCTCTCCAATCCGCTCTTCACTCTAAAATATCGAAGGCATCTCAGCTTGCAAGACCAATTCTTTCGTTCGAAGGGACTTTGATTGACTGAGGCCATGTCACGTCGAGAGGATCGTTACAACGAGGACGCGACCGTTGGGTTGGAGTTCGTCCCAGCAGGATCATGGGACTGCCACATGCATTGCTTCAACCCTGTACGGTTTCCATTAAGCCCCGATCGCGCCTATACACCAATACCAGCCTCTCTGTCAGACTACGAAGCTTGGTCGCCATTCGACAACATAAACATCGTCCAAGCCACAATCGAGGCTTCGCCGGAAGGTGTTCTCGCGCACATTGCTGAAGGTTCTCGAACCTATTCAGGCAAGCAATTCTGTGGCACCATAATTTCCGATAGCAGGAGTGCGAAGACTATCGCAAATGCAACAACGACACAGATAGACCGGCTACATGACGCCGGGGTACGGTGTCTGCGCCTGCATTGTGGTTTTGGCGGCTCGAAGGGCCTCGACCAATTCGTGGTTCATGATTTGGGTCAGCTCGCGAAGTCCACGGGGGTCGTGAAACATGGCTGGGCTATCTCCCTACAGATGCCACTTTGCTTTTGGGCTTCTCTCCGCGACAAAGTCGCTCAAGACGATTCTTTGAAGAGGGTGAAACTAATTGCAGATCATGTCGGATACGTGGGCCCCAGCGATTTGGCGACGGCAGGCTTCGAGGCATTCTTGAATCTTATTCGCAGCGACAACGTCTACGTCAAAATATCTGCACTACACCGCCGCAGCCCGAACAAAATCGAAGACATGAAGGATGTCATCCAGCAGCTGGCAAACGCTGCCCCAGATCGTATGCTCTGGGGCAGCGATTGGCCTCACGTAAACAGTGGAGCTAAGGGTCTCGAGCCGACGCCTCCTTTAAGCGACGCCGATGCGTTGGAAGAGCTCAAAATGGTCAAGAGATGGCTAACATCTGAGCAATGGACAAAGATGCTGGTGGATAATCCTTGCCGTGTGTTCCGTGGTAGAGATGACAATGGTAGCGGAGCGAATATTTAGGAACTGCATTCACCACTGAACAGCTATTGTTCTGGGGAACTCGCCTATAGACTTCTCTTAGGCCGTACTCGGATGTGCCTGCTCTCTATGGTCTATCTTACAATACCTCTCCCGGGAGAAACCGAGTACGGAGAGTGCTCCTCGGACCTTCTCCGACAGTCAGCCCATTATCCACTGCCCGGTCCACCGACTCGGTCTCCACCGGCACTTCGTTGAGGGGCCCCTGAAAGGAATGCGGGATCTGGGTGGAGTTGAGGCCGTACCCAGATCAGGAGAATCAAGCAACAACCAAGAGCTATATCATCTACGACTTCATTCCCCGGTTCAAGTTGATGATGGACCAACTATTCACGGGTGCTTGAAACCCCCTGGCCATCGTAAAAACAAAGCATGGACGATTCCCAAAAGGCCCAGTTGCCGGACCCTGTCCTCATCGAAGATGTTCAGGACCCTCCTTCGGGAAAGCTTACCGTGGTGCAGGCATACGACAGCTATACTCCTGAGTTCGCAGCACAAACCGAACGAAAACTCATCCGCAAGGTCGACCTGCGCCTTTTGCCTCTAGTCATCGTCATGTATGTATCCAACTACCTGGACAGAAACTCCATAACGCAAGCACGACTTTATGGCCTTCAGCAAGATTTGAATGTCAAAGGAGCAACATACAACACCGCCATTTCAATCTTCTCCGCTGGTTACATCGTCATGCAACTACCTTCAACTCTGATGATGACCAAGGTTCGACCTTCGATCTTTTTGGTAAGTCTTGCGCTGAGTCGTCGAAGATAAGGTATAGATGCTGATGCCGGACTTCAAGCCAACATGTATAATTGCCTGGGCAATACTATCTGGGCTCACATCAGCGACGCAAAATGCCTCCGGATTGCTAGCCCTTAGGTTTTGTTTGGGCTTGGTAGAGGCACCTTTCTTCCCCTGCGCCATCTATCTTCTTTCTTGCTGGTACACCAAGCGAGAATTGGGATTCCGAATGTCGCTGCTAGTAAGTGGTCTGTTGTTATCAAATTCTTTCGCGGGTTTGATCTCGGCGGGCATTCTGAGTGGCATGGACGGGGTTGGCCACATTGCCACCTGGAGATGGCTTTTCATCCTAGAAGGAAGTGCTACAGTCATACTCGGGCTCATAGGTTATCTGGTCCTCCCTGACTATCCGGCAACGACAAAGTGGCTGAGCGAGGAAGAGAAAATCGTGGCCCAAGCACGACTGACCAAATCCATCGGTTCAGACGATTTCCTCACCGAGGAAACTGCATCGGTACGACGAGGCGTCGTCTGGGCGGCCAAAGACTATCGAGTCTGGCTCTTTTCTTGTCTCCAGATGGCTACTACCGCGGACATATCCTACTCGCATTTCTTTCCCACCTTGATCAAAGACCTTGGATTCAAGAGCAACACCGAAACCCTCCTACTAACCTCACCACCATACTTATTCGCCTTCTTCTTCGTGGTGGCTATATGTTATTTCGCAGACCGCAAGCAGAGAAGATCTGTTTTCGCCATCGTATCAATCTGCATCGCCATTTGCTCCTGTATTGTCCTCATCGCCACCAATGAGCAGAATCAATGGATTCGATACGCCATCTCCTTCCCCCTTACGGCTGGCACATTTAGTGTCTATGCTACCACGTATACCTGGCTTTCCTCGACTATCCCACAGCCAGCCATTAAGCGAGCAGCGGCAATCGGGATAGCAAATTCGTGGGCAAATTTGGCATCTCTTTACGCCAACTACTTCTGGCTGGATGGATTTGCGCCGACATACCGCATATCCTGGGTGATTGTGCTGGCTTTCCAGGTCTTGGGACTTGCTAGCATGGTGGCTCTCCGTTTATCGCTAAAGAGGTCAAATCGCAAGTTCGAGAAGCTCTCTCAGGAAGTGTCACCGAGTGATACCAGCGCATTGGCGCGACTTGACATCGACGAGCGGCGAGCGGTTGTGGGCAACTTCCGCTACGTTGCCTAGAGCTGTGTCTCTCAATGAGGTTCATGTTAGACATGGTCATTAAGCATGGATGACTACGTAATGAAGAGAACTGTAGCGCGGTTCAGCCTAGTCAATGAGTCCGCTCTGAATCACAATGAGTCATGACAGTATGTAGAATGGCAGCGAATGGATACGAGGATAATTGGCGGCTAAATCCTTCCCTACAGTCAATGAGTAAATGAGACGGCTTCATAGGGTGGTCTCCGTCTTCAGGGAGTAGAACAAAGGGGAGGATGAAGGAGACGCTGGAGTTGCAGCTGTTGCTTCAATTCGGCAGAATTTTATGTCTGACAATCGAAATTAAACGTAGCCACCCACCCACCCATTGACAGGGTGTTTTCTTGAGCAAACAAGCCAACACCTGTGTCTGTCAGACAGAGGCTTTTCTCTCCATTTACTTTATTGCGCTGGTTCTCTTGTTCTCTGTTTCTTCGCGTTTTGGTCGATTTGTCAAAACCTTCATAATGCATAATATCTACCTGACGGCGTTTGCATCCCTCTACAAACTATGATGCGGCAGCTCTATCACCCGTTAAGCCTCGATGATGTCGCAGAGTCTGCTGAGTCAAGCATGCGAAAGATGTTGGCGGCGAAAGCAGAAATGTGGGCGACAGAGACCAGAATGCGCTGAATGCATCCAAACCGGAGTGTCGTGTGTACCACGAACATGGGGCATGCCCGCAGAGAACGAAAGCAGGGCTTCACGGGAAGACTCCCTCGGGGGAAGGTAAGTCTCCTATTTCTTCTCGATGCACTGCTGCTGAGTGGATGCACAGAGGCTATGTCGCATATCTGAGGAGACGAATCGATTACTTGGAAAGTCTGAACCATTCGACTTCGGCTATCGGGGTCGACAATGCGACTGAGGCGGCTCAGGGAGATGCGAGCGAAATCGTCAGTCCCCAACAACGCCTTGTGGATGCAGCTGTTAACGAGGTTGAATACCTCTCGGTAGCCGCCATGAGTGGTCCGAAGCGCCCACACCAGCTCGTCTCGAATAACTCTTCTTTTGCAAGCTTGGTCACAGCAGCTTCCAAGATGGCCCAGGAAGAATTGTCAGCACTCTCTGGAAGAGATTATCCCGCTGGGAATCCTCTCGTCAATGTTGGGTCCCTCAGGGAACTTTCCGTGCAATCCGGCCACGACTATGAATACTTTACCAACAACTGCCATCATAATATTGGCTTAATTTTCCCTTGTCTATTTATCGGAGTGTCTATCGAGAGTTTCTGGACCATGACAGCAAAGAGAACTGATGATGGCACTTCAGCACTCGGCGACCAGCTACCCGAGGTGGCCTGCGTTGCTTATGCCACCCTAAGCCTTGGGATTTCATCGAGCCCTAACCGCAGAGCCTTAAAAGTTTACGCCTATGATTTTGCTGCAAAGGCTGCAGCGCTGCTTCCGCAAGTGGCGACAGAGGCTTGCGATGAAGAGATTATTCGGTGTACGATCCTTGTGGCACTTGTTTTGCTGCACTTCCGCCCCCAGAACCCGGGTGTATACCTCCTTGGCCTCGCGATGACGAAGGCTATCTCGACTGGTATGCATCGTAGAAATGCTAACTCCAACGATGAAACAACTGGAGCCTCCCTTTTCTGGACACTCTATGTTCTCGACCGGACGCTATCTGTAGTCATGGATCGCCCTTTTCATATCGAGGATGGTGACATCAACTTAGAAATGTCCCGGGTCGCTGTTAATCCACCTCACAGTCATTCTAACGTGAATTCGCAATCGTTCTTCATGTGGACGGTGCATTACGCCCAGATGCTTTCGGACTGGCGCTGTGGACCACATGTGGAAATCACGGTTTGCCTGTCTAGTCTTGAATACTGGTACCAGTCCACCGAGGATATCATTGACGTTGTGTGCATGGCCGAGGGTTTGCAGAGCGCTGCTAAATCACGCCTGGCCACAATATTCGACATTCACAAAGAGCAACTCAATTGCCGCGCGCTTATTCAACTTCTCTACCATTGTTTACAACGTTCCCTGGGAGAGGAAAACCGCCTTCGGCTTTGCGGCAGGCTGAACAAAGACGCACCGCGGTATATCAGCAACATACAACTTTGCATTGACAAGAATGATCTCGCGCCAACCGTTCTGGATGCTATCGACGTTCTCGGTGCAACCATTGCATACATATACTCCTGTCTGATCTGCAGTACAGTCGGAAAACAAGACCAAGGAGCTACAATGGCAAGGGCTTTCGGAATCGCGGATATGAAGGTAGTTATGACGGCTATGGCAGTACTGCACAAGATTGCAGATGGGCTCACTCTCGCCGAAGACTTCCACGAATTCCTCTGGATGTTACTCTCGACTATTGAAACGAAGGTACAGACTCCCCAGGTTGAGCCAGCACGAAGTGTAGAAGAGGATCCTCGCAAAGCCCTAGATCACGCCATGGCTAGGGTTGGTGTTAGAACACCCGCGTACTGGATTGAACTGTTGGGTGAGTGTATGTAGCGATGTGAAAATTGTACTACTAGCAATGTCTGCTGTGTCCCTATCATCCAATAATTGATCGGGACAGTGACTAGGATGGCCTGCTGTAAAGGAGAGTTGGGCCAAGTCGAGGCGAGTCAGAAGCACTGCTTGTCTAACGGTTCTTAGTGTGGAGATGGCGGGCAGAATTCCATCCACTTCACCCATTTTACGATCAGTCATACATTTACATCAGATTCATGGCGTATTCCCAGAACTCCGTGCGCCGTCTTATGCTATTCTCAGAACAAGGGATGCGATGCGGTGTGTTTCTCGATGCAAGTGGTCCAGCTGATAGTAATGCCTTTCCAACCTCCCAAGATTCCTGCTTGCGAACGCTGCCGTATCCGCAAGGTTAAATGCGATGGCAACCCACCCAAATGCACTGGCTGCACAAGAAGCAACAGCGCATGCATCATCGTCGATGTCGGGACTCAGGAGAGGTTCTCTCGTGACAGTATTCACCAGCTAGAGCGCAGACTGGAGCACCTGGAATCAATTACCCATCAACTGCCGGGCGAAGCGACCAGAGACAACCCAACAACGCCAGGACTCTCAAGACATGGAAGTTCTCATTTCGTTGGTGACGGTAGTGGACTTGGACTTTTGAGGCAAATCTCAATGGACGCAAACACTGCATCGCTGTCGCACGCGCGACTCCACGAAGGAATCACTTCCACCCCATACACCATCGAGACTGTGGCCGCCCACATGCTGCCTTCATTGGAACTGGCAAACACGTTGGTCGAGCGTCATTTCAACCACATGCATCTGCATCACCCATTGCTGGCTCGCTTCTTGGTCGAGGAGATGTTGCAGCGAGTTTACGGCAAAAGTCTCCTCCCAGCTTCTAGCGAGGATTACTACAGATTGTTCATGATCTTCGCGATTAGCTCCGTGACCATGTTTCGCCGGGGAGAAATCCAGGAGCATCCATATGGCTATTTCCGTGCAGCCCAACAATATGCGCCAGAAGTCAGCATCATAGGGTCCATCAGCGCCATCCAAAACCTCCTTCTTATTGCCCGCTTTGCCATGTACTATCATATCGATTGCTCTATATGGGACATCGCACGGCTTTGTATGAGACAATGTGTGGAACTTGGCCTCCATAGGCGGCCAGCAAGCTCTCTTCCCCCAGTGGAGGAACAGATTCGGCGGAATGTGTTCTGGGATTGCTACATCCACGACAGGTACAGCTCTGGTATACTTGGACGACCTTTTGCCATTGCAGAGGATGACATCGAAACTCTGCTCCCCATAGATGCTGATGAGGAAGACTTGGTCAATTCTACAGCGGCCTCGCTAGACGAGGTAGACATGGACTCTTTCACAAAGCCCAACAAGGCATCAGTGTTTCGGTTCGTTGTCGAACTCAGAAGATTGACTACGCGAGTCTCCAATGCCTTCTTCAGCTCTTCAGACCAACGCAGCATGTCCCGCACAATGGCCGATGCTGGACGCGTCAAGTTGGACTTGGATCGCTTCTTGGTTGAAATGCAGCTAATACGAGACGCGGCACCCGTATTCTACGATCCTAAAAGTCTTTACCAACGACCACAATGGTATGACTTTATGGTTGAAAAGGATAGATTGACACTCATCCGCGGAGCGTTGGCACGACTGCCCAAGGACAATTTCCACCCACCTCGTTGGATGCTTCGCACGTACTTACAGTCCGCAGTCAACGTCATCGAACTCTACACCTCGATGTTTGCAAAAGGGCATATCACCTGGACTCGCTCGTATCTCCAGATCCTGTTCACCACAGGTCTAGCCATAATATATTCCCTGTCGCTGCTCAGGCCAAATGAAGCACGTCCGGGTTTTGATACCGAGTCCGACTTCGGACGAGAGCTACGGGCATTGATGTCAGCAAGCGAGTTGATGCAACGGTTTGTGAGCGAAATGCCTGATGCGGGACAATTTGTTCAAGTGTTTGATGTTCTCGTCAAGCAATACACAGGCACGCGAGCCCGTCCGAGTCGCAACGCGACTCCGCCAATTGCTGTCGATAACACCGCGCCACAGGAGAGCAATCTTCATGTCGGCCAGGGACCGCGGGTCCACAAAGCTGCCGTCTTCGATGTTGTTAATGCTCCAGAAGAGCACGGTGTCGATCTGACCAACAACAGCGCACTTCCGACGTATGAATGGGGCCAGACTTATAGCCACAATCAAGACTATGGGATAGATTTTGACTTCGACCTCGATGACCCCCAAAACTATTTCTCATTCACTGGCGATAACAATAATCTTCTGGGGCAGATGGCCGCCGGAGTTGGTGAATACGCCTGGGCAATCCCACCAAGTGAGGCTCTCTGGAGTGATTACGGCATGTTTCGAGGACAGTAATATGTTAATAAAGAATGCCTGTGGACTAAGGAACAATTTGGAACAAACAAGTTAAGCTGATGACGCCGCTTTTGCGGTGGTTTACGCTCCCAGGTGCAATTTGAGGGGCGATTCAATAGCGGCGCAATCTCCTTCCTTAAACAGATGGAGACGCGAGCAGGTGAACTACAGCTTGGAGAATTCCGAGTGCTGCTTCACTGCTCGTAGAAGAACTTCTCCAACTTCAGCTTCGCTCGCAGTAACACACAGATTTCGTTACAGCTCGCTTTCGCCGACTGGCTGCAAGTACGGAGCACATTGGCCTCAATGGCCACCTCAGACTCGGCTGGCGAGGACTCCATCTTTGACTTGCTCAAGCAAGCAGATCCGGCGGAGTTAGAACAACGCCAAAGAGCGATCAACGAGCGAATCCACGCTACATTCCAGCTTAGCCAACAAAGGCTCGCCGACTTGATAGACCAGAACTCGACCCTACCTACCACTGTCTCTTCGGTCACTGTCCTTGGAGCTCCGAATACCCGCCATGGGTTCTTGAAGGGTGTCGTAAAGCCTCTACTAAGTGCCAACCGCGACCGGCCATACACACAATCAGAGCTGATCCATGAAGTCGCAAAGACTGCTGACAAGCTCAATAAATTTGGTGTGTACTCCCAGGAATGCTGGCTCGCTCTTCCACGCTGACTTGGAAATTCTAGGAATCTACAAAGAATGCTCCGTCTTCATTGACAAACCACCTCAGACTGACCCCTCTACGACGGCAACCGATGTTGCGGTGTACTATTCCGTAAAAGAAAAGAGCCGAATACTCGCAAAAACGGGAACAGATCTGGGAAATGCGGAAGGCTCCGCCTACGCGAACGTGGAATGGCGCAACATACTGGGTGGTGCGGAAACACTAGATCTGAATGCCTCGATCGGAACACGAACGAGGTCTTCTTATCAGGCTACATTCGAAACTCCTGTGCTTAGCAATCCTGACTTCCGCTTCCAGCTCGGAGGCGTCCAAAGTGCAACACAGAAACCATTTGCCAGCCATGAAGAAGCTTTGAAGGGAGGCTGGGCAAAATTACGATGGCAGTCGACCTCCGGAACCCTGAATGAAGTGGGATACAATGGTGTTTGGCGGCAGGTAACAGGACTGGCGCAAAATGCTTCACCCACAATTAGGAATGAAGCGGGAGATTCCTTCAAAAGCAGCATATCTCTTATGAGGACAACGGATAGACGGGATAACCCTATGCTACCATCTCGAGGGTATTACGCAAAGTCGCTTGTCGAATTGGCTGGCTGGGGGCCACTTCGAGGGGATGTATCATTCTTGAAAACCGAAGTTGAAAGTCAGACTGCGATCCCTATACCATTACCTGGTATCAAAGGCGACAGCGGGGTGAGTTTCACGACTGGACTTCGAGCTGGTCTACTCTATCCTCTCACTCTCGGGGCCAATCCAAACCCCGAAATGTCCCGAATCAACGACAGATTCCAGCTGGGTGGGCCAACAGACGTTCGTGGATTCCGTTTATCGGGTCTCGGGCCTCACGATGGACCAGATGCTGTGGGCGGTGATGTCTATGCAGCTGGAAGCGCAAATCTGTTCCTTCCTCTGCCAAAGCTGGGCAAAGACAAACCCCTCCGATTTCAGGCTTTCGTCAACGGTGGCAGACTGTTGGCACTGCGGAATGCCGGGACAGAAGGGCCAATGAGCAAGGAACAAGTTAACTCTAGCTTAACGAATGCTATCGCCGATCTGGGCAATGGACTTCCGACCATGTCTGCTGGGTTTGGGCTTGTTTATGCTCACCCCGTAGCTCGATTCGAGTTGAACTTTTCGCTCCCCATTGCAGTGCGGAAACACGAAGAGGCCAGGAAGGGCATCTCGTTCGGGGTTGGAATCAACCTGCTGTAGTATTGCGACGGAAGACGTGTACATAGTTAAGAGCAACGTGGTCCAAAAAAATGTCATATCATGTTTTAACTCGCAGAGGCGATCTGGCATAAACGCGAGCCTGATTCAATTATTAGTATGACGATGACTCCGCACACGTTTTGGAGATGGTCAAAATGAATTGAACTCCGTACATACACATCAGCACTTTCACAATCGACCAACGTGTCGCTGCACCAACGAACCTCTTCGTGTCCGCTGTCCCCCATCTCGAACTTGCTCTTCCTGAGTGTGTACTGTCTGGGACCGTCGTTTGTCTGCGCGCAACACTTCTCTGGGCCACGCGGCCACCGCCTCCCCTAAAATATGTCCTACTACCAACCCACCTATGGCCAGGCATCCGGCGCCGCGTCGAACAATCTTCAATTCTTTCCATCCTCTTACACAAATGTCTCAGGCCATACAACGCCTTCGCAAGCATCCTACGGCGGCTACGCTTCGAGCAATGCCGCATCCTCGTACCCAGGCTACGGCGCCGGCTCCTCAGGAGGATTCGGCGGTGGACCAGGGATTCAGGGCGTCAGCGGGCGCATGGGAGACTCCGGCGGGTTGCGGACAGGCTGGCTTGCTGCGTTTGGCACAGAAGGGTACGAGGGCGAACCAGGCCTGATGGAAGAGCTCGGCGTCAATTTTGGACACATCAAAACAAAGGTTGGTTTTTGACAATCGGGCACACCTGGCAGATGTATTTGCGGCCAGAGACTAACGGTCGATGCAGACTCTAACGGTGCTGAACCCATGGACACGACCTTCTCCGCATATCATGGACGACAGCGATCTGTACGGCGGGCTGCTGTTCTTGGTCCTTTACGGCACGTTTCTCGCACTCTCGGGAAAGTTCTTCTACGGATACATCTACGGCATTGCGCTGTTCGGGTCGTTGGCTCTGCACTGGATGTTTGCGCTCATGACACCCCCCATCGAACCGAGTGAGGTGGACCAGATGGCACAGGGACAGCGGGACCATGTGAGCTCGTCGGGACACGGCGGCCATTTCTCAAGCACCTTGACGTATTCGCGGAGTGCGAGCGTCTTGGGGTACTGTTTCCTGCCCTTGGTGTTCACAGCTTTGTTTGGTGTACTCCTGCCCATGGATACCGGGTTGGGATATGTGCTCACTGCTGCGGCCGTGGGTTGGTGCACGTTCAGCAGTTCCGGTATGTTTGTGAGCGTGGGACGGATGAACGGGATGCGTGGCCTCGTGGCGTACCCTCTTGCGCTGTTCTATTTGGGGTTCGGGATCATGGGTATCTTCTCGAGTCGAGGGAGTGGAATGCTGCAGGGAAAGGTGATGTGATTCAGCTGGGAACTGAGCTGAGTGGTAATACTTGAACCTGGAGCAGGAGGTGATGACCATGACGCTAGCATTGGACTGGAGCATAAACAGGTGCATGGCAATGAGCTTAGTCGAGGTTGGTAAAAGTCACATAACGCGCTGCTGCACTGATAGCAGACGAATACTTCACGTCCACAAACGAAGGAGAGCTCTTCGCTGAGGTAGAGATCCATGCAAAGCCGAGGCGTGTTTCGCCCCGACTCTCGTCGCCTTGCACAGTGGCGTCTCCTGAAGGGACACCCTACACCCATAGACCATCTGCCGACAGTCAAAGTTGACGAAGATTAACCGAACATATGGCCGAGAGGCACTAAAACCACCACTAGATGTCTAGCGTGCCGAAGTTTAGCCGGAATGTCACCCGTAGTGAGCCTTAGCGCCACTAAAGTCGGGCTTCCTCCAGAGAGACACACGGGCTCAGCACGCAGAGACTCTGTTCTCCATAAAATCACATCTACAGTACCTATGTACTCGTACGAGTACAGTCTGTTCGCACCGCGGCTTGACATCCCGCACCGCCTTTTGACAGTCCCCCTGCTTGCCGATCGACCGCTGTTCAACCCGGTACTCCGCGCAACGTAACTGAGGAAGACTCGCAGTCCCAAGCAGTAGCAGCAGCAGCAGCAGCAGCGTAGGGTCTCATGACGCTGGCGACCACAACTCGAGATGCCAGAATTGTGCTTTGTGTGCCTGCGATTACTTCCATTGTGCCTCTTTATGCCGCTGCCAATGCCGTCGACCATGACGCTCTCGCATGACTTTGAACTTTCCTCCTTCCCCGGAAGTGGAGATGACATGGACCACACTTACCGTGTCAGAACCACTTGAGTCCTCATGATCGGTGGCAGGAACAAAGCACCGCCTTTCAAGCCACGGGTCCTTCATCCATCAAACGTTCTTCTACCTCGTTCATCCGATGTTTATCCATTGATTTGAATCCATCGACAGTCTGATATCTGCATCCAAAGTCTCTCGTTCTATCTCAAGCTCTTACCACGGATATTCCAGTATATGCCAGATCTATTTCTTCTGATTCCCTACTATTCCCTTGTTAGTTCCATCTGGAAACCAGTATCTGGCAGACCGAGCTTTGCCCATCATGGGTTCCATGCCGCTCCAGACCACTATTGATGTCGAAGATGTTCTCTCCCAATTAACCACTAGCGAAAAAGTTACCCTGCTATCCGGCATTGATTTTTGGCACACTGCCCCTGTCCACAGACTAGGTGTGCCCTCGATACGATTGTCTGATGGACCCAATGGTGTCCGAGGCACTCGCTTTTTCAATGGGGTCCCTGCCGCATGTCTTCCTTGTGGTGAGCCGATCACCACTACTATGGGTGGCCAATGACTAACTGGCTCAGGAACTGGCCTCGCCGCGACGTGGGACACGGATCTCATTGAGAAAGGGGGCAGATTACAAGGCCACGAGGCCATTGCCAAAGGTGCTTCTGTTATCCTTGGGCCGACCACAAACATGCAGCGGTCTCCGCTGGGTGGCCGAGGATTCGAAAGCTTCAGCGAGGATCCGTACCTTGCAGGTGCCATGAGTGCGGCTACGATCAATGGTATTCAGTCGACGGGGGTGGCAGCCACAATCAAGCACTACGTTTGCAATGACCAAGAGGACCAGAGACAGGCTGTGGACAGCATTTTATCAGAAAGAGCTCTTCGAGAAATCTATCTGATGCCATTCATGATCGCACAGCGAGACTCCTCGCCCGATTGTTACATGACTGCGTACAATCGAGTAAATGGCCTTCATGCCAGTGAGAATCCTCGACTCATCCAAGACATCCTCAGACGCGAATGGGGCTTCGATGGCTTAGTCATGAGTGATTGGTACGTGGGAATGTTGGAGTCTCTTTCGACCAGTCACTAATTCTCCTTCAGGTTCGGCACGTACTCAACGACAGAGTCCATCAAGGCAGGCCTCGACCTGGAAATGCCGGGGCCTACATATATCCGTGGACATTTGGTCAACCAGGCAATCGGTTGTGGCAAACTTCAGGTCTACGATATCGACCAAAGAGCACGTGAGGTGCTGAAGCTTGTCAAGAAGGCTCAGTCACTTGGTTTGCCGGAAAATGCTCCTGAGAAGACCGTCGACACAGCCGAGACATCTGCCTTGCTTCGGAAAATCTCTTCCAATGGCATTGTACTCATGAAGAACGAACGCAATCTGCTCCCCTTTGACAAGAAGAAGACCACAGCCATTATCGGTCCGAATGCTGCGTATGCCGCGTACTGTGGTGGCGGTTCAGCTTCGCTCATACCATACTACGCGGTTAGCCCGCTTGACGGACTTCAGGTCCAGGCAACTGACTCAAAATACGCATTGGGGGCCCCAGGTTGGAAAACTCTCCCACTCATGACTCGTTTGACCAAAACGAAAGGGGATAAACCGGGATTGACCATGAAAGTATATCTGGACCCACCTTCTGTGAAGGACCGTGAATTGGTAGACGAGGTTTACGTGAACAACTCCGATATCTTACTCGTGGATTACAAGAACCCTGAGATAAAGACTACACTTTACTGGGTCACAGTGGACGGTACATTTACTCCTTCAGAAACGTCCGAATACGAGTTTAGTCTGGCGGTTGCTGGTACCGGCAAGATCTACGTCAATGGAAATTGCGTGGTGGACAACGAGACAAAACAACGGCCGGGAGACTCCTTCTTTGGCTCCGGGACGGCAGAGGAGATCGGCTCCTTGAAGTTGAACCAAGGGGAGACCTACAACATTCACGTCGAATTCGGCACGTACCCTACCATGAAATTCAATACTAAAGGTGCTACTGGCTTTGGTGCAGGCGGCTTAAGGATTGGGCTTGAGCGCAAAGTTGACATCGAGACCGAAATTGAGAGGGCCGTCCGACTGGCCAAAAACGCAGACCAGGTCGTTCTTTGCGCTGGCCTCAACAAAGATTGGGAGTCAGAAGGATATGATCGAGCACACATGGATCTGCCGCCGGGCAGCGACGACCTCATCAAGGCAGTCCTTGCCGTCAACCCCAACACGGCGATTGTGATTCAGTCGGGAACCCCTGTCGCTATGCCGTGGTTGAAAGATGCACCTGCACTACTTCAAGCTTGGTACGGTGGTAATGAGACCGGAAATGCAATTGCAGATGTCGTCTTTGGCAACACAAACCCCAGTGGCAAGCTGCCCTTGAGTTTCCCCATCAGGAACGAAGACAACCCGGCGTTCTTGAACTATAAGTCCGAGCGTCAGAGAGCCGTATATGGTGAAGACGTTTATATCGGCTACCGTTTCTACGAAAAGACCAAGAAAGAAGTTGCCTTCCCATTTGGACATGGCCTCAGTTACACCACGTTCGAGATCAATGACCTCTCTATTGACGATGACGAGGCTAACATCGTCGTCTCTGCAGCGGTGACCAATACTGGAAACGTCGATGGGGCGCAGGTCGTTCAGGCTTACGTCTCACAACGAAACCCAAGCATCAACCGCCCTCCAAAGGAACTCAAGGGTTTTGCAAAGGTGTTTGTCAAGGCTGGATCTACAGAAAAGGTCAGGATCTCCTTCTCCAAGAAATATGCTGCAAGTTTCTGGGATGAAGGACGCGATTCTTGGACGATGGAGAAGGATGTGTATGATGTTCTGGTGGGCGATTCCAGCGCTTCTACCCCTCTGAAAGGACATTTTGCAGTCCATGAAACGAAATGGTGGAGAGGTCTATGAAGGTAGTCCTAGGACTATGGCGCGTTTGGACAGTCTTTGGTTAGATCTGGTTGTAGAGACAGCCGGCGGATATCCTGATAGATGTTGGTCTGGGGATGACGGCTTGATTGGCATGGTTTCGAAGACGACAATGAATAGGGCAGGACAAGGTCATATCACGTTGCATGTAACATGTGTATATCAAATTGAATGATGACGATAGGATGTAACGACCCTCTAGAGAGGCGTTTGAGACTTTGTCGCCGAGACCGGCTGCACCCTCTCCCGCCATGGGGAGAGGTAAAATGCACATGCCTCCATTTGGTTAGCATCTATTCTAGGCACCCCTAACTTTGCCATTCATGCCTACAACGCGCCTATTCCCTACCCATCACATCACAACCATCACAGCCACAGCAAAGACTCCTATTTTGCAAGTCTAGAGTACCAAACTTGCCAATCTAGAGGGCGGTGGACAAGCGTGTCAAGGGAGAGCGGTGATGTACAAGTCCAGAGGGTGATGAAGAGTTGAGTCTGGAGTGTCTAAGTCGTACAAGTTTAACTAGAGGGCGACAATACGTTGGGTAATGTGAGCCTAGACCGCCCAAAGTTGTAAGTCAAGCTCGAAGAATCTGTAGTTATCAAGGAAGCCTTAGTTAAAGCATCCTGAACCACAAAACCTGGGTAAAAAGGGTGGCGAAGAGACGATTTTAGGGGCACCTACCTAAATTACATACATACAGTACGTGCGCGAGGTGCCTAAAAATTGCAGGGTCCAGGGAGCTTCCAGAATGAGTGCGCTTTGGGCGAGAAAATCGTCCCCCGATTGGGAAAGGTTACCCCGCGCGTTTGTGCGTTTTACCGTACCTCTGACCGCCTATAAGCATCCCTGGCACTCACCAAAGGTGAGCACTAACTAACTAGTTAGTTGGCTAGTTAGGTAGACCCCTTAAGCAATGAAACAATCTAGTTAACTAGGTACAGTAAGTAGGTGGTTACGCTCTCGACCTCGACACAGCTGGCTACGACACCCCAACACTCACACACACACACACTCCGACTCCGACTCCGTCTCCGTCTTGCCGATGACACTGGTCTTTGCTCTGGGGTCGAACGGCTACGGACAGCTTGGGACGGGGCACAGGGAGGACTCGGCGGCGGCGCAAAGGTGTCTGTTCGAGGGTCCTCCACAGGTAGAAGAAACCCCGTGCTCGAGTGGCCGCTCGGACGGGGATGGCGATGCCGACACGACGACGTCGATTGAAAGTGGAACTGGAAACCGGTCTGGAACTGGAACTGAAAACGACGATGCGACGACGACTACTGTAACTATGCAAGTCAAGAAGATCGTGGCAGGAGGGAATCACACTCTCTTATTAACGCTCGACGGTAGGATATTTGCCGCTGGTAAACCCGTCGGGGAATTTGAACGAGACAGTGATGAAGAAGAGCAAGAAGAAGATCAAGGTCAACCAACACCACCGCCACCGTCACCACCACCACGACCACGACAACCATCCACACGAACGCCATCCACCGTATTTCGAGAATGTCGAACCGACTTTCTCGCCGGAGCCACGACCGAAACTCAAACTGAAGCGGAAGCGACTGGCCCCAAACGAAATACAAAATGCTACATATCAGACGTCGCGGCGACATGGGACGCTTCGTTCTTCGTAGTCGATCGGAAGAGTGTTTATGTCTTGGGAACCGGGTCGAAAGGAGAACTAGGCCTCGATCACGATGTCCACGAGACGAGACGACCAAGGAAGGTCTTTGATGTAGGTCATCAGGATGACGATGATGGCAACGGCAGTATATCATTTACTACTGTCGAAGCAGCTACTACGACAATAACAACAACTGCTGCTGAAGCCGATATCTTGACAATCGCAGCGTCCATGTCCCACGTCGTGGTCCTTTTATCGGACGGCCGCTGTTTCGGCTGGGGAGCCTGCCGCAAGGGACAGCTTGGGGACAAGTTCCGAGTGGACAAGGCCCTATGGCGGCCGACGAGGATCGATAAGAAAGACTCATCGTCATTGCTGCCGTTCCGACCTGATGGCGTTGTCCTGGGCCGTGAGTATACTGCATTCTTCCGCTGTGGGAAACCGCTGTTGGTCTGGGGCGAACGAAAAGATTTTCTTCATGAGGGGCAGCAAGCATTGAACCATACACTTCATAAAGGAGATATCGTGGTCTCAGGCTGGAGCTCGCTTCATATATTGTCTTGTTCTCCTTCGTCCTCGCCAACAGTCATGAGCAGCGGCAAAAATCATCGAGGTCAACTGGCCCCAGACAAATTGCCGTCCATAACCGCTTTGGCTGCGGGTAGCGAGCATTGCGTGGCCGTCACAACTACCCAAGATGTCATTGCCTGGGGTTGGAGCGAGCATGGAAACTGTGGTGCAGAGGTAGACCGCAAAGGCAATGTTGCAGGACGGTGGAATGTGATTTCCTTACCTCCTCTCAGCAGTAAGTACCGCGTCACGGCTGTCGCTGGAGGCTGTGCAACCACTTTTGTCATCTGCGAGAAAACCCGGCCTTGAAGAAATAGCAGGCCACGAGAACGATTTGGTCAGTCGAAAATCCCACGAACTTGGGACAGCCGTTGTGTGGGCGCGATCTCGTGCGGGAATCTTGACTTTATCATCGTCGGCCGGCGGTCCCGTTCTTGCATGGACGCGAACGAATGTAACTCCGAGTCGCGGATCCGACGGGAACTTGACGCCGAAACTTCGTCAGCAGTGTTGTCCCAAGTCACTATGTCGGGCTCTGTGTCAAAGTTGGGCTCGTCCCATTGCTGGTCGTCGTCGTCGGCAGGGATGAATAGACTTTCGGGATCGAGGCTCGCTGCTGGTAATTGTGCCGAGTCTCCTGATTCAGTTTTCGAGAGTGGCGGTGGGAGTTCGCGCTCGCGCACGGAGGTGTGTGCTGGCGGAGGCATCGAGGCAGAATCTGCAGGGCGGAAACTTGCTGGGAGGGTAGATCCCGCTTCTGTCGCTGGGCTGTCGGGCGGCCGAGACACAGGGCGCAAAGAAAGATCTCGAGCCGGCGTGCTTGCACCCGCAGCACTGGGGACAGCCGTTGTGCCTCGAGTCATGAGTGTAAATTCCGCCATGATACCGTTGTCTTCGTACGTTATCTGCATGGGCCGATTGCCTCGGGAGTATTTGGCCGTCACTTGGGCTCTCATCGATTCAGCGTGCGCTATAATGGCTCGGAAATCTTTGACCATGGTACCGATGTGGAGACCCTCTTGAACGTTGAAGCTGGTGAAATCTTTGCGCTCGAGAGCGACAGAGGTGTGCATTGGCTGCTTGAGGATTTCTAGAAGTGCAACGCCGGCAATGAGTCAGTCATCTGAATAGGTCGTTGGTTGGACTTTCATGCTTCATACCTCTACCGCTCTGGATCTTCTCGGTGTAACTTGTAAAAGTGACTTTTCCATTCTGATAAAACCAGTCGAGTTGATCTGTCTTTGGGCCGAAATACTCAACCACATCGCGCAAAGTTCGAGACGAAACGGTCCATTGGTTGGGAGAAGCGCTGTCGTCGAATGCAGCATGCAGGATCTCCCCGGACTCGTAATACAACCTGTAGGTCTTGACCACGCCCTGGCGGCAGTTCAACCGGAAGATCAATCGGCACTCTGCCTCGTCGGGATTTGCCTGTAGTTCGCACTCGCAATTCTCGAGCGCCGTGTCCCTATCTCGCTGATCCGCTAGGCGACGCTTGAAGATGGAGAGAAGAGCCTACGGATAGTCCGTCAGCAGGGCGGAATTGTTCTGGGCGGACGAAGAGAAAAACACACCCTGTTCTGGAGTTTACACGACCAGAACTTTGGCACTGCTGGGCCAGACGGGCTCCTCGGCCCGGCTGAAAAATGATACTTGGTGAAAAAGGAAGAGCCAAGGGTGAATGCAGCATGGGCTGTTTTGGAGATATTGAGACTCGATATGCGAAGCTGATGACGAGGAATATGAGTGAGCTAGAGATTCAACAGAGGGTCAAGCTCGCGATCACGATGGTCTTACAAACTGAGGAGTGGCTTCTAGCGAGACGTCTTCGTCGAATTTTGCCAGACAAGACAGGAAGTCGTGGATGTAGCCCACTCCCTGAGGGCCGACGGTGAAGAGAAGCGTCGGCATGAGCGAGTCTCATCAACAAGTCAGCGGCAATGGTGACGAGACGTTGAGTGGTGGTATGGCGCTGATAGATACCTCCTGCTTGTGGGCTTCCCGTGTTCCTTCCGCACTCGTGCTCCGGTGCGACACGCGCTCAGACGCGTAAAGCGCAGTGATGTCATTGGCTGAATCCGACGTCGAAGCGTCGCTTTCATTCAGTATCGGAGGATGCCATGTTTACCTTAAATCCTTGCCCATTCATCCTCAGTCATTCTTTTTCAAATCCTCTTTGCCACTTCGATCCCATCCTCGAAAACATCTATACCATCTATATCATTAATCCAATACCCATTTCAACTTCTTCTGATCTGCCCGCTGCCGGCGAAAGCCGCTGTGGCTAGGGATGTCGTCGGCAACTGGCCGGGGCACGACGCTCCCAGATGAAATACTGGCCATGATCTGCGCAGAGCTGGGCAACGACAACGATTTTGGTTCTCTATTCAGCTGTGCTTTGTCCTCCAAGTCCTTTGCAGACCCTGCTCTGCGGACAATGTACCAGTACGTGCCCTGACCCTTATCTCCCTCACCGCAGCCCACGATTGTCGAGATTAATGGTTTCCTTTCTCTATGATAAACCCAGACGCCACCAGTTCTCCCCCGTCTTTGAGCAGCGGGATGATCTCGTCATGCAGAAGGAAGTCGACTTCTCGACGAAAGCAGCGGAAGAAAAGCGACTATACCAGAAATGGAACCTCCTCTGGCGTTCCATCATATCGTCCAGTCTCGACGATACGAGGTGGCCGACGTACAAGCCGTACTGCCGGTACATCACGACACTGGACTTTCGCAATCTCCTCGCCATGGTAGATGACTTCAAATTCACGCCGCAGGTCCAGTCACAATTCTTCAAAAAGGGCCTGCAAAAGTTCTGGTTCCCTAAGAAGGAATTCGCCCGACAAACAGTCGACGGCGTTGCGACCGTGAACGCCGTCGGTGACGCCCTGACCGCAAAGACCCACCTGCTTGAAGAGATCAACGGTCATGTCAGTCAAGGGCACTTGTCTGACTGGATAGCCCTCTCCCCGAAGCTGGTGAGTATGGTCTTGTGGAAGGGCGACGCCCTGTCCAACGGTGCTGGCAAGGCCATTGCCCAGCACTGCGAGTCGTTCAAAAGCTTAACCATACATGAATGGTCAAGTCCGGATGCGGACATCGCGTGCTCCACCTTCCTCAACGACCTAAAGCCAGACACGTTGGAATACTTTGAGATGATCAGCTTCAACACATTGGGAAAGCTGTCCTTTGCTGCTCTAGGACGACACAAGTCTCTACGTGAACTATCATTGAGCAACCTTGACAAGGAAGCCATGCTGAATCTGAACGCGCTCAAAGAATGCACCGAATTACACACGCTCAAGCTCGACGACAATCTGGGCAACGTGCAGCTCCAAAGACTTTACAACGACGTGTTTCTGGAAGTCGTCAATTGGCTCAGTTCGTGTCGAAAGTTACGAGATCTGAGCTTGAAGAAATTCTTGGATGGGCCTGGCATTCTCTCACGGGTTCTGTGCTCGCCCAACGTGCACTTGACCAGATTATCTCTAGAAGGGTACAACGTGCGTACCACGGATTCTCAGCTCTTCCACTCCGCACTTCCGGAACAGCAATCCTTGGAATCAATATGGCTCAAGGGCCAGGGCGAGTATACCACCTCCGATGATCTTGCAATCATGGTCCAAGGTCTATGTGGATTGAAGAACCTCAAAGAGCTTGTGCTCAAAGATGTGTCGGACGAATTTACCGAGACGCATATTGCGACCCTTGCCCTGAGCCTTCCGCACCTCGAAGACTTGTGGACGAGTGGTGGCGAGATATCTGAGGACATTCTGGGAATCTTGGCTGGGCTTGACAAACTCAAGAACTTGACACTCTACGCTCTGACACAATTCAGCTCCGAAGCCATCCTGGACTTCTTGGAACGTCTCAATCCAGTAACACAGAAAGGGTTCAACTTGTCTTTGATGGCCGCGCACCCTGACTATGACTTGACCGAAGCGGAGCAGGATTTAATCCGAGAGTACATTCGAGCAAACCTGGATGGCCGCTTTGACCTTGTTGTGTGGAGAGAGCTTGAAACAAGCGACAGTGAGGACGATTGAAGCGAGAAAGTACATATCATGGAAGGCTTCATGTCTTGGATGCCTTGTCGAGTGCCGATTCCAAAACTTGGCAAAATCGAAAGACATCTGTAAAAGTGTTGTACAGTGGCGCCGGCGCTACTCTGATGACGTCCGGCTTCCTTTCATCGATAATGACGCCCTCGTCCTCGAGATGTTCGAGCACATTGTCAAGCAAGCCAGGAGCCAAGCGTATGCTGAGCTGTGCGCCACGTTCAGTTGGACTACGAGGTGTGATGATGTCGAAGAGCCCAGGTCTTCTGAGGGCCATTGAGTCCAGGAGCTGCTCTAGATAAGCTGTCAATCTCAACGATTTCTGACGCAAGTTGGTCATCGATGTTTCGTTGAATATTTGCAAAGATGACACAACAGCGGCGAGATCAAGGGCACTGGGATTGGAAAGCTGGTAGCCTTTGGCTCCTGGTCGTGGCACAAATTCTAGCAAGAATTAGACATGTATCCAATGTAAAACGAGCAATGATACCCACTATTGGTCATCTGGAACCTTGTAGACTTGTCGTCTCCCCACCACCCACTCAGTCGAGGCCAGAACTTTGGCGTTGAACCTTCCGTGTCGACTTTGCCATATTTCTCGTTGATAAAGATCCCCGCCATGGCGCCTGGTCCTGAGTTGAGGTACTTGTAGCTGCACCACGCCGCAAAGTCGACGTCCCAGTCGTGTAGTTTCACGTCAACGTTACCAACCGCGTGGGCCAGATCCCACCCAATTAGAATGCCACGAGCATGAGCATGTGCCGTTATACGTTGGATATCGAAGTACTGGCCTGTGTAAAATTGAATGCCTGGCAAAAGAATCAGGGCGAGCTCAGATGCATGCTCGTCGATTGTTTTGAGAATCTGCTCCGTCGGAAGAATTGGGCGATGAGGGTTACTTGGTTCTAGCAAGACCATCGCTTCGTCTGGGTCGAGTCCGTGGTGAATGATTTGCGACTCAACCGCGTACTATTGCTTGGTGGTTAGCCATTTTTTTTGTTGCAACGCTCTGAGGATGAAAAAGGGAAGGGGGATCTACATGGTCACTGGGAAAGGCTTTGCCTTCGAGGAGAATCTTCCAACGCCCTTCTCCTTTCTTGCTTGGACGATAGAAACTGGACATCAGGAAGTGAAGATTCCCCGTAAGAGTGCCCATGACAGCCACCTCGGCTTCGAGAGCCCCTACTACAGGGGCCATAAGCTTAGCTGCGTGATCGTCAATGTCCAGAAATGGTGGTAGAGGAGAGTCAGTATGGTCGACGAAGTGCCCTGTGACGGCCTTGGTGCGCCATTGGGTCAGGAAAACATTGACAAGGTCTCCTGTACGGACAGGCTGGAGGCCTAGAGAATTCCCGCACAGGTACGTACAAGGCCGTGACAGGCCTTCTGTGGGAGGTCTGGCTAGAGTAGGCCGCTTCAGATCTGCCAGAGTTGGAATATGAAAATCTGATCGATAGTCTGGCAGAACGTCTGTCGCATCGAGTGCAGAGGCATGCTCGATCGAAAACGGCTCAGCGCTTCCCGTGTGGTCCATGCTGTGGTTTTCTCGACAGATTGAAGCTTCCAGCAGTTTTCCCTTGCTGATGTGTCGTTCTGCAGGAAACAATACTTTTCCGCCTATACACTCAAGACACCCACGGGCATTGGAAGCATCTGTCTTGGCCCTTCGCAAATATCGATATGACTGTCTGGATTCGGCCTGGTGGCGCTTGAGTCAAGTCAATGCAGTCGGTGCAATTGTCAGCAACCGAAGATTCTCCGCACGGCATCTTCAAGCGCTCCGAATTGCGGTGCATCAACATTTCTTCTGTCGATGTGCCTGGTTTGTTCCGAGTCAAGCACGAATCGTCTCTACCTCAGTACCATGTCGCAAACAACCCTGAGACTTGCATTCTCAGCTGCCAGGCCAACGCGCCCGCAAGATCCTCGACTGTATATCCAAGCCTGTCGGTCTATCTCACACTGCGTCCGCAAACAGCCGCTACTCTACCAACGACTGCCTTTCAGACACTCTAAGCCAGTGTCTCCTGCGTCCACAAGAGGCTTTTCAAATACAAGTGCTGCACAGGCCACCGTCGTGGCAAGAAACCCCCGCGTCGATGATGATGGCAAGGAGATGACGATCGAGATATCAGAACGAGCTGCGAAGGTAGGTGACCATCCAGCCTGCCTTTGGTTGAGCAAATACTGATAACTTTCAGCGTCTGAAGCAGATAACAAGCGCACCTCCTCAAAAGAACACACTTGCCTCATCCCCGGCCACTCAAGACGCACACCTGCGCGTGACCGTAACTTCAGGTGGGTGCCATGGTTTTCAATACTTGATGTCTCTCGAGGACTCTTCGAAAGTGGATGAAGAGGAAGATACGATATTCGCAGCTCAGGATAGCGAAGGTACTGGGAAGGCACAAGTCGTCATGGATCAGGCATCGCTCGAACTGCTGAAGGGAAGCACTATCGACTTCACAACAGAACTGATTGGCAGCCAATTCAAGATCGTTGGCAATCCAAGGGCGACCAGCAGCTGCGGCTGCGGCACAAGCTTTGATATTGAGTAGGGACGACCAAGTTCACCTGCTATGGAGTTGTACTCTTCCATTCCTCTTGGACTTTCTTTCCGCCATGTGCGATATACTCAACTCTGTATGAGAAATTCCACATTCTTCTACCAGGATACCATTACGCTTGTACCATCACCGATACCTTATCAATTCATTCGTGCCCCCCCCCCGGGGCATACCGTACTCGTCAGTGCAGCGACTTAGCAACACTGCCATCGTACCATAGCGAACAAGCCTCAGCGTGCTCTAAGACGAACTCTACTGGTCAAGGTTTGTTATATCACTTCAATCCTCCTTGACAAGACCACGGCTGCCACAGTCTTGAAGAAAATGTGCATCCACGAAGTTTGCATCAACCATCCGCACCCCAAAATTATACGCATTACTCCTTGCATGACAAGAATCGTCAACGAGCTTGGCCCGCCACCATGGCTAACGTCAACCCTGGAATCGACAGCCTCGAGGAATGCCTGGTCATATGCTCCTGTAGGCATGACGAAGGGCATTTACGACGCCATCGCCTCTCGCTCGGATTACTACCCACCGGAAGCAGTTACGGAGCCCGTGAACGGTGTATGGGCACTTGAAGCTCGGGATCGTCATTTCACCATGATGAACGGACTTCATCGAGCCAACGCTGCAGCATCCCTTCACAGCGGCTCCAGCTCTCGTGACGGCACTACCGCCGGCACGCCTGAGAACGCGAATATCCCTGAGAATGGAAATCGCACAAGCTCAAACAATTCCAACATTGCTCCGGACAACCCTACCGCTAACCACAATCACCCACCGGAATTAAACCACTCAGATGATGCATCAGCTATCGACGGCAACAGCACCAGGAATCGAAGCCCAGTTAATGGAATATCTCAGATGGACGGACGCCGCTCTCCTGAAGGTTATCACAATCCCGACAACGACACCCCCCTTGATGATTCGAATCAGACCCGCGACGAGCCCCCAACGCCGCCGTGGGTAAATCTCAGAGCTAGTCATCCATTCATCCCTGTTGGTGGTCTCAGATTGCCGAATCATTGGCCGAATGGCCCCGATTTCATTATGCAGGGCCATGCTCCATCTGACAGAGCGGCCAGATGCAGGCAGGTGGAGATGAAACAGCCCTATTGTTTTGGGCAATGGTACGAACGGGAAGGCCCAATCATCTTTGCGGTGTTACCAGCGATAAGCTGTAATTTCGTCCGTTGCTGCGATGGCCGCTACAGGTCGCAGCACGGGGAGGTATTGGAGGATGTTCTTCTATTCCCGGAAGTAGCAGGAGACGGCCACGAGGATCAGGAGGTAAATGGAAATGGGGTAGTACATCACTGAAGGCAAGGACTCAACAATGACAAGGACTGTATTTAGAGTTCTGTTCGTCTTCAGAAGCCTATAGTATATCGCTTGAATACAGTATGAATTTGGAATTACTAAAGGAAGTAAGAGCCTTGCGGTGTTTGATATCCTTTCGCGCCGTCTTATCATTTGACCTTTTCAAGACGATTCAAGTAAAGACTAATGACCCTGATGTTGCCGTTGGAGTGTCAGGATTCAGCGGATTTGTGTATCCTCGTTTTTGCAAGAGACTCACAGGAGAACTGCCGAGTCTGCCTTTTTTTTAAAAAAAAAAAAAAATAAAGGAAAAAAAAAGGGGTTCGGGTGCTGTTGGAGAATGGAATGAATGATTGAGTTGTGAAATCACGCCTAAAGGGTGTCAACGTAGAGAAAGTACTAACTAGCTCTCTCCACAAAAACGAAGCAAACCCTTATCCCCTGACCTTAGTAGAAGTGACCTTTGACTTGACTTGACTTGACTCATCCTGTTCTTCCCGCGCGGCTCATCGGACCCCAGTTTTCGCGAGGGTTCATCTGGTACCTCACGAGCCTGCCGCGAGGTTTGTCCCTGCCCAGCTTCTCATCAAAGACGATCTTGAGCTTTGTGGGGTCGACGGCGGCCGGAGGGCTTTTTGAGAGTTGTGCTTGTTGTGCTTGTGCTTGTTGTCGTGGTTGACCCTGACCTTCCCCGGTATCACTCGTCTCGGCCGTTTCGGTTGTCGTGTCGACACCGCGATTCTCAACGGGCCCGCCGTCTTCTGCCGCTGCCGCTGCCGGTGCTGCTGCGAAATCCTCCACCTCCAGACGTTTAAGCATACCGTGCAGAATGGTCTTCATGTCTTCTTTCGACTCGCATCTCGCGAGCTGATCTTTGGCCACGGTGGCGAGTCCGGACACGAGTGCGCGCTCGCTGCCTCGGACCTTGGCGAGCAAGGTCCAGCCTGGTGACCCGCGCTTCACGGCGCCGTCCCTGATCTGGGCCATTGTCCGCGTGAACTCGCGCATGATCTCCCACAGCACACTCCAGGGCGCGTTGGTCTTGATGCTGCCCGGTTTGCAATGCGAGCGGGTCACGCGGTAGCCGGTGCTGATGATGGCGCCGCGGACCATGCTCTCCGACGGCGTCGTGCTGTGCATCACTTTTGCGAGGTTGGTGGGAATAACGAAGAACGGAGCTGCGTCGATGACTTGGGGCGGGAGGCGCGAGATGATCTTGGAGTTGGGGTCCGCCGAAGATGGGGACGACAAGGCGTCCGTTGTTGTTGCTGTTGCTGGTGGTTCTGTCTCGGCCGCCGCTTGTTGCAAGGTGAGGTCTTCTTCGAGGGCGAGGGTCAGCATCCCTTCAAGACGGTCCGTTGTACCGTAGACTTCCCCGTCGAGCGAGGGCAGTTTGTCGAGCATTTTCTGCACAAAGTACGGATTGTGCAGCGGCCCGGCCCACATGGGTCCGCACAAGTGCGTCTTCGAGCCGCAGTGCTCGCAGTTCGGCGGAGCCGTGGGCGCTTGCGCGAGTGAGAATTTGTACGACGACTCGCCGTTTCTCGACGTCTGTGGCTGGCTGCGCAGGAGGGGCTGTGTTGTCCACGCGCCGCAGCCGTGTCCGCAGCTGTACACTATCATCGTGGTGCCGGGGAGGAGCTTGACTTCAAGCGGTTTCCGATGGACCCGAATGAACAGCCGAGCATAGTAGTCGATGTACAGAGACAAGAGCGGCTCGATTGCGAGGCCGTACCGCGCGGCCGACGTGGCAACGGCGTTGAGAATCAATCGCAGTCCTCCTTCGTGGGAGTAGGACCCTTTGACGGGCATGCCGCCGTACATTGCGTATGTCTTTTCGGGATACCCAGTTGAGGCGAAGACGCCGGCGTCGGTGCATGTGACGCAGAGCATGCCGCCATCCTGGACCGCTTGCAGACTTGCATCGATGAAAGGCGCGGCCGTGCCGTACGGGTCGAGATCGATGACATCGAAGCGGTGGACGTAACGCTCCCCTGACCGGATCTTTTCGTTCCCAACTTTGGTGTACATGAATTCACGAGCGTCGCCGAGGTTGGAATGTACCTTATCTTGAACTTCGTTGTGCTTGATGTTGAGGTCGATGCTGTGTACTGATTCCGGGGAAATGTCATTTGCGACTATATTCGTGGCGAGGGGTATCTCTTTAGCGTACCGTAGTGCTCGAAGGCCCGTTGCGGATAAGGCGTCTAGAATCGCAAAAGGTGTGCGTTTCTGCGTGGCCGCCGCGACGACTTTTGTGGAATCACCTTTTGCCTCCTCATTTTGCTTCTTCTCTGCGATCTGGACCCCATCTCCTTCTTGCTGTGACTTCTCGCCCACCGGGTGACTGGTTAGTTCTTCCACGGGTAGGTCGTCATCATCGTCTCCGACATTCTGGTCGGTCCTGGCCTTCTTCGATTCAGCCGCTACTGTGTCCGCGTCAGGATTTGAGATATCAGCCGCCTTGCGTTTGCGACCACCATTCGATGCTGTTTCATTTTGGCGGGCTTCCCCGTTCTCCACCGCATAATTGCTGGCTTCTGCTACGCCATTTTGCTTTTGCTGAGAAGTTGTGCCGTAAGACTTGGAAGCGCGCTGTTTCTTCCTCTCCTTCGCATTTTTTCGACCTTGGTGCTTTCGACTCTGCTGAATTTCCTTCTCGAGCACCGCACCTTCCGCATAGACAGTAATTGCGAGAACACTGAGATCTCGATTGAATTGTTGAATTGGGTTATAAAAGACCGCTTGGGCGCCTTCGTCGTTATTGTGTCCCTTCCTCGTATGTGCGTCGGAGTCTTGCTTGTATGGCGCAAGCACCGATGCTAATCCCTCGGTGACCTTTCTGTATTTCTTGCCATCAATTTCAGCGACCTCGGGCGGTTTCGAGGAAGCCATATGGGGCCGCTGTGTTGAAATATACCTAGAGCACTTCAATGATGGGGAATAAGCCTGAAAAGTATGAGAAGCGCCCACAGACCGTGGTCGGATTTTATTGAAGAGTAAAAGAATTTTCATTCGTCCCCTTACACCATACCAAAATTCTCAACAACCTCCTCAGTGACTGATCACGAAGTCAATGCTTAGAACAAATCACGACGGGAAACTTTTTTGATGCAGCAGCGCCAAGGTTGAATTCTGCTCAATTACTATTGGTTCGTCAGACGCAGACGCAGCCTTGTTCAGCCTTGTTTAGTCACCGGAATATTGACAACGGAAGCAAGCAGTACCATATGATGCACCATTCGATGCTCCGGGGAGGAACATCGGTTTCTGTCATAGGAAGTACTTATGTTATCTGGGTCTAGTGTACAATTAAGGTTGGATCCAGACAGCTTGAGCCTTTAGCTCAACATACGCAAGCTTCCTAGTTAGCAACATCACCAGCGGCTCCAGTTCCTCAGTTTATGCGCTAGCTGTCTCGCACACTCCGTACACTCAGCTTTGATCCGTCAGTGATGTGCATCTTGCAGGCCAGTCTCCCTGCAGCGTTGTCGTCCCAGCTCGAGCTGACACAGGCGAGGCACCGTCTCTCGACAGAGCGGATTACCTGACTACGATGATTCTCTTGAGGCCTCAGCCGATCCACTGTGTTTTGTTGGTGATACTCTTCGATGTTCGCGAACATCAATACGGCCGGCAAGGACTGAGACACTATATCGTCGTAGCTGGCTGGGTAGCATGAATCCTAAGGGCGCTGGGCCGGACAGGCTGTGATCTCGGGACGGTGTTGTTTTGGAATGGCTATACCGCGACAGTGAGTCAAGATCCTGCGGCGATATGACTGCGACATTGGGGCATGCAACCCGTTGGTCTCCGGGGATCGTAGTAATCTTCAACATCCGTAACGTCGCTGTCCGCGTCTGCTTCAGCGGGCTTTGGAGCCTCATCGTCGTCAATATCCTTCTTCTCCGCCTTTACTGGTTTATCATCATCCGCGGGAGCAAACGCATTTTTAAATCCTCCTTTCTTGAATCCCCCGCCTCCTGTGGCGGTGGTTTTGTTGGCACCGCCCAGTTTTATCTGCATCAACGGCCCCTTCTCTTCCTTTTTGGGTTGCACCTGTCTCTGCATCTCTTTCATTTCCTTTAGTCTCTTCTTGTGTTGGTGATCGTAGGAAGATTCATGGGCTTCGAACTCGTTCATGCGACTGTAACCTTTTTGACATAGCGAACAGAAGAAGGCGCTCCGCGCTTGTTTCGCAGATTGGGTGTTTGCCGGCGGAAGAGTAAATCCTCGCTGAAGAGCAATGTACGAGTCAATAAGGCCATCGAGGGAAATCTTTGCGAGCACCAACTTCTGGCCGCTGAGCAGCCAACAATGATACAACTTACCGGAGCCATGATGAGTTGGCGTGGCCCTCAAACAGTCGACGAGCGTAGTTACGGTCCGCCAAAGTGAGACCAGCCAACACGCGTGTTTGGAGCCTTGGGGCTGAGATGGAAGACTGGAAGAAGTCAAAGTCAAGAGATCGAGGGTGGTGGTTGGACGATGCGATGTCCGGGGATCGTTCTCGTTTGATCGGCAAAGCCTGCATCGCCCCCTCCTAGGACTCTTTCAGCCGCATCAATCAGCCCACTCTTCTGCGCTGTCCACTTCCTGAGTGCACCGTTACACTTATGCATCCATAATTCCGGAGCAGAAATAGCCAGAGGAAAATGCTACTTTCACCTCTAAAGACACGAAAAAGACGCAGGCGGGCCCAGGGTTACCAGTGATACAAGTACAAAGGCTGCTTCCACCGTATTCCCAGCAGATCTACGGTGACAGTCTCTTTTCCAGACTCAGCTTTGCTTTGACTTGAACGCCCGGGATTCGGAGCGGACTTAGTTTTTCAACCCAAGAGACAAGCTCATGTCGTCCATCAACCGTCTCAGCCGCCGCGATGCGTCTCATCAATGTCCGGACTATGCAATTGGAGGAATTCCACAGCGGCCAGGCTCCAAAGTATGCTATTCTATCGCATCGATGGGAACTTGAGGAAGTCAGCTTCCAGGATATGACTGATCCTCAGATATTCGGCAAAAAAGGATACGGAAAGATTCAATCGGCTGCTTGGCTGGCGAAAAACAAAGGTCTCTCGTATCTCTGGGTCGACACCTGTTGCATCGACAAAAACAGTTCGTCCGAGTTAACGGAGGCCATCAACTCCATGTATAGGTGGTACCAGGAGGCTGAGATCTGTTTTGCTTTCCTCACGGATGTCGAAATCCACAAGCATGAAATCTCAACCAGCGTATGGTTCACAAGAGGCTGGACTCTTCAAGAGTTGATAGCCCCCAGAAACGTTGCATTCCACGACAAAAACTGGGTGTTTCTTGGGACAAAGGAGCAACTCGCGACCTATCTTGCTCAGGCAACTGGCATCTCGTTGGATGTCCTCGTCGGCAAGAGCAATCCTTCAAGCTGTTCTGTGGCACAACGGATGTCCTGGGCTGCGAAGCGGAAAACAGAACGCATCGAGGACCGGGCGTACAGCTTGCTAGGTATTTTCGACGTTAGCATGCCTATGCTGTACGGCGAGGGTGAACGGTCCTTCACCCGATTACAGGAAGAGATCATCAAGCATTCAGATGATCATTCGATATTCGCCTGGGATCGAGGTCACAAGGGGTTTTTTGGAGGCTATAGCGGGCTTTTAGCAACGTCACCATCGCAGTTCGTCATGTGTCAGAGCGTTGTACGGTCATCAAGGGAGCTCGTCAGTACTGGCGGATTTTCCATTACGAATGTCGGTCTCTCTATCCAATTACTGACTGTCCCCTGGGGCATGGAAACCTATCTTTCAATCCTGAATTGCAATATCAAAGACCGCCACCACGAAAGGCTGGGGATATTCCTTGAACGACTGTATTCTTCCCATCATGAACCACAATTTGCCCGAGTCCAGTATGCTGGAGCCACAGTACAGCCAGTGTTGCTCGAGCAGGTTATGAAAGACAGCCAGCGTCGAATCCGCCATGTACACGTGCGGCAAACAATCATTGATCCGCCCCTCCGCCGGTGGCACGGGTTCCGTCTGCACGAGCTGAAGCTACCAGATTACAATGCGCAGGAGCTCGTGCAGGCCGAGTTTCGCTTCAGGTCTACCTTGCGGCATAGACTTCGATACGAACCCGAAGAAATACAGTACGCGCAAGCGTACCTCCCAAATGGTGTTCAGGGCCTACCTCCACGACCTATCTTCTTTCCGATGCCGAGCGGGCGAGGCACTGCCGTGGTCATCTACCTTGAGCCCTCAAAGAAAGACAAGCACGGTGAGAGGGTGTGCTGGATGAAATTCGGCTTCGACGAGGACTTTTGTCCGATGTGCATCATGGGCCGCCGTCGGTCGCTGTGGGGTGGCAACAGCGCACACCTGGCCGTTACCCCTCAGTCATTCGATGACGCAGAACATACGCCCGGCGAACACGCCCTCTTGTTCAGGAACGACTGGATCATCAAGAACGCCGGGGACGTCCACATCAAGGACATGGCAGCGTTGTGGCAGTCTCGGGACTTTTGCATCCTGCGTGGACACAGAGATCGAGGGCTAGATGTGAAGATTCCCTTTCTTCGAATGCATGTTTCGGTTCGACTGGAGCCTGTCCCCGAGGGCTATGCGCCGTACAACAAGCCAGACTCGCTTCTGGCGGGAATGCAAGTCTGGACCATCAATGTCAATTCCTGGCAGGATATGACGGGCAACGGGCGGGTGAAGACGGCAATGGGTGCTGGGGAGCTGCTTGTCCGGTCTCTGGATGATATATTTGGCTAGTTCAAGCGTTTGTTCCCAGCAGTCGACGACATTGCTGGTGAGCAAGCCTGGACTTATGCAAGACGAATTTCAATTCGATATCTGCTACATTTAGGTAGGTGTTCGGGTGATAATAATGGGAGGGACCCCGGTGTCTCGAGAGATTCACAGTGTTGATGTGCCCCTGAACTAGGTGATGAATTCAAATGGCCCCGGTGCCCGTCGTTACCCATCAACAGACCCCGCGACACGTAGCTTGCACTTTTCCTCTCTGTTTTGTTTTCGTCATGCTCAACCCCAGTTCGCGGCTTGTCGTTCAGACCCCGAGCGGCTCGCCAGGGAGAAACTCCAAGTTTCTACAATGCCAACGTCCGCTCGACCGTCTCCTTCTCACGCTCGAAGAAGCCGTCGACGGAACCTAACTCGATTCCGTAGCTTCTGACCTTTTCCAGATCGACAAGATGCGGATGGTCGCTGAGGAACAGCTGTGCCGCCACGAAAAGGTTGGTGTCCTTGACGGCCTCGGCCTCCTCTCTGGACATGTAACTCACACTGACGGTCTTCCTGTGGCCGACCGCACGGGTCAGCGCGTCGGCGATGTCCGAGATGGTCAAATTCGCGCTGGAAAGCGGGATGGTCTTGTTGGCGAACAGTCTCTCGAACTCGTCTCGGTCGGCGTAGATGCTGCGGGCGGCGAAGCGGCCAATGTCGGCCGGGTCGAGATGGCTCATGCGCAGAGTGGGCGGGAACACGACGGTCAGCGTCGGCTGCTCGGCCGTGAGCGTCGGGTACATCATCTGGCTGACGGGCAGGATGTAGTTGGTCAGGAACGACGCAGGCTCGAGGATGGTATATGTGTAGCCTTCCGGCGCGGAGCCGGCTGGAGGGTGGCGGACCGTCTCTGCGATGGTGCTCTTGTTGGTGAAATAGGCCTTGAAAAAGGGTATGGACTCGAGATCGGGCAGGTCCTTGCGTGGCTCGATGCCGTACACCGACGCCAGGATGACGTGCTTTATGCCGGCACCCATGCTGGCTGAAAGGACGTTGAGACCGTGGCGCCCTTCGCCCGTGGGGTCGGTGAAGACAGGACTGGGATTGACAAACGCATTCGTGCAGCCTGCGGCGGCTCGGGAAAGCGACTCGGTGTCGTCAAAGTTGCCCTGGAACATTTTGATCTTGGCTGGGTCCAAGGCAAGCAGAGCTTGGGACGCAGAGGAACTGGCGTCACGGACCAGTGCGTGGATGGTCAGGGACGTTTCCGGATGAGCTGGTGCAAGTTTGAGAAGTTCCCGGATCACGTAGCCCCCTTGCACCCCGTTGGCTCCAGTGACCAAGACGGTGACAGATGGAGGCGACATTTTTGAATTCCTTTTCTTGCGTGAGCTGGGCTTTTGACCTTCTCAAAGTTAAAGGAGAGGATTGAGACGAATATGAAGCTGTGTCAAGGATGCCTAATGTTGTAGGAGTTGAGGCCGCCGGGAAAATGGCCTGGGTATTTATACTGTTCTATCGGCCGAGAGATGTGGGCAGGGAAAGAAACATCGACATCGCTCGGGTCGTTAACGCAACTGACCGCCATGGACGTGCAGGCTGTTGATTGGTCCTTGTTCGAGCTCTGTCGGCCGATACGATCGAATTGGTATTGGAATGGTTGACTTGATCGCTTTGATTCGATATCCTGGCAAGGCCGTCATCCGTGAAAAGGTTGGCATTGGACGAGGATCTTGCGGGGCCACATCTTGTGCGTGGTCGAACTACCACCAGGTATAGAAATGTCGCAATCAGTCATCCTTGTTGCTACGGCGATTGAGCTTCCAGAGCTCAAATAACCTCGTAAAGTAGAAATCGAAGAAGCCAGACCATGTGTATCCACCCGCAAGGAAATACACCACCCAGGATTTATTCCCTTCCCAGATCCACCTTTTCCTTGCATCTCTCAAGAACCACCTCCAGGGCCACGGTCCAGCTCCAGGCAAGACTTGTCGGACGACGCTCGCAGCATATGCTTCATTGGACATGGCACCTTCTTGAGAGTGACCTTGGCGGCGCAGATAGTTCTCTTCCACCGTAGTATAGACGCTGTCTCTCGGCAGCACGCGGGTGACGTGCGAGTTGATCCGAGATTTGACTCCGCCGGTTACGACCGTGATGACTTTGACGCCAAGGGGAGCGAGCTCGACCCTGAGAGTGTTCGAGTAAGCATGCAGGGCTGCCTTGGATGCGTTATATACGCTGCCAAACACATAGGGAATGACACCAGCAAGACTTCCAATCATCACGATTGTTCCCTTGGCCTGAATGAGAAGTCCGGAAAAGACCTGCACAATACGCATTATGGCGAATAGGTTGACATCGAATATCTTCTTCGCTTCGGCGAGATCAATATCAAGAGCTGACATGACGTACGAAACTCCGGCATTGTTGACTTGTAGAAGTGTTAGCATCAAGAGTAAATTGTTGAAGTCTTTCCACTGACCTAAGTAGTCGAGGCCCCGGCCCTTAGTCAATCTCTCCACAGCCTCTCTACAGGAGACGATCGACTCATCATTATCGACAACCAAGGACAACGTCTCAATACCTTTCTCCGAGAGACTCGTTAGCTGTTCGGTCTTGCGGGCCGTGGCGAGGACTCGTAGCCCGCGTGCATGAAATTCTAGTGCAAGAGAATGGCCAATTCCTCCTGGTGCACACCCGGTGATAAGAACCGTCTTTCGATCGTCAACTTCGGTCATGACGAAGAGCAGTCAGAACCCGTAGGCGATATCCACGGGTAAATCCAAAAGGTGATCACGACTTTGAGGGACGTGCTAAGTCTACCGCCTCTCGCTCGTTTGCGACAGAATATCAGACACGTTAGCTGAACAAGAAATCCCAAGGTGGTGTATGTGTTCAGTGCATTTATGACAAAGCTTGATAGAGGAAACAGCTGTACAAAACGTTTCTTCGTTTGCGTGACCCTCATGTTCACCAGGTCCAGTAAGCACGCCAAGTATTTGTCTCACTCGGAAACATTAATCAGAATAGACCTCTCGGGAGCCGGTGAAACGTATCCCCGATGCCCCGCTGCCTGCTGCCCCGCGTTTTGATAAGCTGCGACTTGTTGAACTTTCTGCCCCAGATCAACAGGAGCATGGACGAGCTGACCCAAGTCTACGCCTACTCGCTGCCATGGTGAGGCCTCAATCATACCATCCACGGCCCTTGACGCACCTCGTAAGCGCCATCTCTCCTGCTGGTATCTGACAGCTTCGCGCATCCAAGGTCTTGTTCCTCCACTCTACATGTTGTAAGTACGACACACCGTGATATCCTACACACACACGTCTCAACAGCAGCGGTGTTATTGATCCCGTCCTAAACCTTCACCTCCTTTTTCTTCGTCCTAGACGACACGATGGCGTCTACCACCATCACCACGTCCCCCGACAAAGCCTTCCTCGATAAATTCATCTCCCTTCTCTCGCGCTCCTACTTGACCACGCCATTGACGACCGCCTTCATCACTGAAATTGACGGGACACCTGCAACGGCAGATCCCGCCGAGGTGATCACTCCGCAACGATTGAGCCAACACTTCACACTGGGGATCACAGCTGCGGCCCGGAGCAACGTTGCGTTGATACAGAGCGGGGACTTCGCTGCCGCCGCGCTTTGGGAGCCGCCTGACTTCTGCGGTATTCCCCCCTCGCAGGCTCGCCGCAATCCAGGGCCAATCCTACAGGAATGGCGTAGCACCGCGCGTGAACTCAAGGCGAAGTATCTTTCCCTGCCAGATCAAGGCCCTCACAGTTGGGACCAACCTGCGGCACCAAGTCAGTCGTCGGGGGCGCCTTCGGAAGATCCGTACCCTGCAGACTTCAACAAGGATGTTGACTTCGAGACGAGACCTTTTTATCATCTTGCTATGCTGGCGAGAGACCCGGATCTTGACCCAAAGGAGAGCTTTGCGGCTGCAAAGGCGTGCATGGATTACTACGTCCGGAAAGCCAAAGAGGAGGGAGTGCCCATATACCTAGAGACAGCGAGTGAGGCTTCCAAGAAGGAGTATGAAGATCTAGGATTCAGAGTGTGCGAGGAAGTGGTCATAGGGAAAGGCAGGGTCAATGCCAAAGGCTGGCCTCAAGAGGGTGGCGAGGGTGTCAAGACCTGGGCGATGATCTGGGACGAACATCTGCAGTAAACGGGCAGTCTCTTTAGCAAGGAGCTACCTGCTTTTGGCCCTGGGTACCTAAATGTTGGTCAAGATTCTAATGCTGCATGCAGCTCTTGCAAATCACTTGCTTGGGCGAGCCGGACGAGCGAGCCATAGTGTGTTTTTGTTTGGTACGTACCTAGGTATCTACGCGAAAGAAGCTGGGACTATATCTTTCTTTCCCTTTTCCTTTTCCTTTTCCTTTTCCTTTTCCTTTAGAACATCCAGGGCCACTGCATTTCTCCAGCTTTGATCCCACCACCCAACCGGGAAGAAGGTGTTTGCAAACCACGTCCTCCATGCCCCAGTGCCTCTCCAGATCTCCTTCGGCGGACTGTCCCAGTTCCTCACAATGTCCCTCACAACGTCCCTTGCCCACTTTTCCGGATCCTCCCGATGGGGGAACGCATTGCGCATGGCCCGTTCCGTCTGGTCTTTGACGGGCAAGTATATCGACGTCGGGGGCAAACTGGCATTGCCGCCCTGGTGGTTCGCGTGGAATTTTGAATGGACACAACCCGTCTTGAGATCTACGACCCGGACGTGGAAAGGCTCCAGCTCGATACGCATGTGCGTGCTGAACATGGCCGCGGCGGCCTTGGAGGCGTGGTAGACGGAATTGTGCGGCGTCGGCTCCACGCTCGACACCGACGTGTTGTTGACGATCAGGCTGCCTGCTGCGCCCGTGTTGGGGGCCGGTGACGATCTGGCCGCGTGTATGAGCAGCGGCAGGAACGCCTGGGTGACGCCTATGTACGACCAGACGTTCACGTCGAAGAGCTCCTTGGCTTCGGGGATTGAAATGTCGGAGACGGGCATGTTGTAACCTTGTGCGTGTGTCAGTGCGGCACACGATTAGCCATGTTCGTTTGGCCCTGGGTCCTATGAAGAAAGAGAAAACTGTGCAGGTATGACACACAGACATCCAAGAAATTGAGGCGCCTAGTCAGTGCTGGGCTGGTGTTATATCAGGATGTAGGGCACCGTACCTCCACCCGCGTTGTTGACCAGGCAGTCAAGACGCCCTTCCTCCAGGTCTCCTTCTGGCTTCGCGGTCAGACTTCGAACTCGAGCCACGCATTCCCGGATAGAGGTCTCGTCACAGACGTCGAGCCTCAGGCATTCAATACCAAGCTCCTCTAACCCTGACATGCGGCTGGGGTTTCGAGCCGTCGCGAAGACGCGGAACCCGGCATCGTGAAATGCTACCGCGAGAGCATAGCCAAGGCCGTTTTGAGAACAACCTGTGATGAGAACCGTGCGCTGGATAGGTGTCGACATTGAAGATTCGAATGAAGGCGATTGTGCTGGAAGAGAAGAGGTCTTTCGATACAGTCTGAAGCGTACGGACAGTGGGAGTACACAAATACCATGATGGATGCAAAGTTGGTAGGTACCTTATGTATAGATTATTTATTCTGAGGCGATGAATGACTAAGCCGGACGCAACACCACGTCTTTGATATCTTTGTTTTCCTTTCCCACTGCAAGGTAACCACCAGTAGACACAACATTGACATCTTTTTGTCTCGTCAATGTCTGAGTGCTTACGGACTCCACATCCTTACTGCGCCGGGAAAATTGCACAGCAGATCATCCATTTCCCACTGCTCTCCCCGATGAAAGCCTGACTATGAGCGGACAGTCGTTCAGAGTCTCGATCGGACCTTTTCATCCTTGATCACGACGCCCTTCTTACCGGCCTTGCTCATGTCTCTCAGGACTCTCCGCAGGATCTTCCCACTGGGCGACTTGGGGATCTCGTCCACCACTTCGACCTCGGTGACCCACTTATGCCGCACCTTTTTGTCCTGGACGTACTTGATCAAGCCTCTGCCCACGGTCTCGGGGTCACGGCGTTTCGACGACTTCAAGACAACATACGCCTTGGGTCTCTCGCCAGAATAGTCGTCCGAGATGCCCAGAACAGCCACGTCCTCGACGTCAGGATGTCCCAGGAGCAAATCTTCCAGCTCGGCTGGCGCGACTCCGATGCCCTTGACCTTGATCATTTCCTTCAACCTGTCCGTGATGGTGAGCAGGCCTTCCTCGTCAATGGTTCCAATGTCACCCGTGTGCAGGAACCCGTCCTTGTCAAAAGTCTCGTCCGTTGCGCGCTTGTTGTTGAGATAGCCCATGACCACCTGCGGTCCTCTCGCCCATATCTCACCGGGCTCGTTCAGCCCGCACTCCTTTCCCGTCTCCGGGTCGACAATCTTGACCTCGGTGCTTGCCACGATCGTCCCGACGCGGAATGCGTACTTGTAGTCGTACTTTTCAGGAGGGTGGGCGGTGATGCAGCTACAGCTCTCCGTCATGCCGTAGCCTTGCTTGAACCCGGTCCCGGGGAACTTCTTCTTCAACAGTTCGAGAATCTCGGCTGAGAGGGGTGCTGCTCCGGACGAGAAGCGCTTGATGCTGCTGAGGTCGTACTTGCAGACTGTCTGCTCGTCACGCACCAAGCGGATCAGAATCGGGGGCACGAGCAGTAGCTCTTCGAGCTTGTACTCCTGCACCGTCGCGAGCATGCTGTCCATGGTGAAGCTGGGAAGCATGTACACGTTCGCGTTCAACAGCACGGGCAAGCTGAGCTGGTGCACCAACCCTGTGATGTGGAACAGGGGCAACACGGCCAGGATCTTCCGGAGCGTCGGGGGTGTGATTTGTCGAACCTGCAGACACTGCGCTATCACGTTGCTGTGCGCGATCATGACTGCCTTGGGCAGACCGGTTGTGCCGCTGGAGAAGCTGAGGTAGCCGCAGACGTCCTTGTTCTTCTTGCCGGGAGGCAGTCTGAACTGCTCGATCTGGTTGGAAGACCCGTAAGACCTGCCGATCTCGAGGAGCTCCGACATGTTGGTGAAGCCGGCCATAGTGCCTTCGAGCAGGAAAACGTTCTCCTGTGGGATCCCGGCGTTCTTCGCGGCCGCGGACGCAACGGCCATGCTTCCTGGAACGGTGAAGAGGAACTTTGCTTCTGCCGTTTTGAGAGCGTAGCTCATCTCCTCGACGTTGTATGCCGGGCTAGCACCCGACACGACGCCTCCTGCTCGCAACGTGCCGAACATGGCGCATGGGTACCACACTGTGTTTGGCGAGAAGAGAGCCACCGCTTGGCCTTGCTGGAGACCGTACTTCTTCACGAGAGCAGTCGACAAGTGTGTAGTGTGCGTCTTGAGATCTGCGTAACTTAAGTGCTAACGTGGATATCGTCAGTGGTAACTCTTCGCCCATACATCCATTTCTGGACCGCCGGTCACACCGGATGGCACAAGAATCTCCATCGAGAAGATCCGTATTGACATACCTCCTTGGTTATGGCGTTGGTGAAACCCTTGATCTCGCCTGGCTGGAAATTGCGGAGAGGACTGTACTCTGAATCGAACAGCCACGTCCATACCGGGAGATGCCATGGCACTATGCGACAAAAGTTAGTCGCGTGCTCTGTGACGGCTTCGGGAATGGTACTCAGTCACTTACTCTCAAGCGGTGGCTGTGAGGACTTGAAGATCGTCATGGCTCGGAATTTCCTTCAGGCCCAAAACTACCGTGGCAGTAGGTGCTGGAAGATACAAGAAGGCGTGCTGAGCCTGTTGGTAGCAGCTTGACTTGAGTATACAAAGCGACGGAACAAGGCCAGGCTTCAATGATCTGGACAAGCAGTTTGTACTAGAACCCTAGACCTGGGAACTAATGGTTCGAGCGCCGCGATGTCAGAAAAGTCATGTCAGAACAGTACCTACCCAGGTAGTTAGAAGGACCTCGAACAGGGCGATGCGCGAGAGGGATGCTGACATCAGGTAGTAATTGCCTAGGTAGCCACCCCAGGTGACTGTAAACGTGCCATTACCCTCGGGTCTTGCCGTATACGATTAACCGATCAACGACCTGCGACTTTGCCTTTGGGAGTGACTCGAGGTTGTCCTCGTACACACACTCTGAGTATATCCTCGGTTCAAGTCGAAATGCGGAGTTGGAGATTGTGGAGCACACGAACCTAGGTCTCCGGACGCAAGGCTCCCTCTCGGCCTTGTATGATGTCTCTACGCACCTAGCGAGAAGAAACAAATACGAGTGCGAGAGTGACATGCCATCAAAAGTTGGCCATTACACATGGAAAAGGAACATGGGAGCGCCGCTTCGGCATCATCGAGCAGAATCGTTGCCATCCCTTGATTCTGAGAGGCACCTGCCAGCGCCGCAAATTCCCTGTTTCTTGTTTAGCCAAAGCCACTCGATAACTCAACCATCCAATCCCTAGAACCTAACAGAATGGGATATGTATATTCAAGAAAAATGAGCCCTTCAAAACCCGCAATGTTGCTCCCAGACGCCCACCACCTCTGGTGTATAGATATACAATAACTGGTGTTCTCGTCATGTGTTATGTTACTTCGAAAGACGCGCTCCGGAAGCTGTCCTCACAGGTGTTGCCATCCTCGACACTGGAAAACGCTTCCCATAAAAACCGATCCTAACCTGGACTCCGGAAATTCTCGACTCCCAATGTCGGTATCTCGACAAGACCATCCCTCGGAACTCCATCTTGTCTGCGTCGGATGTAAAAGTTGCGGCACTCGCTCACTACCTGTGACCACTCTGCCAACGCTCTTCCACTGTATCGTGCATTGCCTAGCTCAGAGGCTGTGGGCTTCTGCGGCTCGACAGTCTTTGCTTTGGGTCTAAACTTCTGATCCTCGCTACTGCTGTCGGAGTTTGCGTTGCTTTCACTACTTTCTCGGACTCTCAGGATGTTCTGTGCCGTCTGTGGCAATCGGGGTGGTGTCAAAGTCCAATTTTGGATTTGGAGTTGAGGCAGCGCACGGTGGTGTTGGAGTTCGAAGCGGAATGAGCAAGCTTGATGCGGAGGCGTGATCGGCCGAGAGACTGGTGTTGGGCAAACAATGTCGTTACTTGATCCCGTACTCGTGCCATTGGAGTTTGTACTTGTCTCATCGGGACTGCCTGGAGGCGTGACCTCACCGGGGCGGTCATTCCCAGGCTGCGAGAACATACTGATGCCTCTGAACAAGCTCCACCGCTTCTTGTTAATCTGGGGAGGAACATCCGCAGTCGGAATGGTGTTGAGAGCTGACGAGTGATTTTGATAGGGTGAAGGCTGATTAAGGAGGCCAAGGTTCGCTTGTTGTCTTTCGTATGTCGTCCTATGTGGCACTAAAAGAGGCTGATTGTCGAGGCGAACGATTAAAAGGAGACGGGCAGGCGCCGGAGTACAAGGTTCGGAGGATGGCTGGGGAAGACCTCGTGAATCTGCTTCCATGAGCAGATACTGATAGTGAGCCCAGCATTTGTCGAGCCGAGCCTTGAATGTTTGGAAAATGATGCTGAATGATATGTTAGTTTGCTGATCCCCGGCACAGCAATCGCACACTTACATATCCAGAGTCGTGACGGCTCCGTCCACACGAGCAACTCTCCAACAAAGTAAGCGGTAGAAGTAATGTCGAACCATGGGTGACCAGTTGCAGAAGTTCTCTTGGAAGACTTCCTGGTCCAGCAACCATTCCAAAACAAGCTCTCTCTTCCACATCTCATTAGAAATTAAAATAGTCCATTTATTGTACAAAAATGCCATCAATCGAACTTTAGTGAGCATAGACTGACTCCGCATCATTTGCTTAAAGACTCTGAGCCAAAAGGGCCAGTCCAATATCGGGGTGTCGCCATAAGTTTGATGATATCGAAACGTGATGGGGAGGACTTCCTCCATGAAATCGCAAATTACGAAGCACGGGTCGGTACTGTACACGGGTATTTTTCGAGTGGCAGTTTTGAGAACCGCTTCAAATGAGCCTGTAAATAAGTTTCGGAACATAGCAGTTTCAGGGTCGAGGTCTCCTAACACGTCCCTCAATAAGATGACTAGACGGTTTTCGGCGATCGAACGATCGGCGTTAGCAATGACCGGTAGGGGAGCCAGAGAATCTGGATGATCTCTATCGAATCTTGAGCCTTCCCCGCCGTCGTCATCATATCGCGGTTGGTTGGCTTGACGGTAAAGAGTTGCCTCAAGAACGACCAGCATCTGCGCACAGACTGGAATCAGGCCTGGTATCCCGGCACGTTCTTTCGGTGATAGTTCCTCGGACAGAAACTCCGAGACAAGAATGTGGAAGTGTTTCGTGAACGAGAAGAACAGATCAGTATCGCGTCCACACCAACGATTTACCCAAGTTGGGTGCCACCAGTCCAGTTGCTCCAAGCCTTGTGGGCGCTGGCGTCGAGGCTGCAGGTAGCGTGCAAAGGTGCCTTGCGAAACCACGGACAAAGATCGAATCGGTGGCGGAAAGTTGGCGGCGAATCCGTTCGATATGAGGGCTAATTTATCTCCAAAATGGATATCATACTGGGTGAATATCCTTCCCAAGATACCGGCGCTCAAATTCCACTGTCGTGTGAGCATGTCCGCCACACCTGGACAATAGAAAAAAGCGTAAGCACAAGTTTTGCCGGCGAAAGTGACCAAGCTTGAGGGAGCAGCACGCCAGGACAACTTTTCAATGACAAATCTCAGCTGAGAAAGCAGATTTTGAATAAACATGTTTCTGACATTCTGCTTGATAGTATCGCTCAGGAAATCAGAGTCTTCTGATTCAAGGGAGTTTGTGGACTTCGATTTGGGGATGGAGGGAGGTTGGGAAGCATCGCCTGGCACCGCGTTGAAGCCTGGAACCGTCCATTCTGGCCTTGACACGATCATGCTTACAGACTCGAGAAAAGCAGGCCGATCGGATAGTGAGATCAGGTGGTTGCTAGTTCCATGTAGCATTTCCAGAAGGGCAGTCCACCATTTGTTGAGGATTACAGTCCGCCTGTCGAGGTCTTCGGCTCGGAGAGATATGATAGAGGGGTGACGAGCATATTTATGGAGGAAGGGGAGCAAGACTGTTCGAAGGACCTTTGACTTCTGCACACTCGGCTTGGCATGAAACGTAATGAACTCGCTGTCGATATTTCTGAAAACGGTTGCTAATGGATCTTTTCTCTTGGTCACGTCCTGCTGGAAAGACGCAAGGCGATCAGAGGAGAGATTCCTGGGCAAGGGCGGAAGGTTGGCAAGTGAGATCTTGGATCTGCTTCTGTCATTGGAGGCGAGCGAAGTGGAAGAGGAATTTCGCGATAGGCGCCTGAGGCTGATTTCGCTTTTGTTTTTGGCGGCTATTACGCTCAGCGGAGGTCGTCGAGGCTTAGCAGCAACCGGGTTTGCAGCATCGGATTCAGGAGACTTTGAAGGAGACCTGCTAGAAGCTGGTTTTGAGGTCGCAGCATCTTTGATTTTGCTAGGAGACCAGCTGCGCTTCTTCCTGGGCGCGGAACCATCCTTCGGAGCGGGTGATGAAGGCCTTGATCCAGCCCAGGATTTTCGTGCCAGTGTGCGGATTGTGCCAGTTACAGATCGGCTGAGACTGCGACTTTGCTCCGCCTTGATAGGATCCCTTTCGGTCTTCCGGCCTCCTCGTACTTCATCATCTCGTTGTCCCTGTTCCTGGTCCGACGCGAAGGAAAAAATGCCACTTGTTATCCGTTTCTTTGCCTTTTTTGAAGCCCGGCGAAAGAGGACTTTGTTCGTAGACTGGACAGAGTCCTTCATCTTGGTCTTCACTTCCGGAGGGAGTGAGAGAACATTGTCTGAGAAGGTTCTCTTAATCGTGGTGACTGCAGGCTCTGTCTCAAGGGTGGAAAGATAAGTGTAGCTTGCAGAGCGGGGGAGTTCTGTGGAAGGCGGCCTATGTATCGGATCGCGGTCGAGTACGTGGACGGAAGAATGAAGGGGACTGGCAGCGTGGACTGGTACTGTGGGCATGATTTGCCCGTCGGCTCCAGCAGACATGATCAGACAGTCTCGCGCCCAGCGCCGAGAACCGCGAACCGCAGCAGTCACTACAAGAGTGAGAACCAGCTCTTCTCTCTAGGTCCCGCCATGGAACAATAGGCTGTTACGCGAAGCCATGCGTGAAGGAAGAGACCAAGAGTGGGATGTTGTGAGGTATATGGTGTAAACGCCGTGGATGCAGAGTTAGTCGGCCAACAGAAAGGGTTCAAGGTTCGACAACGAAAGACAAAAAGACGGTGAAGAGGAGCGAACGACAAGAAAGAAGATGGATAGAACAGATTAAGGTAAGATAAAGCAAGGTAAGGTAGGCATGTCAAGTCGGTAGAGATGCATATGGTGGAAATGAAGCTGAAACGGACAGAGGGCAGCCGATCGTGGCAGGCCAAGGAGACGTCGGCGGTCTCAAGCGCCGGTGCATTAGGCAAAGTCTGTCGCTTGAGCCAACTCCAGATAATGATAGAGGATCAAAGGACAAGGCGAAGGGATCCGCCTATGGCCCCCTTCAGCCTGCAATTCGCCATGTTTTCCCTGCCTGATGCATGTTGCGAACATCCTGACTATCCGGTACTCCGTATCATTATAATTATATCTCGCGGTGCTCGCATTTCATCATTCCCCGGCCAGGGTCTGTCCCTCGCGTGCACACGCCCCCGGCGCCGCTGTCAACAAGCCTTTACCTGTTGGCTGTGTGCAACAACACAACCCACATGTCAGAGTGGTAATCTGCATTAGCTCGGATCCCTGTTCTCGTAAAATAATGGAGTCCTCGTCGAGGGATCCCAGCTGCTCGTGCTCCGTGATACGAGAACTGCTCTCTGGCCGTGTGCTTGTCCGTGTCCAGTGACAACAAACATGGTGCGGAGGTTTATCCCCAAGACAAAACTTCCGTGGAGGTGGGATTCATTAACGCGCGTGCTATCAAGAGTCAAAGCTCCGCAATGGTGGCTGCAAAACCCTAAAGTACGAGAAGCATGGTAACACGAAGGCGAAGTGCCCCGAAGCAAAGTCAAGTCTGCCTACAACCATCTGGAAAAGCCTTTCGAAGATACTCCGGGGTACAACACGCAACGGCGGCTAGTCTCTGATTTGATAACGACCAAGGCTCTAGGGCAAAGACATGCAAGTTCAGTTCCCCCTGCGATATTTCTGAGCTCGGTGCTCTCATGTGGTCGCTTTGGTATCGTCGACGTGATCTCTGTACGGGTACCGCATTTGGTCGTAGACTGCGCCAGCATATTGCACTTCATCCATACCTCACAGGTTGGCTTTGGGTGTGATGGTGAAAAAGGACGACGGGTGACCTTGCCGCGGGAAAATCGTTTCTTTTTGGCCAGAGACGGCCATGGCCAGCTCATCTGAGATAAAGTCAAGGTCTTTTTGAGTTCATGCCATAATTGATTGTACACGCAGTTTATGTATCAAAGTGTTTGCCTGTAATCAATGATGGGCAGCATCTTCCTCGTCGATCTTTTCAATATCCTCGAAGAAGTCCTCTTCACCTCCCTCTTCCGCTTCACCAGCTGCAGCTTGACCTTCGATTTCAACTGCTTGGCTCTCATAATCTTGCATCTCGCTTGCAAGGTTCGTCTCTTCCGGCGAGTTTGGCGTTGGCGGAGGTGTGAATTTCTGGACCTGGCCCTCGGCGTCGGATGCTTTCTGTGGCGGTGGCTTGTAGGCTTTCAGCTCTTTGAGATACAAGTCCTGAACCAGGTCGGCTATATATCGTGAGTGAATGCCCTTGCTAAAGATAAGTGGACCATTGAGGACTCACGCATTCTCGCAGCCGACGAAATTGTGAAGCTCCGGCGAGTGAGTGGCATCGCTCTTGAGCTTAGCCGAGCAACCAGGCGAGTCTATAATGCACGTCAGTAGCTTAAGATCAGACCTTGGACGGAACTTACGCTGGCCCTTAGTGATTGCGCCATGATTTATGCTGTTACAAGGTACGATTGGGGATCAAATCGAACTTGGGAGGTGTTTTCCAGGAAGCTTCAACCGCAGAGACAAGCAGGAGAAGCTATTCCATTTCCGGCCTCCTATTATCACGTGATGCTGCCTGGCTTGGCTCTTCGGACTTGATTTCAACACCTGCGCTCACTGAAGTTCCATGTCATTCTCTCCCTTTATCCCTCTATCTACTTAGGTCCTGGCAGCCTCAGATATCGCTCCTGCACATCTCTCTCTTTTCGCGCAGGACCTCTACCTGATCATTTGCGCACCGTGGACGACGATCTCGACAACGACTCTTCGTGTTCAGAACCTCACCGCTCTTGTCTCACGAGACCTTCACTGGTTGAATCGGTCCGAGTCAGATCCTCTTAGCCCGTTGCGTTCCTTCTGATCACCGCGTATATCTTTGCTTGAGCATATCTTCGAGGTACATAAAATTGTTGACGCGATCGGTGTCTTTTGCTGGGGTTGTCTCATTAATTTGTTGATGGCCTGACTGACATTTGGATTCCACAGTGTACGACGATATTAAGTCTACGTCGGCACTATTATCCTCGCTCGTTCGATCCCATAGAATAGAATAAAGGGGAGCTTTTGGTGGAAGCGGAAGTCTGCGCCTTCGGTTGACAGACACCATCCTTTCTCACCCGTTGTCTGTAATCACCGTCAAACTGTATTCCCCGCTCTTCGTCAAGTCATTTGCCAACAAGCACAACTTGACGACCACATATCGTGGGATCAAGAGGCGACAGAACCAGCGCATCCAGACGAGACTGAGTGGACGAATAACCAAAGCCAATCAGACACCACACTCTGGGCGAGTGAAGATGGCGGGTACTGAAAACCAGCCGCCCGATGGCCCAGCATGGCATGAAAACCTCAACATGCACCTCATCTGTCCTGATTGCAAACAGGTTCCGCCTGAGCTGATTGAAGAGAACGCGGATACCATCTGTGCCAATTGTGGGATGGTTTTGGCAGAGCGTCTGGTCAGCTATGAGTCTGAGTGGCGAACATTCAACTCAGACGAAGGCAAGGGTGAAGATCCCAACCGTGTCGGTGAAGCTGATAACGAACTGTACCTCACAAACAATGCGGGAACCATGATTGGTGGGGGTGGTCCTAATGTCTCCAAGGAAACTAGGAGACTCAAGAAGGCTCAGGCTATGCAACTGGAAAACAAAGCAGATCGAGCTCTGCAGGCTGCATATGCTCAGATCGAGGCTTGGGGAGAAAAGGCCAAGTTGACGGCCCCGGTAAAGGCTGCCGCCAAGTCTTATTACAAGCGAGTTTACGAGGCAAATGCCCTTCGAGGCAAGCAGTTGGACAGTATCCTTGCTGGCTGCGTATTCATCGCCTGTCGTCAACTAAAAGTGCCGAGAACCTTTAACGAAATCTTTGGCATGACTTCGGTCCCCAAGAAAGAAATCGGCCGTGTTTACAAACAACTGCAGAATTTCTTGAGCAAGTTTTCTGAGGAGAAGAATGCGGAAGTCGTCGCCACTGGCGGCATCCCCAATAGCACCGCCGACTTCCATGCCACCACGTCAACCAAGCCGGAAGATCTCTGTGGCAGATATTGCAACATGGTTGGCCTCAATTATAGGGTTCAGACAATCGCCGAGGGCCTGGCCAGGAAGATCCCTACCATTGAGGGTCTTGCCGGTCGCAGCCCGCTATCCAACGCTGCTGCGTGCACATTCTTTGCCAGCCATCTGATAGGGTTCGGCAAGCCCAGTAAGCAGATCAGCGAGGTTGCGGGCGTCAGTGATGCAACTATCAAACATGCTTACCGCTATCTCCTTCAGGAGAAAGAGCGTCTGGTCGACCCAGAATGGCTCGGACAACAGCCCATGCCTAATGGAGGCTTTGGTAGATTGGAGAATCTTCCCGGCGCATGATCAACATGAGCGATTCAAGGCTAAGGGCGCCACCATCAGGGTTTCTTCGATGTTCTCTTATCATTCAACAAACGACCAAAAAATTTGTTACAATGTGGGGTGTTTGCTTTCTGCTGAGCAGCCACTGAAAAGTTGGTGCTCGTACAAGTTCATTTGAGGTCAGGTGCGGTTGCTGGTTGGGCTTGAAATGATATCCTGGTTGCGAAAAGCATAGCATGGCGTTCAGCGATGAAGGACTGCTCTACATGTCCAAAAAAGCTAGACTATTTGATGGGAGGTCTCGAGCGAAACCCATACCCTAATTATGAATCAGTTATGTATTTCTAAATCGTCTCTGAGCATCCATTGTCCGTCAAGTCACAGTAGTACTCTGTATGGATCTCCCCGAGCAAGCATTCATCACTAGCCCTCTCCAGCCTCTAGAGCGAAGGTGTGCTGTAGGTCTCTTGGTGACAGCTTCAGGCTTTTTGTATCCAATGGGGAACCCCGGCCTGACCCAAACAATTAAGCCCATATGAATCATGGACGATACTCCAGTTGTTGGAACCTGCTGCTCGAAAACGACTTTGCTGCGCAAATACTTCACCGGACGTCTCACATTGTTCCCTCTGGCTGATGGGTAGCTTTGCCATCGTTGGCCACCGGCGACTGTAGTGGGAAAGGTTCAAGCTGCTGTCATTCTCCTCACTCGGCGAGCGCGGTATAGACTCCATCGACATTGGAACTGCCGCGTCCTCCTCCTCAGACTTCCACCAATGCAATGCATACAGTATGTGTTTATCACTGGCGCTACTGGATGCTGACCTGCTCTTTCAGGGCGAGCATCCCAGCTTCTCCGCAGAGCTCTATCCCTTGCTAAACGACCCGTGAGGGTTGGACGGAAGCTTCGCCTTCATCATGACGTGCCGACTCCCGCGCACCCGGAGTAGTGGATGGTACAAAGCCCAATGACTCTCCAGTCAAGCACCGAGGGTACCGCTCAGGCTCTCATCGTCGTTCAGTACAAGAGACACGATGCTGACTCTTCCATTGTTCTTCTCTGCTTTGATATGCGCTTCTGTTGCGCGTCCAGGACGCGAGCACAGTGCAAAACCCTACGCGCATGCTCTTCAAGTAAGACAGATAGGAGGGAATTCAAGCTCCTCGCTTCAAGTCGACATAGGCTATGGAATTTATGAAGGAGTCCAGAACAGTACTTCTGGGCTCAACGTCTGGAAAGGGTAGGAACGCACCGTATTGCTTTATGCCACCCTCACTGACGCCCACGAGGATTCGCTTCGCCGCACCACCGACCGGCTCAAATAGGTGGCAAGCGCCGACTGCACCACAAGTGTCCAGGTCTTCCGTCACCAGTGCGAGCTCCTTCGGTCCAATCTGTCCTCAAGGCCCCGATGCAAGTACCAAGATCAACCCAGTCAACCAGACCGGTGCCAGTGAAGACTGTCTCTTCCTGAACGTCTATTCACCAAACAATGCGACTGGCCCGCTACCCGTCCTTGTATGGATTCATGGAGGCGGGTACGGTGCCGGGAATGGAAGGCAAGACCTGTCAACTCTGATCAATGCTAACGGCAACAATTTCGTTGGGGTGGCCATTCAATATAGGGTGCGTTTCCACAGCCCGATGCGTTGTGGCGCCAACTAACCCCAGAAAGCTGGCAGCGTTTGGTTTCCTGTCTTCCGACGAAGTCTTCCGTAACGGCGTGGTAAATGCTGGCATTCTTGACCAGGTAAGCAGATGAGATTGGAATGGAAGCTTCTCTCACTAGCCTCAGCACTTCGCCTTGCAATGGGTACAGTCATACATTGACCTTTTTGGGGGCAATGCCTCTCAAGTGACGATCTCTGGAGAGAGCGCTGGTGAGAGACAGTCTACTTTGCGGCACTTACTTACTCCTGCTTACATCTGGCAGGAGGTGGGTCAGTCATGCTTCAGGACATGGCATTTGGTGGAAGCCAAGGCACACGATTATTCGTAAACGTAAGAGCCTGCAGGAAACTTGAGAACCATGTTGAACAAAAGACAGACAATTGCCGCATCTCCATATCTGCCTATGCAGTATGGCTACAGGGACTGGGTGCCGTCGCAATCATACTATGCATTTGCGACGGAAGCGGGCTGTCCTCCGAGTCTACCCTACGGTGCCCATCCTCAGACGATCTTTGAATGCCTCCTCGACAAAGACACAGACACGTTGATCAATGCGAGCGCCACGATATCCCAATCTGCCAACTATGGCACTTGGGCATTTTTGCCGGTGTAAGTCTGTGGTTACCCTGACGAGCCCTGGTTACTGAATTGATGATACCTTGAAGGACGGATGGCGTCTTTGTACAGGATCTCCCTAGTCAGCAACTTCTGCGCAAGAAAGTGAACGGCATGAATGCACTTATCGGAAACAACGCAGATGAAGGCCCAGGCTTCGTCCCCCAAAACATCACGACTGAAGATGACCTTCTGTCGTGGCTACAGATCACCTTCCCTCTCTTCACCAACGACGATATTGCCAAAGTCTTGCTGTATTATCCGAGCACTAACGATTCTACCAACCCTTCCGCTTCGCTCTATGCTACCACAGGAAACTCTAACCCCAGTGCCGTGAATCAGAGCTTGATAGGCACCGGACAACAACAGCGGGCTAACAATATCTATGCCGAAACAACCTTCGTCTGTCCATCATACTGGATGGCCGAAGCGTATACCGACGGTGGGCGGGCTTCATATAAGTACCAATTTTCTGTGCCGCCAGCACTACATGGCTCAGATACAAGTGCATGTATGTTCGTACCAATGGTATACTTATCTCTGAACAAGTCAGCCGCTAAGACCTAATCTTAAAGACTTCGGCCCAGCCGCAAAAAACGTTGGTCCAGATCTGGCGCTTGCGTTCCGACAAATCTGGGGCAATTTCATCACGTCGAATGATCCCAGCCTTTCGTCGAATGTTGCGAATGGTGCGTCCTCTGGGAATAACGGTGCTTCTAACGATGCCACTGATTGGCCGCCATTCTCGATCTATGCTCCGTACCAGATTAATCTAAACGAGGTCAGACCTCCCTATTCCTAGTCGGCGAGCTTTGTTGCGTTCATTTCTAGGCCCCATCTGACGCTTGCATCTACAGACCGGAGGGACGCCATACTCAGTCAACATCACGCAGATAGGTCACAATATCACTGTGAGTGGTCAGCCCGGCCTGCGGAATAATATCAGCCTTGTGAATGCTTGGACCTGGGAAGCGGGCCGAGGATACAGATGTGACTTCTGGCGCAGCATGGCGGCCATCGTACCTGAATAATTCGCAGTCCCTTTGGGGTGTCAGAAGCTTCCAACTAAGGAAGTAACAAAATGTGTGTACCCTCGTACAGCAATGAGCTTTTTGGAGGCGCTCATTACGTGTTGAAGAAAGTCGAAACTTAGGGCAATGCTGCGGAGCAGGAGGAGAGACGTTGGATTTCTTAGTGTTGACGCAAGCTATGCAGACGCAAAATCTACTTACGGTTTTAGTTATTGATAAGGTTCCACATCCGTGGAAAGGACGTCTCAGATCGTAACAAAGCATTGGGACTCTACTATCTTCACTCTTGTCTTGTACTTCGTTCCAATAGTTTAATGCTATCCAGGTCGCCTCAGCGGTGGGTCCCTGCTCTGGTCGCCGAATCCGCCCCACAAGTATCACCACCTAACTCGTTAGGTACGAGTACCTACTGCAAGAGTGGTCTAGGTACTCGTAGCTCTGAGCCTATCTCGATACGCGCCTCCTTTGTCAGCAATCGAGAGAGCCACAGGTCAAATGGTATCAACCGAGAGCAATCCGGCAGAGCATCAACGTTAGACGCCTAGTTCATACCTCAGGGTCTATAATTGCACACTTCCCGCTCTCGATACATGTCGAGTACGCGTATTCAGCGTTCATTGGAATATTGTTAAAAATGCCTAAACCAACGCACATTACGTGTCTCTGCGGCGATATCTTTGAGCCAGCATCTATCCTTCCATTCGAGGAGCTCCCGGTGGAGAAGCATCTCTGCCACTGCAACATCTGCCGTTACTCTACGGGAGCCCTGTGCGCATCGTACTTTGAACTCAAGGGCGAGCCGAGCGCGAAGTCCCTGGATCGCGCGACGGCATATCACACGCCCAAGTATGTGCGTTACTTCTGCAAAAACTGCGGATGCAATGTTTTCGCAGTCGGAAAGACCGACGACAACAATAGATGGCTAGCGTGTTCCGGCACGCTCGAGACCGACAGGAAGGCGGCGGACGACGTCGTGGTCAACGTTTCAAAGATCACGGCGCACATTTACGTCGGCGACGCCGCTGACGGCGGGATCGCGCCGTTCCTCAGCACGATCCGAGGCCAGGAGGTCCCTTGCTACGAGGTGGAAGATGTCGGGACGGCGATGGACAAAGCCCAGCTTTCACTGCTGCGGAAGGGACCACCACCACCACCGGCGGAAAAAGTATTGGAACGAGGAGACACCTTGAACGCCGCGTGCCATTGTGGAGCTGTGCGGTTCCAAATCAAGCCACCCGCGTACGACGAAAAGAGTGAAGGGTGGTATGTGCCCCCGGACCGAACCAAGTACTATGCCCGCTTGTGCTGTTGCCGGTCCTGTCGCCTGAGTATAGGTTTTACGATGCAGCCGTGGGCGTACGTGCCGCCTGGCCAGATCCTCACCGACGACGGCCAGCCGGTCCTGTTTGGACCGCAGCACAAAGAGACCACGCAGCTCGGGGCCTTGAGGTACTACCAGAGCTCCGACGCCGTGCTGCGCGGCTTCTGCTCGACCTGTGGTGCCACGATGCTCTATCAGCCTTTCGAGAGGCCGTATATCATCGATGTCAGCGTGGGGATCTTGCGATCAAAACACGGCAACACAATGGCCAGAGAGTGGTTGGACTGGGACAGAACGGTGGTGAGCAAGTTGGCGGAGGCCGCTGATGATGATTTGGCTCGTGCTTGGATGCAGAATGAGTAACCTAGTATTGTTTCCGGTTTTGAATCTTCTTCAGAGGGGAGTTTGTTTCAATACAAAGAAATCAGTGGAACGTACAATACAAGGAGTTCCAGGTCCTCATGGTGAGTAGTGAAAAACATCACTGTACGTTCGTTGCCAGCGAGCTATTGTAAAACTTGACACCAACACAACGAACTGTGTACCTCGTCATCGAACCATCACTATGACGCTTGCCTAGAATGTACAAGATTTGCCTCTTGTTGGCATCCGGGGTTAAAGGTCTCTCTGCAACCAGGTGCCATGCTGGGACGTCGTGCCGGCTGCGAGAGCCCAGATACTTCTCAAATAAGTCTCCGCTAGGAGAGCATGCTCATACTCGCATGTTTCGCAGGTGCTGACAAAGTTGCAATAACCGTCGATCGCTACCAGGTAGAGAAATCAGAGTGATACCAAACGGCATGTCCCGTCCTAGACGACGGCTCTTCCACGTGGCTCCCGTCACGGGAATAGACACGGCGCAAAGATCCAGCAGATTCACGAAATGACTGAAGCTCCCCAGACGCTTGTTCAAGTTGATCGGATCAGCTAGCATTTCCTCCACGGTGGGATGCGTCGCCGTCGACGGGACGACCAAGACGTCGATCCCATCGGAGCCACCACCACTACCGCGACGGAATTGCTTTGCGGCCAAACGTCGAAAAGAAGCGAGATCGAAAATGTCCTGGTACGCCCTCACGGCGTCAAACCCGGCACTCGATTCGAAAATCTCCCGAATGACAGGGTGCAGCTGATCGTGGCCATGGCGGTCCAGATAATCTTTGAACGCCACGATGCGCTGTGCGACAATCGAGCTACCATAGAGCATGGCGTTGGCGGACGCGAACGGGGCGTAGTCGAATTCAGACGCGACATGGATGTCCAGATCAGCTAGTCGTGCGGTGAACCGCTCGAAGAGCCGTGCGTACTCTGGACTCAGGACCGAGTCGAGCAACTCCTGCGGAGGCAGGCCGATTCGCAGATTTCTAGCTGTGCTCGTTTTACTTGAAGGTGAGAGCGAGGTGTTCGGCTCCAACGGTTTGGAGAGCGCCGCCTCCTGCTGCACCAACATGGCGAGCTGCTGGGGTTCGCGGGCGTAGACGTCGTCTTCATCGTACGCTTGCATGACGTCCAGCGCCGCCACGGTAGACTCGACTGTCCGGGCGATGATGGTGATGCAGTCGGCCGTCTTGCATGCGGGGACGAGGCCCACGGTTGAAATGGTGCCCAACGTGGGTTTCAACCCGACCATGCCGTTTAGAGCTGCGGGCACGCGCGTGCTGCCCGCAGTATCGGTGGCGACGGTGAAGGATACTAGATTCGCAGCGACGCTGACTACTGAGCCAGAGGAGCTCCCGCCAGAGACGTAGTCTGGGTCGTGTACGCAGCGGGGTATACCGTAGGGTGAGCGCGTTCCGTTGAGCCCCGTCGCGAATTGATCGAGGTTGGTCTTGCCGATGAGAATGCCTCCGGCATCGAGAATTCTCTGGACGACAGGTGCGGTTGTCAATGCTGTATACGCGAAACTTGGACAAGCCAATGTTGTCGGCATTCCCGCCACGTCGATCGAGTCTTTGACGGAGAATGGAATCCCAAATAGAGCCTGTTGTTGAGCTTCCGTGTCGGCCAAGTGTTGAAGCCTCTCTGCCCTCCTTACCGCTTCCTCTTGGGGCACAAGGGTGATCCAGACTGCCTTGTCTGAGTACGCGGCGATTCTCTCGTAGACAGATCGCACTACCGCCACCGGTGTCGTTGCTCCCCGCTGATAGAGTGTGTGCAACGTCTCAATACAGAGGTCGTCCGACAGCTCATTTCCCGAGTCCAGCCATCCATCTATGACAGTAATGCTGGTGTCAACTTTGCCGGATGTAGCTGAGGCCTTCCAAGGAGGGGAGACTGCTGCTGGAGGCGACATGACTGGAGACCGGAAGCCACTCGATCCTACGCGCAGATTTTGTGCAAATGAGGCAGCAGGAGAGACTCGGCCAAAGAGTTGTTAAGAGAACGAACTTCGCCAGAATGTTAAAAAGATAGATTCGTTCTGAGATGCAGTCTAATCATCGAGCTGACTTACCTACCCCCACTTGCAGTAGTTTTTCAAGCTCAACGGGTGTCCACAACGCCAGTCCCGTGTGGTGCATCTTCGCTCCTCCATTATCTGTGGCCCTGTGGAACTTCCATTGACGGGACCGTGATAACATTGGGTCATCGAGATGACCAGTAGAGGTGAGAGTGCGACGAGAAGGAATGATGTTCGCATGATGTACTGTCTAGATAGGAGTTTTAGCTTCAGATGGACGTCGGCGAGGTGGCGCCGGCGGGCCGTCGCCCAGGCTCCCTCCCCTATCAATAGATCCACATTACTCCGTTTCATACAGCGCTCACCTCAGAGTCGGCGGACATCGACGACGAGCAACCCGCTCGCCAGGCAGTCATCACGGGTATCGGTAGAGAATCTTCTCCATGGAGGCACGATATATGTGTTCTTGGCCACTGATCACTCGACAATCCCAAGCAGAGTCTATTGACGACACGTGAGCCTCCTTTTGCCGTCGCGCCATCTTCGGACAAACACCTGCAAGTAGCAGAATTATGGTTGCGGTTGATATACTCAAATTTCCAATCTCGTCGCCAGCAGACACGACGCCGCTGGACAGGCTAGTCGAGTCCGGTTATAAATCATCGCAAATTCTGGCTGTGGTGGGAAAGACTGAAGGTAAGCGAGGCCACCCGGTGGCCTACCTGCTATCCCTTGGTCGCATACATATATACCGGTCTAGGCTGATTTCTGACGCCTTTCCGTGCCAATTCCAGGAAATGGCTGCGTCAACGACTTCTCGCGGACACTGGCCTCTACGGTGTGGGAACCTAAAGTGCCTGCGGACGCCGTGACCATCTTCTCGGGCGGCACTGAAGGCGTCTTATGCCCGCACGTCACGTTTATTGTGCGAGCTGAAGACACATCTTCGAACAACCCGTCATACACCGGCCTCGTCGCGTCCGTTGGGCACACGCGAGCCCTCCATCCGCACGAGATTGGCACGCCAGACCATGCGCGGACGGTCGCTGCAACCATCGAAAGCATGATGGCGGATGATCTGTCTGTCCGCCCCGAGGATGTAGTGCTAGTCCTGATCAAGTGTCCGCTTCTCACCTCTGCCAAGGTTGAAGCAGTACGTGCCACAGGTAAAGAGCCCATCACCACCGACACATACGAATCTATGGCTAGGTCGCGGTACGCCTGTGCCGTGGGCATCGCGGCTGCGCTGGGCGAGATCCCCAACACGCAGATCGACTCGGCCCTGCAGCCAGCCAAAGCGTCAGGCTCGGGCAGCGTATGGAGCGCCAAAGCTAGCTGCAGCAGTGGTGCAGAGCTAGAAGACAACCATATCATGATCCTAGCCAAAGACCTGGCGGTCTCTGATGTGGGATCGACAGGACCTCAGCTCAGGGCCGTCTCGCGGCCAATGAAAGATGCTATCGACGCAGATGCTATACTCGATCTACTCTCCCAAGTAAAGCAAGATGGAGGGAAGGTCGTACAGGTGTTTGCTAAAGCTGAAGCCGATCCGTATGGCACTGTCAGGGGCAACAGACACACGATGAATACGGACAGCGACATCCACAGTACCCGCCACGCGCGAGCAGCTGTTGGAGGCCTGCTGGCTGGTCTCGTCGGCGACACTCTTCTCTACGTCTCGGGAGGTGCAGAGGGACAAGGTCCCGCGGGCGGAGGCAGCCTATGTGTCGTGTATACGATTCGCTCAGAGGCGACGAGTCACGAGCAGAGTCTTCCAGATCGCGAATTATCAAAGACATAGAGGCTATTACTATACAATTTATCCTATTTATAACCACGGTTGAGTCCTCATTCAAGCTCCCATACCGTGATGCATCAGACCCTCGGAGGGGGTCTTCTCGGATCTAGTCACCGTCGACGAAATCCACTCCGTATCGTGGCAAGTGAACTACATCTCGACTCCATATTGTGGTCAAAAAAGCAGAGACTGAACACAGGGGACGAGTACTCCAGCGTACGAGGGAGAGGTGCCAGGGCCCCGGGTACTCACTTGCAGAGGGGTTGCTCCCTTGCGGGGTGTACTTACCCACCTAGGTAGGCATTGTGGGACCGGGCGTTGTAAAAGCGGCGGGCGAGTCTCGATGCAGGTGCGACGAGTGTTCCAACCCTTCTGTTGCTTTTAAGTTCGTCCATCTGGGCGGACTCATAAGAATTCCAAGATTCAACCTTCCGAGACCTGTCCACGTACACCATACAGGCTATACTGTCCTATCTGTTGGCCCTCGTCGATCTGCAGACTTTTTTCCCTTGTATCCATCCAAAGAACGCAATCCTGGGAAGGCTCGATTCCACATCCACCTATACCTCTGAGATCCGCAGGATATAGAATATCGGTTCAGGTGTGAGCCACTCATTGCTTTGTTCCATATATGTACCTACCGCGCACTGTCTGTGTATCATCAGACACATGACCTATGATCTCGGCGTGCCGACCTTTGATCACTGAACGTCTCTCACCGATCTTCCCCTCACATCAACTCACCTCCTAAACTTGTGCGCGCATCGTTATGGACGCCAACGCAGCTCAGCGACCTGCCCAGCCGGCGCCCGCTCAGCAGGCTTCCTTGATCCGTCCGGAACAAGTGCAGAGGCTCCCACAACTGAATCCCGCACAGAAGCAACAGTACGAGCAAGGCGTCAAAAGATATTGGGAGGTTCTGAACAGCACGCAGCAAGGGGATCCAAAGTACAATGAGGCATACCAAGGACTAGTGCGAACGTCAGGCCTCTTGATGGCTGGCATGAAGCAATGGCAGACAGCTGCTAAACAAAGACAAGTGGCCCAACAACAGGCTTCCCAACAGGCTGCTCAGCAGGCGCAAGCGCAGCAGCAAGCGCAGCAGCAACAACAGCAACAACAGCAGCAGGCACAGGCCCAGTCACAAGGTCAAAAGCAGGCTGCGCAAGTTGCGCAGGCACCCAATGGTGCAGTGCAAGCTGGCAACAGTAGCATGCAATTTAATCAACTGATGCCCGAAATTCAGAAAAGAGTCAATGAACAAAACTTCTACTACCCACCGGCAATGACAAAAGGGACCGAACCGGCGGAAAATTGGTTGCGGGAGGCAAAGGCTCGGTTGGGACAGGCTCTGCAAAGACTTCAAGTTGCCAAACAAAAAAAGGCCGAATTCCAACGTCAAGCACAGCAGCGACAGCAAGCGGGCAACCCTTTGACACCGCAAGAGACAGAAGTTTACAACAACAAAATCGCACAGTGCGACCGAGCGATCAACGAAAGTGGTTCCTTCATGAAGAAGTTTAACGAACAGCAGGAACAATTTCGTAGTGCACAACCACAACATCAGTACACAAAACAAGCCACTGCAGGCGGTGAAGCCACTGAGTCGGGAGTGATGCCTCACCTCCAACCAGGTGTCCAAGGCCCTCAGGCACATTCAATTAGCAGTGCTGTTTCTGCCGCTCGCAATCAGGCCAATACTGCTCAAGCAACTGTTCCTGCGGTGACAACTGCGCAGGCAGGCCAGATCACTACCACAGCTTCGCAGGCCACGCCCGTTACTGCAACCCAACAACAATTCCCTCCAACTGCGCCAACAGACGGTACCACAGCAGCGCGTCCGGTATCTCATCAGGGCCAGCCGATAGCTCCCCAGAGCGCCACGCAATCAGCCATGCATCCGCACCCTTTGAACACGAGCATCAACAACGCCAAAACCCCCACACCTGTCATCACCAAGAACCTCCAAGTTGCCGAGCCCAAACCCGTGCAAATGCCGCCGTCCCGACCTACCATGACGGGCGGTGCAGGTGTCGGACTGCCGGGACAACTTGCACAGCCGGCTCTTACTGCTCTCCCTGGATACGTGTTGGAATCGAGCGAAGATGGCAGGGTCCTATCGAAGAAGAAGCTGAATGAGTTGGTTCGCGAAGTTTGTGGCCCAGGTCCAGACGAACAGCTTGATCCAGAGGCTGAAGAGGTAATTCGCATGCTTCCACTCAAGACGTTGGCTAACCATGACTAGATCTTTCTACAAGTCGCCGATGACTTTGTTGATGACGTTGTGACCCAGGCTTGCAAACTGGCTAAACTTCGTGGCTCCCCTAGCTTGGAACTGCGCGACATTCAAATCGTCCTGGAACGCCAGTATAACATACGAGTCCCAGGCTATTCGACCGACGAGATCAGAACTGTGCGACGCCCTCAAGCTGCGCCTGGTTGGGCTCACAAAATGAGCGCCGTCCAGGCTGCCAAATTGACTACTGGTGGAAGCAACACTGCAACGGTTGGCGCTGGTGGAAAGGACAATTGATGACACTTCTAAGGCGTTTGGGAGATTACTCTTTCCTCGACGCATCTTATCCTGCATTTTACTGTGTCGTCTGGACGAGAAATGATTCGATACCATTAGCATTGGGACGGACCGCAGGGGCATTAGGAGTTTTCATTGCGGCGCCGATGGCGGCCATATCTCTTTCCTCTACCCTCCCTCGAGAATTCGTGACGAGGCATGACTTGTGTAATTAGTACTAAGGCCTTATTGAAACCATTACGATTCGTTTCTCGAGGCTTCTTGTTCCTCTCCTAGACTCGAGAGCATCAGCTCTTCCACTGCCACATTTTCCTGCGGCTGCTAATATACGTTCTCAGCGTCAAGACGTGACGACAGGACGTACTGCATACCCCGTCGTTCGTTGCCCAAAGTACCCGTCAGTGTAGGATAAGAGAGTATGCGTGCCTAACAGTGGGCACGCTGATGGAGCCTTGAGGCCTTTTTGATAGAGGGATGGTAGGAGGTACAGGGGGCTGGGTTGGGCACCAGCAGCCCAGAAGAGAAAGACGATGGCGACGTCATCAGCCCAATTCCCCCCTTCTGACTTCTTGCAGCCCAGCAGCATCTCTCAGCCTCGAGCAAGCGAAAACTTGTTACGAGGCAGAAAAAATAACCCATCTCACCTACAGAGTACGACTGTCTATATACTTGGCAAACTACTCGATTTTCGGGAAGTCTCCTGAGAGCCACACAGCTCGTATCAGCCTCGCCCTCCAACCAAGCCTCCGACGACATTCACCTGCGCGGACCGACGCTTGGATCTCATTTCGGTCAACCACGATCCGACATATCCTAAGCAATGTCCAGATATCGTGCTGACCCTCGCTTTTCTGAGGGCAACCTTGCTTACCGCGATCCTCCGCCCCAACGATGGGATACCGACCGCTTCGTGCGAGAACGAGAATTCCGGGCGGCTCCCGTCATCGACCAGCGCCCTCCCTATGACTACCCTCCTCGACGAGCGCCCGTCTACGAAGAACAGCAATACTATGAGCAGGATCGCTATGGGCCTCGTGGCGCCTCGGAGCGCAGATATTTCGAGGAGACTGACTACTATGACCCTCGGGCTCAACGGGGTCAGATGGTGCCGTACGTCCCAGAACGTCTGTCTCGCCCGGAAGCGCCACCTAGACCCGGCATTCTTCGCCGGCAATCCAGCCTAGACACGTTCGACCGCCGACCGTTGCGTCATCAAGATGACTATGAGGACTTCTACAGACAGGCGAGACCGAACCCGCCGCGCGAACTCATTCCCATACCGGCGCCGTCGCCAAAGAGAGCATACCCGAGGTATGACGAGCGCATCTATGACGATATTCGTGTGCAAGATCCTGATTACTATGGAGACGATGGCTTTCGTGAATATCGTGAAAGAGAATGGGTGGCTCGCCGAGGCAAGAACAGCCCCTCACCTGACAGACGAACCGTCAGGGAGGAGATCATTGAGAAGGAAGAGATCAAAGAAGTCAAAGAAGAGAAGCCATACCCACGACGTGGCAAGACACGTATGCCGAAACGTCTCGTGCACACCAAGGTTCTCTATGATTTGGGGTACCCCTACTACGAAGAGGTGGGTAGAACTCGCCCAACGGTAGCCCTATAGTGTCTGACTGATTTTTCCAGGACGAGCGAACTATCATTATCGAAAAGGCCCTTGGGCCAGACAATATTGACGAGATCTTTGCAATGAGCAAGGAGTATCGTGAGCGAGAAGGTTGGTTGGTTTGTGAGTCTGGATCGTTCATTTTGCTGATTTGTTACAGTCACAACGACCCGACTTATCGAGGCTCCTCCTGACACTCGGTCGCGAGCAGCTAGTGTCCGCGGCGATGTGGTCATTGAAAAGACGGAGAAGATTGAGGAGATCAAGACCGTTCCTTTAGCAGATGCCCCACGATCTGTCCGCGAGTGGGATGGATTGTCAGTTCGTTCCCCATCCCCGAAGTCTCATCGATCTCATTCTCGAAGACGATCGAGACGTGGATCGTCGCCCGGTGTGATCAAAGAAACCATAGTCGAAAAGAAGGAGGTGGTCAAGGAAGTATCTCCTGCCCGAACACATCGATCTCGCCGCCGAGGGTCTTCTGTGAGCGACGACACAACTATTATCGAACGGAAAATCATTCGAGAAGGTATTGATGACGACTCAAACTCTGTTCATGTCGGGCCATTGGCGCTTGTTGTGGACAGAAACCCACCACGCAGCGACCGCGACATCAAAGAGGAAATCAGACGGCTCGAAGCGGAACGCCGAGCGCTGCGCCGGGAGAGACGCTACGAGCGCGAAGCCGGCACCGAGATTATCAAAATTGAACGGACGCGGGACAGATCTCCATCGCCTCGCGGCGAGGTCATCATCGAAAGGCGAGGCGACGAGATTCTGGAAGTCAAGAAAGACCGGAGAGGTAGGATGTCGCTCGTGGCAAAATAAAGTAACAATGTTCCTGATGGCATCTCCAGGTCGGTCACGCTCGGCAGCTCCCAGTCCTGCAATCATCAAGGCCATGATGGCCACACTCACCTAATCACGGTCTGTGGCGATACTGGGGGAATGAGTCCGTTCTTGTTAAAGAGTAAGGGTTGGACCAGTACCACTGCGTACGATTTCAGGCTTGGTAATTTGTCTTGCGAGGACGTCAACTCTGCTCAACATGCTCCTCACGGTTTGGATGTTTGTCTTGAAGCCATCTATCCCATGTCATGTATGGAGAAGGTGGAGATGATTGGAATGATTGCGATGGACAATATGGACGAGTTTCTTTTAGGATACAGCGGAGGAGTTTTGGATCTTTGAATAGGTAGACTGAGTGTTATACCGGTAGTTTGAATGCTTCCCTGCTTTACTTGAACAATGCGTACTTTGGTTATGGTCATGTTATTTCTGGCCTCTTCTCTGACACTGTTTATGATACTTCACCAAGGCAGTATGCGTTACTAAAATACCCAGGTAAGGTACCTAAGGCATCTATCTGCCAGCCAGCAACCTATCGAGCGTCATGCTCCTCCCTCTCCGGGTACCTGCTTGCCGCTTTGCTTGCCCTCGGCTCACCTTCCCGCCCCTGACATGATGTGTTTCCTCATCCTGGTTCACGACAGCAACTTCGGTTCGGACGATGCAAGGAGACAAGGAATCTCCGTTCCTCTGATTCGAACACCTAGTGAAAAGATCGGCGTTACTGAGCCGTGTATTGGTCCTATTTGACATAGCTTAGGGTATGAGAACCCTCCCTTGCGACATGTTCCCGCTTACGTGTCTCCATATTCATTCTACGTTCACCGTGCTTTCAATACGGAACTCATCCTACATAATGACACAGACGGTGTCCGCGACGTTGCCTAACCATCGGAATACGTCTCCGACGAGACTCCCCCTCCGTGCCTCAAGTTGGTGCAAGGTCTCGTTCAACCTGGTCTCTAACTCCTTGATCTTTTCCAAGCTTTCTTTGTTCGACTCAAGGAGCTCTTGGTACACTCGCCTGCCGGCTTGTGTTTCGATAAACGGCAACCCGAGGTCCACGAGCTCATATTGAATGCTCAGGGCAGAGACGGGCAGCTTGTGCCTGGTGACTTGATCAATCAAGGCAAGACAGTCGGACCGTCCATCGCTCTCGGTCATTTGCAGCCGCCAATATTCGGCGTTGGCCTGGATCATGGCACCGAAAAACTTGGGTTCAGACTTGAGGATTCGCTCGTGCTCGAGAGATCGCTCTGCTGGTGGATCGGTCCAAAAGTTGGTCGCCACGGTGATGGCGTTGAAGTTGTCGATACCGGTGAGGTCCTGTAAGATGTGAATGTTTTTCAGCGCGACACCGCCCACCCGCTCACTGCGAATGTCGTGCAGGTAAATGATGGCTGTGAGGTTTGTCTTCTGCTTGTACATGGACGTGAGATAGAGCGCGAGCTCCTGGAGGCGATCGACGTCGCTGATATTTGTGTCGTCGAATCCTGGAGTATCAATCAACTCGATTGACACCCCTCGATGGCGCAGGGTGTAAACCTCCGGCTTCTGAGTGATCGAACTGAGGTCGCTGCCGGCTCTGGCAACGTCTGAGCCAACGCATCGGTTGATGAATGTGCTCTTACCCGACCCCGTAAGGCCAAGGACGGCGATGAAAACCCTGTCGCGATGGGCCATTGTCACAGCGAAAAGACGCAACAATCGTGATTAAGATGACCAAGACTGTGGAGCACACTCGAGCCGGCCTCTCTACGAAATGAAAGGTTCGCCATCGCTGACAGTGGTTTCGGGGTCGTTGTCCTGATATACCTTATGAGAGAGATCAGCCGGTGTCACTAGCCTGGCTGCCTTGCCAGCTCATTTTGGGCGTGAATTTTAGGCATCAACTCTTCATAACCTGGTCGAATCACCGTGCCACCCTATGTGGCTGCTCATGATCTTTTCTAACGCCGTCTCATGTGTTATTCTTCACACGAGGGGCCAACTGGCTCGCTTGCTTCAGCAATCCCACAACGCGGGCAAAGATTCATCTCCACTACTTGGGCTTGCGGCTCTGCTAGGAACCCCACGAACATTTTGGGCAGCCTATTTCGGCATGCTGCATGAACGGTGTTCGCTGTCTATGATACGCCCAGCCTGCCAAGTCAGTCGCCCGACTCATCTGTCCATGGTGGGTGGCATTTGGGCCGGGGGCTGTTCTATCGAACTACGGGGTACCGGCAGGGACCCAGCCCGCTTCCTTGATCTATTGGACCAGAAGGAACGTATATCCAATTGTCATAGAATCCCCGAGGCATTCGTGCCGTGATAGATGTGCACTCCATGTACGGTGACTCCCCAAAAAAGACACTGGAATTGCTCTCACAAAGGCCTTCGAGTCCCATAGACTGTACTCGCACGGAAGGATGTGAAGACACCCCCGGCATGTGAAAGGCCCAATCAGAAGCAGTACCAGTTAGAGCGTAGGGTCAGGCTGATGTAGCATCGTCGCAACACCACTGACGTAGTTCGTATCTTTACCTCTCTAGCCTTGGGCAGAAAGGACGTACTGTAACAGTAACTGCAGGTCCTTTCACATACCGTGCCGGACCTTGGGTTGCCGCGCTGGGAGGATTGTCTACCGGATCGCATTGTGCAAGCCGACTGCGAATTTGCAGAACGGACATCGCTCAGCATTCATTCGTACCGTCAACATCATGCCCGACAAGATCCTAGACGACATCTCGCATCGTCGCTACAATCTTCTTCGCGGGAGTTGGATTCTCGTTTCCCCTCACCGTACCAAAAGGCCCTGGCAGTAAGCGACTCTCCTGAAGCTTGTTCTTTTTTTTTTCAGGTGTTGTTTTTGACCGCGTTGCCTCGACCACTTCTTCTGACCACTTTGGCGCAAAAACTCTAGAGGACAGCAAGAGAGCCCCGGAGTGATTGATCTGCCCAGTTACGATCCCCAGTGCTACCTGTGCCCGCGGAACAAGCGGGCGTCGGGAGACACGAACCCGGACTACCAAGACACATTCGTCTTTGTGAACGACTACAGCGCCGTCAAGGAGGAGCAGCGAGACTACGCCTCACCAGATGTCCAGGGGAGCCTGTCGAGTCTCCTGCTCAAGGCGGAGCCGGTCAAGGGGAAGTGCTACGTCTTGACCTTCAGTGCCCGCCACAACATCACCTTGGCCGACATGTCCCCTGCCGAGATCCTGCAAATCGTCAAGACTTGGACGGAGATATATACATCCCACATCTCTCCCAACTCGCCTCTCGCCGCGATCGCTAAACCGACCCACCTCCCGCCCTCCAACCGTCATGCGCACGTCGGGACGCCGAAGGAGCAGTATCGATGGATGCAGATATTCGAGAACAAAGGCGCAGCGATGGGATGCTCGAATCCTCACCCGCACGGGCAGATATGGACTACTACGACTCTACCTGAAGAGCCGTCTCTCGAGCTGGAACAATTGAGGAAATACCACAGGGAACAGGGAGGTTCACATATGCTGGTCGACTACGCTCGGTTGGAAAGAGAGAAGGATGAGCGGGTGGTTTTCCAGAACGAGACATTCCTGGTTGTTTGCCCTTGGTGGGCAACTTGGCCGTTCGAGACAATGATCCTTCCCGTCAAGCACCTGCGCTCGTTGATCGACCTAAGTGAAACAGAGCAGATGGATCTTGCAGAAGCAATTGCTGAGACAACGCGGCGCTATGACAACTTGTTTGAGACGAGTTTTCCATACAGTATGGGCATTCACCAGGCTCCTCTTGATGGCACTAAGGAGGAGATTGAATGTTCCAGCCTCCACCTCCATTTCTATCCGCCACTGTTACGTAGCGCAACCGTCCGCAAATTCTTGGTCGGGTATGAAATGATGGCCGAGCCTCAAAGAGATATCACGCCAGAGCAAGCTACTGCCAGGTTGCGAGCGTGTGGAGGAGAGTTGTACAGGAAACACCTCCAGGCGCAAGGGGAGAAAGTGGAAAATCCACCCGTGGAAGAAAAGGCGCAGCCTTGATGCGTTATTTGCCATCCTAGGTATACTCGATCTGTCATGGCTCATGATGCCGCTTTCACCTGACATAGAAGTCATACTGGGCAAAGGACCAGACGAGCCCGAACACGGACACACAAACTGGAGCTAGCCATGGACCCCAGGGACGGCTTGTCTTGTACACAAATGCCTCCATACTGAAGTGAGCGAGACCAACCAAGTTGGTCAACATCTGCATTTGATACCATGAGGCCTCGTTCATATGGTACGCTGCAAATATCCTCACCAACCCAACGGCAAAGGTCCAGGTTCCGAATGTCCTCGACGACAGAGGTGTGGCGGGTGAGGTTTCGTGAGCCGGTCTCTTGGTCTTACCCGCTTCGATGGGGCCCGAGTAAAGGCGCTGCGTGTAGGACATGGTAGTGTAGCATTGTACAGCGTTGCCGAGGGCAGTGACACCCACCTGCGCATAATGTTAGAGCTTGCAGACAGTGAGGAGTGGTGTATGGACATACGAAGAGTACATAGAACGGCAGTAAGCCCTCTGATTGAGGTAGAAGAGCGCTCATGGTGGCTGTCTACGGTAGGAAACCGTTGGCGAGCAAGCAGATACACTATTATGCTGGTACTGATGGTCGTAGAACTTGGGACGCTATTTGGCCCACAAGAACAGAAAGATACAGAGGGACGAAACTGCGCAGTTGTTTTTTAGGTAGTTACCCCGTCTCGAGGTGGAAGGAGATGGTGCCCCTGTCCGTCGGCAGCGCCCATTGGAGCTCCCGCGTGGTCTCATTCAGTAAGATTTCCCAGTCAGCACAAATGCTCCAAAACCCAACAATCTGGCAACTGTGTGACCCTGAGCCTTTGGTCTGCATCATACCTGGACAACGCAATGGCGGTTGATTTGGGACCTTTGGGCCAACAGAGCCTGGCTTCTACAGCCTTGATAGGCGTGGGCGCCATCACCATTGCCTCGATTGCATTCACAACTTTGAGGGTGATCCTAAGCACTTTCGTGCTTCCCGGTAAATCTGTACGTGTAAACTTGAAGTTGGTGCGCACGCTTCACAGACTGACTAGTTCTAGCTCTCGAAATACGGTCCCAAGGGCTCATGGGCGGTCGTCACGGGAAGCTCTGATGGCATCGGTCGAGAATACGCCCTCCAGCTTGCAAAGAAGGGCTTCAACCTGATCCTGGTATCGAGAACCGCCTCCAAGCTCGAGTCCCTCGCCTCCGAAATCAAAACCCTGGTACCTAGTGCTGTGGTTGAAATCCTAGCTATGGACTTCTCACAAAATCGAGACGCAGACTACGCGGCATTGGCTTCTTTGGTACAAGGAAAACAAGTGTCAATTCTGATCAACAATGTCGGTCAAAGCCACAGCATCCCTGTGACATTCGCCGAGACGTCGTTGTCTGAGATGTCAAACATCATCAACATCAATTGCTTGGGAACACTGCGTGTCACGCAGACTATTCTACCAAGCATGCTGCCACAGAAGAAAGGCCTCGTCTTGACCATGGGATCCTTCGGCGGATTGGCGCCAACTCCCTTGTTGGCTACATACTCCGGTTCCAAGGCATTCCTGCAACAATGGTCGAACGCATTGGCTTCCGAGCTGTCAAGCAAAGGTATCGACGTGTTCCTGGTGCACTCATATCTCGTTACATCGGCCATGTCCAAGATCCGCCGAGCGAATTGGCAAGTGCCTACAGCAAAAGCTTTTGTCAAATCGGTGCTGGGAAAGATCGGTCGAAGAGGAGGAAGTATTGGCTATGCGCACAGCGGTACCCCCTATTGGAGTCACGCAATAGTCGCAGCCCTTATCACTGGTGTGTTGGGCCCTATGAGCGGTTTGCTCCTTGAGTTCAACAGGAAAATGCATGTTGATATTCGGAGACGAGCCCTAAAGAAGGCAGAACGAGAGGCACAAAAAGGCAAAAAGGAGACAGGGGGGAAATGATGGGAAATGTCAGAAAGCATGCGCTGGCTCTTGATGAGTGTATCTCATGTGCCACTTCCAGCCCCAGGTACAACACTTTCCACGATCCAGATACCCAATGTAAATTATTAATGTATGAAGATCTCGAATTGATATAATACTTGAACTCGTTGTAGTACCTACCTGATGCAAGTTCCTCGCTGTGCTGATTGGCGGGCCTCAGCCTTTGGCCGATGCTCTCCGCAATCAAGTATAAGCGTCCCCAGGTATCTCCGTACAGAGGGCTCTCCTGTGAGTGAATTCACTCACACTCTCCTGTCGTTGTAATTTGTTGCGCCGGACGCAAGAAACTCTCGTTCCGAATTGGTTGTTATCAGACATGTTCCTTCCATGACTATGAACGTTTAAGAATGAGCCGAGTTGATCTCTCCATTCGCCAGGCCATCCTGTTAAACGATGTTGCTTTAGTCCGCAGACTGCTGAAGCATCACCCCGAGCATCTTCACAATCCTGACTTTGCCGACAAAAGCAATACATCTTTACATCTAGCTGCGCAACATGGCTTGATAGAGATAGCAGTGAGTGTGCAAAGACTATGCCGGTCGCCTGGACTGGACTGATGTGATCTCAACCGCAGGAGCTATTAGTCTCGCTGGGCCATGACAACACTCGAGAAGTGACAGACTGGATCTACTCCAACCAGGGTGACAATCTGGGAATCTCGGTCAACACTGAAGGCAGAACCCCGCTGCATCTCGCTGCTGCGTCTTCTCAAGCGGCTGTCGTCGAGCTCCTGTGCAAACACTTTCCTCAGACCGTCAATCGACCAGACTACCAAGGCCGAGCCCCTCTTCACCTCGCGTCGTGTTCCCAGGGTACGCCGATAGTGCCCAGCTATGCCGACCAGCACTCGAGACCTGCCACGCGTTCAGGAGAAGACAACAGCACCATTGACATTTTAATCGCCTCTGGCGCGGACATAAATGCGCAAGATGATCAGGGCGACACATGTCTACATAACGCTACCGCATGGGGCAACCTCAAGGCCGTACGGGCTTTGATACAGGCTGGTGCGGACCCTCTACGGAAGAACAAGGCCGGTTGGACCCCTGAATATTACAGCATCACGGTACAAGCAGAAGTCTATTATCGTAACATGGTTGCAGAGTGGGAGAAACGAAAGGCTGAAGAGGAAATCCGACCCAATGGCATACGCACCAAAGCCGCTGCTGCAGGAGGAGGAGGAGGAGGAGGTGGTGGTGGTGGTGGTGCTGTAAGATTGGTGCCACAGGAGCCTGAGAGTGATGATGATGGTGATGAGTCGGCGGCGTCCCGGAGCCGAGCGAGCAGCGCAAGGTCTCAACAGACGAGTGGTAGCCATAGTGATGCCGGGTTGGGAATCAGTGTTGGAAATGTGGATGCATGGAAGTGATTGTGCCGATGGCGTTTATCTGAACTACCGGTAGAGTCTTTGCAGAAGATTATCTTGCTTAGACTCTAGATGCCAGTGGAGGAGGCTGGACTCCGCAGATGTGAGACGATCAATTGACTCCTTCGATCCCGCTGTCTGTTCGGGGCCGATCAATCAACGCCCAAAAGCTCAGCCACCGACACAGTGACAAGTTGCGTCTTCCCAACGCCGCTGTATATATGATCTGCATCTTTCTTCTGCCTACCTGATCTTACAATAACTTGTACTCGTAGGTGCACACTCATTTCTCGCATTCTCTACTGTCTACTCTTCCTAGCGCCCTCGCCGTTCCTTGCATTTCACCAAGGCCTCTGCAACTTGACATTTCGCGCCCCTCCCCCCACGTCTTGATCAGCCACATCCGTAACAGCCTACCCAAGCCGCCTCACGGAGTGACAGGACTCGATGGCGAGTCCTGCTCACTGCCTATACTGCTTTGAAGTCTTGTCCGCGAGTTTCGACCGGCGAGATCCCCCTACGTTGCAGCGAGTGCTCGATTTGTACAAGAATTACAAATTAGATACCGACCCTGATGCAATAGCGGAAAGCGAGGAGAAGCGAGATGCGGAGGGAGGTGTCGATGCCGACGCAGAAGACGAGGAAGTTGCTGACGAGGACGACGAAGATGAGGAAGAGCAGGCATCTCTACAACACGAAGAAACTCGTCGTCCTCAAGTATCAAGCATATCGAGGCTGAAGGCATCAACGTCCTCGTCCAGGTCTTCTTCGGCTTCTTCTCCTTCCACAAGATCAGCCACCTCTTCCAATTCTCAGTTGACCGCTCATTCCAGTGCGACGTCCATCACTCCGTCGTATGCATCTCGACTCTCCGTCACCGACACCTTCCCACTCTTCATTACCTGGAACACCATCTCCAGATCAGGTCACAAATCCTTGCGCGGCTGCATTGGTACTTTTGAGGCTCAACCACTTGCATCAGGTCTATCCGCATACGCTCTTACGTCGGCCTTTGACGACACGCGCTTTTCACCAATCCCGGCCTCGCTACTGCCTTCCCTTTCCTGCTCGTTGACGTTGCTAGCCAACTTTGAGCCGTGCAGTGACGCGCTAGACTGGACACTTGGTACCCATGGCCTACGTATCAGCTTCACGTATCGCAACCGTCGCCACGGAGCTACGTACCTCCCTGACGTAGCTGTCGAGCAGGGCTGGACCAAAGAAGAGACAGTAGAGAGTCTGATGAAGAAGGCTGGTTGGGACGGAGGATACGGACATGGTGTGGCCAAACGATTGCTCAGAGGCTCCGCTAGGTCAAGTGACGGCCAGAGTACGAAACCATGGGACGATGTGCAGGACTTTCGAGCCGTGCGATATACTGGTTTGAAGTCTAGTGCATCGTATAATGAATGGATGGAATGGAGAAAGTGGGCAGAGAACCACGGAGAGGCCTTGAAGTGATACAAGAGGAAATATATCAGCCAGAAAACTCGGCCTCTGTCAAGAGAGTCCTGCGCGAAGCCTTTACGTCGAAGACAACCCACTTTGAGGGCTGAGATGTTGATGTGCAAGTCTGAAGAGCTTCTGCGCGACCCGACTTTCCGACTTTTAACGATACGAAGTGACCTTATGATCTGAGCAATATTCCAGCTAGTGCATACCATTTATAGAAGACATAGAAATCTACTAAACTTGACGACATTTCGTGCAAACACAGAATGCTTTATTCCTAACGACATGGGGTGTTCTAACCTCAAGATCGACCGTGTTAATCTCAGTGTCAGAAAATATATTAAAGATATACAGTAGCATCCAGTAAGTAATATGGGTCTTGGCTGTTGATCGTCCGAGGTGTTGTGAGATGCCCATGTGACCCAAAAATCTGCCCGGAAGTGTAGGATTGAGCCTCAGGGCCATAATGAACGAGGAAGATGTTGTCAAGACTCAGATGTAGATCTCAGATTGCATGCTCGATGCGTTCAATGCTGATGCTAACGAAGCTTGACTAAGATTGTCGAATCGGGAACTGGACCCGCCGATTTTCAAAGACGTCGACTTTCTCGACCACCACAAAGTGCTTTTCGGCATCTTTCGCATCCTCGAATACGACCGTCGACCACCTCTCGCCGACCTTCCTTCAAGCTTCTTTTGTAAATTACCCCCTTACCTGTATTTATTCCATGGCTTTGTGAACGGCGTCTTGATTGCTTTGCCTCATCACCATGCGGGTGCGCATCTCGCCCAGCTCTTCTGCACTTTTGCAACCGTCCGTTCCTGTCCGAGCATCGACAGCTTCACTACCAGCTGTTTGTCCGTGGTGCTCGACGAGATCACACAGTTCTCGAGCTCGAGAGTCGAGACGACACTTTTCCTCATCTCAGCAATCACCTTCAGCATGGGCGGCCGCAGTGTCCAAAATCCAGTCCACCGTCGCCGACGTCTTGCCCTCGTCCGGGTCCTCGAACGCGACCAGTAACGTCACCATCGACCCTCTCAAGCTTGTGGCGAAGGAACTCAAGTTCTTGAACAAAAATATCCGCCAGCTACTCGGCTCGGGTCACCCTGTGCTCGCCACAGTAGCAAAATACTACACGCAGAGCGAGGGCAAGCATGTGCGTCCACTGCTGGTACTGCTCATGGCTCGAGCGACCGCCTTTGCCGCGAAACAACCGCGCTACGAATCGCAAAACCTGTCTCGATCGACCATCGATACGCCGATCTCCTCCCCGTCGGTCTTGTACGACAACAACCCAGATCAAGCTGCGGCCTCTGAACCTCCCTCCCCGCTCACGTCCACATCCAACGAAACCTATGCCTTTCCTGACGACGCATCCATACTGCCCTCGCAGCGCCGCCTCGCGGAAATAACAGAACTCATCCACACTGCCTCCCTCCTACACGACGACGTGATTGATCACAGTACTACCCGCCGCTCCGCTCCTTCCGCCAACACCACCTTTGGAAACAAAATGGCCGTCTTGGCCGGCGATTTCATGCTCGGCCGCGCATCTGTGGCTCTGGCCCGTCTTCGAGACCCCGAGGTCGTTGAGCTTCTCGCCACAGTCATCGCAAACCTCGTCGAGGGCGAATTCATGCAGCTCAAGAACACCGCCAGCGACGAGTCCAATCCCCGGTGGAACGAACAGGCCATCACGTACTACTTGCAGAAGACATATCTCAAGTCAGCTAGCCTCATAAGCAAGAGTTGCAGAGCGGCTGCTCTGTTGGGCCAGTGTGCGCCTAGCGTTGTCGAGGCCGCGTACCAGTACGGCAAGAATCTTGGTCTTGCGTTCCAGCTTGTGGATGATATGCTGGACTACACAATCAGCGCTGGGGAGCTCGGTAAGCCGGCCGGCGCAGATTTGGAGCTAGGTCTTGCCACCGCGCCGCTCTTGTTCGCTTGGAAGGATCGACCAGAGCTAGGCCAGCTTGTGGGGCGCAAGTTTTCTAAAGAGGGCGATGTACAGAGGGTGAGTATCTTCTGAACTTCGGTTTGAGAGTGATGAGATTTGCTGACTTGAATGTGACTAGGCGCGAGAAATCGTCTTGCAGTCCGATGGTCTCAAACAGACCAGAGCTCTCGCCCAAGAGTACGCGGACAAGGCCATAAGTAGTATTAGCTTCTTCCCGCCCGGCGAAGCCAAAGATGGCCTCGAGGAGATGTGTGTCAAGGTGATGAAACGGAGGAAGTGAGAGTGCGCGCCGTTCATGCATAGTATAGCTTGCTTGGGCAAAGCGCGGCAGAACTGTATCAAAAATCAAATGGTATACATAGAGCACATGACTTTGCATTGGTGTGGATATGTCTATAAATTACGGTGCATCCCGATAGAGACAGAATGTGATGAGTCGCCAGTCTGAACTTGTACTCGATAGAAGGTGGTCCTAAGGGTGAAGAAGCAAGCTAGTGGGAAGGGAGCACAGGACGAGGGAAATGCTTCAGTGTGTACGGAGTTCTTCTCCAGTATCAAGCTGAGAGTGTGCAAACCATCTCCCACAAATATCAAATGGAATCTCTCCCTGAATACCTACAGTAGTGTCATCCATCAAAGGCGACACAGGTCTTAAGAATTACTGAATTACCATTCCAAAAGACTCCCATCAAAGTTCTTTCGCGCTGGCTGTCTACCTGCACGTAGACGAACTATGTGTACATAGGTAGGTAGGTAGGTAAGCCAATGAGATGCCGATTATTTGCCCAGCTCGCCATGCCGAAATACGTTAAAATGAAACACTCGTTCTTGCGACACAATTCAATCACAACATCGATGGAAAAAAAAAGTCCAAAAAAGAAACCAGAGGTGTTGAAGAGAGTGGGATTCGAACCCACGCCTTTTGGGCAGTTAGTATTTTGTTCTCGTAGTATGAGAGAGAGATATTAACTTACGGGTTGCCCCATCAGGATGTCTGTGTCAAGGTTTTGAATGACCTTAACCTGACGCCATAACCAACTGGACGAATTGTTAGAACGGTGAAACCGGTAGAAGAGTTGAAGAAGTTGCGTACCTCGGCCATCTCTCCAAGAGTGGTTGTTGTTGAAGAAAATTTGAGGAGATAAACCTATGACACTTGACTTTTTGTGGGTGGAGAGGGTTGTCCACTTGGTGTCCGGAGTACTCCGTCCTGGGTATTCACTCAGGCAGCTGTTGTGGGGCCTGGGCATAACCCACTACCAGGCACATTACAATCTGACCACTAAGTAAAAGTGGAAGGTCTGGCTAAAGCTCGTGAAGACTGACTCGAACGTGTAGGAAACAGTTCGGTACACTCGTGCAAACTTTCTTTCAAATCACAAGAAAGCAGTCACCTGCGACGAGACAACCGAAAGCTTTTGTCGGGAAGATTGTCACATGTGTTGGAGAATATACGGCCGGCACAGAAACTTGAAAGATGCCTGAAGCCCGAAATAAAGGATTCACTTGGTCAGGGTAACTTGTGTGAAATTTGTCTTTGCGCGCCACGAGGATTCCCTTGGGTGACGGCGAAGTTACAGTAGTAATACCAAAACGGCTGAGCAAGTCCGGCGGGTAAGAGGAGCGACAGTAACTATGTTTTCAATTGATCAAGGTTACAGAAAATTCTTACCTGCCTGCTTATTGGGCTAGTGAACATCTCGTAAGTTGAGTTGAGACACATTCATTGATGGCCAGGCAGCAACGCTTCGCGAGGTTCAGAGTCATCACTGCGCTCAGAGTCACCACTGCCTCAGTGACATCGCACCTTTTCGCCATTTTCTCAGCAGAGACAACTATTTAAACCTCACCTTGCCCCAGATATTCCACCTAGTGGGACATGCTCATCGGCGAAAGATACCACTCACTGTGGCCCTGAGTTTTCCGGACTGGACCAACAGCACGTACATATACATGTATATATGTGACGACTCACTCAGACCACTGACGACCACTCTGATAGATTCCACACCAGACAGAAGTTCTTCGAATCCTGAAGCAGTCCAACCTGGAGAGACAACACCCAGCGTTGAGTAATGAGGACCCGGCGCAAGAGTTCCTGGCCAGGAAGCTATACTGGACCTGTTGGAAAGACAATGTGGTCCTTGGACTTGGGGCAGCCGCGAGGAATTGAAAGAAGCACAAGAAGTCTTTTCAGGTTGGTTCCTATACGGCCTGCAGGTTCGGAATGCTCACTGACTCATGTATAGGAGTATGCGAAGAACAGAGTGTTGTGTGATTGTTCAGGAGGATGTATCCAGTCTTGTACACGTACTTTGTTATGTGGAGACGATTATCCCGAGCGAAAGCCAGGTCCCAGACACATACCTATCCTTCTGGTAACCCACGAAATATTCGTGTCAAAATCAACCGAATCCCAATTCCAACGAACATCAACAACCAGCCGACCTGTCTTGCCTGGTTCCGACTCCGTGTTGCAGACAGTCCTGAGTTCAGCTTCGCAGCGATCAGAAATCTGATCGAAGCGGACATTCGGGCCAAACTACCAGTAAGGTTTCTGTCTACTCTCGAAAGTTTCCCACTAACACTCATGAAGCAAAGCACATTGGTCCCTGTTTAAGATCTGTTGACTTCCAGATCAACAGAGCGAGCACGGACTCTCGAAGACTCTGGCTGGCCGACTTTTATTGACAAAAGCAGAGGGGTTCGCATCCCACTCTCTTCAAATCCGAACACTCAAATCTGGACTCGGATGAATCAGCTTTATTGCGACAAACGTTTCCTCCTCATGGCAACTCCCATCATGAACGAGAAGAGAGATGTGATTGGCTCAACCTTCCTGTGGCGAGATGAATGGAGGGATCGCTACGACAACAAGTTTGATGTCTTCCGCACTGACGTTGCTCTAGACGATACCCGAATCGTTGCTGCAACAAACAAATATGCGATCAAAGACGCATTCGACGAGCTTCCTCAGAGTCGAGGAAGCCTCAAGCCAAAAGGGTTCCTCTCCGGCGAGCTGTCGGCTCTGAAGAAGATAATTCCGAAAATGCTGATAACTTTTCAGCTGCGAAGAGGATATGGTACCCGGATCCAGAATGGAGACGGGACCACCACCACCATAGGAGTTGACGTGCCCATCTACAAGGCAATCACCCTAGATTTACGGATGGAACCACTGGCCATGGAGGAGTAATTCTCTTTACGCTCCCAGGTGTTGTTTCACGGAAGCGTCCCTTGCCGTTGCGTCGTGCGTCTCAGGCATGGCGACCGATTCACACACTTCTCAGGAGATTGCAATGGCAGACGTGGCAGCATCCGAGATTGTGAAACCCTCACCGAAGAATGACGTTGTCACCGTTGTTCACACTGTCAATCAATCCGGATCATCTTTCCAGCTGGCAACTCATGCAATATAAAGCTTTACAAGACTCGTCTTTTCATTCGTGACCCCATACGCCTCTTAGTATCCTTCTGCGAGTAGCTTGCGTGTAAGAGCGAAGATCAGTACCATCGTGCGATATACTGTGTTAATGTGGGTTCTCTTACAATAGGTGCCCTGCTCAGTGCTCATAACGATCGCTGCCGTTACGTCGCTTTTCTAGAGTCATTTTCCTAATTAGCGAAGCTTGCAATAACAGTTAATTTCCTCCATAATACAAGCAAGGCAAGCAATGTTAAATCTTGTGGCGAGTCTTAAGTGACAGACTGTTTGGAAGAAACCTAACGTCTTCAAACGACACCTCATTTGGAGGAGACAAAGAATATTAATTCCGGGAATCAAGGACTTGTTCAACTTCAGCTCAGGCGCCTTGCTTCCATAGGCTTACCTAAGCCTGGAACCCCTCGAGAACAGGCCCTAGTATCTGCCATCTGTGCCAAGGTACGGGTCAAACTTTCCCTCCACCTATTAAATAAACTGTGATCTCGAGGTTAGGGATTGTCCGAACTCCGGTCACGAAATAAAGTTCTTCAAGACGAGGAATCTCACGACAGTCATGCGCGCGTTACAGCGCCAGGAGGCGGGGACATCTCAGGGTGCAAATGAAGGATCTCGGATCTCAGGACCTTTGGTCTTTCTGCATGCAACCAAAAGTCTCGACATGGCTGTCTGTTCAGGCGAACTCAGCCTCACCCTTGCCACACTGCCCCGTCCACGACAGCTTGGTTAAGATATCCTGACCTCCACCAGGCTGGCAACTGACTGCACATCCTTCTTTACCCGTTCGACGCCAGCGTTACTCGAGGCAATAGCAAAGGATCCACGTCTATGGCATCTTTGGAAACCAACCCTGATGCCGCCAACGTTGAGTCTGACGTCGACTATTGGTTTGAATATCAATTTCTAGATACATCACAGCAGTCCATTCGGCTCTTCAAAATCTTGCCGGATCTATCGGAAGACGGAAGGATACAGTGCTACATGTGGCATGCCACCACTGATTCTCGGTATCAGTGCGCTTCCTACCGATGGAGACCGGCAGACCAGTCCCAGCAACGCAAGCTCATCGAAGTCAATGGCGGTCTCTTCGCGGTATTGCCCAATCTTTGGGCATTCCTCAATTCATTTCGTCTCAATCTATCGGATTCTCGACAAACTCATCCCCTATGGATTGATGCCATTTCCATCGATCAGACATGTACGAGAGAGAAAAATCATCAAGTCAACCAGATGGGTGAAATCTTCAAACAAGCCACCGAGGTCATCATCTGGCTGGGTGAGGGTACTGAAAGCCAGAGAACCGCTCTCCAAATGCTGGAAAGCATTTGCCTGAGTCGATCAACTTACCCTGTTCTCAATGGCACTAGGCGACAGGATGCAGTTTGGAAGCCATCCATCGTAGAGGCATTGGTCGCTCTATTTGACAATGAGTATTGGGAACGGATATGGATCGTTCAGGAGATTGCGCTTGCGCAGGAAAGGTCTGTCATGGTCGGCACAGTGAGAATGGAGTGGTCGACGTGGTACGACTTTTACAGTCTCGCCGCCCGATCCGCAGTGGCAGAAGAGATATTTCATTTTGATCGACTTCTACAAGAACGCTTCGAGCAGAGCTGTGCAAAAGCTGTCCTTGACGACTACGCCTTACTCCTGGGTTCCCGTTTCCCTCTGGCAGACCTGCTGAGCAAGTTCGGGATGTTTAATTGCTCAGATCTTCGCGATCGCGTTTTTGCACTCCGCAACATTTGCTCGGAAGGTGAGTTTCTCAAAGTCAATTATGATATGGAGATTGAGGCTCTATTCTGCGAAGTTGTAACTTTATCCCTTGAACAATCGATCTTAGGTGGTAGGATACTCGCCAACGCCCTTGAGATCTCATATTCTCGACTTCGCAGTGGCTCTATTACGCTCCGTCTGCCAGAATTCACCATAAAGCCGGTTGTGATCGAAGGCCAGCTAACGCGTCACTACGTCACTACGATTATGTGTCAGACTTGCAAGAAGAGATTGCGAGTTCCAGAGATCAATGCCATTAACGTCATACAGACAGGCACATGGTGGAACGGAAGAGGTCATCATAAACGTCTTCTCTATCTTGTGTGCTTAGACAGGCTCGAAATGCCTGACCACATCGTGTTTCGTGCAGACGAAGTTTCCAACGAACATAATCTCAACAGGAAAAAGGCCAAGACGGAATTCTACGACCGTGCAAGCGGCCCAATGGTCGGTTTTGCGACAGAGACAGGGTCTATCTCCGACGAGGCGATCAAAAGAAGATTGCTATCATCGCTGCGTTTCTCAATCCACAGCGTGACACAAGCGACTCTCAAGGGAGACACTAACGCTTACAAATTTTTCCTTAATCCATCTCTATCTCAACAGAGATACCTCTTCGACCAGGGCTCATTGTGACGATGGATATTTCCTACAGTAGCAAAATACCTGTCGTTGTCGTGCGGCACATGGCTTTTGAATTCTTCGTCTTCTTCATCCAGGATCACTCCAGCGGGAGGGTCATCGTTTTGGGGATAATACAAACGTGGCCCACCTGATAGACTCACAAGGGCGAGAGAAGGCATCATCGAGAGAGGTTTGCGGAATCTGTGGACGAGGTTGCGACGGCGATCGCGGCGTGACCCAAAAGTAGCTTCTGGAGGGCCAAATGAATTTGTGGACTTTGACAAGCTAGTGGATCTGCTGATGGCTTAGGTCTAAGCGACGGCTGGCGACTCCGAGATGAGCGAAGCACAGCAGAAGTTGCGGGGATGCTTCACAGCTTCCCGTGTCTCGAAGTACCAGGCTCTGATCTCATCAGGCTGTGCATCCCTCCCCTGGATGTACCAGAAATTTTCGAAACCGTCTTTCCTTTCTCTCTCTTCAATTCCTAAGAAGACTACAGTAGGAATTAGAACATCACCATGAGAGGGTTCATGAGATTATCAGTAGAAAAGTAAAAGGGGGAGCAAGAAGAAGACGGCGCGTCGCAAGCAGGTCGTCTTGATAGCGGCACCAAACGGTACAAGAGGTATTATCAACACGTGACTTAACGTGATCACCTGTATCCGCTCTAACTGAATTCAGCCTAGGCAGCTCGCACCCATAGGCTTACAAGTGCCTAATAAGCCATGCCAAGCTCTTCTCAGGACTTCCCGTTTCATGTGTTCGCAAGCAACATCAACACCTTTATCTGCACACCGCCAGATCTTTCTTATAATCGATGTTTAAAGCGCTTGCTTAAAACCGCACTGCTCATGGTCCTTGATCAATTCATATAAATATACAAGACGAGATATCGAATCCGCTGTTTACAATCCCGTCTGTGGCGTTGGATCGGAGTCATGGCGTCAGGTCCCCATACCTTTGTTACTGTAAGGCATACCTCGTGTTATCTTTAGATTGGGTATACGAAAGAATTGACGACTGACTTTTGAGGTTCGCAGTCGGTGGTGAGTCAAGAGAACATGTTCCGCATGCAATTTTCCTGCGACGCACGTACGAGCCACATTGGTCACAAGTACAGCGACGCTCGTGAGACTCGTAGTCAACCGTATACGGTCAAGGAGGTTTCATTGATGGATGGATGAACTTTATCTCATGTGTTTTGTTCAAGTGGCGATTCTCACTCATGCCATTCCAAGTTTTCGACATCCAAAGACGATGGAATTGACTTCCGTAGGTCTTCTCACCTGAGAAATTCCAGGGTAATCCACTCGCGATCGTCTCCGTGCGAGGCAATGCACTGAGCCAGAGTCGTAAATCCCTCATTGCCAAAGAGTTCAAGTACTCGGAGACAGTCTTCCTCCATGATGCGCCTGGTCCGGGCCTGCCGCGACTTTGTGAGATTTTCACCGAGACGGGCGAGGAGATACCATTCGCTGGGCATCCGGTAAGTCCTTTCTGCCTTCCACCCAAAATGGGCACTGGCTGACGGATGTAGATTATTGGTGTTGCACATTATGTGAGTGTAGCCTGTTCAAGCATGACCACAACTGACAGTGTATTCAGATCTTCAGCTTCCTGGAGAGGATGAGCTATGGAGGGCCGGAAGACCGGGACACACAGCGTCAAACGGCGGTCCTTCAAACCAAAGCCGGGAAGATTCCAATATTCTATAACCCTTATCGCCAAGTCGCGGCTTGCGCAGTGCCTTTCAACGTTCATGAACACTCTCGTCAGGTGTCCATGAACACTATCATCGCGACGCAACCTCAGATTCAGATCGTCCCCACGATCGACAAGGTCAAGAACAAATCTTTTCCCGTGGTCTCAATAGTCAAGGGTATGACTTTTGCCCTAGTTGACTTGACTGATTGTCCTGAGGTATTCACGGCTCTCGCACCTGCAAAGTCCCCAGACGTCGAGCTGGACTCGGAGTGGTCTCCAAGCTTAGTGGGCTGCTTCTACTACAAAGTCCTGGCCAAGTCAGAAAAGGAGGGAGAGCCGACCATCCACAATATTCAGGCTCGCATGATGTCGCATGGGATTGAAGACCCTGGCACTGGTAGTGCTTGTTGTGCTTTGGGCTGCTACTTGGCATTGCACTCTTCAGACGGAGCTGTCAAAGCAGATGCGTCAGAGCCGGAGACTGAACTCTCGAAAAAGACAGAGGACCTCAAGTTGGCAGCAAAGACGGAGAGGAAGGTGTTTGGAATCCAGCAAGGTGTCGAAATGGGCCGAGTCTGCACCATCGCTGTAGAGGTGGACGTCAAGACAGACGAGCAAGGCAAGTCGAGCATCGCAAACGTGATCCTAAGTGGAAGGGGCAATATCCACCTCAAAGGCGAGATCCTTGGTACATAGCCGTGTGCCCTTGAAAAGGGCAAAACAAGCTTTTCACGGATAGACTGGTACCGAAGCTTCATCTGGGCGGAAGTTGCCCAATCCGAAAGACCCCAACTTCATCCCCTTTTTCCTTCGAGTAAGCTTGGCCGCTAGAGTAAACCGCTAGGCCCAAGTTTATCGTCAAACTGCGTTAGGGTTCCTGGCCACGTGAGCAAATGAAGAACGCTCAAGGTGTGGCTGGACCCAACCATGGCAGAGTGTGGACAGGAGGGGGTGACTTGAGCCATCGTTTGCCCTGGCCCGACGTCTCGTGCCTCATGTTGAGTCCGGCCAAAGGCCGATCGCGAATCTGGCTGAGAAAAGCTTGGTAAAGCTTGACCGATACTAACACGGTTGTTCCAGAGGATCGTCGCTTGCAAGAACGATTCCAAGGGTAAGTCTGGACCATTAGGTAGTTGGGTGGATGTCTCTTTTTTTGGAATGTCGGCTGTGATGGTGAAGCAGTAGGGGGGATCTGGCTGGGGAAGGGGTGGCAGGCTGGCAGCCTTACAAGAGGCTTTTTGGGTCGATTCTGCCGTGGTACCCGAAGGAGCATATACCGATACGCACTCGGGCGTCCAAGAGAGATTCCCAGATGGGGATGTTGGAGTGTCGAAGGAGGTGCAAGTGACGTCGATTAGGAGGTTGCCAGGAGTTGATGGAGACGAGGCTACGAGGCCCCATTAGAACGAGCTAAATTGCACTTAACCACCGTGCTAAGCGCCATACGGCTAGCGGCATCATTCTAACGGCGCCTGCCAGCCAATGGTCGGCATTTCGCTACCGCCGCTCGTTTCAGACACGCTGTTTCTCCCTCGCTCTCCGACACGCTTCGAAACCGTTCAAGCCTCACCTTCGCCTGTTGAATAATCTTTGTGTGTTGGATCTGGGCGAGCTAATCGTCCAGGTCAAACATTGGCAATGCTTGTTTCCCTTCGTAACCCCGTTGCGGCGGCATGCTGCGACCAACCTGTAACCAGCGAACCTGGTCGCCGAACGCTCGCGATCTGAAGCAGCTGGGGATTGTTGTGTCATCCCCCTCAGTTGGAAACACTTTGAGCCTCAAGGAAATCAGCATGGAACGGGCTTCGGTTTGCGACAGCCGTCCAGACACTGCCAAGGCAATCGCATAAGAGGTTCTTTCTCCTCTCCCATGTTCGTACTTTCCTCTCGTCGTGGCAGTGCCTCTTCATTCCTTTCCATCTTTTCGATCAAAGCATTCGACCTTTTTACATTCCTTAGGCTTGACCGCGTTGACCGCGAAGTCGTTCTTTGAAAAGAAAGAAAATTGTTTTTTTCCCATTTGATTTATACACATTTCAACCCGGCTCTCTTCATCTTTCCAAAAGATATTCCTGTTTGACCCCACACAATCAAAATGAAGACGACTCAGGCTATGATGTTGGCAGTCGCTGCCATGGGTTTCGGCTCAGGGGTTTTCGCTCAAGGCAATAAGGGTGGCAACAACGGAGGCAACAATGGCGGCAACAACGGTGGCAACAATGGAGGCAATGTACTCGCTCTGAATCCCAACAACGTTCAGACTGGCAGTGAGTCTGCGGGAAACACCAGCGTAGCTGGCACCTCGCCCTCGAAAACGTAAGTTGTCGCTTATGTCAGGGAGACTTGGTTTGCTGAATTTTACCCCAGGGACAACGCCAACTTCATCAACGTCTGCACAGGCAAGACATTGACCAACGGCAAACAAGTGACTGGCGGATCCTGCAATGGTATCACAATGGGTGACATCCCGTCGAACCAGAACATGGTATCAGCTATAGTCCTATTCCCTGGCCCTGGAGAGGATATTGCAGCCAACTCACCTTTCACCGTCAAAGTCCAACTTCAGAACTTGGTCGCTGGCTCTTTCACCGATGCTCAGGCCACGTACTACGCAGCTCCTCAAGCGCTCCAAGGAGGCAATATTGTCGGCCACTGTCACGTCACCATCCAGGATCTAGGTGGTTCGCTCGCTCCTCAACAGCCTCCTGACCCGAAAACCTTCAACTTCTTCAAGGGTATCAACGACGATGGCAATGGCCAAGGGTTGCTCACGGCTGATGTCACAGCTGGTCTCCCCGCTGGTTTCTACCGTATTTGCACCATGAACAGTGCTTCTAACCATCAGCCGGTCCTCATGCCTGTAAGTCCGACCTCGATACCCAACCGAACACCCATCAGTATACTAACATAGGTTAGGTTGCTCAACGTGGTGCTCAAGATGATTGCCAAAAGTTTACCGTCGGCCAAGGCAACGGTAACAATGGAGGCAACGCTGGCAACGCTGGAGGCAACAATGGAGGCAACGCTAACAACGCTGGAGGCAACAATGGAGGCAACGCTAACAACGCTGGAGGCAACAATGGAGGCAATACTGGCAACGCTGGAGGAAATACTGGAGGCAACACTGGCAATGCTGGAGGCAACGCTGCAACCACCACCTCCACTGGAGGCAACACCGCCAGCACGGGCACCACTGGCGGCAACGCTGGTGCCAACAACGGAACAGGCAACGGAGGTGGCAATGGCTCCGGACGTGGTCGTGGTGGACGTGGACGATACGGCCGAGGAAGATTCGCTGCACGAGACTTTATCCAATAAGCGACCAAAACGCGTCATGCGGATGAGTAGAAAGCGGCAGACGGAAAGACGAACGACCACAGAAAGTGCGAGTAAATCCATCGAGTAGCGTCTTTGGATTTACAAGCATGTGACTGACCAATCTGTGGGGTGACGGGAGGTTGCGAGCACTACCACTGGTGATTCTGCGACCGATGACAAAAAGGGGGACGTGAGCAGAAAACGATGGGATTGGGGGTTACTCATTTTTTGACCCTGCGATTTTTTCTTGATGATATAGAAAACTGTGTATAACCAAAGAGCGAGGAAGCAAATTTTTGATGTCTTTTTGTGTTGTGTTCGAGCTTGGTTTTGCGGTGAGGGAGTGTGACCGAGTGACGGCTGATTTTGCATGCACCACAATCAATCAGGTGGAGGTGAACTCTGGGATTGGCATTGGGATGTGGAACAAGATGATGAACGATTCACAAAGGGATCCCAGGAGGGTTACCCCGGACATGGCGTGCAATAGGTATGTCCACTGCTCAATGTCGTTACAAATGCGTATGTCCATAGGTCTTTTAGAGTTTTGCTCGGTCGAGGTCGAATTGATGAGGGTTTGAGAATCGACATTTGCCAAAGTGTCGAAAGAGTCAAGCTCGTGTCGAGCACATTTGATCGTGTGCCCGAGCCCATTTCCTCACACGGCGCCACGAACCCGCTACGTGGGATATCTTAGTTTGGTTGCCAGTCTCTCTCTCGGGGTACGCAGAATCCGGTGTAATACTACTTACTGTACTAACTACTGTGCGACCATAGACATGTCAAGGTGTATATATATGTACATACGGATCCGACAAAAGTGTATCCCCCACGGCGAAGCTCTCAGAGGCGAAGTGAAGTGAAGTGAAGTGAAGAGAAGAGAAGAGAAAGAGAAGTATACAGTAAAACATATCGCCGACGTTCTCTACCCAATCGTTCATTGCTCTGTGTGGATCGGATCCACCGGTCCAGCGCATATACAATACAAGTACTACTCCGTACTGTGGGATGGATACCAGGTTGCCTTGGGGAGGGGGGGGGGGGGGGGGGGTCGCGTGAAACACGCCCTGACACAAGACCGGTGGTATCAGAGTTTCAACTTTCGGGCTTTTGCTGTTCTTGACCCCCCAACCCTGCTTACGGTACTATGTACGGTGCCTACGGATACCTACCTACCTACCTACCTACTTACCTACTGAGTCCTCCCCGGTGCTTCGTACAATCTTACTGTCCTACTACCGCGCCCAGAGGGAGATCCTTAACGGCTCAGTTGTTAGTGGGTTTCAGACTCGATCACGTCCTCGATGCGCACATGTGTCCAATAATATACATGGTCAACCGTGCAAACCGTCGAGCCAGTCCAGCACGGCGTCTCCGAACCCGGTAGGATCACTTAACGTGCACCGGTGCCCGCTTCCCTTCAGGACCCTGACGTCGGCGCGCGGAAGCAAACCGGCAGCGATCTGCGCCTGCAAGTCCTCGATTCGACAGCGCACGTCTCTGTCGCCCCCGACGACGACAGTGTCGTTCTCGGCCGCTTCCTTGTTGGCCTCGTCCTGGACACCGAACGTCAGACCGCGGTACCATCTCAACGGCCCCTCGAAGCCGTTCTTGGACACGAGGTCGATGAACTCCTGCTTCCTCTCCTCGGTCGCGTACGGCATGAGCTCCAACGTCTTCTTGATGATCTTCTTCTTCTTCTTCTTCTTCTCCTTCTTCTTCTTCTTCTTCTTCTTCTTCTTCTCCTTCTCCTTCTTCTTCTTCTTCTTCTTCTCCTTCTTCGCGGTGCCTCGAAGCAGGAATTCGCGCACGGCATTCTCGCCGCCGCACAGAGTGTCCAGCCACGTCTCCGGGAGGGCGCGTAGAATCGTCCATATGCCCTCGACGTGACTGTTCAGTACCTCGGCTCCGTCGTCGGCCGTGAACAGCTTCCAGTACCACATCGCCCCGTAGCCGAGCCGCTCCTGCGACACGGCGATCAAGGCGTCCAGGTCGAACGGCGCCGGGGTCGGCGCAAAGTACGGGCCCGCCGACACGAGAAGGGTGGAAGTTGTACAGGCGGCAGGCGAGACCCGTGCCCCAGTCGTGGCCGAGACAGACGACGCTCTCGACGAACCCCTTCGTTGTCAAGGATCTCCACCAAGTCTTTGCTGACCAGGCGGAAGTCGTAGGCCTTTTCGTCCAGTGGCTTCGAAGCGTCGCCGTACCCTAGACAATCCGGGGCTATCACGTTGTAGTCGTGCGGTATGAGATGGTCGGCGATGAAGGTGCTCCATATTGATGCGGTGTCAGGCCAGCCATGCAGCAGGAGGATAGTACCTCTTGACGATGACGATGATGATCCGTGGAAGTGCGTAGAGTAGGTGTACGAGTATCCTCGAGAAACAGTCAGGGCTTTCTTCCTGAGTTTGTCCATGCCGTGCCAAATCGCTTCTCAGGATGATGGACGGGGTTTGGTGAGTCGCTTCCGTGGAGGTGAAGTGCTTCTTTCGAAGACAAATCCATGTGTCAGGCCATGGCCGTCAGCAGCATTCATTCTATTTGGCCCAGCGAATAAGGGCCGCCGCGAAGCTTCCGCCCCTGCGAGCCTTGCCACGTTGGGGTATGTGCGCACAGTACATATGTACGTCGGCTGGGCACGAGCACGACTTTGCTTACATGTTTCCGCCCTTCCCCTTCCCCTTCCTCAAGGATCCGTATGATTGCATCTACACGTACTACTCAAGGCAAGTGAGGTGTAAACTCCCTCCGGAAACTGGCTTCCACATTCCCCCGACTGTGGTTGTTCTCTCGCTGTCATCCCACCCGGTGGTTGTTACACCTGCCCTGCGGTCTACCTGACCTGATCTGCAGAGGTTCCGCAAAACGCGGAATCACCAGAGGGTCAGCTGCGGGTGGTGAATGTCCCTTGTCCAGAAGGCGTCTCGGATCAATGGCAGTGGCATCATATGGCATCTTGAAGGTGGACAAGTGCAAGAACGCACGGGATAGGGGCTCGGAGGCTGAAGTTGCGAGCAGGCATATTGTGTGTCATAAGGACGAGCCAGTGGCGCGATCCGACGAGACACAGATATAGTTATATGCGGATGATGCCGAGGCAGAGGTCAAGAGAAGACGTGAAGAAGTGTTTGAAGAGATTGCATCGCAAGCATGCCTAGTCACTCGCCGTTGCCGTTGTTGTCTACCATTGCATTTGGGGGTTTAGTCGGTAGCTGACTGACGTTCAAAGCATGCCTTTTCGCCCGCGAGCGAAGATCCAGAGGCCTTCCTTGGGAATCATTGGCCGCTCTGCAACAGAAGAACCACAATCATTGAAACATGCCGAGTTTCGCGAGGACCAGGGTCGTAGAACACTGAGTTGGATGCCAGGTTCAAGCCATTGAAATCATGTTGTATTGGAAGAAGATGACATGCAGGTTGCCATGAAGGATTTGCGAATCTGGTCTTCCTTTCTGCGGGTCGCTGTGTACTAGTTAGCGTTGCGAAAGCCTGCACAACCACGGCATGGGGGTGATCGGTTATGTTGTCTTCAACACACTCATTGTCTTCAACGCAATCAAGCCAGCATGTGAGAGATACAGAGTCTGCTGTGCAGACCGTGACGACTTGACATCTTGGCCGTTTCCTTTACTCCAATCACCACCCCGGTATTTCATGGAGTCCTACCTCAAACTCTCGTTTAAGAGAGGCACGCAGTAAAAGCACATGCCACAAAGGGGGACAGAGGGGAGTGGGTGGTTCGGAGAAAATCTCCTGTATGGCTAGGCCCCTCGATTCATGAAGAGCGCACACCCTGGCCTCAATCCAGGGGCCCATGGAAGACTGCATGTGAACGAAGACCTACAACGTGAATGTCCCATGTGGTGTCCAGCCGCGAAAAGTACTGTCAGCAACATCCTCGGGGGCAAGCGCATTGGGCTTGCATGTGAGAACAATGTTGTGCCCCAGTGAGCATGTGCAAGGCGGTAGGAATACACATCAGCTGGAACTCAAAGAGAAAGCAATCCGTTGGTCTGAGTCTGAGACGCGTTTCTTCTTTCCGCAGAGGCATGTCGGCCCTCATGTCCGCAAAGCACATGTTGAAGTTGCTCCTTTGTCCGACGTGTTTTTGGCTTTGTGGCTTTCATAGTGTCTTATCGATATGTCGAGAACTGAAATGTTGCTCCCGCCACCCTCGTCATCGTCAAGTGCTGAGCAAATCTGACGACGCATGGTCTTCGGCTTGTACTGCCATTTGTGGTCCTTGTCGGCGGCGGTGAAGACCTGAACACGAACGCAATAACTCTGTCGACTCTATCAAAAAAAGAGTTCTGACTTCTCACAGGAGGTACAGAATAGGAATAGGAGTAATACTTGTTGACAAACCACGCAAGGTTTCTCCGCTTGATGCCAAACCCTTGGCCTCACTAGCCCGGTCTCCGGCTACTCCAGACGCCTCTTTGCGGTGCGAGGAGGAGTAAGCAGCCTTCGAATCCCGGGGAAATCAATATCCGCCACAGCGGGAGAGCTAGAGAGAAATTTCTCCGTGAAAGATGAACGTAAGTTCCTCGCACGAGTAAAGTTCGTATGCAGTTTTGGAAGGTTCCGTCGTTGCATCGCCGATGGTTACTCCGTACGAGTCCGAGACGAGTAGGTAAAATAGTACGTTACGGAAAGTGAGGCTGTATCCTTTTCATTCTCGCAAGTGTCGACTCAGCAACGACTATGTACGCGAAGCCTGTATGAATCTAAGACTTCTTAGTCAATAAACCATAAGCACCAGGTGGGGGGCCGATGGATGACCTGACTCGCACATGCTGTCGGAGCAGAATCTCGGCATGCTGAAGCTTCGGCTGCAAGGGCCGTTTTTCGAGCTCCTCCAAAGATCGACAGGAGCTTCAAGATAAGAGAGAAGCGACGATGCAAGCGCCTGGGCTTGGATCATGTTTCTGCCGGCTTTGATAGGGAAGAAGAGAGATAGTCGATGCCGATCACTACACTGTACAGAGTACGAGTAGCGCTAGCCCCAGATGGGCCTCCCCTTCAGCTCCGAACAGGAGGATTATTGTGCCTTATAGAACAGTAAGCTATCGGACGGCTAATACGAAGGGAGAAGAGACAGCCGGGACAAGACATACCCGAGGCCTACCTAGGTATTGATTGTATCCCGAACACATACCCGAAGTCTTATCCCGAAACGGTGCAAACGCGGCCCCAGGTCCGAGTCAGGGTTTGATTGCGATGCCAACACTCTCATCAGTTGTCACCAAGGTTACGTTGGAACCGAACCCATCAAAGTCAAGCCGCAGCTACTGGTTGACCCTCGGCGATTCGCCTTTGATGACAAGGCGGGTTCCTCGTCGTCCCTTGCAGAGGCCGACGAGGTAGTGCGCTTCAGGCCTCCACTCCTGGAAAGTCTCCTGGGTCGAGTTCAAGCGTTGTCATCAATCACATCATTCACATCTCAGCAATCGTGATACACGGAATATCAATCAGAGTCACCGATGGGCGGATCCGCTGGGAACGCCTGATGTCATCTTTGGCTCAGGGTCGTGTCTATTTCTCTGAGGATAGCAAAATCGCCGAGCGCAAAGCTGAGGTTGAGGTTGTCACGGTATCACGGACGAAGGGCAAACAAAACGTTGGCGTTGGTTGTTCTAATCTTCCCTCCTCCACCCTCAAAGTTTCTTCAAGGCGAATGGAGATGCGAAAGTGTAGTAGTAAAGCTCCGCTTCCAAGAAGTCGATCGGCGACTTGTTCAATGCTTCTGTTGGGCCCTGCACCCGCCATTGCTTATTGGAATTGGTTCAAAGGCCGATGAGGATCATCGTCGATGGAACTGAACGAATGCCCAAAAAGATCTTGGTGGTCGAGCCAGCCATTTCAAGGACACGAGCGCAACGAGGACCATCATTCCCGCAGCATACCAACGTCTTTTCACCACTCAACATCTTTACGAGGGCCTTCGATCTCTCAGAACCATCATCCATCCATGGAAGAATGCCAGTGGGATGAGTCGGTTCGGAAACGGCATTTCGGAAGGGAATATCCCATCTACGTAGCGGTCGCGCAGAGACTCTGATCACCTTTCTGACACGCAAAGCCGCGTTCGTGCAGCCCCGTACTCCGTACTGAATCTGTGATTGTCGATCTTCAGTCGCCGACGTACTTGTACTCGCACGAGCGAGTCAGCGGCCGTTGAGCGTTGAAAGTGTGACGTGACGGTCTCACCCCAAGACAAGGTGACAATCGCATGATTGCACCCGGCGATTGCAGCTCTCGCGAGCCTTCAACAACCAAACAAGATGGAAGGTTGGAACAGGGTGTGCAAGAGATGAATCGTGAGTAGGGAGACAGACGTTACTTGCCCCGGAAAGGCCCCATTCCCCCGTTGTCTCCACGCTCGTACTGCTGCTCGTGTTTGTGCTGTTTCATTCCCATTTCCCCGCAAATCTACCGGCTTTGGCGAGGCAAACAATACGAGGAATGAGGGTACTCCGTGCTCGTCCAAGGGCCTGAGCCCCCAGAAGCGCGGGTTGTCGTCAATCGAGCAGGGCGAAGACTCAGAGGGTTGCAGTAGTGCGGTTTTTCCTGCTGCCAACATACGAGTAGCTACTGACATTACGCCATTCAGGACGTGTGTCTCTCACCCCGGGTGACCCGGCGGCATTGAATTTATTGAATGCTGATCCATGCCCCGAGCCCAATCCATGATCATCAACACCCCCCTGCGCCCGAGGATGTGGGGACGGGGCAAAACGAAATCGGACACTGGACAATAGCACCAAAATAAAACTGGGTTCTCCGCGTATTCTACACGGGGGTACAGTCCTGGGTATGGTTTAAGTATCTTATTGCGATCGTTGTTCTGACTCCGGGGTGGTCGAGTTTTTCACCCTGTCAGCGACGGGGTCACGGAGTCGGGTAAGGGGGGACAAGTGAATCGATGATCTGGGTTGGTGGAGGGATGTCGTGATCCGGGATCAATGATCATGATCCTCCACCGCGATAGCAGCTCCATCTCTCCCGTAGAGAAAGTTGCCGATAAGGTGGCAGGGCAATTAACTTCTGCTAGATTCTTTGCGATTCTCTCCCCGAGCAATAATGCGACCGAGATTGACCGGCGGCGCCATCAGGCCCAGCAGCGATTCCGCGAGGCCTAGGCATCCAACACCCCCTTTCCGCAATAGTACGGTGTTTCACGGAAGTAGCTAGTGAGTACTTCGAGGTTTGTATTGAGCCTGAATATCGCCCGTTGGGGTCGACAGTGTCAAACCAAGCGACGAGAGAGCGCGTGGGGAACCTGTGTTCTCCTGGATCCATACCTAAGATCGCAAAAGGCATACTGTAGCGTCTTCGTGCGAGGACTATTTGTTACGGACGACGGGACCGTTGAGCGTCTGGCTAGAACCCGGTGGGCCGTCGATCTGGTCGAGCATTCGATTAATCTTGTGGTTATTGTATGCAAACAAAGCACGACGTCAATAGTGTCTCAACGTCGAACCTTGGTCGGCCATTATTGTTTCCCCTTTGACTCGGACCCCCGGGCTTCAATAGTCATTGAGCCTACTGTAGATCGTAAGCACTGACAAGTTACTTTACAATAATCCGCGGCCGTCGGAGAATCGTTCGTCGGTGAAACGGAGGGCATCTTCGGCCTGTTTTTGGTTGGCGTACGGAGTGTCGTTAATTAGTGCAATACACCGTGCGAGATTGATCCCAACAAACTGACGGGCGCCGTCTGTCCCTTCGGAGTATCTTGTGCTTTCGTATTGTGCTCATTGCGAACCTTTTGAGTTACAACGATCCCCACAATCCTTCTTTTCGTGGGGACACAACAAGATGCCGGGGTCTCCACGAATGCCCCCGGCGTGGTGCAGTCTTGCCACCTCATGCACATAGCACTGCTCCTGGGTCTGGCCTGGGGTAGTCAGAAGGTCGAGGGGAAACGGTGTATGGCCCCCTTTACCCATTGCCCTCATCACTGCTCGCGGCAAAAAACATACCCGATCCTCCTGTGCTTGTAAATTGGGAATCTTGTAGCCAGTCAGGCCGATCAGCAGCCAGGCGTTGTTGCAATGAGAAACAGCTGCATAGTGTGGGGGATGATGTTACACGAGCTGATAAGGCCTTGGGTCTGCAAGTGTCTCAGTCAAGGATCGAATTATTGACTTGTCATTTGCCTTTCGTGCAGCTCTTGGGCTTGCTGATCGCTCGAAAGGCAACCCTGGTCCGGAATGGGAATTGAATAGGATAATGATCATGGGTAATGAATGAATCGCTCGCGTGATGTTGCTCCTGACCGTCACGCACAGTGACTCAGCTGCCCGTCGCTCCGGCGTAAGGAGCAAGCATGGCCAATCCCAAGGAACCCAGCATGTATGATTCTCCAGTAGGACGACCACAGGTTGAACAGACTTCTGCACGAACAGATCACCTAACAGCCAGCCACACCATCGTATGCATGCAGCGAAAGACGAACCCACAGTCGAAATAGCATAAAGGAGAAATTTAGCTGCTAAGATCATCAATTGAGGTCATCTCTGACTGACTAGACATGTAATTGTAAGATTGGCGGCTTTGCAGAGTTGCGTACATGATAAGTTGAAAGTCCAATAAACCCACTTGCTTCTTCCACACAGCCTTGGCTGGCATTCAATGCCCCTTCGCTAAGAGATCCGTTCTATTCGATGCTGCCATCTGGCGCAAACCCCCCCATGTTGTTCGATCCTGTCTATCCCGTGCTCCTCGCTGTTGATCTTGTACCAGGTCGCCCAAATCCACGACACTTGTCTATAGAGAATATATCCACTGAAACACCATCAACCCAGAACCAAACAAAAGAAGGTAGAAAATGAAACACTTGAAAGTCAAACCCCATACAAATATCTTCTCATTCATTCCTGCCATTGCTCCGAACCAAGAGAAGTGTTCACATAACTCATCTTGAAAAGTCTCCGTTCACGGAGGCTGCCGTACTTGACTCGCCAGAACTCAGGCCATTCGGAGCATGCAAAATGTCCGATATTCCAAGCTTGGGAAGCTGTGGCACGGGGAGTTTGCGTTGTGTACCGGTGACGATGTCTGCAATTGAAGGCCCGCTATGTTGTGGGGGTGGGATATGGGAATAAGATCCGTCCGCCTGTGGTTCCATCGGAGCCAGAAGGGGAGTATGACCTAGCGAAAGATGTCGTAGACCCGGAAGTTGGAGTTCGCTGCCATGAGGTCGGAGACGAGGTGAATGCCCTGGGGTGGCCAAAGGTGTGTGGTCTGGAGTAGGCGAAATCGACTCGTGAGAGAATGTGGGCGACGAAGGAGCGGTTGAATGAGGCGAGTTCGGCCTGGATCGCTTATGTCGGTGGTCATCGTCATGATTTTCCTGTGAATGTGATCTGGACATGGATTGCGAGATAGCATATGCTGAAAGGGATGGAAGGCGACCGTTGCTGTTGTGATTGCGATGGCTAAACAGATGATGTTGATGCTGGTAAGGCACACGTGTGACTTGGTCATCTCGCTCAATTTGCGACGCAGCGGAAGCGAGCAAGTTAATGTCCATGCTGTTCCTATCGTCGAGGCGACCAAAGGGGCCTAATGGTGTAGGAACGTGCGAGGCATGTACTGCAAAAGAGTGCGGCGGTGAGACATTGGGCGACCCAGCAGCAGATGCCGGAGCAGATCGTTGCATGCCGTTCTTGGGTGGCGGCATCATCTGAGCCTGGACAGACATGTTCTGGTTGGACCCATCCTGCAGACCAGAAAGGGCTGCGGCGGCGGCGATTTGGTGAGTCTTCTGGTTACGGCGCGAGTTGGGATTGTTGTGAATCCGTGAGTGTCGAGTCAACTCGTCGGATCGACTAAAACGCTTACTACATCCAGGGAACTGGCAAGCATGAGGCTTCTCCCCTGTGTGTGTTCGGATGTGTCTTGTCTGGTGTTCCAAGCGGTGAAAGGCTCGATCGCACAGAGGGCATTTGTAGGGGCGAGGGAGATCTTGTCTCTCCTCCGCGTTCGCTTGAGGGGCCATGGTAGATGGCAGTAGGCTGACGGCGGCAGCCATGTTACCGTCGGTCTGAGTGGTGCTCGACGAAGTGTTCGTTGTCTGTGTGCCGGCGGCGGTGGCTGTTGATGGTTTCGATGTAGCGGTGGCCACGGTGTTGGGAACAGGTGAGGAAGATGAGGGAGAAGGAGGAGAAGGATTGAGAAGAGCAGTAAAGTTTACTGCAGACGAAGAGGGTTGCATTCGAGCGACCAAGGGAGAGGGAAAGGCTTTGTGATTCCCCAAGATGATCGCTTATCGTGGGGGTGAATCATCCACAGGCAGAGTCAGACGGTGGGCGGGCGTGCGTGACGAAAGACCCGGGGTCGGAAAGGGCGTCGGCTGAAATGAGAGTCGAACTGAGTCCTAGCGCGGGCGGTTTGCGAAACAGGGTGATGAGTGGTGTGGTCTCGTAATGGTGTGGTCAGAGAAATTCGGGGGACAGAAGGGAAGGAAAACAAATCAAGGAGGTAATTTGCGAAGGAGGGATTGAGCCTGATGTTGGAGAAGGGTAGAGGTAACTTGCGCGATTCTGTGCGACGTGATTCCGGCAATGCGGACTGGAAACTGGAGACCGGGGGGAGCAGGGGTTGGAGGCTTCGCACGGCGTTTTGTCGTGCCTGTGAATTTTTTTCTCTGACGGAAGATTGCAGACTGCAGACGGGCGGCGGCGAGGCTTGTCCAGCCGAGTGTGCTTAGGAATGTGGGTTGGCAGTGCCCGGCCCAGGCGTATCGCAAGTGGCCAACAGTGCGAGAGACACCGAGAACAGGCCCCCCCGGCGGCGACACCTTCTTTTCCCTCTCTTCTGTGGGCACGGGGCAGGGCAGGACTAGCGCAATCCTTATCGGTCCACGTCTGAAAGCATAAAGATGACGAGCTGGTACAGTAGTGGAAGGGTGCGTCCGTGTTGAGAGGGTGTGAAGGGTTCTTTCCGGTGGATCGCCTGAGTGCTCGATCAGTGCTTTTTGCGGCCCCGAATGCGGTGATGAAGGCCGCGGAGTGCTGGTGTGAGGATTTATTGGACGGGCGTGATTGCGGCCCAAGGTGGGATGTCTCTTTCTCCGCCAGTCGAATGCAGCCGCCGGCTTCACTCGCTTTGATTTGTTTCCTCTGTTTCGCCCTGTCTGCACTGTACAATGTGTCGTATCCTGACACTCTTGTTCCAGCCTTCTCTGCCACGTCAGGGACCTGGGGGAGGACGACAGCCAGGCAGCAGGAGAGCTGACTCTCCGGGTGCTCGCTGACAACGTGATGGCCTTCGAGCAGGAGACGACGGCCGGCCAGGCGGGATTGCCGGGCCTCAGTACCGTGGCCCGAGGAAAGTACCTATAGGCTCTTGTATTCGCAGACGTGGAGGTGATGACGAGGAGGTGCAGAGCCGGGTACGGGGGCTCGTAGTAGGGGCCAGGTGGTGGTTTCAGCCCGTGGTCAGGGTGCCTACTAGACCTAGAACGAGGCCCGGTCGAGTCGTCGTCCAGGCACCAAGGGAGTTCGGGGTGGTACCTATCGATACAATACAGCCAGGTCGCAGCGGCGTCTGGGAAAAAGATGGGGAAGCAGGAGAGCGCCAGGCCATGTACCCGTGGTCTGGAATTTGCGGGAAAGTGACAAGGAGGGGATGCCGAGCAAGGCGGTCAAGCGTCGTCAGGCAGAAACAATTCCCAACACGAAAATTCTTCGGAAGTCACAGCATATCCACACTGCCTGCGCCCATACGACGCTGCTATCCGACGGGGTCGCCGAGTCGGGCTATCTACAACTATCGCACTGGTGACTGAGCATGCGATGAGGTGAACATGGAGCACCTTTTGGTCCCGTCGTCGTCGCAGTCATCGTCATCGAGAGTGGCCAATGTACGAGTACGAGTACCAGGTCCTGCAAAACAGCGCATCTCTCCTTTGGTCCTACGAGTTACACATAGGAAACTTGGCACGGTCGCGGGTATCAATAATCCCCCTAACCTCGTGAACCACAGGAAACTTGCCTGCCCTCACTCCCTGAGTCAATGCAGCCTTGCCTCACTTTGCTCCGAATCCCAGACAACGACCCCGGCGAAAGGCCAGCAATGTTGTGATCACATGTGACAGCGGTGATTGTGGCACATTTGCGGTCCCAAAACTACTATCAGGTGTCAGCTCCAGCTATAAGACCACGACGGCGACGATGGGCTCCGATTCCCATGGTACCGTCACTTAAAATCAGATACACAAGTTGGGCCCGAGTCCACTGGAGAATCCACATAAGCCTTGAGAATTGCCGGAATACCCATTCGAGCCAGTCTCTCAGCCCAGAAGGTTGCCCAACGGAGCGCTAGTTCATAGCCCGAGAGACTGCCCCCAGAGTCACTCCCGGGTACTCCTACGGCAGCAGCTTTGGGGAGTTACCAGAGGCTCAAGCGACGACTCTGGCTGGTGCCTCGCGGGTGGTGCGGGACGGTGGACCTCACTCTCGGCCCTTTAACAGATGTGACTTTGGCGGTACCGTGGGCCACTGTACCAGTGGGGAAGCCTGATACGAGCATGTGTCTGTGGGCTGAAGTTCGAAGTTCGGACTGATCTCCCCGAAGGAGCCCTACTAATTTTATCCAGTTGACAACGTGAGTTACGAGTTACAAGGCTCTCGTAGACAAACAAAAGCGACCACTGATACTGTTCTTCCAGTAACCCAACCAAGGTTTCCATCTTGTGTGGATGCAGCATTTTTGGAGGCGAGCGTACTAATCCTCTGATAGAGGAGAAACAACAATGTTGAGAGACAAACGAGAGAGACAGGGCTTTCATCCACTCATGGTTCATGCTGACGAGTACTCCGTACTCCTTAGCAAGACCTGGACTGCTGACTGACACCATCGGCTTACAACACCTTCCACATCGACAAACTTGTTCATTCAAAGCCATTCAGACTCTCCCCCCACTCCTCGATACACAAGGCCTGGGTATGGTCAATTTACATCCGCGGTGCCATTCATGGAAGCGTCCGCCTGTCAGGAAGTGTCTGGGGAGTGCGAAGAAATTCCAGCGTGGCAGGGGCTTCATCGAATGAGAACCTGAGAAGAGAGACCCTAAAGCAATGGCTGATGTTGACAGCCAAAGTGAAACAAGGAGGATGTTTGCATCTGCATGGTTCATCCCACTCCTGGTATCGCTAAGGCCTTCCGCTCTCGAGTCATGGCCACATCATCCATGACTGTGTCTATCGTCAACACAACCCGTCTTCGACATAGCACTGAGGCAGTGATCATCTCAACCCTCACTTGATAATCAACGTCGTCTCCCCTATTAGTAACGGGGAAGAGCGATGGCCACACCGTCCTGAAGCTCCTGGCGGCGTCGAAATATGTGCTCAAAGTCTTATCTTCGAAACATTTGGTTTCCGGACCACTTGGTCAACTCCGACTTCGCCGCTGGGATCTCGACGCTGAGGTCCGCCGGTCTAAACTCGCCCATTGTTGCCCTACGAGAATCTCAAATTGGGTCGTCTGCCGCATCTACAGACTACGATATCTTTGGTTCTTTTACATCAAATTGATTATCCCCGCCGCGGATGAGAACGTGGACTATACTGCGGCCCAAGACACGTTCTAGACCGCGCGGCGAAGGACTGAATGTAATAAAGTCATGACGAGTCCAGACTCCCCAGGCCCGTGCTGTGGGTTCCGTTACCTGGAAAGACACCCTTTTCAGGCTCTATCGAGGCCGAGTTAAGGTCAAGTGTGTGCAGGTGAATACCGTTATCATGTGGACGGATGTTGCTGTCACAGTGAAAGGTATCATGATACGACCGCGTTACTGGCATTGCCAACACTTTCCTGTTGATATGCCGGCTTGCCCACACTGCCGCTGTGAAGATCTCTAAATTCCCAGGCATTTGGCGGCGTCTGATCCAATAAGCGGTGGAACGGCCCCGTGGTCTGACTTTGAACAGCATCCTTCTATGACTCCCCCACGATCCAGATACATCAAAAATACTGGGGCTTCAGAAATAAGTCCCCCGAACCCTTTGTCGCAACCATGCCACGGCTGCTCTGCCATTATATTCCCCTGTCGACTGATCTGACACTGAACTCTTAAACAGCTGAACAACTTTATGAATGTTGGAAGTCTGCCCTCGGTAAGCCGTCGCTGCACTGTAGGTCCATCTTTCATGCACGGGTTGCTGTGAATTTTCAGCGTGACCACTTGTGGAATGCCTCAAGGTCAATATCATAGCCTCCTATTGTCCGTACTAAAACACCCGGTTGAGAAAAATCATCCCCCGGCCATTTCGAGCTCAAATCTCGTGGGGCAACGCTATCATCGGACTGCTGACATGGCCTTTGACGCTCGATGACCAGAGCAAGCCATGCTCATTCGAGCTCACAACACGAGCATCACATGTCTATGGGATAACTGCTCCTGGGGCATGCGACATCGGCCTCAAGAGTATTAACGAATACGAATACAGTGGGTGTGCCTGTGCAATTAACGTAGTCTCACCTTGTCCCGTCTTTACTACAGTACGCGCAAAAATTGTCCGGGTGGCTTTCCGATTACTTTGACGCCACCGAGGATGGCATCACCGTGGCCGAGGCATGGGGTGCGCAAGTATTACATTCTCTCAACAGGCCCGAATAGTACTCTACACCGAAAAAATTTAAAATGTTATCGATCCATTTGGGAGAAAATCGCGCGGGTACGCCCGAGAAGGTCCTCGTACGAGCACTCGCCCGCCTGAACGCCTGAACGCTTGAACGGAGAACATCCACTATCTCGCAGGGTATTCAGCACATGTCAGTGATAACGCCGGGATACACCACATCATCGCCTCGTATCCGCTCTATCCACATAATCCAAATTTCGATCCTGCGGCATGTGGAAATGCGCGGAATCATGGACCAGGGCCACGGACTTGATAGCCCGACACACAGACGGTCAATACTATTATTTATAATGCACACTGATCAACGGTGTTTCCTCGGCAGTCCTTGTTCCAGCGGCTTTTCTGGCGTACTCTCTTCCGTGGAGTGATCACTAACCCCCTTAACCAGAGTGTGTTTCGAAGTTGACGTCGCCTCAAAAAACAGAATTGAAACCACTTGAGATCTGTCCTCATCACTTCCTGGAAAATTCTGTTCTATGACACGGCTCATGCTTACCCGCTTGTTGCTGGGTGTGTACTTGCTGGTGTGGAACACCCCAGCCTTTCACGAGACCGAAACTTTACTGAGCTCAACAAGGGCCGCTCGAAATGATAGGCGTTCCCACGTGTTTCGGTGACGATACTGTCCATTGTCCCTATCGCGGATATGCCCTCCGGAATGTTGAGATGTCGCCCTGTATCCGTTCGGTGCGAAATTTTGCGACCAGCTATCATTGACCCGGCTACTCGGTCGCAATTGCTCATAGCGGCCTAGTCAAAAGACGTCAATCTGTTAAATGCAGTCCTAGCTGAATCGCATATTTGTATTGCAGGTGACACTCGAACACGAAACGTATTACACCGGTGATGAGGACAGTGAATGTCCACAAATTCCCAGGCAGCATTCGCCGCCTCATATCGCCCACCATTGTTCCCAAAACTCTCTGTCCATGCGCTTTCATTGAAGTGGTCGCGCTAGGTAGTCCATCCAAGGCAAGTATGAGTACTCACTCGAAGGCAGGGATGGATCGAGGTCTGACCATTCCTGGTTTTCTGTCCAGGGCGGAAAAGCAGCCCCAGACTTTGCCTCCAACCGGACAGTTACTGAGGCTGCTTTTATTGCGCGCCCTGGCCGCCATCTTACACCTCACAGTCCTAGATTTATCCTTGCAACAAACGTAACAGGTAGGCCTTGATTGGGCTCCAACGGTGGTAGATGCCCGCGCGAACCTCGTTCTTCATGATATATTCCTGATATCGGCCGGGACGAAGTACGCTGGGTGATTTGCAAAAGAACCATGGGTCGGGATTTCTAGTCAGGCAAATGGACAGCCCACTGGCCCAGCAAGGCAATCTCACACCGCTAACATGTCCTACTATTGACCATCAAAGAGGATCTGGCCGCTCAGTTCGAGGCTTCGGATCTCGAGAGAAGGAATGACTACATTCGTCCGCGCATACCTCCCACTTCGTACATGGATGACGATGATTCTTCTTGTGACTGAGAACACCTAAAGATACAACACATCGAACAACACTGTCGTTACTAAAGCTGCGTCTCGAGATATCGACTCCTCCTGCAGTCTTCAGGAAATTAACCTGCAGTTCGCGCTTCCGAGGCTATGGGGCTGTGTTTAAAATGACTACCCGCAGTTCTGACACAAATATCTCAAAAGCCCCTGCTGGCCTCGATGGTCTTGCTCCCCGAGTGGTACAAATCACTGCCGATGAGTGGAAGAGCTTCAGGGAAAGGGATACTCGACTATTACCCAGGAAAAACGAGACCTTTCTCGACTATGTGTCTCGCGTCAAGGGCTGGAAATATTTCAATGATAGCTCCAGATTTAAAGAATCTATGTCATGGGCAGCAGATAGGGTATATCGAAGTTATTTCCGGGCTCAGGATGCCTGGGACGGGCTCCGATACCGCGTGAAGTTTCGTGGATTCTGCTCTTGTACGGATGTGGTTGCCCAGAGAAAGGTACACACGTTTTGGCCTACACTCTCCGACTTCCAAAGAACCGCATCGGCCTGCTGTGGAAGATGTTGGTTCATTGTGCAGAGTATCGCATTGTATAGGGCGAGATACGCTGGCGTAGACCCTGCCAAAATTCAGGTGCACATCAGAGCCAAGGGTCATTCCGACTATCAAGGCGATTTTTCCAGGATCCGAGTCAGATGGCTCCCAGATGGATCGAGTCCAACTCTGGAACCGTACTTGGCGCAGCTATGTCAAGAGTATAATAACGTTGATCTGGAGCTATATGCGGACGAAGGTAAAGGCCTCTGAACCTCTCTCACTCTGCGGTGGGAACTGAACTCTCGACAGGGTACAAGATCGATCATCGCCTCTTCCGCCGGGCACTGCCGCCGGTTAGATCTGATGATGACATTTGTGTTGACAAGATCAAACACTGGATCGATGAGTGCGTTCGGGAGCATGGATGCGGAATTGCTTTGACCGAGAGAGGACTCCCTACACGGCTAGTAGATGTGAGTCCTGACGACCGGACTGAAAGTATCAGGCTTGTTGTCGGCTCAGAAATCCCGGTCGACAATACTCCATTCGCAGCGCTTAGCCACTGCTGGGGCGATAAAAAGGATCGAGTCAAGGCAATACCGACAACAACCAGGGCCACATTACCTCGACACTTGGACAACATTGAGTGGGAGGATCTGACACCAACATTCCGCGATAGTGTCACGATTGTTCGTCGGCTCGGGCTCCGGTACGTCTGGATTGACTCACTCTGTATCGTGCAGGACGATGGTGCAGACTTCGCTCGAGAGGCAGCACGCATGGCATTGATCTATAGTCAGGCAGACCTTGTCATTGCTGCCACTAGAGCGAGCACCGGCGATGCGGGATTGTTCCACGATCGGCGAGGAGGACCAAAATTAACCATTCATGAAACTCATCCACACAAAAGGTCCTACATCCATGTAAAAGAGGCCATTTCACACGATGCCTTTCTGACTAACGACCCCTACCGTTTCAACACAACGCTCCTATTTGAACGAGCTTGGTGCTTTCAGGAGCGACTTCTGGGAAAACGAGTCGTACACTTCTCGGCGGATGAGACTGTCTTCGAATGTGGAAGGAATATTGACTGCGAGTGCAGGTACATCAAGTCTCGCAGCAATGCGGGCACGTTCAAGACCACAACACTCAAATCTCTCAGCCACGTCAAGAGTCCCAATTCTCGGGTCGAGCTGTGGTATTCGGTGGTAGAGCCATACTCCGCGTCTGCACTACACAACGAAACAGATAGACTTCCAGCACTCTCCGGCTTTGCTAGGCTGATTGCTTCGCGTGAGTTGGGAGGGTATTTCGCCGGACTCTGGGGGTACGAATTCCCAGCTGGGCTGTTGTAGCGAGCAGTTCGGGCTGCCCCCGGAGAGACACAAACGCCACGTCCGAAAGGGTACTGTGGTCCGTCATGGTCGTGGATTGCGGTACGTGCTCGAATCGAGGCTCACATTAGCTGGCACTATGTAAACGAAATATTTGCAGAGGTGTTAGACGTCCAAACCACTCCAAAGGAAACTGAGGTTTCTTTTGGGACTACAACCGCGGGGTTCATGATTCTGGCAGGACCCGCGGTCCAAGTGACTCTCCACCAAGAAATACCTGGACATCAGCAATCACGAGAGTGTTTCATGAGCCTTGCTCAAACCCCACGCAAGAGTCCGACAATCGCTGGCGAAGGCGAAGATTACGAACGTGGTCTTAGCCTTGAACTTGGCTCTCAAGGTACAGGTTGGCAACCCTTCCAATTGGATGTGTCTGCAGCAGTCGACAATTTGCAGGCTGTGTGCATTGCCATTGAAAAGTGGCACCCTCGGATCAACAGTGGACAAGGAACATGCCTTGTGATTCAAGCGGTGTCTGGCGAAGCATCATACTCTCGTCTGGAAGTTTCGTTCGGTCCCGCCTCGTGGGTTCAAGTGGCCCGGCGGACGGAGGTTAAGATTGCCTGACTTGATATTGGATCTGTTCCAACTTCGGCTTTGTCTGGAGCAACAAGGATAAATTTAGCTCTACATCATAAAGATGCAAAGGTACAGCTAGACCACTCGGTAGACTACTTACGCTTGAACAACTGAAACTCTAGACTGGTTGTTTTCGGACCGTGATGTAGGTGCAGTAGACCGATAGAAGCATGCCTGCGTTGGAGGCCCGGGAATCCAACGACAAGACACAGGTGGCATCAACTGAGACGCTGACGACGTGCAACCGATAATGTAGGTCGGTCGCGGAGGAGTGCGAGAGGTTAAAACTACCTGTAACTACTCGTAGGACTCTTCGATCTGAGAACCCCTCTGTTTAGACTTGTATTATATGGGGACGAGGGCAGCCAGAACGCCAAGACGCCAACGGCGGGAACAACCGTATCTTTCCCAATGCAGGTGCCGTATGATATCACAGCCGCGTGCCAATCCATGTCCATTTCCGCTGCGCCTGCGCGTCCGAGGAGTTGAAGTCTGCAGATCGCAGAAACGACAACCAGGCAAATGCCCAAGTTCACAGGATACCTTAACAACCAGTTTGGCTTCCCAATGTGACAACAATTCCGTTGACGAGCTCGCTCCAATGTTGGCCTCTAGCTGGCCTGTCTGATTTTGTTGTCATCTTCTATTTTGCTGGTCCATCTCTTCGACCGTCAGGACTTCTGCCTCGCACTTCTCACTGCCATCATGCCTCCCCGACCCCGAAACATTGACGACTCTCGATCAGAGGCCTCGAGCACAGTGGCGAACCAGAAAGAAAAGGCCCTCCTGGGTCCTACAGGCTCGTCTGGGATTACGAAAGCAAGACGCACCGCCGCCGCTAATGCACATGGTGGTGCAAGTGGGCAATCGAGCAAGGCGGCTGCAACAAGCGCCATAACAGCAACAACAACCACAACCACAACCACAATAACAACAGCAGCAGCAGCAGCAGCAACTTCATCCTCCACAGCGACGGAAAAAGACCCCAGTCTACCCAAGGTGAGTGAGTAGTCTGGCGAGCGTGGTGCGATGCGTGCGGACATGAATCTCTGGAATGAACCGTTTCGGTTTTTCCTTGGATGAGGTCGTCGCGCTCGAGCTCCGTTTGGATTATTCGACTTGAAGAAGAACTACCAACTAACCGGAATGTTCATCTTTTGCAGACCGACTGGAACACAGTCCCTGCATCGATCCTACGCACATACCGAGTCGCCTACCGTCTCCCCGTCCCCTCAACCTTGAACCATCCACACGCCGACCTAACTTATAAGTCCTCCCGCGTAGCCCTCCGCGCGCCGTCTGCGGTGCAAGCGCGCCGAAAACTCCGCGAGCAGAAACACCAACGACGAAATGCAAATCCAAGTTTAAATGCGGCGCAAACGAATGGCATGGGTACGAGTACGAGTACGACAACTGGCAAGAATAGCAATAACAATAGCAAATCATCGTCAAAGGACAAAGACAGGGACAGGGAAAGGAAAGAGGGTGGAAATGCATACGCTACGAACAATAACAACACAAACGATTCGACGGCGGCAGCAGCTCATGACCGCAGTTCAGAGCAAGCGTCGTCGACATTGTCTGCTTCGACGACGAGCTCGTCGACGTTTCTGGGACGGCGCGAACCTGCCTCGCACCTCGCCAACGCCGTGAGGAAGCATTTCAATGCGCAGCAGCTGAGCGAGGCTGACACCATCGCCCGCTTCATCTACGTCGTGCAACAGAACGGCCGCACCGTCAGGACAGAAGGGTCCGGCGGGGACGGGACGGGGTCCTGGATGGGCAGCCATGGGCGACAGGTTAGGAGGATCGATGGTCCTGGTGGAGAGGTCGGGTTCAGGCTTCGCTTCAGACCTTGAGAACAGACCCTCAAAACCGGGCGAGAGAGTTTACGAGGGTTCCGACGAAACTTGGGATGACCTCTGAAGTGATGATATGGTCTCATTTACCTACCTATGTACCTGACCTACTGGGAACCTCAGGTAGGTAGTCGCCAGTCAGTCAATGGGATACAGATGAAGAAGGTACTTCGACTTGGAAAGTTCTTGAACCATGGACCTCGATTGATACTTACCAGTACCTAGGTACCTGAGGTAAGTAGGTAGCAGATGGCAGCCTACGGGGAACTCTTTGGGAAACAAGGAACCATGGCGACAGGGAGTCTGTTACCTCAGGTACTATGATACTATACCTATACTGTGTGTAGGTAGATTGTAACTTGTGCGCGTGGACGATTAGCTAGAATTAATGACATACCTGACGTACTGCGTACCCCGTACTAGACCTCGATAAAATTATTGTGACTATTTCCTTTAGATACCTTACCTAGGTCCCTCTGTACCTGACAATGCCATGGTATCCTGGATCCTCAAGTCATGTCTGAACGCTTTCATTTATTTAATTAGGTGCGTCCCACACGCGACTCGTTTTTCCCTGGTCCGTGCCGCAGCGCTTCCACCTTTTCACCAGTCAAGGTGTGTGTAGTCTGGGATGTTGAGATTTATGACCATGACTTCGATGGAGGACGACGGCCCCAAGCAACGTTTGACGCCAGTATGTGTATTAACAACTCTAGGTACCTGATCTGGAATGGCCGTTCTCAGGATTTCACAGTTAGAACAATCCGATGGAATACTGCATGACCGAGTGTGCTTCTTTCCCAAGGATCAGGGATCCAAGTAGGTCCATCCCTCCCTTACTACGCAGTTGGTAAGGAGGGACACACCCTCTGTCTACCTGATTTACCATAATATCAACCACCTCCCTCCAATTTACCTTCGCAATCGACCATAGGATGTGTACAAACAGGGCTTCCCGTCCGCTCAGCCGTACTTAAGCCACGTGCCGTTTAGTTAGTACTACCGTGGGTGACCAGGTGGGAATCCTAAATGTTGATTGTTTTTTTGCTTCGTTTCTGCCCTCATGTCGGTGCGAGGGTATTCTTTTTTGCTCCCACCTCTGGACCAGAAGCCTCCCTAGGGACCAAGATGCAAAGTGGCAGTCGAGCTACTGCGGTCCTTGGTTACTGGATCAGCATATTGCGGAAGTGTCTCAATCTCGGGTGATCGAGGAAGCGGTGTGAGGATATCACTTGTCGCATCCGAGGACTCGATTCTAGCATTATGGAGCATAGCCGATACGTGGCCACGTGTCGGTTATGAAGACTGTCTGTAACTAAGTGACTTCCACAAAGCTGGCATAGTCAGTCCACAGGCCATGCGGGTCTCACCACCCGGAGAAGGACTCTGGTCCTGTGAAAGTAAGAGTGAAACGAAAGCTGTGATGAGAACAACGATGTTACCTTGCAAGCTCTCCTTGACGGATAGTCGACCGGTCCCATATCTGAGCACCTTGAAACACCTACCACCTGTGTCTGAGCAGGTTTCCACACCGTTGACAATAACAGCATCGAATGAACGCAGCAGTGCAGGATGATCCATTTGGGACTTACCTACTTTGCACGTTCCTTGGGTCCTTACCGGCTTAGAGGATAAATGTCGGGGATCCGGATTCGAGTTGGACCAGGACTAAACTCAGTTTAGCAGCAAAACAACATAATACATGTCTGCCAGAATATTGGGTTACTCGAGATGCGGGTTCGATCGGAACCTCGTTTACGTGAGCCAAGTATGGACGCAGTGCTGCGATCCTGACTTCAGCATGACCTCGATGGAATGAGCGGTGTGCCACAGGTGGTTTGGCCGCGGTTCCGCAGCAAAACTGAGAACGACATTGGTACCTGACCCGTTGTCTGGTGATCACGGTTTTGGGTATATAGTCATCGTGATCCAAGACATGAGATGACGAGCGGTGGCAGAGATATGGAGTATATGGTAACGGATGGCTGCGTAGGTTGCCAAACTGTCGAGTGATCCCACCCTGTTCGTGGCCACGTCAGTTGAAAGTCTGGGGTAAGAAAGCAATGTCATGAGATCATAAGCTCCGATATCGTCGACAACGCGAAAGCGACCCAAAATGATGTAAGCGGTAAAAGGCAGCTGGTATAAAGGAAACAGGGCCAATTGAAGAACCCAGCAGGCGAATTTTGAAGCCCAACTCTTGAGGCGACAAATCGAAGAACAAAGGGCCAGAAGCAAGCAGGATAAGTGGGTTGCGATGCAGGCGCTCCATCTGCAGCATCGTTGCAGTAGCTTTGTGGGGGGCTTTGAGGCAGTGACAGTCGGAAGTCCTTAACAGGCCTGCGCAATTGGTGTAGCAAAATTGCAGGATATGTGCGCGGCCCTTTTTCTCATCCGGTCGGCACGAGAATAGACTCTGCAGTAGGCGTCACCACTGTTCATGAAGATGAGGCTGCAATCAGAGACGACGGCGACGACGAGCTGGCCGAGCATTCGACGGCTGTTGCTGGCTGGGGCTGAGAAGGCAGGCGGAGGAAGCGCAGTGGCTGGCATCGGTCCGTGGGCTCGGCTCGCGTGGTGCATCAGATTGCTGTCCAAGTGTCGGCACGGTAGGCATCCTTTGCCTTGCACTGATGGGCGTCGTTGGGTTGCTGTAGTCTGCCTGAAACGAATGCGAAGAAGCTTCTGTGCTGTAGCATGGAAGAATGAGGAGGATTTCGACCGTCTTGTACTCCGTATGGCGAGGAGCTCAACAAATCATGCAGAGGGGCAGGAGGTATTAAGCTAGCTAGGGCAGTGTTAAGTTCCTTTAGGCACGAAGGCCCGGCGCGCGGAATCACGGGCGGCAGCCGGGACGACTAGGCGTCCCTATACACGCCTAAGATGGGGACAATTGGCTGCCTCGACACCCATAACGCCCCTAAAAGTCAGCGAAAGCCACCCAGTCTAGTGGCCTAATTAGCCTCCCCAAAACCCACCGGAAGTCTTGAACTTTGTCGATACTTCAATCCAATCTGAGATACAGCGCGGCCTTGTGGCTGACCAGGGGCTGCTTAAGCGGTGAACGCATCCCATCCCCCAGCTAGGGACTACCTACCTTACCTTGCCTACCCTGATTCTTTAACATGCTCGCTCGTCCACTTCCATCAACACCGACGCCTCATCTCAGTCTGTAATCTCAACAGGTTGCATATTGCATCAACAGGGCTTGCCACGTCAGGTCGAGTCATATTCGTCTCCGTCTCCGAGCGCGTGGGTCAAACGCTGCATTTCACGACATCGTCACCACTGTCGAGCACTAGCAAGAGGACCGACCGGCTTCTGCCAAATACCCATCGTTCTCCTCGTCCTGCAATCATCCTGCAACCTTCTCTGAGCTTCAGACTGCGCAGCTCCTCTCGGTCCTTTGGATTTTTCCAACACGCATACTGACCAGCCTCTCCGGTATTCTGTGTAACAGCCTCCAGCAATATCGACTGGACAGCGGTAGTGGCCCGCCCGCTCACCGCTTTGGAGGACCGCTGCAACATCTCCTCCCGGCTCTGTGCAATGTCTCGACACCAATAAGACTAGCCTTGACTTCGCTGTATCACGGTCGACCTCCAATGTTCGATCGCTGTTCATTCATTGCTTATCGTTGTGGTGACCTCGGACACAGCATACATTGCTGACTTGTGGAGGTTGCCCCTCATTCGACCAAGGCTAGAGCGGCCTCCACAACATGGGCATCAGACCTCAATATGCTGAAGAGCCCTTGAGACAACTGGAAACAGAGCCGCATCTCCCGAAGCATTCCCTCAAATCGGGAATGTGGCAGAAGATACACAAACTCTTTGTCAAAGATGACCCGACCGATGATTCAGTCGACTTTACAGAAGACAGACGATGGCCCGAGACGACGCCGGACGACGACGAGTTGAGCCGACAAGACTCAACAACGAGGCCGCTTGCAATCGGCCTCCCCCGGCAAGCCACCTTCCGACGTCAAAATTCCGAGAGGCGGGATCGACTCCTACCTGTCAAACCTTGTCACGCCGAACGACGAGCCTTGTCCGCTGTCAGACATACATCGACAAGCCTTCCTCGTCCTCGAGCGACCTCTTCACCGCCGTGCTGGGGACCCGGCCGGACCTCTGCCCCTGCCGTAGCTCTCACAAGCAGGATCGATGCGCCCGCCGCTGATGCTGGCTTTGACGCCATCACATCATCCCTTGATCCAGCTCTGGTTTCAAACACTGAGGATATTTGGCCTCAGGACACTTTTCGACCTCCTCGCCCTCCGTCAACTACCTCGTCTGATGACTCGCACTTCCTTCGAATGCCTCTCGTCGATGACAAAGCCGACCTGAGAGACGAGCTCGATACTCGATGGATTCTCAACCTGAGCATGCACTTCCGAGACAAGTCAGATCGAGAAAAGTTCTTTGTCACCTACGCAGAGACTCCCAGTCGTTGGCGTCGCGTCACTGTTTCCTGTGATTATCGCAATGCTGAACCAGGGTCCCTCGAGATGGATCTCAAGGAGTTGCAATTCCAACGAGATAAGAGCATGCAAATATATGAGTCCATACGAGATTCACTACCGGAAATCCAGTTCTACGATACGGTGACCAATCTGAAATTGGAAACAACCGACGGTCGTTTGCATGTCCATGTCACGGAAGATGTCAACGAGATCATCCCATACCCACCACGTCATACTTTAGGCCACATATTACATGATGATGAGTTTCAGCCAATGGTGATACGAGAGAGTGAATTAATCTTCGACTCTCACATCTCTGGCTTTGTGTACAAGGTGAAGCACAAAAACAAAGTTTATATCAAGAAAGATATTCCGGGTCCAGATACCGTTGACGAATTCCTTTACGAAATCAACGCCCTGCACGCTCTCCATGGTTCAAGTCATGTAATTCAACTAGAAGCCATTGTCGTCGATGATGAGGAACAATATGTCAGGGGCCTTCTCATCACCTATGCCGAGAAGGGCGCCGTTGTTGACCTCCTCTATGACCACAGGGGCGCTATACCTTGGGAAGATCGGTGTAGGTGGGCAGAACAAGCCACCTGTGGTCTCAGCGAGATCCATGAAGAAGGCTATGTCCAAGGTGACTTTACCCTTTCCAACATCGTTGTTGATGGTGAGGGTAATGCAAAGATCATCGACATCAACCGAAGAGGTTGTCCCGTTGGCTGGGAGCCTCCCGAGATAGCGGCCAAGATTGCCAGCAGCCAAAGGATCTCCATGTACATTGGGGAAAAGTCAGACTTGTACCAACTAGGAATGACCTTGTGGGCGTTGGCCATGGATGATGATGAGCCTGAGCGCCACGTATCTCCATTCAGTGTCGATGAATTTCCGTCCGAAGTTCCAGAGTGGTATCAGGACATTGTAAGGATATGTCTATCTCGCCGTCCGCGGGACCGGTGTTCAGCAAAGACATTGGCGAAGATGTTTAGAGAAGGTGATACGAAGCCTCCGCATTCAAAAGAGCGTCATGAGAGGCCTACATTGAAGCTCCGAACCCCACAAGACTATATTGACCCTGCAGATGCGGTAGGCCGGGACGACATCGAACGTTTCTCAAACCAACATGAAATTACAGACGTGCCTTATTCCCCAGAAAGCTCGAGAGACGACTACACGTTCACGTATCCCAGGTCTTCGAATTATGAGATTGACAGCGAGACTTCTGCCTATGACCGGCCCAGAGGTAGAGCACCGCCCGCAAACTACGCTCATCTAGGTAGAAACGAGAGGCACCACTGGATTGGCGACGATGACAGGCCAACGTTGGTTGATGATGCAGAGCCAAACATTGTTCCCATTTCACCAGGAATGGAGCATGAATTCGACAAAGTGGAACTGGATGGTCATCCATATCTTGTTCCCAGAAGGACATTCAACGACGAAGAGTTGGAAATATTGGAACGTGCCGCAGAGGCTCAACAGACAAGTCAAGATTCTGTGTCTTCGGCGAATTTTGTGACACCGGGCCAGATCGACCACCCACTAGCTCGGGACGCTTCGCTATCACGCCGCCCCTCTGTGGTGACTACATGTTCCATGAGGTCCGACAGTACCCCACGCAATAGTCATGCAGTCTTGTCGGCATCGACGCATCAGCATTATGGGGAGCTAACTTCTGAACCCGAAGAAATAAGGGATCAAGGTCTTCCTATCGAAGGATCAGCAACCCCCACCGACGACCATAATGCTGCGGCCACAGCACACCCCATCACCAATTCCGATGGACCCGCAGTAGCGATACCTTCGGCGCCGGACAGGCTTCCCCGGCTGCCCTTTGCAGATAGTGGATATGATGACTCGTTCGATGCAGACGGCGATCTCGACCTCAGCGTCCAGACTCTTACTACGACACGGGAAGAAAAGGGAGAAGAGCCGAAGACAGATTCGGCCACACCCGAAATTGATCGGGAACTCATGACGACCCCAGAGGCTGTGGGCACAGAAGAGATATCCGACGAGGCCCAGGCAGATACCCAGCCTAACAGGCTTGAGCTTGCAAGATCTGATCACCTTGCAGTGCCAGATTCTCAAGTGGCGCGTCAACAGGAGCTCAACAGATCAGAGCAGACTGGCCAGAGTAACCAAGTCACACCTCCTTCCATGCAGGATGTGACTGGTTGAATTGTCGGCGATTACTCGCCGCCATGCAACTTTGCTTCATATCCGGCGCCCCTATGAAGATGATGATATTATCATTGATGCTGCAGAATTCAGATGTTGAAGCAGCGAGTGGCTGACCTTCGGCCCATCATGCTCTGGGGGAGTTGTTCCCTTCTCTATTCTTGGCAACGAGTTTGTGGAATGATTCACCAGATACTACTGCATTATTCGAGGCCTGGGTTCGCCGCGCCGGCTAATACCCCTACAAGATGTCACCTAAGCTCACGTCCCTACCACCACCACCACCACCACCACCACCACCACCACCACCACCACGGCTACGATTGCAACGATTGATGATACATGACAACTACTTTGCCCTGAACTTGTTACAATTGTTACTAGTTGCCACCAGCATGGGCGGGGAGCTATTAAAGGAGTCGAGACTGACAAATGGCTGGTTCTCACTTGTCCTGCTTTTTTGGTTTTGGTGTTTTTATGCGTCTTTATTTAGCGACCAGCAACAACCATACACAATACCATGGCTCGTGCGAATGAGAGGGATTTCTTTTTCGGGGGTTATAATCACTTGGGACGAGAAAGTCCTTATTTGGTGTGTGTGAAGTTGTACGGTCTGTTACTCGGCGGTGTTCTGGATCTGGATTTTGAGTTTTGGCACATCTTGTTGTTTTTCTGGCTTTTTGTTGCTTTTACTTTTCTGTATTTGGGATAACAACGACAACGTGGTTGCGAAACCGAACCGACATTGGGGTCGACGATCCGCGTCCGTCTCCCTCGGAGAACTAGCGAACAAGCGCGCTGGTGCAAGCTCCTGATGCTTTTGAAACGAATGAACGAGAACAAGCAAATGAACGAACAAACAGACGAATGACCTCACCATGAACGGACGAGCAGGTATAATGAATGACACGGGTCTTTTTTCCCCTATATAGGCAGTACTTGTGCGATCCATCTATGAGGCGAGACAGAACTCATGAGGGAAATTTGATGAAATACCTCTGAGAAACTTTTATAGATATTGAAATCAATATCAGCAAAAAAAAAGGTTTAGCTCAAAGGATGCATTCAACCAGAAACTCGTGATTCTGAAAAGGTAGGAAGAAGGTCGAGATTTCGTCCTATGAAGACAATCTTCCCTTGTTGCGGGACGTCGCTTCCTTCGGGTGACTTCGGAGTTTCGATGATGTCGAAAATCTCGCGGACGCCCTGGATAACTCGGACGGTGCCGTCGAGGAGCGGAAGGAGACCCTTTGTACGGTGGACTTCGTATTTACGCGGTTGGTCAGCCTGGGTGTCCTCGGCTTCCCAGAGGATGGTCTCGAGCCAGGATTCTAGGTGTGAGAGGTCCTGCGGGGAAAGGGGAGAGAGTGAGAGTGTCAATGTCGATATGGTCGGGTCGAGATGTGAATGACCTTTTGACGAGAAGTCCGGTATCTTGCTAGGGGACGACGTAGAAGTCGACGGGGGCAGAGGAAATGTCGAATAGGCGTCCAGGTCCAGGACCGTGCCACTTAGAGAGTCAATGTGCGAGTGGCTTGTTGGAAAGAGGCGGGCGAGACTGTTAATCGACGTTATCCTCGCTTGTACTTGGGACAAGTGAGTTTCCGAGACGAGGTCGGTCTTGTTGAGGATGATGACGTCGGCGTGGGAGATTTGTAGGTGAGCTGTTGTCAAGAGTGGCGAGTGCTGGTCATGGGCATGGTCGTGACTTTGACTTTCTGACTCCGGTAGTTCCTCTGGTGCAGGTTCGTCGAGGCTCGTGAGTATGTTCTTGGCGTCAACGACGGTCACGATGCCGTCGAGGTATATGCTGCTTCCTAGCCCCTCATCCATCCAGAACATGGGAGCGATGTTCCCGGGGTCTGCCACGCCCGTCGTCTCGAGCAGGATGTAGTCGAAGTCTTTTTGGCGTTCGACTAGAGACTCCAAGGCGGCGACGCCGCTGTCTTTGACGCTGCAACAGATACAGCCGTTGGCGAGAGGAATCCATTCCGTAGTAGATTGGTTGCCTTGATTGACCGTAAGAGACTTTTCGATATCTGCTGTGTTTCCAAATTCTGTAGCCAGCAAAGAAAATAATGTTAGATCTCTTGTTGCAGGGAGCTTTCAGAGTGCTATGACAATGGCGTCAGAGGCATAGGTACAGGTACGCCCAGGGATGAAGTGAGACCTGCCGTTCAGAATCACCGCTATTTTTTTGCCATGCTCGGCTGTCAGGATATAGTTGAGCAATGTGGTCTTGCCAGCACCAAGGTAGCCTGTACCAATAGCATGGTCAGCATGGAATAAAAGACATAAGGACACCCTCGTGAGTATAGTGTACCTGTTACTATGGTAATGGGTACCTTTTTTATTGGCTTGATCTGTGAAGAAGAATCCTGTTGTGACTGAAGGTCGACGAGATCTGGAATGTCGTCGTCCATGACTGTTATGAATGACGGGTGACAAAGACGAGAACTGAGCTAGAAACCCAGAAGTCCAAGTGGTAGTGCAGGTCCAGTCACAACAACACAGAGACACAGAGTGCAGATGTAGAATTTGTAGTGAAGACTGGTTTGGTGACGGAGACAAAATGCATGTCGTTGACGTGGAGCATCGACTTCCCACGCATTAAAGTTTAGCCGTCGATCTCCCGCTCCATCTTCACCAAAGGGGAAACATAGCCGAGCCGAGACCATGGTCAGATCGCATCGTTGTTCGTTCTCATCAGAAGAGGAGTGGTTCGAGGACGACCGACTCAAGCACCCCTTCTTCAGGCCTTTTCCCAACCCGGGCAGCATGACGGCCGTCTCACCGTCCAGTTCGCCTCGGCTGCCCTCTCCTCCACCCATTCCAGAAGTCCAATTTGGACCTAAGAGCCCAGGAATTGGCGACAGCTCGAATGAACTGTCTCTTGACGCGGTCAGCAAGCCAGATGAGGGCGCTGCACGCAGAGTCAGACCGGGCACTCGAGCTGCGGATATGGCCAGAGGGCCTCCTCTTGTTCCTTTGAACCAGGTCAGGCAGTATACCCTCATCTGACTGCAGCGAGACACTAACTCGTGGCTGTAGCTCGACTCGCCCTTTCAACTCCAAGAACACCTTAAAGCCCTCTACTCCAACCTCACACATACTCCAGATGCCTCGCACACGATACCCATATCAAAAGAGACCGCGTTGCAGCTTGCTACCCCCCCTCGACTTAACGACAATGAGACCGTGGACAGGAACTTGTGGCTGTACGAACTCTGCAGATTCCTGACCATGAAGGCCAACCTCGTGTCGATTTCTCTTATGAATGACAATCCCCCATGCTCAGCTCAGACATGTCCCGAGATGCGGGCCAGCGAATGGCAGTATCTCTGCGCTGTCCATGAACCTCCAAAGTCCTGCTGCGCAATCGACTACTGTAACCATACTCTCGACTGGGCTGCGAATGTCCTCACTAGTCCCAAGCACTTTCCATCAAGGCTCGCTCTGGGTGGTGAGACGGGAAGTGCGATCCAGAGCATGCGCCAGCTCACAAATATCTTCCGACGGGTGTATCGGATTTTCGCACACGCATGGTTCCAACATCGGGAAGTTTTCTGGTCGGTGGAAGCTTCATATGGTCTCTACATGTTCTTCAAGACTGTCTGCGATGAGTATCGTCTCATTCCTGAAGATAGCTACACAATTCCAGCAGAAGCGGAAGGATCTTCTGAAGATTCGAATGATCAGAGCGCATCATCCGCCTCTGCCCCAGAAGCAGGCTCACGAATGCAGATCTTACGAAAGGACAACCAGAACCCATCAGCTGAAAACAACGGACCCCCGAGCACGTCTAATGCAGCCGCAGCCACCACAACTACAGCCACTGGTGCGACGACACGTCGGCACAAGCATACGCCAAGCACCGGAAGTCACGTAGCGATCATCCCAGAAGGTCAAGAAGAGGAAGAAGAGAGCACATCCAGCAATGTCACTACAACGCTTGCACCGAAAGCAGACGCCGAATCAACAACGGCCGCTGCCACCGAACGAAAGGACCGTTCACCTGAGCGAGTGTTGCCGAAGCTCGATATTGGCGCTACCTTGCCCAAATACGAACCTGGAGCACCAGAAGACCCGACTCCCACGGGCACAGGAGACGATTCAGATCCTCTTGCTGCCGCCGGTGGCCAAGCCACTGTACCTGAGGACAATACTACTTCAACACAATTAGAAACTCCCGTCAAGCAGAAGAGCACTGTTGACGAGGACGAAGAAGAGCAAGTCACATCTCCCTCTGGAGGCAGTATCAGAACAGGCGGTCCTGACGTATTGAAGGCGATCCTAGGACATCTAGACGACGAGCACACCGAGCTTCCCAGTCCGATCTTGCGAGCACAACAAGCTCGGATGACGAGCCCAGCAGAATCACAGCATTCTCCCTTGACGTCGCCGTCACCGTCACCGTTGCATGACAGCAAGGTTCGAGTCGAAATCGCCGAGAAACCAGATGATGATGATCATGACGACGACGATGACGACAACGAGCCTGAGTCAGTACAGCGTAGCAAGACCGCAGAGCTCATAGAGACAGAACCTGGACAGGAGAAGAATGAATAGGTAGTCATCGGAGTGCGTCGCCAGATACGCGGGCGATGTATTGGGTCCATGTGAGACATGATAGGCGTAGCGACGTGCGGGGTCTTTTCCAATCCACCCTGTACATTATGAAATTTCCCATGCTTTGGCAACATTACAAAGAGGCCGTTCGCGACTCAAGCCCTCGATCATAGGGGTCGTCGATGTTAATGCAGACAAACATCAAATCATGAATTACTTTGCTCTTGTGAAGAGGTAGCAGGGAATAAGAGCACGAGCACAGTATTTCAATGGAAAAAGCATCAAGAGTTCCAGTCTTCCCGTACGTGTGTTTACTGCCATTATGTCTGATTAAGCTGTTGTGTTTGTTCAATCGAAAGCAGTAGGACAGAGTTTCTAGTAAAGCGCGCGAAACTGCCAAAATGCCACAAGGTTTATATAATACACGCAGCAGGCCACATTCTTCACCCTCTCTCGAACGCACATTGTGATACTGCGCGGCTCAGAACCCCCCTCGAGACTGAATTCAACATCCTCAAATAACCAAGTTCAATTACCGCCCGGATATCCATGTCTCAATTTCGTCATGCGTGGTTCGACGAGTGGATGCCATTGAGCAAGGAACACAATCGCTACAAGAAGACATTCTGTCAGTCTTTGCAGCAACCTTTTGAGATAATCTGGAGGTAGGGATGAGCTGAAAAATAAGAGGAACGTACCCCACATTATATAACAGCTAGCGAAGCTGAGAATGAGTGTGCTCCGCCATATCCTACATGGTGAGTTTAGCTGATCTGTCAAAGTGACGATAGGGTAGGAAGTCATACGTCTGATTCTCGCCCTTGGGACTAAAGTAGTACGCGCCGACGCAGAGAGCGACGATGACAATCAAGCCGATCAGGAGGGACCATCTAGGTGTGGGTGCAGTGTTAGTAAAGAGCTCTGTTTGGTTCCCAATCATGTGCGGTGCGGTGTGGTGTGGTGTGGTGATTGCGTCCAGCCTGGAGCAACAGCTTCGAAGAATGGACATCGGAGAGTGAGGAGGGAAGATCTTCAGACTGAACTGAACTACCAAGCCACCTGACACTCGGCGCGATTGGCTCATGGCTCATGAACAGGTGCACAAAGCTAGGGGATCCCCTGTTGAGACTCGCTGCTCTGGTACATCATAGGTGGGTGGATGGACTCGCGCGCATCCGACCACCAGTACTGTAGCCTTTGGTGATAGGGTAGCTGGAAGTCCCAAGACGAACGTGAACCAGAATTCCGTCCCAGGGAGTCACGCAGCTGCTGAGCTGCCCAGAGACCTCGCCTCTTTTGCCAAAGTAGCCAAAGTAGACCAATGCTCTTTCGCATAGGCTCCAGACGGTGCTGGTGTAGGTGGGATGGAAGTATGTGCTCTTGTCCAAATTGCTCACGTACCCGTTGGCCATTATGTTCTGTGCTCTTCAATCCCACTCTAGTCCAGGCTTATTGCTCTAAGCAATCCGAAGTGCGGCTGTTCTCTCGTAAATTAGTCTGAAGAGGACGTAGCAGGTCGTTCGGCGCGGGAGTTGCGTGTTGGTAGGCGCAGCAGATGGATGGTGGAAGAGACAAAGGGTGTAACTTTCTCGGCCAGGAGCTGTTCAACCGACTTCTGGAGGCGGATGGAGAGAGTGAACTCTTGCAGGAACTTGGGTCTGTTTCCCAAGGTCGTCGATCAGAAGGGTACGAGGCTGCAGCTGTAGACGATATCAATGCGACGAAGTTGAGATGTACCTCGTACTTAACGCAGGAGCGAGAGTTCGGCTAAGATTCCTACTCTAGACTGACCCTCCCAGAGGGTCCTCGCACCATCTTATCACGATAAGGGCCGACAATGCATCTGCGTAGTCATCGAGGACGAATACACTTCACTTCAGACGAGATTGGTAAATGCTGTAAATAGGTATTCATTCAACAAGTTATGACCATTCGATTCCCAAAGAATGAAACTAAGGAATTCGACCGCCTCTCCCTAACGGAAGCCATTCTAGCCAACCCAGCATGTAACCTTCCCTCATTGGTTCAGGTGACGGGATCAAGCACCTTCTCTGCTCTTGCGGTAGTTGCTCTCCTGTTCGACTTGGAGTTGATCAATCTCTGGCGCAAGCTCGGACAAAATCTCATAAGCTCTCTTGTGGTATTCCAACTGCGCTGCAATCAAGTCGGCAAGGTTACGAAGAGGCTCGGGGGTATCCAGGACCTAGAATTAATTAGCTATCGTCACCAGACCAAGGGAGGCGACCCTTACGTTTTTCATGACGCCTTGTGCCTCTTCAACTTGTGAGACGAAGTCGTCTTCCTTAGCTTCAATCTCGGCGCGTGCCTCTTCACTCAGTGCTGTTTCGTCATCCGGGTTCATACCCCTGCCTATCACTTGGCTCTTCTTTGATGCCTTGGTGCTGTCCAACAAGAGGCGGCTATTCTCCACGGCTTTTCTAGCCTTGGTTGCAAATTGGATATTGGTATTCAGCGTTGTATTCCAGCCTGCGAGGAAGCGCGACTGAATGGCATGGTCTTGTGCCAGTCGTGCCTCTCCAACCTTCTCTTCTGCCAGGGCATATTTCTCCAATGCTGTGGCTAGTGGATCCTCGCTGCCAGAATGGTTTGTTTGTTGTAGAAGTTGTGAACTGGCCAAAGAAGCGCGCGCAATGGCATGGTTGAACGTCTTAGGTTGGGGCTTTGCGGAGGGAGGAGCAGTAATTGCAGCTTGAGCTTCGGCCGGGCTTGAGGCATGGGATAGAAGAGTTACTTTCTCAGAAATACTACGACCAAGATCGGTAAAGGATTCGCGAATGTTTGGGGGATAGTCGTATGCCTCATTCTGATATTGATTGCTAGAGCACTCGTAAGCAACGGGTCTCGGATGGACGGCACTCTGTTAATCACATACGTGACGGTCAATAGCTTCTGGTGAACCTGCTTCAGTGCGTCGACACGCTTCTCCAGCTCAATGTAGTCCACAGGAAGTTGGGTCTGATACGAATCAGCTAGATGTTTGGGTGGACCAATTAGCTCCTGCGTTTACCTTGTCCTCTGCAGATCCAAACTGTTCCTTGAGCTGCTGCTGGCTTCGCTGGACGAAGGGAGAGACGGTAGTATTGAAGGCAGAACTACATTGACAACACAGTTAGGCAATCGCATTTTGATAAAGGGGCCTAGTAATGGACTCCCGCAGGGGATGTTGAGGACGACCCTTTGGCTTGCAATAACTTGGGGATGTGCGTACCTTATGTTCTTTCCAAACGACGAGAACTTGTCCATGGTTGTCAAAGTGTAGTCCAAGTGACCGACTTGATTGATGTGAAGAGACGGGAGAAGCAGATGTCAGACTCAGTGTTTCTTGTTGAGCCAGCTGATCTGTTGTTTGGAATAATATCATTGTCTGACAAGGTGGGCTGCAGATATGTGTATGACGATATCTGTCTGACAGAAATTACTAAGGAGGCTAGTGAGGCTGTACATGTGAAACTGCCGCCTGCCGGAATCGAGTCTGCCTCACCAGCTTGATCAACGGCCACATTTCTCCGCTATACTTCATTTTCAGCAGCAAGGATAAAGAGTGACAATGTCCAGTAAAATGCAGCAATCATACTTCTCGAACTTCTGAAATTTCTTACGGTATCTGCTGAAGCATCCTAGCCACCGGGAGGCCGTTCACTCAACATGCCCTTGACACACTCCACGACACGGGCTTGAAGGATTTCTCTCAGGTCAAAGTCTTACCCTACGCGATTCCCCCTCGCCCATGGGGCGAAGAGGAAATCTCGTTTCAGGACATATCCTCTCCACATTGCGAGCTGAAAGGTATGCTAAAATACCCCAAGCCATGGATTGAAGTACACCTGGCATGTGGATCGGTGCCGGCTGCATCCGTGACAGTCACTCTTGCAGGCAAGGCTGTACGAAACATGGGAACATTGTCCACGCAAAATGATAAGCTTGCTATTATTTGACTCTAGGGCCCGTTATGAGCGAGGGGGTTTTCAATCGGAAATGCACATTCTGTCTGCAAAAGCCATTGTCCACATGGTGACTGTTGTCCTATCAAACCCTTTTTCAGGAACAGCGACTTTGCACTTGTTGATCAGTCGCCACGCCGTGAGTAGTGATGGAAGGTCCTTTGACGCCCGACGCCTCCAAAGGCTCGACTATGGCAACCGATGCTGGGGATCTATTGTCACGAGACACGCACCCATTTATGGACATCTGACCAAAATATCCAACTGACAGCGACGACCAACGCGGGATGCTTCCTGGGTACTGAGACTACGTCATTGTGCAATGGACAGTGATTCGAATATGTGTTTGAGCGTATTAATAACGCTTAGAAATCTCTCATGTTCTCTTCATGGTCAAAGATACCAAGCCGAGTGCGTCAGTTTCATAGTCTCAAATCCAACCAATTCGTACCATTGTTAATATACGAGAATATGCTGTTCTTATCCTTTTGACGTCGCAAGTGCCAAAGCCGTTGAGGAGATAGCACCTGCAGCACCATGGGAATCATCGGAACGGATCGTGCTACGGCCGCCTCAACATCATGAAGTCAAAGCTCTTAAACGATTCTCGCTGTGCATCTCGAGATTCTGGCACCAACTGAAGGGGCTGATCTGCCACTTTCTGAAACGATAGGTTGGTATGCCCCGACACCATTTGTCCATCGCCTAGGATGATAACGTAGACTCCGTGAAGGGGAGTATCGGTGGTGACATCTGCACTGGAATAAGGAGGATGCTGATTTCTCCGTGCATTGAGCCCAGACAGACATTTAAGGTAGCCACGGTGTCAATCGATTCAAGCTGTCCAGAGGGAGCGTGTATGCGGACTCTTCCGGGGAACACGAGGTATTCAGTCTGAACTTCAATCTGGAACAAGCACAGCACCGGTTGAAAGGAAAAAGAAAAAGAAGAATCTGCTCAATTGAGGCCAGCCGACCGCGGAGGGTGGTCTGATTGTTGATCTGATCTGGCAGTTGCCGAATCTGCTTTGTTCAATCTACCTTTTCAGAACATTCAAAGCTGTCGCGAGGCCTCCTAGAGGTTTGGGATCTGATCCTAACCCTACAAATCTCAAAGCCCAATACTCCACAGCCCATCGCGCCAGCATGCCTGAGACCGCCATGCCAGTTGCAGCGACATAACCACAATTGAGCAAGATAAGCAGGGCCTCGATGTTGTTGACCAAGACTGCCCATGCGACATAGTTTGTTGCACGAAACGCAAAACCCGAAGGGCCACCGCCGTTGACTTCCGTAGGCCATATCACAAGAAAGATGGGGAATAGCTTGGTACAACTCGACACCAGTAAGGCTGTGCTGATTGCACTCGGAGAGGCCTGGCCCGGCGCGACTATAGGATGGACATTTCCGTCCGCTGATGAAACTCGAGGTGAATTCTTGCTGTTTGGATGATCTCCGTGCTGTTCACGTTCCGTGACTAGAAAGCGAGCCAGGAAACGAATGATGGCATGTTGAGCGGCGGTGGCCAGTACGTTCATTGTGAGAAAGAAAAGATACTGTGTGAGGATCGGCATTCCAGTCAGAGCCGAGTTCGGGTTGTTTCCTCCGTTGACAGTACTGCTTTTCTCGATTCGGGCCCACGTAATGTAGACATCGAATAAAACGAGTAAGATACCCAGTCGGAGGATGCTGGGATCGAGTCTATTGTCGGAGCGTCCAAGCCTGTTGAACAGAAGATGGCGATAGACCTGGCCATGTAAGAACTTGTCTCGTCTCCGAAAACAATTTTTCACATACTTGAGGTTTAATTAGAACGAGGTCTATGAACAAGACCACAAAGTCATGCTCGACATATTTGTCCGCGAACCTTTTACAGTTTGGGCATTGGGTGAGCCGGACCCCTTTACCAAGTGTTCGGTCATCGGCTTTGCTGTAGACGGTGTATAGGTTCTTGACTGGGGTGCTGCATGTGATACATATTGGCATGCTGGCCGGAGCATCGACTGTGCTGCGAGATGCGAGACATAAAGTGACCTGAAATTCACCAGCCCAAGTTCTGCGAAGTGACGCGTATATATTTGTCTGCGGTCCGCCGTAATAGACCTGTACGGTGAGTCAAACAGCGTTACGGGCGACCCCAGCGCTGGAAATAATGAGAATTCTCCACGCTTTCCTCTCATCCTCGTACTCGTATTGCCATCAATATATGTCAAGTCCACGTCGGCCCCAAAAAAACAACTTGGTTTCTTCATGGCTCGCTGCATGCACCAGATCGAGCTGAATGACTGCTGCCTGCAGAAAACAGCCTCTCAGGCTATCGCCCTGTTTATGTCCTTTTGATCATAATGGTCCCCACGATTCGCGAATTTACCGTTGTGCAGGCATCTCGTGGTTTGCACCATTTCTGGTTTAGCTGCTCTGCGGTTTGGATGGACTCAGCCCCAACGATTCCTGGCCATGCCTGATGAGGCACAATGTGCGAACAGGAGGGTCTGTGGGTGACAGCCGTGCGCCCTCGTGTCGACTGGATCTATTAATTAATGTCGGGACGGTGATGGCTATAGCTAACTTTACAGGTACTCTGAAACGGTAAAAAAATATTTAATATGTTGCGATGCGTGCACATTCGTCCCCTTCCACCATCATCTCCTACCACGAACCCCTTTCGCAGTGACATCGCACCACCACAATAATGTATTATGCATATAAAAGGATCAAGAAACACCGCGCTCAGAGGGCCGCAGGAGCAGCTACGTTGCCTGCTACTGCTGCTCCTGTTTCCGTCGCAGCCTCTGACGCGAGCAAAGCATCCACTCCTTCGACTGCTGTCGCAAGGACGACACCAACGACAGCACCTATTCCGCCCAAGAAGACGAAGAAGAAGTGCCCTCAGTGCACGCAAGAGAAAAGCGCCGTTCGGAAGTACCGATGGAAACTCCTCTTCTGTCTATTACCGGCCTTCTTCTGTGCGAGTCTCGACTTGACCATTGTCGCAACAGCCTTGCCTCAGATCGCATCTCATTTCGGTGAGTTTAACAACCTCCCTTTTCCGAGGGCATCCCCGACTCGTGGTGACCCCCCAATACTGACTCTTCCACAGACAAGTTCAATCAACTCAACTGGATCGTCACAGCCTTCACGTTGACCTCTACCGCCTTCATCCCTGTCTTCGGTCAGCTGGCAGACATATTCGGGCGGCACCTGTCGCTGCAAATAGCCGTTGTTCTATTGATACTCGGCAGTGTGCTCTGTGCTGCCGCGCCAGTCTGGCCAGTACTCCTTCTTGGACGAGGCTTCCAAGGTGTCGGGACCGCGGGGGTGTCTAATGTGGCAATGATTGTTTTGGCAGACTCGGTGTCTCTCAAAGAACAAGCCATCAACACAAGCATTTTCCAGCTTATGAACGGCATTGGTTACAGTAAGTTCTATATACCCTCTCTTCTTACTCGACCATCTCAACCCAACAAAGCCATCACAAGCACCCATGCTAATCTCTTTTCTTTCTTTCTCTGCTGCAGGCGTCGGTCCAGTTATCGGCGGCTACATAACCAATTCCGACTGGCGATACTGCTTCGTGCTCGCGGCCGGCATGTCGGCCGTGTCCTTCTTCACAATCTTCCTTCTCCGCGGCGACCTCAAGCCGGGCAAGATCTCACTGTCGCACCCTCCAGCTGGCCAAACCCGGGTGCAAGCACTGTCGTCGGGCCTCGCGACTCTCGACTTTGGCGGCATCTTCCTGTTCATCTTCGGCGTGGGCCTCATCATCGTCGGCACGGCGTGGGGTGGCTCGACATTCCCTTGGTCGTCTGGGGCCGTCATCTCGACCACTGTGCTCGGCGCGGTGCTGATCCTCGCGTTTCTGGCATGGGAGTCTCTCCTGTCGCCCGGGCGCGTCCTCAGCCGCCGAATGCCAAGGACCGTGGCCATGATCCCCTCGTCGGCCCTCGCAGCCAAAGACGTCAGTTTGGTCTGCTTCATCGCGGCCGCGACGGGCGCGGCGCTCTACTCGGTCTTCTACTTTATCGGCATCTACTTCACGCTCGTCGAGGCCTACTCGTCATCGCACGCGGGGACCCAGCTGCTGTACTACGTGCCCGGCATCGGCGTGGGCGTCTACCTCGCCATCTTCATCTGCAACGTCTACCCGCGCCAGACCTTCTACCCGCTGCTCATCGGCACCGTCGTCGAGACGGCGGGCATCGCCGCGCTCGCCTACGCTACAAAAGTGCGCGACCGCACCCTCGTCAACGTGCTGATGGGCATCGCCGGCGCCGGGACCGGCATGCGCTTCATGCCGTCCAGTCTCCACCTGTCGGGCATGTTCCGTTCGCAGCTCGCCGCCGTGTACTCGCTGCTGCGCTTCGCCCTGCCCTTTGGCGGCACCCTGGCCCTGACCATCATGGGCAGCGTGTTCCAGAACAAGATGAGCACCTACTTTGGCTCCAGCGCCGTCACAAACTCGGACGGCTTCAGTTTGCACAACACGGCCTCGCTGGACTCGATCGGGAACCTGCCCGAGGCCCAGCAGAACGCGATCCGCGCCCAGGGCGCCACCGCCACCATGTGGAGTTTCATTTCCATCCTGCCGATCCTGGCCCTGAGTCTGTTCGCGAGCGCGGGCTTGGGAAACGTCTGGATCCCGCGGCACAAGTCGGGCGACGAGAAGGAAGAGCCAGACGCCGAGAAAGGCGCGGAGGGCCAGGTTCGGGAAGACGGTACCTGCCGCCGACATGCAGATGCCGCCCTTGCCGCCGGTGGCGGTGATCGTCCCCAGGACGGCAAGGAGACGCGGGGCGTCGAGTTCATCACGTCCAGCTACATCCTCGCTGTGTTTCGTGGCGATGTGCAAAGATTGAAGACATCCGCCACCCCGATGCAGACACCAAACTTGGACAAAGAACAAGCCCCGAAAGATCCCAACGGACAGATACATACTCGAAACTCAAGGGGCGGTGCTTAGGAGCTGAAGCGAAAATGAAACCCCTTTTTGCTATCTTTGTTTGCTAGATACCCCTCACTTTCCATATATGTGTAATATATTAATGATATCGTTTCCATTTGACAAGCTTAATCTACGACTTTTTTCCCATCGGCCCAAGTAGGCTGGACAGAGCGACAGACTGCCTCGTAGTCGAGGAACGCCTGACTCTTCTGTCCGGTCATTAAGCCAGGAGTCGTCCAAAACATGGTCCAATTGGTTTCCGGGATTTTCCAAGTTCCCCGAGACCGCTCAAAGTACCACTTGTTGACGGGATTGTCCTTGCGGCTCCTCCAGCAAACACCATTGGGGAAACACGTCCTTACCATAGCATTGAAGACGATATCGGCCACTCCACCTGCGCCCTGACTCTTCTTGAGCACGGCAAACTTGTCAAGATAAGGCACTAATCGTGAAGCGTCGTCGTCGGAAGCACCTGGCGGAGTTTCCCAGGTAAGGATTGCGCCGCCTTCATAGTCTCCTGCAATGATGACACCGGCAATTCGATCATTGACTCGCTTGAGGTATGCTTCGACGTCAAGCTTGCGATTGAATGAATCATCGATCAGGTATGTAAGCCGTTCAAGATCGATTCTTGGGTCAGTCAATTTCAGTCGAGGCTTACTTGCAGCGGTCCAGACTTGAGCTGCTGGGTTGGGCAAGATTATCAAGGGCATTCCGCGCTTGATGAACGTCGAGGTGGTTGACGATGCTGTATGGTTGTCATTTGCCAGGCGCCCCGAGGGCAATGACGACGAGTAAGCCGGTTTATCGGTCAGCAAGTTATGAATTAGAGGATTCTTCTGTCGTCTTGTGCCCACATTGGAAGCAGTATTATCATCGGCTCGAGGTGTGTTCGCTGCTTCCCATGGAGTCGTAAGTAAACCTGACGACGTATGCGGTAACAAGCCGAGAGCGTCCCTGAAAATTTTGAGATTCGAGGCATGTTTCTTTGAGACGCCGCCATCTGTGGAGCTTCTTAATTCTTCTTGAAGCGACGAATATTCCTGATATAGGTTGATGAAAACATGTTTTCGGTCGGGGGTTTTGGTGCTTGGTATCGAACCACTCTCGTCCACGACAATTATCCTGTCCACAGATATCTGTTTACGAATGGCATCTGCTTTCTGTGAAGCCGCCTCAGGGGAATCGTCGATTCCTGGTGTGAAGTTGAGGCCCGCAAGTTCTCCGGTAATGGCCAGCAGAGCCTCATCGGCGCTGATAGGCACGACTTGTTGTCGGACTTCGGAGTATGCTGTTGGTAAAACCACTGGTATTCGTCCTCGGCGGAGAGGACGAGTCAGAAGCTTCCGGAGGAACACTTCAGGTCGACCATTCAGGCCATAACTGAATAAATGGTCAAGCCTCCGGGCTCCCGCGTCACTGACTTGATCGAGGGCGTTTACAAGCCGATCCGCCGAACGAACGAGCTCCTCTCGCCTCGCTTGCTCGTCGCCGGCACCTGATTCTTCCAAGACCACACATGGAGCCATGCTCAATCGAGCCAGAGACGCAAGCGTCCGAGAAATGCCCCAGAGGATGTCATCGGCCATAGAGCGGACACCACTAAGTTTGATTATAGCAACATGAAGAGTTTCCTGCTCTTCGAGGGGTTGCAACAGATCGTCCTCAAATTGACTAAACACTGGGCTTTCTTCGACAGCCCTATTCCGCCCAAAAAGATTGCCGACATTGACTGCAGGATCTCGTTTTGCTGGAGCAGGCTGTCGAGAGATCTTGGGGCCGGCGAGAGTCTTTCTTGGAGACTGAAGTCTGGTGATATAGGCCTTCGCGTCTCGTTTGGTTGCGGCCGAGCTCAGCAAGCTGGTGAAGAATTCCTTGTTTGCGAGTTGCCTGTTTCCCCACCTAGCCAAGTTCTTGCTCTTGTCATGCTCAGTTACGATCTCATCGCCCAGTGGAGGAGGAGGAGGAGGGGGAGAATTGTTGGAGTTGGGAGAAGCCTGTGCAGAGTAAAAACGAGTCGAACGTAGCCGCCTAGGGAGTGGATTTGGACGTGTCCTCGACATTAGATGCGCTCTCAGAATCTCAGCAGCAACATTCCTGTTCTGCCATTGTGAGTAACTATTCCGCAGAGAAACTGCGGATGGGACGAAGGCGGTCTGGCTCATGTCTCATGGCGCAGGAACTGCCGGAGAGCACGAAGATGGGTCAGAGTATCAGAAAAGAAGAGCCAGGCAAGAATAGGTCCTATCTACGTCCTTTGCCATTGAATGATTGCTTGTGGTGAGGTCACTGAAAAAATGCCCCTTCATGCATTGCCAGAGGAGAAAAAAGCAGATTGCGGGATATTTTCGTATCAATCACTTTACCTAGGCCCGGAGTACGGAGTAGGCGACGCGCAGTCAGTGGAAATATCTCACCGCTTGCGTGCACTCCGGTGGCTACAGCCTGCAGTAGTGATAATGCCGTGGGGTTATATACTTCGCCGCATTCACCACCTCTTGGGCCACCTGCGCCGCCAACTGCAGGGGGCAAACCAAAATGTCATCTTTCAACCACTGCTCAGTCGGGTAATTCTCTTCTCCATGAATCTTCCTCGGCCATACCAGGAACATGACACTGCTCCAACGGTACGCAACAGTGACACAACAAGAGCCGCATTGTGGCCGCTCCATCGCAGGCTACTCCTAGGTAAGTGACAGCGGTGACCTTCGGCGCGCCGCGACTTTCGCAGCTTGGGGCGACCGGAGATGCAGCCCCACGCACGTCATAGTCGCGATCATGATCGGGCTGCTGTGGAACGCGCAGACAACTCTTTTTCGATACAGGTAGGGCTACATGCGAGTATAATCAGAGTCCGAGTTCTACCTAAAGACCCGGTCACGGTACCTGCGAGATATAACACCCACACCTTCCCTTACGTGCAGACAGGCGTGATATCTGTATCTAACGAGCGCACAATGGCTCCTCAACTGGCATGGCTCGGTCTGGGTAACATGGGCAGAGTGAGTCAACTTCGGATGTTACCCGATACTCACATGCTGACAGCAGTCCAGGGCATGTGCAAGAACCTGGTCGAGAAAGGCAACCTATCGCACCCTCTGATCATCTATAACCGCACCGTGCAGCGGGCCCACGACCTCTCCAAGAAAATCGGCAATTCGACCGTGTCAGAGTCCATCCCGGACATGGTCTCCAGAGCAGACATCATCTTTTACTGCCTGGGAGATGACCCCGCGGTCCTGGAGACGGTCCAATCCATGCTCCAGAGCGACGTGACAGGCAAAATTCTGGTCGACTGTAGCACCGTCCACCCAGACACCACAACCAAACAGGCGGAGCTGATTGAATCCAAAGGTGCCAGTTTCGTGGCATGTCCCGTCTTCGGTGCTCCAGCCATGGCAGACGCCGGACAACTGGTCTGTGTTCTTGCCGGCAAGGCGGAGGCCGTGAACCATGTCAAGCCATACTGCAAGGGAGTCATGGGTAGAGCGAACATCGACTTCTCTGGCCAGGAGCCACGAAAGGCGACGCTTCTCAAGATCATCGGCAACACCTTCATTGTTAACATGATCACGGCCCTCTCAGAAGGCCATGTCTTGGCTGAGAAGACTGGCCTCGGGGTGGAGGAATTGCATCAGCTCATTGAGGTCATGTTTCCCGGTCCATATACGGCTTATTCCAACAGGCTGAAGTCTGGAGACTATTACAAGCGTGACGAGCCGTTGTTTGCCGTTGACCTGGCACGGAAAGACGCCAGACATGCCATGGACTTGGCTGAAGTTGCGGGCTGTCGAATGAAGGACGTCGAACTGGCCGATTCTTACCTGAAAGTGGTCAAAGAGACGCAAGGCGCCAAGGGCGACATTGCCGGCATCTACGGCGCGAAGCGACTTGAGAGTGGCTTGAAGTTTGAGAATCAATGAGAAAGCTAATCACGTTTGCAATGTTTCGTCAGGAACCAAAGGGTACCTGAAATTCTATTCCGTTCTCAGTATATTACTTGAATTGATGGTGGCTCTGATATTGGTTGGATCACCTGCCTAAGTCACCCGTACCTCCGTTGATGTTCGATCATCGTTCTCTCTACGACGGCGAGGAGGAGGAGGAGGAGGAGGAGGAGGAGGAGGAGGAGGAGGAGGAGGAGGAGGTATACGAATACGAGATATTCTGATGATAAGATAGCCAACCCACCGACCGACCGACTAATCCCCCTTCGTCCACCCCCTCCTGGGTCCATGTAGTGATTGATTCCTTAGGTACTTTTGACCTGGCACAAGAGAGGATCATCACCCAGGTAGGTATGTAGAGCACCCACGGTAGGTACATGAGACAGGTAATTTGTTCTCGAGAGAGATTACATGGCATGATCTCCTCCTTACCTACCTACAGGTGCCTACCTGGCTAGTTTCTCTCTGGCAGAGATCTGTTTGTATCTCGGTGGCTATTCGAACGCCAGAAGAAAAATGTGAAGATGTTCAACAGGGTGCAGTTAACGGAAACCCCTTGAAGGAAATTGCAGGTCAATATACCTCCCCCCCCCCCCCCCCCCCCCCCCCCCCCTTTCCACTCACGCTCCCATCCCACTCCCACTACTCTTCCTCCTGCTCCTGCTCCCTCCCCCATCCCCTTGGCTTTTCTCCTTCTTCGTGCTGGTGACCATTTATTTATCCCTCTTGACCCCGACCTCAAGTCTCGTATTGATCCTGATACTCCCCGTACGAGATACCAGACATGGACCATGTAAAGTCCACTCCTATCCTGTCACGCCACTCCGCTCCCGGTTCCAAGTTTCACTGATAGACCATATCTGGCCACCACCGCCATGGCCTTGTCCCATGCCATTTGGACACTCCAACTGCTCTGCTCCCGCTCCTCCTCCTCCTCCCTCCTCCTCCTCCTCCCTCCTCCTCCTCCTCCCTCCTCTTTCCCCTGTCTCCAGATCGAAGCACTCATCGGTCCATTGGTTCACATTACTCCACATGCCCCAGAGTGCTTCGAAAAGGCCAACACCAAACACCCAACACTAGGTGGCGTGCTGACATTGGTCATTATCCGTCGTGCAACCCAGATCCAAGCTGGTGTCCCGTTGCCCGTTGTGGGAAATCTTGCTCAACGCTTTCGTCCCCCCACTGACTTTTCTTCTTCCGTTGGTTTGCTTAGCCGCCCCCTAAAATTGCAGTTCGCAAGCAAAAGCCTCTCAGAATGCATCATGGTCGCTCCCCACGCCATCGCTTAGATCCCCGTCACTCCCTCCAGCATCCTCTGTTGTTATCTCCCAGGGATTCCATTCGAATAGATCCTGGATCCGTGTCTGAGCCTCGCTCTGTCCTTCCGGACCGGCGCCCCACTTGCCCAATTTCTTCAGTACCTCCTCAAGATCGATCTTCATCCCAAGTGTGAACCGGTGATTTACACCCAGCATCTTGATCCGGCCCTCCAGGACTTCCCAGTAGAGTTTTTCTGCTTGGGCCAACTCTCCTCGCTGCTCGAGAAAAGTCCCCAATAAGCGTATCGTCTCAAGCCGTCGAGGATGAGTTTGGCCCAACGTGTCTCGTGAGTCGTCAATGACTCGTTCCGCCATCGCTATTGCTTGATCCAGTTTGCCCTGACGCTCCAGACACCGGGCCATGTTCGTCAGAGCGGACAAGCTCTGCAGATGTCTCGGACCCAAGTTTGCACACGAGATGGTGTAGGCGTCCCGCAGAACCTGCTCCGCTTGCTCCAGCCGCCGTTCGACGTTAAGCATGTATCCGTAGCAGTATAATGCAGCTATGCACCTCGGATCCTCGGCGCCGTGAAGCCGCAGATAATGGCCGTAGACTCCATGCAGCGTCGCGCTCGTGATGTCTTCTCGATTGCGCATCTGCAAAGCTGCGACGTATACCATCCAGCGTGTCACAATTGTCAATGGATCGTCGGGTCCTAGTACACGTGTTGCCACGTCGTAAGCCGATTTCATAATCTCTTGAGTAATTTCGCCTTGATCGTGCATATGAAGGATCTGGAGCGTCTGGTTCAAGGCGAGCACCACCTTGGGGTCCTGGACTGGCCTCAACATTCGCTCAAATTCGGTTCTGGCGTCCGCCAAACTCCGTTCTGAGAGCTCCTTGTCACCCCTGCTGAGGTAGATACATGCCGCAAAACAGCGCGCAACCCATCTCCAAGAATGCTGGTGATCACGAGAAGACGCAGGGACAGAGATCGTACTATCCCCGCCAGCCGTACCCTCGTTCAATATGCTGCGTGACTGATGTGGTAGCTCGAGATTTGGCAGACTGACAAAATGCGTTCGACTAGGTTCATAGCAACCCTTACAAATATGTTCGTACTCTCCCGCTTCGGACGAGCTATCGCTCAAGAGTCGCCAAGAAGAAATGTCGTCGTGCCCGCAAAGAGATCTGAGTGACGGTGCATCGATCACCTGCAGAGCCATGTATTCCACTTCTCTACCCAGCTGTTGACATGGACTGCTGTAGGCGGATCCACCGTGGATACTGTGATCACCGTGCCTGTCGAGTTGAGGACCCTGGCCAGATTGATAAGACGGTACTGCTGAGGTGAAGGACCCCTCTAGTGGTGAGGTTGACAGAGGGGGATTGGATGGGGACGGCCATGTGACAGAAGAACCATTCCTACTCGGTGAGAATAGTGGAATATGAGGTTGCTGCATAGTCGGCGTCAGCTGTGTCGTTGACTTTGGGAAAATCAGCGCTGATACCGGCGAAGTTGCCTGCCTTCGAGATTGTGAATCGCGCCGTATTGAGAAAGAGCCCGAGCCTGGTCTCGACAAGGGGTCCTGTCGTGGAGATGACTGTTTGCCAGCACCATAGGACTGCAGGTGAGCCGGTGAAGATGTCGATTCATCTCCGTCAATTCCTGTCTTTGAAATGTTGGATCCGCCGGGTGGTGGAGTGTAGGCGCGCACGTGGGCGTATTGAGCCTGATCGTCATCGGCACCACTATCGAGGTTGACATTCTTGAGCGCAGTAGCGAGAAAGGCATCCTCAGACATCTTCCGGCCCTTGATGTACTTGTGCAAATCCTTTACAGACCTTTTGTGGCCATGTATCATGAAAGCTGTTCTTCGCTTACCGAGTTTCTGTCGGGCGTGGTGTAACACTGCACATATTTGATAGTCCTTGTCGGAGTAGTTTTTGCTGAACCCCCACTGTGCAAGACGAGCTTTATACATGCGCTCTCTGGCGACCTGTATCAGTGATACTCCTTCAGACTTTGAGGGGAGATCAGGGCTGTGGAGGGAATAGGTGCAGGCCCGGGAACTTGCATGGTACTTACGTCGCGCGAAATCCATGTCGTTGCTCCAAGATCCTCCTGACATCTCTCAAGGGCTTCTTTTCGTACAGAACCCGGATTTCCTCCTTCACCGCTTGCCACTGATTAGGAGCGGGGCCTTCGCGCGCTTCGAGTTGAGTAGTGGTGGTAGCGGTGGCCGGAGCTGGAGTCTGAGCAACATTGTCGTTGACGGTCCATCCATGAGCGGTCCCCAGGCTCACTGCCATTGACTCGAATCTATTGCGCTCTTCTCAACGATCATCCCTTCCTAAGTGAGGTTGGAATTAGACTCCCGAGAATCGTTTGGTCTTTGAAGCAACGCACACCGACAGGATTCACGCCTTGTCCGAATGGGTGGACACAGTATGGCAGTGGAGAGATTGTTTGCCCTGCAAATGCGGCCCGTCACGAGGGAGAAAACCCTTCGGTTGAAGAGGGGTGTGGGATGTGGTGTGGCCTGTACTTAGTCGTCGGTGGCTCGTCTGAGGTTGTGTCGTGGCCTTCGTGAGACATGCATCTCTCGACGCTACGGGCCCGGTTTATTAGCTTGCTGCATATGCAAAGTCCCTTATGAGCCAATCATACAGGGGTGTATAGGCGGTGGCGTGGATTGTCAAACGGCTATGCCAGGCTGTAAGATTGCGGGCATCAAAGGTGCCCCAACATCCCTCCTTTAGGGCGAAGCCTTTGCTGAGGAGAAAGTACAGTGTGGACGACGGCGGCGATCCTTTGACGCAATTCCCAGCGGCGGCTTTGAGGGACCAGGCCTGGTTATATATCTACCGCACGTCATTGTGCCCAGGGATCCAAACGCATATCAATCTGTGTTTTGGTTACCACTGTCAATCTCGATCCCGCCCGAGACGGATCGCTGGATAAAAATGAATAGGGAGAGGTCGACTAATGCAGGGAGAAGTTCTCATGGGCGGAGACGGCGGAGGACGGTTGCCCCGTTTCAGAGCAAGCTTGAACTTGTTGCAACGGATATGTCAGAATGTGGAGGGGTGTTGGTAGTGCTTGATGCCGTTGTCAACTATCGATAATGGGAACGACGAGCTCCTGACACAACGGTCCGTGCAGGTGAGGCACTGGAGGGAAGTTTGACAGTGAGACTGGCCCATTCGACAGCATTCAAGGTCAATGCAGGGTGACTCGAGCAAGAAACAGAATGGATGGTCGCAGGTACGAAGTAAGGTACCGTGTATGAAACAACTGATGCGGGAACGTCGCCATCGTGGCTTGATTATTGTATGAGCACAGATCTATCTGCACCTTGCCGCCAACGGAAGGCTCCTCGATGGCTTCTTTCGTACCACAGACATCATGATGCTGCAAAGTGCTGTTAACCCGGTGAAACAAAGTCAAAGTCCTAAGGGCCGAGAACAGGTGAGTGAGTATCAATTTGTTTCATCAGCCGAAATACAATCTTGCATCCCCCCTAGAAGCTATGGGAAATCTCACGATCTATGTGCTGGGATCAAGTGTACCATTGCCGGGAGGAATGAACCAACAGCAACTACCACAATGCCTGTCGCCGTGTCCCCAGATATATCACTTCAGTCGATTCATCATGTCGGATGCCAAAAATCAAGGGAGCTACTCCTGGGATGATGCACACCCAACCTACAATATAGGTACACACACCACATAACATCAAAACACAAATACTCCTCTACGATGGCTGAGAGGTATGGGACCGACCAAGCCGGCCAGAATGAAACTTCAGGTAACTCGGTATCCAAGTCGGGTGCTTTGATTGAGTCGTACAGCTGTTCGAGTCGACCTGCAGACAACCGACCTTCGACCTTACGATGAATGAAGATGGTGTAATCACACCGGCCGAGGGCAAATTTCTGTGGCCATCACGGAGGCCCCATCCGATCCTCGCCTTGCCACTTCGCTTGCAGTCATAAAGTCCTGACGCGGTCTTCTCGAGGTCGGCTATCGATGACCTGCTCTTCGAAATGTCTCGTCGTAAGGTGCCTGCCTACGGTTTTGAGGATTATATGAACGAGCTGAATCCTCCCCGGGTATTACTGAACCCTGACGGGATGCAGGAACGTCGCGGGCTTGATTCCCTCTTGGATTTTCCTCTCTGTCGAACGTGTCGGGGTCGGGCTGACCTGGAGTCTGGGGACGAGGTGGCCCTCTTGGAGCAGCCTGGTCGTAAGAAGGTGGGGGTAGATCAGAGTATGGTTTTTGTGACCCTGCATAACCACCCTGATATTGACTTGTAGAGTATGAAGCGGGATTTGCAGGTATGTTGGCGCTGTAAGAAGTGGCATTTACGGTATTGTAGATGGTATAGTTGCTCGAAGCGTATTCTGGCCTCTGAGGAGGCTTGTAGTATGCTGCTGGATTGGGCGCCTGCGAGCCTTGGTACTGATATTGCCCTGGGGCATTGCCCATTGTGGGACTGGCCATCTTATCTCGCCGGTATGGCTCTGGCTCTGCCGTTGACTCTCGCCGCTGCGCTGGTCGAGCCGTGCCTCCTTTCGACGCGCCTTGATGGGCACGCCGCCGAGCTGTATCTGAGTCCGCATATCGATAAGGGTCCTTCCGGAACTTTTCTAGTATCCGTCAACATGACAATCCGCACCCATGACGCATCAATCATACTGCTTTGTGTCTCTAGATCCCAATCTTTCGAATCGTTGATGATATCGCGAAGGCTAACCTGAAGGAACGGATAAGCTCTAGGCCCGGCAGACGAAGTCTTCCACAGATGCGCTTACAGCATTGAGGGCTTTCTTTGCGAGTATGCTGAACCCGGTTCGCGACTTGTCCTGAGAGCTGTTAGTATGACTCCAGCAGTCGCGTGTTGGGCTTCTTACCATCGGATGGTGACCTGTAGTGATTCTCGCAGTGCGGTCGACATACTGGGTGATGTAGTCAACCAGCACGGCTGCATTGATGTTCTCTCCCGGGACAAAGAAATGGATCGCCTGTAGATCATCGTCAATGTCAGAATCTGAGTCTCCGTCCCGTTTCTGCTTCTTGCTGGAGGACTGTTTGGACATGGTGTTGAAATAGGACCACGATGTGCGGGTTGTCGGTAGCGAGTGCAGGTAAGGCTATCGATGGCAGAGGACCAGCTTGCCACGAGCCGCGGTCACAACACAGCCTGGCTAGTGATCTGGGAGAGGACGCGGCACAAGGCCGAATGAGCATGCTTGGAAAAGACACGCCGGGACCTAGATTCGATGAACCAGAGAGCAGACGGGCCGGGAGAACAGACAGCAGTGAGCACCACCCAAGGAAGATACCAATTGCGGCAGTTTCTTCAATATTGCTGCCGAGACCAATGCATCGTAGTCCAGCGTTCGAGAGCACACGGACATGTGGTCGAGAGATGACTTGTCGGGCCCGTTAAGTAAGGCGTGAATGAGCCCGCTGTGCATTAGTGAGTGGGAAGAAAACGACACGAAATGGGGCTGATGCACGTCAAGAGCCTGGATGCCGAATGAACACGACAGATGGGCGAACACCTGATTGCGAACGCAACGGATGGTCTGGACTACCCCGCCATGGTGTATTCCTCGCGTGCTGGCACAAGAACTGGCATCATGCCGTCCGGCCATGGAAAGAAACGGGAGGGCGGTTGAGACTCAGGGCAAGCGATCAACTGCTGCCGACTCGAGGGGGCTCAAAGCTGCCCGTTGTACAACCGGTCTGGCTGCAGAGGCTGAGAAGGGCGCCGGCGAAAGGTTAGCGGCAAACCTAGGCAGGCGTGCAGACGATTGCTGGATATAACGATCGAGGTGGATGTGAGAAGTGGATGATTGAGAGGAGGACGGCTTCGGATTCGCAGGGTGGTTCAGTCGTGGTTGGTAGAGGGACCAACGAGACAAAGGGCGAGGACGAGGAAGAGGCAGAGGAGGAACTCGGGCCTTGGATTCCGACCGAGAGACGCGCCAATTGTCCACGTTGCAATGGCTTGACCCCTGGAACATTGCATCGCACCACTGCCGCCAGCCCCGCCAGCATCATCGCTCACCTCTTTGTGCTCCCAGGCATGCTTTGTGTTCATTGACGATCGATACACAAGGAGAGCGAAGCTCTTCTTAAGTTGGCGGAACAGGGGATAGCCCAGGCGGGTGTGCGCTTCGCTAGGGGTTAACTTTGCCAAGAGCAATCTGCCCCTACATTCGTACCAAGGTACCTACCCCTAGGAACGGAGTACACTAGGTACAAATACTCTACTGCCGCACCAGCCTAGGCCCATTACCTCGCCCGTACAGCGGTCTCCAGCCTCTAACCCGGTGCCTGTAGGGAGAACCATCAGGGGCCTTGAGCCGGGACGGTTGAAATGCTGCAAAATCCTTGTCCAGTACTTAATTCGTGGCACACAGCTGTCTGTCTGGCTCATGCCCTGCACTCCGTAGAAACACCAATCCACAATCCGTTGTATCTACCACATAAGGTCTGACTGACCGAAGAGACACTTTGACGTCGACAGCCGTCGAAACAAGGTTGTCGTCTCCCAGCGGCCCGTACAGACACTAGAAGGAAGCTTCCGACGTCAAAACACCGCCAAATGGATCAATCTCGTTCACCCTCCATGAACCCCTGTGGCTGATGTGGCTGTTGGTTCTTGGGTACTCCGTATGAGGCTCACTACTTGAGCGTGATGGGACCTTAGGAAGCGTCTTTCGATCCGCCATTCAGGTACCGCGGCATGAAATCCAATGATGTCCAGCTGAAGCAGACTCTGCAATCTTACTCTCAAAGTTCCATCAATTCAGTTTTGCAAAGCCCCACCGGAGAAATCGCACATAGAGAATGGCGAAAGAGCAAAACCCCGGCATGGTCAATTGTTCTACTGGCTGTCGAGCTATGGAAACAGTGGGCTTCAAAAGCAGGCAACCCTCCTTACACTGCCCCTTAGTATTCCAATCCGATTCAGAAAATACAGGCTTGCTCTCGAGAGAAGCCTTCCATGTAGACGAGAACCGGGGAAGCTCATAGCGGCGTATGAAGGAGTCGAATTGAGCTGCACGTCAAGAAATGCTGTTTCTTTCATGTTTTCGATAGGAACCCGGATCCGGGTCCCTCCTGTGTGATTGAATTCAACGACGCTAACGCATTTACCACGATCCCGTCACTGGGAGGTCACAACTTATCCTGAGCCAGCGTGAGAGAAGTACAGGGGGCACCTGGTAAGCATGCAAAAGTTTGTGGTGGGAAGCAGTTGCTTGTTTAGCTGGCAGTTGAAAATGCTTAGGCGCTCGATCCTAGCATCTGCAGAGACAATTAAGCCCGGAGTAGGGTCGCACATCAGAACGGTATGACTCAGAGGAGGTGGTAGAGCACAGAACCAGACATTTCGAGGACGGAACAAAAATCCAGGAGCTCGAAACGTCCGCAAAAGCCGCCAGGCTAGGCAATTCAGCGGTCGATTCTGAGGACCAAAGGCTGAAGTAGTCAGGGCATGGCCTAAGATGGCTTCAGTAAATGTCTGGCCAGCTGATTGACCAGAGTGAAAGCAATGAGGCTAGAGGATGGGCGGTATCAAACAAGTCGAGCTGGGTGCGATGTAACATTCGGTTGGGTAACCGCTTGAGATAGAAGTAGGAGCCAGGAGAACGAATCTTGCTGATAGAGATCGATTGTCAGCCAATGGACACTGGGAATATAATGCATCAACATTGATTAAGCGATTGTATCGCGATCTTGTCGCGATCTGAGGAGGAGGATGGATTAAAAGCTACACATTAAAAGCTGAGTCAGAAGGGAAAATCGCAGCGTGTACGGATCAACATTTATCCTGCCGAGGCTTTAAGAAATTCTACCATTTCCCACGTTTTGGAGGACTCGTAGAGAAATGTCTAGAGGAACCTCAATACATCGCCCCAACCACGTCGCTCCACTCTTATTCGGTCAGATCTGGTGCCGAGCTTCATGCATGCACGCGTTGTACTTACTGATCAGATCAGGAAGGTCCTGATTGATAAGGTGGGCATCTCCTTTCCAAGAGTCTCTTAACCCGGTGACGTCGAAGCCTATGATATAGTTCCTATACCCGAGTCGAGACATCGAGGTCGATCATGCAGGTACATAGCATCTGCAAGGGCCACTGACACGAGGTGCCTTGAGATTACTTTGGCCATTAGTCTGAGGGTGTTCAATAAGAATAAGATGCGCGCCATCAATGCTGCACAGCTGCTCGGCATCATTGCATGCACAGTCCCCTTGACGAAGTCACAGTCTCTCGGATTCGATGTCCGCGAAGCTACCATCTCATCTCTACACGCTTCGTTGTTCTCTGGCGTCACAACGTGCCGCGACATCGTGAGTTCCTTCATCGCTAGGATTGAGCGCTTCGATCCCGACATCAACGCCATCATAGCACTGAACCCAGACGCGCTGTCGATTGCTGACTCGCTCGACACGGCCTTGTCCAGCGGGAACGCCACGGGGTCACTCTTCTGTATTCCCATCCTGCTCAAGGACAACTACGACGCCACCCCCATGCCATCAACGGGGGGTTGTCTCGCTCTCAACTCGTCTCTGCCGGCCCATGATGCCCCGACCGTATCGGCCCTTCGCAATGCAGGCGCAGTCATCCTCGGTAAAGCGAACCTCCACGAGCTCGCACTAGAGGGTCTCTCGGTATCCAGTCTCGGCGGTCAGACTTTGAACCCCTACGACTTCAGCCGCACCCCAGGCGGCAGTTCCGGGGGCACAGGCGCGGCCGTCGCAGCGTCGTTTGCAGTCTTCGGCACGGGCACCGACACAGTCAACTCTCTGCGGTCCCCGGCGAGCGCAAACTCCCTCTTCTCCTTCCGTCCGACGAGAGGTCTGATCTCGCGCGCCGGCGTCATCCCCATCTCCTACACCCAAGACACGGTCGGCGCGATAGGTCGATGCTTACACGACATCGCCACCGCCCTGACCGTCATGTCCAGCGTCGGGTACGATGCACGCGACAACGTAACGTCGGCGGCGCCCCCCTCGATCGTCGGGACAGACTACACGACGTTCCTCTCCCCCCTCAACAACCTCACGGGCTTGCGCATCGGCGTGCTCGAAGGCTTCATCAACCGCACCGCCACCAACGAGACCACGCCCGTCACCTCGGCCGTGTCCACTGTGCTCGCCCTCTTGCAGTCCCAGGGCGCGACCGTCGTCAACATCACCGAACCCATCTACAACGCCTCGGCCATCTCGTCCGCAATGGACGTGCAACCGTTCGAGTACCGCGAGGGCCTGACGTCCTACCTCTCCTCGCCGGACCTGAAGGGCGCGCACCCGTCGAGCATGGCCGATCTGTACACCAGGGGCAACGGCACCTCGACCGGCACGGCGCCCGACTTCCTCGTCATCCCCAGCGAGTACGCGTACCTCGAGTCGAGCCTGCGCTCGTCGACCGGGAACGCGAGCTACCTCGCGCGACAAGCGCTGATCGCCAACCTGACGCGCACTTTGCACTCGACGTTCCTGTCGCACGGCCTCGACGCCATCGTCTACCCGGAGCAGAAGAACCTCGTGGTGCCCGTCGGCTCCGCGTCGCAGTCGGGCCGCAACGGCATCCTGGCCGCCGTCACGGGGAGTCCCGTGATCACGATCCCCGTCGGCTTCTCGCCCGCCACGGCGTCCGCGCCCATCGGCATCCCCATCGGCATGGAACTCCTGGGCCTGCCCTTCACCGAGGGCCCGTTGCTGAAGCTGGCAAAGGGCATAGACGACCGCCTGCACGCGCGCAGGATGCCCGTGACCAACGGCCTGAACGAGACAATCGACGTCACGACCGCCGCGTACACGAGCGTTCCCAAAGTGAGACCTCTCCACAACATTCCGAGTCAGTATCCGCTCGGCGTTTACTGATTGCACGAACCACAAGAGAAGGGGGAGAGGGGGGGGAACATTGGACCTCGAAAAAGAAAAAGAAAACTATATGTATATATGAGTGCTCTCTTCCCTGACCTACCTACCTACCTACCTACCTAATCTTCTACCCTGACCTAACCACGATACAAAAGACCACACTGCACCTGAAAATGCTTAATGGCTCGAAGACGAATCTAGCTTATCTGAGTCACCTCTATCAGTCCTAAGCTATCCAACAGACGGGGCAAATAGAGATCAAACCAAAAGACACGTATGATATTTGATTTATCGCGAAAAAAAAACAAAAGCTTCATAAAATCCATCATCAGGTCATAAAATTGTTCGTCCCGTGTGTATCCTTTGAGAACTCAAAGTCAAGCGTAAGCACATTGGATATCGTCGCCATTCCCAATCCTTCCCAGGTCCTTCGTCTCGTCTTCGACAGCTGGCATAATGTGGCCACTGAACCAAGTCCACGTTCGTCCACTGGAGACCCCCTTTCCCGCGCGATAACCTCACTCGGAAGCAGAGCAGAGACATTCTCAGATTCCTTGTTCTTTCTGAGCCCCTCCTCTAGCAAATTCTGCTTCTTGACATACTCCAACACAGTCTGTTCCTCAGTCTGCTGCCCGGTCAAATCATGCCGTCGCGCCTTCTCATCTTCTTCAGATACAAAGACGGGAGTCTTCAGCTCTTCCTCGTCAGTCCTCCAAGGGTTCAGCTGAATCATTCTACGCAGCGACTTCTCTGGCACTTCCCGCCTCGAGTAAGCTCGCCTCCCTCGCTGCAAGATCTTTCCTCGTCTGCTCGTTTTCACTATGGAGTCTCTTGCTTTCTTCGATGGCTCGTTTGAAGTCCTCATCATAGTCTGTGTCGACCTCAGAATCACTGTAATCCAGATGATCGCCAGAGGAGTGCTGCGAGTCCTCATGCGCCAAGTGGGCCGCTCTGTACTCTTCCAGACTTTGCGTCAACGCCTGTTCGAGTTCACGATCGTGATGGTCAGCCTCCTTGTCTTCTTGTACCTCATCCTTGACGGATACAGTGCCACTCTTTTGAGACGAGCGTTCTGCATGCGCTCGCTTAAACTCTTGGAGACTCGCTAGCACTGCCGTCTTGAGAGCTTTGTCCTTTTTAGCACTGCCATCAGATTGTGCAGTGTGTAGTTCACGCAGACTAGCCCGTAGCGCTCTCTCAATGACTGCATCCTCCTCTGAATTGCCTTTACTGGTTTCCGTGATTGCTCTTTGGATAGCTTCCTCATACTCTGCAATAACTCCGACATCCTCCCGACTCTTCACATGACCAAGGCTGGAACTGATGCTTGACAACGACCGAGTATGGTGAAGATGGTCGCTACTGTCGTGATCGAAGGGGCAAAATTTGCAGCGACTCTTGATTTTGCCACTGCGCTTTATCTCCTCCTTCTTGATTGCCTTCTCACGACGCTCAAGCTCTTTCTGTTCCTTTTTAAGTTGCTGTCGCCTCACGTCGAGAGCTTTGCGCTCATCCCAGCTGAGATGTCTGGTGTTCTTGAATCCGTGAATTAATTCGATGGAATCGCTGTGGGTCTTGCTAAGGATGTTTTGTTCGATAGTCTCCTTGCGTTCCTCCCCATACAATCGCCCAGCTTTACGAGTTTCAAGCTTACTGTCCTTCCAAGCTTGCACAATTGACGCCCTCTCCTCCGGCGTGCTATTCTTCCATTCATCGAATCCTTGAGCTGTTCGGGCGGCAATGATATAGTTGTGCACGGAACTGCCGAAGTGCTTTGAGACCTCAGCATATATGCCTTTTGCGGTATATCCAGGAAGGCCCCATATGCCGGCACCAGGTTTTAGGACCAGGCCTCCAAGGCCCTTCGCTGCTCCTTTGAAGAAGCCCACGGCGCCCTCCTTTTTAGCACCGGCTAGAGGTTGGGTCACCAGGCCAGTAATACCATCGTAGAAGCCGTAACTGAATTCCTTGCCAGCCGCTTTCAGGCCAGAATGTAGATCCACAATTTTCTCGCTATTCCTGACCGTCTCATCACCGTATAGCTTTGGGGCGTTGTGGAAACCTTTTGCAAGCGACAATGTGAATTCCATGGGTGATTTTACACCGGCGGACACAATCTTCCCAACAGCTCTTGCTCCAGTCACAGCAGTGTCTAGTGTTATCTGCCCTACTTCTTCACATGCTGGTGATTGCGCACGATGTCCTGGTTTCGGCGAACCAGAATTGGACCGAGAGTGGTGCCCGTCACGGGACCAACGACGACCATGGGATGAGCCTCTTGTGCTGCCATTTGGAGTATATACAGTCGACATGGCTGACGGTCGTGATGAGGGAGTGGCTTGTTCCTGTCCAACCTGGGTGGTGGCACTTGACGCAACGCTAGAACGCGGGCCTTCCGACGCGGCATCAGCTGTGGTTGATACATCTCCAGCGGATGCGCGCTCTGAAGAGGCAGGAGGAGTGGACGATCCAGTGGGCGAATGTCTTCGCTCATGTAGATCCTTGAGTTCAGTGCTGGCTGTCTTTAGCGACTTCAATATTTCCACAGGGAAATCGGCGACGCCCATAGATAGATTGCCAATTGTTCCCATGAGAGCTGCAGCACCACCAGAGATGGGCTCCCATGGACCATCCTCTGTTTCGTACTCTCGAGGTCGGTATAACTTGAGGTCCGAGAAGTCAAGTAGACCTTCGCTGCCGAGAACAATTGCTGCGAGAGGCGAAAGGCGAATGTCCGTTCGTTTAACTCGCCAGACAGCGGTCCGAGTCGGAGCTAGCGAGCATCGCAAGTCAGACAAGTGTAATTGTTTGTGAAAAGACTCCGCGCCGGCCTCTGTGCCCTTTTCCGATTTGATTTTCATGCTCAGCTCTTTCGCTCGATTTAAAGACTCGGGCTTTAAAGCTTCCATGATTGACTCTGCAAGCTTGTCGGCTGTCAGTACCTTGTATGCAACAGGCTTAGGTCCTGCTCCAGCACGATAAGTCATTGAACCCCAGAATGGCTGATCACCGAAGAAAGGCACCACGACAGTCGGTCGACCGGCAAGAATTCCCGCGGCTGTTGTTCCAGCACCGCCGTGGTGAACCACACATGAAACGTACTGGAAAAGCCAATCATGAGGACAGTTGCCTAGCATGAATACCCCTTCTGGAATCCCTAATTGATCGGCGCCGAGCCCACCCCAGCCCTTGGACACAAGAGCCCGTTGACCCGTTTTCTTGATTGCTTCGAAGATCATCTTAGTCATGGCGTTGGGGTCATCAACGACAATTGAACCAAAACCGATATAGACAGGTGGGGGTCCGGCAGCCAGGAAGTTTGCGAGTTCCTCCGACGGTGTGAAGTTGGTGGAAAGATTAAGGAAATAGAAGCCGGAGATATCAATGTAACTTCCCCAATCGGTAGGCTTTGGTATCAGAGCAGGGGACCAGCAGTATGTCCAGGGAATTCGTAACCTGCTAAGCATGCCCGGCGCCCACATGATGCTTATAGGCTCCAGTCCGAGACTCCTCTCTCGGAACCGGTTGATTACATCTCCCAAGCCTTGCCACGTCAACATATCCACCAAAGCATATGTAACAAAGTTGGCCATATTGGCGTCGGTGTTCGAGGAGACAATATTCGCAAGTGGATGCGGAAAGGACTGCGTTGGCGACCAAGGCATGGTGAACATCATGTGGAGGGGAATGCCCAGCTTCTCGGCAATATGCACATGAGCAAAACTTGGAGGATTCGCGATGATGGCATCTGCAACGAAAGGTTTCAAGCTCGGATCTGCCCCGAAGCTGATGGCGCTGTCGAAGGATTGAGTGTCATCTGCCACTTGCACCCCCATTCCATCACCGGCTTCAATTGTAGACCTCCAACACCCAGTGATGATCTCGTAAATACCTTTTCTTCGCTTGCCTACATCGCCGGCCTTGAGAGAGTCGATTCCTGGCATTAGCCCTGGATTTTTGACCATGAAAGCCATGAGTTCTGCGGGATCCCCACCGATACTGAAGAACTCCAGGCCGTTTTCAGTCACAAACTCTTTGAACGTGGGATGCGTGGCTATCCTGACTCGATGGTTGTACTTCTTCTTCAGCACCTGACCCAAGGCGACAAAGGGTTGGACATCTCCTCTGCTACCCACGATCTGGATCACAATGTTCATAGGGGGCGGAGGCAGTCCATCGTCTGTCTCCCCGAGGCCCTCTGGGATTTGAGGCTCAGCAGTCGCCTTCTGCTTCTGGATGTCCAACTGGTGTCGTAGGGCGGGTATGAGGAGGTTCGTGAGCTTCTTGCTGCGCTGGTTGATGTTGATGTTGATTCTGCCATTACTGCTGACTTGAGCGGTCGTGTCCAGCCCATTCTGACTGATGTCCAACTGCCCATACTGGGCGGCATTGTAGGCTGGCGCGGGGACGTCGTCTAGGCGTGGAGAGGAGCGGCCATGATGTCGAACATGGCTCTCTGGCGAGGGCGCGGTGGTGTTTGTATTTCCCGAATCGCCTGCCTCCTCCTGATCTGCTTCTGCCACTGCGGTGGCTTCCTCAATGAGGACTTGGGGGATCTGAGCCTCGTCTTGCGGTTGACCAGGCGAGGGTTCTGACGTCGACATGGTGGTCCTTGTTCAGAGCGAGGAGGTTTCAACGCGGACGCGTAGAGGGGCCGTTTGTGTCCAACTAGACTGACTGTAAATCCTCAGCCTAGACTATATATATGCAGACGTAACTGGCTCAGGCCACGGGCATCTTCAAACGTAGGGAGACAGGCAGCAGAATATGAATAACCGGGTTCTAAGACGAAGGTCAGGACAGGACAGGACGGGACAGGACGCGTTCGTCAATCGGGGCACACAAACAAAAACAGGGTTGTACCAGCGCTTAAGGCAATATATCGGATCGTCATGATCGTCAACAGGCGTTCGCACTGAGGCTGGAGGATTCAAGGCAGAGCGGCCGTTTTCGAAGGTTCAATAGCGCATGCCATTTCCGACTAGCATCGTTGTCCACTCAGCAATGATGCATTGCCATGAGCCACAAGCACGATATGAGCACATCGCTGATTAAGCACAATAGACCCCGCTTACGCCATCTTTTCCTCCATCCGGATAAAGCCCAAGACGCACCACCCGTTTGCTAACCGCAAATAGCAGTACAACCACAACACAAATCATGGCGGAACCAGTAATCACTGCTATGTGAAGAGAGTCCAAGGACGAGAGCATAGGATATAGTACAGAACCTCGAATAGAAACATCAAAAAGACAAGAAACAGCTAACCTGTGACGGTAGGTGTAATAGTTAAGGGGAGGCTCGAGGCGCGGAAAGACAATTCACCCAAAGTTGCACAAAATGCCATACGTACAGTACGTGTGTACGGATATCTTATGTACCTATTTGAAAGCATGTGAAACTTTCTTATGTCTTGTATATGTACCGAGTACGGAGTACAGTTGTTCAAAACTTATGCCAAGCCCAGAACATACTGTAACAACCGGGCTGCGGGGGGAGACCCAGGTCCGTAAAATTTCGGTGATAGTGCCTATTCTTTAGGCGGGTTATTAGGCCCTGCTTCCCTATAAGGGCAGTAAACCTATTCTCAATTAGGGAGGTTATCCGAACTGTGGCGTTTTGGCCTTATCCCTAGGGGCCCGAACCTTTCATCTAGGTTTGCTTTGTGCGCCGCGACATAACAGCGATTACAACCGTCGAGGGGAAGAATACCACATACTTACAACGAAAGATGGGATGTAAATGCTCTCAGTTGACGATCGACCCATCCAGGGACTTTGGATCGAGCGACTCTCATAATAGCCCCCAGCCGGTCTCGCTTCCCAACCCCACACAGTTGCTGAGCTGAGATCTGAAGTAATCCGCTCATGTACGTTGTTTCCAGCTTCGAGCCACACTTTCCATGGACTCGAACGTGATTTCTCCCTCGTCCGCTTCTTTCATTCGCACCACCAGCTTCGAAATGAACCGGTCAATCATGCCGACAATGTGTGCGCGTCCAGCTGACTCCGGATGCCAGATCATGCTGGCAGAAATTCGATTAGTAACCAACATCTCACGGGGCTCGACATCACTTACGGATAGACAGACCCATATCCTTTGCCAGGGCCTTCGTCCAACCAACTTTCGTTCTCCCATATCCAGTTGAATCGATCAAGCCACATCTTTTCGACAACGTCGACGCTAACGTAGCCTTGCGTGTTGACTGAATACGGGTAGAACCCAAGCTATACGAGTCAGTCAGCAAGGGCATAACTTCGGATTCATCGTTCTTACCGGGGTCATATCTTCGGTATACCAGCTTCCCGGGATTTCAACCAGCGCATTTTCTGCTTCTGCCGAGCCTGCTTCAGGCTGTTGTGGAATAGGCGTTGGTACCATCCAGCTTTTGGCATCTTTGCTGTAATCAGGCACGTGGGGAGGCTCCTCGGGGAACGGTTTGGGGAGGAAGTAAGGAAGTGAATCGTGCGCATTCATGCTGCTGTCGTATAGAAAGTCGTGGTCCTGGAGAAGGCGTACCGTCGTTTCGCGAATCTGGTACAGAGGGGCGCGGTATCCAACCGGTCGCTTTCCACCCTTCAGTTTCGTGATGATGTCGATGCACTTTTCGAGAACATCCTTTTCTTGTTCAACGGTCATAGCATAGGCGCCTTCGTGGCTATATCCGTGCAATCCAAGTTCCGCACCACTCTGCACTATCTCCTGTGCCTGGGTTGGGAATGTCTCCAGGCTGTGGCCGGGTACGAACCAGGTGAGCTTGTCAGAGATACCGTGTTTCTTGAACAAGTTCAGCAGTCTACCAACACCGACATTGGCACTGAAAACACCCGCCGAATAGTCGGCAAGCGTATTGTTGGGATCATGACCAGTGCCCAGGTAGCCCGATATAGCGTCGAAGTCAACCGACAGGCAGATTCGCAAGCGCCGCTGTCTCTTTGGCGGACTCAAGGACCTGGGGATCACCGTCGTCTGGATCGCGCTTCCGGTACTCCCAGACTTGGACCCTGGCCCAAAGACCTGCTCCTCCCGCCAAATGAGCCTCCCTTCCATGCCGCCATCTACGGAGACACATTCTCCAGATATATTACCAGCGGCACGATGGCTAGCCAAGAATGCCATTGCTCGCGCCACGTCCTCGGGCTCTGAGATCTTCTTGAGAGCAACCGTTGCCTGGCATTCAGACCACATCTCCCTGGGATCGTCAAGGCGATCTCCAATCAGCGAAGTATTGACCCAGCCAGGCGCTACAGCGTTGATGCGAGCCTTTGAGTTCAACCGGACAATCTCGTTTTTGACTGTTCGGACAAGACCATATTGCAGACCTGCTTTGCCCGATGCATATCTGAAAAGTGTCAGCCACTCCTAATGCTGGTCCTGTCTTGACCTGGGACAATATACTCCGAGTGTCCTTCTTGGCCAAACTTGCCGGTCTCCGAGCCTGTAATGACAATAGCTACATTGTCGAGCTCGCCACCTTGGGTTTCTTGAGCTTGTTTTACAGAGAGTAAGAAGTGCTTGACAGTCAAGAATGTTCCTCTGACATTGTTGGTGTTAACCTTTGCTGCGTGAGTTTCATGATGGATAGCATCCCCGGCTATTTGCCTCTCACCTTATCCCATAACGCGACATCGACCTCCCAGATCGGTGGATGAGCACTTTCGTCCGTGATCCCTGCGTTGGCCACGAGAATGTTGACCGGGCCGAACCTGTCGACTGCAGACCGAAAAGAGGCCGCAATAGAATCTTCAACGGTCAGGTCGCCCTGCACCGCGTTGAATCTCGATTGCTCTTCCGGGGTTGAACATAGCTTCGAGCTCTCGATGACCCTCCTATCGAACCCTGTCACACGACATCCCAAGGCTGTAAAGCGTTAGAGACGATGTTTGCATCTCATAGCATCAGTACTACAGGTCTCACGCACCAAGGAACTCTTTGACCGCGGCACCACCAATCCCACCACCTGCGCCCGTCACGAACACGTGAAGCCCCTCGAGGCCCAGAAAGGAACCTTTCGCTTCAGACATTGCCACTGCTGATGATCACGGCGTCTACTCCAAGGCGTCTACTCCAAGGCGTCTACTCCAGTGCCAGTGTTATGGCCTCTTGAAGGATTCAAGTCTACGACATCTCGTATTCGCCGGACATATCCGCCAAGGACAATTTGTGGTGCTTCTTGTTCACAAGCCAGAGTGGGCCATAAGCTCCGAGGCTGATCTCATTGCGGTTACTCTTTTGGGCGGGAATCCCAGGCTCTGGGGATCGCTCAGCAACAATCATTCGGCTCAATGTTGATCTCAAGGTAAGCGCCAAAGCCATGTGGTATGATCTGGGCTAATAAAAACCCGATCGCTACTAGGGAGCGAGCTCTAGGTACATAGCTCGAAGGAGATGGGCGCACATGGGCACGCCTTGGGTACTACATTTGAATGCGAGCCCTGTCATCTGCCTACCTGGTTCGAGTTAGCCGAAGGAATTCTCAAAAGTTAATCCCTGAAATGTAGGGCATTTCTGACTTGTCGATTGTGGCTCTGTTTCCTTATCAACATCGATTTGGTGTTTCGGTTGCAAATCTGCCAATCACTGAGAGACTCTTCTCGGAGATTGGCCTTTAGGGTCTTCTTGCAATGAACGCAGGATCTCGGCGGCTGTTATATCTACCAAGCAGCCGCATGTGTTTTCCGCAGGGTGGTCGATGATCATGGTCCATTGGAAGAGACGTTATCAGTAGCGCATATCTGTACAATATCACTGTCAGGTACAGTGCCTCAGAGTATTGTTTTGACTATATATTACACCTGCGACGTCCGCTTGCCCCTATACCTCAAATTTGCCTACCGCTCCTGGTTATCGTCGCATCTTCATATCAGTACCGCCATGGAAATAACAGAGAAACGTTCCAGCACTGCACCGGAGGACGCAATCGTCCCAACGGCTGATGGTGAAGTCTCGGATCTGATCAATGCATCCGGCCACATTCAAGAACTCGACCGCAACTTCAACCTGCTTTCTGCAGCCGGTGTTGGGTTAGTGGTTGGTAATGTCTGGCCCGCCGTGGGAGGTTCGATCCTGGTAGCCATCTTCAATGGAGGTCCTCCCGGTGTTATCTATGAATTCATCGTTGTCTCAATCTTCTACTGGATTGTTGCGGCTTCGATAGCTGAACTGGCGTCGGCCATCCCTTCCAGCGGAGGCATCTATCATTGGGCGTCGGTGACACCAGGTAAGAAATCGGGTCGTGTAATCGGGTGAGACATTCTTTCTTCTCCTTGGGACCAACGAGCCATGGCTAATAGTACCATAGGTTTTACGCTGGGTACTGGAACTGGCTAGCTTGGGTGTTTGGATGTGCCTCCATGAGCTTCATTTTCGGTTGGTGCCCTCGAAAGTTTTTAGGTGGCAGCGTCTAACGCTGTCTAGCAAACACGATCGTCCAGATGTATGGCGTCACTCACAGTGACTTTGAGGCCAAACAGTGGCACGTCTTCGTTACATATCTCGTAGGTTCCCGGCCTTGGTGGTTCTTGGACACTCCTTGGAAATTTGCGGATATGCTGACGCTCTGTTAAGATCGCGACTTGGCTCGCATGCGCATGTGTCTGTTTGTTCAACAGTGCAATGCCACATCTGAACACTGTGGGAATAGTCCTCATTCTCGCCGGATTTTTCATTACGATTGTCGTAGTGTAAGTGCTGAATTCCTCGAGGCCACCCCCTACGCTAATTGTCATAGTGCGGCCATGCCTGGCTCAGGTGGACGCCCACCACATGCGACCTCAAGTTTCGTGTGGACGGAATGGACTGCTGATATTGGATACCCAAATGGGTGAGTTCATGTCGAGAAATTTTCAAAGCGTGGAAAAGGCCTGACAATGGCAGCTTCGTCTTTGTTGCAGGGATGTTGAACGGCGCATATGCTGTCGGGACTCCAGATGCTGTCAGGTTGGTGCCGATAGCCACAGGCAAGGATCGTCGTCTGCATAAGTCTGACACTCACTCTTTAGCCACATTGCTGAGGAAGTCCCTAACCCGGGCAAAAACATTCCCATCGCGATCGGCACCCAGATGGCCATCGGGTTTTTCACAGGACTGTGCTATATCATTGCGATCGTGAGTCTCTTACTCTCCATTATGCTGCAATTTTCCTCGAAGTTTTCGGGAAATGTTCTCCTAATCAGGTTGCAGATGTACGCCATCAACGACTATGATGCCTTGTTTGACTCAGCCTTCCCCATTGCGGAGATCTATCGTCAGGCGACCGGTTCAGCCGGCGGTGCAATCGGTCTGCTCTGTCTGCTCCTCTTCTGTGTAGGAGTCTGCATGGTAGGCGTATACATCACTGCTGGCCGGACGTTGTGGGCGCTCGCACGGGATGGAGCAACGCCCTTCCCTCATCACCTTGGCAAGGTGGCTCCACGATTGGGAATGCCTCTCATTGCGACTCTGACCTGTGGCTGCATCACAACTATCCTGGGATGGTAAGCACCTCTTTCAATCGTCGAGACCGACGCTCACCGTTTGTCTAGCATCTATGTGGGCAGTACAACAGCGTTCAATGCATTTGTTGGAAGTTTCGTCCTCATGAGCAGTTCCTCGTAAGTCCTTAACCCCCCCAGGAAAGAGACCCTTCTGACACAACTCAGCTACATTGCAGCAATCCTGCCACACTTGCTGACAGGCCGGAAAAATATCCAATTCGGTCCTTTCCAGCTGAAGAAGTTTGGGGTTGCCTTTAACTTCATCGCTTGCGGGTATATGATCGTATGGTTTGTTATTTACTGTTTTCCATTTGCCTTGCCCACAGATGCCCAAACAATGAATTATGCCTGCTTGATCTGGGGAGGTCTGACGATCCTGGTGACTATTTGGTGGTTTATTGGCGAAAGTCGTTATATTGGGCCAAAGACCACTGGAGGAATCACTACTGAGATTGAGCAAGTGAGGAGGGCAAGCGCCACAAAGAGAACAAGTGTATGAAGTAGTGAGTTGGCGGAACCTTCTGTTGTGCGCATGGACAAGGCACAACATATGAGCGGGAACAACAGCTGTGAAAGCTGCGCCAAGGATTCTGGACCATTAACCGAGGAAGTATTGCTATTGTTGAGTAGACTCGCGACATGTATCATAGAGCAATGTACCGATATTGTTGAAACCACCTACTAGGCATGTACGGCTGCTGTCAACAACATGCCTGATTGAAACGCTGTCGCCAAGATGAATTCGTTGCTCAGCGCTTGCCTGGTCTGGTGTTGTGTGAGCCCCGGCAGATTATCGGAAGTCTGGGTACAGGTACCTCGCAGAAATAGCACGTGATCAGTAGCTTGGCGTTTTTTGAATCTTGGCAGTCCTTCACCACACATCGAAATTTGGCGACCACTTACCGCAGCCTCACGAAGTTCCAGTTTCAAGTTTTCGACAGCCAACTCAGTAAGTGTTTTCCACCACACAATCACAAGCCTCTGCCTTTCCTGTCGCCTGGCTTCCAGTCTCTGCGACCATCTTCTAACGACAACTAGATCTCGACAACTCAAGATGTCTGATTCCGGAGAAGTCGAAGTCGAAAACCCCGTCTCGGGCTTCCAAGTCCTTCCCAAGGATGTCACTGCTGAAGTTGGCAGCATCCGTCTCTTCAACAAGTGGGACTACAGCGATGTCGAAGTCAGAGATATCTCATTGACGTAGGGAACATGCGCCGATCACAAAGCATTGGAGGGAATGCTAATATGAACGTCTGCAGCGACTACATCCAAATCCGAGCTCCCGTCTACCTTCCTCACTCTGCTGGCCGCTATGCCGCAAAGCGATTCCGAAAGGCCCAATGCCCGATCATCGAGCGATTGACGAACTCCCTGATGATGAACGGTCGCAACAACGGCAAGAAGCTTATGGCTATCAGAATCGTTGCGCACGCTTTCGAGATCGTACGTGTTATGGATGTGCACAGTGTGGGGGAAAAATGTCTGACTGATAACGCAGATTCACATCATGACCGATCAGAACCCCATCCAAATTGCTGTTGATGCCATTGTCAACTGCGGCCCCCGAGAAGACAGCACCAGAATTGGAAGTGCTGGTACCGTTCGAAGACAAGCCGTCGATGTGTCTCCTCTTCGTCGCGTCAACCAGGCCATCGCTCTGCTCACCATCGGTGCCCGTGAGGCTTCTTTCCGAAACGTCAAGAGCATTGCAGAATGCCTTGCTGAAGAATTGATCAACGCTGCTAAGGGAAGCAGCAACTCCTACGCCATCAAGAAGAAGGACGAGCTGGAGCGTGTGGCCAAGAGCAATCGGTAAAGGGTTTACCAGATTCCGGGGTTTACGGACAGAAGCACTGGGTGGATTTGCTTTCATGGCAAGCTATGCAGAGAAGATAGGTGGTGTTACCTATTTCACAGTTATCACGCAGCGTCGCCTCCAGTCGGTTATGTTTTCGGCTGGGCCAGCAGAAGGCAGCGCTTTGCAAACATGGTGATGTGCCAAAAAATGAACATTAACACAATTCAAACGGTTCCCCTCCGATTTGCTCCCGCCTAACGTCCCTGGTCAGTTCCGCCTTTTGACTGCATTTGAAGTGTGCAATTACTCTATTCTCTTGCCCCCGGGTAAACCTCGTGTTCTGCTTGATTTGACAGAATACAACATAGTCTGCCCCTTGGCTGCTCCCTCGATGACATGAAATTTGGTGGGCGCACCAAGCGATTGTTAACCTTCGAACAGTACGATGAATGGCGGCGCTACTAGCTGGAATCATTTATCAAGGCGATGTGAGAAAATTGACGGAAAGTGTATATCTCAACCCCAACGCCTAAAGATGCCACCCGCTTTTACCGTTCAAGCTCATGCGCGCTATGATATATACAAACTCATTTACAGTCTAAGCAGACACTGGCGAGCTATTTCCTCTGCCTGCCCCCCATTCCTAGGTGCACTGTTGTGACCTGGGTTTGAATGCCCTCTGCTCGCATCCGTCCAATATAGCTTCCCGTGGTTGACGTCGGGTATCTGTGTCCCACTCTTGTCACATTCCTCTCGCTTTCACACAACATGGGCTGCGTTGTCGGGCCTGTTCATTTGGTGTATCAGGCCTTTATGTTGCTCAGAGACCTGAGGTTCGACAAACGTTCTGAAGAGGACGCTGCTGACAGTTCATATCGACCATCGCTCCTTCACTTAGTCAAACTTGATGTTCTACACATCTGGTGCACGGTATCTTGGGGGTTTCGCGTCCGAGAACGCCATCATCTGGTTCCTTGCCCGTACTTCTCTCATGTATTCTTGTTGCTCTGGGGGCTTCCGGTTGAAGAAGTTTGGCGCAAAGTCGCCCTTTGCGAAATTTCTGGTCACTGCGTACCCAAGACAGACCGAGAAAGCAGCGCCTATGATGACTAGCAGCACCACCACTGTATCTGGCAGGCCCATATCTGGATCTCTTGTTTGGGTGGATGTTTTCGAGGATTGAGGGGGATTGTCCTTGAGTGTAGCCTTTTGTGGCCGCCAATGTATTACAGCGTGCGGCGGTGATGCTGAAGTTGAACGAGTGTCGAGTTACGCTGAAAAAAGAGAAAGATAGTGCGAACAGACAGCAACACAAACGAAAGGGTAATATTCGATGACGATAATTGCGTAGATTGTCCAAAAAAACATGTAATACTGGAGGAGGCTGATGGTGGGTTGACGGAACGAGGTGATTTATTCTATTCTTCGAGGTCTTGCCTCGTATTCGCGTCCATTTTCGTGATGGCGCTAGAGACCCACGCGACAAGCACTCCTAGACCCATGTGTCACTACTCGGATTTGAAGAATACCCTCTCCTCGTCAAGGACTTCCATCACCCATATTTCATACGGAGGACGGCACATTGTTGGTTGGTGTTTGAGCGGCTCAAACACCCTTCGACTATCGGTCCCTCTATTCCTGACATGGCTAGACGCCTTCCAATATTAACCTTCGACTAGTCCCAAAAGAGCCATTAACACGATACAGCCAATGGGCAACTGTTGTTTGAACGGCCAGAGCTCCACACACCATACTCGTATATTTCTGTAGCAAATTTCACCAGGTCATAGCCGTCACAGCTTTGCTCCGTGCTGCCGGGGTCGAATCAGCATCTCGCCAGGATACGTCGAGCAATTGCTCAGCCGCTTGGCAGGGACGGCACCAAAGCAATTTTCGACGCTGCAAATAGACACCGATCAGACCGACCGCGCCCCTGATCCGTGCTTGTACGCCTGAGATAGCAGGCATCTCGTCTCAGGGGGTTACCTTCCGCCCAGACCGATGTTGCGCATCTCCATTCCATAAGTCATTTAGACCAGGCCAATGACTGTACAGGAGAATGAGCAAATACGAAGGCGGCGTGCTGGTCACCAGAAGTCTCGTAATGGGTGTTTATCTTGCAAGTAGGTTTTCTCTTCTCGTCTCTCAGTTGCGCTTTTCTGGGAGCTGAAATCTTGTCAGAGTTCGGCGGATAAAATGCGATGAGACAAGGCCGTCTTGTCGGAGATGTACCGAGTCTGGACGACAGTGTGAAGGCCCTGTTGCAAAGCAATTCCGCTTCATCCAGGATCGCCCAAACGATCCGTCCTCGAGCACTTCCATCCTACTGCCAGAAATCTCGCTGGTGATCCCCGGCCATACTGAGTATGAACGCCGGGCGTTCAACTATTTCCTCAATCGAGCGGCGCCCATCTTCGCAGGTTCTTCTGATACTGGCTTCTGGAAAGACCTGGTACCACGACTGGCTCAGAGCCACGAGTTTGTCTGGAACATGGTAGTTTGCATCAGCTTACTGCTTGAACATGTCCCTTACGGCTCACTGACGACGGTGTTCGATGCTGTCAAACCCCCGGTTATTACCAATCACCAACATCGTCTCGCGCTTCAGTTCTATAATAAGGCCATTAGCGACGTGAGAGTCCTGGCTGAAAGAAACGAGATGGATGATTCTGTGGCTTTACTAAGTTGCGTACTATTCGCGACGGTGGAATTCCAACAGAGACACGTCAAAACCGGAAGAGCGTTGGTCGAACGGACCTGTCGAATATTGATTCAAATGCTCTCAAAGCAGCGGACTTCGCCAACAAGTCTCGCTGTCCAGCAAGTGGTTGGGCCTTTTGTCTTACGAAAAGCGGTTCTGATGGCTACACTCGGCACGGTCTTGCCGCCAGAATGGATTGCCAATGTACAATCAAGTTCGGGGCTACAGATGGCATTGTCAAGGCTGCCAGCGCTCAACGAAGCTCGACTGCAGTTCCACGGCCTCGTGTATCAATGCTACGAAGTTATTCGAGTAGCTGAACTGGTCCCGGAAGATGACCCAACCGACCCTGGATTTCATAGGTTTGTCTCGACAAGAACGGCATTGTTGGAGAGTCTTTTGAATTGGAAGACCATCTTCCACAGAGATTGGGGACCGAGTCCTGATGCCGAAGCCGAATGGATGCACTCGTACATATCGATGTATTGGGCTGTCTGTTATGTCTCTCTAGCCGGGTGTGCCAGCCGCCTCGAAACTACGTATGATCAGTACAGGGGGTTCTTCGTCGATATTGTCCACCATGCGGAGTGTTATTTGCAGATGGTTGCGGAGTCCCCCACGTATCAACAGGCTTTAAGCGTCGATCCCGGTTGTATGCCGCCATTATATTTCTGCTCCATGAAGTGCCGAGATCCGGTGATCAGGAGGAGAGCACTGGAGTTGATGCGCGTAGCTCCACAACCGGCGAATCGATGGGCATTCATCACCCCAGACCGAGTTGTAGAGAAGGTCATCTTGAGAGAGGAGGATCGAGTGGAACTTTGCACCTCTGCCGAGATGGAAGGTTTCAAAACCGTCTCGTGGCCACCAGAGCGTCGCCGCTACGCACATACGAGCGTATTCAACCGACCATGGTCAGGCGGCCGAGAACGTCTGGCCGTACAACTGAGCAGGTTTGCTCCTGTTCCCAATTCTAAGAGAACTGAGTTGGTTCACGAATACATCTGGCTGGATGAGAGCGACGACGACCTAGATCTGCGAAAACAGATTGGTAGAACAATGGAAGGCCTCACTCAAACTGCACACATAAATAGCGCCGATTTATGTGAGCCCAACAGATGATGGTGCTATGAACTGTGCTAGCCATGATGTTGGCTTGTGTATTGGGGCTCTATGGTTTAACGAATAGATGGCGTGATGTGTATGTATAGGTTCAATTAAACGGATGAGATAGATCGCCCTCGTGCCCCCTGACAGCGACGAGGATGTGTATAATTAGTCAAGGTACACAGAACAGTCTCAGTAATCTTCTATCAACGTTCGTAAACAATCGAGCAGCGAGGCGTCTCACCGGATTCCTGCTTAGGCAAAGGTCAAAAGCGGGTAGCCGATAAGATAAGATCGTCTCCGCCCCAGAAAAAAGTTCTGAAGTTTCGCCTTGCGACCGCCCAAGACCAGTTTGAGGACAATCCGCCTCACCTTACGACCATATCAGACTCGTTCAGCCTCGAAATGGTGAAACGTAAGTTAGGGGCCCTTGAAAAGGTCGACGCCGACCTCGCCAACTTACAGAACAAAATCAAGCGCGACCCTCGATCCTACCACACCGATTTCAGCCACCAGTACATCCAATATGAGAACCAACGGCAGATTTTCATGCAGGCGCCTACGGCTGCCTCGGACACGGGCGTCATATCCTTTCGAGACCTGATCGAATTTGTCGCACACGTGTCGGACTGCTACAAGAACGAAACGAAAGAGTTTCCGGGACAACTGATCGAGATTCTCTCCACACACCATGCAAGTCTTGAGCCGGAACTGCGCGAGAAGATCGTGGGGAGTCTCGTGCTGCTCCGCAAGAAAGAGATCATAGACTCCTTGACACTGCTACAGTGCTTCTTCCCTATACTCATCTCCACGCCGAGCAAGAGCCTGCGGGCGTTGTTGTTCCAGAAAATCATCAGTGATTTGCGCGGCGCAAATGCCAAGAGTGCGAACCACAAGCTAAACAAGAGCGTACAGACGACGCTGCATAATCTCGTGACGGAGGACAGAACGAGTTCGAGGGCGCTGTGGGCCATAAAGATCACGAGGGAGATGTGGAAGAGACAGATTTGGACGGATGCCAAGGCTGTTGAGATCATGAAAGAGGCAGCGGTCAGTGACAACGAGAAGTGTGTCGTCGGCGGGGTGCGGTTCTTCCTAGGCGGCGACAAAGAACGAGAAGAACTCGAGGACGAGAGTTCGGACGAAGAGGCGGTGGACATGGGCCGCTTAAGGCACCAGATCGGGGTTAACAAGAAGAGCAAAAAAGCAGAAAGGAGGCTCGAGAAAGCTGCGGCTACGGTGCGAAAGCGGGAGAAGAAGAAGGGTCAGCCGCATCCGTTGAACTTTTCGGCACTGCACTTGTTACATGATCCTCAGGGATTCGCCGAGACACTGTTCACGAAGCATCTACAGGCCGCAAAATCGAGGCTCAACCTGGAGCAAAAGCTGCTGGTGCTGCAGCTGGTGTCGAGATTGATTGGGCTGCACAAATTGACGGTGCTCAGCTTCTACAGTTACTTTTTGAAATACTTGACGCCGCGACAGCCAAGTGTGACAAGTTTCCTGGCAAGTTTGGCGCAGGCCACGCACAACCTTGTGCCTCCAGATGTGTTGGAGCCTCTGGTGCAGAAGATCGCGAACGAGTTTGTGTCCGAGGCTGCAGCTGGGGAGGTTGCCGCGGCCGGGTTAAATGCGATCCGTGAAATCTGCGTCCGGCAGCCGCTGGCGATGAATGACACTCTACTCCAAGATCTGGTTATGTATAGGAAGAGCAAGGATAAGGGTGTCATGATGGCAGCAAAAGGGTTGTTGGGCTTGTACCGGCAAGTTGGGGCGGAGATGCTGAAGAAGAGGGATCGAGGAAAGGATGCCTCGCTTGGCCTACGTTCTGGTGACCAAAAACAACAACGGTTTGGTGAGGAGACGGTTGGTGAAATTGAAGGTCTGGAATTGTTGGAGAGATGGAAGGAAGAGGAGAAGCAGCGAAAACGTCTTGAAAAGGGTCTCCCGGCTGATGGGGAGGATGATGAGGACGAGGAGGACGAGGACGAAGAGGATTGGAATGCTTGGGATGTGCAAGAAGACGACAGCGATGACTCTGGCGGATGGATCAATGTCGAGAGTGACGACGAAATCAACATCAGCGACAGTGAAGATGAAAAACCTTCGACCAAAAAGGTGCGATTTGATGCCGAAGCCTCGACCAGTGACGACAAAGAGAACGAGGCTACAGACGAAGTCAAGGAGGATGGCGTGGAGGGTCCGGAGAAGACGAAGTCGAATCTTGCCACGACCCGGATCCTCACGCCTGCAGACCTGGCGAAATTACAAGAGTTGCGAACCACCTCGTCCGTGTCATCGTTGATGAAGAACCACAAGTCGCACCACACATCACGAGCGGAGCAGACGAACGCTCAACGACACATTGATGATCCTCTGACTGCTGCTGAGATCGAGGGTCTGGCATCCTTGTCGCGAGGGAAGGCGACTCGTGCGCAGAAGTTGGCACTGCTTGAAGAGCACAAGGCTGATCGCGAGGATCACAAATCAAAAGCCGCGCGGAAGAAGGAGAGGAAAGAGAGCGAGGGCAAGAGTACTACCAACAAGGAGAAGGCTCGGAAGAAGAACTTTTTGATGACTCTGGGCAAGGCCAAGTCCAAGGGCAAGAGGAGTCTGGTAGAGCATCGCAAGATTCTGAAGGCGCACGTTGCCAGGCAAAAGAAGGGAGGAAAGCGAGGTAATCGAGAATAGATGTGATGCACGAGACGAACCCACACTGCGTATCTAGCTTCGACAAGGTACCTTCATATCCACGGGATCTATGGAGAGATGAAGCTGGTGTTGATGAATATTCCTGGCGTAGGATTCGACGCGACAGCGTACCCGTCCTGCCATTACACTGTGCATTTGTTGAAGCTTGCTTTACTGTGTTGCGCAACATGAGCCAAGCGCTCTCTTGAAGTCAGGCCCGTTCGGAGTACGGACACCCTGATGTGTACGGAGGACAGTCCGTACTCCGTAATATCTTTAATTTCAAAGGGCACCCGGACAAAAGGGCGATCTCGATTCTTACAGGCCATTTTGAGGCCACCCTTGGATGGAAGAGCTGTCAAAAGCGCGCACAGCCGCGTCAGGTTCGTGTCTACGGAAGCAATTAAATAGGCAAATCAAGGTGGGAGGCAAGATGCAGGTACAAGAGACTAATGCAGACTTGAGGCGCACTAGACTCACCAGCCTCGATGGTGAGACCCAATCAATGGTGGCTGAAGTGTAGGGCGCACCAGCTGTGTCGCTTGCGCGCTCCCAGCCCCCGGACTTGGCGCCTGTAGAGTCCGCCGACTAATGCCAGATGGCTGACGCTTTAGCGGCGGAAGCGAGGACGCTATTAATATCCTTCGTTGCGCTACGAGGAGTTAATTGCATGGGAGATTCAGCCCAGACGTGGCTGGGTCAATACAGTGCAGTAAGACAGAGACAAGGGACGGTGTACGGATACTGTGTGCCTCCCTACAGTGCCAGGTAGAAAATCCTGTAATGCACTCCGTTCATACTACGGATCCGGGCCATGTCCATTAGGAACAGCCTACAGGAAGTGGGTGCATGTCTTTCGCTCCGGGAACAAACTCCACCCTTGGACGAGGCTTAAGATAAGTTTGATAGCCCGATTCACCATCCTCGTCCTCCTCCTCCCTGCCCCGTGCGCGCGTCCTGCTACTCGCCGGAAGAAAGATTCACCCAAATCCTCTCGAGCACGGTCCGTTCCTCTTTACTTCCTAATTTCCTCTCCTTCACACCTTCGATTGTCGTTGTCCTCTCTACCTTCTCTTCAGTCGCCTACCGACCTGACCCTTAAACACCACCCAGCATCTTGCTATTCACTTAGCAGGATCCTACCCTCAGTCGTCGCGCACCCTTGTACCTCCATTGCGACTCACGTTACTCCTTGACTTCGCTGTCCCAGGAGCTTACCTACCCATCAATCGGCTTCCAGCTTTCCCATCCTCCTTCTCTTATAACATTTCCCACTCATCATGGGCATCCCACAAGACTTCCCAGCTTTCGCGGCGCCTTCAAATGAGTCTACCTCTCCGCAGACCAAGCGCCGTCGCTTCGCCCCCCAAACCCTTCCACCCGTTATTCCCGTCTCCGACAACTCCTCGATTGAAAACCACACCTTTGACTCTCCGTTGATGTTCCAACTGTGCGAACAAGCTCCCGACCGGGCAGAAATTGAAGCACAGTTGCTCCAAGTGGGCATGCGCGTGCGCAAATCGGTAGCCGAAGGGTACAAGACGCAGGCGAAGAAATTCACTCCTCGTCCGTTCTTCGACATTCACCGATTGTCTCCAGAAACCCAAGCAGCACTCTCGAATGGCAATGCCGGAAACGGCAACGAGCTGGCTCCTTACTCCGCGTCCGAGGTTCAACCCATGAGCACCGCGACTTTCTGTGGGATCAGCCTGTCATTTTTGTCGCAGTATGAAGATCCAGCTGTCGCTCAGCAACAGCTCTGGTCATACTCTACCAGCCACAAGCGAGGATACGAGGCGGACTCAGACAGCGACGAGAGCCAGGACTGGCAACCACGAACACCGAATTTGACTGCAGAGTCTGGCATGGAAACACCCATTGATTATCTCGCCATTGACATGGACAGTATGAGCGAAGTCAGCCCGATGACCCAAATCGGTGATCGTAACAGACACAACGGTCGTCGGATCGCCATGCCCAAGTCTCGCAGTCGCGTGCCTCAGCCTATGGAAGCACCCACTTCCACCTTCAATCCATTTGCCCACTTCCAAGCACCACAACCTGAATATCAGAACTTTACTGGCTTCGGCCACAAGCGAATGGTGAGCTGTGGCATGGAGGCCATGGATTTCGGAGAAGCTCCATTCTTGCAGCGCCGAGAAGACGTCGAGATGGATTGTTCTTAAATTGAGAAGAAAAGGTTCCAGGATTTTTATGATTAAACTGTATTTATGCCTTGCATTGCATTGTTTTATGAATTTTATTGCTATGTCGACGGCAAGGTGGTCCCAGGCGGTCGATTGTCAGCGGGAGCTGGCTACTGTCCAGAAGGAAGGCCTCTGGTCTGAGCACAAGGAGGTGGTCCTCGGAGAAGGACCCGACAAAAACCGCAGGTTGCGAATTGTACATTACTATTATCATTGGGCGGGATTGGGACGGAGCTCGTGACTGTACACGGGCGAAAAGTGAGTCCAGGACGACCGACAGACTACAGGTCGCAAAGTCTCTCACACCACGGGATACTGGGAGAACGCAGGAGTCGGCGTACATGCAAAAGCGCTGAAGAATTGCTTGCAATATGCTTCGATTAGTCGAGAGCCTAGTCATTAGTTGACGAGAGGTGCTAGATAATGAATCCCAAACATGTTTTTGATACTATTTTGAAGTTTCTCTCAGCGTCTAATGCCTGTAGTTCTCAGAGCCCTTTGCAAATATGGCCACTTTGCGGATACTCCGAGCTCGGCTCCCCCAAAAAGGAATTCACGTGACCACAATCGCCAAGACAACCTTCGTCCCGAAGAAACTCCATTGGGACGAAAAGAGTAAACAAATCGGCCATGCAGCACGACAACAGTAGCCTGCGCAGTACCATTCCTTGCCTTGATTGTATGTTGTCACACAAGCATCGCAACATGAGAGTTTTATGACAAGCAGCAAATTTTTGAACTGTCCATTGAGTTTCCACACCAATATGGAGACAGCAACACTTACCGAACAGAATATGGATCCGTCACATCTCAGTCCAAATCCTCTCAAATGCCCTCCCGTCTCACAACCTTTACACCTGCTCTCTCCCGAGAGAGTCAATCAACAACGAATACCACAGTCTCCTCCGATGGGTGCTCCCCTCGACGAAAACGAGCGACCACGCACCCGCGACTCTTTCACGTCCGAAGTTCAATCGAAAGTGGCTTTCCTCAACAGCCTTTCCGGTGGCAATGGAAGCGCCCAGTCATCGCCCACGAGGACCCCAAGAGGCCATGGTAACAGCAACACCGCCCTCCAACGGGCTGTCATGGGCTACGAAGAGGCACAGGCCAGCCTGGCCACGGTGACCGCGGATCTGGAACGGGTGCGGGAGGAGCTTACCGCGAGGAAAAAGCGGGAACGGATGCTTGCGCAACGAGTCGAAGAGCTGCTGGGGGAAATCCAAGCGGAAAGAGAGAAGCGGAGCCGTGACCAAGAAAGCTACGCCAAGGAGGTGAAGAGATGCCGCAAAGAGGCGTATCGGGCCGAACTGGCGGTCGTCGAGGTGCGGCAGGACTTGCAAGAGGCGAGGAGCGAACTCAAGAGGAGTCAGGCCGAAGCACAGCACGAGAAAGCGGAAAAGGAAAAGAGCAGGCAGGAGAGTTTCGAGAGAGCGTATGCTCTGGCGGGGATGGTGGGCGAAGTTGACCAGCTAAAAGACCGTCTGAGGGCGATGGAGAGAGAGAGGGATGCTGCACTTCTGGAGGCCAAGACGAACGATGTCGAAGTCTTTGTCTTACCATCACAGCAAGACAAGGCCGGGACCGCCTCACAACGGGAGAAGGAGCAATCGCAAAAGAGAGACCACGAGCAGCAATCCGAAGAGGCATCCGTGTCGCTGAAGAGGCCGATGGACGCCGCAGGGGAGCCGGCACGTGTGCCAGGACTGAAAGCCTCACGAGATATGCTCAAGTTCGCTGTTGACATTTACGACAAACGCTCGCGGGGGGAGAAACTCACTCCTGAAGAAGAAATCAGATTCCTCAAGCAAGAGTTGAGATGTGCTCGACAGAAACACGCCGAGGATGCAGATATGATTCATTTCATGCATATGCAGTGCCAGTTCAAGGCCTGCCCATGTCGATTGGCTGAAGACAAGGGCGAACGATTTGTGCATGACTTTGCGTATGACGCGACTCTCGAAGACACCCAGGCACCGAAGAAGAGAAAGTTGTCAAGTGAATACGAAGAAATGGATTCGGTTCAGAGATCTGCTGGAGAATCTCCAGAGAACATCACTCAAGCCACCAATGTCCCCTCTCAGGACGTTGCCCAGTTTCTACCAGAAACCACAAGCGTGGAAGCCGGTCGACTGCCCCCGGATCCGACCCATGAACACCTTTCAAGAATCTCAGAAGAGCCACTACTTCTTGAGGAAGCAGCTGAAATCCCCCTTCCTGACCCTCAATCTAGCGAACTGAATTCGCGGGGTTGCACTCCAGAGTTGACCGCTCAACTCGAAGACATCACACAAGTCATAGTAGAGCCCGGTACTGCATCCAAACCCTTCTCTTTCTCAACGTCGACCACGAGTAACCCGGCGCCGAAGGACATGACCCCATCCCTCCGACATGCCGAGAGCGCAACGGCCGTCCTCGAACGAGACCTGTTCGACCTCTCACCTCCCAAACAAGCACCACCCCGTCGACCGTCTACGGCTATGGGTATCTTGACAGTCGACTCCCCCATCCGTCTGGTTCCTGATTCGCCGCGGTCACTGAGAACATTGGACCTGTCCCCGAGTCATGTTTACGATTACAATCACACAATCACGACGACCACGAAAGTTGCCTTGAAGGGCTCGCCGGAGCGACACAGCTTGCACAAACGATCTCAGTCCAAGCCCAACCTTCGAAGTCATTCCCCGGGACACTCGTCGGCAATATCTCATTCCAGTGACCACGAGAATGAATCGCGCGCTCCCTCCGCGTCACCGGCCCCAGCGACAATGTTCCCGATTACACCACTGCACAAGCAGGCGAGATCGATGCAAATGCAAAATCTCGAGCAGCATGCTCAATCACAGCCTCGGCCCGTGACGACAAGTACTACGACCAGAGTACCGCTCAAGGGTTTGACCGATGTTGCCATGGTTGACGATGTGTTTAGTCCGGAGAAGCCTGGCCACGGCCATGCCCATACCGAGGTTTTGAACCTAAACATGGACATGAATCAACTCTCCAACCCGTTGAGGATTAGTACAGCGAGCACCGGCAGCAACGGTGGCAACGATACGTGGTCGAACCGCGCATCACAGGCCGGGACGATCCCTAATTCGATCTTGGGAAATGTGCCTGGGACACCGATTTCTCGAGAAGCGGCTCTAGCGCAGATCCGAGCAAGACGAGACCGAGCGAGAAGCGTGAACCTCAAGTCTGCAAGTGGGAAGGAGAATAGAATCGCCGGTGGGAAGGTTGGTGGTAGTCCTACCAAACCGAAAGTCGTGGGGTCGTTGTTTGGAAGGGACAAAGAGAATGTGAGAAGAGAAATCAGTCAGGCGAGTGCGCCGGGAAGATTTGGATATTGAGGAGTGGGAGTGAGAAAGTGAGAGAAAGTGAGAGAAAGTGAGAGAAAGAGAGAGAAAGGGGGAGGTGGAGAAATGATGAGAGCAAGCAGTGCTGTAGATGGGTTGTAATGCCGTGAACGAGGATGAGTGAGAGAGAGGGAGGCACTGATCGATCGACACCTGCTTTACCTGTTAGGTACCTGCATATGCGTCGGGGATGATTCAAGAAATGTGCAGGTGAAGGTGATTACTGATATACCACGTTCTACTGAGAACACCGTGTTCGTGTTTGTGTTTGTGGGCTGTACGAGTCTTTGGTTGCATTCTTCCATGGGCATAGCGAGGATTGGATACCTACCTACTAGTCAGGGTGCTTTGGGTACTTACTGTACATACGGATACGGAGTTCAGGCAGGCACGCAGGCGAGGCCTCCCCTTTTGCCAGGCTACCTGCCAGGCCGGAGACAGAAGAAGACAACTCGAGGTACATAATGTCAACATGTGAATATTCCAGAGACGAGACGAGACGATTGATGGATTGTTGGGCAAGTCAAAGGACGAAGTAATGTTTGTTACCAGGTACGATGACAAAGGTAGAGTACACGAGGTGAGGGAATGTACGGTGTGTCATATCAAGTACTTCATTCAGGTGGACATGTCATGTATTTGGTTCCGTTTCGAGGCCACAGACGAACAGGAGGTGTCGTACCATCTAGGTGGGTGTGTTCAGGACTAGAGCATAAGCGCTCTGTCCGTTGTACTCTGGAAATTCAAACAAGTAGCAAGCACTGTCGTACCTACCACTCTCCCTCTCCCTCTCACTTACGGTCAACCCTCGCTCATCGATTCTGGCGCTGCTGCGGCTGCTGGTATAGCTGTTGTGGCGGTTGCCGGTTACTGTGTTTGTAATAAATGGTCGTTCTTAACTCTTTCTTACTCTTGCCGCCGCCGCCGCTGCTGCTGCTCCTGTCCTTGTCGTCGTTCCTCTCGTCGTTGTAGGTCCTCCTCGTCCCCTTCACCCTCGACGTACCCTTCATCCGTACCCACGTAGGCATGGTCTTCGACGTATATCCCCTCCGGTATGAACTTGCGCATGACCTTGTCGACCCACGCCGCCGGGATCCCGAGGCCGACAGACTCTTGGATCGCCCTGTTCATACGACCGATGTACTCGTGCACGATTTTGCCGGGCTCCGTGCGGAACTCGTCGACGTAGACGAGTGCGCGTACCACGGACGGCGACGGCGACGACGGCGACGACGACGACTCCTCCACTGGTGAAAAATCTGAATCCGAACCCGAGTCTTGACCGACCCCGTACTCCTTGGGACCCCTGAGCCACTTGGTGACGGTCACGGGTAAATAATGTTTATTGTAGTCCCACCCGCCCTGGAGGTGGGATTTTATGTGCACCGTGTCCTTGTCCGTGTTGGGTACCGGTGTCGGGTTCCGCGCTTCGTTGTGTCCTTCGTAGAGGTCCAGTCTGGCTTCGTCGGTCGGGTGCATGTTGTACAAGACGCCCCAGACTACACTTTCTGAATCCTCGGGCGGCTCTGACGAGGACGTTGAAGGGTCCTCGTTGTGAGGAGACACCGCCGCCGTCGCAAGAGACGCTTCCTGGGCCGATGGCAGCTGTTGCACGTTCTGGGACCCCCCCTCAGGCAAAGCGACAACGTTGGCGTATCCCCTTTTACAAATTATCCAGGCGTGGTTGTCGAGTCGGGCGATGGCAACGGGCACACTGGATGACGGCGAGTGCTGGAGGCGAAGCGACATCTGGACAGGCGAAAGGTTGCTGCCGTATGCAAAGTAGAATGTCCCCGTCCGGGAAGACGTGGTCGGGGAACTACTGACGCCGTTGGCCACGGCCGGGTTGGTAGTGCTTTGAGTAGCCATGGTCGAGATAATGATTGTTGATGTCCCCCTTTCTTGAACTTGAGAGGAAGTGCGCGCGTGTATGTCTCTATGACGATGCCGGTGCGGTCTATAATACGGAAGAATGGCGCATGTTTTATAAAAATAAACTGCACAAAGATAGCCAATGTACGTTGTCCTCGACGACTGAAAGTACGGAGCGAGGGAGATGATAAAGCGAAAGACGCAGAGATACACATGGACAGGAACATGGAGATGTCCGAAGAAGGGTCGAGGTTGGAATAGACAAAAGGTTTAAATCTCCCCTACGCCGAGGACGGAACACCGAGTAAATGGCGCGATAGTTTTATTTCCTCTGACGGGAAACACAGCTACTATCGTTTTATCGGGACACCACAGAAGATCCATTTCCATGCAGCACTGACTGGTCAGACGCTGCCTTCTCATTCATTTCTCCAAACCGACGGTTTCACCCACCCCCTCCGAACTAGAAACGCAACCATTTTGCACTCGCTCACTCTCCTAAAACCCAAGCGACGAGATCCATTCCTGAATCTTATCAAAAGCCAACGGCGCATTCTTAGCAAGATTCACCCCGTGACCGGCTTCGGGAAGATTATAACTCGCCGACTGATTGTTCGCGTTTGGGAAAAATCCCTCCAACGTCGCTGCACTGATATCCTTGGGGTACAAGCAATCGCCGTCACAAAAGTCCAGGTCTCGAGCACCATTGGCGATCAACACTGGTCCAGTGAAGTTGGCGGCATTGGTCGCAAAGCTCGACCTAGTAAAGGACTCGCCCAAAGTCGTTGTCTCGACCTCGTCAAAGGCCTTGGTCAGCACCGACGGCTCAAAGTTCGGTCCCCGGAAGAACGAATATTGGATGCCGTACTTGGTACTGGGGATCAAGTATGAGGATGGAAGATTTTGGAAACGCCCCCGCGGCGGTGCAGAGAGGCTGGCTGGTTCGAGGTTGAGCGCTGCCGTGAATTGACTGCCGCCTGTCCTGTTGGTGGAGAAACCTGTCGCAACCACTGCGTCGAACGAGCTAGGGGAAGATGCAGCGACGGATGTCGTGATCAGCGAACCGTACGAGTGCCCGACGCCGATAACGTGGCTGAATGCGTGGTTCCCCAGTCTTCCCTGACGCAGTAATCGGACCAACTGCTCTGCGATGACCACCTGAATCCCGCCCTGCACAACTTCAATGGGATCAGGATGTGATGAGTTGCCGATGCCCAATCGGTCATATGAAAATGTCGCTCGGCCTGCCTTGGCCGCGGTGTCGATGTAGCTGTTGTTCGGCAACGCAAAGTCCCAATATGTCTTGGAGAAGGCGATACCGTGTGTCAAGAACTGTACGGTGGTCTGGTTCTGTCGAGGATGTGCAACAGGATAGCACATTTGTGCGCTGATGTTGAACGTCCCATCGACGACGTCCGAGGAGGACTTTTCCGACACTGACGCTGCCAAACTCGAATTTGCGGCCTGCAACCCGAGAACAAGGTCGACAGCTTGGAGTTGGCTGACATTTATAGGGAGATCGAGTTTGGTGTTGACGTCTGTAGAGACGTTGACGGCTACAAGACCAGAGACACAAATTGCACTACCCCCCAGTGAGTGTGACACGGTTGGTAGCTGAAAGCCTTTGGTGTCCAGATCTGGGCCGCGTTGTTCAGGTAGAGGAGAACATGATGCTTTGCTCAAGTAACTGAGCACCAGCGTTGGAAGAAGCGATAGATGATGCATGGTGATGGTAATCGGATTGAAGCAATGATCAGGACATTAACACTCTTCTGGGTATCATCTAGGGCTTACCTCTACTTATACCTCATGATACCCGTGCTTCCAACTTGACCTACCAGCGCACATAGCGATGTGAGAGAAGGTTGGAAGAGGACTGACCCATTGATTTTCCGTGATAGGCCGGAGAGCATGGTAAAAATTATCCGTAATAGACCTCAACGTTGACCCTTCCCTGTTCTCACCCTCGACGGTCATGCTCCTCGTGTGAAGACACCTCGGAACGAGATGACGTTGCGCTGTTACTCTCATGCAGTCGAGATGACTTACCTCTGGAAATTGAAGCACCTAGATCTGTTCCGGGGACCTTTCGAGCAGAATTGTCAGACTGTCGGGACTTGTTCTATGACCGAATCGGTGGCGATCGACCGGCACTGCTCGCGGCGTTGTAAGCAAGGCGCATATCAGCGAGCGACGCGTTACGCTCGTCCAGACGCATCGAGGCATATGTTTGGCCTCGCATGCTTGATGGATGTGCAGTCTGCAAGAGAATACAAGAGTTGAAGATTAGTACTGTAGAAGAGACACAATGACAACATGCTGTATTGTTTCCGGCTCGCTCGTTCGCGTTCTTGGCGCCCAGCCATAACGAAGTAGACACGGACAGGACGAAGTTGGTGTTTTGTTTTCTACGAGCTCACAGGGGCGAGCACTACTGCGAATCCGTTCAGAGCAACATATTGACGATTTACGACCACCGGACAGCGTATACGACTGTAAACGGCCATTGAGAGCGAGCGACAGGGGGTACCAATTTACCAGCTCCTGCTCGGCCTGTATGGTCGAGATACCATGAGCACGCATGGGGAGGATCAACAGGAGAGCGCAAATCAAACGTCCAGGGAGTTACACGCCAAAATGCCTCAGCTTCCAATCCCTCCGAATTTGAAGTTCGGACCTTTCCCAATAGCGTCCGAGGTCTTTCACCTCTCAAGAAGTCGACTGTCATTTGGACTGGTCAACCTGAAACCCATCCTCCCCGGGCATGTCCTCATTTGTCCGGTGCGAGTGGTTCCGAGAATATCGCAACTCAGTGCGGCGGAGGCGGCGGATCTGTTCAGGACTGTCCGGGTGGTTTCGCGAACCCTGGAGCGGGTCTATTCTGCCAGTGCCCTCAACGTGGCTATTCAAGACGGCGTAGATGCCGGCCAGTCGGTGCCACACGTCCACGTACACATCATCCCCAGGCAGAAAGGAGACTATGACCACCGTGGAGGCGGGGATCAGATTTACGAATCAATGGACGGCGAGGAGGGCAACGTTGGGAAGGCCTTTCTCGAGATGCAAAGCCAGAGAAGTCACCGGATGAATCACAGAAAGGAGTTTTCCGCCGGGCCAGACAGTGACAGAAAGCCAAGGAGCGCGGATGTGATGCAGAAGGAGGCGGAATGGTTAAGAGCCGAGATGGAGAAAGACAGGACAGCAGAGGACGAAGAAGAAGAAGAAGAAGAAGAAGAAGAAGAAGAAGAAGGATGAGCAGGGTCTGACTCTGTTGATGTCTATAAGCTGACACTCCTAGATGGCGGAGGGAAATCAAGGGTATTGTGCCGCTAATTCAGCCCCCCCAAGGTGCTCCGGTATACAAAGTGGAAGTACACCCTTCCTGCAACGCCAGCGACGGCGCAAGAGGCGACCCCAGGCGTCTCTCGGGAGAAAGCTGGCAAAGCAACAGAGTATGAAAGAGACTCGTCGCCCGCCATGGAAGCCATGTACAACACTACAAAATCGTGGAAAAAAGGGCACTGCTTAGAACACACATCACGCAGATATGAAAATTCCTCATAATGGTGTTTGCTGCCATGAACCGTCTATCTGTTCCTTTCTGGGTATCATTGTCTACACGTACACAGGAAGTGCAAAACTGAATGCCCTCGCCTCTTATCATTCCCATCATTCCATCATCCTGCTCATCGTATCCTCGTGTGACATGCTCAACTCGACGCCATAGAGACTCCCACTCAGCTCGTGTTCGTCTCATCACTGCCATTGCCATTGCCGTAGTACTGATCCTGCTGCTCCTTGATGGTCTCTGCAGAAGCCGGCTGCCTCGGTTCAATATGCTTGCTCTTCCACAACCGATCCCTCTCGTCCAGGATTTCCTGCGCCCAGACCTTCATCTCGTCCAGCACGATCTTTCTAGCCACCCAGCTGAACTCGCTCAAGTCTACTTCGCAGTTACTGGCCCGTTCGTACTCGACCATTTGCAGAATGAGCTCGATCTTGTCGACATCATGCACAAACTTCGATTCGAGCGTCTCGCTGTCCTCGTACTCCTGCCACACCGCCCGGATATCCTGACCGTTGACCCCGCCGTGGACTTTCCCAAGTAACGACTGCGCCACCCAGTCCATTGTCTCCGCCTCTCTTCGGCTCTTTTCCGGCTTGGGCACACCATCGACCGGGGTGAGGTCACCGACAAGGCCCTCCGCCATGTCGTGAACGAGCGCCATCTTCGTACACCGCGGGATGTCTAGTCGTTTGCTTAATTCGGGAGGGGCAAGCATGGTGATCAGCGACATGCGATACATGTGGTCGGCTATCGATTCGCCCTTGAGGATTCCAAATCTCCGCCAACCTTCGCGCTTTTCGACCTTGAGCCGTTCGACGTAGTGGAAGAAGGGGACCGGAGAAGAGGTGTTTTCGGTCGGTGGGTTCGGGAGACCTTGTAAGACGGCGTCCACCGACCAGGGATTCGGCTTGGGTAAGAGAGAGGTGTGTTGTTGCCTCGTCACATATTCAGGAGCTTGTGTAACGTGTCAACACTCTGCGTGTATCCTGTGGAGCGACCAGATTGCTTACCTTGTGGCGTATCTGTAGCCATGTTGACGTGGGCGGACGAATGAGAATTTCCTGATTGCAAAAAAACTGTGGCGTGGAAGAAAGGTAACGAGAGAACATGAGAAGGGAAGAAAGTGAGGGGTGGGCAATCTATTTCATGTACGCCGTTCTCTAGATTGTTTATACATACATGCGCGGAAGCAACAAGGAAAAGCCCACCAACGCAAAGTTTGATGCCGACGAGGTTGTTGTTTACCAAATGACGTTGGTGCAATACCCGCCACCGCCCGCGTCAAGTTCGACGCAGCATCGTCAGCCTCGTGCAGAAATAGGTGGGAGTCAAGCAGACTCCCTATTGGGCCCGTAACGCGGCCTGGCCCCTTTTTAGCCCCTGATACCCTTCAACGCTTCTTCCACCCCTTACCTACATTGGTGCTCCCTCTCGGGTGTTGACCTTTCGACGCATCTGTACTTGACGGAGTGTTTGTTTGCAAGATCACAATTCCCACATTTTGATAAAGCATGTGCCGACCGTGGCCTTATACCAGTAAGGTTGAGAAAACTCTGTAAGTCAAAGTTTTCATGAGGACCTCGTGTGAGCAAGGCTGGTTCGGCCAAAACTTCTCGCACACATGATATATCATATCGTAGTTCTTTTACCTCTTTCTCATTTGACCACTGAAGAAGACTGTCTTGACCTTTCCACTCCACGACTTGCACCAGAAGCAGGTAATCTCATAATCCCTATTGACAACAGCAGAGAACCCTGTTTCTTCCTATATCCCCGGCACTCGCCAGCAGGACCTGGAGCTCGTAACAAGTCAATCGATAGACATTATCCAACACCAGACACCTCTACAACGCTTTACAGCTAGTCTTTGTACAAGGTCGAAAATGGCAGCGACAATCCCAACTAGATTGCTAATTCTATCCGACACCCATGGCGTCGATTTCAGCCCAGAGGATCGACCTCAACAATATGCCGACGTGGCTATACACTGTGGTGATCTTAGCGACGGATCCGAGCTAGATGAATTCCGAACAGCAATCCAGACGCTCAAATCTATCAACGCGCCCCTCAAACTAGTCATCGCCGGAAACCATGACTTTACTATGGACATTGCCGCCTTTCAAGGCAAGTTAGCGGAGGCAGCAACGCCATTGGAACCTGAGCTTGTTGCTAGAGAATATGGGACCCCAGGCCAGGCAAGACAACTATTCGAAGATGCAAAGAATGACGGAATCGTCTTTCTAGACGAAGGGACTCACCACTTTGCACTCCAGAACGGAGCAAAACTTAAAGTCTATGCCAGCCCCTATACACCCGCCCTGGGTGCCTGGGGTTTCCAATATCACCCAGATAAAGGGCGCCAGTTCGATATCCAAGAAGAAACAGACATCGTTATAACACATGGGCCCCCCAAAGGCATCATGGATTTTACTCACGGTCGGGAACGCGCAGGCTGTCCGAATCTATTCACCGCTGTTGCTCACGCCCGGCCTCTCATCCACTGCTTTGGGCACATTCACGAAGGCTGGGGAGCGAGGTTGGTTACATGGAAGGATAGCGGATTCGACAAACCATCCCATTTCACCTCCATCGACAATGGCAATTCACCCGTTATCGGGAAACTAGCTGCACTCAGGCCAAACCGATTCGACTCGGAGGAAATTGCGGAGGAAAAGCAAGAGAGACTGAGAGAACTGGCGCGCAATAAGTGTGCGGTGACGAGCCATCGCAATCAGGATCAAGATCCACTCGAGGCTGGCAAGGAAACACTATTCATCAACGCTGCCATCAAGGGCGAGGAAGAATTTGTGCAGAGGCCGTGGCTGGTCGACATCGAGCTTCGGAAGGACACATGAAAAAGGCACCAGGATGTGTGAACAGTGATGGTAAATGAATATTATGATGCAATTAAATGGTATGCAAGCGGGAAGTTGTTCACGCCTAATACTGCTCCAAGCACCAAGCGATCCAGCCTCCCCAGACAGGACTCCGCCGCACCGCGAATACACTCCAGTTCCTCTTTGTCAAGCTCTGGTAGTATTTGACCCCTGCTCGCCACCCTCGACAATAGCCATCGAAAATCTTCAACTTCACCATCGCTCCCACGATCGACCACCGTCACGGCCCGTAACCTCAACAAGTCCGACATGGACGCAACAGAGCCCTCAAAGAAGGGCTCTGCCACGATGATGCGTTCGACGCACCCCTTTCCGATCTCGATGAGGTTAACGCGGATACGGATGTCTTGAAGGGGTGCGTCGAACACAATCTTGCCATCGGACTCGAATTGAAAATTACGGGCGCCGGTCGAAACACCCTCCCAGATTTCGATTAATGCGCTGGGAGGGCCCACAACATCCACGTCCTCAGTCACAAGGACTGAGGAGTGGGCAATGCTGGCTGCACCGCCAACTAAGACAAGTTGGCGGCGCAGGCTCGGCCGGACCAGGCGGGTGATCGAGCGGAAGCACTCAAAGAGTGCTTCACGCAGTGGTGCAGCGATGGTGGAGTTGGATTTCGGCATATTTCGAGGGTACGAGACGAGCAGGGTGTTGCAGAGTGGCTGTTCGGCAATTATGAGTTCTTCAAATCTTTTAAAGAACGTTCGTTAATGCCTTACAGGAACTGGAGTGTATTCGCTGTGCGGAGGAGGTCTGGTTCCGCCTGGATCGCTTGCTAACTCCTAGTCAGAAGCTGCACAATATGCTTGGATAAGGTGAGACAACTCACGGTTGGAGGAGTATATCGATGCTGACACTAATTTTTATTGTCATCTATTCATCATTAGCCTTGGTCATTGAAACATTGAGGCGGACTTACGAAAAGCGTATCTCGATGCTATGGGTTAGAAAGGATGTAGATACGAACACACTTCCAAGGATCCAATATCGATTGAAACTCTCCATCTCTCCTTCCCAAAGTTTCCCCATCTTGGAAAATAGGCAGGCACCTGCAATCATCCTATGGAAGCCATGTTCATTATAGCATTGAGCAGGTGCAATTGTAGAGGCAGACCTTTGACTCAAGTCCCAACGAGAACAACGTCAAGCACTAAATGGGTACCTCCACATTTTCGAACGCCGAATGGCATGCGAGAGGGAAATGACTCTTGGATGTGTTCCAAGCGTGTTAAAGTGATACGGTGTATTGTAGTGCAACTTACCGCAGCATCCTCCTTGCGAAATATGTTCTCAGCGGTCAAGGGTACTCGGAACCCCGTACCGTCCTCAGCCTCGTCCTCCTAGGAAGCGAGGCGGAGCTGCGCGGCTCTAGCCAATCGGTGTGCACCGTTTCACCTCAAAGAGTCACCACAACAAAGTACCATTCTTTGCGATTTAAACAACGTACATAGCTGCATGGAAGAGTCAGTTTACCAGTCACCAGTCACCTACGCATCTCACAGACTACTCACCTCTTGACTCTACAGAAACATGCTCCACAATGGACTCCTCGAACCCAAGCAGATTCGCTCTCCCATACCGTCCTCGCGACTACGTTTCCATCTTCATACACACCCTCCACTTGCTCGATCTTGACCTCCTCCCCGACTTCCCAGCAGCACTAACGGAGTCCACACTGCGCAGTTCGGCCAAAGTAGCGCCGTCAAACCTCCAACAGCGTGTCAAGTGTGTCGAATGGGCCTTGTACCGGCTCTTCGAGATGTATGATCCAGTCGAGACTCGCGAGAAACTTCAACCTCACTTCCCCCCGTCGACACCCAAGGACTCCCTCAACCTGCGCGCGGCGCTGTACCGGTCTCTGACGGAGCTGAAGAAGAACGCCGCGCTGTCCAGGGAGACAGTACTCCGGAAGACGATGCTCGACGAGTGCAAGGGCGACAAGTTTGAAGAAATGCTAGCTTCGTTCGGCATGCTTGTCCTCAGGAAGAAGGCGGACGCCCACCGTTTACATTCCGGTGTTGGAGTAAAGGCGACCCACAACGGCTTACAGAACGTCGGCACAGAACAGATCGTGCCGATAATGTTGGCACATCGAGTGTCTCTAAGAAATACACTTCAACGGAGACAGACTCTCAAAAGGAGTGCGGCCGCACAGATGGACGAAATAAGACAGCTGCGCGAAGCCATCGCGGCTCGAACGGCGCTTGTTTCTCAGAACGCACTGCCGGATGAGGAGTTGGGTGAGGACGAATACGACGCGCTGAAAGACCGGCTGAACCGTGCTTTTGCAATGGACAGGCGGTGGGTGACGTTTCTTCTCGAGGGCACCACTGCTCCCAGGCTAGGTCTGTCAAGTTCTACTGCGACTGCCGCCGGTACGGAGTCACCATGGCAACAACAAGCCCTCACTCTCGCCTTTGAGATGGTCGACAACACTGCACACCACGACGACAACAACGACGACGACGACGACGACGACGACGACACCGATAACGGTGACAAGCATAAGAATAATAGTGCGTCCGAGCATGACGCGGCGGGCGTAGCGAATGAACCAATGACGCAGCTTCTCAGGTCCCTCGATGACCGGCGGTCGCATATTCAGCATTTGAAACGTCTTCGCGATACCATACAACGACCCTCCGCGCCGGCCGAGACTGAGACCGAGACGGTCAGTCTTCAGCAGTTTCAAACAGCGACTCAGGCCGAGACTCGACATGATCACCCCGCTAGTACCAGTGCCAACCGTAAAAAGGCCATGCGCTTCAGTAGACATCAGGGCTTGAACCTCGTTGCCTGATGGATTGACTGGTCTGCCTATGCCAGGTTCCATGACTTCAACGAGCTGTGTAGCTCATGGACATGTACCTTCAGACCAATACCACCACTACGACAACTCTACGATTGACGAGTGACAATATCACGAACTATACTGTATCGTAATGACATTGCACTTTTATTAATAGGGGACAGGATGAGCAAGGGCACAGAAAACCCTAGCATAATCTTTATACTTCAACTTCCCCCAATTTTATTATCGCTGGGAAATGTGGGAACGGACCATTTGAGCCTGCGAAAAATTCTTATACGTTGAATTGGAGTAGAAATTTCGCATGTATATGACATGACAGGTGTCTGGACCACAGATGACAACTACCTCGCTAAAGCCGGGTGCTTTCAGGAATTGAGACGTTTTGGTCACTGAAAAGCACATCAAGCCTCGGAGGCTGATCTATGCGCAAGCAGTCTTCTTCAACTACCTTCCCCATCTGTCTGCTTCACTACCCTCTTCGTATCCTTCGTCGACATCGACATCACTCATGGCATCTTCGACGACTTCGATTTTCGAACCCAACGCTTGCTGGCCCTCGCGAATCATTGCCTGCAATTGTGCGTTGAACCTGTTCATCGTTTGATCTTGTTTGGCTTCCTTCCGACGCATCTTCTGCTCGAATTTGCGAACTTCAGGAGACGCCTGTGCGGCGTGGACCTGGGACGACTGCCGACGGGGTGACGCCATCGAAGCTCTACTGTTCGGTCTAGGATCGATGGCAGTTGGCTCGAACGAAGATACCGATCTGCGATGCTGCGGTTTCGTCGCAGCAGACATGGCCGACGATCGCGGGGATGCATATGACGCCGACGATTTCTGAGAAGATGTTCGCGACGCGAGCCGAGGCCGAGGGAGATGTTGAGTGCTTGCTTGCCGCGTCGGCTGACGAGCGTAGAGGTTCGCTGTGCTGGCCCGAGACTTCTTTCTTACTGGGCTTGCGTCCCTGTCGTGTTCTGGATCATCGACAATGACCCAGTCGTTTCGTCTCTCGAAACTCTTGGTCCGTGACGTGTCGAAGCCGTCAAACACGAAACTTTGCTCCTCTGGGAACCCGCCTGGTATGGGTGTCCTGTCTCGATCTCGTCTGGATGTGTGTTCGTAGGCGTCATGAAATACGTCCTGCGCCGCATCGACCTCATGGATGGTGAGCGAAGACACGTCTGGAGTGCTAATGTCGAATTCGTAGCCTTTCCCTCCACCTGCATGAAAGCCCTTGAACGTGTTGTTCCAGCAGAAGTTGATGACTTTTCCGGCAATGCCTCCTGTTAGCGCCCAGACAGTCTTCCCCCAGCCTCCATGCGTCGGGGACTGAGACAATCTACGCTTGCCAGGTGCCGGCGTTTGAGGAAAGTACGACGTTCCGGTCTCGGCGTACCTGTTCGGCCGACAATCTGCTTCAAACTCGTCTTGGCCTTCTTCCTCCTCCCTCTGCACCGCGAGGGATGTCGGAGTGTCGAGTCCTCCAGCGATACGGTAGTTCGTGTTTACAAGTGGGGGAGGAGAGGTAGTGTCGCGACGAGATACAGGCTCCAAACGTGGTCGTTTTCTTGATGCTATCTGGGAAGATGGCTTGGTGCGGAGGCTTTGAGTTAGGCTGGATGATGTGGGGGTTGATCGAGACTGATCAGGTGTCGGAGGGAGAAATAATGAAGAACTGAAGTTGGTGCATCGGAAGGAGGCTTCGTTCGCAGGCAGAAAGGAGCCTGGGAGCGGACTAGGGGTATCTAGGAAGGTGGCCATGGTTGTTCTCGCAATCGTCGAAGCTGAAGTTATGTCTCGTGGAAGGTGGTCGTGATGATGTCGGATGGCATTTCTGGGAAGTAGCAGAAGCGTAGATGATCAGATGATCGAGATCGATATGGAAACAGGATAATAGCGAGATCAATGTCACCCACTCAATGAATGACTGAAGGTCGTTGGCGACACAATGAACTGCCACGTTTGTAGCACGCTCGATGCGCAGGCAGCAGAAGAGAAAAAGATGCGGGGCCGTCAACTTCGAACTGTCACTCGTCGCCCAAGCAACTGAGTAATGATTTGTCTGACGAGGCGTTCTACCCCGGAAAATATCAGCAAGCCGCAGTGTCAGACAGGGGTATTTTTCATCTCCGGGAGCTCTTTTAATGAACTTCCACACCGGATACGCACTCCCGAGTCTCATCGTCCACGAAGTGCCGAGGTGAAAGAATCGTTCGAAATGATCAGAGCATGGTGGTCATTTGATGGTGGGTAATTCGACACCGTATACCATAATGTATCACACAGAAACTGTGTCTGGGTTTGGGCGTAGAACATGCAATTCGCATTTGAGCCCGATGTGGACGATCTTCCAAGGTCATGGGCTTGTAGAGGAAAGTAAAAGACCCATCCCTTCTCAGGAGCCTCATAGACTCTCAACCACCTCTTCAACCACTCCTCTGACTCCCGAAATCTCATGCGCAAATCTCCCCAAGAACAATCCGTCCACATACTTCCCCAGTCCATTCCCGCCATTCGCCTTTCCACTCCACAATCCCGGCCCAGCACTTCCCCCATACACCACTTTCACTTCTCCCGTCCTGTCTTTGTCGACACCACGCGCGATTTCGCGAATGGCCTGCACGACGGGACCCACGTAGTCGACGCCTGCCGGCTGGGCAGCCCCAATAGCCCAGACAGGTTCGTAGGCTAATATGACGGGGGCATCCTTGGGAACGGCCTTGAGAATCGTGCTGATCTGCGGCGTCAACTGAGTCATGGCGTTGCCGACCGCTTGCGACATCGGTCCCGCGAGATCTGGACGGTCCAGTTCCCCGATACACACGAGAGGAATCATGCCCTGCGCGCAGACTGCTGCGGCTCTAGCGGCTGACGACTCATCGGTTTCGTGCAGCAGACGCCGGCGTTCGGCGTGGTTGAGTTCGACGATACTGACGCCCAGAGACGACAGAGCGGGAGTGACGATCTCGCCCGTGTATGCGCCGTACGTCGTGCTCTGGTAGCAGTTCTGGGCGCCGAGAGCTATAGGCCATAGCGACGAGGGATTCAAAGTTCTGGACGAGAGGATCTCAGAGCATGGGTAGAGTGTGAGGAAGTCGGGGATGAGGACAAAGAGGACTTCGTCGGCGTGTTTTTGAAGAAGTGGTAGAATGTTTTCGGTCGGGTCGAGGATGGATTTTAGATAGGATAACGTCCTCGAGGGGGGAAAGTATGCTTTGGTTGATGTGAGGACGAGTTTTGATGGGAGCTTTGGGTACGACATGGTGGTGGTGGCGGCGAGACTGATGAGTCCGTGTAGAAGGGCAATCGAGTATCAGGTAGGGAGGGTATCTAATCCAAGCAGTGGTAGCTCGTAGGAAAGTTGTAGCACTTCGTGTCGATTGGGTTTGCGCTGCTATATTACTGTGTGTACTTTTGTCCCTGTGTTGTAGTTCCTCAAGTGTCCTCCGTAGATGGTACAGTACCTACTCACCGGTAAGAGACATCAAAAACCCGGCGGTTTACATCAGCGGCGACTCTCGCGCGGATACCGAGTATTTAGTCCTCCTGTAATACGAGTCCTTTTTTTTTCTCTGGCCCGTCGGCATCTCATCAGTGGTTTTTCGCTGCACTGACCGGCCGGAAGAACCCAAGACGGCAATCCGAAGGCGCCCCCGGAAAGAAAGACTTTTTGTCCATAATGACGCCAGATTCGCCGCCGGCAACGACACGGCATTAATAGCCGTCTCTGTGTCTCCCTGCGTGTGTGTGTCTCTCTCTCGATGAGACTCCTCGAATCTTCAACCATCCACGGTGACTCCTAATTGACTAAGAGAAAAAGAGGATCCCGATCCAGCTAGGCATGATTTAATTCATATATCAAATACGCTGCCTCCATGACTTAAGATTTCCTTTTGCCTCTCTCTATACATCCGAATATACGTAACCACTCCGTATACCCCAAGCCAACGACCCCGTCCCCCGCTACAACCCACACATCACACACTACACATCAGGGATCACACACACACACACACACACACACACACACACTTTTTTCCATTGTACAAAGAACACAAAATGACGACAAACGGCACAAAATCACCACTCCGCATCGTCGTCGGCTCCGACAACGCCGGCCACGCCTACAAGACGGCGCTCAAGGAGACTCTCAAGAAACACTCGGGCGTGACCCAAGTTCTGGACGTGGGGGTGGTAAACGCCGACGACGCGACGGCATACCCCCATCTCGCGGTTGATGCGTGCAAGAAGATCAAGTCAGGCGAGGTAAGTCAAGACTTTTCTCTATTTCTCTTTCTCGTCTTTTTGATCCTTTCGCCGGGATAATTAAACCCCCCCGGGGTCTTTCACTTTTGATCCACCCGTCCATCGGTACATCCGTCCTTCCTCCCGCTACTCTTCTTCCTTTGATCTCTCATGCTCATTTTCTCTTACACCGTCTAACAATCGCAATTATCCAGGCCGATCGAGCCCTCTTGATCTGCGGCACGGGTCTCGGCGTCGCCATCTCAGCCAACAAGGTCGAGGGAATCCGCGCCGTGACGGCCCACGACCCGTACAGCGTCGAGCGCAGCGTCCTCTCCAACAACGCCCAGGTGCTGTGTTTCGGACAGCGCGTCATCGGCCTCGAGCTGGCCAAGAAGCTCGTCGACGAGTGGGTCGAGTTGAGATTCGACGAGAAGAGCGCCTCGGCGGAAAAGGTCGCCGACATTTCAAAGTACGAAGAAAAGTTCGGAGAGCTATAGAAGCAAAAGAAAAAGAAAAAGAAAACAAAAACAAAAACACGAGTATGTACGCATGAGACGAAAAACCACCGAAAAAAATGAATACCCAATTTATTATTGTTATCCCCCGTTCTAAACTTGGAATTGACCGTTTAAAGTTGATCAATCCACCGATTCTTCGTTCCGTCAACCTTCGTGTTCCCTAGCCCACGGGGAGAGAAGACTTTTGCAGATGCACCGTTTAACGTCCCGTTGAATGAAACCCATTTCATTGGCTTAGCTAGGTATTACTGGTCCAGAGCCTCGAGGATGCACATGAATGTGAAAAGTCGGTCGTCGCTGCAAAATGCCCTTCGTTCGAACTCTATACATGCAGGAACCCATCTGTGCTATGTATAGGTATGTAGTACAGCACCCGCTCCTTTGGGCAAAGAAGACCAAAAAAACAAACCCACACGCTCATCAAGTCATTACTCATCTAACCAAGCAACCAATTCAGGGTCACCCAAGCGAATTAAAACAAACAACATTTCCAAAAACCTTGCAAAAAAGAAAAGAACTACCCCTTAATCTCCCCAGGCGTCATGACGGTAACCACACTTGTTCCCTCCGAGAATCTCGTCCTAAACACCCGATTCGCATTCTGAAACATGCCGTCCTTCAAGCTGACCACGATAAACTGTGACCCAGTGAACCTCGTCTTGATGATGCGGCCAATGTTCTGCGTATGCGACAAGTCCAGTGCGGCATCAACTTCGTCGAGGATGTACATTGGCGCAGGCTTGAATTGCAGCAATGCCAGGATAAGGGAGAGGGCAACGAGCGATCTACTCGCGCGATTAGTTCTTGGCCAGGCACAAAAGTTCGGAAAAACATACCTCTGTCCGCCTGACAACTCAGTCAGACTCTGCTTCCATACCTTCCCCAGACACACCTTGACCTCCAACCCCTCTTGGATTCGATTGATATCATCGTCAAGCGGAACAAGTTTGGCCGTGTTGTGGCCCGGCAGGAGATCTGAAAAGATGTTGCCAAAGTCCTCGGTGACCTTGCGCCACGTCTTGACCAAAGCCTCCTTCTTGTACTCATCGAGAGTGACAATCGTCTCTTCAATCTTCTTCTTGTCTCGGATCACTGTCCGGAGCATGTTCTTCAAGCTGGTCTCCTTTTTCTCGACACTATCGATCATAGGCATCACCTTGGGGTTGATCTTCTTCTTCATTCCCTGGAACCGTTCCGTCACATTCTTCAGCGTGGCCCGACTCTCGGTAAGATTCTTTCCCTGGAAATCATAAGGTGTACCAGCCCGGCCGAATTGATCCTTGTTGTCCTCGATCCAATCATGTTCTTTCTCGAGAGCCGCGACCAATTGCGAAGCTGCCTGTGCGTCTTTCTGAGCCTTCTCCACTGCATGGCCGAGCTTTTGCGCTTCAAGCGCCTCTTCGCTGATTTGTTTCGACTTCTTGGATTTCGCCTGTTCGAGTTCGCGGAGCTCGTTGTCGAAGCCGGTTAACTTGGCTTGTTCATCTGCGAGTTCGGCTTGTGCAATGTCGTGGTTGCTCTTGACACTAGCCTCTTCCTCTCGGAGGGTGTTGAGCTCTTGTTTCTGCACGTCAATGGCGTTGGTGACCTCGACCATTTGCTCCTCGGCAGCACTCAGATCGCTCTCTGCCTGTTCACAGTCGATTCTTACTTCTTGCAGTTCCTTCTGAAGTGCTTTGATGGCTCCTTGTGTCTTGGTCAGAGACTTCTTCAGCTCCACCAATGATTTTTCAAGTTCCTTCAGTTTACTGTCTTTGTTCTTGCTGAAGTCCTCCATATCCCTCTCGATCCGCTTCACATCTTTTGCCGCTTCTTCTTGTCGTGTCTTTGCCGTAGACATGTCTTCCTTCAATTGAGAGATTGAGGCCTTCATTTCTTCAATGGCTTGTATGATCGAAGAGGACGAATTACCAGAGATTTGCTCCTCGGCAAGCTTAATTTCGTGGGTCTTGAGGTCAAGCTCCTGCTTGACGGTCTTGATGTTGGCTAACTTCGCTTGCTCATTGCGCATGGTCTCCTGTAGTTCGCGCAGCTCAGCACGATACTTTTCAAGCTCTTTTGTGACTTCATTCAGTTTTTGAAGAATGACAAGAACACCACTCGAATTCGGCGAGCTGCCACCGGACAAAGTGCCAGACGGGTCATACACATCGCCCTCGAGCGTGACGCTCTTAAGCCGAACGGCTGGGTCAAATGTGACTCTCTTCGCAGTATCTGCATCCTGGCATATGAGTGTCGTGCCGAAAACATAATCCATGGCAGCTGAGACTTCGTGCTCGTATCCGATCAATGACAAAGCCAAGTCAACTTTTCCAGGTGCTATTTGTTGTGCCGCACCAACTTTTGCTGCTGATGCTCTGAAAGCAGAGATCTTGTTCAGCGGGATGATCGTGACCCTCTTCTTCAGCTTCCCGTTCTGCAGCAGCTGGGTACCGGTCTCGGCCGTGTCGACGACAACGTTGTAGAGCCTTCCACCGGCACAAATCTCCAGGGCGGTGCCAGCTACTGACTTCTCTTTGTCTAGAGTAAAAAGTTGAGCAACAAGACCTTTGACTCTGGATCGATCGAAGTTGGGAGAAGGATCACTGAAGTGGAAATCCACATTTGCGACCTTCTTCTTCAACCCATCCGCCTCTTGAGACAAACTTCGGATGCTCTTCTGAAGTGCAACCTCTCGCTCTCGCATAGCTTCTTCCCTGCCAGGGTCGAAGCCCATTTTCTGCAGATCTGCTTCAAGTTTCTGTGCTTGCTTCCGCAGCACCTCCAGACCTTTCAGTAGACCAGCATTTTGTTCTCTTGCTTTCTTGGCTCGAGGCTCATCTTCCTTGATGCGCTTTTCAAGATGGGAGATTTTTAGTTTCGCTTGTTCTTGTTCAGTACCAGCAGTGGTCAGCCGATTTCGTGCTTCTGAGAGTTGACCTTGGTAACCGCTTTCTTGTCCTTCCCGAGACGCAACACCTGTTTGTAGCGTTGATAGAAGCTCCTCCTTCTTCTCAACTTCGGCGTTTTGTGCATCCAACTCAGATTTTGCTCCATCCCATTTGGACTGAAGCTTCTCCAAGCTCTTCTTCTTATCAGCGACCTGCTTCTCCAGATTCTTAACGTTCTTGGCGATGTCCTTCTTTCGCTGCTCTTCCTCTGCCACACTTGACTGCTTCAAATCCAGAACGGTGGACAGTCGTACCAATTCATGACTGAGTTCTTTGACGCGATTTTCAAGCTCTTGAAACCGGCCACCTTTGCGCATCTCCTTTTCTCGTACCGATCGAACTCTTTGTGCGTCTTCGTCCAGATTTTCTATTTCGCGCTTAAGCTTGATGGCGTTGTCTTCTAGGTGTTGCACTTTGGCTCGTTTTGTTTCGTGTTCTTCGTTAGCAGACTTCATCTTATCACCGGCGCGAACGTAGTCCGCCGCGACCACAACGCGTGTCAGTCGTTCTAGTTCACTCTGTGTTTTTTGGTAGTCCAGCCATGCTCGTTTTTCACCACGAAGTTTGTCCAACTTGGGCTCGATCTCTTCTCTCAACAGGCCCTCGATTTCAACGACTTTCATCTCTTTCTTGGCCATCGTTTTCTGCGCCTTTTCTTTCCGATCCTCAAACATGCGCGTGCCAGCAGCCTCTTCGATCATGGCCAAAATTTCCGCTGCCTTCATATTCAGCACTTTGGTAATTCGGCCTTGCATAATGATAAAATTTGGGTTGTTGATGTTCAGACCGACGCTCTGAAAAAGGTTCTGGACGGTCGTTTGTTGTGCGCGGTGTCCATTGATAAGGTATTTGCTCGTTCCACCCATAACGATTTGTCTAGTGACGCTGATTTGGCCATACTCCTCAAATCCAATGGGACTTGTGCTCTTGTCACTGTTGTCGAACACAATGGTCACGCTGGCCTTGGTAACACCGGCTTGACCGCGCTTGTAGATAAGGTCCTGAAGGTTCTGCGCCCGTACGGTGGACATGTTCGTAATGCCCAGGACAAAACATATTGAATCTAGAATGTTGGACTTTCCTGAGCCGTTCAGACCAGTAACGGCGTTAAAACTCTGGTCCCAGCCAGAGATGACCGTTCTCTGGCTGTAGGACTTGAACCTGTGGAAGAAATGCGCGTTAGCCAGGCCAGCCGCGCAAGTGGTAAGCTCATGCAAGCGGTAGCATACCCATCGATGATAAGTTCAATGATCTTCATGGTTTATACCCTGTTGTCCTGTCTGCCTTTAACCCTTGTCGACGCACAAATCCTAGCAGGAAAAGGAAGGCAAGACAATACATACACATGAATCATGCGCATCCGTGGTGGTTTGTCTTGTTGACATTGCCAATTAGGGTTAGCGTCAATCATTATCAAGAAACGGCAGGTGGACCGAGAATCTTCAATTCCGCAGCCTTGGCACGATTTTCAGGAACCTTTCGGCGAGGTTGAATGCGTTGTACTGCGTGTCGCACAAGTTATCAGGTACACTGTCCCTCATATTTTGCCTATATACACGTTTCTCCTTGTGACGATTGGCACAATGGCTTCACTCTCGAGGAGCTTCTCTTCCTCCTCGACATCGATTCCGGTCTTCCTCGCCCCAGCTTTTGCACGGCCAGCAGCAGTAACAGCAGCAGTAGCTCCGACAGCGATCTTCTCGAGGACCTATGCCAGCAAACCGAAACGCAACAAGGCGCACCAAGTAGGCCAAGCAGCAGGCGGCGAGAGGAACAAACAACGAGGAGTCTCGGCGATCCGTCGAACGGGTCCCCGAACGACGCAGGGTCTATGGATGCATCCTCTGCCCGTCCCCGTGGCAAGAGACCATAGAGGAACGGACGCACAATACGCAGGATCGGACGACCACGGGCTATGGGGGTTTTTCAACTCGGACAAGAAGCCCATGCTCGCTCCAGACGTCGAGTCGAGTCACGGTAAGCTTAGCTCCATTTGTACTCGTTCTCTTTCGTTTCCTTTCCGTCCGATATCCCGCAAAGGCCGGAAAAGTAGCTTTTTACTAATGAATCATTCAACCCCCCTTAGGCCGCTCGTGGGCATACTCGGAACTCGCGCAGAAATCCTACGAGGATCTACACAAGCTGTACTGGGTGTGCGTGAAGGAGCAAAACATTGTCATGACCCGGGAAAAAGAACGGAAGCGCCTGAGAGCAGGATACGGTGTTGCTGAGCACGAGGAAAGAGTCAAAACAGTAGGTCCACCCGCAGTCGTCACACTTTCGGTCCCCATAAGGATCTGATTTCCTCGGGTTCGTTTCGGTATTATTCCAGCCATGCTAACCACTTCGCCGTTCTTTGTTCGTTATTACTAGATCCGCAACACAATGTACCGCATTCGAGATGTTCTCGCTGATCGACAGTTGTCATGGGAAGATGCGCGAATGTTGTACGGCCAAGGAACGAACGTGGAAGATATGCTTGCACCGCCTCAGCAGCAGGAGACGGGAGACGAGATGGCAGAGTTTGAAGATTATGACGAACCACTTCAGGACGTGGACGCTTCGTCAGTGGACGGTACTGGCAAGAAGCCGTTCCATGAGCCTCGATTATGAACATGGCCGGTACCGAACGTACGCTGTGGAATGGACTGACTTGGTAAAGTACCTGTACCTCGTAGCGACAAATGTTGGTGTATTTATCTGGACTCTGTAAATTTAGGAGGAGATTTTGTAACAATCTATGAAAAATGTACATCATCATCCAGAAGGTACATCTATGTAATGTACTGTACGTTGTGGACCTGTGGATAAAGTATCTACGTACATTTTCGAAGGTATCACATCGAGTGTCTGGAAGCGTCGAGATTGTCACTGTGATTGTATCTTTAGCTCGTCGTATCATCATATCTATTTGACAAGTCTTGACCTCTCGCTAGTTCTATCATCAAGGGCATAATCTGTTCATGATAGCGAGAAATACTAATACTGCCTGCGGTCGCCATATGTCGTATGCCCGTTGTCATGCCAATGTCGTTGTGTCATCGTCGTCGTCGTGATTATCTATCTACCTGCGTATATTCCGTGTCTCCTACCTGGATCCTTAGGCACCTGATACGTTATCGTCCCTGTCTTTCAGCCCACCCGACCCAGCGTCTAATCACCTCGTCTACGCCCTTTAACCCAGCCCTCGTGGCCTCGATCTCGAACCACTCCTGGTGCATGCGACCACAGGCCTCGCACTCGGCCTTGACGACTCGCTTCTCCGCGAGTTCAAGATGGATGAGGCGCTCGACGCGGTGGACGTGTGGGACCTTTCTGTTATCCGCCTCCCTCTCCCCTTGGCCCTGCCGGAGACCGAGGCCACTTGATCGAGGATCGGCAACGGCGCTTGGAGCCTGAGGCGAGGCACGGCCTGGTGTGTAAGGATAGTATCGAACAAGCGTTATGTTCTGACCGCACTGCTTCGTCCACTGCGTCATGCGGCGGTGCACGTTCTCGGCCCGTCCGATCTTGAGCATCATCGTGCGCCGCACGCGGCCTTGCGGGCCGCGGCGGCGGACGGACGCGTATCGCTGGAGAGCTTGGGTCGAGCGCGCGGATGGACCGGCGTTGTGGTCGTCATCGTCGAGTAAAGAAGATGCTGCCTCGTCGTCCGGTTTCGAGGTCTCAGACGTAGGTGTGAGCCAGAATATGTAGATGTACCCTGTCTCGTCCGCCGGGGATATCGGGCGCGATAACTCCGTGAGCAGCAGGGACGTGGTCTGTGGAGAGAGCGTGGATGGAATGAGAGACAACAACGCTCCTGTTTCGGAGTGTGTCTTGGACGGAAGAGACGAAGTGAGGGTTGGACGAGGTGATGTAGCAGATGACTGGAGGTTGTGGAGTGGTCTGGGCATGTCCTGTCGTTGGGTCATACTTGGTCGTGCAGGTGCAGGTGCTGGTTGTTCTGGCCGCATCGATGGTCTCGTGTATACGTACCCATTGCCACCACTTGACGGGTGAGGAGGCCTCGAAGGGCGATTTCTTTCTTGAGGTCGACGCGTTCGAGGAGGTGGGTAGCCATCATCGTCGTCGTCGTCCGCCGCTTGGATGCAGCATGCCCAGGATAACTTGACATTCGACCTCGGTGGTGGTGGCGGCGGGGGTGGACGTGTATGGTGGCTCCGATACACCATATTCTCGGGTACTTTCATGATCGGGCTCTGCATATCTGACCATCTAGCCGGAAGAGTCTCACGTCTCGTCGGACGGTCGTTATGTGGTTCGTGCCGTCGGCGATGTCGTTTCCGCTCCGGGACACTTTCGTCCAAATCTAATATCCCAACCCTCTCGACCAGGGTGTCGATACTTGATTTCTCTTTCAGCGGATATAGAGTTGTTTTAGGTTGTTGAGTAGCCGCCAACTCTTCGGCTTGGTCTTTGTGTTGCCAACAGTAGAACGCAGCCGCATTCTGTTCATCCAACACTGCGAGAACACCTACACCTCTCATTGGTGATGGCGCCGGAGACGTCTTGGGGGAGGCGGCTAGGGCTCTTCGACACGGCCGACCTGTGGATGTTATGCCTCTGCATGTGGTAGCGGGGTTCTTCGAGTCAGATCGAGGGAGTAGAGATTCAGGAGTGCGTCCACTGAAGGACATCTCAAGGAGTAGAGTCTTTGTCTGCTTGATCAGCCTATTTCACAATGAACTGAACGATGGACGTCAGAAGTCAGCAGTCAAAAGAGTGTAACAGCAAGTGTAGAATTGGTTAGCTCTGGCGAGAATACTGTTAAGGCTTCGAACAAACATGTCATTTGGATCGTTTGCAGACGAAATGCAGAGCATCATTTGGTCCCCAGCGAGACGGAATCCTGTGCCTGGTAGTGACAAGATGCAAAGCCGAGTTCTTGAGGTTGAGTTTATCGGATGATTGGATACACGTCAAACGCGTCTGTGGGTTGGATGTGGCTGGTGTTTGTTGGTGTGGGTGGCTGGGTTCACGGAATCTCCTCAAGGGGCGCAGCCTCGTCGCAGCCTCCCTGAGTCTCCCAGGTTTGTGAAGAGAAGAGTAAATAGAGACAGATCAGCTAGGTACACGTCACTCCAGGTGTTGGAATCTACACAATCTATGTAATAGTCAAAAATGTGCATAATGGATGCTAGATATACACGCGAAGCACCAAATAATATGTACTGCATCTAAAAAAAAGAGCATTAATTTCATGTCTTGTTCTTCCTCCTCCTCCGTTCACGCCAGTTTCAACCCGCTCAGGAAATCAAGTGCATCGTCTTGAGCGCTCTCCAACTGGGCAACTCGCTGCTTCAATGCTGTCGACTCTGCCCTCATCACGTTTATAACATCCCATGCCTCGCTCGTGTGCATGCCATGACAATTTGGGCAATCTTCCCGCGCACTCATCATAGAAACTTTCGACACAGGACTTGCAGCAGACGTTGTCTTTGACGAGGCCGGCGATAGTGGCTCCGAAAATACACTTACAACGGAACTGACGTCGGATCCCAGCTCCGACTCACCAGAAGTCGAGACATCGGAAGACCGTTGTCTTCGGTACCTTGACCTGGGTGTGGATTCGGCCTCACTTGGACCGTCATCTGACACCATCCTGACACTTTGCTGCCGAGACGTAAAAGTGTCTAGGGACGATCGTTGTGCCGCTAATTCTGCTCGTAGGCGTGCAATCATTCTCTCCTGCTCCGTCGCCCTCTCGGCCATCTCCTGTAATTGCATTTTCAAATGCTCATTTCTCGTTTGCGCAGCGTCTAGTTCGTCCGATTGAACATTCTTGGCTGACGTGATCTGCTTCAGAGACAACTGCTGTTCTGTATAGGCATGTTGGAATCGACGTATAGTGCCTTCCGCGTTCTGCTCCAGGTTCTTGAAAGCAGCGGGTGAGTATTCATCTGGGCGTCCATGTGGGTAGAGCGCCTGCTCAACGTTCATATTCACCAGTTCATCTTCTCCCAGGGTCTCGTGCGGTAGTGACACCGTGGACTTGCGAAAGAAGCTGAATCTCGAAGTGCTCGCATTCGTGGGCCTCTCCTGGGATCGGCGAGTGAAATTGTCTTTGGAACTGTGACCAGCAGAGAATATAGCGTCCATCGTCTCTGTCTCGACGAGAGGGTCTGTCTTCTCTTTCCTCGGGGATGGAACTAGTGTTATGTTGACTGGTTCTGAACTTCCTTCAAACCAACTTGCCAGCCTCTCTACGGCTCCTGTTGGTCTTCTCTTTGTGACTGACAGTTCGGCTGAGACACTCGACTCAGCGGTCTCTGCGACAGAAACTCTCTCTGGGGATACTGTGCGAGTGCTTTGAGGGCGTAAAAAGGGTAGAAATGTCGAGGCTCGTGTAGGTGAGGACGAGGGAGTCCAGGCAGACAATGGTGGTAGTTCTACCGCAGTTCTTAATCGTTGAAGGCCACTGGTAGGAATTGGAGGAGGAACGGATATCGGAGTGTCATCTTCCACATCTAAACACGACTGGCGTGGTGGTGGTTGAGCCAAACGGTCTTGGAACTTGTCTCGAGACATGTCGGATGATGCAATTCGACGAATTGAAGCCTGCAGGGTTCGGGGTCTCTGATCTGCGCCTTTTCCCGGATTCATTCCAGAACTGGCCTTCGAGTCCTGTCAACTGCTTGCTTTCTGTGTTCCCGAGGCCAATAGTTCGTGCTTCTTGTGTACCTGACACTCTCCTGACGGCGCAGGACGCAGCTGAACGGTGGGTTGGACTCAACGAAATGCTGAACGGATACCCCGCTTTACACACGGATTCTCAGGAGATGCTCAACTGGTGATCTGAGCAATAGACATGGCATGAGGTTGGTGTTCATCTATGCGCAAGCGAGAGTATTCAGAGGAGATGCGTACGAGACGCAGGCGAGACCGTGCGATGGCCTGCCTTTCTATTTTTCGTGATCTCCAGGTGTTCGGTCTGAAATCAACGTGGTTGGCGTCTTAGCGGGCGTCGGAGTGGATGTGAACAGGCTCTTTAGGCGTCCTCGTGGGAACCTTCAGCCACACGAGGCTGGGAATTAAGTAACTTTGAGCATCGTCCCCACCAAACGGTAAAGGCATCACACCCCGTCTGGACCGATGGCCTGTTTCATCTGGTGCACTATTCCCAGGGCTGCATCCATTCTTCATGTCTCATTAACTACGCGAATTCCCTGCTGTGTCCGTTGTTTCAGTATTGGATCCCCTGTGCAACTACCCTGTACGTCTGCATACTCTATTCTACGCACTTGAGAGTCACCAAATCGCGATTTGACGCAAGCTCTGCTAAGTGCGTAGAGAGTCACCAAATCGCGATTTGATGCAAGGTCTGCTTTCGAAGAAGTCAAAACAGTCAAGTACTACAAACACACTCCCTTGGTACCTGTTCGACGCCCCTACTTTGTCATATCGTCCGAGAGAATGAGATCAACACAGCCTTCATCTCTGCCGAAAATCCCACTTCCGGGTTTGTGAGTTGAACGTTGTAAGTTGTGAGATGGTCCGATGGTGCGATTGTGCGATCACTTCCTGAGAAACCAGATTGCTCTCACTGGTTGCCACTATCGGGAATAACACCCTTTGCATGACCCAAATCCTCCGGGAGCACCCTGTCCCCGACCCTGACAGGGGCACTGTCCTGGAGGACGAAGATCATCCTGGCCCAGTGCGTCGGACTCGCGTTCTTCCAGGCGTGCATTGTCCCGCGCTGCACGGCGACGTCGCCCCTTTTCAGGGTCCTGACCTCGCCCGAGTCCAGGTGCAGCTCGATCTCGCCCTCGACCACGATGCCGTAGTCGAGGCTCTTGGTGCGGTGCATGAGCGCCTCGCCCGCGGGGGCAAAGTCGACGGTGCGGCACACGGTGCCGTTCGGCCTGACGAGGCCCAGCGACCCGGACGACATGACCTCGTCGTGCTTCGCAATGTCCGCGTCGTCGTCCATGCGCACAGGCATTTCGGACGTCGTGAAGCTGACGTTGAAGTGGTTCGTGTCCTTGATCGCTTGCCACGCAGCCGGCCTCACGGACGCGTAGATGGCAGTGTAGTCTTTGCTGTTGTGGCCGGTGATGTATGTGGTTGTGTCCCGGAGGGGAGAGGCGCTGCTGGCTGTGTGTTTGGAGATCGGGTCTGAAGAGGCCATGGTCGTAACTTAGCCTGGAGAAGAATAAATATATTCCGAAATGGTATGACGCTTTGTCGGAAGATGAAGACTGAGAATAAATACCGGCTTCGACGATGGAATAGAATAGTTCGAAAGTAAGTGTGTAAGTATGTCAGTTGGTAAGTAGAAATGAGACTTCGATCGCTCGCTCACTCACTCACTCACTCACTCAGACCCCGCGGTATTTATTCACATTTCTCCGTGGGGTAGGACAAGGTACCTAATCACTCGAACACCAGACGGCACACCGAGTGATGAAACCGTTCGGTGTATTCGGGTTATTGTGCACTATTTTGCCGTTTGGCATTGACCATACCCCGTACGGGGTTTTGAGGGAGTAGGAGTGGATGTCCAGACTACTCCGTACATAATAAAATTTTACCAATGGCTCGTTGATTCGTTTCTCCGCAATTTTACGGAGTCGGGTGGCTTGATAGGAAGATCGCATACGACGGTGACAGTAAGAGTTCAACACAGTGCTCACTAAGAAGATGGCATAAAATAATATGATGATCGGTTCTGTTTTAGCGAGTACGGGGCATCCGTTCTCCTCTGCTCTGTTCACCTCGGCAGGGCGGGTATTTCACGGGTGCTTTGGGGGGGGGGCGGGGGTTCCAGGTCAAGTGTTGAATTGAATTGAACCTTACGCGGCTTTACAAGAACGAAGAACTGACCGAGGCAACAATCGCCAGTATGGAGTAGTGGCCTTGATTACTCTTCCGATACGGAGGAGGAGTACCGCATTCCTAAACATCAAACCTGCTTCTTCAATTTCGTATTCGGACACCCCAACCTTCTTTTTCTATTCTGTTTTGAGAGGCTGCCTCCGGGTATCCAGGCACTGGTCTCATACAGATCTCCACGCAATCCTGCATTATCTTTCACACCAGCATTCGCCAATTTGACCGAGGGTCGTGGACCGACATCTGAGAATCACCATCCATACTTGGGCAGACAAGGGTTGATCGTCCGACTCTTCGAAAATGGGGGTAGAAGCACACAAGGCTGCGTCACTGACGCTCTTGCATCCAAACTCGAAACAGGCGAGAGAAAAGGTAAGACAGCCCAGGCGAAGAAGCCGTGACGTTAGACGAGATCAGACCCTACCAAAGTGATGGGGAGCGGGCGGGGAGTCTGGGATCATGGTCTTCTCATACTCAAGACGGTCCATCATGGTTCTCCTCTGCTAACCACACCTTGCTTCCTCTGTCAGGTACTGCATACGCTCGTCTCCAAAGCATCGTTCTTTCGCGTCGCCGAGGCCGAATGTCTAAGTTTCACATACTTCACGCCTGCGACCCGCAAGGGGGCCATGTTGGGCATGGTCCCAGCCTCTGAAAAGGATACCATTGTCGGGGTCGTCCAGACGTTTCCTAGTCTACCAGCGGCGTCCGAAGCAGATCATTTCTTCAAGCTGTCCGACGTGGCAGCCACCGAAATCGATCATGCCACGTGGTTTCCGACTGCCGGGTTCGTGGCGAGGACAGGTCAACGAGAGACGCCCAAGGCGAAGATCGTAATGCTCGCAAAGTTCGTCTGCAAGGATGGAGAAGGCATGAGGGAGAAGTTGGTGGATGTTCTCGGGTGAGATCCCTCTCGTTTCGTCTCGTCTACAGACTTATTCTGGCTCTACTTCTACTCCTGAGGAGCCCTCTACCATCTATCTCGCGTGTGCGGTACTAACAGTCCGCTTCAACAGAAATTTCTGTAACTGGGTGGAAGCAAACGAGCCGACGACCTTGACGTACTGCGTCATGACACGGCCGGATGCGCCGCAGGAGGTTCTCATGGTTGAGCGGTACAAGGATCTACCTGCCCTCGGCGTCCACGGGAAGACCAAAGAGTTCAAGGCAATGTTGTAAGTAGTAGCTGTTGTTGTTGTTGTCGTTGTCGTCGCCGTCGTCCTCGTCGAGCCATGCTATTTACCTAGCTCCCTGGTTGTAAAAGGACCTTACTGACCACCATTGGCACTCAACAGCAAAGCAACCGGACCGTACGTGCAGGGTAAAAAGACTATATTGAGTGAATGGGAAGAGCAGGAGGGTAGTTTCGTATCAAACTCTCCTGGCGGAGCGGGCGTGCCCAAGGCCAAGCTGTGAATAATGTACACTTACATTATTGTAGACCTCATTTGTTCACGGTCGCTCTTCGTCAAATGATATGCTTTCTGTTCATGGACCGTGTATGCCTACCTACATCCTACCTAGGTACTTACCGGCCTACACAAGATGCTTCAACTACCTTTGGGTGCCTACATACCGCAGCTACCCAAGAAGTATAGTGGAGTCCACTTACCAAGTGCAACGTAGAACGTCCTCGGTGGGAAAACAACAAAGGTAGGAGCCAAAATGACACTATTGTTCTTTGAGAGAACCTTGCGGCTGTGGACTCTCACTGCGATCAATACCTCTCTACAATATCTACCTTACGTAAGGAAACTACCTGAATGCCGAGGGTGGTTTCTTTCTCCTGTGCAACACAATATACACGAGATGTCCGTACGCGTGACAGAATAGAATCTCTCCGACCATAAGGTCACGACTCGCACTCGTTACTCAGACTCGGACTCCTACAGGGCCAGGGGCTCAAATGTCTCAGCGTACGGTGTCGAAGGAACATGACAATTGTTCGTTCATTGTCTACTCCGTACTAGATGTGTATATATGTATATATCCCTTTTGCCTCCCAAGACTCATTCCCATTACCGAGTATGCCTTCGCATACATACTCCGACTGCACAGCCCCATTCACACCCCAAAAACTCATACGTGCTACAGAGTACAACCGACCCAGCGCCGTTGATGCAGAACAAAGTGCGTATCCAAAAAACACTTCTTCCTAGCTCCTGATTCGCCTCCGTGTACGGATACCGGACCCAATAGAGCTTCGCACAAGATCCACGTTGTGGAAGCCAATACCAAGTTGCAGTGTATTATAAGTTGTCGACAAGTAACCATTCTTTTCTTTAAAATCATATGCTCTGTACAAGGCTGTGCTTTCTTTCGTTCCAGAATCTAAGTTGATACGCCCGAGTTGGTAATCTGGTAGTGGTGTTTCCTCATATGTGCAGCAAGATTAAACAAAAATATCCCGTAAGCCATGATCATGTCGTCGTGATCGATGTGATGCTGTCTAGATGTAGAAGAACGTGGCCGCGAAGATGACAGAGGTAAAGACTGTGGTGAAGGTGTACTCGAATTCGAACCACAACGTCTGGCCGCGGAAAGCAATCGTCTTACTTTCCTTGGTAGGATGCGCAACGCCGGTCTTGGGGTCTCGAACGAGCAGAGACTCGCGATCAGGCATCGATGGTGGGTCAACGGCATAAGTGAACGGGATCCAGAAGGAAGATACAACCATTATCCAAGACAAGGGCACCCACCTGCAATTTAGTTAGCAAACACGTCCTAGGGGTGAGTCAGAAGTGGCACGTACCATGCATGAGTTAGATTCTCGATCAGCTTGGCTCTAACTCCATGCTGAAGGAACGCTCGATAACTTGACAGCGTGACGGCAACCAGAACCCAGTAAACGTATGCGACATGAAATCCAGCAAGATAATTGACCATGACTGTCCATATCCGTCGCCACATGGGCGCTCTCAACTTGGGATTTCGCTCGTTCAGAGCGGATTGGAGACTGCCGGTAGGCTTGAAGGCCTGAGTTTGGCCACCGAGCCATGTGGGGAGAATGAAGGAGCGGATGATGGTCAGCGCAATGTAGGGGCTCATCCACAGCTGTGACCGGCTGCCCCGCTGTCCAGTGTGATATCCAGCAGGGATATAGAGGACAAATTCACACAGACGGTTACAGATGGTGAGCGCGAAACATGTTCTGATCAGCAATCTGAGTTCGTCGTTGTTGGAGTAGGCCACGAGAGGCTTGTTGATAATGAGGACGATGGGCATGGCGAAGATTGAAAGCGTCAAGAAGATGTTGAACAAACTCAGAAAGGCGTAGATAAAGCTCGACATTCGCTGTGCGAAAGTCATGTGTTTGACATCGTCGCCGTAGAGACAGAATTTCAGTTTAAATGAGGTGTCGACTGTTCCAATAGCCCATCGGGTACGTTGCTTCAAGTGACTGCCGTAGTCTTCGGGCACGGTGCCAAACTGCAGCGGCTCGTGAATATAGGCCGTCTTCCAGCCCCGACCGAGCAGACGTGTAGATGTTGCTACATCTTCGGCGAGCGAACCCAGAGGAAACCCTCCAATTTGATCGAGAGCCATCCTTCGAACGACGTAGCCGGATCCTGTGCACCAGGCAACGCCCATGGCATCCTTGACTGGCTCCGACACGTGGACGAAGAAATCAAGACTTTGGCAGAGAGGGTCGCCCTTTGGAACGTTGTAGAAAAGTTGAGGAGGGCATGCGAGACCCATCTTCTCATCCAAAAGCATGTGTGGCATAACGGCTCGCAACCAGTGCTGTTCTGGAATCATATCGGCATCCAAAGCCGCCATGTATTCGGAGGCACCTCCTGGCAAGTTGTGAACTTCGTCCAGACCATAGTTGAGATTTCCAGCTTTGAAGTGATGGGGCACGCCTGGGAACTTTGGACGGCGCATGTAGTACAAATTGGGGAAGAGCTCGCGCATGTCGTTCAGTACTTGCTTGAGGTGGTCTGATTTCCCGTCATCCAACAACACAACACGGAACCGATCCATGGGATAGTCCAAATCACAAGATGCTCGTACCGTGTCGAGAATGACGTCGTCGTCTTCGCCGCAACAGGTGATGAAAACATCGACTGTGGGAACGTCGTTGCCGACCAGTCGAAGCTGAGGTCGCCGTCTCTTCTTCATGATGAAGAGCGACCAAAAGGTCTGCATAAAGATTGGAATCGCAACGCTAATTTCAATGGCAATGAACACCCAGGCCAAAGGAAAGGGTGCGTGGAACTTGGTCTGGGCTTGGACGACAAAGGTAATTCGCATGCCAAAGTAGACCCAGTATAAAGCAAGAGTGGTTATTCCCAGTACTGGTGCCACCCACCTGAACAACCACTTCTTCCAGCCGTAGATGAATTCTTTGTCATCTCTCGACTTCAACTGAGCAATTGAGCCGTCTTTGACCCAGTCCCTCCTCATATATGTCTGAGGAGCATCGGGCACCAGCGGCCTGAGCGTCTCCTGACTCCTCCAGGGTGTGCCCGCGGGATATGGGGAGCCGCCCGGGTATGGCGAGCCAGAGTTGTAGGGTGAGTTGTTCATCGTGCCGGCATCTGACATGGCAGAGTTCGCTCGAGGGCCAAAGGGAGGGTAGTGCGAATGGTGTGGTGAGTCGATAGGGCTGCCCTCGATGCTCTCTGGCCCGAGATCAGACAATGTTCGGTTGTGGTATTCAGACATGGGAGGCCTTCGGGGAGTGAGGCTCTGCTGCTCTTGTAGGGGCACATCCTCTGTATAGTTCCCGTAGACTGGGTGGGCGGACGGTGGCTCGAGATACCGATCCATGCCTTCGTTCAACGTGATGCTCGAAGCTTCCGCTGAAGACTTGCTTTCCATCATGAGGTTCTGTTGAGACCTCCTTGGATCGCCTTTTCGAAGGAGAGGCATGTCGTGAAGGATGGTTGGAGGTTTTTTTGGGAGCTTGGGGTAGGATGGAATGTTGTGAAGTCACGCTAGAGGGCTGGTGGCTCTGATCAAATTGTGGTCCGGGGTCGTGAGATTAGATGGACTCGTGCCTCATGTTTCAACTGCTGACCCAGCTGCCGTAGATTAGTCGGTATAATGTTTATAGATCGCGAGGTAAGGACCGCAGGAAGCGAGTGTGTGGTCGAGTTGAGGAGTGAGCGAGAGTGTGGTAAGGAGTAGAGAGAAGCCCGACTCTTTGTTTTGGGCTCTTGCTCTCAAGCGACCGTAAAGTGAGCGATGCAGGATAGCGAGAGGCTGCACGGAGTACGAAGGGTGAAGGGAAAGAAGGCAGGTAAATTACACGCCGTGAGGTGACCAGACAAAGAGGGCGAGTGACTGGAGCTGGAGCAAGAGCAGCCGGGCATCGCTGGGTTTCAAATTTTGGATTGACAGTTCCGGGATTGGATGGTGTTGAGCGAGGTGGGTAAGGAGACCGGCGATGGTCAGTGCTAGTTTTTTTGCTATCCGTCCAAGGACCGTCGCAGAGTTGCAGTCCCAGTATCCGACCAACCCTTTCGTCATGCATCGGGCGGCGCTTTTTTTCGACTGGGAATTACACGGATCCTAGATCTACCGCGGTCTACGGTACAGGGGGAGACTAATTCCCAGTTTTCCCGCCCGGCATCTCGCTTCGACCATGTCGGGAGAATCGGGGCTTGAGGGAGAAAATCATAGCACCAGACATTAAGTCTAGACTACAGACGCTGCACACTATGCATTTCCCGTCAAGATTAGACCTCCCGGAGAGGGGAGAGGGCGCCATCCCCAGCTTTGTTGTCCGGACTCAAAGATGGAGCGAGCGTGTGGTTGTTGGCTGGCTTATCTCGGATGTCCGCTGATACAGAGGTCCAGTGCCTTCAACTGGGAGGCTGTGGCGGGCTATCAACGCGCGTACTGTTCTGTGCTGTACTTGTACTGTATGTACGTATGTACGTATGTCGTCCTACTAGGCTGGGCTGGGCAGGGCTGGGGACAGGGATAAAAAAAACAACACGCGCTGTTTGCAGGTAGCAGTGACAGGGCTCGAGTCGTCATGCCCACTTAGTGATCGATCCTTGTAAGTTGTGTCGTAGTTGTCGTACGGGTATCAGGAGCTATCTGACTCTCTTTTAGTCGCCTCCTCGTATCAATTAACATTCAGTATTGTGCAAACAAACATTGCCGGGCCCCTACAAGCCCTACAATATCGACGTACAAGGTTTTCATGGTTCGCCCAAATAGCTTAAGCGACAATAATTTTGCTTGGGGCCAGTTCAACGGGCGATAGGCGAGCCGCCTGTGACTGGTGGGTGCAGACTCCAGGGCAAAGCCTGAGCAACGTAAGGATGGCCTCGAAGCAGCAAGGCTTCCGGTGGTGATGGGCGAGGCTCAACCAACAATCTGCGGGCCCTTGAGCCCCCTGGAGCCCCTTGGCCAAGGGTTGCATGGGCCTAAGCCCCCAGGGGGTTTAGCGGGCTGCACTGACGACCAGCCGCCTCCCGGGATTTTCGCTGGCAAGGACCGCCACCCATGCAAGAACGGCGCTTGTTTCTCTTGCTCTCGCCTCTGGGTGGCCCTCAACGCCCGCCAAACCCAAACCTTGTTTACCAGCACGGACAATCTCATCTCTCGCCAGTCGCTTTGTTGTGTTTCTGCCTTGGTCGGACTAAAAGTCCCAGTTGATCCGTCCTCCGTCCACTACCGTAATCGCCCTCACTTCTCCCTCAGCTGGTGACCGACGAGCTACTGCTAATAGGTTTGCTGCTAACTAAGTCCTCCGCAGGGAGTAATAATTCAAGCACCCTGCTGTGCCCATCTACACGTCACTCTCTGTCCCATCCAATTTTCCGCTGGTCTACAAAGCCTCCTTTCCCAGTCTAGGCTCTGGCTCATTCCTCCGTACCGAGAAGTGCCAAAACAGCGTCTTGCCCCTCTTGTCAGATTGTCCTGTCAAAATCTCCTCATACGAGCCAGACGTCGCCTCTTTTGCCTCTACGAGTGACCGGCGTATGTGAAATCGCCAACCAGTGAAACCCCCTTGAATCACCACCCGCACACCACACCACACCACGCCACGCCCATCCTCGTCCATTCTGCCTCCCACCCGATAATATTGTACGAGGACTCCGTAAACCTCTCTGTGTCTCGATCACTGCTTTCATCACAATCAGCATCTGGCGAACTCCAGTCTCTCGTTTCGATTCATCTACCCTCCATATTGCGTCCTCAGCTCTTCTTCTACGTCTTGCCGCCACTTATCTGTCCGTCATCATATCTACAAAGAGCACTGTTCGAAATCCCACTTTCTGTCGACAACCATGGGGATTAAATCGCTCATCAGCTACGGTTTCCTCATCCTCCCTGTGGCCGTCACCCTAGGAGTCTTACTCGGCCTTCGATCCTATCGAGTGTCGCATGGGTTCGCACCGCCGTTTGTGAGCAACAAAATCTCGCACAAGCAGTACTGCCAATTGTCCTTCGGTATTTCTCCTTCGACGACCGGTCAGCAATACACACGTGAGTACCCCCCCCCTTGTTGAATGCCTTTTGCTAGCTTAAACCGACAAAAACTTTGTCGGTCTTCCCACCTGCCGATAGTCTGGTGCCTTGCATCAGTGACACTCCGTGGGTGGTCAGGTTTCCCGCTTGTTCCTGGGACTTGAACCTGTTCGGCCTGGTTGTGGTCCACCTGCGACAGTGTCTTGCATTGTTGGCTGCGTCGGCATTTGACCTCTCTGGACCTCCGTGAGCTAGCCTACTTTCGGGATGGCTTGTCTCTCTTCCTTGTCCACCAATCATCGCCCTCCTCGATCTCAGAAGCTGACTAAAAGTGTGCAGTGAATCCCAATCAATGGGGTGTCATTGAGGATACGACCGTTGGTGGCCTCTGTTTGAACGTGAGTCCTCGACCAGGAGCCATGTTGAGCGTATTCTTGTGTTGTCGTACTGATGTAGCAAAAGGTCACCTCGTTCGACAACGGCTCCTATCCAACCAGAACTACCGCTCCGGAGTGGTCGATCACCTGGCAATTCGACCAGGGCCCTCCTACTCAGCCTGTCCATGCGTTTCCCAACATCCTAGTCGATCCAGACAATAACGTTCTCCCCGTCGAGATTTCGGCTGTGTCTGCAATCAACATTACAACGGAATGGCACTACGGAGTGGGCACCAGCCTTCCAACAGACACCAATACTGCCGAGCTCACCAATGCCGAACTCAATGCCAACGTAGCCATCGATATGTTCATTGACTCCAACCAACACGCCGCCACAAGCACAAGGGATGCGAAATACGAAGTCATGATCTGGCTTGCGGATTTTGGAGCCAGTACTCAACCCATCGGTCTTGAACAGGGCTCCCGGAAGACCGTAGACATTGGTGGCACAACCTTCAACCTTTACTTTGGTGTGAACGGTCAGCAGCAGACGGTCTTGACCTGGGTGGCAGCTGGTACCGTCCAGAGCATCTCTGCCGACTTCAAGCCATTGCTAGAAGACCTGACCGCTGTGGGAGGACCCAGTACTACCGATTACCTAGGCTATTTGGCGTTTGGTTCAGAAGCTCTGTGGTCAACAACGAATGTCACCTTCTCCAACCCGGTCCTGAGCATGGATATTGTCACCTAATGATTGACACGCAGAGATGCCTAGCACAATAAATCCACCGGCATGCGAGCACAAGATCTATAATCCTTTCCGATCTTGATACTCTACAACCGGTGGGAGGCGCGCACGATCCTCGACGAACCCCCGAAATGGCGTCCTCTGAGCTGGATCACCTCCGGGCTGTAAGATTAGGGGCAACTTCCATGCACACTACAGCCTCCGTACAGATCTCCGACATGTTTGCACAAAATCACAGTTCCTCGGCCTCTCGGAAGCATGGAATCGACCCAGTGACTCGATCGACCATGAAAATTGTACCGATACTTGGCTACGCTCTATCCGATCCTCAAGCGGGCGGGACATGACAATGGATAAATCTTGCCTGTGGTCTCTGCGGCAATGGGCCACCACACTTCGTACTTGCTCGACCGATCACTGCTGTGATATGGAACCATCGACAATCCTGGACAGGACTCGAAGGGCATAGCTATATTCCCTCATAATACTGGGTTTGATGACTCTGCCGGTGCTGGTGTGTGTCAAGCACAGAGATTACCCCGGTTACATCCGGCTCCAATGCATGCAAGAACACATTCAATCGGTGGCATATCATTTATCGTATTGGAGGAAAATACGCCGGGGTCTTTTTTCTTTTCGAGACGATGTACTGTACCGTACGGAGTAGAGGACGGATTATTGTCCGGAACAAGCGTAGGTGGCAAGTTGGCAAACCACAAGTGTTGCCGAGCGCTGGTCGAATTACTTGTTTCACCTAAAATTAACCAGCAGAGTTGGCTGTGTCCATTTTTAGATGCATTCGAAAATATCAAGACATATGGAGAGGGCGGAGTATAGAGCAGTCAATCATTTCCTCTGCTTGCTTGATTTCGCAATTTCTTTGTATTGGTGGAAGACTTGACACGAAGTCTTCCGTGAGTTTTTCTCGTGGTGTCGGCTATGGGAGCTGAACAGTACCGTGGGGGTGTGTGCTAATTGATAAGTCACTCCAATCGCTGGAACGCTGCACACGAGCTCATACACACTGACTCGTTTGTCTCCTCGATTTCTTCAGCCGTGGCGAGTGACTTTGAGCCTCTACGAGGCTGGAGCTCAGTCCCAGTGATCATCGTCCCTACAGAGTACATACCATTGTACTCGTGGCCACCAAAGAGATTCCTTTTCCACCCGGTTTTGCTAGGTAAAATGTCCGCACAAGGACTCCGCGAAACACGAGTTCCCAGGAAATGCGTGGCTAGAATTACTTTCGATTGGATGCATGGAGATGGCGGTGTGTAGAACGCCCTTCAATGCAAGCACCTTGTCCGACCTCGTTGAAATTCGACTTGAGTATGAGGATATAGTACGGGATATTTAAGTGAGCACTGCATGATCCGTACTCCGTGGAGCGCGGGAATCTTATCTTACAGCCTCATAGGAGTAACCCTTTTTGAAGCTGTGGCTCAAGCACCCTCCTCCTCCCTGTAATCTGCTGAGCATATACATACCTGCACAAGAGGGCTGCATGAACGGGCCCGCACCCCCAGGTCACTCGCACATCTCTATATTTTTTGCTCGTTGACAAGGCTGCCATCGCATTCTTTTCAGTGGAAATTACTTTTAAACTAGATTCTACTGCTCATTCATTGTATGCGCTCCTGTAAAATGAGAATTATCTGCGAAGGGTTTCTAGAACAATATAAATCAATGGGAGTTGACCAGGGGGTGGCAGTTCGTTCATGCTACCCTCTTGTATGCCTGGTAAAGAGGCTTGATGATGACGGCGGGAGTTGTGTTTCATGGCTGACGTTCCAGATTATCCGAAGTACATTCACGCCAGTTTCACGTCCCTCGCAACCTTCAGCATGAAATGGTTTGTGCGGCCGTAGTTCGTCTTAGACGCCGACTCTCACAGCACTGATAGCCGCGTTAGGTATTTGTACTCGTTTGTAAGCGGAGAAGATGCAGATGCAGATGAGAATCCCGTCATTGATTACTATTGGTTTCCAACGTCCTCGACACAGATGTACCCGGACACCGGGACTTTCCCGCTGATCTACCTGCTTCCGTGCCCTCACGAAGCGGGAGATGGCCGAGATGAACATCCTCAAGGACTGAGCATTGCAAGAGATCAACCTCGCATACTTGCCACCGATTCTCGGGAATTACGGGCGGCACCATGGTTCTGGTGCCTTGTTCAGCTCATGCGACGGTGCAACCACAGTAATAAATGAATGGCTGCGCCCACCTGCCAAAATCGCAGCCACGTATTCAGTATTGAGGATGCATGCAGCACCGAAGCCACTAACTTACCGTAGTAACATTAAATGACCTGCGAATGGATGCGGGGATCTCAGTATGGATAGAGACTATCAGACTGAACGATGGCACAGTCACACGGAAAAGGTCGATAATGCATTCATTCATACCTCCATACACAAGGAGCAAATGCAAACGGTCTTCGGATGGAGTGATGACCAGTCTCACTCACTATCTCACTTCGCTATATCCGATTCTGACAAATCTTCCAACCATTTGTCGGCATACATCCTGGTGAGTATTGGCTACCCCTCCCTCTGCCGCAACCTGGGGTGAAAAAATGCCGAGTCAGAAAACCTTATCACAGGGATCGGAGCCTCAATAGACGAGAATCTGTCGAGGGCAAAGCCGGAGCTCGGTCCCCGAGACAGCTGCCCCTCCAAAGGGTTCATGACCACTCGAAGGACGGGCGCTCCCTAGGTAGCGTCGCCGTGACGAGTCAGACATTCAGACTCCTCGCACCGTAACACAAGGGACTGTGTGCCGTCTATAAAGGGCCCCTCCTCCATGTCACGTCGCGGGATCTCAACTACGATTATTTCGTCAGCTTACCCTTCAGACAAACTCCTTCAACAAGTAAAGATGGGTTCTATTGACACCAGCTTCGACGTCTTCAATGGGTTTTACAACACCATCAACGGACAGCTAAGCAAGACAGAGAAGACCAGACATGGCATCAACCCCGCAACGGGAAAGCCAAATCCCGAAGTCCCTGTTTCGACACCGCAAGATGTCGACGACGCAGTAGCAGCTGGCAAAGCCGCCTTCAAAACATGGTCAAAAACCCCATGGGCAGAACGAAAGAAGGCTGTTCTTGCTTTTGCCGATGCTCTAGAAGAGCACGCCCAGGACTTTGGTAGACTGCTCACACAGGAGCAGGGTAAGCCTGTAAGTGCTTTGGGCCTGAGAAGGGCAATATCCAAGCTGATGAGTGTGCCCTAGCTTCAATTTGCCATCCAAGAGGTTCAAACCGGAGTCCTCTGGCTCAGGGCGCTGTCCAAGATCGAATTGAAGGAAGAGGTTGTTGAGGAAGATGCACAAAAACAAGTCATTGTCCGATACACACCCCTCGGGGTGACGGTCGGTATTGTCCCCTGGAATTTCCCCATCCACCTGGCATGGTATGTCTCGTCCTGCACGCTCTGGCAGGGCACAAGCCTCTGACAGGAGGCTTTGCCGTCTCTCCGAGTTTCAATACTCCCATATGTTCAGTTCTAACATGCTGCAGTGGCAAGATCGCCCCCTCCCTTCTTACTGGCAATCCAATCATCATCAAACCATCTCCATTCACTCCCTACTGCAATTTGAAGATGGGAGAACTGGCCCAAAAGATCTTCCCGCCTGGTGTCCTGCAAGTATTGAGTGGAGACGACAACCTCGGACCATGGCTCACGGCCCATCCTGGCCCCGACAAGATCAGCTTCACTGGCTCTACTTTCACCGGAAAGAAGGTCATGGAAAGTGCCGCGAAGACACTGAAGCGAGTCACTCTCGAGCTGTAAGGAACCCTATCTCCTTCGATAGTTGCACGACTAATCCTGAACAGGGGAGGTAAGGATCCAGCCATTGTCACCAAGAATGTTGACATCAACACTGTGGCGGCCAAGGTATGAAGTTAGACTTCATCTATGCTAATTGCGAAACTAATACTCGTGCAGGTTGCCACGCTTGCTTTCCTCAACTCTGGCCAGATCTGTCTTGCTATCAAGCGAATATATGTGCACGAATCCATCCATGACCAATTCAGGGACGCCATGGTCGCATTCACCAAGACGCTCAAGGTCGGCGATGGCACCGAAGAAGGCGTATTCCTTGGACCCGTTCAAAACTCCATGCAGTACGAGAGGGTCAAGACGTTCTTCTCAGATATCGAGAAGGAGAAGTTGAGTGTTGCCGTGGGTGGTAAGAATGAGGACAAGCCTGGATACTTCATCACACCCACTATCATTGATAAGCCGTCTGACACCTCGAGAATCGCGACCGAAGAGCCTTTCGGCCCTATCGTCCCACTCATGACGTGGACTGATGAGGACGATGTTATTGCTCGCGCGAACAACACCAAGATGGGTCTCGGAGCTTCAGTCTGGTCCGATGACCTGGAAGAAGCTAGCAGGATTGCTCGACAGCTTGATGCTGGAAGTGTTTGGGTCAACACTCATCTTGAGCTTGACCCCAATGCGCCGTTCGGAGGCCATAAAGAGTCTGGCGTAGGCTACGAATGGGGGGTCGGTGGTCTGAGGGCCTTCTGCAATGCCCAGACCTTGTATCTGAAGAAGACTGCTTGATTTGGATGATCTTGAAAGCTGGTTCAAACGTAGCCTTAGCGTCAGAAAGCAATAAAGCTATTCACAATCAGCGTCATTTGCTGCCTGCGTGACAGTAGCATGAACTGCATTATGGCGTAGTAACTCGTACGGCGGAGTGCCACACAATCGACATGTTCAGCCTAACCGCTTACGAACTTTCTGAAGGACAGTTGTGAGAGAAGACATACAACTCGCCAAAAGGAACTGTGTTTCTGTCACCTTTGCTCGCTTATATGGTATCTGAGCAATACGAGTGCGTCCGTCCATCCAGGACGTTCGCTTGTTCTCATATAAACCACAATGGCCAGCTCAGCGCCGGCCCCTGAACAAGTGCCTGCGACTAATTGCACCTCTGACACCGAACTGGACATTGCCAAACTGCATGCGCTTCCAACCGAACAGCAAGACCTATTTTTGCTGACCTTCGTCTCCGACTTGCAACACCATGTCGAAAGCCTCTCTGCCGAAGCCCTGCCTGTGCACCAGGCCTCGATCAAGAAGGAGGTCATCAAGATTGTCGGGCTCGGAGCACCGACACCATCGCGCGTTGTCCGCAACACCCTTGGCAGAATCCTGGCAGATGCCTTTGGACGAGGCAGTCGGAGCCTGCTTTACGAGACTATAAACGATCTCGTGTCTATATTGAATACGGGAAAAAACGACAAAGAGGTGGGCGCAAGACACGCGGCTGTGGTGTGCTTGGGTGCTTTATTCCGCTCGGCCGGCGACAGTGCAATCAGTTTATCTGGTCTCGTTGTTGCGAGCCTGCTTAAACTTTTGAAGTCGTCACACACCGGGACCCGTGGCTGTGTGTTCAGAGCGCTTGATGCTTTGGTGATCGGGATTCAAACCAGCCTGGACGAAAGTGTGGCTCGAGACATCTGGAAACAAGCCCGGGGTGCTGCGGCGAGCGAAAAGTCTTCATTTGTGCAAAGATGCGCATGCTCATGTATACGCAGTCTAGTCACCGAGACAACTTATTTCAACAACTCGGCCGACTTTGACAGCCTCAAGAACAGTATGTGGAGGGCCATCGACAGCTCGACATCGTCTGTCAGGCATTCCGCCGCTGCAGCCATGGCTAGCGCTCTGGGACAGGCATTTTCAGACACTGGACACATAGAAGTCCCCGTCATACGAAAGCCCAGGAAGTCTAAGAAGCCTGGTGCAGATCTGGACGAGGAAGGAGAGCAAGACGGTGCAGCTTCTCCAGCTCCCAGCCAGGGCAAAGCATCTGTCCAATTAACCATGTCCCTGAACGAAGTCCTCCGAGTATTGTCGCAGCAATACTGCAAAGCTTCAACCAGCAATCGAGCACGTGCAGGCATAGCCATGTGCTACAAATACCTACTTCGCCTCCTCCCGCCCAAGACGTTGGAAGAGAGGTATGCAACCGTCGCCGCACATACGTATGACGACCTGCTCAACAATCCGACTGTATCGGCCAACCGTTACCGGCTGCTACTCACCAGAAAGATTGTCCAGTGGATCCTTAACGATGTTACGGGCCTCCTTACGGAAAATGCTCAGATAAACGCGGCCCGATATATAATCAATGATGTTCTGAAGAACTATCCTCAGGTGATCCCGGAGAGAAAGGAGCCTTCAAAACGGATATTGACAGGGGCACTATCGACCTTGACCGAGTTACTCTCAAGGCTTGGTCCTGCATCCAATGTTCTTCAAGACTCATGTCGAGAAGCACTCTTCCAAGTTGTGCAGCATCCTAGCCACACTGTCCAGAGCCATGCCGTGCAAAGCTTGAAGGCTTTCGTACTCGCATGCCCAAGCCAGCTAAATCGCAGCATAGAACATGCCATGTCACAACTGCAGAAAGAGTTCCAACCGTCAAGCGAGCCCAAATACCCTCATCGAAAGTCGCTAGGTTATGCTTCGACCATCGCTGTCATGATCAGTTGTGTTCGTCAGAAACCGCTGTACGGCTCGATTCAGATCTATTCCAATGTGTTCACCTTTGCGACAGAGCTCCTCAAGTCAAGCGCTGCTGCGGAATTGCGGGTGTCGGCTATGCAGGTCCAGGTGGCCTGGACTCTTATCAGCGGAATCACTGGTCTTGGACCAAGTTTTGTCAAGGTGCACTTGAATCAGTTGATGCTCCTGTGGAGGAATGCCCTGCCTCCTCCGCTGACACACGAGAACGCTGCCAAAAGAGGACATCTGGAACTAAGCTTCCTGTCACATGTTCGAGAGTGTGCATTGAGCGCTCTCTTGCTGTTTCTCTCGTCTTGTAGCACTTTGGTAACGACGGATGGTTCAAAGCGCATTTCAACGATGCTGCACAACACGATCCTCTTTTTGGAAAGCCTCCCGCCTACGAGAGAAGCAGACGATATCGCTCACCGCTTGGTACCGGCGCTGCAGCTACAAGATCTTACGATTCTTCTGCGCCGACGAGTCCTCCAATGTTTCACCGCACTGGCAAGTCTCAAGCATCTGGATCAAAGCGAGGTGGTATCGCACTCGGATCTTATCGGTCTCACTACAAGAACCTTCACTGATCCCGAGCGTCCCATTATGAAGAACTTAGAAACGTCCTTGACAAATGCTGCCAGCAACTTTGAAGGCCTTTGGACGACGAGCGACAACTGGGGCTTTGGGGTCTGCAGTGTAAGTGATAGCTTCGACACATATTTGCCATTCGAGAACCATGTGCAGCTGGGTCAAAGAACTTCGCCGGAGCAGGAGGTCTCCTTCCCTGATCTTTCCATCCAGTCTCCATCGCTGGCAGCGATAGAGCACGATCCGGTGCTGGTCATTAGGCATGGTTCAGATCCGCAGGAAGCGGAGCTAAGCTCTCCTGCAACCTCATGCGTAAATCTGGCGATCAAATTGTTCGCCATATCTCTCCCATTGCAGTCTCCCCGGGTCCAACAGAGTACGGTAGAGCAGCTCATTACAGCCATATCGCAGCCTCTTCAGCGTGAACCGGGCAAAAGGGCAGCGATGCAGATCAACTCAGCTCTGGCCTTCCTCTGTGCTTTGGCTGTGGCGAACAAGGAGACACCGTACCTGGCCGGTAAATTGAACGTGGACGCGATCGGACCAGTCATCGCTGAGCTTCTGGGCAGATACGTCTGCAATGGTGATCAGAATCTGCGCCATCTAGCTGCGCGAGCTATAGGCCGACTGTGCAATCTGGCCGGAACACAATTCACCAACAAGGAAGTCAAGGATCTCATTGATGTGATTGTGGCTAATCGTGACCCCAGTGCACGCGCTGGGTGCGCACTTGCACTAGGCTATATTCACGCAGAGGTTGGCGCCATGGCTGCCGGACTGCATATGAAGTCTATTGTTGGAGTGTTGCTCTCCTTGTGCAGTGATAATCACACCACAGTACATTACTGGGCACTCAGAGGCTTGGTTCTGGTTGCCGATTCAGCAGGATTGGCATTTTCGACATACGCCACAAGTACGCTAGGCTTGTTGGCTCAGCTGTACTCCAACGACACTCACAATGAGGAATCTGCGTCTCTAGCAGCTTCGAATCTTGAACTGGAGCTTTTCACACCAGAGGCTCTGGCTCAGTGCGTGGACAGCATTATCAACGTCATGGGCCCCGATTTACAGGATGTGTCGAAAGCGCGGAAACTGATACTAATACTGATTGGCTATCTGCAGAACGAAGCTTCACTGCGGTTGAGATATGAAAGTTACCTGTGTTTACGCCACCTCATGATGTACGCACCTGCTCACATTCAATTCTCCAAATACGTCCTGGACTTACAGGAGAATCTCTCTTCGGACGAGGAACTACTTCAATCATCAGCCATCAGAGGCCTGGGCGAATTGATGAAAAGAAATGCTTCCGAGGTTGCCCGAGTTGCAACGTCCAAACTGAGCGACGACTTGTGGCGTCGTCTAGATGACAACCCTAACGATCAATCTGTTCAGTCTTTGTTGCAGAACTGGATGCAACAGACCATTCTGCTCGATACAGCTGAGTGGATCGACAAATGCCAAAGCGTCCTTTCCAAGACAAGGGCCAAAAATTCTCCGCCACGTATGACAGCGGTTACGGCCAAGTCAGCAATGCCGGACCTGGCGGACGAGGAAGTTGCTGGCTTTGCCGCTGCCGCTCAGAGTGAAGCTCCTGAAGCAGCTCCAGACGGTCAAGAGTTCCTTCGTTGGCAGACACGGGATTTTGCGATGCGATTGCTTAGCGAGTCCATGGACATCGTCCAGGCGGCAATGTCTGCGGATCGAGTCATCCATGCAGAAGAAATTCTGCAAGCAAAAGTTGGGGAGGTGGTTCGGGTCGCATTTTCGGCATCCACGGCCAATGTTGTCGAGCTCCGCATTTGGGGGCTACGGCTGATTGACCAGATTCTTAAGCTGTTCGGAAAGACACCGGATCCCGATTTCCTAGAAGCTTCGCTGCTCGAGCAATATCAAGCACAGATCAGCTCTGCCCTAACCCCTGCCTTTGCAGCTGACTCATCGCCTGAACTGGCCGCCGAGGCTATTGGTGTTTGCGCCACTTTTGTTGCGACTGGTATCGTCACCAATGCAGACCGCATGGGACGCATCTTCAAGGTGCTCTCGATGGGCATAGATAACCTCACTCAGCAGACCCCAGAAGCTGCCATAGGCGATCTGAAGGACCTTAGTCCCAATGCCCAAGCTATGCTTAAGATGGCAATATTGTCTGGCTGGGCACAGTTGCAGCTGGCAAGTCATGAGCAAGCCTATCTGGAAGATATTCTTCAGCCATTCATACCTAAACTTGCACCTCTTTGGCTGACTTCATTGCAAGAGTTTGCAGGTCTTCGGTTCGAGCCTGAAATCTCCGACACCCTAGGAGGGGAGATGGTTGGAGGAAATCTGGATGAGCGATATGCTTCGTTTAATTGCGAAGTGCGTCTGAAATTTTATCAAAAGACTTGGCTCAGCATCGTCAACGCAATTGCGGTTCTCGTTGAGAAGGACAGTGAGTCGGTGTTTGACGCACTCGATAACAAACGCGTGAATGGAGCCGAGGACGCGTCAGCCAATGGCACGGTGGTTCAAGGGAGAGACATGAGTTTCCGAGAAGAACCTGTGGCATTCTTTTTCATTCTCTTCGGACTGGCTTTCGAAGCCTTGGTCACTCAAACCCGAGAAGATCCGTCTCAAGCTTTGTCAATATTGCAAGCATTGAGAAAGATCCTGACACCTCAGGTATCTGGCAATGCTATCTATGAAGACGCCGTCTTCACCGAAACCACCGACACGCTGGATCGCCTTGCTCTCACGAGCACGAGCGACACGCAGAGCGTTCTGGTGGAAATCGCTAGGAATCTCTCAATGGACCACCTCGTTGCCAAGAGTCAGGACCGCGATGAGAAGTTGTCTGACGACATCGAGCAACTCTTCGAGTTGACAAGGATCATTATCCTAGTCCTGACTGGCCTTGTGCCGACACTTGAAGATCCCCCTGGACCTGCCGTCCGCCGACTCGGAGAGGACAGTGTGGGACTCGTGCAACTATCTTTCCAGGCTCTGGTCGACGTGGCTTCTGTGTTTCCTTCTATCATTCGTGCCGACCTGCACGCCTGTATCTTTTACAGTTATTGCACGATTCTCGCCACAGGTGTATGCCAAGACGAGGTGATTCCTCGCATCATGCCTGTCTTCAAAACATTCCTGCAAGACGTTGTACGGTCGTCCAATATCCAGACATCTTCAAGATTGGTCCGTGGCTGCTTGCATCGGATGCTGGCAATATTGTCAGCTGCTCAACGACGAGAAAACGAGCATGCCATTGTCTGTGCCAAGAATACGTTGCTGTCGATTGCTGTTTTGATTACGACGGCGAGTTCTGTTGTGGCTGCCAAAGACGAATTGATTGATGGTGCATTGTTTGACATGCTGGACTGTCTTCACGATGTCGGTCTGGCCAAAATCACGACCGGGTGCCTGAGATCCTTGCTCATGACTCATCCCAAAACAGCTTGCGACGAGTACATAGGCAGAATACTCTGGGGTCGACTCGTTCCGTTTGTGACGGATCCAGAAGCTGACGATCCGGAAAGCGTCAAGGGTGCCTTGACCCAGGCCCTTGTGGCGTCTGTCGTGACTCTTGCAGGACCTGGACGTCTGGCTGCTATGTCCATATTGATACCTGTGCTGATGGTTCGCGCGACACAGGTCCCAGGGGGCTCCAATCTCCAGGACGTGCGGAAGGAATGCGCGGCACGACTTCTTGACCTTGTCGCTGTTGATCAGTTTGCTTTCAAGGCTGCTGTGGGATCATTGGGTGAAGAACAACGATCGGATTTGGAGAACCTGCTTAGAGCTGCCGGGGTGGGAGAGAAGCAAGACACGACGTCGATGGATAATGTCGAGTCAAGACCTGCGATTGAACTGAGGATGGATTTTGGATGAGACTTGGGACGATGAAACTTTGAAAAAGGACGGTATAGAATAGACAGAACAAAACAAACGAACTCAGCTGAATAACTTGACTCTAGTAGGCATTTTGGATGATGTGTGTGTCATGGACAGAGCACCTAATAGTACGAGTATCTTTTGCCATCAGTTGTAGAGACTAGGGTGGTAACGGGAGGAGAAAGTCGGCAGCCTCGTCTTGCTTGGCAATGGTCGGGGCGACGTCCGGACGGAGCATTGACTCCGGGGGAGCGAAAGAGTAAATTCTCGGCAAGGCTGTTTCAGTAATTATGTAGGGACGAGGATCATCGTCAATCTGTCGTCTCTCCCTGCCCCCCCCCTCTCTCTTTTTCTTCTTCTCAACCCAACACCTTTTGTTCCACTTCTTCTCTCTCTCCAACTTCGTCTGCCACCGGGGAGAGATAGATAAGACATTTTGACACGACGAGATTCATACATCGGGAAGGAAAGGACCAAGACGGTCCCGGTAGACCAAGGGTAAAAAGAGTCGAGGGTGAGATTCGAGAGTACTGGGTGATTGGTGACACTGGATTTGGTTCACGTCTGATTTTTACGCCATGGATCTCGACCCACCACCGCCGAAATACCAAACTTCAGACCCGACGAGTTTCGCGCACAAATCCGCGCGGGAACGATGGCCGGCCATCATCACGGGCGCCATCGACGACGTCGCGAGGACAGTGTCGTCGCTGCTCGACGCCGACGACAAGGATGCCATCGAAGAAGGTAAACGGATCGTCTCGAGCCTCGCGTCGCTCAAGTACGAGGTCCAGCACAACCGTGCGCTCGGCGAGATCGACGACGACGGCCACGCGGACGTGAAGTTGTACAACGACGAATTGGCCGCGAGGGACAAACTGGCTCGAGACGGGGTCAAGTGGCACGACGTCGAATGGCTGTACAGCGAATGTTACCTGTACCGACGCATCGGCGCGTTCTTCGGCACGGCCAAGACGGCGGCGTGGAGAGGCTACGACCCGTTCGCGAGGCAGAAGATGGACACGTTCCGGAGCAGCAGGAACGCCGTGCTCGAGCTGGCCGCGCGCTACAGGGAAATCATGACGCAGATCAGAACCACCGAGGACCAGCACCGCCTGCTTCCGAAAAGCGGCAGTGGTAACGGTGACACCGGGGCGGACGACGAGGCCGAGATCGAGGCGGAAAAGACGCTGTTTGTCGAAATGGCCGAGATTTGTCTCTGGGGCAACGCCACCGACCTGAGTCTGCTCACCTCCTTGACGTACGAGGATATTCAAAAGTTGCAAGGCAGCCAGGCGAGACGGGAGAGCGAGAAGAACGTCATCGTCAATGACTTGAGGAAGGCGTTTGAAGTCCTCAAGAAGAAGAGCGTCGAGCAGCAACAGCAACACCAACAAAGCAACAACAGCAGCACCAGTGGCACCGGCGGGAGACGCGTGGACATCGTCCTTGACAATGCCGGGTTCGAGTTGTTCGTCGATCTCGTGTTGGCAGGCTACTTGATAGCCGTTGGCCTGGCGACAGAGGTGGTCCTGCACCCCAAGAGTATCCCATGGTTCGTGAGTGACGTGGTCCCGGGCGATTTTGCGGCGTTGTTGGATGCAATGAGGGATCCAGTGAGCTTTTACGAGTCAAAAGACTCCGAAGGCGGCGGCGAGGCCTCGTCGACACCGACATTGACACAATCGCAAGAAAGTGACGTCAAGTTCTTGTTCGACGATTGGAAGAACCTACACGAAGAAGGGAAATTGATCCTCCGACCGAACCGGTTCTGGACGCACGCGGGCAGTTTCTGGCGCATGCCGACCATCGCCCCCGAGGTCGTGGAAGATTTGAAGGAGAGTGAACTGGTCGTGTTCAAGGGGGATTTGAACTACAGAAAATTGACTGGCGATGTAGGTGTTCTTCCCAACCCCTCCCCGACCCCCCTGTTCGTGTCACTGCTGGCCCCGTTACCCGTGCTCCGGTCACTCTGTTGATGCTTGACTTGACACGTGTGGACGTGCAGATGCATTGATGGATATAAAATTTGCTGATACTGATGATGTGGAATTTCTAGGCTGCCTGGCCGGCAACGACACCATTCACGACCGCCATCGGTCCTCTTGGTCCCGGGTCCGGATTGAGAGTTTTGGCACTACGGACGTGCAAGGCTGACGTCGTGGTTGGATTGCCAGAGGGCAAAGATGAAGAACTTCGCGCCATGGAAGGCGGCGGGGGAGATTCGGGAGCGAGGAAGTGGGCTTGGAGTGGGAAATGGGCCGTTGTGCAGTTTAGTGATGGCAAGGCGTGATTATTATAAGAAGGAAAAGACAAAGTTTGAGGAGGAGAATGAAGATGAGGATGAAAGCACACAAAGGTAGAGAGATAGAGATGAAGAATAGAGCAGAGGAGTATACGGACATGATTATGAACTTCTGTATGAACCTCGATCGGCCGTGAAAACTGCAAGGAGGTGTAGAAGACAGGTAGGCATACAGACTGTATCTTTGTCACAGGACTCGCTGATCCTGGTGAGAGAACCTAGTGGTAGGTATCCCTGTAGTTTCGTTCATCCCGAGGGTTTTCGGCGGGAAAAAGGTACGTGTGCATCCTTAGTGTTTCGGTTTCATCCAAGCGTTCATTCCATGCAACCTGGGTGCTCGTCGGACAAATCACCCACGGTGTGCATTCGCGGTAGATTCATTGATTCATCCCCTTGGAACCGGGAAAACGGGAAAGAGGAAATCACACCGTGTAGGATTCAGCGGGTTCACCGGTCCCTACCCAGATCACTCCGCCCGAAACTCATGGGCAACAATTGCCCGATGGTCATCATGACCATACCACTACCACCGCCGCCGCCGCCGCCGCCGCTCCCGTCCTTATCCTCGTTCTCGCCCTCCGAATCTATCCCGTCCTTCCCGTACATGTAGATCGGCAGGTCCTTGGACGCAAACTCGTTGATGAACTGCCGACACATGCCGCACGGGCTCGCGGGCGGGGAAATGTCGGTGGCGACCGCAATGGCTCGGAGGACAGGCATCGCGGGACGTTTGAGCGAGGCCACGATGGGCGCGATGGCGCATCGTTCCGCGCAGATGCCCACGGGCGAAGACGCCACTTCGACGTTGGCCCCCGTGTGGTACGTCCCGTCGCTCAACATGACACATGCTCCGACGCGGAACTTGGAGTATGGGCCTTTTTGAGTAGGTAGTCAACCGCAGCGTCGTTAGCCAGGGTACTTCGCACGCATTCATTTTTTCGAGCCGACGAGTGTAGTACTAGGAAATGGAAGTGTGGTGGGTGCAAGGGCTCCCTCACCAACCCCCCTCGCCCCCCAACATCCCAAAACATCTCAGACGGTGGACATCGATGGTGTCTTACTTTGTGGTGGTGGCGAACGTACTCGACATAATATGAACAGGACAAGGAGAGGGAAAAAGGGAGGGCGGACTCACAGTATGCATATTCCTTGGCTTCGATGGCTTTGGAAGCGAGAACCCGAAGCTCGTCTTTGGAGAGTGGTTCGAGAGTGGTTTGGGACGTCATTTTGGTGGTGGTGGTGGCGGTGGTGCTGGAGAAGACGAGCTTGATGGAATGTCACCAAGAGTACAGGTAGAGACGAATGTGGTTTTTCCCACGGTCGAGGGACTGATTAAGGTGGATGGATATCAGCATCCATTGCCAAGGAATCAGCGAACTGCAACCCAACTTCACGCGTTCAATTCCAGCCTTCCACTTTCAGCCTAGCGAGCCTGGCTTCACTGGGGGTAAGTCTTCCTGCGTTGCTCTCACGTTGGATCAAGACATATATGTACACTTGCGTTCATTCAAGATGTTATGGACCTGTACATATACGGGGCCACGTAACCCTTTACAGGTTCTCGCCCCCCCTCAACCTCTCTCGTCCTCCTCCAGCCTGTGGAGCTTCCTGTGCGGCCGCCTCATAAACCCCCAGTGACGACCATCTTGAGGGTCAGATAGTCGTCCAGCCCGTATTTACTGCCTTCCCGGCCGAATCCGGAGTGTTTCACGCCGCCGAAGGGCACCGGTGCGTCCGAGACCACCCCCGTATTGATGGCCACCATGCCAGTCTCAAGCCTCTCGCTCACGCGGTACGACCTTGCAAGGTCAGTGGTCATGACATACGACGCCAAACCGACGTCCGAGTTGTTGGCCCTTTTGATGACTTCGTCCTCGGACGAGAACTTCAGCAGCGCGGCGACCGGCCCGAAGGTTTCTTCCTTGGTGACCTGCATGGTATCGTCGACGTCGCCGAGAACGGTGAGCTCGTGGAAGTTCCGGCCCAAATGCGGAAGTCCGTTACCGCCCAGCAGGACTTTGGCGTTCTTGTCAACGGCGTCCTTGATGTGCGATTCGACCTTCTCCGTGCCGTTGGTAAGCGGCCCGTGAGTGATGGACCCATCGGCGACTGCCAGCGCATCTCCCACTCGGAACTTCTTGACTTCCTCGACCAGTTTCTGGCTGAATTTGTCATAGATGCCTTGCTGGACAAAGATTCGATTCGCACACACGCACGTCTGCCCGGTGACCTTGAACTTGGCAACGAGCAGGCTCGAGATGGCAACTTCGAGATCGGCATCATCAAAGACAATAAACGCCGCGTTCCCGCCGAGCTCCAGACTGAGCTTCTTCAGGGTACGTGCAGATTGTTGATAGAGCAGCTTGCCGACCCTTGTCGAACCGGTAAACGAGATTTTCTTGACGGTGTTCGACTCGCAAAGAGCGAGGCCGAGCTGAGGGGTGTTCCGAGCCGCTGTCACGATGTTCAACACGCCCTTGGGGATCCCAGCACGCTCGCCGAGGACGGCCAGAGCGCTGGATGAGAACGGCGTCAACCCGTCCGACTTGAGTACTATCGTGCAGCCCGCCGCCAACGCGGCGGCGATCTTGCGCACGCCCATGGCCAGAGGGAAATTCCACGGCGTAATGAGACCGCAGACGCCAATGGGCTCCTTGACGACTCGGGTTCGAGAGTTCGGCGTACTGTTCGGGATCACGTCTCCGTAGATCCTGGCCGCTTCCTCTGCGTACCATTCGAAAAAGTTCGCCGACAACCTGATCCAATGCCACATCGTCAACGTCGTTTTTCGCCGCGGGGGCTGGGTGTTGTGTCGATAAGCCTCAAGAAAGAAAAGGGGCGACTCACACGACTTCTCCGGTGGCATCGGCCTTGGCCTTGCCGTTCTCCAGGGTGATGATGGTACTGAGGTCCTCCTGGTTTTCCACCAGAAGCTCAAACACCCTGCGTAGAATCCGCCCGCGCTGCCGGCCCGACAGACGCTTCCAGCCCTCGAACGCGTCGGCCGCGGCTCCAATGGCATCGTTCAGGTCGTCGAATCCTGATTCCGGAACAGCCCCAATGACCGCGTCGGTTGCCGGGCTCTTGACCTCGAACGTCTCGCCCGATTTGGCCGACACCCATTGCCCGGCAATGTACGTCTTGTCGACCACAAAGAGACTCGGGTCTTTGAGCAACGAAGCGGAAACGGACATCGTGGTTGACGGCGGTGCAGAGGTGCGGTGTCGACACACGAAGACAGACGGTATCACTATCTTTTCACCGGTGCGCTTGGCTCAGTCACGCATATATGTGCCTGTCTCCCCGTTGTTTGATTCGGTTTTCGGGACTGCCCACCGATGCCCAGTAAATCACCTTTTTCACGGCTGTGGCTGACCGGTACCCATCTGGGGAGGTATTCATGAATTCAACTCCATGCCGTATAGATCGCCCAGTGCGACGAACTAAACCCTGTAGCGTAATTTTACCCGGTCCCTCCCAGAATACCTCTCCCTCAATCGCACACTCATGGCTGGAAGCACCCTGATGATGCTTTAATCACTGATCGAGGGTCGATCTCCGCTTCAGTAGTTTCCCTCATGTGGAGGCATAACGGCCAAGAGTTTACTCTCTTTGTCGTGGCCTGTGTGGGTGAGTCCCTTGGGCAACTCAACCTCACAGCAACTCTCACTCCAATCCATGGTTTCAATACCCCATGCAGCTACGTTATTTTTTTCTGAGTGTCGGAATTGTTTGAGCAAAAAGGACTGGCAAATCTCATGAGAGGGGGTGCCGATAGCATAGCTGTGGCACGCCTTCTGTCTTTGTCTGGCACTTGCGGCTGAAACTAAATTACATTGTCAGAGTACCACATTCGTGCTTGTTTCCTGTCCAATTTATATTAACCCGCCACGATGACAAATGCTCAACTTCCTCTGTCGTACTAATAATGGTGGGAAGGCTCCAGAGTCATGGAACCAGGGGCTACAATACATGGCACGCAAGCTGCCGTTGCAAAATTGGAATTACGCGTTCACCGAGAAGTGACATGTCCCGAGAAGTCACTCACCGACCCTTCAGACCCCCCTCGCTTCCTTCAACGGCCTCGAATGTTTGGGCGTTGTGGCTCGTCGAAAGGTGCAAACCTTCGACCACCACCTTGGGGCCGGTGAATGTCTTGCGCTTGCCCAGGAACCAACTCAACCCAATGAAAAAGAGCGCGCCTACCGCGATCACACTCAGGTAGTTCATGCTCTGAGCCTCTACGGGGAGAAAGGTGGGAAAGCAGAACCACACCATGTACATGGCGACCCAGAGGCTGGAGAATATGTTGCAGAACAGCCCCGTCCACTTTCCCAGCGCAAAGGGTCGAGGCGGTAAGATTTTGTCACGACCGCAGAACGCAACAATGGCCTGCGGAACCGTGTATGTGGCATTCAGACCCAGAATGGATATCGACAGGAAGGAGTTGAATGCGGTGGTGGACCCGATGTAGATCAGACCGTAGAAGATGGCGAAGATGCAGGTCAAAACAGTTGCGTTCACCGGCACTTTCAATGTGGGGTGGACTTTGCTGAAGAAATCACTGTAGGGTAGGCCGTTGTCTCGGGAAAAGGCCCAGACGAGGCGTCCGGACGTTGCGTAGCAGGAGATGGTGGCCGAAACGTACGCCAGAAACAGCCAGACAGTAAAGAAAAGAGCCGCTGAGTCGTTGTGAATCGCCTGGAAAAACACGGTCAAGTACGGCGCTGGACTGTTCATGACCTCGTCAAGATCGGTGGCGGAGAAGAGGAATGCGACGGTCCACACAAAGCCAGTGATCATCCCGATAACCATAGTCAGGCCCATGGCGCGAGGTACATTTCTCCTTGGATTGGGCATTTCTGTTTTTTTCATGCCGATAAATTTAGTCTCTGTCGCACATTCCAGCTCGGACACCAGCACTTACCTTCAGAGACATGGGTGGCCGCGTCAAGAGCAATGAAAGCGAACATGCCCTGGCCAACGCCGATAAAGAATGCAACTCCATCGATCCAGCCACTATTGTTCTTCCAGTCCGCGAAGACCGTCCGACCGGTCTGTTTGTGGTCGCTTCTCGCCAGCACGGTAATTGTTGATACGATGAATCCGATGATGGAGAGCCAGAAACAAGCAATCTCCGCCCGAGGTAGTTGCTTGGGAAACAGCGTTATCAAAGCCGTGGAGAGAATCGTAAGTGCCACGTAGATGAGATAGATTTGCCACTGTGTGGCTGCGAAGTTCGGGTGGTAGACAGCAGCCATGGCAGCGACGGCTTGTGCACAGAAGATGGCAGAACCGCATGCCAGCATCCACCAGGAAAAGACACTCACCCAGCCGATCGTGTATGAGACTGCCGCTCTGTATCTTGGAGGGGTGACCATGAAGGAGAAGCTATGAGCGTGTTAAACTGGATTTCAATCATCTCAGAGGATACGTACTGGTACTGCCCCCCTGAAGTCGGATAGGCACTGGCCAGTTCGGCAAGGCCCAGGGTGATGATACTGCATACCACAAAACCAATCACTAGACTCCAAACAACACACGTTGCTCCGCCGGCAATGAGAGGGATGACAAACACGGCCGAGTAGGCAATCCAGGAATTGGTGATGGTGAAGGCAAGAGACAAGGTGGACAAGATCCCGAACTGACGTGGCAATTCCCCTATGTGACCTTGAGCGCGAAGTTCCAGTTCATCGGCAGACAGGTTCTCTGAATTGAAGGCCACAATAGCCTCAGGCTCGGTGGTGGTTGGCGAAGAGCCCATGTTATGATCGGTTGTATCGTGATGTAGAATAGCTGAGAGGGATATCTCGTCAAGGGCGAGGCACACATGTTCACTTACATGGCTTGTTGTTAATATTATATGCGAGACATCGTCTCGCGCAGATGTGGCAGAGCCTCTGAGTCCTGAGTTCGTTCATTCTCACTTCAGCATGCATAGAGGTTTGTGGAGCCCATTTGTCTGGGGAAGACGACACGGAAGCGAGGCTGTTGAAGCCCACTAACTAGTCCGCAAAGTGTTAGCTTAAGCGGTCCTTATCAGTGAGTGGGTATTGAGACGGCAGACACGCCAGAGAAACCTAGACTACTCATAACACGGGAGATCTGTAAATCTCCCGAACTGGGAAGCCTAGAGAGATGACTTCAGGCTGGCTATCTAGGCGAAGTTGTGAAAAGCCACAGCTCCAAATGCCCGCCTAGATTTGCCTGTTCTGGGTTGTCCAGCCGTAGTCGTCTTCCAAGTCCGCCAAACTCGATCTGGCAATGCTGGTAGGATCAATGGTCGTTCATTTGCACTTTTGCCGGCATGTTCGAATGTGAACTTAATGCGTCCGATATGTGATGCGATTCGCGAAGGCGGTGCAACGAGTGTGCTCGGCCAGACTGGTGGACCGCCGAAGAGATAATATATACGGCTGTTCACGGGCTGCTACGTAGCAGACTGATCCGTCAACGAACGTTCCCGCCTTGCAAGCTTGTGCCCGGGCAAAAACTTACTTCTTTCATGATGAGCGTCGACGACAAAACCACAGAGCTAGACGCCCTTGTTGTGGGTGCAGGGTTTGCCGGCATCTATCAACTGCACACCCTTCGCAACCTCGGATACTCAGTCAAGGTCATTGACAAAGCAGAGGGTGTTGGTGGTACTTGGTTTTGGAACAGGTACCCTGGTGCTATGAGTGATAGTGAAAGCTTTGTATTTCGCTTCACTTGGGACAGGGACGACCTGAGAACGTACCCTTGGACCGACCGTTACTTGCAGGGGCCGGAAATCTTGAAGTATCTCGAACACATTGTGGACAAGCACAACCTTCGCAAAGACATTCAACTCAACACTGAACTGTTGAGCGCAGATTGGGACCCTGAACAAGACAAATGGCGCGTGACTACCAGCACCAACGAAGTCTTCGTGGCCCGTTACTTGATAACGGCACTGGGCTTACTTTCCACGGCTAAACTGCCAAACATACCAGGACTGGATGATTTCACAGGGGAAATCTGTCATACCTCGCGCTGGAGAGAAGATTTTGACTTGAGCGACAAGCGTGTCGGCGTTCTTGGTAATGGATCTACCGGCGTGCAAGTCATCACCGCGCTCGGCCCTCGGGTCAAGTCGTTGGTCAGTTTTCAGAGATCTCCTCAGTATAGCGTCCCCAGCGGCAATGGGCCAGTGACGCCAGAGTATCGCCAGTGGTTGAATGACCATTACGACGAGATCGTAGAGAGCCTTCCGAAAACCGCGACCGCCTTTGGCTTCACAGAGTCGACTACACCCTATGCCTCGGTGGAGCCAGACAAGCGTGAGGAAGTATTCCAACGTCTCTGGGATCAGGGCAATGGATTTCGATTCATGTTTTCGGGATTCTCAGATATTTCCACCAATAAGGAGGCTAATGAGGCAACCTGTAACTTTGTCAGGTCGAAAATTGCCCAGATTGTCAAAGACCCGGAAAAGGCCAGGAAGCTGATGCCGCAAGAACCGTACGCGCGACGGCCTCTCTGCGACAGCGGTTACTACCAACAGTTTAATCGCCCCAATGTCGACATCGTTAATCTCCGGGACACCCCAATTGACCACTTCTCCGCTACGGGCGTCGAGACGGTCGACGGTAAATTTCATGAACTGGACGTCTTGATACTGGCCACAGGTTTTGACGCCGTCGAGGGGAGTTACACCAGGATCCAACTCCACGGAAGATCAGGAGAGTCACTTGCGGATCACTGGAAGAACGGGCCAACGAGTTACCTCGGGTGCTTTGTTCCTGGGTTTCCCAACCTCCTCATGATTAGTGGACCTCAAGGGCCGTTCGCGAATGCGCCTCCGAACGTCGAGATGCAGGTCAATCTCAACAACGAGCTCATCCAACGAGCGGAGAGACTACGAGCGACGGGCAAGGCTGCCACCATCGAAGCGATCCCGGAGGCTGAGGCAGACTGGAGCGAACATTGTAACGAAGTGGCCCAGACCACCCTGTTCCCGTCCATCCCATCGTGGATATTCGCCAACGTGCCCGGAGCCCCTAAACCTATCCCTCGCTTCTTCCTAGGGGGTCTCGCCAACTTTATCGCAATCGTGGATGGCGTCGCCAAAGCAGGCTATGACGGGTTTGCAGCTCCTCTGGGAAACGGTCGGAAAGAGGTGTGCAATGGCTCTTCGAAGAATGGCTCACTGGACCATGTCACCTTGGAGAACGGCAAGGTCGAGGTTGCTCTTGCTTGAATTGATTCATTAGATAGGGAGCCAGTCTGATGGCACCCATTGATCACAGACGAAGCTCCAGTGTTGAATCTAGTCAGAGAATGATGGATAATTAAACGTATGGGTGTTGAAGCATCTGTCGTGGTTGTTCTGTATGGCAAGTAAACGGACGTTGAGATCGTGTGCGCCGTTTTGTAAGCAGTTTGGATCATGGAGTTTCTCTAGGTAGTTAAAGCAGCGAACACCCCCATTGAAGTACGGTAGTCAGGGAAGCGCTTATTAGTTAGAGGTCGGTCTTATCCAGGGCTTTGGGATGTGCGTAAGGCAGATAAGACTCAGTTAACTAGTTAGCAACTATCGCCCAGCGAGCACCCACTGCTTGGCCCTCTAAGTTAAGTACCGGGCAGGCATGAGCTTCCAGCGACGCCCCATGGGCGCATTATCATTGTCTCCCTTGGAGACTCACTGAATTATCACATCCTCATCCTCATCCTCGTCATTTGTGTGTGGTTTGTCTCTGTTGACATCCGTGGAATGCACCCTCATGCATCTCCGCCGCCATGCCTCCTCGGTCTCGAGGTGAGTTTGCAGGAAATCAAACAGTCCTCGACTGACGCGCCTTTCCCGTATAGCTGGATGCCCCCGATGTCGTTCGATGGTAAGTTGGCCCTCCAGTCCACGGCCAAAGTAGTAACCGGCGCAGAAAATCAAGTGTGATGAGACCAAGCCGAGCTGCAGACAATGCTTGAAACGCAAAGTCACCTGTCCGGGCTACAAACGTCCGATCAAATGGAGTGACAAACACGAAGTCTTCAACGCTTGGAGACCGAAGCCGCCTTCTGCACGAGACTCAGGACCGCTCCCACTCAACGCGGTCGACAGTGCCAGTGCGACAGAGCCAAACCTGCTTGTCGAAGCATTTCAACCGACGCTGAGAGCACGACCAACCCAGATTGCCCCCACAACATCACACAGCTTGGTTACGGACGTGGTGTCCTCATCTCAACAGACACAGCCCCGGAACAGCAACGATCCGAACCATGTTCCTTTTCCACCTGCCGTAAACAACGATGACAACGACAGATCTACCGCCGACATCTTGCGTGAGGATCTTCGCGAGTGGTTGACAAGCCACGAACCGCTGGCCCTCTTGGAACAGCAAGACTGGACTTGGACGATCGAGGGGTCTGGGTTGGGCAGTGGCGAAGGTTCGACATTCAGCGCCACGTTAGACTGCTGGGATGCAGGCCCGTCACAGGGCAGCGAATTTAATCAAGCCTTGGTACAATACTTTTTCGACAACCTATGTGGCATTCACTCCGTGCTCGACGACACAGCAGAGCGTTTCAAAGCCCTAGTCCGTCGCTATCTGAGCACGTCTCCGCTCCTTCACAAGAGCGTCGTGTGTATGGCCGCTGCCCATTGCTTCCAGGACGACGAGTCCATGCTCTCCACATGCCTCGAGTGTCATACTGCTGCGGTCAGATCTTTATCAGAGGCAGTTTTCCAAATCGAGACAGTTCTGGAGCAGTCGACAGACTCCCCGCAAAAGTCAGCACTGTCTGACGAAAACATGTTGCGCAAATTGGAAGAAACTTTATTGGCATCCATCATCCTAGGATTTTGCGCAGTAAGTGTGCTCTTCTGTCTCGTACGGCTCTGAACTACTAGCACACAGCGCTGACATCGACAAGCCTTGGTCCGATCCACGAGACCTTGGTCTGCCACACCTCCGTGGAGCCAGGAAATTATGCGAATACCTTGTCAACTACGTAACCAAGGACGGCAGAGAACCAGAAAAGGCACTGATGAACACAGACCACCACTTCTTGATAGGCGCAATGTCCTATTGGGAAGCTTGCATGGCTTTCGTCGTAGATCAGCCCAAAACAGTGGTGCACTACCTGTACCAGTTTTGTCAGCCCACCAAAACGACATACATCCATATGTTTGCTGGAATCAGTCTACCACTATTAGTCACGCTCGCCAGGGTCGGCATCTGTGTTCGCCAGAACAGGGCTCTGCGAAACATGGTTGGGGTTGGCTGGAAAGATCGAGAATCCTATCAAATTCTCGCTTCCGAGGTCACTCAAGATGCAATCGAAGTGGCCGAATATGCCCTCGACTACGAAATCCCTGCCGATGAGACTTTCGACACGAAGACCCTCGGCTCCTCTACCTATCGGCAACTCAAGGCATTCTCGCAAATGTGCAGGTTTGCAATCTTGCTTGAGCTACAACGAAACTTCCCAAGTCTCCTGGACTCCCAGTTTGACGATGCCGAGGCCGCCACCCCCGAAAGTCGCCCTTTCCCAAGAACAATAAGCCTCGATCGCTGGTATTTTGAGTTGTCAGGAGCAATCCTCAGCCATGCACAAGACATTCCCGAAGGATCCACGTGTGGCTTGTATCAAACAATCCTGCTGATCATCTGTGGGAGCGTACTACGAGCCTCCAAGAATACAAGCTCTGTATTTTCTCGCCAGCGTACCTTGCGTGACAAGGCGGAAACCCACGTATTATCGACTCTTGCACGACATGAGGAGCTTGACAAACGTCGCGCCTTTATCCGACGGCGCTTGCAGTCTAATTGTGCTTCATTTGGCCTGCGCCAAGTCTTCTCTAGGGCAGAGTTGCTGTTGGAGGATGTCTGGAACGAATTTGATGCTGGCACAGGTGAAGGCGATGACCTCCGGTCCAGTCGTCACTGGATCGACGTTATGGCTGATCACAAGTTGGAAACATTCTTTGGCTGATACTCAGAGGAACCTGCTACCTGTAGCGGTTTCTGTTCTCTCTAAGACAATGACTTCACTGTGCTATATCGTCGATGTACCAACAAGCTAACAAACCCATCCTCCGTCCACGTTATAGACGGCTCCAGTCACGAAGCTTGCCTCGTCAGAGAGCAAGAATGCTGCGACACGCATGATCTCCATGGGATTCGCTTTGCGTTTCTGGACCTGGGCTCGAATCTCGTCCGAGTTCTCGACCGTGTCATTCGCCATCATTGGAGTATCTGTGCAGCCTATTGAGGGCAATTTCATCAGGTCTGCCAGATGACAAGTCGACAACTTTCGACTTACCTGGAGCAACGCAATTAATACGTATTCCGACATGTTCTTTAGCTGCACTACGGGTCAAGCCAATAACGGCATGTTTGCTTGCGCAATAGGCTGCAAATGTCGGCCAGCCAATTTGTCCCTCGGTGCTTGCCGCCGACACCTATCAACGCGATCAGCAAAAAAGGAAACCAACGTTCGCTTGACGATGGGTTTTCTCACGATAGATGCGCCATCTTTCATGACGCGGAGCTGGGCACGGATACAATTAAACACGCCCGTGGAATTGACGTCCATGACAAAGTTCCAGTTCTCATCCGTCTCCTCCACGACGGGGTTGATCCTGATGACACCGGCCCAGTTTGCGGCTCCGTCCAGCTTTCCAAACTTTTCGATAGTCTTTGCGATCCAGGACTCTACAGAGGCGCTTTTGCGTACGTCGACCACGGTGGAAAGGTGAGACTCTGAGTTTTCCAGCGATTGCATAGTCTCCGCGAGGCCTGCCTCGTTGACGTCGGCCAGCGAGACGAGTGCTCCTCGTTGGGCCAACAACTGCGCAAGGACACGACCCTGGCCGGACCCTGCCCCGGTAATAGCAACCTGTCGTACTGTCAGTGGGTGCAGTCAATTGAAAGCCTCTCCCTGCGATTGTGAATCATACCACTTTTCCTTTAAAGTCTGACATGTCACAACGGATCGTTTTGATTGATAGGCACCGCAGAGGGGAGTATGCAGATGATCCTGGAAGGTAGAAAGTCGAGAGCTTCTGGTGTTTCCACGTTCGATTGTGACCTGCTGGGAACACTGGTCTCTAATATAACGATTCACTGGGCCCCAAATGGCCCCTCCTACGCAAAGTGAGCAATGAATCGCCGGGCGTGCCCCTACCAGAAGTCCTACATGTCCATACAATGACCACTGGTCTTCTGTGCTGCCCAGAGTCTTGTGAAAGCAGCGTCTCCATCCGCATGCAGCGCTTCCCGTCCTGATGGGGCCGAGCTATCTGGTCCGGATTGCGGGGATGTGCACTGTCATCGAACGAAGAACTACTCTTTGCGGTAAACAAAAGCGTCCTTGCATAACGGACAAAGGTCAGGTTGACTCTCCTCACCATCACTCTATCACTGAGTGAGAATGTGCTTTCGCTATCTGACACTTGTGACTTGATATCCTGCGTTATTGGACGGACGTATCGCGTTCTAACGCGAATGTATCGACGAGCGATGTCCGCACCAATGGACTTTGCTACATGCGGACCTGTCAGATATGCTGGTTACTGGTCAGACGTTTGCGAGGAGTCGGGGCACCGTCCACCTACTTGAAATGGCTGCTTGCACTAGCCCGAACAGGCACATTTAGCCAGCCTTGTGGCGCTGACTCCACAACCGCCTACCATAACCCGAAGTATCAAGTGCTTGTTTCTACGCTTTGTAGCCCCCAATTCAGTAGGCTGTCTCAATACGCTGTTGCGGAGTCAGGGTGATATGCTCAACGAAGCCAGAAAGGCGAAGTCCTCTACATCATCAGGTGAGCATCGAGTACCGAGCATCGAAATGTGTGGCCACGAATCTTGGTCCAAGTTCTGCTAGTGCATCTCAATACAGCGAGCACCTGAAATCGAAAGGCGCGTTAGTTTAGCATGCATCATTGCTCCAAAATTGTTGATCCCCTACGTGAAGGTCGGTATAAAGGTCCTCGGCGAAGGAAGACCAGGGGTGGTACCGAAGTTCATTCATCGAATTCCTACTTGCATCATTATGCCTCGCCGCCAGCTTCAGAAGTCCGACCGGATCGTCATTGTTGGCGCCGGCGTGTTCGGACTGAGTACTGCCCTCCACCTTGCTATCCGTGGCTACAAGAATGTCACTGTCTTTGACCGGCACGACTATGACGCCTCAAAATATGCCTACCGGTCTGGAGCCGATTCGGCTTCTTCTGGTCCGTCGAAACCGTCCTGCTTTGGGCCGCGCAGCGCGCCGTTACTGACCTGAGGCGGACCAGATACGAACAAAATCATCCGCTCTGCATACGGGTCGGCTGTCGAATACCAGGATCTCTCCAAAGAGGCGATCGAGTGGTGGACCGCGTGGAATGAAGAACTTAAGGGCGGAAAGGATCTCCCGCCGGGCTTGAGTTCATCGGACCGGGTATATATCAACAACGGGACGCTGGCGTTCACTGACAAGGACGAAATGCCCACCTTTGAACTCGATACGATCCGCAACATGAGGGCCGCCGGCTTGGGTGCAACGCAGCTGATTACTACCAACCCTGAGGACGTCAAGGCTGCAGACCATCGGGGTTGGGGATACGGGATTGACCCTTTTCGCCGCAAGGAAAGGGGAAAAGCCAATGTCGGCGTGCTCGACACTACCGGCGGCGTGGTCGTGGCTGACAAAGCTTGCCGCTTCGCTTTACACAAAGCCCGGGCGCTGGGGGTCAAGTTTGTGTTCGACGCACGAGCGGGCGCATTCGAGACCTATTGGCATGACAAGGACGGAAAGGTGGTGGGCGTAAAGACACAAGATGGCCAAAGGCATCCGGCGGACAAGGTTGTGATGGCTTGTGGAGGCTGGACGCCGTCCCTCGTGCCTCAGCTCGATGGTCTTTGCGAGACGACGGCGGGCTCCATCATCATGTTGAAGATCCCGCGAGACTCGCCGCTCTTTGACCGATTCGCCCCCGAGAGGTTTCCCAGTTATATGTGGAAGCTGTGGGACGGACCCGAGGGCGGTCTGTACGGCTTCCCCCGCGACGATCAAGGGTGGATGAAGATCGGGTACCGGGGCACAAAGTACACCAACCCGCAGGTTCAACCGGACGGCCGGGTGCGCAGTGTCCCCATCACGAGGTACACGCCTGGCGAAAAGGTCACGCACATTCCGCGGAAGGCCATGCAGGTGTTCAAGCGCTTCCTGGCCGAGTACCTGCCGGAGCTGGCCGAGCACGGGATCGGCATCGAGCTCACGAGGCTCTGTTGGTACACGGATTCCTTCGACAACCACTACGTGGTCGACGACGTCCCGGGTCAAGACGCCACGGTCATGGTCGCCACCGGCGGGTGCGGACACGCTTTCAAGTACCTGCCGAACCTGGGAAAGTGGATCGTCGACATCATGGAGGGAGTCGGCTCGGAGCGTACTCTCGTCCAGCGCTGGCGGTGGAGGGCATTGCAGCCCGGGACCGAGCCTTTCAACGTCTTGATGCAGGGCAGTACCAGTCCGGCTGCTATCAAGAATGTTTCGTGGTCGAAAGATAGCGACCTGAAACCGGCGGGTAGCGGTCCACGCTTGTAGACAGCTCGAGTTACAAGGTAGCCTGGCCACTTTGCACGGCTGTACCTCTTGAGATTACGGTAGGTTGTGCTCGTACATGTATCTACAAAACATCTCAAAAGAGTACGGAGTAGAGTGAAGTGGACACGATGGCGCACATACTGTTGTACCTTATAATAAATACGTGCATATGTACGGACGATCTTGGTAAATTAGCGGTGTCATTTGGAAGGACTCAGGAATGCAGAATTATGAGAAACTGAACATGTGGATCGAGAAGCTGTTTTGTTTGTATGAGGTTACAGATCGAATGGAGTATCTATCCTCCTTATGACCCTACTCTAAAGGGTCATTGCATCTAGTCCTCAAACCTCAGCAGTGTGCCTGATGATTGCTCATGCAAGACCACCACGTCCTCCCTGCTAGAATGAACTGGCGAGTGGAATTTCCCGCGTCGAGCCCAAACCACACCGGGTGCTGGGAGTGAGGAGTATCTGTTGTACAGTAAGGGTATGGTCGTAGACAGCCTGAACATCGGCATAGAGTGCAGTGAAGTGCACAGCGTTGCCTTCACCACCGGGTTTAATCATACACGGCGCTGTGTTTCACTTCTGACATCTGACCTATTGGGAGGTTTTTTTTTGAGCAATGTCTCTCATTTGTCGTCCTTTTCTTCGGCCTTTTTCTTTCTGCTGCCGAGAATCTCATCGACAACACCCAACTCGAGAGCCTCTTCAGCACTCACAAAGTGATCTCGTTCCATCATCTTCTCAATCTCGTCCATTGTCATCTTCTTCTTGCCCGTCAAATGCTTCTCGTAAATCTTGTTCAGTTCGGTCCGTATTCGGAGGATTTCCTTTGCGTGGATGGCTATGTCCGCGGCAGTACCGTAGTGACCGCCACTGGGTTGATGAAGCATGATGCTCGAGTGAGGAAGGGCGTAACGGCGTCCAGCCTGACCGCCTGCGAGAAGGAGACTGCCCATAGACGCTGCCTGGCCCAGAACGAGCGTCGAAACTTCGGGGACAATGTACTGCATGCAGTCGTAGATTGCCAGCCCGGCAGTCACCGACCCGCCTGGAGAGTTGATGTACATCGAGATAGGTCGGTCACTTTCGGCTTCCAGGTAGAGGAGGGATGCGGTGACAGTGGCGGCCATACGGTCGTCGACTTCGCCGTAGACGGCCACTATCCGTTCTTTCAACAGTCGGGAGAACAGGTCGGTGGTGTGGCTCATTCCAGCCAGGGTCTCAGTCACGAATGGGATGGCTGTTGTCTGTGTCAGCGAACGCCGACTTGAACAGACACCCCGGTCAACTTACGCAGCCAGCCAGTCGTCGGCGGTGGCCTCGAGTATTGCCGCCGTTGCTGGCCATGTTGAAGACTCGCACAGCATATCTGAGCAGGAAGACGCGATGAGAGCCTCGGGGCCGCTCGGATTAGCTGACGCATCTTGTTGCTGCACGGTGAAGAAGGCAACGGGCACAAAGTTGAGGCTGCTGGTAATATGTCGAGTATCTTAGATGATATACCGCGTGCTCCTCTGTATAATATGCGGTGGGGCAGTACGACAGCACGGCGCAAATGGTTGTACTGAGGCAAAAGGCTCGAGAGATATTGACATTCGTCTTCTTACTGCCCATCTACAGGGCTGGCTGCTTGAGAAAAGCACTTTACATCTTGAGTAAGAACGAGACAAGACATATAGAGTCTAGGCGAAGGTACAAATGCCATGCGAGGCCTCAGAGCCTGTATATTGTACAAATCGAAGTAGGCAAAGTGCAAAGTATACTCGGCTACCATCTCTTCTTCAGCAACCTTTTGTCCCGTATGTACTAGATCGTATCGATAATAACAATAACGAGCCCTCAAGTAGCTCGTGCATGAGCCGCGGCAACTCGAGATAGAACGTTTGCCAATCCGGCACGCATTGCTGGGTCTTCCACGGCATGTGAACTGGGCTGCAATGGTTTTCTGAAAAGAGCCGTCAACGCTGTCTTCATGTCCAGCACGATCAAATCAGCTTCTTGAGTCGCCGTTTTGGTTAGAGGATTCGATGAGGAATGCTCCCGTTCCGCACCATTAGGTAGCAGACTTTGTAACTCTATACCCTCCTCTTCACCACCTGTTTGCCGTTCCTGAACATTTGACACGAGCCGTCCTTCTTCTTCGGCTTCAATGTCCTGTGGAGGCGGGGTATCGGGCTGTGGTTGCGCATGGCCTAAAGCGAGCTGTTTCTGATGGCCCACGACCAGCATGACTAACTGCAGAGCCAAAACCACGACGTCCAACAAGAGCAGCCTCCATTTTGAGGGCGGGAGTTCCCCAACAAAGTCAATGATCAACCCTCCATGTGTGTGTTTTGTGCCACTTTGGGTCCAGAGCAGATGCGTGACGATGCACACTACGCTGACAAAGACTGCAGGTGCGAGCTGTAGACCCGTTGGTCGATACTGGACATGGACGACTTGAGAAATGGCACGTAGGATCAGAAGGAGGGTGAGATTGTCGGATAGGTAGGTGATGCCTATCTGGAGGAAGATGACCGCGTCGAGAGTTCTGAGGAGAGACCGTAGATAGTCATTCTTCGAGTCGCCCACACGCAGACTGCGCTCCGAGTTCAGAGCGCTGTCATTGTTCATCACAGTACATTTGGGGATTTGGAATACAACTCGGGCATTGTATGGAGTAGAGAGGCTTCTGAATGTAGTCTTTACGAAGCGACGACTTCGCTGTAGTCTTGCCAAAATGAATGCGGCTCGCCCGCTCAGCACGTGACTGTAAGATAACTTGGCCTGCTCAGCTCACCTCCACCCGACGTGCTAGGTTCCTGGGACTTGTTAACGGCCAGCACAAGCAGCTATCAGGGTATTTTCCTGCTTTTCGAGATTGTCTGGAGAGTATATATCTGGTTATGTGATGAATACTAGAAGTGGTGTGAAGAGTCTATCTTACGCCCCTTGTGTTGCTAAGGGCATTCCTTATGCTGTCAATCAGAGGATAATAAACTGCTGTGTTAATCTGGAGTCTTTTGCAGCTTAAAATGAGGAGAAGATAGATCATCAATAAATAGATCTTATTGTTTTCAACCATAAATACATAAAGGAATAACAATCTATAATACTTACTGCTATATATACATTATAAACTTTTCTCAACTCAACTTCCTACATCAAGTCATTATGCACATCATTCATTCTCAATAATACTTGATTAAGCTGATCTAGAATCAGCACCAGAACCAGAATCAACACCAGAACTAGAATCAACATTAGAACTAGAATCAACACTAAAACCAGAATTAACATCAGAACCAGAATCAACACCAGAATAAGAATCAACACTAGAACCAGAATCAACACCAGAACCAGAGCCAGTGTTGTCATCTCCCATGGGAGGGTTGTTATTGGTTTTGTGGTAATTTCCTGTCGGCCGGATATGGGGGATTCCGCCGCTGGTGTCCACGATATATCACCATGGTTTGATCGTACTTACTGGCAGATTAAGCAATCGTATCTTCCGTTATCAGCCATACGTCTTCGCTGCTAACTCGTGCCTTCAAAAGCCACTTGCATGGGCCTTTCGCAAGACTGATCAGATGCTGCAAGCCTTTCTTGATCATCGCTTCCTCCTGTTCTTCCCTGAGTCCAGCTGCGACAGCATCCAGACAAAGTTGCAGTTCGTTCGCGGCTTTGTGCCCTGTCTCTACCAATTGATCGTTCAGTGCGATCATGCGGCGTAAAGCCTGCCAATTGATCCGCTCCTTATTGTTCATGACGTCTCCACTGCCTGCCCAGGGGAGAAGACTTGTTTTGTCCTCAGTAATCTCAAATACACACTTGAGTAATGCAGCTTCAGAATCGTTGGCTTTGCACTCTCTGCAATCTGTATGCCAGTCAACAGAGGTTTGCAGGGTCTTGAAATCGCAGTCGAACATGCTGTCTGATTCGGTCTCGTATCCAGAAAGTGGGTGGTAACAGGTAAAACGCACACCAGGGGTGTTATTACGCACCCCACCCCTTTCGGTTGGCGTCTCTCGGGTAACCTTCCTTGTAAAGAATAATTTTCCCTTGTATCCCCCCAAGGCGCGCCTATTCACAGCCTTCTAACTAGGCTCGCGTTCTAGGCGGCGTTTCAGGCGCCCTAGGCTTGCAAAATATCATGATGCTAGGAACGATGCAAGGAAGGCAAGGAATGATGCAAGGATCGATGCAAGTGATGCTGTCCCAGTGCTAGTTAGAGGCGGCTCTCACCTGGGAGTTCCTCTCGCCGAGCATTGCGCTCCACACCTAGTCTAGTCGAAAAGTCATGGTTCCTGGGATATGAGTTGACTGTCCTCGACCTCGTCCTCCTCCTCCGCGGCCTCTTCTTGCGCCTCTTCCTGCGCCTCCGCGGCCTCTATTTGACTCATTTAGACGTCTCCTTGCCACCTGATTGGCCTGTTCTATTGCGATGTCTATTCGCGAGGCCCTGTCCACTCATCAAGGAACGCCTTGGCCTCCTCAATTGAGTGAAACCTAGTGTCACTGGGCGGAAGCGCAAATGGGATCACAGGGCCCTGTTCCTGCGCCTCTGCGGCCTCTTCACTGGGTTGCGCGTCGTCGAGAGCCTCCGGGGCATCTTCCTGCGCCGCCGCGCCCTCCGCGGCCTCCTGGTCAGAATTGCACTCATAGAACTCGTCATTTGAGGCTGTTTCATAGGCGAAAAGGGCCTCCATTTCCGCGGCTAGTTGAGCGGGGCTCGACATGGCTAGACATAGCAGTGATAGACGCAATGATAGGTTGTTGCGGGTAAGGAATATGTTTGTTGAGAGGGTTGTGATCGAGGAGTAGGCAGAGATAGCATAGAAAGGGATCTACCTCAGTTGTGCCAAGACCAACGCTAACCTAACACTAACCCAATCGGGTGGGGTGCGTAATACCCATTACCCATTTAAATGGTATCTCAATTCCCCATCAGATGTGATATGCGCGGTAATCATTCGTTCTGGATCTGGGTCTGGTGTCCAATAGCCAGGTAATTGGTATTACGTACACCCACCCCTGTATTACGCACAAACAACGTCAAGGCGTTGAGGCCTGATTAGGACCTAAACTGTAGAGTTAAGTGTCTAAGTTATAAGCGTGAGTGCCCTAAAGTATAGAGATCTAGGGCGCCTAAATCGCGAGTCTAGAAGGTAAGATAATAAGGCGCGCCTGGGGAGTGCCAAGCGAGAATTATTCTAGACTGAGAAGGTTACCCGAGCCGCTTACTATATTAGGCTTAGAGGAGTCATGCATAATGCAGAGGAGGTTGTGCGTAATACTCATTACCCGAACTTGGTGTCGCGAACCATTCCGGCTCACCTCCACCCGACCTGCATGATATGTCCTGTGTGCTTCTTTGCACCTCCTCCGTCTGAATCATTCCGTATCAGCATCATTCCAGTCCCGAATTCACCATGTTCCGAATTCTATAGCGCTTGCTCAGGTCTAGGCCTCGCTTGATACCAAGGTGCCGTCGAATGCTGGATCTGGTTCAAACTCGAGGTGCGCTTCTCCAAACTTTCGTCGCCCTTTCTTTGCAGTAACGATGAGGACGCCTTTGTCAGATGCGAGTGTCATCTCGAGAGTGAGGTCGAAATCCATGCGACGCGGAATCTTTTCACCCTCAAGCATGAGACGGTTTCGTTCCTCCTTGACAACCTTGGTCAGGTCTATTTTAATACTGCCTACCTTGTAGATTGGCCCTGCGCGAAGTTAGCCAGAGCTGTCCATTCCATCAGGCATCCGCCCGTGGCGTCTCGTACCGATGATACCGGACTCTGGAAGAGGATCATCCACGCGGCTTGGTGCACTGTCTTCCTGGCTCCCATACAAGTCCTGGTACACCACATGCTCGGATTTGCTCGAGTTGGTACCGTGCACAACAACATAGCAGTCAAAGCCACGTTTGAGATTAGGCGAGATCTTCTCATTCTGAGACGCATTAGCCCATGATAAGCGTGCACAAAGCGAGTCCTTACCTTTTTGACATGCCACCGCATTTGATTCTTGGCTCGGTGCCCAAGAACAGGGCATTCAAATCGATCAGAGTCAAGGTGTTTGCTCGAATCGAACTTCTCGTGAACAGAGAACCCAAGATGCTCCCGGCAGTTTCGCGAAGCAACGACATTCTTTTCCAGGGCACTGATGACAGCACCCCTGCATATCGCGGACCACGGGCGGGCGGGTACTATCAGTTCAATGTCCTCTTCCAGCATTTCATTGACAAAGTCCCGTATTCTTTTCTGAACATACGGGCTCGAACCCATCCCCCCGCAGAGAATGATTTTCTGTCTCGCATTAGATTTGGCTCTTGCAGGTTCGTCCCAGACTTACCTCGACGCGAGGCTCATTAGCAGTCTGGGTCTTTCGCAGTTGGTTGCGGATCAGCTCGAACGTCTTCTGCAGCGTTGTCTCGAACATGTCCTTGATCTCCTCACTTGACGCCATCAGTAAACTTTACAGATTCGCTGTTTGATTGCCACATACCCGGTGAGGACGACGGTGTCTTCGTCGAAGTCATAATGTTTTGTCACTTTAAGATCGGCCTTGTCCAACTTGCTCATCTTGAGTGGAAGCTCGAAACGTGCGTCATCGTCGAAGTCGCCAGTGAATTGACGTTTCAAAATTTCGAATGCTTCCATGAACTTGCTTCCTGCGCCTACCTTTTCCACGGGCAGGGCCTCGAATGCTATGCCGAAACAGTAAAGCATGAATTCAAGTAACGACCTGTCAACACTGGTTCCCCCAGCCTTTGCACCTACATGAAGACAGTCAGTACCTTGAATGTCCGGGAAGAGCCAATGGACACGGACCTTCGCCAACGCAAGCTTCCTCGAGTCGAAGTGGTTGCATTCTCGCAATCCGGTAAGTGCAGGTATCTATCGTACCGCCTCCAATATCCACAACCATGGTACAGGTGTTTTGCTCATTAAAGTCAGCTCCGCTTGATCAGGTCGAGGCAGGCACTCACCTGACTCACCTGAAAGGGTGCTGTATGGAACTTAGAGTTGGTCTGGGTAATGGCGCAAATTGCGGCCGCTTCTGGTTCCGCAATCATGAGAATTTCGTCTCCCATTCTGGAACCAAAACCGGCGTCTTCTGCAGCTTTCCGAGTGGCTTGACGAGCCGCATTCGACCATGTTGCTGGAGTGGTGATCACGAAGCGAAAGCTGGTTTGTTCGACCAAAGTCGGTCCCAGTTCCAACTCGATGGCTTGCAACAGATGTCGATACATGTTTCTCAGGAAGTCAGTTGACACTGTCTGAGCGGTCTTGCCCTCTGGAATATGCATGACCTTGCTACCCAGGGCCGTGTTGAGGCGAGGATCGTCGAAATCTTCTCTTTTGAATTTCCCATCCAGAAGAAGCTTGAACCATTGACATGTCTTCGATCCTGCTTTAGGTGCGTAACCCCATTTGTCCTCTGAGAAATCATTCTCCGCTGCGTAGGAAATGCGAGTTGGAACCTTCTCCGTGTTATCACAAGGACCACCATTCCAGTGGTTGATCACGACGATGTCATTCCAGGTCTTCCTGGTACTGCCCCAGGCTATGCCGGAGTAGGTGGTGCCGAAATCGATAGCCACCATGATCAAGTTTCTTGCCTCTGCCGCTCTGAGCTCTTTTCGTGCTTCTCTCTGTTGACGTTTGGCCTCTTTCTCCTCAATGGTAAGCTCCGCAGCTGCTAGAGGATCAGGTTCACCACAATACGTCGTTGGAGGATGACGCACCTTTGTACTTTCGTTTCTTGACCGACGATGCTCGCTTCTGACTTATTCTGTCCCTTGCAGCTTTGTCTGAGAATGTCAGTGGCTCTCAACCTTTTCAGCTTGTGACAGTCAGCTTGCCTCGAGGTTCAGCATCTCGTACGCCGAGTACGTTCTTTTTGGGAGGCATGGTGTGATATGACAGGCCTCTGATGACGATGAGGCTTGCTGCTTCAAGAAGAGAACTCAAGTTGGTGGATGGCAAGTGTAAGAGAATAGGTTAGAGAGGAGGGGAGGAGCATGATATATATGTTCTCAGGCTCGATCACATGCTTTTGCAAGATGACGATGACTTCAACTCACTTCAGTTCAACTATCACTTGAACTCTCACTTGAACTTCAACCTACGGCGATATCTGCACGACTCCCTTCAGCGTTGGATTTCAATTAACTACCTTCCAGGCTCGTGCCATAGTGAGGTCACCATCCAGATTTCGACGTCTCGAACCTGAGCATTGTATTCTACTTACTCCACCAACAACCAACGTCTGTTCCGGACACTACGGTGCACAACGATTCACAACATCTGGAACAAGGCGCAGGATCAGCTACCACGGACAAACTCGAGAAGAGCTCAAATTCGCCAAAGTCAACAACAGGATGACACCAAAGACTTCAGCAGACGCAAACAAGCCAGCTCAGGATTGTTCAACTACGCCAGCAGGCCGAGTAACCGCTGTGGAGGTTTCTAATCCACCAGAGAGAATGCCGGGGAAGTCAACTGGAAAGTCAGTGCAGACACGAAGAATGCAACATGGTGTGGAAGCTCAATCCTCGAGATCGAGAAAGATCAAATTCCCTCTCACTCTAGAGAAATCTCATGAAAAGATCCAAGTCCTGTCAGACCAACTCGAGTTGAAAAGGACAGAGATCACAAAGCTGAAGGACGCAAAGAAAAGATCGCAAGAACAGAAGACTGCTCTGTCTGACAAACTAAAGGCAGAGAAGGAAAAGCGTCAGAAAATCGGTGATGATCTCCAGAAGTTGCAACACGAAAGGTTCGAAAATGCGGTATCCCATGAGCTGCCACCAATACCAGACGAGGAGGTTCATGCCTACCTCAGTGAGATTTTCATCAACACCAAAATCCTCTCAAAGCAGTGGGCTGTTGGAAAGTGGGACCAGATCGACGAGAAGCGGCAGTCTGAAATATTCATGGAGTTCGAAAGCAGGTTTGGCAAGCCACTTTGCTCTGACCGCATGAAGGATGTCATCAGGAAGGGGGAGATTCCACCACATATCATTGTCAATGCAGCCATCAATGCGGCATTATGCAATGAGACATTTTCACGCCCGTTTGGATGGCTTCGCGGATCGAGTAGCAAGCTTGAAAATGGGGCTGGTGAGGTCTTTTTGGCATGGCTGATTGAGACCGCCACTGCTGGTAAGTATCCCGGATATGCTTTTCAGAAGTCTAACCATATTCAGACTCTCACGGATCGAATCATATTGTACAAGCAAAGATCCTTCGCGCTATCGACATGCCATTTGCTGTGGATCACTGGTCCGAGGGTACGCGATGCAGCCCGGCCATCAGGCGCTTGAGAGGCGAATATATTGAGTCGACATGTTCCACAATCGTCCAACTATGCCGTCCATTCCTGAAAAGCTTAGGAGACATAACAGAGTCTAGGCGCCGGACTGAGCTTCTGGATATCGTGAGAGAGTGCCACATCCTCTCCTCCAGTCTCACACTTCAATATTCACGCGTTAAGATATTATTCTGGAATGAGCTGCAAGATCGATGCTTTGCTACAGACCACAAAGACCTCGAGCCGCACCGCGGCATGAAGCTGAAAGAGTGCGATGATGATGACGAAGGGCGAGATCCCAAGGAGTGTGGCATCGATGGGAGTCCGATAGACCTGGCGGTCTCCCCATTGGTAATCAGAATTGGTGACACTGGCGGGCTCGATCAAACCATTAGACAGAACATTAAAAAAGCGGTGGTGTGGGTGCTTGATCCAGGAAAAGTGCCAGTAACTACACCAAAGCCAACTACGAACCAAGCTGATGGTGAAGCCATTAATCATCATCCCATGTCATCCGAGACGACGCCCTTATATGCGCTCCAGTCACCCAACAGTGAGCGAGAGCAGATACAGATGCATGGCCAGACAGCACAAAATCGCCTAGCCGAGGAGATACGACCGCCAACACCCGTTGCTGACTGCCAGTTTATCGGACGATCCTTGACGGCCGGCGCTTCAGACGACAAGTTCTCCCAACAAGAGCCTCATCTGCAGAGCAATACGCACAATACACAGCCTGGCCACGGTCATGACGGCCATCCAGTAATCAAGAGGGAGCAAACGGATGACCTTGTTTTGTTGTCTTCAGGAGTCGAGAATTCACAAGTGCCGTCGAAGTCCAAAAAACTTTTCACCGAACCAGGCCGAATGCCTACGAACTCTCCTCAGCAGGATCGCAAGAAACGTAATCGGCAGTCTCATCCTGAGAAGAGACAACGACGAGGAGCACGTACCTTTGAGGATTGCTCTTCGAACGAGTCGGCCGACCGGGATGATTCTGGCGATTACGAACCCGGAGCTCCATGGGTGAGTTCTATCCCTTTTGCTCGTCCCTCGACCGAAAGACTGACACGTACGCAGCAGAACCTCAACCCCCCGAAACGACCTCGAACGTCATCGAAAGGGCAAACAAGGGGTCCTGGCGAAGACACTGTTCAACAACGTGGGTATGAAGAAGAAGACACGGGCACCAAGGATCGGTCCTACAAGCAAAAGTTGCGCCCCCTTTAAGACGGCTCATGCCGACTCGTGAGCACGGTCGTGACGCAGACACCTGAGCAGAAATCCCACATTGACAGCCAGCGTTATCGGTGAGAGCCGGTGAATAGGAGAGCACAGCAGATTGACTGCTCAGCAGAAGCCAACACAGCAACCAAGGGCGGGGGGGCTGGGGCGACCCAAACAAAAGTGGAATTTTATTTTTTTTCTATTGAGCCTTGATTGATTTGTGCACCATTACCACGGGGATTCACATCCTCTCCAGGCATGAGCATTCTGAGCAATCGCGAGAGGCTCTCAAGGGGGGGAGCAAGTGCCATTCAAGACCACCCCGACGACGAGAGGATGGAGATTTCAAGGTCACTCCATGCATGTTCTCAGGTAGTTCACAGCCGAGAACACCTGAGTTTAGTTTAGTTTACGGTTCTCTTTCTTCATGAGCTAGACACAGGCTCAGGAATTGGAAAAAAAGTGGTCAACAACATTTCTTCTTGACTACGAGTACACACTGAATCAGAAATTTCCCTCGTCGTTCCAGCTCGTTTTCGTCGCTTTTCTGTCCTAGAACGAACGTCCTCAGGCCGTATTCGAAAAGCAATATATCACGTTAGCCAGCTAGAACCACCCCAATGCGCTCCGTGCTGACTGCACTTCCGACAACTTCCCCCTCCTGAAAGATCAACGGAGGGAAGGCAACATCTGCCATACTACTAAGCGTTGACGGAGCTGATGGAAGGCGCGGGATCGGCATGGAACATTCATTGATTCGTCCATGTCTCTCTATGTGGGTGTGTATACAACTTCATCCATGTCTCGTGGCACCGCAAGCCATACTTTGTCATTTCTCGACTTTCCAAGTTCCGCAGTAATGCATACACAGTTGTCGCGCGAACGTGTACCGACTGAGTTCGAAGATTTCGGGCGGTGTGCCACTCATATCAGTAGTATCCAACACTTGCTTCTCCCTCCCATGTTGCAACCTGCATCGAATATTCTTCAGGCGGGTGGGAGAGGTCCCCATTCCTCACTCTTCGCTCTTCACTTCCACGTCGACTGATTTCGTGCGGGCTGGTAACTGAACACCTTCCCCATCCTCTTGTTTAATTCCTCCATTGGGCTTTCGAGACTTTGTACGTTCACCCTCTTTTTGCGGCACGGACGCTTTTCCGACCTGGGTTTTCTTGACTGGACTGGTAGCATCGGCTTTTAGTTGTTCGAGAGACTCCTGACCCAGCTTGTTGAAGAACATCTCCTCCACCATCATCCGACCTTCCACCTCCTTTGCGGTTTCTTCACCCTCTTTCCTCGGTGGCTGCTCCTCGGCGCCGTCTCCTGCAACCTGTTCGTCCAGTTTGAGCTTGGTAAGGCCCATGGAGTGGATCTGCTCCTCGACCGTGCCTTTCGAAACCAGCCGAACGACTTCAACTTCTTTAACCTGCCCGATGCGATGCGCGCGGTTTTCTGCTTGGATATCATCTTGTGGGTTGAAACCGCTGTCGAACACGATGACCTTGTTGGCTCTCGCTAGGTTGATACCAGCGCCACCGGCCTTGGTGCTCAGCATGAACACAGGCGTTTCATTATCCTCGGCGGAAAACTCATCGATCAAATCTTGGCGCTCAGATACCTTGGTGCTGCCATCAAGTCTGAAATAGTCAATAGCCTCGCGTTGGAGCACAAGCTCGAGAATGTCCAGGATCATGACGAACTGGCTGAAAATCAACGTCTTGTGGCCCTCGGACATGAATGTACGGAGCAGTTCGAGCATCTTTTGCACCTTTCCGCTGGCGAGCCATTCTCCGTTGTGAAGGGCGAATCGCTTAAGTGGTGCATGCTGATCACACAGAGTATGTATCTCCATGTCGGAGTAGGCTTCTAATTCTGTTACGATGAGATCGGGGTTGGACTCGCTGAACATGTCGACCTTTAAACATTGTCTTGCAATAGCCGGTAGAACCTTGTCAGGATAGACTCGACGAAACAGGAGCGGGTGGATGGCGGCCTGTCTCAATTTCATCAAGATATTGGAGGATTCGTTGGTCACATTCTCACCCCTTTCTTTCCGTTCACGGATGCTGTAGGCCTTATCAAGGTACGACTGATAAATCTCGGATTGTTCAGGAGTAATGTCACAGAATTCAACCCGTCGCTCCTTTCTAGGCAAATCTTTCAGGACTTGATATTTCTTTCGCCGAAGGATGAACGGTGTTAGCATGCTCCTTGCACGTTTGATCCTCTGTTCAGACAGCAATGCTTCATGATTTTCGTCCATGGCCTTGACGGTATGTGAGAAGATACTGCTGAGCTCTTGTGCTTTCTCCTTGAACAAAGAAGGCATCAGAAAACCAAGCAGACTAATTAATTCCTTCAAGTTATTTTGAAGTGGCGTTCCGGTGAGTAACAAGCGGAAGTTCGACTGTATCCGAACTAGCTTGCTCGCGACTTGGGATTCGGCGTTCTTAAGCATATGACCTTCATCATACACTGTGCAGTCAAATCCGAAATTCTTGAGCCACGGGAAATCCTCCTTCCCTTTAGCCAAGGTGTAGGTCGTGACGATGACGTTAAGGTCCGCCCGACTGTCTTCAAGATCCTCCCTGAGCTGAGCTCGCTCCGTCGGGTTTGTTGTGTAGTACGGCTCGACATTCAAAGTCGGGCAAAATCGCCTGAACTCTTTCAGCCAATTTTCCAGAGTTGCAGCAGGCACAACAACAAGATGAGGACCCGTTCGCCCTTGCTGATAAAGGTGTGCCAGAAAAGCGATGACCTGACAGGTCTTTCCCAAGCCCATATCGTCTGCAAGAATGCAACTCAGGCCTCTCTTATAAAGCATGTTCAACCAGTTGATTCCCACAATTTGATAATCCTTCATTTGAATGTCGTCCGCCATAATCGATGGTTGAGATAGAAAATTCTTCGGCATTCGCTTCTTGACAGTGTCTCTATCTTCATCACTGATGGGTGTACCAATACCGGAGTCATGACTTGAGCGCTGAGTATCGCGTAGTGAAACGATGTCCAGTTCTCCATCTTGGTTACCGTACAGGTTCACCCCCCAGCTCTTCATCTCCTCAGCCAATGGTTTGGCCAGGCTCTGACACTTCTTGACCAGATAGTCGACAGCTTCATAACTTTCCAACATTGTTTCAACTTTATCCACAATCTTGTCTCCAACAGGATTCGTCTTTCTTCGACCCTTGCTGGGTTTCAGCTTCGGGTCTTGGATCTTGCGTATGTCATCAAGACTCTTGAACGGCCTTTGTGAAATTACATAGTCGGCCAGCTCACGAGAGATAGACGCAGTGTCGGTCAGATCTGCAGCCGTGCAATTGTTGAAGAGGTCAAGGAGTCGCGAACTAAATGTGGTGTCGGTTTCCGTTTCGGATAGCACAGGCGAATCAGCTTCGTCGGAATCATCCGATAAGACGGCGATGGGTTTGACCCTGGGCTCGGATGGTTCTCTGGCAGTTTCTGATGGCTGCACTGGAGAAGGAGTGCGTTTTCGGCCTCGAACAAGTGTTCTCTTCTTTTGGGGAGGTGGAGTATCGAACACGTCAATCGTTTTGGACGGCTTCCGAACATTCTGTGTTGAGCTCCATTTTTCTGCGATTGATTTCGAAGAAACTTTGGCCTTTTGCGCAGCGGCCACCTTGCGACCTGCAGGGGTTGGCATAAGTTCGTCGTCACTGCCGGTGAGATCAATGGCGTTCTTTTTGCCCCGGTCATGCCTCCGTTCACTAAGTAGAAGAATCTCCTCCACAGCATCATCGTAATAGCCCTTCTTTGACACCAAAACCTCGTAGCATTCTCGAACACTAACCATGCTAACCATGTTCATCATCCGCCTAACTTTGGCCCTCGCATTGTAGTCACTAATATCGTCCAGCTCCAGCTCTGGTTGTTTCTTCTGAGGAGCAACAGGCAGTGCACGAGCGGGAGCAGTTTGCCGCGGTCGTTTGTAGGCGTTACCATATGCATTGGCCATGAGGTCTGCTGATCGCTTGATACCGCTAGACGTGGACGAGTTTGAGCTGGGCGAACCTCGAAACATTGACTTTGCAGTTATCTCCATGAAACGACTCAAACCATTGCTTTGTACCTGCGGCGACTCTGGGATTTTGTCGGTCGAGTTCTTCTTTCGCACAAAAGCTGACGGCTTGATGTCATTCACCCGAGGTTCATCACTATCCGATGAGCCCCCACGATACACCGGTCCTTCATCGTCACTGTCGATAGTGATAGGAGGCGGCCGAGGCTGCGAAGCAACATACGGTCTTCGAAAGGCTGTTCCGGCTGGAGCCATGGCGCTGGCAAGATAACCACTTGGTTTTCGACTCTGCGCTGCCAAGGGCGAAGAAGCTGTCACTTGGACAACCCCGCCATTCACGGGTGACGATATCGTGTCTGGTGAACGATCGATAAGTTGTGTAGGCTGTGTCATCTTCTGCGTTGACCGATGGGGTGGTAAGGTTGCCATGGTATCGATGTCGCTGTCGTCATCCATGGGATCAATTCGTCTCAAAGGTAGTGTCTCGATCGTCTCGTGAAAAGCAGTCCCATGGCCAGGATTGAAGAGTTCATCGTCGGAGCGCGACGGTGAAGTGGGAAAGGAAGACATGGCCGGCGGTGAGGCGAAGGAGGAAAAGGTGGCGGCAGAATTATCACCGCCCGGGAGAGGGATAACACATTACACTACGATTTTGCAGAGACTCGGACGACGGTGATAGAGCGAAAGACTGTATACCACCGAGTACTCGACCTGCGAGACTCTTTGAAAAGTAAAAGGGTCCCCTCCGAAAGTGGATAGTTAAATGCGCATTTCTCCCATCTGGCTCGGGTCGTTTCTATGGACGAAGAAACGCGTTTCGCGTCGTGGGGGGACCCTAAAGCAGCGATACTCTTCTAACCGTACTTGTGCTCGAACCACGTCAACTCGCCGCCGCTTTGGGCGTTTCGATGAATAGTATGACCTGTCCAGTTGAAGCGGATCCTCGTTCTCTGCCACTACCTTTTACGTGCAACGTCCTAGACGACATCCGAGTCGAAAAGGTATGCTGCTTGTCCCCATTTCTTGACCTCAACCCTCAGAAGAACCCGCAAACTTGGTCGGCCGCCTCTCCACTGCAGCAAGTGGACCTCTGTCACGGTAGTAGACGCCAAGGCGAGTATCAGATCCCGTCTGCAAGACTTAGTCTTCCTCAAACATATATGTCTGTTGAGTCGGTCTGCTGAACGAAAACTCGATACCTCCCTGCGTGGAATATATATTTTCTATCCGAGGTCCATCATGGCTACACGACGCATTTTCGCGTCCGAGAAGACGGTCACCGAGGGACAGGGTGGCCCGTCTACAGCAGATCAAGTTTCGGACACGAGTCCTGCGGTTCCAGCGTAGGTCATGCTCAAGATCGTTAACCAGGGGAATCCAGCTGAACGGCCACCAGTCACGTTATCTACAAGCTTCTCTTCTTCACCGCGGCCATGGTATGTGTGCCAATTGGTTCGTACTTTGTCACACTTCACACTATTTTTGGAGGTACGTAACCATGTCTTCCGTCTGCCAACACTCCGTCCTGAATGGCATCCATAGGAAAAGCGGTATGGGCTGGTGCTTTCGCGGCTATCATGGCAAATGTGGTCCTGATAGCATACATTGTCGTTGCCATGAGGGAAGATCAATCAGAGAAGGCCGAGGCTGAAAATAAACGAAAGAAAGGACAGTAATTGAGGCACTCATTAATGTTTCAACTCCGTGAGTTCCAGTTGCGAAACAAACGTCGTGCGAACCCATCCTTGGTCGGATACAGTCTATGAACGCATATGCGACCTGCACTACACCTTGACAAGCCGATAGCTTTGCAGCGCTCGTACTGCCAAGGTCATCCCCTCCATCACTCCATGGCAATCAACTCTAGGGAGTCGTAACGCTATCCATCATCAAGTTGCCATGGGAGATTATATCAGACATTATTCATAAAAGTGTGGCCGCCTTCCACCGCGCACGTTTGTGATATGCAGATGCGAGGTAACATGTTCCCAAGGCCAGGATATGTTTCTTCCAATACGCCGAAAATGTTCATCAAAAAGTGAGCGTCCACGAAAATAGAATCTCCCTCCGATCACTGGTCTCGTCGACTGAACCTTCGCTTGATCCAGCTTTGTTTCTTTTGGGGCGACTCCGGGGGAGTATCCACGGCGCCTTCAGAGCCGCCGAGTTTGATAGGCTTGCGAGGGTTGTTGGGAGGCATGTTGACAGGCACGTTGTCATTCATGTTGTATGGTGCGAAAGGTTTGTTTATGGCGGGAGACTGGCCGAATTTGAGCTCATTTGCATATGGATTGTCGGGGCTATAGTTCCTGTCATTGCCCTCAGGCCTGGGTCGTGAAAGTTGATGCAACTGGTCGAAAGAACTATTTTGCGAACTAGGGTTGGTCGACTTTCCATACTCGTCAGAGCCCGAAGTCATGGTCTCATAGGAGTGTTGATATGAATGTGCAGAAACTGGGCTCTCGCCGTTGTAGCCGTTTTGATAGCCATTGTAGTAGCCATTCTGGGGCCCGTTCGAGGCTCCGTAATAAGAATTTTGTCGCCTACCGTACATCTGGGAAGCACCAGGGGATTCCTCGACCGAGCTTTGAGGGCCAAAGCCGTAGGATGAGTTACGATAGTATCCACCGCCGGGTGACGGCCGTGGTCTGCCCTGAGGAGAGAAACCGTTGGCTGCTAGAAGATCAGTACACGAGTTTCTGCTCGTTCCGTGGAACTGCTTGCTTACCAGAATAATAGCTTGCTCTGCGGTTCGTGTCTCCAGGTTGTCCTATCTGAGAATCTGGTTCCAGACGTCAATGACATTTCTCGCCCGACGGAACTGGAACTTACGTGGTCTGTTGTTGAACGAAGAACGACGCGAGCTTGTGCCTTCTGCTGCAGCATGGAACGATCGGATTGTATCAAGGGGTCGCTCTAAGCGATGTCGAGTTGGGTTTGACCGATCAGGGTCGGCTGCGTGCAATTGATCAGTATGCGAATGTCTGCACCGGTACCGGGTTACTTACTGATGAGATTGCCATCGGCGTCCTTGTGCGTCATCCCTCGTATATCCTCAACTGTAGCCCGTTCTAATGCTTGTTCCGCTACCACACCAGTAAGTACGTTGCCAGACAGAGCTAATATATTCGGGTCACAAACCAGGTGTCGCCTCGCTCAAAGCCATCGACGGGTCGGCCTTGGTATGCAGTCTCTTCTTGTCCTTTTCGCTTTCTGTCAATTCGAGCTTGTGTCCAGAGGCGCTGCTTCGATGAGTTCGTTGGGAGGAAAAGCTCATAGCAGTATGGGCGCGAGGCCGGGTGTCTGAACTGGGCTGCGACATGGTTGTCATGGTGGCAGGCACGGGCGGTATCGATTGCGCTGGTGGAGATTGCTGATAGTAAAGTAGCTAAGTGGGAACTGATCAACTCGGTGCTGGAAATAGTTGGCAGAGAGCGGGTCTTTCAGCGCAGGAAGGTGTCCTCCGATATAATCAGATGGCGAAAAGAAATTGAGAGGAAGCGAGCGCGTGTATTGTAGAGAGATATCTCGAGACCAAATTGAGAAGTGAGCGTGGTAGCCAAGCAGGCGAGGATCTGTGCAGACGCCGTGCGAGTTGTCTGGCAAGATCGACGCGCAATCCGCTGGTATGAAGTGAGTGGCGGGAGCGACAGGGGATGTCTGTTGCTGATGAGGATGTGTTTCAGACTTGGCAGGGGTGGGCAAGTGAGTGGTATGAGGCGCAGGGAGCAGCGATGTGGAGAGGATATCGAGTCGCAGAAGCTTGTCGTGCCCTTGTGCGAGCGTAATATGGACCAGAGTCGATATGGCGTGCGTACAACTAACTGTGCCACGAGCGGCCCGCGGCCAACAGAGACTTGACTTGAATGCAAAATGCAGACAGGGCAGGTCGCAGGGATGCGAATTCAGCGACACCTCGTCTGTCGAGCGGGAATTCCGTGTGGGTTTCCTGGAGCTGGACACGAGGAAAAACGGTCTCGGCAGGGATGTCAGATGGAGGCAGACTCGCGAGGATGATGGCGATGATGTATTTCAGCGCCCGTCAGAACGAGTGCATTCGTATGGAATATATGTCCGACGAGAGTACGGATAGAAGATGTCACATCTGCAGCCAGAAGGTGTGGAAAAGAAGGATTGGATATTTTATTCTTATGGCGGTGGTGATCATGTTGCGTGGTTAAAACTCAAGACGTACGAGTCCTGCACGCCGTGATACAGCGCAGTGCGTAAAGTATGCATAAAACAAAGTCGGTCGCTGTTTCCCGAATCGCCATCGACGGTCCCGGGCCCAACGCAAGTGTAAAAGCCGACACGCCTTGCCCTTATAGGCATCGCTAGGTATCGCTAGGCACCGCTATGGCGCCTAAGTTGGGAAACTCTGGTGGCCCTTGTGCCGCTAATGGGCGGTATTTCCAACCTTGCCAGCTTCCGATCACCTTTATTCGCCGCTTAACCAACTTTTTTTCCCGCCGCACCTTAGGATTGTCCCGCCATGCAACATGGCACTCGTACTCCGTACATCTTCAGCGACTATTGCGACACTGTGGCCTAGTGAGCTTAGGAGTGCCAGCCAGCCCACAACTTCATCGGCATGAGGTCGCTCGCAGCTTCATGATTGGCAGCCCAGGCACTTCTGGCAACGGTCACTGGCCAGCGAGCTCTCACCCAGCTCAACAAGGCGGTGCACTCGGACTCTCAGGGATGCAGCTCTGACCAGGATCGAATGGGGGATCTTCAAAACGCCGCAGGCCCTGAGCGGCGAGGGCATCGTGCTCCCCCCAACGCCTCCCGCATTCCTTTTCCCAGACACGATCCGCGCATGTGTGACACCAGCCAGCTTCGCAAAGACCGTTCTGAAACTGATTATCCAAGACATGATTGCTGCTGATACTACAGCTGTCATACGGTAAATTCGGAGCCGCCATCGATCTTGTCTCGCCAATGCCTACCAAAGCTCAGACAACGGGGCGGCTGACGAGGCCCCCTTCCTTGGAGCCGCGAACGCACCTCATCAGCGCAGCACTATTATTTTTATTATTGCTGGTCGGCGAGTCGTACGTAGGATGGGTCTCACACTCTCCAGACAATGCGAAGCCCACTCAACCATCAGACACGGTTCTTTTCTGATCCTTCCGGGAGCGCATCCATTCACGTTGAACCTCTCAGTCCGGACATGGAGCTTATCGTGCACCAAGACCCGCAATATCAATGCATCTCAGCATCATTGATATCTGAGACATCTGCACAGGCCATAGGCTTATCCGCAAGACCCTAACCTTCCTGGAACCTTAGCTCTTTGCAGGTCATTCCACTCCTCCGAGTTCATCTGCTCGGAGTCGTTTCCAATACAAAGCTACGGGGCAATGCTCCTGGGACTTGCTCTCATACACACCTTATTGGAAGAAGGGTGGATGCTGGGGATACTGATACCTGGACCCATGGTGTACGTCAACTTAGCAATAGAGGCATCATAGTACGAGCACTCGCCTCACTTCTCCAAGACGTGGCGCAGAACCCGTCTGAAATATTCCCTCGGAAAATTCAGAGCTTCCCAACACAGATCATACCTTGTCTCATTGGCGCGGAGCTATGCGAAAGCTAAACGAACATAGAACTTGCCTTCATAATTCAAGCGAAAACGCAAAAGTGGCTTTAGGAGGATTGTCAGGCGTCGGTCGCCGCACCAAAGGATCCCTTTTCCGTTCGTCTCTTAGGATGAAGAGCTTCATGCTGTCATGCTACGACTTGCATACATTTCGGAGTATTCGTATCTCGACATAAATTGATACAACCTTGGATCTCCGTATTCGTGTCCCCCATACGGGGTAGGGCGATGTTCAATTCATTCTTTTCCATACCCAATGCTGAGCTATACGGAGGCTTGACTGTCTAATTTGACTGTGACATGTGATTTCACGTCTGCCTTGCAGTAGGTCACGACGAGGCGCTTATTCCAAAACTTAGCCATCATAACCAATGCTATATAGACTGCCCAGGGAATCCGTGGCCAAATTTATACTTCGCTCCAGATGGGGGTCGACAGCTACGACGGCTACACATGTTAGATTAGGTACCTTGTGTTCGCGCGGTGAGATCTGTGTTTTGATAATGTGACGCGCGCAACTCGACGGGCAACATGAACCACACGAGGTAAGGCAACTTGTACTTCGTTTTCGCCGTGCCAGGCGGATCTGGGCTCGCGAACTTCGAACACTCAGGTACTCTTGTGCCTATGTACACACGCTCTGTAGTTTGTCCGTCGTAAGGTAGACCAGGTAGGTAGGTGCTTCATTGTAGCCAGCTTGTTTGTTCTGTACAGAAACTACATTACCTACCTCAGTTGATATTATTGTCACTCGTACTGTACGGTGAGCAGGGGCCCAATCCTTCCGAGAGCAACCAGTCTCGCTTGTTCCTTCTCATCCGTCACGACTCACGGCTTGTTTTTTTTTTCGCTTCTTTATTGACGCAGGTACAAGAACCTGCCGAACTATCACACCCTCTTTCGCAACAACCACGACATCGTCCAGAACCGGTTCACACATCGTGTACGGGATATACGTACATAACCATACATACCTTCCTACCTACCTACTTCCCCGGGCACAACACATACCTACACCTGCATTCCCCACGAGGCTTGGACTACTAAAGCCTGTCGACACTTTCCCACGACACGAGTCTCTACGAGGACAGTAGGTTAGTACGCATACCCGGCCTAATAAGGCCAGGTAAAAACGTGGAGCCCCCGCCCCGGAGAAACAAGAACCCAGACCACGATCCCCTCAGGTACGGGAGTTTAAAAGCAATAGTTTCAGATTGCGTAAAAGTTCGTCAGGTTACAATGTACTCCCGTACTCCCGCACGTCCCGTACGGGTTCCTTTCTTTCTTTCTTGAAAGTTGCAAGGCGGCACACCCGGCACCAGGAACTGCAGGGTCGTGCGCAAGCGCAGGGTGTGCGTACATGGTGTAGTCATAAAAAAACTATTAATATCTACCACCTCGGATTACACTTTTAGAAGTGGTGGATTGTCCAAACGGAGTACCGAGTACGGAGAAAATGCAATCAACAAATCAAGTAACTAACCACCTGCCTTACCTACAGAGTACCTTCCTAGGTAACCACCTACTCCAGAGGTCCAAGGTATGCACTTTGGTTCCAAGTCAACCAACAATACCTCGTTCCCAGCCGCTAGGGAGAAGAGATCAAAGTTACTCCGTACGGAGTCAAACCTCGAGGGCGGTTTCCCCCCAGACTAATAATGATGTTGACACTCGTGGCGGATATCACGAGACGCACCACCCCAAGGTACCGTAGGTAACTACCGAGCACCTGGTGCCTACCTAGGCTACTCTCTATCTCAAGTAGGTAGAACGGTGTTGCACTACTCTACGATTACATATAGACCCCTTCATCCCCCGTGGGAACAAGCCGGTTCATTCAGTACCTGGCCAGACTAACTAGCCATAGTATCATGGAGTATCTGACTGTGTCCATGCAATACATTCACGCACAGAGTTGTACTGAGGAGTTGAAACCACTACCTGGCACAACGTCCCTTGTATTGCTGTTGCAGCTGATCCTTAAGGTGTCCAAGGTAGCTGCTACCTCCAGGCATGATCAATCTAGCGCAGAGAAAATAATGCCAATGGGCAAAACAAGGCATCACACGATAGGCATATTTCTCCTCTTCTGACGGGGCTCTTATGCACACCAGACAGTATTTGTCCCTAGGTCTATCTATGTACCCATGTCCATACACGGTAGAGGGTAGAGTCCTTGTATGATGATTCATCATTTGAACTATCTATACTAGGCACACAAGGGATGACACATCTTGATTATGAAGTCCACCTCATTCCCCCTTTCGACCTTGCAGCAAAAAGAAAGACCAGCGGCCACCTTGTCCAGTTCGGTACCCAAGATTTTCTTTCCATACAAGCATGTGTCAATGTCGTTTTCAACCAGTGTCTCGACAGTCTTGTTCACGTCAAACCAACAGCCTCAGTCTTGCGAGCGGCTATCAAGACCACCTTCTACAACTTGTTAGGTGTGCTTGCAGTGTTCCATTGATAACCAGCGGCATCACTGAATCTGTAGCCATACGACGCAGTGAAGTCGTCAAGAACAGCAGGGCCACGAGAGCCTGGGGGAAGGAAAGAAAGTTAGCTTTCTAATTTCGTTACAGATCAAGAGGTGACTTACCATAAGGATATTCCATGGGGACAATGTCCTTCTTCTCATCCAGGTAGTGCAGGAGAGGTGTGAAGATTCTCCAAGACGCATCCAACTCATCGTCACGGACAAAGTTGGAGTGGTCACCCTTCATGGCATCCAGGATCAAACTCTCGTAAGCCTCAGGAATCTTGAGATCGGAGAACCGGCGCCTATAGGTAAGATCAAGTTCCGTGACCACTGTTTGCATGGACAGTCCGGGGAGTTTGGAGTTCATCTTGAGGTAGACTGATTCGTTGGGCTGGATTCGAATAACCAATTCATTTCGAGGGATGTCCTTGAAAATACCAGAGGTGACATCCTTGAATTGGATTCGGATCTCGGTCTTTTGCTCGTTGAGAGCCTTGCCAGCCTTCAAGATGAATGGTACGCCATCCCATCGCTCATTCTTGATGAACGCTACCATAGCACAGAACGTGGGACATCTCGAATCCTTGGGGACAGTGTCGTCGTCCTTGTATGCGGGCTTGGTACCATCGAGAGACTTGCCATACTGGCCGATTATGACGTTCTTTGGCTCGATTTGAGGCATACCTCGGAGAACCCTGACCTTCTCGTCACGGATATCTTCGGCGGAGAAAGAGATAGGACGTTCCATGGCAAGTAGAGTGAGCACTTGGAGGAGATGGTTCTGCATCACGTCACGAATGATGCCGAATTCATCAAAGTAGCCACCGCGACCTTCGGTTCCAAAAGGCTCCTTGAAGGTGATCTGAACGCTGTCGATGTGGTTGCGGTTCCAGGTAGCACCCAGGAATTCGTTACCAAATCGGAGAATGAGCAAGTTCTTGACCATTTCCTTTCCAAGGTAGTGGTCAATACGGAAGATTTCTTCTTCTTTCCAGTCTGGCTCGAGCCTGCGTATTCCGTTAATTGGGGTCTCCAGTCGGAGGATAGCAGGTATCAGTACTTACCCCCGCTGCAGCTGCCGTGAACTGTTCAAGTCTTTACCAAATGGCTTCTCAATGATGATTCTGGCAATCCCACCGGTGGGGTAGCAGTTCCTCTTCAGGTGTTGTGAGACTGTAAGAAAGACACTGGGTGGGAGAGCCATGTAGAAGACTCTGTTATTCTCTTTTCGGCCACCCTCGATATCGGTGATGTGCTTGTCAAGCTTCTGGAAAGGCTCATCTTGATCGTATTGACCAGCAATGTAGGTGCAGATCGAAGTGAACTGCTCGAGTTGTTCCTCCACCTCTTTTGTTGGGGTCTTTATGTAGGACTTGACTCGTTTGAGGAATTCCGCGTGATCCATTTTAGTTCGGGCATATCCAACGATCTTGATGTCCTTGGGGAGGAATTTGTTGCGGAACTATTGTTGACATCGATCAGCAAGGGTTCTATCTCAACCGGCATTGGTTTTTGCACTCACCAAACCGAAAAGCGCTGGGAATGTCTTCTTTTTGGCGAGATCACCAGAGGCGCCGAGAACGACAATAACCGTGTTCTCCTTGAGCTCGACCGTGCTGGTAGAGATATAGGTCAGCATCACATTCATCTCGAGGATTGTGGGGGAAATGAGGCAAACTCGGCGACGTCACTCACCCTGCATTGTCAGGCTCATCCGGGCGCACAACAGTGTCCGCCATTGTGCTATTCGAAGGGCGAACGGGATCAGTCTGAGGCTAAGGAGAGGAAAAGACGAGGATTGAGAGAACTGTCGTTCTTCTGAATTTGCTGGGCTTTCGAATGACAAAGCGGGAAATAATTAGATATGTTAGTGACTGACTGCGGGCTCAGTTCAAGGCCCGCGGAACTCGATGGTGGGGCAAGTAATATGATTGTGAGAGCCACCAAGACTTTAGTAAACAAGCTTGGTAGAGATCTGGACACTGCACAGTTGAAACCGAGAGATTCTTCTGATGCCAAACAAGTTTCGGTGCTGCCCCCAACCAACAAGCAGGCGTTCAGGTGCAACTACAGTGGAAAAAAGAGTGGCAGTTGTGGTTTCGTCAAGTTGTTAACGCTTATCAAGCTGTATATCAACACTTTTACTGTGCGGTCAATTTGTCGTCACTAATCGGTAAGTCCGGGCTGGCAGTCAGCCGCAGGCCTATGAAAAGGCATATTCCCATCCTAGATATTCCATCTTGGAGCGGAATCGTCGGCTGCAAGAACTACGTAGGAGGCAGAGCACTTCCCTCGTCCAGAGCTTGCTCCATTTGTCGAGAGAACACTGCTTCGTCAACCATGCCATCTTATGTAATCGCTGGCATCTTGCATCTACCATGGCTTGCTGTTCTGGGAATCTGCAACCTTAGAGTTATTAGATAGGCAACCCCGTAGACCACACATGTAACTCGTCTATTGTCATCATCTGCTCCTGGCGCATGGGATCTGGTCTTTAGTAGACTGCCTGGTGTGCTCTTGTGTTCGGGCTCGGGTGTGATGGGGGGGTTGAATTTACTCCTTGCGGCATCGGAACTAATTAGGCTATACTGTAGCTCACGGTGTCCCGCCATGACCGCCGGAGGAGGCAGTCCGGTAGAACACCGCTCCCCGCCCGAGCGTCCCTCTACCTACCGAGGCTCCAAGGAATGCTAGGTGAGACTGTAAATGGACTGTTGACATAGAGCTACGAGCCAGTTGGGTACTCAGGGGTGAGACCACGGGTGGCGACTGCTCAGGAGTTTTGAGAGAGGCCTCGAAATCTCGTGTCGATATGATTTACGAGCCTGGCATTCTTCCCAGCCTTCTGTAAGTGGGATTTTGAGATTTGTTGGTCCGCCTCATGCCGTGTCTGTCATAGCTCAGGGTATGGAGTACGGAGGAGCAGTTGTACCTATTGTAGGTACTTAACAGGTCCGCTTATATGTCAGGTACTCCGTGCCCCATAAACTACGTCACGTGATGACAACGCAAAGATTTGCTCTTGGCACTCTACGGCCAGTTCGGGCTAGTCCACACATCGATCCCAAAATTTGCAACTGCGGCCACAACTCTTTGTAGGAATTCGACGACACAACACCGACGACATTCTTCACCCTTCCTCACCAGCGACAATCCCTCCTCGACACGACAATACCGACAAGATGTCTTCCAGCACCAACCACAGATGTAAGCCTTCCCCCGACTGCATTAGGAAGACCACAAACCCTATACACAAATACAGGTCGAGACTAACATTTTTCAACCACAGTATACGTCAAGGGCAAGCACTTGTCATACCAGCGTGGCAAGCGCAACACCAACCCCAACGTCTCTCTGATCAAGATCGAAGGTGTCGAGGATACCGAAGCGGCCAAGTAAGTTATGACCTTTCAGCTGCAACAGGAGGATTGTGGTATTGCAAGATTCGCGTGCGCGCACCAAAATCCAGAACATTCCTGCTAACGGGGTTTGATTAATAGGTTCTACCTGGGAAAGCGCGTCGCATTTGTCTACCGAGCCTCCAAAGAACGACAAGGTAGCAAGATCCGAGTGATCTGGGGCAAGGTTACCCGCCCGCACGGCAACAACGGTCTCGTCCGAGCCAAGTTCCGACACAACCTCCCTCCCAAGAGCTTTGGTGCTTCCGTCAGAATCATGCTCTACCCCAGCTCGATATAAATCGTCTCTCGGTCGACTTCTGGAAGGAAAAAAAGTGAAAAGGATGATGGAGGAACAAACCATAATCTGCTCGAACGCCGTGGATGCAAGGTAGCAGTCAGACACTGCTCGCCCTGTAGCCAGGAAAAGCCCCGAAAAGAGCCGCAAATGTCGGAGACCCATAGATGGCTATCGGCCAGCAGAATGCCTTGCGCCGCAAGGTATTTGAAACGTCAATGCTCGGAACACGAGCCCGCACACGGTTACTATGTGCATGAATGAAGACAAATTTTCTATCACAAATTGAAGTGCCCGAATTAATGGGTCGCTCGAGATCTTCTCGATGCGTTTTGGTGGATACGGTCTTGGGTGAACCTTGCCCTCAGTTTTCCTGAAGTTATCGTAAATATGCTGGTCTGTTTCAGCTTCCAGGAACTTTCACTTGCGGTTTGAAGTGCTCGTCAAGATATCCCTGCTAACAGCTAGTCTCTGGACCACGTGCGCATACGTTCCGACCTCGCCTGTAAAGTGCCATCCGATCCACGGTGTAAAAGTTGATCTATGACCCTGGGCCTGAAGCCAAGTCAATTATCATGAGCGTAGTAGTCTTTGTGCTTGATCATTCAATTGCCTGTTTAGATCTCTCCTGAACTCTGTACAAGATACGTTTACAATGCCAATATATCAGCCACATTCTCTGACAACGGGGGACCTACTCCAGCTTTTTCAGCCGCCTTGCCGATTCGGCCGCGCCTAAAGAGCAAACAGCTCCAATAAACATACAAACCGCGATTGCATTGGGCGCATTGTCCTTCAGGTTCATCCAACGATGATGTTCCGGGTCGCCGTTAGCATGATCGTTCTGCCCTGGCTCTAGAATCGAGAAGACAATCCAGCTGATGAAGGTTCCCACGAACTGTGGTAACGTGGTATAAACGTTCAGCACCCCGAGATAGATGCCCGCAAGCTCTCCAGTACTTGAATGCGCACCGTGGTCATCGGGATGGTGGAGCCTTAGCACTCCACCACGATCGTGCTCACTCATCTCAATATCATCGTCAAAGTCGGGTTCGTCCACACTGCCTCTTGCTGAAGTATACCCCGGCGCACTGCTTCCGCGGACATCGACATAATGAGAAGGAGAGACCTTGTTGATCTCAATACCCAGCAGACCAAATGGAGCCCAGCTCGAGACAGCCCAGGGTATACCACAGCTCGCAACCATGGCGGTGGCGGCATGAAGGCTGCGAATCCAGGGGGCGGTGATTGTGATCAATGCGAAAATCACGTTCGAATACATCCACGCACTCGTTAGGTCGGGCTGCCACTGATAGGCCTTGAATAAAAAGGATTGAACCGCCCTGCCGAGCAACACGGGCGGACGAGGCGTGAATTTCTCATCCACGGCCTTTGGAGCCCGAACAAGATAAGGCAACAGCACTGATGAGCCAAACGTAATGATCGAGAAGATCACAAGGGCCATGCTCCCCAGACGTCCAATATTTCCCAATGCATCATGTTCGTCTGTAGAGCTGGTGGTGGAAGGACGATCGTAGCGGTAGTAGATTTCTCCCACAAAGGTGGACGAGTAGAAGAGGAAGGGAAACCTGTGGAGCATCTGTGTATTAGCACAAGCTGACAAGCATGATTCCTACCGTCAGGATTCGTCTTCGTAGCGCATCCCAGCGGGGAGCGACAGAGTAAAAGATTAGTGTAGACTTACCATCCAATCCACACCCAAAACTGGACGTTGCAGATGCCTTGAATCCGTCTGGGTAAATGAATCGTTCTGTACCACAAATTGGCCAGAACCTCCTTGACTCCCACCACATCATGTTCGCCTCCTATTCTGACTCGCTCCGACACAGCCCAACATGTCACACTAGTGCATGTCCAGAGCGCCATTGCGGACAGAACGCACATCTTCTTGAACTGAGTGTTTCCACCTACCCAGTTGGGAAGGATGCTTACGAGGTCGAATGCCCCGATGAAATACCCCAATAGGTGCCCTGCGGCCGTGAGCCTACTGGCCCACGCACTCCCAGCCTGCTGTTGTGATACAGGGAGTGTATCGACAATAAGACTGCGACAGCAAGCCTGTACAGCGTTGACGCTAAAGTCCAGAGCATAGATACAAAGAACAGCTAGGACGATTGTGATGTCTTTATGAGTTTGTCCTTCCGCAACGAATAGTCCGACCACTTCGCTCGTCCAACCAAGGAGAAGGAGGCCGAATCCGGTGATGGCTGCGCCAGCAATCATATAAGGTCTGCGTCGGCCGTATTTCGACGTCGATCTGTCTGCATAGGCACCGACGATGGGCTGCATCAGCAGGCCGGATAGAGGACCGGCAATCCATACGAGGCTTGTTTTGGACTTTGTTAGACCGAGTTGGAGCAGATACGGTGTGCCATCTTAGCCAGCAGTGTCAGCTCGTAGCGCGGAATATAACGACTGCCCAAGGGGAAAAGGAGAAGGGCTTACATGTCATTTCAGTGCCCCATGTGAACCTATGCATATCGTCAGTGTCATGTCCATGAGACGAGACATACTTGCGCATTGGGGACCTACTGCAGTCCGATCAGACAAAAGGTGAGCAGAACCATGCGCATAGATTCGGTAGAGCCTTTGATCGACGGCGTCCCGCTCCATGATGCGCTTCTCTGCATCACACCGAGAGTCTACAATACTTGTGAGGGCGGAGGAGTGGTAGCTGATGCTAGGGAGGTCTGTGGTATAGATCGCGTCCGGAGTCGCAGGAGGTCTCAGTATGCTATGGAACCGAGAACTTGATATGCCAACGATGCTCTGTCCAAGTACAGAAAGTCATGCTTCTTTGAAAGGAGTGTAGGTATTTGTCAACCGTTCAAGTACTACAGACAGCGTGTACTCAAGCTGGTGTTCCACGTTACGCGTGTTCATGAGGCCGCAAGGGGGCCCCCAACGGTTGATTGACGTATCTCCAGCAGTTGATTGACGTGTTTGTGCGGAGCAGAATCCGACTTAGGCGATTTCGCGCTCACTAGGCGTGTACTCGTATGAGGCTCTGCGTCGGGATCATCGACACTATCTGGGGTCTAAAACACAACTTAACGACAGACGCGAAGATTAGCTTCATTCAGTGTTAGAATTCTGTCCTTCCTGAGCGAACACTACCGCAACCGCAGGCGAGCCTCTGAGCGACTATGACTGTTGTGACTGTTTATGCCGCCGCTTTTGCAGAGCTCGGGGTCGTTCCTTCCCCGGACGCCGAGATCGCTTCCTCGGCGAGATTCTGGTCTCAAGAACTTCTCAACAGCACGAGAGCGTGGCAGTCCAGCCTGATCGTTCAGCTGTGAATTAGTCAAACAATATGCACCTGTCCTAAAAGATCAGACTCGGTTGAAATGAAAAGTTGCCTTGCCGCATTGCCCACGTGGCACCATTGGGCGCCAGACACCGAGTACTCACCTTCAACACCCTGACGATATCGTCTTCTCATTCATGGACGTGGCCATATGCTTGAACAGTGACCCTTGTTGCTTACTTCCCTTCAGGCTCTTCCAGAACTCATTGCTTATAGTTTTCGTCTTGGTACTCCCAGAAGGGCACATACAGTAACCTAGCGACGATATAATGTCCAGCTCTGACGTTGCCAGCCTCGCGGGAACATGGGTAGGTGCTGGAGTTGCCTTAATGGCCCTTATCACGATCATAGGACCGATCTTGGTCTGGCGGGCAAGCCTCACGAAGCGCCATAAGGCTCTGGCTGCGATAGGACGCAACAACAATAGATATCTATCTGACGGCATCCCGTTCTGGCCTGGCATTAGGTTTTTTCGAGTCTTACGTATGCCTCAGACGGCTGTTCTGAGAAACTTCACCGACGAGGAATGGGGCGACTTCGACCTTGGGAAGCTAAAGACTCCCCCGGAATCTCCAGCGACTTGGGTCCAATTCGGCGCCTGTCTCGAAGCCTACGGTCTGAGGATGAAATACACGAAGGACAGCGCTATGCACGACGGGCATTTTGCCCTACCTGTACACCGGTCTTACCTGTTCAATTTCCTCGTTCTAGGGCGCTACCGAGAGAAAGAGTTGAAAAAACGTCCCCACACACTGGGCGAGCGCAGAATGTCACTTCGCCTTTCATTATCACGTTCCAATACCCAGAGCTTACGTCCTAGCTGGTCTCTCCATGGTATGACTGGAACTTTACTTTTTGAGACGAAGTCGACCCACAATCCTACGCTATCTGGGAAGGTGCAATTCACCCAAAGCCTAGAAAACTGCGAGACCAAGATCCCAAGAGACAAACTGTCAAGGTTATCGATTCTTTTGCTTGTATACGGCTGTCTGCATCTTGCATCGGGGAGATATATTTGCTGCATCATCGGACAGTACGATCATCCCCAAGTGTCACCTGATAGTGATAGCGAGAGTGATTCAGGGCCGCGCTTCCGAGTGGCAAGTATACAACGACGTCTAACCATGTCCACATACGGTAGCGAAACACAACGCAAAGCTGACAAGGTCCTTGAGAAATTAAAAATTGCCGTATATATTCTTCAACCGGTACCGCTGGAAGAGGGAGACTTCCCACTGGGAGTTGAATCCTGTTCAATGGAAGTTTATGTCCTTCACCCAGTGGAATCAACTCCAGTTCTTCAGGAAAAGCTGCTTGAGCTGGCAGGGATGACATTCGTTCCCCCAGTGGAGCCATACGTCCGTGTCTACACCGATGACAAGGGGCGGTCCTCACGATCCCGACTCAACAGCTCCGAACTGACTGAGTGGAATCTCGCTTTCTTGAAACGGGAATCGGCTCAGCTGTTCGCTTTTGCTCTTCTGACAATGCCGTGGAGTCCTCGAAACTACGTACTCAGCAAAGGCGACAACAAAAGTCTTGTGGGCGTTTTGCTAAGCGAAGCAGGGGCGAGCTGCGTCAGACTCCTTCTTCGACTGAAGAACAACGCAGGGTCCTTGAGCATGGAGCTCGCGAAGAAAACAAAGCTTCTCGCCGCAATTGACAAAGCTTTGAGTAGCAAGTTTGACGTTCCAGATCTGTGCGACTTGGACGAGCGCCTGGCCTCGTTGCAACACGATGTCGTCGAGTTACCTCTGATGGTAGGGGTGCTGGTGTTGACTAACGAAGAGTACCGCGAGCTAATATATCAATCAACGCGACACCTCGACAAAACAGCAAAGTCTCCGGACGTGGAAACCGAGTTCGACCTTGATACTGGCAATGTGACTGTCTCGGGTCCTTTTGGTGTGAAACATGTCTTTGTTGTTGACCTTGCCGAGTTGACGCAGCACTTGCCAGATCACGTCCCAAGCCAACGTCGGATCTTCCGAATTGATCATGCTACCATCTTGTTGGCTGCGGTGAAGGCACACCTCCGGAGTCTGCTATTCTCGGAGTGTATTGATGGTTCCGACATCCAGAGAGTCATGAACTATGAAGAGGATGTCTATTTAATGTCTTGATATAGTGTGATAGCTGCGCGGGTCGTCCGCGATGAGACCATGATTGCGGCAAGGAATGCGGACTTCACGTACGAAAGCCGTGAGGATCCTCGTAACATTAATGGTGCATGGCTCAGTTCCATCAGACAATGCTCGTGGATCGTGGGTTGGTGATATGCTATGTTTCGTTGCCTTGTAGGCCGGTATATACACAAGACACTTGTGTCTCGGTGGCCAGCGGAATAGTGCACGAAGGATCGGCGAGGGATAGACAGCCCCAGTCAAGAGATCTCATACGAAGAAGGATCTCGTAACATGAAACCCTGGACCTCTCTTGATAGAGCTTCGACTGAGCAAGTATGTCTGAGAACTAAGGGCGACGTTACGACGATCAGGAGGAAAAGGCGACATGTATTACTGTATATGATAGCCAATGGGTTCTCTCTAAAGAGCTTTAGTCATGGCAGCTTCCTCTGTGGAAGTGGAAAAGGAATTGGACAATTACACCTTGTAGACCTCGAGCGAGGTACGGTTCTGCAGGGCTTCAGGAATCAAGAGATATCTCTTTCGATTCTAGCTACATAGGCACTTTTGTCTACTTTGTGTAGTTACTCCTCCCTGAACCCACTCACTTGATGTAATCTGTGGACACAGCTCCAGCACCTGAATGCAATCAGCCAATGTTTGAAATATCAGTATCTTGCTCAAACAGCCGCACCGGAGATGAAGAACCACTTGTCAACACTGCCGTCGATAGGCGCAGGAGGAACATCTTGTCCAGGCGGGATTCTGCTGGAAAGCTGGCTGGGGTCGACGCGGTCTGGAGAGGTTTGGAGAGATACATTGGCCAGGTTGATGTCTCCGCGTTGTTGCTTGCCAGTAACGAGTCGTTCCCAGGCGTCGCTGCACTCACGGATGATCTCCTCGGCGTACTTCTTGTTCTTGCATTCACCGCTGAAGGCAAACTGGTTCTCTGGCTTTCCGTCTGGGATCTTGTAGATACGGAACCACTCGTTGGTGGCGCGGAGAAGGCCAGGGAGGTGACGCTCGACGTCTTCAATGTCGTTGAGCTTGGGAGCCAATGGGTCGTGGACCTGTAGACCAGTGAGTTGGGGGTATCCCTCTGTCAAGACAACGGCACTTACATCAATGACAATGATCTTCCAGTCGGTCTCTTCCTCGTCCAAGAGTGCCATGACACCCAGGACCTTGACTTGCTTGATCTGTCCAGTGTAGCCAACAAGCTCACCGATTTCGCAGACGTCGAGCGGGTCGTTGTCGCCCTTGGCCTTGGTCTCTGGGTGAACGACATTGGGGTCCTCCCAGGTCTGCATATTGTGAGCCCCCCGTACATGTCCAACTCCGCAATTCACTTACTCTTGGGAAAGCACCGTAGTTCCAGAGATAGCCCTTGTGAGGGAAGCAGTTGCGAACAAATCTCAGCTTGCCCTTCTTGACATCTTGCTTGATAGGGTTCCTGAGAGGTCAGCGTCGGCATCTAGGCTCGGTGGAGAGGTATCGTAGCATACAGGAATTCATCTTTCGAGATCTATCCATTTGTTAGTGACCACGTGGCGGACAAATGGAGGTGAGAAAAATAGAGCACGAACCTCCAGCTTCGCATTGGACCATCGTGGAATTTCAACCACCATGTTCAGGACGGTTTGTTGCTCGTTGGCATACAGAGGGATGTCATGGAACGGTGAGACTGGGGTGCCAGTCTTGTCCTCAATGTAGCATCTGAAGTCGTTGGTGTGCAGAGCGCCAACCTTGCGGGGCTGGAACTCTGAGGGCTGCTTGCTGTACGACATTGTGTTTCTGCGAGGAGAAGAGAACGACGGCGACGACGCTGTTGAAAGGTGCCTCGATATAGCCTCAGTACGTTGGGAAGCTATGGTGGCGGAGGAGGAACGGAGGGGAGGAGAGGGAGTAGATTTTTGCGATTGCGTGGAGGGAGCCAGGGCGGCGCGGGGGGGGTTTTGCTGCACTGACGATTGGCGGTGAAATGACGATAGACGCTGAAGGGCAGTCAAGCTCTGGTTACGGCTGAAGGGAGGGCCAGTCTTAAATCTCGTGATGGAAGATCGAAACATGTGCATGGGAGAGAGAGTACGGATGGCGGATCGTCCACGACGGCTTTCTTAGCACTCTAAATAGCCTGTTACTACTATCACTGTAGTTGCTTTGACACGGATCTGGCGCACCGAGGCTTCTGAATGCAATGGGATAATGCACCTCAGCTGTTCCCGAGATTTCGACGGAGGAGAGGAAAGACCTGCTTACCTCATGGAGGACGCCAAGCACGTGACCACAAATTTCATCGCCGCAGTCCAAGTCAAATCGGTGCGAGATGGGCCATCACCACCACCACCACTGAGAATCCTACTTCAACTTTCATATGACCGTCGGCCATGCTGCTCGGCCACAGTCTCTGTTACGACGCACTCTATCCTTCGTAACGTCCACTCGCGCCTTCTGCCACGCCTCCGTCAGAATGGCGACCCTCTCACCCGCCGAAAATCCTCCATCTCCCGTCCCTCATGTTCCTATCCCGAAGAATGGCGTTGATTACAGAGGCAAGGTTGTACTTGCGCCGATGGTACGGTCAGGAGAATTGCCCTCCCGCTTGTTAGCTCTGAAGTACGGCGCAGACCTCGTCTGGGGACCAGAAACAGTTGACCGGTCCATGATTGGCACAACTGAGCGCACAAATCCTCGTACGGGGTGTATAGAATGGAGTCGGAACTCAAATAATCAGAATCCAGATGGCCTCGAGAAGGATTCTGTCATTTTCCGCATTGACCCCAAGAGGGAGTCGGATAGACTGATCTATCAGATCGGCACGGCCAACCCTGACTATGCAGTACAGGCGGCGACGTTGATCGCACCATATGTGCGTGGCGTTGATGTGAATGCAGGCTGTCCGAAACCCTTTTCTACATCTGGTGGCATGGGGGCTGCTCTACTCAGAACACCGGACAAGTTATGCGAAATCTTGACTTCGCTGGTGACGAAGGTGGGGATCCCGCACGAAATTGGCATCAGTGTAAAGATCAGACTGCTCGAAACGCCAGAATTGACATCGACTCTGGTCAACAAACTCTGCAAGACTGGGATAGCTGGCCTGACTATACATTGCCGGACGACACCCATGAGGCCGAGAGAACGTGCTATTCGCGAGCAACTGCGGATGATTGGCGATATCTGCAGAAGCCATGGTGTTGCTTGCTTGATGAACGGAGATGTTACATCCCGTGATCAAGGGCTCGCTCTTGCAAAGGAATATGGCGTGGATGGGGCAATGATTGCAACAGCTGCCGAAGCGAACTCATCAGTTTTTCGATCTGAGGAGCAGGGTGGCCTTGCCCATTGGGAGGAAGTGGTTAAAGAATACATGAAGCTCGCGATCAGCGTCGAAAACAGATACAGGAACACGAAGTTTCTATTGTCCCAACTTATGCCCGGAAAGAATCCCAAATACCAGCGCATTCAGATGTCGAAGAGCTACAGCGAAGCGTTGGCCATCTTGGAGATCACGGACTCAGAGCTTGTGGAAAGCGCAAAAAATGTCGATCATGTCTTGCAACTTGACCTCCCGAGAATGACCAAGGCAGACATGAAGCGGCTCAACAAGCAACAGGCAAAGGAGAATCAAGCGAAGAACAAAGAGAAAAAAAGAGCTCTGGAGCAGAATCACGATCGGGGCACGGAAGATCGAAGCCCAAGCCAGGAACGGACGAAAAAGCAGAAGGCAGAAATAGCCGCAGAAAATGCTGGGTTTGAAGGTTTCGGGCAGGGTGCCATGGCTGTTGCGGTCTGAACATTTGCAACAGCGCATTCAGCATTCATGTGCAACTACTATCACTCACGGCAGACGGTGTGGAAGCGCCAGACAATGCAGCTGAAGGTTGATATATGCCCGCCCGAAACCGAGCCAACATCAGAATCTACTGCATAGGTAGCCCGAAGAGCCGGCCCACTATGCTCAGGCATAGAATGATAAGCATATCTGAGCAGTGGACTTATTGAGTCCTCTCTGCGTCGCTCAATCTAGCGTCATCTTGTATAACAGGTGATACGAATTAGCAGGCTTCTCACAAAATTGTATAAACAATCTAATGAAACTGCGCTGGAATTTGTTTTGGTCCCACGCCGTGCTCTTGATCCCCGTCCGCCTTGCAGAATCACCCGTATAAACACATATTGAGACAAGAGACCCGAGGAATCCCTAAATCTGCCCAAAGTTAAGGCCGCCACCAAGCTGCGTAGCTCGTGCACAGAACTTCGCGAGAACTCCTGAATGATATACAAGCCATGAATCATTACAGCCAGGCTCTTCTTCGTGTGTAGCTGATCCATTGACGGCATTCAACGCACGTTGGACGGTGGAATCTTCAGGAGAATTTGGGTGTATACGCGCGCAGCGTCATTGATGCTCGTCGCACATCCTTCCTGGCGTTCAGTTTATCCTGATAACTCTGCTTTGCGGTCAAGGACCCTAGCATGTCTATTCACTTCCTCCACGATATCTTGCAGACTGGTTCTCTTGACTTTCTGTTCTGTGGTTGCCGTGGACTTGATCGCATCCGTGCCCCAGCTGTAGTTCAGCGTCTTGCCATCTTTCAGGCCAAGCTCCAGGGTGGCAGGTGCGGTTGAGGTTCGAGGAAATTGTTTTGCGGAGATCTTGATGGATTTGTGAGCTTCGGCGGGTAGCAAGTTTAAAAATAATCGCGGAACCTTGGAGTTGGCTTGGAAAGGATTAAACGCCGTCTTCAGACTGGTTATATACGTCGTTATCATCGTGGTTCGAGTTATTATTATGTGCTTTGTTGGGATTCTTTCGTCTGTGGGTTTAGTGTTGGAAGATGCCGTGCCAAACGTACGAGAGAACTGCTGGGTGCGAGGTGCACAAATGCAGAACTGTGTCTGTTGTCTTTTTCTCGAAGGAAGTTTTTGATCGCTCGTAGATGCTCAATAGGTTTGAAGGTATTGAATAGTTTGCGCTCATACGCGACTGGAGTTGTGCTGGTGCTCAACGAGAGTTGGCGGAAAATCCCAGAGCCAAAGAAATTCCGAGGTTTGCCATGTTTGCATTTCCAGAACGAGCCACGAACTACGACGACGGATGGTCACCGGCACCAACCTATTCTGAATACACCACCACCGAACATTACGAACATGTCGCGGTCGCTTCATCAGCGTCTGCAGGCGCTCGCAGACTCGTACAAAGAGACTCAGAATCTCATACAACAACTCCGAACCTTTTCTGCTGCATCATGTCCAGACTCCAACCCAGATGAACGTCGAGTCGAACTTGCAAACGAGATCCATGACAGCTTGAAAGAGCAAGAAGACACACTGGAGATATTAAGACAAGAGCTAGACGATGACTCGATGCCCGTACAGCGACGCGGTGCACTCGGAGGGGACTGGGAAGGCGAGCGAGAGCGGAACGCGGACTTGCTGGCTCGACTGACGGAAGATCTGAAAAGCGCCCGTGCCAATTTCCGGAGGGCGCAGCTGGTGGCGAAACGAACGGCCGACAGTGAGAAGAGGAAAGAGCGGGAGCAATTATTTACCGGCCGGAAAAGTGACGGCAGTCATGCGCGAAGTCGGCCGGCACACGAGAAGTTGACGCAGGATGAGTTGGCTGAGCGGGCTTCCGAAGATGTGACGATGGCATTGCGACGAGTGCACGCACAAATGGAAGCAGAAGTATCGCGAGGGCAGTTTGCCCAACAGACTCTCGACGAGAGTCAAGAAGCGTTGAAGACTCTGAGCGAGAGCTACAGTGGTACAACGGATCTACTGAAGGCCTCGAGGGGGTTTGTGAGCCAACTGGTGCGCAGTAACAAGTCGGACACGTGGTTCTTGAAGAGCTCGTTCTACATCCTGGCCGTGACCATCGTCTGGCTCACCTTCAGACGGCTTCTATACGGGCCGTTGATACTCTTTGTCTGGTGGCCGCTCCGCGCCATGTGGTGGTTTACTCTAACAAGCCTCGGGGCAATTGGACTTGGAAAATCCGAGGTGGTATCTTCGCCTATGCCGACACCAACCATGTCGATATCCATGCCTGGAGTGAACGCGAGAGGAATGCCAACGCACGGCTCGGGAGTTCGCTTCAGGAGTATTAGTCTAGCAGCGAAAGGCGCGGGATGGCATCGACACCCAGCACAGGCTGAGCCTTCTCAAGCAGCCGAGGAGAGTACGGTGGAGAAGATAGGACGTTTGACGGAGGAAGGGCGAAGTCTGGAGGATCTCACGGAAGAGGAACGTGGAGCACAGTCGGAGCAACCTCGAAACACCAAGAAGCGGATGATGGAAGTGGAGGTCGAGACCCCTGCAGCTTCAAAGGACGAGCTGTAGGAGGGAGTAGTTACAATATACATTTTGAATAAGGCATGCATCATCCCGCGCTCTGTAATCGTCCTGAGTATGATGAGAAGAAACAGATGCCTGCTCTTTACTCTTTACAAGGCTCCTGAGAAATGGCAGCCTTGCGCTCGTAGCCTTGTGCCGGCACGTGGAGGTCAAAGAGTCCGCTGCGCGCCAAGCCCATTTAACGCGACTTCAGAGTTGAGCGCGTCTTGGGCGTTTCCTGAGCCGACCAAAAACGATCCATCTCGGCCGTCAACAGGGTGTGCGTATACAGATAAAGTCGGATCCATCGAGACAGCCAGCACCGCTGAGTCAATTCACCATCGAGTCGGTTTCTCAGGATGGCAAACTTCTTCGACAACAAAGCCCGAGCAGCACAAGCAGCGGCATCGGGGTCAAGTTCGAAATCAAAACCCAACGATGGCGGCGGCGCCACCGCTCCTCGAATGGCGCCGTGGGTGGAAAAGTATCGACCAAAATCGCTGGAAGACGTCCGGTCACAAGATCACGTCGTCCAGACATTAAACCGCATGGTCCACGCTTCAAATCTACCGCACCTTCTGCTCTACGGACCTCCGGGGACAGGCAAGACTTCGACCATCCTGGCGCTTTGTCGAGAACTGTTTGGACCGGAGCTGTTCCACTCGCGAGTTCTGGAGTTGAACGCCAGTGACGAGCGAGGCTTGTCCGTGATCAGAGAACGAGTCAAACAGTTCGCAGCCCTGCATCTCGTCAGCGCCCCTGCCTCGAAGGAGTATAGAGATCGGTACCCGTGTCCACCGTTCAAGGTGATTATCCTTGACGAGGCTGATTCGTTGACGCAAGATGCTCAGGTGGGTAATTGTCCACCGACCCATCACTCTTGTTCTATCTTATGACACCACACAATGTCGCTTCCCGTTGGACCTGGCAACTAACGTGTCGAACAGGGCGCTTTGAGACGAGTAATGGAAATCCACAGCAAAATCACCCGATTTTGCCTTTGCTGCAACTACGTGTCGTAAGTTTGCTTTCTTTCTTCGTGCTCTTTCGTCCCAGAACACCTAGTTTCTTTTCCCTTTTTTCCCCCCTATTTTAATACACATTTGCGCTGTTGCTGCAGCCAGCTGACACAATTCTTACCCTTTTTAGCCGAATCATCGATCCCATAGCTTCTCGGTGCTCCAAATTCCGATTCAAAGCGTTAGAAGGCGACCAGGCGTCATCGCGTGTCCAACAGATCCTCGCGACGGAGAACGTCAAGTATGAAGACGGCGTGATCGAGCGAGCCCTGAAAGTATCAGACGGCGATCTCAGACGGGCCATCAACCTTCTCCAGAGCGCGGCCCGACTCGTCGGAGCCACGCAACAAGCTTCGTCGAACGGGCAGCAGGCGTCGACCAAGAAATCACAGACCATCCCGGACGACTCGGACGAGGAAATGGGCGGTGTCGACGACGACTCTACCGCCGCTGGCGCCGAACCTGACAAATCGAAGAGTATCCGGGTTTCCGACATTGACGAAATCGCAGGGACGTTCCCGCCCGACTTGACGGAGAGACTGGTCAAGGTTCTGCAGAAGGGGAACACGCGGAACTACGACGCCATCGCGGCCGAGATCACCGACATCGCCGCGTCCGGGTACGCGGCGAACGAGGTCCTGTCGAGTCTGTACGGGAAACTCGTGTTCGACGACCTGATCGACTCCAAGAAGAAGTACAAGCTCGCGCAGACCTTCTCGGAGTTCGACAAGAGGTTGGTCGACGGCGTGGACGAGCATCTTGCCCTGCTTGACCTGTCGTGTCAACTGGCCGGTGTCTTGGCGAACTGATCAAAATTCGAACTTCGATGTCGATGGTCGAGTGATCGAACACTCGATCTTGTGACTACTTACTTGGTTGTGGTGGGACGGGATGGGGTGTGTCCCGTGAACAGGAAAAGGAAGCCACGGTGACCTAACTGAACCGGTTCTACGATAATCAAAACAGGAAGACACCAAGCGAAAAAGGGGAATGGAAACGAAAGGGGAGTTTGTGCATCAGCGACTGGCGTTGTAGGGTTCCCCATCAGGATCAGGATCATGAGGTAGAATGTACTTACTCCGTATGCGATAATTATGGTTCCGAGATTCTTCGAGACTTATTATAGCCCGATCCTCCTCTATCGTGGGACGCTTCATCCCTTCCGCTCGGAGCCAATCGAAACCTAATAGAACAGTTAAAGCATTACCGGGAAACAAAAACCACAAGGCGTCGTCAGCATCATGCTATCTTATATTTATATCAATGTGAAACGAAAGAAACAAGGCATCAGAGCTCCAAAGTGTAACAACAAGTGTAACGTACGTATTTACGCAGTACAACAAACAAAATAAACCAAGTCATAAATAAGCCATGTCCGCACGCACCGGCAAAAGCACAAGTTATACAAACAAACAATTCACATACACACACACATATGGAGGATAGCTAGTCTCCGTATAACCTGCTTGCTTACGTCTCATACTCGGAACTCGTACCGCACATGCCTACAGGTAGCCAGGTACCTACGTACCTACAGTAAATAGGTGCTTCACCGTACCTTACACATCCAAAGCCTTGTCGTCACCCTTGACGGCCTGATCAGACTCCGAGCCGGGACCGGGCTCCTCTTTCCCTTCGAGGAGGTTCCCTTCCCGACCGAGCATTTGATGTGCGATGTTGACTTTGGGTCCCTTGAACCACTTGTGCGCATCGACGACCCACCAGACCAGCACGAACAGCATGGGCCCGCCCCACACGAGACAGGTCCAGTTCATTCCGGAGGCGTCGAGGTCGGAACCCGTCAAGCTCGGCAGGCACAGGATCGGGATCATGAGGGCGGTGAAGCAGGTCGACAGGACGCCGATCGGGAACGAGAACTTGCCCAGGTGCCACGGTCCGCGGCGGAAGCGGTTGCCGACGAAGAACGTGCGGATGGTGATGGGGATGGTGAAGGCGACAAAGGCGCCGATGGCGCCGACGCTGAAGATGGCACCGATCGACGCCTCGCCGCCGAACAGGAGCAGGGTCAGTAGGATCCCGATCGTAGTGTTGAACCAGACGGCGTTGACGGGTGTCTTCGTGTGCGGGTTGACCTGCTTCCACCATCGCGAGCCAGGGAAGCAGCCATCGCGCGCATAGGCGAAGGTGACGCGCGACGCCGCGACCATGCACCCCTGACCCATGGAGAACCCGCAGACGATGGTCATCGAGAGCAGAGCCATGGCCGTCTTTTTCGGGAGCACCTCGATCAGGTACGACGCCCACGGCTGCCCAAGGTCCGAGCCCAGTACGGCGTCGATGTCGATCACCGTGTACGCGACGACGAGCTGGAGGAACCAGCCCATTAACCCACCAACGCCGGACGTCAGGACAATGGCCCGCGGGCTGGCGATGTTGGCGTTGCTGCATTCTTCCGCCAGGTGGAATGGGGCATCGTAGCCGGACATGGTCCAGATGACGGCGATAAACGACATGAGGACTGCCACGCCGTTGGGGAAGTCGGTGCCCTCGTAGAAGTTGCCCCAGACCGTGCTGCTCTTGGTGAAGCGCGGGAGACCCTGGTCCGATCTTGTGGTCGCCGCGGGGATGGTGATGACCACAATGACGAGGGCGATGATGTTGAACGTGCTTCCGTACGAGTTGAATGTGGCGATCCATCGCGTCGGCATAGACGAGATCATGGCGTGGATGATCATGATGAGCGTCGTGAGCAGGAACACTTGATAGTTTTGCGGCACAAAGTCCGGGTTGTTGATGGATCCGGCAGCCAGGATCATGGATGCAAGGGCGTAGTCGACTGACGGTGCGCCAGTTACTTGAGCGAGCCAGTTCGACCAGCCTGTGATCCAGGATGCGAGGGGGCCGTAGCCTGGTGGTGCAAGGACTGCTGCAGCGTAGTACAATCCTCCAGATGTTGGCATGGAGGAACATAGTTCAGCTACAAACCCAAAAAGTGAGCGAGCGTCCGAGTACGAGAAGTACGAGAAGTCCGACAAGAAACAAGAGCAAAACAAGAACTGCACAGTGGGTTAGGAGAGAGGTACTTACCCATGCCCATGGCGATACATTGGATGAATGCCATTGCGATCAACCATCCCCAAACCATACCAGGCGTTCCTGCGTAACCCATCCCATAGTACAATGTCGATGCGAAAGACGGGAGTAATCCAAGCACGGCAAACGATACACAGAAAGTTGTCCAGAGGGAGAATTCACGCTTGAATTCGGGTCTGTCGATTGGTTGGTAAAGGTCAATACATTTGCTCCGGAAATACCATCTTGGTATACAAGGGACAGGGTCTGGGAGGGGGGTGGATCTCACTTGTAACCTAGAGCAGCAAGGACTTCTTCATCGGCATTGAGTTCCCTTTCGAAGATGGGTACTTCTCCTGGGGCAAGAACAGAAGTCACTGGTTCTTCGGCGACGGATTTGCGGTGCATGCCAGATGCGGTGCTGGGATTGCGATCTGCGCTCATGATGGCGGCGACGGAAGTGATTTGTGATGTGATGGTACAGATATTGCTGTTTGTAAATTGCTATGTGTATGCATGGACTGAAGGTTGGTTGAAACAACACCGAGTACAGATACAAGGGCTCGGTTCGCAGTGGAATTCTGTAAATGCCGTGCCTGTGATGTCGTTTGAGAATCTGCCGAGGTGGATGCTTCGCGAAGGAACTGCTCAAGAGGATAGATCGAGGCGGTATGCGCAGCAGGCCGAGTACACGCAGGAGACGAATTGAAGCCGCAGAGACACTGGGGCCGGGGTGTGGAATATGTAGACAGGAAACAATAGCAGAACGATGTCGAGTACTTGTCCGTCAACCTGGTCCAAGCAGTTTATATATTGAAAGTATGTATTTCAGTAGGCGAGAGGATGGTAAACCTAGTTAGTTATGGAGTTAGCAAGGGAGCTTTGAACCTCCATCGCAGCGCCGTCACCGTGAGTGGCGCGAGGAGTAGCAGGCCATGCGAGAATCCAAGCCCATGAGATGAGATTTGCCCCCAGTGCTCAAGATAGACTAGAGCTCAATGAGGAAACTTGACGCTCAGTTTATCAGAGACGCGTGAGGATGAGAAGGCGATGATGAGAGGGCAATTGTTGAAGAAACGAGGAACGTCGAGTGGTGAGTGGCTGAGGAGGAAGCGAGAGGCAGAGATAAGAGAATCACGGGAGTTGCGGGAGGATCCATCCATCGACACTGCAGTCCATCCACTGGTCTAGGCGCCTTTAGGCATTCAGCCACTGAGCCAACTAGTTAAAGGCTCCCCCAGGACACGAGTTTCTGGGTGCCACAAGGACGAGTCTAGGCGATAAGTGCGGGTGGTCAGCCACTAACAAGACGCCCGTAGATACGTACCCAGCCCACAAAAGCCCGCTAACCCACTTGGCCGGCGCCAGGGAACGCTTATCACCGCTTGGTCTTTGAGCCTATAGGCCTGGAGTCAGGGCCTATCCAGTTACTCCTTACAGCCGAAAGTGCATCTCCTCCCTCCACGAGGTCGACCAGGAATTAAACACTCCCATGCTCTCATGCATGCGCCTCAAGAACCAAAAATGCCCAAGCACCGGAACTACGAGTACCAGAGCAATGGTCGCATCGCTGTCATGAGAGACAGCATCGTCAAGGGACCACCAGCCCTTAACACCAGGTACAGAGCCTCGTACAAATGCATGACTCGAATCGAGTTATCTGACTTCGCGGCGAGATATCATTTAGCCCCTCTAATTTGTCCTTATCAATGAATCAACCCTCAAGCATGAAAATCGCATAGAGGTACCCTCTTTGGTGCGTCAATTGATCTACTGTTACTGTGCAGATTGATCTGCCACCAGGTCCTTGTCGCCGAATTTGCCGAATACACGCCCTGCACACTGCAGAACTGTACTTCCGCAAACCACCGGGACACCACCGATGGTAGATCTCGGATATGCTGGGCCGCTGAGCGCTTGTTATACTGTTGGTGAACCAGGATTATCTCTCCCCGGTCGCATGTTCTTTCCCAATGAAGCCTAACACTCCCATGCCGAAGTCCGATACTCTTTACTGACAGAGGTGTTGTTGCTTCTGCGACACCCAAGAACCAAGGACAACAAAATAAGAGAAAGAAAGCGAGGCACATGGTAGCAAGGGTGCCGCGATCTATTCTCCGACGAGCAAGTACAGCCAGAGGTTGCCATAAGTGTCAAGCTGGTCCCTCCACCACCTGACTATCGCAAAAAGTCGCCTTCTCTTGTCGCTCGCTGGCTTGACCAACGCAGACGACAGATGTCTCATTCACGCCCAAAATTTTCCTGCACGTACCTCTTGCATCTTCCGGCATTGTCTTCCACAAGACTTCACGAACCTCCTTCCCGACTTGCTCAGCGGCATCCATCGCCCAGAGAACATCAAGATGCTCATACTCTTCAATAACCTTGCTGTGGACCACGTCGACATGAGGTTCACGTCCTCTCTCAAAACGTCTAAGCAGGCGCCGTCCATCAACGAGATCGTCGCTGCCGGCGACCCATAGAGCGAATGGCGGGACATGCTTGTCATACCAGGCTGTCCGACCGCGATCCGCTGCGTTCGACATGGCATCTTCGCGCCTTTCCTCTTCACTTTGATCCTCGACGTCTTCTTGTTGTCCCAGTTCTCGCGTGGCTAGAATGCACCTTTGTTTCGTGAAACATTCCCGCCCGAGCCACCAACGCATGCTTTCTGCGCTGACGTACACAGGCGAAAACTGGAAGAAGCGGTCGCGAAGACCACGATCCCATCGGGTATCAGACCAGTTGAAAAGAAATGAAAAGACCAAATATCCCATGAACCCGTAGATCCGGCCTGGCAAGACTTGGTGCATCGTCATCATGAGTGGGATGAAACTGTGGATGCCAAAGAACATGCGGAACATCCTAGGCGAAATGACCCTCATGAACTTGAGGTACATTTTGTCAATGAGAGGTCCAGCATAGACTGCCGGAGCCAGCGCACAAAATACACTGATTTTGTCGCCAATGTCAGGGCGCTGTTCTTTGGCTAAGGCGACAAACGTCTCCGTAGTCCCCTGGCTGTGACACACAAGTCCTAGCTTCTCAAACCCGGTTTCTTCGAGCACCCTCGAGATGAGCGCAGGTAAGTCCATGACTCCCATTTGACGGATATTCCACGCCCACATCCGTGGATCTTTGTATGGGAGCAGGCTGTGCTCAGGCTCAAAGCCGCATCGATTGTTACCCAGCCAAACATCATAACCAGATTTGCACAGCAAAAACGCCAAACTGTCATCATCGTTGGCGCAATATGCCCCAGCACTTTGCAAGAGCCCATGAATGAGCAGGACAGGGTACCTCCTTTCTCCGTCGTTGAACTGCGTTAGGACGTGTTGGTGGGAGCTCTTTTGCTCAGGAAAGATCTTCGGGGATTTAGATCGTCTGTGAGTATCCGGTGAAGGCCTATATTCGTTGGGATCGTAAAGGTGCCAGAGAGTAAGAATGAATCCATCTTCCGTCTGCACTCTAAAGTCTTCGGCGTCGAGGCCGACTCGCCGAGCATAATATCCGACGTCGCAGACAAGCTTGTCAGGTCCTCCTTCAAGGGGAGCATATCTCCCTTTTCCTTGATCCAAAGGGTTGTCTCTTGGACTGCTATCCGATACACGCCTGCGCTTTCTGGCAGCCCACTCTTTGTCTTGTTCTCGGCGTAAACCTGCTCTTCTCTTTTCTTCTTCAGCAAAGGGACGTTCACGATGTCGGTCTCGAAAGGTCAGCCGCAGCCATGTTTTGTTGAGCAGGTGCGGTAGCGTTGTAAATACTGCCCCTAGCACTACGACGAGCAGGAACGCCGTCGACAAGAAAAAGGATGTGATTCGAAAGGTGACGCACTGGAGATTCCGGAGGAACGTAGGAGGCCCATAAAGAGGCAACGGAGGAAATAGTGGATGTGTATGGGACGGCGGTAAGGCTTCATCTAGGCGACTCGTCTCACTCGCCCGGTCGTCTCGCAATAGCTCGTCCCTGTTAACATCGTTTTCCTCAACGTTACGAACATCGAACCGGCTCAGACCCCTTGGGCGCGGGGCTTGGGGGCGATGAGTGCGACCTTCAGCCCTGGCCTTGAGGATGTTGATCTTGTGCGCTTCCTGCACTGGAACAGAGGGGAGTCTGTTACCGTCGTTGGTCTCGATCACGGGATCCAGTGGCGTGATGAAGCTGGCTTGCACGGCGACACCATGCGCCTCATCGTCGTGGGCGTTGTATCCCGAGTCGAGGGACAGTTTCTCGGCTTGGTGTTCATAATCTACCGTCGCATGAGCGCGAGTCCTGAGCTGGGTTTGCGACATGGGCAAGTGGAGAGAGCGCCTGGAATCTGAGGAGTTGCTGTTTGTTTGCGGGACTGTTATTGTGGACTGTGGTTGATGTCATAGATACATGAGACCAGTCTCGTTTGCGCAACGTCGAGTCTCTTGCTTACTTTGGCAGGCATATGGTAAATGGAGACTCTTCGCAAGACCGGGAACTGTCACGTCAGGTAGAAAGAAAGACTTTGCGAAGAGAAAGAGGTACAGCTACGAGTGTAGAGATACTGGGGAGGCGATCTTTCGGGCGGCGGCCACGGTGCACATGCGCCGTAGATAGACGCTTTTTCTAAAGGCAATCCTCGTCGCATCTTTGCTTCCGCTACTCACCAGAGTGGACGGAAAATCCGGACCATGTCAACCAGGGTGGGAACCTGTTGATCTCGCCGCAGATGATGAAACGATTGTCCGTACAATATTAATTGCGGGCTGGAGAAAAGCCACATGCGTCGCCTCGCTTGATGTCGAGGTTGGAAAATCAGGTCAACATCGACATCATTGCCGAGCTTGGACGCCAATCAGCATTTGCCAGATCTGGCCCAGTAGCGGCGACGCACGCTAACCCATTCTTAGAAGGAGGACGATGCGCCTCGACTGATGAACGATCACATGACTGATTATGTCATGACCGTCTACTTCGTTCTTAATATGAGGGCGGTCAATCTGACGCTGCTTTGAAAGTATCCGTGGTATGGTCTTGTCTCCTCCAAGCAGCGACGTAGAAACTCCCGAAATGTCCTTTGGATGAATAGTAGGTACTGGAGTATCCATCGGGCAGACCTTGTTGACTCTACGAGAAGAGTGCGTTCGTTACAGGTCGACCACAGCAAGCCCTCGCTTCTTCAAATCTGCGTGTCTGTCGCTCCTTGATTCCAATCTGCGCATCCGGTGGCTTTTTCTTCCTCTCTCTACAGCTCCACCTTCCGGAACCCCTCAAAATGCTTTTCTTCAGGTACATTTGCGAGCCTTTCTCATGTTCCGCGCATTCGCCCACTAACCCTGCCTCACAGCTTCTTCAAGACGCTCACCCAGCAGACCGTGACTGTGGAGTTGAAGAACGACATCTCGATTCGCGGCACTCTCAAGTCCGTCGACCAGTACCTGAACATCAAACTTGACGACGTCACGGTCCTCGATGAACTCAAGTACCCCCACCTCAGCTCGGTAAAGAACATCTTCATCCGAGGCTCGGTCGTGAGATACGTACACCTACCACCGGACAAGGTCGACAGGGGTCTCCTCGAGGACGCTTGTCGCAGGGAAGCTATGGCGCAAAAAGGCAAGGCCGCATGAAGAAGGGGAAAAAACGACAACGACAACAAACGAACTACGGCGGTTTGAAGTGCAATACCCTAAGCGCAAAGCCCGCCTGGGCGTGCTGCCGTGTCATCGATCACCACGATGAGTTGAGAGGTGACCAGAGCGACGTAACTCCCCTGGGGGAGGCGGAAGTTGCGATGAATGCGTGTTCTGTTGGGCAAAGCGCACTTTGTCGATCTCGTGCGCAGGTTGCTTTGACGATGTCTGCACAACGACTTAATGACACCGCTCGCACGGAGCGCTCTTAGGAAGAGGCAAAGGAGACTATTCCTCTACACGGCAATGCTTTTATCTACCATCAGAATCGCCAGGTAGATATGACCTATCTTCTGTCGCTCATACTTGAAATGCGCGCAGTGTATGGTTCCTCCAGGACTGGGACGATCTGATGGGTTTTTGGCCATGTGCTGGAACGTGGAGGAGCAGCTCTGCTACGATGCTATTTGCCATTGTCGCAACATGTAAAGGCAAAGACAAAGATATTCAGAATGATACACAATTGTACATCCAGACTCTCACTCATACTCCGTATCTCAACTTCCCGTCACCACTTCCCCACCCATCTGCGCCGACTTCTACCTTGAAAAGGCCATTCTTTCGCTTCTCCGCTTCCCACTTCTCGATCCAACCTTTCATCTTCTCTCTGCTCCTTGCACTGCCCACATTGACGGTTGGAATGACACGATTGATTCTCAGAGCGCAACAGAACATGGTCAACTCTCTGAACGAGCTGTGCTCCGAATATGGCACTCCGAAACAGTTGGACTCTCTCGTGCTTCCCCTCTGAGGAGCCAAGTCGCGCATAGAAAATCTGCTCTTCCAGCCATCTGAGGTCAAGACTGTATTGACAGCTGGGTTCTCAGTAAATCGAGACGTAGGCGGTCGATATGACCAGCCTGTTGGTCTGAAACCCACAACACGGGCAAAGTGCCCTTTGTAGCTTGTCATGTACTCGTGCAGCGTCTCTGCGCGGATCTCCATCAACGTCTGCATGTGCACCTGCGCCTCGAGCGGGTTCGACGTTAGTCGGGCGTTCAGCTCGTCGTCCTCCAGACACTTGCATATGCGCATCTTTGCAGGAGGTGCGTATATCTTAGACCCCATGGCTTTCGCAATACCCAGACATATGCGCTCTTTGCCGATGGAATAAGTTCCAATCACAACGAGCAGGCGCCCTCGCCTCTTCGGCTTTGTATTGGATTCGTCTCCTTCCTGCTTCGGCAAAGCATCCTCGCCCTGCTCGAGGAATTTTTTCATTGTGCTACCAGCCCGGTCTGCCTTCGTGCGTTCCCAATCGTCGTTTAAATCCACTATTTCTTTCGACAAGCTGATGCACATCTGGGAACATGCGTCGATAACATCAGACTGGCTAGGAAAAGAGTACTTTGGCGTTAAATATGTGGTATCGAGGTAGCAAGTGTCGATCACTTGCTGCTTAGCCTGTCCCGTGATACTGCACATCACGTCAGGTTGCAAAAGAGGGTGATTGACATGCGCTGGACAGGCGCGGAAGTCGCCACAATGCAAGATACGCGTTGTCTTTGGCGTGCCATCTCTGTTCTTTCCGGTGACCTTCTCGAACAGATACAGAGATGACCCGGGGCAATGGTTAGCTGGAATCATGGTCACAGATACTCCGTTGGTATTGGGAACCTCGACCTTCTTCTCGAATTCGAGAGGAACGACCCACTTTGGATCAACCTTCAATTGTTGCAACATCAAATTGCAAGTGACCTTGCTGGCATAAATAGGTCCATGACACCATGACGATGTAAGACCAATGTAATGGTCACTGTGGAAGTGGCTGAGGAAATAGGCGTTCTGACCTTCCACCTTGCCATAGCGAAATGCATCAACGCAAATATAGAATCCTGGCATTATCTTGTAAAAGGGACACGTCCGTTGATACGCCGGCTTTCCCCGAGATCGTGATTCGTGCGCAGCTGCCTCTGCCCACGCAGCGTCTTCAGCGTGTCCGGACATCAGACGAGTAAAGGCAGAGCCATCCTTGACATCAGCTCCAATGGAGAAGGGATTTGATTGTGCCGGACGGGCAACTGCAGCACGCTGGAAGCGTTTTGTGCCTGCTACTTCTGGAGCCGGGCTAGAGTTTGCTAACCTTGGTATCTCAGGGACCGAGGTGTTCTCCTTAGGCAGAGGATCGGCTGTGCCATCGAGGCAAGCATTGACGTGGGAGGATGCTTGGGATTCGGACAAACCTTGCAGGCTGCCATTGCAGATGGGGCAGAGAGAAACGTTGTCAGTTTGTTCGGCTTCAATCGGAAAATCACCTTCTATGATACTTCGAGGCGTTCGCACACTGTCCGCTCCGCTTTCAGACTTTGAATCCTCATCAAAAGTCAGACCCATTTCTCGTTGCTCCTCCATCCATCTTCGTTCGAGGAATTCCTCTCCATCCTCATAAAATTCGTCCTCTTCAAAATCATCTTCACCAAAATCTCCGGCGTTGAACATGCTGGTCTCTTCATGGGATAGTTCCGGAACAACGCCTACGCCGCTCGTACGCTCATGCCGATCATGGTCTGGAGCTTCCTCATTCTCTAGATCTGGTAACTTCATGGCGACGTCAATGGCAGCGATTCCTGTGCCGGGGTCAATGTCGTCCTTGCTATCCGACTCGAATTCTTCTACCTCACTCGGAGCTGGGTTTCGTTCAAGACTGTCGTCAACAGCACCCACCCAGCCCTCATCTTCCTCATCACTGGAGTCATCCAGGAACCCACCCACTTGCTTCCTTTCTTTCACAGGCTTAGGGTCAGTGTAAGACTGTCTTCTTGTACCAAGCTCAGGCACCGGACCTTTGCGCTCAGGAGAGGGCGTACGAACGATTAAGTCGCCATCTTCGTCGGTAGTACGCCGTCTCTTGACCGGGCCTTCGTCCTCATTGAATCTTGTAAAGTCAGCCTCATGGAAGGTGTTTTCAGTCCGGTCGGAGACCCTGTGCTCTTCAAAGCTCTGATTTGAATCTTTGAAAAATAGAGGTACGTTCGATTTTGCGTCTACCTCATTCTTATTGTCTGTCTTCCCGAAGAATTGAAGAATACTCTGATTCTGGCGAAAGCTACTCTTCTTCGAGCTGGGTATTCTTGACGCTGATTGGCGACCGAGGATCGGGGTCTTGGACATTGGGCGAGCCTTAGTTGCAGCGGACGATGGCGAGGCAAAGTATGGAGAGGAGGTTACTTGCTTGCTGCCAGCGTTGTGTGGCGGAGTCGGAGGGCGGCCAGTCGACGGGAGAACCGCTTTCGATGCATCTAGAGTTGCATTTTCTCGAGGATTTCTGAACATTGCCGCACGGTGTCGACCGGGATCATTATTGCGTTGAACTGTGCGAATTGCCGGTGCCTTGAGAAAGGAACAATGGAGAGGAAAGACTGCGGTTGTGGACTTTGTGAGGTGGATGGTCTCGGGCGCTTCCAAGACGCGAATTGGAGGCGTTAAGTGGTTTTTGGGGTCAGTGCTTAGCACTAAGTAAGCCGACTAACTACTGCAGTTGGGACCTTCTAACTTGACTATTTCACGAGAATCGCGCTCTAGCTACCCAGTATCACAAAGCCCCCTGATAGCATCGGAAGGGCATACGCTTCGATGCAACATCACATGGACTGATGGTAGGTAGGTATTCAGCAAAGCGCTCCTTGGTGTGGACTGTTACGGTGAAGCCTGTTCCTGGCTCTCCTTCTCCTTCCCGTTCTTGTTCTCACAGCGAGAAACGAACAACACGCGCAGTCACGTGCCGACCTTGACATCATTGCCGAATCTCAACACGGTGGTTGTCGATCCAACAGAAATTCCTGAGACAACAGCGATAACATCTCCCACGCCGAAGAGGCTTCCAATATCAAGGCCGACTGCCGGGGCGACCTGCTACCGCTGTGCCGCAGCCGTCATCCACGGTTCCAGCGGATGTCGGCGGCGATTGAGCGGCTCAAAGATGAGGTAAGTCGCCGACCCCGAGGCAGTTTTAATGTTGAGCTCATTCTTATCTCGGTGCTAGGGCACGAGGCAGCAAGTCATAGTAGCTGGCGGTGTAGCAGGACTCGTGTCTCGGTTCTGCATTGCACCTCTTGACGTTGTCAAGATCAGACTCCAGCTCCAGCCACACTCGTTGTCGGATCCCTTGTCGTGTGACGGCATCAAGGGCCCCATCTACAAAGGCGTCTTCTCGACTCTACGAGCGATTGCTCGTCAGGAGGGCATCCCAGCGCTGTGGAAAGGCAATATCCCCGCCGAATTGATGTACGTGTGCTATGGCGGCATCCAGTTCGTCGCGTACCGGTCAATCACGCAAGCCCAGAGTTATCTACCGACACGTCCACCTCCCTCGGTCGAATCCTTTCTCAGCGGTGCAGGGGCGGGTGCAGCTGCGACTACAGTGACATACCCTCTCGATCTACTCCGGACTAGGTTCGCCGCACAGGGATCAGACCGGATTTACAAAGGCCTCTTTGGCGCCGTGCTCGACATCAACCGCCATGAAGGACCCATGGGATTTTTCAGAGGTGTTAGCGCCGCCGTCGGTCAAATTGTGCCGTACATGGGTCTGTTCTTCATGAGCTATGAGACCCTGCACCAGTACATGGGCGGAAAGACACTGCCTTTCGGATCTGGAGACGCCACGGCCGGCGTATTCGCCAGCGTGTTCGCGAAGACTGCTGTGTTCCCCCTTGATCTGGTCAGAAAGAGGCTCCAGGTACAAGGTCCGACGCGGACGAGGTACATACACACCAATATCCCCGAGTACCGCGGCGTCATTCGTGGCCTGGCAATGATATGGCGACGAGAGGGATACCGTGGCTGGTACCGTGGGTTGACAGTCAGCCTGCTCAAGGTACAGATCCCCGCATCTTTTATACGTGGCCCCAGTACTGACTTGACTTGACGATTAGGCCGCTCCCGCGTCAGCTGTCACAATGTGGACGTACGAGCGAGTTCTCCATGCGCTGATTAATACCGATCACGACGATGAACTGTGGGAGATTTACAACCCTTACGACGATGATGATTATGATGACTGAGACTTAGCAGGCGTTGAACTATTGATGTTGATATTACTAGTCCATGAAAGAAACCCCTAATAGCAGTCTTTCTGTATCGCCCAAACCAAACAAATATGATCTGCGCGCGCAGAGAACTTGGTTTTCGGGTTTGAAGGATGACTTCGTTCTCCGCTGGTCCTGAGAAGCACACGCCAACCCTGAAAGGCACCTGTACTAATTGTAACTACAAGCTCCAGCGTAAGTTGTCCAACCCTCAAGCACTACGTTAATAGTATTGACAAATTCTGATGTAGAAAAGTAGTGTCCCATTATTACCTCTCTGGCCATGCAGCTGCAACGCACACCATGGTCATCCCAAAGTCGGCGCTCGAAGTCGAGGGGTCCTTCCATAGCGGGTACTGCACGAATACCTCATGCTAATCCCCTGAAGACCTGCTGCGTCGCTCCTCTCGCAACATCAAATCCGAAAGGGTGATGAGACTTGGAAATAAGTCCTAGTATTGCCTCAAGTTCATATCACGAGAAATTCAACGGTCGTACCTCTCTCTGCGGGGATCTAATTCGCCGTGCCAAACAACGAAGCAAATTGCAGTAGGTGTTGCATCCAGATGAGCACTCATTCCATGCGGAACAATCTCAGTTCAACGAGAATGCGCTTCGGGTTGCGGCAACTTTGTCAGAAGCAGGAGGGGCGAGGCCTGGACCTTCGCTTGCAGAAGATTAGCATGCTCTATATACAATACCTCAGCGCGTGGCTCTCAAGCTCGATTTCAGTAGTTTGGAATTGTACATTTTGTGTATCGCCACGCGTGGAGTGGTATGCCTGGGTTTCTATGCCTAGGACACAACGGCGGCTCTTGCGCAGTCAACTCATCTACCGAATCTCATCTCAGCACCGGCATACTTCCATAGCCCTCTCAAGAAGGCTTGATATTCGACCCTGGTGCTGGTTCTCCCCGACACATCTCCACCTGAGTCACCGACACAGAAGATCTCGCTCAATCGGATCTGCCAGGGCGGGTAGCCTTCAAGTTTGACATAAGGGCCAAACACTACAACTAGATCAGGCTCCCCAGCATCGGCATCTTTACTTGATTTTGGGTGTCCTGAGTCGGTGATCGCTGTCGTCGCACTGATCTCTGTATTGATCAAGTTGGAAGTAATGTCCTTCGGGCGGATCTTATGCGACTGTGCCATTTCAGCCAGTGTCCGTGTGAGATCGACGAGTGTGTCCCTTCCGTCTGTGGCTGAGAGGAGAAGGAGGTCCAGATGTTGGCGCCGCTCTGAACTCGCGTGCGAGTGGGCAGGGATGCGTGGTGAGGGCATCGGCGAAGGGCTCGTCGAGGGGAGATTGGGTGCGAATACTCTGAGACTAGGCGCTGCAGGCGCAGGACCGTAGTAAGACGTAAGCTTCTGGCTGACAACCTCTTGCACGCTGGCCATGTACGTCTTTAGGATCCCTGATTTTTCGTAGATGCTCAACAGCGGTATTCCAGCAGACGCTGACCAGGCGCTCAACTCTGCCACCTCGTCCACGAGCGCTTCGAGTCCTCCGTCTTCTTCACTCTTGTACTTTAATATCACGCTGAGGTGTCGAGGGAGACGGTCGAGGTTCTTGACATCTCGCTGGATGTACTCGGGGGTGCGGTGGTGATAATGTCGTATGGCGAGGCCTCGGTCGAGCGTGGCATGGTAGATCTGGCGCAGGCGGATATACATGCCAAAGAAGAGTTGGATGAGGAAGAACAGGAGGGTATGGATTTTGGTTTTCAAGAAGGGTCGTATGCGCCGCTTGTGGCCTCTGGACGCATGGCGAGGTGCGGTGGTGGAAGTAATGCTGTCCATCCTTGAAGACGGCGCAGGAACAGGTGGTAGGTACGGTTGCAGGAGCTTTTCACGCTCTGCCGCAGAAAGCAGTCGTCCACCCGATGCGACATCTTTGCGATATAACTCGGTGACGGTCGGATTGAAGGGAGGCATGTTGGGTGAAGGAATGTCAGCCACTGGACTGTCAAGGTAAATAGCTGTGGGCGAGGGAGTTGGAGCAGGAGTCCGTCGTCAGCTCGCCAGGAGCACTGTTGGGATTCTCACCAACTACACATTGATCTCGTTCTCGTCAAGAGCGTCAATCCGTGTGCAGATGGAGTTGTGTGCAGCCTGTTCATACCAAGCCACTTGACACGTTGCTCGCTCCAACTTTTTCTGAAAGTACATACCTAGTTGCCAGTTGAGTTCAGGCTATTCGTAGATCTTGCAACTTCCGAGGTCGAACCGAATTGAACATGACGACAACGCTGGCTGGTGCCTCAGGTATTCACATTTGTACTATATTTATATCTCAGGTACCTGGAGAGGTAGCACGGAGGCCCCTCTGACTGTTACACTGCCACCTGTGCAGAACAGCCTCGCACGACAATGCTTTTCTCGTTCCCATGGTCTGCCTATGAATCAGTTATTGGACCGTGTAGTTATGTCAGCAGCCAAGAGGCATATCAGCCTCGTCGTCTCCATGCAGACAACACTTCATCAAGGATCCCATGTTCATGTGTCTGCTTGGGGTGTTGTGGAAGCTGATATCTCTTCATTGCCATACCATGCCACCATAACAAGCTACAGTTGGGTCATAGAACACGTCGTCATGTGGTGAATTTCTCAACATCTCCGGCGTCCACAACACCTGGCCTGTCTCGACGACGTGAAGCACCTGCAAGAAGGCTTGTCGTGTCCACCTCGCTGAAGCTCATGAAGTAGGAAGATGATCTTGAGGCTGTTTGGACCTGTGTTTTGACGTCCCTGGTTGCTAAGCAGGCGCTGTGATCGTCTGGAGTAATTCCGTGCTCGCGAATCGCTATCAGGTTTCGGGGGTGCGGCTGTCGCATATTCATGTTTCTGTTTGAATATACGTCAGTCTCTGTGAGAAATGGTAAGGTGAAGAGAGACTCGGTGGTGTGAAAGGGCTCCGAATGTCATTCGACTGCATTTCCTCGATAAGTACGAAGAGAGTTGTCACAAATCCCGACCGCCGCCTTCCTTTCGTCTTCATGAACTTTGTCTGCTTCATAGCATTGGTCTCAAGATGAGCGAACCATGCTGCCGATGCTGACGAAGGTCCGGTCAACTTAGAAGTGCTGGAGTGGTTCTGGTGAACTTCGTGGACTTACTTCAATTAACCACGCGCAGCTGCCCATATCTCAGGAACATCGCACCGACACCATGTGGCAGGCACCATATCCATATCCTTACCCAAGCTACGCACCTATCACTGCCAATGGGCGAACATACTATCCCTCATATGATGCTTACCAGGGTTTCCGAGATGACGGTGCTGCAGAGAACAGGTCAGTGTTCCTCCTTCTCTCCGACGCTTCACCTACCTTAATTCCCCGAGCTCTGCCAACACGATGACAGCACTTCACCAGCACCAGTATGCCTTCTAGCTCGATGTGGATTGAACGAGGCCCCGATGGCCGTCCATACTTCGTTCGAAGCAAGGAAAAATTGCCATCTACTCGTCAATCCCTGGCTAGGGTTTTGTTTCCTCGAAGAGCGCGCTCACTGTTTGTCAGGCAAACTCATCAGATTCACCTCTGGCCACGGCCTCTCGAATCGCCTGCGCCTGAAGACAATCCTCCAGGCAGCGAAAACCCAAAGCCTGCTGCTGCGCCAGACCCTTCAACCATGCATCCAACATCACAAAGCCAGCCTCAGCCTGTAAACATGTATTTGATGCCAGTCCAACAACAAGACAACGAGCATCCGCAGCTGCAAGCTCAACATAGCATGGCAGCAGCTCAGCAAAATGCACAATTCCCTCCGCCGTTTGTTCCTCCCATGCCGTTCTTGCCTCCGCAAATGCCACCAACATTTCCGCTCCCTTCCCTTCAACAGCCAGTGTTTGTTGGCATGCCGCCAGCGACATTTCCTCCACCCCAGGCCGGGCATGGAAACGGAGTGCCCGGAGCCTTGAACGGTCCTGGAATACCTCTGATGCCCGTGCAAGGGCCAGAGTTACGTCAGTCCTACACACCAGCTGCTCCCCAATCCAGGACAACTGAATTGCGGTATAAATGTGAGGTTTGCGGAAGGTTTAGATCTACCAGATATCACTACGAGAATCCTATTCCTCCAGGACAACTTCCGGCCAAAACTATTTGTCGAAAGTGTCGAGAAACCGCAACTGACACGGAAGATAGTTCCAGGTCCAGCCTATCACCTAATCAGCCTCCTCGGTCGCATGGACGTCGAACACCAAGATCAAGATCCCGCCAAGTACCAAGACTACGACATCATTCACGTGGAAGGGCTCAATCTGTGGGACGCCTTCACGCTACGGGTCATCGGCGTGATCAGTCTATCAATCCTTCTTCTGAGTCTTATTTATCTTCTTCCTCGGAAGAGTGCTACAGGAGTAGACGTCGTCCACGCTCGAGGTCAAGGCACGCGGAAACTTCACGACATACCCGACGAATGCGGCCGTCCCCAGTAGGACAGCTCATCCTGCGTGATCTCGACGAGGATGATGATCGCCCCAGAAGGAGGCGGCAAGAAGTGGAGACGTACAGTGGTGTCGACCGCCACCGGCAGGATACACGCACGAGAACGTCTATTAGAGAAAGGGATCGTCTTGAAAATCCTTACAGAGGCGACGATGGACGTTACAATGACTTCTTGACCGAGGAACATCGTCATGTCCATCGTTCACGATATCGGGACAATGCACGGCTTTACTCTCCTCAACACGGAAGGTCTCAACCGCAAGGACCGCACCAGTCTGGCCTTGATGGAGAGATTGACGACCCTGATAGAGAATCAGAGGACAGTCTCAGGCTGGACGAGACACATCAATCTCAGCGTCGCCCGGAACGACGAGATGGTGGAGGGTCGCCAACAGCTGCTTCTTCACTTAGCTCCTTAGAACTACCTGGTACAGGTGGACCCCGCCAGCGAGTTTCGTCCGTGAGAGGAGGACGCCGCAAATTCAGGTCGAGACGTCTCGGTAACGATGAAGGATCGGCGAGACCAAGAGACGAGCTCACACTCATTGAGAGACGACTTTCTCCTCACGTACGCGACGACTATGAGTGGTATGATAGCGAAGGCATGAGGGTGCGTGTACGCGAATTCTAATGGGCCATGCAAGTGCAGCTGAGGCTCCACAGGCCACCATCCATCAGGAGCACTAATTATCAAGATTGACTGCTTTGGGAAATCAAAGGGTCAGGAAGACTTTGAGAGAAAGCTACTACTAGAAACGTTCAAGATCGATGGACCTCTAGGTGTCAATGGTTCCGTTGGGCATATGAGCTTCGAAGCCAGGGTGCTTTCGCATCTCGCATGCAGAGCTGTCCCCCCTCAAGTCGGAAAGGACGCGAGCTGTGGAGCTACTGGCGATTCAGGAGCGAGCAGGTAAAGAGCTTAGGACAGAATCGAGACCTGCCTCACACCAGAAGGGTTAAGTTTTACGTACATATCCAGGGTGTAGAGAAGCCTCCAGACTTGGATTGCCGATCCCATTAGCAGGTTAGTCTATGTATATCTGGCAACGGGAGACCGAGAGACTCAGCATGCCACGTGGAATTGATCGAGATCTAGGCTAGAGGAAGACGGTCGCGCTGGTCAGTGCCAATGGCATGGGAGCTCCTCAAGATGGGTTTGGGATTCTGGCTTCAGTGGCGTCCGCAACTGGTTTTGCAGAGCAACGGATGTGCAGGCGTCTCGCCGTGAGCAGGGATTTGGCAAATCAGGAAGACAGGCATCTCCCCCCGGCCCTCTGTAGTCGAAGCTCTAGACCAAACTCGTCAATTCTCGTGTTGAAGCAGTCCAGTCCGTTTGCCGAGAAGAGCATAACCACGGAAAGTCGGGGCTCGATGACTGCGTCGGCTCGCTTGAGAGTCACAGACAGAAACAGTCGCGAACAGGGATGACGAAGGTGCTGTAGCGCCAGCTCAGCGCAGCTGAGCAAAAGTTGCCAGCGGCGACAGGCGGCTGGAAGCACACTAACGATGTCTGGTACAGGGTACAGGGTGCAGGGTGCAGGGTGCAGGGTGCAGGGTGCAGGAGACAGGGGACAGGAGACAGGGGACAGGAGATAGCCAGACTCTGGCGATGAATCGAGGAGGTTGTCGGCAGACTGGCGGGCTGAATGCGGTGATTCGAGGATGCTGGACACTCGCCTCGTATTCCCCCAGTTGCCCCTTGGCCGATCGCTCGCCAAAGTTCGGAGCCAGCACGTCAATAGCTCGCGGACGCGGTATTGCCTCGCCTGCGTGCTACTGGAGGAGAGTCAGACTTCCCTATCCTGTCCAAGAGATCGGGACTGTGGTTGAGAAAGCACGGTTGCGACGTCGAGATTGACTCTGCATTCCAACCTCGTCTCTCTCAAGGGCTCAGATAGACCCCTCCGGTCTCCGGTCCAGCGAACTCTGACTGCAAATACAGAGACACGGTGCCGATCGACACATATGACCAACAATTGCACGGAAAGGGATATATTGATCACCATTCCGGCAATAGTCAAGTCCATGGCGCGCTCGTATCGACAAAAAGCCCAAATCCCGGACACACTGGCACCCAGCGCTCACACCATCTCCACCGACTCCAGCTGGACGATCCCGTGGCCCCGGTTCGGCGCCTGGCACACTGGCAAGGCCCGTCCGAGCATCTTGGGGCTCCATAGGCGTCGCTAACGCCTTCAAGCTCGGTGATAGTGGCGTCTCCTAACTTCTTCTGAGCAACTAAGGTGTCATGGACAGGCCTCGAAACTACGGCCTCTTCTCTTTGCAACTGTCAAAGGGACATTCCGTGCCTCTCCCTCCAGCTGCGGTGACGGTCCCGCTTCCAACACTTGCCCTATCGAGATCTGAGAACTCCCAACCACATGGAATTGACATGGGCGCGAAATTGACACATCCCGGGCACCCAGGGAGGCAGCATCTAGCGCGGGCTTACCATGCGACCATACTTACGACAATATTGAGGCATGGCACATGTGATAACATCATGGCCAGGAGCCAGCGGATTGTCGGAGTGTGCGTTGTCGCAACGATCTGTACAGAGCACCAAATCCGTCCTAGTAGCTTCCAGGACACGCATTCTGGCGAGGAAGATGACCCAACTTTACCAGGGATCGTTGTCTGGAACAAAGATTGCACCGAGAGCACTCGCCAGCCAACTGAGAAGCCCTGTTGCGGCGAGTGAGTGCCTCTGGTTCGCTACAATGCCGCCACGAACCAGGCATATCCTTGTCACTCTTTGCCGGTACCACTGCTCCGGAGTATGCCTGTTGCCTTCTTCGCCTGGCCTCGAGTCAGGAGGGACTAACTAAAGCTCTGCAACGCAGACAAGCTCCAACACTTCCGGCGCGGCAACTCGGCGTCAACGGGTCATCTTGACAAGCTTAGAGATCAGCACCTACTACGGAGTACACTCTCCACGTTATATGGTCGTGTGGCACCAGAGGAACAACAGCCTTAGCCTGGGCCAGCCTTCGTCATGCAATACGAGATTTCAAATATTATTAGCATCTATGGCAGTTCCCCCTGCAGCTCTGTCGGACGGTGGCTGTCCATCCACTGGGGGCTATGCTTAGTGAGCCAGGTTGACCTTGACACACTTTGTGCACACCCTGGTCCATCTCACGACCGGACCCCTCCTTCCCCGGTTCTCCACGGTGCAACCGAATGCCACCAAACTTCCAGGTGGCTATACCGTCGACAGATGATCATGCCCTGGACAGACTAGACTAGGATTCACAGATACCCGCCGTCTCCCAACTACACTTGACACAAGTCTCGACTCATCCGAACGTGAGTCCTTGATAATCCACTTTTCGCTTGCGCATGCCTTTTCGTGGGAGAAAGGCCTCTTTCGGCGACTAGACTCGTGAACGGCTGTCCGAGACCCAAAAGCGAATACCTGAAGTGGATTCTCTCCATAGTCTTTCAGCTTTCCAGGTCGATCAAGCTCGGGTATGGCATTGGAGGACGCAGGTTGATAACCGCCATTTTCTCAGACAGGGCAGCTGCGGCGTTCTCCCAGCGCGCCCATGCGGGGGTGATCCGCGGATTGGGCGCTTCAGAGCATATTCGACGCCGACAAAGGTTCCGAAAGCCTGCGGATCATGTGGTGGCAGTGGAAAGGGCTCTTTGGGCTTGAGGGCATCGCCAGCCTCACTGGACGGTGGGCGATGCACAAAAAAGGGCAACCTCCTAAGGTCGAATATGCAGCCCTCGCTCGGGGCTAACGAGGCTTTCGCATAAACCGGTCTGAGCTGGCGAATCACAAGGCAGGGTTACCACCACCAGGTCGCTAAGTGCCAGCATCAATGCCCCAGTCACCTATAGTACTGGCATGGTGGCTCCAACACCTCAGGCGACACATCCCGGCCTTCCTTGTCCAGCCAGCAGCCTAACGATCCACTGTGCTTTTTGTCGCAGGCCCCTCGTTGGTCTTTTTCCAGACTAGTGCGGCTCTTTCGACGAGGAATCTCTGGTGATTGGATTGCCCATCCCTTCCTGGACGGGAGATACCAGCACATTGTTGAGAGATACTGATATTCTAACACACCCAAATCTGCAGTCCTTTGTGCTAGTATTCTGGCCCCTTTCTGCAACCCGCGCGAAAAGCTGCTTTGTTTTACATTGTTGATTGATGCTTGCCAGTATGGACCCACCCATCCACTGGCCTTGGTTCATATATCCAAATGCTCATGCCTCCATGCCCCACGAGCAGGCCTCATGTTTTCACACTCCTGAGTGCTGCTGACAACCTAGTTGCAACCTCAAATGCTCTCTGCTAATCCAATTGCTCGTCCCAAGATTCCTCGAAGGTTCCTCAAGTGCCTACACAATGCATCCTCACATGCACGATCAATACTTCCTGGGGAGTAGCGTCCCTGAGTATCTCTACGGCCGCGACGGAATCGATTCAGCACCACCGTTGTGGGATGACTCGGACGACAACTCCTGCATCGACCCCCAGCTGCGTTCTCTCCAACACGAATACCCCTATCCTAGTTTCGGCTTTCATGCCCACGCGCAGGTTGATACACGTCGTTTATTTACTGCCTATGACCCCGTCGCTCATGGCTTCCACAAAAATCATGGAAGCGCTTCTGAGAGCCACCTCTACCATCACGACTTTTCCGACCTTCTGCCAGGAATCAGTGACGAATACCGCCAGACTCGACATTTGTCTCCCTCCCAGTCTGGAAACACACCGTCTAGCACTGGGTCCTCAGCAGGAGATTTTGCCTCTAGTCCAGATGCACTTCGGTTCCCGCAAGAACTCTCCCTGACTTTTGAAAGCCCAGTGTCGACACACTCGCCACCTGTCATGCCTATTACAAGCCAAAACCTCTGGACATCACACCATGCTAACGTGAATCCTCCGGTACCTACGCCTGGCGGTTATCTGGCTTTGAGTATGCGAGACCTACAGGTCACACCGGATCCTGAAGGCGCAGAGAGCTTCCTCGAAGACAGAGACGTGGCCCATCACAAGATCAAACTGCCGCAAGAGCTTGAATTCTCAGAGCAACTCGCAAGCCCTCCCGCATCAACATTTGACGAAGATGATGAGATGACCCACCAAGATTCAGGAGCTCACGAGAGCGATAACGACTCCGAGTTCATTCCTGGATCTCGCGCGTCCCGTCACGGCCCTGCAGCTCTGCGTCACTCGCTGCGTTCGCCACGGCGACGGCGACCTAGGGCGATCCTTGACGGTCATGCGCGCGTTCACAAGACTATCAACGCCAATCCGCCTACAATTGGCAAATCTAGGTCGAAGACCAAGAAAATCTCCTCCCCGAGGAGGAGCCGTGACTCCAAGTTCTTCCCTTGTGCTTTTCATCATTTTGGCTGCCCTGCAACGTTCGCCAACAAGAACGAATGGAAACGCCATGTCTCTTCGCAACATCTCCAGCTCGGCTTTTACCGCTGTGATTTGGGCTCGTGCTCTCCAGAGCTTGTCCGAAACCAGCAAAAAGGTCACAACGACTTCAACAGAAAAGATCTATTCACACAGCACTGTCGTCGCATGCATGCACCTTGGTCACTCACGGACAAGGACATGGTAAGGGTGAGCAAGAAAGAGCAGGAAATGTTCGAGAAGGAACTTGAGCAGATTCGGACTCGGTGCTGGATCGACGCCCGCAAGCCGCCCGGTACGACCAAGTGTGGCTTCTGTTCAAAGAAGTTCGTTGAAGGCGAAAGCGGCGACGGTGGCGGCGTCGGCAGCGGCGGCGGCTCCAATGGCTCGAGTGCATGGGATCGGCGCATGGAACACATGGGAAAGCATTATGAGAAAGATCGCCTTGGTGCGAAAGACGAGCAACTTGACAAAGGGCTGCAGCAGTGGGCTCTGGCTGAAGGCCTCATCACACAAAGCAGGGCCAAGGACCGATATTGGCTCGTCGGCCTGGAGCCGGCAGAAAATGTCGGTAGTGCAGCTGGGTGGAGAAGAAGCGGGAGAGCCACACGTCGTCGACTGGGCGGAAGAGGAAGAAGTGCAGAAGAGCAAGAGAGTGAGAACAGTGACGTCGAGCTCGAGCACGAACGTGAAGAAGACAAACATGGGTTGAGTGTATCAGCGAGAGTCGACGATGGTGAAGAAGAACAAGAAGACGCAGAAGGAGAAGAAGAAGGAGGAGGAGGAGGAGGAGGAGGAGGAGGAGGAGGAGGAGGAGAGCAGGAGACCAGCAGTGTCGATGTCAAACACCTCGACGTGGACGCAGATGCTGAAAGTGAAGAAGAGTGATTTTTCTATTGTGTGTCGACGAGGTCGGGCCGGGACATGGAAAATGAGGTTTCTCTTGCGGCGTTCGTTTCGTGTGGATTGGGGGCCGGGGCAGAGGGGGTGGGATCAAAATCTACGACGAAGAAGATTCAGGCTGGCACAGCTTTACCTGTATGTACAAGAGGGACAATGAAGTGTTTCTTGTTCTTCTTGTGCCGGGACGTAATGAGTGAGTGAGTGAGTGAGTGATATTTGGATACCCTACATAGTTGAACTGTTCGTCTGCGTTGGAACATGGGATACCCTACATAGTTGAGTCTGTCTGCATTGGAAAAATGGTGCTTTTCTTATGGAATGCTCTTGGTTCTTTTTGAATACTTGTGTTCTTTTTTACATTGGAGTCGGATACATTTGGCAAGGCAAGGATACCATGCCACGGTAAGGATATCTTTAGTAGGGCGCCGTCGGCAACACACAGCCGTCACGTTTCCCCTTGTTCTCCCCGAACCTGCTGCTTTCGTACTTACAGCGCGTTTGCATCGTCTTTCTCCTTCGTCCTTGTTTTCTTTTTGGCGTCTGCTTTGTCCCTGTGGTGGGGGGGGGGGTGGTTTATTGTCTGTTTGATCGACCGACGGTCTGGGAGAACATGTCAGTGCCAGACCTGTCAATCCCAACCACCTGTACCTACAACTGATTATATATAGTCTGGCAAACCCCCCTGCGACCCAGACACGTCGGGCAAAAAGAGAGATTCATTCGCCCTTCCGGAATACATAGTCTCGGCTCCTACATCGTTGATGATCCCCCGCGTCTGGAAGAGGGCATCCTAGGTAGTAGGGGTATGCGTGTACCACACAGACGTCCAAAGGTTCGTCCTCGAAAGTCCCCCCCTGAACACTACGTACACTCGTGTACCTTACGTACAAAGTCCCAACAAACAGAATCCGACACAAGAGGTCAAGCGACGCCAGGCAGTTGGGTGGGACAGTCCCTATTGATTGATATCACCATCAGTCAACAAAGATATACCGTCGCCATGTTGCGCATGATTTGGATCATTCTGCATCTGAATCTGGTTCTGGCTCTGGCCCTGACTTTCCAGGCCGCTCGTTCCAGTCCCAGTGACGATGATCATGGCCACGGTCATGGTCGTGGTCTCAGCTTCGATCACCACCACTACCACGATCATGATCATGATAACACCACTACCAACACCACCAACGCCGCCCATCACAGTCCACCCCTGACTGCTCGCACGGGTCCCGCAGATCCGGTATCTCAACTCCTCGCCATCGCCCCATCGTCCAACACTTGCGCCAACGCACCCTTCCCATCCGAATGCACGGTGACGACGGCGTCGCTGGCGCAGATCATCATCGGCAGTTTCGCGAGCCACAATGTCTCCACGGCTCCCGAGCAAGCCGCCCTCCTGTCGTGGATGGCGTTCGAATCCGGTGAGTGGAAATACAACCGCAACCACTTCCCCGCCCCGGGTCGGCCTGGCCAGGGGACGCGGGTGATGATGATGCCGAACTACGTCGCCGAGTTTGCGAGGAGCTTCAAGGAGTTGGCCGACGGTGACGAGCTTGGCGGTACTACCACGGGAAGCGGTGATCCGGATCAAGTGCTGGATTTGGTGTCTGCCGACAAATACAGCTTTGCCGCCGCCGCGTGGTACTATGACACCCACTGTACACCGGAGGTGAAAGAGGGCGTGCAGACGGGCGGAGAACAGGGCTGGGAAGAGTTCGTGACGGTGTGTGTTGGGACGACTGTGACGGAAGGGAGGAGAGGGTACTGGGTCAAAGCGTGTGAAGCCTTGAATATTGTCGTTCCTGTTCCCGTCGTTGTTGTTGTTGAATAAAAGGCACACACAGTACAGCACTACGGTACCTTGCTTGGTAGTCAGGAAGTCAGCACGCCCTGACACTCCAGAGCAGGGCCTCTAGGCCACTTGCCACTGTCCTCTCACTTCTTGTCCACGTGGTTAACACCAGTTGGTAGTGGAATCGTCCATGGGATGAATGAATCAATGAATCAATGAAACTAACAGCGAATACTCTGTACTGTTTGGCCTATCGAGACTTGGACTCCGACTGCATTCTGGTGGAGATTGAGTATCTGGCCTGATAAAAGAGCTTCCTGAAACGTCCAGCCTCTTGAGTTCCAAAAAGATCTCTGTACAGTGACTTGTGCATGAGTGGCAGTTGAATAAATCAGGACGTTTCCGACAGTTGCCGTTGCTTGAGCAGGTCGTAGAGTGCTGCCTTGGGTACTCCAGGCAGTCCATGTCCAGCCTCTCTTCCAGCGGCGGCGATCAGAGTGACTTCGGCATTGCGATAGATGAATCGTGTCCGTCTGTCGAATCTGCTCATGCCTGGCTCGGTGATCACCTTGACTGATGCAATATTTGTCGTCCACAGGTACCCTGCCTGGGGCCCAGTAGTGAATGAGTGAGAGAAACAGCGCAGTTCAGTGCTATGAGGTGAAGACGACCCATGTACTCGGTCTATTTCTGCCAAATAAACAAAAAAAAAGCAAACACTTAAAGTGAGAATTTGGCTGCTAGCCCCCTCCCGGTCCGAAAGATTCCTCTTGAGGTCAACTTATCTCGCTATGCATCGATCCGGGTTAGGGGCCCCTTCCCACCAAACCACCGAACCTGGAGAGAGGAATCCGGTCTATACCAGCTGCGCCAGCAGACCCACAGCAAGTCTCCCATGTCCCATGTGGAATTGTTGACAGGAAATCAACGGATTAAGTATATCTAGCACGGTTAGAAAGGCGTGAAGTGAAGACGCGTAAAGACGCGTGGTAGCACTTTGGCTACCTGAGAATTGCATCTAGGACTGACTTAGCAACGTTCGATTCTTTGCCGCCATTTACTTTGGTCGCTATCCCCTTTGGGTTGGCCCCAGACATAGCCGAGGGCGATATACGGAGCATTCTCAGGTGCTGAACCACAATGAGTGAAGTACAATCCAAAAGTTTCATGCCAGATGAAGGAGGACCTCCTTTTTCACAGTCTCCGTGGAAAAAAGTGCAATATGGGAGCCATTCTCTCATTAGCGAATATTCGACCCTGGGCACCTATTGGCCTGAGTTTACATATGGTCTCTCTGGTTTTTCTGTCGTTGGAAACAAAATCATGACCTGAGAAGTCCCGTACTAAGCACGAGTCACCCATGACGGCTGTGTCGGATTTACCACTCCTTGACTTTGAGTTTCAAAGGCAGATGAAGCAGCCGCTGTCCGAATGGCGTGGGTCCAGGGAGTCGTCCCGCCCTGATATTCACCTGGAGAGACTGGTGCAGAAGTCTGGGCTCGCCGAGCTGTGCGTCACGTTCCCTTCGCAGAGTCACGAAGTCGTCCTCTGAGATGTCGTCCTTGAGGTGCTTGTTGAGCGCCCTGTGCTCCCGCACCGTCATGTACGGTTGCGGAATCGCGCGGCCTTCCGGAGGGTAGTCGTGACCCGTCCAGATCTTGACCTCGTCGGCCATCGAGAGGAGTTTGCGCGTCGACTTGAAGAGGTCGTGCGCGCTGCCGCCTGGGAAGTCGCAGCGCGCAGTACCGACGTCGGCGTGGAAAAGGGAGTCGCCGCAGAAGACATTATCTCCAATCTTATAGCCCAGGTGGTCAGGAGTATGTCCTGGAAGGTGAATCGCCTGTGCGCTCATGCTTCCAATGTCGAATGTCTCATCGTCGTCGAAGAGTTTGTCGAACACGCCTTCGTACTCCGTGGCTGGCACGCCGTACCTTTGCGCGAAGAGCTCTTGGACATGGTTGATGCGCTTGCCGATGCCGATGCTCGGCGAGGAGCCTGGTTCCTGAGATAGCTTTGCACGCAGATACGCCGCCGCCGTCGGGTGGTCGGCGTGTACGTGAGTTTCGAGAATCATGTCGATTTCGTACCCTTGGTCCCTGACCAGGGCGAGCAGGGCGTCCGCGGAGCTCGTGCTCGCCGTCTGCGTCGACGGATCGTAGTCTAGTACCGCGTCGATTATGACAGCTTTCTTGGTGCGCGGGTCGGCTACTACGTATTGCCATGTGCCGGTTTGGTCCTGGAATACTGGATGGATCGATGGTTGAACGATTGCAGTGCTTGTACTTGGGGTCGCTTCAGTGGCGTACGTTTCTCGACTGACGCGGTTGATGTATCTGGGCTGAATGATAGCTGCCATCGATCCCGACTGGGTATGACGGGAGCATATATGTCCGCGATCGCCTGGGTGTGAGCACGCTTGACGAAGGTCCGCTGTCCGGACGGATGGTCTCGCTGCTACCGTGCTGTATGTCACCTTTGTCAAAACCTCTTCACGAGAATGGCTTTGGCTGAGTGGAGTGTATGGTTTGACGCGAATCGAGGCTCGGAGGTTGATGGCAGGTGATGGTAACCTGTTGAAAGCATGGCGAATATTACTTGTAGGAGTTGCTAACGAAGTCATGGTGGTTATCATACGGATTCCTTAGGACTGGTCTGAGTTTTGGAAAAGCACTCCTCGTGAGATGTAAAGGTTGAAGGCTATATGAGATCCTTAGTCCCTCTCGGGGTCGAGACCTCGGGATCTGACATTGACTTAGGCGTTTAGACAAGGCTGAGGCCCCACAGCTCACACGGATAGATGGTCCCTAGTCAGGCCACGGACGAGGCGGAGGATCCACTTCGGTGACTTGCGCTCGAGATTCGCCGACGAAACGATAAATCTGATGATTAGAAACTTTTTTTCCAGTCCCCGAGTCAATCTGTAAGCAAAATTGGCATCCAACTTTCTTTGGCGACCTTTTGATTTTGTTGTTGCTTGTGCTTGGTCGAGTAACCCTCATCTCGTCTGGGTCCCATTCATTTGGTCTATATTTTCCGCTACCGACATGTTCAACGGCCGAGTAGTCTCTGCGGCTCGCACCAATGTCGGGCGGTGCACCGCAAAGGCCAACAAGCGGCAAGATGTTTCTTCGACGATTAAAAGAAGAAACCTCGCGAGTGTCGCGCCGGTAAACTCGGCCTCACGAAGTCACAAGGTCGTGGTCATTGGAGGTGGATCGGGCGGTGTTGCAGTCAGTCACCAGCTCTTGCGCACGGGCAAATTTGCTCCTCACGACATCGCCGTCGTCGAACCCGCAGCCTGGCATCACTTCCAACCCGGGTGGACACTCGTCGGCGGTGGTCTAAAGGACAAGCGGGATCTGCGCAGCCCGATGAAGGAGCTGTTCGATCCCAAACTAAATTTCTACAATGAGAGTGTGAAGGGGTTTTCGCCCGGGGAAAACTTCATCACCCTCGCCAACGGCGACAAGCTCAGCTACGAACAGCTGGTCGTTGCGCCGGGAATCAAGATCGACTACGCTAGCATCAAGGGCCTGCCGGAGGCTCTGGAAGACCGATCGTCTTCGGTGTCGACGATCTATGGCTACGAGACGTGCGACAAGGTATTTGACACCATCCAGCGCCTCAAGAAAGGCAATGCCATCTTCACCCAGCCGGCGGGCGTGATAAAGTGCGCCGGAGCGCCGCAGAAGATCCTGTGGCTTGCGGTCGACTTCTGGAAGAGAGCGGGACTGTACGATCCCGCCAACGCGGCGAACTCACCTATCCAAGCCACGTTTGCCACCGGCCTGCCCGTCATGTTTGGCGTGCCAAAGTACAATGCCAAGCTCGACGAGATGCGCAAGGAGCTTTCGGTGGAGGGACTATTCAAGCACGATCTAAAATCCATTGACGGCGACAAGGCCACTTTTGCACACGTCGAGACGGGCGAGCAGGTCTCGAGGAAATTCGACCTCTTGCACGCCGTGCCGAAGATGGGACCGCATGACTTTGTGAAGAACAGCGGGCTGACCAACGAGGCTGGCTACGTCGACGTCGACGACGCCACGCTGCAGCAGAAGAAATACCCCAACGTCTGGTCGTGCGGTGATGCTTCCAGCCTGCCCACGTCCAAGACGCTCGCGGCCATCACGTCGCAGGTCCCCGTGCTGGTGAAGAACCTGGTCGGAGCAATGGAGGGGAGGAAGCCCGAGGAGACGTACGACGGGTACACGTCTTGTCCGCTGTTGACTGAGTACGGGAAAGTCATGCTTGCCGAGTTCAAGTACGGAGGAGAGCCCAAGGAGACGTTTGGCAATCTGCTGGGCATCGACCAGGCGACCCCGAGACGTGCGTTTTACCACCTTAAGAAGGACTTCTTCCCGTGGATATATTACGAGGCTCATGTCAAGGGGACGTGGCAGGGACCCAAGGGCTGGAGACCATAAGACACTACGTACGCTTGTATGATTGACCTGTAGAGAAGTTTACTTGGAGTCGAGATAGAAAAAGCCTCTTGTTTTCACAACCGCCAGGATGTCACCGAGCAATGAGCGTATACCTCACTTAGCTAGCGCGAGACTACAGGATATTACTGTTGCGGACGTGGGAGCTACAGCACGGTTTGGTCGGTGATGTTAGGTGAGGACACTACGTGCGGCCCGCGGTGGCCCATCGATGATCCAGAGTCCATGACACTCGAAGATTTTCACCTGAGCGAGAAGGGCGAGGAATGAGTCGCCGATCTCAGAATTGAGGGTGGAGTCAAACGAGGAACCCGCTTGAGATCCACAATCGCCGTAGAACAGGATCATACGCATCGACACATGGACGAGTCGTTGTTTGGTTGCGTCTTGTTTGTGCCGCTACATACCGTACTTACACGCTCAGCCGATCTGGTTTGCCTGAACATCACTGCCCGTAAGCGTGATTGGGGCATTCTTCATTCGTGAGGGCTCGAAGATCTGGTATACTCGGACATTCAACTAAATCCAACGGGCAGCTCATCTACAACCTTGCCAGCCCGGTAGGCCGAATCCCTGCGTAGGAACACGACTTACACATGAGAAACAAAGGAATTATTCATGTGAAGTATCAACCGCTGGAAACAATATGATAATGAACAATGGTCATGATTATTTTCGTGTACTAGTAATGTTACCATTTTCAAACAAAGGGTATCCTGAATGCACCGTCCTGATTTCCCCCAAAAAGACAAACGGAGAGAATATTGGTCATTCGAGATCAAACTTGCAAGCGATCAAGCTTGCGACTAAGTGGTGAGGGAGCTCAAAAAAGCCCATCTACCATCGATCCGAATCCCTCAGATCCCAAGAACAGGAAGATCCCAGCTAAAGGTAAAAAGAGAAAGCTGGCCCGGAAGTGACTCAATCCAGGTGATTTAGTAAAAGTGAATGCCGTTGCTCATATTTCGTGAAACAATGTGCGGTGAGAAATAAGCAATAAAGGTAGCGTGATACCTAAGCTTTGACCGTGTAGAGATCAGTCAATCAAAGTCATCTCTCTGTCTACCGTCTAGCCAGTCCCTGGCCTTCTTGAGGCTGAAAGTCCTCCTAGGCTTTGATTCCTGGTAAGATTGATTGCTTGCATAGCCTTTGGGCGGATCAAGAGGGTAAGACTCATTGCCGATGATACCATTGCCTCTCAATTTGTTAGGTGGGGCGTGCGGCTGGGGATCGGATGGCGAGATACCGAGGACACGCTCTTGCTTGCTCAGGCGACGCATCGGAAAGTCTCCAGGTCCACTTGATATGGGAGGCTGACCGGCGTTGAAGCTGGACGGTGGTGCTGGAGAGGAGTGCGTACTGCTTACAGTCTTGGGCGCCTGCATCATTGGACGATTGTTCGAGGAGGATCCGATGGTCAGAGAACGTTGTGTGCTGGGATGGTTGCTGGGCTCTAGATGGTGGCTCGGGGGTGGCCGGCTTTCTGAATCGTGTAGAATATCATGGCTTGTCGGGGCTTGATAAGGCTGGGAGAATTGCGGTTTGTTGCTTGACTGCTGCCACGACTGGATTGGTCGACCTGCGGGAACTGTACCTGATTGTACGTCATGATCCGATTCTTCGTCGCTAAGATAGTCGTCCGTCTTTTGCTGTTTGCGACTGCCAAACAGGCTGAATCGTCGTCGTGGCGTCGCCGTCTTTGGATAGACTTCTTCATCTGTGAAGCTTTCGTCATCACTTTGTACCTGGCCCCAATTGCCTTCAGGACCATGTGAACTCTTGCTGGGTCGTCGCCCAGCCAGACCAAATCTATCGAGAAGAGTAGGTATTCTCTGTACACCAGCATTCTCATCAAGTTTTTCGCGGTCTGAGCTGCCATCATACCAAAGAGCGGGAACAAGTAGTCGATAAGGGATTGTGATTCCAGCGGGTTGCTTTTGATCGACTTCGACGTTGAGCACAATATCCAGACCTCCTTCCAAGTTGATATGATCGTTGACATCGATCTCATTGCCTTCGGCGTCAACAGCAGGAATGTTCCCCTTCCTGGCGGCCTTTTCTGATATATTCGTTGGCCGACGTTGGAACATATTTGGGCGGATTCGAGCGCCAGAAGAGGCTTGATCAAAGGACGATGCACGTGGTCGAGCCGTAGCGTGGAAGTCACCGGATGATTGCCTCGAACCAGATGCATTCCAGTTTTGGGAGACGGAACGGTCCTGTTGCTGGGTAGTACCGTCATGAGAAGCAGAGCGCTCCTGCTCATACATAGCGTCACGATACGAGGTTGGTGGTGCTCGCCGAGAGCTCAGTCGACGGAATAAAGCTCTAGGGTTGACATCTTCTTTGCTGAAGGAGAAGCGTCGAGGACGTGCGTCGGGCGTGCCTTGTTCCTCATCTTCCCCCTCCTCCAACATGGCTGGAGATTCGGGTGGTGAAGGCGGCGGGGTGGAACCAGGGATATATTCTTGAATGGAGCACCAATTGCGTCGTGGTAGAAGATGCCTGTTGTTCCGCTTCTTGTAATCAACATCATGTGTAAACATGGGGATCATGTTTTCGTCAGTATACATATCCAGATGATGAGTTTTGTTACGTTTGTTCAATATGTCTGCCAGCATATCACCAGGAGGTGTATTCACAATGGCTGAAGATATGATGTTCGGCATGTATCGGTGGTCTCTGTCTTTTGGTATCTTGAGCTTCGGATTTGAATGGAATTGGCCGACTGCTGCAAGGTGAACATCTCCACTCAGAATGGTGATACGACAAGACTTTTCTGCTGCGAGATCTTGTAGATCTTTGATGAAGTCGTTCCGTTCGCGCTTGTGATTTTTGGCAGTCCAGTGGTCATCAAGATCATCCAGTATCTCCACGCCGCCATCAAATTTGTTCAAAAACCCGCCTTTCAACACCCCTGCTCTTCCCAAAGCCTTTACCGGATCCATGAGACGACTTGTAAGAACGTTTTCCAACCATACCAAGCGTGGGTAAGCAATTGGCACCCCCAATAGAATGAGCAGATGTTTCGTCTCACCCTCGATCAACTCTTTTCTGCATCGTTCGAGGATAATATCGAGAGTGTCAACACTGAGAACTTCATTGCGCATGCGTTCAGTGCGGCAGTCCACGCCGAGAAATGCGACATGCTTACCCATTCGCATAAAAACGCTTCTGCTGAGTTGCTTGATGTATGGCCCAGGCTCTCTGCCGAGGACCCAGCTTGGCTCATGTGCCGTTGTTTCTTCTGGGACGCTCTGATGCTGGAAAAGCATGTAGTATTTGAAAGCAATGTTTCCTATGCCTGAAAACACCGGAGTTTCCATAAAATGGTGGGGATACGAACCGAAACCATCAATAATATCGTGGTCATCCCAAATGTTCACCATGGGAATCTGACTGGCTGCCATACCAAAGAGACCTTGAGAAAACCACATAGCGTATCGATTGAGATAGAAGGTTTCGAGTTCTTCTTTCATCTCATGCGTGAATGGGGCGTTGTGCTTGTGTGCAGGGTTTCGCATCCGCGTCCACGCGCCAAAGTGTTGGGTCTCAAGCATGACCCGATCATTATAGATTTGATCACCACCGCCAATCATGACATGAAAAGGGCGCGTCTCGTGAGTATTCAGGACATCCCTCCACAATGGATCAGGTCCACTGAAATTATTTGGGTTCACTGACAAGCTGAATCCATTGCAGCTGTGGAACATGATGTTCATTGTCTGTCCTTGGGCTGGAATCCAAAAGCCAACAGAAGCGCCTCTATTGATCCGATAGGCGACATGCTGCTGTTGCTCCGTGAGTTCAACTTCGATGTTGAAACGCCAGAATGTCACGTCTCGGTCAGGATCAGCATATAGCCTCGCTCCTTTGACTTCGGAATACCTGCCGAGCCGCTCGCCATCTGAATTTGAGGACCTCGTCTCAATTGGCGTATTGTGGTAACCATTAAGGTCAGTTGGGCTAGGTGAGCTTTCAAACAGACCATCATCATTTTCAAGCTGAGACAGATCCTTACCCTCCTCAAGGTGATCAATTGGACGCACGTACAATGCTCGGCCAGTCCTGGACAACTTTATCAAGCCAGCCACAGGATCAATATACTCTGGGCTTAGACCATTTTCTCCCACGTGATGAGGAGGAGGGGGTAGCAATTCCCGCGGCTGGCAAAATAGACGTAAAGTTGGCGGCTCGTCGTAAGAAGAGTGTGAGTCTTGCGTGACAATCAAAACGCTTCCTCGCCATACTTCACGATCTTTACCATTCCAGACCTTGACCTTCTTCATGCCTGTATAGCGAAGTAAGGGGCCACATCGTAAGTAAAGTCTAGGCCTGAACTCAGCAGTCTTGTCATCTATAGGTCCCTCCTGGCCTGCCTGATTCGACGCTGATGCTGATCGACTCCGACGTCGCCCGGACCCTGTAGCAGGTTGTTCCCACCAAGCCTTGCTTTTGTCGAGTGGAGCAGCGGCTTCCATAGAGAAGTATTCTGCAGTGAGTCTTGCCGTTCCGGCCTCTTTCCATTCATCCACAGGACGTCGGTTCATAGGCTCCTTGAAAGAAACGCTGGATTTGCGCTGGCGTTGTCGTATGGCATCGGCAACCTTTTCAGGAGGCGAGCGTGGGCTACTAGGATGTGGAGAAGCCTGAAGGCCTCGAACCGCTGGAGGAGGTGTATGTGGAGGATGGCGCTGACTGACAGGCGAGTTCGAGATAGTCATCCACGACGTCGGATCAATGCTTTCAGACTTTTTGGTCGTTGGTACTGGTATCCGACTCGGGTATGCGTCAGATGGCATTGTTCGGTCGATGGAGGCCGGCCGAGGCTTTTGAAGTTTTCGCGATCCCTCTCTAGCAAGAGAATTGGGCGCAGATACTCCTGTCAATTTTTCCAAAGTTGCTTTGTGAGACGCATTCTGTCTCTCCATCAAGCTTTCTCGCCGGGGAAGACGCCTGTCTAGTGTGTGCTCAGCAACAGGCTGTCTGTCGATGTCACCCGAGCGCGATGATTGTCCGCCTGCTGATTTGTGCTCTTTTCGTTTTCTCGACTGTATCGTTTCTGAAGGTCCACTGGCAAATTCTGAGCGTGCCGCGAGCTCCGGTGACTCATTTGCGTCTCTGTCATCGCCTCGATACTTGGTGCTTGATCGGCGAGGCTTGTTCGTGGCGCTTGTCTGCATGGGGCTTGACACGGTGTAGTCAAAGCCCGAAGGACCTTCCCCGGACAAAGTTCTGATGTCAGGCTGATGATTGTCCAGTGTTGTGCTGTGCTGCAGCCGTTGTCGGTGAGTTGTGCTGAGGTTTCGCACTAATCCTACGTCTTCCAAGGTTGCCTCAGTTGGAGGGTCGCGACGAGAAGTAGTGCGTTTGGAGCCAGAAACACTCCTGTGAGTAGGCAAAGGCTCTCGTGGAGAGTTGCTGTCGTTGTTCCCCTTGTTCGCATTGCGCTCTCGGATAAGCATTTCTGCTTCTTGGACCTTCGCGCGCTTAGCCTCCTTGTTGATATCGTTGAGGGTAACCTCCAATTTCTGAAGAGGAGACCGATCGGGAGCCCAGTCTCGTCGCTGAACCTCGTCCCGAAGTGCACTAGATCTACTCACTACCGATGGTGGCTCGTCAATGTGTCGTGGCGCTTCTGAGGCCGGGCGTGACTTTTGATGCAGTCTTGCTGGCTCTGCAGATGGTTCTCGAGCTGACTGCGCCTCTCTCCGAGGGATGGGTACAGGGCCGATCCCATTGAGGCCGGTGGTCCTCAACCGGATACCATCGGTAGGAACAGGCTTTCGGGGGATTCCTGGCACGACATCTTCCTGATTGGCATTTGTTCCTGAGTGTTTCTTGGGATTGAGAGTGTCGCCGGTGTAAACCTCATCCACGTCAGCGAAAGCTTCCCTATGGAATGGCCGTCCCTTCGCCCTTTGCGAGAATGATCTCTGCATGCCGGGCTCTGCCCGCCCTCCTCCGCCTCGATATGAGATCGGCGGTCCTCGAGGGACTTCCGGTGCGGCTGGAAGTTGAGTTTGTACGGGAGCCGTCGCGTCAGAGTAACTTCGCCTCGACGATCCCAAGCTATTTCGACGATCTCCTCCATCATTGTTCCTTGTCCGTGTGTTATTTTGAAGGATCACATCATCCAGCGCCGGGTCATTGTAAAATTCGTGCGGATTCATTGAGGTTGCGATTTACGCAGGGCTGTTCCGGTTCAAGGAGCGGCTTCAGGATATTTCACGATTCCCTGTTGAAAGCCATGAACAAGCAGATTGAATCACTGAAGTAGAATGTCGGATCAGGCTCTCTCAGTTGGGACCGCAGAAGAAAGATTAGGTGCAATGCGTGAATGCTCTGCGGCTGGAGGCTGCGGGATTGGAACGCGATAATACAACGATGGGTCCAAATTGAGGTGAACAATGATGTTAAAGCTATGTGATTTTAACATTATGTACAATAAGAAGTCAGAAAGCAATCCAACACAGCAGAAACGAGTCCTGCAAAGCGCTTGTCTGTAAGTGAGGTACCCATGAATCTGCGTGGCTGGTAGAGTCGATGACCACGTTAGAGGAGCAACAGGACCGAGTAAATCTTGCAGCCGGCCCAAGGGCCAAATTGAAACTCTCTGTCCGGGGCATCATTCGTCACTCGCATGGAGCTGCGGGCCGCCGAACAGAGACCGCGTTAGGCGTATGTTTAACTGGAACACCGCCCAATGGGCAGCAATACAAAGAGAGGCTAGCGACACTGGGCCGTTTTAGCCTTTAACTGCTTTGTCCGCTAAAGCCATCCAATTGCCAGCCTCGCTCGCCTTTGGGAACAGTTGTCCTCCTGGGCGCCGTTGTGCCTGTACCCGTCCTTGTGAGAGGCTGTGACTGCGGCCGCGGCTGTCAATGCTTTACAAGCATTCTGGACGAGTAGCAAGGACAGATTCGGTCGAGAACGCAACGACTACCCAGCAATATCTCCATGGTTTCTTTCTTCCTGGGGACAACCAACTGTTGACTACCAGAACACATCCCTTCGTTCCACAGGCACTTGACCATTCCTTTGGCCCCTTTGTGATACCTCTCGACGCATCATTCCTCCTAGAACACTTGTCCTGAAGACCAGTGCTACTCGGCCTACCTCGACCTCAACCGACGAATTACGAAATACACACTTCTGTGGAGTCCTCCTCGACTGTGCGATAGCTGAGCTTCAACTGGTTGAAGAATGCTTGTCCACTCGCGGCGATAGATCTTTTCGCCTCCGACTTAACATGCGGCTGCCATCATGGCTTTCGCTACTTATTCTGGCCTCGCAGACAGTGGCTAGCCAGCGGGATTACGAGAGGAATGACTACTTTGCCGTTCATCTGAGTCCTGCTGCCGATATCCGCGAGGTGGCTCGACTCTTTGGAGTTAAGCATGAAGGACAGATCGGGGAGTTGAGTGACCACCACACGTTTTCTTGCCCGAAGGGCTCGTGTCCAGACTTTGAAGCCTCTTTAAATGAACTAAAATTACGGAAGAAAAGGCGAAAGAGAGGGGAGACAGGCTTGCATGAACGCAACTCCTGGAGACAACTCTCTGCAGAATTGGGAGGTATACTCTGGGCCGAGCAACAATATCTTCGACATCGTCATGTCAAACGCATTCCACCTCCTGGGCCCCTTGTTCCCAGGCAGGAAACGGCGGGTGACGGGACCGATGCCGAAAAGCAAGAGGCTATACAGCGGCTGGATAGTATCGCCGAGGCGTTGGATATTTCAGACCCTATCTTTAAGGAGCAGTGGCACTTGTTCAACCCGGTGCAACTAGGACACGACCTTAATGTGACCGGAGTGTGGCTCGATGGCATTACGGGTAATGGAACTATCTCCGCGGTCATAGACGATGGCCTCGATATGGACAGCAACGACTTGAAAGATAACTACTATGCTGAGGGCTCCTACGACTTCAACGACAAAGGCCCGGATCCTAAGCCTCGACTTTTCGACGACAAACATGGCACACGATGCGCTGGCGAGATCGCTGCCGTCAAGAACAACGTTTGCGGAGTAGGCATGGCATATGACAGTAAAGTCGCCGGCTTGCGTATTCTATCTAAGCCCATCAGTGATGAAGACGAAGCGACCGCCATCAATTATCACTACCAAGAAAATGACATATACTCGTGCTCGTGGGGCCCACCAGACGATGGGGCGACCATGGAAGCTCCGGGAATCCTCATCCAGAGGGCCATGGTCAATGGTATCCAGAGTGGGAGAGGCGGTCTCGGCTCCGTCTTTGTCTTTGCAGCGGGCAATGGGGCAGCCAGTGAAGACAATTGTAATTTTGATGGGTATACCAACAGCATCTACTCTATTACTGTTGGAGGCATCGACAGAGCTGGAAATCACCCATACTATTCAGAAGCTTGCTCCGCACAGCTTGTCGTGACATACAGCTCCGGCCACAATGATGCCATTCACACGACCGATGTAGGCGTCGACAAATGCTACACGGGCCATGGCGGCACGTCAGCTGCTGGCCCATTGGTGGTAGGCACAGTTGCCCTTGCACTCAGCGTTAGACCAGACCTCAGTTGGAGAGATATCCAATATCTCTGTGTTGAGACAGCTATTCCGATCCATGTTGAGGATGGTAGCTGGCAGGACACCACCATCGGAAAGAAATTCAGCCATACTTATGGATATGGAAAGGTCGATGCCTACCGCTTCGTCGAGGCCGCGAAGTCTTTCGTCCCAGTCAAAGCGCAAGCGTGGTATCACTCGCCGTGGCTCAGCGTCCAACACAAGATACCTGAGGGCGACCAAGGACTTGCAGCCAGCTTCGACGTCACGCAGGAGATGCTGAATGAGGCAAATCTGGAGAGACTCGAACATGTCACTGTTACGATGAATGTCGAGCACGGTAGGAGGGGCGACCTGAGTGCCGATTTGATCAGTCCCGGTGGTGTTGTCAGCCACCTGGCAGTAACCCGTCGTCCTGATGTTGCAGCTTCGGGATATGACGACTGGACCTTTATGTCTGTTGCTCACTGGTAAGTCTTAGTCCTGGATGCATGTATTGTGGCCACTGACCATGTTCTAGGGGCGAGTCTGGAATCGGAAAATGGACCGTCATCGTTAAAGACACCCATGAAAACGAGTTCAACGGCACGTTTGTTGACTGGCGCCTCAACCTCTGGGGTGAAAGCATCAACGAGCTGACCCAGGGTCTTCACCCACTGCCAGATGAGCATGATGATGATCACGAAACGGCCAGCGCGATTGTCAGCACCACCAGTGTCCTGGCAGCTCCCCCACCAACATCGCTCCCAGCAAAACCTACCAACCATATCGATCGCCCAACAAAGCCCAAGCCTGGCGACGACTCCGACACTACAGCCACAGTCTCGAGTATAAGTGCGGTTTCGACTACAGATGCGTTCTCGACTACAAGCAAAGTCTCTGACCCTGCTACCACGACTACCGGAGCAGTAGAAGCTACCCACACCTACTCGGACAGCTTTCTACCCTCCTTCTTCCCTACCTTTGGCGTCTCCAAACGAACGCAGATATGGATCTACGGTTCCATCGGCCTCATCATAGTCTTCTGTGCTGGGCTTGGAGTATACTTCGTGCTCCAACGAAGGAAGAGGTTGCGAAACAATCCACGTGATGCATATGAATTTGAAATGGTCGGGGATGCCGACGAAGACGAGCAGCAAGGTGTCAACGCCCGACGTACGCGCACGGGTAAAGGTAGAGCACGTCGCGGGGGAGAATTGTATGATGCATTTGCTGGAGAAAGCGATGACGATGATCTGTTCAGCGACGAGGACGCCTATCAGGACACGCCCAGTAACGACACTAGTCCGGGTTCCAGGGGCGACAGCCCTGCAGAGCGGGAGAAGTAGAATAGCACCCTGCAGTCAGGCGTCGCTGAAGACGCGCGATGAAATCCTGTACTGTTAACAAGTATTATTACGAGTAGTTCAAACTCCGGTCGACCTTCAAACACATTTCAGACCAGACGGCGCCGACAAAATGCTTGTCATCGCCGAATGTCGCTCTCTGCTCTTGCAAGCTGGCTATCTGCAAGAAAATGAAGCGCTCTGATCGCTTGTTGTGACGGTCGTCTTGTAAGGATGGCCATAAATTTCATGCCGGAAATTACGTGTTATCGTTCTTGGACAATGCGCGCACCCAGAGGTCTGGCCTAGTGAGGAGCCCTTGGAATTGCAGCAGGTTCGGCTGCACCCAGAATCCATCAATCTTCATAGCCACGAGTGAATAATTTCATAAACGATCTGATTACAGCATCATGAGCCCTAGAACACGATACATATCATGGTGGCCGGCTCAAGGTCGTCGTTGAGGCGTCCAACGTTGCGAGGTCACAACTCACCCACGTCCAGCAGCCCATTAATCGAGAACACACCGCCGCTGCTCCCAAAATCCGAACAAGGTACTGATGCAACCCGAAGCAAGCGTCTCCGTGCCTCTACCGTCTCTGGAGAGCAGCAGATCCTGAAAAGACGACGATTGTCATCCAACAGAACCGACATACCTGAACTACGAATCCCGTTACGAAGTCGCGGCGGCCTGCCTAAAATCAAGTCATCGGCGCCATCTGGAGCTCCCACCCAAAATGCAGCCTTTCCAAAACTGCAGGCAAATACACCCAACATTGGGAAACCTCTTGACTCGCCAAGCGGGAAACCCCAGTATGATCAGATCAGAATCATTGAAGAGAGGGCAAAAGCCTCGATACGTGGCAGTGGAGGACTGTCTGCGCCGCGGGAAGAGAGGCGGAAGCTGCGCTCTGAGGACGGAGGGTCACGAGCAAAGACAGAACTGGCCCAATACTTTCCCGACTTCGAGGATATGCTTAGTCTGAAACCTCCAGATCCAGGTTGGTCTCATGCAATACTCAGTAAACCACAGCTAACACGGCACAGAAGCACTAACTGTCCGAAGCAAAGTCGTTCTAGTCGACGATACGCCGGGATTCGACCCTGGAAGCCCCAGAACAGATCCTTTCGGCGTAAACAAGCCTTTACACAACACAGAAGTCATTCAACTCAGTCGGAGAGGCATCTCGACCGATGCTACCGCCGAAGATCCCTTGGACAAGGAGGTATACCTCAAGATCCACGCAAAAGCTGAAAGGCACGAAAAGCAAATGAAGAACGGTGATCGAGAGAGAGCTCAGCATGAAAAATATCAACTTGATAAGCTGCTGGATGATCTTCGTGGACCAGATTGGCTTAAAACTCTGGGAATCTCCGGCATCACCGAGACTGAGAAGAAACGGTACGAGCCTAAACGATTGCTGTTCATTCGCGAGACCCAAGCATTGATCGACAAGTTCAAACGTTGGAAGGAGGAGGAGAAACGCAGGAAGATAGAAAAGGAGCAAGCATTGCTCGAGGAGGCGATGGAAGACGATGAAGACGAAGAGGAAGACGAAGAGGAAGAGGAGGGGAGTTTGGAAGAGGAGGGGAGTTTGGAAGAGGAGGGGAGTTTGGAAGAGGAGGGGAGTTTGGAAGAGGAGGGGAGTTTGGAAGAGGAGGGGAGTTTGGAAGAGTCGTCTTCAGCGACAGATGATGAAAGCATAGAGACTGCATCGACACACGCAGCTAACTCTAGTGAAATCGATGCTCTTGCATCTCAACAACTCATTGATGAAGCGCAGAACGCAAATAAACGCAAAAAGCTCCCACCCGTGTCGGTGCCAGAGTTACCCACGCCACCGAAACCTTTCGTATCATTCTTCGACAAGCGACATCTGCGCGATGCGGCACTTTCGGGACGGCAACGAGGACGTAACATACTGGCCTTCGGTCACACCGTGCCAGAGTTTGAGGACACAGACTTCAAACTACCCAATGATATTCTTACGGAAGAAGCCATCAAAACTAGTCAGAGATCACGGCGTCGTATGCGACGTGGGGTCGACGAATGAACGGCACGCATTGAATGTCAGCAGCTGGTTCTTCGCTGGTATGTATTTTAAAAACAAGAAAGGGAACATTTCTGTGAGACTGGTATGTCTATTCCGCGGGTTGGCCCTGGTTTTTCTGTAGGACTACTGACTGGGAAGCGCAACATGGATATGGTCGGGGGTTTCGCTGCTTGCCGGGATTCAAAAAGGCAAACTGGCGATGATTGTCACAAGTAGCTATGTAGTCATGGCCAACATATAACAAATGTACTTGCTATCAAAAGGCATCGTCAATTTCTTCCAACAGTCCTGAACCGAACTCCCCTTTCTGAGCTGAGATATCTTCCCTCGCCAGTTCTTCGGGAAATCGTTCTAGCATAGCACCGCCCATCCCTGCATCAGGCATTTCGGAACTTCAGCAGGAGTCGTTCTTCTGGTCGGCTTACGCAGTTTCGAGTCTGAAGAATCTCTAGCTCCATCTTTAGCGCGAGGGACCTGAAGCTTAGACAGACGCGCAGTCTCCAGTGACGCAAGGAACACTGGACGTCATATCCATCTGTATTGACAGCGTTCAATGGTTAGCAAGGATCCCTCCTCAAAGGATGTCGGAGAAAGCAGTATGAAAGCCTTGAGAGCCAAAGAGTCGGCTGGCTCCGAATCTTCAGATGGCCGATAGGTTGAATCCTCTCCAGAAGGAGACACGAAACGTGTGGCGTCGAAAGAGTAAGCGAACCTTGTCTACAGGTCTGTCCTAAATTTGGGGTCCAAGCCTCAGCCGCAGTTCGTAGGATTTATCGAATAATCTCCCTGTCCGTTGCTGACGCCGCTTATGGCGAGCACACATACCTTTTATGGACTGTCCTGGCTCTCTCATCTGGTGTGTCATGGGCGGAAATGCTGCACCGGGAGCTATTCTCAAATTCGTCCGTTGAGCAGACGGAATACAAATACAAGTCGCTCGTTTCTACCGCAGGCCATATACAGACTAATCCAATCTACATCATTCAGCCTGGGTACGACTGTCGAGGGCATTCAAAGACTCCGTCGAAGAAATTGGGAGGAGGACAGGACGTTACAGCATGCTCAGAATCCTCACCAGTGTCTGTGCCGTTGTAGGCCTGTGCTTTACGCATATTGTGACGGCGTCAACTACGATCACCGCCGGGCCTGACGCCCTCGAGCCTCGCGCAGCACCTACGTCCACCAACATTGCATGTGGTTATGCCTCCAGTGCTTCCAAGTGGTACTTGTCGGCACATCCTTCAGGCCAGTTCAAGCGAATACATCCTAAGCGCAGCCACTAACTTTACTCCAGCCACAACTGTCGAAATACCAGCAGCCCTTGCCTACGAATGCTTGAAATCCATACCCAACGTTCAAGACCCTGCCTTACGCCTGATCAACTCGTTGCGGACATACCTTGAATTCCAGAGCACGATCGAGTACTTGCAGAAGCCACCCTCTGGGTTTCTCTTTCCGCCGGTCGACCTTCATGAAGAATTGGACAAGATCGAAGGGAACGTCCTTCGTGGACAGTATGAGAGCGAATATGACATGCAAGTCGACATCACTTCGTTGCTGATCTCGACTCATGATGGACACTTGTCCTGGCAAGGTGACCTGTTGGGTGTCTTCCAGTTTCTCCGAGGTGCTGTGGGTAATTTGGGATTGGTATCTGTCTCTTCGGATGGCATAGAGACGCCGCAGGTCTATCTCGCAAGTAAGTACACTCACGTTCTATCAAACCAGGAGCATTGCAGAGTTTCTTGCAGTCAACAACATCCCCTGATCAATTTATCAGTGGTCGAGTGACTGTCCTAATTACCGTGCTCGTATATCATGCCTCCAGGAAACTGTTCTTGATGCGTTGCCATTTCACCATGTCCTTACCAGATCTACTGTCGTGCTCTAATGATAGGTTATTGACCGGTATGACTGACGTGTGCAGGTGACCTTGTTTCGGTAAATGCAACGGTAAAGAAGCTACAACCGGTAACAAACTATACGCCCTCACCAGTTGAGAGCATCGATGGCGTCGATGTCGTCTCTTTTCTCTTGACCCAGTCCATGGTCGGATTATCTCAAGATCCCGATGCACTCTGGAATCAGAACTTCTTTCAGATTGGCAACCAGGCAGTACGGAATTTTGTCGGACCAATATACTACCCTGGCCCTACGACCAACGTGACATTCGCCAATGGAACGACACATCAGATCACAAATATTGCCGTAGTCAGCCTTCCCCTTGACGGCATTGCCACGGGCGAAGATGCATATTCTGTCTTCTGTCCGGAAGCTCTGGAATCAGCAACGGCTTCAGCCGGCGGCACTGCCGCTTCTACGGCCCCTTCGACGGCCACATCTACGGCCCAGGCAACTACGACAACAGAGGCCCCCAGCTCACCCACGATCCCCCTCTATCCGTACCCGGTGATCAAGCATAGCGCCAACTCTGTTGCGGGATACTATCTCAATGACACGGGATACACTGATGTTGCTGTCCTGCAAGTCCGTGATTTTCAGGCTGTTGGCGAAGATCCTTTGACGTATTCAATGGAGTTTCAAGCTGTGGTGCAGAAGTTTCTCAATGCAGCCGTGAAGACAGGAAAAAGGAAGCTCATCATCGATTTCCAGGGCAATCCAGGTAGATATCCCCCCTTACTATGAGCCTCTTCGTGTCTTGACAATATTCCAGGTGGTCACATCGATCTCGGAACGGATTTGTTCGCTCAGCTGTTTCCCTCTTTGCCTCCGAACTCAAAGTCAAATATGCGTGACCACCTCGGCTTTTGGATATTGGGCAACGTCGCGTCATCCAACATCACAGCTGCGATGCAGACACCAGACGGTGGCGAGGACGAACTCGTTTCCGAAGTCACATATACCCCACTAGCGTATCAGTCCGTAGTGGCCGACAACTTGACAGGTTTCCCCGACTTTGACTCCTTCTACGGACCGAACGAGCTTTATGGTGGCAACTTCTCTGCGTTCTTCCAGAATAATTATACCGACGCCTCGGCTTCCGACTTTGGAGGGACCGGCATCGTCATCACCGGCACCAATAATCGCACAGGATTTCGTCAACCTTTTGCGCCGCAGGATATTGTTGTCCTGTACGATGGCTATTGCGCCAGTACGTGCACCGTTGTAAGCGAATATCTCAAATCGCTGGCTGGAGTCCAATTCGTCACGGTCGGCGGCCGTCCACAATCCGGCCCCATGCAAGCTGTCGGCGGTGTCAAGGGGACACAGGTTTTTGAGTTCCTGGGCAATATAGACATTTGGGTCACACTGTGGGAGAGCCCGGAGAACACGCTTCTGGAACTGGCAAATGGGACGATATGGGAGAACTTCACGTTCGAGCCCACTCTTCGTAGCCAAGCGGTAACCTTGGGCGCAAGCTCGGCTGGCGGCGTCAATGGGCGAAATCATTTCCGCTTCGGCGACGAGAGTGAGACGCCGCTTCAGTTCGTCTACGAGGCGGCTGACTGTCGGCTGTGGTGGACCAAGGAGATGCTCTACGACCCTGTTTTCCTCTGGGAGAGGGTCGCGACTGTGGCGTTTAAGGAACGAAAAGGTACCCAGTTCAATTCCAAGTACTGCGTGAGCGGGAGTACGGGACACCCGACGAGCATTTCCGGTGGATGGAGAAATGGGACCTTGGGCCCTCAAACCCCACCGGCGAATGCAAGTGCCTCGGTGGATGGATGGAAGTTGACCGGTCGTCCGTTGGGCGGCGGCGGCGATGTCGGCAAGGGTATTGGATCGACGACCGGCACTGGACTCAAAGTCGAAAACAATGCCGTGACGGACGCCGTGGATGGTACAGCCCTGGCCAGTATGAAGACGGCATGTGCGAGTTACTCGGGCGACAAGTGGCTTGTCAAGCTTGTCTGTAATGCGTTGGGAGTGAAAGTGGACTGAAAGGGGCTGGTTGGTGCGCAACACAACGACAAGTATAAAAGCGAAGGTGGGTATGGAGGTCGTAAGATGGCTGACTGCATTTGGATTCATTATCTATTATGAGCAAGCGAGCATTGCCAGGCGTTTGGATCAATCATCTCACTACCAAGGTAGAGCAGATATCTAGGAGGAGATCTGCCGTTGGCTATTGGACCCAGGAAACTGTGTATAGCATAGCACCAGGTGTAGAGTAAAAGGCCATGCACAGGGATACAGGAATGGCAATGGACAGGGAGTGTTCAGACATGTTCCCCCATGCCAGGCACGTAACAGTCCAAACTACCTGTCACTGTATAAAAGTACTTTCATTCGCGCACTACCACTGACAATCACACCGCGTGCCATCCCGAAAGGTGTTCTAGAATGCCCATATCATGTCGATACAAAAGCAACAAGGTTGAATCCATACGAGAGTAGTCAGAAAGCCTCGACTCCTTCTTCACGGCATGAAACTCCCATATGTAGCTCAGGGATGGGCTACCTACCAGGCAGGTGCAGTTTCAGTTCTAGGTTCAGCAAAACAAACGTGTCCCAGACTGCAATGTAGGTAGGTAGGTAGTGTCCGTATCAAAATCACATTCATACGCTCATCTTCATCTTAATCCCACCGTGAGGCTTGTACCCCACGACCTCGAGGTCCTCCAGCCTCCACCCATCCATCTGTCCGCTGCCCTTGTCGTCACGCTTGATGTTCAAGGTCGGGAACTCCCGCGGCTCGCGCTGCAGTTGCTCCTTCAACGCGTCGATGTGGTCCAGGTACACGTGCGCGTCGCCCATGGTGTGGATCAGTTCGCCGGGGACGAGGTCGCACGCGTAGGCGAGCATGTGCGTGAGCAGGGCGTAGCTTGCGATGTTGAACGGCACGCCGAGACCCATGTCGCATGACCGCTGGTACAGGACGCACGAGAGATGTCCCTTCGCCTTTAGCTTGGCCGTCGAGGACGGCGTTGCCGATGTCGTTGATTCTTGCGAAAGCGCCTGTTCGCCGCGCGGCGCGTCAGGGTAGCTCACGTAGAACTGGGCGAACATGTGACACGGCGGGAGAGCCATGAGTTTCAGGTCGGCGACGTTCCATGCGCTGAGGATGATGCGACGGTCGTAAGGGTTGGTTTTGAGCTTGCGCACGATCTCGGCGATCTGGTCGACGCCCTTGCCCGCGTAGTCCGCGTGGCAGTCCGAGTAGGGCGCGCCGAAGTGCCGCCACTGGAACCCGTACACGGGGCCCAGGTCGCCCTCTTCCCGGTCCGTGAAGCCTAGGTTGTCGAGAAACTCGCGAGATCCGTTGCCGTCCCAGATGTGTATGCCCGCTGACGAGAGCGGTTGGGAGCTCGTGCACCCGGAGATGAACCAGAGAAGTTCGGTCGTGACGGCGCGGAGGAAGACGCGTTTGGTGGTGAGAAGGGGAAGGACGGGAATGTAGGTTGAGGCACGATCGTCGCCACCATCATCGTCGGAGGAGGAGGAGGAGAGCCTCGAGAGACTGAAGCGCAGTTGGGGTGGTGCAAAGAGCGAGAGTGTCCCGGTCCCGGTACGGTCGGGGCGATGTTCGCCCCGCGAGAGGATATCGCGGATCAGATTGAGGTATTGGTGTTCTTCATGATTGGGGTCTGAGGCGACTGAGGGTGGTGTCGGTGTCGAAGTGCCCGAGGAGCCGTTTTGTAGATTTTTCACATTCTCCTTGATGAAGTTTATCGAGTTGCCCGGGGTTTGGACTGAGTCCTCGGTCACGGCAGAGGGAGCCATGGTTGAGGTTGAGTTGAGGACGAGGCTGGCGTTGTTGATGGCGTGAATCTACGTTCGGTACATGTGTGTATCGCAGTCATGTCGCACAGGATGGGCCTGTCTTACTTAAGTGGTTTTGTAGAAAACGCGACAAGACGCGTTGAGACGCGATGGTGGAGGTGACATCATTGCACCATGGGCTACGAGTCCTATGCAAACAAACAATCCTCTCTCTCCTACTTGTACCTGAACCATACTTACGACACTGATGAACCTTCAAGTATCACTCTTATCGATCATATACTACACTCTGATCTCTTGTACTGCTTGCAGAACAATAATCCTCGGGTGTGGTAATTTCCCACTTCGACGAATGCATCCACCACCATCAACAGCGTCCCCTCACCAGGCTCGAGTGAAAAAGTAGATTATCAGGCTGGCTGCATCATAAGGGGCACATCTCATCTTCTGCTCTTTACCGTAACAAGGCAAATACAGTCACACGATGACCCGTTTCACGGTCCGCCGGGCATAGAGGTAGGCAACAAATGCAGATGCCACGCTGAACAAGGCGTAGGGCAACGAGGCAACTACGATTACTGTCCCGTACACATATCAGGCTCAATCTCCACAGCAGAACGTACCTGGCAGATCACGCTACATTTCCAAGGTGATACAAGACGTCTGCCTGCCACATGTTGTTGGATGGCATGAGTTTTCGATTGGACGCTATTAGCCGCAAAGGCAAACCACACCTCCTTTTATCGCCGATAGAATATGTGCGCGGTTGCGGATGCTTGCTTCACAGTCTAATACAGCTACACTGGTAAAGCAGGAGAGGAGGAAGATGAGGCTGAAATATTGACCTATATAATGGACATGATATCTCGAGGAATTCCTCCAAAACATTCATCACTTTCGTCTCTCACTCTTTGATCGTTCACCCCTTACGAAGGCTTGTCGACATACCCAACTCCTAAGTCAGAATCAACATGCCACTAAAGCGCCGCTTCAGATGTTGTTGTGAACAGCGACAATACCTCGAGTACAAGTAAGTATCCGGCATTTTCATTTAGTATCAAATACACCTGGGACGATTGATTTCCATGACCGGCGGGTTGCGAGGTTGATCACCGCGCAAGAGTTATCATATTGTACTCGGTAATTCAACGCTGACTGACATAGCCCTGTTGCCGACACTTTATGCAACGACCCTACCGCTCTTGAATTTCCTGTATCCGAGTCAGAAAGCGGCAACAGTGGACTTTGATCCACTTGGCCGCAGCGAGAGCACGCGCACCAAGCCGCGATCTCTCGAACATTACGCCGGGATGTTGAGAGCAGGCACAATGATCGAGCATGGTGGTATATGACCATGTTCGCTGGAAGCTTATGGCTTCACCAATCCACGTTTCTCGTGTTCATCATCTTGCGGGATGATGCACGATCTGTTCTGAGGCCCTCCTTGCCGAGCGAGGGGTGGTCGATGGACATTCAACGTTTTTCATAGCGAAGGGTGACGAAAAAGGGGGGAAAGGTGGACACTCAGGGAATTGTCCTCTTTTGCGACTGGTAATTATCCTCATTCAACCACCTGATCAATCATTCTACTATCATGGCCTACATGGCGGCCGGAGGAGAAAATGTCGGTTCATATACGCTCATTCAGAAAAGGAGATTATTTGATGAAATTGTGATAACAGCAATCTAGTTCAGTTCATGACCTGTCCCTTCTTTTCGTCTTCGGGTCGTGCTAATCACTTCATCACTACCGACCATCAGTATACGACGAAGACTACGCTCACTCAGCAGCTACGCCCTCGGAGAAGATCGGCAAGATCAGGTAGAGGGTTCCTTGCAAACTCACCGAGCAGCGACTGAGCTTCCAGCCGTATATGTTTGGTAGAAGGCAACTCAATCAAGTCATTAGTGTCGCCGTCATGGTCACCATCACCATCTCCATCTCCATCTTTCTCGTCCAGCTCTTCGTCATCATGCATAGCACAATACTCTTCAAAAGCACGCTGAATCTCCACGCGGATCTTGATCGACTGTAACACCGCACTGTTCTTGACCATGAATATCAATCTGGCTTCGTCAATGCCGTGCGTTGCGCCGTTGTCCGTTTCATCTTCACCGTGCACGTCGTCGCTAGAACCCACCTCGTCGTGGCAGGGAGTCGTCTTACCGTTGCAGTGATTCCCGTCTGTCGTGTGCTTGCACCATTCCTTACTCGCCAGCGCGATAAACAGGTGCACAGCCCGAATCAGCCTCACTAGACCGCTCTGTGCTTTCGGCAGTTGACTCCGGCGAAGGTCGTTGATGATACGGCTGGCAGTGGCACATGAGGAAGGGTACGTACTTCCCAAGGCGTGGCTGTGGTCCAAGTGTGGTGTGAGGTGTGCAGATCTATATAAGTTCACTTCTACTTTCGAGGCTTGAGCAGCGGCTGTCGTGGCGGCAGCGGTGGTGGTGAGGGTGGTGGCTTCCACATCTGATATAGACAAGGTGAGGCTGGCCATGGTCGGCATGGCACCTCAGTTTGAGCAGACAAAATGAGTATACTTGACTCACCTGTCCTTCCAAGTAATGCAATGAAACACAGTTTAACAGTGTTTAGCGTGCACTTTTCCTTCGAAGGAGTTAAAGACCCAGTAGTCGTGCCAATAAAGACACCCTGATAATGATATGGTGTGCGCGGTCTTGGTACGCCTTTGTGACCGGAGACACAATGGCAAGCAGGTGGGAGTCCAAGGGAGAAAAGGGTACGATCGTCCAGCTAACATTCATAGCGAGGATGATGCCTGTACAAACAAGACAATGCGTCTTTGATTGGAGTGTCAAGTCATTTTGATATTCTCACTAGGTCTACCTCAGTCAATGAACCACTGGGCCAGAATTTGTACTCTTCGCTTCAAAAAGACGGTAAACTACTTCCTTGGGTAAGCCGTAAGTCAAAGCTACCTACAACTTCGATTCCGGTCGAATCTGCAAGTCGTGTCTGCTGAGATCATGTATACTCTTCTTCCCCATATTGCCGAGCATGTTGTCCGTGTCGGCCAGTAAGCACCTCAGGACATGCTCGACACCCTGTTGTCCGCCGATAGCGAGGCCATACATGTATGGGCGTCCGATGCACACCGCCTTGGCGCCCAATGCGAGCGCCTTGAGCACGTCGGCACCCGTACGAACGCCACTGTCGAACAACAGTGTCAACTTGGACCGCTGCACGACTTCGTCGGCAGCGATTTCGGCCAGAACGTCGAGCGACGCAATGGCTCCATCGCACTGTCGGCCGCCGTGATTGGAAACAATGATGCCGTCCATGCCGTACTCGATGGCCCTGTGAGCGTCTTCGACAGTCTGAATGCCTTTCAATACGATCGGCCCGTCCCAGAGCTTCTTGAGAATCTCGAGGTGCTTCCACTCCCGATACGTTCCAGAGTTCAAGACGTCCAGCCAGGCCCGCGACTTTTGCAAGACGTGGATGTTCGTCAGCACGCGGGCAGCGCCGTACGCAGAGCCGGGGCGTCTGAGCATCGTCCACAACTCGGCCAGCTTCTCGCCGTAGCTGCGGGTGTCTTGCCGCTGAAGTTCCTCGTAGCGTCGGTTGAAGACGGGATCCGAATGGCCGATTTGGCAACCGTCGCCCCAGATAAATGGCAAATACGACGCGTCGAGGTCATTCGGTCGCCAGGCAAGGTTGAACGTGTCCAAGGTCACGACGAGGACTTTGTATCCATTCGCCTTGGCCCTGTCGAGGAGACTAACGGTGACGTCCTCCCACTGCGGCCGTGGCCAGTAGAGCTGATACCATCTGTCACCGTCTCCGTTGGCCGCGGCGATCTGCTCAAGTGTTCTCGTCGCAGCAGAGGACACGATCATGGGCACGCCGACCTTCTGACACGCTTTGGCCGTGGCCTCTTCGCCATCGTTGTGCATGATTTTTTGTACGCCCACGGGCGCGACAAGAAGTGGGCTTTTGTACCGTGTGCCGAAAAGCTCAATGCCAACTTCCCGCTGCGTGGCATTGACGAGCATACTCGGTCGCAGACGGTAGCGATCAAAGGCAGATAGATTCGCAGCATGAGTCTTGCCGCTGCTGGCAGAGCCGTAGACGTATCCAAAGTTGGACGCTGGCACCTTTGCTCGTGCTAGAGATTCCCATTCTTGAGGCTTGGTCGAAAACAACGGGGCACGCAACGACCCGTAGACTTCACGTTGGTAAGAGGAGTACGCATCTGGGTCTGGCTCCGTGTACGGCTGGTTTAATTGCGATGCATCACCTTTGGTCGCCATTGCGGAACTAGGAGTGTTGCGTCTTGACGAGACAATGGACGAGGCAGAGAGGTAACAAGAGAGAGGCACAGTCGATCATCCGGGGTATATGAGGACAAAAGGCATGGGATACACGTTGAAAAGGGAGCAATACCTCGCCGCTTATCCGGCAAAGGGGTGTAGGATACCGAGGTTCAAAAGGTGAGGTTGAGGTGAATCTCACTATACTGCGCTGGGAGACAACACGCGAGCGCTCGGGCGAACAGAATGGGCCTCTCACAGTACAAGGCCGTTAAAGGGTCAAACGCCCAACACTCCATACCAAATCGCGCTAGGCTGCGACTGGTGAATCTGACTGCCAGCACTGATTTCCAGCTTAGCACAAAAGGCCCAACCACAACAACTCGTTTTTCTATGGAAAATCGGTTGATTCTGTTGTACCTCGTAAGAGGGAAGAGATTAGGGCCAGGGATAGCAGACAGATACAAGAAAATGAGAGAAGTAATTGTGGATCAGGTTGTGCTGGGAATAGTTGGTATGTAGAGACAAGAGAGGGCGAAAGCGGGAACTTATCACTACGTAGAACTATAACTCTGTACCTGTATGCTGAGTTGTTAGGGGGTCTTATGGGGATAAGGGCCTATAAGAGGTGTAAGATGTGCCTAGACGTTGGGGACCCAGTGCCTACATATGGCGTCTAAACTAACTAACTTTAGGCGGAACTGGGGAGGCTTATGGGCAGTGGCGCCTATCAAAATACTGTAGGTGTACAAGACCCTATAAGGCTGGGAAATTATTGCCAATTTGGCAGGTTATCCGGGTGCTGGGCGTTTAACCCATTACCTCTAACTACTCGTAGCAGTTATTGTACAAGGCCTCGCCTAATTGAGCCTAAGGAACCCTGAATAAGCCTAATGTACATCACCCACTTACTACGAGCAGCTAAAAATGCAGATCCCCAGAGCTGCGGGCCAGAAAGTTTGATGACGTCGCAGGCCACGAAGTCGGTGTTGAACTTGACCTGACGCAAGTTTGTAGACCACAATCTTTCCAAGGTTTCTGACCTCATTTCTTTTCGACTCAACGAGACCAGCATCTATAGACGGATTCATCTCTCTCTTCTTTTCGTGGTCCTACTCGTACCCATCCTCACCGACGAGAAACCCCCCTCTCTCATCCTCGAACCTGATGTCTCTCTGACCGCCTGCAAGTCCCCCGCTCAGCATGGCCCACAAGGTGTTACAGGACAACTTCGACGTGGACTATGTCATTGTCTTCCGAGTCCCCTCTGATGACAAACAAGCTGGAGCAGCACAATTCCAGAGGCTCATACGTGCCCTTGCCGAGACAGGCCTCACCACCGAAGTCCGTCGCGGTGATGAGACCTCGCTGCTAGTCTTCGTCAAGGCAGCCGATGAACAGGCGTTTGCCGAAGTTGTATTCAGATCCAGGATCAGGGATTGGCTCCATGGCATCCGACAGATCCAGCCTACGAGAGACACGGCAGAAACCCTCACCTCGGAGCCACTGACTCCAGCCGAACGACTGCGCATGATTCACCATATGATAACCTGTCCAGAGGAAGAAGGAGGAGCTGGAATTACACCCAAGCACGGCGAATGGAAGTCAGTGGAGGCTGTCTTTCCTCTTCACGACCATGTAAAGAACAAGAAATGGCTGGCTGAGTTCACTCGCAAGACCTTTCTCACTCCAGAGGACCTCGACGAGATCAGGAATTCCATGGGCGAGAAGGCATGTGCTTTGGGTTGCAATGTGATATACCTACTGACATGTCACAGATTGGCTACTACTACGCTTTCCTCCAGTCGTACTTTTCTTTCCTGATATTCCCTGCGGCATTTGGGTTCTCAAGCTGGGTGTTACTCGGAAACTTCTCAGCCATCTACGCCATTGTCAACGGACTCTGGTGTGTTATCTTTGTGGAGTATTGGAAGCGACAAGAGCAGGAACTGGCCATAAGATGGGGTGTCAAGAACGTGTCCGCCATCGAGGACAAGAGAAGAGAATTCGTCCCGGGGAAGACCATCACAGATTCCATCACCGGTGAAAAGATGGCATACTTTCCGGCGAAGAAACGACTCCAGCGACAACTTCTCCAGATACCGTTGGCATTTCTGTGTGTCGTCGCGCTGGGTGCGATCATTTGCACATGCTATGCCATTGAGATCTTCATCTCAGAAGTCTACGACGGCCCGCTAAAGTCTATACTTGTCTTTCTTCCGACCATCATCCTTACGTTGCTTGTTCCTGCTGCCAGCAACTTCCTCACCCAGTTCGCTGAACGACTGACGTATTACGAGAATTACGAGACCCAAGATGCTCACGACAAGGCTATGATTTCGAAAGTCTTTGTTATCAACTTTATTACCTCGTACCTGGCAATATTCCTGACGTCGTTTGTGTACGTCCCTTTTGCCTCGTTGCTAGTTCCTCATCTCGACATCTTCGGTTTGACCGTCAAGCCTTTCGCCGAAAACGAGAAACAAATGCAACCACCGTCGCCTGCACAGTTCACCATCAATCCTAACAGGATCCGGGATCAAATGATCTACTTTGCGGTAACTGCACAAGTCGTCAATTTCGCCATGGAGACGGTCATGCCGATTCTCACGCAGAAAGGTACCAAGAAGTACAAGGAGATGAAATCTGCTCGAGCCGAGAAGAATGGCGGCACTACTCCGTCGGTATCCGCGAACGACCCAGCCGACGAGAAAGAGTTCTTGACCAGGGTTCGAGAGGAAGCTAGTCTTCCTGAATACGATGTGACTACCGACCTTCGTGAGATGGTGATTCAGTTCGGTTATTTGGCACTATTCTCGGTCATTTGGCCCCTAACACCAGTCTCATATTTTATCAACAACTGGATCGAACTGCGTGGGGATACCTTCAAGCTGACTGTGGAATGTCGACGGCCAAATCCTACCCGCGCCGATTCGATAGGACCTTGGCTCGATAGTTTGGAGTTCCTGGCCTGGTTGGGGAGCATCACTACTGCAGCCTTGGTCTATATGTTTAGCGGCGGGCAAGGACCAGATGGCCGTCCTCATGCCATTTGCTTGTGGGCGCTTCTCCTCAGCGTCTTTTGCTCGGAGCACATCTTCCTTGTCGTGCGGGTCATTGTGAGGTATGCTATCAGCAAGTTTGACAGCGCAGCGATGCGCAAGGAACGCAGTGAGAGATTCATGGTACGCAAGAAGTTTCTTGAGGACGCTGGTTTGGGGGATGTCATCAAGCCTTCCTTGCCCAAGAGTCCCCTACATGCAACCTCTGGCGACCAAGCATTTTCGAACATTACTCGGGATAGTCTCGAGGAGGACGCCAGGCAGGACAGTCTAAAGACTAGCACTCCCACTGATCGATTCTGGAACCGTCAACGTAGTTGGGCTGAAACGGAGAAGGTTGGACTGAGTATGATTGAACTGATGGATGTCAAGGGCGGAAAAGAAAAGAAGAGTCAGTGATGAGGTTGAGAGATCTGGCAGTGGCATCGGTGGCTGGCGTTTTGTTTGGTGGGTTGATTTGAACGTCTCTTCTTGAGCTCAAGAGTGAAACAACCGTGGTGTCGACAGTACTGATATGGGTGGTAGGGGTGTTGAGGGGGGGTATTTGGAGGAAATTCTCGGCTTTCTCGAGTTCAGCAGAACAAGTATCTAGGTAGGTACCTGGTACTCGAACGAAGCCTCTCTTCATGGCACGCAACAATCCTGACACAATGGCAAATGGTCATATCACTTCCAATTCACTGATCCACTGCCATCCTCATGGATATGACCTGTGCCGAGACGCCTATCGTCCTCGTCTTTGAACCGTAGCGAAATGACCGGCTTGGTGTCGTTCGGATCATCGTGCGACTTGTGGAGTTGGACGCCTTTGATCTCGGCCTTCTTTACGCGTTCGTTCTTGATACTGTGTGAGCCCAATTGTGTATTGCAGGCGAGACGGTGTCACCCCTTGTCTGCAAAAATGAATCTAACTGGATACATGCTAGATCCCCTTCTCTCGTCTGACGATGTATATATATAACATCTCTCAGCACACAGACCTCCGCCAGGTAGACACAGTCCTTCTCTCATGCTTAACCGCCGATGCATCAAGCTGTGGGGAGCGGGCGTCCCTACAGCTTCACTGGGAAAGTCCACTAATGTATAGAGCCATCCGGCGGGCGCCTCGATTCGCCAACACATCCCAAATCGCTGGGAGACATTTCGCGCTCGCGCAAGCAGAATGGACCTTTCACAGCCTTTCGAAGAGGAGCGACTTCCGTGGTATGATGCCGCTCAATTTTACCCAGTCCGCATCGGCGAACTATTCGACTCAAAATACAAAGTGGTTGGGAAGCTTGGGTACGGCGCGTACTCGACAGTTTGGCTCTGCCGAGACGTGAGGTTTGTGATCCTTTCGGTTCTACCTTCTTGCACGATTGATTGTTGAGCAGAGACTCCGGCTTTGTTGCCTTAAAGGTCTGTACCCGAGAAGTTGCCACATCCCCACGGGTTCATCGAGAGCTTCGATTCTACGAGCATGTTGGCTCCCTTAACTCGCGGCATGATGGCCAAGCCTATATTCGCGGCCTTCTTGAGACGTTTACGATCCCTGGCCCTGCCGGTCGGCACTTGTGCCTAGTTCAACCCCCGATGCACATGACTGTTCGAGAACTTCAGCGGCTAAATTCGTCCCATCGACTCGATGAGAAGATATTGAAGTGGACTCTGTTCAACGTCCTGAGCGCTCTTTCCTTTCTCCACGATGAAGCCAAGGTGGCACATACAGGTACCACTATTGTCGACACCCCAAACTGTGGCTGACACCTTTGAAATAGACATCAGTCCATCCAACATTATGTTGACCATTGCCGATGAGTCTATCCTTGAAGACTTCGAAAAAGGGGAAATCGAGGAACCCTCGCCCTGCAAAGTCATTGATGACGTTCGCAGAGTTTATGGCTCACGCAGGTTGGGCTTTCCAAGAGACGCCGTATGGGGGCAGCCAGTCCTCTGCGATTTTGGAGAGGCTCGAATCGGAGGGCCTCACAGAGGACTCCTTCAACCCGAAGTATATCGTGCCCCGGAGGTCTTGTTCAACATGCAATGGAGTTCAAGTGTTGACATTTGGAACATTGCCGTCTTGGTAAGTGTAGCCGCCACACCAAATCCCCTGACCGGAATTCCCGCTAAATTCTACCCACCTTCAGATTTGGGATCTGTTTGAGAATGAACATTTATTTCGTGCTCTGGATGAAAACGGAGAGTCGTCAGCAACCCACCATGTCGCGGAAATGGTCGGGTATCTCGGGTTGCCTCCACTTGAGTATATTCAACGAAGCGAAGTAACGAGCAAGGTTTTCGACGAAGAAGGTTAGTGTTTTTCACCTTGCGTGAGATTTTGCGCATCACCCTGATGTCCTGCAGGTCACTGGAAGCGTGCAGGAGGCGTAGATGTACCATTGCTCTCGCTTGAATCCTCGGAAAAGGGCTTGAAGGGTGAAGACAAAGCACTTTTTCTCAGATTCGTGAGATCAATGCTCAGGTGGCTACCAGAAGAGAGGAAGACAGCGTCTGAACTTCTCAGGGACCCCTGGTTAGATGGAGCAATTCCCTAGGCATTCTACGACTTGGAAATACATTCGTGGACTGGAAGACGTGTGCACAGGCCAGGCGGGCAAAGACGAAAGTCAGTCAGTGGCGTGCAGCACCACAAACAGTGGTTCAGATGCCGCGATGGCAGTGAGATGCCATGAACAGCGAGAACCATGAGCACCCGAAGACGCTTCCGTCCGGAGGAGGATTACGAGGTTACTCCTACTAGATAAAGCTAGACTGTTGTGATCTTGATCTTGTTCCTTGATCTTTGATTTTTGATCTGCCTCACTAGTGTCGATTGTGTGTTTTGACGACGACGACGTCATCACTTTGCACGCCACGGGCCACCTTGTGCCTCGTTAGATCTGCCAATACTACGAGTAAGTGGAGGAGTACAGTAGGAGTATCGTTCTCCTGTTGTACCCTCCAGGGTCCATGCTGCTCCATATTATGATCCAGTTTAAATAGCTGCCTCGCATGGTCACCAAGCCAAGGGTGAGGGAGGGTGGCCAGCAATTGTTTTGTACTTCCTCTTGTCTATGACCTGGCCAGACTCACATACAGAACACAGGGACATGATCCAAGCTACCAGCTAGCGCGGCTCGTGTACCTGCTTTCTGCTGGTGACGATGATGATACCGAAATCTACACATCAACAAAGCCATACATACACGTTCAAGCTGTTCAAGTTAAAGTCATGGCCTCCCGCGACGACAAGTCAAGCTTGAGAGACGAACACGATCCAGAGAAAAGGGCCCACGAAGAACTCTCTCGACACTACCACTCCCAGTCGGCGTCGGCGTCGATCAAGATCACCCGACGGACTGACCTTTCGCTTCTGTACAGGATTGTCCGTACGCTCATCAGACCCGTACGGCCCAAACTGGTCAAGCTGCACGGGGAAACGCCAGCTGGCAGTCAACGGTTGTCGGCGCCGAGGCGACGGGGGTGTGAGGTCATCGAGACCCAGAGGGAAGGGGTGTGGGAGTATACGTTTCGACATGTCGAGGCTTCTCGGGTTCAGAAACGAAACCAGGACCAGAACCAGAACCAGAACCAGATTCGGTCGTCGAGGTCACCTCAATCCGATTCCAACCATGCCGACGACGACAGTGACAATGACAGCGACCATGACACGCCGGTGGTCAACACGTCGGACGCAGCCACATCATCTACTCCGTTGACTGCCGCCACATCGCTAGCTGGAACAGGAACAAAACCGAAGACGAGGAAACATATACATCGAATCTATTATTTCAGCGGAGGAGGGTTTCAGTCACCCCCTAGTCCTGGCCACTGGATGTTTCTAAGCAAATTGGCCAAGAGTCTACAATTGTTCTCTGCCTCTGGTTCGTCTTCTGCTTCCTCTTCTGCAACCCCTGTCAGCGATGGCACAGACTCTACAGAGTTCCAAGTAACATTGGTGTCTCAGCCACTGGCACCGGCGAGCCCGGCTCCCGACGCTCTACCGGTGTTACGGAGGTGGGTGACCTCGGTTCTCGACGAGGCAAGTCGACATTCTTCCAACAGCGCCCGTCGAGACGGTGCCGACAGTACAGACACTACCACTGCCGTCACAGTGACACTCGCAGGGGACAGCTCGGGGGGGAACGTGGCGCTGAGCCTAGGTATGTGGGCCGCACAGGAACTTCCGCCGGAGCAAGTCAGGCACGTCTTGTCTTCGATCCTTGTCGTCTCTCCCGCCGTGGACCTGAGGAATGTGAATGAAGAGATCAAAGAGGCCGACAGGTACGATCCCGTCCTGACGATCGGGTTGACGGGTGACGTCGCGCGTGCGTGGGCTGGAGGTGTCGGGTCGAAGAAAAGATCAGACCCTAAACCTGTACCTACAAGGACAACTACGGCCACAGCTATTACACGTGCAACCACCGAGACGAATTCGGAGACGAGCGGTCTCGGTGCGAGTACCCGTCGTACCGGTTTGCGAAAAACGATGAGCACGAGTGATTGGTCCGTTTCACCCCTGTTACAAGCTGACGCGGTGTTCGAGAAGCTCAGAGACAGCGGCGTGCGTGTGCACGGCGTCGTGGGCACGCATGACGTTCTGGCGCCGGACGCGCTGGAGATGATGAGAAAGTGCGACCGCTTCGGCGTCCCGGGCGAATGGCTCGTGTGGGAAGGACAGATGCATTGTTTCCCTCTGGCCGGCGTGGGTGATGTCGTCGGTCTGAGAGAGGGAAAGGAAGGGAGAAGGTGGATCGAGAACGTACTGAAAAACGGAATGTAGACGCCATCCCTTCCAAGAGTGATCAGGACGTGCGAGGTTATGGAGACATGACGGGGCCAGCAGGAAAAGGGGCGGAGATATGATGATGGGTGGTGGTTGTTTTGGTGTCGTCTGTATAAGATAACTTGGATGGGTGAGGGTTGTGATAACGTGGAGCGAACAAGCGAGCAACCAAACAATAGAAACGGACAGGGTATGAGGTGCGGAAGTACCTATCTCAGACATCTGAATGTTAGTACTAACCTTTGTTAATATTGAGAACTCGGGCAGTCCGGCAGACTGTAAGAATATAGGTAGATACATGAGTACATGGGTATATAGAAAAGTCACACGCGTGCTCGATCGCTTCTCGTTCCTGGGATTTTCATCCTCGTCCAATTACTTTATCTCATGGCAATCATGAGGTACTCGGTTCCGGCTCGTCAAGAACACCGTGCTCGCCCAACGTCACAATGGCCTGTAAAAGCATCTTCCGCTCTTCTTCTTGCTCCTGCTCCACCATGACTTGCCATAGGCCCTTTCTCCGACCGGCTGTTCGAGACGACGTCGATGCATCTACCCTCTGATTCTTGTTGCGTTTCGAATTCCCATTGCCATTGCAACCGCCACGTGCAGATGCATCCTGAACATCATGAGAATGGCGACAGTGTTTTCCGAATCTGCAACGTCCGTATCTTGCAAACGCTCTACATACCTCAGGGCCCGCAGCTTGTGATGACGGCGCCGGTGGTTTCGACGGCGCGTTGGAAAATTCGTGTTCTAGCGCAGCTCTCTTCGTGCTGAGAACTTCTGGTGCCGAGTCTGCGTCCGAGTCGCTCCCGGACTCAGAGTCGGAGCCACTGTCCGAGTCCGAATCAGAGCCAGAGGATGAGGTGGCGTCAGAATCAGTCAAGGCTGAACTTGAGGTGTCGTCTGCGATCGGCTCAGTCTGATTTTCGTTGGCAGTCAAAGTCCCAGACCCAGGCTGTTCTTCAGCAAGCCTTAACGCTTCCTCGGCCTTGGCTAGTCGTTCGCGCGCTTTGAGGGCCTTTGCACGCAATCTTTCTGCCTTTGTTTTCGCTTGTGCAGCCGAGTCGGCGCGTCCAGTTCCTTCGACCTGCGACTCTGATTTCTGTGATTTAGGTGGTTCGCGCCTTCTACGTGCCTCGAGGGCCTTCTGCCGTGCCTCGCGTGCAGCTTGCATTTTTGCGGCTTTCTCTTCTTGCCATCGTCGCTTCCTTTCATCGGCTTCTTTCTTCGCGACTTCGATTTTGGCCTGGGTCGGATATCGTTTCTTTCTCTCCGCTATCCAGGCCGCTATCTCAGCCGGAGTGCTGAGAGTGATGTTTCGTCCGCCATACTCAATCTCCAAACCAGCTGACACTTTACTTTGACCGGCGAGTCTTGCTTCCTCGCCTTCGTCGTCCTCCGGCTCCGAATCAGCGTCGACTCTGGTGGGTGTGAGGCCGAGGAGATTCTGTTTCTTTGGTACGTCCGCTACCTTCTGACTTGGTGGCTGGGGCGTTGCTTGTGGGGGCTTTCGTGGCAGGAGATGTTCGATGGAGGCGTTGAAACTCGGCACCGCTGGGCTGGCTGCAGACACTCGCCGATTGGGCTGGTTCGTGGACCTGAAGGCGGTATTGTGATCTCGCTTTTGCGGACCATTCCATCCGTCGCGGTGAGACCCATGCTGCTGTCTATTGTTGGCGTGGTATGGAGCGTTTGGGTAGCCTCCTCGGCCACCTCTTCCAAAACCTCTCGAGGACCCTCGATTGGACGAGAAGTTGTTGTTCGGTCGGTTGACGGGTTCTGTGGCTCGCTTGGGCGGAGGAGGCGGAGGAGGTGGGAAGGTGAAAGGTTGACCTGACATGTCGTGGAAGCAATGTCACAGCATTGGATCTAGGTGTGTTGTGGGATGAAGACTGCGGCGTTCATAATACCGAGACGCGAGGGTATTGAGAGCAATACTGGAGGTTCGGGGAACATGCGATCATGTCGATAGATTTTGTTTACCGATCGACGTCAGGAAGAAAGTACCAAGTCTTGTGGGGTAAAGAGCGCAGCCTCGCAGCCTCGCGGCCTTGTCCAAGAAGTCACCTACAGGTAGGATCTCGAAACCAGCAAAGCGTAGCTAGTATTTGACTACGACTGTAAGTGCGCCAGTATGAACTGATGCACCAACCATTCAGTACGACTTCACATCTCTACAATCCAGGACGTGTTGGTTCATGGATAGTGATTTTCCGTGGGAGGCTGCGAGGCCGTTAAAGCAGCATCTGGTCCACCTGGATTTTTGATTCTTCGATCGGTCCATCTTCAGACATATTTTGCACAGAAGCGACCGAGAATCAGACGAGCCAGAAAGACTGTCTGACAAGATCATGCCAGACCTTGACTCAGACACACTCCAGCCTGCACTTCGCTTTGGCTCCCGGTAGCACCATGTTCATTCTCGTATGCCGCCACCAAAAGTGTCTATGCAAGAGTCCAAAACTAATATTTATCCCAGACCAAGTTCGAGGATCTTGTCCAGATCCCGCCTCATGGATTCACAAACAACCAGATTACTTCCAAAGACCTCGAGGACCGTATTAATGAGAAATACTCGAACAAGGTATGGACCATGATCACCATTTCCAGCGCCTAAGTCTCAGCCATTCGACAGGTTGTACAGAAAACCGGACTATGTATCTGCATGTACGACCTGCTTAAGGCCTCGGATGGCTTGATCGGCACTGGCACAGGCAATGCAAATGTGAATGGTATGGTCTTATGTCTCGATCAGAGGGATGACATGCTGAGGGCGAACTAGTCACATTTCGAATGATTGTTTTCAGACCGTTCAAAGGCGAGATTATTACCGGTACCGTGCAGAAATGCACACCTACAGGAATCCGAATCACTACGCAGTTCTTCGACGACATTTTTGTCCCCCAGACAATGCTGTTCGAAGGTTGCCATTTGTGAGTAGTAGTAGCAGTTTCGCATATCCCGAGATGCGTAGTGCTGACGGGGCGGATCAACAGCGACGAAGCAGAAAAGACCTGGGTTTGGAGGACAGAAGAGTCTGAACTCTGGTTTGATGAAGGTACCGTTGTGAATCTACGGATCGAGGCCGAGAAATGGCACGATCTCGCACCCAAAGGTCCCAACGAAGTCGAGAAAGAAGGGGAACGGAAAGTACCTTATGCAATCGAGGTAGGCCGATGTCTGGTATCTCGCGGACGTTACTCATCTAACATACCACCGCAGGCGTCTATGGCTGAGGCTGGCCTGGGAGGAGTCGAATGGTGGTGAAGCTTTTCTCCTTTTCTCCGATTCATCTCGCCAGAAGAACGGCTTTCATTATGAGATTGACCGGCACTTCTCCCCAGACGAGCTGCTTGATGCCAACACGCCGGATGACTGCATACCACTCAACGCACACATCTCCGTCCATCCGATAACTGGCGTGGAAACAAAAGAGGAGTCGACAGAAACTGGCAATAATCGTGTCACAGAGAGCATAACTAGTGGGCTACGAGGCCGGGGTTGATACAGCCGGGTATAAGCGGCAAATGGCTGTTGAAGAGCCTGTCTATGGTTTGTCATCTTCAGGCACCAAATGCGCCTTTTGACGGCGCGAGACGCAGAGTTTACTTAAGACAAACGCGGCGCGCTGGAAGCAAATGGAGCCTCGGGCTTCAACTTTGGTTCTGTAGTTGATTAAATTTCATGCGCGAGCACGTCATCTTGTGCCCCGAACGTCAAATACCTTATTACTACAAGGCTGTTTGGATGACAATTTCTTGCTATATAAAACCGCTCGACACGTCCGCGAGCATCGCCACCGCTGACACTGGGTTTTCCTTTTAATATCGTCTCGCCCTCCCTCGTTTCTGGGTTCTGGGCCACGGAACAATAGAACAAGAGGCCTGGTTGACACAGTGCCGCATTCAACCCCGCGCCGAGTTGTATCACAGACAGATTCACCACCACCACCGCCAAACACCACAAATTCCCTTTGCAATAACATCAAACACCACCACCACCACAAACACACCTTGCAAACCCTCACAATGACAATCACCGCCTCTCCTCGTCCTCTCCGTCCCAACGAGCGCATTCTCACCAGCGAGGATGGCGCAATCCACACTCCAGCCCGTGCTCCCTCCCCAGTCCACCAATTCGGCACACTGGCGGTCCACGCCGGATCACCTCACGACCCCTCCACCGGCGCCGTCATCGAGCCACTCTCCCTCTCCACCACCTTCGCCCAGACAGCGGTAGGCAAGCCAGTCGGGCAGTACGAATACAGTCGGAGCGCGAACCCGAACCGCGACAACTTCGAGGAGGCCGTGGCGGCGCTCGAACACGCACGATACGCCCTGGCATTTGCGTCCGGGTCGGCGACGACGGCCACGATCCTCCAGTCGCTCGCGTCGGGGTCGCACGTAATCTCAGTGTCGGACGTCTATGGCGGGACGCACCGGTACTTTACAAAAGTCGCGCTGGCGCACGGGGTCGAAGTGACGTTCTCGCCGTCGATCGAGCTGGACGTCGAGGAGCTGATCCGGGACCAACAGACCAAGCTCATCTGGATCGAGAGCCCGTCGAACCCGACGCTGAGCCTCGTCGACATCCGACACGTCGCGACGGTCGCGCACCGGCACGGCATCCTGGTTGTGGTCGACAACACGTTCCTCTCGCCGTACGTGCAGAACCCGCTGGACCACGGGGCCGACATTGTCGTGCACTCGGTCACAAAGTACATCAACGGCCACTCGGACGTGGTCATGGGCGTGGCGGCCTTCAACTCGGACGAGCTCAAGGAGCGGCTGACGTTCCTCCAGAACGCCATCGGCGCCGTCCCGAGCCCGTTCGACTGCTGGCTCGCCCACCGCGGGCTCAAGACCCTGCACCTGCGCGCCCGCGAGGCGAGCAAGAACGCCCTGGCCGTCGCCCGTGCCCTGGAGGCCTCGCCCAACGTCATCGCCGTCAACTACCCCGGTCTCGACTCGCACGGCCAGCGGGCCATCGCCCTCAAGCAGCACCGCGACGGCATGGGCGGCGGCATGCTCAGTTTCAGGCTGAAGGGGGGCCACCCGGCCGCGGAGCGCTTCTGCCAACAGACCAGGATCTTCACGCTGGCCGAGAGTCTCGGCGGCGTCGAGAGTCTGTGTGAGGTGCCCAGCGCCATGACGCACGCCGGCATCCCCAAGGACCAGCGCGAGGCCATCGGCGTCTTCGACGATCTCGTGAGGTTGAGCTGCGGAATCGAAGACGCCGACGATCTCACAAAGGACGTCCTCCAAGCTCTCGAGAAGGCCGTCGTCGGACCAAAGATCTCGAACGGCGTCAATGGAGCAACTGCCACCGGTAGCGGTATACCAAGAAGATGAAAGATGACCACGGCGTATGTCCGAGAGGACGTTGAAGACAAAAAAGACAAATTAGAGAATCACCGCCACCACCACCACCAAACAACAACAGCAACCCCCCCCCCCCTTTTTTTTTCTTTCGGAAAGAGGATAAACAAAAACAAAGGACGAATGACTTTGATTTTCTCTCCTTCTGCGCATCTGGAGGGAAGACGGACGGACGAACGAGCGAGCGAGCAAACGAAATGAATTGTTTGGGTGGGATCACCTTCGTTTCTGCTTTTTTGGGATACAGTGTCCAGTTGGTAATATTACACCGACAAGGACCCAGGGTCAATGGGGAGGGTGCGATAGATAGATAGCTCTGCTCGGCCGTCGTCGTCGCCGTCACATCTTGACGTGTTGACCACCCAAGACGGAGTACTACAACTTTTGCCGCGCAACCTGCTTGCTTGCTGCGATTGATCCGCTCACCTACCTGTGCCTGACCGAACGCGGGACTCAGGGGAGTCCGGACAATGGAATTCCGATAGATCAATCAACTAGATCTTCTCTTCTATTCCTTTTTTTTATTGCCTTCACATGTTTCGCTTGGGGTTCTTCCATTGCAAGATACGGACAACTTAGGTGTACAGTCATGAGCAAGGATTCAGCATACGGGAGGTCTGTACGTAGGTGCTGGGTAACCACCAACTAGTAGCCAAGGTTGATGAAAAATTTTGTCTCGATTCGCATCGCACGCACAGTACGAACACATACAAAGGGGGTATCTCATGTTGAAAAAGGGCCACAATCTGCTCAAGAACCTGCATTTGACATACCTACCACAAGAGCAGCCACGTCAAAGCCCACCACCATCCCCGTCACCATCACACTCGCTCATCCTCATCTGATACGATCCGACGGCGACGAGAGCTTCGTGATTTGTTATAGTTTATAACTCATCCCACACTCTGAAGCGTGGATCGTCCACGTTGACCACTTTCGCGTCCTTCCCAATCTTCATCGTCGTGCCCCCGTCATCCTCCGCGCCAGGGGCCGAACCATGGTTCCTCGCCTTGTTCCTCTCTGCAGCACCCTCGATCAATCGTTTTACGTCGTCCGGCACGCCTGGAGTCTCCGATAGCAGCGTAACGTCGACGGTCGGGAGATCTATGCTTCCATTCCACGCCCCACGCGTATCACCCGTCGATTCGCCATGCACTCCACCTCGTCTGGACAAGGACTCCTTGCCCACCACGAATGCTAGGACCGAAATCACAACGAGAAGACTTAGATACCATCCCACCCTGCCCACGCGGAACCATACCTTGCGCATCTCATCCTCTTTGCGTTCCCAGTTCTTCAAGACAACTCTCGCATTCTCCAACCGCAGACTGAGATCCTCTGCTCGCTCGTTGACCTTCTTCCCTCTTGCTGACAACTGCTCGGCCTTGGCATTCCGGACCTCAAACTCGCGCTTGAACCGCTCGACTCTTCCGCTGGTATCTTGATCCAGCCTCTCGCTCTCCTTGTCAAAGTTGATGATCAGCTGGGACGTTTGGTCCGAAAGACTCTGGAAACTCGTTATCGTAGCGACAAGACTGTTGATCGTCTCGAGCAAGTTGTAGTACCCGTAGTCTAGACGGCGGGTAATTTCCACGCCCTTTGCCGTCATGTTCGCAATCCGCGTACGCATTTCATCCTCGGCCGCTGCGATCTCGGCGTCGTGACGCTGAATGTCGGCCTTTTTGACATATATGCGTCGTGCAACCCGTGCTTGGTCGCCGCGGTCTAGGGCCTCTTCGAACGAAGTCTTCTGTCGTGGTTGGGGCCGGTTATAGGGCTCGGATGTCTCCCGCAGGCGAGCGTCTAGGTTACGGCGGTCTGCATGCTCGGACGTCTGCGACGCAAGAGGTGGATGTAGACTAGAACCACTCTGGCCTGTTGTAGTGGTGGAACTGCCGTTGGAATGCGTGTGTGCATTTGTATTTGTGTTGATGCGCTGGAGGTGGTTGCGCTTGTCTCGCTCTGCATTCAACCCTGCAAGAAGATGGGGGAGAGCATCTTTGGATTGCTTCGACTGTGCACGGCGAAAGGAGGTTTTGTGCGTCAAGCCGTCGGACTGGGTTGGACGGTGATCTCCTTTGTAAGGTACATCACTGGCATTGCTGCCGCGAGCATGTGAATGCGAGCGGGAGTGCTGGTGTTGTGAGCTTCGATGATGATGGAGGTGTGATGACCCCGGAATATGGACTCGATGTAGACGCTCAGCAGTGCGTTCCAGCGCTGAGGCGGCGGGGAGAGTAAGAGCGTTGCGAGGTTTAGTTTCAGTGGGGGAGAGATAGGACCTCGAGCGGACATGCGATGGGCGTGTGGGCTGGAGGTTTGCTCCGGCGGTTTGAGGTTCTGTTGGTGACGGGCTCGACTTGGAAGGGTCTGTATGAGAGCGAGAGCGGGAATAGGGAGGGGGCATCCCTAGTTGTTGTGACATGGTTTCCAGAGGGGGAGGGACAAATCGACCATGTTGACTTGTGGTCGAAGAGCGTGTGGAAACAGCATTGATCGAGGACACCGAACCGATGACGACTTTCACGTGATTCGAGGGCCAACGAGGCTGCAGCCTCGTCCTCGTTGATTGCAGCCCACAGGCTAAACAAGCATAAGGGGGGACAGCCTTGGTTGTGCAAAACATCGTTTGGACAAGTCGAGTAGCCTTCTATCTTACTACAAGCTCGCTAGCAAGGCTATGCATTTGCAGGAATTAAAATGAAATCATGTCCCAAGCTCCAGATCTCCAATCCGAAGTGCAATACAAGTGTGTGCTAAACTTCAATCTGTGCATCCAGTTTCATGCTCTCGTACCTCGTCCAAGCCATTCATTGACCAAAATATTCCTCGGGAATACCCTCCAGGGACAAGGTTGTCGGCTCCACGGCCGCATTGACACTCTTGGAAGCTTTCATGCACTCTTTCTGGGTTCCATGTTATGTTGGGTGCTTGGTATCTGTGTGGGCTGTATCTCATGTTGCGCTTCGCCGAAAGTCGGGGGGCGAGCCGGTATAACTTAGTATTCGACGCCACCATCATCCTCGGCTTCCAGGCTGTCACTGGCGACCTCTTCATAATCCTTCTCCAGCGCAGCGAGATCTTCACGGGCTTCTGAGAATTCACCTTCTTCCATACCCTCACCCACATACCAGTGAACAAAGGCACGTTTGGAGTACATGAGGTCGAATTTGTGGTCAAGTCGGCTCCAGGCCTCGGCAATGGCAGTGGTGTTGGAGAGCATGCTAACACAGCGATCAACCTTGGCGAGTTCACCACCTGGGACGGGCATAGCTGAAAGAAAGTCAGTATAAAGTATTAATAAATGCAAAGGCTAAACTTACGAGGCTGGTAGTTGATGCCGACCTTGAAACCGGTGGGACACCAATCGACCAAGTGGAAGCTGGACTTGGCCTTGAGAGAAGCAATCGCAGCGTTGGTGTCACGAGGCACCACATCTCCACGGTAGAGAAGTGCGACAGCCATGTACTTGCCGTTACGCGGATCGCAAACAACCATCTGATTGCTTGGTTCAAAGCACTGCAAAGTGAGGTCGTGTACTTTGAAGCTTTCGTGAGAGGAGCGCTTGGTGGACACAACGGGTGCGTAACTGATGAGAGGGTAGTGGATGCGAGGATATGGCACCAAGTTCGTCTGGAACTCGTTCAAATCAACGTTGAGAGCACCATCAAATCTCAAGCTGGAGGTAACAGAAGAGACGACTTGGGCAATGAGGCGGTTGAGATGTTCGTAGTCTGGTCGAGGAATGTCCAGATTGCGACGGCAGATATCGTACACGGCCTCGTTGTCGACCAGGAAGGTGCAGTCAGCATGCTCAATGGTGCTGTGGGTAGAGAGGACCGCGTTGTACGGCTCAACCACGGAGGAAGAGACTTGAGGGGCAGGGTAGACGGCGAACTCCAGCTTGCACTTCTTTCCGTAATCGACAGACAATCTCTCAAGGAGGAGAGCTCCAAAGCCAGAGCCGGTACCACCGCCAAACGAGTGGAAGATCAAGAAGCCTTGCAAAGAAGTGCAGTTGTCTTGGAAACAATGTCAACCAATGCGTCCCTTCGGAAGGTTGTATTCAGGTGTGCTTACCGGCAACGCGACGGATCTTGTCCAAGACATCGTCAACAAGCTCTTTACCAATGGTGTAGTGGCCTCTTGCATAGTTATTTGCGGCGTCCTCCTTGCCACTGATCAGGAGTTCGGGGTGGAAGAGGTGTCTGTAGGCACCGGTGCGGATTTCGTCGATCGGGGAGGGATCGAGATCAACGAAGATGGAACGCGGAACGTGCTTATTGTTGCCAGTCTCGGTGAAGAAGGTCTCGAACGATCCAGCATCGCCGACGTTGGCGTCGGGATCAGGGCGTCCATCAGCCTTGAGGCCGTGCTCGAGAAGATATCTAGCGAGGAAAATTAGCAATCAGGAGCCGAAGTAGCGGTGGGCGCGCGTCGGCGAGCCGTACAATTCCCAAGCGGCATTGCCCAGCTGGGTCCCTGCCTGCCCAATGTGCAGGTGGCAGACCTGGTCACAAAGTCAGTATACACATGCGCTCAAGTTGATGGTGTTCCTGCGATGGCTGGCCACTCCACGTGGAATGGGCGTGGTATAGAATTGTGGAGGGGCAGAGCAAGCACGGGGTACATAAACAACAGGCATCACTGACTTCTCCACGCATCTTGAAGGACTCTGCGAAATTCACAGACTCGTAGAGTGAGTGTACAAGTGTCGAAGGTAGACCAGAGTGTTGTTGATGGCAATGGATGAGGAAACGCAGCAAACAGACTGCCTGGGCCTTTGTTTAGGAGAGTCCAGAGTTGTGCGCAGGAACTTGGGATTGGGGATTTGTTATCGTGTCTTGTTGGTGATTGGCGCATCAACCAAAACAGCCAAACACGCGCCAAGCCCGCCACTACACTCTATCCGATGTGGGACGGATACGAATACGAGGTACTCAGCTGTAGGTGGACGTGTATGGGGGTTATAGGTACCTTCTAGGCATCCTAGGCTGTATCCAGGTAAGCCAGGTCCCTAATTTGGCCCCCCTATAACTCTCCGCCCACGAGTATCCGGGGGCGCCCAGGTACCGCATCCAACTATCCCTCCACTTCCATCCGTCTTCTGCATCTCCTGCATCTTCTCCCGTTGTTACTCCTGTACCTGCAGATTGACGTTCTCCGGACAGTCTTGACTGGCTGGCTATTGAGATCGTCTAGCTACATCTCCCCGTGTGTCTTGATGAAATTTTCCGATCCCAAATATAGACGTTGCCCATGCATTTCTCGGAAGAATCACAAGCTTGTCGAAGAGTGGTTTGCTACCTGATTTTGTCTGCCGTCATCCTTCAAGTTCGTGATATCTGCTGGCCATCGCTGCTCATGGTATCGAACACTGCACATGGTCCGGGCCGGCTGGGGGCCTGTAAAAGATGTGAAAGCAGTAAGAGTGTCTCAGATGGAACGAGAAGGCAAAAATTGTGCTCTACAGCGCAGCACACAGTCGTCTCTGCTATACTGTCAGTGACCGATGGCCTCACTGAGGAACAGATCCAGCTTCAGACCGCCCAGGACAATGCGCTCCTTCACTGCCACTGCCGCTGCCCACACTTGATCGCGACTCCTTCAGGCGAAACAAGCCGAGACTCTGAATGCGAGCGCGACGCAGACGCAGATACACTCAGAGACACGGTGTTGAGGGCTCTTTCACTTGCACTGCGGGCACAGGGCGAAAAAGTGAGTGTGCATTGAGGTAACCACTGCCTCAGCTAAACTTCACTTCTCTTCACTACATCGGTGGGTTGTTGTGTTCACTTCGCGACGCGCTGTCTACAAAGTCTCTGATCGCTCCCTGCAATCGTCTTTTCTCTTGTCTCTTCCTCCTCCAAACCCACCTCCCTCCATCCCTCGTTCGCCCTTTCACTCATTGCATCAACCCTCTCAAAGTCATCTTCTTGAACCACTGTCGTCTCCTCTACCGCCCTCAGGGCTTATCTCAGCGACGACGTGAGCTTTTGGACTCGTCGCGCGATGAAGCTTAAAGGTAACAGAGAACGTCCCTCAACATTTGTGACAGGACGCTCATATCATCGCAGGTAGCGGTCAACTGCCAGGCATGGCCTGCGTCGTCACCCTCGCTCTGTTCCTCTTCGCCGGTTTCCTCTGCGCTAGTCCAGTCCATACTGATACTGAGCTTGTGTCAACTGTTCCTGATCATTTCAGTCGATCTGGTCCCATGTCCCATGGCCACACTGGTAATCACAATGCACCCTTTAGTCCTCATATGTCCAACGATCATCAATCAACTACGACTAGGTCTCCGGCAGTCTATGGTGGCGTTGACAATCCTTACAGACCATGCTCCGATTACCATGTACCTGTGTATGGTGGTGTTGATCCTCCTTACGGGCCATGCTCTGACTACCATTACTCCCATGATCCTGTCAAAACTCAAGCTGCGGTTCTGCAGTCTCGAGAATCAGACTCGGGAAATGACTATGCCATGGTCTGCGGCTCGGACTCACACAGATTTACGACCAACACTTGTGCAGGGTCACCGTTTCGATATTATTGCACAGGCCAAGGACGTTTGGCAAGAAAGGGCAGCAAAAACTCACATTGTTCGGAGGTCTGTCGCTGCGTCAATCTGGCTCCCAAACCATGTCTCCACGGTGTGGTGGCTGCTAAATGCTACGTCTCGGACGACGGTCTAATCCTGGACTCCAATCTTGACCCCATCGGACAAACCAGCATAGCAACCCAACTCGGCAATGGCACTTGGGTGATTCATTCCGAAGCCGAAGGCGAAGGCGACTCACATGAGCTGGAAATGCGCGCAGAATCTGGAAAAGGGAATCCTGCAACAACAACCATGGCGATCTCGCACCGAGACGCAAATGCAGCAATGCATGACTATGCGCTGGTTTGCGCAGATCGTGGTGGCACAGGAAGATGTCAGGACCGCAGCTACTATTGCACCTCCAGCGGCAAAGTGGCCTACAAGCTCTCTGACTACTTCTGTGATACGGTATGCGAGTGCAAGAATCTTAGAGCAAGACCAAAAGCATGTGCCAATCTCTACGAAGCGGACCTGCACAAATTCGTCTGTTTTGACGACGCAGACACTGACGCTCCCATGAACGTAACTGAGGACGAACCACTCAATCAAGATATCTCAACCAATCTGACAATCGACGACAGTGGTCTCAGCGCTAGAGATGGTCTCGGCCGACGCGAAGTGACCGATCCTGGTTGCCATCCTCAAACCTTGAGCCCTCGAAGCACGTGGTTATTGCTGTGCCAGAACCACACTCAAGTATGCAATGCTGAATTTGGATATTGTTGTCATAGTGGGACCCTGACTGCGGCTTCTCACAATCCGATTTGCAACGACATCTGCCAATGTGTGAGCTCGACTTCTAACATCCTACGCTATTGCACTCATGGTCCAAACTTCAGCATTTTGTCAGAGTGCTTTGTTATTGGCAATGCCATCTACAAGCTCGAAGGTGAGCTCTTGACAGACTTCCTTGGCAATTTTACAAGCGCAGTGGTCGGGCCTTGTGGGAATCTTTGGGTCGGTGAGCCAGGCATGTCATCCTATCCTCCCTTCGATGTTTCTCCCCCACAAATCACGGATGCGGTCAACCTCCCTCCCCCAGAAACCACTCATACGGTGGTCAAACGAGGCGAGGCGGTGTCTGATATGGCACAAGACAAATGGCTTCTCGGCTGCCAGAACAAGGCGCACACACAAACTTGCCGAAACAAACTTCACTACTCATGTGATGGCGCCAAAGTCGTGCATCAGGACTATGACTTTGTCTGTGAAGCCATTTGCGTTTGCTATGATCAGGAGCCTAATCAGGTTTGTGTCCCTCGACACTCAATCAGCGGGTTGTGTCCTCCCGGTGTCGTCCTGGACCCCCCTGCAGACGGATCTGAGACAGACATGTCGATTGTCAATGAGGACCAAGACTCCAAAGGCAGTGGTGCACTCGCCGTCTCAGTACGCTCCTCGGATGACTCTAAGAAGGACGAACCATGGTACTTCATCTGTAAGACCAAAGATACTGTCAACATCAGTTTGACCAACCGTTGCTGGGCCAAAGGTTACACATGTCCTCGCTATCCCCCTCACGGTAGCGAACCTAAGCCGACACGTCCTGAGCCCCATGATCCTCTGTGTGAAAACCACTCTTCTTGCCATTGTCGGCAGTCTTCCGCACCATCCCAGGATGAGGAGGCAGTTATGATTGAAGGCGATCTGTCTGCATCTAACTCCCTGTTCGTTCCGGCCCTCGTGTCACGCGAAGCAGAGAAAGATCTACCGGCGGATCGGAAGTACTTTTCATTGACTTGCAATAATGGAAAGCAATTCAACGCATCCCTGACCAAGATCTGTGCGGAACATTCTTATCGTTGTGTCCCTGGTGAGGTTCTCTCGGCACTTGAACATGATGGCCCGATTGACGCTCAATGCTCTGAGAACTGCCACTGCCGCAGTCCATTCGCTGCAGCGGAGGAAATAGCTACGCGTTCTTTTGGATATGAGCTGCTGAACAATCAAGGTTACACTCTACGCTGTGGTCAAGAGGCCGACCAATTCTACCGCACCAGCTCCCATGTACTTTCCACACGCTGCGAAGTCATCTGGGGCTACTCCTGCGGTATTAATGGCCAAGTACAGCATGGTGGTGCACCAGTCTTCAAATGCGAAGAGACCTGCAGTTGCCACAAGTCCAACAACAGCACCGTTGTTGGAGCTTAAGTTTTCTACGCATGATCCCAAGGACCTGCATGGCGCATGACAGGAGTGGAGATCATGGTAGTCATATGCGCACATGAGCATGCAGCAAGTTGTTGTTGTTGTTTTTCTTGCGAATGGGGAGAAGCGGAATGATTATTGAGACTATTTTACTTTTCTTTTCCAAAGGTTTCAAAGAGGTGCGAGACAAACAGGGGTTTTGAACAAAACTCGCGCGTGTCCTCAGAAAAGGAGTGTGATGATGTTGAGATTCAGATCCAATCCACGACGGGTGCCAGAATATGCCTTGGGCTGGCGAGAAACAGGAAAATCAAAATAGTGAAAAAACCATGAACCCTTGTACGCTTCAAGGGGGAATCTTGCAAGAAGTTTGGTGGAACTCAACACGCAGACAAGAAATTGCAAACATACCTTATTCAACCAAGATCTTTCCGTTTCCCTTTTCAGTGCTGCGGTCTGCTGCGGTACTACATTGTGACAGGGATAGTGACGGTGTCCGACACGACTCTCAATGTCTAGGTAAGGTGCTAGACGCTGGACTAAGCTGTCGTTGGTTTGGAAGGACCTGGCAGTGCGCGTAGATTTCTGCGTTACACCCCAAGTTAACTGCCATCGCCGTAGTAAAGTAAGGGGTAGACCCAGCACCAGGGCAACTAGTGAATGACCAAGCAAGCAGCGACAAGGGGAGATGCAGTAGACGAACAAAGTTTTCAAAAACAACACTGTACGGGTGTTCGAGTTCGCCCCGGCCGGTACGTGACAGAGGTCTCTATACACGAAGGATGAAGAAGACAAAGTAAAGGTAAGTCACTGGAGTACCTCCATCCACTCCACTCCCATGAGAGACTGACTGGTCAGAGTATTTTATATCATCCAGGTACCCCAGGTACCTACAGCGGCTACCTACCAGCGGTCCGACAGTCAGCCAGCCTAGGTCCATAGTTTTGTTTTGTCTGTATTACTACGGAGCAGGAGGGGAACCAGAGGATTTCTTACCTCCCTCTGGAGCAGTACCGCAGGTAAGACCGGTGATGGGATTACCCAAAGTAAATAGAAAAACCCACTCCTTCAGAAAGGATCTGGGGGTCCTGGCTTTGGGTAACGCATTTGGCTTCTCAAGGTAAAACAGGCCATGAACGAAATCATCAGGGTCCGGAGTCCACGATTCAGGTTTACTTTACTGTCAGGTAGGCTCAATCTCAATCTCATGAATCTCAAGCCCAAAACGTCGAGGCTCTGCTTGCTACACTCAGATACAGAGTACACATACGGTACTCGTTCAAAGACTACTACCAATCGTCATCATCGTCCTTTTCTTGCCTGCCACTCATAGCACTCTGTCTTGCCCTCAACGCTTCAGCCAGCCCTCCAGCAAGACTGCCGCTACCGATACTATTCGGTGTTGCACGGCCCGAATCGGTGCCGCTTCCGGTCCCCAGACTCATGCCACTGTCGCGGGCGGGTGAAGCAGCTGGCTTTCGCGCCGCGGGCACCGGCCTCTTCGCTGGAGGCGCAGGTGGCGTCGGCTTCGCTTTCCCAATGACCGGTGGAGTTCCAGGTTTGGTATGCCCATTTGCAATGACCTGCGCAGGAACAGCTCGTGGAGGCGCGGCCGGCGGTGGTGGAGGTGGAGGCGGAGCGGCACGAGCTTGCTCAATCTCTTCGACGTACGCCGTCGGCGTCCAGCCTTCTTTCATAGTTTGCACGTTTTTACAGAGCCACCAGCCTATACGAATGCGTTAGTATATATGATCTACAAAAGCGGATTCCTCAAATGGGAAAGGCTCACCATTGTTTTCCTTCTTCAGAATCTCGACAATATCTCCAGTCTTTATGTTTAACTCATTATCATTGGGAGAATTGAAGTCGTACTTGGCTTTAGCTTGAGGCTTTGATGGGACAGCAGCGGGTGCTGCGGCAGGAGGTGGGGGTGGAGGCGGAGGAGGGGCCGCACGGCCAAATGAAGAGGCTGAGTCGTTACGAGCATGGGAGGAGGCTCCGTTGAGATGGGATGTAACAGCGTGGTGAACGGGTGTAGCGGCAGGTGTAGGTACAGGTCGTGGTGTTTGAGCTGCAGGCCGTGCTGCAGGGACGGGCCTTCTCGAGGCAGCTTTCGAAGGCTGACCACCGGGTCCGCCAGGGCGGAGTAGCTTGCCACTTGTAATAGGCTTTGCAATCGCTTTGCCTCGAGGCGTAGGCCGCGAGACAGAGGTTGGTGCTTCGCCTTGAGGAACGTGAATTGTTCCAGACTTGTACACATCATCTCTTGGAACGGTGGTGTCTTTTTGAACTTTGACCGAAGCAGGCTTGCCGGGCTTCTTGTTGTATTCGATCGTTGGTCCAATCTTGAGGTTCATTCCTCCAACAGCAACGGTTTTGAATTGAAGGAAGAATTCTGTCTTGAACACACAACTGATGAGCGGATCGGGTTCCTGGGGCGAACCGACACCCAGCGCAAACCAGTCATCCCGCAGGCTGGAAGTCGAAATATATTTGACGGCACCCACAGGTATTGTTCTTTCGGCTGAGATCTGTAGCTGGTTGTTGACCACAGCCTGAACTACAATGTAGACTGACTTGTTGGTAAGCACCAGTATCCTGGGCAATGGTTTGGATGATCTTCCAAATTTGGCCACCAGCAGTTCGCAGCGCGACGAGAAGACGCATCGTTCCTGGGAGCTGAGGTTGATGGAGTCTCGGAGAACCCGGCCTTGACCGCCGGGCATATTGAGGCCCAAGTAATCGCCAAAGAAACGTCTCGAGCCGAGCAAGCTGTACCTGCGACGTTCCTTGCGCCCAGCAAGCAGCCGGTGTCCTTGGTCTCTGAATTCCACTTCTTTAACCCCGACCTTGGACTTTCGCCAAAATCTTTGGATTCTTGTCGCAGCTTCTGCCCGATACCTCAGATAATTTCTCCAGGCTCGCTGAATTCGGACTGCCATGTTGTGCCAGTATCGATCTCGCATATGCTCCAATCCAAACAGCGTTTCAGGGCTCTTGATGAAAGCCTTGGTAACACCCATCTGATACTCTTCCGGGGGAATGCTCGTGTCTTTGAAAATGATCTCCGAGGCTGTCCTTACATCACCAGTATAGGTGTATTCTCCTGCATATGACAATCTTGGTGACAGCAGTGCAAATCGTTCGACGAACTTGTCAAATGCCTGACGGTAGGCAAAACCAGCTCTGCGAATGCGGACGTTCTCCTGAAGACCGAGGTACTTTATCTGATGGAGAACGTTCGCCTCATTGTACTCTTTGGGCGATTTATTCTCATTGGGCTTGATGGTACGAATGTATGATGGCTGTGCCTGCATTAAAGTGTCGACGAGTTCATTGGCTGAAGCCTTGATCTTGTCACCTGCAGTTGGAGGCCGTCGCTTGTCATCCTGATTGACCTGGTCGGGGAAGAGCTCATGCAGGAAACTGTTGGAACTCTCACCAACGAGGTTCAGCAAATCTTTCAAAAGCTGATCCTTGTTCTTATCTGTCATGCCGGCGACCTGGTAGTTGACATCACCAGCGTAATGCTTGATGATGAATTGGCCTTGTCGGTTTTCGAAGTTGGGATTGCTTGATAGGAAGTTGAGACGGCCCACGAATGTCTGATCCGCGGCTCCAGAATCAGCATGAGCAGTGGCGCAGGCATCATTGAGAGCTGCAAAGACTCCGGGTGGCCTTTTGTCTTCGATCAGCGAACAGACAACTTTGTTGTCAAAATATTTGATGGGCGTCCACTGAATCTGCTCGCGAGCATACTCTTCCTGTTCAGCCTTGAGTGTCAACTGGATGAAGATCTGCTGCAGCTTCTCGTTGACGTAATTGATGCACAGTTGTTCGAAAGAGTTCTTTTCAAAAATTTCGAATCCGTAAATATCGAGGATACCGACCGTGTTTTTGACAGCTCCCTGTGCTCGTAGCGAGACGTTCGTTCGGGAGACGATCCAATCGAAAAGTCTGAAGTAGACGGCTTTCGCCAGCGCATCACGTACAGCCATTGCTTGGACAGGGTTCAAAGGGGATTCATAGATAGAGCCACGCCTGCCACCACCTCGAGCCGTCTCAACAATTCTGACAGTCAGTGCTTTGTGAACATGAGCTGACTCGACTTCCAGCAAGTATGCCACAAAATCAACAACCGACTGATCCGAGATATCAACACCGCCCTGATCATTATCCCGGAAGGTAATGTTTCCGATCCACAAGATGGCGGCCAACATACGGAATATGTTGTCTTGCTCAGCCTTGGTCAGTCCAATTATTTTCATGGCTTCAATGGTTTCGTTAAGATCACTGGCATCGTCTATGCCCGGTACATCGAAGCATTTGGATCTGCTGGTATATACGTATGATTGTGGCTGCTGAACGCCGAATGCGTCTCTGTACTCCTTCGGGGCGGCTTTGGTGAACTGATAGAAAATGTGGAAGTTTCGTTCGTTGGTGATCTGTCCTACGACTCTCGAGGACTCCAGCAAGTAATTCGTGATTTTGGCCCCAACAGGCTCGCCATTCTGGTTGAATTCGAGTTCGAGATACTTCCCAAACCGAGACGAATTGTTATTTCGCAGCGTTTTGGCGTTGCCGAACGACTCCAGCAGCGGGTTGGTGGCCAAGACCATGTCTTTCGTTCTCTGGATCCTCGAATCTGTGCCCCCAGAGACATTGGCGATGTACTGCATCAGCCGTTTGGCTGCTTCCGTTTTCCCAGCGCCCGATTCTCCAGAAATGATGACACATTGGTTTTCGTGGTAGGCCTTCATGTTATAGTAGGCAGACTCGGCAACGGCGAAGACGTGAGGAGGAACTTCGAGTCTGTTTCGTCCCCTATAACTGTCCAACACTTGGTCGGTGTAGATGCCCAAGTCCCGGAAGGGATTGACCGACACCAGCACGTGGCCAATATAAGTGTAGATGTCGCCATGCTCGAACCTCTTTTTCAGGTTGTCGTTGATGGCTTCATTGGAAACCTTACTCAACAGCGTCAGATCTGAAACACCGACTTCCTTCTTCTTTGTGATTTCAAATGTGGCCTTTTTGATCTGTGGCTGTCCCGAGTCTGCATGACTTGACTTGCCTCCACCGAAGAGAGATGCTTTCGGTGCGCGAGAGGACTTGCCTTCGCGACGCTTCGTTTGGCCCTGGAGGATTGTTTAGAACGTCGCTATGCGCGAGGGTTGATGTGAACGCGGGCTTACCATGGTAGTGGAGGATCGTGATTAGGACATGCGCGCAGGGAGGATGGTGGTGATAAAGGTGCTGATCGCCACAAAGCCTGCCAGAGGATACAAGGACGCGACGATAGCGAGTGGAAGATGAACAAGAGAAAAGGAATTGCCTGCGGCTTGCCTGGTCGCAACCCAAAAGCGCAGGCACAATCTTTAGGCACAATCTTTAGCTGGGATTGAGTCCTGAGTACGGAGTGCAGAGTATGTCATACAGATCCCGCGGCGGCTGCGGAATTAGGTCAGCAATGAAGCCACAGCGTCCCGAAGCCAAATACCTCGCTGTCAAATAAGCCTCAGTCTGTGAGACACTGACAGTTTTCTGCTACAGAGCGGATGATGGGCACAGGTCGTCGACAACCTCGCTACGTTGGCCTGAAACCAAAGACGGCCACTGCTACGGCCCAACGACCAATGCCTAATCTCCCACACTCTCTGCTCCCGGACTGTACAGTAAGTGCTCGTACCATCGCCACAATCTGCAAACTTCGTTTGTGGCTGAGCAGTCTGTACAGCCTTGTGGACGCGCAATCACAAACGTATTGCTGGCAGCAGAATTCCACTGAAGCCTGATGCCGTATTCATTGTGGCCCTAGGTGTCCGATTTTCTTTTTGTCATAGCCTATATGGAGTGCTCGGGACATTGATTGACGTTGGCACTGACATCTATACGTCCTCGCCAACGCGGCCATCGATAACTAGTGTTGTCTGTTGACTGGACTTTGCAGGGATGTGCAGAGACAGACACCACAGCCAGCTGCGAATTTTGTGCTATGAACAGCGAGTTCATGGAATCCTCCGAAACCCAGCCACATAAGGTATTTTGTGATGATCGCTCCTCTAACATGACATATCTGTTCTCTTCCTCCGCTATGGTGAAGGGTTGTTGGAAGCGCAGCGGGAAGAGAGGCTTTGAGATCAATGGCAATGCTTACAACCTCTAACATGGACCACCATCATTACAGCTCGGATACTAAATTTACCTTGGAATGAAATGGCCATTGTAGACCATAGCTCGTGCTGGATAGAGTCACTCTTGCCAGCCACGAAAAGGAGCACCCCTGATCTCAAACATTTCTTTTTGGAATTGGGAGTCGGGTATCTCGTATGAAGTGTAAACGTACATTGGAGAGAGGACAAAATTGAGTCGGCAGATACGCAGACTGTGCGTTACAGAATGTTCCTGGACATCCGTCTCACCGTTTCGGCTTTTGCTCAGTGGGCTTCTGCTCGGCGGCTATGATAGCTTGCTTGTGCTTTTCTTCCAAGACTTTGTCAGATGCAACCAGTATTTTCTCGGCTGGACCAGGGGCATTCTTGTCCAGCGCCTCTGATGCTTCCTTGTCCGGCGTCTCCTTGGATACGAGAGATGCCAATCGAGCGAACCAACCGACGGGCTTCTCCTCCTCTTCCTCGTCTTTATCCTCATAGATCTCCGGGGGCAGTATCCTCGTGCTACTGTGCTGCTTGCCGTTCTTCTCTTTCGCTCGAAGACGTAGGACCTCTCGCTCCAGTTCCACCAAAGCCCGTCTTGCGGCTTTTTCAGACTCTTCGAGATCATTCAGGCGCTCTGCTACATCGTCCCGTCGTTTGCTCTCCTTACGGCCAGACCTCCACGACTCAAAAACTATCAATCCAGCGGCAACTCCAAACAGGAACGTTTCACTGATGAACGTAGCGCCCGATTCGATAGCCTTTGCTTCGGACAGAGGCTTGATCCTAGGTTTTGGCCGGGGTTTAGGTGGCTCAGACGCCTCTTTGGCTGCGCGGGCTGCGGCCTCCTCTTCTGCCTTCGTCTGTGCTTCTGTTTTGACCGTCGGTATACTATGTTGATGCTTCTTCGCCTCGGCCGCTTTGGCTTCTCTGGCTGCCTGCTTCTCAACGGCTGCTGCATCTTGCAAAAGACCTATCCTCCATCGCATATCGATTCTGTGGAGAGTTTGGGCAAAAGAGATGCAGGTTCGCCGGAAGCCCTCATGCTCGCGGGCTTGTTTCTTGATAAAATTCTACAACTGTCAGTATACTCAAAGCTGTAATGTACTGCCGATACCTACAGCTATGGGTTTAGCAAAAGTACGGACGGCCAGCGAGGTGAACTTGAGAGCGAGTGACATCTCGAGACACGGTTCGAGTCGCTTCGGACGTTCCGGTAGGCTGGCAGTCGGCTCCCATACAATGTGCTTAACATCTTGAGCACATTCTTACAACACCGCGCAACTCTTGATGGCTTCCTTTAGCGAAGACGAAGCATGCGATCACAGGCAGCATGTCTGGGTGATGGAAGAACCGAAGAAGAGCCGCTGACTCAACCACGAGGGGGTCGACCGATGCCAAGGCACTAAATCGGCGGAACGTCACTTCCCTTTTGGGCACTTTGTTGACAAGCAGCGGCAGCCAATGGGGAGACCGTAACTAGGTACAACCACCGCTTCTTGTTGTATTGCATTCTGGCACACATCTTCGTTGTTTCGCAGAGCACTAGCATTCTCCCGAACCCGATGAACAAGAGCCAGTGCTGAGGTCGCTACACAGAATTTGGCTTCCATCCTCGGCGACACATAGTCGCATACTGACATGGACGTCCTTTCTCCCCGTCCTGTCAATCTCCCCATGCAGCCACCACCACTACCAAAGGCTGCGAAGAAGCCTCGCCCTGAGTCCAAAGCAAGACCTGAGGAGAAACCCACGAACCCGGATAGAATTGACGACAAATGGCGACCCCCCTCGGTCATCACAGAGCCCGGGTCGTCACCGGAGACGTACTTGATGGGCAGAAAGTTAGGGAAAGGAGGGTTCGCTGTATGTTTCGAGGGTAGGTCGAAACGCACAGCTGAAATATTCGCTCTCAAAGTCGTCAAGGCAAAGGTTGAGCAGAAAAAGATGCTGGAGAAATTTCGGACAGAATTACAGATACATGCGAAGATGCACCACCCAAACATCGTCGAGTTTCTGAGAGCCTTTACTATTGAGGACCATACCTACGTTGTGCTTCAGCTTTGTCCTCATGGCAGTCTCACAGAAATGGTGAAGGCCCGAGGTTGTCTCAGTCTGCCAGAAGTTCGAAGATTCATGGTACAGATCTGTGGAGGAGTCAAGTATATGCACAAACGTTCTGTCATTCACCGGGACCTCAAGATGGGAAACATTTTCTTGGACGCGCGCATGAATATCAAGATCGGAGATTTTGGTCTTGCCGCTGTAATGGCAGACGAACAGGACAGAAGGACGACTCTCTGTGGTACACCAAACTACATTGCGCCGGAAATTCTAAGCAAGTCCGGCAACCGAGGTCATGACAACAAGGTAGACACTTGGGCAGTGGGTGTTATCTGCTACGCCATGCTCATGGGGACCCCTCCATTCCAGTCCAAGACACAGCAAGAGATCTACAGCAAGCTTCGTGGACTAGAGTACGAGTGGAGGGTCGACAGCAAGAATTACATTCCTCACCAAGCCAAGGACTTTGTAGCATCTTGCCTAACGCTCAATTCTGCCGAAAGGCCTGAAATGGATGAGCTGGTCCAGCATGAGTTCTTCACCATGGGCGCAATTGCCGAGGAGCTCGATCCAATCTGCCTCAAAACAACACCGGCATGGCTGGAAAACGCGGATCCGCGAGGTGATAGAGTACGCTCGGGCTACGGCATGAGCCTTGGTAGACTGTGCCGAGAATGTGGAGTTGGATTTGGTTCCGACGGTCGACTTCGTCCTGGGGTTGGTGTTGGCGCTGGTATCTCCGCTCTATTGGAAATCGAAGCAGAGAACCGAGAAGGTTGTGCTCCTGTGATTCCTCTACCTGCGGGTGTTCTTTACAAGCAGTTTTCAGACGCACATGCCGAGTGGACAGCACGACAAAAGCACCCGTTGATGACGAATCGAGTCCGCAGCCGCAAGCCGATCATCGACAAGGCAGGAACAATGACCTCGAATCCAGAGACCGTGTCTATCCCGGGATCAATGTATAAAGCTTCTTTGGTATCCGTGTCTTCGACGGTTAGACCAGTACAGAGCTTTGCAGCCCAACAGCGACAACAAGCACTGCCTTCAGGAGCACTTCGAAATAATCTGGCCGAACCTCCCCAGAGCAAGGTGCTGGAGGTTACGGAGCAAGCAAATCAAGGTCTTTTGAGAGAGCGGCCTTTGAGAGCAGCCACAATCCGTGCGACGAGAAGCACCACGTTGAGAGAAGCCGTCTCTCATACGGCGAAAACGCTTCCCAGATCAGCGACGGTTCCTGACGCAATTGATGGCCTCGCAAGACAGATTGAAGCCAGCCTTGAGAAGCCGGAGTCCCGCAGAGTTCAGAGCGGAATTCCTCTCGGCAAATCACTCGCTGAACAGAAGGTCGTCAGAAAACCTTCGCGCGCCATGGTCCAAATGGTTAATGCAACTATTCGTCCGGATTCTTCATCATCATCATCTAGTTCCTCGGGTTCACTTGGTGATCTACCTATTCGTGCCTTACAACCGATTACCGCGAACGACCGAGACAAAATCGGCGCGACCCCTGATATTCTGCACCCACGTAGCAAGCCACTGGAGAAGCCGGTTAGCACGCCTCCTGCTGCCTCCCCTCCCAGGAAAGTTCTCCCCAAGCATCAACCGAGGATCATTGAAGACGGAGAGGCCACAAACTCAGTGCCACATTCTTCTGCTTCTGCAGTCATTCATTCACTCAAGGCTCTTCATAAAGCACTGGATGCCCGCAAACTTGACGAGATGGGTCGACGGCCGCAACCGACTTATGGCACACGAAAGGAACGCGAGGAATCGAAATATCCTCGGGTCGAGAAGTGGGTCGACTATTCCACTCGCCACGGCATTGCGTACATCTTGTCTGATGCAACTGTTGGCATGGTATTGAAGTCTTCCGAAGATAATATGATGCCGAGTAGCTGTGTGGTTATGCGCAATGCAAGCAGGCATACGCTGAAGCGAGCGAAGGGCCTCGAATACCAATTTGTGCCTCAAGGGCGCGACGCTCATGACGTCGAGTTCTACGAGCAAAGTGACTACCGAGTCGACATGAAACGGGTGGACATCCCAGCTCAACAGTTCTGGCTCGACTTGGAAAAGTATCAAGGTCAGGTTCCAGCTGCCAATGCCATACAGGCCAACTTGGTGGGAAGCGAGGCGGAACGCATGAAGGAGGTTGGCTTACTGGATAAATTTGGCAAGTATATGAACAAGCAGATGGGAGGCACTGATTCAACGGAGCGGAAAGCGGACGGCAAAAGCAAACATTTTGTCCACTTTTACCAGCGAGTTGGGAATGTCGGTGTCTGGAGGTTCGCCGATGGTGGATTACAATTCAACTTTCCCGATCATACAAAGCTGCTTATTCGTTCCGAAGAGTCAGGACAGGAGGAGTTGCGGTGCCACGTCGATTGTGTTTATTTGGTGCCGACTGACGCCATCAGCCTAGCCCATCACGGCATCATCACAGTTGAGGCCATGGAGCGACGAGGCACCACCAGCTTTCCGTTGGAAGACATCATGACGGATGTCCTCCGCCGCTCAGAGATGGAGATTATTCGCACCAACGAAATTAAAGAGAAGCTGAGCTGGATTCGGGCCGTCATCGGTTGCTGGATTCGGGAAGGCGGATTGGGCAAGATGGGCGAAGAGAAGCTTGGTTGGAGTGGCCTGCAGGAGAGACGGGACGATAAGCGAACAAAGCTACAGTGGGCGACGGTGGGAAGATTCGGTGGTGATGGTGAGGGCAAAGGTGTTGTGAAGCAGTCATGACAGCGAGGGACGATGGCTGAGAGATGAGATGGAATTGGCCTTTGGGCGTTTGAGGGCGTTTTGGTATGACTTGGGCAAAGCATGGGCAGCATAAGCACGAGCATGAGCGTGATGAGTTACGAGGTTGTTCATTGACTTCGACAGCAGATGCATACGTTACTTTGATTCTTGTGATTCTTGTGATTAGTCTCGCCTTTGGTGGTGACGAAGCTGGCTGACTAATATTTGTTTGACGTGCTCGTTGCCGATGGTGCAATATCGAGTTTACAAGATTCAATCGATCCACGCCGTCTTGTTCTTTTCTTGTGTTCTCGGCCCAGCTTTGCTACTTTGTTGACGATTTTCTAGCCTGGCCAATCTCACATTTTTTCAACATGGGAGGCGGTCCAGACAAGGAACATCTCGTGATTGCCCTCGGCGATCCCGAGCCCAAACATCTCACGGCATTATTGAAGCAACAGTTTCCTGATATTGACATCACATACTACCAAGTGTCGAGAGCCGTCGGTGGTTTCAAGGATAATAAAACGCTAGGAAGTCAAATACCCGATGGTGAGTTGTGTTGGGATTTTTTGGGTCTCCAATATCTGTGTCTATGATACAATACCAGGGCAAATCTGTCTTACCGGTCCTTCGGTCTCGGTGATGGGATCTGACCAGCAAGATGTGGCCTTGTTTGTGCATCTGATGCGACCTGTATGTACATTGACTGACTCTGGATCGGTTTTCTTTCGATGGGAAGATTTATGGAAATCCGCAACCATCCTCCTCACCCTCTTCGCCCTCCCTCCTAACCCGGAACTTGTGCCAAAGTATGTATTCTTTTCTTTGATTTTTCGAGGTCCTCGCCCCCCTTTGCCAGGAGCCCCGATGGAGCTTCATTACATTGTTGCTGATCTTCCCTCCTCCCATCTCAAGTCTCAAACTCATCCATCTATTCTCCGCGGGCGTTGATCACTGGACGGACCACCCGGTTGTCAAAGACAGCAACATCACAATCACGACGTCGAGTGGTATCCACGGTCCGCCGATCACGGAATGGATCATCATGACGACTCTTGTGGCCAGTCGGCACTACGCTGTCGAGTACGAGTGGCAGAAGGAGCGTCATTGGGGCCAAGGGGAGAAGTTCCAGCTCGCGGGGACAGACTGGGTGGGTAAGACGGTCGGCATAGCAGGGTACGGAAGTATCGGGAGACAAGGTATGTTTTGTCGTCGCCGTCGTCGTTGTTGTTTTTGCTGCACAGACAGAAGGCTGCCCTCGTATGAGTTAACATATACCCTTGATGAAAGGCCCTGCTGTGACTATACTAGCGCGGCTTGTGCTTGGGAGATGCTGTTTAAACAGACTGTTCTTGATGCTGACCAAGGGTGAACCAAACAACGAAAAACAGCCGCACGAGTATTCGCGGCGCTCGGCGCCAACATCCACGCATACACCGCCTCGCCGCGGCCGACGCCCTCGTCGCGCAAAGACACGGGATACTTCGTCCCCGGCACCGGCGACCCGGACGGCACCATCCCGAGTGCATGGTACAGCGGCACGTCGACGACGTCGCTGCACACCTTCCTCGCCTCGGGCCTGGACGCGCTCCTCGTCGCGCTGCCTCTGACCCCGGCGACGCGCCACGTGTTTGGCGCCGCGGAGTTCGACCTCCTCGGCTCGTCGGGCGGCTCGCCAAAGACCAAGGCCGCCGGAGCTGGAGCGGCGGCGAAACCGTTCTTGATCAACATCGCGCGGGGGCCCATCCTGGATCAACCTGCGCTCGTCGACGCGCTGAACGACGGCGTGCTGGGCGGTGCGGCGCTCGACGTCACGGACCCCGAGCCCCTGCCGAAGGACGACCCGCTGTGGTCGGCGAAGAACGTCATCATCACGCCGCACGTCAGTTCGTTGGGCAAGGAGTACCTCGACCGCGCTTTTGATCTGTTTGTCACGAACTGGAAGAGGCACGAGAGGGGGGAGAAGATGTTCAACGTCGTCGATAGGAAGAAGGGATATTGATTTAGTCTTCGCACCACCGACGGGTCTTTCTACGCCACGGCCTTCCACACGTTGCTAGCACAGCGGCCGCGGTGTCAGTGACTTGAGTCGACGAACCGGACGCCGATAGTGGGTGGGATACAAGGAGGAGGTTTGTCCGGCATAAGAGACAGACAGAGAGTCACCATATATATAGTATGAACAAGGACTGTGGATAGACGACTATCTGAACGATGAATGATTGACAAATATTTCGACTTGTACCGATGACCTTGCACCAATGACAGTAGACAGTAGGCGGAAAGGATGGAGGGAGAAAGAAGAACGGGGATCACAGCAGAACCAGAGACAAGAAACAGGGACAAGTAGTCAGCTTGCGTCAAGGATGGTAAAAAAAAAGCATAATCATGAAACATCTAACTTGATCATAGTCAACAAAATCCAATTTCATCCCTCATGCAGATAACAACAATAAATCGAAGTATAGCAGGTTATAACAAGGCAGGCATCTCAGAATTCAAACCCGTACATCCCGGAAAAGGACCTACTAGAGATAGGTACTTGTTCGAGTAGAGTAGACAGCACCAACCACCCCCTCCCCCCCTGGTGCCAGAGTGCTGGCTGACACTGCTCTTCTTCCTTTATTTTGGTTTTCGTTCAACGTACCCCCACGTAAAGGGTTCATTCATTAGTCGCGTCGTCGTTTTCAAGCCGTCGGTCGGTGGTGCGTCGTTGGATTCAATCAAAGTCGTCAAAAGTCGTAATCGTTGCAGGCATGTTTGAGGGTTGGTCGTGAGACGCCTCGCAGGCGGTACATAGATGTAGGTAGTAGTGGGTATTGGGTATCAGCGTGGTCAACTCAAAAGAAGTAACGCCGCCCATTTTGCAAGTCTGTGATGGGAAAAGGAGAAGATAGAACATCCTCAAACCTCTTTTCCCTCCTCCTCCTCCTCCTTCTCTTCTCATCCCCCTACAGCAAGTCTCTCCTCTTCCCCCGTCCTCTTCTCACCCCCCCTACAGTAAGTCTCTCCTCTCCCTCCTTTGACTGCATCATGCAAAACAACTCTTCAGCACCCTCTTGACCAAACTCTGCTTCTTCAACTGATTCACGTCCACGTCCACCACATCCCCCTCGGCCTGCCAGAACATGGAATCGAGAACCTCGTTGCCGAACCTCGCTCGAGCCTCCGCCGTGGTCCACCCGTCTTTCGCACCCACTTGGGCAATGAGCTCTCTCCACTCGGCCATCTCACCCTTGTACCCGCCCCTTTGGCTCTCCTCGCCCTTGAGCACTTCTTCCCACTGCCGCCCGTGCATCGTGTACCCGTACCATTCCTTCGCCCAGTGCGGGCGGACGGGGATCAACGCCCCCTGTGCGTCCCTGTAGCTGGACCACTTGTCCAGCACCTTCTGCGCGTAGGGTTGCCAGATGTCCGCCATGGACTGGAGTGTGAGAATCTCGATCGAGCATGTGCCGTACTTGTGGCCCCGTTGGGGTGCCAGCGTGACATCGGACGACGACATGATGCGCATTTCGAGAGGCATGCGTTGGGGACAGGTGTCGATGGACGCGTAGCATGCGATGATGGCGTCCCACCATGCGCGTTGGACCGTGGTGAAGTCGATCGCGGTCTTTGCTTTGATATCCCTGCCGTCGGACTTGACATTGCCATTAACGTGGCCATTGCCATTGACAACACCATTGACGTGGCCATTCGCATGGCCATTGGCAGTAACAGCCGGTTTAGTTTCGAGTTTAGGCTGAAGAGGGAATTCAACTTCGAGATCCCGAACACGGACATTCTGCACGCCTCTTTGGAAATGTAGGGCATCGGGGAGCCATGTCTTGATCTTCTTGCCGTTCTCGCCTATGTCGTCGAGGTTCTTCATGGCTAGCCAGGTCAGAACCTTCGTCTGGACTTCCGGCAGCGCCTCGGTCGCTTTGAGGAGCGACGTTGCCTGTTGCGCTATGTTGACGGCGATAGTGCCGAAGACTTGTAAGATGGTCTTTGCGTCGCTAGGATAGGTCACCGCACCTGAGAGATCGGAAGTCTTGTGCCATGAGTTCACCCACACTTCGCTCGAGTATGGGAACCAGAACCACTCGGCGTAGTCGGTGTCGAGCGCGCGGGTCTCGAAGTCACGTTGGATCTGTGCTTTCCGATCGGCACTGAGCGCATGCTTCGGACGTAGGGGCCCAGGGATCGCGGAGTCCGGTAGGTCCGGAGGTGGAGGGATAGCTTCTACCACAGGAAACTTCCGTGGCTCCATCAGTGCACAAGACATTGGGTCGAACTCGAGAACGAGGTGCGTGACTACACCAATGAGCCCGAAACAGCCTGCTGCAGCGCGAAGCATGGCTCGCGCAGACATGTCGACTTTGCAGAGTTTGCCATTTGCGTTAACGTATTCGATTGCGCGAACTTGATCAGACATTGTAGGATTGTTGATTCCGGCTCCATGGCTATCAGAGCAGAGTTTAGCTTGGATTTAAACCGAAGTGTGGCGATGAGAACGGAATGTACGAGTAAACTCACCAGATGGTTGCGTTGGCTCCTCCCATTGTGATCTCAACCTCGATGATGTTCATGGGAAGAGTGACCTTGCCCGTCTCAATGCACCATCGCCTCAGTTGCTCATTCGTTGTGGAAGTGCCGACTCTAACGTACTTCTTGCCGTCCACGAGTTTAGGTCCTTTGACGTAGCTGTGGTCAACGACGATGATGGAGTTGAGATCTTTGGCCCCGGGCTCGAGAATATCGCCTGGAAGAGAGGTAAAGTTGGGCAAGACTGAAGCATCAACGAGGCCCAAAGAAGAGATCAGAATGTCACCGTTGTTGTTGTCGTTACTCCTGTCGTGAGACCGTCCGAAGACGGGGGACCATGAATGACCTGGTATCTGTATCAGCAAGGCCATGAAAGAGAGGATCCGGGAGCAGGATGTTTACGAAATCCAGACACCCGCACACCCATCTGGTGCTTCTTTGCGTATTTGACAATATCACATATATCTAGGGCGGTGTTTGGCACACAAGTGAGTGCAGGAGTATTGCGCACTGTCCTGCCCCAATTCTGGAACTCAAGGTTCTTGAATGACTGATAATAGTCAGTATTGAGGCTGATAGTTTCCCAGCCTTGGTTGAGAGGGGTACATACCGGAACGTAGAGAGCCCTCCTAGGTTTCCTAATTCCTGGGATGACATTGGCGAAGAAAGACCGAATCCGTGAAGGTATGCTGGAAGGGAAAGCTGCCAGTAGGGAGACTGGCTCACTGAGGTCTGTCGGTACAATAGTCTCGAGCCCCCCTTTGCGTAAATCACCACGTCTCTTAGGGAACTTGTCTGTCTCATAGGGCCGATACTTTTGAGCGGCTTGCTGGGCGTCGATGTTGCCGTCGACGAAGTCATTGAATATGCCTTGGACCTCGTCGTCGTAATCACCGATGATCTTCTCGTAGGTGAAGTCTGTGTTCGACTGCTTGAAGGCACGCAAGAAGCGCCGGACGAACTGTTCTTGTGTCACCGGTACATTAGGATCAAACCAGTCGTCAATCAGGTTCGTGAGACCTGGCAGCTCCTCGGTGTCGATATTGTTCCTCAGACCCAAGATACAGTCCGTCACAGACGTGTCAGGGTGATGCCAGTGCCTTTGATCTGAATTTTCAGCCATCGCGGCTCACATTCACCGTCTAAACACCATACAAACAGAAAATGAAATGAACAGGAAAAAAAGAAAGGAAACGGCGGAACTCCAAAGCGCTGACGGCGCCCTGCAGCCTGCATCTTGCCTTGATGACGACGAAGGGGTCGATGGCCAGACACGAAAGAGCGGTGATCAATAGGTGCAGCTGCGAGAATAGCTGCGCCTTCAAAACACGCGAGGCCGCTTGACGAGAAATAAGGTGCAGTAGCAGCGGGCACCAATGTGCCTACCACTCATGAGGCGACAAGAAGCGGCATGAAGCGTGAAGCTGAGACTTGGACAGCCAGAAAAGGCCTGTGAGTTGTTGCCGGAAACCCATTCAGCAGAGGATGCGGACGCTGCGCTGTCACGGAACGATGATCGTCGACCGGAGTCCGTCGAGAAACAGGAAGCTCTACTCGTCGCCCTCGCTTGACAAGTGGTTGATAACGTGCCAGCGTGGCAATGCATGCCCTCGTCTCAGGTGAGGAGACTGGGCGCCAAACTGCCGGAGCCATTGAGGGCCATGTTCTCGTTGGGCTCACCCAAGCATGGCGGCGGCTGACTCGTGCATCATGCATACGCGAGCTGTATCAGGCGTGGGATCTTTCTCTAGGCCCGCCTCATCTGCCTAGTGAGCCTGGAACCGGGATCGCGGTGGTGTTTTTGCTTGGCTTGATCTGTACGAGTACGAGGAGGAGATTGTACAGCTTAGTACTGGTACAACTCCCCGGCCTGGTGTGGGTAAGTTGAGAGATCTCACCGCCACGGGGTTCAAGGTCCGGAATGCCGGTACAAGGCAGCATTATATATCTCTACCTGGAGGATACACCTTACTCAGGTATATACAGCTAATGGCTCATTCACATCCAATCCTCGAAGCTTCCTCCCCTCCTTGTCATACAATCCATCCACCAATGTCGGCCTCACTGTCTTGCCGTTGTATGGTAGCTCGCTCAAAAACCCCCAATGAGCTGCTCGCTTCCAGCCTTTCTTCTGCCAGTCATTCATACTAGCCTTGGGGAAGAAATCAAACACCTCTAGCGACGTTGGGTCGTGAGCGATGACCACCAGCACGTTCGGGTCAGCGTCAAACTCCTCAACACCTTGTGCCGACTGTCGAGCCACTTCAGGCTCACGGTACCAGCTTCCTGCAGCAGTCGGGATTTTCAGGAAGGGAGTCTGGGGTCGCTCTCGTTAGCTGCGTTACACATAAGCAGTCGAGCTCAACTTACTGTGCGACCGTTGGCTTGGTCGGGGTGAGATGACAAGAAGCCCGTACAAAGGCATGGCCGGGGTATTCGCTGGTCAAGTACAGCTTCGTCCGGGATCTGATCCGGCAGTGGTATCGACTTGGTCGGTCGAAACACTCCCGCCTGATGGCATACATCGCCTCCCAGGAAGACGAAAGTATCTGGTGTGGTGCGGACCAGACCAGAGACATGCCCGATCGCATGCCCAGGCACGTTCAAGATATAAAAGCTGCCATCGCCGAAATAGTCGTGTGCTTGAAACTTCCCGATCTTCAAGTCGTCCGTGAAGGCCACTTCCACCACATCTCGACCCTCGAAGTCTGCCTCGTGGAACTCCGAGTCGGGCTTCGTCGGGTATCCAGGTAGGAATGCATCCCGAAATCCAGGCCCCACGACCAACCGGACACACTTGGGCAGATTGCCAGGGGCGCCGACATGATCCCAATGATGGTGGCTGAACACCACCGCCTGAACATTGTTGATGTCAACGCCACCATCTGGCAAAATGTCTATGACATCCTTCTGGACCCGTAGACCGCGCATCTGCTCGCGGATCAAGTTGGCCAAATTGGGCACAAAATTCTCCCAGTCTTTGCGACCGCCCAGGTCGAAGAGCAGTTCGGTCCCTGAAGAAGCATGCTTGATGTGAAACGAGTAGGTCGGCAGGTTCATCCATTCATACCCTTCGATTGGTGGCTCTACAAGCCATGGAGGAGGAACGCAGATGTCGCACGTCGTGTTGATGATGGAGAGTTGGCAGGTATGAGGGCTGGGAGGAATATTTACATGCCCTGGTTGACCCATGATTGTAGACGCACAGGCAGAGCTACTTGTGATCTCTCTTCCACTCTGCACCTGTTGAAATACCTCGGTCGCACCGACAGAATCAAATGCTCGCTATCAAAACAGCTCTAGATCTGGGTATCGAGATAGAGAGTAGAAAGTCACCCCCCTCAAGCCTCAGCATCCCGAGGGACAAGTCCACTTTTGAGCCTCTTGGGGGGACGGTAAGCTTATCCACCCACACCCCTCTGGGAGAGATTGAAGCCACCAACTGAGGCCAGCCGACTTTTGGTAGTACAAGTTGGAGAACCAGTTCTCTCCAGTTCCTCCTCTTCTGCCACAAGCGGGCTTCACCGCACGGAACGTCCCACCTGATACTGCATGGCGGTTCGATCGAGCTTCACACGTTCGAGTTGCTTTACTACGAGCGTGTCGTTCTTTGGCGACACCCACCAATCATGGGCTTACGACTAAATCTGATTACAACCGGATCGTCATGTCGAGTTTGTCTGGAGTCGCCAGTGTCAGCGCTAACAATTGTTTTGATATTTCCAACCTTCTAATATCGTCCTCCACCAAACCTGATTACAACCCAATTAATCATTATTCAGCAACAATGGACTCCATGAGTCCGTTGCCGACGCTCTCGTTCCACATCAACAAACAACTACGTCAACGGCGAGTATGCCGAGTCAAAATGCGTGGGACTTACACCGTTGGGAACCCCAAGGATGAATCTGTCTGAAATGATGGCCGTGGCTGGAGACGATGATGTTGAAGCTGCCGTTGGTGCTGCCGAAGCCGCGTTCGATGGACCATGAATTTCTTTCAGTGGTGAACAGCGAACGACCAACTTCAACAAGTTCTGTACCATCTTGGCCACTTTCAACCTCCTCTGACAACCGGCAACGTCCTGATACTGAAGCCTTGAGAGAATACTCCCTTTGAGACTCCTTGGGCTTTGCTTGCGCCGCTGTTCGAGGAGGTCGGAATAACTCATGGGTGTCGTCCAACTCGGAGATAAGAGTCCAGTACTCCGATTTTGAAGATATCAACCTGGACATCGCTCTATCCCTGGACCGCCAATGTCCTTTTGGAGCGATCGAGTAAGTTTGTGGCGCCGCGATGCGAATGTATGTGCAAAAGGTCTATGATACAACAACAAAAAAAAAGAACCATTTGTTTCACTCAGCAAAACTCTAGTCTGGAGGCCAGCTGCACGCTAGGCAACTGACGTCCAGACCGAGGGAAAACCCGGTGGTTTTTTCTCGAAACGTTTCGACAGAGAATCACCCCAATAGACCCCCGTGTGAGGCCATTAAGGCAGAGTACTCCCCCCCGGGAGCTTGAGACGGCGCAGAGCCCGAACTCAAAATCCACTGACACCACACAGGCGCAGTTTCTTTTTCCGTGGTGTTGAGCCTCAAGTGTTACCACTGAGCCACCACGGTCCGAGAGATGTGTGAATGTTGAGGGAAATTCTGCAAAAGTCATTGATAACCTTTGACTTCGCGCTGAATTATTTAATAGGCCGCCCGTGCTGGGTGTGGAGGCTAACCATTCACCGTACGACGCGACGCGTGATACCTCAGTGCTGGTACCGGTGGACTTCGCACGCGACGGTTGTTTATGAGGAGAGTCCGACACGCGACTCGGTCCTCTAGCTGACACCCTCGCTCTAGAGAGAGAGAGAGTACCGTGTAGGGCCGAGAGGGCGAAACAAGACGCGAGGCCAGTGGTAGGAGAGTCACGGAGAAGAGACAAAGGCTGCTTGATCGAGACCACAGTGTTTTCAAACTCCGAGTCAGGTTCGGAGATTCTGGGAAGGGGGTTACTTGGTCCAGTGTCTATCACGAAGACTTTCCCAACAGAAGAAGTCATCATAGAGGCCGCCAAAACACCGAAAACTACCTCATGGCCGGTGGTTTTACACCAGACATCTCGAGAGCCCCGAGAGTTTCTACGAAGTTTGACGATGGCGTTGTTGGTGTCAATTGTATCAGCTACATGACTATGGTTAGGTGTCTAGTATGAGCTTTGCTACCATGTGGTTGTAGTATAATTGCAGAAGCATGAAATGAACTTGATATAGGTCTCTTACAAGATCGATGCGTTTTCCAGAACTATTGGCATGCATATTCGCTTCCTCTATCTCCAGAGGTCCTCTCTGGGGGTAGTATCAGACAATAGACACTTGAAATCTGGCCACTCTTCTCCCTATCCGTCTCGCTACCGTTGACCGTCGGCTCTCACATGGTTTGTCTGCCTTGTATCCCCCATCTTCTGTCCTGGCCATGGGGAGTGCGGAGATCTCGCCCTGATCAGCCTCGGTACACTTGAGATTGAACCTACACTGGGGAATTTCGGAGTGGGAAAACAACCACATTGAACACCTCACACACACACCATCACTCACCCCTGGTTGCGCGAGTCGGGGGTGAGCAAGGGCGGCATCACCCTGTTTCCTAATCGGGGGGTGACGCGCGAGCAGTTCGAACAAAACCTTGGCAAGATCAATTACCTGTAATTAATTACCTCGTCCATCAGTAAATATGGCTCACCACATCTTCTTCCTCTCCAATCGAGCGTCGGCGAGATACAAACCCTGACGAGAGAGCATTTGTCTCGGTATTTTGATGGCGACTGTGATCTTTCCTACGGCGTAGAGGTACACAGCGAGCGATCTTCTCCCTTCGTCGAGGTCAACTGAGGCCAATTCCAGTCCTCTTCACGCTCAAACTCAGGCATCTGGCCTGGGCACAGAATGTCGATATGATGGTGCAACTGTTCTGAATCTCTCTGTTTCATGACTTGAGCACGATGGCTGAGTCGCGGTTAGCAAAATTCGCCGCTCCAGCAGTGATATCGCTTGTTGCGTTTCTGTCCTATTCTTCGCAATATCTATTTTTGGGTATCACCCCTGGCCCATTAACCCGCAAAGAAAGCATTATTTTCAACACACTAGTTGCGTGCATATGGATCTCGTACTCAAGAGCCTGCACCACGGATCCGGGCCGAGTGCCCAAGGACTGGCAGCCCGAGGAGATCAAAGACCCGAGTCCGAGCTCTGCAGCCGACGAAGCCATCGCGAGGCAGCGCTACTGTCGCAAATGCGAGGCCGTTAAACCTCCTCGATCGCATCATTGTCGAGTATGCAAGAGGTTTGTTTTCTTTCCCTCACCCGAACCATGGGATGCTAGTCCATTGACCTTGATTCATGGTAAACAGATGCATCCCCAAAATGGACCACCACTGTCCTTGGACCGTCAACTGCGTATCTCACTTCACGTTTCCGCACTTCATGCGTTTCCTGTGGTACGCGGTGTCGGCCATGTGCTACCTTGAGTACTTTCTGTTCGTGCGTGGACGTATCATCTGGGACGACCGACACATGCCGAGCGTAAGCATTTGCCCTGGTATATTTATCAAACGCCTGGACTGCACAGCTAACGAGCCGGCGCGAGAACAGTACCTTGGACCAACCCTACCGCAGATGATTCATCTGTTCTTCTTGATCGTCCTCAACTCTCTCACGCTCTTCATGGTATCCATCACCTTCTTGCGCACGATTTGGGGTCTGGGTGGCAACGTAACGACGATCGAGAGCTGGGAGATTGAGCGCCACGCAAAATTGCTACGACGAGCACGGGCATTAGGAGGGTTTCTGGACGGGCCAGACGGGATCATGATCCGCATCACGCGACAAGAGTTCCCTTACGACATCGGAATCTGGAGTAACATCGTGCAGGGTATGGGCACGTCGAACGTGATCGCGTGGTTTTGGCCTTTCTCGCCAACCCCCAAAACAAGCGGGATCGTGTTTGAGACGAACGGATTTGAAGACCCGGGGACGAGCTGGCCTCCCCCTGACCCTGATCGAATGCCACGACTTGCTCGGCCACTCGACCCCGAGGACGCATTTGTCCATCAGCATGCCGGTCTCTCACCTGACGACGAGCTGGTGGCCTTCAAGGAGCGTCAACGGGCCGACTTTGAGCGTCGTGCAGAGCATTATGGTGGGCCCGTCAAGAGACGGAAGCCGTTCCATGAACGCTTCGAAGAAGAGAATGGCACACCAATCGAGAATGACTACTATTCTGACAACGGCGACGATGACGGTGACGGGAGTGTCAGCAGTGGCGAGGAAGGGTGGCAGGATTCAGGAGGAAACAGGCTCAAAGACTACGGTGTCGATGAGGAGGTTGAGTTCTACGACGAGGACAATATTCCCATTGCAGAATTACTTCGTCGGCGGCGTGGACAGGGGAAGTAATAATCACCGGTGATGGCCCGATGTCGGTTCCCGCGGAGGCTTTTGACCCGAGAAGAAGTACGGGTAGGAATGGCAGTTCCTCTTGTTTCCCCATGTTCAACTGCCCGTGCAACGAGGAATCTTTGGAGTTGGCCGTGGGTTGCGTGGGGGATTGAAAAACCCCCACGTTGACGCCCAATGTCCGTCCGCGAAAGACTCAGAGGTCACACGCCGTTGAGAGGAGTCTTTGCGTGTATATTGTAGCCTTGAGAAAGAAAGGAACAACTACAGGACACATAGAGTGCTGCGTATGACGCTGAATGAGTGCTATACAAAATACAGCACCCGGCCCGGGCGTCTAACAGAGCAGGGACAATTAGATACGATGCATCGCAGCACGCGCCCTTCCACATTCATGTCGTCGAACTCTCTCCGTACGGACAACTCTCCTTCTACAGCAACATCCCCGATCGGCAGGGTACTTGTAGCTACCAAGGGAGTGAATCATGCCCGCGTAACGAGGGTGCCAGTTACTCCGTCACCCCACGTTCTCCACACTCCACCGTTCGTCGAGGGCGATACGAGTGCGACCACGTTCTGTTCTCCTCGCTCGGTCTTCTCACGTCCAGACCCGAAAACGAATAGAATAAGCCTGTGAAACGAGAGCCGGCGTGTCGCCGTGTTGAAAGTCAATACCATACGCCATATATGCCGTGACAGCCGTCCCGCGTGCCACTGAATATCCCAAGTCGGTCGTGAAGTCATTGCTCTTTTGTTTGATTTCAAGCTCTCCCTCTCCCCTCTAGTCATACATTTGCTGTTTGATAGATTTCCTCTTCCATCTACAGAACGAGACAAGGGCGGGGATTTTTTTTACACCAAAGAGTATCTTGGTCAACATATATTATTCATACCCATTGATCGTTTTTCGCCGAGGAGCATCATCATATCTCAAGATGAACGGACACCGACCAACGCGACAGCTGCAACCAGGCATCAACGTGCCCATGGTGGCATTCTTCGACCCAGAAACCGAAGACGTCGATGTAGCCACCGTGGCCAAACACGCCGTCAGACTCGCAAAGGCCGGTCTCAAGGCCGTCACCTGCCAAGGGTCAAATGGCGAAGCGGTCCACCTCACCCGGGAGGAGAGAAAGCTCGTGACGAGCACGACGAGAAAGGCACTCGACGACGCAGGCTTCTCGGACATGCCGATCGTGGTAGGATGTGGAGCGCAGTCGGTCCGCGAGACGGTCCTGTTCTGCCGAGACGCCGACGAAGCCGGCGGCGACTACGCCTTGGTCCTCCCGCCGTCCTACTACAAGGCGTCGTACAAGCAAGAGAGCTTCGTCGAGTTCTTCCAGGACGTCGCGACGGAGTCGCCGATCCCCATCCTCATCTACAACTACCCCGGCGCCGCCGCGGGCGTGGACCTCAGCTCCGACACCATCATCAAGCTGGCCAAACACCCCAAGATTGTCGGGTGCAAGCTGACCTGCGGAAACACCGGCAAACTGAACAGGATTGCCAACGCCGTCAACGCCGCCACCGCCACGGATGCCGGATCGGGCTGGTTGTGCCTGGGTGGTTCAGCCGACTTCACCTTGCAGACCATGATCGCCGGCGGGTCTGGGGTCATTACCGGCCTGGGTAACGTGGTGCCCAAGGCTTGCGTCAAGGTCTTTGACCTGTATGCCCAGGGCAAGGTCGAGGAAGCACAGAAGATCCAAGCGATCGTCGCCCGCGGTGACTGGGGGGTCATTGCAGGCGGCATTACAGGTACCAAGAGTGCTTTGCAGACCTACTATGGCTACGGTGGTTATCCCCGACGGCCACTGCCCAAGCCAAGCAAGGAGGACGTGTCCGCGTTCGAGGCTGCTCTGAAGGAGGTAGTCGAGCTTGAGAACTCATTGTGAGAAACACCTTGGTTGCTCGAGATTATAAGAATGTGTCGACAGAGTTGATTTCATGGAGGTTACATTGATGGCATTTGTCCTCGGGGATTATATCACCGCGTTTCCATATCATGGTTTTGTCGTCTTGCGTCCGAGTGTTCCCGCCGAACACTTGAAATATTCATTGCTTCCTCTCTCTCTCTATCTCTCTCTGTTCATGTTTTTGATCTCTTATCGAGCCGATGAATTCCTGTCCCTGTGACTCCCAAACAAGGGGACTACTATCAGACCGTCACTCTCGACATCCCTACGCAGGATAAGTGCTCACAACATGTGAATCATGGGCATACTGCAGGCAGCACACGTCGAGATCCAAAGGCAGTGAAATGATCAGGTGCAAAACAGGAGGCAGTGAATAAGGGGTTCCACTCCGAGGGCGGTCAAGCCTCCTCTGAGCCTATCACGGCCACACCCTCCTATTTCCAGTCCATATATGTTTGAGACGTGAACTTTTGTCACATAGCAGCCCCGAAGAGGTCGGGATGGCGTAGCATGACCGCGCTACATTGGGAGGGGCTGCGCCCGTGGTTTGGTAGGTTGGGCCATTCCAGGACGGATCTAGCGGTCGTTCTGTCTCGACTTGCGGAGTATGCGGAACCCAAGATCAGTGGACGCCCCTACGCGCAGGAGCAAATGGAGTGGTAGTGTAGGTGGTTCAATTCGGGCCATCTACACTCGCCTGCCTTATCTTTTTTGCAGCTTTTGGTGGTGGTTGAGACGCGTACGGACGCGCAGAATGGTGAAGTGATGTAGTGTGGCGGCCACCGTAGCACGAAAAGTATGTCTACGTGTCGAGGTCTCCCACTCATATTGTCGAGCAACGCCTGCAGGTCAAATGGACAAGATATCACTCCTTTCAGATGCTGGTGTGGCCTTGATATTGTGACTGTCCGCGTCGAGGAAGATCTAGAACAGTAATTGTGGAGCTCTTTATACCTAGATCGGGAAGGGTGGAAGAGACTGTGAGCAAAAGGGAACTAAACCAGCAAATACATGCAAGGCTCCCGTTGAAAAAGCCCTGTGACCCCAGCAGAAGCATGGAAAGACGATGAGAACACATCTACTACGACTGTCTCGAGACTGTTGAAAGCGAGGCCACCACTCCTGAGCCTGTGTCTCCCAAGTCTTCCACATCGGAAGGCGCTTCTTTCAAGACATGTTGCAGCTCTAACCAGCACTCTTCTCTGGCATCGACACTGGCTAGGCAGATTTCCTGCTTATGACCCAACTTCTAGATTACGGTATGCTCAATATCGAAGCAGTATGGACCACCTTCCGTGATACAATGTAAATCCTGCTGCTCATCGAGAAGTTCAAAGAGTGCCCCTAGCATTGACGGAGTGGTAGATTGTCGGTGACCGCGGAGCGTGCGTTAGCCGAACTGGAGTCCTTCAAGAAGCACTGCCTGCTCCTTCGGCATTGCCAACTTGAGTTCACCGCGCACACAACCTGGAAGCCTTGAAGCTTCCCAGAAAAATGCATCTACACCTTTGAAGGGGCGTCACCATAATTGACATCCCTTTCAGGGAAATGGCCCATTTCCAACCAATAGTTCACCAGTGACCCTTCGCCTCCCCACATCTCCTTGCCAAAAGCACGTATAAGGTCCAGTCCGTTGAGCAACGCTCCGCTCGTCCAAAGCTTGCCATCGCGCTGCCAACGTTTCTCCTCCCATTTGGTGTCCGGGGCAGTCTTCCGGGCATAGGGCAGCAAGAACCGCGGACACGTTGCCGACTTACCCTTGAGCACTCCGGCGTCCAGCGCTGCCTGTATTCCACCGCAGACGGTGATGAAGGCGGAGCTGTTTTCGTAGGCTTTGCGCACATATGCGAGTTCGACCTCGTTAGGCTGGTACCCGACATTATGGGCTCCCATGAGGACAATGTCCAACACTGGAGCATTGGCGAATGTGTCCTACATGTGACGACGTCAGTCTGGAGGTCCTCCAACCCGGATGCGAAAGGATGGGCATGTCTCTCTACCGTCGGCTGGAGGGTAATGCCCCAGTTAACTTTGCTGGGTTTCCTGTTTCATTGACCCAGTGAAACTTGAAATCGATGGCTTGTTCTCGGAGCTTCGGGTCCAGCCAATCTTCAGGCCAGTCTTGGATGGAATCTTTCGTGAGACCGTGAAAGAAATCGACGGGGGCAACATCCAAAATCTCGGTTTCACTGCAATACCCAGTCAGTGGCATAGACGAAGGCCGGAGGGGCATTGTTCGTACCCTCCCATCAAGACGACACCGACATGAATGGTGCGATCAGGGTTGGCGAGATCGAGTGCTGCAGGCATTGTGATTTCGGAGTAGTGCTGGCTACTCTGCTCTGTGTCGTTCGGCTGCAGGGTCAAGCTCAGTGAGTTTCCAACACCATCTTTTATAGCTGGATTGGCCCTGTTCAGGCTTTGATTGAAATCTCTACGGAGGTCAGTTCTTCCGCCTTTCAGAAGCGTGCGAGGCGACGCGAGCATTGTATGGGGTCATTTTGCTTGCAAATGACCCGGTCACTGAGACCAAGGGTTCAAATATTGGTACCACTGTCTGATGCTGAGGCGTGTCAAAGGCCAATGACGATAGGAAAAATGGTTCTGCCTGTCCCTCAACCCGGACTCAAGTATCTGGACCTACGGAGGCAGGAATAAGGTCTCCAGCGCCCGCATTTCATTCCAACGCTGACCCGTAGCGATTCCTCGATATGCATTTGTACATATTGCCAAAATAGGAGAGATTGCCAAAACAGGACAGATTTCTGAATCTGTAATGGCGTCGGCCGCATGCACGTTCGAACGAGGTTGGCGGTTTCTCTCCCAATCGCAATCTGGGATCACCGACACACTTACTACTATGGGCCGCTGTTCGCTGCGCTTGGCGTCAGGCTCCATGGCTTGTTGGATCCAACTCTGTCTTATAGCTTGAGAAGAAGCCCAAAAGCGGAATGAGTTGGAAGACTCGAGTAACCCGGGTTGATCGATTTCCTCCTGCACTAACAGGAGCACTCGCGAGTGCATTAGATATCATAATATCTATGTAGCGTCAGCAATCACAGAACCTAGCCGAAAGCATCTCACAGTATTTCTGGCACAATCCAAAGCGAAGACTCTCATACCAGGCGAATCACACTCCGTCGGCAGTCTCGATATGCATAGCTAGAGGGTGAGAGAGAAGAAGGAACAGGAATGTATCCTCGGAAGATTTCGTCACGTACCCGATCGAACATGGGATACTGTGACGATTTCGAGTACTGCGTTGAGACGAGGGATTGAGTGTGTAGGAACCTTGTCCCTAATACTCCGTATCTGAGAGCGCAGACACGTGGAGCTGTTTCGGGAGGCTGCCAAGACAACGCGTGAGGCGCGTAAAGTTGCCTGCATTTTCCATTTTCCATTTTCCATTTTTACGCTCAGGTAGTCCAGGCATTCAAGATCTCTCTGCCCGGAGTGCCCAACATCTGTGCAGATGGACCGAAGATGCCAATTGAGGCACTCCCGGAGACCACCACACGGGCTCTTGGATCGACACTTGTTCTCAGTGACGCAAAATCGGTGGTCAAGGAACTCGTCGACAACGCCCTCGATGCGCGAGCCACAGCCATCGGCATCGAAATCTCCACCAACACTATAGACGCCATCCAAGTCAAGGACAATGGAATCGGTGTCGACGTACAAGACAGACAACTCCTATGCAAGAGAGGCTGCACTTCCAAGATCAGGTCTCTGGATGACCTCAATCGCCTCGGGGGTACCTTTCTGGGGTTCCGTGGCGAGGCCCTTGCCAGCATCGCCGAACTGAGCTCAGCTGTGAGCGTGACAACACGAGTGGAGGGCGAGATCGTCGGGACAACTCTCAAGTATACGGCTTCGGGCATGCAGAGGTAGGTTCGATTGACTTTCGCTGCTCTCGCTGTTTCATGACGTTTTCAGTTCTTCCTCCGCTTCTCATCCGGTGGGCACAACCTTTCGAGTGCAAGACTTTCTCACCAAGATACCCGTGCGAAAGCAGGCCGCCCTGAAAAGTGCTGCCAAAACACTGCAATCCGTCAAAAGTCTTCTTTTCGCTTATGCCTTTGCTCGGCGTGACGTTCGATTTTCTTTGAAGGTTCTCAAATCTAAAAACGAAAAATCAGACTGGGTCTACGCTGCCAGTCGAAACGCCTCTTTGAGTGAAGTCGCTACCAAGATTGTAGGAAAAGAGATCGTATCGGAATCTGTTCCATACCGGTGGCCCCCCACTGAGGGCGAGCAAGGCGTCGAAGATGGGTGGTCCCTCGATGCGCTTCTTGTCTCTTCAGATGCAGGTGCGTTTTTCATACCATACAACTCTTGGTTCTACTAATGTCGCTAGACGTTGAGAAGATACGGGGTGGTCCTCAATTTCTATCAGTGGACGGCCGGCCTGTCAACACAGAACGAGGTATAATGAAAGAAATTGTCAAGAGCTACAAACGCTATCTAAACCGTGTCCTACCGAAGTCTACCTCCATATCTCGGCCTTTCATCTGCATGCAGATACGGTGTCCGCCCGAAAGCTACGATGTTAATGTCGAGCCTGCAAAGGATGAAGTGCTCTTCTTTCGACCGGACCAACTCTTGTCATTGGTGGAACAACTGTTCGAAAAAGCCTATGGTGGTGTCGATGCACCCCCCAAAGAACATCCGGAAATGGGGCACCCAAGTGTCACTATTGTGTCTGCTCCGGCTATAAATACCGCAGACTTGCAAGATGTGCAAGAACCCTCTGCGACGGACCGAAACGTACGTTCTCAACCCTCTTCGGAGGCAGAAGAGAGTTTCGGGGCTATAAGAAACCCCTTTACCATTGCCGCCATGAACAAGATTGTCTTGCCGAGAAAGATGGGCACATTTACTAGGGCAAGAGCATCCTCATCCTCTGGGTCAAGTTTCGTAACGCTTGAACCTGAAGAGCCCATTCCAGGTCTGCTGCGTAGTGACTACAGACAAGAATTTGGACAACAGGACCAGCTTCCATCTCCCACTTCTTCAGATGGATCTGATTTGTTACCGTATCAGAACCCGGGTCCTCCGAAGCGACCTTGGCCTCAGAAGGATAAACAGAGTTTGCATACCATTTCCGATCCTCGAACCAGTCATGGGATAGATAACACTTCAACGTCCCAGCAGATGGGTTTGGAGACATGGCTGACGCCGCAGAGCCAGTTACGACCGCAAATTTCCCGAGCTGCCCATCGGCTAGCTCAAGGTCGAGCTTCACCTAACCAGGATGAAAACGTTCCAGCTCCCAATCAAAGTGAAGACAGCACCGGAGCCTTCCCACGTGTCCCAGTTATTGCTGCAGGGCTTCGAACGGGATCCGGACAGAGACCATTCAAGGCCCCTTTGAAGCGAACTATGGAGGCATCTTCACAGTCATCGCTAGCGTCACTTACAACTTCCAGTGGTTACCGATCATCTCTCACGGGGTCTGAAAGACATGTAGAGCGAGGTGTTTTTGTCTCACCCCAAAGGTTCGGACATCGTCGAGACTTTGATTCGGAACAGAGGGGGCGGTCTCTGAGTTCAGACGAGGATAGGATGGAAATACCCGAATCTAGTCATTCTTCTGTGCCTGGATCTGAACTGTCTGAAATTATGGATTTCGAACACAGGAAAAAGACGGCAATCGCTCATCAGAAGCGACTCGCAGCAACAGCAGGAGCAGCATGGCATCATCCCATGGCGTCAGTTCGAGGTATCTTGAGTCAAAATAAGAATGTCCAGATTGTTCACGACGCAGGTTCCGAACCCGACGAAGCTGGTGCTTCCCCAAGCGACTTTGAAGGTGGTCGTCCATATAACGACGCGTCTCAAACCTCAATGGCAAAGCCCAACAATCCACATCGCAATCGCTATCTGGCTGCCAAAAGAGGTCTTTCTCATTCCCATCCGGAACGAGACGAGGGAATCGGTCCCGTGCGAGACGAACGCGAAGGTGGTTTCGTCGAGACGACCTCCCAAATGCCCGCTCCTGAACAACTACAAATACCTGACGGCGACCCAAGAGCGTATATGATCAGACATAAACAACGCCAGCAAGGCACGTCCAAGCTCTACCGCGCCAGGTCTTCCAGACTGCCCTTTGAAACAATCCCGCCACACAGTATGACCTTGAACCTCTCGGTAGCAACCCGTGCTTTTGACGATATTGGCGGCTTTAAGCGGCTCGTGCACTGTGTTGCCACTGTCGACAGATACGCGGATTCTGGCACAATGACTACGAGGATGCAATCTGTGGATATACACGATGCGATGAATGATGACTATTTGGAGACGTTACGAGAGATTGTAAAAGAGAAGTACCGATTTATGAGTCCAGAGGGAAGAGAGCTTGTTCCACATTTGAAGATTACGATGCCGGGAAAGAAGTTTTGATTCATGAGCAAGTTAATAGTATTTGTATCCATAAGATATTTGACGATGTGGGCGTTGATTCGTGTCGCGAGGAGATGGGCTCCTCGACAGCAAGAAAAGAAGAAGTCTAGGTTGATTGTAACTCTTAGAGAGCTTTTGTGGTGGTGTTGTCCCTTAACATTCAGAGAACATTTCAAGTCCTAGAGAGTCTCTGCATATCGCTACTTACTACTTACCACTTACTACTTACTAAACTGATTCTGAGGGTCTCTACATATTACCACCTCCTACTTGGTAGTCAGTCACTTGGTGTGTAGTCGTCAAACCTGAACGTGAGAGAAGCGCATTCATTGTTATTACTTTTTGTACCATGTGACGAGGTGTGAGTCAAACGTGCTCAGCCAACGTACATCAGGGAGTCTATCTACACCGAGTAATCTACGGGAACCAACTTGCTCCACCACTCTATGAACTGTGGCTTCTTTCGGCCCTGGACCAAGTCGTCGATGGCACTACCGTACCGGATCAGAGTGGCCTCGCTCCACGCCGTTCCAATCAGTGCGATGCCGACGGGGACACTGTGCGCGTTGACCCCGATTGGCATTGTCACCATTGGATACTGAAAAAGGTCTCAAAGTCAGCAAGAGTCCAACAAGTCAAACTGAACCTCACAAGAAGACTAAAAACAACAACAACAACAACAACAACAACAACAACAACAACAACAACAACAACAACAACAACAACAACAACAACAACAACAACAACAACAACAACAAAGAGGGGGAAACAGTCAAATGTCATAACCGTAGCCAAGGAAACTCACCCCAGCTGTAGCAGGTAGATTGGTCGACCCGGACCCCGACGGAACAAGGAGTGCGTCAAGCTTGATCTCGGTGCCGTTGGGATACGTGTAGGACAGGGCAGCGTCGATGCCTTCCGTCCTCGACACTCTGTCCAGGTACGCCAGGCACTCGTAGTACGAGCTGTTCATCTCCCCCTTGGTCTCGAGACTCTCCATGAATCCGTCCTGGCCAGACCTGAACCCGGCCACGGTGCCGGGAATGCCGCCCTCGATGCCGGTGTATTCGATGTTGTAAGCGATGAGGTCCTCGACGCCGCGGAGGTTCGTGTTGTTAAGTTCAGACAGGTAGTCGCGGATGTTGTTGTAGAAGTCTACGTTGACGCGGTACCCGGCGGTGAGCAGCGGCGAGGGTCCGACAGTCCAGTCCCACCCCCGCGGACTGATGACGTCCTTGTAATGAGGGAACTCGGTTCCGTTGATGATCGTGGCACCCGCAGCCTTCAGTTGGTCGACCACTTTCAGGAGCTGGGGCACGTCCGCCTTGTTCCCTGTCTGGTTCCACAAAGACAGCCAGGGGAGACCGAACTTGGCCCCCTTGAGGGCATCCTTGGTCGCGAGAAATTGTGTGTAGTTGCCGTCCTTGGGTCCCTGTTGGGCTGAAGTGTAGTTGTCGCGAGGGTCGACGCCGACGATACCTTCGAGGGCATAGATGGCATCTTTGAACGTCCGGCCGAAGCTGCCCACAGTGTCTTGGTGGACGGACTCGGGAATCACGCCGGCCCTAGACGTCAGGCCAACTGTGGGCTTGAAGCCGACCAGAGATGCGCGACGGGCTGGACCAATCACTGAACCGTCGGTCTCGGTGCCAAAGCTGATGGGTATCATGTTGGAGGCCACCGCCTGGCATGAACCAGACGAAGAGCCGCCGGGTGCGGTGGACAGGTTGTAAGCGTTGCGAGACTGGCCTCCTCGTGCTGAGTATCCCGAAGACTTTGAATTGGTTCGCATGCTGGCCCACTCGTCCAGCGTGGCTTTGCCTAGCAACACGGCACCTTTCTCGCGGAGCAGCTTGACAATGTGTGCATCACGAGGCACAATGGATCCCAGGAGGGCGTACGACCCAGCAGTGGTTTCCATTTTGTCCTTGGTCGCCATGTTGTCCTAGATCATAGGTTGGCGTGTGCCAGGAAAGGAACTTCCGGGTTAGGGTCAGATGTACGTACCTTGACGACGACCGGAATACCATGCAGAGGTCCACGGACAGTACCATTGGCACGTTCAGCATCGAGTTGGTCTGCGATCATGAACACATCGGGGTTGATTTCTTGGATTGCACTGTGGGTGACTGTTAGCGACTGACATTACAAGGACTACAAGGTTGGCATCGCTCACTTGACATATTCATTCAACTGCAGAATGCGACCGAGATAGCATTGGACTAGCTGTCTAGAGGTCAATTTACCACCCGCCATCCATCCCTGCATTTGATCAATGGTCGCCTCCTCCAAAGCTACGCCGTAGCACTCTGCCATTGGAAATGGGTTCTCATGCTCCGAGATCCTTGCCGGAGCTGTACTGTTGGGGTTCTGCCAGGCCCCTGCATTTTGTGGAAAGTAGAGACTGTTGTTGGACAGGTAGGGCGCATCAAGTTCCAAGAGAGATGCTGTTCCCTGCACGGTGGACAGAGAAGTTACCGTGCACAGGAGCCCCGCGACAGTCGAGAGAACGAAGGGCCTCATTGTCCACATCCTGCTTCACCTTTGCGCTTGCCGGATTTACAGGTTGCAAAGCACGGACAAGCCAAAAACCACGGCGGCCAGACGGTGTCTTTATAAGCCATTCGAAAGCTCCCGATTCGTGACCGTTCACCTATTGTAGATGTTGCGGGCCTTCCAAGAAAAATAGAACCGTGGGCATTTCGATAGTCATCGTCAAAAGTAGCTTTGGCGTATTCCAACCGCGCGACTGGTGACCTCCAATAGCAGACACGGGACAAAGGTACCAGCTGTATGGTAGCTAGTCATCGCAGGCCAAGAGGCTACCAAGCTAATTGCTCTTAGACAGTGCAAATTATTGACAATAACGTAGAGTAAGGCGGTCTGAGAACATAGAAAAGACGGCAACTTGTCTTATCAGCGGGACGGGAAGATGTTGACAAGCGGGCAGTCGGACTTTCTCGGTTTCTTAAGTGGGCTAATGCTGTGGAGCACCACAAGGCTGTGGAGTATTGAACCGCAATACTCCGGAGAGAAGGCCCGTGATCAGAAAAGCTGACAAAGTCGAGAGGTTCCTGTCTCTTGACCTTACTTGTATTGTCGTTGCATGAACCTCATCTCAGAGCGGTAACCCGCGGACAAGGTTAAGTGAGTGGCTGAAACCCGGTAGACAATCAGAAAACAGTCTGTCACCAATCTCTCCTCACCTCACTCTGACAGGTCGCCAGAGTGGAAAAAGTGAACAGGCGAGGCAGACCGGACATTTCCAGAAGGCGCCAATTGCGGTTGTCATGAGACTGTGGGCTGCGCGGGGCTCTCACAAGCGGCTGCTGATTGCCAAAGGCCAAACGAGAGGACTAGATCGGAGCCAAGAATAGTGAATGCATCGCTGCAACTGCTCTCTCTTGCCGGTCCTGCCCAATTTCTTCGGATTGAGGGCGTAGTTGTGCTTTACCAGCGGACGTCGGGGTGATGAGAATCTGCAGTCCGAAAAGAGCGTCGATTGCGTAAACATACAGCGCCTCTGCATTCTGATAATGCCCTTGGAGATAATATATGATTGGTAGTTGAGCCAGGCACTTTTTTGTAGCGGCGGCATGATCTCGACCAAGGCGCATCTCGTTATCCTGAATTGCGTGGTTGCAATAGGTGGGACGAGATAGCAGTGGTGATGGACAATCTCTGACTATCACGAGGCTCAAAAGGTTGGACAATCCGAACCAAATTACTTCTAGGTGAGTGCTCGATGTTATTCGCGACTTAGCCTGATGCTAGCCGAATATTGCCGGGGAACAGAAGAGCGTCAGAGCGTCGTGGTGTCCTCTCATACTCTCGGATGTTGTTCGTAAAGTCCTGCTGGTACTTTTCCTATGTCATCGACATAAGGAGACTGTATGAGAGCTCCTGAGATATACCTGACTGAGTTATGATTTGATCTCAATCTCCAAGGACTACCGTCACTCCCTTGATTCTGCAAGAGAAATATCTGCCGAAGAAACTTACTGGTGCACGGTTCCCAAGTCTGGTAATTGAGCCGTTGATACTCACCTTCCTGGCGCAGGCTTTCGAGAGTTCTGTCCTAACCATGTCAGCGTCACGCTTGAGAAATCCATACCTTATGTACCAGTATAGGCACAGCCTTACTAGGCGAGGCTGCGACGGCAAATCCCCACTCAGACGCTGACGCGCAAACGGAGTTCCTCATTCCTTATCAGCCTTGTCTGCTCTGTACCCAGTCCGTAACAAAACTCACTATCCAGTATCCCCGGAGCATCACCATATTCCAAACAGTTATGGAAAAGTCCGTTGCCCAGACTCGTCTCGTATCTCCGCATACCCCCCGTGAGCCACAAATCTTGATGGAGGAGAGCTACAGGAGCTACCTTCCCAGGACGGCTTAGGGTGGTGGAGCTGCCGTTATCTTCTTGACCGATCGTTGCGGGAGGCGTCGCGAATGATCGACACGCAGCAATTGAATATGGATATGACAACACGATTTCAATTTCACTTGCCCCGACTGCGCAGGAACCCAACGTCAGAGGTATGCGGGCTTCTCCCGTAAGCATGGACCAAGAATTCAGGAAGGCAAGGACGCCCTTGGCTGTGCTGATAAGGAGTCAGACATGCCGTCGATCACTTGTGGAATCCAACACCGTACGACCACGTTTAAAAGGGTCTCGGCTCCTACGTAGACACATGGCTTCCATGCTTGATCGACCTGCGCGTCCATCTTGCCGGTCATGAAGTTCACAACCCCCAAGTTCGAGAGACCTCATCTCAAGGTTGAACAGCCCAAGTCCTCGTTTGCCGAAGGCAATTCACGATGGTAAGTAGTTTGAGAATTCCCCGTCTCATTGTCGTTTCCAACAGCTGTCTCCGTACACTCTGTACTCATTGCAAGATTTGAGGATGACAAAGACCATCCTTCCGAGCTGGGCATCGCGAAATGTTGTGCTCTGGCGTTTTGACGCATTGTTGACTTTATCTCTAGGACAAACAAGGATCTCGACCCTGTCCCACCGGCACGTCGTAAGTGGGGGGTGGTCTCCTTTATTGCCTACTGGATCTCGGATGCTTTCAACGCCGCGACATGGCAATTTGCTTCAGCAATGCTCGCTGTGGGCCTATCGTGGCGTGAGTCCTTGGGTATTGTGGCATTGAGTTTCTTCATCATATCTTGGGTTGTAAGTTGATATTATGTCTCGATGATAAAGGCTATGCCTGACGAACATGAACCTAGATCGCATTTAACGGTGCCATTGGAGTGCTACACCATGTTCCGTTCCCGGTCATAGCTCGAGCAAGCTGGGGTTTCTGGGGCTCATACGTTGCGATCATCTCCAGAGCCATTCTCGCCATCTTCTGGTTCGCCATACAAACCATGAACGGTGCCAACACAGTCCGTGTCATGATTGGAGCGATATGGCCGTCGTTCTTGCGACTGAAGAATCACATTCCGGAATCCCAAGGTATCGATACTGCGACGATGATATCCTTCTTCATCTTCTGGCTCATTCAGATCCCGTTCGTAGTCATGCACCCCAATCAACTGCGCTTCCTGTTCATGGCCAAGACAATCATTGTCCCTGCGGCTTGGGTGGCGATCCTGATATGGGCGTTTGCGTCGACAGACGGGGGTGATATCTTCAAGCAGCGAGCAACCGTGTCTGGGTCGGCTTATAGTTGGGCCTTTCTCTCCTCAATGACCTCCACCATCGGAAACTATGCGACATTGTCAGTCAACCAGGCCGACTTTTCCAGATACTCACGTGTGTCGGTGAAGTGGCAGTGCATGTATGTGCCGATGCTACCGGCCTTTTTCACCTTCATCGCATTCATCGGTATCGCCTCCAGCAGCGCGGGTGGCTACCATTATGGCATTGTCGAATGGGACCCAATGGCACTGGTAGGGCACTGGGACAATCGAGCAGCTCGATTCTTTGCTGCCTTCTCCTTTGCGTTAGCCGCGCTGGGTGTCAATATCTCAGCGAATAGTTTGTCCGCTGCCAATGGTAAGTCTCCTGACTTTCACCTCTCGAGACCAAATGACTGTGCTGACTCGTTTAGACCTCATGGCTCTTGCTCCAAGATACATCAACATGCGCCGAGGTCAACTCATTACTGCTTTCATCTGCTGGGCGCTCGTTCCCTGGAAGATCCTAGAGTCGGCGGGCAGTTTCCTGAATTTCATGTCAGCGTACGCCATATTTCTTGGACCGATCGCGGCCATCATGCTCTTCGATTTCTGGGTCATTCACAAGCGCAAGTACGACACGATCGCGCTGTACAATCCACATGGGATCTATCGGTATACGTATGGTGTCAACTGGCGTGCCATTGTAGCATTCCTGGTCGGCGTTGCACCTTCACTTCCGGGCTTTGTCAACGGCATCAACAACAACATCGACGTTGGGAGTGGTGTTCATCCATACCAGTTCGGTTGGCTGCTTGGGTTCGTCGGCACGGCCATCGTGTACACGATACTGTCGCTTGTGTTCCCGGCCAGAGAGACCTTCATTGAGCGTGCTCTGCGTCCTGACGAGGTGTTTGCACAGCAGGGTGAGATCGTAGAGGAGGAACACGGTGCCGTTCAAGTTGACCAGATCGACTCTGAAAAGGGTGGCATCAGACGTCGGCTAGAGAAATTTCTATAGAACAGAATCTGGATTCTTCAAGTTGAGGAACCACATCTTCGTCCATGGGCTTTTCCTGACGTTGAATTGCCCTGTTGTAAGTGACCACAACTGTGTGCGGTCTGACAAATGTATCCGCATAGTAAGCCGTGAAAAATGGAAGAAATTCAAGACGTCAGACGAGGAGGTTCTCCGCTTGGACGTTTCCCGAAACTCTACATCAATCTCACCTCGTTGCACCGCGTAATTCATTGTTCTCTGCTGCCTCACAATCGAACAGCCAGCCAGCTTACGCCGTCAAGTATTTGACCTTGAAAGAGCGCGAACAGTTATACTCCCATCCACCAGCATTTCAAGTCCTTTCCCGTTCCCATCCTCCATGGCAGCGGTAGGCGAGACGTCTCTCCAGACACTCCTCTCCAGCCTCACGCTCGTCCTTCACGAGCCAACATACGTCTTCCTTACCATCCCGCACGAGCAATTCCGCAGTCCGTTCATGATCCCATTTGCCGACATCCTGCTCTCGTTTCGCGAAGCCGAGGGCGTCACGCTCGTGGTGACACAGTCTCTCGCCGAACAACATGCACTGGCGTACCAGTACCCGTGCCGGATGATCACGTGCAATGTCCATTCGAGTCTCGAGGCAGTCGGGTTCATGGCTCACCTCGCCACCAAGCTCGCGGGGAAGGGCCTAAGCGTGAATCCCGTGAGTGGGTATTTTCACGACCACTTGTTCGTCCCGGTCGAGAAGGCACGCGAGGCCGTCGAAGTGCTGGAGAAGGTGAGGGAGGATGCGGAGCGAGCGACTACGAGCTTGAAGCAGTGACCTTTTTTGGGTATTCTTCACAAAGACAACGGCGATGTGCTACCAGCTCCACGTTGCCTTCTAGGCGGAATCATTCAAAGAAAGCTGAGTGTGATAATTCTGTCACGCCCTAAGCCGTATCTTCAACTGGTTATCACTCCGAGGCTATCGGCGAGGAATTCAATACCTCTCTTTCTCTTCGCATTGTCATCTTGATTCTCTTTGATTCTCCATCTATCATATCAGATATCCTTCGGCAACGTCTCTATGTCCTGCACGTCCTTCGGCAACACACTCTGGGTCGCGACCCCTTCGTTGTCCCACCTCGTTTGGGCATCTAGCATTGTCTCCTTCGCGGTGTCGGGTCTGGCCACGAAGTCCTTGACTCCCTGAGCCGGGAAGAAATGATGCAGCGCAACAAAGGTGACGGCTGCGATGGAAAAGCCCACCAAGAACGAAATATAATAGACTCTGGTCCATCCGACGGACACGGTGATTGAGTTGTTGACGTTGCTGACGAAGCCAGGCATGCTGGGGAAGACACCTAGTACCCACTGTCAAGCGAGCAATGTCAGCATGAGTCGAGCATCACCGGGAGGGATGTGTGACAGCGACGCAGCCTGTCGAGTCTCATGGGTGTAACTCACAGCAATGGGTGCACGCCAGTTGATGCCCCAGGTGTACCAATATATGCTCTCTCGGTTCCCGCGGAATAGATCGTCGACCTTTATTTTTCTCTTGTTTACAATATAATAACTTGAGATCATGAGACCGACCTGTTCGTGATGTCAGAGTCCAGCAGCAACAAAAACCCCCAGCCACGATATGAGGAGCTCCAGCTTGCTGGTCGTTGGTTGATCTGAGGGTTTGAATAGTTGGGGCGACAGGGAGCACCAGCACTCACCATTGGTCCAAGAAAGACACCATAACTGCTCAATACAGCCAAGAAAGTCGACGCACTAGCAAGTAATTGCCACGGGTTCACTACCATGCTCAGTAACGCCGTAATGTAAGCTCCCCTTCGAATATTGATGAAGGTCGGAAATGTGGCAGCCAGATCGAAACCACCACTGAGAGCGTTGCCTGGAATATTGATCCCCCATTGCGAAATTACCAGAGCCGCGCCGGCAAAGAATCCCGCAGCACGACTACGGCCGTGTCCGGCTCTCATCATGGCAACCAAGAGACTTGGCAACGACCACAAAGGCTCGCCGTATCGTTGCTGTGTGGCTGCGGTGACTAGAATGCCGATGACGGAACTGATGATGGAATATGTCGCGGCACTTGCAATTTGGCCCCAGATGGCATCTTTAGGCCGTTTCGCGAACCTCGCATAGTCCGACTGATTCAAGATACCTGCTGCGATGCCTCCAATGGCGCTGATGATGCCGTATAAGATCATCCAGCCCACTGATGTATCCTGGATTGCCGGCTTGGAGGAAATTGTGTCGCCGAACCCGTCCATGGTGGCCAGAGCCCAGATGAGCAAGACGACTTCGAAGACGAGAATGCATGCCACACCGACGTATAGGAACGCTTTGAGCTTATGAGGCCTGATCCAGATCAGGGGCAACGAGATCAGGCAGAAGATGACGTAGCACAGGAAGGTGGCAGACGTCAATCCTGTCGCATGGATGTGGTTGGGAATGCGTTCTTCGAGGTTTGGCCAGATGGCTTCCAGACAAACGTAGACACATTGTCCGCCGATCCAGGCTTGAACGGCATACCACACCAGAGAGAGCAGGATGCGGTTGTAGATGACGAAGCTTGAGCCGTACATGCCCCAGACCTGCAGACTTGTCAGATACGTAGTTCCACGGGTGACGGACTCTTGAGATATGAGGCCGACGAGGTTTCAGGACAAGAGATTTTCTTACGTAGCGATTGGCAATAGGAAAACCGAGGTGGTAGTAGGCTCCTGGCATCGAGTTCAGGACGATGAAGACGGTGGAGAGGATGGCGCCGACGATGATTGCAATGATTGCTTGCCACCATGTCAGGCCCAGTGCGATCAAGGAACTTCCAGTCATGTATGTTGAGATGTTTGTGTTGGTTCTGTGATGTTGAGATGGCTAATGAGTATATGCAGTATATGCAGTGTGCGCGTTCAAGAAGCTTGTGAAAACTTACAAAACCCCTGTGAAGCGATGAGGGTTAGTACAACGCAGCGTCGACCTCGTAGATCCTCCTCCGCGAAGGTGACTTACATAGATTATGAAACGTCCAGAACGTCCATGTCCTTCTTCCCTCCTCGATAGGTTTGATGTCGTTGTTAATCCACTGATCCCACCGACGGCGTTAGACCATAATACACAAAGGGCTCCGGTGTGAGAGAGAAAAGTCGTGGAAGCAATGTCGAGCTTACCCTATCGGAGACGGTGCCCTCGTCTGGGACCTCCAACTTCTTGATGATTGTTTTAAGCTTCGCCATGGTCGTCGATTCGAGCAGGTCAGAGTTGACTTCACGGATTCAACATCAAGGTGCTGCGAATACTGCCGCTGGGTGGTAGCAAAAGAAAAAAATTTCTACAAGAGGTGCAGAGATCCTGGGAGGAAACAGCCAGATCCCAGTCCTCAAAATGGACGACAACGCACCGATATTAATAACTTTCGATTGGGCTCGGAGAGTGTGCAAGCGATGAGGGATACAAAGGTACACATCTTTTTGGCTATCTTCGCGCTTCGCACTCGCCTTAAAGTAAGGTTTAGACCGCTTTGGTCGAGAACGGTAGATTAATCAAGCTATCAGCATTCGCCTTATCTTTCATTTCTTCAACAAAGACTGCTGGGATTCGGTATTGGCGACGGTGGATTGGAGAGGCAAAAAGTGGGTTTACTTCTGAAGTGCCAGCCACCCATGCGATCAGCAAGAATTGGTACAGTCATGGCTTGGTGCTTGCAAGGTAGGGGAGCTCGGAGGAAGAAGTTCTGGAGCAGAGGCCAACCATCTTACAAAGAGCCCGAGAAGACCATCCACCCCGAGATCTCCCACGAATGGGAGACGATCGACGCCGAGGAAGGGTTTGATGACCCTTAAGTCGAAAGCACGCTGGCCGCTGGGTGGTGCCGAGGGTAACCTCATCTGATGTCCTTCAGACCACCCAGGTACCCGTACCATGTTCCCAGTGGAGGAGGGCTCAACAGAGTTTGGTGCACGACGCCCCAGTGGAGCCTTAGGCAGCTTACTCAGGGTGGGAAACAAACTTGCTCCTCCGGGGTGGGCATCTCCTGCGACTTCGGGAGACACAAACGGCCCACGTACTGCACAATGCATTTTGCGATTCGACAGTCTCCGTCAAAAATGCAAGGCCAAGAAGAATACTTGGAATCTAACCGTATATGCCGGCATGACAGGAAACCGTGATGGGTCCTTTGAGATGAGCACATAGTTCAAGCATTCAACCTTTCGATCTTTGTACAGCATAGAGTCTTTTCCAATCTTCTTCAACGTCCCCGAACCGATAAAGCAACACAGCATCTTGACGTGCATTAAAGCCGGTGGTGCGCCACCGTGACTCGAGAAGGCCAAGGACAGTACTGGCTAGGGGATCTCTTCAGCCTAAGTCCAAAGATGTATCGCATAGGAATCGACGTGGGCGGGACGAACTCGGACGCAGCCATCATTGATATAAATGAAATCGACACGCCGTCTCGCGGAGTTCTCGCGACATGCAAAACGCCGACGACGGCACATGTGACGCTGGGCATCAAGGAAGCCGTTGAAAAAGTCCTCTTGGAATCCAAGGTCGATAGGAGCAAGGTCCTGAACGTCGCGATTGGAACCACGCATTTCGTCAACGCCGTGGTCGAGAACGACGCCAGGAGACTGAGCAAGGTGGCCGTGATCCGGCTGTGTGGTCCATATACGAAAAAGGTATGTCCAGCTTTGTCATGAACTGCATTGTTTGTCTCTCAGTTAGGATGTTATTGGTCTGCGTTACTGAAAAACCGAAACCTCTAGATTCCTCCATTCTGCGACTTTCCGTATGCGTTGCGCAACATCATCGAAGGGCCCCATTACTACCTTGACGGTGGTCTCGAGATTGATGGGCGAGAGATCTCGACGCTCGACCCGGCCCAGATCAAGCGCACAGCCGATGAGATTGTAGCCCAAGGAATCCAATACGTCGCCGTTGTCGGCGTCTTCTCGGCGTTGGATCACCAGGGCATCCACGAGGAGAAGTGCAAGGCCCTCCTTCAGGAGTACTATCCTTCGCTGTCGGTGGTGTGTTCCCATTCCATCGGCGGACCGGGACTGTTGCCGCGAGAGAATGCCACGATTCTCAATGCGTCGATTCTGGCGTTTGCCCGCAAAACCATCAAGGGTTTCAGACTTGCCATGGCGAAGTTGGATCTCGCGTGTCCGCTATACCTCACACAGAACGACGGCACGCTCACGGACGCCGCGGTGGCTGCTGAGCTGCCTATCAAGACTTTTGCCAGCGGTCCGACCAACAGCCTGATGGGAGCCGCCTTCCTCCAGGGACTAGACCATGGGGACAAGAAGACGGCAGATAAGCAGTTTGTCGTGGTAGACATTGGAGGCACGGTAAGTTTTGCCTTCTTAGCAATCGCGTTGTCTTGATGCCTGGGCCACCCCATCTCCCGCGGTGGACTCATATACGGTTGCTGACTAGCTTACAGACGACCGACATTTGCGCCTTACTACCGAACGGCTTTCCTCGACAAGCACCAAACTTCGTCGAGGTCGGTGGCGTACGTACAGCATTCAGTATGCCGGAGGTTTACAGCATCGGTCTCGGCGGCGGCAGTCGAGTACGACAGAGCGCGGATGGCGGCAAAGTAACTGTTGGCCCTGATTCCGTGGCGCTGCGCCTGACGACGGACGCGCTGGTGTTCGGGGGAGACGTGATGACATCCACGGATGTTGTTGTTGCCTCTGGCGCCGCGAGCATAGGCCAGGCCGACAAGGTGAAACACATCTCTCCCGAGCTGATCAGTGCTGTCAAGGCGGATATGAAGAGGCAACTCGAGAGAGCCATCGACAACATGAAAGTCTCTTCGGCCCCGGTGTCTGTGCTGCTTGTGGGAGGCGGCTCCATCATTCTCACGGACGATCTGGCACTGGATGGCGTGGAAGAATGCCTACGGCCACCTCATCACGACTCCGCGAACGCCGTTGGTGCCGCCATCGCCAAGGTTGCGGGTGAGATCGATGTCATTGAGGTTCTCGCAGGACGAGACGAAGATGCTGCAGTCGAAGCGGCGAAACAGGCTGCCATCAAAGCTGCCATTGCGAATGGAGCTGACGAGAGCACCGTGCAGATTGTCGAGATCAAGAAGATCCCCCTGCAGTATGTAACGAACAAAGCCACTCGATTCGTAATGAAAGCGGTGGGAAATCTTCGAGTACGAGATGGACCAGGCTGTGCCCACTCCAACGGTGTCTCCAGCGCTGATATCGGGGAGGACTTCGAAGCCATCGAGGAAGTGAAGAAGGCCGAAGTCACCAAAGTCGAGAAGGGAAGTCTGGCCAAACCTGCGATGGAGGTTGATCTTACGCAGTACCGACCCCGAGTCGAGAATGGGATATGGTACATCTCCCCCGTCGACGTCGAGATGATCGCCTCCGGAGCAGGCGTCCTCGGCACTGGCGGCGGCGGCTCAGCGTACCTGATGGCGCTGTACACCCAGAACCTCCTCCGCGACGGCGCAGAAGGCAAGATCCGAGTCATGCGTCCCGAGGACTTGAAGGATTCCGACATCTGCGTATTCGGCGCTGGCTACGGTGCGCCGAGCGTGAGCGACGAGCGCATCTCGTCTGGGACCGACGTCTTCACGGCCATCGACGCAGTCAACACCATCATGGGCATCAAGTCGTTCGACGCGATCGTCACCGACGAGATTGGTGGCGGAAACGGCCTCGTCACGATGCCCACGAGTGCCAAATACGACCGACCCATCGTCGACTGCGACCTGATGGGCCGAGCGTATCCGTCGCTCGAACACGGAACGCCCTACGTGTACGGGTTTCCCGTCCTCCCCGTTGCCACGGCGGATTGCAAGGGGAACTGCTCGGTCACCTTGACCGCAGAATCGAACAGGAAGGTCGAAAGCTTGATCCGCACCACCTGTGTCGAGCTGGGCAACTCGACGGGCACCGCGGGCCGGCCTCTCGAGGGGAAAGTGATCAAGAAATACACCGTGACGAACACGATCTCGCAAGCCTGGTACCTCGGTCGTGCGGTCCATCTCGCGAGACAGACGAAGCTGGACTTCATTGAAGCCATTGTAAGACTCCCTTGGCCCCTAACGCTGCATCATTCTACAATTCCGCCCGTGTTGTGAGACAGACAACTAACATGCTGCAACACGCAACAGGCAAGCATCACGCCAGTCAAGTCCCTATACACCGGCAAGATCGTAGACGTGACACGCGACGTGTCCCGGGGATACACGGTCGGAAAGGTCGTCGTAGCACCACTTGCGGCGGACGAGGAGGAAGGGACATCACCGTCGTCGACCGCGTCTGAGAAGCGGCACCTCGTCATCCCTTTCCAGAACGAATACCTGTCCGCGGCCTACGTGGACAGCGAGAAAGGCGAGGGCAAGGAGGAGGTCATCTGCACTGTGCCCGACCTCATCAGCATTCTCGGCCAGGACGGCGAGGCTCTGGGATCGCCGGAACTACGGTACGGGTTGAAGGTCAGAGTCATTGGTCTCCCTGCCCACCCGCTGTGGACGTCGACGCCGGAAGGTCTCAAGGTGGGAGGACCCGAATACTTCGGTCTCGGCACCGAGTTCAAGGCGATCGGAGAATACCAAAAGCCTAGAAGTGTCATTGACGAGTTCGGCACGGTTGGGAAACGTTAGATATATAGAAATGTAACAAAAGCCCCAGGAGTAGTAGATTAGAACTGTTACATGCAAAGCCAAAACAAACATAGCGACAAAACCTCCTAGAAAAGAGGGTATATAGTCACTCATTGATGATTGTCAAGTACTGGGTCTGATCCGTTTCATGTCGTATTTGTGGCTACCTAAAGTACAATTGTGATTCATAGATATCAGCCCTCCCCTGCAGTTATTGCGGACTTGACACTCTTTCTTCTCGGGTCAAGAGGCTCGGCCTTCATCGCCGGAGGGCTGTTGAAGCCATTGGATTTCACCTCTGTATCTGCCTCTGACTCTTCCTTCTTTGCCTGCGCTGCTTCCTGCAAGAAACCGGGCCTCCATTTCGACAGTACTTTTGCGGTTGCATTTTTCGCCTGCGAGTCCCCTTCGTACCAGATTGACTGGATTGTGTCCAAGACAAGATCCCGGACAGGTGGACGCATCATCAAGAGATACTGCATGGAAAGAATGCACATGCTAAGACGTTCGGGGTCTCTCGCCAAAGATTGGACTCTGTCCAAGAGCTCGTGATTGACCGAAGGGATTTCAGACAGAAATCGAATCAAGAGATTTTTGTCTCTTGCATCGAGGTAGGGCAGCAGGCGATCCAGAATGCGAACGACCCATCGGTTGTAGTTTGGTAGATGTCCGAGCTCGGGATGTGTTTTGGCGGTCAACTTGTCCGCGTACCACTCCTCTGAGAGCCATGAGATGGCTATATTCAGACGAGATCGGAAGTCATCTAGAATATACATAAACAACGTTTGCCTGATGCGATTGGCAACGTTCGGTGTTTCGATGTCTTCTAGTTTCACTACCGCACCAGCAGCGTCATCGTCGCTCAAGGAATGTGCGAGATCATCAAGACCCGATGGAGCTCTGGTTGCCAGACGTACAAGGATCGTAATCCAAGAATCGCGGTCGTTTGTGCTTGCAGCCAATCGATTGAAGCCAACTTTCGGCTTAGAATGAGACTGACCAGCTGTGTCCAAGGTGGTCACTAGTTGAAATACATGTCCGACAGTCTGGTCAGACAATGTGGCCACCTCTGCCCCAGTCAAAGGCGGAGGCTTGGGAAGTTCGAATGGGCCTAGTTCAATTGCTGGCTGCGCCAGCTGCTCAAGAGCTTTCTCTGTCGTTGGTTCCATGGCATGTTCTGGACTTGAGATGAACTCTGGGTCATAATCGTCTTCGTCATCAATGCCTGTTGGGCCCGCCAGTGGCACCGCAGGTACCGGAGTCGGAAGGGTGACCTTTTGGAGATGGGTGTATCTTGCTCTGACCGCGTTGATCGCTTCATCCAGCACGTTGGAGTCAACGTGTTGCAAGAAGACGCCGGTGACGGTGCTGACAATGTCATGTGGAAGTAATGTTACATCGAATTGTTGGAGACTGGGATCCTCTGTAAGTGTATACAATTGAGCGTAGGAGTTTGGCGGTGGCGGCATAGGAGGGAATTTGCGTGGACCTGCGGTAAGCTTTTGTCGTTTCGCGTCGTCTAGGCCATCTGTAGGTTCTGCTGGGCGTTTCTGAGCTGTCGGGTCGGCATACAAGGCTGCTCTCGATTGTTGCAAACGCATAAGATATGCTTGTATCTTTTGTTCCAGCGGATGGTTGGTACACGTCCGCAGCACCCATTTCAATAGCGCTCGCGTTGTTCTCTCCATCGACCGAACAATGACCATGATTCGAGGCGTCATGGGAGAATTGACCTGCTTTATAGGGTTGAAGCTCAGGATGGCAGACACAATCTTGGTTGAGATGGCAGGTCTGCTTCGAATAAGAACGGCTAGACAGTTGAGAGTGGCATCAATCACGATGGGGTCCCTACTTCAGAATCAGCTTCGTCGTTTAACAGTCGAAATTTCATGCCACCTACATCGAGTTTTCGAGGAAGACGCCTAATAGTCTGTCCAGCAATCCTGATGCTTCAGCTTCGAGGTTGGGTAACTGTAAAAATGGATGGGTTCTCGGGACAAGTGCTATAGATACTTCGTTTTGGTCGGGCCGCTGCAATGGAGTGATCAGCAGAAGGTCAGAGGCAGTTGTGAGCAACTCACTCGAGGATCTGAAATGACTCCGGGAGTCTCTACATGCACCACTTTCTGAACGAACTTGATGCAGCATATCCTGATAGGGACCGGGGCAGAGTCCATGCGCTGGAGAATGTTCAACTTCATCGCGCTCATATCCTGCCACAGTGCAGCCTCAGCGGGACGCGAAATTCTATACAGCAGTCAGAGTATGTTCCAGACGATTATTCAACGGTCTTTTATGTATCTCAATCATCAAAACCACGTACACTCGTCTGAAAACCAAAGGATATAGACTCGCGGCCGTCTGAACCACGCCCTTGACCACCTCCACGTCCTGCGCCTGAATCTCCAACATTGCTCTTAGAACTGGTACCACTTCCGACGACAACTGTTCCTTTTGAGCATTTGGAAGGGAAGGGCTTGAGAAAGCTTCGGCGAGGAAGTCTGCGCCCCATCTTCGAACTTCGACATGGGGCGTTGAACCGATGATAGGTAAGATGCCGGGCAGGACTTGGTTGTACACCTGAGGATCCGCGAGAGCGAGTTTACGAGCAGCCTCAAGCTGAGGGATCATCTCAGCTGGGGTAGCTGCCGTCGCCATGGCCAGAGCGCAGTGACAATTCAGCAGATGCGGACACAGCAAGGTCACGAATCTACAGACAAAATTGACGATTGTAGGAGAGGTGGAATGTCGAATGTCGGGTTGGCTGGCATTTGGTGAGGAAGCAAAACCTGTCGACTATAAAGAGGCCTCACCAATAGTCGATTGAAAAGGAACAATAAGAAGGTAGTATACACGGCAAGGAATCGAAAAATAGAGGAATTAATGGAGAAATGTTGAATCAACCGAAGGTGATGTTGTTTGAGCGGCCCTTGCAAGCAAATGACGATAGAATCGACGCGCAGTCTATTGTGGTACTGGAAGTTCTTGTGCAGGGAACAATAATAGGTGGTGACCTGTGAGCTATTGGGCCTTGAAAGCGCCTAGAGTCGCCTATAAGTCACCAGCCTCGCCAGCCTCGCTTAGTCATCCGGAGCCTTGTTGTTCCTTCGCCTTAGGCTGGCCCTGCGATACCAGGTTTTATTCAAGGCTCTATTTGTGGCTCACTGTCATGACCCTAGCTTGACCCCAGTTCTTACTTCGCATTACCAAACGAGATCGGCCCGGTGCACACCGTCAAGATGATGCACCGAGCGAGACAGGCCTACATAGAGGAGGAGTCTCAGGTACGTTCATTCCCGCCTGCTCCCTTTTTGCGCCTGGTTATTCACGCTCGCCTACAAGGCTCGAATACTCCCGGATGTAGAGTTTCATGAGTTGGGATGGAACACTGACGGATATGGTGTACGCAACAGGATGTCGACATGGGCGTAGATTTGGCGAGCATTCGTGAGTATAGCCACCTACCGTTGACAAAGGCCTCTCCATTAACAAACATACCTAGCCATTGATCGAAACTATGACATACACTCTGGCGCAGGAGGTGTTGCTCCTGAAAAAGCCTCTGCCATCCTCTCACAATTTGACCGAAAGAGAAGGCTCGCACAACTAGCGGTGCCGACGGACGATGGGCGAGTAAGAGCACGTTTGCGAGAACTTGGTCACCCAATTACTCTCTTCGGAGAAGGGCCGGCAGAGCGCAGAGATCGTCTGAAGGTGATCGTCCTTGACCAGGAGGAGGCTGCCGCCGAAGATGGAACCCCGGCTGATGTACAAATGCAAGAAGCGCCGCAAGATGAAGCAGACCAAGAAGAAGAATTCTATACTGAAGGCATACGAGAACTCCTCGAAGCAAGAAGGGATATTGCGAGATTTTCTCTCCCGAGAGCAAAGGCCAGAATCATGAGACAAAAGGAAGATTCGACAATCCCTTTACGGACGCACGTCAAACACCGCAAGGAGATCAAAGAGAAATTACAGGGATTTGAGCTCTTTGGGTCGCAGATTGCAGGAGAGAGGCCCGTCAGCATCACTCGTTTCTCGCCAAATGGCGAGATGGTTGCAGCGGGAAATTGGGGCGGAGGTATCAAATTGCTCGATGTGCCAAACCTTGAGGAAAAGGCCACTTTGAGAGGCCACACAGGAATCGTAGGGGGTCTGGCTTGGTATCCTGGAGCGACTCTACCGACATCAAATGTCTCGTCCGAGGCAGTCAATATCGCCAGTGGTGGTGGAGGACAGGGAGGAGCCAGCGATATCCATCTATGGTCTTTAAGCAAAGACACACCACTCTCGACTCTACAAGGCCACACCGATCGTGTTTGTCGTGTGGAATTCCATCCTTCTGGAAAATATCTCGCCTCGGCATCATTCGACACGACATGGCGGCTATGGGATGTTGAAACTACAACGGAACTACTTCTGCAAGAAGGCCACTCGAGACAGGTATTCACTGTCAGCTTCAACACAGATGGCTCGCTTCTGGCGAGTGGAGGATTTGACAGTATTGGACGAATCTGGGATCTCAGAACAGGCCGCACCATCATGATTCTGGACGGCCATGTCCGCGAAATATTTAGTCTCGACTGGGGCATTGACGGTTACAGGGTTCTCTCGGGCTCTGGTGATGGTTGGGTCAAATGCTGGGACATTCGACAGGTCAAAAGTTCTGGAGGAATCGGTGCTCACAACGGGAATGTGTCCGACCTTCGATGGTTCAAGGGTCTTGATACCGAAATATCCTCTGTGGTTCCATCGACTGGCGTCAGACAAGAACATAATCCTCGAAAATCTGGCACATTCTTCGTCTCTGGTGGTTTCGATAAAAACGTCAATATCTACTCGGTCGATGACTGGTCACTAGCGAAACAACTGAGTGGACATTCTGCCAACGTTCTCAGCGTCGACATCACACGTGATGCCAAATGGATCGCCAGCAGTGGCCATGACCGAACTGTCAAGCTTTGGGGTCGTAATGATATGCAAGGGCTTTATGATTGAAGTGTTCCAAAGACGGCTGATGAAGTTGGGCCTGAAGTTGGGATGATTCATTTTGTCTAGCCTAGGGTGACCGTCTTCGACACACCTATCACAAGCATGCCGGCAGTCTCTCCTTCGTATTGGTATTCAGCCACGTCCTAACCCGTCGCCACATCGATATGAAAGGAATACTGCAACAGTCAGTCATCGGTTTGACTGCGTCGACTTGTTGGGGCTGCTGCAACCTGCCGCGGCCTATCCGCGCGGCAAGATCTGCAGCCGTATACTATGGAGAGGACAAGGATGTCAAACATTTCCAACATGATCATGTCAAATCTCGAGCGAGGAAGGTGCGACGTTCCCTGCTTGACCACGGATCGTGCCATGTTTTTGCCACTTGGGCGTTTCGCGGGCTGAGCAGCTGTTTCAGCAAGGTATATACGAGGAGACGAGTATTCTTTCCTTGTGGTCGTAGCGAACTAGAGACAGTTCAAAGTGGCGTCCGCTCCGATCGCACGGTCATATTTTGTCTATACCGTGCTCGATGAGCACGTCGAAGCCGCAGAGAAGGAGGTCGATTGAGGTGCAAGTTCGGGGATGATTCTGGAATGCAAAGATTCTGCCACGAGCCTCGCGAATGTCGCGCCTTCCATTCATCAGAAGATCTTCTATCAACATCAACGATAGTCCATGAGTTCCGATCTGCCTCAATGAGAGGATTTCCAATCGTTCTGTCATTCGCTTATGGTGCGAATATGTTAGGCGCATCTCTCAGGACTGTGAGCGATTCTCGATTTTATGGCCGACAGCTACAGATCGACCTACAACACGTCTCGGTTACTCTCGTCTGCGACAAGATAAGGGTACGAAGCTGGGGTTATCAGAAACTGAAGTGGGCTCTTAGGCACGCTGCCTCCAACGAAATGGCAGTAGCAGCAGAGACCGTGGAGGCAGAACATCCAAGACGATGAGGTTACAGTACAGCCGCTCGAAAATTGACCCTACCTGATGTTTCAATCAAGCGTCGTGACCCTTGCCAGGCGTAACATGAAAAATGACATGTATGTGACCGGAATTTGGAAGCGGGCTGCGCAGTTTCTTATTTCCCAAATCAACAAAGGTCTGGTTATTCTTGGTCTTATATACAATACAGCCGAACATGCCCTATCCACTTGCACCAGTAGGCGCCGGTTCTACTACGTCTGGCAGCGTTGAGTCGGCCGGGCTCACATCCTCCATCCGCCACTTAGTCAACGCTGCTGAAGAGGATAGAGTGTGAGGATGCCCAGGACCTAATACCTGTGACCTCAGCTGCACGCACTCCTCCATCAGCTTGATTGCTTCGTCTCGCCGGCCCTGTGTCTTTCTTGTGAAAGCAAGGTTGTTCATGCAAGCGAGTGCATGTGGATGGTCCAGTCGACGGAGGCGTCTCGTTGTCTCCAACACCTGCTCCTCTAGCTCTGCTGCTTCTTGTAGCCGGCCAAGACGTATCCATGTGTGCGCGAGACTGATGTCGCTGAGCCAGGTGAATGTATGTTCCAGTCCCAGCACCCTCCTGCTTGTCTCCATCACCTCCACATCCAGCTTCTCTGCCTCCTCCAGTTGACCTTGATGACTGTATATCGCTGCCAGCTTACTCATTGTCTTCAACGTAGTAGGATGCTCGACGCCTAGCACCTTCTTCTCAGTCTCCATTGCTTGCAGACCCAACTGTTCCGCCTCCTTCAGTCGCCCTTGCTTCGAGTATATGATTGCAAGATTAGCCATGCGATCCAACGTACTAGGATGCTCGACGCCCAGCACCTTCTTCCCAGTCTCCAGTGCTTGCAACTGTAGCGGTTCCGCCTCTTTCAGTCGGCCTTGATTGCAGTACGTCACTGCCAGACTCCCCATGCTGGTCAGCGTAGTTGGATGTTCGCTACCTAGTAGCTTCTTGTATTTCTCAAACACTTGCACTTGTAACTCTTCCGCCTCCACGTGCTTCTCCTGATTTGAATAAATCACCGCCAAATTGTTTATGCTCGCCAGACTACCTACATGCTCAGTGCCGAGCACCTTCTTTCTCGCGTTCACCACTTGTAGCTGTAGCTCTTCCGCTTTGTTCAATTGGCCTTGATCTTTATAGGTGCGCGCCAGTTCCTCCATGAAGCTTAGCGTATCAGGATGATTCTCCCCTAGTACCGTTAGGCTTGTGTTCATCACTTGAACGCTTAGCTCTTCTGCCTGCGTTAATCGACCTTGGAGTCGATATGTTGATGCTAGCCCACTCATGCTTTTCAGCGTCGTGCGATTATTGGCCCCGTATAACCTCTTTTCACTTCCCATACACTCTGTAAATAGAAACTCTGCCTCTTTCCACCGGCCTTGCTCGAAGTATACCTCAGCCAGAAGACGGATACTATCCAGAGTGCGTGGATGCTCAGTTCCCAGCAACTCTTTCATTGTCTCCACAACGAAAAGTGATAGCTCTTCTGACTCCTGCAGTTTGTCTTGTTCCATTTGTGCTCTCGCCAGATTCACCATGATACTTAGTTGAACATGATGTGCCGACCCCCATACATCTTTTAACTTTTCTGGAAGCGGCCTTAGTAGTGTTTCTGCCTCTTGCCATCGACTTTGGTGCATGAATGACAACGCCAGATTGTGTATGCTGGATATCACGGAGGGGTGGTCCTCTCCCAGAATTAGCTTTCTGGCTTCCATAACTTGCCTTGCCAGTTCTTCGGCTTCTCGCCATCGACCACATCGCTTATATGCGAGCCCCATCATCCCCATACTGAGAAGCGTGTCTAGGTGCATATCTCCTAGTACTTTCTTCCTTTCCACCATAGAAGCTGTTGACATGGTCGCCGCATCTGTGTCATTTTCTACTTCCAGGCAATACCATGCTGCACGGCACAATAGTGAGGCCCATTCTAACAATGTGGCTTCGGTTTTTGGTTTCTGGGTCATTGCGGCCTTCACGTGTGGGAGGAGAACCCGACACTTGGCCCAAGATTCGTATTCTCCATCTGGGAAATACTTGTTGAGATTTTTGATGTATTGAATGTTCCATTTCTCAAACTGGCCATGACGTTCGAGCCACCTCCGCGTTGCCAATTGCACGAGACTGTGCATCTGAAACGTGATTTTGTCCATGTTCAGGGAGATGAACGAGTAATTTCTCAGAGTGAGTATGTCCTCTTCAAACTCGTCCATGTCCATCGATACAGATGAGCTGCCTTCTTCGACCTCCTCGTCAACCCCAGCTGTTCTCATACTCTCACATTCGTCGCTCGTTTCGGCTCGATTTCGGAGCAAACTCTCCGGAATCCCCTGTGGATCGAAGAAGCTCATCAATGAGAGCAGGTCAGCAGATGATGGTCGGATGTGCTTGATGTGATCGAAAGAAATCTGCCAGGTAGCAATGATCGAGTTTTTGGCGTCGCGGTCGCGGCGCAGATGGCCGCCTTCGTGACTGAGCAACATTTCTTTTCCGTTGTCACTTTTCCAGAACTTCTTCAGGTACTGCCCAATTGTACACCGGGGAGCTCGTTGAGAGATATATGCTGCCGCTTGAACAATAGCCAGAGGCATATACTCAAGCGCACGAGCTAACGACTCTACATCGGGATCGTTCTCTTGCAAGCCAAGCTTTCCGAGCTTCAAGCGCAACAGAGCAAGAGCTTGTTTCTTGATCATGGGTTCGACAGAGATCGCATCTTGCTCTTCCACAAACCGCACTGCCACGGCTTTTGTACGAGTCGTGATGAGTATGGAGCCATGCGACGTTCGAGGCAGGTACTCAATAAGAGGTTTTGAGCGTCTGACACTTTCTTGATGGGTCTCGAACAGAAAGTCAGCATTGTCAAGACTGTCAAGAACGAGCAACCATTTGCCGTTCTTTTTGTTACGGAGCCAGTTATGAACCAAGCTACATATGTCGGCGTCAGGCGTGTGACGCTCTGGGATCTTCACAATATCGGCCACCTCCTGAAAATCCTGTGTGAAGCGGGTTGCATTACCTGCATGGATCCAGAAAATCCATATGTCTGGTGTCTCCTCGCTGAGTCGGTACGTGTACTCGATCGCCAGTTGAGATTTTCTATTCTCTTATCAGCTCGACACGACATTGAGGCATATCTGCTTTACGTACCCGACACCACCGAACCCAACAAGCGCCGTCCAGGAGGTCTTTGCAAAGCAGCTTCCGTGAATCTCATCCAGCAATGTTCCACGATCGACAAAGTGTGCATCGCGGGGAAAAGGGACAAAGGATGAAGGGCTCGGTGGGGTTTCGGGTCGGGTAATGGTATTATTAGTGTTGTTGTGGATCGTGGAGTTCTGGACGACACCAATCTGTGAACCATGGTTGAGTGAGTCGGGAAAGGTCACGGCGAAACTTGGCAGGGCCATGATATTGATGGCTTTCTCGTTGGCGCTCGCCGCCTCAGTCACGATAGGAGAGCGCGCGAAGTGTTGATGCAACGGACCGCAGTCGATAGACGCACAATCTGTCAACTTCACAGAGTACGCATCTTGTCTCTCTTGTGTGGGATGACAGGCAAAACATACAGCGCAAGGCGAACGGTGAGGCTGGAACAGTCTAGGTTTGGGCCTTTTGACTCGGATTGAATGGGTTGCTATTGGTTGTTGCATAAACGTTGCTCTCTAGAAATCCCAGCCTGACCGACTTTACGGATTTCAGCTGTTAGGAAACATCCGTTCACATCATCATCTTCATCTTCGATCTACTCTTTCATTAGAATCCGTCAGGGCCGGAGTCGAAGCATCACTATCAACATGGCCGAAACTGTGGGGCTGGCGTTCGCGTTGCTGGGCGCATTCAACAACACAGTGGAATGTTTCAATTATATTCAGGTCGCCAGGAACTTTGATCAAGGCGTTCAGACCGCTGTTCTGAAGCTGGACATTGCAAAGCTTCGACTCTCTCGCTGGGGACATTCAGTTGGATTGGATCGCGTGGAAGAAGGCATGCAAGCTCTGCCAGGGGTGGCTGGATCTGCCGACGATCTCGCACGGGCCAAAGACGTACTTGAGCAGATTTTGGAACTCTTCGACGATGCCGAAAAACGTTCCTCAAAGTTAAAGTCCAACGAAAAGGATGTACAGCTGAACTTGGACCAGGCTGCGTCGGCGTTGCACAGAAAACTCGCAGCACTCTCGATCAAGCGATTCGTGCCGAAAAACGTCCTGGAAAAGGCGAAGTGGGCACTGCACAAGGAAAAGTATCTCAATCGCCTGATCCAGGACATTACTGAGCTGGTGAACGGGCTGATCGAGTTGTTCCCTGCAGCACAGCCCGAGCAGACGCGGCTCTGTGCAGAGGAAGGTTCTGAGCTTGCCTTGGACCAGCACGTTTCACTCATAAAGGACATCGTAGCGGAGCAGGATCCTGAACTCTCCGCCGCGATCAATAAGGCAAAAATGTCTGCTGGACGAGAACGTCAGGCCTTCAACATCACATTTTCCGGGGGTGTGAATCACGGTCTACAACAGGGCTATTTTTCTGGGACCCAAACGAACCATTTTGGAACACGTCCATTGTCTTAGGTTAGAACAAGCGGAGAGCGGCATATATGACAGGGACCCTCTGCGAACAATGCTAAACAGGGGTGCTCTTTTGTCCCCTAAGTATCTCGTTATATCCTCCCAGAAAGAAACACCTAGAAATGCATGTGCATGATCTTTCTTCACACCTTTTCCAGTACAAGGATGGCAGCACAAGTTGAAGGGTTGTATGTGCGAACATCCACCAACTTTAAGCCCGACTTCTCCATCAGACTCGCCCATTCCCTCCGTGTTCGCTCCTTGCCTCCGAAGAGGATGTTCATCGAGATGTCCTGCGTCGAAGCTGGCCATGGCACATTTACGTCTGTCAGAAACACTTCATCCGCCAGTATCTGCGAGTCGCTGTCCATTGCTTCGACCAATTTGGAGAGGATGGTCACGCAGTCATCATCCGGCCAGTCGTGCATGATCCGACGAAGGTAATAGAAACGCGCTCCTGTGGCGTTTGTTAGTCTTGTGCATCCAAGGGTATCTGTCCACCAATCAACCACATACCTTGGACAGACTGTTTTTCGAAGAAATTCTGCGCCATGGCCTTGACCCCCTGTATGGGTGCCAACTTGTCCACAGCCTCAGGAAGGTCCTGCAGGACAACTGATCCCTGGAGGCTGGGATACTTCTCCAGAAGCTGTTTGCACTGATGACCGTGGCCGCCACCGACGTCGACGAAGAATGGTCTTTCAGAACCATCTCTGGCTTGTTGTACCGCTTGGTCAAGCACGCTCAGGTCCTTGAGCCAGTCTGCATTTTGGAGGGCTGTCATGGTAAATTGCAGGGCATTGAAATTCTTGGGATGCTTTGCAAGCCATTCGAAAGCGCCAAGTTCCGTATTGTGCCCCTTCTGAAAAGGCGTGTTGGTGTTTGAGGAGATGTCTGCATACGAGTTTTCCGCAAGGAACGCCGGCAGGGCACTAGTTGCAGGGCCACAAGTGTCGACACTACCTGAGATTAACCCCCAATACGACAGGAGAGATAGATAAGTGAATCCGCGATAACCTACCAATGTATCATACCCGCATCAGCCAAGGGACTGGCGAGGAAATGCGTTATCTTGGTGGCCTGGTATTGATCTTCTGCTGGGTTGGAGATGAACCCGAACGAGGCTAGATAACGAAGCAGCCTTCCTAAATGAGATATGAGAAAGCGACTCAACAACAAAAAATGCCTCTGAGTCTGGAACGGGTGAGACATACGAAGTAGTTCAGGAGATGCACTCGACCTTTCAGCGATCTGAGCCACGCTCACTGGCGACGAGGCATCTTCCGCAATGTGTTTGAACAGTCCCAGTTGGACGGCAACATAAACCACATTGACTTGGATTGACTAGAAGGGCAGTTATGCTTCTCAGCCACCGATCATAACAGGTCCCAGCGGAGTGTTCCACACAAGTGTGCGCAGTCCCTATTCTAGACAGGCTTGTGGTCAACATACCGCATTGTACAGCTTCAGAAACACCTCGACCGGGCTCTCCAGCTGAGCCTGAAGCTGTTGAAGAGCCTTCAATATAGCTTGCCGGCCAACATCGTCGGCATCTTTGGCCAGAGACGAGATCTGAGTGATGATGGCGTCCATGGTAAAGCCGGAAATGTACCAGAGTAAGATTAAGCTACTTTCGGAGCAGGTTATATCATATAGGTGTAGTTGGGGGTGGTTCTACACCACTACACGCCACCTTTAATACAGTGGCAGGAATTATTCTGCCTGGTGCGCATGATGCACATCAATCTCAATGCGAGGTATTTCGTGTGAGTGGAAAACCCTTTTACTCCACTCCACAAGATGTCCCCTCGCTTCTAGTTATTTAACCCCGAAGGTGATCTTCGGTCTCGGCCGAACAGCAGTTGATGACTGCTATGGTGTAGAGGACTTAAATACGACCGAGTTGACGGCTTCGGAGATGCTGTACTGTATCACGCCATGTCCACGGGACTGCGCCAGTCTTCGAGTCCGAGCAAAAAACACCTACACACAATCATGATAGTAGTATGTCCGGGGTGGTTGATAACCTTTGAGTACCTAGGAATAAAGTTATGCGAAACTGACCGAAAGAGGCACTCTAACTAGCTAGGCTCATGGGCGCTGGTTCAGCTTAAACCATTGGAGCAATAGCGAACTGTTTATATCAAATGTGCTTCCAGGCTCTTGGACTCCAATGAGGGTCGATTTTCTTCAGCCATTGTCGTTGTTGTTGTCGTTGTAGTTGGAACTGCAGCCAGTTCTTCGGAATCCTTGCCATGAACAGGGTCCGGTGGCGCTGGATTAATCGTCCCATCATAAGGACTGGTAGAACGAAGACTGCAGGATTATACGGTGGTCGACGGACCGTCTTCCGCTCCTCGCGTCGGAGTGACGCCTCCCTCGGATTAGTTAGGGCGTCTCCTTATCTGGGTGGACGGAGAGGTCCGTGGAGACATCAGTCCGCAATCGCAACGAGGCCTACCTACCTACCTAGCTAGGTATGCATCGTAGCTCTCCTTTCTCATCTCTCTCCGCTCCTATCAGAAGCATAGATGATCGGCATAGAGCCCATGCATGCGAACAACATGACATCCATCCTTTGGGTCCTGCTCTTATGGCTACCACTCGTGTCATGCCGTGACCATGGGCAAACGAGCTTTCAAATGTCGGAAGACCACACCTTATCGAAAGCCGCCTACAAAGCTCCCTGGCAGACGATGCCTTCGCTGCCACCGCTGCCCGAGCCTAAGTTTAACGGGACTGCTCCCATCAACGGCGTGAACCTGTGGTACGCGACGTTTGGCGCAGACTTGTCCGAAAGTCGGTCTGCTGGCCTCTCTCCCGTGGTCTTCCTCCATGGCGGGTTTGGGAACAGCCAGTACTTTGCCCATCAGATCAAGCATCTAGAGAACGGGCCGTACACACTCATCACTGTCGATTCCCGGGCCCACGGTCGTTCTTCGGACGACTTGTCTCGACCTTTGAGCTATGATGCCATGGCTCTGGATGTCATCGCCCTCATGGATTTCCTGGACATTGACCGCTTCTCGACCGTCGGCTGGTCGGACGGGGGCTGTCTCGGATTCGACCTCGCCATGAACTACAGCCAGCGCATCGATCGCGTGTTTGCCTTTGGAGGCAGCTACAGCCCCGAGAATCTCAACGCCACCGTCATGGAGTCCGAGACCTTTTCGCTGTATATGCGATGGGTACAGGATGACTTTAAGAGACTCTCTCCGAGCTCGGGGACTTTTGAAGATTTTGAGGACCGAATGATGGCCATGTGGAGCACAGAGCCTGCATGGACCGCCGACTCATTTCAGAAAATTCCATCGCTGTTCGACGACCCCAATGCTCCCATCATCTGGATCGTCGCCGGAGATTCGGAGGAAGCGGTGTCGCGAACGACTCCTTTAGACTTGCATAACTGGGTAAGGCCACTCAACGAGTGAGCTTGTCTTCTTGACATGAGCTCGTGGTCTTTGGTGATGAATGCTCTGCTTACATGAAACGTTCCAGATCTGGGGTTCAGCGCTCGTCACCTTGCCTTCAGTCAGTCATTTCGCGTAAGTAGCGTTCGTCGGACCCTCGAACGAACACCTTGCTGACTATCTTGTAGGATGTTCCAGGACCCAACGACATTCAGTCTCCTCCTGAGTCGACTTTTGGAGATCAAGCGATGAGTAGGTAGGTACCTACCAACAACCGTGGCACTTGCTCCCGGTCTCCGGTCATGACGAAACGGTGGGAAATGTCTGAGAAACCCACTCTAAATCTGCTTCAGCTTCCAGGGAACTTGCTACCAGACTGACAAGGCTCACAGTCACCAGGCCGAGATACGTGAGATAGATTGGTTGTTGTGATATGACAGTTATTGTATTAGCACACAGCTCATAATAACAAGCTGAACTTGCAAACTTGCAAACTCATCGTATATAGCTTTGACTAAATGATAAGGACGATATTTGTATATTTTCTTCTACCAGAGGCGGCGGGCGACGTCGGATACAACGAAGCATGAGACTCAATTCGGAGGAGACACGCGGTACCACATGGCCGCTAACGTAAGCTCGATACCTGGCCTGGTTTCATGCTTTGTGACCTTACAGTATCTGCAAGTCGGAAGAAGAATTAATATGTGTTTCTTGGGGATGACGATAGTCTCGAAAACGGATTTCAAAGACAGGGGCTTCTAGGGGCATCTGCTGCGTAATCCCTTCTTACAAGTGGCTGTACTAATTTGCCCGCGAGCCCTACCACTTGTTTCGTTGCCGTTAGCTTCATCTGTGAGGCTTCGAGATCCCGCGTTCTAGGCTTTTGGGGGCCATGGTCTGGCTCACCATGGCGCCCCGTACTGACACGGGTGAAATCTCAGGTACGTACGGAGTGCCTCCTAGCTGAGGACCCAGAGTTAGGCAGCCAGCCATAGTAGGTTAGTTCACCATCTCAATTGTCAGCGTCAAGTGTCAGCCTCAACCTCAGCCGCATGTATTCTCTCGCGTGGTTGATTTGGGTGACGTTTTCTTTTCTTTTTCTCTACTTTTGAGTGGTACACATACGTCGGTTATGGTATGAATAATCTGCTCATTCCTTTTTCCTTTCCTCTTCGTTCTCGTCTAGATTGTACATAGACGGACAGACAGTGTGGGTCGCCCTCGGAATATCTTTGGTACCGGGAACACGGAGTACACGCGGAGTACGCACAAAGTACAGCGTACAGACAGAACACACACTGTACTACCTACCTCGGGATAGTACCTGAGGTACCTACAGGGGGGGTAGTTATCATCGGCATCAAGCGCATCGCAAAATGGACGTGATGGCATTTGCCAAAATTGCTGGACTGACTTCATCTGGAATCTTTGCTGGTATTGTTCTCCCTCCTGGTCCTTGGTTGCCTGTTATTTGTTCGTTGAATCACAGAGTCCACCCACTCTCTCCTCAGACCCAGGGGACCTTGCAACAGCCTTTGGCTGACAGTGATCGTAACTAATGAAATGAAAAGGGTATACGTGGGCCCTGTCCCATGCTTCGGTCCCGGCGATTCTCTTTGCTCCTAATGAAGCGTTGATGGCGAAACAGTGGCGCGAGATATACCTTGATGGGTTCTATGTAAGTTCAAGTTGCTTTGAGAGACCTCGTACTGCGCCGCCCATGACAGATCTGGAGTGCCACTGCCAACATCCACTCACCGTGTTATGAACTCAACTTGAGAACGCACGCACAATGGCTGACGATGGTTTTGCGCTCCTGTAGATTTCTCGACCTCTTTGTTTCATCAATGCTTTGAGTTTCGGCTACTTGGCTCGTCAAGGTCAGTTCAGCCCAGCCAGTATTGGATTTCCTGCCTCATTGCCGCACAGAGTGATTCGGTTGCCGCTTGGTGCCACGATGCGATCACAGTTTCCGCACGTCCCCTTCAGATCGTCCTGCTTTACATACATACTTACACTCATCACGTCACCACAGCACCGTCGTCCTCACTCGTACGACAGCTCTACATCCTCGCCGCGATCCTCAACGCGTCAGGAGTCCCTTACGCACTCACGTTTCTCCGACGCACCAACGGCGCCCTCTCCCGACGGGCAGAGCGTCTCGCGGGTGCCCATGTCCCTTCGGTCATGGCACTCACGTACGCGTTCAACGAGAGACGAAGCGTCGAGAGAGACAGGACTTTCACCACCGTCGACCTCGTGCGCAGGTGGATGTGGCACAATAGTGTCCGGACCGCTGTGTTGGTGGTAGGGACCGTGATCGGTGCAATGGCCGTGGCGATGGATGCTTATTAGTTAGATTGGGTACCTGAGGTAGAGCCGCAACAAGTGTGTCCTCGTTCCCGTGCAGAGTGCAGAGTGCAGAACAGGATACCCAGAGAGTACGGCGAATGCATAGACTGGTACTCTTGCGAATTGTCTTCGACATTGGTCGCTAGAGGACACCGTAAAGTGGAAAGTAACCTCTGCAGAGGTGCGAGGACACTGGAAAGGTACAGAGATTGATATAGGATGCTAGAATGATGGCTCGATTGACCATTTGAGATGTGGTTAGGGCGACATGTCAATTTCGGCGACCGAGGATCCATGAGAGAGTAGATGGAGGGAGAGAGGGTGGCAGGGGGGAGAGCGAGGGAGCACAGCCACTTCATTTCACGGAATTGTACAGAAAACTTGCTCAAAACAATAACTCTCTGTTTCCCCCGCAGCCAAACGCGCATCTCACAATCCCGAAAACTGAAAACCTGCTCACGTAGCAATAATCTGAGGCTCACAATGTTCGGGTCCAGAGTAGACCCCTCCATAAACTCACCTCCATCAGCAAGGGAAACTTGCTCGCACAGCCACCAGACCAGACAAGACAGTAATAATATGCACCTTCATCCCTCCAGCCTGTGGCTTACGGTACTTTCGTACTAACGAGATATACCCACGCCACACCGTCCCACAGTAAATTATCACTGCGGGTGACTTGAGCAAGATATCACAAGGATACCGAGTCCTGCGTCCAGCGCCTTATGGCTGCGGGCATGCGTGAGCATGAATTTGAGCACGTTTCATCTCATTTCGATAACGGTTCAGTACAGTCTAGTTCAGCCTTGGGAGGCTCGGCCTACAACACGAGTCACCGTGTCCCCCTTCCTTGGTCCCGATCTAAGCGACTCGACAATCTAATTGAGGACCTTGATGTGAGGACCACGAACACGACACGTGGATGCACAGGCACAGGCACTAAGTAGTTCGTATGCTATATGTATCCCTCCCGCACCGATAGAGTTGAGCATGTTTGCCATTTCAATATCTGCTCCTTGTACCTACATACACCCACCCCAGCCAATCTTTTGGTCTTTTGATGAGACGAGTTGAATTGAGCAGGGATCAAATAAAACACTGCATATTTATATAAACACACAACTCCCAAGTCCCGGTCCAAACCTGAACCATCCATCCGCCCTGTGTTCCTGGATATCTCATGCGCATATAACAGTCATAGACATAAAACCAAAGTACCTACGGTAAAAGACTCCCCATCAATAGTCACACTCACACTCGCCACAAAACACACGCATCTTCAGCTAAACCACCGACCACCAACCTCGGCGACCCATCGATCGACTCGAGACCACCCACGAAGGACCGAAATCAAGAAGACTCTCAGAAAAAAATGTGCGGAGACTCTCATCTTCCTCCTGCCCCCGAATCCGGCGACCTTGTGGCTGTCATCCACCCAAACTCACACTCACACTTACACCCACAAACCGCCTTTCGCGGACGTATACGTCTGTCGAACAAGACACCCGGAGCGACCACGTCGACGTTTGAAGACAACACTTGCAACGAAAGTGGCGAGACGGCAATTGCATGTAAATTGGACGTTAGGATCCAGTGAGTTTTCTTCCTTTTTGGAGTTCCCTTCCAATCGAGTTCTGTCCTCTCCACTTCGTCTCAGACGACTGACGAGACGAAACAGCAAATATGGCCAACTACTATCCTCATATTCACAACCATGGCCATCATCATCATCACCATCATCGGCTTCTTCGAGCTCCGGCTCAGATTCCGAAGGGGAAGACTACTCGAGTAATCCCATCTTGCATTCTTTCATCATCGACACGCTCGCCGCCACCTCAAAAACAGGAAACATAAGACTAAACCTGGGCGTCGGCGGCGATGGCATCGTAGGCAGGGCGGTGTCGGTGTTTGACCAGAGGACTAAACGTGTTCTCGGCGAAGGCATCATCGGTTGGTGTTGACTTTTCCAGTTTGAAGCTTCATTGTCATGATTCGGTCTCCTGCGGATGCATTCATTGCATGGATAGCAGCAAAGCAAAGCAAAGCGCCTTCTCTGGGCCATAATTATAATACTGTAACAAACAGACTTTGAACCTCGGTACACTTGCGGGTGTAATGGCGTTAAAATCAGTTTTTGGCTGTGCTCAATTTTAGAGCAGATACCCCATCCATCCCGAATTGGCCATGTAGACATCAAACATGTCCATTTCCTCGGTGCTGAAGTTGAACTCATCCCAATTCGTGTTTCCGTAGCTTGCTGCATCGTAAGCCGCATTCAAATTGGTCCCAAGGTATCCATCAGCCATCATGTACCGCTGATAAGAAAGCGATGTCGATGTTGATGTCACCGGGTGTACCTGGGCCCGTTCTGGATTCGAACTTGACGTTTCGTCCTTACTCATATTCTGTAAAAGCGTAAGCGGCTCGCTTCTAAAGAATTGTGCCGCTCCACGCTGTCGTCGAGCCTCGGCGTCGTGTCCTTGCTCGTCATCCGAGTTCATGCTTCCTCCGAGATGCCGGTGCCAGGTCTTTAGTTTCATAAACACGAACCGAAACGCGTCGGCACATGGGCACCGGCCTTCAGCAGTAACTTGTGCGATCTTGTTGATGATAGAGTCGAGATAGTAGTCGGTCTTGATCTCTGTGGCAAATATCGAGTTCACCAGGGACCCTGGGCCAAAGACAATCCAATGGATTTTAATGAGAACAACCATGGCGTATGCGACCCAGACAATGTACAAGTTTGGCAGGTTCCGAACCAGGAAGAGGTCAAACGAGAGGTAGTTGTCGAGAAGCTTGTGGCTGCTGGACAGAAGAGTAGCCAACGCGTCGATATGGACAGAAGTGATTGTTTCGGGCTCTTTCCTTTCGTGCTCGATGTTCCCCGGCCGCCAGTCGTCAATGCTGTGTTCCCAGTGCAGAGCCACCTCGTGGATGTAGAGATCTATACTACATCGTTGTAGTGAGACCATTCCTGAAAGACTGTCAATAAACAGTACTCAGCAACAACAGAACCACTCACGCTTGTCCACACTAGGGTCGACTGATTTCTCCCATTCGTCTAATTGTCGGCGAAAGTACTTCAGATGATGCTGTGTCCGGCTATCTGTAAAATTCAGGTCGGCAGTTGGATCACACATGCTGAAGGTCTCGGAGATTTCTTGTGCAATCCGCGATAGTCTGGCCTGAGCAACCATCCACCTGTCACCCGGCAGCGAATACGGGCTGCTTTCTAGAACCTGTATGCAATCTTCGGCATGCGCATCGAATCTGGCAGCGGTGGGAAGACGGAGAACCGTCGAGACCCTGCAGCAACGTTAGTGTTAGTCAGAGTACCTAAGCAAGCGCAGTCGGTCATCAAAACATACGATATGTTTGTGCAGCATGCCGCAAGCCATGTTCGAGCGAGCTCGAGATGTTCTTGGTCAGTCATTGGCCGGCGCACCCTCGATCGTTTTCCAATCCCCAGATCGTAAGACATTGTCAAGGCCGCTTGTGCATATTGGTGGAACGCAAGATCTCTCGCCGTTCGGGGACGGACGTAGTATTGAGATTGGAGAAGTAATGCCTGAACCAAGTCCATAGACCTGTCCCCGTGAAACAAGACTCTTTGGCCATATTGCTGGCCTACCTCCGTAGCAAGTGTCGGCTGGACAGAAGGCATCATAGTAGTACTGGCGATGAGCAAGATCGCCAGGAATGTCATGGGACGCTGCTTTCGTGCTGTGTGTGCCTGGATATCCGCAGGGCAAAGAACGATGGGGCAATTCTGAGACATGTGATGCTTCCAATGGTTGAACAAGGTCGTCGCGGACTCCATGGACACTATCCCGCGGTCCACAACATCGACATAGTCATCCTTGACAGTACTAACAACCGCAAATGGGCACATAGTGGTGGAATCCACCGGATGGGGTTGAGGTTCGATGATTTTCTCAGCGGGCTTAGGAGTCCAAGAATCACCTGCACTATTGACGCTTTCTTCAATCGCGGATGGCACTGAACTTGCGCTGGAGGTTTGATCTTTCTCTGGTGATGTTGTTGGTGGTGACGGTTCGGCTTGCTGCTTAGCGAGAAGGGCTTCGGTGAGGGCGTTAATCTTCTTCTCCAGCTCAGCCACCTTGTGCACAGTCTTTTGCCGTTTGCGCGGAGGTCCCGGCATGACACAGTCTCGATTGACCTTAGAACAAGCAAGACACGCTTCTTGCCCTTCAACGGGGAGACATCGAATTTTCATGTTTCGGCATGCCACGCAGGCTCTCGACCGCTTTGGCCGTTTTGGTGGCCCAGCCTCATTCTCCGTGCCATCGTCTTCCTCAGCGCTGGCAGGTGATTGACTATCTACGCCGAGCTCTTGACGCTGCGGTAAGAGAGCGTGTCGAAAATCTCCCGGCGAACGATTGGAGTTGAGCGGGAGAAGTGTTTCAAGTGGAAGGGGCTTCTCCACAGCCATTTTTCGCAATTGCGCAAGCAAAAGTTCCAATGAGACTGCTAAATCCAAGAAAGACTCAAGTGGTGATGCCTTGATGACTGATCAAGCGGGCACAACTTCTCGTTGGAAGAGTCGCCCACAACCCTCAATACTGGCAAGTCCGTTACTAAACAGGATCACGGAGGCTCCCGAGTCCACAGACGATCAGGTAGCAATTCAACCCAAGAGAAACGAAGATGGTGGACTCATGGATTGAACCCCGGCCCAACATGAAAGTTGCTGCAATTGAGGCGAACACGGGAGATATGACGAGAATCCCAGAAAAGGACTAGCGCCGGTTGATCAAACAAGCCGACTCACGTGAGAGAGACTGCTGACTAAAACACTTTTAGCTGGGAAGGTGCGGGCGAAGGCTTGGCAAATCACCTGATTCAGAAGTACACGTCTACGGTGAACCGGGGACACCATAAATGCGTTGAATGCCTTTGGCCAGACCGTTGCTCTCGGACAGTTCCTCCCGCCACGAGTCTCACCAGTTCTTAGGAAATGCAGCATATGGGGATGGATTGCTTGTCTCCGAGTCCAGATCATCGTTGCGAGTAGCTGCACTGTGTTACTTGTTTCAGCTGCTGCCAGTAAAACAGGCCAAAGCCATATTCAGAGCTTGTGACCAACACAGACTACTTCTTGATTGTGTGAATCCGAGGCTGAGTACGGTAATTGTCTACCCGAGGCTGGAATAGACCATCGACAATTGAGTGGGATGGATCTGCCATATTCCGAGTCCACAGTAGCGGACATCAACACGATCGCAGAATTCATCTCTTGCGAGGACATCTCCTCGCTGCTGACATGTCCACCAGTCGACGTCTTGGTTCTCTGCGGCAACTCAATCCTACCTATTGCCCATCACGTCTTTTCAGCCTTGGAGACGCGGCCGGAGCTGGCCAGAACAGTAGTGATATGCGGTGGGATCGGTCACTCGACTAAATTTCTCTACGAAGCAGTGAGAACCAGTCCGAGATATCACCCACTTTCGTCCGCTGTCCAAGGCATGCCAGAAGCCAGAGTGCTGCAACTGGTGATGGAACGCTTCTACCCGAGGATCAGCGACCATGTCCGATCAGGGGCCTTGGTCATTATCGTCGAGGACGCCTCGACGAATTGCGGAGCCAATGCAGTGGAAACTCGAAGGGTTCTCGAGGCCCATGGCGTTTCAGAGCCAGCGACCTTCATCATCGTCCAGGATCCCACCATGTCGTTACGCACCGTGGCGTCTTTCAAGAGAGCCTACGCCGAGGTCTCACCAGCCCCTAGTTTCTCGGCGTGTCCGACGTTCGTCCCTCGAACAGCTCTGGACGGAACAACAACACAACGGCCACACTTCCAAGTGCCTGGAATTCAAGAATCGGAACTTTGGAATTGGCCGAGGTTCACCGACTTGGTCATGGGCGAGATCCCACGTTTGAGGGACGACGAGCACGGTTATGGCCCGCGAGGGAGACATTTCATTGCTCACGTCGACATTCCCGATGCTGTTGAGGCTGCGTGGAAAAGACTAGATGAGACACTGGGTCATCTGGCCATGAGAAAGGTGGCTCCAAGTCAATAAATACAACAGATTGATGGCAGATGGACGGATGTACCATCATGTGAGTCAGGGTGTTAAGGTATATTTCAAACTCACTGCACTGGACACCTGCAAATTTTGTTTTCTCCATGACCAACAGCTACTCGGGGATGTTTTCACATCGTGAGAAGAAAGGTCGAGAAACCAGAAACAAGAAGCAATAGCATGTGAAGAAACGGCGGAGAACCAACGAACAAGAGCCGGCGACGAAAGGCATAGGTAGGTCATAATCATGTCTCATATTCGTCATGTCGTAAAACTAAAGTACTACTACTAGGGATTACATAGAGACGCTGCTTTCTTTTTGTAGAAGGGTATCTGGAAAAACAAACTGGAAGACAGAAACAGATGTACCCCCCTCACCCAACCAAAAACGACTAGGAAAGGTTTCCTCGATGCCAACCAGTGAGGTGTGAAGGAAATACGAGTAGCGAGTACGAGGACTTGCACCGCCATTCTTTCCTTGTTCCTTGCGGTCGATCTGGTTCCTTGTTTAGATCCTTGTTCGGACTTTTTTCTTCTCAGCCCCCAAAAATACAACACACAAAAGCCCCACCACGGAGCATTTGCCCCTTGCCGACCTCACAATTGGACATTTTGTATCCTTCGCTCAGCCTCGCCGGAACATGGGGCCAGGACACCAGATGTCGGGTACGCCCGGCGGTGTTTCAACGTCATGTCTGAACCAAAAAAGGCTGTTGTATTTGGCCCCTTGGATGCGATTGAAACTTCAAGGTGGCGGCACGGGAGAAATTGCGGCTGGGGGCAGATAATTTGATGGATATTGATGCGCGGTCGTAAGCTTCACGACACGCCGACATCAATTCTGGCACAAGAGGCGATGGTGGCGCGTACGCGTTGGTGAAAACCGCCGTCGGCACTGACGTCGTACATTTCACTCAGCCGTCGAGGAAGCATGCCGACTCGCGTCAAGCGCTGTTGGACAGCCTCCTTCGCGTCGCCGAGGGCGCTGCGGACCCCGTCGGCGCTGATGCGCAGGTTGTAGCATATTAGTTTGTCGTGCTTGGCGCCGGGATATTCGTGCGAGGACGCGGCGACAGAGAATTTGAGCTTGGACGAGGCAAACGCCACCGCTGCCGAAGGGGTGAAACAATACTGTTCCAGAACCTCGGCTTGGATAGCCGACATGTCGAATTCTGGCTCGGGTTGGTCTTGTTCGGGTTCGATCGACTCAGGCTCACAAACCAGTTCCATCGGAGTGGAACAGATGCTGCTGGCCTCGGAGACAGGTGACGACGCGCGATGACTTGACACGGAACTTTGCCGGGAGCTCCTGCGCGACGAGCGAGATGATCTCGGCGACGGCGGGGCGTTCATCTCGGCATCAAGACCGTCCAGGGCGAGGGCGAGAGTCTGGAAATGCTGCAAGGAGCATGCGTCCATCGTGCGCGCGTAGAAGCGGGTTTCCAAAGCCTTTAGACGGGGGAGACTGCCCACGCATGTGTCGACAAGAATAATGTGGTCTTTGAGAAACGCGTCGGAGTCGGTCGCATCGCCAAAATCGACAGCGACATGCGCGAGAGACGATTTGATGCATGGGTGAATTCCCGTATCGGCTATAAACGAAAGCAAGTGTTGTGTTGAGCGGAAAACAAGCGAGTTGAGACTGTAGTACAAGCACAGGGCTTCAGAGCGGACGAGGTGGCAGGAATCCAGAAATGCCCGGGTGTCGTCCTTGGGCGGTCGCGATGGGCGTAGCCGTCGTTGCGACGGACATCGTAGTCGCAAGGGCTCATCTTGTTGGAAAGCGTAGCGGTAGATCAAATTCCTCACCTCGGGCGGCAGACTGAGGAGAGTTGTCTGTCTGTAGGGTGAAGTTGAAGGCAATGGAGTTGCGGAGGGCGATGAACTGGTCACCCACGCTGGTTGCATCGTGGGCACGCAGCGCTCTCTATGTCGTGTCCGGATGTATAGCTGCACGGAATGTCTCGATCTGAATCTGGATTTGACCTAGACATGGGCTTGCGGCGGTGTCGTTTCAAAAAGGCCCAGTGCCGTGACGTGGATGGTGAACAGAACGCAAAAGCCTCCAGTGCTGTGTGTTTTCACGTTGTGTGCATATACTGTAGTACAATGATGGCGATGGTTCGACCAACCGCCGCAACCAGGAGGGACTGGAAGAAATTCAAGATAGACACAAAGTCTGTGTGTCAGTTCTGGTCAAGCCCTCCTGGAGCAGTGGTTCGTTTCTTAGCGATCGCTTAGGTTGTATCTGGAGGCTGATGCCCCCTTTTGAGAAGTGGGTGCCAATTTTAAAAGAGGCGAGCACAGAGACTTAGTGGTGGAGGATGGGTCCTGCCCACAAGATCTGGGGGAGAAAGAAAAGACAACCGCTTGAAGTTCTGAGCTTCCCTCGAGAGGTAGAAGGCGACAAGAGAGGCAGAAACAGATCAACGAGAGAGGAGTGCGCTGGCCGAAAAATGGCGAGGTTGGTGATAGAGCCAAATACATGTACTCGCGAGCATGAGCACATTGACCGCAGTGACCGCAGTGACGCCTTCAGTGGTTGGTGACACGAGCCACCTCGACAAGGCCAAAGTCTCGCTGCAGGTTGATTGACTTTGAGAACGACATGTCTCAGTTTAGCCCCTTTTAGCAGGTCCCAGGAACCACGGCCTTTTGTCGAATAGGACGCAGCTGGGCCCGATAGTCTCGTCCGGACCAGCGTCGCATTGGTGAAGAGCAGGCGATCCCTGCTTTTAGCGAGGATATTAATATCCGGCAGCTAATGCAGCCACAGGGCAATGCTGCCCTTTGCCCAATCTCTGCTCCCCGTCCCAGATGCTCCCAGCCACGGCCTTGCCAGCATGCTGGACCCTCCACGGACTCTCTGCTGGAGATTCCCATGGGCCCTGGACCCTCCCACTGTCTCCCGCCCTCCCTGGCGGACCTCTTGGACGTCATCGTACTTCCCGTGAGCCGTGGACCATGAGCTTGCATGTAGATGCAAGCATAGTCGAGCACACGGAATGCTCTGGTAAATTGTGATCGACAATCCGTTGCTGAGAGAGGGTTCAAACTCTACGAGGAACCTGGCCAATTGCTTCCTGTTCACCACGGACCACCACCGGGAGAGACCTCGGCCAGCTATGAGTCTATGACCCTCAGAGACCTGGGGATGGGGGCCATCTCCACAGTCTCGAGTTCCGTGGCTTCAGTGCGTGTGAGTCGAGTCCTCTAAGCCTTCAGAACCGCCGTCGTTGCAACGTCTTCGCCACCCCTCGCATCGTGTTCCTGTTGCTCGTCTTCTGCCTGGACCCTTGCGGCAAATTTCATTACTTTTTGCTTTTCTGTCGCATCGGCAAGGTGTGCCACCTTTTCATCGCCAAAGAAGGCGTTGGATGTCTTCCATAGACAGACCCATAGTCGTCGGAATCTGTCAGCCTCGTCCGACGTCCGACGTCTGACTCCTTGGGAATGTTACATGCCTCGGGACACCAGAAATAGAATATCATGACATTATTGGCAAATGTCCAACACATGAACATGATGTAGTATTTCCACTTTATGTCGGCCAAGGCTGTCGGTGCAGCCTCATCATCCACCAGAGTCGAGAGCACTGTCCCCGCACGCGACCAGGCGATGCCTTGCGAGCGGATGTTCGTTGGTAAAATCTCCGCTGCAGGTGAGATCCGTTAGCCAGAGATGAGAACACGGCCTTCGGGAGTACATGCAGAGAAGCTTCCGGACGAAGAGCGTGGCCTCTTCACCGGGTCGTCTACCATATTGACACGGCGACGGACTCCGCTTAGCTTGCAATGAAAAGGAACGGCTACTCACAGCAACAATCATAACTGAGCATGTCGATAGTATCGCTATAGAAGGCGATGAAATAGAAAAAGAAGAACACCCCCTTCGACAAGCCGATCCTGTTCATGGTATCCGCATACCCGGCAGTCGTCGCGGTTTTCAGACAAACAGACAACATGCAACCCGTAAGTCCGGTAACCGAAGACCCAATACTTAGCATCGTCAGTGGCACAAGTAGGCAGACACCTTACCCAGCAGTGGTTTCGTCCGACTCTGTCTAGGGAAAAAGCTCTGTTGGAGTTTGGAAGGGTGGCTACTGTGGCATACGCCGCCCCAAGCATCAAAGGCACATCGCCTACGAGACCCATGTTTTAGCAGAGAGGTACAGTGAAGCAACTACCCATTGGAACCCGGTCGACGGTGGTCACGATACCAGTTGGGAACCACATCAGTCACCATATATCACCTGGTCCCCAGTCGACTGTGTGGCATACTGAAGGAGAAGCTCATCCAAAAAGTGTTTGATACGCCCTCTTGGTACGCGTCCCCCGTCGTACGCCTTCCTTCCAAACATTTCCGTCCACTCGAACTTGTTCTGCCGTCTGATAGAACTCTTCACGAGCATATTACATGATCTCTTCAGCCGAAACAGAGCCACTTGAGTCGCTTAGCGACATCACAGGCTTCATTTCATCGGTCTCGCTCCAGGACCGTCACGATCGCCCCAAACTCTGGTCTCTCGCTACTTACGCCACCGAGGAGACTCAGGAATCCGGGGGAAACACACCGCCAGTGTCAGATGTGGGAGAATGGACAATGCAGTCTGGAACCGCCATTGGAATGACAGATTCGAGGAGTAGTAAGTTCCTGCACCAACCCAGGTGTGATGGCATATCCCCGAACGGTCCAAGTGTCGCATTGACCGACCAGGAAATCTCGAGCCTTTTGGTGGTGCTACCCTTGAGGTTAGCTATGGTGAATCCCTACTCGAAGGATCGATGAAGTGAATCACATCACACCCACTGACCGCTTCCTGGGACCATTTGATGACACGACACGCATGTCACCTAGACAAGTCACAGCACGACTTCGGGACTGAGCCTTTTGGAGTATACTACAAATCTCATCAGCTGCCGCATACATGGTATTCTCCGCCTATCCCGTCACCAGAACGAGCGTTCTTACGGGACTGGGCGTTCTTCGGGTTCATCCTTGGTAGGAAGAGTCCAGTCTGGGGCAGAAGGCACCAAATATCATATCCCTTCTCGATGCCTTCTCCGAGAGACAAGCTAGAACCGGGGGTGTGTTCTACCTCCCCTTCCTGCTAAAGAGCCGAACTTTACCCCTCAATGCAGGAGGGAGGCCATGCGATAGCATGTCCATGGCTACATGCGGAATTGCCGTGTCCAAGGTACAGTCTGAACGGGCGCGCTGCAGAGTTAACACCTTTGTGGTAGTTAGTAATCTGCGACGCATTGGCCACTTAGAGACTATCGGTCAGAAAAAATATACGAGACTACAAGAACTATTCCAAGTTAGGGGCCGAATGCTGTGTCACATTATACGAACAATGCACAGCCCAGAGCCGTGCCCCGAATACGAGGGTCACGGCTTAACACCAACATGGTTCAGCCACATCCTTCTGGTTACCCTGGTTCTATTCTTGTATCTGTCGTGTCGACATGTAGAAAGCCAGTAGTTCTCATGGTAGGTCGAATACGGGGTCAGGCTATTTCCCCCTCTACAGAGGGGGTTGTGTGTGTGTGTGTGTGTGTGTGTGTGTGTGTGTGTGTGTTGACTGCGCCACCTTGGCTCCGAATGACGGCGTAGATATCTTTGTTGAGGTGCCATATCACTTTTAGGTTGGGAAACAGCTGGATGTTGACTAGCGAGCTGAGGTTGAAAGAGGAGACAAGAAGGATCATTGATGGTTTTCCCTCCATACGTAAATTCCACCCCTCGTTGTCGTATATTGTTCTAAATACACTATGCTGATGTTTCCGAAACTGTTTGCAGAGCACTGCCTGACCAATAGCTCTTGCTCACATTCACCAGAAAGGTTTCGGTATAGTTAGGGATACAGAATAGGCGATAGTGGCTTTCGTTGATCCCTGCATTCGAGAATGGCAGCCTCCGGTGAAGACCCTCTGGCGTGTGACTGCCTCCGCCTCACTGCGCGTCACCTACGGCATCTGAAAGTAGGCTCTCTGCATCTGAGGACCTAGGCTTGAAGACAACGTCAAACTTGCCTGGGTGGCTTGAGAGACCAGTGCTGAACTTGATGGGCTGCTCGATTGGCCTTCCACTTGCGTCGAGGGGTTTGGACACGTCGACTGTTGCGATCAACGTGGCAATGAAGATCCACACGGATGCTTGGGCAAGGTGGCGTCCGACACAGATTCTAAAGCAAAAATCATAAACGTCATCAGTACGAGTTTGAAGTCTGCGATGGTAAGGAAGACGTGCTACGAACTCACCTTCGACCGAACCCGAATGGGCCCACGAGATATGGCTCTCCTGCACCGCCCTCCTCCTGGGGAATGAACCGCTCGGGCATGAACGTCTCTGCGTCCTTGTACACTGACGGGTCTCTGCTCATGGCATATGTATTGTAGTAGACGTATGTGCTGAAGAAAGCCAAATGTGCCACGTCAGCCAATGTGTTCTTACACTCGAGCAAGGGTTTTGGAACAACGCAGAGTCGATCAATGTTTGCTTACCCCTTCGGTATGAACATTTCATTGTAGATGTCGTCCTGAAGCGACTTGTGCGGGATGCCAATCGGTGAGAGAGGCCGCCATCTAGTCGTCTCCTCGACAATATAGTCGATGTAAGGAAGCTTGGGCCTATCGGCTAGCGATGGGAGTCGATCTCGGCCGACTACGCGATCAATTTCGGCGCGGGCTTTCTGGAACACTCGTGGGTTGAGCATAAGATTCAAAAGGGCAACTGTGGTGGTTGCAAAGGTCTGATATAAACGTCAGCACAGCTAACATACGAACATGAAGGATGGATCCGGGATGAGATCCGGTGACTTACAGTGTTGGATCCAGCAATGAACACAGACCCGGATGCACCCTGGATATCATTCATGGTGAACGAGTTTGGAACGCCTTGCTTCTCATTCTCGGAGTATTTAGACAATAGAGAATACGCGAACGATGGGTTTGCGGTTCCTTGGTCCTGTGTCGATGTCATCAGTTTCTCGGCTCTTGCAGATGTAACTGCGGTAAGAGCTCACAAATTCCTTCTTGATCGCCGCAAAAGGGATATCATGGAGATTCTTGATGGCCCACTTCCAGCGTCGTGCATGTCGGAGAGTTTGTGAGAAGTTGAGGAACTCGGGAACGTATCGGACTGAAGGGGTGTTTGTGAGTCAACTTGGCGGGTGGTAGTGCCCTTATTTGAAGCCAGACTTACATGAAGGGAGATAATCAACTAGTGCCGTTCCAGGGTTGCCCCCTTCTGCAGTCGCCAAGTTGGCATCCTTTGCGATTTTGATGTACGGATCGTCGTCTGACTTGACGGTGACTCCGAATCCGATTCTTAAAACGATACCAGATGCGAATCTTGAAACGCATGCATCAGGATTGTACGTCTCCTTGGGTAGACGGATAGCTAGCACTCACCTCCTGAGGGAATGATCCCAGTTCTCTGGGCTCTTGAGGATTCTCGCAACCGCCTGCCTGGCCTCATCTTCCTGGATGGGTCTGTAGTTGACAATTGCAGACTTCGTGAATCCTGTCTGCAGTGCTGATCGGTGAAGCTTGAACCGGGGTCCATAGGGCATGAAAGTCAGAGTCAGGCCCCAACCCATGACATCGAACAGCACAAAACTTGGCCGGTCCTGATAGTTCGCACCGCGCTTGTCTAGGATCTCATTTGCGGCCTTTTGGCTGTTTAAGACAATCATATGGTTTCCAAGAACATTGAAGTAAACAACATCGGAATCTGTTGGTCTGGTCAATAATCCGGTTCATAACCGCTTCGGCTCGGCTGAGAGCCTTACTGTATTGTTTGGCATAAGCCATGTGCTTGAGATGAGCATTTTCAAGAGGCAGACTTCTGAAGTGGCCGAAGAGCGGCTCTGAAGGCGGTGATGGCGGTAGAGGATAGGGATATTTCTTCAACGACCTCTTCACGACATTGTAGAGGGAGAATACTATCACCATGATGACGACGAGGAGCCGTGTCGGAGACGACAGAAACAACTTAATAGCCTCCATCTTGGATGTTCCGATGTCTCTTGTCGAAGCAGCTCCTGGAATTGACTGGCAACTGTCACACTGAGGGTTCAGGCCGAACAAATATCACAATCCATTCTCCCTCTTAGTCGCAAACAACACAACATCAAACAAACGATCCCCAATTGGCTCGGAGAAAATCTTTGAGCTCTTCACCTTGAGCAGTCGCAAAGTATGCAACTCCAAATCACAACGCCGTTGTGCGGCGCGGATTGTGGATCCTGGACAAATGCGGTTTATCAACTTTCACGGCGCTAGGACTTCGTTGCCGCCACTACGTCGCTTCGCTCACTTCCCTGCCGCTTATCTTGCCGGCCTGCCAGCCGGCCGCTTCTTACGCCGTTTTAATTGCAGTAAGTAGCATCTGGACTCGTCCCCAAAGATTGACTCGGCCACTTGGTGGATACAGAAGGATGCAGTGGCCAAGTGGCACGTCTTCGAGATCAGCGAGCGACTGCCAACAAAGTGGGCTTCAGTTCGAGATGTCGACAGATGATCCCCAATGCAGGTAGCACTACAATGCTTCGGAAGTACAAAAGTCCATTTCAGCATTTCAGCCTCTTAGTCGCAAGTGTGTCAACTGTGTAGACAAAGCCATCAGCAGTCAAATTGCATATACTGTCAGACTCCCTCCCAATACCAATGGGTGACTCGTCAGAAATGGTGTTGGTCACCAAGGCCTCTTCAATGGACAAGTTCGGAGCCTCTGCAGCAGGCTCGAAAACCACTGCACCGACAGAGGTAGACCCTTACAGATATCAGCTGGGATTTGGCAACTACTTTTCCACAGAGGCTGTGTTAGTTCTGTCACTGTACAGGTTGTAAGGAGACGGCTGATCGATATCCTAGTCCAGACATCCTCCCCGAGCCCGGTAGGAATGTTCCTCAGAGATGTACCTTCGACTTGTACTCTGAGCAGTTGAATGGCACTCCTTTTGTATCGTACCGGGACACCCTTCAGCATGTGTGGATGTATCGCATTCGGCCATCTGTTGCTCATTCCCGGCCGAGGCCAATGGCCCCTACACCTGATGTATTGATATCCCTTCTGACGTGAAACGGGAAGGCATTGACTGATGGATGTTACAGCTCGAGGCATGCTTTTCGAAACACAATCCCAACGTACAGTTCACTCCTCTCACCTACGAATGGGGTCCCTTGGAGTGGCCAGATGAGAATGAATCTGTCACTTTTATCCAAGGGCTCAAAACCATCGGTGGATGGGGCGACCCTACGATCAAAGAAGGTTTGGCAATGCACATGTATGCTTGCAACGCTTCGATGAAGAACCAAGCATTTTGTAACAACGATGGTGATTTCCTGATTCTACCTCAAGTTGGAAGGCTCGACATCCAGACCGAACTGGGCAGACTCATGGTCCGCCCGGGCGAGCTGTGTGTTGTTCAAGCGGGGTTGAAATGGAAGGTTTCATTGCCAGATGGGCCAGCAAGAGGATACGTTCATGAGATCTTTGGCTCGCATTTCGAACTCCCTGATCTTGGAGTCATTGGCTCCAACGGTCTAGCTCATCCCCGAGATTTCGAGTACCCTGTTGCAGCTTTCGATCTTGACGACTCCAAATGGGAAGGTGAGTTCGTCCATATGGTCTGGTGTTGGACCCAGGGCTGACGTTGAGGCTTCAGTTGTCTGCAAACTCACTGGTGATCTATTCTCATACAAGCAAAACCACACCCCTTTCGACGTCGTCGGCTGGCATGGAAGCTACGTGCCATTCAAGTATGCCATGGAGAAGTTTGTACCGCTCGCGTGTGCGATGAAGGAACAATGCGATCCGACCATCTACACGGTCCTTATCGCCAAATCGAAAACGCCAAAGGTGTCTCTGTCAGAGTTTGCAGTCTACACTGCCAAGCATATCACAGCTCTAGATACGTACCGTCCACCATACTACCACCGAAACGTGTCCACAGAAATGCTGGGCATGATCTACGGCGAGTACCATGGATCTGTTCGTGACGTTCAAGCAGGCTGCTTGAGCTGTGAAAACTCCTACATGCCTCACGGAGATGCATACAAAGCTTGGAAAGAGGCCACGACCAAAGAATTGAAACCCGAGATTATGGGCGAAAATGCACTAAGTAAGACGTCTGCCTACTGTAAAGGACCACGACCAAGGGCTAACAGCTCGCGCGACAGGCTTCATGTTCCACTTGAACAACCATTTTGGTTTGACTCGTTTTGCCTTGGACAGAAACCCAAGCATCAAGCGTAAGTCTCCTTAACATCTTCCTGGCCGCTCCACAACTAATAATCCTACAGATATCGAAGGGTATGAGGGCGACTTTTGGGATGATCTCCAGGGACATTTCATGGATCACTTGGACGAGGTCAACGAGAGACTTGCCGCAGCTGGACTGCCGCAATTAGGTCAAAAGCCAGCATAAAGGATTTCAATCATTTAGCACTATAATGAGATGTTAGGAGCAGAACAGAGATACCCTCATATGAACATGAGCGTGCTTCCATCACTTGGCCATTCTCATAGACACGCACTGTGAGTAAAACCAGAGAAGAGTAGTGCACCACGGCGAGACCGTAATTGTCCAGGGCTTCGTCCGCCTGGACCATTAGTTCGCTAGGGTCCTTATCGTGGGAGACCCGCCTGTGTTCTGAGTCCCGACGTAATTGGTTCGCCCATGCTAAGTTCGGAGTACCAAAGAGCGGATACTGTACCGACCCTTCGATAAGGAGTGAATTGTCCTTGGTCGATTTTTGAACACCACGAGAACTACCCTCGGTGGCAGGCTTTCGAACATGCCCGTTGCTTGATGCACCCACTCAAGAGGACATCATGCCATAGCATTCATCGCGTCGCAAACATATGCAGCAGCATCACTCCACATGCTCCATAGTTTTCATTACTTACGTTAAACAATCCCAATGTTGGCTGACAATGGCCATGAATCGCAACGAGGCTCAACAAACATCAGCGCGCCATCAAATTCAGTGAGGTTCAAAAGATCCTCGATTGCGTGCAGAAGGTATGCTTTGTATAACGGTCAACCAGGTCGCTGCTCTTCAGAGACTCTATGATGGTCGAGTGCTTCTATGTCTCGCTATTTTCATTCTGCCCGACTGTATGGAGTTGCTAATAACTCGATTGCGGATGTAGATGTCGGCGTCTTCGCAGCAAATGTATTCAAGATGCCGGTCGGGTTCCTTGTCTGCCTTGCCGTCAAGCAGGCCTAGCAGAGGCGCAATCATGGTCCGTAGCACTTAGTCTGCAATATGGGGCGCGGAAACTGATACGATGTTGCTGCCAGTGGTTTTGCCAGCCGAGGAGATGATCAGGATCGAAGAGTAAATCAATCATTATGCCAGAACAACACGAAGTCTGACAGATCTCCCAGTACCGAATAAAGAGAGTCCAGCAAACAACAGGCGATGCCTCCAGCTCTACATCGCAAAGCGGGTGAGAGCGACAGGAATTACTGCGAAGGCCATGGACTGATTGATATGCTGCAGAGACAATGCCCCAAATGCCAGCACGGCCAGGTAAGACCCAATCCATACGCGGCAAGACATCATTGTAAACTGGGGCTGAGGCATACTATCAGTGATCCTATCATCGAAATCCCAGAGACATTGTCTCCCATGACCGCTCGCAAGATGCAGGTGTACACGTCGGATGTGTGGAGTCTCCTTCCACCTCATGAAGAATTGATCCAGGGCTGTCGGATCTTTGTCACTACATGCATCCAGATTGGTAGCAGTGACCCAACTTCTATATTACCTCTCCCTAACCTCGTCTACAGGATTTACTCCTCGAGCATTGTTTCTAGAGCAACTCGAGAACGATCGCAGGTCCGTCAATGTGTTCCTCCTCGTCAGCATGCTCGCAATATCAGCTCGCTTCACGCCGGCTTTATGCAAACGATTCGGCGGCAGCAGTCAGGCGTCCGAGTTCTTCGCTGAGATCGCCCATACCATGATAGCCGACGAGATGTGGGAAACGTGTCTGGAGAACGCACAGGCATTCTTCCTGCTCGGTATGGCAGATTGGGGCAAAGGTGACCGCGCTCGAAGTTCCATCAACATGGGAATCGCGGTACGTATGGCTGGAGTTCTTCGGCTACATCGAGAGGAAACTTACAGCCTACCCCCGGATGCTTCGCCGACTGATGTCGTCGATGCTGAACGCGCAAGACGGACGTTTTGGGTCATTCAGAACCATGACAATCTCTACACTCAAAAACACCTACCAGCGTCCTTTGCGAAGTCAGACATCACAACATTGTTACCGAGCAGTGAGGACGATTTTGCTTTTGGCCGGGTGCCTCAAGTCCGTGCCGCCCTGGCCGGTACGAAGCCAGCGCAACAGGATCCGTCATTAGTATTGATTCCGTCGCGATCCTTGTTCGCTACTCTCGTTCAAGCACACGACTTCTGGGGAACGATTGCCCGGGACTTCTCCCAGGACGAAAACGCCAACACGAGCGTGGAGATGCAGCCTTGGGTCCCGGACAGTCGTTATAGGAAAGTCACGGAAAGTCTGAATCAATGGGAGCAGAACATGCCGGTGGAACACCGTTGGTCGGCGTGGAACCTTCGGGGTTTCAAGGCACAACATGTGGAACTAGCATATCTGTCTATCGTCTCCATCATGAAACTCAACCACGTTGTCCCACGCCGCCTGTATTTGGAAAGCATAGTTGCCAAAGTTCTTGGTCACAGAGCCAACGACAACGCTCCACAGGGTTTCTGGGAACAAATGTCATTCGAGCTATTTTCAAACGTTTGGCAACTGTACGAAATCATCGACGCCTTCTTTACTACAAGATCTTCTGACGACGGTTTCCCTGCCATGCTGGCGTTCTGCGTCTACATTTGCGGCTCACTTGCCTCGTACCTCGTCCGATGGCCACAGCTGTGCCGCGAGTTATCTGTGTCTGCGAGCACAACACTCGACAGAGCCCTGGAGATCTTGTCGACGTTGGAGGAGAAATGGCCGACGGTACACGATTGGACGCTGGTTCTACGGAAACTTTCAGAACAGCCAGCCAGCCGAGAGAGCGAGGCTCTGCGTGATATCACCTCCCAAGAATCTTTCCTGAACTCGGCAGCCACAAGCAAAACTCCGCGTATGACGCCTCGTGCGGTCCCTCGAACCTCCCTTGAACGTATGCACGAGTGCCGTACCACAAACTCTGGTGCTCCGGCTCGCACATCGATTGATAATCACCCGCAACACCACCATAGCGTGCCTATTGCGGACAGACAATCACCCATGCGGCCCGTTGAGCCATTCGATCACCAGCAGCCGCCACCGCGGCCGCAAGCACCCGCCCCGACCAATTTCCTCGATCTCCTCAGCGATGCAGCAGCCCTAGGCTCAGATCGTCCTCGACCGCAGCCTGCTGAATCATCATACTACAGCCAGAGGCAAGCCGTGGAGCCAATTCGACGCAGTGTCACCGAGGAACCGGCACAGCAGCCTCAAGCTTCCGGATCCCGACAGCAGTTCACCCTGCCAGATTTCAGCACGTTTGAGATGCTCCATGACTCTTTCGACAATGACATGGCTGATTTTGTGCATGGCTATGTGCACATGGGCTGGGGTGACTGGCAAGTGTGAGTTTTGACGACGCGCGTGACATGTGTGTGTAACTCTTGAGATTTACACGTTTCGAATAAAGGACACTGCGTCTTCAACACCCACGACGTCGCCATACTTGGCTCCAACGTCCATCATGTTTGCCCAATGCAGCTCAGGAACTCTGTCGCCACAAGCCTCGGCGACTATGATAGGTCTGAAGCCAGACTGCATGGCATCCAGCGCGGTCGCTCGAACATTCAGACTCGTGGTCAAGCCACCAATTATGAGAGTATCGATGCTCATGGCGGCAAGCTGGGTGCTCAAGTTCGTTCCGAAGAATGCAGAAGGATATTTCTTTTTCAAGATGGAGTCGTTGGATTTGGGGAGGATCACAGCCGGTCCCTTCGACAGGCTCGTGAGATTCTGAGGATGTTGCGCCTGGAACAGTGCAACATGTTCGCTTTTGAGCATTGCCAAACCTGCGTCACGGCATTTGGGATGTGTGTAGAATGTCTGAGCGTATATGACGGGGACTTCGTCGGCGGTAGTTGGTCTTGCTCTCACGGTGTCCAAGATTTCCGAGCATGCTTTCGAGACTCGATCCAGAGTATCTTGATCGAGCACCAACGGCGACGAAGGGCTGAAATAGGCGTCGCACATATCCAGTAGTAGAATCGCTGGTCGTGTACCAAATCCTAGTTTCTTCGTTCTCGAAGGGTCGCCGCACTCTGCGGCATAGCCGGGATAACGAGAAGGATCTAATGCGACGGCAGCGGCCATGATGAAACGAGAACCGCACAACGTAGGACGGGGAATTGACGACGCATGAAGTTGGGTGAAGCAATGCAGGGATCGCGAAAGATTGGAACTTTCCCTATAGATTGAATCGAGTCAAAGATTGCAATTTAGCATGCTCGGCCGAGTCTTGGGGTCAGATAATCCGACCCATCGAGCATTCCCTGGAGCGGCACGAGCCAGTCTATCAATACTACCTCTGCACGTTGGGGAGAGCCGGGTATACCTAAAGCACTAGGTAAGGATGCCAGCTCAACCAGACTCTTGAAAGCGTGCCCGGCAAGCCAAACAGCCAGAGAGTAGAGAGAGCGAGTAAGAGAGAGATTATGATCTGGTTGCCGGAACCGGCAACTCAAGTAGACAAATGTTTACGTAATGCTGTCAACCATCTGAGATCTGGCTACATGCGATGATGGTGGATCCTGGGGCCGGCACCGACCTTTTCGAGGGCCCCAGGGTCCAACAGATCATCTGAACTTCGACTACAACGGTCAAGGACGCTATAGGATACGCATCTTGTCACGAGTACGATAGCCAGCGGGGAGATCTCAAGGATCTATTCATCTAGCATATGCTTCTTGCCTCTATAGGGTGTTGAGGACAACCCAGTTAATACAGCATGCCACAAAGAGCCTGCAATGGTAGCAGTGTACCAATGACGGCAGTACATATCATGGTTAGATCAAATGCTATTGTCTCTCAATCTTCGCAGCATCCCGATCATAAGAACCCCCCAACTCGGCCGCTGCACGCTCGCAGACATCATGCACGAGCTGCTTCCCAATGCCATGAATTCCGGCGAGCACTAGTATCGAATGCGTCGCTCCCTTGTAGACTTTGACCTCGGTAGGCACACCTAAGTCGCTCAGACGCTCGGCGAACGCTAGTCCCTCGGGAGCTAGAAGGTCACACTCGGACACGGCGACGAAAGTCTTGGGATACCGTCGTAGCAAGTCGTCCGGGGCGAAGCACGGCGACGCGGTCCACTCCTTTACACTCTCTGCGTCGTTCGTGCCGAAGTACCGTTCTCGGTACCATGTCATGCGCTGCGGCGTGAGCCAGGGCGAGTGTCTCGACGTGGACCATGTCGTCTCGACCGTTGCAGTGTTGTCGATGACGGGACAGAGGAAGAACTGAAATATTGGACGGATCGGCGTGTCGAGTTGGCTCGCTTGGAGAGATAGGATCGCCATCAAATTGCCACCTCTGTTGTTTCGAGATCAGCATAAAAGAAAAGGAAGTGAGGCCTGCTTGGCCATCATTTTCGATGGCCAGTAAGAACAAATAAAACCCCCAAACGGATAACAAGGTACTGGTACTCACGCTGATAATCCGCCAAATATCAACTTTTTCGTATCTATTGAGAATTTCTGTACGTTCTCTGGCTGTACCAGCCATTTCAGGCCTGTCAAACTGTCCTCGACGGCCGTAGGGTAGAGATATTCGGGTGCGTGCCGGTAGTTGACGGTGCACACGACGCATTTGACGTCTATCATGACACAAACGGTGTAAGTTGATTGAATTTTGAGCTCAAGCATCATACAATGTCCGTCACAGTACATGCACATGCGTGCACAAGGGTCATCGTGAATCATGATTTATCAAGGACCAAGCGTGGGTTGGGCCATGCTTACATTTGCAAAAGTGCCTCAGGAAGCCGTTCTCGCTGTTCAAGCCTCCATTGACCCAGCCACCACCGTGGAGCCAGAACAGACAAGGCCAGCCCTCAGACGACGCAGGTCGCCCTTCAGGAGTGAATATTCTCGCCTGAATTCCATCCCCGATCTCGTGGTTGGTGATCTTTCCCACCTCGACGTCCTTCTGAGCTCCAGCTCCAAGTGGCGAGACGAACTTGCGAGATTCAGGATTCCAACCTTGCGATTCGTTTGGCTTGACGTACTGCAACACCTCGTCGTGAAGGGACACGTATTCAGGATCGAGTTTGTCCCGAAGAGAAGGGTGCAATGGTTGATAAGCCACTCGCGGCTGGGCTTCTGACATGGTCTTGTTCTATTTTAAATCACAGATTGTCCTTGAATCAGATGAGATTCGGCCGTATCCCATGTTAGACGAAATGATACGCAAAGAAGAACTTCAATGGAAGAAAAGTTGGCAAAGTTCGGGAAGTTTGGCTGTCCAAATATTGGCCCGCTTTTAGCTCTCGGCTCCACCTTTCATCGTGCTGTCAACATCTCAAAGTCTACAAACTCTCCTGAGCAGAAAGAGTGTGACAGCTCTTTCTGGTTGTCAATGAGGACTTGAATTTCCCCATTATCCAAAGACATTACTACATTTTACTGCCGGTGCAAATCTTCATCCCATAAGCTTTCCATTTCTCGAATAAGGCATCTATGACAATCTTATAATCCCTTTTTGTTTCCGCCTATAATTTGTGGACAGATATAGACAACGAATAATCTAAACTGCTGACTTGGTCTCTTGTACAGTCGAGGTCATCTCCGGCTCTGGAAATCGGCTTGGTGCGTCTGTATTGATAGCTTCAGCTGATCTTGGAGGCGCCTTTTCCTCTTGCCTTGTCAGACCTTTGTCCTTGATGAACACCATCAAGCAAAGGCAGCAAGCCATGGCTCCTGCCCATAAATAGAAAACAGATCTAGCTGCATTGACATATGCGTCCTTGACTTGGTTTTGCTGTTCCACAGACAAGCCATCAAGCAGTGGCATGTCAAAAATTGAGTCTTGAATTTGGCGCGTGATGTTTTGCGGCAGATCGTTGGGAAGACTGCTCAACAGGGAGTTAGAGAATATGGCAGATGCAATGGCCAGGCCTCCTGAGCCACCAAGTGCACGGATATAATTGCGAGCACTGATGACCACGGCCCTGTCTTGTTTTGGCGCATGTGCTTGAGCTGCGACCAAGGCTGTCGTGAAAATCACTGTCAGCTGATTTCAAGTTTGCCAATGAAGGGTAGAACCTACTAGGTTGGAAGACGAGACCAACACCGACACCTTCGACGATGAGAATGAAGACGATGGCGACAACAGAGAGAGTGCGGCTGAAAATGCAATGCAGCGCCGTGCCTATCACCCAGCAGATGTACCCGGTCCACAGCACCTCTCCGTACCGTTTCCGTCGAGAGATATACTGGCCTGACAACGCAGAGGCTATGGCCTGTGGGATGACAATGGGTATAATCATAGCCGCCGAGGTAATTAAGCTCATTTGTCGTGCACTTTGATAGTAGATTGGAAGGTAGTACAGCAAGCTGTAGAATACGATGCCGATCAAGAAGTTCTGGGTAAGCATAGCTCCAAGTGCGGGATTCTTAAACAGCCTCACTGTCTTCATGTCAGCGTAAGTCCAGTATTTTTTAAACATTGCCGTAAGCATACATGGGAACATTGGCAGCCGAGCTAGCTTCCACTCATTTAGAACAAATGCGGTCATGAAGACAGACCCCAGCGTGAGCATAGATATGACCATGGGGCTCTTGCTATCGAATTGGACCCCTATGCCGGATATGGGAATGAGGAGAAGCATTGCTCCTGCAGAACTCAAGACAATGCCGATCCAGTCGATCTTCCGTAGCTTTACGCTTAAGGGCTCCTGTGGAATGCTTTGAGGTGGCAGCACAAAGTACAACATCGCTGCAATACACACTGCCAGTGGAGCGATGAAGTAGAATGTTGCTCGCCATGTAGCATTCCTGGTAAAGGCTGCAGCAACAAAAGGACCGATGGTGTTACCAAGGCCGACACAAGATCCCAGAATCCCTTGATATCTGGCCTTCCCGTTAGCATCAACGACAGTCCGCTGTGGTATGTTGACTCCATGGTAGGTACGTACTTGCCCCTCTGCTCCAGGGTCGTTACATCTGATACTACCATCATTACCAAGGCCATGATACCGCCATTGGCAAGACCAGATATACCTCGAAAGGCATACAGCTGTGGGCCCGTCTGAGCGAAGCCGCATAGTAAATCACCCAGTGCAAGAAGGCATAGACAGGTGAGGAGGATGACCTTTCGGCCAAGGATATCTGACAGTCGGCCATATAGAACCTGGAAGGACGTGTTGGCGATAAGTGAAGAGGTGCCAGCCCAGACTATAGTAGATGCACTGTTGAGATCTCTCCCGACAGTAGGTAATACCACACCGATCGAGTTCTGGTCGATGTATGTGACCAGTAAAGCAGAGGCAAGGGCGCAAAAAGTGATGATCAAGCGACTCCCTGTCAAGAGATTAGTCTGGTCGTGGATCTCGTGTTCCTTCTTCGCCATGGCGGTGGAAATGGTCCCTGAAATCAGCGCTTGCACAAGGCTCACGTGCGCCTAACTTCAGACCATATCAAGAAAGCCAGAGCATATTACACGTCTGGGAACATTGCGGTACAATATGATAAGAGAAAGGCAGCGCCGATGGTCGGCGGCGACCTATAGTTGCTAACACAATGTCTATGACCTTGGATCCCATTAGTGTATCGACTGCCGGCCGGTCGCGGCAGAGCAGGACTCCACTCTGAACCTGTTGGATACAACTCGCGCTATGCCACGACATACAACACCAGTAGTCTATCATCTTGTGAACAGCTTGGAATCACGACCAGACTCACAAGGAAATGGGCGTTGCTGAGCGGGTTACAGACCATGTGTCACTGTCGAACCCTCCTGGCTACGGCAAAACGCTAGGATGGGGGTCACGACCGGCTCTACTTTTGATCGATGTTTGCGCGGCATATTGGAAAACGGGATCACCTTTGGATCTCTCACACAATCCTGAAGGGGCTGCAAGCCCAGATTCCATGAGACGACTGGTGGCTGCCGCTCGAAAAGGAGGGGTTCCCGTCGTCTGGGCTCAAGTGCGGTATAACCATCCAACAATGAGAGATGGAGGAGTCCAGGCCAAGAAGACAAAAACGATCCTGGCATGGCAAGACGGCGACACGCGATCCTTAGACGCCTTGCTCCCCGGACTAGAGCCAGGGCCTGAAGATACAGTGGTCCTCAAGCGAAACCCATCAGCATTCTTTGGAACCACCCTTGCGACAGAACTCCGGCTTCTCGACGTGGATACCTTGGTCATCGGCGGTGTCAGTACCAGTGGATGTGTTCGTGCGTCTGCTATGGATGCCATGTGCCATGGCTTTCGACCAATGGTGAGTCTTTTGGCGAAGCTCCTCTCCGGACTATGATCTTTAATAACATCGCGTCTAGGTGGTTGGATCTGCCTGTGGAGACCGATCTCCTCTTATCCAGCAACATAACCTGTTGGACATACAATCATATATGGGTGACATTGTGGACGAGGCAGAAGCCGTGAAGAGGCTGTCATTGGGGTGGTAGAAGTGATGACTGCCGAAGCCGCGGAGGTGCGATCATTTGGTGGTAACATGCGCTTTGTGATTCGGGATTGATCACTTTGGCGCTCTGGCCCTGGTTGATGACTCTCCGTGTTTCATAGCTACATGAGCATACTGTCTAGACTCTCCAAACACGATTTTTGATGTGTCTAGAGCATACAACACTGAATGTGTAGAGCAGTCACTGATCCTCCGCCAGCATTGCCTTGCTGTCGCACGAGGGGCCTCAGCCTTGTGTACGGGCAAGTGTCTTATCAGTGGATCCCCCTCGCCATACCACAGAAGCGGCAACCGAATCCGCCAAATTTTTACCCGGTTTGTGCCGGGCCCAGGGTGGACTTGCTATGGCCTTTTGCCTGCCTGCCGGCCGCTCCTTCAGCCTATCTCAATGTTCCCGACATTCCTCCCCATAGCAAAATATTGGAAACCGAACCATGGCCCCAGAAGGGCGCACATTGCACTACAATCTTGGGTGGCACTAGTGCCCATCTTTATCTTTGTTCAAATAGCTATTCTGGCATTGGCTAGCTTGGCCAGGCAGTTTTCTGCGGCAACTTATCCTGCCATTCCAGGCCCAAGGTGACTACGCCTCTTGTCAAGAACCATGGCACTACCTAGAGCCAGTATGATTGTGAAGACGGGCTCGAGATATATACATAAGGACCTCCCCATTTGGCCAAGGTGCAAGTATTGATTGATTGATATGAGAGCACGCAAGCACCCCTTCTCCTCCTCATCTTCCATCAGCTTCTGGATTGTTTCGCCATAATTTGGCAAACTCTCAGCAGACACGTTACGAACAATCCTATACTCCCAAACCAAAGAGTTCGGAATACTCCCTTCCGCTCTCACAATGGAGGACTTCACCATTCAGAAGGAGAGCAAAGACCCTATCGCTCGCGACCTTGAGACTGGGTCGTCGCAGGAAGGCACCATGGAGCCCAGTAAGGAGATGATCATTCGCGATGACTTGGAGCCTCCCAAGATCGGTGCTTCATTTTGGGAGAAGTTATCTTTTGCCGGGCTCGAGATGCGAGGTGCTGAACCTGTGCCCGTCGAGAAGCGTACCGACACGCAATACATCAACGTCTTCACCATCTTTGCAACCTCGATGACCAGCTTGTTACCGTGAGTGACTAGCCATTATCCCCCTTCCCCTGCTATATACCGGGACAAGTATCGACTAACACATCATCTGCGCTGCCTACAGCATCGGTATCGGCTCCGCAGTCACTGTTGGCTACGGTCTCAACCTCAAAGCGGCCGCGTGCATGATTGTCTTTATTCAATTCTTGTTCGCCCTCCCGGCCGCGTATATCATGACCATTGCACCTCGAACCGGCATGAGACAAATGATTCAGTCACGATATTGCTTTGGGTAAGTCCGAGACGCTCTCGTCGCCGCTCCTCTCTCTCTCGCTGCAGACTTGAGTCCGAATCCGTCGACATCTTATAATAATCTGACATCTACTTCTTAGCAAATACTGCAATATGCTCACCACGCTCGTCGTCACCCTGACGGTCGGCGGGTTTGGCGTGACAGGCAGCATCAACGGCGGCCAATGTCTCGCGTCCGTGCAGCCAGGCACTTTGTCGGTCGGAGGCGCCATCTCCATCATCATGGTGATCAGCATGCTTATCGGCTTCATGGGCTACCGAGTTCTGCACCTCTTCACGCGCTGGGCGTGGATCCCAAGCTTGTTTGCCATCATCGTCCTCATCGGCGCCGCAGGGGACCAACTCTCCCACCAGGCGCCGTCCCGCGCCCACAAGGCCCAGGAGTACATGGGCATCGTTGCCTTCGCGGCCGGCAACATGGTGACGTGGTCCAACGTCGTCGGCGACTACTCATGCTACATGCCGCCCGAGGCGCCGCGGCTGCGCATCGCCGCGTACTGCCTCTTCGGGATCGCGACGCCCTTCTCGCTGCTCATGGTGCTGGGCGCGGCCATCGGCGGCGCAGCGTCATCCGTCCCCGCGTGGTCGACGGCGTACGCGAACGCGGGCATCGGCGGCGTCATCGGGACCATCCTGGTCGACCGGCTGGGCGGGTTCGGCAAGTTCATCCTGGTGCTGCTGGGCACGTCGGTGCTGGCGACGTGCGCGCGGGACGTGTACACGGTCTCGTTCAACCTCACGGTGCTGGTGCCCGTGCTGCGCAAGGTGCCGCGGGCGCTGCTCGCCGTCGTGGCCACGGGCGCCATCATCGGCGTCGCCATCCCGGCCTCCAAGTCGTTCGTCGCCTCCGTCATCAGCTTCCTCAGCATCATCGGCTACTACGCCGGCGCGTCCGTCACCTGCTTCCTGACCGAGTGGCTCTACTTCCGCAACGCCGACCCCGCGAGCTTCGACCCGACCATCTGGAACGACGGCCGCGCCCTGCCCTCGGGCCTCAGCGCCATCGCCGCCGTCGTCATCTCCTGGGCCTTCATCATCCCGTCCATGGACCAGACGTGGTACACGGGGCCCATTGCCAAGAAGACCGGTGACTTGGGTTTCGAGTTCGCCGTCGTCGTTGCTTTGCTTGCGTATATTCCCATTCGGACTCTGGAGATCAAGATGAGAGGTCGTTTGTGATTGTGAAGAAGAGATGAGGGAGAAACCATGTCCCCCAGAGGACAGAGGGACTGTGTCGATTTGGAAGAACTGTGGAAACATATATTTACAGAGGGACCTATCTCGGTTTCTCTTCGTTATAGTTTGAATCACTTGTGATCGTCTTGTCTGACCTTCTTCCTCATCATTTCGACCGATCTTAGCGTTCCGTGAGAACCCCACAATTGCTGTGGTATAGAATCGGTGGGGACAAATACACACACACACACACACACACACACACACACACAACATAGCCTGTTAACATCAAAGATCATATCTTACCGTGGTGATGCACCCAGCAAGGGGTACAGGTTACTTTAATTATGCTGGCCAGGTATGCAATCACTCAAGCAAACAATAACCATAAACACAGAAAACAAGTTAGACCGATGTGAATTTACGCTCCGTCGCTCCTCGGACAGAGCCAACCAGAGCGCCAAAGGCTTGGGTCCGACTAGAACCACATCCGCCCAACCTGCAAAGCTGAGTATCACATACGTGCTGATATCAAAGTACCAGAATATACGGGGCGTTCTGTGACCGTCCTGACTCTGGCTTGATCAATGCTGCTTGCTGATGGCCACCCATCCCACTTTGAACTGTACGTGCCTGACGGCAAAGTCCAGAATCCAAGGACATCTCCAAAGTTGAACTTGTCTAATGATCCAACGAGAGAGTGCAAGACTCCCCAGACAATTCAGTTTCTCCAATCCCGGATCGAGACCACGACTGTCAATATTCCCATATCGCGTAGAGATCAAGATGTCTGCCGGTATTCGCAAGGTCGAGTAAGTGAAGTGATTCTTCGTCGCGTAATGGCTCGTCGTGAGCGCCTCAGGCTCAAAGCAGCGACGGCACACAGCGTATTCTTATGGATGCCTTCACGTAGATGTCGTGCTTCGCTTCCGGCTCGAGAGCACCACGAGGATCTAGATCCTATATAGTTGATAAGCTCTCTCGTCGATGCTCGGGCAGCAGCCGGGTTCGACTTTCCTTTTTCGGACGTTGGCCTCGTTGGTAATGTAAATGGTACCCTCCCAAGCTATGTTGGGAAGTTCAATCCTTTCGTGTTGGAAGGACCGGATCCTCGCTGGACTTCACTCCGACGAAAGACTTGCCGGCCGTCACACCTTCAAGTGTCGCTGTAATCTTTCCAAACAACGGGTCGAACTTGAGAGTCCAAACTTGACTTGCTGCAGCTATACAAGCTGCCGAAACTACGGTCGCAAAAGCGCATTGAAAGAACCCAGGCACAGGATATCGATTCACATCGACATCTATGCCGTCTTCATTCTCGACAAAGGGAGTCAATGACTGGCCGAGGTGCAGGAGCCAGGCGAAGACAGTACGCAACAGCATGCCGTGTAGCAGATAGATGGCGAAGCTGACTTTGCCGAGCCACTCCAACGGCTTTGAACTGAGAACGCAATGGGCGTGCGGAGAGATGATGATGCCAAAAACGAGGGCAATGCCGCCAAGGGAACCGTACATTCGATCCACAGCTTCAGTCGGCAGGAACCGTAGCCCGAATGCGTGCATCATCCTCGACCAGCTTGCTGCATCCGGGTAGCCTCCGGGGTAAGACATTACGAAAAGACCCACAAGGATGGACAGTGGAGCGAGGATAGGAGAAATGTCGGATAGAGCTTCAGCGCCTCCCGCCAGACTCATTTCAGCAAGCATGATGCCAGCGAAGCAACAGAGCCCAGTCCAGGCTGAACAGTCGTCAGCAATTCTGTTTTGATGGACAAATACAGCGCGAGACTTACGATCGCCAATAAGGCGGCTCCAGTTCAGGCTCCAGAATATCAGCGCAGACAAAGTAGCAGTCCTCCAAGCAGGAGTCATATGCGCAGTGAGAAACAGAGCGCTGATGATCATAAAACTCCCCTGCAAAAGGTATATCAAAGCCCATTGTGGTTGATCATAGGGGTTCTGTTGTCCAAAGGCCCACGTCGCCGAGATACCACGAAGTAGATCCGGTACAGCTTGAAGCCAGTTTGGGCTGGGCGAGGGTGCTGTGCTATGCAACCAGAACGCATCGCTCATTTCTGCAGTGGTGTACAACCCCATGTTGCAAATGACCCAGCTGATGATGGTGGCCACCGTAGCGGGGAGAACAAGCCGGAAGATGCGACTAAAGGATGAGGAGGCCAACTTGCTGAGTGTTTTGTCAACCTGTCCTGATCGAGCGAGGCGTAGTGGTGCCAGCGCATTGACAAAGCCCATGAGGATGAAAAATGTTGCTACCCATGAGTGTCCGCTCGCAACAAGCCGAAACAGTGGCCGCTGAAACAGCGAGGAGGTGGTGCTCCCAGGTGCGCAACACGGCGGGATTATTCCCCTTGCATAGCACAAGGTGAGATGGGAACATACCACCATCACAGCAGCAATGCCTCGCAGACCCTATTTGGCACACGCGTCAATCGCTGAAGTCGCGGGGAGAGGGTGTACCGTGACATACGTGAGCCCATTTTGTGTCTCTCAAGATCTCTGCCTTCGCCTCAGTTGACAGGTCGAAGTACTCCCCATAGGATCTGAGCACGTTTCTCATTTTCTCCATGGGGAGCGCGTCGGACGGAGAGGAGAGAGACGAGCGCAACGGTGGACCAGCACAACATAATAAATGGTACCTGGTGCTGTGGTCGTGCGGGACCAAGACTCAATAGCGCCGAGCATGGACGTGAAAACCGGGGGAGAATGCTCAAGCTTTTCGCTTCGGGGGTCTGAGACGTTCGAGCCTGCGTGGGGATCGCGGGCTGCTGAGGCTGACGCTTTTTGGCGGGCGAGGAGTGTTTCACCTCTCATGGCGGCGGCGAGTGAGTATCCAGTAAAGGAGCGACCACCAGTCTAGGAAGTGCCGACCATCGCCCTTGAGCCCCAATGGGATGGGGAATCGACGCCACCAAGATCCGCTTAGACGAGGCCACCCGATCCGCTTGGACGAGGGGCGGCCGAATCCGGGAGTTTACGAACGGTAAAGGTGAAGTGGTTCTGGCTGTAGCCGATGCACGAGGACAGGGGTTTGTACTTTGGCGCAGATCCACTGAGCCAGAGCCTCACTGCCAACTGGCCCCTACCCCTGAACCTGGTATAACAGTTCATGTTGAAGGGCTCACGTCGTCCAGTTTATGCCGATGATCGTCAATTCGGTTGTGAATTGTGCTGTTCGCCTGCCCAACCAGGCTATTCAGGAGTCCGGTCCGAGTCAACAAGTGCGGCAGAGTTCGAGTCCGAGCTAAGCCACTCAAGACTGTCATTCGAGTGCCGACGTGGCCCTTTCGTTTTTGTTTACACATCTGGCACATGCCGTGTTTGATGATTTGTCCTCCTCAAGCACGGAACTACAGAGACATGCATATGTGGCACAAGACCCCAAGCATCATCGGTGTCGAATCGAATTAAGTGAAGCCATGGTCAATTTTCAATCTTCTCTATGAACTACTGGATGGTAACACAAAGAATAGAAACAACAACACGATCCGGCAGTAGATATTTGAATTGGCAGACTTCATATGCACTGTACCATCGTTGGTATAAAGAGACTCCCGCGCGACACAGATAACTCGCAATACAATACACGCAGTTCGCGCTGAAATCCATCAACTGCTAAAAGCTACCCTTAGGAGGACAAAATCATGCTTCAGCCACGAAGCAATACATGGTCTGGGGCAGCATCAGACAGTTGGCAGATTATGTGAAGATGGCCTTTTCGAAAGCAGCCACATCCCCGCCTGCAACCCTCACCGCTTTCAATGCAGCCTCACTTAGCTTCTTCCTCTTCTCCCGTGCTTCCATCTCTCGACGAGCCCGAGTCTTCGAACTACCACTGGGCGCCACATCGCTCATCAACTTCGCCGAATCGGCTGGAGTAAAATTGACAAACCCAATCGTGGGAACTGCACTGGTCGGCGTCTTAGGCCTCTTGGGTGTTCGCGGAGGTCTCGACGAGGATCTGGCTCGGGGAGAAGGGAGCGGTGGCTCTTGTGAAACGGCATGGTCTCGCATTGGTCCTGATTTGTGGATCGATTTCCTGCGACTGTGAGTGTAATCTGTAACCGTCCTGGTTGGTGAACGTCGCGTAGTCCTGCGAGGACTGACGGTAGTTGGCGAGATCGGCGGCGAAGGTGATCTAGACAGTGAACGTCGTTGCTTGCTAGGAGTCATGAAATTGGACTGTTGGGAAAAGAGGTAGGACGCTGGAGGCGGAAGCGGCGGATATGATGACAAGGACGGCCCAGCTACTGGCATCGTCCTCGCTGGAGGAGAGTGGATCACGGGCTCTTGCATGGTCGACGATGTAGGAAAGTCGTAAGAAGCTAGCTGGCTTGTTTGTGCAGATCTAGGATACTGGATTCCCAGTCCAATTAGCGGAGCTGGGGCTGGTTGCTGCAGAATCGGATGTGGAATGCGCTGCGGCGTCGGGGCAGCAAGAACAGGGTAGGTTTCTTCAGGCTCCAGCCTCGGGAGCGGCGGATGTGAGACAAAGTCAGCTGCAGTTGCGGGGGAAACGATTGACTGCGAATACATGTCGACACTGGTGTTCGATGCATGAGATCTCGCCTCGTGGGAGTTCTGTGAGCTGCTTGACGGGGGGTCACTCCCACTGCTGGGCGAATGCATCGACAACGGCTCATGTAAAATTCCGTTGGTACGGGGTGACCCACCCTGGAATTGATACGAATTCGGCTGCTGTTCATGTGGCTCAAGCAGAAAGGGATCAATTGCTGTCGAGTAGCTTTCAACCCGAACCGATTCTGGAAGATGTGAAGGGAGAACCATGTTATGATTTTCTGCTACTCGTGCTGAATTCTTCTCGCGAGTCTTCAGCGCTGAATACTGCTTCGACAACGTTGAATGAAGCGGAGCGTCGTAAGGGAGACGAAGATGAAAGTTTTGAAAGTCTTGCTGCCAGGTACTCGTGTCCCCATGACCATCTCTTGAACCGACAGGTAGGTGTGCATACATCGGGCTCGGGGAGAGTGTGGCTTCGCGTGTGAAGTTGGATGTATCTATTGTGGCAGAACGCGGTGTTGCCGCATATCGCTTTGTCCCACTTTCTAAGGTGCTATCCAGGGAGGTTGTTGGAACAGGAGCCTTTTGCGCGAATTGGTTCGGGAGATTCATTGTTTGATGGTAGGGAGACGGTCGCTTTGTTTCCATCCGACGTATTTTCTCCACTACCAGCTCCGAGGGTTGCTGCCTGGGCCTCAAACACCACACTCCTTGTCTCCACGGCTGGGGTGAGGAACCCCGTTCTATCGAAGGAATTGTTGGTGCCAAGATTGTGTTCTGATGCTCCTCGATGGCTTCATTGGCAACAAAGTCATCAAGGTGGCCAAGATGCTGTTGCTTCCCGTCCTCACCGTCGCTCATCTCCAGCTTGTACATCTCCTCGTTGAAGAATTCGTCGAAGGAATTGGGCTCGTTCTGGGGCGTCCCAAAGAGCATCATGAAGGTCTTGTCTTCTGGACGAAGGATACCATCGGCTGAGTCTGCAAGAGACATGGCTGATAGGGTTGCATATTTTGCAGCTGCTTGAAATAGAGGCGACCTGGGTCAACCACGGAAGGGCGGCCGATGTATCATAAATGACAAAGATAAACAATGGTTTGCAAGGAACCTAGGAAACTCGTCGTCAAGGTCAAGCAGGAATGTAACTTGGTGGAATGCGCAGGAATTGTGGCCCCGGCGCCGACGCAAAGAACGCTGGGCAATGTGTGGAAGAGCCTATGATCACCATGACGGGGCGTTGGTGATCTGAGTAGGCCGAGACAAAGGCTTCGGGGTACTGAAGGGTTCGCATTGCTTCAAACTCCCTTTGAGAGGTTCCCAATCCAAGAAGAGGAGTATTTCTTTCTCTGGGCCCTGGCTCGAGGATTCATTGTTCAAGCAAATGGAAAGTAGCATCAGAAGTAGCAGTAGCAGACTGGGAAATGAGGGAGAGGCGGAGAATGAATTTACCGCTGGCAAATTACTGTTTGTATGTTTGGAAGAATGCATAAGTCAGTCAAGTGGCTAGATGTTTGAATCAATACGCCACAAAGGGCAACGGCCACGAGGTATGGCTCATCTTATCGGTTGAAAGTTCCCGTCTTTACACGTCAGTGAAGACGGAGTTCTGGCCTGTCTGATGAGGACTGGTGTCATCCTGGTAGTGCCTGAAGGCCACTCGTAATGTTGACGTGTTGAGCAAGGTGGTGAGTAAATGGGTACGGAAGATGAGGACCTTACAGATGCGGACTATTACAGAATGGGAGCGATAACGCTGCGGGCAGGAAGTCACTGCCTGCACGTGATTTAAGATGCGCTAGTCTAATAGTGGTTTAGCGGATTACTGATTATTAAAGCACCGGCTTATCTAAGGCTCTAAGTCGTGTTTTTATTGCCTCACCTGGGCGACTAGTAACCACTCACTAGTCCCAACTAGTCAACTACTGCCTTCTCCAACCTTCCAGGTGACACTTGCCCATTGACACTTGGCGTCACAGCCACCGCCTTTGCCGCCTGCTCTCCTCGTCCTCCTACTTAAGGCTTCCAATCCATCAATCCCTCCATCCTCTCTTCCTATCACCCATAACCCGCAAGATCATCTCCTGAGATTGTCCCAAGTCTCTCTCTCAATTCGTTCTTGATATCTTCAACTTAGTCTACTTCATCTCATTAAACCGCAATCATGCAGATCTTCGTCAAGACTCGTAAGTGACTCACCCCGCCTTGTCCTCTCACGCCACCTGGGTTCATGCTAACATCATCTCACAGTCACCGGAAAGACCATCACCCTTGAGGTCGAATCCAGCGATACCATTGACAACGTCAAGTCCAAGATTCAGGACAAGGAAGGAATTCCTCCTGACCAGCAGCGTCTTATCTTCGCTGGAAAGCAACTTGAAGACGGCCGCACCCTGAGCGACTACAACATCCAGAAAGAGTCCACCCTCCATCTTGTCCTCCGTCTCCGTGGCGGTATGCAAATTTTCGTCAAGACCCTCACCGGCAAGACCATCACCCTCGAGGTTGAATCGTCTGATACCATCGACAATGTAAAGAGCAAGATTCAGGATAAGGAAGGAATTCCTCCCGACCAGCAACGCTTGATCTTTGCAGGCAAGCAACTTGAAGATGGTCGTACCCTCTCAGACTACAACATTCAGAAGGAATCGACCCTTCACCTTGTCCTCCGTCTTCGAGGCGGTATGCAAATCTTTGTCAAGACGCTGACAGGAAAAACCATCACACTCGAAGTCGAATCATCTGACACCATTGACAACGTGAAGAGCAAGATTCAAGACAAGGAGGGTATCCCACCGGACCAGCAACGCTTGATCTTCGCAGGGAAGCAATTAGAAGACGGTCGAACTCTTTCAGACTACAACATCCAGAAGGAATCCACTCTCCATCTCGTCCTGAGATTAAGAGGAGGTATGCAGATCTTTGTCAAGACATTAACTGGAAAGACGATTACACTGGAAGTTGAGTCATCGGATACCATCGACAACGTCAAGAGCAAAATCCAAGACAAGGAGGGCATCCCACCTGACCAACAGCGATTGATCTTTGCAGGCAAACAGTTGGAGGATGGTCGCACGCTCTCTGACTACAACATCCAGAAGGAAAGCACTCTACACTTGGTGCTGAGACTTCGTGGCGGTCAGTAGACATTCACCTTACGACATGATTACGGACGTCCTCTCTTTTAGTTGTATGATATGGAGACTGCAGAGGCAGTGATGACACGACATTTTGCGACTTGCATGCACGATTGAACTTGCTAGCCAAATGAGCAGGCAATGAGCAGTAGATCTAGAGAATGCGAACATACCGTTACCCTTTCTCAACTTGACATTTTCCGAGCCTCCTTGTAGATGTGTTTCGTGCTTAAAACGTTGTGTTGCCCCATCCGCACCGCAGTCGTGGAGATATCGCCACTGATCCGGAAGAAGATTCGATTCCCCGCCACCCGTGGCTGTTGTACTTGTATGTTTATGAATCTTCTCCAATTTAGTCTCAATCACAGTCCAATCCATTCTTCAAACTCCTGCCAATGTGACATTTGCAAACATAATGCCCTGGCGAAATGCCTGACTACTTCTTTCATATCGCCATTGAGCTTTTCACAGATTCTATTTCTCCCACGAAAGAAGACCGGCAAACGCGGCCGCCATACCTCGGTCGATTCTCCAAAGCATTGAAGCCCTTTTCACACCACTCGCGTCATCGCTCCAAAGATCGGAGTTTGCACGTAAACAACAACTCATCCACGCCTCACGCGCCGACTCAAGCATCGCTGGGATCCGGCACCGAGCCTCCAGACATTCCACATTCGCACCCGACAGACCACAGACTTGACAAGATTTTTCTGCAGGGACAAGATATGTCACGTTCGGGAGGAAAGGATCTAGTCCTTACAGAAGACAATGGCATCGGAAAAGGTATTGGAAGTGCAATCTCCGGACACCATCTCAAAGGACGATACCAGCCGTTAGAGGACCCCAACGACGCGGAAGGATGGGGGATCGTGCACCTGTACAGAGACAGCGAAGAGACGTCTGGCCTGTTTGCGGACTCTGCCTACAGATCGAGTGACTTGTGGAGCGATGGTCAGCGCCGCAATCCGCCGTCCGGAAAGCCTCATCCTCCGCCAAAGGACGAAGAATGCACGAGTCTTTGTATCCTGGCTGTGCCTTCGTACATGACCCCCTCAGATTTCCTTTCATGGGTTGGGGAGGATACCAGAAGTGAGGTGAGCCATTTCAGAATGGTCCGCACCGCGCGAGCCAACAGATACATGGTGTTGATGAAGTTCCAACACGGAAAGAAAGCAAGAGAATGGCAGCATGAATGGAACGGCAAGGTTTTCAATAGTATGGAGCCAGAGACCTGCCACGTTGTCTTTCTCAAGTCTGTCGAACTGTTGCAAACATCATCCATGGAGCGCAGCAACGATTTGGGCTCGCCAACTACAAGTTATCCTCGCATGTCCAACGATCCCTTCATCCCAGCTTCGACCACCTCTAAGCCTCTAGCCCCGCGGACACCATCTCTGGTCGAATTGCCTACTTGTCCTGTTTGCCTTGAACGGATGGACGAGACGACGGGCTTGCTCACGATCCCATGCCAACACGTTTTCCACTGTACGTGCCTTGAGAAATGGTCCGGTGGAGGCTGTCCAGTCTGCAGATATACGCATGATGACTTCTCGTCGCGTGTGGGGTCGTCCAAGTTCAAGAGTCTCAAGGGAAACGAATATGAGCCAAACGACGGCCCTCTCGAGTGCGAAGTTTGCCATGTGGACACCAGTCTCTGGCAGTGTCTCATCTGTGGCAAGGTTGGGTGTGGACGATATGAAGGCAAACACGCTTACGCACATTTTGAAGACAGCGGGCACACATTCAGCATGGACCTGGAAAGCAAGAGAGTTTGGGACTATGCAGGTGACGCCTACGTGCATCGAATTATCCAAGATGCAGCCAAGCCAGGCGAGAAGCTCGTTGAACTTCCAGGCAGAAGACGAGAGCCGACCGCACTGGAGGGACAAGAAGATGTCGAGGTGGCCAAGATGGACAATATCGCTTTGGAATACACACATCTGTTGACCAGTCAGCTGGAAAGTCAGCGTGTGTACTTCGAGGAAGTTGTAGAAAGAGCTGTCGATAAAGCATCGCAGGCGAATAAAAATGCCGAGCGTGCCCTGGAGGAATGTCGAAGAGCGACGGACAAGTTACGCACCCTTGAAAACGAGCACGACGTCGTGGCTAAAGGCGTGGTTCCTGAGCTTGAGAGAGAGAAGAACCGCCTCGAAAAACGATGTGTCAAGTTTGAAGAGATGGCTCGATCGTTCAACCAGAAATACCAAGAGGAGAAAACTCTGACGGCGAACCTCATGGAGAGGGTGAAATATCTCGAAGAGACACAGATCGACCATCTGAAACAAACCGTACAACGTCTGGAGGAGGACAATGCCACCAAGGATTTATTAATGGAGGGTCTAAGGGAGGAGCATCGAGATGCGATGATGCAAATCTCGGCGCAGCAGAAGCTCCAAGAAATGGTTGCAAAAGGAGAGTTGGAACAGGAGGATCTCGACGGTGCTATCATCGAAGCTGGACCAGCAAAGAAGGTACCGCCGCGACGAGGCCGTCGAATTGTCAATGGTCAAAGTCGTAATGTCAGTTCCTCAGCAGCTGCGCACTCGCCACATCCGGCGTCTGGTCCACCGCCCTCTGTGGAACCTTCTAACGGGATTCATACTGCATACAACGACATCTTTGGAGAAATATCGGCAAGCAAGGATTGGGATGAGGCAAAAGCCAAGCAGATTATGGAAGAATGCAAGTCCAGACTAGTTGGTGAAGGATTACTGGTTCTCCCGTCCGCCACCGACGGCGATGGCGATGACTCTGACGTTGAAGGTGAGGCTGGGCATGAGGACAGCGCAGAAGGGAAACCAAGGAGCGGAAATGCAAACAAGAAGCGAAAGGGCAAGAAGAAGGCCAAGAAATGAGCTTTTCGGGCTCGTCTGGCTTGTGGAAACACCACTTCGTTGGCTCTTGACTTTGGTATGAAGATCTCTTTTTTGAGTAGTCGGCGTTCATGAGGTATGAGATATGGTGATATCTGGGCTGGACAGGAAGGGCCTGGCACGATACTTGACGACTACGAGATACCCCCGGCATTGCAAACGGAGCGATGCACAGCATTTGGCGTTGTGATGGAGTTTGTACATGTTGGATATATTCCTTTCCATGTTCGTGTCCATGCGGACAGGGCATGCGTCCTCTGTAACAATTATTCATTACCTGAATATGGTGTCAATAAAGCAGTGATTCTTTCTCACGTACACTTTGTACGGTACTCGTACACATTTTTATTATTCTGTAGTATCCCGTTTTTAGTACATATACGAGGTGCCGAGGCGTTGCTTTCAGATGCACGTCGATTCGGGGGATAGAGCATCTCTGGGATCACCACGACAGACAGCGTTTATTCATGGTCATGGGTCATGGGACACGGGATTCAGTCCGCCCTTTTCTTTACGCCGAAGAAATAATTCCCAAACTCTTCGCTCCCATTGACGTTCTTCCAGCCCAGCGCCGGCACGTAGACGACACCCTGCGTGCGAAAGTCCGTCCAGACACCGGCGCGAGAGTCGAAGTAACCCCGGAGCTCGTCCGGGTTGATGTACTGGTTCCAATCGTGGGTGCCGGCGGGCACGACGCCTACCAGCGGTGCTTCCGCGATGACTTTGGTCGTCAGCCACGCCGTGGTGGAGCGCGAGATGGTGCTGCCAATCAGCCAGCCTCCGGGCTTGAGGTGGGCAGAAGCAATGTCGAGAAAGGACGAGGGGTCCGGGATGTGTTCTAGGACTTCGAAGACGGTTATGAAATCGTATTGTTGTTGTTGTTGTTGTTGTTGTTGTTGTTGTTGTTGTTGTTGTTGTTGTTGTTGTTGTTGTTGTTGTTGTTGTTGTTGTTGTTGTTGTTGTTGCTGCTGCTGTTGCTGTTGCTCCCCCTCCTCATCCTCGCTTTCCGTGTATCGGGGCAGATCCTCGATTGCGCAGTTGAGATATGTGAGCTTGGGAGGGGACAGGGCTGGGTCGGATCGCTGATTGGACTTCGCAACCTCGATCACGAGCGGAGTGGGATCGATGGCCGTGACGGAGCGTGTCGAGGGCAGTCGTGCGGCCGAGGACGCAAAGATCCCCCCTCCGCAGCCTATGTCGAGGTACGTGTATTGCTGGTCGGAAGGGGTTGTTGTCGTCGGCGAGAGACAGGCTTTTATAAAGTCATGGCGATGAGGGTTCATGAGGTGGAGGAGCCGCGAAGGGCCGTGGGGATCCCACCATGTCGAGGCCAGTCGGGAGAAATGGTTGACTTCGTTGGGGGACACTGACGACGAGGAGGACGAGGATGATGATGTGGGCGGCGAGTGGTGTGTCGTCGAGTGGTTTCGAAGAAACGGTGGCGTGGTTGCTCCTCCGCCTCTTCTGCTGCGCCATCGTTCAGGATGCGCCCTTCCGAAAAATGGTCGTCGAGGAAGGGAAAGGGCCTTGACAGGGTGGCAGCAGGCAAACTGAGTTCCGAGCCTGCATACTGCTGGCCTGGTACTCATGACTTGACTCCCCTGCTCCTGCTTGTCCCCTCTCCAATTAGGTGCAGAGGCTTGTGTTTGCTTCTTTACGTCTGATACGAAAGTTTTCTTGGAGTCGTACAGATACGGCGAATACGAGGGTGCGACGTCATAAGGCTAGGTCGGGGGCGTCAAGAGCCGATGCGAACTTCAGCCCGGGAACTCGGGATCGACTGCTCGTACCAAGAGTTATTGAAGCTCAGACCCAGACAGTCTAGATAAGGTGAGGCAAATCGCACAGCTGGTGCTCACCCGTTTCACGCAGCGTCTCGGCCAAATCCTGGGCAGGAAGGTTCTCCGGGCGGAACAACGATATGATGCCCAGTACAAAGTATGAGGCCAGATAATCATGGGCGCGGAGTTTCTGGGCGCAGTCTGGGCGTGGCCTTGGCTCCTGTCTTGGCTTCTGTCTTGGCTCTGGGCCTGATTGGGCCGCTGGCTCGGAGCCAGCCTTTTCGCCTTGTCGCGACACGTTATCTTTCTTTTTCGCCTCTTGGTTCCGGCGCAATGCGACAACCCTGCAGTCTTGGCCTCTTCCGCTCCACGAGCAAAGACCTTGGCGAGCCACCGCATGGTCTCAGCCTTTGATGCCAAGGACCCGACATCACTTGATATCTCTTGGCCCTTCCGTGCGGACGCAATGACGGAATTAAACTGCTGGGCCCGCGAAGGCGAGAGTTGCAGTGTCGAGGACGCACATGCCAGTCTATATAAGCAAGCTATGACCCCGCTCGACTCTACGGTCCAAAAGACCAGTCCAAAGCAGGGAATCAATATTGAACTGCACTACCTCTTTGTAGATTTCCAACACGCAAATCTACCCATGTTGTATACCATCGTGGACTAAACAACACATTTCTCAATCTCCGTAAAAGTCTCGTATCGACAATCTATAGCAACAGCACAGTAACAGCATCCACAACTTTTTGCTCAAGATGGGCGGGAAAGGCGAAAGTGCCGAGCAGAACTACCCCAAACAGCCCTTCCTGCTCTCGGTCGATGAGGTCGTCGACCATCTCCAGACCAGAATCGAGTCGGGCTTGGCCAATGCCCAAGTTCAACAGTATCAGGATAAGTATGGACCGAACAAGCTGTCGGGTGACGGCGGCGTCTCCTGGTACTCGATTCTGGGGAAACAGATCTCAAATGCCATGATCTTGGTATGTCAAGCAACCCCAAACCCCCTGCCAAAGCCCTTTTCGCTCTTCGACTGCTAACGAGAATTAGGTTTTGGTGTTGGCAATGGCCCTCTCTTACGGTGTCGAGGATTGGGTGGAAGGAGCCGTCATTACAGCCGTCATCGTTCTCAACGTGCTGATCGGCTTCTACCAGGAATTTCAAGCCGAGAAGAAAATGGACGCTCTTCGGTCCTTATCTTCGCCCTCTGCAGCTGTCGTCCGCGATGGCACCGAAATGACTATTCCTTCGGGAGAGGTCGTACCTGGCGACATCGTCTCCATCAAGACCGGAGATACCGTGCCCGCCGACCTCCGCATGTTTGAAGTCATGAACTTGGAATGCGACGAGGCCATCTTGACAGGAGAGGCTCTCCCAGTCGCTAAAGAGGTTGACTTCGAGGCCAAGCACGGGGCCGCCAAAGAAGATCTTGGACTCGGCGACCGACTGAACATCGCTTATTCATCGTCCACCGTCACCAAGGGCCGCGGTCGTGGTATCGTCGTTTACACCGGTATGTCAACTGCCATTGGAGGGATTGCCGCATCCATGCAGGGAAAAAAACGCAAGCCAAACCGATCCATGTCACGAAAGAAGCACGGCCCTATGCAGCCCGTCAAGGGAGGCGCACTTCGTGTCTGGGACGGTATTGGCAAGTTTCTCGGTCTTACCGAGGGCACTCCTCTTCAAATCAAGCTCAGTAAACTGGCCTACGTCCTGTTCGGTTGCGCACTTCTCCTTGCCATCATTGTCTTTGGAGTCAACGAATTCAACGTCACCAACGAAGTCGCCATCTACGCCATCTCGACCGGTATCGCCATCATTCCTGAATCACTGATTGCCGTCTTGACCATCACAATGGTTGTCGGTATGACGCAGATGAGGAAGAGGAAGGTTGTCGTTCGACAGCTCAGTGCTCTTGAAGCTCTCGGTGGCGTCACAAACATCTGTTCAGACAAGACGGGTACTTTGACCCAAGGTAAAATGGTGACACGCAAAGCTTGGATTCCTGGAGTAGGCATCTACAGTGTCGACAACTCAAGCAATGCATCCGACCCTACCGAAGGTACCATCAGTCTCGGCAAAGCACCCGGCTCCCGCAAGGACGCCGAAGCCGAGCGACAAGCCCGTCAAGAAGCTCTCGACCGCAAGCGAAGTGTAGCCGGTGTTCTCTTCGATGTGCCGCAAGAGAAGTTGCAAAAGGACAATCAAAAGACGGCGCACCCCGAGGAGCCAGTGGCAGTGGAGGATAATCCTGAAGTGACGCCCGAACTCCGAGCTTTCCTCGAGGCCGCTGCTCTCTGCAATCTCGCCACAGTCCGCAAGGTTAACGAAGATGGTACAGAGCAATGGAAGACCACCGGCGACCCCACCGAGATTGCTCTCCAGGTATTCTCCCATCGTTTCGAGCATGGCAAGAAGAAGCTCGAGGAAGAACATGGGTGGACTCAGAAGATGGAATTCCCGTTTGATTCCTCCATCAAGCGCATGACTGTTGTCTACCAAAAACCCAACGAAGACCATTCCACCATTTTCACTAAAGGTGCCGTCGAGCGCATCATCGATCTCTGCACAACCGTCGGTATTGGAGAGCACGAGGAGGAGATCACGCCTGCGCTCAAAGAAAGCATCCTCGAACAAATGACCTTCCTCGCCGAACAAGGACTGCGTGTCCTCGCGCTCGCTCGGAAATTCACTCCCCTGGACATCGCAGAGCATTCGGACATTGATCGTGCCGAAGTCGAAACTGAGCTCACTCTGCTCGGTCTGGCCGGACTATACGACCCACCACGTCTCGAAACCAAAGGGGCCGTTCAGGCATGCACCAATGCTGGTATTACCGTCTCCATGCTCACAGGTGATCACCCGTCCACTGCCACCGCCATTGCCAAGGAAGTCGGCATAATCCCCAGAAACATGGGCCAGCTCGCGCCTGATGTCGCCGCGGCCATCGTCAAGACAGCAACCGAGTTCGACAAAATGACCGACGAGGAAATCGACGCCTTGCCCACCCTGCCGCTCGTGGTCGCTCGTTGTGCTCCAGAAACCAAAGTGCGCATGATCGAAGCCCTCCACCGACGACGCAAATTCGCCGCCATGACGGGCGACGGCGTGAACGATTCTCCCTCGCTCAAGCTCGCAGACGTGGGTATCGCCATGGGTCTCAACGGAAGTGACGTCGCGAAATCTGCGTCCGACATTGTGTTGACGGACGACAACTTTGCGAGTATCGTCAACGCGATCGAGGAAGGACGTAGAATGTTCGACAACATCCAGCGTTTCGTCTTGCACTTGCTGACGTCCAACGTCGGCGAAGTCATCCTGCTCATCTGCGGGTTGGGGTTCAAGGACAGCACGGGACTCAGCGTGTTCCCCCTCTCACCGTTGCAGATTCTGTGGATCAACATGCTCACATCGTCGTTCCCAGCCTTTGGCCTCGGTCGCGAGAAAGCGTCGGCGGACGTCATGGAGCGCCCACCGCACGACAACAAAAAGGGCGTCTTCACTTGGGAACTGATCACCGACATGTTGGTCTATGGCACCATTCAGGGCACGTGCTGCCTGATGACGTTCGTGTTTATCGTCTACGGGCCCGGTCCAGACGGACTAGGCGAGGACTGCAACCGCAAGTACAGCGAGTCTTGCAATGTCGTGTTCCGAGCACGAGCAGCCGTCTTTGCCGAGCTGACCTGGCTCATCTTGATCTCGGCCTGGGAATTCAAGTCTATGCGACGAAGCATGTTCCGGATCAACCCGCACGACACACGCGCGTTCCCCTTCTTCGCAGACATCTGGGAGAACCAGTTCCTGTTCTGGTCCGTCACGATCGCCTTCTTCTCCGTCTTCCCTGCCGTGTACATTCCTGGTTTGAACACGAATGTGTTCAAGCACAAGGGCATCTCGTGGGAATGGGCCCCGGCCATTGTCTGCGTGTTTGTGTTTGTCTCAGGCATGGAAGCCTGGAAGTACGTCAAGCGTGCAATGGGATGGTTCGAGAAGGAGGAGACCGAGGGCATGAAGGCCAGAAGGCACCAGCGCTCGGCATTGAACTTGAGACAGGGCTTCTTCACTATGGCCAGGAGCTTCACCAAGAGCAAGTCGGAAGAGAAGAGGACGCCTAGCTCGCACGACGAAAAGGAGGATTCTTCGAGGGTTGTTTCTATGCCGAGGAGCAGGGAGGTTGTCTGAATGGAAATTTTTGGGTCGGCCTTATCGTCTATAATTCTTAAGGGGCGAATTTATGATCATGGCGTTTGGAATGAAAGAGCTCACCATTCTGGTTGGACGATTATGTTGTATATGTTGAAGATTCGATGATGACAGGACTATCTCTGGTTGAATAGTCTCAGACAAAATAGTAGCTTGGCTTCTTTGATGGTGATGAACTTAATCGAGGACACTACATACTTTGTGACTGAACGGAAACCTTGTCGTGAGACTAGAAGTGGCCGCGAAATCAATGGTCGTCTACGCTTCCCTCATCAACTCGGATGTGCTGAAGGAACAAGATGACTAAGCATGTTCTTGAACTACGACGCGTCGCTGTCGCGCGGGTGTTGGATCGAAGCGGTGAGGCAACAACTAACTAGATTATTATCAAGCCACGTCAAACACCATCAGTCGCCTCTCCGTAGGACAATAGACAGTCGTTAACAGCACGATACTCGTAGCGTCTGTGTATACAATGCAGTCCTGCAGGGATGATGAACCGTCCTGTCGAAGCCAACGGGACAAGATTGACACCATGCCTCGACCAACTCTTTCGCACATGCGTCAAACCAGCCAGTATGGTTCTGAGGATCGAGCATGTCTCTTGGAAGACGCAACGACGTGAATCAAGCAAACCGAATGAGGAGTCCAGACTGTCCGTGTCTGCTACGGCCAGAAAGTCTTCCACTGCAAGGTATCTCCACCTAGTAGTCTCGGATGGCGAGCTTCAGGTCCAGGCTATCTTTGTTCCACTATCGAACGCTCGCAACAGCATCAGCCTACACAACGGCGGCATCATCGTCGTCAGGAAATTCAGCGTCAGAAAAGCTCCCAGGTCCAATGGGCAAGGACATGTGATCTACTTGAGCGTGGAAGAATTTGTATGGATTGGTAGCAAGAGAGAGGCCACCGACGAGGCTGAACTTGAGTCTGAAGGTGGATTCATCCGGGAAGACGTCGACGGAGGGAATCAGCATGCCGTATATCATGGCATAGCAGGCGCGAACATTTACAGAAAGCCTCCCCCTGTACGACTGGCGGAAGCTTCATTCAGCATGGACTCTCCTCGGAATCGAAAGACAGGTGTTACTACTGGAGAATCTACAGGAGTTCGCGCTCCTCCTCAAAGGAGACATGTGCACCAGCAATCAAAACTACGTGAGACCGACACTGCCCCTGACGATGAAGAAGATTCGTTTGATACATTGGCTGTATCACAATCACAGATTGAGAATCGGAGAGAAGCACTCAGACAAATCAGTCAGCACAAGTCTGCCCATACCCCGGCGCATTCGAGTCTCTACTACTACAGCGAAGGAGCCGGTGACAACGAAGACCATGACGACGAGGAGGAGGAGGACCAGGACGAGGAGGAAGAGCCGAAAGAAGGCCCGTTTCCGCCACCTGCTGAAAAGTATGTACCCCTATTTCCATACGTCAAAAGCGGAAACAGAAAGCCGACGCAGACCAATACAGTGACCGACCATAACCCTGCCATGATGGAAAGACCTCTCCACAGCTCAGTCTCACTTCCTATCCATACACTCGCGTCTCTTCTGGACTCGAAGTCCAATCTGCCACGCCGCAGCTACGCATGTTCCGTCCTTGCCGTTATCAGCTGGGTATCGCCTTCGCTCATCTACAAACCAAACACACCGTTCCCACCTAAACGACATATCAAAATCCACGATCAAACCATCAGTGATCGTCAGGCTGGTATCACCGTGGCTGTGTTTGTGGATGCAAAGGACTTCATGCCAGCTATTGGTACGGTTGCCCTGCTCAGGGGCGTGGTCATGCAGAAGTTTGGCGAGGATGTCATTTTGAACAAGTACACTACACATCCAAATCCTCCAGGAACCATTATGGAAAAACCCTGCGATGACAAAGACTGGTTCGTCACCGATGAAAGGATATTGAATGACCTTGGCTTTGATTCGACGTCCTTGAAAACCTGGTGGGACGAAAGAGTGAGGAAGCGAGAGAACAGTGCGAGCCTGAAGTGAAAAGAAGGGACTGTGCTTCAATCACTACTGCATTGCAGAAGTCATCTACATGTGAGAATCCCTCCACAAGAGAGCTCTCTGTGCCTTTCTTTACTTTATGGTTTTGAATTTTGTGAGACTCTTACTTCCCTGGCAGTTACATTTTACTCACTTCACTTTCTCTTTGTATTGAAAAGCCACAAGGGAGAAAAGGTTACCGTCAGTTGTCTAATTTCTTCGTATTTTCAAGTTCCCCCTTCTTCTCTTCCTTCGCCCTATCTCTTCTTCCATAATCACAGAGAAGAGCCACTTTCTGTCAATCACTTCTTCTCTATCGAACGAAAGTCCCATATCAGCGCCCATCTATCTGTCTACTCTGCAAGACCCATCTCATCGCCAACAAGACTGGACAGACCTTTTGATCCTCGCACAATCATGACTCCGAACCCTAATGACGGGGGTTCGGCCGCCCGCAACTCCCGGGCTACAGATTTACGGTTCCGTCTTCGAGAAACTGAGAATAAACGAGAAAAGGTCAATCTGGAGCTACAAAAGATGGACTTCAGAATTCGAAAGCTAGACATCGAGAACGAGATGCTAAACATCGAGAAGCAACTGTCCCAACTTGAGCAAGAGGAAGTTAAAAATACTCGGTGAGTAACGTCGTGATTTTCCCTGAATGTATAAGGGTGAAAGCACGAACTTTGGATTTTAACCCTCGTTCTAGACCACCACCACCACCTACGCCTGCGATCGATAACTTTATCAATGCCACTTCTCAGCAGCAGACATCGACAGCCTCCGAAGAGCTCGGTCCAACGGTCCAGCGAGAGCATATCTCAGTCAACACCAAGTCTGGTGATACAGTTCCAGCCGTCACTCGTTCTCATTCTAAGGCGCCTTCTACACCTAAGACTCGTGTTTCTCCTAGTGTGAACAACCAGAAGCAAACAGCAGAATACTCTGAAGATCGCGGTCCAACGGTCCAACGCGAACATGTCCCAGTCAGAGCCAAGTCTGATGATACAACTCCAGTCACGAATTCTGAGTTCAAGATGTCACCTACACCTACGGCTAATGACTCTACTGGTGCAAAGAATCAGCAGCAGTTAGCAACAAGAACAAAAGATTGCGGTTCAACAGTCCAGCGAGAGCATGTCCCAGTCAATCCAAAGCCTCTTGATCCGACTCCGATCACGAAGACTCATGATTGGGACAACGTCAACTCCCAGCAGCAGCAACAGCAGACAGCCGCAAAGTCAGCAGATCCAGATCCAGCGGTTGACCGGGGCCATCCCCCAATTAACACGGGGTCTATTGGTGCAATTCCAGTAACAGGTCCGGTGCAAACGCACACTGTTGCTGCCTTGCCTGAGCCTAAAAAGGTCCAACGCGGACGTCCGACCACATACCGGCAATTCTTTAGTGATCGTCTAAGACCTACAGAAGCAGGACCGTCGACGAGGGTTACAAACAAAAGAGCTTCAGGTCAAAACATGACTGTTCATGATCACAATCAGACTGCTCGTGCTTCCGCCTCAAGCGCCTCCCAAGAATCTTTGCCAGGCAAGAATGATCACCCAGACCAATCGGCTCCTCAACCGTCGCACAATACGACCTCAGTGCAACCAAACCCCCCTAATCTCCTCGCTTCTTCCACTTCCTCTGCAAAAGAGGGCAAAAAACGAAAAGCACATCTCGATGGCGATAAAGACTACGAGCCTGAAGCTGAGGAACCGCCCTCCAGCAAGACCAAGAGATCCTTCTCCCCGAAGCCAGAAGCCGTGAAGGCCGATGCCGTCGAACTTCAACAGCAACCTGCTACGAGCCGCCGAAGCAAAAGAGCAAAAGCGTACAAACCTCCAGGGACATACACGGTGGGTTTGACGGAGGATTTAAGCTTGTTATACTAATCACCATCGCCACACACGGAGGATTTGATAAGCCGGTCATTTGAATCACCATCGCCGTGAACGAAGTTGTGATTACTTAGGAGACAGACCACTCGGCTGTCTTGAAACGGTTCAGTAGGTTACCTAGGTACTGAAGGCTGAAGAGCACTGAAGGATGAAGAGTACTGAAGACTGAAGAGTACTGAAGAAACAGATAGATACGACTCTGCATTCAGCGTCGAGATAGCTCAAGTATTGAACTTGCTTCAAATCATGACACACCCCTTTCCCACGATACGACAAGCTCATTCCATGATCGATCTTCATCACTCGCCCCCTCTGCATCTTCGGGAGGTGCAATTTCTCTTCGGCAAAGAAACGAGTTTGACGGGTCGAAAGTGACCCAGTTCAGAAATTCTGCACACGCGTATCTCGCTCGACGTTCCCCCTTCTCCGGTTCCAAGTGTACACAACCCTCGACGTTCCTCCTCGAGTCCTACAGTCCTACAGTCCTCGACATCTCTCCTTCCCTAAGTTGGTTCTCCTGGTACTAGGAGATGAAGAATCATACTCGGTGCCGCAAAGTTGCCGAATGAAAGCATCTCACGTCGCATCAACAAGGCTCTGAGTGTCCCTAATTTCCGGCCGCCACACCACTAACTAGTCAGTTGGTTAGGTGGGTGACGACTCGTGAACTCAACCGAGGTCGTGATGGGTGACTCCAACGCACGCGGGTGGTACAAAAAGTTTTGTCTGGTCCCAAAAGTTGCATCTGTGGCCGGGACCACGATACCCAAACAAGGCTGTGCAATTCCAGGGGGCCCCTCCCCCCACGGCGTACGGCCACTTGCCACCACCACCTTTTCCACCTCCTGTACCTACAAGACACTGGATACTAGATACTAGTTAGGGAGTTACTCTTTGGCTGGTCAGACCGTAGACCGCAGACCGTAGCTGGTAGATATCATCGCCGTGGCGCAGTAAGCTACCACACCCATTCGAAGATCCGAGAGATCCTAAAATATAAGATATGTACTTGATACTGCAACAGTGGCCACACTCTGTCCGACGACACGCCGTATACACCAAACACGTCTACCTGCCGCCTGGTAGGTACTCGGAACTCCAGACTGTCTCAGATACATGTAGACAGACATGTCTACAGGTATTTGTTTATAAGGTACCCTTCAAATCATTTACCTTTTCAAATTCAAATACCCACGTCGTGTCGAGATTCTGTCTACTTGGGACTTTGTAAATTGTAATTCTCATCTACTTACTGATAGATCATCATTGGATTCAATTGTCGTCGTCGTTATCATCATCATCATCATCGTCGTCGTCCTCATCAGAATCTTTGGTGTCACTCGGTTCTGCTTCTTCATTCAACCTCGTCATCGCTGGTATATGTGTCGTCGTTACTCAGACTACGACATCTGACTCACATGACACACCCATTCACAGGTGCATCATACACTAGCAGTGCCCTCGGTGCCATTCGTGCATCGACCAAGGAAGAACACATGGTCCAAGAAGTGTCCAACGCACGTTCCGGCGGGATTTAGCAACTTCAAGCACTAATCCATATCACTGCCCGAACTTCTCCCCTTGACCCAACTTCAACCATGGACATGCTTTCCAGTCACAGCCCTGCTTGTAAATCTCGGTACCCCACCACTTGAAGCCATCCATCACACCGGGATACACAAACCCGAAGAAGACGACGACAAGGGAAAAGGCCAATCCCGAATCCAACGCCGCAGACATGGTCATGGTGTATTTTCCCCACCACGCCGGGGCACGACGTTTCATGACGTGATTGAAAGCAAAACACACCACTCCCCAGATTGAGAAGTTGAGCCCAGTCGCAGGTGGGATCCAACTCAGACTGCCAAACAGGACCGGGAAGTTGATCTTGCGCCATATCGTCTTCTTCTTGCCGCGGCCCATGAGCCACACAATAACTGGAGCAATGGCGCCAACCAAGAACGCCCACACCAAAGGCCTGTACAATGCACCGGGTCCAAAGAACCGCTGAGGACCGACTACTCCCCATAGTATGCTGCCGTTGAAATGTACCCGGGCAATAGGACAATTGAATCCGTTGATCGCCTGCGGAGTGCATATCCCAGGAATGTTGGTAAACATCCAGTTTAGGACGCCAATCTGTACCAGACTCGAGACCAGCGTGGCAACCATCTGGACTTTGAACAACAGTTTCGGGGGGATCTTCATGTAATGGCCCAGTTTCAGGTCGGAGGAAAACTTGATGCCTTGGGCAGAGCTAATATAGCAGTACGTCACAAACACCATGTTGGCAACGGGACGCCCAGGAAACACCATGCCGCAGATGAGCTGGCAGATCAAGTATAGGCTGCTGTGTTGATTTGTGATGGCCATGACAATGCCCACTGGAATGAACAAAACGGTGGTGATCCCGAGCGCCATCAGCAAACCGTACCAAGGCAGGTGAACTGGATAATACTCGACGACGAATATACCCACGACTAGCATCACCACAAAGGTGAGTGCATACCATACCATTGGGACATCTTCGTATCGTCTCATGAGTCGATTGTGAACATCCTCACCTCCGGCTCTGATCGTTTGACTACTGACCCTGCGTAGGCTGTATTCACGATCTGGATTCGGAAGGGCCTGGTACCCGATGCCCGCCTTTTCTTGTTTTTCATTGAACGCTTGTTGTGACTGACGCCAGATATCACGACCGTGCCAGCACGTCGTATGGGTCAGAAGTGCGGAAAGTGAGGCAAATTGTACTCCGTAGGAGAGTACGTAGGTTATGGGAAGGTAGACTTTGGAGTAGTTGTCATACGCCTCCTTATCGAACAGGAAGTCCGGGGTAAGAATCTTGCTGACATCGTAGGGTTTGCCGGTATTGTCAAAGACGGCCGAGGAGAGTATAGGGAGGTATCCTGAGAAAAGAACATTTTTGTAGTCTTTTTCATTCCGTTAGCGCACCTTCAACCCCTCGACTAGAACACAACATACATAGGATAGGTGCTGCGATCCACATGACTAGTACCAAGCCTCCTACCACGTTGGCGGCTGCCCACCACGGGGTCAAGAGCGGTGAGCCGATATAGGCGATCTGAGCCCAGTCAAAGGTCATGGGGAAAAGGCCCAGTCCAGAAGCGACACCGAACTAAGATGGTTAGTGGTTGAGAGCTTTGCGGCGACGAAATTGCTTACTAGATTCGAGACAACCACATTCTTTGGTGCAAACCATGTAACGACGCTGAAGTAACTCAATGCTGGAAATAAGAGCCCGGGTAGGAAATACCACGCAAATGCTGCTGCCCAAACATAAATGAAAAAGCGATATCGTGAGATTCCCCATCCGTTCGCTGGCTTATTTTCATCCTTGTGCATTGTTGTAAACATGGCGGTCGACATTAAAGTGCCCGGCCAGATCATTGCGGCGGGTCTAACAAGAAATCTCCTCGTGAGTCCAGCAAATGCATACCCCAGTATTTGGGTAGAAATGGTGAGCAGAAGTTGATAGAGAATGGGAACCTCCTGCTTGTAGAACTTGTGCTGCTCGACAATGACATCGGTTGCGAATGCGAAACCAAACGACACGTTGCTGCAAATGTACACACAAGCATGTTCTTTCTCATTCCAGCGTCCTTGAGCGAGCCAAGACCGTATTCGCTGGCCGCGCGACTGTGAAAAGACACCGTCTTTGGCCTGGAGTGTTCCATTGACGAAAATCTCGTCAGGGTCGGAGCTTCGTTTCAGAAGCAAATCCCATAGTTTGCCCATAGGGTGGACCAGGACCAGCGCAATGACTGGAGTTATAGCAACGCTAGGATAACGCAGGGAAAAGAATAAATTGGTCGCCGATCCCGCTATTGCGAAAAACAACGACAAAATCCACATGCGAGGTGTATTGATAGACAAGGACGCATTGTCCGTCGCCGGGACTGAGGCTCGTACTTCAGGATAGGGAGAATTGTCAGGAGGATCGTCCTCCGCGGCCACGTCGCCCTCTTCATCGTCGTCCGAGGTTGCGTTTTCAGGGGTACTGTCGGGCGACGATTCTCCTTTACCAGCGCCAATGAGTCCACTGACTCCGAAGGATGTCTTTGAATCCAGGCCCATTCCGATATCGCTGGCTGAAGAAGAGTGCCTCCGCCGTGTCCGCGGCCACTCTGTACTGCGATACCGTCGTCGAGCATCCGCAAAATGTGCATGGTTGCTCTGGGAATCGTGTTCTGACTGTACCCGTTTCCCACGACTCTTACTGCTCCGTGGCTGAAGGTGGCCATTCTCTTCGTCGTCCGAGATCGAATTCGACCTCGACCGTGCTTCTAAGAGAGGTACGGCGCCATACGAGCCGGTGCCCAGAGCGGGAGAGGAGCGGATGAGCAAGAGAGGGCTTCTCGACATGATAGCGTGCCAGACGCGTGACGCTAGGCCGCGAGGTTCGTGGTCTTGCAGAGGAGGGGTCACCGACAAAGGTGGGAAGGGTTCGTGGAGATCAGAACCATGCAAGATACGAGGTGTGGTGCTTCGCCGATCCGTGTTTGATGATGGTTCAGGCGCATCTTGCTCTGCGCCTTGGAGAGAGTGAGAGTGTTGGAGGCGGGAGAGGGCAATGTCTCGGTCGGAAGAGGGTCGGTGGGAGACAGGTGAACGTTGCGGAGCGAAGCCTGGGAGCATAGCATGATTTTAGGAAGCTCAAGATGCGTCACGAAACATGGGCGCTGGTGTGGAACAAAACGAGGACGAGGCGCAGGGCCGTGGGATGTAGAGCCAATACAGCCCACTCTCTGACACCAATTATCTGATAAGATGCGATCAAAATTTGCACTTGGCTGCCCCCAGCGCCTATCACAGCAAGCCACAACACCGCGGTGGACACTGTCAAACGAACGAGGGAAGCCGACGCCGGACGGGCGACGATCTTGAGGAGAGACGGATACGAAGCAGTCAGTAACTTACTGTACCTCTGGGTGCAGCCATCTCTAAACAGCTCATCACCTGCATGTCCTTTTCCCAACACATCGCCATCGAACCCTTCCCCAAGACACGCTGTGATCAGTTGATCAGGTCGCAACACTACTCCATAGGTATTGATACAGAAATACCTGAAGTGGCTCCCGCAGCCGAGCACCATCTTGATTCTTCTTGTCAGTCATCTATGGAGCGCTTGACCCATCACCGTCTCTTCAATATGCCCCGACATCTCCTCCAGCTCGGGTCAACATATCATAGACACGCCCCGACAGCTTGTATTTGACCAGCCCGGCAAACACCATCAGATCTTTCGCCATGTTACTTAGCTGATCCTTCATCACGTCCGTATCACCTGCATAACCAGCTTCCCATCTTCCATTTCGTAGAATGTTCTCCCTCTCCCCTCCTATCGCTCGCACTGCCCAGACCACACTGATGCCAGCACACCGGGCAAGCACTTGGGGCAGTTGAGCGAAAGAATCAGCCGCAGCACGAATCTCTGCGATCTTGCCGTTGGCCCGTAGTGGCAGAATATTAAGATCATTGAGTTCCTCTAGCGCTGTCATGAATCTTGGTGGTTGCGCCTCAAGATTGGCCCGGACGGACAACAACCGAAGGAGGACTCCACAGACCTCTCGATTGCTGGCTGATATCTTGTTGTAATAGAGCGCATTGTCGTTATAGAGGGAGATCATATTGCGAGCTAGATCCACGGGAGACGAGGTAGATTGGGTCAATGACAGGGACGACTGAGGACCATTGCCTTGAGTGCTGGCTGATTCACTCTGTCCATCGGCTCTTCGTGGTTTGAGTGGCTGCAACTGTATAGGCGACTCCCCGAGATCCAAAGAAACTGCATCTGCGAGGGCGCGATTGAGCACCGTGACAACATTGTCATAGTCTTCGCACAAGTGATACAGCAGCACCGCGTCAGAAATTTGTCCTCGCTGATCTGCAATTGCTGCAGATTGGCTCGTGATCGATCGCAAAAACTCGTCGCGAGAGTCGAGATGGATCAATTTGGCACGCAACTCAATCGCCCCTGGGATTCTCGTTCCATCACTTCGAATATCGCCAAGCAGTTTGGCAAATTCCCGAGTCTCCAGGCACAGTTCCCGTAAGCACTCATGGCAAGCATTGGTATGGACCAGTCCTAGACTTGCAGGCTTAAGGTCGGAGTTAAGACAGAGCAAAGCAAGGTAGTCGACAGCAGCAACGGGCAAGGCCGTCCGGAAGGTACCAGTGTAGTATGCCACAAGTGGTACGAAGTTAATTTGCGGTAATTGCGTGGTCGAATATGTCACTGCAAGATCGTCAATATGCTTGTGGTGATAGCAAAGGAGGAGAGAGACTTACAAAGCTCGTTGCCTGCAACAGAGAAGTCCGAGACTCTGAGTAGGCCATAGTATGCAAGGGCGATGGCGAGATGGACCGCACTGGTAGGATTGAAACTGTGCAGGTATTCGACTGCTTGCTCGAACATACCGGCGAGAACCTGCATGAGCAGGAACGTACCATACGCACTTGAGCCTTCGACCTGGGTCTTCTGGAAGTGCTTTTGACCAATCTCGGCCACGGTCTCCCGAATCTGATCCAACCCAAAGATCTCTCCAGCCAACTCTTCACTTCGACCTGTTTCCCGAGCAAGGCTGAACTGCAGCCACAACCAGTCCTCGACGCCTTGACCAATGGCTTCCAAGTTTCTCGTCGTCAGGTCGCAACGACCGATCACTTTATAACAAGCTACCTTGTATGGATCAACAGTATTCTTTGGAGCCAGCTTGGTCAGCTTCTGGTATTCATTGTCGATCATGTTTTGTACCCCCTTGGGCAAGCGTCGGTCTGGACCATCTGCGTAGGCCGTCACATATGAGATGACTCTTCGGTCCATGGATTGGAAAGCAGGGTCGTTTTTCACATAATCTGCCGCTTCCTTTATACACCCACTTCTCAACAGGTAAAAGATGAGCGCCCAACAATAGTCGCCGTTCTCACCCCCGATCTGTTGCAGCTCTGCTCCATCAGGGACGAGATCTCTTCGAATAGCGCGTATCCGAATATAAGCACGGACGATGTTCAACACGGATGGTTGGCCCCCTAATGCAGCTTCGCGAGGATTTTTGTCGACGAGCGATCTCAAGTCCCGCCAAAACGCTTTTTCCAAATAACTACGTGAACCTTCCAAGGTTTGTTTCTTCAGCTTCAGGTACAGGACATCCTCCTTTTCGTCGAGATAGGCATCCATGAATTGTCGCTCTTTTAGAAGCGTTTTCCCTTCTCTGGTAATTTCGCGTAATGCATGGTAAGCATCGATTAGTTGTCGAGGGCTGTCTCCAGGGTTTTCATTCTCTGCCTCGGCGAATTTCTGTAAGATTGGGTAGCTCTGGTCCTGTAATCGCGCATGGTTAAGCTGCTGAACTTTTTCAATGAATGATCGTTCCTTTTCGCGTAGATCGCGTAAGCTCTGCCCCTTAGTCAGGCCAAAAGCGGTCGAAACAGGCCCATCACTCTTAAAGAAGGACGTTGTCCCCAAACCAGAGCCAGGAGTGCCGATAATAGATTTGTCGATCGCGGACCGTCCAAAGACGCTCCTGACAGTCTTTGAGGCTCCCACCGACCCTGTCCTCCCTCCTTTGGCAGATCTGCCGAAGCCGCCTCCCCGAGATTCCGTAGCATCACCACCGGAGTCTGGGAGTGCGAGTCCAAAGTGCTGCATGATTCTCATCTTTTGCTCTTCGAAGTCGACGCCCAGACTTTCCTCGATGAAATTGCCCACTTCACGATACACTCGATCCATGCTTTCCCGCAGCATTACATCACGTCCCTTAACCCGAACATCTCGAAGGTAGGCACTTGACTCTTCAGCAAAACTTGGTGTAACATTTCGCGGTGCTGACAGGGTTTCGTCGGGACCCAAAGACTGAAAATCTTTGTAGGCTTGACCAGGGGATATTCCAGAGCCCGCAAGCAAGTAATGTGCCCGACTGTCGGTAAGGGTGTCTGCCGGTCTTGAACCACGCTGCCTCAATTCCTGCGCACGTCTAGCCAAATCCCCCAAATCCATGTCGAGCCCGGATAATTGACCCAAGCCAGGGTTACCCTCGGTTTTTAATTTTGGTTTTTTCTTCTGTCTTTCCAGTAAACTACTGAAGTAGGCGGCATCTCGTGTTTGTGTCGCAGGAGCATCTGATTGTTGTTGTTGAGTCGCGGGTGGAGCGGCAGCTGTAGACTGTTGTCCGGTCGTTGAGGCACCGAAAAGTGACGTCCCAGAGGCAGGTTGCTGAGTTGTAGATGCTGCGGCTCCGAACAGACCAGTGGAAGGCGCGGCGGTAGTGGTGGTAGAGCCGAACATACCTGTTGATGGCGCAGCGGAAGTAGTAGTGCTGGGACCGAAGGAAAACGAGGGAGCAGACGTCTTTGGAGGAGCGCCTAGACTGAATATGCCGCCGGACGCATTGCTCGTATTGTTTGTTGTAGTGTTGGTGTTTAGACTAGGGAAACTGAACGGTTGCGATGTTGATTGCGAGGTGGAGGCATCAAAGATTGATTTTCGTTTGCCCTGGGCATCGGTGGTACCTGTGTTTAGGTTCAGACCAGAGAAGAGGTTGCTGGAGCCTCCTTGGCTCGAGGCAGGTTGGCCAAACATATTGGCTGATCAAATGAGGCTGCTCTCAACCAGTCCTCAATCCATGGTCCTTCAACAAGCGCAATTGAGATCCCAGCGCGTACATACTTCGTACCGTTCCCAAGTTTTGGGGAACGCGTTGGCTTGGCGAGTTGGCGCCGCTTTAGTGCAGTACATCAAAGCTCTATTGAAGTCAGACAGGCCAGGTCGCCCTCGCTGCTTTAAGTTCTTAACGCATGCTCATAGTTTGCGGCAATGCAATTCCGTTCGTCTCTTCAGTTGTAATTCTACGACAGTACCAATGATCCCCGTATCTCTCCTTCACCCTTGATCATCGTCACAATATATCCAGACAATGCCCGTTTTTCCGTCAAAACCTTTCCGCAGGAGTCAAACTCAAGCACAAGACCTAGGGGAGCGTATTGCCGCATCGTATCGAAATAAAGTTGCACGAAATCCATTTCTCTTCTTTGGACTCCCTTTTATTGCCCTTATGGTTTCTGCCTCTTTTCTCCTCACTCCTGCGACGGCACTGCGATATGAGAGTTACGACCGAAAGCACAAGCAAATGACGGATGAAGAGGTCATGGAATTAGGGCTCAAAGGACCGTCTGGCAAAGGGGGTCTCACATATAATCCTCGAAGGAGGAAGTTGGTAAAAGGCGAGCTGAACGAAAGAGACGAGTACTACAGGCTTATGGCGAAGGACCTCGATAACTGGGAGCAGAAACGCGTGGAACGTTGGAAGGGCGAGCCAGATGGAAGGCTATGACGCCTGCGTCCTTTCCATCGTCAAAAAAGGACTGAAGCAGAGGCCGCACGCTATTCTCGACTGGAGCTGCCATCAGTGGCCAGAAGCAACATCTACGAGTGCAGATCGCGACTGTTAGGCACACGGAAGCTTCAGTCCGCGAAGACCACAGCTTATAGCTCTCGACGAAAGTAAGAGCCTAGAACAACTGGCCTCTCCTACCTACGGCGGCCGAAAATCTAGGACTATTGGGCCTTCGCCTCTCGGCAATTGGGGCCGCAAGCCTTAGGGTTAACCCCCGCGCCCAGGATTGCATCTCCTACTCCAAAGTCGCACGAGTCTGTGACAACGGCAGCTAAAATACTCGGGCTGCAGCGTGATCTTCAAGTATCACCAGAACCCGAGAGATACGTCATTGAGAATCAAAGAAAACGGCTCGCGGGTCTAACTTGATAGAATACCGGAGCAGGTCAATAGACGATACAAGGTGCTCCAAGCGACGCTGATCTACCAGAAAAGCGCCCTTGAGTGAGAAATGCTGCTGAGTGAGAGTTGCGCTAGAGTCAAGCTGCATGATAACTGAGGTCTAGACCTTTTCCCATGCATGCTGTGAGCAATCACGGTGCAAGATGACGCCATTGCTGGTATTGGCGAGGTATACGGCGTCCACCGGATGGTGCATGGAGGAGTAGCGGCAGGCGGATTAGACTTGAGCCGCAACCATCAGCAATAAGAATGTGCTGCGGTGACGAGAAGGGTTTGGGGCACATCCACCCGCCTGAGACCACGGCAAACGCCGGTGGCACAAATGGCCAGAAGGACGGGGAGTCCCTCACCACTGGGACAGTAAATCATCCGGTTGCTCGAGCTCCCTCCCTGGACCGAATTTTCCACCGCCCCTTGTCTCGGGTCTACCGTACAACGATCAGCAAAGCGAATGGTGGGATCCGTGAGGTTGGGGTGCGGACGGCATTGACCCCATTGGGTTATGAAACTGCCGTGATTGGGTTGACGACTGGTTATCGGGTGCACAAGGTAGTCAATGCTCACTCGGTCAACGAAGGGACAATCCACTCTTCCTGGCCTCGCATGGCGCATGGATTCTAGCCGAGAGAGAAAGTGGCATGAGCCGAAGGGAGTTCTGATGTTCGCTTACGAAGTTACGATGGATTGTCCAATGCCACGCGTTTGACGTGCAGTAGCGAGGATAATGGCGTGGAAATTATGCTGCAGCATTGTTACCGTACTGGAGAGACAGTCGTTGTAAATTGTACTCGTAACAGATAAAATCCTATGATTCTGTACACTCGCACCGTCGATTGTCCAAGTAGGGGGTAGGTGTTGGGTTCCCAATCACGCTCCAATGCCGGTTTCGGAGACGTGAATGATGCCGCTGTCTCTAGGCGGGTCGACGGTCGTTATTGACCCCTTAGGGATGCCTTGCAGCCTGGAATCGATAGCTCTGGCTTGGACGGGGAGACCCTTGAAGCGCAGGGAGCCAGCAGAGAGGGGGAGAGCGCTGACCCAGTCCCCCCTCTGGACCCTGCGAAAGTTGGTCAGATGCAGCCGCCGGTGCTGTAGATACCAGGCAATAACGCTCGTATTCGGAATGCTGCAGTGCAGATCTGTTATTCTGGGAGATCCCTAGCCGAAGACCCTGCGCCTGGCTTTGCCTCTGTGTGGGAATGTCATCTGGCCTCGCGCTCAGCTCACAGGCAAGCGATAAGGAGCAGACCACCAACAACTGTTGACTCCCGCCGAAAGAATGACTCTTTTTTTGCTTTTTGCTGCGTCCCGTGAGTGGAAATGACATACGGGGAGCACGAGCAAAGTCAGAACAGCCACCCGGCAGCCTCACGCTCGATTAAGGGCCCGTCGACGTCATTCTGCTCGCTAAGAGAAGAAATTGGCTCAAGACTATTATCAATCGGTGATTTTGGCAGATCCTGAGTGAACCCTGAATGCCGTGGTACAGGCTACAGGGGGTGTGGTAATGATGATTCTCTCGCCTTCGGGCGGGCTCTAACAGGCCTCTAACGGGGAGCGGTTAGAGGGTCCCCTACAAGACCTGCTGCTAGGTGCCTAGGGCATCGCTATTGCACCCCTAGTACGCCCGCAGAGGGCCTTCCGTCACCGCTAACTACAGCGCCTGGGAAAATCCTCGCACTGGCTACTTCCCACCTAAGCAGTCCCGAATAGTAATCGTAAGCGTGGTCTCGTACTGTACTGTACAGCATCTGCCTCTCCCTGACGGAGTATAGACTCTGGTCCCTTAACTCCTGTGCATTCCCCCTCAAGGCCCTGCATCTTGATTATTCTTTTCCCTCAGCCCATTACACAGACAGCGACCTTTCCATCCACCACCAGTTCGTTCTCTTCTTTTTGGTTCCCGCAGACAATGAATGCCAGTCTTTCCTCAGCCATTTATTTCTCCCTCCACGCTGTCGTGCGTATGCCACGTCTAGACTCAGCATGACGTAGTGCTTAGCTGCAGCCTTCCAGCCCGCGCCTGCGCCTCGCCTAAACATCTCTTCACCTACGAGCAATCATCATTCTGCTCTGGTCCGAATCGCCTCCTCGCTCGCCAGACTTAAGCATCCTCACTGCCCTCATCTGGACTTCATTGCGACGCGAACCGCCTGCACCCCATTGTAGCCTCATTAATGACCTTTCACCACACCGCGGCCACCTCTCCTCGCCCCTCCGGCCAGGCGACTAATGTCAGCATGTCGGCCGTGGCGACCACTTCGATAAAGTCGCCCTCACACTCGCGTTCACATTCTTCGCATTCGAAATCACATTCACATTCACATTCACAGTCGCGATCGTCTCGTCCTTCCACCACGCCGAGGGCTCAACCTGTTGTTGCTTCCGTTGGTCAACCCCTCCCTCCACTACTCTCACCGAAGTCACGGTCTCCTCACCATCTCAAAGATCCCAAGAGTCCAAGTCCCAGCTACTTTGGCTTTGTTGTCGGTGGCGATGATTCAATACCTCCAGACTCGAATCCCGGCGCTCATGCTCGTCAGAATTGGACCTTTGGCAATGCGAGCACCCAGAGTGGTGTGCCCACCCCGAGGCATGTTCCAGTAGAGGCAAATCCAGAGTTTGAAGCATTTCGCAGGCAGTCAGAACACAACCATCGCTTTTCTTTGAACACAGCTTTCGGGAGACCTAGCCAGTCCAGAACAAATTCTTCCTCAACTCCACATACCGAAGCAGCCTCACCGTTGGCCAGACTTCCAGGTTCGGATCGTCGAATAAACACAAACGACGAGTCTGCTCCCCAGAACCCCACAACAGGCACTGCTTCGTTTTTCGATTTCCCGAGACGACAGTCACCCGTTTCTCTGAACCTACCGCACAGCGTGGCAGACCATCAGCATGCCCGACTCTCCCTTCCCGACAATGGACTTCGAACGCCGCCCATGAATCTTACGCGCCAGACTTCACGGTCGGATACTCTACCCACAGCCGGTCAGAAAGATGCAGCTCCTTTGGCCTCACCTGTCCACATTGCCGAGATTTTGAAGGACGAATCTAACCTGGTGCTCGTACTCGACTTGAGGGTCTACCAACAGTTCGCCCACTCAAGGATACAAGGCGCTCTGAATTTGTGCATTCCAACTACCCTGCTCAAGCGGCCTGCGTACAACGTGCAAAAGTTGGCCGACACTTTTGCTTCGGATCGGGATCAAGAGATGTTCTCAAGATGGCGAGAATGCTCCCACATTGTCGTCTACGACGCCAACTCCACGTCAAGTAAGGAGGCTGTCACTCCTCTCAACGTACTCAAGAAGTTTACCACCGAGGGATGGAAGGGAGTTGGTCTGGTCGTCAAAGGCGGCTTCCTTGCGTTCCACAAACAGGTACCGGACCTGGTCGACTCTGGCTCTGTCCAGTCCGGAGCCGGAAACTCGGCTCAGTCATTATCCATATCTGCTCCGGCGAAGGATACACTGGCAGTAGCCGGAGGCTGTGCGATGCCCACCACCAAGTCTGCAGCAAACCCTTTCTTCGGCAATATTCGGCAAAACATGGATCTTCTTGACGGCGTGGGGCAAATGCCTATCAAAAAGCCCACAAACTTGTCTCCCGAGGCTGAGCGCTCGTTACCTACCTGGCTTAAGCGAGCGTCATCCATTTCCGATGACGGCAAGCTGGTGTCAGATCGGTTCTTGAAGATTGAGAAGTCGGAACAAAAGAGGATGCAAGACGCACTTAGCGTTCACGTTTCTTACGGCACCCCGAGATCTGAGAAACCCAGCAAAATCCAAGTGGCCGGAATCGAGAAAGGCTCCAAGAACCGATACAACAACATCTTCCCGTACGATCACTGCAGAGTGCGTTTGCAAGAAGTCTCCCACGACAGCTGCGATTATGTCAACGCCAGTCACGTCAAGGCCGAGTATTCAAATCGGCATTACATCGCCACGCAAGCCCCTATCCCGGCCACGTTTAACGACTTTTGGCGCGTTGTCTGGGAACAAGATGTTCGCGTTATCGTCATGCTAACGGCAGAGGCTGAAGGTGGCCAAGTCAAGAGTCACATGTACTGGAAGACCGGGGAATATGGACCTCTCAAGCTCAAGCAGCTATCGGAGCGTCGGGTGAGCCTGGAGTCAAAAAGCTCAGCACCAAGGACGCCCGCGTCAAGTCGGCCTACCCTCGGACCCAGACGATCGACGACATCCAACATCATTCTGAAGGATGAGGCCAAATCCCCGACGACAAAATCTCCCAGTGCTGTTGTACGGCACTTCACCCTGAGTCACTCTGCCCACCCATTCCAACCTATGCGGGAGATTACTCAAATCCAGTATGAAGATTGGCCAGATTTTGGTGCTCCCGCGAGCCCCAATGAACTGCTTGGTCTTGTGGAACAAGTCAACAAATATGTTCGTGGCTCGTTGAGTCCCTCATCGGTCATAGGACCTGATGATGCAACCCCAGAAGGTACACGTCCCATTGTGGTCCATTGCAGCGCAGGTTGTGGACGAACAGGGACATTCTGCACCATTGACTCGGTCATCGATATGCTGAAGAGACAGAGGCTCTCTCATGAGAATGGAGGAGAAAGGATGGATGTCGATGGTGGAGACTGGATCGCGCGAGATGATGTCGATCTGGTAGCGAAGACGGTGGATGATTTCCGGCACCAACGATTGAGCATGGTTCAAAATTTACGGCAATTCGTTTTGTGTTATGAAAGTATATTGCAATGGCTGGTTCAGCAAGACGACCAATCCCGTAAGAAGCGACCTGGTGTCCGCGACCCTAGACGGAGTTATGGTTGATGGTTCCTTTTCGCCGAGGAGTATCACGGTGCATGAGATGAGACGGCAAGGAATGACGAAGCATAGCATGAGTAAATGGTATGACAAGGGATTTGCTGGGAAGTAAATACATTTTTACGCATCGCATAGCGTAAGGGGTACTTTACCTACCTATTATTACGTGGTAGGGTGGCCATTCCGGGAATCAGGGCGTTTTTGATACTTTAGCAAGATGCAAGACAAGGTACTTTGGTTGTACGGAGTAGTTAGTATATTCATTGAACATTTCTCCAGAAGACAAGATTTCGGGCATGTCACTTGTTCCTCTTTTTGCTTCGACGATGGTTCAACGTTGGGATTGACGGTAAGATCAGGGTGCCCGTAGGTGGTGAGTGTAGGTTTTTCTGAAGGTGTCGGTCACCGTCCGTCTCCTTTTCTATTTCTTTCTGGTTCCGTCTTGCCGACTCACCGGAGGCCATAAGATCACTCTGTCGTAAGATGTCGAAGGATCGTTAAGGCCCGCGGACTACGGAACACGGACTGTGGATTTAAGGTACTTTAAGGTATTTAAATTCGGCCGAGTAGGACCCCGTCACACATACATTTGTATGTATCTGTATCTGTATCTGTATCTGTATAAATAGTAAAGAAACAAGCACAGAGACAAGCCGTCTCGAGTACGTATCTATCTTAGTAGCTATGTACCGTAAGAGTATGTAAGACTTTGCACCTGAGATATCTATACCTGTCCCTTGGTACCTGTCCCTTGGTACCTTGGGCACTTGGCATGAGTTGACAGAACTTTTCCAAAAAAGGACGAACTATTCTCAGGGAGGTATCTGAGACGAGAAGATAGGTACTGTAGGCATGTAGGTGGATAGTAGTGTACTGATCAATAGTCATTATCATTTTGTTTTTGTCACAACTTCAAACTGAGAGCTAAGAAAAATCCGGAAACGCTACCCTGTAGCATATGCATGCGTGAAACCTTCGACGGACCTGTCTCCAGGAGGACCAGAACCCAATGAAACAAAAAAAAAGGACCAAACAAAAAATTCCCAAACAAAAAAGATATCAAAAGAAACTCGTCACTTCAGATGCTGCTGATCCAGGCTTTCCCCCTTACTTAGTCTTCCTTGACTGCCAAACCAACCAACCAACCAACCAACCAACCAACCAACAAACAACCAAATAATCAAAAGGTCCTGTTATGTGTAATCATGACACAAGCGAGTGACGAGAGGAGGGTGAGGTATGTACGTATAAGGTAGTTGGTGAATGTGTCTTCTCCACTTGTGTTGTTCAATTCCTCCGCTGGCTGGCGGTCCATATGCTCCTGGGTATGATGAAGAATAAAATATACTTGACTGATGCTGATGAACAGAGTGATTATGTAGGTCGTACTTTTAGGCAGGTGGTAGCTTAGGTAGTCAAATTATCATGACTGATGGTGGTGACAGGTGGTGAAGGTGAGGGTGATGCGTACATTGAGAGGTTGAGAGATAGACGGTTGTTGTAAACGTCTTTGCCGATGAAAAAGACGCTCGTCCCTGTCTTGAGGCACATCGGGAAGGTAGTAGGAAAGCGTCCACGGGGTCTCCCCTACGCGATTGCTGTGTCGAGTACACCTCGCTGTTCCCTGCTCCTTTCCCACGTCCAAAACATTGCGGGAAAGCGAACCCATTCAAACTCGCTGACCTCACGAACTGGGGAATGGTTTGGGCTGTTGACTTCCTGAGCCACGCAGCTTCTCTCGAGACTCTCCTGTTGTCCACCGTCGGGACCGAATCACTTCCCACAGGGCCACCAGCGCCACGGCGGCTCCGAAGATGAACAACGGGATCAGATTCCATCGCCACCCACTGATCAGGCGGAGATGGTACTTGAGTGTGCCTCTGTCGCTGGAGTGCGCGAGGTCCAGCTTCAGAAGCGCCTTGAACCAGTTGTCCGGTGTCCAGTGGTCGAGCGGGTACATTGCCGGTTCTGGATTCTGTTCGGCAACTGACAGGTCGATCGTTTGGTTATCGGTCTGCGCGACTACCACGTTGACGTAGATCAAGGCAGAGAGCGTTAAAGCCGCCGATAGCCACGTGAAAACCACCCAGAATAAAAAGAGGAAGGAGTGGCTTGTCGCATTGGTCTATGTAATGACAAGTGAATCAGTGTCCTATCAAACTAAAGGCTGTAAGGCGACTCACCTTCCTTGCCCGTCGGTTCTCGAGCCAGATGGTCAACAGACCTCCCAGGCCGATCAGGACCACGGCTGTCCCTGCTGCGCCGTTGCTTGTATGGCCCTGGTTAACGTATAGATTCTTGGGTTTTCCGTGAATATCGAAAGAACCTGACGGGGTATTGACAGTAAAGAATTTGCCCGCTCGGTCGTGAAGGAAGCCGACCGTCTCTCCTATCATGCCCACCTCAATGAGACCATCAACAATGAGGATGGGCAGCAAGACGTAAAAGGGAAAGAACGGAGATCGAGCCATTTTGATGGCAATAAAACGCTGTTGTCTGCACGCTGCTCAGTCTCTTGGGAGAGATACAGCCTCCACCTTCGTCGCCTCCTCAATCGGATGGATGCTTGTGTTATTCAACGGGCCAGACTCCTTCGTGACAGTGCACTATACTGGTAGAGCCGGTCCTAACTGACCAAGTCGAAAACAGGGAGATGGGGAAAGATATCAAAGTAAGTAGTGATTCAGCCCTGCAGCAGCTTTGAAATGAAGTAACGTGGGGTCACAGGACGGGGTGGCTTTATAATATCGTAGCATTTCAGCATAATGCTGCTGAGTCCTGGTCCGGGATTTGCTTAGGCTCGACACCGGTTCAAGATGGTGCGCTTGTCGTAGGGCCACTAGAGAGATTGTCGTATACCAGAGGCTCACCTTAGATCAGGCTAAGCTAGAATAGAAGCCCGGGATTCTTCGAGCCCAAGACCATCCTTCCAGGTGGCACGACTCACCGATATATTTTGCTGGGCCGAACCCTGTCGTCGAGCTCAGACCTAACAAAAGTCCGTCACCTTGGCAAATCACAGCCAGCTGCCACCTATATCAAGCCATGGCACGCCTGTCCGGGGCCCGACATTTCAGCTCGAGACACCGTGCAAGGAATGAAATACCAAGACTTTAGGCCAGCAAAGGATTGACAAAGCAAGTTAGAACGGTCTATCGTAGTCCGACTCGCCGCCGAGAGCCTCGTGTTCCGCTGCTGACCTTCGCCGCTGCCGACGTTGCGGGTTTTCTGGAGAACAGGGAAGTCATTGATCCACCTCCTCTTTGGTATGAGTACCAGAATAATCGTAGAATCTTTGGCAAAAGTCCGATGGCCGGCTTATTATCAGAAGTGCTCTGCGTTGAACAGGGGAGTCGCCTTCTGCGCGTGGCGGAGGGTAGGCGTAGACTGCCACATGTCTGACCCGATGACAAAAAGAGTGAGTAATTGAGAATCTCGTTTACAAGAGGCCCAAAGAATCGAGATTAGTGCTGACAAGCCTCCCGGGGTCCGAAAGCCAGCGTGGCTCCGCCCAAGAACGCCTTTCCAATTAAAGTCCGACAGCGAGGCTGTGACACTGCTGGCCTTAGCCGATCCGCCACTCACTCTCTTCGACCAGAACGGAAAGGACTTTTAATATAGTGTTGCATCAGTAGGTTCTTCACTTTGTGTGTTTATCTTCAAACCCCGAGCTCACAGATTCCTGTCTTGCACGTGCTGCGGGCAAAGTCGTCGCCGGTTATGTAATGAATGACTAAGCGGGGATCCCACTGCACCTGGAGAGAGAGAGAGACAACCTCATACTGCGTTTCTCAAGGCAAGTTGGCACCAACAAGATCCAAATGACCGCTTCAAACCAGAAACAGGTTGGGCGCGGGAATTGCTCAACGGAAACTTTGACACCCGGCTCGCAGCCCGGCGGTATGATCGATTATCGCCATCGCAGCTTTGCTCTGAAGCGGGGAACACAGGCTGTCTGGTCGAAGCGTTGTATGATTCGCGGCACAGGAGCTTCTCCCAGCGTTGGGATGCCGGTTTTCGTCCTCAGTTCAGCCGTGTCCAGGCAGAAGTGCAGGGATTCACCACGCCAGATCAGATGACTGCGCGTCTGAGTGGTCGCTGCAATACGAGGTCGCCGGTTTCTGCAACGCGTCTCGTGTCGACGAGTGCTTGAGGCACAGAATACCCTCGAAATCACTGATCTCTATGACTTCACTCCGTCGGGGATGGAGCAACTATTGCTGCGATATGTAGGCACGGAAAGGCATAAAAGAAAGGTAGGCACAGCGGGCTGGGAGGTTGTTGACGAACTCGTCGATATTCCAGCAATACAAGCCCAGAGAAATCCCCCGAGCTCCAAAACTGCAATTCGCAATCCATTGGTATCATCGCTCCAAGGCCGTAATCGCTATGGCTGCTACAAAGGTACGCAAATCCCTCTAAACCCCGGCATATGTCACAATGTCACAAAGTTGTCAAGTCTCAAAACAGATCACGAGCTGAGAACCTCCCAGATTGTCACTTATGAGGAGTACCTCCCTCTACGCCTTGCTCTCCTCGAGAAGGAGAAGCAAGCCACACGTGCCCGCGATGGACTTAGCGCTGAACGACGTCAGCTGCCCTTGGTAGAGGTCGCAACACCTTACAAGTTCACCGCCGTCGACGCTGCCGGAGATCACAAAGAGGTCACTTTGCTTGATCTTTTCAATGGTCGCCCTCAACTCATTGTCTATCACTTCATGTTCGACCCAGACTGGGATGCAGGTTGCAGCTCTTGCAGCCTCTTTGCTGACCACATCCCCCCACTTGAGCACCTGAACTCACACTCGACCTCATTTGCAGCAGTGTCCCGTGCGCCGATCGAAAAGATTGAAGGATATAAGAAGCGCATGGGTTGGACATTCCCGTGGGTTTCGAGCAATGGGACAAGCTTCAATTATGACTTTCACGTTACTCAGGATGAGTCCGTTGCCCCCGTCCAGTACAATTTCAAGGACAAGGCACAGCTTGAACAGCGTGGCCAGGCCTTTTTTGCACGCGGCGAGCAGCCGGGCCATTCAGTCTTTGTTCTAGGCGGTGACCAGAGCGGCATCGGTGAGCCGGGAAAGGCCTACCATAGCTACTCGGCCTACGCTCGTGGTGGTGAGCACCTCATTGGTACATTGGGCTGGTTGGACATGACGCCACTGGGCAGATTGGATGGCATCAATGGAGTGCCCGGGCTCGGATACAAGAGACATGACGAGTACACCGACGATGATCTGAAGGGGATTGTGGCCAAGATTGGTGCTTGATTTACAAACTAAATAGGAGGTGAAGCTCCAATACTAGTAGGACGCGACTTTTTGGATCGCATATCATGTAGTCGAAAGCTGAGTCAAACTATATCTACCATAGCTCTCCATCGTGTTCTGGGGTCTGTTGACGCTTGACGCATCCCCACGACTTGCTCTCGGCGCGCTAATGAGGTAATTATTTATCTTCAGGCTCAGGTACCGAACCATCAACCACCGCCCGCATCACACAAACAGTGCGTATCAGAACCGAACATCTGTAATACTTCATATGCGAATTCGTAGCAACTGGCCACGACTCATTCGAACGACGATTACCAGCGCGCGGCTCTCCCATTCGGCCGCAGCCATGACACCCAAAACACAGGAGCCCCAGATCGTCTCCATCACAGACCTCCCCTCGGCGCAAGCGAAATGGGTTGGGCTCAAGAAGATCGACTTTATAGACCAGAAGGGCACCTCTCGAACATGGGAGATTGCCGTTCGCAAGACAACGTCCAAGTCTGGGGTGGACGCTGTGGCCATGGGCAACATCTTCGTGCACCCGTCGAACCCTCCGAGCACAATGCTCGTCATCCAGTACCGTCCTCCGGTCGGTAAATACACGGTCGAATGGCCTGCGGGGTTGATCGATGAGGACGAGACCCCCGAGGAAGCTGCTGTCAGGGAAATGAAGGAAGAGACCGGATACGAGGGAAAGATACTCAGCACGGGGCCGGTGCTGTCCAGCGACCCCGGCATGACCAACGCCACCCTCAAGCTCGTCATGGTAGAGGTGCAGCTGGGTGAAAAGGACGACGTGATGCCGGACCAAAAGCTCGACGAAGGAGAACTGATTGAACGGGTCATGGTGCCTTTGTCCGAGCTGTACGATCGACTGATCGAGTACAGCCAAAAGGACAATTTTATGGTCGCCGGCAAATTGTTCTATTTCGCCGCCGGCATGCATTTCGCGAAGCATGGAGGCTATATCTGAGAATCTGCAACGGCCTCCGGCACCTGGTGAATGGTTTACTTGAGCATCCGCGCCATCGTCGACCTCTTCCCCGAGGGGCAGATCCACGCATGCGACGTGGAATAAACCTTTTGGCCGACCAGCACATCGAGATGGTCCGCAGTCCGAAGACCGAGACGCTTTGTTCCTGAGGCAGGCGGACCATGTTATCTCGGAACAGCGGCCACCCACCAGCGACATGCCGAAACGTCTTACAGAGCTCCATGGTCATGAATACCGGATGGTTCTATCTAGCAATGTCTCTCTCTTGACGACCTACAGCAAATAGCATGGAACTCATATCCCTGTTTGCACTTCACGCCACCCTGAGGCATTGCAATGTGGTGAGTATGGCTTCGAGATGTCCGAAAGTGATTTTCTAGCTGGTAAGGCTAGTGTCTTTTTTCTTGTTCTTTCAGATGTTGTTCTTTTTTTCTGTCTGGGAAACGGAACAAATCTATAGTCACTTGCTGAGTTTTGGTGTGCTATTTTACATGACCCAAGAAGACAAAGTGCTCGGCTCAGCTCCGTACACGATTATCCCTGGAAAGCTCATCACAGGACGTATGTAGGAGCATCGGGCAATTCGATTCGGCTTGGGTGGACAGCGATTCGAACCACTCGCTCATCATAGATGTATAGCTAGAACACGAAACTGAAGACATCGGTGCAGTACTCACCTTCCAAAGCATACCAATTCTAATTCCATCTTTAGTTTGGTTTCTTGATCTGCTCATCCATCCTCACTTGATCAATTGTAAACATGGCCTGCAAGACAACACACATTTGAGCAGTCGAACCTAAGAATGCCATGAGAGTACTCCATTCCGTTGGTGCGTACAGATAGGCCGGCACCGAACCCGCTGTCAATCCAATACTTGTCACAACGAACGCCCACGCCCAGTTCCATGGCTGCTTTGGAAGACGAGGGCTAGAGAACAAGGCGAAGACGGTGATCACCACGCCGAGAATTTGCACCAGACAGGACTGAACAAGAAACCAAAAGTTCGCATCTTTTACCGTCCCGCGAGTGTGGGAGGAGTACTGCCAGCCAATGAGACCTGGAACCATTGAGACGAGAGTAATGAGGGATATCAAGGCCGTAATTGTGGGGTTCCACTTTCAATAGTCAACGTTAGTAAAGCGATTATGTACGAAGCCAACTATTCATAAACAAACGCAGGGATTTAGATTTCTTACATTAGCAGGGGAAGATTGAACGCTGGAAGTAGAAGGATAAGCGCTGATAATGAACCGCGGAGGGCCAGCAGCCCTTCGTCGACGAATGTCTGCCTTGATTTCATCGATCTGGTCAGCCGTAGGAGAAGGTGTATACCGACCAACATTAGCCGCAGCTATCTGGATAGCTTCCCTAATGCGGTGTTACAAAAGGCTGAGGGCAATAAAAGGAACTGTGGAACACTTACAGTGCATCTGTAGCTCAACTGAAGCTCTTGTCCTCTCGGGTTGACCCGACCAAGCATCGTATCTTTCAACAAATTCTTCAACAGTTTCAACTCTCTGTAAAATGGATGACATTGTCTGAGACGTAATGTCTCGAGGTGGTTTCATGTCTTGGGGTATGGCTGCCCTACATATCTTATCCATAGCTTTTGCAAACAATTCAACCCTATAGTCCCAAATTCTAGACGATAGCATGGATGCCGACGATGGTATGGATGTCGATACAGCCAGAATCGAGGCCATTGTAGATTCAGCGAAGCTTTGCGTATCTGAAAAGCTCTCGACATATTTCAATATCGAGGCTATGTCATTTTCAGCCTCGTTCGTCTTCCTATTCTTCCTATCCTTCACGGCGCTGAGATCATCCTGGGTGATCGTAGCCTCGAGTGGCCAGGAACCTCGTTTTGGATCGAGAAGGATGCCCGCTGAGTCGATAGTGAGACGATCTAAATCCTCTAGCGCGTGATAGAGCCCTTTAATGTAAACCTCTGCCATGATGGAGGACAAGCGGACGAGATTAAGAGGCTAAAATGAATGTGAAGGGAATCAACGCTTCTTTCTGATCGTAATCTTTCATGGATATCGAGACTGATACTCGCGTACGGAAGGTTGGGAGGATGTGAAAGAGCTGTTTTCTCTCGATTGACACCATTTAAAAGTTGACCACCTAGAATAAAAGGCACTCTAGGCTGCGTTGTGGAAATTCGAAGCAGGCAAGGCTATAGTAACCACTACAAACTTGCCAAGATATGGACAAAAGATACGAAAAGAGCGGAGGAAAAGATCAATGCCATTGCTCACCCAAATAACCGTATTGAGCAGACAAAATTTGCAGTGTCTTTACAATAAGCGACTATCAACGAGTCTAGCAGAGCAGGTGGATCGTTACACCGGCTCTTTGAGATGAACGGGTTCCCACTCTCCAACAAATCTTCGCGCTGTCGAAATTCTTCAAGGCGCAAAGTAAAAGGGCATCAAGCCCAGAGTACAGCGGCGAGAGACCTTTGAAATATCGACTGCGTTCTGCGTCGGAAGGAATAGTTTCTGTGAGGCTGAGTATCATGTCGGGCATATCCGAGCATCCCACCACCGGCGTCAACGTGGATGGGATTGCGAACATCAACCCTGCCACAACTTCACAGGCTCTCGTGCTTCGAAACTCGAGGCCGCAGGGGTTGCGGAAGTATCTATACTCGTGCCTGGTGGGTTCTGTGGCGATCTTTACGACGCTGTACCAGACGGGCACAGGGCTGTCCCTGTTCGGCCCCAGATTCGATGCCACCGACCACGCCGGAAGGACTAAGCACGTCCTGTCGACAACGCCGCTGGTCGATGGCCATAATGACCTCCCGTACATCCTCCGGCAGGAGTTGAAGAACAGAATCTATGACCCCCGCTTTGACTTTCGAGGACATCTGTTGAGCCACACCGACCTGAGCAAAATCCGGACTGGCCAACTCGGCGGGCAATTCTGGTCGGTGTACATGGAGTGTGCGGCCGAGGGTGTACCGCAACTTGAAGAGCCCACGGTGAGTTCCCGTACAAAGTGCTGGAGTGACCACGGCGCCCGAAACACATTCGTACGAGAGGCGGCGGTCAAAGTGCGTTACTAACTAGGCTTTTCCAGTGGGTGGTCCGAGATACTCTTGAACAGATCGACGTTATCAAGCGGCTCATCGAGCAACAGTCGAATGATTTGCAATTCTGCACTACGCCAACCTGCGTCCGCGATGCTTTTTCAGCGGGGAAAATAGCAAGCATGATTGGCATTGAGGTGAGGCATGACTAGTCACTAACTACTACAACAATACTTCTGATCCCCAGACTGACCCCTTCTTCAACGTGCAGGGAAGTCACCAAATTGGCAACTCGATTGCTACTCTGCGGCAAATGTTCGAGTTAGGCGCTCGGTACATGACAATCACCCACAATTGCGACACGCCGTTCGCCACCGCTGCCACCACGGTAGCCCAAGGCAACGGCGATCTCGGCCTGACTCCGCTGGGCCAGAAGCTCATAGAGGAGATGAACCGACTAGGCATGCTCGTCGACTTGTCCCATGTGTCGCCAGAAACGATGCGTGACGTGTTGCGCGTGACTCGGGCACCGGTCATGTTTTCACATTCGGGAGCTTTCGGCATGACAAGACACCTGAGGAATGCCCCTGACGACGTCCTCGTGAGCCTGAAGTCGAACGGCGGTGTCATTATGGTTCCTTTCGTGAGCTATTTCCTCAACAAAGACCACCCCGAGGACGCGAGCATTCACGACGTTGCAGACCAGATCCTGTACATTGCCGGTCTGATCGGCTGGGACCATGTTGGCATTGGTTCGGATTTCGACGGTACCGTTGATCTTCCTCGAGGGCTCGAGGTAAGTGTGTTGGGTGGCGTTTGCAGCGGATCTTTTTTTGTGAGAGAGAGAGAGAGAGAGTCCACAGGCTGATTATTACCCACACCAGGATGCTTCTAAATATCCTGAACTGATACAGCTCCTGATGAAGCGCGGGGCGACGGACCGCCAGATCCGCCTTCTCGCGGGCGACAATATCCTCAGAGTCTGGTCCCACGTCGAAAAGTACGCGCAAAAGGCACGATCGAGGATGCAACAGCTTCCTGTCGAAGACGTATGGGAAGGACGAAAGTGGTTCCATGGAAATGACCAGCATTTACCCCCGATGTTCCGCGACAGCAAGAAAGAGCGAAGGGATAGCTTTTGAAGCGAGGCAGATTCATGGCTTGTGGAGGGCAGTGTCTGTCTGTCACTGTGAGGAACATTAGGTCAATTTGTGAGGGTTCGGTCAACCATGAGGAGCTGGTTTTCTTGCTTTCGGTTTCTGTGGACGGTGGGAGGGGGAAGGGGTAGTACGAGCAGATGATTGAAGGTTTGCAAGGAACAACTCCTTGGTACGCTTGACGATGAATCTTTTAGCCCATAATACCCTCTGCCCGTACTCACCACTGAGGAAGTCTAACGAGTGAGTCATCTCCTCCCTACAGCACAGCCTTGAGGCACTCGTACGTACGTACCTACCTAGGGGTATATACGACTGTCGCCCCACCGCCCCAGGAAAAGGGGTAGAACATAACCCGAAACATGTCAAATTCCCTGCCACTTACGCCCCTTTAGCCCAGTTGGTAGAGCGCGACACTAGTACGATCAAGTAAACCGGTATGTCGAGGTCAATGGTTCGAATCCATTAGGGGGCATTGAGACAAGATTTTCTGTCTTGTTTTTTATTTTTTTCAATTTTTCGTTTTTGCTTCGATACCAAGTACGAGTCTTTTGCAGATCTGGCCCAGATGTTTGTGGGAAGATCCGGCCGGCTACCGCTACGAATGGCGCGGTATACCCCTCTTGGCATTCATGTGCTACTGCACTGCGCATCTACTCCCTAGACTCTGCCATCGCCATCACGACAGAGAACGCACTCCCATGCTCTTCGCCCTCCTACTCGTTAATTCTTTTGCACTTCATGTCCTATCCTCCAAGGTGCCTTATGACATGGTCCGTACTTGAAGTTGCGTGAGGTAAGGAATCCCCCCCCCCCAAGAGCACGTCGAGCCGCTCGTCAAGCAGGGAGAACTCTGGTCGGCCAGAGTGTGAAAGCTGGCCTGGCCAAAATGAACATATGACGAGGCCCTCGCAGGATCATGCGGGAGCTTTAAAAGAAGTCCTGCGTCGTCGCCTCGGGTCAAGGGGGCTGTTTGACGTTGTATTGGAAGTGAAGCTGCTAGACACGCTGAAGTAGAAGAGGGAGAAGAAGAACGATTGTGAAGGAAATAAAACCATCATCGCCACTGCCCCCAGCACAACATTCGAGTTCAAAGCCGAAGCTTACTCGTGGTGAGTGAGTACGTAGGTCTAAAAGCACACCAAACTTCAAACACCCACACCAACGATTAAGAACAACTACCAGTGCCTCAAAATATATTAATTATACATTAAACAAAGAGATCGTGCTGTACTGTACAAAAGTATGTACAACACACACGACACACGACACACCATGTCGTTGAAAAAGAAGAAAAGCAAGACAATCCATCCAATGGATCTGCATCTTGGTCTTATGCTCGTTCCCCATCCAGACTTCATCTTTTCACCCTTCGCTCCAGTACGAGTACCGAGGATGAAAGTGGCTGGCCATCTACCACAAACCGCTCCCCCCAGTCTCAGGTACGTAGCTCACCTATATGTACCAAGTATATTCAGGTCGGGCTCATTCTCAATCCCTTGCATCGGAACCATGTCGTCGGTCATGTGTCGATGGCGCCGTGTTACTTCTCAGCCAAACGAGTGCTATAGAGAAGCGAGCACAAAGACAGACCGAAGAACTCAAGATGTTCTTTTTCCAGGTCTCTCAAGATATCGAACCGGGTCTTCGCTTGTTTGAATTTTCAAGGTGCATTGTACAATCCATCTTTTTCCAACAAAACCACTCACCCAGCTGCCCCATGCCACCGCAAATAGATGGAGGACATGGGCGAAAGAGGGATCTTGTCACGGTGCTCCCCACTAGAAAGCATCCTCGAGAGGACAGTCGACTGAATCGTGACCATCTCTCTCACACAAGGCGCACCATTTCTCGGGGTCGATGACTCCACTCGTCCGGCCAGCCAACATACCCGCTTGAATGCCCGTGCCCTCAATCGCGGAAGCGGGAACAGGCGCTGAAGACGCGGGGGTGTCATCCTTTGCGGGAGGTGTGGGTGGTTTGTCGTCTTCGAGGGCATGTGGAAGTGGAAGCGAGGGTGGCGGAGGTAAGGTGCCTGTCGGTGGCGGACTCGTGACTATCGAAGCACCAGCCGTACTCGTAGTAGCATTGTTGTTGGCTTTTCGACTGACCAAAGGTGCAGGCCGATCCGAGTCCGCGCCCGACAAGATCTGACTTTGATCACCACTCCGTCGTAGGCCTTCACGGACAACATCCTTCCCGCTTCTTTTTCCCAGACTGCCCTGGCTGTTACTGCTCTTCCCTGGTCCGAACATGTTCGAGCAAGTCAAGATGTCGTGGCCACCTTCTTCACAAATTTCGCACCACAGCGGCGCACTCGAGCTGGAAATGTCCGTTACCGCATCGTCCATCTGATCGTGTTTGAGAGGCGACGCACTTCGTCGGTTGACGTCTTGCCAATCGTGCACGTTGCCCTGTGGAGCGGAACTGCGCCCTAGCACAACGGTTCTCTGACTCCCCGTGGTACCAGTGCTGAGATGCTTTCGATCCATATCTTCACTATTTCCTCTCGAATGCCCACCTGGTAGTGACCGGACAGAGGTATGCAGACCGAATGCGGAGCCTGGCATCGGGAATTTCGACAAGGCAACACTGTTTCTCAGATGCTTGACCTCGTTTGCAAGCTCTTCCTCGTGCGCACTCTTCTGTTGCAGTAACATCTCAAGATCCCGGATTTGCTGGCGTAGGCTTAATCGGTTCTCCTCCCCGTCTGCATCATCAGACGGCTTCTCTTTTCTCGTGCTCAGGCCGTTGGGCTTTGACCCATTCATCTTGGGAGATTTGTCGTGGGTTTCATTGAGACTCTGAATGATCGCCTTCAACCCTCTGATCTCATCATCTTTTGCACTCAGTTGGGCTTTGAGATCCTCAACGTCGCCCGCCGAATATCCATTGAGCTGTTCTTCCGTCTTTAAGCGTTCGCGCTCTCGTCGTAACTCTGACCTCGATCTCTCGACTTCGCCCCTCAAGAACTCAACTTCCCCTCTCGCTTCAGCCTCTCCTCTCCTTGCATCTTCAAGGCCTTCCTCAAGCTCCTGCACAAGTTCTTCGAGCTGCTTAAGCTGTTGTGCAACCGACTCGACATCCTCGCTTCGATCTTGGAGATTCCTCACCTCCTCCAGCAGTTCGTCGACCCTCTTTTCATAGACACGCTCCGTCTCTGTACTGGCCATCTCTAGTGTATCAATAGTGCTTCTGAAATCGGCACGATTGATATCAAACTCCGCAGTGAGCATTTTGATCTTGTCGTTTTTCTCCCGGACAATCTCCCTGAGCTCGGCAACATCGCGAGGCAGGTCATCATCATCTTCTTCTCCATTCCTTTTGCTGGCCTCCAGGTTAGGCAGTAGCTTTTGCAATTCATTAAAACTGCTCTCCATCTCTGCAAAATTGGCGCCCTGATCACGCAATTGTCGTCTCGCGACACTAAGCTCCTCATTCAATTCACGGATCTTCTTCTCATACTGCTCGACATCTACACCTCGATTTGCATGTGGTGTTGGCGTGGGCGTGTTTTGCCCTTCTCCGGAGCCTTCGTCGAAACTTGATTCAGGGCCCAAGGACGGGCTTGTACCACTCTCCACACTGGGTGTCGTTGTGCTGTGTCGTAAATTTTGGCTAAAAGTCGTCGTTGGCCGTCCTGTACCAGGTCTATACCCAGTCCCGCCATTCGTACTTTTCCCAAGGCCCATCCCGATGCCACTGGGCCGTGTCTTAGGTGTAGCCAGAGCCTTTCCAGTCGGAGTTGCGGTCTTGCGGAGAGGGCTCGAAGGGCGTGGCAGGCTCTCCCTGCGCACTGGTGGTTTCAGCGCTGGGCTTGCGGCGCCGGCCCTGACTCCTGGTCCGATTGATTGACTGAAATTTGGTTTCGCAATACCCGTCCCAGGCGTGCGACCACCTTGATTAAAACTGCTGAGGCGGGTAGGCGTCCCAGGGCCTGGGCTTGCACGGACACCCAAGCCCATCGTCTTCTTGACGGCCTTTTCTACAGGAAGAAAAATGCCTGACCCTGGGATTGCGGTTTTAAAGTAAAATCTTCCGTCAACATCGCCTGAATTCTTGCCTCTAGGGGCGTACTCTGTCGCAAGCTGCACGCCTGCAAATATACCCTTCTTCCCATCCACGCGCCCGATGAACTTGACTGTGCCGTGCATGTCGCCTGGCACCAGGACCGTGTCGCCTACGCTGAGACCGGCCATGGCGGACGTGTTATTTTTCCTCGAGTACACTGGTGCTATGTGGTCTCTCTAACTCTTCCCAGGGATCAGATGTTCATAAAGGGGTGTACATGTGAACCGCAACGTTCGAGAGGAGCAAGCGCAGGATAGGATGATCATTGGTTGGGTATCGATTTCGCATTGACCGCGGTTTTGAGGGGGTGTTCGGAGCGGAAGAGCGCACACGAGATGCGTGGCGTTGTGAGGAGGACGAATAGGAGCTGTTGTTTGGCAGATGGTGTCAAAAGCGATGAAGTCGTTGCGAGGTTACACGGGTGTGTACAAGTAAACAAAAGACCGTAACATGGTCGGCGAGCGGAGGAAGGGTGGATGGTGATTAGTGGCTCGCTGGCCGGTATGAGAACAGAGCAAGAATTGACTGATACTTTTTGTACGTACAGTACAGTCTGTCAGTAGCAGTACTGCAGGCCAGTGGTCTGCAGACGCCCACTCGGTATAGGAGAAGTCACAAAACTCCCTGTTTCAAACAGCTGGCAATTATCTGCTTAGTACGACACTGCTTCCACTCACTCGTCACCCGTACTTTTGGCTAGAAGCCACCCCGTCCTCCGTACTTTTTTGTCCTTCAGGAAAATCCCTGGCGCATACTTCGGGCGCATCGTGGCGCGTAAATTGGTTGTTGATTCGCTTAACGAAATCGAGCCAAACGGGTGGCGTCTCTCAAGGGCTCTTCCGATGATTGAAATCGCCTGCTCGATACGACACGCATCGTGCTACCGAGACGAGATACTGAAAAGGAGACTCGGCTCTTCGGCTGTGGCTGTCTCGACGTTTTGGCTTTTCATGAATTGCACTCGGCCACCCAGAGCCATCACACCCTCAACCAGGCTATTGTCGACTTGGGATTTCGGCAACGATACCTGGCACCACGAACGTCTTCCTTGAGAGTGTTTCGTTCTACAGGAATCGGTATTGCATGTCAACTGTGTTTCTCTATAGCCAATATGCTACCAACAACACCCAAAACCCCCGTCCAAAGCGGATTTCTAGACATTCTTTACAGTCCATACTTTTGGCTTCTTTTCGTAGTTTCCACCACCAGCAGACTGCCGCCATGTTCACGGTCTTCCCTAGAGCTGGAGCCGGAAGGTTGCCACCTCAAACGGTCTCAACTCGATGTTGATACTGATCTTGTTCTTACCAGACACGGTCAGGCTCTCCAAGTCATCTTCGAGCACATTGGTCTTGTAGACTTTCTTGACCGGCAGAGTGGTCTCAATCGTCCCCCTGCTCTTGCCACCCATGCTCTCGTATATTCTCAATATAACACTCTGTCCCGGCCGTTGAGTGAGCTCTCCGCGAGACACATCTTCGTCATCCTCGCCACGCTTGATACAGTCCAGCACCAGCGACTTGGCACCGATCAGGTTAATTGCGTTGAAGAGTTCCTTGGTCCTGTCGTCCACCACTGAGACCAGTTTCAGGGGATGATTGAAGTTGTACGCTGCACGCACAGTATTCGCGCTCAGGGCACCATGGTGAGGCATGATGGCCCACTTGATGTGGTGGCGTCCCATGTCAGCATGTGCATCCGGGGCTTTGGGTGCACGGATCAAAGACAATCGCATGAGATTTCCACATGTTGCGAATCCATACTTTGAGTCGTTCAAGATTGAGACACCATAGTCGGCCTCCGACAAGTCGGCAAACTTGTGGCAGCAAACTTCAAATTTGGCCATGTCCCAACTATACCTGCGTTAGCGATGCCAATACAAAAAAAGAGAGAGGCACCTACCTTGTGTTGTAGTGCGTTGGGCGTCGAATAATGCCATACTGTGTCTCGTAGCTTGCTTCGGTATTGACCACATCAACTGGGAATTCTACCTTGAGGAACTTCATGGTCTCGCGCCATTCGACTTCCGCGTCGACAGAGACATAGCCGGTTTCGCCATCGCCCTCACACGCATCGAGGCTGATCGTTGTCTTCACCCAGCTGTCTTTGCTGACCTGTGTCTTGGTAGCCACACTGACGCGGTAAGGCCCTTCTTCAACGATTTCGGAGGCCTCTGACTCCAGTTCCTTTCTAGACTCGAGGTGGAAAACCTCAACATCCCATGCCTGCCAATAGAGCGGCTTGTCATCGAAAATCACCAACTGGTTTGCTTTGCCACCCTTGGCAATGACCTCGCGGTCCGCTTTGAGGTCGATCAACGATGTAATCACGCCCGCTTCTACTCTGACCTGGAATTTGCTGTTCTTCATCACGAAGACTCCCTTCGTGACCTCTTCTATCGAGGCCGTAGACTGGATGGCCGAGGCCGTGTGGGTCTTGGCGATTCCCTGTCCGCCCGAAACAAAGATGTATTTCTTTTCTTGAGACTTTGTCTGCGCCAGTGGAATATGCACTAGTTCGGACCGTTTCCAGGGCGCGGTGTTCACCGCGGCAAGCTCAACATTAGGTTTCAGGTGTTGAGACAAGCCGAGCACTGTGAGCGCCTCTTCTTTCACCTTTGCACCCAGCTTTGCATTGTGTGCATAAAGGGCGTCCGAGTCATCATAGCACATCTCTATCGAGCTTCCAGGCAAGCAGTCGTGGAACTGGCAGAGGAGAACATTTTCCCACATCTCGTCAATCTCCTTCTTGGGATATTTGTAGCTCTTGCTCTTCAAGCTGGCTAATGTTGCAAGGTACTCGATATCGTGCAACATGATTTCTTGCTTGCGGTTGTTTAGCTTGTTGTTGGCTTGTGTCGTATAAGTCCCACGATGTAGTTCAAAGTACAATTCGCCATACCAAGTGACGAACTGGGTGCCATTCGCAACCTTTTTCTCGAGATTCGCGAAGAAATCGTCAACAGATTTTCCCATTTGAACGCGAGGCAAGAGGCCAGTAGTGTCACTAAGCCCACGACATCTTCGTAGCTTTTCAAGCATCTCTCTTGTCGGGCCGCCACCGCCATCTCCTTTTCCAAAGACGAGGAGCGATGTATTGTCTTCATTCATACTCTTGTGCTGCGTCACACTGCGTCTGACATCGCCAAAATGGGCATTTGCAGTATAGGTCTCGCTTGGCGCCATATGACAGATGACTTGGCTGCCGTCCAAGCTTACCCAGTTGAAGGTAGTGTGCGGGAAATTGTTGATGTTATTCCAGCTCAACTTTTGAGTAAAGAAACGTGACATCCCCGCGAGGCGACACAGCTGAGGCAACTGACTTGAATAACCAAAAGTATCTGGTAACCAGAACGTCTGGCATCTCTCACCGAAATTGCTCTCAAAAAACCGCTGACCGTAAAGAAACTGTCTGACCAGTGACTCGCCACTGGGCATGTTTGTGTCGTGTTCGACCCAGCTGCCACCAATAGGTTGAAACTTCCCCTCTTTCACCTTTGATTTGACTCTGTCGAAGACGTAAGGGTAGTACTGTTTCAGCCACTTATACTGCTGGGCCTGACTGCAAGCAAACCTGTGCTCTGGATATCGGTCCATCAGATCACATTGATTCGACCAGCTTCTGGCCACTTTACGCTTCGTCTCCGCCCAGGGCCAAAGCCAGCACGTGTCAATGTGGCAATGCCCGATAGCATACACGATGCTCTTCTCGTCCGAATCATAGACCTTGGAAGAATCAACATTCTTTCCAATGTATTTTTGTGCGATCCCCCGCCCTTCTTCGATCGACTCTGGAGACCCATTGCCAGCAATGAAAGCGTCCATGATTTGGTTGCATACTTGAAGTGCTTCGTGTTTCTCCCAGCTGTCGCCTGGGAATTCTCTGGCGGCATCCCCAATAATCCAAAAGTCCACATACAGCTGGCGAGCAGCAATGTTGACATCAACAATCTGTGCCTTCCATAGCGTGTAATACCTATTGGGATCTGGAGGCTGAATGCTGTCGCCTCCAGGAGCATTGCCGAACATGCCATTACACGCCATCTCGATATAAAAGGTATGCTCTTTGCCGTCTCTCCAGCTCTCTGGAAGGATCCATTCTGTGCGTTCTCCGCCGCCAGTTAACCCTTGCAGTGGGTTTCCATCATGTGTCCATACTAAGCCTTCATTGTTCGCATCCCAATGAAATTCCAAATGCTCTCCATCGCACATATGTTTCGGGACTTTGAGTTCAATCTTAAACCAATGAGTGGACCATGATGGACCAAAGGATTCACCTCGGTGGGTCGGCCTGAAAGCATGGGATGTTGCCTCCTTGAAGGTCGGCCGCGCAGAGTCTGGCGGAGAATAAACGGAGAGCTTTACATGCTCGTCATCGTCGCACACATTGTGGTAGAGTTTAGCGAGAAGGCTTTGATCCTGGTATTGCCCGCCTGAAGTGAATTGTCTCAGACTGTTTGGTCTGTCAGTATGTTCCTGGAGACGATATCCTTCTCGGAAGAAACTCACCGGTCGGTGTAGATATTCTCAATCTTCTTTCCCACAGGCCGCTCGCTGCGAATGGGGTATTTCGATACTGCCGGGCGAGGTTCTCTCTCGCCTCCCATGGCTACGGAGTGGTATACCGGGCTGGGCTGTAAGGTGGTACGAAGAGGGTGGTAGTTCTCAAAGGAGACTTGGGGGATGGTATGAGATAGGATAATATCCTCGTGTCAGATCATTCGACACAGCCTGCTTTAGGGCAAATGCAACAAGCAACTTGTCGAGTTGGAGGATTGAAAGCTACGGTGAGATACACATACAGGTGTCCGGTACGAGTTGGAGGTGAGCAGTTGTTGTTGCATGGCAGCTGTTCCGTAAATGCGGGGTGAAGTTATTACTCGTCGCACCTGCATCGATGACGGGGCTGAGCATATTAGAAGCTATTCCGTATCTGGACTTAGCGTCAGCCTGCTGCAGATGGAGCTGTAAGGTACGGTACGCAGAGTTAATCAAGCAGTCTAGCTACTCGTAGGTAAATAGCAATCTTCCCTCACTTTTCTATTTCTCTCTCTATCGTCCTGTGAGGTACTGTATGAGTCCTTGCTGAAGCAAAAGTCTTGAGTCTTCCTTGGGTCGCGGAGCTCTGGTCTGTGCTAGATCCAAGATTCTTCTTTGTCACCCACGAAGGAAACCGTGCTGGCTGTGCGTGTTGGTCCAACCAGCACAATACTCTGCTTTAATTTCCTTCGCCGCTTCTGAGATGCCCGTCTAGTCAGCTTCCGTCTTGCGCCCTCAATGACGCCAACAAACTGACTCTGACCATTTTGATAGGCCTGGCCCAAGTCGGTAGACACGTCTGCTTTGCGGGTGCGCTGCATTTTCGGCTGTTGCCTCTGCTTTTTTGTCATCTTTTTCGACCATATTTCTGCGCCATAAACTTGGTAAGGTGTTGCTGGTTTCGCCAATTGTCTTTGCCGTGGTGGTTCTTCTTCTTCATGATAATCTTCCAAAGCCGCGCCTCGCCTGGACAGAGAGAGCGCCCTCCACAGATTCGAAACACCTTGCTGCAGGCTCGATCGCGCACTATTACGTTCTGACTCCCTCATGGGCTGAGTATTCTCGATTATGGTAGGGCCCTTGCCAGCAGAATCGGAAATAATGTCTCCGTAGTTGCTCTCGCCCGAGTGCATTTTCGGAGCCAGACTTGTCCGCTCCCACGGCCGGTTTGACGCAGATACAGGACTCTGCACAAACTCTGCGTCCAGCCAAGACTTCGACAACCTGCTTTCAGGACTCTCGTGTTGTGACCTCTCTATGCCAGTATCTCCAGGGCTTACACTTCGTGTGTAGGGCTGATTGTCCCAGTCGTCGGACACAGGACTAGGAAGTCTCGAATCTCCAAACTCCACTGGAGGGGGAAGCAAATCAGAATCATTGACATCCGATATGCTGCCGGACATGGCGTCGGGGAGCGGTGGTGTATGGGAGACAGACAGGGACAACTCGACCGAGGACACATAAGGTGAAGGAAGCGCCAAGGTGTTATACGCCACTTGATGGTGATGATCCGGTGGTGATGCAGACAAGGCAGAGTCCAACTCTTTTCGTCGCTCTCGAAGCGATCGCGAAAACTCGAGAAACGTGGGCGCCGTCTTGTTGCTCTTCGGGCCATCGTTTGGTGACAGAGGTATTGGCTTTACTGAAGCAGTAGATGAGCTGTCGCCCCCTCCGGGAGTTTCTAGCGGGTTGGGTGATGGTGGTTTACTGATACTGAGCCGTTTGATGAGCAGCGGAGCTATAGTATCTCGATATGCTTGTGGTTGATGCAATCGTGGCAGGGTTGGAGTGTCGATCAACTCCTGCTGTCCATTATACATGCGAATGATATTGCTAATTGTTGTATCATTGCTGTAAACACTGGATGATCGCCGTTTCTCGAAAGGCTCAAGAGGTAGAGGTTTGTCTCGGTCGGAAGGCGTAGATTTTGCTGATCGATTCTGACGCACGTCTAGGTACAAACTGCTCTCAGATCGGGAGGCTGCTAGTTCTAAACCTTGTCTCTGCAGCTCTAGGAGTGCTTTTGACGGTGGTGGAGGTGTCGCGAGTCTGCGGTGTGCCGATGGAGGTCGAGAAGATAAATCCATGATTGTTTCGAAGCTCCGATAACGTGCATCATGCTGACTTTCGCTAATCAAGTCCTTGCTGTCGAGTCAGATGTTCGCTTCTTAATGAGACATGGTCTTCATGTAAAAGACGAACGCATTCTGGCCTGGCTATAGCCGATACAGAAACAATACAGCAAAACGTAAACAAAGAAGTACGGTTTCGGCCGCGGCACCAGAGCACCCATTGTTCCCTTGCGATCGCACGGCAGTGAAGACAGCATCTTCATTCGCACCAGGGCAAATGTTTCATCGTCTGAAAACGTAGGAATGATGGCGGAAGATATTTTTGGGCTGAGACGGAGCGCTCAACAGCCCACATTCCACCGACTTCCGCGTTCTGCCAACTCCAGTTAACACAACGCAGCCTTCATAACTTTGCGGCTTTGACCAGGTCTTCTTTGGTGAGCTCATCCGTTGGCCTTCTTATGTCGCCCAATCGTCCGACTCTGCGAAGGCGGGTTATCATCTCCTCATCGCCAAAATGACTGTTGTGCTCGAATGTTGGTTCCTGGTTATAAGCGACGCGAGCTGCATCGACTAAAATCCTTGCAGTCATACCGAACACTCGGTACCTAGATAGTTTCTCCAAGTGGTCGGCAGTGATCTTTTGCCCTTCGTTTCTTTTCGGCTTCGAGACAATTTGGTTTGTCACCGGCACAAAGAAATTGTGCATACGCCATTGGTTCTGATGCCAGTCGGTCCAGGCACCTTCGTACCAATCATCTGGATCACCAGGGAGATTGTCCTGATTAGGTAGGTCTTGATGGTATAAAAAGTTCCGAAATGGAGCAGTGAAGACAGCAGCCACTTCTCTCGCATCTAGCCTGGGGAGGAGCTTCTCTGCGACGTTGGCATCGAGTCCCGTTTCGGGATCGTAAGAGTGTAGGAAAGCCACGCAGGGACGGACGAAGAGTTCTGTTTTGGCCAGATTTGTAGGCATCTCACAAAGGTGTTCAACTCTGAAGGGAGGAGGCAGTGCACTCTCGCGTCTGGGGAGACCAATCTCTTCGGATGTTTCCCGTCTGGCAGCTTCGAATGCCGACTCTCCTTCTTCGGCCTTTCCTCCTGGCAATGCCGCGTGTCCAGAGTATGAACTCAGGGTACTCGCTCGCATGGTGATGACAACCCTTAATTCTCCAGAGGCATCGGCAAACAGAAGGATCAGCACAGCCGCTTTGCGTGACAACGGCATTGAAGGCCATACCGTTTCTGGCGGCTTATACTGTCTTAATCGTTCAAGAGCCGCCTGTCAAAGGTTATCATACTACCAAGCCGTGAGAGTATAAGACTTACGGCTGATGTGGGTGATAAGGGTGCCATGATGTCTCGACGACTCTGTGTCGAAATCCACCTCCGGGACAGAAAAGACAGACAAATCCGACTGTGTGACTTGGTCAGGATGTTCCTGTGAAACATCGGTAGTCTTGCGAAGAGATGATGGAACACTTATGGACAGTTCGCCCTTAAATATACTCGTATTGTTGATGGCACAAGCATTGCCGAGGTAATATTCATCTAAAAGGGCAAACCCAACATGTACAGACAGCCAGCCGTCTTTCTACCGTCTGTCGAATCACGTTTCTCCAACATTGGGTGAGAGTGTTTCTTCGCAGGACGAGTAGTTAACGTGCTAAATCAAAGCGGTTTCGTTGAGTCTGTCAATCAAGTGCTCCGGTCCCTATACTGACGCCTCGGACGCCTCAAACTACCATAGAACCACCAAAGCGCCATAACGTCGTCAGTCATCCTGAGCCTTTCTGGAACCCCCAAATCCGATCTTCTGCCGCTTGGTTGCCCGACCGTCGGCGTCATCATCATTTGTGGCCGTGTTCTTTTTCTTCTTCTTGTCGCCGCCTTTCTCGTTCGTAAAACTCCCTGTTGGAGTACCAGCATGATTCGGTGTGCTTGTAGAACTACTGGGGGAGTCTGAATCGCGCATGTAGGAGACTGAGCTGCGGGAGAAGACACGGTCTGAATCGTTCACCACAGCCTTTCTTCGACCAGCACCTAGTCCACCTCCAGCTGCGCTCCCGGATATTGTGCCTCCTGCAGATGTCGCCGCCCCCGCCACAGCAGATGCTTTAATGTAGTTGTCGAACCCCTTCACAATGTTTCCTGCGATCGATGTTTCTTCGAGGTAGGCAGTCTCTTGACGGTAGATTTGGTCTTCCACGGCAGTCTGATTGAGTCAGCACTCCTTGCCTGAACAGCGCAAGCGACCCTACCATATTGCGATCTAGAAGACGTTTCTTCTGTAAGGTGTCGCGTAAATCACGTCTCAATTTCTCGTAGTACGGAAGGCCAGGTCTGTCGCCACTGGCGGCAGGCTTCGCTGCCGTGCCAGTTGGCGGTACATTCTCAGCCATGGCACGGCGCGATGTCTTCTGGCAATCGCGGATGTTTATTTCGTTCTGCGTAGCTGCTCGAAAGTCTGGGAAGCGAGACTGCGCAAGACAGTGAAAAGATCCAGTGAAGTACGTACGGTGATGCATATGAGCATCAAGTGCAAAGCCCCTGCGCCGCGTCTCGGGAACCTCGTTCAACATGTTTACGATCATGCTATGGCTTGCGTCTGAACAACTTAAATTCCCAGGATTCCTTGTTCACTCAGATATTAAGGCGCGACGACCTACCCGAGTTCTCGATCATGAATCATTTTGGCATGGGTCATGGCGGTATGGATCACGGAGACATGGACATGGGGGGAAAGTGCTCTATGAATGCAAGTGTCCCATGGATGACAAGCAGCGTGATGTTGACTTGAACAGATGTTGTTTACTTGGTCCTCGGAAAACCTGTGCATCATTTTTCGCCAGTGGAGAGTAACTGGCACTTTCTCCCTCGTCGTATCACTCCTAGCCATCGTCCTTTTGACAGCGGGCTACGAGTGCGTCCGCGAAATCAGCAGGCGATACGAACAGCAACATAGTGCTCAAATGGCTGCTTACAGCACGGGTGGCACCAGTACGTCCTTCAAGCCTCATTCTTGCCATATACGTGTCTGATCTTGTCAAGGCGCATCACCTCAATTGAACGAATCAAGCTCACTGCTCGTCGTAGGGAGAGACTCGAAAGCGACGGCGGAACGGAAGGGAACAATCATAAAAGGGTTGCTTTATGCTGTGCAAGTGTTTTACAGCTTTTTCATCATGTAAGTTCCAAACTTGGTCGGCGAGAGACGAGGCTGATGTCACAGGCTTCTCTTCATGACCTACAATGGTTGGGTAATGCTAGCTGTCGCCGCCGGAGCATTTGTTGGATACATTGTTTTCGGCCGCAGCTTAACATCGACCAAGTCTGTAGCCTGTCATTAAACATGCATCATGACATCCTCATTGAATGTCTTCCTCTACATCGTCGGCAAATCCGAAGCTAAAACCACCCGAGTCTTGGTTGGACTGGCTTGGATCGTGCACCAGTTCCTCCCACTTCCTCTTTTTGGTTTCTTCGACAGAGGCCGCAAGATCAGGGTCTGACTGCCGTAAGCGGTCCATAAAGAGGGCGTGTGGGTCGACAACGTTGTTCTTGAAACCAGAGACCTGATCAGGCTTGTGCCGCAGGAATTTGACTGTGGACCGAAGATGGGCTCGAGGGACGAAATTTTGAGTGATAGCGATGGCGGGACTGAGATTGACCACAAGATGCCACCATCCAGATGGGACATGCAAGACTTCTCCCTCTCGGCAGATGCCTTCTAGACAGCCAGGGGTGCTCCGCGCCTCGGCATGGAAAGTTAACAGCCACTCTCCAATGCTGAGAGGCGAGGTCACCTCGCTTTGATCTTCGCTCATATAGACACCCGGAGGGAGCACATCGCTAGGAAACATGATCCAATACTTCGAACCACGAATTATCGCATTCCAGGCACTGGTAGCATTGGGGTCCTTGTGAAAAGTACTTCCACTCCTTTCCGGTCCAATAATCAGCCATCGGTGATCTGGTCTTTGTTCTCTGAGCAACGTGAATAAATCGCTTTGGAAGGCATCCGGTGGGAGGTAGGCGCCGTCGGCATCCACTTTCAGGTTCATTTTCTCAACGAAGTCCCTGTCAAACAAGTATAGCGGGCTTTCGTCCTTTGTCGTGGCCATGTATGCCGCATATCTCTCGTAGGGCCAATCCACAGCCTCTGCACGAAAGGGGGTCTTCCCGTATCTGGCAAGCAGGAAATCCTGGTCCCATTCATTATAGACCTGCCACTTCTTTACGGGTTCTGTCAAAATGAAGGGCCTGTCCACCCATGCCCTGTCGAATTCGAAGGCAGACAAGTCATTCAGCCTCGGTATTTCGTTGCGTCTAGGTATGCCGCAGACATAGGGTTTGAGCGAGATCTGTGAACAGAGAAACGGTCGATGCAATGCATCAGAGTACAGGTGTCGGCAGTCCACACTCGCAAGCTGCGGTGTGGGAAGTCGTCTCACCGACGCTCTCCAACTCCCGCGCCACTCGAAGTCCTCCCTAGGGTCGTTGATTGCGAGATCTCGCCATAATTGATCGAACGTCGAGTACGCATATAGGCCGCGACAAGTACTGCCCAAAGAGACTAGGGATGGGTTGTCCAGGAATTCCAATAGCACCAAGAGTAGGCTGTCTGGTAGCTGACCAAAGAACCCCATATGTCTCTGAGCGTTCTCCGTCGAGGTCAGGGCATTTCCTGCCGGTCGCACTCCAAGAGGATGCTGGTCGGCCTCATCTTCCGAAGCCAATGAGTCCTCTAGAATCTGCGGTTGGTCCTTTGACACATCGTATTCAGCTGGAATTGGTGCGTCCGGGATTGTGTCCGGCTGTACAGTTATGGTAGAGATCATTCGTTGGTCCTGAGTCCAGGCGAGGCCAGACTTAGAGTCGAAGTGGTACACGAGAAGAGCCCGAATCTACCTAGGTAGCTGATCACAGATTACGCGAGAGCAATCCAGCATCGGCCAGAACAGTCCCTGGTTATTGTGATTCGAGGCTCAAAAATCCCTAGGACATTCGCCACTGTGGAAGATGGTGGACAAGGCTGGACTGAGTCGGGCAAAGCAGCCAAACACTTTGGGGTTCGGGTGGCTGTGGTCGCCCCTAGTGCATTTTGCCAAGGCAGTATTTAAGGCTGCGCAAAGTCTCAAGATCCAAAAAAAATTTGATCTTCGTCTATCACATACATTTCACAACCACAACTTCACACAACTTACTCTAGATCATCCGGATTCTCACAATCGAGAATCCTTTGACCTAGAAAGCAAGACAAAAGCAGTTTTTTCGACTTAGACGCCGCAGCAGCGCCTAAGTCTTTCTCACGCCACTCTCACCCCGCGCTTTCAGATCACAGGCGCAGTCGCCAGTGATCCCACGACTTCTCTCGCAATCATGGCGGACAAAGGTCTTGAGGAGGTCCCAGAAGGTACGTTACCATCAACCAAGCGTGATGCCGACGGGAGCGCCACCTGATGGCGTTCATGTCTGGCCGTTACCCCCTGATCTGACTGCGACGATGAACACGGGCTAACTTTTGTGACATTTAGGCCAAATCGAGTCCAACTACGATGAAGTCACCGACTCATTCGATGCGATGAACCTGAAGCCCGAGCTTCTACGAGGTATGTCAATTTCCCATGATGCTACCAAATGAGACGACCGGCGCTAATCAAATTTTTCAGGTGTCTACGCCTATGGTTTCGAACGACCATCCGCCATCCAGCAACGTGCCATCATGCCCGTTATCAAGGGTTCCGATGTTATCGCCCAAGCCCAGTCCGGTACTGGCAAGACCGCTACCTTCTCCATCTCTTGTCTTCAAAAGATCGATACCAACCTCAAGGCCTGCCAGGCTCTGATCCTTGCTCCTACCCGTGAGCTTGCTCAGCAGATTCAAAAGGTCGTTGTGGCTATCGGCGACTTCATGAACGTCGAATGCCACGCTTGCATTGGTGGCACCAATGTTCGGGAAGACATGAAGGCGCTTCAAGATGGCCCTCAGGTCGTTGTTGGAACTCCAGGCCGAGTCCAGGACATGATCCAGCGACGCGTGCTGAAGACCGACAACATGAAGATGTTCATCTTGGATGAAGCCGATGAAATGCTCTCTCGCGGTTTTACCGAGCAGATCTACGACATCTTCCAGCTCTTGCCTCAATCAACCCAGGTCGTCCTTCTCTCCGCCACTATGCCTCAAGACGTTCTCGAAGTCACCACTAAATTCATGCGCGACCCTGTCCGCATTCTCGTCAAGAAGGCCGAATTGACCCTGGAGGGTATCAAACAATTCTACATTGCTGTTGAGAAGGAGGAATGGAAGCTGGACACTCTTTCTGATCTCTACGAAACTGTCACCATCACTCAAGCCGTCATCTTCTGCAACACCCGAAGAAAGGTTGACTGGCTTACTGACAAGCTGACGGCTCGCGACTTCACTGTGTCAGCCATGCACGGTGACATGGAGCAAGCTCAGCGTGATGTCATCATGAAGGAGTTCCGTTCCGGCTCCTCTCGTGTTCTCATTGCCACCGACCTTCTGGCCCGTGGTATTGATGTCCAGCAAGTCTCCCTGGTCATCAACTACGATCTCCCAGCCAACCGTGAGAACTACATCCACCGTATCGGTCGTGGTGGACGTTTCGGCCGAAAGGGTGTTGCTATCAACTTCGTTACTGCCGATGATGTGCGCATGATGAGAGAAATTGAGCAATTCTACAGCACTCAGATCGAAGAGATGCCAATGAACGTTGCTGACCTCATCTAAACGGTTTTCTGGATCGCAGCAATTCGACCAAATGCATTCCCAGCATGTGGAAGGCGTTTTGTTGCTTGGTGGTTGTACGCGACTGCTTGAGAAAAGTGGGATGAAGCTTGCCTCCGACTGCTTGGCTCAATGTTGTCGCAGCACGAAAAAAGTCATGTAATTTTTTCCGACTTGTTAAATGGGATCATCAATATGCGATGTGCATACGAGCGCGATGATACCAGAATTGACGGCTTTTCGTCGCTGCTGGTGTGGATTTCGCCGGCGTTGGTTCTTTTTTCCTTGATATGCTAGCTGGCAATCGTTGGCTATCGTCTCTCAGACTTGCACAACAGAGTGCATGCACTTCATAGCATTTCTCATGTGACACGAAGGACGAGGACAATTGTTTCTGCGATAGACTGGTAGACAAATTGAGTAAATTGTCAAAAATTTCCTGTGTTTCTCGACGTTCGTTCTTGTGTCCTTTCCAAGGTGGTATTGTACCTCAGTTCCGTGCATTGGCTATTCTCCCACACGTCCAGAACATCTTCTTGATATCCACCGATTGAGCGTACTATCTCCCAAGCTTCACCGATGATGATATCTGATCGAAAAGCTACAGTCGGCTGTGCAGTCGATCTCCTCCGAGCCCACCAGTTGAGACGTGAGAATGCCCATCTTCACAGGCAGACGCAGGCGTACCACGACGAACTCATCTGCACCAGAGCCGAAGTGAAAGAGCTCAAGATCATTGTCCGAGGATATCAGGCCGATCGGGCAAGTTCACAATCTCTACGCAAACTGTACGAGGCAAGATCCGATGAGCAAGCCGCTCAGATCAGATGCCTACGTGGAGATCTGGAAATGCTCAAGGCAGAAACGGCGAAACACGAGGGTGAAGTAGCACGATACTGTGCGGACACCGTGCCAGAGAGAAGAATGCTAGAGGAAAGACTCTCCCGGATTGAGACCCTGTTTCAACATGCCGCAGAAGCCTCGAAATCTCATTTCCAGACCGTCGATGCTCGGCTCGAGGGACTCGAAACTGGCCTTCAGAGCAAAGCGGACGCTGCTCTCGTTGAACACATCCATCTCTTGACGGGCCCGATACAACCTCCTGACGCTTCACTGGATTCTGTGAGCCGCGTCAACAACAGCGTTGAGGGTAAGCACAGCGCTTGTCATGACATGGATGGGTGCAGTGGCTAACCCGTTACTCCAAGAGCATACAGGCATTCAGGTACACGATTCTCAGAGAACGTACCTCCCAGAGAGATCCGCGAATCCCGCCTTGAATCCCCATCATGACGCCGCTACGAAACCGGCAGTCCAATCCTCGATTCCCTCTGACCTGGATCTGGATGAAAATGTCAATACCGTCAGCTATGCCGGTCACCGAATTCTCAGCGTCGACGACAATGATTCGCTAAGTTTCTTGTCAGAGTGTCGAGCACCCGCAAATGAACTCACCAGAGCCAACAATCTCACGCAGGAGAAATTCGAAAGCTGGGAGCACTACTACTCCCGAGCCCACAGCCTGGTGCAAGCTTTGCCTGCTACTTTTGAAGAGATGGTCGTGCGAAGATTTGCCGATGGTCTATTCAAGACAGTGCAAAGAAAACAATGCCGGCAATGGCTGGAACTCAAAGGCTGGACTTGGGAAAATGTAGACTCGTTCGGAGACATCAGCTCACAGATTCCCGAGGCACCAAGTTCGACTCTTGCTCCGAGCGCCGAGATCTCGGCCAGGTACTCCAAGAAGATGGGACCGCTTCTGGAGAAGAAGAGATCGACGGCAAAGAGGGCTTCAAATGCTCCCGGCCGTGTTCCAACTGGAAACAATGACACTCGAATGATGCCACTGCGACGGAGCCAGCGGTTGATTGAGAAAGGCAACCGAACAGCGATGGAGGCCGCCGAGAAGCCAGCGAAGAGCGAGTCGCAAGTGCTGGGTGACAGTTATCGAAAAAACATGTCAATTTCAAGCTCGCAAAAGCGCAAAGCCCTGAAGGAGAAAGCATCGGGTCCAAAACAGGGTAGGGGTCATGAATCCACGAAGACAGGTCGTGCATCGGGAGGAAAAGACACAGGACATGCGAAGGCGATAGCGGGACACAACCCTGCAGTCACTCGAGCCCAGGGGATAGATGATGGGATGGAGGAAGCACAGTCGCCTGCGGGGTGTAAGGAGAATGAGAGAGTTGGGCAGAGATCATGCCAACAAGAACCAACCAAAGGTAATTCGAAGCAGCCTCGAGGTGGTATCAGTTGCGTCCCACGACTTGTACCGCAGAAAAGGGCACTCACAGGGGCTGCGAGCGAAAGTAGCGGTGACGAAGGGTACCTCTACGAACAGCGCATCAAGCACAACAATGCGCAGGAAATGCCTGTCACCAAGCATAGGCGTGTCGCCCATCGTCTTCCCTTGCCACCACCTCCAGAGATTCCGATCTTGTCAACCTCAAGCGAGGGCTGAAGAAGAGGCGTGCTCGCATATCAGGGAGACATGTATGAAAAGCTCCGGCCGGACTTCCTCAGAACAGACCATGGGTGGGTTTCAGAACGTTGGCTGTGTTTCAATCTAGATAGGGCAGACAGCTGCGCACAGCATGTCCAAAAACTTTTGCGCAAATCAATCGACAGCTTTAAAATGTGTTCTGAACGGGGAGGATCACGTCTCTTTGAACTCGTATGCTCCCTCGGTGGTGTCGTCTACCACTTGCACCTCGATTCTGGCCTCGACCACTTCCCTACCGTCTGCCTCTAGGCCACATTTAACAACATCGCCTCCGACCAGCGGGCCAACACCCTTCGGAGTGCCTGTGAGGATGATGTCGCCTTCTTCCAACGTCATGACCTTGCTGATGTCGCTCATCATCCTGGGGATATCGAACAGCATCAAGTTGGAATTGTCCTTTTGCTTGATGGTGCCGTTGACGCTGAGCCAAAGCACCACGTCATGCGGATTGGGTATCCGGTCAAAGGGAATCTCATGGCTTATGGGCAGAAACGTGTCGAAGCCTTTTGCGATGCTCCAGGGCAGACCCTTCTTCTTCGCCTCGTCTTGTACGTTTCGGGCGGTCAGATCGATACCGAGGAAATAGCTTTTGATATAACTCAGCATCTTGGAGTCCGAAGCTTGTAGGTTCTTCAGCCCCTCTGGGGAGGGAGTCTCTCCGATAACCAGGCCGAGTTCGACTTCATGATGCAAGTTGACCCCGCGAGGGCGAATGACTGGACCTTTGTTCGGCAGCAGGATGGAAGAGGGAGGCTTGAGGAAGAAGAAGGGCTGTGCTGGTCGGGCAGAGTTTAGCTCAGTGATGTGGTCGCTGCAAACATGTCAGCGTTCCCTGGTGAGTCCCATCGACGGCCATGGTTGCTGGAATGCATACGCATAGTTTCTGCCAATGCAAACCACCTTGCGGCAATTCGCCTTGATGGACGCCATCCTCGATATAGTTTATTGCTCGGGTGGAAAGAAAGGCTTCGGTGCTCGTGCAGATCTTGCAGCCGCTGTGTCCGTGTTCTGTTTTCCTGGTGAGGACGTATACTCGTGGTCCCAACGGTCGCTGCAACCTGCGATGAACCTCCAGCAATTGGTGGAGATGTGGAGAGTTGCATGCCATACAATATGGCTTTATTCGACGTCGGATACTTGTCCGGGGCTCTGCAAGCCTTTTCCCACCAATCACCATGAGTTCGACCTGCGGTTTCCATTCTACTGTATTACTGTACAGTATGTGCGAGAAGGTGTTGATGCTTCCTTTGCACCCTCGTGAGCAAAATGCACGCACTTACTTCTAGGTACTAACACTCTCGGGGGTCATCGTCGCGATGTTCTCGGTTCTTTACGGGTACACAGGACCAAGTTGAGCCCCGTCTTGTCCTGCTCTCGCCGCGGTTAGCCGTCCGAGGTCCTTGTTGCTGGCAGACTTGATTCATGCACTCAAATCAACAATTTGCAATTGCGTTGCGTTCTCGTCGGGGTGTGTTACAAATTCCACTGCGCGAAGATCCTATACTCAATATAGTCATCTCGGTTTTGCGTCGGCCATAGTGCGTCATTTTTTGCACTTTTGTTCTACGGTCGCGCTTTCGCGCTTTTCCTCAACGCGAGGTGTCCATCGGATCCTTTCTCCCGATGGTTACTATCCTTTGCTCTCAAGAGTCAAGCACCACTGGGTGAGTTGAACTGATACAACTTTGGCGATCAAAGAGAGAGATGCACGCGACCCTTTTGGGCCTAGACCAAGCCCTATGCACACGTTCCCAACAGACCGGAAACCTTACAGGCGGAGACGTCTATCTCGATGCCGCGAGATGCGCCAGGAACAGTCCATCTCTCACGTCCACAAATGACCTTCACGCAGGATGTATCGGTGGCGACTTCTATCATTCCCTTGTCTTGGTGCGAGTCTCGCCGTCGCACTATGTAAGGTACGAGCACGAGTAATAGACTGTGGTTACTCGTACAACACACTAATCGCGAAAGGGTTCAACCGTCTTCCCGCACAAATCGTCCGCTTTTTTTTCGAGCACTTTTATGGCCAGTTGTAGTGGTAGCTGGGGCCTTGACGCGAAACTTTCAAACGGCTGTCGTCGTTGATGACATATCATTTCCCAGGCACCGGAACCCATGGAGAATCCGCCATTCGATTGATGGTCCAATGACACAGGCAGAGGCGGATTCCTCCCTGTATGATAGATGCACCTGATCGTGCATTAGAATCTTGACATGTGCCCTGGTTTGATCGATCGTGCGCAATTCTGCGGCTTTCTTATATCGCTGAGCTCGTCTCATGCAAATCCCAGTTGGTTGCTCTCATAATAGAGAGCATTTTCAATCTCCAGCAGAGTTCCCATGTGTCTTCTGGACCGATCTCTGGTGAGACGGGGAGACGAGCGCGATGTGACCCCATCGGACACTCACCAAGGTTCGGCTGAGCGGCTACATTTAACCTTCGGAACGGCCTTTTGATGGCGATTGCACTCGTACTGAAATACTTTCCGACAGTACCGCAATGGCTCAAAGCTTGATCGTTACCTCGCTAACGGCTTTCCTGTCCTCAAAGGCTCTCGCGAGATTTTCCTGCTACCACGCGGTAAACTTGCGTCGTCCAGGAGGACAAAGTAGTCTTCGGGTCGTGGTGGGTGGCGCTTCTCTGGGCGCTTTGATCCGATTAGGCTGAACGATTTTCAAACTTCTTGATAATGTTTGGTGGACTTGACTCAAGCCCAGCAGGAAGTGCCAGTATCCCTAGCCGTGCCCATCTGCCTTGCGTGTGCAAGTGCATCCGCAAGTGCATCCGCAAAGGCTTCCGCAAAGGCTTACACAAATATTCAGGACCCTTTGCCACTCAGCCTGCGGCTGCGAGTACTGATCTTGAAAGGGAATAGCATGAGCTGGCCGTCAGTGCACCGTCGACTATGACAGCGATAGAAGCCGGTTCTGCTCGGCTCACAGCGGTGATGATGGCACTATCACCAAGTGTCTGCATCATGCCTACACCGAATATCTCTCAGTCGGCGACCTGTGCTTGGCCGGAATAGATATGGACGATGGATCTCTATATTCTGCCCGTAGGGCAGCGGTGAAGTGTTGCAAGAACATTTCTCACCTATCCAGTTTAGCCAGCGATTATCTGCAATGTCATCGTCGTCATCACGACGTGGACGAGCAAGGACTAGCAGTAACAGTACACCAGACTTGCTTTGGGTTAATAGGACTCCAGAATCGGAGACGCTGTCAGCGACACGACAAGAACGAGATGAGCTCCGGACAATCACCAGCCATGCCAGACACTGGCGGGCCGCTTTGCGTCGACAGCAGAGACTTTACAACGCACAGAACCAAGCAAGTCATGCACAAAGCGTTGTCGGCTGGGGAAGAACAGGCAATCTCTCAGAGACCAGCTCTGCAGAGACTTCGGCAGCACCTTCTCCTGTTCCCCTAACCACCACGGTTAGCACCACTCCCGACAACCCATTCCCATTCCTTGAAACGCCCGAGGATGCATGGTGGTCGCAGACAACCTTCGATAATGCCGTGAATGAGTGGCTGCCGTCCATCTTCCAGAATCTGCAAGCTCTGGACGATGGTGTGTCTCCGGAATCGATCACTGACACAATCACGCACATTGTCCAAGGCTGTCTTGCGAATCGAATGCATATGTACTGTCTCCTTGCGGCGAGCAGCGGCTTTTTCAAATTTGTGCTACACCTCCGATTAGACCGCAACGACGCTCCAGAATACTGCATGAGCAAGGCCCTTCAACACCTGCGGCACTATCTGTCGGGCCAGATCCAGCCCGGGCCACGAGCCGATCAAATGTTGGTCTTCGATCTGCTTGCTCTTTCCACCTTCGAGCGATATACCACGAGCTTTGAAGGTGCAAGGACGCATCTCAATATGGTCGCGAACCTCGTGCAGATGCTGGGCGGCATAGCCAATCTCGACGCGCCCATCCGAGCGCTGTATCGACTCTGGGACCTTCAGAGTGCTGGCGGTAGCGGGGATACGCCATTCATTGCGCTTGACTGGGATCCTGGGCTGTTACCGCGGGAGCAGATGCGTGACATTATCCTTCCAAGCCTGGCTAGGGGTGGTATCGTTCCCAGTGGAGTAGCGCTGGTGCAGTACGGGTTCAGATTTAGACCTGACATCCGGACATTGGTCATCGACGTGGTTCAGTGGTTTCAAGTTGTGCAGTACTGCCATGTGACCAATTTCTCGCAGTCTCCGATAGAGAGATGGTCCGCGCGAAGGGCCTATGCTCTTGCCCATCGACTTCTCTCGTTGCCGTCGAACGACCCAGAATCTCCTGGTGGAGCGAATATTTACGCTGAGGTTTCAAAACGTCTCAGCCAGGTCTTCTTGCTCGTGATAGCGGACATGGAGAGTACTAGAGCTGCAAGAACAGCCTCTTCAGGGCCGACAGCAGCTGTCTCGGATCCGTCGAGGTTCTCCTTCACAGATGTGAGTCGGCTCAGGGCCCATTGGGGTCAGGACGTCGAAGGAACTCGGCAGGAGGATGTCCAGGACGAGGAGCTCAGGTTCTGGATGGCTTGCCTGGGTGTACAACTGGCACAACGAGAGGAAGACCACCAGTGGTTCGTTGGGGTTGCCAGACCCATGGCTCAACGGCTGGGTATAAGGACAACCGATCACCTTGCGCAGTTCATGTCGAGGTACGTGCATCGTTGTACGGCGACAGGCATGCCAAAGATCGATGGACTCGAGCCTTTGATCGAATGAGGAGAGTTTCAGTCGACTGAAAGGGGGTTTTATGTCTCCCACACCCCATTACAGGTTTGATGACAAGGTAATTGATGGCCAACCCCACAAATCCAATATCAGTTCAGTGTATATCTGCGACGTTACCCAGTCATTCTAATGAAAGTCCCTATTGAGACCATGCACAGGTGACCAGAGTGGTGACCCCTACTTTGTTCTGGAGGGGATTTTTGAGAACTTGTCCATTCTGATGATTAAGAGAGGGGAATGACGGGGTCGAAGGAGACTTGTATTGATATTTACGGTAGATCTTTTGAGGTTTGCGACTGGAGTTACTGAGTTACTGGAGAGGGGGAAGCTTTCACAGTTTTCACGTTGATACCCTCATGAATGTTTGATGTAGTATTAGGTACACACATACACATACACGCACGGACACGCACTCATACAGTGATAGACACACACCTTGTTCCTGGTACACTCGTTGACGGCTCATACACCTATACACTCATGCATGACCACGCTCACACACACGGTCCTGTAGGGCCATCGTATCCCACCGGGGGGCTCGAGGATCGCCGGGCATCGTCAATTTTTCTCCGCTGTACATGTCATCAACGTCAACAATATAATGTATATATACATATACCTTTGTCACCAGGTAGCTATGGATGACTGATATCGTACTAATAGTGCGAATTGAGTGAGGTTCGGGGAGGCCATGGCATCGTGCGTCAAAGATATGTACATACTAGTTAGTTACCGATGGGTGAATGCTGACTCAGGGACTGCTGCATGTTCCCGGACTACGGAGCATGTACTCGTAACATTCCCACCGTGACTCCCGTCGAGTCGGTGACGACAAGGAGATTGTCCGGACTTCCGTCAAAGCCATACCTGGTACTTTACGTACATACCTTTATGGTAGAAAGCCTTGACGGTGCTTGACTCGAGATTTGTACTATTAATTGACACATGGGGCACAGTCCCTCAGAGAGGAGAAACTCTCGGTTTATGCATGGTATGTATATGCTTATGTATTCATTATATGTCAAAATCCATGCATAGCATCAATCTATGCTCTCGTCCATGCACCAACAGCTCTATCTTTTTTGCACGGTTCACGGTCATCTTTCTTTTCAAGCGTATTGTCCATCCGTACATGTTCTATTACCCGCGCACACGGGGAATTCTCCCAACGCCAAGAAACACGTCTTACCAAACACACAGGTATTCGGCACTCGCCTCAGGTCGCATCGTCAACAACTGACAGTCAGTTGTACAATGACGATATTCCTGACAGCAGGGATGAAGTTTGTCTTGCGCGTCCACTTGCAATATGGTGTGCCCAACAGGAACGGCGAGCACCAGGACAGGCGAAGACGGAAGGTCGGTTTCTGCGCATAGAGAATCTTCTCGAAACTCGCGAGAAAGTCGTCGTCCGTCAGCTTTGAGATATTGGCAGAGATCAAGCTTTTCTTGTGCCAATCTCCGGTGACATCAGGAGTGCTCAATTTGTCGGTCCTGACCAGAAGAATTTGTCTCCGGTGCCATCACTCTCTAGAGTTTCAAACATCGAATAGTCGAGGAGGATCAACAGAATCGCTGATGAAGCTCAAGGGACATCGGCTAATGCGACAGCTACGGCGGCCCCAAATATTGCTGCTTCATCCGTTGCCCGGAGTACAATCTCTTCGGCGACAGACCCCCGCCCTTCTTCTGACAGCATCCCTCGGAGAAAGTCTTCACACCTACCCTTAAACCCTGGGTATTTGAGGATAACACTCCCATTACACGCAATCGAGGTTCTCGGAACGCCTGATGCTGATTTGGGCTTGATATCTGCATCCTTCTGCAAGGCCCACAACGCGTGAACTGCCACAGATATGTATGCAGACGCGCGGTATGAGATTGACTCCGCGGCAGCTCGCAAGAATGCAACTTCTTTGGTAGTTGGAGGACTCAACAACTCCAGAGCCTTTTGAATGGCCCGGATAGAATCTTCTGCGTCCTCTGACTTATCCATTTCAAGCCTGGCCAGTATCTCGGTGTCCAGGGAGTACGGCTCATTCAAAGTACGAGGTACGGTACCATCAAACAGTTCACCTGTTTTAACGGCCTCGAGGATGATTAATCTGAGAAGCTCACCGAGATAGCGACCGGTGGTCATGTATTCCAAAGGTTGAAAATCAGGGTGCTGATGTTGTTGGTTCAATACTTCATCCCATCGAGTCTCGGGAAGTATCGACTTCCCAAACATGGATATTTCGGTGTTGGTGATGACCTTGTCTGCCTTTTGAAACCACGCCGAATCTCGTACTCCGAATTTGGATCTTCCCATACACGCCACAGGAAGGAATGCCGCCGCGTTCGTGCCGGTACCAAGAATCAACCCCATCGAAGTGGCAGGCTCGATGTAAGCCTGAGAAAGTAGCGTGGCGGAAGAATCGTTGATGATTGCATTGACATGGACATTGACTTGCTGGCGGGAGCATGCGGACTCGATCAATCCCGCCAGATCCATACCAATGGTGTCTTCGTGACAGGCGAACCCCTTGCCCATACCCTGCATCTTTCCACTTCGGTGACTTGTTTGTTCAATGGGGAAGCTCCATGCCAGGCCTAGTGACACAGGTTCAACGGGCGACCAATCTCCTGGGTGTGCTTGTAGAATGTCTCGAATCCTACCAGCAATCCAATCAAAGAATTGTGTGGAAGGCAGCCTTCGTATCGGTTCGTCAATTTTGAAAGCGCTCATATGCTTGACAGTCATGGGAGACTGCTGCCCGCCTCTTCCACATAGCTCGACCATAGCCACCCGAAACGTAGAACCACCCACATCCAGGGCCACATACGTCCCCTTCTCTTGACCGGTCGGTAAGGTGTGGCAGAAGGAGGGTAGCATGCAGGCTTCGCTGTCTTGCAATTTCGCCTTGTATTGGATGCGCAGAGCAGACGACATGGACAGCATTCGTCGCATCGTGCATGGTTGTCTGAATAGGCGCATGATCTCGTCCTTTAAAGAGTCGAGGGTGTATGGTTCGGCCCTGGTCTCGACCACCGTGACTTTGGTCGATGAAGACTTTGGTGACACTGCCATGGTCTTGAGGGTGGAGGGAAAGAGGAGCATCGCAGCCAAATGCCGCAGAATGCTGCGGAAGAAGTCGAGGAGGGTCATGGCTGAGTGAGGACAAGGACAATGATGGGATCAGAATGATCGTGGTGCAAGAGCACAAAGAACTGGCACCATGTTGAAGGGGATTGTTTGAGCAACAAGGCACCCCTAACAAAGGAAATGAGATGTCACGAGCAACACAGAGTAAGTGAGGGCCGCAGTGACATGCCAGTCAAGCGTGTGATGAGTGGCAGAAGGAGTAGTAGAGGATGGAGTGGCAGTAGCATGGCATGGGTAAACAGATATTTCCCAGTATGCCACACAACCAACGACGGGCCACTGAGGTAGCTGGATAGTGTAGATTTCGAGTGCAACTACAACAGAAAGGAAGCCAGCATCCTGTACGGCGTACTGTAGGCAGGGAATGTTGCGATGGAGTGGACTACGGTGACAGCGGATGAAGAGATGTGGAGGAGATGATGTGCTGGGACGAGGCGCGATGGGAGGACGGAATACGAGGTGCTAGTGATCTTTGGTTAGAGCTCGAGCCTCTGGATGCCTTGGAACGAGGCTACTGGCGATGCTATTGTATTAGGTGAGGTAGCACCTATAGGCACCTAGACCAGCCCCTATAGGCCGAGGGGTAGTCAGCAGTACGAGTGAGCCGCTGGGTGGTTGTGGGCGCAGGCGCTGGGCGCAGGCCCGTACTCGTATAGGGTCGGAGGTCGGCGCCATGCACCGATGGAGAATCTGGCGGCCAGTGTCACTTTGTAGAGTCGCGAAATACCGTTACATCAACCAGTCTCGCCTCAGCCATCGACTCAATGATCGTCCCTCGTCCATGTAACTCGTCAGATTTGCCAACACTCTGTTGAGTATCATTGACGATTCTGGATGTCTCCTGGGCCCTGGCAATGTCCCATCGCGGCCCTCGCACCCGGCCCATCCCATTCTCTTGTCGCCTTCGCAGACTCGCCTTTGCCCCAGTGCCTGTGTACTTCCACGGAAGTCCAGGGAGGACCACCGATTTATGGCATTTTCCTCTCAAGATGCCTGGCTGTGTGACATAGAGACAGACTGCGAGACCGTCAGAGAATGGTAGCCAGACACCATCGCCTCCGAACTCTATCATCGCATCGTTGCTTGCTCCCTGCAGGCCACACGACTCCTGCCATCTTTGGCGAGTAGCAGGTAGAGAGCACCCAATCGACCATGACCGGGGGACGAAAACCTTGCTCAGCTTTCCGAAACATCAGTTGTTACTCTTTCTCGCCATATCCGTCTCCCTACCTCTGCTGGTAAGTCCTCAACGTTGACACAGCTCTGGACCCCCTTGGTGACTCTGCGCCGTGATCATCATCGCCGAGGCCAGCATCCTTGTCCGTTGTCGATGGTGAGGCGATTTCATGGAGATAAAGCATGAGGCAGCGACCTACCATTGATTGATGCTCTTCGGGCTTCGCAAACTTCCTCAGCAAACAACGCATTGCCACAATGGTCGGTGGAGTAGAGGAAATGCTCCCCGAGGACTTCAGGACTATACGTGGTCTTCACCCGCTCCAACTTTGAAAGTGAAAACCTCAAGCAAAATCCGGCCATGCTGCTAGCTGGCACCTAGAAATATCCGGGTCTACCGTGCAGAATAGAAACCTGTCTTGGTTTCGACAACGAGCTCTCTTACAGCCAATTGGCCCAACACGCCGTACGCTAATCAATGTGCAGATACAATACTAAAGCCCCGGCAATGTTGTACATTGGTTCGCAGGGGAGAGAGTCAAGGGTCATAATGATGTTCCAAAACTTCGCAAGTTTTCGAGGACCTGCCGACTCCGCTAGGTCGTTCGTCGCCGTATACTCGTACTGGGCCAGGAGAGAACATTGAAATCCTCACCCACCGTGGCTCCTCCCTCGTCGATTCGTTGTCTTGTCCTGGCGGTGAATCCCTGCCCAGGATGGCATGCGAAGACGGCTGTAATCTAGCACTGCATATCGTTCAAATGCTGATCTTGTCTCTCGATCTGCGGCTAGATTTTGAATCGCGGCCGCCTTTGGTGCGACAGGGAACTTCACGCCTTTGCAAACCGTCAAACCCTGCTGCTTGACCGCCAGTTTCAATCCTTCCGCGGTCTGGCCACGAACAATGCGGAAAAGTCAACCAGCGGCCGTGTTGCTGGCTCTGGACATAATCTGAAAATTGCATCACGTTTCCATGAGGCACACCCGCGCGTGGAAATTAATCGATCCACCAGGATCATTTTCTCTGCTCCTGCTGCATGCGCAACATACCCGATGGATCGAGGATTGGACGTTGAATCCTGCGCCCCGGCTAATCGGAAATGCGTCTGAGATTAGGGAAACCCGGATGGCTTTTCCCGCCTACGCAGCTGGCTCCGGCAAATGGCGAATCCCTGCACGACTGTTGAACTACTGCAATAAACACAAACTAAAAGCAAGCCCCGGAGCGCCCCAACAAGGCTCTTGGATCTGGCTGCCTGACAAGTCCTTCACTAAACTGTCCGACCTCGCGTCTGCTCGCTTAAGAACACACGGTTGATGATCTGGTCTGGTTTGGCCACTAAGCTCGCGCGAATACAATTGACATAGCCGAACATACAGCACGGAATACTCGATCAGGGCAGAAACATCTGCAGCGTAACGAACAATGAGGTTCGGCTGAAATCTTAGTCGATTCCCGGCACCCTGTATGGTGACTTCTTCCGGCGAACCGTGCGTTTGTCTCAGACTTGTTCTAGTGCACGTTGAGAAGCTACAATAGGCTGAAGACCGTTTTCGACACGGCTATTCTCAGCGCCAAAAACGTGAGACACCGCGGGTCACGCATTTTATGAGGATATCGAAAAAGACCTGATGAATCAAGCCATGCAAGTCTGCTTATGCATGTGTTTGTTTGTTGTGGATGATTTTCTGCGTTGGTTGTCAAGGGCGCACCAATTCCTTCTCCCAGGTACGGCTTCTCTAGCTGCCGCAAGTCTTTCGAGCTGCTCCAGTCGGAGCCACCTCAGCCTAGCGAGCCTTGGTTGAGTTTTGGGTATGACAGTCCAAGGACCTCGTGGGGTCGAATACAACCACCAACCACCATCCTCACCGGTAGTCTGCTTCTTCTCGTCCCAGGCCGGCAGGCCACGGTCCCCTGCTCGTTTCTGGAGTCTCTTCCTTGTCGCATGGTTTGACGTGCCGAATCTGCGCATCCCCCAGCTGAAGTCATGACAGTTTTGCTTCCTCTGTCGTAACTCAGCAGTCTTCTCTATCCTCACCAGCCATATCATGGCCTACAATGCTCTGCATTTTCCTCCTCGCCTCTTTCATTTTCTTCTAGAACTTGGTCGGTCTGAGGCTCGTACCGTATCGCAGAGTGAGCTTACAGCACCTTTACGTACGACAGCCCTAGATCTACTTATCAACCACGTCAACTTCCCTTGACAGTTCCGCTGTCACCAATGCCCCTCCCGTGCTCATGCGATCGGGTCAATGCTTACGCTTAAAACCTCATATACTATAGTCCTGTCCACGATATGGAGTCGCGAATCCGCAAGTTATTTCATTCTCGAAGACCGAAGTCTCATCAGCAGGTCGACAGGTCCGAACTAGATTTAAACAGCATCCCTTACACTACAGTGACGTCCCAGAGTCGACTCCCAGTCATCATTAACAACGCTTTACGAAGGCCGTCCCACGGAAAACGTCAGCTCTACCTTCCAACGGATCTTCGCTCTTTCTCGTATCAGTCAACCTTGCCGGGCAAGCCGCCTCAACTGGGAGAGCGACCTCAACGAGGTAATGGACCGGTGAAATTCCAGACAAGCCGTCGACTGAGTTCCGGCGAGATTCTCGTCACCCAAAATGATTACGACCGAACACTAGAGGACATTCGACAAGGCGAGATCATCCTCGCCGGCAAAGAGCGAAAGAATGCCCGCGCATTATCTCAGCCGGCAGGGTCAATGCCGCGACCTAACCTAGCAATGCTCTCAACTGCTCCCAACTCACCACGAGCGCAGTCGTCTTTCAGTCCAGTGCACCAATTGGCGGACGATTTACTCCCAAAAAGCCATTATCCACGATCGTCCACAACGCCCTCGAATGCGATGCACGAGCGTCAATGGTCGGGTGAAGATTCTTATCTCTCTTCTGGGTCTGGCTCTACAGCTGTGGGCCTCGGCATATCTAGCCCAACCCACCCAATCTTTCCACATCACATGGCTTCGAGCACATCCCTACTCGAGCCTCACGAAGAAAGCAATCCCACTCTGCAGGCCTTGTGGAAGGCGGAGCACACTCGCCTTACTTCCATGTATGGCGAAGATGGCGTCGATGCATCTCCATTATCGGCTGTGGTACTGCAGCAGGGTCCATTCCCTCAGCAAGACTTAGGGAGAGCTTGGCCTTCTCTGAGAAGTCACCGGTCGACGTCGAACTTCGAGCTTGGGTATGGGGATGACAATTCCGAAGGCTCGTCTCGTAATCGACATTCTTTCCTCTCCAATAGCGGAGGATCTTCTTCTTTCACCACCCAGGGCAGCGTGGTCGGCGAGTCTCCGATGATTAGAGATGACGTCCGAAGAATAGTCGATGATATGCGTATGACTTACATACAGGCCCTTGAGGCTGAAGTACCTCCGCCGTTAGGGAGACTTCCCGATTTACCCATTGCACAATCTGCACAATTTGGAGCCAGAAAGAAAACCCAATCGCTTGCTTCATCGACCTCGGTTGAAAGTGGCCTAAGGTCTATGGCCTGTCGAAAAAAGACCACATCTTGGCAAGCGCCCTCGACGCATTACCCTAGTCGAAGGACGTCAGGACTCTCACCATCCATCAGACCGCAAAGGAAAAGGGGCAGCTCTGTCCACACTCGCAAGACGTCGGCCCAGCATGTTGCTGGTATCACTACATTGTCACCGGTCAAAGCAAGCCCAGCACGTTCGAAACCCATCGACGCCAACACGAATATCTCTACTGGATTGAAGCGAGCCGATTCCACTACCCTGGGCTCTTTGGAGAAGGAGCTCAAGATCCTCGACAATCGTTCGTTCAGTACATCATCCCATCCCACACCTTCCTTCTCGCCTACATTCTACGACTTCTCAAGCTCAGAATCCATCACCGAAACCCACCAGAACAGTCCTTCAGTGGCAGTGACACCTCTAACTCCTCCGGCGACTATCACGCCGAATACACCTAAACTAAGACTCGGGAGTTTGGATGCATCTAGTACTGATTCCTCCTGGCAAGAACAATCTGACTCATTCTTTGCAGATGCAGACATCGATCTTGCGCTTGACTTGGATAACTTTGAGTCGCTCTGTGATGAATTCTTTAATTCCTCAACAATCTCGAGCCATCAATTCAGCAATATGTCTCGTCAGGCCGAGGATTGGAGAACGAGAGGCAGTTTTAATGTTGGCACTCCTATTCAGAGCCTGCATTCGAATGAGGTCAACTCACCTCTTACCTGTTACAGTCCATCGATGAACACCACTCCCCCGGGGATGTTTTAGGGCATGAGGGAGTCCTTTGCCTAGGGGCCACCAATCCCCATTCTGTGCTACTAGTATATTTTCTTTCCTCTTGGGTTTACGACTATTGATGCCATGACTATTAAATTGGCGATGCTATCGTGTTCCTCAGCTCAAGCTGAGATAAGCCATGTTAGAGGCTCTTCTTGTTGTTTTTCACGACTTTCGATATTCTTTTCCGACGATCTCAGTCGATGTTATGATGCTATGAATTGTTTGGCTCTAAAAATTTTTCGGATCAGGCTATTGTACACTCTGCTACCAGACCTTGGGAAGGGTTTCAGCCGGACTATGAGAGAAGAATCCTGATGGCTACTCGCTGGCAAAGACCAGAACTTGGGTCCCATTTTGTGACGAAGTTGAAGATTTCTACGAAGATGACTGGGGACATGTACTCCATATGTATACTTTGCGACTTTTGCAAGGCAAAGAACATTGAACAAACCATATTCAGATGATTTAAACCTGATAAACACGGCGATTTGATCATGGAGCGAGGTGCAGTGACATCCAATCAAGAATGCTTCTGACAGTCAGTACAGGATTTAACCGTGTCTTTACCGTGGGGATTTCGACTCCTTGGGTGGCTCGTCCAACATTCTCTGTTTCCAATGTCAGAATTAAAGGCAGTCTGAATGTCAGATGCCCACCAACGACAAGCCCACCGAAGACTGTTTTGATTGTGTCAACTTCTCTAGTATTGAGCCAAAGACGATCTAGACTCCTTTACGGAGTTGCATTTGCCATGCTTCTGCCGCTATTATTGTCGCAAAAGCAGGGGAAGATGCGAGTTCCCCGTGCTTCGTCCCCAGGTTCCCCACGATCCATGTTTCGCTACGTGGAGGCACTAGAGATCCCAGGTACCGTACTGTTACCTGACTTATCACCTCGATGGCGAATCCTGGGTGGCGACTCTAAGGAGCTAATCGTTGGTATGGTACAGGTGCGTAAGGGTACAAATCAGTTACCTGCTGTGCTCCGTGGCACCCTCGAGTCATCGGCAACCACTGCGCTCTAACCTGGGGAGGTCTCCTATTCGTACCGGACCAGAAGACAGTTGGAGATAGAGTTCTAGCATATACCGAGCTTTGTGACCGCAAGAAGTAGGCTCGTACGTGTGGCTCGGCTCAGCAGTGGGTGCTGGTACAGGTGCGTATGTATGTATATAAGAAGGCCTGTTGGCTTCCATCGTTCCCCTTGAATCTGACTACCTTGCCTCTACCCTTCATTTTTCTTACCCTTGCTCTGTCTCAGGTCGTAGTCATATACTGCGCACTTGAGTTTTATGCCACTTACTCGAAGACAATTGCCGACACATTCAAACTAATACGACTACTTCTTCTCTTGTGGTCGGCAGCCCTGCAAGACCAAAGCGAAAGAATGGCAAAATTGACAAACTACAACATCCTCATCTCCCTCGTCGTCTCCTGGGGCGGGTACGCATATGGCTTTGGCTTCGCCATCTTCGTCACGAGTATCGGGCAGCCAGGCTTCTATGAATACTTCGACCTCGACCCTACCAGTGATTACTGTGCCAACATCCTGGGTGCCATCAATGCTCTCTTCAACTTCGGCCTCGCCGTCGGCGCGCTCGCACAGGGGTACCTCGCAGACGTGATTGGACGGAAGAAGGCCTTTTACATCGCTGGCGCGTCTGCGTTGGCCGGTGCCATCCTTGTGACGGCGTCAGTCAAGCTCGCCATGCTCATCACCGTCCGCCTTCTCCATGGGTTCGGGCTGGGCATGTTGATCTGTCTTGTCCCGTTGTACTTGACTGAAGTCGCGCCTCCGCATCGACGGGGCTTGCTATCAGGGTTGACAACGATGAGTTTTGGCATGGGATACTTCACGTGAGTTTGTACAACATCTCTCACAACCATTGTCACATCTTCTTTATGCGGGACTGAATGACTGACTCTGCGTTTACATGTAGATGCGCCTGGATCTCTGTGGGCTGCTACTTCGCCACAAACAGTACGGTGCAATGGCGAATGCCGTTAGCTCTGGCGTGTATTGGCCCTTTGGCACTTTTGATAGGATTGCCATTCATCCCTGGTAGGTTACCACGTGTGGACCAATCTCTCCTCGGCGATTGAAAAGATGAGAAAACAAAGAGCGAGAGCGAAAGAAGACTGAATCTTCAGCTGACACATTGCATGACTCGAACCTCAAAAACAGAATCACCACGCTTCCTCACACTGGTCGGAAAGACAGACGAGGCATGGGAGGTTTTGAAAAAGATCCATCATGATCCGTCCGACGCAGACGACTCTTCTGCCCGTGCCGAGTTTACTCAGATTGTACGACAGGTCGAGTTTGACAAGTCAATGAAGTCAGGATACATTGAGATGTTCCGAAAGCCTTCGTGGAGAAAGAGGAGTCTTCTCGCGTTATTCATACAGTACGTGTAGTTAGTCCGACCCTTGGCTCGTCGGCGTCCACGCGAGGCTCACGATACCTCTACCAGTTCCATATGCTGACGGTATACAATAGGTTCGCGGCACAGTCTACCGGTGTATGCCTGGTGTTCGAGAAGTCGAGAGAGCCATAAGCTGATACCATGTGTTAACAGATCCTCGGTATATCCAACTATCTTGTCTTGATCTTTGGAAGTCTAGGCATGACGGGCGTGATGCCTCTTGTCATCTATGGTGAGATTGGTGACCGTCTAGTGAGACGCTGCGTCCTGACTGACACCCTCTATCAATTAGCACTGTACACCTCCGTGGGCACATTCTTTGTCTTTGTCGCCATATACACCGTTGACCGCGTCGGTCGACGAACCATGTTCCGTGAGTGTTTTGCCCTCACTATTCTAGTCGCTACATCTCTATCCTGACTTCTTTTCTTTTCCTCCCAATGATGACAAAAGGTGTTCTCGGATCATTGTTTGTCCCCTCTTCCTCCACTCCCTTCTTGCTTCCGACATACAACCTGAAAGTGAAATGTTCCACTGACACGAAGGGCCATTGCAGTGATCGGATTTCCTCTTCTCGCGCTATGCCTACTCCTGGAAGCGGTCCTGCAATCACAGTACCTGGGCAGCGACCACAAGGCGGGTCTCGGTGCTTGCGTGGCCATCATATACGTGTACATCGTCGTCTTCCAGACCGTCGACGGACCGAGTTTTATCTGGATGAGCGAGATCTTCCCCACGACGATCCGAGCCAAGGGTATCTCCTTGGGCTTCTTCTCCTATTTTGTCGGGGCAATTACATACACAACACCTGCCCCGTTGGCTTTTAAGAACATGTAAGGCGTCAGATTCCTGCGGATTCTCCTCCCTCTCTCTCACTCCCTGTCTGTTGCTTTTGTGGCTTTCCTTCTTCGCACGCTATCCCGCAGTTTTCTTTCAACAAGGTCATATAACGCATGTATGCTGACGTCTTTTGCGTTTCGCTTAGCAAATACAACATGTACTTCTTGTACATGGGCCTCTGCCTTGTATCCACGGCCGTCGTGTACTTTTACTGTCCCGAGACGAAACAGATCCCGGTTGAAGAGATTGGAGCTTTGTTCGGCGACGAAGTCATCGTTCATCTGACGGCTGATGGTCATGGGATCGTCGAACAGGAAGAGATGGTCAAGGTGGAACAACGCGCGACACACGCGGAAAATGTGTGAAGACGGACCATGTGTGTGCTTGTATCGAAAGGTGTTCAAGGAAGTGTCGTGAACGGCTGTGGTGGTGGTAGTGGGTGTGTTATGCTCGATGAAGTGCTTACCTTACATGTAGGTAGTCAGGTATATCTCCCGCCCGGGGGCGGGGGGGGTCGGGGGGGGCGGGTAGGGGTTGCTTAAGTACCTAGGTATAGTTGACTAAGTCATTACCATTACCATGGCTAGTAAGTACCTATATCTTGAAAGATAGCACCGAAATGAGGACTGCAGGATGGAAAATAAAATGGGAACTAGGTATGATGAGAGTGTCTTGATGTATCGAGGTCTGAGGAGTACCTACTTTTGCCCTTTTCTCCCCGTAGACACCTCTTTGTACAAGCCATCTTGCAAGTGTAAGGTATGTATTCGATCTAACATTTCAGCAGGGACATGTAACAGAGCTCCTTATGGTATGCAATGCACCCCGCTAACGAATTGGAAATTCCTGTCTACAGACAGACTGTACACCAGTCTGTTCCACCACCACCACCACCCTCTTATGCCCGGTGAAATCTGAAAGTCGGCCCTCTAATAAGGATCCTCTTTACCCTCGTGCGTGAGGTTCTTGCCCGATGCCGTCTCTCGAGTTGCGGCGTCGATCTAAGGAACCCAAACATCAAACGTATACGCGTCAGCAAACTCATTCTCGCTTCACCATCGGGCCGTACGTAGACAGTATGGGCCCCCCTTTGCCATGACGGAGGGGGTTAGAAGATCAGTGCCACTCACCACCTTGGTCATCCCACCGATGCTCTCTTCGAGGGTAATCAGGACGTCGCGACCCATTCCGAAGAAGTCTGCTCCGGCTTTGCCCATGTCCGTGTCTACGAAGCTGTACCGCAGAAACACAAGAGATGAAAAAGAATCAGCACAACCACTCAGTCATCTCTTTCTCTTTGCGTGAATAAGTAGGCGCAAATGCCTTCGCACTGCTACTCTTGCCTTTGGGGTCGGTGGTGGTTCAAAACATCCCAAGTCAGAAGATTTCAACTTTCACCGCCAGGTCCAAGTAACGTGAACAAATAAATGGGGGGAAACGATAACCAGAAAGAAAAACTCACCCGGGCGAAAGAGGGAACGCGATAATGTCAGGATGTTCCAGGTGGATTTTCTTGGTGATCCAATTCAGGCCTGCTTTCGAAGGGCCGTACGCCGCATTGGGCACCGGCGCGTTCTCCTGGGCGGCGATGGATCCGGCGATGGAGCCCACCGTGACGAACTTGGGTGACTTGGCCGACGCCTTGAGGAGCGGCAGCACCGCTTGGAACAGCAGCGTGACCCCTACGACGTTCACGCGGTAGTGTTCGAGCATGTCGGACGGTCTGGCCTCGGCGACGGGCGGCCAGATGGCGCTGATGCCGGCGTTGGCGACGACCACGTCCAGGCTGGTGACGCCGTGTTTGGATCCCAGTTCCGCCACGGCGTCCTGGGCGTCGGTCTCGGAGAGGCTGTCGATCTTGGCGACGATGAGAGAACTCGAGGCCTCTTTGGGCAGTTCCTGGAGCGAGAGGCTCGTGGGGTGCGTCGGGTTTCGCACCCCGGCTATCACGATGGTGTCTGGGCGCGAGAGATATGCGGCGACGAGTCCTTTGCCGATGCCTGCACAGTACGTGAGCTTCCGAGACCTTCAAGCACCATGTGTGATGGGGATAATGAAACTATCCTCACCTCGATTTCCACCTGTGATCAGGTATGTGGTCTTGGTGGTTGTAGCCATCTTGAACCTGGGCGTCGTTTGAGAAGATGGAATAGTAGGTCTTCGACGAGAACTTTGATTCTTGAATTGCCTATCACATCGCTTCCAAAGCGGACAATAAATACTCTAACTTATGGTCTGGTGCTCGAGCAAATACATTATCAAGCAATATCAGTGATTGCATCCAAGACATCAAGGACTAACGCGAGGTCAGGCACAGAACTTGGATGTTCGGCCGTTTCGTCCGTCCCACTCTCGACTCCGGTCTAATGTCAGAATATAGGAGGACATAAATGTCAGAACCAATGAGAACGTGTTCCTGGTGGTCTGCAAGGTCAGAAATCTCCTCCGTATGTTCTGCACTGTCAGAATCCGCTCCACCGTAGAGCCTTGGGACGGGATATGCGCATTGTTGTTGATTGAGGCGTCCCGACTCTTAACTGGGTCTGACTTGACGTTGATTTCTCAGCTTTTATCAAGAAGTTCCTCAGCCAGGCAGGGCGAGCTTGTATCGGAAACACCTTTGTCCTTTGTGGTGCTCGTTGAAAAACGCATCATGTTCGATGCTCGATCCATGGAGAGTGGCAGCTCGTCTTTTCTTCAGCTGTGCTCTCAGGCCCCAGACCCGATAATTCTTGACCAATGTTCAATCCTTACTTCCGTATTTCTCGCGGTAGATCTTCATCTGCTCAAGTTGTTCAGGGCCAGCACCTTGTAGCTGTCCAGCCTCAATAGCCTCAATCAAGTCTTCGAACTTCAGCACGGCGCGAACTGGAATGCCCAGCTCATCCTCTGCGACTTTCATGGCGCTCCTTGGTTCACTATCACTCACCCTCTCTTGTCTGGTCAACAGAAGAACTACTCCGACAACGATCCCGCCCTGTGCCTTGATGATTGATACCGCTTCTCGCATCGCAGTTCCCGCTGTCATGACATCGTCGAGAATCACCACGCGCTTGCCGTTGAGTGGTGCGCCCACGATTGTGCCGCCTTCCCCGTGATCTTTGGCTTCTTTTCTGTTGAACGCATAGGACACTCCTGCAAACTGCTTTCCACTGAATTCGAGTTCCCGTGTCACGACGGCACTCAGAGGAATGCCTTTGTACGCAGGGCCGAATAGAATGTCAAACTGAGGAGACAACGGGACCTCTGCTTCTGAGCCGGCTTCATCTTTTCCGAGTGGGAGGGAGAACGGAGGAGAGGTCAATACTGAGGCGTAGGAACGGGCGAGCGCACCCAGCAGGGTAGATGTGTGCAAGAGTGAGGATGTGAAGAAATAAGGTGATACTCTGCCGGATTTGAGGGTATATGTGCCGAATGACAAGACCGAAGCCTCGAGAAGCAGAGGCAAAAGAGTAGTTTTATACGATTCGGTCGCCATAGCTGTTGCGCATGAGTTTACCGAGACTTGTGGTGCTGGTTCTCTTCCCTCGTGTATCGAGGGGCCATACGGAGTACAAAAGTCAAGCATGTACGTGTCTTGGCGGCTCAAGGGGAGGTTCGGCGACGCGAGCTCACGCCGCTTTAAACATTACATACTCACCTGCCCTTACCTCTCAGTGCTTCAACTCACCTTTCGTTCACTCACTCTCACTCACCTTCTCTCACCCACCCTCGCTCGACCCCCTAGATGGCTATCTCATTTTACCGCCTCTCTAAACGAGCGGATATGTATGCCCAACGTCATTCAAGCCGAGGAGCCGCCGTTGCGAATTGTTTATTAGCCTCCGGAGCCGCTACTCTCGACATGCTCGAAGTCATCGACCAGATAGACTGCCCCATCCTTGCTTGCCCTTCTACCCCAGAGTTTTCCTCCTCCCTCCGCATGTGCTAGCTGATTGAATGCGGAACTAAGGCTGCGATTTGGATTTTACGATACAGACGGTGGTCCTCGTCGAGCTCACTCTCATAGCGCTCTACGTTCCCTTTCTCAAGCGACGCTCCCCAGCTCCCAGAGATCGAGAGCCCTGTAGTCTCAGGATCTAACTCGCTCAAACTCTGCTTTGCAGAGCGTGGTAAGTCTCTCGTTCCAGGGAAAGGCCGCCAGGATATCCTCCACGGCATTCCATCCTTTGATCCTCTCAAATCTCCGCTGCAGCGTCAGGAGTAGCTCGACTCCGCGTGGGAGGAGGCCTCTTCCTGAACTGGTCTGCCACGAACTAATTGCCACCATCCACATCCAAAAGAGGCAGGAGACCCAGGAGACCTCATCCCGAGAGTCGGGCTCCCACACGTATTGAAGGAGCATTCTGCTTAGCTCTGTCCCCGAGGCCAAGCCGGCGTTGCTGGATACCGGAGCCGAGTCGAATCCAACGCCGCAGTAGATGACAATGGCCATCGCCAGCAACTTCTCTTTGCTTGCGTCTGCGGCATCCAGCGCTGGGCACGCCTCTTGGAAAGTCCTCCACACCGGTCGGTCCGTGTATGGCATGCCAATGATATCACCGGAAGCGTCTCGTTTTAGCTTTGAACTTCGGTAGACAAACGCGAGGCGGCAAAGAATCTCGACGAGGTTGGTGGACAGCTTCCCATCAACGATCAAACAGTGGAAGCCTTCGGGAATGTCCTTCAGCTGATGCCGAAAATGCGCGAGCATTGTTCCACTTGAACAGTCTGGTTGCGCAAGAGACTGGCGGGACGAAAAATATCGAAGACCTGTCGACAAGCTCCACCATGAGTCGAACCTGGGAAATGGAGGAGTTCACATAAGTCGTCGGTCACGCTAGAAAACAGGCGTTCGTCGGCTTACTGTAAGATTGTACATCGAGGATGCTCTGCCACTAAATCCAAGCCGCCCTGAGCAGTCACAATGTTGGCGAGGGCCTCGAGATGGTACCGATGGACCTTCATGTCGACCGTTCGCTACTCAAGTGAGGAAGGTACGGTATGATCTCATGTTGAACGAATTGACTCTACCTGCACCGTCGCCAGAGACAGAATGACAAGGAGCTCATCATCAGGCACGGATTTTGGTGCAGTAGTAAGCGTCTGCCTCAGAATCTCCAGCGCTTTCCCTTTGTGCGACAGGCACACTCGAGTTTGTCCACAGCTAGGCGATATCTGCTGGTCGTAGAGCAGCTGTAATCCGGCTGCTCCAGCATGGTAACCCGAGGTCGTGGCCCGTGTCATCCACTGGAGGAACTCATAATTATGAGTATTGCGAACATGAAACACTTGAAATGCAAGCTGTACATTGGGAACAATCATTTGCGGATCTGCCAGAATCAATGCCAAGATCCATCCATCTGGAATGACAGTTACCAACATATTGCGATGTGCCGGGGGGTACGAGGTGAAATGGGACTGCGGATGGCATCCATCCATTGTCGGTAGAGCAGGATGTATGACGACTGTTGGCCGCGACCTCGAGTTCTTCCTTCTTCACCGTCGACAGAATGAGGATGCTTCGAGGCCTCAACATCGCCAGCGGCCCCATTCTCTCGAAGCTTACCGGATGCTGCCACTCGAAAACGACCAAGCAGCGGTTTGCTGGTGTGTGACTGGCGTTTGACAGATCGTTCAGCAGCAACGCTTCGCTTGGCGTGGGCAACTTTGGCATTATGTGCGCGTACCATGGCACTGACTAGTTCTTGGTTTCGTTGAACCCGATTCTCCGGGCGCACCTCAACAAAACATAGCTGAAGCTGCTCCATCAAAGAGGCACATTGGTCGTCATGATACAGGAAGACCATGGGTTGAGCAACAACGAGATACGGTTGAAACCGTCGTGTCGCCGGCAAGGCTCGAATCCACTTCTGCCTGTGAGGCCTATTACCCAGAAATGCAAATACTAGCATTCAAACATTCTTACTAATTGGATGCCCGTGCCACCAGGGTGCCAAACGCCCGCTGACTCACTGCAGCAGCTTCCTATTGCGGCAGATGGACGTTTAACGGGGTTGTTGCTCATGTCTTATTGGCAAATGTTTCGGGACTTGGGCATCGCATCGCTCTTGGCCTCAGGTCACTCGACCGAAGAATCGGATCACCAACAACTCTTCTTACCATGAATCGTATTTGGCCCAACGTGAAATTGATTAAGCGAACCTGTGCTTAACTTGACACTCAAAGACACCACTTCCTTGATATGACAGTGCTGGGGAAATCCTGGCCTTCCTGACACGTGCCCATTTTGCTGCTCCGTGGCGCCGGCGCTTTGGTGGTTCGTCAACAACGCTACAAAAGACTGATAACAGCAGAGGAATCGACACGCAGTCTCCCAGCTTGCTCAACGCTCCCACTGAGCTGCTAGTCGCATCTAGGCAGCATACACTTCGCGGATTGGGTCCCCAAAACTGACAAAATTCCCACAAAACTGGGGTTTTCCCTCCTTAGAAGATTGAAACTGGAGCTACTGGTGTGGTGCCAGAAGCTCCTGGATGCCACAATCTGTACGGCCATTTCAGCCACTTCCCAGACCGAAAAAGAGATTTGGGAGGTTGCCACCAAAGTGGGAGTCGGATTCGATGCTGTAAGGAGAGGGAATCCAGGTAGTGGGCAATAGAAACCACTCTCAGATTGGAAATGACAATTTGATGACCCGGACCACGAGCCGGAATAAAATTGCTCCATTGCTTGTGATTCAATGGTTGATAAAGCTCTTGCTGTCGGATCGCATTTTCATTGTTTTACGTGACATCCTCTCGCGCAACCCAGGGTCAATTCATTATCCATTTGGACGAGGCAATGCATCGAGTATCACTCAGATCACTCGATGGGTTAACAAGATTTACTCTTCAAGGAGAGCCCTCATCCCATTCTACCCTTCCCAAGAAGGCGGCTCAGCCATGGATTCCTCCCATACAACCTCGGGTTCCAACCACTCGATCTCCTCTTCAGGATGCTTGCTAGGTTCCTGTGTGGCATCAAGGTCTTCCAGGTAGAGCCGCCGCCTTGCCCCAAGGCTTTCAAACAAGGCATATTCCAGAATCTTCCAGCTGCGCCGACTCAAGCATCGCGCAACGCGCATGAGGCGGGCAATCATTCTCGTGAGCTCCTTCCACCCCAGTTCGTCTTGGTCTGGATGCAATCCATCGCTATTCAAACATATCCAAACAAGAACCCAGTGCAGAGCGTCTAGGCTTTTGGTTGCACCTAATCCGTTCCGCTTGATCTCAAGTTCAATCCGTAGCATATATATTTCCGCCTGCGTCGGGTTGTCTCTGTATCTCCACAGCATAGTGTGAATATGGAGTAGACAGATCAATCTGGTGGTATCGTGGGTGTACAATTCGGACGCTGTCGAGTTCTGGCTGATCGTGACGGATTCTAGTATCTGACGACTCGGGCTTAGGATCGGGTGGAGTGTGGAGCAAAAAATATCTGATATTGACGCCCATTGTGTAGGTGCGAACGACAAGCCTCGCCAACCACCTGGACTCGGATTTCTCCGATACCCGAGTCTCTCTTCACTAAGCTCCTGGAACTGGGCTGTAACCATCACGAACTCGGTGACGCAGGCTGAGAGGAAGAGGTCTGGTGGGAGGTCGAGGGGTTCAACGAAATTCTCAATCTCCTCCAGTGGCGGCTTCGAAGCCGCAGACTTCCTCCTGAATGCGGCATGGCAGACAGCAACGTCTGGTCGACATCGTAAGAGAAAGCGGCCAAAGTGGCGGTCGGTGCAAGGAAACATCTCAACCCCGACTACTTCAAAAATACGGGATTCACTCCTGAGAAATTAGAGGTAAGTAGCTGAGCGAAGTTCTCCACCATCGGTGGGCAGTGGCTTGAAATGTACCTACGAGCAGATCTGCCATACCAGCAGGGGGTCCAGTTTGTCCAAGCCTCCACGGAGTTTGATCATGGAGCGTGCTCCTGAGGCGTGAATTTTGAAAGCTTTCAAGTTTCCCGCGCGGCCCTAGAATTACTATCGCATCAGTTCCGGCCAATACCGGCAGAAAGGGAAGAAACACTCGATATGCCCACCTCGATTGCTGACATTATGATTGCTGCTTGAATATCGCTATCTGAGATGAGATGGTGAGGCTCCCCGAGTCGTCGATTCAGAGCCTGGATCCCCTTGGCCTTATGAATGACGCCTGTTCGTTCGTACCGCTTTCTCTCCATGGATAGACTCGACCAAGCGAAACTGGAGAAAGCTAGAATCAGCTGTACAATGGCATCGTCGTGGACGAAGTGATGTGTTACCGATCGTAGGTAGCACAGTGGTGCTGCTGGCCCATAGCCATATATGACCTCGGCAACGACGTTGTGAACTAAGCCAGAAAGTCATAAGTTGAGCAGTCCTGTTCAGGTAAAGTTGGCGGAAGGCTCACAAAATTGAAAAAGCTTGCAGTCGTCATTTGAGCTGGTAAAAGGATAAACGGCGAACGGATCGTTCTGGCCTGATCCAACCGGTGAGAATATCTCTGGCATTCTTGCCACTCTCAGAGCCTCTGTCAGGTCAGGATCATGTGAGCAACCTGGAAGACACACTCTGTGTCGCTCCCAGGTCTCAAGACGTCCTTCTGAACTAATCCCATCTCTTGTGAGGCTACCTTTGCCTGATCGAGTAGCTAGGTCTCCAGCAGCCAGATATGGTCGTTTGACATCAAAACGAGGATACCTCTTTCTGTGTTTAAGTTGATCCAATCCCATCAGGGCGCGACACCCATTTGAGCGGACTGATTGATGGGCTGGCTGGACACTAGACGGTACCAGAAAATTTGCTGCAGCAGTGATGTGGGCATGAGGCGTCGCGACCGGCAAATGTCTCGACGACGATGGTAGAGGACATGGACACGCAGAATCTGCTGATGCCTGGCATTCTGTTGCTGGGTAAGAGTTGGGAGAGCTGGGTTCCACTGTCAAATATGTCAATCCTTCGTTACTGCTTTCTGCGCCTTGGACAAAATTTTCCAAAATCAGACCTCTTTTAAGCGATGGGTGCTGGGCTTGCGACTGCCTCCGCTTCATGTGTATTCGTTTTGCAACATGGCTGTTGATGGTCGACTTGCGTTCGTAATGAGACGACGCCTTCAGATTCCCAACATCCACGAGAAACACCAGTTCATTCGAATCGACGTCCATCGGGATCCCAAACACGTCCAAAAGATTTGTGATATTGAGGTCATGAGGGACACAATGAAAGCAGACGATCGGCGACGTGGGATGGGCCGAAGTTCAACGGAGCGTGGGTATCTTGCTTGGATTCGGGCGCTGGCGCTAGTGCCTTTAGTCACTTCTTCTGCCAAAGGCATCTTTGAGCGACTGGCCACCGGGTTTGGTTTTCGAATCGACGCCGAAGCATCGCACCATCGAGGGGAGCGACTCTGGAAGCGTGATGTGGGACGGCAATATTTACAATCGAAGGAGTGTGAAACAAGGTTTATGAACTATCTTTCGGCCGATCTACGTGGTTGAAGGCATCTCTTCCTTTTGGAAGCATTCTATCTGGATTTCGCATAGCAATACTCCGCAAAGGTACTCCTGAACTGTAATGTGGACCGAATCTGTGGTGTGCTTCACGCGTCTTGATAGTGGAGCCTGTAACCGAAAATTGCTGTTTTGGACTTAGTGCAAGGACCTTTTTGGGTAAAAAGCAAATGCTGTTGAGTGGCTCTAATATCAGATATGACCAATGATATACGCCACATGGCTACAGCCAAAACGCTGCGGCAAGTAGCCAGGCCGTGAGGATCCGGCCCGAAAAATTGGAACTTGTTGCACGATAATGAGCAAAATCAGAGGGGCCAGTGGTCACTCACATAAGTGAGCCAACATGTCGGTGGTCGACCAATTTCCCACCTCTCCAGGACAGCCGAAGCCAGAAGACGTTCTGGTCCCCTCGTAGCAGTTTGCTCACTCATCGTTGCTGTCCTCGACTCGACCAAAGTCGATATGGTCTCCAATCAACCCGAAAGGAGGTCCAAGACTATCGAACCGTCTAACATCGAAGTGGTGCTCCCATCCCACCGAAGGGAAGACGAGACGCGACTGACCCGGAAGCTCGATTTTAGACTGGTTCCAGCTCTCTATCTCCTGTGCCTAGTGGCTTTCATGGACAAAATCGCCATTGGGAATGCACGGATCCAAGGATTGGAACAGAGTGTGTTAGATCCAGGTTCGAATGAATACAACGTCGTCATTTCCCTCTACTGGATTCCGTACATTCTGGCACAGATTCCTAGCAACATCCTTATGAAGCTGATCCCCCCTCCGATATATCTCAGTACCATTACTGCTCTCTTTGGTAAGCGCAAGACAGATATTCCCACCGGCTCTAAAGGGCTTGCTGCTGATGGGGCCGGCCAATCAAGGGATTGTGACTGTTTGTCAGGGGTTTGTTCACAGTTATGGCTCCCTAGTGGTGTGCCGCTGCCTGCTAGGGCTATTTGAGGCAGGAATATCACCAGGTATATCGTCCCGCAGATTTTATTCTCCGAAAACAATCACTGAAGCAGTTCTGATCAGGGTCTGTGTACTTATTAACAATGTACTACCCGCGATGGGAGCTGCAAAAGAGATTCGCCATTATCTGGACGAATGGATTTGTGGCGGGTGCATCGAGTGGGGTACGGCTTCTCGCATGAATTTTGTCCGAGAAGAGTTATGGCTGAGTCAATTCTTATGTAGTTACTCGCTTTTGCCTTGGCCAAGATGGATGGCTTGGGCGGGCTGGCTGGTTGGCGGTGGTGCGCATCAACTCTTCTCGCCGTCGAGGCCAATAATGACTTTGTCCTAGGATTTTCATCGTCGAAGGGCTGGTCACAATTGTGGTGAGCGGTGTTGCTTACTTTCTCCTCCTCGATTGGCCGGCGAACACGAAGGGTCTCACTGCCGTTGAGAGGGAAATACTGAAAACCAAGATGAAGGATGACGGAGAGCACGCAAGAATGGACATGTTGACGCATTCAGCAATGCGGAGCATCGCAAGGGACTGGAAGATTTATGTTGGGTCGGTCAATGGCTACCGAAAAAACGAACATGTTACTGACAGGTGTTCCTAGTGCGTTACAGTACTGCAGCATCTCGCTCTCGGGGGCCACTCTCAGTTTCTTCATGCCCACCATCATCAAGGAGTTCGGCTATTCATCGTCGATGGCTCAAGTCTTTACCATTCCCGTGTGGACTGCTTGTGCCGTTGTCACCATAGGGGTTGGTTGGCTGAGCGATCATTTACGAAAACGTGCAGTCTTCATCTACCTCGGATGCGGTGTGACAACAGTGGCATACATTCTGCTAGTCTGCCAGCAGCACTTTTCAATTGGCGTCAAATACATGTCCATCTTCATCATGGGCTCAGGGGTCTTCACGATGCAGCCCATCTCCGTTATCTGGATTCTATCAAATCTGTCTGGCCATTACAAACGATCCGTGGGTTCAGCGGCCGTTCTGGGGTTTGGCAGTATCGGCTCCATCATCGCCAGCAATATCTTTCTGAGTAGAGAAGCGCCGACATTTCGGACTGGATACGCTGTCTCCTTTGCCTTCATCGGACTCGAAGCATTGCTATGCACAGGCTATCTGCTCGGGTTGAGGAGAGAGAACAGGAAGCGAGACTCTGGAGAGCGGGACTGGCGACTGAGCTTGCCGCAGGATGAGATCGATAACCTTGGGGACGATCATCCAGAGTTCAGATTCTGTTACTAGGTACCATTGAAACTCGGAGTCTTTCGATAGCTAGATAATCCATCCGCTCATATCTTGGCCCCTGTTGAAGGGGAGGCCACAGGTGTCACTGTTCAGACTCTCCATTCGAGTGACAAGATGGTCCAGTGTCCGGATCCAGAACTGGTCCTTCGTCCTGTTCAATCTACCCCCGTGACGGGGCCGATTTTGAAAAGGACTAGGATATGGATTTTTGGCACCATGGGGAGAGATCTTCCAGAAGCGGCGGCATTGACCTCCAGATTAGGTGGGAAATTTCACTGCAACACGTTGCGTTGTACTGTAGCCTAGGCTCGAGGCGTTTACAGTATCAGCGATGCTTTGAAGGAATGCCAACCGCATGACTGGGTGAATTGCTTCATAGACCATGCCTTCGGCCACTTTACCCAGATTCAACCGCACTCTCTGCATGCTGTTATGCCGACAAGAAAACTGTGCCATGTAGGGGGGCCATGTAGGGGCATAGGGTTTCCCTCCTGCTCCCAATCCAATATCACCACATTCTGTTCCAACCTCTTGTCCGCCCCTCTAATACAATTTCAGCCTTACATATTCAACAGGGTTTCAGAGCCATCACATATCTGTTAGCAGCCCTTGTTTGCATCACTTGAAATATCGAAGCGGTGTTGACAGGCTTCCACCAAAACATCCCTGACAGGGGTTCAATCCATTTTAATTCAATCTCTCATATCGTCCCGAGGCGGTCAGGGTCGATGGGTAGTGTGTTCTGGTGGGCAACTCATGGAACTCGCCCCCCTGTAAAGTCTGTCCAACGGACCTGACTGTCTTCTTTTTGAGCCACGTTGTTTTGACAGTTGCCATAAATCCAGGCAATTCAGATTCCGGGCCCACTAGAACGGTCCCAGGATGTTTGATGTTGAAACAAAGAAGCGCGAGCAGCATCGGAACAGCCTCAAGGAGGTAGAAACAGGCTTCGGAGGATACCAAGGGGTTGGATGATGTGCTTCCCGAGGAAAATTGGACCAGTCGAAACATGATGCGGACCTATTAGGGTGCACATATTAGTACTAACCACATGGGAACGATATAGGTGGTAGTTAGATTGGAGTGTTCATACCGTGATCAACCCCAGTGTGGCATACAAGGCATACAAAAGGGGCCTCCACTCTTTCGCTGACGTCGCAGCCGGTATTTGGTGCTTTTCAGTCTTTGTCACTTCCCGCTGGAACTTAATGGCCAGTCCGACAAAAACAAGAATGAAGAACTGCTGCAGACCGATACCCCCCATATAAACGTGAATTCCCTGCATCTGTCGCGCTTTAGAAGCCGTGGGACCCGCCCAGCTGCCCCCAACAAGCTGGATGACGAACGAGACGAAATCCAGCGATACAAACCCGGCCGCCAAGGTAGATGCAGGTATAGAGAAGAGTGTATGACCCGGGGCGAAGAAATGGATTAACCGGCCTAAAACCATATAGTCAAAAGCGTTGACCCCTGTTCGATGGTATGAGTAGGCTGGCTAAGAGAGGGAAATAAATTAGACTTACACAATGGGGCGAGAAGAATGAAAATCTGAAAGACGAGATAAATGGCGACATTTTGCTGGCGGCGGGTGCTTAACGCTCGAAAAGTGAATGCAATCGTCTCCCAGAAGGCAGCCATGATTATCACCCAGCAAAACTTCTGTGATGAGAAATGTCTCAATAACAAGGCACGTGAACGTCAGGGCTTTCCCACCTTCTTGTATGCCACTGCTTGCCAGATGTGGACCAAAATCAGGATACCGAACAAAATGGCAAAGACTAGGGCTGCACCAAAACTGGGATAGTAGTCCCACAGAGCATTGCAAGTTCCAGGAGGAACATATCCATTCTTGTCGGGTGTAATTGTCTGAAGGCAGGTTGGAATAGCAATTTGTATCGTCTGCGGAGCGATTGTGACGTGGTTGTTTGTAACACCACCGTTGATGGTGATAACCTCAGTGGAGGTAAAGTAGACGATTCCTAGAGTGGACGGCGTGCTAGTGGTAGGTGTGGGAGTCGCCTCTTCTCGGAATTGAAGCATTGCGAACGCAGTGATGATTGTGGGGTTTGGAGTGAGAGTATGGCTCAAGAACGTGGTCAATACAAGGCTGTAGACAAGCAAGAAATGCAATGGGAGTAACAAGACGGCTCTGGTTCTAGGATGAATGATCCATCCCGGATATATAAAGGCAGCTACTTCTACACGAGAAGTATAGTGTTTAAGAGAGGGCTAAACAAGGCTGAAATAGCCACCAACATGATTGGCGTAGGCTCGGAGGTGGATAACGATCGATCGACTCAAACGTGTCGCAAAGTCCGACTGGGCCAATCGCAATATGATGGATGATGGTTCGCCTGAGATAAATTTGAAAGGCCGGCTTCTCCAGTGTCAGAACTCTAGGTAAGAAGCATTAGTAGCGGGATCGCGTCATTAGGAGATTACCATCCATTCACTTTTCATGACCAGGTCGCCAACAGGTTTCCAGAGCATGGAATGCATTTGCGTCCAGACGACCTCGTGGCCTTCATTATCTTGGCGAATATCCACCCCTGGGTCAAGCATAACCTCTCTTATACGCCTCTCTTCAAGAGGTACTTCGGCATACCTACGGAGAGAGCTCTGCACAGTGATCTCGCTCAGGGTAATGTCATGCTCCATCTCAACCAGACGCCGGCCCACACAATACATCGTGTTCAAGTCCCAGAGATTTTCACGACTGATCCCGAGTTCCTTCATCAATGATAAGGCAGTGAGGCGAGTCGGTAGAGATCTGCATTTCATAACGACAAAGTACAGGAGAGGCGTAAACCCCATCTCGCATATGAACTTAGGGCGAAGAGAATGATCCCGTGATCCTGGCAGCACCACTTGAGATGCTATGTGCACTATTGACCGAAATTGGTCAAGATGCCGATCGTATGCCGTTTCGTTTTGTTCTAGAGCCACGTTGACCCAAATCTGGGTCACCAGATACCTCATCTGAAGGAGATGATACCTTACTGCGCGACTGTCTGAGGGCGGCTGAGCAGCGTGAAACTCAGAGAACGCGTAAAACCACGCACTCAGTGACCTTTCGAGGCAATCTTGCTTCTCCCTTATCGAAGATGGGACGGCCGTGTGTCGCAATGTTCCTAGCCGATAATCTTCGGTGGAGCGGATGAACCGAATCGATTCGGAGAGGAGAACGTCGAGAGAGCATTGCGCATCTGCAATTTTGGAGAAATGGTGTTGAGCTTTGGCATCCAGGCCTGCCACATAAGGAAATGAGGAGACCGAGCATCCAAAGAACAAAGGAAAGATACTCAGGCGACAGAAAATGAGGGGGAGGTAGTCATGGCGTAACGACAACGATGGAGCTGCCTTGTTGAGGATCAGGATACCGTTTCGGCAGTGCTCGATGGCCGACTCCTTGTTCCCTTGCAAAAACTCGACACAGATGAAGAGCGCACACACAAGTAACACCACCGCGTCGTCCCGAGCCGAGAGCAGCTCCTTGATTGCTGAGTTATAATGGTGCACGGCGAAGCGGTTTATCGATGCAAGAAGTGGCGATTTGTTCATGTCTTGGAACTGCTCATAGAGCGAACTCAGAGCCATCACTGCATGCCTTACGGCCGGCTCGCGATGACTCACTTGTGTCACCATATTTGTCCAGAAGTAGGCGTCGAACTGGCCCGAAAGGGCCGGGCCAGCTACGTGCCGGAAGAAATCAAAAGCCCTTGCTTCGCCGTCACGGCCACCGTTCTTAGTCAGGCGGCACGATTCGTGCAATGACAGACCAGCCCGAGGTTTTGAGAGATAGCCATCACATCTCCTGCCTGTACTCGTGCACCTTGCGCAGTGTGGCTTTGCTTCGTCACATTTTACTTTTCGAATCCTGGAGTGCGGTTAGCGCGGACTTTTTGAGGTCCATGGGAGAAAATGCGTGCGCATACTTGCATGTGTTACACCCTGTTTTGACCTTCGGTTGCCCCTTTCTAACCATCTCATCATACAAAATCCAGGGAAGGAGAAACAAAGCCCGAAGCCGCCGATAATGATCAACTCCATTGACATAATATCACGCAGTTCAATGGCAGCAGAAATATCTTCTGGGGACATGTCGACTCCGAAGCAGGCAGCCCCCGATTGTTGTGACTCTCAACTGCAACAGCCTGATGTAGAGTCCGAGCGAGCCAATAGAAACAGTGATGGATGCTGACGCCTTCTCCACAATCCTGCGGCAGGCACTGGAGTCTTCATCGAGGTTCCGGATTCGAGTAGTGGTTGGAACTTCGAAATAAATGACATTTGAGGTAAAAACAGGGGCGGACGGTGGTGGCCTCTATCAACAAGCCAATTTTACACCGTGACTGGACAGCTCCAGAGGCCGAGTCGCGGTGCACCATGGAGACCACGGGATACTCTAGTACCAAACAGCGTCTCGTACATTGATACTCCACCCTTTGTAGTGCGGTGCAGCATTCAGGACATAGCGCGGTCTCGGAGAACGTCGCAATGGGCCGAAGTGGCATAAATTTTCCCGCAGTTTTACGGCCCTCATTGTGCATGTCTGCTAGTCATACATAGACGGTCCATTCATTCTTTCCATGTGCCAGACCGCTCCGGGCACGATTTTTGTCAGTCTCGAACTCCACCACGTTCGGCGAGATTGACTTCGGTGGCTGTGAGAAGCGCCTTTTCTTTTCTGTCAACATTTCCTACCTGGCAAACACCCCTCCGTTTTGTTGAAACCTCTTTTTTGTATCCAATGCAGCGAGAACTTGCCGACAGGTGGGCTCGTAGCCGTTACTTCGGTTGATTTGGAGGGGGAGTAAACGCAGGCGGTCTGCGTCGTTACACCAGGGGAAAAGAGGACCACAAAACCAAACAAATACAAAAAAGAACAAACGCTATCACTGTCGCTTCATATACCCTCTAGCTTTCTCTTTTCTCCTTTCCCTACTCGCCTCAGAGAGCCACCGTTGTCAACATGCATATCTCAGAGAAGCTCGCTTCGAATTTGAAGGAGAACAAACCGAGTTTCTCCTTCGAGTTTTTCCCTCCCAAAACTGCCCAAGGTGTCCAGAACCTTTACGATCGAATGGACCGTATGCACGATCTCGGTCCTCTTTTCATAGACATCACTTGGGGTGCTGGTGGGAGAAATTCGCAGCTCACATGTGAAATGGTCAACGCAGCTCAGAGTCACTATGGCTTAGAGACTTGTATGCATCTGACCTGCACGGACATGGAACGCTCACAAGTCGACAGGGCCCTGGAACGTGCCCGCGATGCTGGGTGCAAGAACATTCTGGCGCTGCGAGGCGATCCACCTCGAGACAAGGAGAAGTGGGAAGCAACAGATGGAGGATTCCGACATGCAAGAGACTTGGTCAAGCACATAAGGGCAAAATATGGGAACGTCTTCGATATTGGCGTTGCCGGCTATGCAGAAGGATGTGATGATAATCGAGACGTGGATGTTCTGATTGATCATTTGAAGGAAAAGGTTGACGCCGGTGCTACGTTCATCGTCACTCAGATGTTTTATGATGTTGACATCTTCCTCAAATGGGTCCAAAAATGTCGAGACAGGGGCATCAACGTCCCAATAATCCCCGGAATTATGCCTATTTCGACTTATGCATCGTTCAAGAGGCGAGCCGAGTGGACCAAGTGCAACGTTCCCAAGGACTGGTACGAAGCATTAGAGCCGGTGAAAAACGATGATGCCGCCGTAAGGGACATCGGCAAGGATTTGATTGCCCAGATGTGCCGTAAGCTTTTGGACGCCGGCATCTTGCACCTTCACTTCTACACCATGAACCTGGCTCAATCTACCAGACTGATCCTTGAGGAGTTGGCATTGACTCCAGAAACCTCAGGCAAACCGCTAGAGAAACCACTGCCATGGCGCCAGTCTCTTGGTCTGAACCGTAGGGACGAGAACGTCAGGCCAATCTTCTGGCGTAATCGCAACACCTCGTATATTGCCAGGACAGCGGATTGGGATGAGTTTCCCAACGGGCGTTGGGGTGACAGTCGAAGTCCTGCTTTCGGTGAGCTTGACGCGTACGGAATCGGCTTGAAAGGCACGAACGAGGCGAACATCAAGCTTTGGAGCAAACCCAGGACACTCCGAGAGATTACCGAACTTTTTGTCCGATTCCTCAGTGGTAGATTGGAAAGGCTGCCTTGGAGTGAAGGAACCATTTCGGCAGAGGCAAATATTATCAAAGAGGATCTTATCAAGTTGAACAAGCGTGGTCTCTTGACAATCAACTCACAACCAGCGGTTGATGGAGCGCCCTCTTCAGATGCCGTCCATGGCTGGGGACCACCCGGAGGATGGGTCTACCAGAAGGCGTATCTGGAGCTTCTGGCATGGCCTTCTATGATCGACACAATCATTGAAAGGCTCAACGCCGACAAGAACCTGACCTACTACGCCGTCAACAAGGAAGGCAAACTCATCACCAACGCAAAAGACGAAGGACCCAACGCAGTGACGTGGGGCATTTTCCCTAACCGAGAAGTGGTCCAGCCTACGATTGTCGAGACAGTATCTTTCCTCGCCTGGAAGGACGAAGCCTTCCGACTAGGCGAAGACTGGGCCAAGTGTTATCCAGCGGGTTCAGCGTCACGCAAATTGATCCAAGCGATGATGAGTGAATGCTATCTTGTCAACATTGTCAACAACGACTTTCACGACACACGCGAGATCTTCACCGTCTTCGAAGGCCTTGAAGCTCAGGATCTTGACCATGTCTTCACCGATGACGGTACTGAAGCTGCCCACAACAACGACACGAGAGACGTCTTGAACGGCGAGGCGTCAGCTTCCGAGATCGAAAGGAACATTACGAATGGCGATCAGCATCGAATCCCCTTTCAAACCAACGGCGTTTCCCCGGTGAAATAAAACAATAACCAACTACAGGACCGGTGCTGTCAACCAGCTCTGGCGACGGTACGTGTTCTCATGCAATGACATGATAGAGGACACATTACGAGAACCCTTTTGCTCTACACTCGAGGAGTTTTTTATTACTACGGGCGTGCTTCAACCACGTTAACCAAAACAGTATTAAGTTTCATTTTTTTTCTTGTAGGGCGTTTCAGTGCGGAAGAAAACTGAGAGGGAGGTGGAAAATGCATCAGAAGAGGAGGCATGCGGCATTTATGACTACTCGGATTGATGGATTCCTAACAAAACAATATGGAGTGGAGCGAAACAGAATCTCATTTCAACATGATACCCCCGCGCAAGAGAGCGTAAAGAATCGCGACGCCGAGAACAGAATAAAGCGCATTGTGTGTTTTGTGATATATATATTTTTTAACGAAGCGACGATATGATTGATGTCTACTTGAACAGCCAGGGAAAAAATTGGACGGAAAGAGATGGGTTTAAAAATCATCTCGAAGAGGATTGGGAGGATGGCGACGCAGAAAAGTCCCTCCTTCTTTCATCTTGAAGCAGAGTGGCACGATGGCAACGAAGAAAGGGCTCATACCCACCTAATCTTCTTTTTGCCCCCTGCAGTCTGAACGATTGATTGAGTGGTGGACTTGGGGCTTGGTGACCTTTTCAACCATAGGTTCCCTCCAACGTCTGCTTTGTTGATTGATTGATAGCGAGTACTAAAAAAGAAATATAAGAAAATACCACAAAGCTTCGGGTTTTTGTTTGTCTTCGCGGATTTCATTGGTTATCCTTTTTTCCTCTGGCGAGGTCTCGTTCTTGACTGTCGCATCTCACTCAAGTCACCTGTCTCAAAACAACAAAAGACTGGATCAATGTGTTACGGGACAATATGAAATAGTTTGCCTATGTACCTATCAAGGCCATACAGACATGTCCATTATTACTTATGCATGCTTAACCTTTGCAATGCATTCATTCCACAAGGCCAACTGGCTTCGTTACTCGCGTTTACTTCCTTCTATTCGATTCAGTCAGCGGCACGCGGCGATGACTCCAACTCCCCTGGTTCCGCTGTCAAGGGCGTGTCAGGCTCTGTAATGATCATGCGCGGACCTCCAGTCGAATGATTTTCTGGTGAGAGTTGTTCCGATACTTTGCTGCTATCGTCCAAGGGCGGATTGTCAGGCGGCACATCGGTCGCCAGGAGGCCAAGTCTGGTAGCTCGAGGGCTGGCAGTCAAGGAGTTCGCGATTCTCGCACTTGTGCCGATGTCCCCACGGTGTCTTGCCTTTCTCAGCTCTTCAGCCAGCGGATCATCGCCATCTTCCTGCTCTTGTTCGTCGTCGTCGCTGCCGTCGAAAAAGCGATCACTCCATCTAGCGCTGTCCTGTCTCGCTAGTCTTGCAAGAGCTGCTTTGCCCGAGTTGGTGCTCGAGTAGCTGCTTTCGCCCGTGGCACTGACACGAGACACCAATTCCGACACGTCATCTCTTGACTCGCGGATTTCGGAATCTGTCCTGAGAGGAAGTCCAGGCCGAACGCGGTCATTCACTCTCCGCTTCGTATGCAGTCTGTTCAAATCTTCCCCATGCACATTCGAACTTGTCGAAGATGTAGGGGAACCTGTAACGTAGTCATCCGTAGTGTGTGCACGGGTCGGACTTTTCGAAATGTTCTCTTCTTCACCCTCTTGTGTCGGCTGGTCAGTCTGCCCTTCCACCTCCTCACCCTCATCACCGACAGCTTTGGCATCGCTTGCCTTCGCCCGCTCAATATTAGGCTCGTCCTCGTCCCTCGTCTGCGCGGCTGCTGTGTATGCAAAATGCGTGTCGCACATGTGTTTCACCACCGGCCAGCCGTATGCATTTGCAAACATGCGTCGCACGATCATGTTATTGTGTGCATCTGGCTCAAGTCGTACCAGGACCTTCCGCCAAGAGAGGTCTTTGTGGTACGCTCTAGCAATCTTTTCTTCAATCTTCATCGAACCTACATCTTGGCCGCGAGTAGGGGACATGGTTGACGTCGAAGAGTGGCTCGAGCTTGAACGTGGGGGATTCGTGCTCGCGTTCGTGGCCAATGATGAACCGTCGGAAGGCATTGAATGCAGCTGTGACTCACTTCGTGAACCTGGCTTGTTGCGTATCATGAACGTCCGTTGACGCTTAGCTGGTGGTGGTGGTATGTCCTCTGGGTGATATACGCGATCATGCCAGATTGTCCTAGGTCGAGCAGCTGGGTCAAGGAGGAACTCTTTCGGAGGTAGTGGGGGATTAAGGAGATCACCAGCTGATTCGAAGAATGTGGTCTTTGGAGGCGCCTCCACTTCACTGTTGTCGGAGTTGTTGGTATATAACGATGATCCGCGAACCATACTCTTTCGAGGTTCGTCTGAAGATCCGTCGTGGTCGCGGGAAACTTCTACCGAGGTTGTTGGTGAACTTCTTTCGGAAGATTGGTCGAGGTGATGCATTGTTTGGCCACGGTGATAAATCTTTTTCGTCTTGTGGGCAGGCTTCTGTTGGCCAGCTTGCGGCTTAAAAAGACTCAAGAATCCGGTGAAGATATTGGGAGGTGATGTGGGCGTCTCTGGCTTTTCCACAAATTGTTGCGCTTCTGGCTCGGCTCTTTCGTCGTGGTCTAAGCCCTGACTGGCTTCTGCTTGCGGCACAGACGACTCGGGATCCGGTAAAGGCGTTTCATTTGTGCTCATGTCATCAGCACTGTCGCCGAAGAGATCATTCCAAGGTCGAGTCTTTCGAGGCGAACTTGCATTCTGACCCGTCATCTCTGCCCAGCCCCATTCAACCATGGTGCCAACCAGGCCGTTCTCTCTCCTAGCTTTCTCAACCCGACCCAGGCCTCGCCAGTCAAGGAACAGTAGACATGATGTCCTTAGAGGCACAATCCCATCATTAACGACATTTGAGTATACTGTTCTGTTTCGAAATTTCTTCAGGGCGATGTGTGCAGGGCCCGTGGGCAATATCCGCAGTAGTGGCTTCGCACCAGGATCAGGTTCCCTTTGTGCCTTTTGTGCTTCAGGGGTCAGGCTGCCTATGACGGCACCCCAGCCATTCTTTGCAATCGTTGGAGCACGCCAAGTCAGACCTAGATCTTGCCCAGTCCTTCCCACAAGGCCGAAATCGAGTGCAAACTTGACGTAAACCGGATTCTCATTGCTAAGACCCAAAAATGGGGAAGCCATGGCGACAAAGTTTACCGGCTTGATGAGCTCGAAGAAATCTGGTGAATGTTTCTGGATATAAGCTACGGCGTACGTCTGTATGAGACCGCCAAGGGAATGGGCAATGAAACTGATGCTGGTGATCTTGTAGGGAAGATTGTGGCTCCGGTGGTTCTCGTCCTTAATGATGGTGCTGTTCTTGTGGGCTGGCAAAGTATCTGAGTTTGGTGTTGGCTTCGAAACTGGCATCGACCTGGACAACGACTTCCCTATCGAGCTTTTAACTGGTAGGTATGGCTGGTCAGGATACGTGATTGAGAGCACGTATTTAGCGAACCGCTTCCCGAGATACTGGATACCACGTTCGGTCCGGACGGCATTCCCATTGAACCCTCGGACAAGCACTTCTTCCTCATCATCAGTGGTATCATCTTCATCGGCTGCAAGCACTACCTCTGGGGTAGACTTTGACCTCTGATCGACCGCCTCTCTTCCGAACAGATTGGATTCGGCCAGTCGTTGTGCCCTTCTCTCGGCTCGCCTCTGCTTCGCATCTTCGCGTGCCTGCTTAGCTGCTGTATCAATTGTTTCTTTCATGAACAACATGTCTGCACCGAGATTGCTGTGTAGGCCGTGTGTCAGGAGCACAAGATGGATTTTCTTCTGTTTCCGTTGCTTGTTATCATGCTTTGCCGCATGGTCTCGCTTGTCGCCGTGTTGTGGCCCCTCCGCAACCTTGACGTTGCCGTCATCTTCCCATTCAGGAAACGGAGGTGTATTCCAAAGGCTTTCAGTGTCATCGACCGCCAATCTGATCGCTTTGGAAAAAACGCCTTTCGGTTGCACAGAACTCTTCCCTTGCTTCAGCTGGTGATCTTCCAGCCTTCCTGGAGCGCCCTGTCCAGACCCGATGACTCCATGGAAGCCAAGATCGACCGATTTTTCATCCCTTCCAACTAGAACTTCGTAGTGTACACTCGCCGTCTTGGAGAAGATAATCTGTGAGGCAACTTCTAGAATCCAAGTGAAACTCTTGCGTTCTCCATGTCGCTTGCTATCGCCATGCTGGGCATCCTGTCTGACTTCTTCGGGAACCTTCAGCTTCGCAGTCCACGTGCCGCCTGCCTTGAGCTGCGGCTCATACTCGGGTGCCCCTTCATCTTTGATGGTCTCATGCTTCTTATAAGGGTCGAACGTTGACGGATAACAAGAGACGTACAGGGTGTAAGGTCCATGAAGATAGGCGGCTCGCAAAGGAATTGCAGAAGTGTTCTTGATTTTGACATGTAGATGGGCCGGAGGGGGAAGGATGCGATCGAGACTCGGTGTATAAGTCAGTGTATACCTGGAAGATATGGGTCAACAGCGGCTTCTTCAGTGAACGAGGCGCTCTTCTAACCTTACCACCTCACCGACCCGCACGGAGCCTGTCTGATGAAGTAGAAGCATTATGTCCAGGCATGCTTGACCCGAGAAACACTCGGTCGTGTAAATGAGAATGAGAATGAGGCTGAAGAGATCCGGACGTGTCGGATGTGATATCGCATAACATTATTGTGCTGGAGTCCAATGCATCTCCCCGCAACCGGCGTCCTAATGGGTCACTGGACTCACTGCGCGTGAGGCTACTCCGTATCTGGTACTGGGCTGAAGTGCTCAGCCTTGCTGTATTAGCTAAGCAAGGCTGCGATCCGCGTGTTGGAGCTCTAAATGGGGCCTGCCCCTGCCACCTGACCTACACCTGCGAACTGACCTACACCTGCGAACTGACCTACACCTGCGACCTGACTTTCGGGTAACAGCAGTGCTGAGACGCGGTAGGCCCAGCCTCCCTGCACGCGACAGTCAGGGTAAAGTCGGAAAACTCCCCGGTCTGTAAGAGAAGTTTTTGTCGCTCCACGAGAGACATCACGGAGATGCACTGGGAATTGGAATTCACAGCAAATTGTCAGTTGTTGAGAGTGGGAGTTCTTCACAATGAGAATAGAGAGAGACGGAGGGTACTGTATTGTCCTTTCCGGATAAATGTCTGACGTTAGACGGGAGTGCCAATTGCGTTCTGCTTTTGCCAAACTCTTCGTAGTGAACCAATGAGGTGGCTCCACGTCAGGTACATCACGCAGCGTCTTGCCGCAGCATCTAATTCAAGTGCTCTTCCAGTGCACCAGGGGGGAAAGCTGGAGATCCAGATTTACTACAAGTCGTGCCTGCTAAATAAAAATCGTGAAGCGGCGGAAGACAGCGCAATCTACCCGTACATTTTTCGAAATCCATCGAAGCGCCAATTTCAACATAGCGTAGTACGACGCTCTCAGAAACTATGAATGAGAACGCATGGGATCCTGTAGAGATGAAAGGCTGACAAACACTGGTTAGAGTCGATGTATTCTGTGAGGATTTTATGTATGAACATGACATTGTATTGCTATCTAAACTGCTACACCTTTCGCGGAGAGCGTGTGCGACATCACTCCGTGCCGACTGGTCGTGCTGCTGATGAGATGACCAGCCCCTGATCCAGCTTCTCTTTTTTGGAACTTTCCCAAATCTTGCTCATGTTGACGGACGAGGATTCCTTCAAATGCTGAGAGAGCGTCGTTGCTGTCACACTCAATGAGCCGCCAAGTGGTAGTTTGGAGGACAAGGAGCTCTCTCGGACTGGAAGAATATTATACCGATAAGGCTCGGTGCGGTCGAGTATTAAGAACAATCTCTTCCCCTCACTTTCACGTCAGGGTTGAATGAAAGACATCAGTGTCCGAAGATTCTCCAGACTGATGCAGAACAAGAGCTCTCTACTTATCCGAGTCTCTCCGCCGCAACGACCCAGGTGGAGTGACGATTGCGTATCCAGCTGCATCGAATATTCTATCAACCCAATTCTACTCTGTGGAGAATGGTTCGGAGAGGCAGAGGTCGCGGTGCGGAGTCTGGTAAGCAGCCTATGTCGGTGGAGCAAGGTCTCATGTAAGTATATAATATCACCAGTGTCCCTGTCTACATAATCTTATGTGCAATCGGCAAGCCGCCGGAACGAAGTGCCTCTAGTTCAGTGCTTTGCACACCAAGAACTCAACCAGTTGAAGGTCAACTTGATATTACTCCCTCAGTCATCAAACTCTCCCTCTGCCTGAGTATGTCTTCCTACTCATCCTCGTCTCGCTCCCTTCTTCGTGGGTCGGCAATCCTCATAATCTGGGGCAGCCAGTCCAACATCTCCATCAGCGACGAACGCGCGCTGAATGACTGGTGGACGAATGAGCACCTGCCTGAACGTCTCGCCATTCCCGGGTTTCATCGGACTCGACGATACTTTACATGTCCAACAATGCCGGCGCGGACTCAAGCAATGACGGCAACAATTCAGCTGGATCGCGGGTCTCGCATTATCTCGTACTCTACGAGATCTCGTCGCTGTCAACGCTCACGTCCGAGGCATACATACAAGCCCTGAATAACCCCACCGCGGGCACCAAAAAGTTCATGCCAGTCTTAGCGAGCATGAACCGGTCGGCTTGTCGCGTGCTATTCTCCGTCTCTCGGTCGGAATTCGCCTAGTGTCAGCACGGCGATACTAGCGGGACACTCGCACACCTGGTCTTCGAAGCTCCCGCGCCCTCCGAATCACAAGACCAGCTGGTCGAGTGGCTCTCTGGAGATGCGTGGAAATTCCTCGTCGGTTTCTTCCCGAGTATGCTGGCCATGCACCTGCTCGAACATGACGACTCGGCCTCGACGGCCGGGAGCTCCACTAAATCATACGACAATGTAAACTTCCAGAGTCCCCTAAGTGGAGGAGGAGAAGGAGGCAAAGCGCAGAGATGGATGCTCCTGGCCGAATTCAGTGATCCGTTCGGCGCCCCTTTCGCAACCTAGAAGGAGAAATGTAAGCCGCTTCGGGACGGGTTGATTCGGCATGGTGTCGATTTTGCGACAGCCAAAGAAGAGATCTACGGGTTGGTGGTTGTCATGGAGGAGTAGGGCTCGGAATCGAGGCCTTTCGCCAGGAGCGGCGTTCACGTTCCAGTAATTGAGACTTAAACACTCCATAGACGAACGAGCCATGCGTCGTTCCAGTTAGAGTACCAATGCCCATGAGCCCCGCTCGATCGTATCCGAACAGTGATTTTGTAGCATAGGGTGAGGAAGCAGGCCTGACGCTCATATCTAGTGAAGCCATCCGCAGTGTACGTTGTCAAGGTCCTCCTCTAACAAGACTAGGGCCCTGGAGATGAGATGTCAATTAACTCGTTGCAGCCGCCAGAGCCGAACGCAGCGCAACTATTGCCCCTTCTAGACTACATTAGATCAGCTTCCAGCGTAGATCGGTCTTTATTACATGTATAGGGGGCTTTCTACGCCACCGGCCTTCCTACCGATCCGACAGAGAGCGTAAGCAATCTTCAGCTCCCAGCGCCCTTGGCCATCCTAAGCGCTAAACTTCAGCTTGATGTACGGGATGTGGTGGTTCGGCCAGCTCACGCGCTTCGGGCCATAACGACAGGTCTTGAACTCGGGGTAGTCAAACGAGATGGACTTGAGTCCAGGGTAATTATACCGCTGCGTCGTCATCTTGGAGCAAACCAAGTCCATCGACACCTCGCTCCACCGTCTGTAGCTGGCCACGCCCGGATGCACGACAATCTCCGCGCCGTGGAACGGCAATTGCTGTAGCCTCCCGTACGCCCCGTTGATGTTGGAGGTTACGCTGCGGACGAGGTTGACCTGGTCTCTCAGCATTGCTTGTACCCTCTGAATGCTGTCGCGTGCGTCTGAGAGGCTCGCGTTGGTGGTCAGTGGGCCGTTGAGCCAATTTGGAGACGTCGTCGCGAGCAGCGATTCCTCCAGCTCGGTGGTCTGCAGCGACAGGTCGGGCAAGAAGTTGGTGCCCAGGTTGAGATTGTCTCCTAGGCTCTTGACGAATTCGGGCAGCTCTTTCGCTATTTTGAAGATCTCCACGACCTGGCGGATTTGCCTGAACTGTCCGGAAGTAACCAATTCGATCATACTCTGAGGGTCGGCCGATAGGCTGAAATCGGCGGCCCTGTTATCAAGGATGTCTTTCATGCGCTTGACCGCGCTGAGAAACTCCGCGACAGACGCTTGGACTTGGTAGAAAGGCTCGGCCCTCGAAATAGTCTCGGTAACTTCACTGCACTTCAGCTGCATCATTGTGTGTCACGAGGGTCTGATTACTAACCTTTATTGTAGAAGTCACTGACAGAGGGCTCTAGACATTGCTCGGTGGTTTGACAGAGCTGATTCTGAACATTCAAGACCTCGGTCTGGATAGCGATGAAATTTGTTGCCAGTGTAGGGAGATTATTCCCTAGATTGGTTACCGTCGAGTTGATACCGTTCAGAAGGTTTTCCCATGGGGCAATGATGGCCGATTTCAAAGAATCGGACATGAAATTGACGGAGTCTTGGGCATAGTTCGTGAGGACTGTCCCAATCTCGTTACATTCTCTAGAGTATGCGCAGAGTACAATCGCTTCTGCAAGCTGGATATACAGCGAAAGGTCGATCTCTCCCGTCAGTTTTATTCTCCGGAAAGGCATCAACTTACCTCAAGAGCCCTGATGACAATCCAGCCATCGGACGTGGACAAATCTCCTCCCGGGGCTTCAAGGTTCGATTTGTCGTCACGAATGGCAAATCCGTTGTCTGCGAGGCACTGCCGACTGTCATAACCCAGTACCATCTTCTGCCAAATTCGACAACTCACCTTTGAGTACTTGGCAAATGCAGCGAGTAGCCTGGAAGTTCCCGAGGAAAAATCGGAAACTTCGACATCATCGATTGCGGCTTCACCGCCGAGCGCGAGTACGGCTGGCAGACATTCACACATTGCCATAGATTTTGCGATCAGATCTTGTCCACCGGGTAGCGCCTGGCGGATCTTGTTGCAGATGTTGACTTTTTCCGTCTTCAAATTCAGACCGCAAGGAATATCAATGGTGAACTCGTCGAACCGTGCTTCAAATTAGCTCAGGTGGTTCTATCGAGAAGAAGCCAACTCATCTGGTAGACATTTTGTGGTAGTACATGTTCGTCCTGGCTTGCGAAGCGTCGGGCAGAGTGTTGTGAACGAGACTTTACTCTTGCAAGGGTTCGTCTGTACTTGTCAGTATTGCAGGCCATTAATTTCGGCTTGAAAGATCCAGACCTTTACGAACTTATTCTTGCAGTATTTGACATCAAAGCCTGTAGGAAGCGTTATGATGGCGTTGCAACCAACCACCGACTGAACGCTGCCGCATATTTCCTCAATGGTCGACTGCGCGTTGACTACAGACGCGGAGTTGAGGATGAAAACGAACAAGGTGGCCACGAAAAATTTGGTCATTTTGGTACCACAGCGGCAACTGAGCTCATCGTTCTTGAAAGATGGATTCACCAAAAGAGAACCGCGGAGCAAAACGACTCTATGCCTGGAACTTCAGATTCCTGTATGCTTACCACAGCTCTTTTGATTTGCGACCCTTTCATTGACCCAACCCGTCAGCCCACGGTCGCCCATGGGCTAATCCAGTTGCACAACTATCCATTGACATTTCGCGAACGGCGCAGCTCAGTTTGACAGCCACAGGACACTAGATGCTTCAGCTCACTGCCTTGCAGGATCATAGAGAGCCGGCACGCGCGTGGCAGTGGGGTGATGGCTCCGGGCTAGATGCGGTCGGTTGTTTGTTCGAGTCAAAAGTCCGGGTTTTGGGCTGTCGTGTACCAACAGATTTTCACCTTCGCTTGTCCAGGCTGGCATCAAAAGCTTCGAACAAATAGTTGAAAAGGCGTGCGTCTTGGTTGGCTGGAATGTCTCAGCTATAGACCACCAAGAAAATGCCAAGCATGGCAGCCGAAAAGCTGCGAGTTTTGGCGTCAGCTGCCATAACCATCAAGTTTCTTGAGCGTGTTCGATCTCATCAGACTCAAATGGTTGGATAGTTTCTCGAGTGTTCCAAAGAGGCATAAGCCACAGCCGAGCCACAGCCAGAAACCGAGCCGCCAGCCACGACCACCAGCCACGAAGGCACAGCCAGAAGCCTCTTCATTAGGTATCCTAGTCCGTCTAAATGATGAAGAGAGAAGACTACTTGGATTTGACCACATGCTGTAGCTCTCTCCGGAAATCTACATTGTACAGTACTGCTGAAAATTAACTCCGTTTCTTTATCCAGCTGAGCCAGCAGACAGTCACGAAGCAGGCGGCGCGGAGGTGGCGTACGGTCTGGGCACGTACGCTACTCTACCTCCGGAATTGGGCAGAGGCTCAGCTCACACAAGAAGCCTTGAGGCTGCAGCCGGGATAACCCCTCTTCAGCGGTTTGTTCTTTATAAATGATGCAGACACCGTGATCTTTTCGAGCAAACGAATAATTCCCCTCGTACAGTACATCTATTACAGCATACCCGTTAATTGCCGTCAAACATGAGCGGGCAGAACCGCACCACAGAGTACGCGCTTCATAAAACCGATAGTCGTTGCCATTCCGACCTGCACACTCATATTGACAGTGGCTAATACGTATATCGTCAAAAATGGTTTCTTGCTGTCCTGCAGGGATACTAATTGGACATGGGTGAAGGCTGCGAGCTGTACGAAGAAGTGTACGGCGCCCTGGCTCCAATCAGTTGTCTAAGCACACAGCCTCAGCCTGATGCCTTTCCGAACATTGGGATGTTGCCTTGTCGACACTATGCCCCTCAAGCAATTCTTCCTTACTATTCTTCCGCCGAATATAAGCCACTCTCATAGGTGTCTCGCCTGGGTCTATCTAGAATAGTGCCCTTCTCAACGGAAAGAGCTCAGAATGCACGATTTCTATCACAGCAGACTACTTAATGACCCCACCCAATTCCAGCCTCGTTCTGGCAATCGATCTCTTGAGGTCTTTCTGTCTGATGTAAGCGGGGTTCAGAATCTGGGGCAAAGGCATTTCTGACAGCTGCTAGAGAGATGCAACCCCTACTCTCAAGCAGACTGAAATTGAGGAGCATGCAATCCAGGACTGGGTTGTCCGGGAGCATGTTGATATGGAGTACCCACAAGGTTGTGAGACCCAACGACCACACCTTCGACTTCTGATAGGGAGTCCAGAGCAACACCAAAGTGATGCAGAAATCTTGCCGCTCCCCATATCAAGGGATACCTTTGAGGCGCTCAGAATTGCATGGGGTCTGCCCAAGGAGCTTCTCCGAATGATGCTCAGTAGTCTTCCCATCGCTGATGACTTCAAGGGAACAGACGCAAAAGGCCGCCCAGTTACCGGAGTAATGATTCGAAGTGCAAGATCTCGTGATTGGAATTTCTGTCTAGGTCTTGCTTACAATGAGAAGACTGGCGTTCTCCATGGTATCTTGAATGGCATGCAAAATGACGAGATTGCACTTCTTCTCGATTGTCTTCAGAAGACTGGCAGGGGGGATTTCGATTCGATGTTGCTTCCCATCTTCCTCCTCGAGCTGAAGGTTCATTATTTTGCGGTGCTGCTTGAGAAACGTGCGAGGGGCATCGAAAAGATCGAGTACATGACTGGTATGAGGCACGGTTTTTCTTCAGACCCAAAGCGCAATATGAGTATTGTCAAGGATGTTGAACGGGAGCGCATTCTTAGGGAGTTGGACTTTGATGAGATCACACGGAAGTTGACAGGACTCACGGGGACTTTGAGCTTCTGTGATATGACATTCTGTTCGAGCTTGCGAGCTTTGCACAAAGTTGACAATATCAGGTCACGGATCAACCCCCAGCGGGAGCCCCGAGGAGACGTCGAAATTCGTGTCTCGTATCTGAGAGAGCTCATAGTTGGCTCTCAAGCCCTCGGTGCCGTCCTAACAGATCGCACAAAGGCCCAAGTGCAAACGGTAGGGTCATGCATCCGACTAGGTCCCATGGCAAGCAGTACATGCTGACCCCTCAGGATAGGTGTACAGCCTGATAGGGCAGAAAGACAACAGGCTCAACATCGAAACGGCTGCGGCGTCGAGGGAAATCGCTGAGGTCAGCCTGGGACACAACACTGCCATGAAAGATATGGCTGAGGATTCCAGAAATGTTGCCATACTGACACAGAAGGACAGCACCAACATGCGTATCATTGCGGTGGTGACCCTTTTATTTCTTCCAGGCACCTTCATGGCAACATTTTTCTCCGCAGGCTTTTTCAACTTCTTCGAGGGGAAGCAACGGCAAGGTCAAGTCGTTTCCAGGTGGATATGGCTGTATTTTGTGCTCACTGGAGGCACCACACTTGTTGTCTTCGCCGGCTGGGCTTGGTACTCGAAAAGACAGAACTAGGAAATTCTCAGAATCATTAAGACCGCATCGTCTGCGGGTAGTCAGGGCATCAAAACGGACATTGAATCCACGAGTCGACCTCAAATGTCCCTTACAGCTCAGCAGGATGAGCAGTTGATGTCCATAGTGCCAGGCGGACAGGGAACACCTGTTGCTCCAGTCATCCGCGGACGAAAGTCGTTCGCCTGATCAACGGCGATGGAATTCACAGTTGACGCGGTAGAACTGGATTGTCCTGGAAGATTCTAAGCTCAGATTCCAACCATATCAGACCTTGAAATACCCGGCGCGAGAAGCGAGAGGCGAGGAGCTCAAGAGAACAAAGGTTTCGCAGGTTGGAATGCGGCTGCGTCGGCGTCGTGTACATTTCGGAAACCGTGACCGTCGATGCGGTAGCAAGACGCAATACTCAATATCGCAGAAACCAACTGCAGTTCAACGAACTCTTACAAGCTGTGTACAAAGTATCAAAGGGCCTACATGGAGTGTTGATGCAATCGAGTACCTTGATGTTTGTTCGAGGCAGCAGCACGTGCAATGCTTCACTGAGAGTCATGGTCACCGGTCGCGACAATGACCTCCCACCAATACACCACTGCCTGGCCGCTCAGTCGTTACTGGGACTGCCACATCTCATTCACGGACCTCTACTTCTCCATCCTGTCTCCTTGACACCCGTTCAACAAAAGTCCAAGATCGCTTGGGCAGGTCATCTCTCATTTCGCGACGCTTCAAAGCATCAAACATCATACGCTGAGAAGAGCACACTCAATTGGTATGGCAGTCATTGTTGCGTATTTGATTGACTTTGTCGCGACACGACTGAGTTTCACTTTTTACAAAGGACCAGCTGACAAAAGGTGTTCGTCGCATAGGCCCGCGGAGCTTCGCAACCTTGTCATCGCCTTTCCTAGTGTCCGCCACTTCCTCTACCGCAATGCCAAAGAAAAAGAAGGGAACAAAGTCGGCAAGAGCTGAGCCATATAAGGCCACTGTCCCAGCCAGACGCCGCTCTGAGAGAATTGCACAGGCAGTTCCGGAGGACACGCAAACTGCTACCGAAGGATTGGCGAGCCCAGGATTACTTCTTACCGGCCTTCCACTGGAAATCAGACTGGAGATCTTCGGGTACTTCACTGGGGCTCCAACAGAATACGACGAGCAAGAACGCCAAAAGATCGAGCTCACAAGACGATCTCTGTTGTTGGTCTCACGCCAGGTCAACACCGAATGGACACCGCTCTTTTTCAATACGACGACCATCATGTTCAAGGCGGGACGCACCGACCGTGCTGGATTCCCAACTCCATCGAAGGCTACGCGACAAGAAGAAAATGAACTCCACGCCATGCGGATTGCTGTCAATGTGTCTGATGAGCTCCTCAAGAGCATTTCCCTTCCCAAATTGGAATTTGTCAAGAAATTGCATTGGGAGCATACAATTGCGCAAGCTAGGCTGGGATGGCATGGCGGAGGTGTAGGACAGATTGCGGACGACAGAGGCCTCGTACGACTATCTCATGCACTCAAACACATGAAGGCGTCGTTGCCCAATCTTACTGAGGTCATTTACTCGAACAGCACTGGTTACCACACCGAATCGTTCTCCGCCACGAATGACCCCTCAGGCAAAGAGCATGATCACGAGCATGAGTTTCGTCGCATCGATGCTGGTGGCCGACATCAGGAACTCGCAAATAGACTAGTGGGCGAACGCCGCTCTAGTGTCCTTCGTGGATTCGTCGTCGACAAAAAGGTCATTTTCGAACCCGGTCGCTACTTGGGCACTCAGCACTTGTTGTACGCTCAAGGATTCCAGATCATATTCAAGAAGGCAAGGGGTGCGAATTCGAACTCGAACGTTGGATGAACAGTTTTCGATCTGCCCAGGCTCTCGGGTGTCAGCATTGAGACGGCTGATATTGCATTGTGACGTGAATCTGGGGAACGGAATGATATCGTGAGCGAAGTTGGACGGAAGGAGCTTCAAGGGGTGCGTCTGCACAAAGTTTGTTTCATCAAGGAGTAAAAACATGCGAAACCTGGCAGCAGAACACAAGGCACCTGTGTTGTGATAAAGACAAAGAGATAGACAGAGAGAGACAGAGAGAAAGTGCTGAGATACCATCAGAGTGTTGCACATAGGTAGATGGAAACATCGACAAAGCTCTCAATACTACATCTACTTCTAGCATCCGTATTGCGGCCTCGCATCGCATCGCGTGAAGAATCGGCGCAGGAGAACCGACCCCACTCAGCAGAGAGTTGCTGCAAAGGGGCTGCTGACTGACACTGCTTGAACCACCATACCGAGTGACAGTGCACCCAGACTTGGAATAGGCCGTCTCTCTTCATGCTAAGCCATTCGAGATTAGACCGTAGACGCTGCTGTTCCGGTGAGCGTAGGTATCTACTACTGTAGATAGGCTTTTTAGCTCAGCCAAGATACGAGTACAAGGTATGGCCTGGTACTGACCGCATGTATGTACCGTACTACCTGCAACCCCTTGATCGCCGAAGCCTCGCGCCACGTCACGTGACCATAGCCTTGTCGTTGTTTACCCTACAGTACGTTCAACGGTAGAGGGCACCATCTGAGACCGACCGCGATAACCACCCAGGGTCGAAAACTACTATATCATTTTCAGTGGTCCTGAGAGAACTCGGTAGTCCGTTTAGACATTTGCATTAACAGCACGAAGGCCAGCACAAGTACGTGCAGGTACTACTACGAGGTATCATTCTGTTGTCTTGCTACCCGGGAATGGAAGAGGAGTCGCCCTGTGACCTTTGCACGCCCCAGTAATCCATGTACCCTTACAATCGCCGCTGAAAGAGAGAGATAAGCATCAGGAGCGCTCCACTCAACTCAACTCATCCTGGCGAAATATTGTGCTGTGCAGCACAGTAATATTTCCCGAGGCCCCCCACTAAAGACAGTTTGCAGATGGTGTCAACGCACGCGAACTCTCTTGGCGATTCCCGAAAGAAAACTACCCTTAGTGCTTCTCGGCCATCATACCTTCAGGTCCAACAATGGCACTTGCTGGCGCCACATCGGCGATTGTCTCGTCGCTAAACTTCAAGTCTTCTTCGATGTCCGTGGTGTCCTTGACCTTTGTCCAGATGACAGGAGCGGCAAGCAGGAGCGAGCCGGCCAACACACCCCAATTGACGGCGAACTGGGTCATGAATGAAACGTTGTTTGAATCGAGCTGGGGCGAGATGGCGCCACCGGCAGACTGGATGCCTTTGTAGAAACCAGTAAAGTTGGCAAGCTTACGACTGTTGTTGGTAATGGATCCCATGAGCCTAGGAAGTGTTAGTTGCAAGAAGAAGGCGGTCATGTCCAATCGTGCTTACCAGTATGTGGTGGTCTGCCACACCGAGTCGTACATGCCGTAGAACATGAACAAGAACATAGGGCCAATGTAGCCTGAGTCGGTCCAATCAAGCTTAACATAATCATCAGCCGTTGTTTCAGCGCGGTTGTACTGTTTCTGGAAATCGTAGCCACCACCCCAGATGACAAATGTGAGGACGAAGAGGACGACCATAACACCTCTGGCACGAGTCGAGCGGCTGAAACGGGGACTGTCGAGGGCAAAACCAAAGATGGCCGATCCGAGGATTTGTGACAAATAGTACAAGACGCTGTTGAGGGCACGAGTCCGGATGTTGAACTTTGGCAGATTGACATCTTGAAAATGGTAGGTGTAGAACCAGTTGCTGGCGAAGAACATGGGGAAAAGGAGAACGATATACCAGTCGCTGAACAGGGTTTGCCAGAGACCAATCAGTTCAGACTTCCAGGTCGGGTTCTTCATCAGGATGACGCGAGATCCGTCGGATCGTTCGACAAGCTTTGGGTCGCAGAGGAAGCCTGACAGAACGAAACCAGCTACCATCAGAACGATGAAGGCAATGTAAGTCCCATCCGCGACTTTGTTGCTCTTGTTGTGAATACTCTGGCCCAGGGGGATCAAGCCGCCAATAACAGCTCCAAGATTGAAGATGCCCCAGAATACGGCAATGTATCTGCCCTTGGATTTCTCCGGAGGGTACGCCAACATGACGGAGCCTTGAGCAGTCCAGAGCAGCCCAGCACAGACACCAAGCAGGGCACCCGCAAAGATAAGGAAACCCGCGTTCTGGGTATGGTTGTAGCAGAGGATCGAGGAAATGTAGAGGCAGTATCCGAAACCTCCTAGACCAAGGGTCAGACGGAGACCGATGGTGTTGGCAATCGTGCCCGCGAAGAAGCCGACGACCGAGAAGGTCGCGTAGACAGCCGTGTTGGCGTTGTTGATATCATGCGCACTGACTTGGCCGGCCGCACCCAAGCCGTTGACAGCGTTGAACATGCCGGGACACAAGAAACAGACCAGGGCAACAAAGACAACCTGGAACTGCGGCGTTGCATATGCGGGAATAGTGACGGGGCCAATCTTGAAGGTTTTATACATCCAAGATTTCCCATGCGGTCTCGCTTCAGCACCCATGATCTCTGGTGCTGGAGTGTCAGAGCCAGCACTCGTTGATGCCATCTTTTCGTTTATGGGTTCAGACATTCTTCAACAAGGTAGGAAAGTAAGTAAAGCAAAGCTCAATGTGCCGAGGGTTGAAGTAGAGGAGGTCGCAGGCGTTGTGACTTGACAAATAGACTTTCGGACAGAAGAAGGCTGCAGTCAAGCGGAGTAGAGTTGCGGGATGTGAGACCACCTGGGGCAGAAACGCTGGTGGAGTCTGGGTGCTGGTCTTCGCCTTCAGAGTGTCGCGTGCGTTGGGAACGGAGGAGTCTCGAGGACGGAAGAGGGTCAAGGAGGATGGATATAGAAGTAGTCAACTGGTCGAGAGTGACAACAGGACAACGACACGGTGATAGTGAGTGAGGTTGCTGCGCTAAACCACCCTCCCCATGAGTATCAGCAGACTGTTTGAGATAGAAAGATAGAAGAGTGACATTGTACCATACCGACGCAGACACAGGAGCATTTGATAGAACAAGGTGCTCAGGTAGTGGCCAACCAGGAGCCCCCTATCAGGCTAGCAGGTGTCGAGCAGCGTGGTTCGTCGGCTGCACGGCAACAGTACTCCAGACTCGTGGAGGTGGTGTTGATTGCAAGGGTCGATCAGAGAGGCTCGTTCAATCATTCACGGTTCAGGCTTAGCCGACGGCGACAGGGTATCATTGTGGTAAAAGCCATTCGGAGATTGATATGGCTCGCAGACGCTGGGCAGTAAGCCTGGCGGTGGAGTGCGAGAGATAGAATGCGATCGCAGGGTGGTTGGCCTGCGGCGACAAGGGTGGTGTTGAGACTGGTACGTACCGGGCACAGCGAGAGTGTCTGCGAAGGCCTGCACGCAGCACACCGTACAACACCCTGGGAGCGGCGCGGAGCACGTGACCCGCCCCTCGATAAGAGTGTTGCATCCTTCTCCGCCTCAGCGTTACATACACTCTGTGCGGCTTTGATTGTGACTCTCCAGAACAACGTTTCATCCATCACTTCTCTGACTGTCCGCCGTTGTTGCATCTGGCATCGCTGCCTCGTCCAGTTCCTCTTCATCACCGGCGACGACTACATGAATGACTACGAGAAACTCCTGTGGCCTGTCGACCACCAATCTCCTTGGCCACGGTAACACTACCAGGTCCAGGTCCAGGTCCAGGTCGATGTCGCCGTCGCTGTTGAACGTGCCCAAGCACTGCAACATGAGAGGCTTCGGGAATGCTGTGCCATCTCCGGAGACCAAGCCTGGAGCGGTGGTTTTGACATCAACCACTCATCTCACGCGTCTCTGCGCTCTATTCCGTCGTCTGCCGTTTTCCAGATCCAAACGGCCAGTAGAATTTGTTGACTTTGACCTATGAACTCACCGGCTGTGACGTGACACGCTCCTCTACACACTCTTATTCATCGCAATCTGCCTTTCTTGACCTTCCTTCTCTCATTCTTGTAGGGTTCTCCTGCAAGCAATCCTTGCTTATCCGCCTTCTCCCACCCTCCTCCTGGACTTTGTTGCTGGTGTCGGTAATAGATATCAATATGGCGACCTCGCCTCCGCGCATTGTCAAGTTCACGAACGGCTATCTCCTCAAGGACGGCCAGCTGGTCTCGGGTGACCTCTGGGTGTCGTCAGATACTGGCCGGATCATGAGCCCACAAACAGCCTTCTACTCATCACGACTAACAGCAGACAAGACTGTTGATCTCCAAGGCAAGATCCTCGCTCCGGGCTTCATCGACGTTCAAATCAACGGTTCACACAATTTCGACTTCTCCACCCCCAGCCCGGAATTTGCCTCCGGCTTCGCTCATGCCAGGAAACAAATGATCAAGAGCGGACTGACGTCCTTTGTGCCGACCGTCATCAGTACACGGCCGGAAGCCTATCATGCCGTCCTGCCGCATCTTGGTCCCTCGGGAAAGACCAGGGACTTCAACGAAGGCTGCGAAAGCCTAGGTGCTCACATTGAAGGCCCGTTCTTGTCACCGCTCCGTAATGGCGTTCACAATCCAGAAGTGCTGCGAGAGGCCAACTCGTGGGCCGACGTGGAGGAGTGTTATGGATCGTCCAACCTAGAGAACGTCCGATATATCACCGCCGCTCCAGAGCGAGGACAGATGATGTCTCTGATCCCAAAATTTGTCTCTCGAGGCATAGTATTTTCGGTCGGTCATTCTGATGCCACTTTCGAAACAGCCCAGAATGCTATTGCCGCTGGAGCGTCAATGGTGACACATCTGTTCAACGCCATGCGACCCTTTGGACACCGAGATCCTGGTATTTTCGGGCTGCTTGGACAATCAGCCCCAACTACGCCTGTCACATCACCAAAACAAAGTCGACCGACTAGTACGTCGTCGTCCCCCGAGGCATCACCTAGATCGTCCAGAAGATCGACGCCTCGGTCTAGTCTCAGCATAAGCACATCAGTGGACGATCTAGACGAAGGAGCACGGTACAGACAACCTTTTTTTGGCCTTATCGCCGACGGTATACACCTATCTGCGCAAGCGCTAAAGATTGCATATTCTGCTCATCCACGAGGCGCGATTCTCGTCACTGACGCGCAGAAGTTTGCTGGATGTCCGGATGGTGTCTACGACTGGCGAGGAGAAGATCGCTTTGTCAAAGAAGGAAAGTTACTCAAGCTTGAGAGCAATGGACGGATAGCGGGGAGTGTTGTTGACCTAATAGACTGCGTCAACAACTTCAAGCGCTTCACAGGATGCGGCACTGCTAAAGCACTGGAATGTGTCACGAGCACTCCGGCCAAGATGCTTGGGAAGGACGTAGAGGCGTCGAAGGGAAAACTAGAATCCGGCATGGATGCCGACTTGGTCGTCCTTGATGAGACCCCGGACGGGGAATTGACCGTACAGCAAGTTTGGAAGTTTGGAGTTCAGGTGGCTTGATATGGTCTTTGGACGTTTACAAAAAGTGCATTCGGCTGGGCGTTATCCAGGCGTCAAGAAGGCCTTCGCTTTGGTTTGTCTCAAACGCCGATTTGTTGTCGACGTTTTCTGGTCACCCCAACCTGGGCTAGGATGATATTGCGCAGTTGTGTTCGAGATACCTTTTAGACACGGTTGAGAATTCCCCTGGACGCGATTGAACGAGTATGATGTATAACAGCACCCTTTAGAAATGCGATCATTTATTCTGTTGCCGTTATGCCTATCTTCATCTGTCGGTGATTCCTTAGAGATCGTTCGCGCGGAGGCGCCAAAAGCGGCCATCAGCCAGCGTCCCTATTCCTCCCGAGGAATTGTCGTGCACAACCAACCACAGCCTCTGCTCGTCGTTCAGTCTCTCTCCGTGTATAATTCGTGATGGCAGCCTTGCTCGATAGCCCGAAATATCATCTTCAATACACATCCCCTGAACTGGAGGCTGTGGCAATATGCCTCAAATCGTCATCGTAACATGGCCCTCGTTTCGATGGCAGAACGGGCGAACGCAGGCCCTTGTTGGCGCGGGGTTGCCGTCTGGCCAGACAGAATCAGGTCTAGTCTCCTCAGCCCACGTCCTCACGTTCTCTGCCGCCCGCGTCCATTTGTTGAGGACAACGAAACCTGAGGCAATTTTCACCGCATCCTCGCCGACCTTCTTCAGAACCATCGGTCCTGTCCGTTGTGGTCGATTCTTATTCACAAATCATTGAGGTGTGACTTGGGACTCGAAAGTGCTGTGGACTGTGTTCTGGGGAGCGCCCTACCCCCGCCAACAGCCATGACCGTCAGGAAGCTGTACACACCGGAGTAAGCTAATTAATCATCTCAACGGCTTCCAACTGACCTGGCAGGGTTCTCTTGAGCGCTCCACGGAGATCTGCAGCCATCCCAAGTCCAGATGGGAAGCTAGCTGTGTACACACAGTCGACCTACTCGTTTGACAGCCACTCAAGAACAAATGAAATCTGTGTCCTAGATCTCACAACAGCCCAGTCTGTCTGCATCAGCAAGGATCCCAAAGCCAGCGAACCTCGATGGACCGGCACTGGGCATGAACTCGTCTGGCTGAAGGAATGCGACAACGGAAACACAAGCTTCGTCATCACTGACGCGACACTCCCCGGAAAGTGCTACACTGCAGGCACAGTTCCCGGACTGGTTTCTAGTCTGAAGGTCTTTGTCATCGAACCAGGTAAAGTGGCTGTTGCAGTTGCTGGGAAAGCAAACCCGGACGGGAGCCTGCACAATCCCAAAGATGTGCAAAAGCCTCGCAGCTCGGCCCGCGTTTATGATTCTCTCTTTGTCCGACATTGGGACACGTACATTTCCGAACAACGCAACAGCATTTTCACAGCCTTGCTGCAGAAGTCTCAACCAGTCGTGACATCGCGTCAGGGTCGGTACAGTCTTCTTGGGTTCAAGAACGCATTGCAGGGCTCAAAGCTCGAATGTCCGATTCCGACGTTTGGTGGTACTGATCACTTCGATATAGGCCCAACAGGTCTCATCATCGTAGCAAAGGATCCGGATCTGAACCCTGCTACTCACACAAAGTGCCAGTGTTATTTCTTCCCCCAGAGAGATCTAACGGATGTGAGCAAGCCCCAGTTTCGCAAAATTGGCGTTCCTGGGCTACACGGCGCAGCCACATCACCAGTCTTCTCGCCATCTGGGGAATCTGCCGCATTCCTCAAGATGGCCACTGACGGGTATGAAAGTGACAAAAACTGCACTGTTCTAGTGCATGGCCTTTCTGATGACCACGAACTTACTGCCGCGGAACTCATGCACACCTCCGATGGCAAAGGTGGCTGGGACCGGTCACCGTCATCTCTCAAATGGACCGCCGACGGCAAGACCATACTTATGGAAGCCGAAGACAACGGCCGTGGTTGCCTGTTTGCGTTGGATCTGGACCAAGCACCAGGCCCCGGCTGGCGACCTCGCCAGATCACCCATTCAGGCTACATTATCGATTTCGCCCCTCTTTCGTCAGATTCTGCCCTCTATCTCGTTTCCTCCAACAGCCTCGTCGATAGCAGCACATACAGCATTGTTGACTCGTCAGGGAAGCATGCGACTACTATCATAAGCTCTATCTCCAATGGTGGCGCACGCTTCGGCCTGTCGCCTGAACAGGTCTCGTCGCTTTGGTGGGAGGGTGCTAATTCTCATCCAGTACATGCATGGATGATGCGCCCATCTTTCTTCCGTGCTGATCACAAATATCCTCTTGCATACCTTATCCATGGTGGTCCCCAAGGTGCTTGGAATGACCAGTGGTCTACGCGTTGGAACCCAGCTGTGTTCGCCGAGCAAGGTTACATCGTCGTGTGTCCCAATCCTACTGGATCTACAGGCTACGGCCAAGCCTTCACAGATGCCATTCGTAACGAATGGGGCGGATTACCGTACGAGGATCTCGTCAAAGGCTTCGAACACATCGAAGCGAATCTCGACTTTGTGGATACATCACGTGCTGTAGCCCTAGGCGCATCATACGGCGGCTTCATGATGAACTGGATCCAGGGGCATGATCTTGGTCGGAAGTTTAAAGCCCTGGTGTGTCACGATGGCGTCTTCAGCATGACTGGACAGTTGGCCAGTGAAGAACAGTATTTCCCCGTCCACGACCTGGGCGGTCCTATTTGGGAACGACAAGAGATATACGACAAGTGGGATCCAAGCCGATTCACAAAAAATTGGAGCACGCCGATGCTCGTGATACATAACGAGCTCGATTACCGGCTTACCATCGCAGAAGGACTAAGCGCCTTCAATGTGCTCCAAATGAGAGGGATAGAAAGTCGGTTCTTGAGTTTCCCTGACGAGAACCACTGGGTGCTGAAGCCGGAGAACAGTCTTGTCTGGCACCTGGTTGTGATTAACTGGATCAACAAGTTCGTAGGCTTACCGAAGCTGGTTGACCGGGATGGTCGTGATGGGTCGACATTTTCCAAACAGAATGAGCCCAGGGGGATTGTGAGGAGAATCGCTGCAGCTCATCTGCAGCAGTGACTACACACATGGTCGCAATAATGAAGCAAGGTGTCTGTGGGATGGTGACTGCGGAAGCAGTCTTGACTTGGGCATCGGACAGATCGACATTGGTAGAGTGTCGGCGTGGGTAAGGCATGATATCGGGGGACTAAGTCCGGAGTTGTGTCTCTTCTCATGAAGACTGCCCAGAGGATGAGTGGAAAGAGGATCTCGTCTCTTGTACATCGAGTATAGGTATATAATACAGAGTGGTTCTAGGCCTCGAGACTAACGACCTCATCCAACTGCCCGGTGACTAGCTCCCGCCGTCTGTTACAGTATCAGTGGCGGTCTTTTAGCAGCGTCACATTAGACTCTCGAAGGTACGAATGTATCCTAGTTGTGAGCTGAGAAAGCAGAGCTCAGAGCTTTTGTGGTTTTACTTATTGCCATGATTGCTAAAGCACTCTTCCCTGACCACCTCAGCGAGCACTTTGTTATCCAACGGTTTTCCTTGCAACGGTCCTCCCGGCCGCAAGAGCTCTTTCATGACGGGGCCGGGTTTCAGCTCTCCTCCTTCACCTCCTCCCTGCTGACCTCCTCTTATTGACTCTACTGTGGCGCGGACAATGCTGCGCATCTCGGCCACGTCCATCATGGACACAGTGCCCATCAGTTCATCGACGACCGCAATTTCCAAGTCCAACTTCTCGAGAAACTCGGGTCGTTTGGCGTCGATGGCTTCTTGTTTGGCCGTCTCGCTCGATGACCGTCGCTTCCGGAGCAGAGCAAGGATCTGCATGTCCGTCGTAATCGGCGTGGAGGAGCTGGCGGCTTGGTTGATCTCTGAGATTGTTCCGCGGATCACGGTCAGTCTGGAACAACAGCGTTAGCCATACCAGGCTCCTCTCGCAAAACAAACGTTGGAGAAGCAAGTACCTGGCTTGGTCTTTAGCGCGCATTGCAGCTTTCAGGTCCTGTTTGAGTTTGGCCAGCAATGGAGAGCTCGGTGCCGCAGCGGATGAGTTCCAGCGGAGACTCGAGGTGGTGGTGGTGGTGGTGTGACGATACATACATCTTGAGCAGAGTGATCGCTCAATAGAAGGCAGCAAGAGTCGAGAGGCGCTTACGGACGACATGTCGGGCAGCCGTTATGGTGTCTTGTGCAGTCGAGGATATGTTGTAGGACTCTAGTCTCTCTACCTTGACCTGGAAACCAAAAAGTTCCCTTCGAGTGTATGACAATCACATTTCCCCAGATTTCAGTTGGAGAACGACGTTCCTGGGACTAGACTCGATTGGGATCAGAATCTTGCCGGTAACGCTCATTCTATTGTTGCGAACCCTTTGTCGCGGTTGATTATTGTCGAAACCAAGACATAATATGTCAAAGTTAGTAGATCCCCTGCATGTCCAGAGATCGTCATGGACGAGAGTCCAGCTACTTACTACTGAGCCGCAGGGTGGCTGTTTGGCTGGACGCACTTCTCTTGGGCGCACTGCTGGATACCACCACATCCAGAGGAAATAGGCCCTAGGATCCTTGAGGACAGTCGACAACCCAAAGCACGGATTGGGAGTCCCGCTAGTTCCTCCAATATGACCGTACTGTGCAACTTTGTACTCCGTCTCTTACCCGTACCACCATCATGTCCGCGACGAGGCTGAACCAATTGTGTCTGCCGAGATAATGGCTTGGCAAGGCTGACATTTCATGAGCGCGTCCAAAGCTGCTTCACCGAGCGTAGGGAAACATTTGCTCGTGACGAAGGTGAACCACAGTCAATCCTTAATTGGCACCGCGCCTTGTATCCGTAGGCCATTGCACATCTGAGTCTTGGACGGAAGCCTCCTCTTCGTTTTTCATCTCCGCCTCCTGCGGATTGCGACCATTAATGCATTCCCAATAATTTCAACTTTGCGGTCGACGCGACTTTCCACAAATATGGCCACGGCAATTCCACAAACACCAGCCAGGCCAGTACCTGGTGTATGGCCTCAGACGCCTGCCACGAGACCTATGATCCCTGCTCCGTCGTTCCAATCTCCAGGCACACCACTCTCCCGGCCGAACATTACACCTCGCGACACCTCCGCAAGCCTCGTAACCACAAGATCCGCTGAAACTCCAGCCCAGAGTCAGAGTTCAATACGGCAACCTGAATCTCTCGAGCCTCTCGAAAGAGCCGCACGAACGATCAACGAAGCCTTTGCAAACGAATCACGATTCCCAGAGGTTGAGAACTATTTGGCGCAGGGCTATTCTGCCGATTATGATATTCAGGGCTCGACAACATGGGCGCCATTTCAAAAAGCCGGGGCATACAAGATCCCGGATGAGATCTTTGAGCAGTACAACAATGCGCAGTTGTCCACAAGTATGGGACTTTTTGCGGAATTGAGATACGCCTGGACGACTATCGATAATGCACTGTACATGTGGGATTATACAGCCCCGAAGCCTGAGTTGCTCGGATTCGAGGGACAACCGCACAGTATCCTCGCCGTCAAGCTGGTGAAACCCAGGGCAGGCGTTTTTCTCCCTCATATCACACATGCCATCGTTTTGGCCACGACGTCAGAGGTATTGCTGCTCGGCTTAGGAACCGATCCGAGCCCCGGCGCGTCTGCAGGCCTTTCGCTTTTCCAGACGGGGATGTCAACTTCCACGAAGGGCTTGGATATCAGTGTCATTGCCGGTTCGACAAAAACAGGAAGAATATTCTTCGGCGGTCGATCAGAAAATGAGCTGTATGAGCTCTCATACCAACAAGAGGATGGATGGTTTTCTAGCCGCTGTTCGAAAATATGCCACACTGCAGGCGTAGCAAAGTCGTTGACTTGGACCTGGGACTCTCTGCGAGGCGCTTCCAAAGAGTACGTGGAACAGATTGTTGTAGACGACACGCGCGACATGCTCTATACTTTGTCATCTTTGTCGAACATCCGTGCATTCCACATGGAGTCGGATGGTACGTTGCGAAAGGTCATTGACAAACCGGCTGTGCAGATCTATGCCAACATAGGTCACATCATCAGTCAGAACGAGACGCTCAATCCTCGCGTTCCAATTGTGGCAATATCAGCGATTCCGGCCTCCGAAGCATCGAGGTATCACCTTGTCGCCACAACCGCCACTGGCTACCGGATATACCTTAGTGCGACCAGTTCTGGTTATTATCCAGCGTCCGGGTTGAGTGGGAATATCACGATGCAAGCACAGCATGTCAAAACCCCTCCTGTGACCTCGGCGCCAGGGTTATCTCTGGCTTCTGTGAGCTCGGATCCGTCTAGCAGCGCGCATGTACCCATCAAGACTTTGACCATGACAAGACTTGCCGCGAGATATTCTCCTGGATATTTTTTCGCCTTTGTTGCCAGGGATGCCAATGCCCAGGTTGACCAGTTGTTCGTCTCCGCCCCCGATGCCGGTCGGTTGATTAGACCTGCTGAAGCCGGCCAGCCGAGCCGCTCTACTGAGACTGCGATCTGGTTGTCTCTAGGCAGCCGTGCGGAAGACATCGGATTGGTGGTCCCGTACTCACCTCCGATTGCTAACCCTGCCGGTTATGGTAACGACTTGGCGGTTCAATTTGACAAGCCTACCCCAGAAGTGGCTGTATTGACGAACACGGGCGTTCACATCATTAAGAGACGACGGCTGGTCGACATATTTGCCGCAGTCAGCCGGCAAGGAGGTTCTGAAGGTTTCCAGAACGAGGTAAACAACTTGATCAGAGCTTATGGTAGAACCGAGACCCTGGCAACAGCTCTTGCTGTTGCTTGCGGCCAAGGCGTCGAAGTAACCAAGGACGCTTACTCTGCACGGGTTAATGACCCGGAAGTACTGGAACTGGCGCGGAAGACCTTTATTGAATATGGGGGCAAGCCTAGTATCAATCAGAATTCGATCACTGACAAATCAGTACCTCTGATTGATGCTGTACGGCCTTCGCCTCGACATGCAGCAACCGCCCTATACCTCTCCCGAGTACTGCGATCGACCTGGCGCAATGTGATTGCGGTTGAAGCCATCACCCCCGTAGGGTATCAGATCAATCCCGCCGTACCGTTGAAAAAGTTAAGAGATGTGCAAGAGGCTTTGTCTTCACTGCAGAGGTTCTTCAAGACCAACAAAAGCTTCATCAAAGGTCTTAGCGGCCCAGATGATTTGTCCACCGCCAGTACCAAGGACGATGAAATTGCGCTCAAGGGCGAGCACCGCGCCCTGCATTCTTTGGTCAAATTCACCTCCGACACAATTGAAGGTCTTTCCTTCATCCTGGTTCTCTTCGACGAGAAAGTTGCTGAACTCATTCCACTCCTCCCAGAATCCTCACGAGCAGGAATTCTCAAAGTAACTTTTGAAGAACTCTTTACGACAAAGACCGGCTACGATCTGGCAAAGGAATTAGTCAAGGCCATTGTTAATCGCAATATTGCCAAAGGTTCCAATGTGGAAACCATAGCTGAAGCTTTGAGGAGAAAATGTGGCAGCTTCTGTAGCGCAGATGATGTTGTGATTTTCAAGGCTCAAGAGCAACTGAAGAGAGCGAACGAGGCAGGAGGCAACGCCGAATTTTCGCGCAATCTACTTAATGAAAGCTTGAAGCTGTTTGAGCAGGTGGCACACAGCCTTCCAATGGACTATCTGCACTCAGCTGTCAAGCAGTACACAGAACTACAGTTCTACGCGGGCGCCATCCAGTTAGCCCTGCGGGTGGCTCATGAAAAAGACAAGGCGAATGAAGCGCTGTCGTGGATGGCAGATGGTCGACCGGACGGCGATGGCCGGAAGGCGAAATTTGACCTACGGACACAATGCTATGACCTCATCCACGAGGTTGTTGTTGCGGTTGATCGTAGCACCGAACAAGGCCCGAGTTTCGTTGATGGCAAGCCTACACTTGCTGCCACAAGGAGGAACGAAGCCTATGATGTGATCAGCCGATCCAACGACGAAGCATTTTTGACGAATCTGTATGATTGGTACATCCAGCAAGGCTGGTACGACAGGTTGTTAGCCACAGAGTCGTCTTTCATCGTGACTTACCTTCAACGAAAATCGTCCGAGGACATCACGTATGCTGATCTCCTGTGGAAATATTACGGTCAGACCAACCAGTTTTCGGAGGCTGCAAAGATTCAACTGCAGCTCGCCAGAAGCCCTTTCCCGCTTTCTCTCGAGAAGCGGATCGAGTATCTTAGCAGAGCAAAGGCCAATGCGTCGACGTATACACCAGGGGGCAATCGCAAAACCAAACAGGCATTGCTTTTGGAGATCTCAGACCTGCTTGACATCGCCATCATTCAAGACGAAATACTGCAGCGATTGCGAGATGATGACCGGCTAGTAGGTGATCGCAAGAAGGACGTGCTGGATCGTGTGAATGGTATCATCCTCGACATTACAAGCCTGTTCAACGATTTTGCAGACAATGCAGGCTATTATGACATTTGCCTGCTGATCTATCAGGCAGCAGACCACCGTGATGCATCTCAGATCAAACAGACATGGCAACAATTGTTCCAGGTGGTTCACGACAAGACGGTGGCACAGGGTGAAATCCAACCGTTTGAAGCGATGGCCGAAACCGTGCGAAGTCTCGGCAGTAAGCTGCGAGTTTCCGAGACGACATTCCCGGTCGATACGCTGTTGTTGATTCTTGAAAAGTATTCGTTTGAACAACAGCGGAATGTCGCTCCGCCTCACTGGGTGGTTGACATTTTCCTGGATTTGGAAATCGCACACGAAAGACTTTTTGAAGTGTTGGAAACGGTGTTCTTTACTGGAGATCCGCCTTTCATGGGCACGAATCGAAAGTACATTGCCTCCGATTTGGTGTATGTTGTCGGGAAATGGTTCCATGACTCTATGAGGGCAGGGACCATCATCTTCGGTAGTGAAGCTGGTGCCGCCCGTGTGGCTGAGACTCTGCAGGTTGTGTTGCAACAAGGAAAATCTGCGGGTTTGGACGACGAGACTGTACAAATCTGTCGTGCTGTAATTGAACAGGTTGGACAACTTTTGGGATGAAAAAGTAGCTTTTGATGGCGTCAGACTAAGCACCCTAGCATACAATAGGAATATCATGAAGCTGGCCTGGTTTAAATACGTGGACGAGTTTATAATTTGATTGTGTGTAGGAACAACTTGTGTCGGGATAATGTGTTGTGTATGTCGGGTAGGCATTATTCTATAGGGCGAGGGCCCAGGATTGATGTTTGTATCGACCCATTGGACTGACATTATTATTCATACAGAATAGTTACGACTACCCAACTCAGTTAGTTTGATAGTTATCAATTACATGCCCGAAAGAACTTTCAGGGGCTCAACCAACGAAACTTAAAAGTTGACCGTGGCTCTCTCTCTCATTCTGACTTCTGTCGTGGAAACCCATCCCTCTCGTCCCCCCTGCACCCGACGAGACCAAATTGATCACCCACTCACTCGCTCACACCTTGGGCTCACGGCATAACAGTCTTCTTTGTTTTCGTTTTCCATTCCCTCTCCCATCCGTACCGCCGTATTTGAGGGATTAAGCAAAAAAAAAAAAATACAAATAAATAAAAGAAGTTTACCTACGGTGATCATGGCACCCCAACGGCAACGGCAACGGCAACAGCAACAGCAACGACACGTCCGTCGACCACTGTCCTCGAGGAAGCTGGATATGCTGTACCTCGTCTTCTTCACCATTCATATCCCAATCATGCTGCGTAAGTCTGTCTGTCTCGTCTCGTCTCATCTCGTCTCCCACCCACCCAAAACACACCAACCAGTACGTCCTGCGCGCACACTCTCTGTACCGAGTACCCAAAATGGAGACATGTACCTTTTCGACTAATATACCATTGCGATTTAAAAAAAACATACAGTGGTCGACCTCGGCCCGCTGTGGCCGTCCACCCTCCGTCCTCAGATCTCCCGCACGCTTCACGACCACATGGCGGCGACGTACAACGACAAGTTCTTCGCGGACCCGCCGGCCTGGTTCACGTGGTACCTGTACATCGAGGCTCTTTACCATTTACCTCTCAGTATGTGGATGATGTGGGCAATTCCAAAAGGTGAGTGAGTGAATGTGTGTGTGTGTGTGTATCTCGCGTCCTCTCCTGTCTTCTTGTGTGTGTCTCTCCCTCTCTCTCGCGGGTATGACCACCACGATATACCTCGCGCGCGTTTGTGAGACGCCGCAGCCACCGACCCGTTCCTGGTCCTCATACTCACACTCATCCTCATGCGCGTACTCGCACTCGTACTCGCACTGGCATTAGCATTGGCACTACCATGCAGACCGAATCGATGGCTGACACTTTACTTATTGCTGATGTTTGTCTTTTTGGCTCCTCACAGATCACGTAATGCTACCTCTCCATCTTCTTCTCTTCGGCGTGGAAACGGGTATAACGACACTCACGTGTATCGCCGACATGGGTTCCTGGACCGGGTACACGACGAAGCAGAAGAACGATCTCTATGGACTTTACGTCCCGTACATTGGACTCGGTGAGTGCCGATGAAAAGAAGCTGTGTTTTTCCTTTGTGGTGGTTTTTTTTGGGGGGGTTTTTTGTTTTTTTAAGGTCCCTTTCAATCCAATTGCAACTTGACGACTTTTGAGAGAGGGGTACTCTGACTGACTGACTGACTGACTGACGCGTATTCATTTTCACTAGCTGTTCTTATTGGTGTGGACGCTTTTGTCAGAGTCAGAAACCAGATCTTGAACGGTGCCGGTGCCGGTGCCGGTGCGAGTCTTCAAGCTGGAGCCGACAAGGGGAAGAAGGCATGAATGAACGAGTGTCTACGAGTAGGTAGGCATATGCCAGATACCTTACCTACCTTTACCGACCTTTGCCCATCTACGTGTAGTCATCATTCAGACACGGGGAGGGAGAAAAATATCCAACCCGCCATAAATGAGTCCACTGTTGTATGTTCTGTATGGAGTGTCGTTGCGAGTGGGGAGTGGCTGTATATTTACGTGTGCAAGTGTGTGAGAATGTGTGTGTATGCTATGCCGTACGTGCGTGCTTTGTCGTCCAACTCCTCCTGTACCTGACCTCCCTCAAGATCCCTTATTCAACTAGCAGTACGATGTCCCTGCAGAAGATGTGTATGTACTAACTAACTTGCTTACGACCCCTTACGCCATGCACACGAGATTTGGATAAATGGATTTGAGTAGCAGCAGCAGCAGCAGCAGCAGCAGCAGCAGCAGCAGTGATAGTCGGTCGGCATGATCACCCGTCACCACTACTACCACCACCACCACCACCACCACCATCACCATCACCACCAACTCACCACGAACTACCACCAGCATCACCACCAGCTGCCAGACAAAATTGGTTGGATTTGGCCCCCACAACCGTGACCGTGATATCAAGCACATCCATCCATCCCTCTTTCACTCTTCAGCCAACGTCTGACCCTCCCTTAATCCTTCCACCTTCAGTTCCTCGCCCATAGCTCTACGGTAAATATCCCGAACGTTCTCGGTGACAGTCTCAAAATGACTCGAAGCATCAAAACTGTTGGAGATGAAGATCTGATCGTTCACGCCACTCTCCAGGGGTTGGTACAGCGGGATCGGTGGACCCATGAACTTCTCTTCGATCCTACCCAGCCGCTCCAGACCGGGTTGAAGTTCGAGGTGGTGGTTGGCAGATGTCTCTGCGATGGTCGACACGATCGCAATGTAGTACCCCTTGGGACAGACGTTGTGCGCCGAAGACACCATTGCGATGTAGATGTCGTGTTTGCGGCCGACCTGGGACTGTGGAATGATGAGCTGTAACGAGTCGCTATCTGCGGTCTTGTCGAGCGGGTGGTTGAGGATGCAGATGGCCTTCAGGAGGTGACCGACCACCTGCACTTTGTCGGGGAAGTAGGACGGGTCGCCGAGAATCATTTTCGTCTTGGTGCTGAACTTCATCCCCTCTCCGTCGTCGCCCCGCTCGCGCATCGTGGCCTTGATTCCGCTGACCCTGCCGCCTTCGTACTGGATCTCGTCGACGGAAGTGTTCAGCATGTAGGTCCCTCCGTAGATTGCCGAGAGACGGGCGAAGCCCTGGGGAAGTTCGCCCAGACCGTACAGAGGGTAGATGTAGGGTGACTTGCCGTATCGGGCCATCGAGTTGGCGTACAGTCGGATTCTCTCCACCGTCTCCTTACCCTGCCCCGGGGCGTCGATGTAGTCGTCCGTCGGGTAAAGGGCCATTGAATGACCGATGAAGTCTCGGGTCGTGGCTTCCAATCCAAATTTGTCGTAGACTTCTCTCATGGTGCATTTGTTGAGATTGAGTCCTGCATCACAACGTCTTGCGTCAGCACTCCATCCACCACAAGACACATTTCTTCGCCTCGTCTGTACATTGTCCTCTCTAACGCACCATTATGTGTGGCGGGGTTGTTCTCTTCAAAAGAGCCAACCCACTCCAAGAACTTCTTCGCCCTTCTCTTTTCAAAGAGTCCCATCAACGGAGAGCTCAGTGCCTCGGCAGCGGTAGACGGGACTTTGGCCACAGTTGCCCTGGGGCCTGATCCTTGCTGCACAAAGCTGCCTGCGATTTGCTTGAATTCAAGGTATCGAGTGACGTCGGTGGAAACGAGAATGTTGGTGAGTTCGCCGTTGGCCATGAGGAGTTTGGGTACGAGATCGATGTTCCAGTCGTTGATTCGGCCGTACTTCTTCCATGGTTCCTGACCTTCTTGGAAGTTGCCATATTTCTTGAACAGCTATTCCAAACAGCGTCAGTAAGGCCGTTGGGGTTTTCCACTGGCAACCTTCTCTACTTACAGCCTCGATATTTACTGAAGCGGCTTCACTATTCGCCAAGTGTCAGTAGAGGTCCTATCGTCTTGTCTTATCATCTCGTGAAGAGGCTGCGCGTGCGCGTTTCGTACCCGCCATAATGATCGTTTCGGTCGATGTGAAGAACCTTCTTGCCTTTGACAGACAACACACTACCAAAGGTCAGCATGCAATTGACGGTCGTAGTCAGTCGTATCTCCTTACCCAGATAGAACACACTCAGTCAGACCTGGTCATTATCAATAGTCAGTACGGTCAGTATGGAGGGGCAGATAGATGATTGTTGGTTGGGAGCATCCGTACCGGTGCCCAAGACAATGACATCGTATTCGGGGGCGATCTCGTCCATGGTCGGCAATATGAGATGGCGAAAATTAAAACAGGAATAATGGTACGCAGATAGTAGGAGAGGGAGAATGGCACTCAAGCACAGCACTGGGCTCAGGGTCGGTGAAGCAGTGTTATTGTCGCACTATCCCATGCCAGGACTGGGCCGAGTGAGTCTCTCCGCAGCCGCCGGAGTGACTCAGTTTGTGAGGTCATGAACCATGTTTTGCGCTTAGCCGTCGTGTGCTTCTCCGTAGCATGAGCCGCTTCAGCCTCGCTCGGCCTTGTCTCCCACCCCTGGGAAATGGGATGAAGTTTACGGAGCTTCACAGACAGGATATTCTACGTGGTGGCACCCTAAATCTAAGATGGTAATGTGTTGGATGAGGCTTTGGGTAGCATTGGGTAGCATTGCGTTGACCGCCTCTCAAGGCAAGTCACTTCAACCCACCCTGACAGCGTTCGAACTTCTAAGCGGCAGCCTGCTTCATCCGTGCTCGTGCGATCTCCAACTGCTTCGACAGTCGCCAGGGGTAATCAAAGGCATCCATGAAGATCTCACAGAGCTAGAATGTTGTTAGGTCGGCCTTGACAGTTCATCAGAGACGGTCAACTTACCTGGATCATTTCTCCACTACCAAAGTCCTCGTCATTCAAAACAGCTTCAAGTTCTTCCACGGTCTTCGTAGCGCGGCTTTTGGCCTTGATGCCGGTTCCTGCTCTCGCACCGAAAAACTCGAGCATTTTCTGATGATCCCACAGCATGCTGACATCATTGTAACCCTGCTCAGGACCGTGAATGGCCCGTTCAATAGAGTACCCATTGTTGTTGATGACGAATATGATTGGCTTGAATCCATAGCGAAGGTAAGTTCCGATCTCCTGGACCGTCATCTGCATACTGCCTTCGCCTACGATGAGTACCACACGTCCGGGATATTTCAGTTCTTTGGCAGCCACAAGAGCTCCTAGACACGAACCAACGGTGTATCCGATGGACGACCAGAAGATTTGTGTGATGTATCTGGCGTTCCGAGGGAAAGTGGCGTCGGGCATGCCAAATTGTGCTGTGCCAGACTCCGCTAAGACAATGTCATTGTCCTTGAGGAAGCGTCCGAGTCTCTGCCAGACGAAGGATTGCTTCAATTGTCCTGATGTAGAGGTGTTCAGCACCGGCGGCTCAACCTTCGGTCCGTTTTGCGGCCGAGGCAGGTTGTATTTCTGAGGCTGTTTTTCAAACTCGGCAACCAGGCGCCGCAAAATTGGCAAAAAGTGATATCCATCAAACTTTTCTCCCTTGATCTGCACCAAGTCGTGCCCGAGGCGTACCAGGTTCTCGTCTTTGATTTGTCTGGTAAAGCCACCCGTATTCGAATCTGACAACAGTGGGCCAAGGTTGATGACCAAGTCGGACTTTTCGACCGCATCAGCTACTCCAGGGAACGACGCTTCGGAAGGGTTAACATCTTATTATAGCATCAGGAAATGAAGCCGTGCTTACCTTGACCATTGTACAGTCCGTAGTAGTACGGAGCTGTCTCGTCGATGACACCCTTTGACAGAGGCGTTGAGAAACTGGGAAAGCGGGTGATGTCGGCCAATCTCTTTGTCAGCTCCAGCCCCCCATGTCTGATTGCAAGTACGTCTGCAAGGATAGAGGGTTTCGATGCCGCGGCGACCAACGAGAGGATTTTCCCCACAATCTCGTCTTCGGTCTTTGCGTCAGGGTTGCGGAGGCTGAAGTCTAGCGGCGTTTCTAGACGTTTTGCATCCAACTGTACCGACACCACGTCTGTAGGAACATATATGTAGACTGGAAGGCGACTATGCACGCAGGCCACGATGACCCGATCAATATCGTCGGCCATGGTACTGTCTTCCATCAGGTATGCGTGGGCTTTTCGGATGGGGTCGGCCATCTTGATGTAGATTGCGTGGTTCATGTTGGGCTCCATGGTATGGTGAAGCATGACTCGAGCCTTTTGCACTGTTTGCGGTTGACGGCCACGTTAGCTCAATGCCAACACGGCCCCTTGACACATGGCGCTCTTCGAAGGGGAGACTGAATGGAAGACTTACTTGCTCTAGCCGGCATGCCAACAACATGGATCATGCCTGCGTGCTCTGCGTAAGCACCAGCAACACCGTTCATGGCCGATAGCTCTCCCACAGCGTAGGTTGTGATCAACACGCCTGGAACTCCCTTGATACGTGTATACCCATCAGCCGCGTAGGCACCATTGAGTTCGTTGCAGCAGCCAATCCATTTGAGACCGGGGACATTGTAGATCTCGTCGAGTAGTGTCACTGGAGGTAGTTAAGGTGACGGTGCTTATGCTGGGCTTATTGTAATGTCTGTGAACTTACAGTTGAAATCCCCTGGAACTCCGAGGATGTGTTCGGTGCCCAGTTCCCTGATCCTCCTGAAGAGGTACTGGCCCATAGGGACTGTGGAAGCCGACATTGTTGCAACCGGAAACTTTTCGAGTATCGCAATCAAGCGACAGAGTCAGTTTTGCTCTGGACGATGCAATACTCTCTTTAAATGAAAATGCCACGGTGGAGGGACGTTGGACATGATGTATTCAAGGCCGGCTCTACTGTTACACAAACACTATGTGGCTTACGGCCGAGGCAAATGTGTGGCTGACGCTTATTCGCGGATCTGACCCGAAGCGGCTGCGGGGGTGACGAAGCTTTTGTTTTCATTTTCTGACATAAGACAATGAGAAGACACGCCCTTGGACATCATTCGAGCCCAATAACCGTGAGCCAGGCTATTCTCGGGCTGAGAACGTGAGAGCAGTCGGCAATTCTCGCGACGAGAGCAGTCGTGAACTCTGCAGCAGCCGCATTTTCGACACCCTTGCAGTAAGACCAAGAGCAGCGATGCCGTGTGTCGAATTGCGATACATGTCTCAAATATTTGTACAAAGAACGGGCCTGCAAGTCGTTACTTGATCAGATTCCAAGCTGGTCGAAAATAAGGACTTGTAGTGTCATTGGTGAGTACGGAGTACTAGCATGAGAATATCGAGCTCCAGAACGGTGTATATTCGAACATGTTCCTATCCTTTCCTGCTATCACCAAAGCTCGGACTTCTTGAGCATTCAGAGTATGCCAATCACAATGTCTCCATTCAAGGAGGCTTGGACCCTCAAGTCCACCTCAAGGTTAAGCTTCACGTGAATCTTCAAGCTTCCCGACACTTCTTTGACCTCTTCCTTCGTCAGGCCGCGAACGGCTCGTGGATTGGTTCGATTGTCGAGAAGACCAGGTTGCATGGGTTGGAGGCCTGGCGCGGGAAGCTGCTTTGCCACGTTGTTGACGGTGCCATCATCGTAGCCGTCGTCAGAGTCTGTATCGGCTTGGTGCTGTCGGCCACCGGGTGCCGTGCTGAAGTTGCCGCTGTCCGACTTGCTGAGCAAGCAACGAAGAGTCAGCAACCCACATCACCACGAGACGAGAAATACTTACTTGTCCGCCATGATCATTGATGGATGTGTGAGAGCTCTCCACGCCAGAATCCGCCAAACTTTGGAGAGCGCTGAAGACACTCGACGAGGGAATATGATGCCTGTGCTTGCTGACGGTTGAACCAAGAGGGAATTTCTAGGTTATTAAAGCGCATGGTACCGTGGCTGCTCTCGCCCCCGGGTCGCTGCAGTACAAGTACTCATGTCTGCCGGTCGACTACTGGCCATGACCCAACACCTCGTAGTGCCCTTTGCACCGACGGATGCGTGAGCTGGTGCGTGGATTTCCCACTTTTCAGAAGACTAGTTTCCTGCATGCTCCCCGACTTCGCCTGGTCTGGCATTGATTTTCCCCTCATATTGTGTCCTCGTCTACTCCTGCCAGACGTGTCTGTTGCGTCACGAGGCTGATCACCCCCTTGTCTGGCGGATCGTGCCTGTCGGGATTCGTCCCGACACCTGTCAGATGGGGCTACGGTTTGATTAAACGCAAACGCATTGTACGAGTACTGCTGTGCAAAAGTGCATACGGTAGGATGCCGTTGGACGGATTGGGCGAAGCTGACGGTCCCTTGGTGAGTTTTGACGTACACTATATTGGAGATGCTGCCAGCAAATGGCACTTCCGCAAACACTCATTTGGCGACTCAAAGTCCGGAACACCCGAGATCGCCGCGAGTAGTCGCTCCACAATGGTAGACCAACGAGAACCACCTTGCCCCAATGGCAGGTGTAGATGTGACAGGTAACGAATACAGAAACGCGTGGAGTTCGTGATCCGCAGTAAAGTCGTAGCGCTTGGTCCATATTAAGAAGAGTGTGGGTGATGATCATCATCGAGATCCTTGCGGATCAACTCGACCTCAACCACGTATTTCCCAAGCCTCTTGTCCTCAAGGCCGTCGTCATGCACGTCGAAGTAGAGGGCCCATCTATCCGGACTTTCCTCGACCGCCACAAAGCCTTCCCAGTCACGAAAAGTCAGACGCCGCTCTCCATTTTTGCAGAGCTTGAGATCCATCGGCCCCGTGAGCTGAGGTTGGGCGTCGGCCCGGGTTCCATGCTTCAGCTGGAAGGTGGTGGTGTCGATATACACCCAGTTCAAGAAGTTGTCGTTGTTGATGGTCGTCACCAACCCGTCGTATTGTGTCTCGGGGAAAGGGAGAAAGTAGCCGGTGAAAGGGTGATCGGTGGCCTGCTTTGGGTCGCTGAGAAGTAGGCGCCCATCCCTGACGACGACAACTTTGTTTGCCAGTTCCTCTCTCCGGTTTGTGCTCATTCTCGGTGAGGCGCGGACTGCAAGGTGACATTTCTGCCTCTTCAGTTCTTGTTGGCCTTGGTCTGATCTCTTTTGTGCTTGGTCAGATAGTTGCATGGTTGATGTGGCGAGCAAGGGCGCTGTGACCGCTAAGGTAATGACTGAGAGCACCATGGTGACTGTGTGACGATCTTTGTGAAGAATGAAATGTGCATATTTCAGGATACTCAGGCAGGTAGAATGAATCGTGATTTCTGGAGTACCAGTATGGATGATGGATGACAAGTCAGGGGCTCTCAAATGGGTCCTCAGGAAGGCCTTATCTCCAGATCCCCAGGTACGTCATTGCTATTCCTTTCCAGCCCTTTTCCCCGATGTCCTGTAAATATATCTCCAAAGTCATTTAAAACAGTGTAAGAAGAATTTCTCTGGGTTTATGTGTTAATGAAACCTAGAGGCCTCCGCATTCCTAGTATGCCCTCTGCCAACCCCACTTTCAAGGGAAGCTGATGCCACCATCCACGCCGATCAGTTGCCCGGTGATGTATGATGCACCAGGGCTTGCAATGAACAAGATAGACTCGGCCACCTCTTTCGCAGTGCCCTCCCGCTTGATATGCTGATTGTTTCGTAGTCTTGCTCCAATAGGTGAGCCTTCCATACTCAAGTCCGTCTTGATGGGGCCTGGTGCAACAGTGTTGATGGTTATGCCCTTTGGTCCCAATTCATCGGACAAGGCAATCGACAGCGCCGTCAAAGCTCCCTTAGAGGCGCCATAAACCGGCAACATGCCAGAACCAAGTCTCGCAATAACACTCCCGACATTGACGATACGTCCACCGGCCTTCATGTATGGCAGAGCAGCTTGAATCAGCAAGAATGGCCCACGGACGTTGACATGGAACACCGAGTCCCAATCTTCCAATCCGACGGAGGAGATGCCTTCTGCATTGACTACGGCCGTCCCGGCGTTGTTGACAAGGATGTCGATGGTCTTGGTGTTGAAGGTTTTCAAAGTCGCGTCGACAAGCACTTTACCGAAGTCGGCGGCCCCTGCATCGGCTTGAATGGCAACAGCTTGCACCCCAAGGCTTTTGAGTTTGGCAACAGTCTCCTCCGCAGGCCCTGCAGAGCTGTTGTACTGAATAGCGACCTGGATCTCAGTCAGCTCGGCGACTTACGTACTGAAGGGACGGGTACCTACGTTGGCGCCTTGCTCTGCGAACGCAATCGCGGTTGCTGCACCAATGCCGTTTGGCTTTCCGGCGCCGGTGACGATGGCGACCTTGCCCTTCAGAGACTGCGAGGCCATTGTGTCGGGCTGGATTGCTTGCGATATAACTTTTGGTGTCTGTACAGGATGACTCGTGCGATGTGAGTTGCCGATGTGGAGGTATTTGAGGAGTCTACGAGACTGTGATTGCTGTTGTTGCTTTGGTGGCAGGGACATTGATCTGATCGGAAGCTGCTCGAATGGCTGAAGGCATCGCTCTTAATATACCTCGAGGAGCTGCTGCTTGGGATTCGCAATTGTACCGCTCGCTGACAAAGGCGCTTTTACTCTTGCGCCGCTGCGACATCATGGCCATGAAGGATGCATCTGCAAGACACCTGTGAGGTATCCACATATGGAGCGATTGATTCGCCTATCCTCCGGACCGTTGGACATGACTGACTGATCTTGGGCCCTGCCGCGTCGTAGAGAGGTCCGCGATGATTGAAAAGCTGCACCGCGGTAGGTCCCTACAGTAGTCATCTGCGGAGGCTCGGAGCAACTTTGCTTCCGCACGCTAACCTCGATTCAGCACAAGTTCCCCGCTATTATTGTTCGACGGCTGCGGTATTTGGCGAGCCCAACTGCGATTATGTAAACGGTGACATAGAGTACGTGCCTGTCAGGCTGTCCTTCCTCCACCGACGTATCCCGAGTCCACAGGTGTTGACGTGCGTTTCAGATCGACTGTTGCAGCCTTGTTCTGGCTTGAATGCAGCCCTATGCTCCGGCTGATAAATGGTGGATGACCCAACGATGCCGGGAAAAGTGGGCAAGACCACGTCGCGTCGTGGCGACCGAAGAAGGGAGAATAGTATAAAACACACGGTGTGTGCTGGACTATGCCGTGGGCTTTCCATTCACAAGCGCATCGAAGTACCTGAACGCATTCCCTCAGCCTGCATTCCGACCACAGTTCCTCGCTCAAAGCACATAACCCATTCTCAAAGCCCACCATCATGCCATCTGTCCTCCTCTTTGGCGCAACCGGTCTCATTGGAGGTTTGCAACCAAAGACACGGCGTTCAAGGACAAATACTAACAAGGTGCTACAGCCCGACTGGCGGCCGACATCAAGAAGGCTCATCCAGCCTGGCCCTTGACTGCCTTCTACCGCAATACGGCCGTGGATGACTATTTCACGACCACGGCGAAAGCCGATCGCATCGTCCATGGGTCATTCTCCGACACAGACCTCGTCCGATCGCTGAGCAAAGAGCATGATATCGTCATCAATGCTGCGACCTCTTTCGACGGATCCTTTGTCGACCTGGTCATCTCGGGCATGGAAGAGCGACCGGAAACCAACAAAGGCACCCTGATTCACATCAGCGGAACCGGCAACTTCATCGATCTCGGAACGACAGGCAACTTCAACCCCGAGAGCAAAGTCTGGAACGTAAGTATTGTATTTCAACGCGCTCCCCGCATTCGAAAAAGTGAAATCACAGGGTTGACGCTCGGCAGGACGACGATGTCCAAGACATCAAACTCATCAACAAGAACATGTTCAACGGCCCAACCGACGTTCCTATATTGGAGGCCGGCCAGCGAGGCAAGATTGTGACGTACATTGTCTGTCTGGCAGTGACGTACGGACAGAACGTCCTCGGGCCAAAAGCGAATTTGGGAATCGCCTATTCGATCTTCACGGGTCTCGCGAAAGGTCTTGGATTCGTTCCATACATCGGCGAAGGAACCGGCCTGGTCAGCACGGTAAGTCAGACTGTCTGCGTCGTGTAAGGACGGTTGGCTGATTGTTGGTAGGTTCATGTCGAGGATGCGATTCCTTTCCTCACAAAGATAGTCGGTGTTGCCGGTACCGAGAAGCCGCAGGGCAGCGCGTACGAGAGATACTATATCCTGCACGGAGAGAGGCTGGCGTGGAGGGACTTTGCGGCTGCGCTGGCCCCAGTTTTGTATGCCAAAGGGCAAATTTCATCGCCAGAACCGAAACGGGTTACCGTTGACGAGGCGGGCGAAGGAGAGGAGAAGCATCTGCTCGCCGCCAACATGCTTGTCAAGGGTGATCGTGCAGCAAGAATGGGCTTCAAGCCAACTCACGAGTCCATGCTGACCGCCATGAAGAAAGACCTGAGTGCACATGATTTCTAGAGTGTGAGGATTGTTCCGGATGTATAGATTAGGGTTGAAGGGTGACGATTGAATCCGGGGAATGATCGAGTATGCAAACATTGATTTTAATTTTGACCCAATCGATAAAAGCGTCAACCACACAATCTTTTTATTTTCTCCATTGCATCGTTTTTCAATGACACTTTGCAGAGGAATGACAGCGACAGACACTTGATGATTCTCATTGGCAAAGACACAAACTCTTCGCCGCCTCGCCAACACCGCTGTCCGGCGTCCGTAGTAATTCGAGTAACAATGCCAAACGTGACTCAGAGCTTGGACTGCGACGGCTGCTTCTTCAACAAACTCGACACGCCGCCCAGCGCGTGTACAGCTTGATCCATGATTTCGTTGACAATCTCGGCGGCACTCTGGTTTGGCGTGTTCACCAGTCCCGCGACGACGCCCATGGGCCTGGTGATTGACGAGAAAGATAGTTAGTTTTCGATTCAGTAGTTTTCAGGTACCATTCATTTCACCCGTGAGTCCGGTGGGTAGTACAAATTGTATTGAAGTCTCACGGATATTCGGAATGGGCAATGTAGGCAGAAGGGATGGGTGGGGTCAATAAAGCAATGGATGAATGAATTCTCAAAAGAATCAAAAACACCTCGACGAAGAAGAATGGTGGAAATTGTGCGTGCATGCCATGCCATACCTCAACGTCGCCTGATCTTCAATGTCCTCGGGGACACCGCCCTGTTTCTCCAACTTGTCGAACTCATGCTCGAGTGGAACGATCCCCTGCGCCAGTAGCCTTTTGATTTCCTCGGATCGGTTGGTTTCCCAGTCGCGGACATACGGCGTCGCGAACGCTCGTAAGGGCCGTCCGGTCCAAATCGTCAATTTGACAGTCGAGTCGAACCCGGCGTCGATGATGCTAATTCAGGTTAAGGAAAGGAGGGGACCAGTTAGCGTCATGATTCCACTCCAGGAGGACGAAGGGGGGAAAACTGAAGACTTCTCATCTCTGTCCAGAAAGAAGAGAAGGAGAAGGGGGTGAAACGAAAGCGCAAAAGACTCACGCCCTCTTCGCGACTTCGGGAGCACCTGATTCCTTTGCCGTGACGAATCGCGTGCCGACCCAGACCGCCGAAGCTCCTAGCATGAGCGCAGCTGCAAGGCCACGGCCGTCTGCTATACCGCCTGCCGCGACGAGTTGGACAGGCTGTCCCGTCAAGGGAGATTTGTAGTTCTTGACTAGGTCTGCACAAGCGGGGATCAAGACGCTGTGTTTCGTGATACACGACAAAGTCAGCATGAGGCTCTAGCACTAAAGTCTAAAGATATCGTCGCAGTCGCCGGACCTCATGATGGTACCCGACTCACTCACTGGGTACATGGGAAGTGAGGGGCGAAGGGTAAAGGGTGATGAATACATAGGTGTAGTCAGACGATACTGACGTTGGGTGTCGGCGGAAACGTACCTCGTGGGCGTCTCACCCGTGTGTCCACCCGCCTCGGCACCCTGAGCACATATGATGTCCGCTCCCACGGCGCACGCCTTCGCGACGTGCTTCGGATGCCCGATCATGTTCATGTACAAGATGCCGTGCGCGTGGAGCTTCTCGACGACGTGTTTTGGCGCAACGCCCACAGCCGACACGAACAGTTTCGCGCCGCCCGCGATGATGATATCGACTAGCGTGTCGAGATTGCCTTTGGTGTAGTCGACCTGTCAACAATCCGCGTTAGTTTAGCCAGTGCCGGCCTTCGTCCATGATCCCAGCGTAGTTCCCGCAGTGGCACAAGCATGTCGGCCATACGAGTGCATCAGGTACAGTACTCGCATGTCCGTGCCGACTGCAGGATAGCAAAGTCAAGGCTTGACTTACGTTCGTCTTGCGTGCGGATCCTCCAACCTTGGGGATCAACAGATCGACGCCGAACGGGAGAGATGGGTCTTTTAGACCGGCCTGTCGAGAATAGATCAATCAGTATGATTTGATCCATGGATGACTCGACAATATTGTACGGGTACTTGTCAGAGAGTGAGTGAGTGAGTGAGTGAGTGTGTCTAACCTTGAGCTCATCAATCATCTCCTTGAGCTGTTGAGGTGTGTATCCTACACCGCCGATTACACCTAGTCCACCTGGTGTTTGCAACAGTCAGATATGTCTTGAATATCCAAATCCAGATATGGTAGCGTGATGTCTTCACCTGAACCGATCTTGGTTCGAACCTAATCCTTGGAATGGCCAGGCCTGTCCGTACTCACCTGCGTTAGACACCGCCGCTGCAAGTGGTGCGCCCGACGTTTGTCCCATTCCCGCCAACAAGATGGGATGCTGGATTCCCAGCAGTTGGGTTACCGGAGTCGAGATTGACATTGTGGATTGCTAAAATCAATCCGATCCAGTCTTCAAGAAGCCCAGCTTGAGCGTCAATTGTCGAGCTTCAAACGAGGTTCCTTTAAACCGATAGCCAAATATAGTCAAGGTATAATAACTCGCAATTTGTATCTCACAAGGCTAGAAGCCTCAAGTGATTAGATGGATTAGTAAACCAAATGTCATTAGGATCCTGTACTCAATGTCGTGAGCCCAAAAGTTGTACCTGATGCAACGGCTAAGTCAGCCCTTGTCAGCACTAAAACCGTTGATCCCGAAGAGATTGTCTGAGTTGTGGTGGATTCAATTGTCCTTGACAGTCACCAGTCGCCGACCAAGCCGACCTCACGTCCAATGTTCAGCAAAAGAGGTATGTGAAAACTCGGTACGGGGAAGTAACATGGGCGAATCTCCTTTTGACCTGAGTTGGGCATTTCGTATGATACAAGCTACCAAGGTACCGAGTATCCTGATTGCCGAGTTTCTGGTGCGGTATCCGGTACGTGGGTGCTAACTACCGAGGTTGCTGACTTTCCTTTGTCCTAGAAATCGTTGTGCTGAGACGCGGAGATCTACTTACCTAGCTAGGTCAGATGTACGAGGTCAGCATCACTGCCGACCTGCACGGTCTCATCGTGATGCAAAAATGTCTTGTGCCTAGTTCGTACACCGCGCGAGAAGGCACCCAGGCTTGAGATAGAGAGGCATTATTTAAGATTTCTCGACATTAATAAAATTATCATATCCCCTTCCTTTTGTTTACTCCGGCTACCACACTTCCAATCAAGAGTCCCATCTCCTGAACCGTGGGAGAACGGCTGCGCTAGCACTTGAAGCAGCCGTAGTGCTGGGTAGAGGCACGAACGATTCGGTATGGGTGGCTGTAGCGTCACCGGTCGTGCCACCATTGTCGCCGTTAACAGGCTTGGTTCCAGTAGCAATATCCTTGCCATTGATCGCACGTTCAAAAAGTGCCAGAGCGGCAACAGGTTGGTAGTAAGGCACCTCATGACCAGACTCATAGACTCTGGTAAACGAGAAGTTCCCGTACTCACGCGTCTCGCCATACTCTACTCCATCGACGACAAAGGGCGTGTACCCTGAAGCGGCGAACTCAGCAGCATGGGGCCACTGCGCAGCAAGCGAGACAGCCTCGCCCCCGAACCAGTTGCAAATATAGTCTGCGTCGCCGTATGCGAGGGTCACGCGGACAGAGGAACTGTTGATGATTGTTTCCAGGTCTTCTAAAAGGTTGATGTAGACAAAGTCTCCAGTCTGTTGGAAGCCATAGTATACCTCGTCATTTGCGTCGGAAGTGTAGTTTGTGTCCACCCCCAAGGCGTTTTGGATGGAAGCCTGGTTTAGGTAGTCGATAAAGTATGTTGGTGGAGTTGGATCATCGTATGGGTGGCGGATATCGTAGACACCTCGGTCGCCATAGTAATAGTAAGGACTCTCCACATTGTCACGACACATGGATTGAGCCTCACTGCAGACTGCCTGGCCGATGAGCGTGCTGGTGTCGGTCTCAGAACACCATGTAATCTGGTCTAGACAGCCACCGGACATAAAGCAGGCAAACTCCATGTAATCGTGCACGGTCTGGTTAACGAGTTGGATGCCGTAGGTGTTCTCAACAGCAAATTTGGGATAGTATGGAGCCTGGATGTATTCGGAGATGATGCCGTTGATGATGCCTAGGTTCACGAATTCGAAATACTTGCCAGTCTGGGTGCCGTTCTTGATGGCCTGGTTTTGCTGTTGGAAATAGTTGAAGAATGCTGGGCCATAGTGTCCTGAAACTGTGTCAGCGACATCAAGTGCAAGTGATAACATGGCACATACCTCCGTAGGATTCTGTCCACAGGTTGAACTTGGTAGATTCGACTCTGGAATCAAGCTGAGGCAAGGCCGAGTAGAAGCCTTGCAAGACTTCCCAAGCAGCGACAGCAGCCAGCTGTGTAGTGTCTAGATGACCTGTTAGTGTCATCGAGTCCACAGGTTAACCTTCGACCTACCAATAGCAGTGATATTGATGACTGGATATCTGCCGGTGACATTCGCCTGGGATGCATTCAAGAATCCCCCAAAATCGTCCAATGAACCCGGTTCCTAGTGCCATGTCAGCCCCACTTCTATTTCTTGCGGTGGATTGTCGTCTACCTTGGAACCGTATGAGAAACCAACGCCGAGAGGCTGGCTGAGATATAACATGTTGGAAGCTTCGTTCCAGGAGTATGGGTTCAGCTGCGACACGAGCTCTTCGGTAACGTTGCACGGTCCGTGTTCTACAAGTTGGTTAGAATAGCGGTCACCAAACTCATGAACGCAATTGCATACCTTGGAACAAGCCGATGAGAGAATCACTTCCAGGGCCTCCATTCAGCCAGAGGGTGATTGGATCGTTTGCAGGATCATTCCTGGATTCGAAGAACCAGAAGAAGCTGTGAACATTCTCGGCGAGGTTGATGAACCCAGCGTAGGAGTTCACGCCCGGAGTGGTCTCACAGACTCCTTCCTTTCCAGGCTCTTTGTAAGTGATGTTAACACCACTGGGACTGATGATGGTCTGGACATCGGTAGGCTCTGCAGGAAGTTGTCGTGGCGAGACTTGGATTTTGGGTCCCATGCCTCGACCATTGTGTACCACAGGGCCTGGCACGGCAGCCACGCCGGCTGCAAGGACGCCAACAAGAGTCAGAAGCATCGTGGATCTGGTAGTTGCAAGGCGCGTGCTTGTTTTCAACCTCGAAGCAGACAAAACAAAGCGAAAGGCCAAAGACCGATCTTCTTTCCCTCACACCGTGAGCACTTTTCCTAGCAGAGTCAAAGAAGAATGCTTAGCGGCCGATGAATGCTGCAACCCCAGGGAAGAAGCAAAAGAGAGCGCACCGGGCATCACGCGAGCTGTTTATGTAGGACAGGAATGCCCACGATCAATCGGCATGTTACCACGTTGATCAACATCCTCGTGAGTGACAATATTTCTAGTGCCTGCACTAGCTTCGCAGCTCTCTAGAGCTTCTACAGCTCTTGACTGGGGCTGGAACCGAGGGAATCCTATCAGGTCATGTTGATTCGCCCGAAATGGTGTACCTGACTTTCAAGAGTCGACACTATATGACGTTGGCTCCCGCAGAGAGTAGCATCGCGACCGGGATAGCTAGCTGCAGTCAAGCTCGATGTGGGGTCACTGCTTATGCTCGAAGTATCGACTTGTACTGTGGTGGCTTAGTTGAAGCTCTACCAGGGCGTTGCCAATCCAGATACGGCAGGTCGCCAGGAAATCACTGGAGCTTTCCGTCAGGGAAGAGCATTCGAGATTCGCGGTGCGCGTAACGATGTATTGTACTAATACAGAAGTAAGGCGGAAGTATGAGTACAGTACAGGCCTGCGATAAGGCCAGGAAACTGTGGGCAAAGGTGCCTGATGCTCCCGCCCCCGGGGAGATTCCACGTTCAGTACTCCGTGCGGTTGATGGGGATCATGTACCCTGCTTATGCCGCAGAATTAGTCTCAGAACTTCGCTACTTCTTCCATCTTGAACATTGTGGTCTTTTTCAGAAGTTGGCCTTGGAGACGGACGGTTGTGGTACCTGCTGAAGACTTGTTCGATTCGATCGATGGTGCGAGGGTGGCAGAAGCCAAGCTTCTCTGTGGCATTGCTTCGACAAGCCGTTGCATCGATGGCGCGCCATTGTACAAGGGTTCCTGCGGATGTGCCGGGGCCGTTTCCTCTGTGTTGCTGGCCATTGGCCTAACTGTCATGCTTATCTTTCTGCGATCTACCGGGACCAGTCGTCTGCGGTAGCGGCCGCACTGAGGGACCTCAATAATCGTTCTCTAGCGCCGATAGCCGTTGTTTGCCACTGGTCGCAGGAGGAAGGTAACATCGCTGCAAACTGTGCTTCCTTCGATCATCATCAGGTATTGTTGCGCAATCCAGTCGTGGGCGAGGCAAAAGGTTATCGACAGGTGGCAGGAGACCAGGTAGCTTTTACTCACTCCACATTAGGCAGGCCGATTGAAGGTGGGCGATTTGTTCCGAGGCTCGACAGCGCCTTTGAACAGCTGATCGTGAGCCAACTTCAGCGGTGACGGCGACACCGCGTACAGATCGATCACACAGGAGAAATGATGATAGCCACAATAATAAAGCTGAAGAGGTCAAAATACAGGGTTTGCACTCCATGTTCAGCTGATAAGATGATCTGCTGGAAGGCCTACCAACGAAAAACATTTTTTGTCTGGCGGTGCTTTATTGCTACTTCTCTACTCACCTGCTGCCAGTCGCTGGGAAAAAGCCACCCTGTCAGACTAAATACCGCGGATGCGGCCGTTGGGACCGTACAGAGGAAGGAGAGTTCGGATTCGTATATAAGCAGTGGATGCCGATGTATTTCTTCAGACAACCCGATTGTGCTGGACGATGATCAGCTAGTCAAGACCTCCGACGCTGCTACCTCCCAACGACATATAATCTAGCCTTAAGCTGCAGGAACTTTACCAACTAATTCCGAGACAGCGTACAGGTGTCGGAAACCCGCGTCAACAGACCACGCCATACGCCTGCTCCTCCAGCGGATTCACCAGGCGTAGAAGGATGAAAAGGTGGCTACATTAGTGTTACTAGATGTGTCACAAGCTGTCCATAAGCGTCTTGCGGCCGGGCGACTGTTACACAACGTCCACAGGCGACGAATTGACGCGACACTGGTGGACTGGATTGAGTCTTTCCTCAGCGACCGATCGTCAACCCTCAAGCTGCAGGGATAGACGGCCCTCTCCGCTCCGGTTCAGACGGGAATTCCCCAGAGATCCCCATCTCCACCCATCTTGTAGCTCTTCTACTGTACAATGCTGACCTAGTGGAAGCATGTCGTTCGGAGAACACTGAGCCTGTCGGGGACATGGACGACGTCTCGATACTCGGATCCACCACCTACGGTAAGTACACGACATCAAAAATCGTACACAGCACGGCAGAAAACTGGACACGAAGATATAGATCCCGATTCGCGCCAGCAAAGGACGAGCTGTGCTCACTTCTCGCGAAAGCTCACAGGCAGTACAAATCACCCGCTCTGCCTGTCACACGCCATCATTGAGGTCTCACCATCGTGCCGATGCTTCGGGGAGAGGGGCGTATGTACAGTAGCGGCGCCCTGCATCCTCGAATGACTCGAGCTAATATACTAGCACGCTGTAGCCAGGCAAAAGATAACGTGCATATTGGTTGGCCGATCGTGTCTCGACGTACTTCTCTACAGACTGATACAAATCATCCTTTTACACCCAAGATTTCGTTAGGGATAACTATAAACTATATCTCCTTATCGTTGTCGGTATACAGTACAGTTCAAGTACATAATTTGGCTGCGTATATGGTCGTACTGACCCGCGTTTGCGGTGAATGCGCGGGGGAATTCAGGCAGCGGCAGTAATGCCTAGGTCGACTTCAAGCTCGCCACAAATATCGAGGTTCTGTTCAGCATAGCCTGACATGTTCTCAGCCTCGCGGGGCTCTTGTTTCGCCAACACAAACGAGCCTCCGTTCGAGTTCATCTCGCTCCCATCGAATGCGTCCAGCCATGATATGTTCATTTCTAGCCCGTCTTCGACGCTGGAAAATAAGTCATTGCCATCTTGAAAATCGACCACCGAATCGAAATCTGCATCAACCAGTTCCGAAAAGAGAGGCTTCTCACCCATTTCATAACGGGTGGGATCATCGTAATTTGTCAAGGAGGCGTCACGACCACCCATGGAGTACGACCGTAAGCCACCATCTGATTCTGTCGATCCTGGAGGCGTGAAGACGGAAAACAGATTCTTCTCCTCTGGAGCCAGGGTCGAATTGAACACTATCCTGCTGGCAGTCTGCATGGCTTCGGGTGGAGGAGTGAGGAGCAGTTGTCCACCAGGACCTTGTTTTTGATCCAGCTGGGGACTGTTTGAGGAGGAAGAGGACTTCACAGGCAAGGCTGTGGCAGATACGTGGGAATTTGTCTTTCGCACAGCAGCATCGAGGAATGAGAACGCCCAATCAGCAGATGCGTAAATCTCCCGTAGCCGCTGTAGCGCCTGCATGCAAAATTGGAATTTGCGAACACTGGCTTCTCGAGTCTCCGTATCGGGAGACTTCAGATCGAGGAGGTGAATGATGATGGCTGGCATGAGGCAGGTGACACCGGTGTTCGGTAGGAAGCGTATCATGTCGTGGACGAAAAGATCTCGGTACATATCGGTAATGTCGTTGGCAGCCTCGCGGAGCTTTCTCTTCGACAAGTCTCGCAATTCTGGAACCACGGCGACATCTGGCGCAGATGGTAGAATCTGAGGACGGTGAAGAGCGCTGAGAGCCGTGAGATAAATTCCTTGCAAAAGGGCTCGATGAACGTTAAGAACCTCGCCATCGACGGCGTTGGTCCGAACCCGGGAGCCTGGAGTAAAATAATGGAGATCTTGGGGCATGTCTGTGAACCATGACTCCAAATCGCGATCACATCGGATCACCTCACACGAATCTGCTGGGCACTTTTTGGGAACCAGCCGCATGGTCGTTTCTTGTGTTACTCCGATCTTATGGCCAAGTGTGGAATATTGAACGGCAAGGACTTGGCTGATGCAAACACACAACTTGGCTAGCGCGATGCACATTCTCGCCAAAGCCACCCTCTTGGTGCTATCCTTGACCGTAGGACAGCCTCCGAGCATTCTGGTAAGCTGCGCCGGCAGGGGATCGGTTTCAAAGTCTGCCAGCTCGAGCATGGGCACATCCGAGTCTCCATTGCTTATCCGCATTGGGCGGCGCATGCCGATGGCGACCAGACGATCTCTCATGTAGCAACACCACCATATTCTCTTCCAGAGTCGACGTTGCTGTAGAGACATCATTGGTGCGTTGGAGGTGTCGCAATTCAGTCCAATAGTCCGCGCCACCGAAATCGCCACACCTAGCCAATGCCAGACATCTTTTGGGTCATCCGGAGTCTCGTACCAGTAGGTCATGAGGAGAACGCTTTGGACCAAAGAAACTCTGTCACTCTCATAGTCAAAGTCGTATAGAAGTTTAACTCGCTGGAAAAATGCCTTTCGGGCCGCTTTTCGTGTAGCGTATCCTTGCGCTATCAGATAGCGCATGTCAATGTATGCTGTGGCTGCAAACATAACAGCTTGGAACAGCAACAAACTGACCGTGTCGGTAGGTTGGTCTTTCTGCACTGTGGCCAGGAATTCTTGCAAGTCGAGAAGCGGAAGGTAGGGGTGAACGTATTGGACATAGCATCGGAGGAGCTCGTTGCGAAGACCGGGTTCGGGGATGATGAATGCCCCCTTTCTTTGCAGATACTCGAGATCTTCCATTGCCATTCTCTGCGGGACCGACTTGATGTATGCAGGTAGAGCAACCTCATGCCGATTTGATAACTGTGGGAAGTGACTGGGACCAGAACATAACGCGAGCGAAGCGGGGAGCGTCTTGGTACTCATGTTCGACATTCGTCTTGTACGCTCCTCAAGGCTCAAGCGATGGCCTTGCGTTTGATCTGGCAGTCAATGTCAGTTGAAAAGCAACGTCGCGAAATAAATACTGGACTCACACAGCATATGAGGGCGATGATGGCAAAGATCGAAGTCCAATGCATTGAGATCCTGAGCAGGCTCTGTACTACTAGGAAATGCGGGAGCCAGATCACTCAAACCATCGATGTCGTCGAAGATTGTGAGCTGGGACTGTTGTTTCTTCTCCTCCTCTATAGATAGGCAAGGAGATTGATGAAGCATCTCTCCCTCGGGATATGGCTTCCTCCTTCGCTTGCCTTCTGTGACTATACACTCGACTTCGTCAAGCCTACAGTTGGTGCATGGTATGCCGCTCTCGACAACATCGCAGCGAACCTTTCTTGATCTGCAGCAGTGGCAAGCTTTGGATGCCCTCCGCTTGACGGTACGGCCGGTCGTCGATAGTCCAGCCGTGGACGCTTTTCTCTTGGTGGAGTTGCTCATCGCGTCAACAGTCACGATGCTCCTGGTGATTCAACAACAACTGAGAGTATAGTGAAGCTGCTTTGGCGAGAGTAATAAGCTTCTAGAGAGGGAAGGATAGACTCCGCCCTCATGCCAGATAGATGAGAACAAAGACAGGACTGTAAGAGAAGTTGGGGAAGTTCCCAAGATATGGTAAAAGTCGAGAGTTGGGCCCATGGGGATAGATATGGGGAAGGAAGGACGAACGGGATCCCCAGTGCCCTCTTCGCACAGGGTCCACCAGCTTACTCGTGCGGTGTAAACAGACTAGTTAGACTGGCGTCGATGGCACTTTTCTTCATACCCCGGACTAGCTTGTTCGAGGCGAGAACATCGAACTTTGATTAGCGATTGAGCGAGGAGCTGCAATGGTTCGTGCTCAGACATCTGGAAAGTAGAGTTTCCGTTCCGACAAGTTCCAGGACACTGGCACTTGGGTCTCACCCTTCGACACGCTTCCCTGTATCTCAGCGAGGAGACTCTCAGTGAAAACGACTGCGGTCACCTTCTTTTTGCTACGCCCTTTGACCTGCGGAGAAGCAGGCGAAGCCCATCAGAGCGCACTTTGTTCTCACACAAGCGGCACCAAGGAGATTTGGGGGCAAATCCTCCCCTGCAAGGACCCCAGTCTCCACGAGGGTGGTGCCGCCTCTCGATTTTTCGATGGGAGACTAGGACAGAATGCGTTAACTGCCTCGGTTCCGATTTTCGGCCGTGCCGATTACCCATGAATCATGAAACTAGGTTGGAAAGCTGACCCAGCACGTACGAGTAGTAGGCTATGTCTGTGAAAGCGAAGGGCGAAGACAGCGATGCCGGTGGAAATAGTCTCCCTCCGAACCCAACCGACACAGTTGAAGCTCGAGCTTGGTCCAATAGCAGGACGAGGTCTACTGGTTGGCCTAATTCCAAGCATGCCCTGGGCGGGGAGGGTGCTCGCCTCTTGCAGTGGCACATCTCCGGGCAGGAGATGGAGATATGGACGTGGCGGCGCTTCCCCGTGGGTCGAATAGTACGAGTAAGGATGGAATGCGTTTTCGAGAGAGCCCTCGTGTCGAGTCACAATCTCGAAGTCAGTCCCCGAGAACGAGGTCTGGGCACACTAGACGACAGAACTTACTCGGCAGAGGGAATAGAGCCGCCTGGTTTGTCTCGGACGGAAGCGATTGACAATGGTGTATTCCGGGAGGGAAACGAAATCCGATTTCACCAGTCAGATGATGAGTAGAGAGGTCGATTGACAAGGATCCCAACCCGCTGTGGAGGAGACACAAAGAGCAGAATTTCAGGAGTTGAGGGGCAGGAGGAGAGGAAAAGGCGGGGTATGCGAGCGCGAGTCAGCCCCTTCTGACTCTCTCACTTTCTTCTCCTGGTACTAGCGGACTCGTGGTGTGCCTCGTCCATGCTGGCCCCGCTCACGAACCCAGAGGTTTTCTTCTCTAGACTTCGTGGCTTGCATTTGTTAAGAGCGAGGAACCCAAACCCCAGCGGGGGATGCTAGGGTAAGCGAGAAAAGAACAAATCGACAGGTTCACCACCATTTATGCCACCAGAAAACCTCCGGTTTCGCAAACGATCAGACAGATGTTGGCCAATGGAGGTACTGCACGCCTTGAAGACCATGTTGGTCCTGTCGCCGACCATGGTTGACGCCTCAGTGGAAATGGCGGACTAGAATCATGCATGGTGGTCGAGGCATCATGGACAATCCCGGCATACCCACATACAACAACTCTTGCTCCGGGACCAGACACGATTCCACCGGGTACAATTCCACCGGAATCCATGCCTCCAATCTCACGGCGATGAGACCGAGGCGTACTCCAAGGCCATGGTATCATGAGTACATGTACAGGGGCGGTCCTGCAATTGATGTGGTTGATCAAAGGTGAGTCGTCCTTGTACAAGGACCTCCGACCGACCACACTGTTCCGCGGCCATATCACCACGCAAATTGCCTCACTTGAAGATACCCTCGCAAAGTCATCTGCTACGAAGAAGCTGCCAAGAGAAAACGCCATAGCAAAAAGCAACCGCTACATCGCTCAGTTGCCGTGGAACGTGGCCGTGTGAGCCGCGTTAACCGCGGGGTTCGTTCGCTCCAACGCCTACTCTGCATGCCTTGGAGAATCAATAGTAGTGCGCGTAGGAAGGAAACTAGACCAATGCACAAATTCCACAACGATGCCGCGCCTCATCATCCACAGGCCGCCTGGCGCGAGACGATGAGGACGGTTTCCACAGGGATTATCGTCCTTATCGATAAGGCGCGGGGAACAACACGTAGTCGCATTGCTCTCCGTGTATCAGTCTCTGCATGAATGACTCTGGCTGCATGGCCATACGAATGCACTATGGTAGACGCGCCGGAGGACGGAGAGAGTGGCGCTCAGCCTATCATCCCTGGCCTCAGTGAAAAGGACAGCCTCAAAGCAGCTATACTCATTCAGGTTCCAATGCGCCTCGCTTGCGGCAGGGACAGGTTTACTGACCGATGTTAAGAAATCCTATAGAGGTCATCGAGCCCGGCGGCAGCTGAAAGGCTTTGGTCTCGATGCAACCACACGGTGGTATGAGGTTGGTCTTAGCTGGACAGTCACAACCACATTGGCTGAGCGCTCATGAAGTAGGCAGTGAAAGTTGCAAAATACCAGCAATTAACGATACCGAGAGATTCCGCACAACCCTACAACGTCTCTGGAATCCACGGGAAAACGTCAGAAGAAGGAGAGGCGCCCCTATCACCTACCAGAAAGAAATGGTTCAAGGCCACAGAGATCGCCCGGAGAGCCGCGGCGGACGACCAATCGCCTTCGGTGTCAGATCTCTCTTCGGACGAAAGCGACGGGGCTGAAGAGGCAAAGAGAAAGAGACAGGAATCTAACGAGTTGCGGAAGAAGACTGCAAAGATGATGGATCTACAATATTTTCTCGAGATGGTGGACCAGAAACACCGATACGGGAGCAACTTGCGCAAATACCACAATTACTGGAAGGCACAAGATACGACTCAGAATTTCTTCTACTGGCTCGACCAGGGCGATGGGAGAAACGTCAGCCTGCCAGAATGCAGCAGGGAGCGGCTCGACAAGGAGCAAGTCCGATATCTTTCGCGTGAAGAACGTCTCAATTATCTTGTCAAGGTCAACAGCGAGGGTCTCCTTGTTTGGGCAAAAAATGGCGAGTTGGTATGGACCAAGGACGAGCTGTATAAAGACAGCATCAATGGAATAGTGCCTGTAAATGACAGCGCTCCTAAATGGCAGCACAATGTGCCACCAACGAATTCAGAAGGACCCTATAGCAGTTCCTCTGATGACTCTTCCGATGAGTCGTCGGAGGATGGCGATGGACATACTGCAGGCGACGAGGGCGAGAGATACGTCAACGAAGGGGTGAGTAACCATGTGGAGCCCTCACAGAGGTTTCTGAATATCTAACGACAGTCGCATATCAAAGTTTCATCGAGCAAAGGGACCGGCAAAGCTCAAGCATGTTTCTGCGGCGGTGCTTTTCAACCATATGATCAGGACCAGCTTGAAGAAGGGCCACAAATGGATCTTTGTAAGTTGAGCATTCTGCCCTGGAGTGGGCCACGTCCTGACTCTAATATAGGTCGCCGGTGCGTTCCAGCTTTGTGCTAATCTCCCCTCGGAAGGATATACTCACAAGATGATCAGACACCTCCCTTCGCTTGTACATTGGCTATAAGCAATCAGGCGCTTTCCAACATTCCTCCTTTCTCCATGGCGCCCGTATCCTAGCAGCTGGTCTTATAAAGATCAAGAGAGGACAATTACGGAGACTATCTCCGTTGAGGTGAGGACTTCCAGCCCAAGCACAACGAGCTGATCTGAACATGCATACAGCGGTCACTATCGGCCCCCAGCCAACAATTTTCGTACCTTTGTGCATAGCTTGCGTGACATGGGAGTTGACATGTCCCATGTCTCTATCTCCAGAAGTTACGCCATCTTGATTGGATTAGAAAGTTATACGAAAACCAGGAAAAAGATCAAGCTGGCAGAAAGAAAGGTCGTGCACGAAAAAGACAAGCTGATCAACCCGGCGAAAGTTAAGGCGGAAGAAGAAGCTCAGCAAGATAAATCAATGAGTGCCGAGATGGAGAGGCTGCATCTTCTAGAACAGCAACGAGAGGCCGCAGAAGCGAGAGCGAACGAGCGAAAGGCTGACCGAAGCATCAGTGGGAGACTGTCGCGTGCAATGTCAAGGCTCAAACCCTACAAGGAGAGTGAGGAGAGAAGTCCTAGGAGATTGCCGGGAACCGGCCCTGAGGATGGCATCCCTGCCCCGGAAGGACAAAGGTGAGTGCGAGTATCAGGATGTTTGGTTGAGAGGAATGCCTTGACCAAGGGTATCCCACAAGGTACGGCATTCAGCTTTCGGCACGAGTACTGTATGAGGAACAGGTTCGCCCTTGGAGTCCGAGATGAGTACCCGTCCAGATAGACGAATCTCCGCTCGCTTGAGGGCTCATTAGGCTTCATGGCAGTCATCTTGTGTATTTCCACGAGGCCGATGTAAGTTGTCCTTAAGCTGACTGTATGGCCCCCGTACCCGTAGCCGGACACATTGCCATCCCAGGTACCTCTACTCGTATTCCGTACCAAGCTCGTCATCCGTAGTCCAATGCTGTCATCGGCTCGACGTCCGTCTCTAGAGAAAGAAGGATAATATGAGGCCAGTCAAAGCAGGGTCGGGTTGTGTGACGCCAGAGGTACGAGTAACGAGTACAAGGTGATGTCAAAGTGCAGATGTGGATGGTGGCGCCGTGTGAAAAAGTTGGTAACATCCCTGACACTTTCCCGCGTTACTGGGACTTACTGGGCCGTGTCCGCCCATTCCAAGAAAACGTGCGCTGCCGATCAAGCCCACTCCTTTTGACTCTTCCCACTCATACCACGCGTCGTCGCCGCCGCCGTCGCCTGAGCTGTCTGTGGCTGGTGATGCAGACCGTCATTCATCGTCCCTTTCGTGATCGGCCGGCGGTCATTGACTCAAACCTAATACCCACAGCAACCTGAATCGATGCAATCAACCCCTCTCGGCACCCTCGCCTACATTGGTCTCTCCACCTCCGGATGATGCGAAAAAGGCAGTCTCAAAGCGACGGGGTCCGAGTATAATGAGTATACCTGGCGGCAAAGGTGGACTGAGACGTCCAGCTGCCTCTCGCAGAGGGGTATGCGGCCAAAAGCAGTCAGCAGTTCTCAATGCTTACGGTCTACGAGGACAACGACGAATATCTACAATATCCCTGGGGGTGAATCTAATGATACAGCCAAAGACCCGCTGTGAGGGTTATTCGTGAGACACGCGCGCCAAAAACCGGTTCTGAGGAATCGAACTGGGGCGGCGCCTCAACACTCGACGCTCCTCAGCCACGGCCCATAAACTTCGGACCACGTCTCGCTACTCCACTTGGCGTCATATCAAGCCCGGATCGCTGCCGCAACTCTACCTGCAATCCTTCGAATTTCGAACCAAAGGGACGGATATGTGCAGTGCTACACGAGAGAAAGGAAGTTTTCATTCTACACGGAAGACATATCTTCGAGTGCACATCTTGAGTAGCAATCTCTTCCACCATTCGACCTCGTGAGTGAGGCTGGGACGTCTGCACACAGTCAAGCAACAAATCAAAGAGAGTGGACGAGTGGTGACACGCCGCGCTTGACATCAGATCCTCCGATCACTCAAGGTAGGACCCTGGCATCTCTGGGGATATACCCTGTTAATATGGATTCTGGAGCATGGCATTCCTTGTCACTGGCACTCCTCTTTCCCATGCTCATTCGCGATTCTGCATTTCCTCCTCGATCGTCAAGCCGGACAGACCAGTATCCCCTGCACACTTGTCTCTTGCTAGGATGCCATTCGTTGGATTTTATCTCGTCTTTTCCCAGACCTGGGCTTTCTGTGCCACATACTTACCTCGTAGAGTCTCCATGGGCTCTTACTCTGACGCAATGGCTCTCCTTGGAACAAGGACATGGCAGCCACAATGAGGCACCAGCTCACTCAGAAAGAGAGGAGCATCGAGCTTCCTCACATGAGGGCAGCAATGATGAACGGTGACGTAGCAAATGTTTTGCTTCCACTACTTGACGACGTATAGTTCCCTCTTCCCAAAAGTGCTTGTTTCCTTTCTGTTTCTCAAGTCCATCCTGATCCACAAGTTGACACGATACTGTGTAAAATACGAAGATACCCTACTGAGAAGGAGAGCGTTGCCCGAGTGTGAACAAGCAACGTGAATGTTTCATGATTCTGTACTTTTAGCCAGCTGATGACAGCGAGTAATCGAAACTCATCAGCCTCATACGCATACTATTCATTCCCTCCAACACCCAGCCGCGAGTCGCGATCATCCCAACAGTCCAGCCCAGCAACAGTCAGAAGTTTCAGAAGCACAATGCCGTCTCCAGAAGCAGCAAGGCCGGGAAACCCTCCCGAAACGCCCACAAAGACTGGCAAGAGCCCTCAATCATCATCCACTTCTAAGCTTACTGGGAAAGACGTGCCGAGGGGTACCCCCGGACGTAAACCACCCAAGCTCGGGGCATCCAAAGCGACCCCAAAGAAAGCGACCGAAGACGTCCCCAAGCCAAAAGAGGTCGAGAAGCCCGCCGAAGATGTGACGGAGAAGGCTGAAGATGCTGGCGCAGAAGTCCAGCAGAAGATCAGTCTGAAAGACACCGAAGAGCCTGGCGGTAAGGTCAGCCAACCGGGCAACGACACCGGCGCCGAAAGTACCTCTGTCGCCGATACGAGCGAACTTTCGGAAGCCGACCCAGAACCAGTTCCAGATAGCGACGAAGATGAGCAGGAGACCGCCAAAGAAAGCAAAGGCGTTGCCAAGGACGAGGGCACCGATGAGGGCGAGGAGACCGAAGGCCCTGCGGAAGAAACACCCGCCGTCGAGACAGAGGATGCTGCTGAGGAAGCGGAGGATGAGGCCGAAGGCAAGGGCTCTGGAGCACTCGGCGGCCTCAAGTCAGGTGCTGCCGGAGCTGTCGGCAGCGGCAAGAAGCTCGCAGGTCGCGTCGGTGGAGCAAAGGATACTGCCACTAGCGCCGCTGGCAAGGCTTCCAAGGGCGATGTGAAGGGTGCTGCCGAAGATACTGCTGGTGATGCCAAAGAGGCGACCACGGAAACGGCAGAGGACGCTAAAGATACCGTCGCAGATACCGCCGAGGATGTGTCTGGTGATACTCCTGACGCCGAGGGAGCAGTCGATGGTGCCAAAGACACTGCCCAGAAGACGGCCGGCGATGTCGAAGAAACTGCTGATGAAGCGAAGGAGACCGCAGAAGACACTGCCAATGGGGTCAAGGACACTGCTGAAGACGCTGCCGATGGGGTCAAGGACACCGCCGAAGGTGCCATACCAGACTTGTCTATCTTGAAGGGTCTTAAGGTCAGTGAGAGCGGTGATATTCTCGACGGCTCGGGCAAAGTCGTGGGCAGGCTCGAGGAGGGTGATCCCGCCGACCTTGAGGGCTATGAGATCGGGGACGACGGTGAGATTCTTGATGAAGACGGCGATGTTGTTGGTCGGGCCACAGTCCTCCCAGACCAGGGGGCCGACGTTGCAGATGGCGCGGAAGATGCCATCGACGGCGCCAAGGATACCGCAGAAGGAGGCGTCGAAGATGCTGTTGATGGCGCCAAGAATACCGCAGAAGATGCCGTCGAAACATACTTGCCTGAGCTTGAAGTCCTTGATGGACTTGAGGTTCAAGAGAATGGTGACATTCTCGATAAAGAAGGGAATGTTCTCGGCAGGATCACCGAGGGCGACCCAGCAGATCTGGTCGGTATGACTCTCAATGCCGATGGCGAAGTTCTTGATGAGGATGGTGATGCTATCGGCCGGGCAGAGACACTACCCCAGCCAGTGAAGCAAGCCGCAGAGGACGCCACAGGGGAGCTTCCAGGCCTCGACGCTCTCAAAGGTCTCGAGGTTCAAGAGGATGGTGTAATCAAGGATGCCTCGGGCAAGACACTCGGCAAGATTACTGAAGGAGATCCATCAGATCTTGCCGGCCTTACACTTAACGCAGAAGGTGAAGTTCTCGACGAAGATGGGGATGTCATTGGCCGCGCCGAAGTCGTGCCCGAAGCAGCCGACGCTGTTGGTGACGCCAAGCCCGAATTTGTCCAGGAAGCCCTGGGCAAGGTCGACGAGCTTCAAGACCAATTGAAACCAAATTTAACGATCGTAGAGGGCAGGAAACTCAACAAGAAGGGAAACATTATCGACGATGACGGCGAGGTGTTGGCCAAGCTTGTCGATGGTGATGTGAAAGCTTGCGCTGGCAAAATCCCCAACGAAAACGGAGAAATCCTGGACAAGGACGGCAATGTCATTGGCCGTGTCGAAGTCGTGCAGGGCGAAGCTGCCGAGGAGGCTATGAAAGAACTTCACCCTGAGCTTCTTGAACAACTCGAAGAGGCACAACAAGCGGCTGAAGAGGCCGAAAAGCAAGCTGAAGAGCAGGCAGAGGGTGCTGGCGATGCGGCTGGCACGGCTGAAGAGGCTGCGGGTACTGCTGAAGAGGCTGCAGATACCGCTGAAGGTGCTGCCGACGAAGCCAAGGACGCCGCTGAAGAGGCTGCGAAGCCTGACTTTTCCCAGCTCGAAGGCCTGAAGGTGAACAAGAAAGGCCAAGTTGTCAATGAGGATGGAGACCCAATTGCTCGCCTCGCCGAAGGATACGACATTGAGGATGTCCGCGGCAAGAAGATCAGTGCGAAGGGCGAAATCTTGGACAAAGATGGCAACGTGATCGGCAAAGTCGAGTTCATACCTGAAGCCGTCGAAGAAGGCCTTGTGGAAGTCGAGGAGCCATCACCACAGGTTTCGGAAACTTCTATTCTTGAAGGCCTTAAGGTCAACAAGAAGGGTATGGTCCTCAATGAAGAAGGCGACCCGATTGCTCAGCTCAGTGAGGGCGAACTTGAAAACTGCGCCGGCAAGAAATTGAACGACAAAGGAGAAGTTCTTGACAAGGACGGGAATATCATTGGTAAGGTCGAAATGATCACCCAAGAAGGTGAGGAGGAGCAAGAAGAAGGAGAAAATGTAGACGATGGTCTACCTCCTCTTTCGATCCTTGAAGGTCTCAAGGTCAACAAGGCCGGCAAGCTTGTCGACAGAGACGGCAACATCGTCGGCGAATTGGTCGAAGGCGACGCTAAAAAGATCTGGAAGTCTGGCGCCAGCTGTGACGACCAAGGTCAATTCTGGGACAGCAAGGGCCACGTCATTGGCCGAGCTAAAACACTTCCTCAAGAAGAAAATGATGGAGAGGGAGAATTTGCCGGACTTGAAGGCTTGACTGTCGTTGCCGACGGTTGGGTCGAGGACGAGAATGGTAACCGGGTTGGCCGCATCATAGAGGGCGATGCGAAGAAACTCGTTGGCCGTGCCGTGGATGAGGATGGAGACATAATTGACAAGAGAGGCAATGTCGTCGGTCATGCTGAGAGATATGAAGAACCCGAGGCTGAGGCCGAACCCGAACCAGAAGCTGTTAACCTTTCTGAACTGAAGGGTCTCAGGCCGAACAAGCAAGGAAATGTGATCGGACCCGAAGGCGTTCCCATTGGCCGCGTTGTGGAAGGAAATGTCAAAGAGCTCGCTGGGCGAGCGATTGACGAGAACGGTCAGATTTGGAACGATCAAGGTAAAGTCATCGGACGATGCGAACTCATCCCACCGGAAGAACGAGAGGCCAAGCCCGAAGGGCCCTTTGCTGGCCTTGAAGGCGTCATCGTGGGCAAGGATGGTCTCGTCAACGACTCCGAAGGAAACGTCGTCGGCAAAGTCGTCGAGGGAGACTGGAAGAAACTTGTCGGCCGTGCTGTTGATGAAGATGGTGATATCATCGACAAATACGGCAATGTAAAGGGTCATGTCGAACCGTACGAAGAGCCTGAAGAGGAGGTCGCTGAGGAAGACTTGTCAAGCCTTGAAAACAAGACAGTAAACAAATTGGGAAAGGTTGTTGACGAGCACGGCACCATCTTCGGCGAGGTTATTGAAGGCGACATCAAACACCTTGTCGGCTGCAAGGTCGATGGTAAAGGGCAAATATGGAGCACCAACGGTAAGGTTGTCGGGCGCGCAGGTCTCATTCAAGGTGGTGACGACGGACGGGCTGAGGGACCCTTTTCGAATTTCGAATCCACGACCGTGTCCAAGGATGGTCTCGTCAAGGATGCAAATGGCGAGATTGTCGGTCGCGTCATCGAAGGCGATCCCAAGAAATTGGTCGGTCGTCACGTCGACGACGAGGGCGACATCGTGGACAAGAACGGCAATGTCATTGGCAAAGCAGAACGATGGGAGCCCGAGCAGAAAGAGCGCGAGGTCTCTCCCATGTCTGGCTGCCGCGTCAACAAAGAAGGAGAGGTTCGCGACAAGAATGGCGAAGTGATTGGCAGATTGACAGAGGGCAACCTCCTCGCTTGCGTCGGCAAGGAAGTCAACGACAACGGCTACGTGGTAGACCAAGACGGCAACAAGCTCGGAGAGTGCACACTGATCGAGAATATTCCTGAAGAAGAGGAAGAAGAAGAAGAAACAACACCCGAGCAGCTCAAGGAGGAAGAGGAACGCGAAATAGCCAAGAAGATTGGCAACATCATCAACCAGACCATCGACCAGATGAAGCCGATCTGTGATCAGATTACCGATGTAAGTTTTCTGCTGAGTGCGCGAAAGCCAGTTATAGCTTGTGTGTACTAACTGACGATCTCCAGAAAATTGAAAAGGCTGATCGTACGCCCCGTGAAGAGCTCGACGAAGAGAAACTTGTGCAGGACGTCAAGCCCCTCATTGAAGAAGGTAGCCGGATCCTGGGCGAATGCAATGGTGCCATTCGAGGCCTCGATCCTGATGGACACATTGCTGCCCAAGCCAAGGCTCGTGCTGCGTCTGGCGAGGCCAGCCCCGAGGAACATCGTGTCGCAGAAGGATTGAAGGAACTCACTTCGACCATTGTCAAGACCATTGACAATGCAAAGAAGAGAATTTCCGACATGCCTCACGCAAAGAAGAAGTTGAACCCCTTATGGGGGTTGCTCACCGAGCCACTGTTCCAGATCATTGCCGCTGTCGGCTTACTCTTGTCTGGTGTCCTTGGTCTCGTGGGCAAATTGCTCAACGGTCTCGGTCTGGGCGGTTTGGTCAACGGTATCCTGGGTGGATTGGGAGTTGACAAGCTCCTCAGTGGACTCGGACTCGGCAGCGTTGCTGAGAGCCTCGGTCTGGGTGGTGGTAAGAAGAAATAAGGGCTCGCGAGTTGATAAAATGTGAGAGCAGTCGACTCTGACGATTGTCTTTTTCCTTCTCTCAGTGGTTCTTTGTTGGATATGAGGATGGACAACTTGACCCAACAGTGATTCACGGAGGGCAATGGATATGGAATATTGCGCCTGGGGATGTCACATTGTACATTAGGTGGTTTCAATGGTCTTGTGATCTGGTTTGTTGGTCCGTGGTATGGTGTTTGGATTTCTAGGGATTTCATTTTGCTACAGTACTATAATACTCCGTCGTCTTCCCCGACTATGCAATTGGCAGCGCGAGATGATGAAAAAGTTTGTTTTCTACAATCTGCATGGTTAATAGTATTATTTTTCGCCCAGGTTGAAAAAGTCCTTCCAAGATACTTTGTAGCAAGTTCTGTCAGTTACGATCTACTCGTAACGCAGCTTCTGGGGTCCCATGATACCCCAGATTATAATCATCAAGCACAAGATGCTCCTGTGGGCATCCCAACTTGAGCGGAGTGGATTCTTGTTTCTGGTGAAGCACATAAATGAGGCTCCTCGGCTCATCTGGCTGGAACACAATTCTGCCGGCAGAATTTTCGAGTGACACAGCAATGTTGGATGTAACGTTCCGATCAGAATCGCCGATATGCGGTGACTGGACGGACACTCCGTAAGAAGCCAGCTTGTTCTCTTCTGTGTCTGGCCGTCGCCTTGCTATAGGCGACACGACGCTTTTGCCTTGATCGGCAGTCAGTGAGTACTCAGAGTACTAGCCCTCCCCTGCTCGTAGCCATGTTGGTACATACATTACCTAGGGGAGAGATATCATGGATCTTGGGCGAGGGTATCATAACACCTCCAACGAGAGTGGCAGGTCAACCGAATCTACGCTTCACTAATTCCGCAAGCCTTTTTCATCGTCGATTTCCGGGCAAATCAAGATACGCACAGCTCGGCCTAGTGAGACTAGTGGCCACTATCTCCATCGTAGTGGCCAATCAGACAATTCTCGTTGCAAGGCGGTGAGGACGTCGCCACAATGTCGCATGTTTACTCCGGAAGAGAGTTCAGAATTTCTTCCACGAGAATCCTCGCAGTACATCACGTTGTAGTATTAAAGATGACAGGGAAGAAACGAGGAGACGTTGGCACTTCGTGTGGCCATCTGAATCAGGGGGAAACAGGGTTCGGAGAACAGTCGGGTTCGTAGGGATGCCTCGTTGGTGCTACTGCTGGTGACCAGGATCATCTTGGCCTCTGCATCCGTCCTAATGGGGGGGAATACTCTTTGTCTGACCGGACCAGACACCCCCCTGAGCCCTCACAACTGGTGTATGGTTGAACATGTCAGACATATATATTCTACAAACTTGACTTCATCAACCCTTCATTCACCGTCACCTTCTTCGCCTCCACATACGCTACTCGAAGTTACACTCTCGTCCTCCATTCCCTCCCTCGCCCTCTTCTTCTTCTTTCTCTCTTTTACTCCATTGTCCGTTCTTCTGATCCCACGGTTCTATTCTTGCTGCTCTCCCGATTCCTGCGTTTCAAGTGCACGCCATCTAGGACATACCACCGTCGTCTGTCGAGGACGGTCTGCTATTGTTGCACTGTTGCGGGTGGACAACAGGTCGTAAGAGACGAAGTTCTACGAGAGAAAATGAAACTTACACGCAAAAAGTCCAATCCGTGCATCGATGATACGTTCCCAACCACTCAGTTCCTAATCCTAGGTGAGTTTCTCAAAGAAAGAACCGAGTCGACTCAACTCACTCATCTCTCTCTCCAGCGATATGTCGGTTATCCGAGCCGATCGCCATCACCGCCATCTTTCCATATGCATGGCTCATGGTCAAGAGTTTTGGGCTCGGTGATGCCTCCTTCTACGCTGGCATCCTCATTGCCTCCTTCTCACTCGCCGAGGCCTTGACCAGTATGTTTTGGGGTGCCCTCTCCGATCGCCTCGGACGAAAACCCATCCTCCTCACGGGCCTCGCCGGAACGGTCGTGTCTCTCCTCGTCGTCGGCTTCTCAACAAATTTCACCGTCGCTTTATGTGGGAGAATCATCGGTGGCGCCCTGAACGGGAATATCGGTATGTCTATGCATGGTATCGAGCCCCTTACGGGAAGTCATAGCTAACAAATCCCATAGGCGTCATTCAAACCATGGTGGGGGAATTGGTCACCAAGCCAGAACACGAGCCCAAAGCGTATGCCGTCATGCCGTTTGTGTGGTCCATTGGGTGTATTATTGGACCTGCCATCGGTGGGTTGCTCGCAAATCCTGCAAAGTCGTACCCCGGCGTCTTTCCCAGTACTGGCTTGTTTGGCCACTTCCCGTGGCTCCTCCCCAATCTGATATGTGCCGTAATCATGCTCTTCAGCATCATTGTCGGCTTCTTTTGGCTCCGAGAAACCCATCCAGAATTCCGCCAAAGAGGGCCCGAGGAGGACTCCCGTTTCAATGTCACCGAGCACACCCCAATGATGCTGACCGCCGGCGCCAACGCCGATGCCGGTACTGATCTGAGACGGGACTCGTTCGGCACGTTCAACGAAGTTGAGATTCAGAACAACCTCCGATGGAAGATCGGCGCCCACGGCAGCTCCCGAAGCTTCTCGATCTCCGAAAAAGAGTCTCAGAAGTGGCTCACCAAGCGGGTGGCCATGTTGACTCTCGCCCTCAGTCTGTACACGTATCATTCCATGTGTTACGACCACCTCTTGCCCATCTTCTTCGAGGACAAGCCTGTTGACCAGGTTTTTGTATCCCGTGTGACTGCCTTCCACGTCCCAGGCGGACTCGGTATGTCGACCAAAGACGTGGGTGTCATTATGTCCGTGAATGGTTTGATCGCCTTGTTCATCCAAGCCGTCGTATTCCCCCTTGCCGCCGAGCGTCTTGGGGTCTGGCGAGTCTTCGTCCTGGTGACGATTTTCCATCCCGTGGCGTTCTTCGTCGTGCCTTACCTCGCTCTTTTGCCGCGGAGTCTGCTTTATCCGGGCATCTATTTCTGCCTCACGATTCGAAACCTCCTTTCCATCCTCGACTACCCCGTTCTCTTGATCCTGCTCAAGCAGGCAAGTCCGTCCCTCTCTACCCTCGGCCGAATCAACGGCTTGGCAGCTGCGGCTGGTGCGGCGTGTCGAACAATCGCACCGCCCGTTGCGGGTTTGTTGTACGAACGGGGTTCCCAGATTGGGTTTACAGGTTTGGCGTACTTCGGGGCAGGCGCCGTCGCGATCGTGGGCGTCGTGCAACTATGGTTTGTTCCGAGGGAGAAGTATACCTCGACCGTCAAGCCTATTATCCCATACATGGAGAGTACAGAGGATGCTATTCGAGATGTGGTTGACGTTACGGTTGTCGATGATGTTGAGGGGGAGGATGAAGAAGAGAACGACGAGGTTTGAGCTTTGATTTAGGAATTACAGGCGACAACAGAACTTTTTGGGGTACACGATGAATGTCCGGTGGGTGCAGCGCGGCGTCTGGGAATATGGGAAGATTTTGCTATTACCTGGATTCTCAGGGATGGAAGGATACACGACGATGACTCTACATTATAAGAACCTACGATACCCTATGACCGTGATTATGGATGGGGGGTTTACTACCATTGTTGAACTGGCGTCTTTGTCGGGGAAAGGAACGATGAAGAGAAGATCATGGCTACGACGGGCGTTTTGGAATGAGATTGGGAATGATCCATCGGGTGTGTTTTCTGGGCTTGGTTTGGGGGAAATGGAACCATAGGGTATACAAAAACTTGGATTTCGGAGTTCTCGAACGTGTCGTACTATACCATACTGTACCTGCCCACTGGAGTAACTGAGATTAGATCATATCCCTTCAATACTCGGCCTAGGCTGTTCATTGGTGATGGGCAAGGGAGCGTCTTCAGAGGCACAAGGCCAAACTGGGCGGCCTGCCAGGTGTTGGACGCAAGCACCTTTGCACTCTCTGGGCCTCCGATTCATGACTTCAACGCGGTCGTATCTCGTCACCACTGGCGCAGCCACCGCCGAAGCCGTATTCTCAGAAAGAATCTTGTCGTCGACGATGATTTTCAAAGAATCCAAGCCACGTCATCGTCCCCGTCTTACTCAGCTGAGGCCTCGCTGAAGGGACGGTGGGCGCGGCGCCTTCGCACACACAACCCCAGTCGCGAAAGAGTTTGATGCACTCCCGGACTCGCATCACCCCCTCCACGGGCTCCCCTGTTGTTTATCAGATGTTCGGAACTTCTTTTTCAAGTTCCCCCTCAAGATCCTGGGCCGACGCAAACCCCATGGTCCAGCATTTCTCGATGATAGAACCCATCCACACCTCGCTCGTTGACGGAAGTTTTTCCCGTCGGGGCCAAGTGGTCGGAGGGCCCACTCCGTGCCAGTCTTCGTAGATGTCGAATGAACAATGTTGACCGGTGACAATCTCAAACATTACCACCCCAAACCGTCCGATGTCGCTCAGAATAGAAAATCCAGATTTGTCGCAGCCTTTGAGATCCCATTGAGAATCCATCCGGGAAGAGTCAGAGAAGTCAACCAGCTTGATATTCATATCGTCGTCATACACGATGTTGTCCAGCCGTAAGTCGCAGATGATAACACGTCGACTATGTACGAACGCCATGGTATGCGCCAGCTGAAGCAACCAGGAAAGCTGGCGAGACCTTTCTGGTCGGACCTCAAGTAGATGCTGCCACAGGTTGCCATTCATCAACGGCATCTGGATTGAGGGTTCTTCGGAGTCGACATTGTAACAGCGGATGATCCCGGGATGGTCGCCTAACCGTTTATAGATGGCTTTTTCGTGCTGCAAAGACGTGATGGCAACGGCGACCTCATTCCATTCATCGTCATCGGGATTCGATAGCTTCTCACGAACAGGCTGTTCATCAATCTCGAGCAGCATCGGTATGCGAGGGATCTTAAAGGCGTATCCTCCTCGGTTGACGACAATGCTTGCAGCACCTACTCCAATAATCTCCTCTTTCACAGTTGTGCCGTTTAGATACAGGTAGTGGACGATGTGCGATGCCCTCATGGTTGGTTAGGTAGGTCTGGTATCTGTGTAGGAGTCGGGTGGACAGGTTGGTGGGTGAAGCGCATAAGGAGGGCGAAACAAGTCCAGCTTCGGGGTCTAACTACTGTCGAAAGAAGGCCGCAAGCTGGAGGGCGCCTGGAAACCATGCAACACCTGCTTATTAATGAGAACACCAGTTAGTTAGACACGAATGCATTGAGCAGTTCTGGTCGAGTTGTTTCATTGTTGTTGGGCCCTTTACTCCTTTCTTGGCAATGCCTCAGGTAGGTACTAACCACCTACTGCTGTACCTGTAACCCCCTTGTACACCCACCTCCTTACCTCCTTACCTCCTTACCTCCTTACCTCCTGTAGGTAGTACATCTCGCAAGAGCACCACTCCACAGCAGGGCCCCTGAGCCGTGGCTGACTTCTTCCTGCTGACATGAACACACAATCACTCACCAGAGTCTGGTGGGGGAAAAGGCCATGGCTTTCTTCGATGGCCACAGGGCGTCGTTGGAGAAGATTACTGCGATAATGACACACTTTCAGCTAACCATGAGATATTATCGCAACTCGCCTTTGTTCCCCTCGATCAACTGAACTGCGGCCCCCGATTCGTGGAAATAGCCGTTTCCCAGTATGGACATCTCGCGCTCCAGACTCTCCGAGCGCCAAAGATCCTTACGTTATCTCCATCATCGGTTTGAAGCCTCAGGCGGTATTGTTTGTGAGTCAGGACAGTCACCCGCGGAGAAACATTTTGAACAGTCGCGCATACCTTGCGTCATGCTCCTTTAGCTGAGAGGTTACCGGCTTCGCTCACGTTTTCTTGCCATCTCCAAGGGATCCGAGTGGACATGTCGGAGATAGCAACTGTCTGCTTGCGGTTGACGATACTGTCTAGACAGAGCTTGAGCAATACTTTCTGAGAGACCTATATAGGTAGGCAAGTAAGACTCTTGAGAACGGAGACATCTAGGCACAGCAGTTCAATCTACCTCAAGTTCTACAGCTTTGTCGAAGCACAAACTAAAGTCACAATAACCATATTAACTCAACTCTCTCCACGTCCACAACTTTCCAACGTCTCGAAGCGAAGAGAGCTCGACATGATCGCAATCGTAGGCGCAGCCGGAAAAGTCGGCTTCGCAACAGCCACAGCATTGCGCAACGCAGGTGTGCCAGTCAGAGCAATCCTGCGCGAGGAGACCAAGGCATCGCGCCTAACCGAGATCGGGTGTGAGACTGCTGTAGCCGACCTGCAGGACTCGGCTGCGCTCGCTAGAGCCATTGGTGATGCAGAGTCCGTCCAGGTCATCATCCCACCTGCGCCGCAGGTCAAGGACACGGCTGCGCAGATGCGACAGGCGATCGAAAGCGTGGCCACGGCCCTGGAAACCGTACGACCAAAGCACATCTTGGCCATCTCTGACTATGGCGCTCACGTCGACCGTGATATCGGCATGCCCACTCTGTGTCGGTCGTTTGAGGAAAGGGTTAGCAAAGTCGACAATGCTCGCAAGATCATCCTGCGCTCGGCGGAACATATGCAAGGCTGGGGACCTGCCGTCCTTGCCGCAGTCACATCCGGTGTGCTTACGTCGTTCCATGATCCAGTCGACATGCGCTTTCCCACGATTTCGGCTCCAGACCTGGGCGTCATTGCCGCTAACCTTTGGCTGCAACTCGATGCGGACGGGAAGGATGTCGAGATCGTGCATGCGGAAGGACCTGACCGGTACAGCGCAAATGATGTCGCGGCATCATTAAGTGAGCTGCTGGGAAGGTCGATCCGGGTGCAGACTGTGCCTCGTACGCAATGGAGAGCCGCCTTCGAAACCGTCATGAGCCCGACCCTTGCCGACCTTCTCATCAAAGCCAACGACGCACAGAATCAGCCTGGTGTCGTAGATGTCGACCCGAACTGCAAAGATGTACGTTATGGCACGACAACCTTGATAGATGCCTTGAGGCCGCTTATTCCGAAAACGCAATAAGGGGCCCTGGACTTGGGGGAGTCAGCGCTAAGAATGCATGCTCGCGAGGCCAGCCGGTCTACCAGTCGAGGACAAGGCTGTCAACTTTGGGAGCGAGCGGTAATATCTCCAGAATCTGTCACGACCGCCGAGACTATACGGTCACACATACACCGACTAACTAGAGCTACTTATGCGAACCGCTTATCCATCGGTTGGTTTAGAGGCCAGTCAGGAGGAGGACGCTATTTGCCCACGCCTTCTTCCCCGAACCCTTATCTTTATCCTTAGGCCTCCTTCTGCCCTGTCCTGCACTCTGAATGAAATATGTCAGTGCTTGAGAGCAGCCATCGGGTCCCTTTAGGGTTCATACCTGTTTAGAGTCACGTAGGCTTCTTGGTGAATGATAGTCTGTTTGGACAGACAGATCCTTCCTCGTCTCCATATGGAGCCACCACAATCCAAGTTTCACCGTCAAGTATTTCCCCCCGAACCCGTATGAAGATTGGTAGGCGGCGTCGCTGATGTTCATGAGGAGTTTCCGCGCGTCCGACTGTGACAGACCCTGGTTCCCGAAATAAAAGCAGTCCGTTGTGTTCACCCATCCGCATCTGGGTTCTGTCGTGGAAGGCGTCGGAATCGGCTTTAAACTGCAATCTTTTCCACCACAGTGAAAGTTGGTCGTGCCTCCCAGCAAGAATGTTCCACCAATCTGCTCGCCATGTAGTCTCTGCTGAGTGACTGAGACTTTCCCGGATGACCTGGTCTGACACTCTTTTGAAGTTCTTCTCCCAATACGCGCGAGGAGTCTACTCCGGCGGGTGGCCCCCCTTTATCTTAGACACTGCTCCTCGTCCTCGACTTTGATCTTGGTTGGTATGGTCTCAATGGATTCAAACGCTCTCGCAATGGTAATGGAACGTTATTCTTGATCGAACGTCGCTTTGAAGTCGAGCTCGAGTTCACAGCGAGGCCCTCCCTTTCCGGACACCAACTTGATGGTGGCAGTGGCCGTCAATTCAATCGACTTTGTTTCTCAATGTCGCTTGACTAGTTTCAGAACCAATATTGATGTCGCCCTCGACATAATTAGGCCAGAACAACCTTCGGTAGCTCTTCATGCCCTTGCTAACCCCTTTAGCCCTTTTAGAATGCTTCCGATCTCGCCACAAGGGGACCTCAGCTACTGTAAGGAAGCCTCAGCTATTATATCCCTTTAGGGTGCTCTCGGCCGGATACTCTCGGCCAAGTTCATCGTGGCGCTTTAAACGCGGCGATGGAAAAGCCGCGCTTCGAGGATTTCTACCTGCGTCATCTGAGGGGTAATCGCTTTTCATATCTGGAAGATGATCGAACGTTGCGAGAGGAACTCGGGCAAAGCACAGCTGAGCTTTTGACAGAGGAGGGGATCTAGTGACAGTGATAGAGGGAGAAGATGCGGTAAAAGCATTTCTATGATTGTATCCTTTAGTATTCTATGCCAGTAGAGGAGCTTCCTCGTGGCGCCCCCTCGCTTCCCCTACCCGCGACAAGATACGCCGCCAGCAGAATCGCGTATCCGATGCCGTGCAGGATATACTAGTTAAACGGCAGCGCACCCCTCTGATACCACATCGACAGCGGCGCCGGCTGATTACCCCACGTGGGTACACCTACAATAGCCTTGATAACCACCGCACTGCAGCCGCTAATAAAACAGCGGCCTGAAGCCCTAGCGAGAGGAGGCTAAGCGACCCTGGTTGCCCGGCCATACGCCTCCACTCGAGAAACTGAGGATAGAACTGCAGGAGAACAAAGGACAACGCGACCCATGTATTAACGATAAAGGAGAAGCCGACGATTAGGTCAGTTTCAAACCGATGAGGTGATGGGGCCGGGAGTGCAATAATCGTCGCTGGGAACAGAAACATAGCCGCATGAACGAAGGGCGATGGTGGCGATACCGGCGCTACTTCGATCACCGTAGACACTGAACAATCTGCTCCTGGAGGAATAGGTCGTGAAGAGGGTCACACTTTCACTTAGATAAGTACCATAGCAAATAAGGAGCCAGAAGGGACTTGACTTACGTCGCGATTATGCATAACCACTGTACAGACACCTGCAGCAACCCTAAAATCCCACCAAGAGCTTTAGAACCCCGGAGGCGTCCGTCGCCGATGAGCTTCAGAACTGGCTCCGAGTCGGTCGGACATGCATATGCTGCATCTAACAGGGCGTGCGCGAGTTGAATATTACTGCAGATGGCATTAAACAGGAGGAAGTCGGGGTGAGAGGCCTCGAGGGGAACCGTGGCTCACCAGCTGGGCGAATTGGGGGATGTGGGCGACCGGAATGGCAACAAGGAGAACACTAAAGATGGACGTGATAGAGGCGTGAAATTTTAACTTTCAGAGAGGAGTGATGACTTCCAGGTCGATCGTCATGTCGAGGGGAGTATTGCGCAGGTTTCCATTCCACAGGCTCATGATGGCGTACGGGGCTTTGGTTTGTGGCGGGTGAGTGGATTGTACTTGTAGAAAAGGTCAACGGAGTCGTAGGGATACGCACGGATCGGAGGCGAATAAGAGGAAGATTGTTACACGGTTTCTGGGTAACTTGAAGAGAAGGGAGAAGCGAAGAAGGGAGCAAGTAGCCTTCACGGTGATGTACAAGTCATGCGTTGCCGGCCACTGAACGTGACCTTGATGGATGCGGAATCCCAAGCAAGATAGGCGCTCGCTTCCTTGGCGTCTCCTGAGGCGCAGGGGTCCCTCTATTTGCAGGGACTGTGGATAGAAAAAGACTGGCCGAAAGCCAATCGTCTATAGTCGAGTTGGGCAATTTCTGTACAAACAATGTGCTCCGCCTACTACGCCTTTGTCGTCGACGCTAAGCGCCCAAAAGTCCGAGGCCGAGCGATTCGCGGAACAAGTCGACCCATCGGCCAGGTCTATCTACCATACAAGTATTTACTTTCGAACAAGGTCCATCAGAACAGACAATCATACTTGATCTCTGTCGAGCTCGAACGGGTCATGTCCCCCGCCCCCACTGCGGGCGACCTGTCGCGGCCATCCATGCTAGGCTTCTTGAGATCTGGCCAGAAACAGGTCTTGTGGCTTTGTTGGCGATCGAGCCGAAGGTGTAAACACCACGAAGATAGAACGGATTCTATCTCTTCTTCCGCGCCCACGTTAACCAAACAAATCATTCATGAGCATCCTACTCCTGGAAATATAGCGGATGGGTGAGGTATCATTCAGAAGACGTCGGACTAATACCCTTAGGTCCCCCTTCTTTCACCTAGACTGGCCACGGACAGGCGGCCTTCGGTAGCTGCAATGAGGCCTTTGCAGGCCAGGCGCCATGGCTTGTACCTAGAGTCCTACTATTCTTCAAACACACCATCTAAATGTGATACCGGCAATTTGGCTCTGCTGTTTCATGGCCGAGCACCGCGGCAGCGCTGTAGAGTCGCCTCGAGGGGATTAGTATTACCATTCCGCTCCTCGAAAGTATACAAGGCTGAGCGATGGCGCTGAAATAACATTGACCTATTTGGTCTCTAGGAATCACTCTTAGTCCATCAACAGCAGCACCTACATTAGCATTCAGGTAACTCGAAAGGAGATTATCTACGGTCCGACCTTGCCAGTGCACCACGGTCACAATTAAGCAAGTCCTTTTCCTCGCCGGCCTCCTGACGCTCTCAAGTGCCGCTCCCAAAGCTCCGGAACTTGAAGACAGAGACACCGCATGTATTACTTTAAACAATTATCCAGGAGATGAGCCACCTTCCGAGACGGCCAATGAGTTATTTTCTTTTCCATGTGAAAGAAGCCATCGCGAACGGGGACAGAGAATAGCTACCAGTTCACTGAATATAGTAGCTCCCGTCCAAACATCGACCTCCTTGGACAAGAGAGCCGAGCCTTCGGCCACAGCCCAGCGGATACCAATACAAAAGGGTTATGTGGCATTTGGCGACTCTTATGCCGCAGGCATCGGAACCGAATCCACTGAAGGTGATGGCTGACGGTGACGATATCGATTTTCAAAACCTCCTCTGCTCAGGCGCCATTGTGGGAGAGGTCCTCCAAGGCGGCAAGAACAGCCAGATCGATGCCTGGACCAATCCTCAGAACGCTGATATTGCCACGCTTCCTATTGGCGGGAACGACGTCGGGTTCTATAAAATCCTAACAGCCTGTGTACTCCGCGTCGGCCAGTTCCGAGCCGGTGATTGTGACGAACAGGTACAAAAGGCGTACGACTTAATTAATGGTCGTGACCTATTTAACGACGTTGCTTCGGCACTCCACCAGATCATCGATAAGTCCGGCCGTGCCGACTTTAAGATCTACCAAACCGGATATCCAGCCTTCTTTAATGTTGATACGGATAGCTGCGATCTCACAACCTTCTACCACTGGGAGCCCGGCCACCATAGCTTTAAGCACTTAGGTAACTGGACCTATTTGGTGAAGTTTCTACGGCTTCAGCTAAATAATCTCGTTACCGACCTTAACACTATGCTTAGCCAAGTGGTCGATTCAGTTAACCAGGCATACCCTGAACAGCGCGTCTGGTTCATCGACCCAAACCCGGCTTTCAACGGCCACCGATTTTGTGAAATGGACGGCAACGTCGAGGTCACTGAGCCCGATTCATCCCGCATAGATACCTGGCTATTTCTTTCGGGATGGATTGATAACGCCCTTTTAACCGCAGCGACCAGCTCAGGAAATGAAGTCCAAGAACTTAAGGAGCTCCAGGCCGGCAACCTTACCGCGCTGCCCGATCCAAATACCTGCAATACGGCCGCCACCGGGAATAAAGATTGGTATGACAACATGCTGTGCGAAGCGGCTCAGGCCGTGTTGCTCCCCTCGCCTGTAGACTACGAGGGACCTAATAATGCCTCACTAGTAGTCCAACAACAAATCCAAGCTATTGCAGACGGCGACTTCAACGCTTTGGAAGTACCGTGGTACGTACCCACCCGGTCGGCAAAGACTTTTCATCCGAGGACACGCGGACAGAACGCCTACATGCTGCTGATCATGGATGCGTAGTAAAGCCACATTTTCCGCCTCCAGTATTGCTCGTCGTCGTATTCCGCCCACGATTGACGGGACTGGATCGCGCCAAACACGACGCTCCGCCGGAGTCAACATCCTTCATTCATTCCAAACAGAATTGTTGCCATCTGTTTCAGTTTATCAAGACCAAAACTGATGCAATTCGACCAAATCGGGACTGCAGAAGAGATAGACCTAGTGCCAGGGTATTTAACGGCTATCTGTTCTGTGGTTGACCCTCATTTCATCCAGAAGGTTAGACGAACCACCCAGAGCGGGCACTCGACGGGGCGCCCCCAGCAGCCTGTGAGCTTGATTGAGCAGCTGCATTGGATGACATCCGCCATCAACCGAGTCCCTGCCTGGACGTTTACCGAAGTGGACTTCTGCTTTCCCTGTTGAACCGCAAAACACTCTGCCTGATGACTCTTGCGTTAGCCATCCCCACCGACAGTGGTTCACCGTGACCCGCGTTTGAATGTCCCGTCAACAGGTTGATAGTATTGAAGATGGCTAACCATCGCGTCGGTGGCTTCAGCTTCAGTAGGAGGAGTTCTTTGGAGAGACTCGGCCTTTTACGGATTGCGGATGATGGCACCATGCCACGGTCAACTGATGTCCAGTTCGATCCAAGTCCGGTCATATCCATCATGGCATGGGCATTCCTGACAAGTTAGGATACGTTAGTGGATTAGCCCAGATCAATGTCGCAAAGGTATGACATTCAGAAAGGTGAAGAGGCGCATCTACGGACATTTGGACGGAGCTGAGATTACGATAGGTGGTGCTTGTAGACAGTCGTTTCTCGAAATGACTGGAAAATCTTCGGTCCGGTACGGAAGACTTTCTCGCACTCAGGTTCGGCCAAATGACCATTTTTACGTCACAATACGCGTCCATATTCTCATCTGTCGTCAAATCGGTCGATCCATCGTTTTACGGTTCTGCCTTTGTTCTTGGTTATCCCCCTAGAGAATTGATTTCAAGGGCAGTTGGTATCCTGCTGTATCTGTACGGCTGCGGAAGGGGAGCTTGGTGGGAAAACAGAAACGTGACTCCAGTGATGTTATATTAAGCCCTAACCCTCCTAGTTCAGAATGAATTTTATGTGATGAAGATTTAGACACAAATTAAGGTTAGGGTTATTAAGGCTTCATTCAGGGACGACAAGGCCTCTATCTACTATAGAGAAGAGAGTGTAACTATATAGACTTCCATCGTTCAATGAGTGTAGTTGTTGAACAAGGCTGAGTTGTGACGGGGTCATTACAACCTCCATACTTGCGCCGAACACCTCCGCGGGACTTCGCCGCCTAGAACGCTCCTTTTGCAAACCTTGCAACACCATGAATTCACTCACTTTAGTCACATTTTCGCTATATCATAGTCCTCAGGATGGAGAAACAGGACCTCCCCGACACAAGGACACCGGCCCCCAACGAGGACCTCATCGGTCGCCGCCGATGCCCGGGAGAAAAACCTCTCCACCAAGACGAGAAAACTTTCACTCCTTTAACATACAAATAGATAGAACAGCGACCTTCTAGTCCTGGAGGTCAGACTCGTCAATACATCCCATTTAGCCTCCGACATCGCCTAGAACTGAGCGTTGCATAACAGTAGTGCTCCATTGGATCTATTGCTCTAATAATAGAGCACCTTGGTCCACTGAGCTGTTCTAATAATATAACTAGTCTGTTTCCCCCCCAGTCGACCCAACCTTTTGACATTGGTAACATTCTGCTAGATTTTGTATCTAAACCTTTGGAGCATCACAAGACCCATCGTCAGTGTCTACACAGATGACACTCCCGGGCCCGCGGTCTGTGCACGATGCATGTTGAGATGTCTTGCAATTCCCCTCTCCAATGGTGCAAGCGCCACCAACATCGACGCAGTTTTGGCAGTCTTTGCGCTTAGATTTAAGGTGATTTGTTTGTTAATAGATAAAGTCCTAAAGACTGGATACAGTGGTCATCAAGGGGGGGAAATATCGATGTCGGCACAAGGATTTATCTGAATCGCTCGCGGCATCCAAGTCCGTGAGGGAAAAAGGCCTGGCTGAAATAAAGAGAGGAGGACCACCCAGAAAGAGTCACATTTAGGAGGATTGTTCTGAGATAGATCTTTCATGCACCAAGTATGCATTCCCTTCTACAGATATGCATTCTGGTTACCTATTGCACCTGCTCCACTTACATCCTCCAGGAATTGGTGTTGAACAGGCTGAGTTGTGACGATGTCATTACAACCTCCATACTCACGCCGAACGCCTCCGAGGAACTCCGCCGCCTAGAGCACTCAACTCAGTCATTTCACAACTATCGATTCACTCCTTGCAATATATCACCTTGACAGCAATATATAGGCATTCTATTGACGATTGACGGAGCGCTTGTTGCAATCATTGAAATTCACGAGGAAAGACCGACTTGCGGCCCGAGATGCAGCGACGAAAAAGGCCTCAATCGGACAGAGAATACTCGCTCCTTTTGCCTATATATATCATAGTCCTCGACCTCCTAGTCATCGAGGTCAGACTCGTCAATACATCCCATTTTACTCCCATGGTGTGAGCGTTGCACGACAATTGACCTCTCATCGCAACAGAATCCCTCAAATGAACCTCATTCACGACAGCATTGTCATGCTTTGCCATTGCACGGGCTATCAAAACGTCGTTTTGTATCTACAGCGCGTCAGATCCTGTCTCGATAGGAGGGATTTCCTTACCTCTCTGCCGTTCAGTTGCTCTTAGCGACATCACTGATCACGTTCTTGTGGCAAGTGTGACGTCCTCTCTTGGTCTTGGCTTACTTCAAGAAAAAGTGCTATATGGCCTTGTGAGTATCTATCCCCAGCGATGTGTACTTCAACGAAAGGTGTATGCGACTCAGGATTGCGGGATCGAATGAACTTACCCGGTTAGTGGTGAGGAACAGAATACTATTGTAGATGTTCCGCCGGGATCTCCTTCTATATACTCATTAATTTCACGTCTATTCTATATCTCGCTGTATATCCTTTCAGTTCAAACCGTGAGCAGTCGTAATTATGTATGTGATTTAGATAGAATCAGCTTGGACGGGCTGAGGCCCGCATCCTAAGGATGCCACAAGAGGCGATATATTAGTCAGGTGTGCAACAGGTTCTGACGAGTCTCGCCTTATTTGCGGGCGCACTTGCCACAACAGCCTAAAAAAAAGTATAGGTGTGGTTTTCACCATCTGAATCCGGCCTTTCCAGCTTCATCCACATTCAGCTGGTTTTCGTGACGCCATGTTGTTCGTCAAGGTGAAAGGAGGGTAGAACTGAGTTTAGCTGCAAACCTATGAGATAAAGGCTCTCTTTTGCGGCTGAGCTGATTTAGACTTGGCATTTGTACTTTCGGGCTTGGCCGGCAGCTGCGGGCATTCTTGAGGGCCAGCCAAGAGTCGACTTAAACGAAACTGAGCGGACGGTCAACGTGCTATTTATGACCTGCGAGTAGTAGGTCACTATTAGCGAGTGGCGTCATGCTTATCGCTGGTGTGTGCGCTTAGTTGAGATTCTGTGTATCTGTTCGATTTCGGTTGGCGTAGGACCACCACAGCGATGTTACTCACCACTCTAGTCATAGCCATAAAGTGTAGCTCAGCTGCTCCTCGTATCGCTCTGAAAGATAGTCTAGAAGCTAAAGGATGACCAATGCTGGGGGCTTCTGGTATTAATTTCGTGAATGCAGTCCTGCGCTTCTTGATTTTCCTGTTCTATCTCTCCCGAACACGCATTCAGCTCTCTGATTAAGGTGGCCATGGAAAATTTACAGGCAGAAGATGGTCTTCCTCTGCTACCCTTGCCTGGAGTAACAAGTCTCAAAAGACCTAATTTTGAAAGCAAAAGCTCTCACATGGGACTAGCAGAAGCGTCATCTGAACCCGACGGTGTTCGGATTGCTTCTGACCATCCTGGATCCCAAATAAGTGAACCATTCTTCAGTTTCAAGAACAGTAGCAGATGTATGAGAACTCTAAACGGAGTTATGATCGAGCTAACAATCCTAGACAAAGGGGACAAGCAATCTATAAGAATTATACCTTCAGCAAGCGAGATCACTCTTTCTACAATCGCCTCACGACTGTCCGTTCCTGAGCCTTGGGAACACGATACACCTGATGAACACAACGCCGACACAGTGGGGAATACTGCACGCAAATTTCAACGAGGCCCTCAATGTTGGAAAGTCCTCTTAAGTGGCCTTCCGCAACTACTTCTCACGGTTACACTATGTATTAGCATCTTACTGGTGTACTATGTCTACTTGCGTAAGGGAGCTATTAACCAAGCAGACCAGGCACTATGGAACTACTTAACTCTAGCGCTATATCTTATCCTTCCAATGTCTTTGAGTTCAGCATTTAAAGGCTACGCAAGGTCATATCGATGGCAGCTACTCTCGACGAGGTATCTCGGACTCGAAGAGTTTGATTTGGTACTAGGATGCGAAAGCTTAATTGCCAGCACCCAATTGCTATGGAAAGGAAGGGTTAAAGGTCGCCTCATGCCGAGCCGAATCCAGTGGTACTGTGCTGTTTCCCTTCTCCTCAATCTAGGACTTCAAGTTGCAGTATCAGTCCTCGGTGTCATTGCCTCTTTAACGCCGAGTCGTGAGGGCATCGATTATTCTCGTAAGGCCACTGTCTCTCTCTCCTCAACGTGAAATATAGCACTAATCTCTCATGATTCTAGAATATGGTTCTTTCTCTATCGCAGACTTTAACAATCCAGCATTTTTCCCCGACAATGATACTCGCTCTTTATCATACTATATCCGTCAGATGTTACCATTCCCCGACGAATATCCAACGTATTACTTTCCCAACTTTTACGGGAATCTAATCTGGCCACCATGGGGCTATAGAGACAAGGACAGTAGTTCTCGATCTATATTTTGTATACCTGGAGATCCTGGATGCAAGATTTATCTTTCCGCTTCCGGCCCTGAAATATCCTCCGCATATACCAACATAACCATCTTCTCATATCATAGCATCAGCGCTGTGGCCACATGTCAAAAATACAACGTTACACACTATCCTGTGGAAGATGAACCAATCTGGGATCCCTTCTCGAGGCAATCTTACGTGTTAGGTAATATAACCTTTTTCAATGAATCGAGCGGCCAAATCACAACTATACCATGGAATGCATCACCAGTATTAGGTCAGTCAATTGAACCCCCCACCTTTATGTGGGCGGCCCATTACGATACATCACACCCTAGCTCTCGGTCTGCTACGGTTATGATGTTACATCGAGTCGAAGACAGGGTAAGTCTTTTTGACTGTCATAGTGAAGTTTTGCCATTAAATCAACCAACTGGAGTACACGGCGTTGATTTATACCCGGTGCCAGCCGTATACAATATTCCGGATGAAGTGGCACAGAATTTCGCAGGAGCAATAGCTGGGAGATTTACCGTCACTCCCAAAGAAGACCCTAAAGTGTATTGCCAATACTCGCCATTGTTTGATGATGAAGAATTAGTTGGTGTCACAGATGAATGGCCTCCAGAGAAAGTTGCAAGTGTGATTCGTACATTTACGCTATCAGCGCTGAGATCTTTCGATCTTCTTGGGCCGAGAATCACAGTGGCTGGTATTGGTCCGCAACAAGCGCAAAAATTGACAATCAACTGGGATTGGGCCATCGGGATCCTGGTAGGTATACCGGTGATTCAATGGCTCCTTCTATGCCTTACTGCATATATCTCGTCCGCTGCGATTATCAAAGACACCAGCTATCTCGCAACAGCGCATTTACTCAAGCCGGTCACGGAAAATCTTGGGTCTCATGGATGCATAATGTCTGGGCATGATATTGCACACCACCTGGGAAATCTACCTATCATATACGGTGTTCGGTGTCTCGCACATCCATCTGACGAGCCGATTTATCATCTTGATGTTATTCGGCAATCCGAAGATCACGAAGCAAATCTCGACAATGGCTGGAAGGCCGGAATGGATATGCCAGAAGGATGGTACGATGGTTCTGGGCGCCAAACAATGGGAACTATCTTCAGACAGAATGTCAGTACCCAACTGCAGGGATCCACTTGGGAGCAACCGAGGAATCATATAACGAAGAAGGCGAAGCTAGAGTGAGACTATAACTCAAGGCAATATTATAGAATCACTACTTCCAAAGTGGACGTTTTAACCGAGCTGCAAATAACCGGACCCAGAGAAACCTGTAACGTTGCCACTCAATTAGCTTAATTAATCACAATTGCGAAGCCCCCATTATGATCACAGTACACAGGAAAGGGAGCTGAATCTCCTAACCAATTGCACTGTCCCGAGCGGTTAAGAGGTCCTAGTCTATAGGCAGATGGCCGCATGAATGATGGAAACTAAAGAAACTTTGGATCACTCATATTCCTTCAGCCTCCCTTTCTAACTTGTCGGCAACTTTAAGGATGATGCCCGGATCATTAAGTAAAAGCTTGCCATCTTCCAGGCACTCATAGAGCGTCTCACAGATATAGCATTGCACATCTGATCTGGTCTTGGCTTCTGATACCGGCATCTTGTACTTGACGCTCAGCTCTCGTCATAAAGCTTTGTTAATATCAGGTCGGCTGGTCAGGACAATTTGAGGTTCCGATGTCTCTGGCAGAGTTTCAATAAACATGCCACCACCTCCTGAGCTTCATTTGGTGGGCATTTGTCGATACCATCCAACAAGATGTAGTAAGATACATTCGGCAGCAATAGATTCGAGATAATATCGGTTATCTCAGCACTGTCCACGTCAGATGTCTTTCTGTGAAGTGCTCGAAGTTCGTCCGCCTCCGCGTTTTGTAGCCACTCTTCCAGTATCTGTCTGGCGAGACTCCCGACGACATTGCGCGCCTTCAGAGAGTCATCGTTGTCAGAGAAGCAGAAGTGGTGTGCAATGATGTCGGTAGATTGTCGGGAGGTATGCAATTGCTCCACCATACTCGACATTAACACTGTTTTGCCAGCCCCTATTTTGCCCGTGCACCAGAGAACAGCACTGGTTGTGTCGTCGCCGCGTCATTGGCGAAAGGCATCATCCTTCAGAAACCATACCGCGGTCTTTGGAACCCGTTGCTGGCGCACATGTTTGTATGCTTTTAACGAGTTGATGGTAGAAAGACTGTCACGAGTTGCTTTCCTCAAATGCGACACATCAGCTTGGGACCGTTGAAGCCGCCGCTCCTGTGCCACATCCTGCCCGTTGATCATTGTCTATCGAAACGTCTTATTTGTTCGTCTCTCTTCTGCCGCTTGCTCTTCAGCCTGAGCAGCGGCCTTGTATGCAGAATGTATGCACTGCAGCTTTACGAATTCTGCGGCTTGTCGCAATTGAGCAACGTCGTCAGAGAATTCTGACTCGAACGGAGAAATGACAGTAGATAAGGCATGCAGAACGGTAGAGCGTTGCAATATGGTGATAATCTTGGTGCATAATCGTATGACACAGGCGTAGTATTTGCATAGTGCATTCTGGAGCTCGACCGAGGTAGGATATAAATGAGCGAAGCTAGTATATGCAGGACAAAATTTGCCGACCTCCATGATTACGTTGGTCACTTTGCCAAAAGAAGAGCTGATATTGCTGACTGCCAAAATGGTCATCCGGACTCCTCCCCACACCAGGGCAGCAATTGTAGGATCGGAATTGACGAAGGTGTCGACGACGCCAGAGAACTGCTGCAAAGTATCGAGAAAGGTAACGAGCCGTGCCGACACGCCTCTTCGGCTCTTTCCGCGGGCAGTCTCGCCAAGTTTTCCGACAAAAGAAATGACAGATAACGCGTCGGGTTTGGTCGTCGCTGCATGGTATAGGGTCTTGTGGTCCTCGTTAAGGGTGACCTCGAAGTGCGTGAGAGCAGCTGTGAGGGAGGATGTCGGATCATTTGAGCTGAGTTTCGACACCTTCGGAGTCACCAATGCCATACCGGTGATCTTTCGACTCAGGCCTTTCTTTAATCGAGTAGGTAGGCCGACGTCGTCGCATCTTAAGATCATCAGCGGCTTTAATATTGCTGTATCGAAGGAGCCACTCTGGGCTCGATGCGAAACCGCGCGACCCACTACTCACAAAATCGATGTCGGCCTGAGATGGTCGTGATTACCCCCGCAGCGGATTCGACGTTGCGGCGCAGGACGTTCCCAACTTCCGCACGGCCTCATTACGCCACAGCGAGGGCGCGGCTGGAAAGTTAGTCGCCCACCGCGGTGGTCGGATAATGGCCAGATGGTGGCAGTGTAACGGCTCGCAGCGCAAAAAGGTGCAAAGGGTGCAGCAACTTTGAAACCAACAATTCATCTTTTGCTCTGCGTTGTCCGATTTCGTCGGTACCCGAATCGTCGAGAGAAACGGAACAGCGGCTTACTGCAATGTGTGCTGAATTTGCTCTCTGAAATGATGCAGCCGTCTGCCAGAGATTCTCTCTTCCAACATAGTTACAATATATTAAGCCCTAACCCTCCTAGTTCAGAATGAGTTTTATGTATAAAGATTTAGATTTTTAGATTTATAAACTAAGGTTAGTCAGGGTTATTAAGGCTTTATTTCTAGTAGGGATAACCAGGCCCCTCTACCTGGTACCTAACGCTTCATTCGCTCGGCTAATCTGCACACACTATTTATCCTGAACGTGTGTAACCCTGACGGATTGACATATCACAACGATGACAGAGGTAGTAATTCATTCTTTATCCGCCGGTTTATATCATTCAAGAGGCTAGCTTGTCGAGGAAAGCTGACCAGTCTGCTGACGGACGGCGAGATAGGGGCGGGCAGCGGAATCGAAGATCGTGGCCCGTCCGTCCACTCCCTCACGTTATCCCCATCACCACTCAGAATCCTCAGACGGCATTCAGACAGCATTGTTTGGGAGTCAGGACAATCACCCGCGGGGAAACATTGTCACACGGCTGTACGCTTCACACCCCTACAACACGTATCTGAAAGCTTTGTTCTCCATGTCGGTCTTGTCATAGAAACCTTCCAGCTCTCCATCCACATTCTGAATCTCGCCACGCGCGAATGCCCCGTCTCTTCTTCGGTTCTCATTCCACATGTATGTGCGCAGACCCAGATTGAAGCTGATCTGCAGTTCTCCGTCAGCAGTCGTTCGACGCACTCACTCGGGCCTTTGAGACTTACACTCAATCCGAAGCAGACCAGCAGTCCCGTAATGGCAGATTCGTACACCGGCGCCTCCGACGGAAAAAATATATGGGGACCTATCAAGTTACCCACGCCAAAGCAGGCAAATATGGCGGCATTGACAAATGATCTTTTGCTGTGGCCGGCAAAGTTGGAAGCCGTGAGTGTCCAGCTGAACAGGTTTGTCACGCCGAAGATGAACTGCAGCCAGGTGCAGCCGAGGAGCGCCCATTTGTGGTTCTCGGTCCGAGAAATGAAGCGGATCCCGAAAAGACCGGCGACGTTGGGGATGTTGGCGGCAATCGAGATCCAGATGATTGTGTTAGTTGTCTTTGTGGCGATGTAGCCTAGAATCGGTTCGATCACAGCGACGAAAGCACCAGTTGGCATCTGGAGAAGCACGGTCTGGAGCGCGTCGAATCCGAAGCCCTCAATCAATGGAGAAGCAAACGCAGAGACGCTGGAGTTGCCTGGCCGATGTTAGCCAGCGCGACTGGTGGGCAAGCGTTGCACTCACAGATGCCATTCGTGATTTGGAATGCGCAAAGGAGCCACAGTTTGGGGTCGCGAAGTGCCTCTCTGATCTGGTAAGGCTTTATCTTTTTGTCCTTGATCCCGATCTTGTTGGTCGAGATCCGGTGAATGACAACCAGTTTTTGACGATGGGTAAGCCACCGAGTCTCGGTAGGAGTGTTGGGGACGAAATAGTAGAATACAGCAGCCCAGGCTGTCGTGATGGCTCCAACGAACTATTGATAGTCAGTCAAGGCTTCCGACGTCGACCTAGACATAAGACTTACCAAGAAGACGAGCTTCCAGTTTGAAATGCTACTGTGGCTATTTCCGAGCCCGTACGACACAATTGAAAGCACTACCACGCCGCTGCCAAACGACGACTGCCAGAAAGAGTTCCGCACGGGTGTCTCTTCACGCTTGTAAAATGAGGAGGTGATGACCATCATGGTGGGCGTGATTCCGACTTCCAGACAACCTGGGACCATTTTAGTTTGCAAATTTCTCGTCTCGCAGCTCCAACGACATTATTTAGCTTACCAAGGAGAAAGCGAAGTACTGCAAAGCCTGCAAAGGAATTGGCAACGCAACACATGAAGGTCAGAACACCCCAAAGGAAGATTAGAACAGTTGTATAGGTCGCCACTGGGAGTTTCTGGAGAAGAAGGGTCGAAGGATATGCCCACTATCGAGCAAAGTCAGCATCAGCTCTATCCTCGAACCACCATCCGACTCACAAACAGATATCCAAAGTAATAGATGCTAGCTAACCAGTTATAGTCGCCGGGAGTCATGCCCTAAAACTAGCTGTCAGTTATTGCCCCCGAGCGCCAGAACGGAACTTCTATACGGTATCCTCAAGCACGCCGTATGCATAGGCATATCCAAGAACAGCATTGTCCAAGAACTGAAGAGCATATGTAATGCAAATGATGGGCATCAAGATCCAGTCACATCGGCGGCGGACAGCTGTGCTCTCTGCATCAAGCTCGTCGATAGGAATAGTTCGCATCTCCTCGAACCAGCCCAGAGCGATGTCAACACCTTCTGGCGCAACCTGCTCTGTGCTCATTTGGTCGGAAGCCGTGTTTGAAACATCAGTGGCAGCAGCCTTTGCTGCTACATTCTCGGTTTTTTCGGACATGCTGAATAGAGTCGGGCCGAGTGTGCGCGAACGATTGTTCTCAGAATGATCAGTCAAGTTCGACCTGTGTCCATCGACGTAAGAGGAGAGAAGTGACCATCTAAACCTTTATAGATCGCACCTCATACAGCCTGTGAGCTCTCGTTGACTGTCAGTCTTATCTCGGCGACATCTGAACATCCCTTTGGTACCCCGGATGCTTCGAGAGATAAGACGTGTCAACCGCCGCTACTCGAACGCTAGAAGCCAGAAGCCGTACTGTATCAGGTCCAAGCGACCTCTCCTATCTTTCAAGGGCGTTCACGGGTATACGACTTTCGGCTTGCACCTTGTCTATAGGTGACCTCTGATATGTTCCCGCTCAAGGGTTGATCACGGCCATGGGTCCGCAGAGCTTCCCCAGAAAGACGGTGGGCATAGATGAGCGAAAATGACATGAAGTCTGCCGTCTAGATTGCATTCGGGAAGTGTGGAAATGGGGCATCAAGCACGGATCATGGATTTCTTTGAAGTGGATAAACTAGTCCGCGGCCAAGTATGTGCTCCCACGAAAGCAGAAGTATCGAAGGTACAGCCGAACCCCACTCACTTTCCCAGAGGCCACGGACAACACCTCTTATTAGTCTCCACGAGAGTTCCAATTTGGGTGGCGGTTGACGGCATATCAAGCGAGGGACGAGAGTTTGAAGGTACAACCGAGCTGGCAACACTCTTATCAGAGGCACCTTCGGAGTTTCTCGAGGCATGCTGCAAGGTTTCGGATGTTCTGTGTCCACACGACACCCCTCTGAAAACCTGTCACATTTCTTCTCGGACGGCACGTGTATTGCGGCGAGTGTTGGTTTTGGCGCGATGGGGTGTAGGGGGTGGCTTACCTGTGTGTCCGTTGAAGGATCCTGCGTTAAGACTGGATCCACGTATGTGCCTCGTAGTGACGGGCGCTCCAGACTTAACATTCGCAGGTTCTCCAAGCACCAGTTAGAATGCCATCAAAGTTGCTGTACTGCTCACGATGCTAGAAGTCCATTGCGTTGGAAGCCCATTTGAGGTCAGTGCCAAGTTGACTCTGGAATTACGATTGACGACGTGATTCTGATCACTGTGTTCTCAAGATACAGATTGGTCTTGAACATGGCACAAAGGCAAAATCTCAGATCCAGAGCACCATCGCATTCTATACCGGTCTTTTCCAACGAAAGTGCAACTTGACCTGGCAGGCGGCGTGCACTGAAGCCGAAAGGTTTGCGGCCCATATCCACGAGCAGTATCCCCATCTTGAAAATGAGATGCAGGGGATCGCAAAGGGCGCGGAAACTGGGTACAATGAAATTCTGGCATTGAATGTCAGATCGGAGCTGTTCTTTGGTGCTGCACTGGACGGATGTACAAGTCTGTCATGGAAGACTGACGAGGCATCATTTGTGGCGCAGAACTGGGATGTGAGCTGAAGCTGCAGACTACCATGGCAAATAGATGCTGATATTGATTACCCAGTGGATGGAGGAACAGAAGGAGAATCTTGTTCTTCTCCAAATTGATCAAGTTGGCAAGCCCTCGATCCAGATGCTGACCGAGGCCGGGATGATTGGCAAAATAGGTACGTGGTTGAATCTGCCATTCCAAGGGCAAAGGGACGGGAGAACTCACTGATGTACTTATCGCAGGACTCAATTCAGCAGGTCTCGGGTTATGCGTCAATGCCATACGATGTCCTGGTAATGATGCGACACGTACTCCTATCCACATCATGTGGCGTATCGTCCTGGAATGTACCTCATTAGACTCGGCCCTTGAGGCAATCGACGCTACCGGATGCGCGAGCGCCTGCCATATGCTGATTGCCGACCCATCAGGCAGCATAGGAGTGGAAGTCACACACCAGACGATTGTCAGGCTCGAGCCAGATTCGAAGGGACGATTCTTCCACAGTAATCACATGCTGGAAACCCATCCAGGGACAGAGATGCTGTGGGTCGAAGACAGTCTGAGTCGTGTCGAGAGAATTCGGCAATTGGCGGACCAGATGCAGGGCGATGTTACCAAAGAGTCGATTCAAGCTTTGCTTCGTGACGAAGACAATTACCCGTGCTCGATAAACAGGGCTCAGAAAGGCGAGAGTGACGCTGCCAGTGTATTCAGCATCAGCATGAATCTGACCACGGCTGAAGCCAGGGTGTTGTTGGGAAGGCCAAGTGATCCTGAGAGGATGTTCCTGCTTAGACCACGACAAGTGTCATACAGGGGATAAATCATGTGCTCGGTAGTTTTTGTCCGAAGCATATATTTCTCTATATCCAGGAGGTTTTCTATCGAAATTGTTTAATGTTCTCGTCATCCCAGAAGAGGATCGAACCACTGAGGTTCGCAGACGCCGATAATGCCAGATTCGCAAGGACCGTTCCTGGCTGATGAGCCTCGACAAGTCTAGGCTGTACCAAATCCTTATAGGTCTGCAGCTCTTGTTCACTCATGCCTGAAGTGTCTGGGAAAGTGGTTGACAAGTCAGTCAGTCAGGCAGTCCGAGCTCTATTACGCAAAATCCACCAAAGACACTTACAATCTCCTCTGAATATTCCTTGCACCAGTGGCGTGTTCACGACTCCAGGGTACAGTCCCACGGCTGTGATCTCGGGCTCTTCCAGAGCCAGCACCTTGACGAGATAGTTCACGGCGGCCTTGGTGGCGCCGTATGCTCCCCAGGCTGCAAAACTCGGCTTCTCCCCAGCGTCAGACGAGGTGAAGACGACCCGACCCTTTGTTCTGCGAAGGTGAGGGATAGCTTCGGCGAGCTTTTAATCTCATAGCACAAGTGTCAGCCTGTTGCTGGTAATTACATTCTCGACACAACATTGCCTCAGCCGTGGGGGAAAACACACACCATAGATATTTGAGAGACGACGTTGATGTTGAATATTCTGGTCCATTCGGTCGACTCGACATCGCAGATTCTCCTGACTGGCGACATGACCCCGGCGTTCAGTGCCAAAGCATCGACTTTTCCCCAGGTATCCAAAGCCGCCTTCACGGCGAGGTGGTTGGTTTTGTCGGTCGAGACGTCACCAACAACGTACTGAACTCTTGCATGGCCGTACTCTTTCTGTCGCTTTTCCAGAGGTTCTTCAGTCACGTCCACGAGAACCACATTGGTCTCCTCCAACAACAGCTTGTCGACGATGGCAGCACCAATTCCGGCACTGGCTCCCGTAACAACAACCACTGGTGCACTGGACATGTTTGCTGGAAGGATGATCTTGCTCAACAGTTGACGCTCTTGTGTAGCTACTTTGCCAGACCGTCAAAGAATCGACCCGACAACATATAACGGACCACGGTATACAAGGTTAGTCCCAAGGTCTTTAGGAAAGCAGCGCCGGATTCTGTTTGCCGCCGGACGCATGGTCTCTGCTGCTTGTAGTTCACGCCTCCCTCTGAGTAAAAGCTCTGATATCTCCCCATGCTCGATAAAGCCGAGCTTCTCCACCTGTCATAGTAGTTGGCTTGCGTGCATCCGAAGGCCAGCAGAGTCGAGTGATTAAAAAGGGGGGAAGTGTGTATGGTCCAGCCGAGCAGCTCCACTTTCACGAGAAAGCTAAAAAGTCCGGACCGCATTGAGTAGTGACAGCACTTTGTCTAGCCAATGACCAGACAACGATTCGCATAGAATATTCCTATATCTTATCTTGGGTTATTTTGATAGTACGACAGGTCCAGGCGAGTTTGATGTTGTTGTATTTCAGTGGACAACCCCGGCGCTGCTCGACTGCACTGGTGGCCTTTATCGGTGGAGACGCGTCTCGTAAATCGAGGGAGAAGAGCAGAGCTACACTAGTTACCGTCAGGTTCTCCCCTTTGTCGTGGGGCATGCGGCCGTTCTAGTTTGGACATTGTGCCAGAGAGTGCATAGTCCTAAGTCTTGGGGGCCCTGGTTCCCCAAGAGCAGTACACTCGTGAGGACAAAAGCCCAACCAATGGACCCGAAAACGGATACCGGACACGGAACGCTGAAGGTGTTGACCGCGGAGCAATATGCTTCGATGCTCGTCAGGACCTTCCATCCTATCTGACAGCCACAAGATAGGTAAATGCGAGAACCACGTTGCCCGATATTTATTTCCACGAGGAGAGAGAGAGGAACAACTGCCTTTCCCGTATCTTCAGCTTAGCAACTCATACTCACGAACAGCTCATCTGTCTTTTCACCTCTTTCGTCGTCACAAGTTGCCTAGAGAGACTTTAAACATGGCATCTCAAAGCTTCACCTCCAATCACTTCGAATATCCTGTTCAGGAGCAAGGCGCTCCCCGTCTATCGCTAAAGGCCGACGGGGGACAAGAGGAGCGCGTTCGATTCGACCCCAAAAAACACCTGCGGTTCCAAATGCCCGACAAGACCTACACTTTAGAAGATCTCAAGTACGAGACCAAGCAGGCAGTTGGTAAGGTGGCTGCCACGGATCCATTTCCACTCTTCTCTCGAGAAGCCATTGTCGAGATGCGCCGGGAGCTTTTGAGCGAGCGTACCATCAAGAACTGCATGACATACACCAGACCAGGTTCAGTCCAAATTCGAGGTGCAGCCCCTCAGTATGCGCCATTTGTCTATGAAGCATGGACACATCCTGAGACGATCAAGGCAGTCTCACAGGTTGTTGGGCTTCCAGTCAAGATAAATATCCAACAAGAAATCGGCCACACAAACGTGCAACTTGGACCTGACGGCCTTGAAGGTCTCAAGAATCTCACTCCTGAACCATTGGAACCGAAGGTATACGGGGAGGAACCCCAAGAGGAGGAGGAGGATATCACCCAAGACAAAGATACGGATGTCATTGAATGGCATAATGATATGTACCCCTGGTCACTGGTGGTATCTCTCTCGCTGCCTCAGGGAAAGGGTGGCGAGACAGCATGCCTCTGCGGCGACGGGTCCATCATTAAGGCTGCAAAGCCCGACGTGGTAAGTTCCAGGCTGCGTGATCGTAAGGCGAGTACAATTACTGACGAACCTTGTTTTCGAATAGGGATATGGCGTCCTTTTGCACGGTAACGTCGTCAAGCACAAGGCCGTTCGCGCCATTGGCGCAAAAGAGCGTATAACCATGGTGTGCTCCTGGTGGCCAGCCGATCCCTTGCTGTATGATGATTCCAAAATATCTCACACCCGAGATGTTTCCTACAAGCCGGAAATGTATTATCAATGGACCACTTACCGGCTTCAGGTCCTGGCCGCCAGATGCCTCGAGAAGGCAAAACAGCTTCACCGGAAGCACGAGAATAAGAAGGATTATTCAGAGGTTGTTGTCGAGCCGCAAGAGTTTGCAGAATGGGCGAAGGAGCAGATCGCTTTCTTTGAGAGAACATACGACCATGTTAAATAGACAGTTGATAATCCCGCCACCGTCAAGATTATGTGACTCATTGTTAGAGATCCATAGAGGCACGTTTATACTCTTCTTCAAACTAGATTGATGTTCTCACTGATCGGCGCCACGTATCTTTCCCAATCATTCCTGGACCAGTGGTTATTCGGCGCCTCCGGAAAGGGATCTTCTTCCAGATCTCGTGCTTGCCATACTTGACTGATTATAGTCCGCATCCGGTCAATATTCGAAACGGTCGATGCCTCCATGGCCCTCAAGACTTTCAATACCAAGCGCCTTCCGTGTATCGACGTGCCTGTCGCCTCGTCGAGCCAAAGCTCATCGTCGTAGGGATTCAGCTCCACCGCCGCAACAAAGATAGGCCACGTCAAGCCGGTCACAAAACCCTGGTCCACAGAATCAGAGATCAGGCGCATTATCTGTTCGACGAGCTTCACAACTAGTGGCGTTGTAGGAAGAGTATTGTAAAGAGCGCAGTTCAAAAACAGGAGAGCAGCCAGTCGCTTTATTTCGGCGGACATGACCAGAAAATCGTCCTCATCATTTTCCACGACCTGTTCAAGGCTTTCCAGCTTGAATCTCGTGACAGCACAGGCGTTCACAAACGAGTCGGTTATGGAGATGGAGGGATCGGCATAAGCTGCTCTGCTCAGCTCGGTTATGGTGCAAAGAAGAGCCACCAATTCAGGAGAACATCCCATCCAGACATCGACGATAGTCTCGCCAAAGTTCCAGTAGTCTCGCCCGAACAGGGGCACCTGTCCACACGCGGTCCGCCCTATAACGTCGTGGAAAGCAAAAAACCTCTCGGCAAAGGCAGTCAAGTCGTTTACCTCGACGTCGGTGCCGGGGACTTTCTGCAGTTCTTTTCGGAATCGGACCATGTCGTGAGCGCCCTTGAGATGGATGACCCAACCCGAGTCACAATCTTGTATGATTTCGTAAAGGCAGAGTATGACCATTGTAACCAGAGTGTCGGAGCTAGAGGCGACTTTGTCAACGCCTTCGATGCTGAAACGATCCTGCAGGACACGCAAGACTTGCGACTTCAATTTCATTGCCGGCACTTTCCAAGCCGGTTCATTTTTCGCTCGGTGGCATGCCGACAACGCGAGGATCGAGAGAATGCCACTGCTGGAGTTCATCAGAGTGAAAGGGAGAATCAAGGAAGCGAAAGGCGACTGGGACAGTTTGCTGGGAGTGGTGAGCGGGCACAGTTTCTGAATGTAATAGTCGAGAAGCATAGAATGATCGCCGTCGACTATGTGTGGTATGAGAGGAAAGGAGCGAGAAGTAATGAGAGTGTTTCCTTGAAAACGATAAGGAGTAATGTTCACATTGTCCTCCAGGCTCTCATTCAGGCGTGAAGCGAGCCGTTGTAACTCGGTATTCTCGTAGCCTGAAAATTGCAACCTGAGAGGCGACATCGGGGATTCAAGTCTCAACGGCTCCTCGAATATTTTGGAGGAATAGTTGAGGAAGTAATGGGGTTCTATTTCCGGAATCGTAGCCCATTCCGCTGGGCCTGAAGGTGTACGAGGCGAGGTACTTGATTTAGACCATATGCCTTCTCTTCCAAAAGCCAACCCTCGTGAGACGAAGTCGGCCTCCCACTTGATCTCGACACCAAAGTTGCAACTCCGACAGGCAATTTGACAACGTCGACATTGGGGTCTTGTCTCATCGCATTTGACCTTGCGTGCCCGACAAGTCAGACATCCTGCACGAGTCCGTGGTTTGGGTGGAAGTTGATCTGGTCTCCGTCGACGCCCCATCTGTATTCATGGACGGATCGCGGACAACAAGCATCCCGATGAGGACCGAAAGCAAGCTCTCTGCGCCAATTGAGCTTGTCAAGTCCTAGTACAAGTTGTGTCGAACAGGTGTTGATGATGGAAGTAGATAGGGACGGTGGGGGATTGATAGAGGCCGGACCCTATAGCTCCTAAACGCCTGTGTGGTGCCGCTATCAGTCGTCTTGGGGGTAGCATGGTGGACGATTCCGCGAGGGCCCCAGTGGACATTATTTCGCAGGTGATCGGACAGTGAGCCAAGTAAGTCTCCCAAACGCGTCTGATTATTCGATAAGCCAAGCGGACTTTGGACAATGGGGTAACGGCGACGGCACGGCTGGAGATACTGCCCCTGCGACCTCCCAAGGTAAGGAGAGTGCCACTGACTAACTAGTTAGGGTCGGCTTCAAGGTCGGCGTGGCCGTCATGTCTGTGGCGATTGTGGGTATCATAGTAGCGCTGGTTGATTTGGTTGCCGTACGTCGGAGAAGGGCTGGAGGGTGCTCCCGCGAGAAACACGCAACATCCTACCCAATATGAGTACGAGTACAGTCGTCTTGGAAACGGGACCAGATCATCATCCGTCTGGGGATTTCAGTTCGCCGACTTTGACGACCTAGAGCAGGTTTCAAGAACTCGATGCCGATGCTCCGACGATCCGAGAACTCTCAGCCAGCATGTAATCAGTCAAATGTATCAAAAGAAGTCAACGGGCGACCTTGCAGTTGAGCTAGAAGGGAAGACGTTCGCCCTGGTGGGAAGATGGTTTTGGAACACGCAGCCAAAGTATGATTTTCCTTTACAGCTAACGATTCTTAATCTAACTAGACTTGTCGAGAATCATCCCAAGTTCCCAAATTGCGCCTTGTCGGGTATCATGAAGAGGACACAACTTCATCTATTTTCGGAGCACGGTCTCTCAGCCAATCTCGAGCCTTTCCCACATCATTGCGCTCCTCCTCCAGAGCCTTGACACACCATTCAAGCTCGTATTCCCCTTCGCCAGCCATCATCGTTGCCAAACTCCGCCGAGTCTGACTAGCCTCGTCGACGCAAAACACCAGCCCTGAAGTAATACCCCGGGCGAGTTGGTCCACTATCGGTTTAAGCATAACTAGTCCATCCTTTGCCGAAACCACTCGGTCTTCGCCTGTAACATTCTTGTAACCGGTCTTACACCACTGGCCATTGCGACACCAAGACTTGCCACAGCCTCCTATAAGCTGTTGCAATAATCGACGTTCGATCCTCCGTCTCAGCATTTTGCCTTCGGGATCATATGCCGTCACGTACAGGGGGCCAAAACATTCGTTGCAGAGACCGAGTTGTTCTTTCTGGGTCCTTGCTTCGTCTTCGTGTTTGATGGTCCGACCACATATCTGGTTGGAACAAAGCCGAGGTCGAGGTCGCGAAAACCGCTCTCGGTCGTGGAGCCGAAGATGTGTTTTCATATCCCGCAATCGAACGATCTTATTACATAGGTGACATTCCGTTGTCCGCGCTCCATCAGCAAGCTCATGTGGCGTTAGCCCAGACAACAGGACTTCTGGATCAGTAAAGGCCGGATCATCAGGACCTTGCTGGGGCACTACCAAATGACAGAATTGGCACAAGATCTCCTTTCCAGGACATGTTGTTGTGCGGTGATGGGCCAAGATAGGTAGGTCGAATGCTTCGAAGTCACAGCTGGCACATTGTAGAGGCGTCTTGGGATGGAAAATTGAGTCGTGCTTACGATGAGAAGCGGGATCGTTTCCGTGGTCATCGTCATGAGGACAGTGCCAATGATTTTTCCAGCTGTCCGAGTTCTTGAGAAATACCTCCGCGCATTTAGGGCATAGGATGTTGTTTCGATAACAGAATGCCTCGTGGAGAGGAAGCGTTCGTTTGGGTACGACCTGACGACAATTCTTGCATATTACCTCATCGGCTGCAAGCTCTTGAGCGGCACTGTCGCTTCGATCGTCCTCCAATGTGGCGGGTGCAATTTTAAGAGTGTAGGGGATCGGCTTAATTTCGTCTACTGTGCCCGAGACGGGATCGTGCCAGGCGTAGACGGCAACGTTGAGAGCTTCAGCCATTTCAAGATCAACATTGGTGTGGGAAAGTTTGATTCGCTTTGTTGGTCTCGCATTGAGCTCACCGAAAACGAACTCATCTTGTCGTGGTTTTGATCTCTGTCGTGCAGAAAATGGGCTGACCAAAAGATCCAAGCTGCTGTTTTCATCGGATGCCTGCAAAACGAGCTCCAAATCCTGACTCCTGTCCCACGTCTTCAGCTCATAGTCCACGTACTCCCCAGCCAGCACTCTGCCGTGGACATCTGTGTCCAGAAACAGGCTGCCTCCGGAAGAAGAACCCTCTGGCAAATCCTGTTGACGCCTCTTCCTTGCGAGTTGCTTGCTAAGCGTCTCCTTGGCCTGGTCTTCGTTCAACGGTTCGATGTCCACCTCAAGGTCTGTGTCCACTATACAGATACCATCTCCTTCAGGTTCAAACTTGTCAACCAAGAACCGAAATCTCTCGTGACGTGCACCTGGAACAACAAGAAGTTCCCCGCTGGTGAGGGTGGTGTAATTGTCTCGTAGATACCGTTCCAAGAGAGATTTCCAATCTTCAGGGTCGTAGCCAGCCTCGAGAGGCCTTAGTTTGACATATGTTCCCTTTTGTAACTGCTTCGCATGTATTGTGACAATCTCTCCTTTTGCTTTGGCAGGGTGCAGGCCATTTGACATGGCAATATCTCCTCCCGGGGTGCTTTCTCGCGAGGTTTGAGAAGAGGAATCATTGGATAGGCCAAGGGCTTCTCGCAGGCCACTGCTTAATCCAACAGTGCCTTCGCTGGCCGAGAACTCTCTGATCCCAGCGTACACGGCTCGTCCATTGAGTGGATTTACCAGGCGGAAAGTCAGAGGATGAGGTAACTGCTGTTGACGATCTTCGACGGCGGCGCGCGCATGGCGCTCGGCGGCGAAGGTATAGGGATTGAAAGGGTCGAAAGTCGAGGTCAGATTTCTGGAGGAACTCTGTACCGAGACGACAGGCGCCGCTGCGAGCAGGGCTTCAAGAGCGGACTGAGGCAATGTGATCTTGTCTCCGACCAGCCTCCGGTTCGAGGGCGCAACCTCTAGCTGAGCCGACCACTGCAGGGTATCGGGCGATGAGGCCATTGCATTTGATTGTGTAGAGAAGCAAGAACCCAGAACATTGAAGGTCTGGCGTTGTGTGCTGCCATCTTGACCATCAAATCCAGGCGCAAGTGTGACGCGCAGTGTTCGAGAAGCGTCGATGATGATTGTTGACAAATTCGCCGTGCATGGGCTTGTCTTTCCTAAGCACTCGGTGGCGATGGCGGGCAGCGTCTTTATCAGAAGGACTCTTCCCAGCTACATGTGTACAGGCACAGGCTATTTGCTATTCCAGGTCCGTCCTTCATTACTACGTGCCATTCTAGATGGTGGTGACAGCTCCCCATGGCAGCGAAATCCGCCACCTACACGGACCAGCAGTCGTTCACGACGCTGGATGCGATAGTGCTGTACAGACATGTTTTCAGTCTGTCGCTCGCCCATGCGCTGACGAGACCAGTCTGTAGTCCCATTGCTCTCACTTGTATCTAGGTATCAAGCCAGTGGTGTCCCAACGTGGTGGATGTTTCGAACAACTGCTTGGGGAACCATCGTCGGATTATGTAATCCCTGATTTCCGGAACGAACTTCCCAAGTTTCCCAGGCGGCTCGACGCGGATGTTGACATTGCGTTCACTGCTCCTCATACAGTCATCACCACAGTCGGCCTGTTGTGTAATTCTCCGGAAGACCATTCTGTCCAATCGAGTGATCTGTAACGAGTGCCCTATGTGATGCTGGTGCTGAACGATCCGCGGCTTCCACGAATCGCCAACGGCCCAACTTCTCCCACAGTCATAGAGGCACCGGTCTTGCTAAGAGTGCCCGAGTACTCATTATAACAGACCCGTTGAAGCTACAACATCGACCCTTGAGCAACACCACCCATCTTGTGCGTCGTGGAGAAACATCCAGATGGGAGACGTCGTCACCAGAAAGAAGTCCTTTGGGTTTCTCAACCCGTTCAGGTCGAAAGGTGGCGCCAGTCGTTCTAGTTCAAAGGCGACTTCGATCTCGGATCTGTCGATTGAAGAGCTCAAAGTCCCAGTGGATTCAAAAACTACATCCAACAAACTTCGTAAGAAATCTTCCCCGGCCGTCCCTACCAGAACTGCAAACAAGAATAGCATCCAACAGTCTCGCCAACCACGACATGCTTCGTTCCCGGCGATTTCCATCGCAGATGAATGGGAACGCGACGAGCAAACTGGTGAGCGCAAGGACCACACGGACTTGCTTCATAGCCTAGCTCATCGAGAATCCGACGAGTCCCTTGCCGAGAGGACTGAAATGCTGCATCGAGACAAAGCTCACGTTCCCGGGTCAGAAGTTTTGTCAAGGCTCCCTTCGCATGCTTGGAAACAAGTAGTGGAATCTTTGCCGCTCGCCGATGTTGCAAGTCTCGCTCTCTCCTGCAAAGCCTTTCTACATCTGCTCGGTCCTTCCACCTGGACAGCCCTGAATGATGTCTCAAACGTCAGTGCCAAAATCGATTTCCTCAGACGCCTCGACAAAGACCTCCCTGACCATCTTCTATGTTTTCCATGTGCCATTTATCATGTCAGGACTCAAAAGGGAAACGAAATACTGCGACCAACCAATATCGCAAATCCTCTGTTCAATTGTCCCAATGCTTTCAATCCAGAAAAGCGGATTTCTCGGACACGGTTGACCGTCGGCCGCTCATTACCACTTCCATTCGCCCAGCTTGTGCTGAGAGCACATAGGTACTCGGCAGACCACGGCGTCGCGATAGACTCTATGGCACGCCGATACAAGGATCGGGACGGAGAATGGACGCATCAGACACGTTTTGCCGTTGTGAACAATCATCTATTGGTACGCGTTATCAGTTCCGCATTCGCTGCACCTGCACTCCCCCCAGCAGGCTTACGCAGGCTCCTCTATTCTCACAACGATAATTTCAATCCGTACTTCTCTGTTTGTGCGCACTGGAGAGACGGCAATCTCATGCCGGCCGTCAAATGTGCCCTTAGCCATATCCCAAAGCCTCCGGATAGCGGAGGCGTGGTTGGAGTTGCCGAGAGGGTCAAGCTTCATTTACACCCTCAAAACCCCCTGATCACGCTTTGCTCTGAATGTCGACCAATACGCAGATGTCCAGAATGTCCGTCCGAATACCTCATCGAATTAAGGATGCAGGAAGACAAAAGCGACCCCAGCAAACTCTTCAAGCATGCCATTGTTGTCACTCGCTGGAGCGATCTGGGCGATGGATCATCGCCGCAGAGTCCTGAATGGGCAGCTTGTAACGGAGATGGCACGTTCGATTCGTTTACAGCACTGGGAAGGAGGGCAATATCGGGAGTTTTTGAATCACAATTCACTGTGGATCAAATTCCGGGACAAAATATCGTGTCGATGAATCCAAGCAAGGAGAAGCGCGGTGAAGCAGGACACGACTGGTACTGAAAGCGGGTTCTGTACTACGGTACAGTCTTGAGCGGCTTAAAGGCGTTGCTCCGCATCAGAATCACATTCACACCTGTGCCGGAATCCGGACGATGCCACCAGGAGGATACCAGCTGGTGAACCACCATGCACTTTGATCGTCATACTCTTCGCGGTGTACGACCACGTTCGGCAAGCATTTATCTTGCACACGTTTGCGTCAAGACACGCCATATGAATGCGTAATGCACAATGCACAATGCACAAACGACGGGTGCGCAGAATATCGACTCTCGCAATAAGACAGATGCTTATCTACCACACCCTCTAATACTATCTCTCGAAGTAGCTGCTTGGCTCGACCCCCCGTGGCGATGGCAAGACCATCGTCGAGTTGGCCCAGTGGATACAAATTCCGCCAGTGCCCCTCGATGATGCTCACTCCACTGCCTCAGGAAACCTATCTACCACTCCACATGCTTCAGCTTCGCAGTGTGACAATCTAGCAAAGCCGCACAGGGCTGGTGGGCGCCATTAGCTAAAGCTGCTACGTCGCTGCCGTTGGTTCCCCGTTGTGGCGCCGTAGGGGCCGGCTTTGCGGCGCACAGTTCTCTCCCGGCGTCTCCTTCGAGCTTGACGTGTTCGTTGAGCACGCCGAGCAGCATGCCCTGGAAAGCGAGGACCCCTTCTTCGTGGAACGGATGCAGCATGCCGGCCTCGAAAACGCCGCGCTCGAGGTTCTTCTGCACCTGCTCGCACAGCTCGAAGTCCTCGTCGACGACCTTGCGGTAGAACCTTGCCATGCGCTCGTACGATTCGGCGGTCGCGCGCGGCGTGTTGAGCCTGTACACGTCGTACTCCTGGCGGGTCGTGGTCGCCGACGTCGGCACCGAGCGCATGAGGTGCATGAACCCCGTCCCTGGGTTCGGCGAGAAATGGCCGCCGGGGAAGACGTGCGTGGCGGACCGGCCGTCGAACCGCGTCGAGTCGAACGTGCCGGCCGCCTCGGCGAGGAGCGACGCTTTGGGCTCGCTGAAGTGCGCGATGTAGGTCTTGTGGCTTTCCGCCGGGGAGACGTGGTACGTGTTGAGGTCGGTCGTCTTTGCGACGTCCGGGTGCGCCGTGAGGCAGTGGTAGCACTGTGACGCGCGCGTCAACACATAGAAATTTGTGATTGGTCTACGATGGGACATCAAAGCGTACCCATCGTCATCGACCATGCTATAACACACGTACCTCGTTGTAATTGTCCTGCATCACCTTCCAATTGAAGGCGCCGTCCTTGGTCCACGTAAAGTCGTACTCGACCTTGTCCCAGTCGATGCCAGAGTGGACGAGGACATCCTGCCGATCCAGGTCCCCGTACTGCGTCTCCCAGGAGACGGCAGGTGTGGGACTCGCGTCGAGATTGACGTACACGAAACCGTTGCGGTCGACGTGGACGTGGACAGGGAACAGGTGGATGGCAGACGCATCAAAGGCCGGGACTGACTCGGGCGTGAAGCGGGGTGCTTTGGTCAGTTTGCCGTTCAGGTCGTACGACCATCCGTGGTACTTGCACGAAAAGATGCGTGCCGTGCCTTGTGTCTCGCGTACGACGGGGAACGCTCGATGTCTGGCAAACGCGGACACACATTTAGGTGTTTGATCGGGGGTGGCTCCTTGGGGGGGGTTTGATGTTTCTTTACACATACCTGCACACATTGTGGAAGCCAACCAGGGTCCCCTCCTTGTTCTTGACCACGACGAAGTTGAACCCGGCCATCTCGTACTGCACAAAGTCGCCGGTGTTGCGGTATCGAGCCTTGTGCGAGACGAGGAACCATCGTCTCGAAAATATCGCTCGCCTTTCCAGCTGATAGATGGATTGTGACTGGTAAAAGGCAGCAGGCACGGAGACATTGAGATCAGTCGATATCGACTTTTTGGCGAGTCGCTCTACGTGGATTTCGTGTACCCTGGCGAGGGGCCCATTGGTGCCGCCGTTGACTCGAGTACGCGTGCTGGACATGATCGCGGAGATGGTGTTTCGCTCCTCGAACTGGTCCGGGTTGGTTGTCTATACTCACGTCTTGTTTGAGGATTGGGAGTAATTCAGGACCATGTTCATACACGTATCAATACACCACAAATTCATCGGCTGGTCATTGAGCCTGTACAAATATATATATATATACCTTGGTAGGTTATACCTTGATAGAACAAAAAGGTCTCCATTGACCTTCCCACTTGGGAGATTTCTTCCCCTTTAGAGCGTGTGTGGTGAGCCAATGGACGTGCCTCTTTTTGAAGATTTACACAGATGGACTCGGATTCTGACAAAAAGTCCATTATCACGGCGCTTCTAGCTGCTGGTTAGCATGTGCTGTGTAAGTATCTCCCTGTAGGTATGGGTAGATCAAATAGTCTTCCTGGTGCGTATGCAGGAGCCGCAAAGACCGCGGAGAGTGCCAAGGTGACTATGTGGTTTAGGGCCAGCATAACATCTCTAATCGCGGGTGATTTAGTCCACCCGATGATTGAGTACGTTCAATCTCTAATTCTGTTGTTATCTTTTATCCTTATCTCCCAATCTCCCTTTTCTTCCATTCTCTTTTGTTTCTGCGTTTCGACTCACCAAAAGCTGAGTCATTTGAGTCACTTGAGTCACTCCCGTCAAACACATTCGTTTGCATTCCAACTCGTCATATCCGTCTCTGGACCACAAAGAAGGCGTCACAATGAATGCACCCCCATTTCTCTTGTCTCCCGTAACCTTCAGTCGCGCATGACGAATGTCTATGTTTCTGTTACCCCATATTTTCTCAGCGACGTGACATTGTGACTTTCCTGCCATCACATGAGTCCGGGTTCGTCGCTTACCGTCGGAGTCTGCCTCCAACAATCAAATCACTGGTCAGCAAAGAAATTCTTTCGCTGCTTTTCCGCTCCGCAATTCCAGATTCTGCGCCCTACTCAATGGCGAAACTAACCCCTTTTTGACTCCCTGTAATCTTCGAAGCATTCCTCAAGCATTTTCCCCTTGACCACCATTTCAACCACCGGCTGCCGTGACTGTGTGTCCCACTCTCGTTCAAGCCTGTATACGCCTCGAAACCACCAAGTCGATCGTTTATCAACAATGTCGTCTTCTTCAACGTCTACACAATCGCAGCCCTACAAAGTCATACCGTCCGACTCCCAGGATGACCTCGACCACTTCATCGACATAATTAGCGACTCCTTTGCAGCCACTGCTCTGACGACATCGTTCATAGTGGACAACGACAAGACTCCGCCGCCCTATCCCTCTCCACTAGTCAACAAGGACCGTCGGCGGCGCCACTTCGCCTCAGGGATCCTCGACAGCGCCGCATCGGGTGCCGAGCTGGTCCAGGCGGGGAACTGGTCGGCCGTCGCGCTGTGGGAGCCGCCGCATTTCCAAGGCAAGGCGTTCATCGACTCGAAAGCCGATCCGGGCACCCTGCTCACCGAATGGAGGGGAAGAGTCAGTGCCGCAAAGGCTAGGTGTCTGGCGTTACCACCGTCTACCGAGTTGAGTCCGTCGACAGACTCGGATTCCACCTCGACGTCGGACTCGGACGGGGACAAGGAGGCGGCACCAGCACCACCCGAAGAACAGCAACTACTCCGGCCGTACTACCATCTGTCGTTCCTGGCTCGGAACAAGTCCGTGTCCAAGGTCGAAGGCAGCATCAACGCCGTCATGACCCCTTTCTTGAACCGGGCCAGAGACGAGAACGTCGCCGCTTGGCTGGAGGCCACTACGCCCCAGGCCGCGAGAATCTACGAACACTTCGGGTTCCGCATCGTCGAGAAGATCACCATTGGGAAGGGAAAGATTGATCACGAGGGCTGGCCGAGCGGAGACGGTCAAGAGGGAGAAGGCGTGACGGCGTGGGCGATGGTGTATGATCAGCATTTGAGGGATTGAAGTTCTTGCTGATTGTCGGCCTGCTACGAGAGCATCTCTGGGAATGAATGGACCACCTTTTGGGTCTGGGGGGTTCTTCATCAAGTCAGAACCACGGCCGGACCGATAGTCGTGTGTCGTGTGTCTGGGGAGTCCACCAAGCCAGAACCACCGCCGGGCGGGTAAACATGTGTCTTGTGTCTTGTGTCTTGTGTCTTGTGTCTGGGGGTCCCTCACCGCCGCATCAACTCCGCACTCTTCTCTTCTTCGCACCAAGACATTCGCAATCCCGGAAGCCAAACAGCTTTCGTCTTGCGTGCGAGAAAGACCCCCTCTGGGCGCCGAAGGGGCGTTTTTTCAACGTCCAAGGACCTAGGTAGTACTACAGATTAACCCTGGTGAGGTGGTTTCAGAATGACAGTCAAGTCTGAAAGACGTTCAAACTCGTTTCCACCGCCGGTGATGCCGTTACAGAATGAGAGAGTCAGGAGCATCCGCGCCGTGGCGAATCAGGAGGAGCAACACACGGAGAGATCCTCAATTGCCGCCGACGGTAGAAGCGGGACTACGGCGGAGCACCTGAAACTCAAGCGGTCCTCCTGAGAAAACGACCCTTGAATCCGAGGCCGCAAGGCTGCATTTGTCTCGCCTACTCCATAGTTTCCGACTCCATGCCATGCTTTCCTCCGATCTTGAAAGTAGAATTCACTTCTTGGAGTGTTAAAAGTTTAAGAATATTCCCCGTTTGTTTTGTCTACCTCAGGTGAAAAGCTGGCAACCGAGTAACCATTCTATTGAACCCAGCAAGGTTGACTTTCTTCTACAACACCCATGGCAGAAAAGGATCCCATTTTGCACCACCAAGTGTCCAGGCCTGCAGGCATCGAACAGAATGAATAATCCGCGAAAGCTAATTCATCGTCTCGTCTCGTCGTTCAAGTTTCCCCAGCCTGAATGTTGCATCAAGGCACATGATCGGAGTGGACGTTTCAAGAAACGGCTTCCTCATGCTCTTCGTGCGTCGCATTCATTTCACGTTCCGGACGACATCGTCCAGCGCCTCTGCAAAGTACTTGACGTTCCCGGTATTGAGGCCCGCCATACTGATTCTTCCGTTCTTGGTCATATACACATGCCACTTCTCGCGGATGGCCAGGACTTGCGCCTCGCTGATACCTGTGAAGGTGAACATGCCGATCTGACTTGTGATGTGGTCCCAGTTGCCGGGTGTGCCGAGTCTGTCCAGCTCCGCTTTCAGGCTCTTTCGCATCTCGATGATCCGTCCAGACATAGTGCGCAGGTCGGCTTCCCACTGAGCAAAGAGTTCGGGATCATTGAGGACTGTGCTGGCGATTCTGGCACCGTAGGCAGGAGGATTACTGATTTCACTGCGTTGTAGGATGGCCAGCTGGCTTGAGACGCGCTTGGCGATGTCTTGAGCCTTGGAACTCGGGGCGGCGATGAAGTGGAAGGCACCGGCACGCTCGCCGTAGAGACCAAAGTTTTTGGCAAACGACTGGGCAATGACCAGTTCGAATCCCAATTCCACAAAGTGTCGGATCGCCCAACTGTCCTTCGCTAGGTCACCCGAAGCGAAGCCCTGGTAGGCACAGTCGAAGAAGGGGAAAAGCGAGCGCTCACGGCACACTTGTGCAATTTGTTTCCATTGCTCTTGTGTCGGATCGACGCCGGTAGGGTTGTGTGCACAGGCGTGCAGGAGCACAATACTACCATTGTCTGCAGCCTTCAGTGTACTGAGCATACCGTCTAGGTCGAGCATCTTTGTCTTTGCGGAGAAGTAAGGGTACTGTTTGATGGGGAGGTGGACGTTTGTGAAGATTTGATTGTGGTTGGCCCACGTCGGGTTCGAGACATAGATTGTGGGCGACTGTAGGAATTTGGAAAGGAAGAGACCGCCTAGATGGACGGCTCCGGTGCCTGAGATGGTTTGAAGTGAGCATACCTGTGATATTACTGATTAGCTGCAAGGGACGGGTAAATGAGCAGTGAGGAAAAGGCTGCGCACCCGTCCTTCTTTGATGGCGGGGCTGTCTGAACCCAGGATCACCTTCTGCGCCGCCGAGGTGAAGTCTGGAAGGCCAGCGATGGGGAGGTATTCGTGATTCAGATTGGGGTCGTTTCGAAGAATCTCATCTGCCTGTCACATCATGTCTGGTCAGTCATCGAAGTCTGTGGCCTCTGCAGAGCAATAAACACCCACCTTCTTAACAACGGGTAGAACCCATGGCTTCGCGTTGTTGTCTCTGTATGCGCCGATGCCCAAGTCGACCTTCTTGTCATATGTGTCTCGGCGATATGCGGCCATCAGACCGAACAACGGGTCCTCTGGAGCCTGAGGCACGACATTGTCGCTGAAGCGAGTCACCGCCGCCGATTCTCCTGTAGAACCCATGGTGTGCTGATTGACCTGCGAGAGACGAGAAACGACGTTAGGCTGAGACGACGAGGAGGAGGAAGATTTGAGCGGTGAAGACATGTTCTTTTGGAAACCAAGGGGTACGGTGGTCACCTCCGGTGTCAAGAAAATCGTCGAGAGGGACGGACGGATGCCGGGGACGTACCAGGGCTGTGTGGACGGACGGATGAGGGTAATTATTAGCTTGTGATGCTGGCAAGTCCTCGGTAAACCGGTGAAAATGTAGCGAGGCAACGGTGCTTGTTTGAGCGCGGATATGCTTTTTGTCGCAGATAGTCGTAGTCAATCTGTGCCTGCAGACACCCCTCGGGACTGGATGGAGGTCAATGTCATCACCTGCGGACAGTATGGCACAAGGCGTGCGGTGACTCAGGCAGAACTTCTCATCAGTCACAGGCTCGCAGGCTCACAGCCCAACGCGCCCTCCAACATCCCCAAATGTTTTGGAGAACAAGGGGCCTAGGTACAACGGAGCACGGGAACAGGCCAATAGGGGACGCCTAAATACCGTCTGAGCAAGCAACCGGGGCCTCGGGCTACAGGTCACCTTCTCCCCTATGCATCGCTCTCTACCAGTCCACAGCCGGGAGGTCTCTGGCGTAGCCTCATAGGTACCTGTACTCGTAAGAACGGAGCTGGCTGACGAGGCAGCCACACTTCTACAGTACTTGTATCCTCTGTACAGCTAATTCTGGTGCAGGGAACGAGAAGCTCTTCTTTGCCCCTCGATACACTGCACTCCGTACCCCCTCCATGACTCCACTGTCCTTCTCGGGCGTCACCGGGGCAAAGGAGCATCCGGGGGATTCTATCTTTGGGAACGTGAAGCGGATGTATACGGAGCACATCAGCACGCCACCAGCGATGCCAGATCTCGCTGTCGGCCCGTTGACCTCGAAAGCCTTATGGAGGATCTGCATCCTTGCACATGGAAGCTGTCTATTCACATCTTGTTGAGATGTGCCATGGGGAGTATGTACCCAAATATGGCGCGCAAACCACCGTGCTTAGAATATCAAGTCCCAGACCACCAAGAACGAGCAGAATCCAGCAGTGGCGTAAAACACCAACCGCGCTGTGCTTCCTCTCTCACTTGCCTTCTTCAGCTCGCGGTTACCCTTGCGCACGTTTTCGTCTGTGTTCGCGGCATCTGTGACCAGACCCTCGATCATCTCTCCCTGCACACTTAGGTGCCCGACCAATGTCTGCTGCAAACTGCTGATCTCCATCAAACTCTTTTCCACTTGAGTAACTTTGGCTAGTTGGTTGTTGAAATGCTCAAAGATACCCTTATTCTCTTCTTCGAAGAGTTGCAGTTGCTCCGCCGACAAGTCCTGTGCCCGCGGCTGAGTTGGGTCATTCCAAGGCTTGTACTCGTCGTGTCCTCTCAGATCTTGATTGCCATATTTCTCCGTACTAGATGCGCTGAACGTTGTGTCTCGACTTGCATTCACCCCCTTGTTCCTTGGGTCATAGAGTACGCTCATCTGTTTCTGTCGCTCGCGATCCAGTCGTTTCTCAACCATCTCTTGTTGCATGGTAATGGCATCTTTCAGCCTCTTGCCCAGGTACCATAATACTCCATCTCGAAACGTCTTTGTCGTCCAGATTCGTCCTTCCTCATCTAGCTGCGAACTCGATTTCCCGGCGTCGTCGTTATCGCCGTCTCCAGCTGCCCAGCGCCATAATACCCCTTTTGGTCGCCCATATTGCTTCTCTAGAATTTTCTTTGCGGTATCGTGCTGGAGGTCAACGGCAGAAGACAGGGCTGCGATCCTGCCGTTGATTTCCCGGAGGACCGAGGATGTTTCTGAGTCAATCGCTTCTCTTTGAGAGTCGTTGAGGTGCTCAGGGACCTCCCAATCTTGTGTTGAGGATAGAGATGTTACGGGCTCGTTCCGTCGAGAATGGCGAGGCGGTGGAGCTGTTGATAGATACGGGGTGCGAATGGCTCGTAGATACCTGAGAAGTGACGAGATGGATTGATTCTGCGAGGGTGAGCATTACAAACATAGCCGAACAAAAAGGGCACTGAGCAGCATACTATCTGATATGCCTCCCTCAGAAAAGAGTCGAGGTCAGACGTAAGATCTTTGGCGCGGCCGATGACAGACTTAGACGAGTGCTTCTCGACTAGGATCGAAGACAAAGTCACAGAGAGATCTGTCATGGCACCAGAACACTTTGGGAGAAAAAAGAATCTTTTGGACAGAAAACACACCGAGGAAATTGAGAACCTGTAGCCGGCCTGCTCTTCGTTGAACCACGTCGCGTCACTTTTGTGGCTTCTCCAACTCGGGCGGAAGCAGAACGCACACCCCAGCATCGTTAGGTGACAGCCTCGCCGCGTGCTTAAAGATAAAAGTCACCACTTAAACTTGTCATGGGAAAGGTACACACATATACTGACTATAGTATCTACTCCTCGTCTTTTGTTGTTACTACTCTAATCTTGAAACAAGCACCTTGAATGTGGGAAAGATCTCTGCGCGGTGGTTATCACTGTCATGCACAAATCATCGAAAATGCCCTAGCATACTCCATACTGTGTAGTCTTTTCCAAGAAAAGAAAAATAATACAAGGGTCATCGCTATTTCAGGACTGTTTCCCTGATCCCAGAGCACCATCCCATGCCATATCGTCATCAAAGGCCAGTCCTCCTGAGATTTTTCTCCCAATAAAAATACCGCCGGCGGTCCCAAACACGGCAAACATGAAGAAGCCATCAAACCATCTCTGGACCCACGCAGGCTCCAACAATCCGGCTCCGAGTGCACTATTGATCACGCTGCCTACTTCCTTGGGCATCATACCCCTGAGCATGATGGCAGAACTTATAACATACATCCCACTGATTTGACTGATCAACAGGGCAAAATTGGTCCTTGTCGCATGGACCACGCCGGGCATGAAACGAGCAAAGAGTTGGAATGTCTGTGTTACTGCAGTAAAAGAAGCCAGTAACATGGCGCCAGAGAGGAGGAAGGAAATCTGCTGCGCCCAAGAGACCCGATCGAGCGAGGGATAGACGTGCCGTGCGAACAGGGCAATTGAGTATGTGACTGGATCTGTGTCGGACGTTGGGGAAGTCCGCGAGAACATGCGCTGGATGATGTTGACCGTGGTTGTACAAATGCGGCAGACGCAGTACAAGGCAAAGACATAGGAGAACGTGAGGGACAATCGACCCATAATTGTAGTCGCCTTGGACTGTGTAGCATGCCGGGAGCGCATGATAGAGAGTGAAGTCTCCAGTTCTGACGACATTGTTTCCAGCCCTGATAATTCGAGCTCCAAGATCTTTCTTTCCTGAGTATGTTGGTTCCCTCTGAAGGGCTGAATCGTCCATCCCCAGAAGTTGGCAGGGGGGCTTTCCAGGCTTCTCTGCTCTAGAGCCCTAAGCTGTTCTCTCTTCTGCGCAGCCATGTGTAGCGTGGCATCTAGTCCGGCCTGTTTACGAGTGATGTCGTTCTCGGTGACAAGTCTTGGTCTAGGCCCAAAACACTGCCAGATAGCGCTGACGGAGGCAAAGCCAGACAACAGTGCCATGAACGACACGCCGGTGATTGCTAGTCTATCAAGACATGCCTGGAACAAACCTTCATGGCGACTGAGACTCTCGCTGATGCTGGCCGAGGAGGGTAGTAAGGCCCCGATAGCCCAGAACGCCAACAGGAATGCGGCATAACCAGCAAACTCCAAAACCCAGGCAAGGCGAACTTGGGCCCTTTTCTGCCCTCGGAATCTGTACCCAGATTTTGCGACGACTGAAGATATCCCTAATAGCGGGATCGCGACCACGAGGAGGCCAAGAAGGCTAGCCACGGTAATCTGAAGTGCAACAGTCCTCGCAGTAGGATTGAACGAATTGGATATTTCACAAAGGAGCAGTTCTGTGAGGACGGCCGACAAGCCTATAGTAGCGGCAAATGTGCTTGCTGCGATACGGCGTGCAAGGTGCTGCGTGGCAGGTTCGACAGATGACGTCGCCGGCCTGGGAAGTCCTTTGTGACCATCGAAGGCTTGAGGTGAGGATGAGAGGAGGGGATAGACTTTGCGATAGGCGACAAAAGTCAGTAAAGCGAACGTCGTAATAAAGGGAAGAGTCGAAAACGCGGCCTTGGTGCCAAATTGTCTCGACGGGTTGAGGTAGTCGGGAGTGCATTCGTCACAGTCTTCGACTGCGCTTTGTGGCAGCATTGTTGGCGGTCTGCTCGCGGCGGGACAAGACCGTATTCTCACAGAACATAATTCAGTCGTTCAGGCCGTGGAAGAGGAACGATGCTCGAAGGTAGAGGCATCAGGGGGTTTGGAGAGCCGTACACAGTTGTTGTCACACGCGTACAGGCACACTGTACGACCATTATATGAGGGCGGCAAGGGTTGAAGAGGCGCAGGGACGAGACCACCTTAAAAAACCGACGAGATATGATAAGTTGATAAGGCGTGAGGTGTGGCCGGACCGCTAGTAAATTATCCTACCGGAGCTGGGCATAAGAGCGCACTATCGATCCTTAGCGCCCGCAGATTCCCCTCGAGTACGCGATAACAACTGCATCGCCAAAGCATGTGGTTGTGCTAGACACTTGGAATAGCCCCATGGCTGGTTTGCGATGCAGCTGAGGACCGGAAGTGTCAAGGAGCTTATCCTTGAAGCAGCAGTCATGTTGAGAAGCCCTAGTTTACTATGGGCTTGCCTGTACGGAGTAGGGAGTGCCCAGTTTAATCTACGCCTGGATACGGAGTACTTCGTACCTAGGGCTAGGCACTGTCTTTGCTGTAGTGTGGAGTGCTGCTTGATGTAAATATGATGTAGACGACGGCGGACAACCGGGAGCTTGCGCGGAGCAACTATGTCTATATATTCCAGGTCACTTCGGCCGTCATGAGTCGTAATAGCAGGGTTCGCATGCGACTTCTGCGGTCTCTTCTGCGCGAAAGGGCTGGTCAGACGACTTCTCAGAAGGAGGCGGTCGTACGCGTGGTACATATGTCTGTGTGGAAGAGACACTCGACGTCCACTTCTGCAAAGATGAAGGCTTGAACAGTAGCAGCACGCTGGATGCAACGTCCTTCGTCCCAGACCATCCCAGGTTTCTTGCACCGAAACTCAGGTGGGCGTTGACCCTGTCAGAGCAGCAACCATCGAGGCCAAATAATGCCTTCCAACACCGACATTATCGGGAAGGCGAACGGCCATGGCTCGGTGACCTTCGTTGTGGTTTATCTCGCAGGATATCCGCCAACCACGGCGTCGTCTCTCTTACAGACGGCCGTCGTTCCTCGACAATCCTGGGCACCAACAGGTGAATATCCTCTTCATCAGAGATAGCTGCATCGCTGTCTCGGTGATCTTTCTTTGCACCATGTCTTGGTGATCTGGGCGGTTTATCTTCGTCCCAGTCTTCTGCAAGCGCAGCAATGCTCGGGCTTTTCATGGCCAAGTCTGCTCGGGGTGCACTTTCCGTGCTCAGATATCCTATGGGCAGCGCAAAACTTCTCTCGGGAGAGTCCTCGTCCGAAGTTATGTCACTTTTGGCTGAGGTGACTCGCGTGAGAGGCCCACCATATGTGCCCTTCAGGATGCCGCGTTTAGGTGGACCGATGGCCTTCGCAACGGCATCGGCCTCTTTTTGAGTTGCTTCCGTTGATATCGAAGTGCTGTTGGTCTGAGAGTACAAACTATTACCTCCAGCCGACTGGACATGCTCAAGCATACTGCTGTAGACACTTCGACCCGTTTCCAGTTGCCTTTTTTGCTTCTTCTTCATCCTCTTCGAAGTGGGCCGAACAACAATGACGGGGACAGGGGAGTGCTGGAGGCAATACTTGGACACCGAACCCGGGAGCAACCCTTGCATCCCTCCCAGGTTTCTTCCTCGAGTACCAACAACTAGTACTTGTGGGCCGTATAACTCAATCTATGTCACTGTCAGTTTGGGGCATGAATCGTTCCATTGTTCAAGCTCACCATGCGCTGAAAGATCTCTTGAACCTTCCCAACGGCCAACTCCATAATGATACTGATAGCCTTCTCTTCGGAACTGTTTTTCTTGACAACGCTGTCCAGTAGCTTTTGCGCCTCTAGCCTGTATTTGCCATGATCGTATGACGTTTCGCCGGGTCGTGCGTCTTTATCAATCACCCTCAGGCAAACAATCATGTCGCCGTCGTCTACCAACTCGTCCAGCATCCATTCTAACGCATACTCGGAGTAATCCTTTGCATCGGTCCCGCAGAGGAACGTTCGGCTCTGACGGTTGTGTACATAGTCCCGATGTTTGTAATTCAGGGTAAAGGATTCCGTCGACGCATCTCGGTTTTCAAAAGTGTCGAAGGAGACACCACGTTGATAGTTTAAGGGAGGAGGAGGTGATGATAATCTTCTTGACACATTGGAGGACATTCTAGGTGTGCCTTGTGCGACACTCTCCCTTCTTATAATGTCCTCTGCATCCGCAGTGTGGAAGTGTATCAGCGATTGGCGCCGAACCGTTCCGGGCTGATCACTTGGTTGAGGTCGAGGCGGAGGTTTGCCTGCGTTATTCCAGAGCTGTCCAAACTTCAAGTCTTTTCCATCTCCTGCCGACGCAGGTCTGTTCGCCCTAGATGACTCCGATGGCTCGTGCGCCTTTGGAGCAGCCATCGCACAAGTGAAGAGAACCGACTTATCGGCGCGGGGTAGGACTGACTGTACTCCAGCAAATGAGGAAATGGGGCTGGTCAGCGACGATTATAACCTAATGGCAGGGTCTAGAGAAACACCAAGTGTGGATGGTGGCGCTGCCACGCTTCGTCATTGAGAGACCTTCGAGACCCTGGGGCTTTCAGCACCGAGGACGACGAGTACCTGCTATCTTCCCGGGGACGAAGCGTCGTTGCGGTGGAAGATGTCCCGAATGTCTTCGCTTGGCCGGCGTGGAGCTGCATCAAGTCGAAAGTTACCTAGGGAAGAGCCAGAACAGAACATGGTCGGCAGTTTGGAGCCTTTTTCGAGGTCATGAGCACCTCGACGGTCAGGCTTGAGGCTTGGCTTTGGAGCTATATCTGACACAACCTGTTCGATTTGAGGCGAGGTTCAGCGGGGCGTGAAAGGCTGTCGGAAGGTGGTGGAGAGACGACCGGGAGGGCGATTCTCAGACAGGAGAGATGTGAAGAGTCATTGGTACGACCGCTTCCGCCTGCAATATCATTTTACAGACTATCATTTTACAGAAGATACAACCTCAATCCGAGAACTCTTTTTAAACTTGGATAGGCGCCTGAAGACCAGCCGTTGCCCTGATACATGGTCCAAACAGGCAGTCCCAATCCTTCACCGATTTTTGCGCTGTTCACACTGCATGTGGTTATCAGCCTATCCGAGCATAATTCTTCTTCGCTCCCCACGGGTGGACACGGGAGTCTCGCTGCATAAGGGCCTACGACGCCTCCACGCTTCGGGTGCAAGATCACGGTTATTTTATATTCGGCAGTGCCAAGTGAGTGCATGTGAAAAAGTCCGCGGGATATCTACTATACAGCATGTGTACACAACCAACTTTGGTTCACGAGCTCAGCCTCGTTTGCTAAACCTAAGATGGATCAGATCTTCTGCAATGCAATGTGCAGTTGAGCCTGCCCACGAGATACGTCCGGTATACGTGGGAAGGGCGCCTTTGAAGGGAGGGGGTGCGGAGTGGAGAGATACTTTGATGCTCGATGCAAACACAGCACTGGCTGACTGGTAGCACGCACCTATTTTCGTCGCTCTGTACCAACGCCGTTAAACAACCGGCACTTGTACACAATGCGTCGCCTCACACTCCGGGAGATACCTTGTAGGATTGTGGAAAAGTGTACGGGCAGTATAGCGTGTGTCAATTGACTGGCTCCGGCGCCGGCGGTCTTGCCGATGAAGGTGGCCCAATAGCTCTTGCATCTGGAGGCTCTGGCACCTTCGCCGCGAATGCAAGAAGAAATAGTCCCTGACTTCTCAGCGAGGCGTGTTGTGACCATGGTCATCTCTTGATCTCCGCATATGGATACGATACTGGGTCGCCCTGGAAATACATCGCGGTTAGTATCGACTGGGTTGTGCAAACCCGGGGGAATCGAGCGGCGTACCTTGCGCAACCATATCTTCGTCCGCTTCTTAGTCCCTTGGTGCTCTACAAAGACATCCCTAGCATATTCTGCCTTCCACTTTCGGATGAATCGCGGGTCCCAGAGCTCGCTGGCAACTCCGAGGTCTTTGCAACACCGCATCATGGCATTGGATTTACACCCTTCAGAAGCAGTCGGTATGCCATCCTTGTTGAAGTAGTCTTGCTCTCCTCGCGCTATAGACACCAGTCTGGTGTTGCGTTAGCTGCTCTGCGGTCTGAATGGCAGGTCTGTCTGTCTCACCGTCCGTGTGCAAGTAATGCATATTCTCGGGTGACTGCCTTATCGGTGACGATGGTGTCTCCCCTCGGCGCGAGGCCCCATCCTCCAGGCCCAAAAGCTCTATTCAGTATTCGTCTGTATTTTATCTCTGGCAGATAGATGATGCCGTCTGGTTTTATCTCCACATCATCTGGGCTCAGTGGCGCCATGAGAACATCGGCCGCTTCTTTTGAGAACGGCTCTGCAGAAAGCCCATGGAATGACTTTGACCAATCGACGTGTGCAGGATCCTCCTCTTGTGTCTTCAGAGGCTGTGCGTCTGATCGGTCTGAGGATGGCTCGTTGGGAGGTGCATCGGGACTCGCAATGATCTTCGGAGGCTGGGTTGCCGTAGACTGGGCTCTCCGAGAAAATGAACTTATGAGGATGGCGCGGGAGGGCAAGCCAAATTGTTTAGAACGTCGTACAAAGAGGTAAGAGGCAGAACTTGAAAGATCTGGCCCAAGTGAGCGGAGGGTCGTAGTACGTACACCTTTCGCCTGTAGAGGGAGTCGAGGCAACGGCAACATAATGACAACAACGAAAGACGATTACTTCAAATGCTCGAGAAAGGAATGACCGGAATGGTTTAGAGGTGAGTGTGAATGATCACTAGTAGTACAATCGCAGGAATGAAAGTAATCTATGAGGAAAAGATTTGGTCAACAACTAGAGAATCGCGTCGCCATTAGAGATGATGCAGCTCGACGACCAGCAACACCAAATCCCGTGACTCGGATTTGGTGGGCGAGCAAGAGCAGCTTTCTGGTACACAAGACGTAGACAGATTCTCTATTTTTCTGGCGCGGCGTCTTTGCTCAGAGTGCGTTCCTCATTTCCTTTGCGCTTCCAACATTGTCGAAAAGCCTCCATCTGTGGTTGGGTGTCAGTAAAACTGAGAATCTGGGGGTGCCGAGGACCACCGGGGGAGGGAGTAAAAGCTGCCCTGTTGTTGGGGGTCAACACTCACTTCATTCCGACACAACCGCCAGTCTTTCTTGTCGTAATAGCAGTCGTTCATTCGGAGCTGTTCCTCTGCGGCATTGCGTTAAATTTCTACTGCTACTGTCGGTTGATGGGCTTTCCAACTTACCAGCACAACCTGTACTAAAAATTCTCTGGTCCCTATTGATGATACTATCAGCATTGCCAACCGTCAGCTGATCGAGGAGCATACCATTCGTCAAGTTCATCATCCTCATCGGCCTGGATATTTTCAACCTTCTGTTTGCCCGTCATCGCAATTCGTTGTTGTGAGTTTGGGCAGAAATACCGAACAGGAGAAAAGGTTGAAAATCTGTGGTCGGGTGACCATCAACAGTGGTTGTCTGACCTGAGGAGTATCTCGAGCTCCTTTCCTCATCACATTACATCGAGAGTTCCGCCACCAACCATGGCTACGAAACGGATGAACGTTCTTGTCTACTCTGGTGCGCTCACTCAGGAAGCATGGCGAGCCAATGAAAATCTAATGCTCTCAGGAAACGGAAGTACCGTGGAATCAGTTCGACATTGTCTCTATACCCTTCGAAGACTGTTGTCGCCCAACTATGCTGTTATTCCGGTCACCGGCGACATGATCATCAAAGAGCCTTGGACGGCGACATGCGCTGCTCTAGTATTCCCGGGCGGAGCTGACCAGGGATATTGCAATACCCTCAATGGCGAGGGCAATAGGCGGATTCGTCAATTTGTTGAGCGTGGTGGAAATTACATCGGCTTTTGTGCTGGTGGCTATTATGGAAGCAGTCGATGCGAATTCGAGGTTGGCGATAAGCTGATGGAAGTAATTGGCGACAGAGAACTTCAATTCTTTCCTGGTATTGCTCGAGGTTGTGCATTTCCGGGATTTGTCTATCATAGCGAGAAGGGTGCTCGGGCTGCAGACCTGAAGGTCGACAAGACTGTCATGTCAGCTGGGACTGTGCCCAAGGTCTTCAAATCCTACTACAACGGAGGCTGCGTTTTTGTGGACGCACCAAAGTTCAAGAGTCAGGGTGTTGAAGTCCTTGCGAGTTACACGGAACATGTCGCTGTGGATTCGGGCGAAGGCTCTGCTGCCGTTGTATATTGCAAGGTCGGTCAAGGTGCAGCATTACTGACGGGTCCACATCCAGAGTTCGTCTTTCTGGGGAAGCCAGCTGATGACTGGTCACTGACGAAGCCTAGGTTCGCCTCAGCCAACCTGGAATCCAAGCCAGATGTCCCCGGATTTTCAGACGTGATCAAGACCCTGGCCGCCGATGAGAAACACAGAATGGATTTTGTCAAGGCATGTCTGACCAAGCTTGGTCTTACAGTGAGCGACGACCAAAATGTACCATCCCTCTCCTATATGCACCTTTCCTCTTACACGCCGTCCGACACAACACAGCTGTTGGCCTCATTGCAGCATCTCATCGAGAAGGACGAAGAACAGCAAGACTTCCTGAGGGACGACAATGACACATTTCACATTATCAAACCGTCCGCATGGGAAACGAAAGATTTAGCAGAAGCATTGCCGTTACAGGTTGATAACAAGAGATCTGCTAACGAGCTGGATGGCAGCTCCGATCGAATAGTCGACTATAATACGGTCACCAAACATATAATCGTACACGACAACAGCCAGCCAGAGTCCAAGTCAACGCCATATTTTAATCATCGTGCCTTTTACGCAAACCTTGAACATTATCAAAGTCAGTTCCCCAGCACTTCAACGTTTGGCGCACATTTACTTTATGGCGAAGTGGTGACTTCAACAAACACATTACTCGAAAAGAACACCAAATTGCTTCGAAACCTCCCCCAAGGCTTCACAGCCACGGCCACGGTACAAGTCGCTGGAAGAGGCCGGGGATCCAATGTGTGGGTATCGCCTCCTGGGAGCCTCATGTTCAGCACTGTCATCCGGCATCCCATGACAAAAATGCAGGCTGCTCCAGTTGTGTTCGTTCAGTACTTGGCAGCGATGGCGATAGTACAAGGAATAAAATCTTACGATGGCGTCCGTTACAAAGACATGCCAATCAAGTTGAAGTGGCCAAATGACATCTTCGCATTGGATCTCGCAAAGGCCGAGGAGAATGGTGGCGATAGAAACGAAAATTACACCAAAATTGGCGGCATCCTTGTGAACAGTCACTACAATAGCAAGGAGTATATCGCCGTGTGTGGAATCGGTCTGAACACTGCCAACGCTGCTCCAACCATATCATTGAACCAGCTCATACAATTCCTTCCGCGCAAAGTTGAGCCATTCACACTGGAAAAGCTGCTGGCCAGGATTCTGACGGTTTTCGACGACCTCTATGCGCGATTTCTGGTCACAGGATTTGATGAAACCATGGAAAAGATCTATTACGAGCATTGGTTGCACATGGACCAAATTGTCACGCTCGAAGCCGAAGGTGGCCAGCGAGCACGCATCAAAGGGATTACGAGAGACTATGGCCTACTCATTGCTGAAGAGCTGGGCTGGGAAGACCGAGAGACCGGTAGAAGATGGACTTTACAAAGCGACGCCAACAGTTTCGACTTTTTCAAAGGCCTCGTGAAGGTATGTGGCCCTTGCTGCGGAGAGCCTAATTTGCAGCTCAGCCCGAGGACAAAAGCCCTCATTGTCTTTGCCTCAACGTGAACAAGTGCTAACGGCCTTGCCCCTCACAGAGAAAGCTCTAAGCGGAGTGCAAGTCCCGACAACACCGGTTGAGACCGGTCAGCCAAGTCTATCTTGTGATCAACTTCTGAAGCCAGCATTCCTTCCGAAAAAAAGCCCTCATGCAGGTGAAATATTATCCTGTAGCACATCGGCACGGTAAGAGTGGACTCCTGTATCGCTTTTGAGAGAACACGAGGAAGACACCTTGTCGAGAGAAATGCATATTTCCCTCTTTCATCATGCTGACAGTCTTTTTCGCTAGCGTGCTGCATGCTAGAGAAAAAGAATACAAAGGGCCTGCGGCAAGGCTGACCGCTTGGTTCACTCTACTCGGTAAGAATGCTACGTCTGAAAGCAAGGCCCTGCGTAAAAGGCCTCATGGTCGATGGTCGACCGGGGATGACGTCTGAAAGCCAGTTGGTTACAGCAAGTCAAACCGACTTTGGCTCCCACATGTAGGGAATCGGCGATCCCGTTACTACGCTCGGCTAGGGATATGTGCCGACGCAGGGCGGCCTCTTTGTTGTGCCAGGAGGTGTCTTGTCTCAACCCGGAGGAAGACACCAGAAGAGGCTGGATGCATATGCTGTCAAACAATGCCCTTCTCCCTGCAGCCAAGTTGGACCTTTGATAGTTTGCAGCAATCAACATCACAATGGCCCCAATCCTTCTGGCGCGGATTGGGCAAATGGTGGTGCCGTTTCCATTCCAAGCACGTTTGCAACATGCTCAACATGATCACCGCCATTTCCCCTGCCTCAACCCTTGCGAGAAAGAGCAATCAATGTTGCAGAATGAGTTGTAGCGCCCCATTGCCATGTGCTTTGTCAATGGCTGTTGCTCGCTGGATTTCCCTCATTCTGTCGAGCCGTGTAAGGTTGAGGTACAATAATCATGCTTCCAATGGGTTTGACTGCTACAGCAGTTACTAGGCGGTCCTCCGTGGCCTTCAAGTAACGAAGAAGGCTCCTCGTCCGCCGATTAGGGCTTGTTGTGTTCTTGCACTGCTGAATTCACTAGAGCTCCGGGCCGAAGGAGGCACCCCTCCGGAGCCAGCCGCACTGGTGGGATCCCCAGATCCTGTCAGCTGTTCCCCAAAGCATGCAAACTCGACAGTCACCGTGCTGGGGTTGCGAGGACGAGTTAGTAGCGGATTGACGCCCTATTGCAGACTCGTCCCATTCCTTTCCCTGGCGTTCGCAGTGGCAGGACGCTAAAACCCTGGCATCTCGAAATGATATATAGGGCCTAACGGCCTAACGGCTTGCTTAGAGGCGCAGGGGTCGACCAGCCTACCGGCTTCCATTATGGCTCGCTAGGATGGTGATCTGCCTTCTCCCCCGGTCCTCTTGTGCAGCACTCTGTGGGAGACTGCGGTGATGAAGTTCGGTACTCTCCTGCGCACCGTCCGCTCGAATGTGTGACACAAGGAGCATCAACGGGATTCTGTGCCACATGAAGAGACGTCCTTGCGTTTTTTTTCCACCGACCCCACAGCCAAAGCTTCTCTGATGCACTCGAGTTACCAGCAGTCACAGCCGAGTAGTACACAGCTGCGCATATGGAGCTCGGCCTGGGATACATTTTGGGTGGTCGGCTCGGCGAACGTTATGTACGCTAATGCACAGCAAGCGAGCACCGGATGGGAAAAGCTGCCTTCGCATGGTTTGCCCATGGTGCGTGAGAGCCTCATTTCAAGGTCTCCGGCGTGAAAAGTCATTGTGACGTAAATTTGGACAAGGATCAAACCTTGCAAAGTGACTACAGTTCCTTCTTCCGCGCCTTCGCGTCGTTCGGCGCAAAGAACTTGTAAAGTCGTCCAAGTTTCGACAATACCGAGTCTCATTCCCCACAGCAAGAGAAGAGCATGGGACAATTTTGGACCGTTGGACTACAGTCAAATGACTCGATGCGCCACCGTTCAGTGCCAACATCGGCTGATGTACTGGTATGCTTTGGCAGACCCGGAGGAGGACCCTGTCGACCCATGTTTCAGCCGCTAAAGGTGTCCTCCAACGAATCCCTCCAGATGAGCAGAACCCACCGGGCATGAATCTGGCGAGCCGGGAGGCTTATCCCCGTCGACCTCGCATCATCTTCTCCACCACGACAATGAGCCCAGAATTTTATGCTCTCCTATCGTCACAGACGCTCAATCGAGCGTTTGACTCGTACTCGTACCGTCTCTTGCACAGTCCTACACTTAGGAGCCCACATATCTCAAAAGTGGTCCTATACTTTCGTTACTGGCAAAGACCGTTCCTGCAGCATCTCTAACCGCAAAGAAGTGAGTCCAATCGCCTCCGTTTCCTCCAGCCTCGTCTTGTACGATTGTCAACAGTACTGCTATCTTGGATCAGCGCTCACAACAGTCTCGCAACCACTCCATTTCGAGCTTCGAGGGCTCCCGCCACTACCTGATACCCTGGCCCTTGTCTAGTTCTGACCTCTGTGGCATACTAGACTAGAACTCACGGCGTACCAACTGGAGCACACACCGCTCGCCCAGCAGCACCACAGGTTCCTGGTTGCTCTCCGCCTTCCCCCCTTGGAAGGAGCCACTGTAGAATAAGTATTAAGAAGGTCTCCGGCTTCGATGATCTGGCAGAACACCAGCGTCTTTTAGGGCTGCTCGGTACACGTTTCCTTTTTGTCTTTATGACTCTCATATCAATCTGCCGTTATCATGGAGACCGTCTTTATTACCATCCACGGTGTGTACCTACCAAGTCCCTGGGGTTTGCAGAAGGCTAACGGACGTAGACCTCTCTCGCGATGCCCGCATCAAGTATTGCTCAGACTCTATTGAGGATATCCTGGGCTACTTGCCTAACGAGGTTATTGGCAAGGCATGTTGGGAATACTTCCATCCTGATGAAATCCCGTTCGCCCGCGAGATCCATGACCGTGGCATTGAGCTTGACAAGGCTTCTGTTATGAACTACGCCAGAATCAAGCATAAGAGTGGCGAATGGATTGGGTGTGAATGTGTCTTCACTGTTGTACACGATGTTCTTGTGGCTAGCACTGCAATCTATCGAAGGGGCCCGAGGGCGCAACGTAAGTCACAATGTGCCTTCGTTTTAGGAATTCAGGGTTTAACCTTGGTCTAGAACGGGCTCTCGATGGAGCTGGCGTCCGCCGAATATTCTCCTCTTCGCCTCGAGACCCGCGATACCACATGTTGTCGTTCTTGTCCAACAAGTTCAGCGAAGAACCAACTACCCCCCTGCCAGAGCCCAGAGCTGCGTTATTCTTGAACCGCTTCACCCGCACATCCACCATAATGTATGCTACCAGCGGTGTATCAACCATCCTTGGCCTGGATCCCGAACAGATCATCGGCAAGAGCTTCTACTACTGCGTTCAAGAAAACTGTCTTCGAGATGCAGTCAAATGTCTCGAAAGCGCAAAAGCTAATGACTCAATCGCCTATTTGAGATTCTGGTACCGCAACCCGTTGCAACCCGAGAGTCGAACACATTCGGAAGCCTTGCCGGACAACGAAAGTGATGAAGACGAGGGAGGTGTTCCACTTGTAGGCTCTGAAAGGTCCGGCTCAACTACCTCGATGGCTGATGCCACGACACCTCGCCCTACTCCCGCCACAGTAGACCACCAAGGCACCGGCAGCTCCTCAGTTCAACAACTGGCGCCTGTGGTTGATAACGGAGTCCACAGAACAATATCTAATAATAGCACGAACACTGGAAGCGTTGGGCCCGTAGTCTCTGACGATTTGAACTCAGATCGGAGGGGCTCATCACAGACACCTGCTGAGGATCTTCAGACAGGGCCTTTGGAGATTGAAGCTGTGATCTCGTGCACGTCCGACGGACTCGTGGTGGTTCTCCGTAAGGCAAGTCCTCTGGCCCCTCACACTCTCGAGCTCGCAGAGGCTCCTCATTTTGCCAATGGAGTGTTTGCGTCCCCTTGGGCGCCAGAACCAGTCATGCCGGACTCCGTGGTCGGAGCACAGGATTTAACCACCACAAGCTTCATGACTGCTATCAAAGAAGTGGCCGTGTTCGCGTGGTCCCTCACCGGCATCAACGGCTCGCTGGCGCAGTATGCTCGTGGCCATGCAAGCGGTGAAGCATTGCCCCCTGACGGTCTCCCCGTCTGGGATCCCGACGCTGAGGTTGACGAACACTACAACGCAGAATACAATGGCTTCCTTGCCAGTGCTCACCGGCCTTTCCAAAGTCATGGCAGTCTCGGTGTATCCAGAAAAGAGGAGGATTCAACCAGCAGTGAGGATGAGGTGGTCTGGAAGCGGGCTCCAATACTACCACCCTGGCGCCGACCGAAGAGGAGAGCACATCACGACGCTTTCGGCGGTGATGTACACGATGGCGTAGACGGCGGTACTGAAGATGGCGGCAGGAAGAGGCATGCCAGGTCGCAAGATGGTTCTGGTACTGGCTCGGGCTCAGGCTCAGGCTCGGCCACCGGCACTGGCTCTGGAGCTGGGTCTGCTACAGGCTCGGTCTGATCCACGAGGCTAAGGGGCTTTTCAAGCATTGTTTTGACGGAAACCATAGCTGCGTTTCTTTTTCATTGATACTGACCATCCAATGAAGTATTTGTTTGTCACTGATCGTGAGCGTATTTATAGTACGGAGTACCCAGTGTGCGCTTCATGGTCTCACGTGATCTCGCGTTTCGTCGGAGTCGGAGTCGTTGTCGCGTTTGGCACGTTTTTTGTTGGAGTAGGAGGAGCAGCGGCTGTCACTGACTGGAACCTGGACATACTGCATGGCGGCAGAATATCTTCATCTTTCCCATCTCGGCTTCTGATCTTTCCCTCTTTATGCGTTCACCATGCCTCTGACTACATTGCCGAATAGAGGATCGACAGGCGTCAGTGGCTATCTGCACACCAGTGAGCCTGGGGCTGTACCAGCGGAGGCCCGTTCTCTGACACCGCAACCTCGGCGAGAGAGATCAAAGCAACGTGCAAATGGCGCCGCAACACGCGGAGCACGGTCTAACAGTAGCGACGCTAATATCACATACACCTCGAAGCCCAGAAGGCAAAACCCAAACCTTGCGCAGAGGATGAAGATCCCTGTGCCAGATACCCTCGCAAGAGCAAAAGCACGGACAACGCAGTCTGTCCACCACGATAATGTCACAACAATGGCTCAGTCTCACGCTCCGACCGAGGTGAGTGAAGTTGCTTGGATTGGAAGTACCCGAGCTGACTTTGGAAGTAGGAGGTCAATGCCTTTGATGACACTCGTAGCATTCACTTCGACGACTCAACAAGCCTTGCGGACGGCTCTGAAACCCAGCGGAATGTCACATTTGGCCTTGAGCCTGAACACGAGCCGCCCTCGTTCAATCTTTTCAAGACGGGCAAGTCACAATTCAAAGCTCAGAGATTTACACAGCCGCAAGTTTTGCCATTTGCTTTTGCGCCGGAATGGAAAAAGCAGGATGACCATCAGAGACTACGGCTCGGGGGAGGGTTACCAAAGTACGGACACACTTTCGACCGCGAGGCGGAGGCCAACGTGACACCGAGTGAAGCTTATGACGACGGTTATGAGCCCGACGGCGAGTATGCTGACAATAACCCGGCGGATACTTGGGACACTCCCTCGCGGGCACGAATGCCGCCTGAAAATGAATTCATCAAGCCAGAACAGCACCAGGACGCGGGAGAGCGGTCTGATAGCCCGGGCTTACACCATCGCCGTGGTGACCAGCAGCCGCACAAGAGCCGTTTCCAGGTTCATAAGCAAACCGTCGTAGACAATGTACCGAAAAGCGCAGCCACGATCGAACAACCCGCTCCGCATGAGCTGGGACCACTGCGTCAAGACCCTCAGCAACCCCCACCATTCTCCTCCAAGATCTCGTCCTACCATGAATCGTCCTCCGAGGAGGAAATAACGCAGCCCGTTGCGGATGCCTCTCCAGCTCTACCTCTCCCGGACACCAAACGGCCACGAACAGAGTATTTGGATTTCAGTCTCGCCGATATTGTAGGGAAAACAATGGCAGATATGGATGCCATCGCTTTCACGATTGATCCATCTTCCCCGCCAGCGGAACCTGCGCTGGACGCCCACGGGACGCCAATGAGTCTCGCGGCCAGGTTGGCGAACTTGACAAAAATGCGCGCGGAAGACCAGAAGCATCTCTTCCGGTCTCTGACAGATGCTGAACGCGAGCAAGCGGCCGCGTGGTTTCTTGAGAAATTCCACGCCGATGTCGAGAGGCTGATGGACGTGCGATTCGAGCGGAGGAAGACGGCACTCAAGTACGAGTTGGAGGTGAAGAAGCGCGACGCAAAGGTCGAGGCAAAGAAAAAGGACGTAGACGAGGAGCTGGCTAGTCTTAGGAAGGGCGGAGGCCAGCTTATTGCCGGCAAGAGTGCTGCGGTGGGAAAGTGAGTTTGTTGTGCCATGTTTTTCTTTTTGCGATACCCGCTTCGCTGCAAGCACAGGAGAGAAGAAAGGACTTCTTTTGGGAGGGGGCCACACGGAGAGAGTCGTCGGAATTGTACGATATGAATGTTGTGAATGATTATTGACGACGCCGCAACGACGAATGAGTACTTACCTTGGTTCTTACTTACGGAGAGACGTTCTGGGAGTGTACTAATACCACCCGTACGCCTCAGGTCAGGTCAGGTAGGGGTGTATGTATGTGCGAGGAAGGGATAATACGACCAGCGATGGAAAACACGTCACGTTTGACATTTTGAGACGAAGTCAGCTATTGCAAACGTCAACACCTATGAGGTACAAATGCCAAATGGGACGGGTCGCGTGTTGCATGTGCATGAGAATTCCATTCATACAATGTGCCGTTCTCATGTTCTGAGAAGAGCAAAAAAAGCCACATTGGTGTCTAGGTATCGTTCTCCCATCACCCAACCTGCTCGAGGACGAAAACGATCCGACTCAGCCTTCGTCGCTCGTCGCTCAACCACGGCAACAAATGACATGCGCCGCTTGCTTCTATCTAGTACAGCTAGAGATCCATGCCAGATACAAAGGCCCCTCTATTTCTCAAATGGCACTGGGACGTTCCCCGTGTACCATGCATGTTGCCTTTTGCGAAAACAGTAGAGTTCCTCTCGGACTCCAGCTCCGGTCTTTTGCCGTTTGCACAATCTCTCTCTAGGAAGATATTGCTTAGCTAGGCACATGATACAGCTCTGCGGATCGTGGACAAACACACAGAACTAGTTCCCTCCGAAACATGGCGCTGGTATCAAAGGCCCAGCACATACATGGGATATCTGCCAACTTTTGGCGCAGCAAAAGCGTGGCATACCATGTGTCTCCCATACTCCTCCCCTTGGGGCCTTCGAGACGAGCTTCCTCGTTCATGGAATCAGTAGCGTGGAAGACGCGGTCCGCTGATTGTCCGTGGGCTCACATCTTCAGAAAATAGGTCGACTTCCCAAGCAAGCCCACACTCTAAATCTTTTCATGATCGCTGCCGGTCGCAGACTCCTCAATCTCGACGTCAGTGTGATCCGTTTCAGGTTCGTCCTCCGCCTTCTGGACGAGCTTGCCTAATACTTTGGCCAAGCGCTGATAATCCGTAAGCAAATCTTGTACATCTCGGATCTTCAGCTCACTAGCATCCGTTATTGACATGAAGCGCAGTATAGGTGGAGCCGCCATAATACTCGGTAGTTCTTTCTGATCTGGAACGCGGAGTGGGACAGTCCTAACTCCATCTGCTTTGCTCTCTGCTTTCGACCCGAGTTCGCCACTCGTGGCACTTTTGTTAAGGACAATAGTCGGCGCAGGCGGTGTAGGAACAGAAGGCGGAGACGCAGACACACTGGATCTACTTCCGAACCGTCCGAATGCTCCTCCAATGGCCGAACCGATATGGTTGATCGGATTTAGGCTTGTTCCAAAGCTCTTCATAGAGTCAAGAGGATTGCTGCTGGCTGGCTGCGTTACCGGGGCAGCCGGTTTTTGTGAACCTGCCAATCCAGCAGGTGGTGAAGCGTTGGTCGGCCCGCCAAAGCCTCCTCTTTTGCCGCTTGCGCTGCTTGTGGTACTATCCACGCTGCGCTCGCGTGCAGTAGCTTTCCGGCCTCCGAACAGGCTTAGCATTTTGTCTTCGGTTTTGGTGAGATTTGGAGGTATATGTGCATGCTGACCGTCATAAAGCGAGCTTGATTCACTCAGAGCAGGATCATCTTCGTCGGGGGTGAGAGGCCGATTGACGAGTTGCCTTGCTTCATCCAGTGTTTTAGGGACAACGACTTCCGCATTGGCATCTCCAGAACTTCTCTCTTTTAGCTTGCCCATCAAGAACTTGAAACTATTGTCTAGAGTGCTGGAAATGTTCTTGAAGCCCTCCTCGGCGGTAGAGCGTACCGCTTCGTTCGCATTGCTTATGGGTTGTAGGAGATCGGAAAAAGTGCGTTGATGGCGGGTCGCCGGTGCCGCAGCTGATCTTTCGGGGAGCGGTTTGATGATCGACGACGCAGGGCTCACTTCAACGTTGGTGCCCTTGGCACTGGACATCGAAGTTGCTGTCGTAGGGGTAGCTGGCATAGATGCTGTGCCAGCCAGGGGAGGGAATGGTTCGAGTCTGGTAGGACTATCTAATCCTGTCTGCGAAGGCGCCTTCTTCGGTCCCTCGGGCAGCTCGTCCGCTCTCAGGCTTGTGAGGTCGACATTCTCAAGAAAACTAATCGCAGCTTCTAGGTTCGTCAAGCAATAGGCGGCTTCACCGTCGACTTTAGGAGCCGCTCTGAAGCGCTGGATGAAATAGAGGTTGCTGATGATGTTAATACCCTCGACGGGTGAAGTGATCAAGGTATAGATCAAAGTCGGCAGGATCTCGTCGGCGGATGAAGAAGAAGAGTGTATGGAAGACAAGGTGTCCACGATGGCCTTATGGGCGGCGGTCAAATGTTGCAACTTTCCAAGAGGGTAGTGTTCGTCATTCATCTTTGCAAGCCCTTCCCTCGCCGGTATCAGTGAAGCCTGTATGTCCTCCACCGTCTTTTCCGAATCTGTATTCCATTCAATTCCCAAATCTTTCAAGCCGATCCCTACCAGCGACAATGCTGCAGTTTTTGATCTCAACTTCTCGTCCCTCACCTCATCTAGGGTGCTCTTATGTCTCCAAATCTTGTCGTAGATTTTCTCGCACACTCTTTTTTCTACTGCCTCCTCCAAAAGCACCCTCTTGTACTCTAAAAGCCTCCTCTTCTTACGCTTCTCTGTCACCTCGGACGCTGTCAACATCTGTTGAGAGCCCGTCAACTTGGTAGGGGGTGTCAAACTTGACCCTTTTGCTGGGCCAGGCGATGCATCTCTGTTGAGCCGGGATCTGAGAGCGGAAATGTGAATTGAGATAGCACCGCTGGCTCTTGCATAGAACTCTTGGAACAACTCTGAGAGCTGGTCGATCGAAGGCGGTTCATTGTAGACTTTGGCGCCCAACGATTCCACGAATCTGTCGGCCAGACTGGCCAGTTCTATCGGCAATTCATCGAACCGGTCTGGGAGAGTCTGAGAGCGTGCCAGATCGGGGGAAGGAGGCTCGTTCTCTTCATCAATAGGTTTCACGAAGACATCGTCCCTCTTGGGTGACTTTGAGGATGTGAAGGATTGCAGGGTGCTTGCTCGACTTCTGGTGAGAGGTGGAGAGGGAGGGTCCGGTTCGTAGCGTGTGAAGGACTTGGTAGATATGGCAGGAGGCCTCGACTTCAGCGACCCTGTGGACGCAATTCTAGACATCATGAATACAATACATCCGGAGTGAGATGAGTAGACAACTGGCGGATGTGTCGGGTTGTGTCTGGGATCGCACAGGCAGTCGAAGTCGGACCATTCAACGTGAAACGCAGGTCCCCAACGATAGACGACCTTCCAGTGGCATGCTCGATGAGACTTCTCGAGGCAGAGGTGATGCGCCTAATGTAGCATTCAGGCGGCTCACTCATCTGTAGAGGGATTCGTTGTTGATGCCTTAAGGGCAACAAAGCATGTGATTGGAGTTGGTCGATGCTCCGCAGTCCCGTTCGTCGTCGACGTCAACGCCTCATGTGTCCGTATTTAGACTCAGAGGGAACCGCCAACTTCAACCCTTTGACCTCCTCCATCCTTCATCGACAACACCTATACACCATGAAGACGCGGAAATCAATGAACCGGACATGCAATTCTAAGAGGAGGGTTACGGCAGGCATGCTCCTCTCATTTCTCTCCCTGGTCGCCATTGTCGACGCAGCGAAGGCCCCCGCCATCGACCCTTGGTACCCGGTGCCTGCGCCTAATAAACAACACAACACCCACGACTTCACACTGCGCCACATCTTCCATCGAGGCACATATCAAGATCCAAAACTACATAAACGGTACGATTTCCGGCCTCAAGAGCCTCTACTTGTTGCGGAAGAGGAAGATGGGGTACGACGGCCTCTCGCAGAACCGCCACACTTTACTGCGAGATCCGATTCCATGGAGATCGAAAGACTAGTGGACAGGGAGCCTTATAGCATAGAGCGGTATCTAGAGTATGCTCGCTATACAGGCTCACCTGCTATCTTGGACGCATCGGACTGGTCGATGGACGAGGTTAAAGGCCCCAACATTTCGGACAAAGAAACCATCCTCAACCTCGCCATCATGGCAGCAGATGCTTATGCAGAAGTACCAGGCGAAGGAGACTGGCAAGACGTCGGTCAGGGATACAACAGATCCACTGGATTTGGCTGGCAAGGTGACGGTCTCCGGGGGCACATCTTCGCCGACGAAGGCAACGAGACTGTCATTATCAGTTTGAAAGGAACGTCCCCGGCTGTTTTTGATGGGGACGGAACGACAACTCGAGATAAACTCAACGACAACTTATTCTTCAGCTGTTGCTGTGCTCAAGGCGGACAATACTTCTGGCGTCAAGTGTGTGATTGCTATGACAGCACCTACACATGCAATCAGACATGTCTGATAAAGGCCCTGCGAAGTGAAAATCGATACTACCGAGCCGCAATTGACCTATACACTAACGTTACCGAGCTCTACCATGACTCGAATGTTTGGCTTGTCGGGCATTCTTTGGGCGGAGCAGTAACTAGCCTTCTGGGCCTCACGTTCGGTCTGCCCACAGTCACGTTCGAGGCACCAGGTGAAGACCTTGCAGCTAAACGCCTCGGCCTGCCTGCGCCACCATCTTCGGACCCTCACCGTCCTCGGACCAAATATACTGGAGCTTATCACTTTGGAAATACTGGTGACCCGGTCTTCATGGGTACCTGCAATGGAGCTACAGCAACATGCACACTTGGCGGCTACGCTATGGAATCGCAATGCCATACGGGAAAACAGTGTGTATACGACACTGTGAGTGATTACGGCTGGCGGGTTGGCATTGGAAATCATAAGATTCGCAACGTCATCGAGAGCGTTATCAAGAAATATGACAAAGTGCCCGAGTGCATACCTGACGACGAATGTGTTGACTGCTACAATTGGAAATTTTTCAAGAGCAATGGCTCAGATGCCACAACTACGAGTTCAACGGCAACATCGACGTCTACACGTACGAGAACGACAACTTGTAAAACGCCAGGCTGGTGGGGATGCTTGGATGAATCATCCACAACGACTCACACAACGCCCGTCGTTACCACGACTTATACAACGACCACATGCCTAACCCCTGGTTGGTTTGGATGTAAGGAGACCGCAAACTTGACGGTGACTACCACAACAGCGGCACCAACAGCACCTGCTACACCTACAAGCAGCTCTGCTCCAGCAACTTCAACGTCGTCCACTTGTGAACACCCGGGGTGGTGGGGATGTCGAGACCAAACGACATCACCCAAAGCTACACCTTCGCCAACGGTGTCACAAACTCGAGCCACCATGACAGGCGCACCAAGTACTTGTGAAACGCCAGGTTTCTTCTTCGGGTGTCGCGATCGCCCGCGTCAGACGAGTGCGGATGACTCCTCAACCACAAAGACAGGGATCATCACTGATGCCCCCAGCGCGACAGCAAGCAGCACACTGCCAACGAGCACGAAGGCTGGACACGGTGGGAAGAAGAAACACGAGTGCAAGCATCCTGCATTTTTCGGTTTGATTTGCCTCGACAGGTATGAGGCTGTTGCGGCTTTGGAACTGTAGAGTTTCGTTTTGATTATACGAGGATGATCAACAGAGAGGTGTGTTCAGGATTACTTATCGGACAATAACAGAATTTTGTGAAACGACAAAAACTTCAGCCACCAATGGTGTCGATAACCATTGATGATGAAGAAACCCCGGGCGGGATTCTTTATCCTTCGATTTGGTCGGTCGGGCGGGCGGTCGGCGCTTGCAAGCTGCGAGGTTTGTATGGGGTTCATAAACAGGAACGCAGGCCTCGGAGAACACGAATTCCTATCGGCAGGCCTCGGGAGAACGAATGGTCACTTGCGTGAATCTCGAAGTCTCGCAGTGAGGATTCGGTGTCGCGGTCGCCTAGAAAGTCGAATGCGCAGATTGTCGGCACGGTTTCCGTTGAACCATCTGGCCGCTTCTAGGGGTCTTGGTGTTGGAAGCAAAATTTGGCAAGTCCAATATATATACAATCACAATATCCTAGGTGTGTGATTGGCTGTGGAGGGCCAGAGAGGGTCACAGGGAGTGAAGAAAGGGCTGTTGTGCTTCACTTGTCGACGTCTCAAGCGCGTTGGCCACGAAGCTGATGGGGAGTTTGGGACATTGAGCGTTTATTTTGCACCAAGGCGGGAGACAACTCTGCGGATAGGACTCAGGAGTTATCACTATGGGGAATGAACCTCGAGGGATCATTAGTTGACATGGCATGTTTGGTTTGTTTTGCTCTAGCATGTCTACCTCACTCCGAGGAGCGTCTTCGATATACGAGCAGTGGGTGGTGCATGAGTGACGACTGAGAAGTATCATTTAAGACATAGCACTGAGAAGCTACCACTACCACCATTCAGAAATACTACTGTTTCACTTGTACAGAAGTACAGACTTGCATCGGTTAGAGTACTTTGTGCATACGTTTTACGGGTACGTATATAGCTTCATCTTTCCCTCTCTCTCTCGGCATCCGGGTACAGACGTGATTATATCAAAAAGCGATACTCTCACGGCAGGGAGTACCCTGAGACATAAAACACACCCCGGTCCCGAGCCACGCCGCAGATAAAGTGATCGTAAACTGCTGTCTTCTGCGAATTGGTGGATTGTGTGTGTCTGTGTGTGCTTGTTTACAAGCCCAATGGATTGTCGGCAGTTTGCTTCTTTCCCCCAATCTTATCCGTGGTGTCCTTTGCAGTATTGCCAACGGCCTTGGTCGTGTTTCCGAGCTGTAAAGACGGCACACAAGGGGGTTTGAGTTGTTAGCCGAATCATTCATTCATTCGTACTATGATAAGACACAGTGTAGGATTGATTTGGGAGGGGGAAGGACCGATGGAGCCGACCCCAAGTAGACATCACATACCCCTTCGGTTGCGCCGCTGACCGTTTTGCCCACGCCTTGACCGACGCCAGAGACGGTGTTGCCGACCGTGTCCTGTGAATGTAGATTTACATATCAGTTTGGGGAACGCACGGAGTACACAGCTAGGATAAAGTAAACCGGTGGGTGATGGTGAGTGCCATTGAGGAAAGACAGGACAGAGTAGCGACCATAACGTATGTGACAGGGGAGAACGTATGAGTAGCAAACGGAAAAGGTGGAAAGGGGAGATCACATACAGTAACGCCGCCGACTGTGTTTCCTACCGTGTCGGTCAACCCGGTGAGGATACCACCTAGCCCGCCTTGCAAGTCAGTACGGCATTCGAGACTGTCACCCGGAGTCCTGCAGGGATGGACTGATGAATGAATGAATGAATGAATGAAGCGTAGAAAGGGGGACAGAAGGGAAATAAGCCATTTGCAAAAGACATGAGTTTGAGCCCCAGGTGCCACAAGGGTAGGGGCGTCCTTAGATCCATTGAAGGTATTAGGTAAGGTGTAGGAGAGTATGGAACGTCGAGTAGGCAAAGCACACATGTACGAGTATGCATGTGTGGTATGTCATGTCCAGGACGTACCTTGTCCTCCTTTCTTCTGTTGTTCTCCAGACATCTCGGAGCTCGATATTTGACCTGTGTTTGTTTTGTATGCTTTGAGTCAAGATGATCGTAGTACGAGTACGTTGAGGGGCTTTGGGGCAGCTGGAACACTGATGGGCGGTAAGAAGAGTATATAAATACCTCAGGGAGAGAGGTAGCTAGGCAGTGCCTCCCTCCTTGTCCACGACCTAACAAGCTGAGAGTTGGCAGTACCAATGCAATTCGAGCTTCCGGAGGGGAGGGGATCACAAAACATCACAAAACACAACACGAACAGGGTATTCTTCCATCATCGACATCACAAAGTCCCATCTTGGACGGAATATTGGAGACAAGGATTGACGTCAGAAGCATTCGCGTTACGAGTGAACACGTTACCCGGGCGCGAGGTAAAGGGGTCAAGAGGGCTCTGTGAGACCAGGGGCCCCATGGCCACGGCTCAAGGCCACAGGTGGCTTGAATGATAAAATGAATGGATCGAGTGGCTTGTGATCCAGACATCCCTGAACGAGAAAGCGACGATCAGTCAGACAAGGGCCGAGTCGATCGGTGAGACAGTTGAGCGAATATGCGGCATGGAGGAAGAAGGTGAAAGTCCAGAAATCAAGATCCCTGTCGAATTACGTAGTAGTCGACGAGTGAGCATGAGGCAACTTGTACGCATGCGAGGGGACGTTCTGGGCACATCGTAAACCGATTGAGGAAGATTGGAAGAACCTACTCGTAGTCCCCGTAGTCCTCGTAGTCCTGAGTAGCGACATAGAAAAAGCAGCTGATCAACATGGGAAAGGCATTGTCGAGATAGACCCAAAAATATATTCAAGCGAGTCGCAGTCTTCTCAACACCATATAATTAATCGCCTACTTCTTCATAAAATTTATAAAGCATTGTGAGCCCATGCTACTGACTATCCAAGAGACATGGCAAGGTCTTCTGAGACGCTGAAGCCTCTATGTGGCACAGTAGTGTCTTGCCATCGATCATGAATATCATCTTCTGGCCCATCACGACTTCGATCACTTCTCGTACTGAACTGGCCCGTGTTCTTCCCACTACTACTCTTGGAGTCACTGCGCTCACGTTTCGAAAACCATCCTCCACTTTTCTTGCTTGTGGCTGACTTGATGCTCATGGCAGCGTCGTCGCCAGCCTTTGGTACTCTATTACCCTGATCGTTGGAAGAGATTGGTGGCTTTTCTGGAGCATCAGCAGACGCACCGATACCTTTCGCAAACTCTTTTGCTCTCCTGACTTTCTCCTCTTCGGTGTCAGATAGCTGTGGGTTCGGGGAAGCCAAAGGACTAACGTCCATGCTGGGTGTGGCTTCCACCAGTTCAGCATCTCTGTACCATTTTCGACGTCGGGTATATCTTCCCCAGCCATCCTCTTTCTTTCCTTCTTCCCATCTGTTGTCGTAGTATATCCAGCCACCGCCATCGTCGACCGTGTCTTTACCGGCATTTCCTGCTGGACCGGTCTTGCTTTGACTGGCAGTTCTCTTATGCTGCTTAGCATCCCCATGTTCGATCTTCCATTCGGATCCCTCAACCCACCTCCATCGTGAAAGTCCACCTTCCACCTCGGGCAGTTCGAACTCGTCCTTTGACGGTGCGGGATTGAGATGCTCATCCGTCCACGGACCACGCTCATAGGCAAATAGCGACGTGGTCCAGCCAAGACCGATCCAACGTCGCTGGTTCTCGTATAGAATAAACGTGAAACGTACACCTGAGGAATCTGGCCTCTTTTTGGTGGCAGCTTCTGATGCTAGGCCGGCTTGAGATTTCAACTTGGCTCTGGCAATGGACTGCAGCAATGAGCTGTCCTTCGGTGTAGCTGAGGTGTCAAACTGCAGTCCGGTAATGAACGCCGCAGTCTTGCGCAGAAAAACAGAACGCCAGAGGATGACTCGTGCTACCCTTGCCGGCTTTGAATGCCATGTTAAGATTATAGTGCCAAATGTAAGGACGACTCGTCGGGTCGTAAGAATGTAGAAAGGGGGTAGGGTCAAGAAGATCCATAAAGGTGTTACGAGAAGGACGCGAATGAAAAGAGTCGTCAATGCGGGTCGAGTAGTTGCTGCGGTCGGCGTGGTTTGTGTAGAGAGGAAGTCGGTCAAGGCAAGAAAAGGATTCAGCAATATGTTACAACGGGCGGTAAGCTCCTGAAGGGTATCAACGATCTCGTCCAAAGTCTTGTGTTGCGAAGTGGTTTCCGACGCCTCTCTTTTGTGACCCTTGATATGTTTCTCGCCGGTTTTGCTGGTTGAGGACAATGGGGAGTATCTTCTCGAGTACATTCCCAATATCAAGCCCACAACGACGATGATTGGGCTGGCAAACCGGATGATCGCACTCCCATAGAGCGTGATGGCCCAGAAGGCTGCCACGAGCAGGAAGGACTCCCAAGGGTCCGGAGTACTCCATGAGAGTAACCCAGCAAGCTTGTTCAGTGGTAGCAGGAACGGATGAGAGTGTGCGAGTGCCCGAGTGATTTGCGGAGGTGTCGCTACCAAGAGAGGTGACTTCTTGTGGACTATGATGGTGGAACGCTGCTTCGAAGTGGCGGAGTATCCAGAGGTAGTAGTAGGGGAAAAGGCTGCGAAGGTAGGCGGATTTGAATCATAGGCCTGCTGGGAGGCTGAGGGATCGGCGGAAGATGCATATGGACCTGATCTGGACATTGAAGACATCCAGGGTGTATCTGGACCTGAGGTCAGTGTCTGAGTGTGCTGGGGATGCAAGAGAGGAGCCGCGTACCAAATGCGGCCATGCACTACGGATCATCCAGACTGTCGGTGTCGGTATGAAAGGTGGTTGCAGCGACGTGCGTTAGCAGTCGTATCAAGAACGATACACATTGTCTGACTGAGTCGAGGAAGAATGATAACTGAAGGAGCGATAAGGTGTGTGTGTCTTCAGGTAAAGCGCAGTGGCATATGGCATGTGCGCAGGCCAGGCAGAGACAGAACTCCGGACTTGGGGAAGCCGCGGCCCGGTCGACATCGTCGTCACCACAGCCCATCGTAGGGTCACATGACTTCAAAGGTTTAACCGAAGTATGGCCGCCTGCGTCAAAAGATTTCCTACAGCTTCCATGGCAAAGATGGGTGGATTGGGTTCTGTTGTCGCCATCTTTGTCGTTCACTTTAGCCAGTCTTTGCTTTTTCTTTCGAGACGGCCAGATGGTGAGTCTAGTTACAGTGATATTCCGGGGCCATCCATGACTCGGACTAACTTGGTACAGGCGCATCGAATTATCGCTCAGATTGTCCTGACGGGCGGCCGAGTCTTCGGAAGAGCCTTTGCAGAAGCCTATAAACAAGCCCAGGCGTCCTCGCAGTATGCTAGAGCAGCGGCAAAGAACGATCCTGGTGCACTCAATACTGCTGCTTCATCCGGGATGACTCTAGATGAAGCCTGCAAAATTCTCAATGTCAAACCTCCTCAAGGCGGCCGCATAAACATGGAACAAGTGATGGAACGATTCAAGAAACTATACGACTTGAATGAACCGAAGAAAGGCGGCGGCGGTGGATCGTTTTATATTCAGAGCAAAGTTCTGAGGGCGAGAGAACGAATAGAGGCTGAGGCGCGATCGGCCGAACGCAAAGCACAGATGGAAAAAGAAATCAAAGAAGGTTGGAAGCCAAAAATGTACAAAGAATGATGCCATGTGCTAACCGTCGACAAGGACGGTGACCACACGCAACTGCGCCGATGCCCAGACTGACACCGACCGACCACCGAACCTACTCCTCTACTCATGGTTGATATATTTGCATAGCGAAAGGCGTTGGAATGGACAAATCGTTTTCGTGGATTGTACAATAGAGGGGAAGGCTGCGTGCATTATTTTGCAAGGCGACTCAATGGGCAGAAACCCCTGGATGAGTGTTTCCTCTCAGCGAGGAGGACGGGAGGTTGATCACGCACACTCACGAAAGGTTCTGTGGCAGGCTTATGGGACAGAATTGCAGACGTACGAATCCTCTAAAGCTTGACTGCGGCTGCTGCATTCACATATATGAGCGGTGATGGATGGAGGAAAAACAGAGGTGGCATGCAGAGCCTGTAAAGACACTTCCAAGAGGGTACGTGAGATTGCCCTCCGGCGAATGTTTGGTTTCCCCGTGGGCAACATTCTGGAGAACTGCCTGGAGAGCGAAGTCATGTCCTCTCTTCTCTTGATCGATCTCCATTGTCCCAAGGTCGGTCACGCCGTCTTGGTTAGGTACTCAGGTTGGAGGAGAATCTAGTAATCCAGCCTCGCCACACAATCAGATTCATACTGAATAATCGAAAAGTGGCCGTCCAGAGACGTTGAAATCCTTTGTTAATTATGCCTTAGTTGAAAGGAAACGTACCGCGAAACACCTCACGAATCAAGAACACCCAGTATCGAAGTACCTTACTAAAGCAAAGATGGCACGGCGACATGTGCTACCAAAAAGGCGTAGATGTTACTCGTACTATGCATGCCAGGGAGGCCCAGATCGTCAACCAATGTGAGGGCGTCATGGATCTTGGTGGCGTCTTCCTCGATTCTCCTTCGCCATCGCGGTCGAGCTGCATTATCTCTAGGATCTCTTGTGTAACCCTCCAAAATAGGCGACCTTGCAGTATGTCAAGTTTCCGTGCGAGTAGAGACTCCATCGTGTCGCATCTGTCGAAGTTCTGTGTCCTCCACCTCCCGCCTCCTATCAACCTTCGGCGCCGAAACACCATGTGTTCTAGGCCACCGCACCTCTATCCTGCTTCTCCCTAGCTCCCGTTCTCTGGTGTATGTTGGCTCGGGGCTTGAGCGCAGGTACGCCCCACCGGTATTTCGCCATCGCCCGAAGAACAAAAAAGGTTCAGGTTCCGGCACGGTTGACCCATTCTTGTTGAATGGGTTGACCGCCAACACCACAACCAGAAATTATGTATATCTCGTAGAGTGTTTTCTCCTGTTCGTCTCACCCTCCTTTCTCCTATTGATCTCTTCCACACTTTGAAACGCCTTTGCGAGGACTGAGAAACCATGCCCAGACCACAGTCGCCGCTTTCGGAGTCGCTTCCGCCGTTGATCTTCGGGACCGCCACTTTCAACTATCAGGTATGATTGATAAGCTGATTACCCCAAGGCTGTGCTTTGACTGACATGCTTTGGAGTACAATCTCGACCCTTATGCCTTAGGTCCAACTCCGCTGGTCCAGAAAGCGCTCGCTCTGGGCGTGCGTGCTTTTGACACATCACCATACTATGGTCCAGCTGAGGAAATACTCGGGGCTGCCCTGGATACCGATCTAGTTCGCAAGCACTATCCACGAGAAAGCTATTTCATTCTCACCAAAGTCGGCCGAATAGCCTCGGATGTCTTCGACTACTCGCCAGAATGGGTGCGCAAGAGTATTCAGCGCAGTTGTAAGCGATTGAAAACTGCATATCTCGATGCCGTGTACTGTCATGATTGTGAATTCGTCTCACCTCAGGAGGTTCTTGGTGCTGTCCGCGAGCTTCGGCGTATTCGAGATGAAGAAGGCACTCTCAAATACGTCGGCATCTCGGGTTACCCCGTCCACGTCCTCTGTGAGCTTGCGGAAATGATTCTTCGCGAGACCGGGGAACCCCTCGACATTGTCCAGTCATATGCCAATTTCACTCTCCAAAACACACGTCTTCTCACCGAGGGATTACAGCGACTTGTCAACGCCGGTGTAGATGTTGTGCCGAATGCAAGCCCTCTGGGAATGGGCTTGCTGAGAAGGAACGGGACACCCTTGGGCGCCATGGGTAACTGGCATCCTGCTCCCGATGGTCTTCGTCAAGCTTGCATTGATGCTGCTAAGTGGGCAGATGCGCAGGGCGAAAAACTCGAAGTGGTCGCAGTTCGTTTCGCTCTCGAAAATTGGCTCCGTGAAGGTGCCAAAGCTGGAGCTTTAGGAAACCCTCTCGGCAGCTCCGAAGCCACTTATGGCCACATCCTCGATCTTCCCAGCGAAAAGCTCGGGGTATCTGTGATGGGCGTCAGCAAGGTTGAGGAGCTTGACGAGACAATGCGAGTCTGGAGAAGTGTTCTCGACGGGCTTGCAGACGACCCTGACGCTGAACCGGGCACCATTACCCCTTCAGATGCAGTCACTGACCATGAGTGGTCTCTCTGGCGGCGACAGAATATTCGTGTCCTCGCAAAGGGAATACGCACGGTAATTGGTCAGCAATGGGTAGACTTCACATGGCCCTCCCCAGATCCTGGCTTCGTGAATTCACTGCGCATGGCGGACGCTCACGTGTCTCAGCCACCGGCCCCGTACGAGAATTCACCAGAAGTGTTGATGCCCACACCGCCCTCAGAAGCAGCGGATGATGGAAGTGACATTCCTAAGATGTCCTGTGAAGCATGATATCGCCAAGACGAGAATACTGCGTCTGGCTCATGTTTCGAAGCAATTTGTTTCGATCTCTTACGGTCACGACAAGATCATTGGCCACATCTATGAACAGCTCGCAAGGATCATGGCTGCCTCTACGAATAACGCGTATCTTGAATTCCTGACCACTGGAAAGTACACTGACTTGATCATCCGCTGTCAAGAGGTCGAGTTCAAAGTCCACCGCCTCATAGTATGCACCCAATCAGACATGCTGGACAAAGCCTGTGGAGGTCTTTTCCAGGTAAAGCTCTCTGCATCAACAGTTTCTGATGACTTCTATTGATACCTTTTAGGAGGCCGAAAGTGGGAGCATTTCGTTCCCGGAGATTGAACCAGAGAACATGGCTCGGGTCATACTTTTCATGTACACCGGGAATTACCACGCTTGCCGGCTTCCCAATTTCTACAAGAAACTCATCAATGATTCCACCGAGGATACGGAAGGCGAGGAGGATGAAGAAGAAGACGAGACGGCCCGGTACCTGGATTTCTGGTCTCGGAACATTGACCATCGTGGCTTAAGAACTGCCCTCAGGACGAATGTCCTGATGTACCAGTGTGCCGACATGCTGTGTTGTGAACGGCTGAGACAGCTCGCATGCGCTCGATTTCTGAACGAAGCAAGGCTGGCGTATGACCTGGATGGGTTTGATGAGCCTCTGCGCATCGTCTACGAGTCCACAAGGGTAGATGACAAGGACCTCAGATTCGAAGTCACCTGTCTGTGCATTGAATATTCTGACCTGAAGACTCTACCGGAAATGACAGCAGCCGTCTTCGAAGAGTACAATCCCGGCTTCTGGAATTTTTCGATCGAGGTCAACAAGCGAAAGGGTAACAGAATCAAAACGGCTGTCAAGGACTTTAACGAAAAGATGGCGAGCAGCAGGTGCTTTCATCACAAAGGTTGTGTGAAGGAGGTGGAATTGGAGCTAGTCGAGTATGGTGACTCTGTGAGTTTCTACATAGTCTGCACTGAATGCGGAGAGGACTTTTAGACACAGGTATTTACGCACCTCTGGATTCAGGATCACATCCTGGGAACTGGCAGAGCTGCTAAAAAAGGGTAGTCCACCTCTGATATCACAACTCGAGCTGGGAGAAGTCAGTCCTTATCACGATAATGGGAATGAGAATAGATACCAGGGCTACATTTCTTCCACAGCAAGAAGCAGAGACTCACGTTATGCTTGTTTTGACTCGGACAACTATCAGTGTATTCTCCCCTTTCGACTTCTTCCAGTCCAGAACTCGAGATCAAGATCAAGATCCATATTAGCGATGGAGTGGGATAGTCAATCAATTCTGCCGTTGACATTGGCTTCTGTTTATTGTAGAGAAAACACGACATCGGACCGTGCTCGGTATGCCTCTGTGCCTACGTAATATTGATGGTCGTGGCCATTAGTTCTCGCACTTTGGTCGAGAGAGGGTCTCATCACCCTGAACCATTTCATGAGACCCTGAACCATCCCCGTTGATATAACGCTATCTCTAAGGTGACAGGAAAACAGGAAAGAGGAATGGGAGGATGCATGATCATGAAATCTCAACCTTTGTATCTCAATCCTAATGACACTTGCTACCTGGGTATCAAAGTTTCCTGTCTATGTCCATTGTCCATTATCGCCCGCGGGATTTTCGCACTGCTTCTTGAAGAGAACGAACACAACAAAACACACCCCTTTCCCGTGCGCCGACCCTTTACGTGAGTAATGCTAGCAAGGCTTAATCGATATCAACAAAAACACATCGCTCAACCGCAGCATCGACGACGCCTTGGATCGTCCATCTTCCGTCCCAGATGCGTCGCCAGATCGTGTCTTCCCCTGCAACATTGCCGACCGCGTCCTCTAGGCCCTTGACGCCGACCATGCCCTCCCTTTCTCGCCATAGTCGTTCAGCCTCCTCACCGGCGCTTTTGACCTGTGCATCCTCGTCCTCGGCTCGATACAGGTCGCATTTATCACATTCGCTGCACTTCATCCCTGGCGTAGGGCGGAAGTGTTCGCAGAAATGCCGATAGCCCTCGCCTCCCTCGGTGTTGTCTCCGGCCTTGCCTATGTTCTTCCGACACAGGTAGCACATGCTGTACCCACACACGCACGTCAGTTTGTTGCAGCCGGAAGACTTGACGAAACCAGTCCCGCACCGCGGACACGTACGCTTGACCGCCGCAGTCCGGGCGGCTTCGACCGTCTTTCGCAGAGAGAGGATCAGGGGCTCGTGGCATACGTGCGGATCGTGCCAGGCCTTGAGACATTTCAAACACGACTTCCGTGAACACGATGGCCGTCGACATGTGAATCGTGAAGTACGCCTTCGAGATGCGGCGTGCCCTAGTGCGGTGTAGAACAACGCGAGGAAGTAGCCGGGAAAGATGAGCAAGAACGGAAGGATGATGCAGGCGATGGAGGGTATGAGCTCCAGCATCATGATGAAGACGAAGATGTTGATCCCCGTGGGCCAGCGGAAGTGCCATGTCAGCTCTGCTGCGGAGTTGCGGTCGTATACTTGCGTGGCTTCGGCATAGGAGCAAAAAGGACAGCGAATGATGGGCAATCCCGACTTTTGCAAGTTGTCTTCGGCTAGACGATCTTCGAACCTGGTCCAGGTTTCGGTACCGGATTTCTCGCGGAGGACGGCTCGCTCAACTAGATCTGGAGGTATATAGCCGTCGCAGGAATCAGTGGCCAGACACTTCAGCGTTCCTCGCCCCACTTCGACCGACTTGGCCCAGCCTTGTCCAAAGATGGCTTCGTGAAGAGTTCGACGAACGCAGTCGAGACAGATGGTATGCCCAGAGTGTGTGCATGCCGAAACGTCCTCGAAAGGAACGTCGTTGTAGCAGACTTGACATTCGAAGATGGCCCCAGCTTCCTCGGCCTCTCGTAAATTGAGGGCCAGGGCAAGTTCGAGATCGATGGTCTGCTGACGGTCTTTCTCAGCCGCCTGAACACTTCCTGTGAAAAGTACCGAAAGCTCTTCGTCAAGCTCTGGATTTCCAGTAGTTAACAACCTCGCCGGGCTCGTGGCGGTTTTGGGTCTCTCTAGCAAGATTGACGGGGGCTCCCTTGAAGGCTTCCTTTTCTTGAATAGACTGGTGAATGTGTTCCGCCATGACCTGTTCACGATGGCTTGTAGTGTAGGTCGTGCCAACGTGTAAGAGGAATTGACCTCAGCCAGAACAGCATCGATAGCACTTCTACTCAAGCCGTTGAACTCGCGCCCGAGCGTCCACTTCACGGCGTCAACATATTCCCGCGACCTGAACTGGTCTTCCACGGAAATGGGATCTTCTTGCGTTCTTGGTGGTATGTTCATCCGGCCTCTAGCCCACTCTACCTTATACTTGAGAAGTTGCTCGGTGCATATCGGTAGCCTGCTGTCCCCATCGAAACGGACGAGGAGTTCGCGGAGGACTTCGAGCTTAACGTCGGGAAAGAGATCGGCGAGGATGGCTAGGTCGCGATTTCGTGAGATGGAGGGATCGTCTTCATGCTGTCGAGGAAGAGACTCTCGCGAGCCGCCCCGGAAGGGATTCTTGCGTAGTACTTCGGCGAGCGTAGACCCGGGAGACGTTGATGTTGACTGAGAGGTACAACGCGGGGAAGGAGAAGAGTTAGCGGAACGTTTCGATGACTTGGAAGAAAGCCACATCACACCGATTGCATATCGCAGACATGGTCATGGGGGCATCTGGCATGTAGAGGATGTTGGATGAGTCGAACGCAGCATTATCAGCCTAGTGAGCCTTGAAATATAGTCCGAAAACGGAATACGAAGTCTGGCGTAAATTGTGAGACATTACGGCATAGTCTATTGGTGGTCATGAGGCGGGAGCCCGCGGTAAACCCGACATTGCCCTCGTCTGCTCTGGGTGACTCCCCCAAAGCCAATGTCCCTTTTCACGTTGCAAAAATGCATTCGACACTGGATATCATCACCACAAACAGAACGTCATGGACAATATAAGAGACCAAAAAAAAGGGCTCAATCGGGATTCGAACCCGAGGCCTGTCACAGTTCACAGTTTTTAAAACCACGAGGGGTCACACCCGAAGCGACAATCATACCACTAGACCATTGAGCCATCGATTGCAATCTGGAGCGGAATTTTACCCGCAAATTCGGCATATTCAATAAATGACTTACTTTCCACCGCCGACGGGGGACGCTTGGCAGTATTATGTGCACGCTTGGCCAATGAACGCTATTTCTCGCCCCTCCCAGAGACATGGGACGAGTTCCAACTTCCGGCCGTGCATCTCCCTGGAGCACATGGAAAAGCTGCCTGAAAAAGGGTTGAGGATCCATACGCCCTGCGGTGACTGTGGGGAGGCGATCACATTTACATAAGCAACATAACTAAGCTGTGATTGGCCCACCCAGCAGCGGCCACCAGTCCGCCGAACAAGCGCCCGAACATCTTTTTTATCGCGTGAAGCATTTGGAGAGAGGGCCACTGCTATCGCCCGCTCCATGGCCGTATGCGCGGTCTGTTCTCAATTGCTTTCTGAATCTTTTCTTCTCTCAACCTGTTTCGAAGGGCCTCGTTGATGAAGTGCTGACCAACAGCTACAACCCGTCTCTCATCATGGCTACTGCTCTTGTAGCATTACCGCGAGCCTCCCTGCCGGTCAGGCGATTGCTGCGGCCTCAATCCAAACCAATCGACCTGTCCCGTATCTGCGTACGGTGCCTCTCTCAGCAACAACACCTTCGTCAACGAGTCGCGCCCGAAAAGCAGACCACTGAAGCGTTGAGTTTCCTGGAAAGAGATGTCTTGTTCAGCGACAGACACATCGGCCCTTCACGCAAAGATGAGGTGCAGATGGTCAAGGCACTCGATCCACCAGCCAAGGATCTCGACGACTTCATCAGCCAAACCCTGCCTGGAGACATTCGCGCTAAGAAGCCTCTGGTTGTGCAGAACATGTTTGGGAAAGAGAACGGCGAGGGGCTGCATGAACATGGCATCGAAAGAGAACTCCACAGCCTGCAGAATACCAACCGTGCCTGGCGATCATTTATCGGAGCAGGGTACTACGACACGAACACACCGACGGTCATTCAGCGAAACATTCTCGAGAACCCTGCATGGTACACCAGCTACACGCCCTACCAGGCCGAGATCAGTCAAGGTCGTCTTGAGTCGCTGTTGAACTTTCAGACCCTTGTTACTGACCTTACTGGTCTCGCGATTGCCAATGCCTCCGTCCTAGACGAGGGCACTGCCGCAGCGGAAGCAATGACCCTCTCCCTGAATGCTCTCCCAATGTCTCGACAGAAAAAGCCAGGCAAAGTATTTGTGGTGTCCGATCGTGTCCACCCTCAAACAATTGCAGTCCTCGAGTCAAGAGCGACAGGATTTGGCATCAATATTGTTGTAGGAGATGTTCTGAAGAATGACTGCGAGCTTGTCAAAGATCAAGGTGCCAACCTGATTGGTGTGCTAGCGCAATATCCTGACACGACCGGTGGTGTCTTCGATTTTCAGCATCTGTCGGATGTCGTACACACTGCCGAGGCAACGTTCAGTGTAGCCACGGATCTCCTGGCCCTGACTCGTCTCAAGGCTCCAGGAGAGTTTGGCGCGGATGTTGCTTTTGGAAATGCACAACGATTCGGTGTTCCTCTCGGCTATGGTGGACCTCATGCGGCTTTCTTCGCCTGTAATGAGAAGCACAAACGGAAGATCCCAGGCCGACTTGTCGGTGTTTCCAAAGATCGTCTTGGAAACCAGGCTCTGCGTTTGGCTCTTCAAACTCGTGAGCAGCATATCAGAAGAGAAAAGGCCACCAGTAACATTTGTACCGCTCAGGCGCTCCTCGCGAATATGAGTGCTTTTTACGCCATCTACCATGGTCCACATGGTCTCAAAAAGATTGCTGAGAGGGTATCAGCCATGGCAAGGTTTGCTCAACACATGCTCAAATCCAAAGGATATGAAATTGTCACGGAAGGATTGGGAAAAGATGGATCTGTTCTGTTCGACACGGTCACTGTGCGAGCAAAGGACCAGGAGGATTATCAAAACATCTTAGCTTTCGCGAAGAGAAAGGAGATCCTATTCCGCCGTCTTACTCTCACCGGCCGCGACGACCTCCTCGGCTTCTCTATTGACGAGACCACTTCAACCAGAGATCTCGGTCACCTGTTGGAATGTTTCGGTGTGCCCAACTCTGAGTACATGGCCGCATTCAAGAAGCCAGACTTTGTCGCAGCCTCGAATGCCGATCCAATCCCGCCCGCATTGAAGCGACAGACCCCCTATTTAACACATCCTGTTTTTAACTCGCACCACTCCGAGACCGAGCTGCTCAGATATATCTACCATTTACAGTCAAAAGATCTATCGTTGGTCCACTCCATGATCCCTCTTGGATCTTGCACCATGAAGCTTAATGCAACCACCGAGATGCTACCAGTATCTTTCTATGGCTTTTCCAAACTCCATCCTTTTGCCCCCATTGAGAATGCACAGGGGTATGTGCAGTTGTTTACGAGACTATCCAATGCTCTTACTGCGATCACCGGTATGCAAGATGTCAGCCTCCAACCCAACTCTGGCGCCCAGGGAGAATTCGCTGGCTTGCGCGTGATCAAGAAGTATCTCGACAGTAAGGAAGAGACCAGGGGGAGAAACATCTGTCTGATTCCTGTGTCTGCCCACGGAACTAATCCTGCATCAGCCGCCATGGCTGGAATGAAGGTTGTTCCTATCAAATGTGATACCAAAACCGGCAACTTGGACGTGGATGATCTTAAGGCGAAATGCGAGAAACACAAGGACCAGCTGGCTGCTATCATGGTCACCTACCCCAGTACATTTGGTGTTTTTGAACCCGCGATCAAGGAGGTCTGCCAAATTGTCCACGATCATGGAGGACAGGTCTACATGGACGGTGCCAATCTCAACGCTCAAATTGGCTTGTGTAATCCCGGCGAGATTGGTGCCGACGTCTGTCACCTCAATCTACACAAAACTTTCTGTATTCCTCATGGTGGAGGTGGCCCTGGTGTCGGACCCATCGCGGTTAAAGAACACCTCCAGCCATTCTTGCCGTTCCATCCTCACGTCGACCCTCACCAAGGCACCAACCGCGCAACGACAGCCATTTCTCCCGTCAGCTCTGCTCCATGGGGTAGTGCCTCGATCTTACCGATCAGCTATGCATATATTCAACTTATGGGTGCCAACGGCCTCAAGCACGGCACAGAGATGGCACTGCTGAATGCAAACTATATCATGTCTCGTCTCCGACCACATTACCCGATTGTCTACACGAATGCAAACGGCCGCTGTGCACACGAGTTCATCCTAGACGCTCGTGGTTTCAAGGAAACCGCCGGGGTTGAAGCCATTGATATCGCCAAGCGTCTCCAAGACTACGGATTCCATGCACCGACAATGAGTTGGCCAGTTGCAAACACCCTGATGATCGAACCGACCGAGTCGGAGTCCAAGGAAGAGCTCGACCGGTTCTGCGACGCGTTGATCGAGATCCGAAAAGAAATCAAGGCAGTTGAAGATGGCCACGTTCCCCGAGAAGGTAATGTTCTCAAGATGGCACCTCACCCACAAGCAGATCTGCTGGGTAAGGATTGGGACCGCCCATACACCCGGGAACAAGCAGCTTATCCACTGCCTTGGTTGCGGGAGAAGAAGTTCTGGCCTTCGGTGGCACGTGTCGATGATGCGTTTGGCGATACCAATCTCTTCTGCACCTGCACGCCAGTTGAAGGATACGAAGAGTAAGGATGTACTGGACCTCAGGCGCCCATGTCGACGTAATCATGCCTGGGGTTTTGGTTGCAGGTCTGATGTCCTTGACTCAAGGAAGGCTTTTGTTAATAACTATTGCATGATCGGAGTTTCAACATCTCGGGTCTGAGGATAAGACAGATAGATAGCAAAGGGAACTTTTTTTGGTTTTTACCCAGCGTCGGTGGGTCATAGATGAGCAAAGGGGGTCGGTTCTTTTTGAGTTTTTGCTGTGACCGAAAAAAGAAGCAAAGGAATTGAAAATGTGACATAGTACCTAGTACGAGTGGATGATGTTTGCTTTCAACGAGTAGTGAGACAAAAGCTCAAGCTGGGATTCGTTCTTGTTCTGCCATGACTCAAAAGTGGTGTTTTTCTGGGCGTTTGTGTTTGCACTCGATTCCCACAGCGATCATACCGAAAGCTTCACCGTGAGCCGACGATGACGATGATGGATGATGGTACGCAGGGGAGACGTTACGCATATCCAGGAGTATCTACAGACAGAAGTAAGAGGTGGGTGTACGGAGTAGGTACCGACCGGTACTTGGAGGATGCGAGAGGACGAGCACATACGAAGTGAGGAAATGAACATCCCTTCCAGTACGAGTACGGAGGGGGGGGGAGAGAAAGGACAACCTGAGTTTACTAATTCATACATTTCATACAGTACACTTCATCGAAAAAGGACCGTCCTTTTGTTGTTCGTCATCACGGTTCGGTGGTCGTCAGGGTATATTTGTTTTCCTTTTTCTTTTTCCCATCACTTCATGTGGACCCGCACGGAGCCCGTGTTCAATACTCCGTACGAGTGTAGGTTTGTTGGCAGCAACCCACGGGGCGGTTCTGAGGCAAGGAACCGCTGAGTGCTGACATGTGAATGCCTTAGGCGGTCGGTTGAACAATGTGAATTGCCCGGATCACACTCGGACTCGGACCCGGGACTCAGACTCAGACTCAGGATTTTTGTAACCAACCTCAGAATCTCTTTGCGCCACTCTTCCACTCCCCCGCGTCTTCGACGCCCTGAGCGACCTTGCGCGTGCCGTTTTCAAGACCCGTGGCCGCGTTGTTCAAGCCGTCGCCCAGAGGTCTGCCGAGGCTCCCTGTCGCGCCGGTGATGGTGTCTCCGATGCCTGTACGGTGTATGCCGTAAGCGTCAGGGAGTGGTCTGGGTACTAGGGGCAGATAGGAAAGTAGGAACTTACCGCGACCGGCTGCACCGGTGACACCTCCCACTGTACGAGCCACGCCGCCCACGGTGTTCTATAGACGTTGTCAGAAAAGTGTGATCATCGGTGTGAGAAAGTTACAGTGAAGGGGATGTGTGAACTTTTGCCGTTATTTGTTGGGACGAGGTGGGTAGGAACGCGGGCAAAGAATAAAAAAGAAAGGGGATATCATGGCAGACGTCCGGACCATGATGGTCCCTTGGACATGACCGATAGGTACTTACACCGATGGTGGAAGTCACGAATTTGGCGGCGCCAGTGACACCCTGGTCGGAAGATGAAGTGTTGATGGGCATCTTTTTTTATTTTGCTTTTAGAGTGTATTGTAAAGGTGGAGTGCAGAGTGTGAAGATTTATAGAGTGATGGGGGCTCAAAGTGCCGAGGGCTGACTGTGTATATCAAAAGAGGACGACGGCGAAGTGGGTAACGTCGGGAGCTACTTGAGTATTAATAAATAGGTCGAAGGGGGAGGGAGAGAAGGGTCACTGGTTCAAGGTGGACTACATGGACAGAAAAAACAAGATATTCTATCCAAAGAAGAAACAACAACAACAACAACAACAACAAATGGGAAGTGAGTGAGTGAGTGAGTATACGGGATCGAGACGCGTATGGGGGCAAAAAGGAGTCTAAGGTACAGGGTATTCGTAGGGATCGCGAGAGATGACGTCAAGTAGAGGGGGCGATTCAAGAAACCAGAGAGCGAGGGAGATGGAGAGGGAGAGCAGGCGTAATCAGATCGGCATGTTGAGCACCCGGTTCACTATACGATGAAAGGTATGCACAATGTGATCTTTTATATCCTTGAACCTTGTAAATTTAGCAGAAGCATCGTAGTCTGCAGACCTGGATCCACTGCCCGAATTGTATATTCTTAGCAAAACGTAGGTACCTGTGCTGTGGTGTTTGTATTCTCGCTGTTGAAAGACTGGAAAAAGACGCCTCTCCCACGCTCGCTCATAAACGAAGAACATGCGAAAGGGCAAAATAGTAGTACATGGGTCATATGTTGGTACAAGAGTATGATCACCGCCTTCGAGAGGAGGCTTCATGGGTAGTATAAGACAAACACATATGACTTGCTGAGTTTCATCCTCTTCGACGAACCAGGCATCGTGCATCGTATCCCGTGTATCGTGTCTCTAACTAGTAGTGGTCATGTCCTGTATTCCCTCAGGTCAGCGTCAATACTTCTGGCATCGAGCTCGCAGCAGCAAAGACTTCGCGAGGATACAGGTAGATAAGGCAAGGGTTCAACTCACGTCCAAGAGGCTTTGCTCTCTTTCCAATGTCCTTGGCACTCTGCTGCTTGATCTTGGCCAGACGAGCCCTGTTTGTGAGAAACGCACACGTTAACGACCATGATCGTCTCATTTGGCATCTGTGTCGGGTCCGTGGCACGACTTACTCTTCAGCGGCTTCCCTCTCCAACATCTTGACGTGTTCCCGGGCTTCCCTGACTGCTGTACGAGCCTGCATCAGGGCTCTGTCGGCGTCCTTTTCCGCCGCCTCCGCACTGGCGACTCTCTCGCGGGCGGTGATGATGCTGGGATCCTCGTTGTGGTGCCGGCTGAAGAGACCACCGCCAGAGCCGCGCGAGGTGGAGCCCGAGTGCGACAGGCGACTGCGGCCGTCGTGGTGGTAGTCGGGGGACGAGTCACGGCGCTTGTTGAAGAAGCCGCCTCGTCTGGGAGAGCTGTCGGAGGAAGAAGACGAGTGCCGAGGGTGACGGGAGTGAGCGGCGGCGCTGGTGGTGTTGGGTGCAGCCGGGGTTGGCTCGGTGGCGGTAGACTTGTGTCCGAAGAGACCCATGTTTGATGTGTTCCGACGGAAGGGTATACCGTGGTAGTCTGTAAGTGGAGAGTGGGATTTGATAATATGGAGTATCAAATGAGCTTGTTGCTTTCAAGGGTGGACGGAGGATGGAAAATCGAGAATATCTTGGTCCTCAGGACGGGCGAGGTGATTTTATAACTTCGTTCTCCTCCGTCGTCTACTCTTACCTAGAGCACAGAACACAGACTCCCCCGTAAGGGCTCATCAACCCCTTCTGGGCCCTTGTCGTGCCCTGAATCCGGTTTTCTGATTCTGATCTCAAGGGCGAATGGGTGACGTAGAGTACAAGGACTCTCGTATCAATGAGCCTTGCAAGGCCAGGGATCGCTGCAGATCGCCAGCCTCGTTGGCCCAAACAGACCTAAGATGACGCCACATGTCGGCTGTTCTTGTAGAACTGTGGAAGGATGGCGACCCTTGTTCAGGCCCGAGCTGATCCCTGACACTGACAAGGGACTCGTATCTGCGATTGACCTTGGGGTTGTTCTGTAGAGGACATCAAAATGACGGCATGTTGCAGCTGAGGAGATTACATGCAACCGACACACGAAGCTTGATTGGTTCGCCTCTGACAGACACTTCTGGGGGCTTGTGGCTGAGGGACATGCCAGGTCTGTTCTCTGTCGTCGAGCACATACGGAGAAAGCACTTCAATGGCAAAGGTTGAAAAAAGCAGAGGACACTCGTAGCTCGGAGCGGCGGATCGTGCCAGCAGCCCCATGGCAACATCCGCTTGGCTACGGAGGACCAGTGTATGCACATTGATGGATAAGGTATCTACGGGAAAAGGTATGGTATGTACATCATACATGCGTTAATCATGGTAGAGCTGGATAACCTCTCCACTTCATCTCCTTGACTCTCACTCCAAAGCACTTCTGGGCCTCGTGTGTCAGTGCCCGTGGCGTGCTTCCCACACTGACCATGTCATGACAACAAGAGTGTTGTCAGCCTCGTGATGACGTAGAGACAGGAGGATCGTAGACCGGTCACGTGTGAGGCTGGATCCCTGGGATCATAGAACTGACCATGTGGCCATGAATCGAATTGTCTCCTCACAAGTTCCATGGATAGATCAATCCTCGAATCCACTTTCTAGAATATGTTCTTACTCAAACACTGCAGAGGTGGCTTGGGGGCCCCATACCAGAGTCCCATAGAAGCATTGGGCTGGATCCATGGCTTCGGGCTCTTTGTTGAGGAGCTTTACAACATGTCAAGGATGATGGGTCGTGAAGGGTGGCAAATGTCTAAGTAAAATCGACACCCTTGTAGATAGGAATGCTCACGCTTTGGCTATCCATCCGCTGTGAATCATAAAGTCAAAGATGCGATTGGCTTTGTTGACGTCAATCTGGGAGCAGGTCAGTATGATATCAAAGCCTCTGTGCTCTCACACTTACTCTGCAGACTCCACGAGCCTCTTTCTTCTTCATGTAGCCGCCTTGCTTCATGGCCTCCTTGAGCAGTCCTTCCTTCAAGGCTAAATATGGCTTAGGGCGGATATGAAGCACGTTGCACAGTTGGATCTCCTCTTCGCTGAGCAATTGCAGATCTGGGGCTAGGCTCTTATCCTTCTCCAGATTCCACGGCGTCACCCCAGGCAGCAGCGGCACCTCATATCGGACCTTTGCTTTCGGACCTGATGTGCTGTCGGGACCATTGGCCTCAGCGAACAGTTTGTCAAAGTCGTTTTCTACTGCGGGCTGACTATCAGTAAATTGGGGTACGGTCTTTGGCTTGCGTTGGAACCGAAGTGGCAGTTCGGGGTTCGTCAATTTAGACGCCTCGGTCGGTAGGTCGGGTTGTTGCAGCTGGCTGCCTTTCTTGGGGATTTGAGGCATTCGGTCGAATTGTCCCTGAGGTTGATTTCGTTGCGCCCGAGCTTGCTTATCGCTCTCGTATTTTTCTCCGCCCTTCAGATCGCTGATGCCCATTTGTTTCCACTCTTGGAGTTGAAGAATGGCAAGACGCAGATTGTGTTCCAGGAGTAGGTCTCTGTTCAGCGCCTCGAAGTCTTCGTGGTTCATCATCTTCGCAAATGGCTTGGCCTTGTGTAGGAGGTCTTTTTCTTCCTTGGTCCGTTTCTTGTCAAGGAGTTGATTTTTCTTGTACTCAAGGAGATTGTGTTCAAAGATGATCTTTTTGCGCTCCGACCGGGCCCTCAATCGAGAGTTGTAGATATCAAAGACCATCATCTTAAGAGTTGTCTCCTCATCCATTTCACCAGTAATCGGATCTAAGCCATTACCGGGCTCGAATGACATGTGTTGAACTGCCTCCTCGGCATCATTGGCAAACTCGGTCTCAAACTCCAGTCGGCCAGGCATGAAACCTTGAACTTCGTGGCATGCGGGGACAGAGGCCGTGGGTTTCTGCTTGGGTGTTGCTGGCGGTGCATGTTTCGCGGCCTCTTTGCGCTCTTCGATACGTCTCTTCTTACGAGCCTGGAATTCGTCCTTTGGGATGCGCTCAAAAAGCTCGGTGTTAGCGGGATCGGCTAACTCCGGCAAAGGGAATAATGAACTGTCGATATAGGTGCTGATGTAGTGGTCGCGAACTTCGTCCTTTTCCCGATATCCTCCAATGTGCTCGGCCACATCGGCCCAGGAACCAAGCCCATAGCGCTCCGAGCCTTCGAGCAGGAGTAGTTCTTCGTCGGCGCCCCAGTCTTCGGTGTAGATGGGGATCGAGTTCTGTTCAACAACGTGATATTCGTGTGTCCGTGGATCATGAGTCTTGCTAGATTCGCCCCGAGCAAAACAAGGGACACAAAGGTCGTATTCGCGACAGGCAGAGTTGGCACAGGATATGCGAACGGTAGAGGTTATGTCGATCGAGCACACGTCGCAATGATACTTGGTGCCGCCGTCACCCCCTCTAAGGGCTGCATTCTTGCGAATAACACCCATGCTCCTCGCTATACGCTCATCCTCTTCTATGTCTGAGTCGGGAGACAGATATTGCGCGTAATCATCAAATGTCGTCGCGTCGCAGGCTGCGGACTGGAGTGGGTCGCCTCGGCTAAAAGTGGCAAGACGAGGTGTCGACGGCGCGGAGTCGTCGTCAACGTCGTCAACGTCGTCAGCTTCGTCAACGTTGTAGCAGACGGGTTTGCGTGTAGATCGAATGGGCCGGGAGCGGTGTTCTGGTACGGGAAGAGAAGCTGTGGTGGCGATGGGCAGGGGTGACTGTCGAACTCTCGCACGGCTTACGTCCTTCACCCTGTACCGCCCCCCAGATGCCAAGCGCCTCGGCCGCACGTGACCCATGGCTGGGCGTCTGGCCAGTTGCCGGCCGAGACGGGCTAGCGCGGAACCGACTAGTGAGGCCCTGGTGAGGCCGATGGGTGTCTCTGTCAGTGTCTCCTACTGACTAAGTCGCTCGCAGCAAAACACTCATCAGCTTCTCGCCTTTCGATAAACACGGCTGTTGTGGGACTGGCTCCTTCAACCAAACCTGTGCAGCGCCTTCACACCTCCAGACGGTCCCTTCTTTGACGAACCTGTTGTCCTGCCCTGCGTTCAGATCGATTCGGCTGCGGGCTTCACCTCACTGTTCCCTCACCTTTGCCTTCTCTCGACGGTCCTTACCCCTCCTCCACCGATCACAGCCACACTCCTGAAATAAAAGTCATTCAAACCGAAACCTTGCTGCCTGTGGCTTTCAGTATCTCACCTTGAATTGTGAACGTATCCAAAACTTATCCAAAGTTGTTGGCGTACCAACGCGGGCAGGGATAAAAGCGTTAAGATGTCGTGGAAACTGACAAAGAGTATGTGGCCATGAATATGAGACTGCTCCGCGGGTCTTGATAATGTCGTTGTGTTGTGAGTTCTGTGTGCTGATAGGGTCTTAGAACTGAAGGAGACGCACCTTGCGCCGTTGATGAGCGGGTCGAGTCGGTCGACATCAACCTCGACTGTCAAGCCAGATGATGCTGCTGCGCCTTCGGTAGATAGCAATGATCTTACCACGACTCAGAGCAATGTGAGCACCTCATCTGCGACCACAGCAAATGGCATTGGTAAGTCTGGTACTCTCGGTACCTATCTAGTCGTGGCTAACCATATGTAGCCGCTTCGGAGGCACTCACCTCACCACCGGTGCAAAACACAAAACCTGGCATCTTGATAGTCACTCTCCACGAAGGAAAGCAGTTCTCTCTACCACAACAGTACCAGTCAATCTTCAACAGCTTCTATGGCTCGGGCGGGTCGGGCTCAGTTAGACCTAGCTCTTCCTACGCCGCCGGCTCGTTGACCTCCGGATCTTATGCGCCTTCCAACCGTCCGATGTCTACTCATGCTGGTATCAATGCTGCGCCCACTGTTCACGGTCGATACAACAGCAAATATCTACCATACGCACTTCTTGATTTTGACAAGGTCCAAGTGTTTGTCGACGCGGTATCTGGCAACCCGGAGAATCCACTTTGGGCCGGTGACAACACTTCATTCAAGTTCGATGTCTCGCGCGTCTGCGAGCTCAGCATTCAGCTCTACCTTAGGAACCCAGCTGCAAGACCAGGAGTCGGCAGAAGTGAGGATATCTTCCTTGGCGGCGCCAGGGTCACTCCAAGATTTGAGGAAGCTAAGACTTTTGTTCCGGACCCCAAGAAGAGCAAGAAGGAGAATGAGAAGGCTGAAGCTGCTTGGAATTCTCAGGAGAAGCAAGCAGGTCAACTGGGTACTGAATGGATCGACATTCAGTTCGGCACAGGTGCTATCAAGGTTGGTGTCAACTATGTTGAGAACCGCCATGGCAGTCTGAAGATCGACGACTTTGAGTTATTGAAAGTGGTCGGCCGAGGCAGTTTCGGCAAGGTCATGCAGGTCATGAAGAAGGACACTGGTCGAATCTACGCTCTCAAGACAATTCGCAAAGCTCACATCATATCACGGTCCGAAGTCGCACATACTCTTGCAGAGAGATCGGTCCTTGCACAGATCAACAATCCGTTCATCACACCATTGAAGTTCTCCTTTCAATCACCAGACAAACTTTATTTCGTGCTGGCTTTTGTCAATGGTGGTGAACTCTTCCATCATCTCCAAAAGGAACAGCGATTCGACATCAACCGATCCAGATTCTACACGGCAGAGTTGCTGTGCGCTTTGGAATGTTTGCACGGTTTCAAGGTCATCTACCGGGATCTCAAACCCGAGAATATCCTTCTCGACTACACCGGTCATATTGCGCTCTGTGACTTTGGGCTGTGCAAGCTGGACATGAAGGATGAGGACCGCACTAATACCTTCTGTGGTACCCCCGAGTATCTAGCGCCAGAGCTTCTTCTCGGTCACGGCTACACAAAGACTGTCGACTGGTGGACCTTGGGTGTTCTTCTCTACGAAATGTTAACTGGACTACCGCCGTTCTATGACGAAAACACCAATGAGATGTACCGCAAGATCCTCCAAGAGCCTTTACACTTCCCTGGTCCCGAGATTGTTCCTGCTGCTGCCAAGGATCTTCTTCAGAAGCTGCTTGACCGCAACCCTGAGCGTCGACTGGGTGCTGGCGGTGCAGCTGAAATCAAAGCCCATCATTTCTTTGCGGGTATCGACTGGAGAAAGTTGCTGCAGCGCAAGTACGAACCCAGCTTCAAACCCAATGTGGTAAGTGCATTTTGATGAGTCCAAACCGTAAATTCTCTGACAAGAAATAGGTCGACGCTAGGGATACCGACAACTTCGACAAGGAGTTCACATCCGAGGTGCCTAAAGATTCGTATGTCGAGGGACCTGTCCTTTCTCAGACAATGCAACAACAATTCGCCGGCTGGTCGTACAACCGTCCTGTTGCCGGTTTGGGGGATGCTGGCGGAAGTATCAGGGACCCTTCTTTCGATCGTATTCAGTAAGCTTGAGCGTGGTTTATCTAGTGTCTACGATGAGGCATGACATGACACGAAGAATGATGATTGAGCTGTTGGACTTGAAGATTTGAGCCTGGACATATTTCAATGCGGGCCAGGAGCGCTTGGTCGAAAGAATTTTCGGTTCAGCTAGTCACTTGTACATAGCTTGAGCCTTGGTTTCTTCTTGGACGTACTCGGGCTCTCGGCAAGCGTCATGTCGTGTGTTAGAATCCAATTTGCATGGCGTCGCAGCTGGAGGTAAATACACAAAAATGGACGAGAAACAGCTGGCACAGTTTGCGAGGATATACGTCTTATCACTTGTAGCGAAGCGCATTGAAGCACTCTTAGTTCTTGGTCCCAGTACTGCCGAGTACCTACTAACCAGGTAGGAAGGTAGGTACAGTGTCTAGACTTCGACACCTCGCACAGACATGGAATCTTGATGCTGGAGTTCTCCGCACTGCTCTACGGCGACTCAGAGGGCTGCTGACTTCTCTGCGAGAGCCGAATTCGGGCCTGTTTTCCCCGCATATTGAACGGTTCCGAGATGGTCGAACATTTACGAGAAGTGCAATCTCGCGACGTGCGGTGTATAGGTATAAGAAGCAGCTTGTTGAGGGAAGCTCTCGCTGATGGACTCCTTGTCTCTTCACGTTCTGGAGCTACTCTTCTTCTTCTCCCTCTTCTTCGACGACTGCGCCTCAACTTAGGGCTTCACTCGGGGTTAGCTCCCGGGACAGAGGAGACAGACGCTCGCAGACAGTTTCGAGTGGGGAGAGAATTCCAGGTTGCCCAGGAATGGCGGCGAAGAACGTCCTGCGGCGGGCGATGCTCTATGGTATGTTTCCCCGGTTGTTTCTCTGGTTTGTTGTTGTTGCTCTCGTCGGTTTACGTTCGCACACCGGCTTGAGTGTCTGGTGGTGGTACACCCGATGAGTTGGTCGACGGAACTTGCGACGCACTGAAACTGAGAACATCTACAGTCCCCGGATCGTCCCAGCGGTTCCTTGACAAATCCCGTTCCCTGACTGCCGACTGCGTCGCGTACGATCTCGAAGACAGCGTGACGCCGGGCCTCAAAGCCGAAGCACGCATTGCGGTCCGCCGGGCCCTGGACCAGGAGTTGCCGCGGGGCATCAAAGAGCGCGCGGTGCGGATCAACAGCGTGGGCTCGGGGCTGGCGCTGGCCGATCTCCAAGAGGTGGTGAAGTCGAAGAACCTGACCACGCTGGTCGTGCCCAAGGTCGAGGGACCCAGCGACCTGACCTTCATCCGAGACGTGCTGGAACACAGTCGCGCCGGCGAAGTCGGTGTGCTCGCGCTGATCGAGAGCGCAAAGAGCGTGCTGAGCCTGAACGACATCTGCCGCGCCGCGCCGGGCCTGCTGCAGGGTCTCGTGTTCGCGGCCGAGGACTACGCGCTCGACATGAGCATCACGCGCACCCGGGACCTGACCGAGTTCCTGTACGCGCGCCAGGCCATCGCCACGGCCGCGCGCGCCTACAACCTGCCCAGCACCATCGACCTGGTCACCACGAGCTTCAAGTCCGAGGCCGACCACGAGTCGCTGAGGGCCGAGTCCGAGCAGGGCAAGGGCATGGGGTACAACGGGAAGCAGTGCATCCATCCGAGCCAGGTCGGCACGGTCCAGGCCATCTTCAGCCCCAGTGCCCAGGAGGTCGAGTGGGCCGTGAGGATCGTGATCGCGCAGAAACGCGCCGAGGACCTGGGCAAAGGAGCCTGGGCGATGGACGGTAAGATGATCGACGCCCCTGTGGAAGGCAAGGCGAGGGCCATCGTGGCCAAGGCGCGCCTGTGTGGGTTCGACGTCGACAGTCTGAGGGAGAAGTGGAAGGACCAGCAGCCGGAATGAGAAAGGTGAATTAAACCCCCCAGGTACGAGGTAGGTGCCTCAGATGAATACGTAAGAGGAAAACAATATCAAAAGTGGATATGATAATAAAAGAACATCCCAAGCACATACACAATATGCTTGCTCCCCTGTGCTAACTGATGTCTTTTGTGATAACGTGAGGACAGAATCTATATGTAACTCCATTTTATGTATCCCAAGCGTCTGTTGCTGCACAGATCTTCCTTCACATGCGCTGATATAAAGAAGAAAACTCTGAATGGTGTATTTTGGAATTTCGATGGTAAAACTTGATCGGTGTTGGCGAGGGTTCTCTATTGCTTCTTCATCGTCTTGCGCACAGCGCCGTTGGAGGTGCTTCTGGCATGGTTCGAGAAGGCATGCGCGTCTTTAGTATCCGCCTCCTTCCGCTTGATGGTCAGACAGTTGATGTCGAGAACGTCGCAGATGCGGTTGATGACTCGCACTGCCCACGTAAAGTACAACGCCATCGCATACAGAAGGTAGGCATAGAGGTACAGGCGCTCGAAAGTGGGTGAGACCGGCTTTTGGCCGAACAGGGGAAGCCAGGCCATGATCGCACCACCAACCAACGGCGCCATCGACGATGTCCAGTACGGAAAAGGCCGACGCGTCAGATGGTGGAGAATGATCTTGGTTGTAAGCCTGCCAAAGACGAACGACATGGTCACAGAGAAGATCACAAGATGGTTCTCGGCCAACAAAGTCGAGTAAGGTGAGCCAAGCCATGCCATACAGCATCCTGTGAAGATGATGATGGGAGCCCACTCTAAGAAGACCGGAAGCAGTGGCAAGTCAGCCTGGTGGCGGGCTCTCGCGACGTGGTAGACGCAGGCTGGGATATGAGCGGTGAAGAAGGCCACCAGGATGATCGGCACCCAGAGGTCGCGAAACGTAAGGTCGGAAGGGATGTCGAAGGGTAGTTTTTCCGGAAGCGAAACATATTCAGCGATGCGGTGTGACCAGATCTGAGGGCCTAGATAGCCCGAGAGAATCATCACTGCGCAAGCCAGGATCAATCCCTCAGTCGGACCATTGAATGCACCCAGATACAGTGTATGGGTGTGGTACGTTTCCCAGGTGGAGAAGAACATGGGCAGGCAAGGCACCAGTGCTGTAAACGCACCCGTCTTGCTTGGGCCCAGTCCCATGGCAGCCGTCTCGCAAAGGCTCGCCAATGTGCAGTTGAGCGAGTCGATGCCATGATCGAACAGCTCGCCAAGAGGGCTCGAAGTGCCAGTCCGTCGTGCTTGTTTGCCATCGATATTGTCCATGGTCGAATACCTCGGGTCCAGTCAGATTCAAACCCGCAAACATCCCCTTCGGCAGCGTCATCACTTACAACCACAGACCAGCGGCGAAGCTGTAATAGACCCAGGTAGGCCCGGGTCCGACAAGATCAGGAATGAAAATCTGGATAAAGACAACATTGACTAGGATGCAGATGAAGCCCAATAGAGTGACCATATTCGGAGCAAGCCACATTGGTAACAGCTTGACGGCGCCATTCCACTAGAATGGGAATTAGCTGGATGTCATTCTACTCAGTTGAGAAGTAGCAATTACATAGTGTCGCAGTATATAGTTTGAAATGAACGACTTGTCCACGCTCTGGTACTTGTAGGCCATCAGATGGACCATGGCCTGGTCAGAGAGAGGGTCTACTGTGCAAACTGCGCGTCAGGCTCAAAGCTGCCACAGTCGTAGGTGCATATGGGATGATAGGTGTTCCACCTACCTGACTCGGCCATTGTTGCTGCGTCGGGGGTCTGAAGTAGAGATCGTTGAGTTGTTCTAGAAGTCTATGCCACTGAGAACCGAGACGGTCCGCGCGGGGATTGAAAAGGAGCTTCAGGAGCAAGGGTTACCGGCAACTACCTGGACATGGCGCATAGGGAGATGTCGTAAAAGAATGGATTAATCGACGGAAGCAATCGACGGACGGAATCTCCTTCGAATTGAAGAAGAGAACAGAAAGATTGCTCCAGGAGCGAGAGTAAGAGACTGGTGAGGGTGAAGTTATGGATTTTTTGGGGAGTGGATGCATATGCGGCAGCATGAAGTCGACCGGTGAATGACGATGGTCCTGTCTGACGGAAGGATATTCTCGTGTTGGGGCCTGAACATCCGCCTATGAGAGCAGGTTGAGTCGCGTCAGACCCAATGTTTTAGTGCCAAGACCATCTTTTAGGCTGTGACCTTTAGGGTGACTGTCCTTGACATCATGACAGTCGAGAATGCCTTGTCTTTCGGCGTCATTTGATGTCATTTGGCCTCATTTGTCCTCCACGTCTTTTTTCGTTCTCACGTGGCATCGCGTCGCCATCAACCTCGTCGGTGAAACATCGAACAATACCCTCTGTAGCATTCATCGTTCTGGCCATTCAACCTCACAACAATCGACAAACGGCTTCGTTGAGATTTTCGTGACGTTTGCTCCCGTGGACCTTTCCTGCGTGGCTGGCCTGTTCGCCACGAGATCCCTTCCTTTCGCCTTGTTCAGCATGATGCTTTGACGGCATCTCTTCGCCATCGCATTGCCAGAGTCCGACTCAACAGGCTTGCGATGCAGATTCATCCTTCAGGCGGATTCTCAAACTACACTTCGTCGTGATGGAGTCCGCGGACCTTCAACAGCCGTCGCTGGCGCCTTCCGCAGTGCCCATACCTTCTTTCACTGTGGCTCATCAAAAGGTCGACATTGAGGTCAATTTTAACCAACAAATCGCTGGCAGAACTGAGATCACCATCTACCCCGATGCACAAGACCTGCGAGAAATCAGACTTCACGGCCGCATATGTGTCGTCAAGAAGGTCCTGGTGAACAATCTACCTCCTCCTTCAGTACGGCATGAAGACCCTTGCGAACAACTCGCTCTGCATTCCAATAGTACCGCTCATCAGCACCATCTTCTCTCCGAAAAGATCGCTCGGTCAATCGGGCCGAGCCCAGATCCGGATCTCATCATCACTCTCCCCAAGAAGCTCAAGATTCTCCCAGTCGAGGTGGCAGAAGTTCACACACAAGCTTCTGGCTCCATCAAAATCTCAGACCCCACCACTGCTGGCGCTTCTGCTGCCGAGGCGACTCAGGCCTTGACAGATACAACTGTTGCCAAATTCACCCCCATCACTCTGGTGATCGAGTTCGAGACCTGCCACGCTAGGGAAACTCTTCAGTTCGTGGCTGGAAAACGTGGTAGCGGTCGTTGGCCTCATGCCTACACCCGATCAAAGCTAGGTCGTGGAGGGGCTTCATCGCTCTTCCCATGTGTTGACCTCATTAATAGTCGATGCACCTGGGACATATCCATCAGATGTCCACGGACAGTAGGTGATGCTCTAAATCAAGCCTTATCCCTCGACTTGGCTGCTCTCAACATTGACCCGTCTTCCCAAGAGGCTCGACAGAGCATCGAAAGCAAGGAGATGATGGTAGTGTGCTCCGGAGAGCTGACCGATGAGATTGTGGACAAGAGCGACAATACACAGAAGACGGTCTCCTTCTCCTGCTCACAACAGTTAGCCCCACAGCAGATAGGATTTGCTATAGGTCCCTTTGAACGCGTCGATCTAGGCGAGTTTCGCGATGCTCAAGAAGTGGAAGAACTCGGTCGTAACGCTGTGGAGATGCTAGCATTCTGCTTACCGGGCCGCGCAGAAGAGACAAAGAATACCTGCCTTCCTCTAACCAAGGCTGTCGACTTTGTGGTACACAAGTACATTTCCTGCCCCTTCCGGTCTTACTCGATGTGCTTCGTCGAAGATATATCTACAGACATATCTATTTTCGCAGGCGTATCGATGTGCAGCACGCGGTTACTTTATCCTGAGGACGTCATCGATCCAGCCCAGGAAGTGACAAGACAGCTAGTTCATGCCATTGTGGCGCAATGGATTGGCATCAATATCATTGCAGAAGAGCCCCGAGACAACTGGGTCATTATTGGTGGCGCCTACTTCATCACGAATCTCTTCATGAAAGAGTTGTGCGGTAACAACGAGTATCGGTACCATATGAAACAACTGGCCGACCGTGTCTATGAGCTCGACCACGAGCGCCCGTCGATTTACGAAATGGGTGCGCTGCTCCACGTTGATCCAGCAGAATATGAGTTCATTGCTCTGAAGGCACCAGTGGTACTTTTCATCCTGGACCGTCGCATCGCAAAGACGCAAGGAACTTCAAAGATGCCGGCGATTTTTGCAAAGATCCTCACCAGAGCCCGAACTGGTGATCTGGTCAACAACGCCCTTTCAACAGACCTGTTTCAGAAGACAGCAGAGCGGTTTGGTCATACTAAGTATGACGACTTTCTGGCGCAGTGGGTCAAGGGGGCGGGCTGCCCAAGGTTCTCTGCATTCCAGCGGTTCAACAAGAAGAAGCTCGTGGTGGAAATGCTTATCAAGCAAACCCAAGGCACGACAGCAACGGACCGGGAGCTCGATGTTGATACATTCATTCGCGATGCTCGCGAAGACTTCCAAACTGTGTATGCGGCTCCAGCACAACCTGTTTTCACAGGGCCTATGACGATTAGAATTCACGAGGCTGATGGGACGCCATACGAACACATTGTGGAGATCAAAGACGTCCAGACTACTTTCGACATCCCCTACAATACAAAATACAAGCGACTCAAGAGAAGCAAGAAGCAGCGAGCAAGAGCCAGTACCAAAGCCGCAACTGACGTCGGAGAGGAGGAAGGTGAAGCTCTAGTATACTGTCTCGGTGACGTTCTGCAGAGCGAAGAAGATGTTGCCAACTGGAGAATCACCGAATGGAGTGCCGACGACGAAGAACGGATGAACTCTGAGTCGTACGAATGGATACGATTAGACGCCGACTTCGAGTGGATCTGCCAGATCAATCTCCAGATGCCAGGATACATGTTCACTTCACAGCTTCAGCAGGATCGAGATGTCGTTGCGCAGCTTGAAGCATTGAGGCATATCTCGAGTTACCCTCCGTCGCCGCTTGTGTCATCCATTTTCATTCGAACGTTGATGGACAGACGCTACTTCCACGGAGTTCGTTCGCTAGCTGCTCAAGGCCTTGTAAAACACGCAAGAGACGAAAATAACGCAAAGAACATTGGCCTATTTCATCTGAAAAAGGCATTTGAAGAGTTGTATTGCACAACTGAACAGGGCCTAGCCATGACACGGCCAAACGACTTTTCTGATCAACTGGCATACCTTTTACAATGCGAGATTATCGAAGCCATCTCCAGGGTGCGAGACAGTCGCGGGCATACACCAAAGGAAGTCAAAGAGTTTTTATTGGACAAGCTCAAGTTTAACGACAATTCTGCCAACGATTACTCGGACGCCTTCTACGTGGCTCGACTCATGAAGGCACTTACCGCGGCGATCATTGCCCGCCCACACCACCAAGTGGGTGTAGATGACATGGACCTTGACCTGGAGGATGAAATGCACGAGATGAGCCAACTGGAGAACCAATTCGTCGAAGAAATTGATCGATATCGTCGTATGGACGAATGGACCAGTTCGTATCAGAATCTGTATTCGCGGACGGCTCTCGAGTGCCAGTCAGTCCTTGCTAGCGCCGGTATCAGTCAATATTCACCCTTACATTTCTTGCAGTACACCCGTCCCGGGAACTACGACATGCTACGGGAGGCTGCATACAATGTTCTCATAACGCCAAAAGTCCTCGATGAGCCGTCAATACTTCGCTATGTGTTGTATTGTATGGTTGCGGACTCGTCGCCATGGCTTCGGCAACGTCTTCAAAGATCCTTTGGTAAGGTCCTCGCGAAGCGGGCCATTGGGGACAAGACGGCCACCGTCCAGCCGGCAGCCGACGGGCTTGTAATTGAGGACACAGCTGTAGCCGACGCTCGACAGGCCGATCTAGCTAGACGGCAGACCATGGAAGGCGCAATGACTGCTCTGAAAAAGGAGCTGGGAGGTCATGAGGAACTCAAGTCTGCTCTCTGGAGCGCGGTGTGCTACGACCAGATTACCCTAGATGATTTGCAGACAATGCTTGAATTCTGCCGACTGCTGTACGAACCAAAGGATGAAATGAAGGTCAATCTACGGTTGCCACGGTACTGGAAGGTCGAGAATCTTGGAAAGGTACAATCTCCTAGAATATTTTGCATTGAAGATCTCAGCTAACGCGGCGGTGTTTAGGGCAAACTCAGATTCGTGACAACCAAAAGAGTCAGGTCGAAGGCGATACCAAAATGGCACCCTCCTGTGCCTGCTGCCCGTCCAGAAATACATTCTCGGCCCAGTGTGGGCGGCAGTGGAGGCCTGAAACTGACGTTCAAAATGGGTTCGCAGTCCTCTCGTCCCACGCCCACTCCTCCCGTGCAACAGCCACCACAACCGTCGCCGCCGCAACAACAACAACAACCAGTGCGACAACAGAGCGCCATACCTGGTCGTGTCGTGCTCAAATTGAAGCCCCCACCGAAGGCATGAGCAGTCGCAGAGGACGTTGCTGCAATTTGAGTTTCAGTAATCGTTTGCGGAGAGAGAAATGCGCGTTGGAATCGCGCCGTCGGTGCAGGCCGCAATCCATAATCTTAGACTTTTCACGAGGGACTTGCCCTATCGATACCCAGACGGCGTGTTGTGTATAACAGTGTACCACCGCAATGCAATTTCAATCCAACAGGTTTTCGGGTAAAGCCCAGATTTCGTGTACCCGACTTATGAATCTTGAAGAACGCCATTATTCTCTTCTTTTTTGGGCCCGCGCCTCGAATGTATGCCAATCAATATTTTATCGTAATTCCACTGCACCATCAACTTGATTTCGAATTCGCCGTCATCATCGTCGGTCATCGCCCATGCGCTCCAGGGCTTCGAGCATCACAACGCTGTTTCCGCGGATAACCACCATCCCTAGACGTTCGCGCTCACCGCTTGGTTTCTCTTCCACGGCATCGTCTAAGACTATGTTCAGAAAGACCTGCGTTTCGTTTCGTTAGTTGACTATTCCTTCCGCCCGTGGGAGTGAGCGGCGTAGGGGGAAAACGGGCCATACATCATAACCTCTTAGGATACCAATGACTTTGCGATTGGCGTTGAGTTGGACAAAGAGGCGTTTTTCCATGTACTAGATTAAGCGCGGGCGGAGGTCAGCGATGGCACGTCGTGACACATGCAACAGAGGGACAGTCGTCTGTAGTGGGAATGACAAGGTAAGAGATAGGTTGTAGTGGTGCAAATGGCATACCTTCTTTAGTTCAGGCTGTGCTTGAGGCATGGTTGCGGGGATGAATGTGTTGGTCGTAACGTCTAGGGACAAGGTACACGGAGGAGGTACGGGTTGTGTTTTCGAATGTCACCGGTTGGCTGGTAGAGATTCTGTCGGCGCAAAATGTTTTGCTTCTTTTGTGAACGAGCGCAGGTCAAACACGAGCAATTGCAATCAATGCTAGTTCGAGTTTGCGGAGAAATTATGCCAAGGTTCGAACAGCCCATGGCCATTCTAAAAACAGCTCGAGACTCCTACCTGATTGGGCAAAATTGTGACGCCGCCCTTCGCTCACACCCTCGACTCACTCCTAACCTTTGTCGTTAAGTACCTGTAGACCACCATATCAACCAAGACCAAGAGCGATCCAATCACCGCGTGGAGCTTAGCCACCTATTTTATACGAGAAACTTTAGTTTACCTACGGATTATGAGGTTGTTCTTCGTTTTGGAGGATGACTGTGGAGTCTGTGGCACCGAACTTATTCGAGCATATCCGCTCCGTGTGGTGATATTATCGCTTTGGTCCATGTATATACTAACACGATATTGAGCCTATGTATTCTCTGCGATATCCGTGTTTCCCAATCGCCATGGGCCCCCCTTCTTCACTTGCTCGGAAGCACGAGTCTATCTGCACACCCAAACAAGTTCCGCTCTGAAGCTCTCGAGAGCCTCACTCCATCATAGACTTACGGATCTTGCATCTCAGACCGTCAAAACATGCGGAGCCTAACTACTAGTTACTAGGTACACAGATCGAGCCTAACTGGCAATTGCCTATTTACACACAGACCTGACGACAATGTTGTTCTCGCTGGCTGCAGTCGGCCACAAGACAATCAACGTGACCGTGGCTTTGTCCAGTGATCCGTTATGAAATGGCTGAGGCGAGCAAGCTTCGCTCCTGCAGAGGCCACCCCAAAGCAACAACCCGTCCAGACGGCATTTTGTACTTGTAGATTTGTCACTCAAAATGCTCCCTCGTGTCCGACCGAGTTACCCTTGCCGGGGAATGTGATGCAGTGCACTCGATGATCCAATTTCGAGACGCGTCTGATGGGCTTCGCGCTCTTGATCTTCTATTTCTTCGATACCTTTCTTTTTTCAGTGTTCTCGGATTCCTGCCTCGACTCTCAATTCGTACCGGCGGTACCGGTCATGTACAGTCAATGGTGGGTGAAAATCGATACAGTAATGTGCGGAACTGGCGTCACCTTTGATAACATAGAATCACATTAATGAAATTAGAAAGTATCCCCTGTTGTCTAGGCTTTATTTATTTATTTATTTGATCCCGTTTTACGTCCGTCTAACTACACGTGGAGCTAATGAAGACATTGCCCTTCTCGGGCCACCACCCCTCTCTATCCTCTTATCAACACCTCATCCTCCTCTTCTTGTCCTTCCTGTTCAACTTCCTCCTCCACCTCGTCAATATCGCAGGACTGGAACTGTGGTAGCAGTTCTATTCTCTGTATCATCCTAGCTGCGGCGAGACAGCCTTTCTTTGTGTTCAGGAGTGACTTCAATGACGGTCGGGTTCCCCTTTTGAGTTCCGTCCTTAAGTATTCCTCTCTCTCTTCTTCCCATCTCGGACACCTTAGTAGGATATATTGTATAGTCTCTAGTTTGTTATATATTAGACAGAATAAACTGTCGATTTGCGGGACTCTTTTCTTATATAGAAAGGCTCGGAAGCCGATCTTCTCTATATATAGTTACACCGTGATAGCAGACTAATATTTCTTCAACCCATTATGGATTTGGATTATTTTGGCGTTAGGGCGCGGTTGCAAGATCCAACTATGAGCGCCTTTTAACCCTGTTTCCCAGCGACGTTTTCAGTAGTTATGGCCGTTGGCCATGATTACTATTTTGACTGTGTTCAGGAGTTTTGTGTTTGCTTCTCTAGTTATTTCTTTATCTAGGTTTATCTACCTCTCTAGCGGTTATAAGGAGATAGTGGTGATTCATGCCTGGAGAATCTAGAAAGGCCCCTAGTATCTTAATGTTCAATCGCGGATTTTGTGTCCACATAAAATTACTATTACTCGCTTTTCTATCCCTCTTTTTGTCTTTAATAGTGCGTAGCGCGCTACAATATTAAGCGTTAGTTTAGTGAGATAGATATTGAGTGGTTAAATATAGGTTTCTACTTTTAGAGCTTCGATCGATATCGCTTTATATGCTTCAGCGATTATCCGTAAAAATTGCCCTTAAACTGCTTATAGCTTTTTGGTCGTTATTCTTTCTTCTTTGAGGATTCCTTCTAATCTATACCATATTAGAGATCTATATATAAGTGCTGGTCAGACTATATCGAGGTAAATCTGTCTACTTGTCTAGAGCGATACATCTCAGTTAAAGCCTTAAAGCGTTTATATCGTCGCTAGTAGCTTTAGCGCCTTGTCTAGGGTGGCCTTAATATGGGCGTTTTCGCTTAGCGTTCTGTCTAGATATACCTTGAGGATCTTAAGCTTGTTATCTAGCTTAATGATCTGATTATCTAGTATAAGTGGCTATTGTATATTATCTCTCCTCGCTCTTATTATATGAATTATTTTGTATTTATTAACATTGAACTAAGAGCCATATTATGTTGCCTATTTCTTATAGATCTAGTGAACTTTCTAAAGTTTCTCGTAATTACTTTGTATTGAGTCGCTATAGACTAGTATATTATTATTATCTATAAACGCTATAATATTTAAGATAAGCCTTGCTTTCGTATAGTCTTCTACTATATTTACGTTATAGAATAGATAGAGAATTAATGAAATTGGCGATCCTTATGGGATTTCGACTTGAATATCTATTAGTTAAGAAGTGTAGTCGCCAAGTCTAATTGATATTTGTCTATCTTTTAGGAAGCTTACTACTTAGTTAACTAGGGTCTGTGGTATTCTTCTCTTCCTTAGGTTGTGAATAAGGTGTGTGTGAGAGACTTAATTAAATGTTTTCACTATATTTATTAATAAAATTATGACTATCGCTTTTTTACTTCTTGTTTAGGCTACTCTAGTTTACTCATAGATATTGAGGAGTGTGGTCTCTATGGATCTTCTTGGCCTCGCTCTATATTGGGTGTCTAGAAGGAGTTCTCATTATTCTGCGAGGTCGCTAATTTGTCTCGCTACGATAGATTCTAGAATTTTCCTAAGTGTGTTGAGTAGGGCGATTAGTCTATATACCGCGGGGTTGGTGTAGTCTTTCTTTCCTGATTTCTTTAGTATCATCGTGATTGCTTTTCGAAATTCCCTTAGGTGGTATTTATGTTTAAGATATGCTGTGAATAACCTTACTAGTTTTATTATTACTTACTCAGTGATTATCTTCATAATCTGGTTAGGGAGTTTGTCAAGACCTGGTGCCTTATTTAGCTTCGTTTTCTATATTATGGTTATAAGTTTATCTTGTGAGATCTTGTCTAAAGTTATTAGTTACATTAAATATCTAAATCCTGGTAGGTCTTCTAGATCTATATTGAGAGGGAAGAGAAAGTATTCTTCGCGAAAGATATCTACTTTCTTCTCTATTCTAATCGCTTTCATGTTATCTTTTTTTAGTATATCGAAGTACTTAAATTCAAGTAGTTCTTTCGCTTTCTGTTTCGCCTATTTACTAAGCTTCTAGAGTTTTCCTTAATTCTAGGAGACTTTCTGCATCATTCTCTTGAAGTATGCCCTTTTCGCTTTTTTGAGTATCTTTCCTTTATGTGCTGTGGCTTGTTGGGCTCTTTTCTTGTCTTCTAGGTCATGGGTATTATGAGCTTGTTAGCGAAGGTGGGAGGCTTTGGTTACCGCCTTAGTGTATTTCGATGTCCAGAAGTTCTTATCATATTAACTTATTCATGCTAGAGAAGTTAATTCTTTTACTGCCGCCTATGCTCCTCTTACTAGGATTCAGATATACATATCAATTTCTATAGTTATATCGAGTTTCAATCTATTTAGTACTTTAATTATTTACTTAAAGGTGTCTTTAAACTTATCGCTGTTGAGACTCTTCCAGGCTCTTCTCTGTGTTGGTGCCGACTTAGCGAGTTTATCTAGTGCGATGGTTATTTCAATTAGAAGATAATTAGACCCTTTATATAGGTCTCGATGTACTATACAGCTTACTACTCAGTTAGTAATCATTGCTGTAGTGAATACTAGATCGATTATTAACTTTTCTACTCTTTCGCTTAGCTGACCGAGGTTCTTCTTAATATCCCTAGTGATAATGTCTCTTGAGAGGATTAGGTTAAAGCTATTTTCTAGAGTTGCTTGAATAAGGTCGGCTAATATGATGTGTCGGTTCGAGTCTTGTTCCCCCCAGGTTAGGTGATGTAGATTAAAGTCTTCAAGAAGGATTTACTCTTCTTGTCTTTGTTCAATCGCTTGTATAGTGTGGGCTAGCTCTTTCAGGACTTCTCTTACTAAGTGTAATATAGGCGGTGGACTATATACTAAATAGATAATTATTTTTACTGTTCTCTCATTAATCTTGAGATATAGTAGAATAGAGACTAGATTTAGTGTGACTTTGATTACCTTATAATCTTCTGTTAAGATTCTTTTATTAATGTAGATACTCGCCTTAGTGTTTTCTATTTCGGCCTTAATTAGTCGAAATGGGCCGCCACTAGGGTTATATCCTTTTCCGTTATATTTATTACACTATGGCTTCTATATTGCTAGGATATCAGTGTCTCTTACCGCTTCATCTACCATAAAGTCGATCATGACCTTTTCTGCGGATTTCCAGACATTAAACTAGATAATCCTGAGGGTTCTATATAGGTTTACCCTCATTAAGTTATTTAGCTATTCAGAATCATATTGGCCTCTATATTTACTTTCTTTTCAGGTTGGGTTAGCGCGATAGTGAATAGATTTTCTCCTTGTATAGATTCTTATCCGAATTTAGGCTTGTTAAGTGCCCCAGGCGGCCTTCCTTTCGTGTTTCTCTTTAACGGTAGATATGATGTTAAGAGTCTTCTCTTTTCTGTTTTGATATCCTCTGAATTTGTAATCTCTTCTGAGGGACTACTAAATACAATTTCATCTCTGGACATGGGTGATTCTTCATCTGTAGCCACTTGAGATTATCTATCTCTCATTTTCCTGAAGAGTGGTTTGTATTGTATCCTTGGAGTGTAGTTCTTAATGAACTTTGTCACTTTATAGTAGGCGCCTTCTTCTATTAGGCCACTTAATATTGGTTTGTCTATAGCCTTCGCTGTCTTGATAGTTAGTATTAGAGGGCAGTTTTCTCTGCCCTCGGGGTGTCCAAGCCATTTTGCTTCGAGGATCTTGAGTCCTAGGTATGTATTGATGTTATATTTTCGAAGCTTCTTTGCTATATTCTCTATGGATCTCTTAATAGATATTTCTATAGCTAAGAGTTTAAATGATTCCTTTGCGAAGGTAACTAATGAAATCCACTTTCGAACCCATGATTTATCCTCATGAAACAATATAAGGTGAATTCTTGGGTATACTGCTACTCTTTCCCCTAGGTGAACCTTAGTAGCCCTGATTTTGTCTGTCACTACCTTTCCAGCTTTCGTTTTAATGTCTTGAAGTCTTTGTAATCTGTTTATGCCCCAGATTGTTTGCTATTCTGATTTTCTGTTGACTTGGAAGTAGAGCGGCTTAGTCCTTACTGGCCTTGTTTCCTTTGGGCCGTAGAACTTATGCGCTTTACTGTCCGTTGATACGCTTGATTGGGAGCTTAGGGTGTTTCTCGCCCTCTTTCTTTGTTGCGGTGTCCCCTTGACTGTCTTGAGAGTGACGTTCTCAGGCTTCTCCTTATTTCCTTTTTTCACGACTGTCGTCTATATCGGCTTTTCTAGGTTTCCTTGCGCTACACTGGACTCTTCGCTTTCTTGTTGGGTGTCATTGGCTGTATTTCCACTTCTAGGCTCTGGCTCTTGTTTCGCCTTCCCTTTCTTCTTGGTGCGCTTCTTCTTCGATGCTTTTGGTGTCTCTTGACGCGTCGATTCAGGCGCGTCACTTTCGCGTTTTTCACGCGTTTCCTCTGCTTTCAGGAGGCTGCGTGCTTCTTGGAGCCTCCCCAGGGCTGTGTACTTGCTATTGTCACTTCCAGGGATGCTCGAGATGTTGCTTTCGGCCTGCCGAAGCAGTTCCGTGATACGCGCTGCCTGGCTTGATGTTGCCATCGCTCCTATAGAATTCTTATTATTTCTTGGCACTACCTTCACCAACCACCATGTTGTCTAGGCTTTACTAGTTACAGTTAAGCGTAGAGCGTTCTAAAAAGTCCAATTACATTTATTAACTGTAATTTATTGACTGGAAAAGTTCGCTCGGTATCTGGTGTATATCATTTGAACGGCTTTTACTAGCTCGACGTCGTTGACCCTCTCGCATGTTTGTACAGTAGAGTCAAGACGGGGACCAAAGGGTTCCTGGCTAGGTTTATAGGAGTCCTAGGCTGCTAGAGTAGCTATGATAAGCCCTGTGTGTCACGTGTGTCTAGTCACGTGTGCCAAGCGCTACTACATGTTTTAGAAAGCTTAGATTGCTCCGGCTGTACATCATCTCACCGCAAGATCAATCATCATCCCCGAACCCCAGGTTGAGATCTTCCTCGCTTGTGCAACACTCCACTCGTCAAAAACAAGATCTGGAATAGCATACCATTGCCGATAGAGTCTCTAGCCTCTGACATGGAGCGAGGTGTGCAGGATTTCTGGTCCTTACCTTGGCTGCGGTCTCGCCGGAAAGCGGCTCCAGAATCCTACCTCGAGACAAAATCTCACGGGTTGCATAACCTGAGTCTATGCAGAGCCTGTGATAATCTTGATCCACGCTGTCTTCCTCACCAGCCAGCTTACATCCATCTGAAGAACTGTTTTCACCTGAACAAAAGATCCCAAAAATGTCGATTGTGCGCGTTTATCTCTCAGAGCTTAGGAGCGGTAGGCTCTAGAGATGTGCGACAGATACTTGTATCATATGACATTTCACCCAAGGTGGGAGTTCCATTAAGCTTATCGCTAAGATGCAAATTCCTCGAAGTGAATCTAGGAGATCGTGATGCTGTGGTTAGCCTTGAGCTATATGCCGAAAATGGTATGCCTCATTAAAGCGTTTCTTTAGAGGTCTTTTAAATGGCTGAGAATGCGATAGGTGTACCGGTAAATGGAATGTCCAATCCAGCGATGTTGAGAAGTCCCAAATCAGATCTATCAACGTTCCTACGTGGCGGGATGCCTTCTTGCTTTCGAGATTCTTACAATAATCCTTCCGTTGTCCCGGCGCTTGCAGCAAAAAGTCTGAGTAATATCGAAGCTCTCATCCCTTTGAGACTCCTTGATGTTGGAAACGACGACTATTCGTCGCAGATACGCTTGCACATCAGGCGTCCCGATGAAAAAGGAAAATACGCAACTCTGAGCTACCGCTGGGGAAATAGGATGCCACTGAAGACACTCCGAAGGACGCTGAAACGCTATTTGCAATCCTTGGAAATTCAAAGTCTGCCGCAAACCTTTCAAGATGCTATTACAGTCACACGCTTACTTGGGATCAGATATCTTTGGATTGATGCTCTTTGTATCATACAAGATGATCCCAAGGACTGGCTTGAGCAGGCTGGGCAGATGTGCTCCATATATCAGTATTCATCCTTGACAATTGCCATACACTCTGCTAAGAGCCCTTTGGATGGCTTTCTTTGGAGAGGAACGGTTCCAAATTCGCTAAGGGTCTCTCCTCGAGGCACCAGGCCCACATTTTGGCTCCAAATCCCCCCATTGTCGGACAATGCTATCCGTAGAGCATTTGGTGATAGTCAAATTACGGGCAGAGGCTGGATAACCCAGGAATTATGCCTCTCCCAACTAGTTCTGCACTTTGTGGAAGATCGAGTAATTTGGGAATGCTGTCACGAAGACTGTGCTACGGCACACCCTTCCGAAGATCATATGGAAAGATTTCGCAAGCGATCTGTGCGCCCGTCTCAAGACTGGCTTCCATTTGTCTCGGCATATTCAACCTGTCGGACAACGAAAGAAAGTGACAAACTTGCTGCGATAGCAGGGATCGCTCAGGCATGGCCCAGGAACAGTGCTTACTTTCGCCACAACGGTTACTACTGCGGTGTCTTTGACGACGATGTGCACAGTAGCCTCCTGTGGTTCAGAGCACATTCACTTTTGATTAGAAGAGCTGGGAGGGCCCCCCATTGGTCATGGGCAAGTGTTGACGGAGGTATTCTCTTCATTCGCGACACGATTCAGTCTGGACGCCTGCTACCTCTCATGGAAGTTGACTCAATAGATTGTATCTGTCGTCGCGATCTGAATGGACATTTTCTATGTACGCGCTCCTACATTCGGTTGAATGCGGCCATTGGAGATGGCTTTAAGGTTGGCTTTATTGAGAAAAGTAAACGGTTTTATTCCGCTCCTCTTGATGGGCCAAGGTATGTTACAACCCTTGGTTACCTTGCAGAACGCGTTGTTGGTTGGGCCATTTTCGATTGCGACATTGATGACCATCCGAAATTTCGATATGTGCAGGTCGCGGCTAAAGTTGCCGATGGGAACAGAAAAGGATCCTTTGTCGTAATCGTCAAACCATGTCCGAAAAGTATCGGCCTTTATCTTAGAGTTGGCATGGGTTACCTTTTCAAGGCTGAGGTCTTGAAAACATTTCAACGAGAAGATATTACTCTATGTTAATCTATATGTGATCCATGTGGCAGAATAGCCTAAGAAAACCCGTGCTCACTTGTATGATCACATTTAAGTACCAACGATTAGAGTGGCAGAACAATTCCCCCAGCTCTTCAGATGCTTGGGCTCTATGCATTATACTAAGACCTACTTCATACATGGCGAGCAGAACAAAGCACCGTCGGGACAAGACATGTCACGTATGGAGTGTTACCAAGGCACTTTGTCCAGTATTTCACTGGTACCATACCTACTATAAAAGAGACCCGTTGATTGGTTGCTCTGAAGATGAAAGGACCAACTGATTAAGTGTAGATTCCCGCATGTATTTCAAACTCTTTCGTGAGAAACAGTTGCGATCTGTGTGCAGAGGGGAGGGCGGATTCGGGAAAGACTATATATAACCTCAATCAATTCAACTTCGACGAAAGTAACCGGCTCTCCGATCAAAGCCAATTCCTCAGAACAATCGCACCTAGCGGTGTAGGAGTTGACGACATTGGTTATGCGGAAGGCAATTGGGTGGAGGACAGGAAGCGATACTGTAACGGGCGGAAAGAGGCAAGTGAAATAGAGATGCCTGCCAACGCGCATACAGAGCCCTGTCATTCAATCGCTTTGATGCTTGGACTTCGTCAACTCTTAGCATTGAATCTAATGAACATGAAGTTCTGCTGGCTCTCGAAATCCTGCTCCTCCATTTCTAACTAAGCGCCGCTGAGGGCCTCTTGGCAAGGCCAAGGCGAATGTAGGTAAGTATGGAGCCTTTTGCTCGTTCTGCAATTCTCCTTCTTCCGACGTGTTGTACCTCATGGCTATCAGACAGGGCCAACGACCTTTTTGTATCGTCATGTCAAACTATCGTGAACCTTTTCAGCCTCTTCTCACCACAAATCTTCCCGATTATATGCTCTATACAGCAAGAAGATTGTCCTTTCTAGTATCCATTGACCAATCCCATTATATATACATCAGTCACAGTGTACAATGTGTGTATTTCCACGAGAAAATTCAATATGTAGGGTAAAGGAAAACCTTCTTTAGAAGTCGTGATGATCACAACAGGTGAAACATGCCATCATTCCCGTGCAGAAAAGGCACCAGAAACAGCCGTCGTCGGCATCATCACAGCCGCCTCTCAGGTTCGTCTTGACGTGTGCCGGTGGTGGGGCCCTGACAGCCACGACTCTCGGCGTCGAGCAAGGAGGACTCGTCGTCACATTCGCATCTGTATCGGGTGCTGGAGCCTGTGAAGCTATCGATGTCCGTCCAGGTGTTGTATATATGCGTTCCGGCATTGGCAGTGTCTTACTCGGTTCAGTCGTGCTGGGTTGAGATTCGGATGATGAAGGTGGTGATGGTGCGGGACGAATCACCATTCCAGAGACAGAAGAATGTATTGGAAGAAAACGGGAAAGATGGCCAATATCCTTTTCAAGTTCTCCGCGAGTGTGGTTCGAGAAGCTTCTCTCCTGTCGTCATATAGAGGGAGAGAGAAAGCGAGAGGCTTGGGACAGAAAGATGAAAAGAAGTTCCGGGAACCAACGGCTGCTTCTGCCCAAAATCGAAGTACTTATATACTTGGTGCCACAAACGCAGCTGCGGTGGCCCGTCTTCATCTGGTGTCGGTATCACCCTATCACGTACCAGGAGGAGCGTGTCACCAGATGACAGGGGGCCAACATGATTGAGTATGGAAGCTGATGGTAATCGTGGCCTTGTAGTCTTTGATGATGCCCTTCTGTATCACGATCGAGGGTTGTTTGCCTGTTCGGAGGAAATCAGTGACAGCCTGGAAGGAGTGGCAAAGATGGTCTACTGTGGATTGTGTTGTTTGACCTGAGGTTTGACTTGGGCTCGAATCATGATCAACTTTAGCTATAGTCGTAGTATATGGATGTACATATTATTATTTATTCTTCCCCCCCTAAAGCTATTTAAGCTTATGTTGGGGCTCTATCTTTTTCTAATCAGGAAAAACCCTCTGGGGAAGAAAACCCACTGAATAGATACATACCTCGGAAGAACATATCAGTCTACCCAAATTCTTTTGTTTAGCTTGTTTCTAGTCCTAGCAGGCCAGAGTGGCTCAGGACTCTGGTATTTCCATTTCCTCGCGGGTGACGCTCCTTATCGAGCCCATCCAGTTGTCCTCACCGCTCAAAATCCTTTTGAGATGACGGTCGGAATGCACCGCAGAGCCACGTGTTGGAATCCTGAGGGCGCCGACTTTTTCTTCTTCGTCCTCTTCCTCGACTTTCTCGGACCGGCGAACTTCTAGACCGCTTTCGTCCAAAGCGAATCTGCTCCTAGCACGAATGCGGGCGCCATAGAAATAGAAGAGCACCGGCACGGGGGCAAGCAGCACGGCCAACAGCGCCAGTAACGTGGTAGCAAATTGCACCTTGAGATTGTGGAACATCTGGGTCGCAAAGAGTGGAAACGCCGCTGCAAGGCCGGATCGTATGATGGTCGCGGCGGCGAAGGCTGACGCTGAGCTATGCGGGTGTGTTAGTGACTTAGGTTCGATTCTTGAATGCTGGTGGAGGTCGGTGGTGAAAGGATAAATTACTTACTTGGTTTTGTAGACGTCCACCAAATACGTGAAAAATGACATAAATATGATGAGAATACCATATCCGGTGACAATCCCGCTCGCTGTAGGGACGATCCAATGGATAGAGTGTGGGTATGCGCCTGTCCAGCCGAACCAAAACAGGCCCAGAGGGAAGGCCAGAGCGCCGGTCATGGCGATCGGCATTCTCCATTCGGGTACCATGACTCCGTTGTTTCTCTTCAACCTCGGTGTCACGTAGAAGCGTTGTTGCAGGATATTGGCAAAAGCTGCAAGAGCCAGACCGGTCACGAGCCCGAAGAAGGGCAGCCCGCCTACGCCCAGGTTCATGTGATAACCTTCGACAAACACCACGCTGTAGGCGTCGAGAAATGTGTAAAGTAGAGCGTAGACGAAGGCCGTATAGACACTGACAAGCATCAAGATCGGTTCCTGGACCATCATCAAGCATGGGCGCTTGAACAGCGACTTGACGAGTTCCCCAGGAGGGAGGCGGATTTCCTCAAGCCGAGAATGCAGGGCCCAGTTTCCGGTCTCGTGGCGAAGCTCCACCGCTTTCTGCTTGAGGAGATATGGCAGATACGTTTCCGAAGCGCAAGTCAGGGCGACCAACAAACTCAGCGCGCCGGCGAGGACTCCCCACCAGGCACACCAGTGCCAACCCAGCGAATGATTGTCGGCCGTAAAGCCACCGACCGGCGATGCCAGCATTGGTCCGCTGAATACAGTGAGGGCAAAGACAGTACTAGCGTATGCCCGGTGAAAGGGGTTGAACATGTCTGCAAAGCTGGCGATGGTGATGGCGACTGGGCAGGCACCCATAGCACCCTGGAAGAACCTAGAGAGACAAAGGGTCTGGTAGTCTTTGGCAGTCGCTGATGCGGCACCAAAGCAGACGAACCCAAACATGGCCAGGCACATGGGGATCTTACGGCCCAGCCGTTCCGACATTGGCGCCCAAACAAATGGGCCGGCGACATAACCGAACAAGAACAAAGTGGCTGTCGAGAAGGTAGCCACTTCGTCTGAGATGCCGAAGCGGTGCGAAATGAGGCCTGTCGCTGGACTCAGGAGCGCAGATGCGAATGTCGAGGAAACGCAGCACAAGCCATATGCGAGAGCTGTCCAAAGCCTGAGATTTCTAGTCAGAGGACCATTTTGGAAATCAACCTCTAGCCCACAGTCCAGGGCCCTATGGTACATACTTCTTTCTTAACGGCCAGTTCTGAGCTGAAAGGGGATCATCAATACTATCCAGCGTCACCAGTGTCTCTGGGCTCGGCACTGGTGTCTCCTCTACCTCAACCGAGCTTGATTGTCTCGAGAGCTGCTCACTTGAGTCACAAGTCGTCGCGGTATCCATGTCTGTGGATGCAGTACTGTTTCTCAAGAGATCAAGCAGCATATACTGAGGAAATTGAGCCGGAACTGTAGCCTGGGCAATCCATCTATATAGACATCGATCGATTTCTAATACCGGCTGCTAAAGTGACACAACATGGCGATACTATCTCGTAGGTTAGCCCACGCACGCAGCGCGTTGTTATTAATAAATGAACAATATACAAAAGGAAATGATCGACCGACAGAGGAACTGTAATCGTATGAGGAGTTGCTAGCCATGGGGGGGTAGAACATTGAGCCATGGGAATCGCCAGCAACAAGCATAGGGCCAACCCAATGAGGACGAGAAAACTTACAAAGTATCGTAGTGCCTCGGTTCTTGGTGCCGTCGAACAAACCTTCTTTTTTTCTGATTATGTCGACAACCTTGGTGGCAAATGATCACTAAGCCAAAGATTGACGGGAGTGTTACCCTCAGCCTCCTTGATTTGTGCACAACCTCGAGTCTTCATAATCAGAGACCGGTCCCGCGGGACATGTCTTCATACCTCTGCGTTGATTAGAGACGTGCGCTGTGCCTCGAGTTCTCCCGGTGGACGTACAACCCCTGTCCGCAGACCCAGGAAACGACTGTAGACTAGGGACTTCTGACGTCGCACCCTCTTCCAGGGGCGACTTTCCTGATTTCTCAACACGGTTCCAAGTAAAGAGTCAGCCGCGATGAAGCCCTTGAATACCAATAATCGGGCAGTTTCAGCACGTCCATGATAGGACTTTTCACGCCGGGGATGTTTCGCCTTGATGGCAGGTTCCGTCGTCTGCGCAAGTGTGTAAACCCTTCACGTTGTAAGCCATTTCCGCCATTCATCTCTTCCGACAGCTGAACTGGACGGCCTATTCGCGTGGATGGGGAGATAGAGCCTTACCGTGTCCATAAAAGCGTAGCTTCAGGAACACGATTCTAGCCTGGTGTCATAGATAGAGTTGAGCATTTGGAGTCACCCACAGCGTGTTGCAAGGTCAGCCAACATCATAAAGCCTTCAGTGAGACCGAGAAGTCGAGTAGCGGAACGTTGCTTGTCGCCTACGTACAGGTTACTGGGTTCATATGTTCATAGGAAGAAACATACCTAGTGGGACAGCGCCCATGAGGTGCAAGGGCGGCGTCAGCCTCTTTCCTGATCCGGAGATCCGTCTGGCTCCTCAACCACACCACATGTTTACCTTTGTCGCAGACAGGAGAATCATACTCAAAGTTGTTAGTCCAACATACATCATAACAGGTAAGTGGGCATCAGCACAGGTAGGTTGACGTCTGTTTACTTGGGACAACTTGCCTCTATGAAGAAATAAGACGACGCCGTCTTGAAAAGTCCGTAAATATGTCGGCTTTCTCTATGGCCGAAGTCCGCACGGCTTTGCCAACTGACACGAAACGCATGGCCAGCCCAGAAATTGCCGAAGTCGCAACCCTAAAGGTGTAGTAGATATACCGTAATTACCCTTTGGCAAGCTATCCCAACATACCTTCAGAGAAATCATGCAGAAGCCGCAGGGACAGTCGCGCCGCATCGTCAGACCTGAACTCAAGAGGCGACGTCCACCTTTGGCCTGTGTCCAGTGCTACAGCAGGAAGATCAAGTGCGATCGGGAATCGCCAGCTTGCGGTGGGTGCGTCAGAATTGGCAAAGGTCACGAATGCATCTACCGAAATGCACCTTCGGATGATCACCGTCCTGTGCAGACCTGGCCCCGTCCCCGTCCACGTCCGTCGGCAAAGATGCTAACGGACGAGGGGGCTTTGACCACCAGGCACGCTGCTTACCTCGCTCCGAGCGCAGTGGAGGGAGGAATGGCGCATTTGAAAGGTTCCGAAATGTCCACCAAGTTTTATGGGTTCAGCTATCCTTTGAACTTGTACCAGCAGGTATTCAATTCCATGTTCTGTAATCGGCGACAGAGCCGCCCGAGACTGGGAATTAATGACAACCACAGTTTCCCGAGCTCCGATCCTACATCGCCCAGATCAAGTGCCAGAATCCTACCATCAACGAGCTACGGGATGAGATCTATGGCATAGCGAACAGTCTAAGACCACGATATCAGCAACACTCGAGCCAGGAAGGGATTGTAGAACGTTTCGAGGCGCTTATTCCCACACGCAACACCGCCGACATGCTCGTTCAGACCTACATCGACCGGTTCGAAGTCATCCACCGTATCATCCACATCCCGACCTTCATGGCCGACTATTGTGGCTACTGGGACAAGACCTGCCTAGTGTCGGCTGACTTTTTTGCGCAGCTCCTTCTCATGATGGCCACCGGATCGAGCCTGCACCCCGAAGTGGCGTTCAATGGAGTCCAACTGAATCCAAGCCGGAGGTTTTGCTTGCGCTGGATCGATGCGGTCGAGTCATGGTTGGTCCCGTCGACATTCGATCCGGCTTCGGAATCATCGTACACATTGACCACGCATACTCTGCTCGTGGTGGCCAAACGAGCCAACTCTGTCCACGAGAGCGCTTTGTGGTCGTCTACCGGGTCACTGGTCCGCAGGGCTATGGCGGCAGGGTACCATCGCGAAGTCGGCTCTGCCATGCATATCTCGCTGTTTAATCGGGAAATGCGACGCCGCTTGTGGTCAACGGTCGCCGAGCTCGACCTGCAGGCTTCCATCGAGCGAGGCATGCCCCCGAGCCTTAGGACAAGTGATTTTAATGTGCACGCACCGCTCCACCTTGAGGACGAGGCATTACGAGATTCGATCGACGGAATGCCGCCCGCTCCTCAGCTGCTGGATACTTGGAGTACCTGCTCTTGTCAGGTCCTTCTGTCTAGAACCTTCGTGGCTCGCCTTGAAATTTGTTCTCTGATCAACGGGTCGCAGGACCGGGATGTTTCCGACGAGGTCCTGCAGTTAAGTGACACCTTGATTCGAGCCCTTCAGGAGATTCCAGCTTGGAGAGACACTGGCCGCAGTCCGCGCGACCAGCAGACCGTCACCTACGTGCGGAGTGCGGTGGCCGTCATCCTTGACCAGTACCTGATTGTGCTGCACGTCCCGATGGCGATCCAGAGCCCGCCAACATGGAAGACCCACGTCTCTCGACTGGCCCGCCTCGATGCCGCCACTGGAATTCTCATGCACCATCGACGGCTGGTCGACGACGGCATCTTATCCGAATGTGCGTATCAGCATGGACTGGTCTTGGGTGCTCTCAACTTGTGTCACGAGCTTTATCTAAGTTGGACTAACTCTTCAGGTTGGTCGTATAACCCCAGAATAAGGCACCGTGCAAGTTAGAATATCATTAACCTTGTTAACACAGGAATGTCGCACATGTCGACGTTAACGTCGCCAGAGATTGCCCAGGCTCACCTGGTGGTGGTTGAACGGGCGTTACAACTCCTCCACGGGCGTGTGTCGACGACCTTGGAAGGCCTGAATGAATTCTACGTCCTGGCCATGGTCATTGGACTCATTAAGTCCAAGATCTGTCCACAACTGACGACCACAGCTGAACACGTCGCAGCGCAACAGGTTATTCAACTCTCCGAGGAGGTCAGGTCCGCCATCCCGACCCTCTCCGCCGACGACGCTGAAGACGCGTCTGCGTTCATGTGAGTCTCAATATCCACCCATAAATGCATGTACCGACGCTGATGACCTCTCCAGGTGTACACAACCCGACCAGAGCAACCACGGGTTCGCCCCGGCGAGTCCTTCTGCCCAGGTTGACTATAACTTTTCGATGGTCAGTCTCGTTACAAAGAGGGAGCCTCTCGAGTGTGTGAAGCGTCTTCAGCTAACGTCCCATAACAGTTTCCGGACGATCTGGGCTTTTTGCACGGCGATTTTCTTCTCGATGAGATCCAGGTGTCTTGACCACGGTCCCGTGAGAGCCATTGTTTTCTCGGTCTCTACAAGCCAAACAAATAGGACACAGTGTCGTTTGATTGTCCATTTCAATTGGCCAAAACTATACCGCAAACACCCTGATTCATCACAGACATCCAACAGCCCAAAAGCTCTTCGGACTGTATGCAACTGCATACTCTACAAGTTGTCCCACAGCCATTGGAGACTTCCCTGAATTCGCTGTAAGGAGCCTTGGTTCACAATCAGACTCTTTGCCACAGGCCGGTCTGAATATCAAGCCGGGCCCAGGCAACCAGCAAAGACCCAAACAACATCACGACGCCACTAAAAATGGCACATTCGGAGTAGCCCCCATAGGACTGGATCATGGCACCACAGATGGGAGTCCCAGTCAACCCCGCGACGCCTAGGACTGCCATTGCCATGCCGAGATAGGTGCCGAACTGGTTCATATGCGGGGTGATTCGAGCAAAGCAAGGCGACATGAGCGAGACGATACCGCCGGAGAAAAAGCCGTATAGGACGGCAAAGACGATGATGGCGGCGTTAGATTTGATCGCCGGCCAGCACAGTAACAGGATACCAGCGCACGTGCCCTTGACGAGCATCGTGTTGAAGGGCCCGACCTGGTCGGCCGCGATGCCGGGCAAGACGCGACCGAAGACCGAGGCGGCGTTCATGACCGAGGGCATGTAGTCAGCGAGGTCCAGACTCATGCCCTGTTGCAGGGCATACTGAGGAAGGTAGAAGAACGGTGTGAAAAGGCCCCAAGTCATAAAGAAGATGCCCGCTGTGGTTAGGACGTAGGCACGCTGCGTGAAGGCGGACGGCAGCAGGATGGCACCGCGTCGAGGAGGCAGACGTGTCTTGATGGTGAACACGGCAACTATCATCATCACCAGGATGATGAAGCCGATGATCCTGACTGACCACCCGAACCCGAGGGATCTGTGCTTCAACATGCGGGTCAAGGCGATGGGGAAGATAACACCACCCGTCGATGAACCCGTCACCGTCAGTCCCAGCGCCACCCCGCGTCGTTTACGGAAGTAGTGGCCCACACAAGTCATGATGGGCGTGAAGAGCATCCCTGATGCCAGGCCGCCCAGGAGGCCTTGGGCGAGCATGAACTGGTAATACTTCGTGCAAAGCGAGGTCATCATCACTGACACGACGGTCGCGAGGGCCGGTACATATATCACCTGTGATTCCCCGCCGAGAGGGAAAACCATGTCAGCGCCAAAATCATCCGTATGAGGTCTCGTATCTCCAAAAGGGAATTCGGGGCCACGAACCTTCGCGCCATATCGATCGAACAAAGGCCCTCCAACGAGCCCGCCAGCGTAGAGGAAAAACACCTGGATGGAGCCGATCCACGAGATGGAGGATGGGGATTCATGGGACAAGAAGTGCGACGAGTAGTATTCCTGGTAGACCCTGGTTCCGACAGAGTGGCCGCGTTAGCTTAATATGTAGTCTTTTTCGCGCTGGACTCGCTGCTTCAAAGAGGGCCTTCTTACCCGTATGCATTCATGTACCCAAACGTCGAGAAAGACACACAGTACGCTCCCAACACCACCAGCCACGCGCGGACGCCGCCCTCGGGGAACTCTCCGTACACGACTTTTGGCTTCTCGTCTGCATTTTCCAGCGAGCCGTCGGAAAGTTGGACTGGAGACATTATGAGTGAAGCCTGAAAGGGGGTAGGTAGTCAATATCTGAAGGAAAGGATAGATGGTACAACACGTCTGAAAATTTGATCTGGTGTCTGTTCAAGAAACATGCTTGTCCCTACTCGAGATCTCAGGTCTTCTTATATAGGGGGTCAAACGCGATGAAAAAAATTACTCATGTCCAGCTGGAGGTGGCATATTGGATGAATATGCCGTCGAATATGCCGGCCCAGAAAGGCCGACGACCCGCGTCAGATAAACGCCGTCACTCACACTGTGAACCGCAGCCCCATAGACCCGTCTACTTCCTGACGTGGTTGTCAAAACCTCCGTCCGAATTTCTGTTCAGTTCTCTCCGAGGCGTCTTGCGTAGGGTTATCACTTTCGTCATGCTGCCTCGGTGGGCTTTCGTGGGTCCCAAAGGGGTTGTGTTGCTCGGTGCACGGCAGCCTCTCGGTCGACAAACCACCACAATTCGAATGCCCGTTGTTTCTTTCGGCTTTCACCTACCTCCGCTCCGTCGGACAAAGATGTTCGGTGGTGAGTGCAAGCAACGAGGAAATATTTGTATCCGTGTGTGGGCCGAATCTTTCACAACGAAAAGCTCGACGAGTCGTACTGGGATCCAGGGGGCATTATTGAATGTTAGAGTTGCATGTCCTGTTCCAGGCTGGTGAGCTTGCCGTCAATTAGCCTGAATGCACCAATGCACTAATTTGAAAAACTCATTTTCCAACAATGCTTTGTCCGTGAAAGCACCTTTGAATCAATGCGCAATCTCAGGAGAACCATGTGAATGGTTCGACATCCAGTCCCCAGGAGCTCCATTGCGATATGGACGTGAGGTACGGCTGCCCAGGATGTAAACAGTGGCTCGCATCGAAGTCATTGTTGTATGTTCGAGGAGTAGTAAGACCGTGATCAAGAGATCCAGTACCCATGTGCTGTACCGGATGGGACGCAAAGCCACTGCTTGTTGATGCTGAGAGAGGAAACTGGTCAATGTCTGTCACCCCCACTGAGCCATGATGACATGGTACGGGAACGTGGCTCTGGGCCCCACAGGTGCATATCCTCGACGGCGAAAGGGATGTTTGGTCCTCAGACGTCGGCCGCTGAAGCTGAGAGCCCGAGGCTATGTCGCCCTTTCGATGTAGTTGTTCACAAATTCTCCGAAGTTGAGAGATGTAGCTGTCGCTAGAACCGTCTTCCAAAGCCTTGAAAAGCTGCACCGCCTGGCCAACAGCATCCAAGTCATCTTTAGCCGTGTTTGATTGCGGCTCTCGAAGCGCATTAATGGAGAGACTGACGGAGGCGCTTGCGATTATTGAAGTAACATCCCTCAAGCCAAGTTAGCAAACGCTTTGATGGAGAGAGATTTACAAGCCACTTACCAGAGAAACTTCTTCCATGTACGAGGGATTATCTGAGCCAGTGCCAGAATGGTTCGAGCTGCCTTCACAGACCGACGGATCGAGTATTTCATGCTCGTGGACAGATCGAAGGGGGCCTCTGGGTTGGGCTGGGGCATCCAATACTGGCGACCATGTGCGCTGTTGACTACTATGGCGCAGTTGAGGTAAGAGAAGTACAAGCGCATTAGTCCCGGGTGGTCGAGGGTGTTTAGACCGTCATTCCGTTGCAAGCCAGTCGTATACTTGGAACACCACTCGTCTAACAGGGTGTTGAGCTTGGACACAGACTCTGAAATGTACTTTGTGTCTGTTGCCAAAGCCTCGCTGGAATGAAGTTGTCGATATATGGAGCCTTGGATGACCGCAAGTTCCGCCTGAGCATGGAAAATGTTCAGGCTCGAGCCGGCCATGGTTGTTATGGCCTCATAATCGTCAAGGAAATTGCCTGGTACGTCTGGGTCAATGTGAAAATCATTCAGGTCATGGGCTGGAGGTCTCCCTGTTCGTAGACATAGTTCGCGATCCAAGCTTGTGGCGATCCAAAACACTCTCTTCCTCATGACGGATTCGATGGAATGCCCACCACTTGAATCGGAGCTAGTCCTGTGAAGCCCAATGGAGAGAGCTAGCCGTAGAGCGCAGGCTGTCAGCATAAAGCTGGGCTGAGGATTTGGAGTGCCGACAAAGAACCAGGCAACTGCCAAGAGTGCCTGAACCGAGAGCAACTGGGTGTTTCTCATAAGAATATCCAAGACTGCACTCAGTGCATTTGCCGCATAGGCCCATGCCAATTCGTGACTTTCCGATGGGTCACAGGCAATCTCTGCGCGACGACGCTGCACGATTGCGAGTACAGCATTCAAAGAAGCCCATGCAGCTGGATTTTGGGGCGGAGTTCCTGAATAATACTGACCTAGAAGGGTCATGAAAGATGGCGGATGAAAGCACGGGAAGACTTGGTGCTCGTGGCTGAAGAACTCGCTAACTATGGAGAATGCCTCCGTCCAAGCGGGCAGAGCCTTTATTGTTTGCCATTCAAAAACCCGCTGCATTGAAGGATATGTCCATTTTGACCATGATCCTTCTTGATACGAGGTCTTGGGATTTTGGTTGGAAGATGTCTCCGGTTTGCGGCATGTCTCTGTAGGGACAAGGGACATTACTGACGATGGGCCTGAGTAAGGGTGTCAACAATATCGTGGCGGATACATCTCATCAGGCGGGCGGCACATACCAAAATACCGCAAATCTCCATTGTCACCTAATATCCTTCCTGAGCTTGTTGACAGAGTGCCTGGTTTAGGGCGACTTGTGGCTTTTATTCTACTTGCTGGAGTTGCGAGCGTCCCATGTTGGTCGCTAGGGGCTGGTAGAGACTCTAGAACCACCAGCCCAGGCTCTCCCCTACCAGCTGGGTTTCGTGAAGGTGGAAAGTCAGCAGAGCTGGCCAGACCTCCCCCTTCCGAGAATATCGTGGTATTGTCGACATGGGTTCTGGAGCGGCGCCGACGCACGCCGGGTTTCTCGACATCGGAGTAACTGCACGACGTCTGCTTGAGACTCTGACATCGACTGCATACAGGACGGGACCCATCACATCGAACCTTTCCTTTCCGGCATGGGTCGCAAGCCTAGGTAACAACTCCGGATAAGCCAACGCAGGTTCAAGGGGTGAAAACGCACCTTTGCAAAGCGTCGGCGACGATCACCTCGGAGCCCTGTCATCCGCGAGACGCAAATGTAGAGAAAGAGCAATTGAACAGCACAAATTCGAAATACCTGGAGAAACGGGATACTCTAGCAAGGATCGCGACGTGAGCATTTGAGCATTCTAACTCAGTGACCCGGAGTTTCGGCTCCTTGGGAGGAGCATTTCACAAAACTCCGGGAAGTCAAGGCGACATTCCGGGCCGAGCTCCTGGACTTCTTCCACCTCCCGTCACCTCGGCTCAAATCGACTTCAGATTGCGCTGGAGATACCAAACAAAATCAGATGACGCGTCAAATGGACATGTTCATGATTCAAGCATGTCTATTCTTTACCCGCTCCTATCTATCGAAGGGTTTATGACACCCATTCTGGCTCTGATCGTCCCCGCCTCCCGGTGGGAACCTCCCATTCAATATGCGATTTCTCAAATTTGAAAGCAGGCGCTAGCACGAGAAGATTCTCGTCGAGGCCGTACTCTCGGCCACTCATTTCCCAAAAGTATTCTGGATGATCAAACATATCTGGACGGATCCTCGTCCAAGACTCGTGTGTCTTTCCCACGAGGCGGACCATGTCGTCGAAATGACGGGGACTGAAAGCAGGGTCGCGCTTCCGCAATGCCTCCTGCTGTTCCTCCGAGTAGAGGCCCAGCTGATAGTACCAAATGTTGTATTGGGTCAAGCTGATATCGATGTCGAACGTCACGTCCTCCTTTGTGCGGGCGATCAGACCTTTAATGGCTGCGGCCGCGCCAGCCAATCCCGTCTGATAGTCAGAGTTTGCTACAGCATATCAGTGCAGGGTTCTTCACTATAACAAGGGGATAAAGAGTTGACTTACGTAGAAGCGGGACGACGGCCTCTTGGAGGTTGAGAAACTTTCCTTGAACGTAAGACAGACCTACCAGGCAGTCGCTGATTTGCTGCCAGCCCGATCGATGAGCCAGGGGGCCTTTGAACCCATAACAGTTCTCGCGAATATAAATTAGAGAGGGGTTCAGCTGGCGCAAAGACTTCGAATCGAAGCCCAGTCCCTTCAGAGCTCCAGGACGGTACCCATCGATAAGGACATCCGCGCCCTTGACAAGCTCGGTGAAGATTCGCCTCCCTTCTTCTGTTTTCAGATCCAAGTTCGTGTCTCTCTTCCCAGTTTGCAGATCCGGCATGGTTGCAGCATAGTCAGGTAACCTATTGCATGAAACACGAAGGACGTCAGCTCCGAGAACAGCTAGGATCTTCGACACTGCTGGCGCTGCGATGACACGGGAGACGTCTAGAATCCTGATGCCAGCAAGTGGTCTGCATCCGTGTTGATCCGTTGTCTTCGGCCAAGGTTTGCGTGGCGCTGGTAGCCTCGTTGTGGTCCAGAGTGGCTCTTGTGCCATGATCTTGCCCTGCTCACTCGAGAAAAACTCCTCAGGAGTAAGGCAGACCACACCAGCCTGTCTGAACTGCTCGTTGGCAACCCTCTCGATCTCAGTCGAGTCCCATTGGGCGACCTTGTCGGCATAGATCTTAATCGCACCTTCCGGACTCACATCGACATCCTGTACACCCAGCATTTTCATTGTTGGCTCTGCGTTCATAGAGCCATGGAGGTGATACCAGCGACCATCTTTCGTCTGGTACACACCGGTTGCATAACTCCTAATGGGCTTTGCTGAGTTATGGAGATCCATCTTCGCGAGCTCTTTAGCCATATGAGGATGCCGCACAAACGGCTTACCCCCAATCGTAGGGAGCAACACCGACTCCAGAAACAGAGTTGCGACGTCAAGGTTGACTTCAACATTCTGGTATTCAATTCCATATCTCTCTGCCGCTGCTACATTGCCAGCTGTGGCTACAAGAGCAGTAAGGGACGCACTCGATTCAGTGATCTTCAGTGGCGTGAGAACAAAGGGTTGGTCATCGCCTCCACAGAATTTGACCTTTTTTGCAGCCTCAACGAATTCCGGAGGAAAGGAGAGATCGGTATCGGTAAGCAGAACTTCATTAAAGATTCGAGAAGTCTCTTTGATGAGTGAATAATCTAACATGATGTTTGCTATGACAGAGAAAATCGCTTCGGAGTAGTCGCCGTCAAAAGTAGGGGTCAGATTCCAGATTCCAGATTTCGCTCAGGACAACCTAGAAATCTCGAAGGCATGGTTAATGAAGACGCAAGCAGGATAAGTTATATAGAGGTACTCCGTACTTCATGAGGCCGGGGGCACCACATTATTGTGGCTCTGGGTCACTTCTCCCGTGGGGCGGTCCAGAGAACTACGCTCCTTGACAAGGCGAAGGAAGCCTGGTGAAAGGGAAGAGTTGTCACAACTCCGGTATCCTGACCAGATCCGTCGACCTACCTCATCGGTACGCTCAGTAGAAGTTTTATAGTTCGGAGTTTCGGGTCCGGAGTTCTCGGCTCAGATTGATGTATCATCCCCTCGATCCAAAAGTATTTAGACCTGGAAAACGGAATAACAGACCTCACTTGTCAGGTCACAAGGTTGTCGCGTGGCCGCCGGTCCGTGGTGGCCTATGTCAACGGAACAGCGACAATAAGAAAGGGCAGATATACCGTCTTTGGCGCGCACACTGCGGTGTCCCTGAAGTCTATCAATTCACTTTCTACTCCCCTCCAATGTCTTCGAATAGTAAATGGCGGGCTGGTTCCTTCGGGGTCCGTCCTGTGCGTGTAGCCAACTGCTCCGGCTACCATGGTGCGTCTCTTTCTCGTCGAGGAGCTGGGCGCTGAAGCTGACAAGAAGCTTTGAAGGAGATCCGGCGAGGGAAATGTACAAGCAGGCTTCTCTCGGCGAGGTCGACTTCATTACCGGGGACTATCTTGCTGGTAGGTACGATCCCTTGTTCAACCTCGGAGAGCGCGGACTGAATTTGAAACAGAGGTCAACATGGCCAACAACGCGGAAGCTTTCGCTCATGGAAAACATCCAGGATACGAAGAGACAGCCTGGACTGGCCTGCAACAGACAATCGATGTCATCGCCGAGAAGCGTATCAAGGTTGCCATCAACGGAGGAGCACTCTGTCCAGATGGCCTCGCTCTCAAAGTAGCCAGCCTGGTCTGTATCCGGCTGTGTCAAGCGAGGTGCACAATCCGCTGACATTGCCCAAGGTCAAAGAGAAAGGTTACAACTTGAAAGTTGCTTCAATCTCTGGTGACAATCTGCTCGGCAAACTCGACAAGCATATGCCTGCGCGAAAAGAAGAGGCACTTGCCCATCTTGACTCGATCAACCCCAACGTCAAGTTATCTTCCGAATCCTTTTTGTTCGCTAGAGAGAATGTCGGCCTCCCAGAGATTGTGTCTGCCAACGCTTATCTGGGTGCCCATTCCATTTTCGAGGCTTTTGAGAAAGGCGCCGATATCATCATATGCGGGAGAGTTTCCGACGCAAGCCCCGTGATCGCCTGTGCCTGGTACTGGTGGTCTTGGAGCATCACATCCTACGACGAATTGGCTGGAGCCCTCGTCGCCGGCCACTTGATCGAGTGCTCTGCCTACGTTACTGGAGGCAATTTCGCAGGCTTCGATTCTTTCCCGACTGATTCCTTCGTCGACCCTGGCTTCCCAGTTGCAGAAATTGCTAAGGACGGATCATGTGTTATTACCAAGCACCATGGCACCGGTGGCATGGTCACGTTGGACACTTGCAGGTCACAGCTGCTGTACGAGCTCCAGGGCAACGTCTACCTCCACAGTGACGTGAAGGCATACTTGGACGATGTCGTGGTGGAACAAGTAGGGCCTGACAGGTACGTCAACGCGCACTTTCGTACAGTCGCGCAGATACTGACAATGAACAGAGTCCATGTTTCCGGAATACGCGGTGCTCCGCCGCCACCCACCACCAAACTTGCCATCTTTTACAAGGGTGGCTATGAAATACAGGCGCTGATCAACGCTACGGGGTACGCAGTTGATAGAAAACTTGAGCTCTTCACCAAGCAGATTCGATACTACCTCAGCGACGACGCGTCGAGGCGACTTGACTTTCTTGAATTCCAGCCGTGAGTGTCTCATTTCCTTACGGTACAACCTCATAATAATTGCTGAGAGTTTCTCCAGGATTGGTGTCCCGGCAACAAACCCTTCTAATCAGAACAGTAGCACTGTTTACTTCCGTGTCTTCGCTCAATCAACCAGCGCCGAGTCTCTGTTGGCAATCGGGGCTTCTTTGCGCGATATATCGCTGAAGCACTTCTCTGGTAAGTCAATGAAACTATGAGTGGATGGCACAGGCGCTCACCTAAGACACAAATGAAGGCTTCCATAGTTCATTGGATATGCGCACGATGATTCCAAGGCCTTATCTGGCCTATTATCCTGCCCTCTGGCCTCAATTTGACCTCGAAGAACGGGTTCATATTGTATCGGAAGACGGCAGCCTCGAGTCTTTTGACACTACAAGGCCTCCGATGTTCGAAACCCTTGGTGAGCGCGAATCTTATGACACAAAGATGCCCGTCGAAATCAAGGGTCAGCTACGCAAGGCTCGGCTTGGTGACATCGCCCTCGGCCGCTCCGGGGATAAAGGTGCCAACTTAAATTTTGGCCTCTTCGTTCATACTCTGGAGGAATGGGAGTGGCTGCGCTCCTACATGTCCCGCGCGCGGTGTCAGGAGCTGCTGGGGGAAGACTGGCGGGATGACTTCGCCATCGAGCGGGTTGAGTTTCGCAAGATCTTTGCTGTACACTTTGTCGTATATGGTATTCTCGGTCGCGGCGTCAGTAGCTCAAAGCGGCTTGACGGATTTGGGAAGGGCTTCATCGACTATTTCCGAGACAAGGTCGTTGAGGTTCCGGCTTCAATTCTGACATGAATTTTCTAGTGAACTGGAATGATGGCTCCTCCTAAGAGAACAGGTTCCACACCGTGTTAGAATATGCGTCGGTCAAAGTAATATATACTACTACCACGCGGAGCGGAAATGCTCGAATAAGTTCGGTGCCACAGACTGTACAGTTATTCTCCAAGATGAAGCGCAACCTGATAATCTTTTTTGTATTCCGTACCCTAGTAGTTAAACTAAAGTTACAACGCGGCCCTCGTAGACAATACGTAGCTAAGGTCCACGCGCTGGGGATTATTGGACAAAGCCACGGTCACGTTGATTGTCTCGTGGCCGACAGCAGCCAGCGAGAATGGGAAGTGTTGCCAGGTCTGCGTATACCTGGGCAATTAGCAATTAGGCTCAATCTGTGTACCTTGCGGTTCAGGGCCGCCCTGAAGGTAGGGGTTCACCAGACATCTGCCCGATTGCTTGGACATGTCTCGGGGTGGCGAAGAAAGTAGACGTGAGCATTCGCAGGCTTTGACTGTCTGAGATGCTTCCGCAAACCTATGTGGAGTGAGGCCCTCGAGAGCTCCAGTGCGCAGCTTTTTTGGGTGTGCAGATAGACTCGTGCTTCCGATCTAAGAAATGGGAGATTGGACCAGACTCAGCCTCAGAAAAGACACGCAACACACCAATTGACAAGTAATAATAGAAGCAATCAAGATTGCGGCACTTGTCCCTGTCAAGAGCACGTTCATCACAACCGCGCACTACCGACACGATGACATCCCTCTGCAAGCTTCAAGAGAGCGAAAAAATCTCCAAGAACGAGGCTGCCGGAAGTGTAACCACGGCTTGGGGACGAGAGATCGACAGGGATCTCGGGATTGATTGCTTGGTGACCGATTGGATCGCCAAAGCTTTGAGATTTTTGGACGATCCGGCTCTCGCCCTCGCTTGAAGTTGCGCGTAGCCTCCATTGTGGTACGTGGCGGACAGGGAATCGGTGTCTGGTCAAACACTAGACCTGAGCGTGCTCGTACGAAACCGAGGCTCGTATGAGACGGAGCAGTAGGTAGTGTTGGGTTCTCCGTCGGTCGATACACTTTGCACAGCCTCTATAAAATTTGTGAGACATGCATGTTGGCTTGTGGCACGGTGGAAAGGTCGAGAAGAATTCAGGTGATCCGGACTGCGTTTGTTTGTGTGACCGTGTTGCATCAATTAGCAATAAAATTTGAGGTGCGTCGAGAATTTCGGGCTCAAGGGAGAGCAACGCCTGGCAGTGTTTCAGACTAGGTGTCAGTTGCAGCCATGGTGGGCGCCACAGCCGTTGGCACCCATGCACTGGGCCCCGGGAATCCAGGAGGAGGAGGATGGTGGACAGGGTGTTGGTGCCAACAAAGGGCGCAGGCAAAGGTCGCCGGTGGTTCGCAGGACGGTGAGTGGCTACGATGGCTGCGGTTCCTGAAATCTGCAAATATCTCTCGTCCACACGATCGCCGTTTCTCACCTCTTGCTCCAGTTTTTCCAGTTCCACCAACTTCCCCCATCGTCATCTCGATTTCAATCTGCAGCGAAAATATCATCACACTGCAGACGCATTGGGAATTCGGTCACGGATGCCGCAGGGTCAAGTGAAAGGGAAAAAAGCATGTGAGGAAGAGAGAGAGCATCGAGAGGCATACGAGCTCGTTTCATAATTCTATTCCATTCCACCACCAACATATTTCTTTGTACTCGCTCCCTCTACTTTCATTATTGTGCACATCGTAGCACGGCTCCTGAGACACTTCATCTGTCTCCATCTCCTTCTCCATCTTCTCGACGACGCTCGTAAATCACCACTCTCGTTGATCCATTGACCTCGATCGTCGCCCCCTTACCACATATTCAACTGCGTCCTCCCGTTTCCTCAAAACACACTCGCTTGACCTTTCGAATAGAACCGCACAGATCTCTGGGAGACTGCGTCCATCCATCACTTGCACATACACCTCTCTGGCAGAGTGTCCGCGTCTCTTCATCGGCTGCTGAGCAGATCATTTCTCTGGGGCTTCAGTGCCCACATTCTTCCCGCCTTCACTTGCTCCGCTCGTTGACATCACCCGCACAGACATGTCACAAAAGGGCCATCACGGATTCTCAAGAGAAGGATTTCAACCTCTCACTCACAAGACATCCAGAGACATGAACAACCCCAACGACATCACCATCGACATCCCCATGACCCGGGTCACCACTAACAATAGTGCTACCGGTGCCCGGAAGCAGGGCCTCTCCCCCAGTCGCGCGGACCAGAACACAGACTCAAGCGACGAGTTGGATGAAAAAGCTGGACGGCTCGACCACTTCCACAAAGGTCCGGAGGGAAGGCGGAGAAGATACAAAGACCAAGGGCTGGAGAACAAGACGCGTGAAGATGGCACATTGAACGCTGTTGGCAGGTTCTACAAGAAAATCTACAATGCCTCAGTCATCACTCGCTACTTCATCTATGTGGCCCCGCTGGCGTTGGCAATTGCAATTCCCATCATCGTTGGTGCCACTGCTGCTCCGAATGCACGCATTGGAGGAGTCAAAATCGTATGGTTCTTCTCATGGATTGAGGTTTTGTGGGTTTCTTTGTGGATTTCAAAGCTGCTGGCCAGATTCTTGCCCTATTTGTTCCAATTCTTCAGCGGCGTTGTCAGTTCTGGTACACGAAAGTATGCGTTGGTCCTTACCGCTCTGGAGATTCCCTTGTCTTTGGTGGGATGGGCAATCATCTCACTGAGTACATTCGTTCCTATCATGACCCTCAACCCCGACCAGAGAGCACGCGGAGAGACGGGCCTCAAAGACTGGGAATCCGTCGTCAAGAACATCCTCTTCGCCTGCTGGTTCTCATCTTTGCTCTTCCTGGCCGAGAAATTTCTTATCCAGCTCCTGTCCATCAGCTATCATCGCAAAACTTTCGACGACAGAATCAAAGAATCCAAACACAACATACACCTAATCACTTTACTCTACGATGCCTCACGGAAGATGTTCCCGATGTATTGTCGAGAGTTTTTAGAAGAGGATTACCTAATCAACGATACACTGGATCTCGCCGAAGCTAGTAAACGAACCAGTTTTCTTGGGGGCCACAAGAGATCTGGGTCTGCGACGCCCATGAGACTTATTCAGAACGTTGCTAGAGTGGGTGACAAGGTAACATCGGCCTTTGGGAACGTGGCCCAAGAGATCACCGGAAAGAAGGTCTTCAACCCGACATCGTCACATTCTGTCGTTGTGCAAGCACTTGAGAGGAAGCATTCCGCGGAGGCTCTGGCCAAGCGTATCTGGATGTCATGCGTCCTCGAAGGCAAAGACGCACTCGGCATTGAGGACTTGATTGACGTGCTTGGCTCAGATCATGAGGACGAAGCTCACGAAGCCTTCGACGCTCTCGACGTAGATGGCAACGGTGACATATCACTCGACGAGATGATCCTTCGTATCACAGAGTTTGGCCGACAACGTCAATCCATCGCAAGCAGCATGCACGACGTCGATCAAGCCATTCATGTGCTTGACAACCTTCTATGTACGGTGGTCTTCGTGGGCGTTATTTTCATCTTCGTTGCTTGGCTGAACAAAAGCTTCACAACCACCTTGGCGACTGCAGGCACAACGTTGCTCTCGCTGTCTTTTGTCTTTGCGGTCACTGCTCAGGAGGTTCTCGGTTCTTGCATCTTTTTGTTCGTCAAGCATCCGTTTGACGTTGGCGACCGGGTGGACATCTCGGATAATCAGTATGTCGTGGAACGCATGTCGCTATTGTACACTGTCTTCCGACGTATCAAAGACCAGAAGCGAACACAAGTTCCCAACATTGTTCTCAACGCCCAATGGATCGACAATGTTTCCCGCAGCAAAGCGATGCGGGAGCAGATTAGCATTTTCGTCAGCTTTGATACGACTTTTGAGGACATCGATCTTCTGAAGAAAGAGATGACCAACTTTGTCCGCGACAAGGATAACGCGCGTGACTTCCAACCGGACCTCGACATTGAAGTCCTGGACGTGGCTGATCAGAGCAAGATGGAGTTGAGAGTTGAGATTCGTCACAAGTCGAATTGGGCCAACGAATCAGTGCGAGCGGCTAGACGAAGCAAGTTTATGTGTGCGCTTACTCTGGCCTTGCGGAAGATCCCCATCTATGGGCCTGGGGGTGGTGGTCCGGCAGCTGGTGACAAAGCTAATCCGACGTACTCTGTCGCTATCACCGACGAGGTTGCCGCCAAGAACAAGGAAGAGTTCGATGAGGCCAAAGATAAGGCCAGACTGGTGCCTTTGAAGTCACTTCACCGCGAACAGAGCAACCTGAAAAAGACCGACTCCGACGGCAAAGACTACTTGGGTATGTCAACAGGTGTGGAAGCCACGGAAGCCGCCGCGGTCGATCACTTGACAAGGCGAGAGGTTGCGGTCGATCCCGCAGAACCTCTCGACGAGCACCAAGAACTCGTCCTCAACAAGCAGCGCACGCAGGATGTGGAGGAAATCAAAAATCTGCTGAAGCGCGAGTCAACGACTGGCCGCCGCCGTGCAGCTCGCCACAGTGGTCTCTCGGTGCAAGACAGCAATGATCCTTCCATGTTGGGCTCTCGCACTATTCCGAACTTTGCTGGACCCTCGCCACAGGTTCCCGTCGATGGTTTCCAGCCAGAGAGAGTCAGTTACTTCGAAGACACAAACCAGCCAATGACTCACCCGACTGCATCCCAGTCAGACTGGACTAATGTTGCTCCGTTGAACTATGGCCAGCAACCTTATCGACCCTCGGGCCCTCCAGCCTCTGCGTCTCCGGCAGCAAGTGCGCCTAATTCCAGTCGCTTTGTGGCCGGCAATGCCTTCTCCCAACAATTGCATTCCCCTCCGCAAGTAAGCCGAGTACCGGTGCCGGGAATGCCAGAACTCAAGAAAAACCTAACCCAAAGCCCTCAACGATAGTGGCGGTTAGTTCCACAGCGATGAGACACATGATTCGAAAATGAAATTGGACGGCGTTGCCTAGGCGTGGCGACGATAGACGCGGCAGGGCTACTATGGAATGATCGGCTTCGAATTCTCAAAAGAGATTTAAGAAAGAAAAGCTTTATATTAGTGGAAGATGTAAATTCGTGGATTGCTAGTGTCTGATGTCTAAAGATATTCTGGCTACGTGCCAGACAAAATCCGACAGCGGTGTCAGCAGTAAGATAGCTGGAGTGAATGTCCCAAAATGGCGTTAATTCTTCCCATCTGACATTGATCATAATCATCGGTTTCCAATAGAGTAGATTAAAAGTACAAGGTGTATATGTATCAAGGCTATGCTTACAAGAACGAAGTGGAGGATGTTGACTTGATGCGTATCATGCCTGCTCGGCTCCCTTAATATCTCACAAACACTCCAGACACCAACCTCGAACGGCCACTTCCACTGCCCGAAGGTTGATCACTCTTCTCCTTGCCCTGGCTTCTTGTTCCTTGCGATGCCTGGCGGGAGGTGGAAGTGCTCCCTGCAGCATAGGATCTCGATGTATCCGCTCCTCGTCGATCATGCGCAGGCGACGTCGCGCTGTCTCTGCCGGACTGGGACGCTCCGGCCGCTCGAGACTGAGACTGGCCGCCGCTACTCATTGCTCTTTCTTTGCCTTTGCTCGTGTTCCTGGGGTCGTATGCCGGACTTGTCGTTCTTTGTGGACTGTGGCTTGGTGATCTGCGGTCACTCCAAAAGCCAGGGTCTTCCAGGGAAAACTCGTCAGGAATGGTGTCTTCTTCCGGGACGAACGACGTCGTGCGATGAAAATTCCCTGAGCGGCTGCCTGTCGAGGACTTTCTGGACTCGGTGGATGCTCGAGATCCTGACCTCCTCCGGTGTTCCTGGTGCGACTGTTTGTCGTATGATGCAGTTCGCTTTGGTGGTCTCTCTTCCATAACAATCAATCCTGAAAGAAGAATGCACTTTGTCTATCAGCCACAAGATGCTATGTGCTGATTGCAAAGCATGGGGATGCTGCAACTCCACCCTTTATACCAATTCCCAGGGGTACGTCCTCGTCAACACTTCTGAAGCCTGAGAGGATGTCGGGCCTGAGTTCATCCCCTGTCCGCTCGAGACACAGCTCTGATTGATTATCCCAAAAGTACAAAACACAGTGGCCGTATCAGACATGCATGCGAGGGAATGCGAATCCTCCGACACACGCACCCAGTGGTCCTATACACAATTTGCCACGTTGTTCCTATCCAAAGGTCCAGAGGTGGCAAACATGGACAAGCAGGGTGTGCCCAGGGTTGGTTATATACATATACGGGCATTGGTCCAATGCAAAAGGCGCTATCCTGAGCCTTTGCCGTAAACACCAACTTTCGCGAGCAACTCAGCCATTTGCATCATCATCATCATCATCCATCCATCAAGCGGAGCGAACCGACCGTCTCGCAAGCCTGCCAGGGTCCATTTGAGAGCAAGAAGCAGTCATGGGCTGAAGGTTGGCGTTACAGTGATAGCCGTTTCGGAGAATTAGCACAGTCATCTCTTGCGTTTTGACACAACAATGTCGGTTTCTCAAGGCTTCATCGACTCATAAAGAGAGCCTACGCTATCCGAGATTGGGTATTATTGGATCCCTGCAACACGCCGGTCGGTCCTTAAGGGCCGAAGATTGGACGATCCGACTACAAGCGAAAGTCTGTCAAGCCGCAATGGAGCGCCGCCTCGTGGGGATGCAATACTTGTGACTTGTCCTAAACGACATTTGCCGGCCCGGGCTTTTCTCGACTTTCCCGATCCTCAAGGCTGCGAGATTAATACGTTGCGAAATATTATCTTGCTGCCTACATTTTTTGCATAGCCAGCTTTTCGACAGGCGAACTAGCTACCGCAAGCGTCAGATGACTGACCCCTTTCGGATTCCCTGGTCTCTCCGGCCGCGCGAACTCGCCAAACAGTGAGTGCCCCAGTTTAGCATTACTAGACATCATACGGAGCACAAGTGCAAGCACGATCGCTTGAGGACCCCAATCTACGTTTCCAATCAAACCTACTAGGCTCACTAGGCTAGGCGACCATATCCGATTGCTGAATAATGGCTGAGATCACTCTCGGGTCTGGGCCTGTTTGCTTGCACGGTTGTGAGTAATAAATGCTCCAACGGGTTCGTTGTATTATGAACTGACCTACTACCTAGGCGCCCTCTGCTCGTACGGCCCCGCGACTCGTAGGGAGGACCCCAGGGACGAGATAACGGGGATGCTGTGGTTTCTCGTCCTCCTCGTCCCCGTCCCCCGTCCTCGTCCTCGTCCTCGTCTACGAGTGGTTCGGTGGGCTATTATTATTGATTTCTGCCTGGTGAGCCCTGGTCAAGCTGTCCCCTCGTCTAACCCATGCACATGTACTTTACTCTCTTGAACATCGAATCCACCTCTCAAGTGGATAGCCCTATTAGGCAGGTCCTATAAGTTCGTAATCGCCTACAGCCTGCGCCTTCAGACTGCAGAGTGGCAGTTATTTTATCACCTCGGTGATGGTGCTAGTTGACTAGTCTTGCCCGGGCCAAGGTGGGTGGGTGAGTGAGTGAGTCTTTTTGCGATATCTCTCGTCCCATCACACATCCCATCTCCACGTGGTGCCACATTTCCCGCGTGCGCGGCGTGCAGTCATATCGTATCGCGTACACCTCCCCCCATTCTGCAATGCGTGTCCTACCCCAAATAGCGTGCCACGCGTGGGCTGAAAGTCTGCCTTGCCTGCCCAGGGCGTCTTTGTGCTAAAAAAAAAATTCCCTCGACTTGGGGAACAATCAAACGACTGGGAGAAATTCCCCCAGATCGATGCGCGCCGTGCCAATTTTGGGTATACCTATTGTTAGTTAGTTAGTGAGTGATTGACCGATCCATTGATCCATTGATCCGTTGATTGTTTTTTGAGTCACGTTGACACACTCTTTTTATGTCATTATGATAAATTTGAAGGTGCACCTTGCGTCGCTGTCAAACTTCCATCATCTTAAGAAATGCCGGTGATCCTTCTCGTAAAAATCCCACCCCTCAGTTCGAGAGAGCACGAGGAACGGAGGGTACTACTTTTGGGTAATGTACTGGCGCCAACAATCTCGATGGAAATAAAAACGCCAAAAAGACGTTCTTTGACTGTGTTTTGGCATCTTGGGCTCGGCCTTACCGAGCACGGGGCTCTCGTTAGTATTTTGGGTGGACTGTGTGATGGAAACCTCCGTCTTCCTTTTCCTCCTGAAACTCTTCGTTTCGTCCCCCCTCCTCAAGAACCCAGTTCTTCTGTACATAAATGTAGATAATGCCTTCCCCTTCTCACTAGATTTTCATTGATGTGGACTTTCATGGCTCTCATAGCCGCCCTGCATGCACCTACGGCCGGCTCTGCCGTGGTACCAACAGCTTCTACTTGCTGAGCAGCACCCTCGAACTCATAGGCTTTCGTTCTCGAACCAAGGTCAACATTCTTCGGTCCAGCAACACAAACATGACCTTGGAAGAAGTTTGCTTGCCCGCAGGACTTGGATGCGTTGATAGAGTTGGATGATCTCTTGAGCCAAATTCTCCTTGCTACTTTATATGTTTAGAGGATCTCTTGTCTTATACCCGTACGCCTGCCAGCTCTCCAAGACCTTTTTCTTGATCTGTTCCGGAAAAGACGAACGGAAAGAAGCTTCAACCCAAGGCCGGTCCAAAGTCTTGAATTCCCCCGGCAACATGCACAATCTAACAACTTTGGCTTGCGGCTCGTTAGTGTTGAGGCCGTAAGTGGCATATGGTACTAGCTTGTAGATTGGATAGTTGCCTACAAAGAAGAAGTCGCTGTCCTGTGGCGGCGACTTGGTCGCTTCCGCCCAGACGACCTCATGCAAGTCGCTAGGGTCGATGTTGTCGCCAACAACGAAGATTTTTGGAACAAAACGGCCAGGCTTGGAGGAAAAAACGATTTCTCCAATCTGGCGATAAAATATCTTAGGCGTAGTCTTCATCTGAACGAGCCTTTTACGATCGACCTGGACTATGTACCAGATAGCCTGGGACTTGTATGGACATTAGGCCTTGGTGATGGGTAAACCTTGCTGCTGCAATAAGTCGAGAATTTCAGCGCAGATCGTCAAAGCCCACACGGTATGAGTTTTATCTGGAGCACGGTCTGCTATGGATATCGGAACGATCGGGTTGCTTTGATAGGTAATCGCATTGACTATAAATATCGGCTCCGACGCTTTCTTAGTTAGGAAGAGGAAGCCGTGATATTCTCCCATGGGCCCTTAATCGCCGTCTCGTTGACGGAGATAGTTTCTTTAAGGACTACCTTAGATTCTACTGGAATGACTAGGCTGTTTGTCTTACACTTAATAATCTGTATAGGAACGCCTGTGATAGTATCAATATAATTGGGCTCGTTTATATATTTAGGGAGTGGTATATCACTAGCCACGGCCTTGGGTGAATTTTTAGTTAGCACTCTTGGTCAAAGTTTAGACTACTATACAATATAGGTAGTAGTATATAGCGCTATCCCAAATAAATCAAAAACAAGGACGAGAACTTACAGCTACTGACAGAACACCGAGAGCGCAAGCCTAAGGAGTGTTCTTCTCTTGAGCCTTCCACATCGACTAGATAGCGCTAATATCTTGATTCATGTCCACGAGGCCGGTCAATTATTGTTTACCGATCACTATATAACGGGTGATGGCCTAATTCACTCATTTCCTGTCTAGACTTTAAACACTGTGTAGTCTATATGTAAGAAAGTATCTATCTCTGTCGAGTTTGTGGTTTTATGAAATTAGCAGCTTAAGAAGGTTAATTTCATCACTAAAGATCTTGTGCTCCTTGACTGGTGCCTCGTGAACTTCAACAGATGGAATAGGGTCGGCCCTTTTGGACCGTATAAGCTTCTGGATGATTTCATGTCCACTGGCGTTGGAAGGCAGCCCAATGGACTTTGCAAAACGAGCATATCTCTCTGTGCGGTCGCTTCGAACTCCCACTGGAGCACCGAGAATACGGAAGAGACCGTCTGGACCATCTTTACCCTTGGGATTGTTGATGAGTGGCATTGGGCTGCCTGTTTTGTATGCGCGGCGAGTGATGGCACCAGACTCGAGATGGAGATCAACTTCCAGGTCAATTTCCACCACATCTCCCTCCGCTTTGCATTCTTCAAGGAAGGTACGCAAGGATAGAGCAGCAGAGGGCTTTGCTGTAGCCATGTTTTGATACCGGGTCCTGGGAATAACAGAAAGGCCTATGAGAAAAATGATTCGTTCGCCTTGATGTCTTGCGATAATTATCTGTGCCACCGCCTTCACAATAACACTTAGTCTCTGAAGTCGAGGTTGTAGAATAAAATTGTTTCATCTTAACCTTTATTGGGGTTCTTGCTATTATACTTGCACGGTGTTTCTCACATGCGACTTTTCATGTAAAGAATGCTTTCGGGGAGATAGGAAACATAGAGATGTTCGCCGGACATAGGCCTTTTAGATGCCGATAGTATTTCGAATCTTCATTACCGAAGTCCACCTTTCTAGCAAAGGCCGTGTGTTTTCATTGCTCGCCCCTTTCCTAAGTCCCCGAACCCCTACTTTCCGTCCGAGAAGCCATGATCGTTCTGTACATTAGCACTGCCCATGCCATTTACAGCTTGAAACTGTTGAACAGGCTGAGTTGTGACGGTGTCATTACAACCCCCATACTCGCGCCGAACGCCTCCGAGGAACTCCGCCGCCTAGAACGCTCCTTATTGCGCATTTCGCAACACTCTTTTCATAACTATCGAGTCACTCATTGAACTATATCATGTTGACAGCAATATATAGGCCGGTCTATTGCCAATTATTACCAATTATCGGAGCGCTTGTTGCAACCATTAAGGTTCACAAGGAAAGGGCGACTTGCGGCCTGTGATGAGGCAACGAAAGAGGCCTCGACCGGACAGAGAATAGTCGCTCCTTTTGCCTATATATATCATAGTCCTTGACCTTATAGTTATTGAGGTCAGACTCGTCAATACATCCCATTTAACTCCCATTGTGTGAGCGTTGCACGATAGTTATGAGCCCGGTTCCCGATTTCGCTTGAGACACCTGTCAGTTAGTGGTTTGATAAAGCCTCGTCATTGTAAGGCTAGCCAATCAAACACGTCAGACACGTCAAGTTCTCTACGCGCCACGCGCTTTAGGTATCCACTAGTAAAACCACGCATTTTACTATACTTCCTTTTCAGCAACCTCAATATATCGGAGTTAAATCCAGAGTCTCAACGAACGAAACCAATCACTATTACACTTTCCAAGTCTTCCGACTGGGATAACTGGTTCCTTGCCATCAAAGTATACGCTAAACAGCAAGGGATATGGGAATATGTCGATCCCGAGGTACTAGACCCTCCTGTCCTGAAGTATCTATCTATCCCGGATATCTATGATGCTAACTCAGGAGCTATATTATCCGGAACACTTGATGAATGACAAAAACTCAGCATCCGCTTTGTCGAAAGACAATGGGAGCATGATTGCAAGAAATATGAAGAGAAAACTAAGGTGATTAAGGCCCTAGGAAGTTAAATTATTGGAAGTCTCTCAATCGACTTTATGCAATTTCTGGAAGGAGATCACTCTCCGCACGCAATACTTCTTCGCCTCAAGCGAAGATTCGCTCCTGTTGAGAGATCGAGAGAACTAGACATTCTGACTAGATGGAAGAATATCTCCAAGACTCCGAAGACCTATCAACAGATCAATGACTAGCTAGATAAGTGGCTAAAGGTCTATAATGACGCTCGATGTCTAGATATATCTATCGCCGTAGGACGTTCTCCAATTTATGAATTCTTGCAAGTTGTCAAGTCACTTAACTCGATCTTCTCTATCACCGAAAATATGAAGGTGTTAAGCGGAGAATTTATCCCAGACTTTCATGAGTTGGTTGAGTCTTTCCGACGACTTAACAGCCTTGAGAAGGACTCCAAGAAAGGCTCTGTTCACTCGCATAACTCGTTTATATCCCTCGGAGATCAGAGAGCCGATAGCGACCCTCCGAAGTGCAGGATTTGCGACCTCTTCCACTGGTATACTTAATGTCCTTATATCGTTGAGTCAGTAAGGCCTTAAGGTTGGAAACCTGATCCTGCAAGGCAAGCCATTTACGAGGAAATGAAGAAGAACCCTGTTCATGCAAAGCGGTTCAAGCGGGCTATAGAAAGGGCCTCTAACTCCACTTCCTTATCTTCCTCCTCCTCCGCAAAGGAACAGAAAAAGAAGACGGTGTTCACAGCAACCATGGCTTATTCTGCCTCCGCTTATTCAGGGTTAACCAATAGGAGCCTGTATAACGAGTGGATTCTAGACTCAGGATCCGATGTTTATGTGTGCCGGCCTAATACACTAGGCTACGTTACGCAATGTTCTTCGCGCCCTAATGAGTCGCTAACTTGCGGCGTTGATAAGTATCCAATCGAGTCAATTGGGACAATCATCATTAACATGATGTCTTCTACAGGACCTACTCACATCGTTCTCACAGACGTTCTCTGTGTTCGAGGCTTCATGACTAAAGTGGTCTCATTATTAAGGATAGTAGCTAAGGGTATTCACTTCACAATCTAGGCGCCTCCCGGAATAGGAGGAATATTCATCCGAGACGGAACCCCAGTGGGTTATGTATATAACTATTATAACCACTTAACATTCACACCATGCGAACACACAGCATTCGCAACCACAACCACGCAACAACATAAGAAACTCAGTTATCCGGCCTCTACCTGGCATAAGATCTTAGGGCACCCTAGCCTAGACAGTGTCAAACATCTTCCGGATGCCGCCGAGGGAATACAAGTCACAAGAAATGACGCTCCCAGCATAGCGAAATACGAGACCTGTGTACTTGCAAAATCCAAACAATAGATCTCAAGAATCCTCCACAACAGCGAGGAACGAAGAGACGAACCACTAGGCCGAATAGCCTTTAACATTGTTCATTTCGCAAAGGGATGGGCCGCGGATCAATACATGAGCCACTTATGGGACTTTTATACCCATATGAACTATGTTTTCACACATAACAGTCGTTCCCAGGCAGAAGAACTTATTCTAGACTGGTTAGCGATGATCCGAACGCAATTCAACAAGACACCCGCATTCCTGCGTCTAGACAATGAAACAGCACTAAGCGATAATTTCTATAGCCAACTCCGCAGGCTAGGAATCACCGTCGAACACACAGCCCCTCACACTCCAGCCCAGAACGGGGCTGCGGAGCGTTCCGGGGGCATCATCACGCAAGTGGCTAGGGCACTCAAGGTTCAAGGCCATCTCCCTCACTTTTTATGGCCAGAACTAGTCAAAACGGCTGGCTATCTCATCAACAGGACCCCAATAAGGTCGCTGGGATGGAAAACACCCTATGAGGTGTCATATGGACGAAAACCTAGCCTCTCGCACCTTCACCTAATAGGTTGCAAAGCATTCGTCCACAACAAGCAAGTTCCTAGGCTTGAAAAGCTGGAGGACAGGGCTATAGTCGGCTGGTTAGTCGGCTATAATGCAAGGAATATCTGGCGTGTTTGGATACCTGTAAAACAAAGGATCCTTCGCTTCAGGGATGTGGTGTTTCATGATGATGCGTTTTATGATCCCACTAAGGTGCAGACCGCGGAGCAACTCCGTGCCCTTCCCCAGGAACTTATTGAGGTTCTTGACATTGAAGCCCTCGTTCTCGGCGACGACGTTGTGGAATCCTCCCCTGACTGGGATCCCCTTGCAGATCCTGATGATCCAGATACTATTATCGTCTCCCGCGGTTCATTATCTCAATTGCAAGTTGAGAAAGAAAGAACTCAAGCTGAGAGGGTGGAAATCGCCTTACCCACGCCACGCACAACGCCCGAGGCTAGCACAGCGCCTAGCGCGTCTAGTATTCAACAATCTAGAGTTGCAAACAGCCCTCAGCCTAGCACTCCTTCACAATCCCCTGCAATATCGAATACCCACGAGGCGTCGTCAGACCTCGCCAATCAGGTTGCGCCATTTTCGGTAACTACTCCGGATTCGGCAACTACTACCCGATTAGGCAACTCACGCGACGATGCTCCCACCACATCTCCACGTTCTAGTGAAATATCAGCCAACTTGGATGAGAATAACATCCTTCCATCTCACGAGCGACGTCGACGACAGCCGTCTAGGCGTCACCAGAATTATGCTATACAACTAGTAAGTGATCCTCACAATCTTCACGCATTTCACGCGGCATTTAGCGAGGCATTGAATGAACCGTAAAGGGTTTATAGAGACGACCTTTCTGCCGCGCCGCAGACCTATCGTTAAATGCTGGCACACCCGCACAGGCGCCAATTCAAGGCGGCCATGGACGTTGAATGGAGCCAAGTCTTTCAAAGCAACACAGTCAAACAAGTGGAACGTTCATGCGCCCAAGAAACGCAAGTCATTCCTCTTATGTGGGTGTTCACGTATAAATTCGATAACGACGGCTTCCTTGCTAAACACAAAGCGCGCATTTGCGCCCGCGGCGACTTGCAACGTTCTCAGGACGACACATATGCGGCAACCCTTGCACTCAAGACCTTTCGCGCACTCATGGCCATTGCCGCGTTCTTTGACCTCGAAATCTAGCAGGCCGACGCCGTCAACGCCTTCCTTAACTCACCCATAGAAAAGGAGGTCTACATTAAGTATCCTCAAGGTTATTCTAGGCCAGGAAAGATCTTGCGCCTCCTGAAAGCGCTCTATGGTTTGAAGGAATCTCCATTGTTGTGGTACAACACCTTCACTGCGGCGCTTAAGGAACTAGGACTTGCGGAGGTGCCCAACGTTAACTGTCTCTTCCAAGGCGAACAGGTTCTAGTCTTCTTTTATGTTGACGATATCATGATTCTTTATTACAAGAGCAAGACAAACGCATTTCACTCCCTAACACGCTGACTAGGAGAACGATTCAAGTTTCGCGTTCTCAACGACACCAATTGGTTCTGCGGCATTCGCATCCTGCGAGACCGCAACAACAGGACTATTCACCTATCGCTCGATTTATATATCGATAAAATTGTAGCCAAGTTTCATGTGCGACAACTTGACTATTTGCCTGATACTCCACTATCAACTAGTGAGTTGTAACCTCATGAAGGACAGGCCTCACCACAAGAGATCCATGTATATTAACAATGTGTTAGATCCATCTTATTTGCCTCATGCGCAACTAGGCTAGACGTCGCCTATGCTCACTCCAAACTAGCCCAATTCCTAGTCAACCCGTCGAGTGCGCACGCCAAGGCCGCGGATAGAGTGATTGCATATCTCTACCGCACGAAACACTTCTCCCTCACGTACAACAGTCAATCTGACCAATACTTTCTCTGCGCGTCGGACGCCTCCTTCGCCGACGACCCTGAGACTAGGAGAAGCTCCGATGGCTACATCCTGACGCTATTCAGAGAGCCCATTGACTGGAGGTCGGGGAAGCAAAAGACGGTCACAACGTCCTCCACCGAGGCTGAACTCCTTGCCCTCTTCAATGCGGCGAGCGAAATGATATGGTGGAAGAGAATGTTCGCTGACATCAATCTAGACCTTAAGGAGACCTCGCCCTTGCTCTCCGACAACTTGCAGACTATTTGACTGCTAATCAAGAACGAAAAGCTGTCTACAAGACTTCGTCATGTTGATATTTATCGGCATTGGCTTCGACAGGAGGTGCAACAAGGAAAGATCCACCTTGATTGGGCACCAACAAACGACATGATTGCCGACGGCCTCACGAAGGCCTTGCCTAGGCAAAAACACGAGGCTTTCATTAAGCAACTTAACCTCACTGACATCCAGGAAATGCTATCCTGATGTTTCCTCACCAACGACGACGGCATCATTTCCTGAGGGGGTGTGTTGAACAGGCTGAGTTGTGACGGTGTCATTATAACCCCCATACTCGCGCCGAACGCCTCCGAGGAACTCCGCCGCCTAGAACGCTCCTTATTGCGCATTTCGCAACACTCTTTTCATAACTATTGAGTCACTCATTGAACTATATCATGTTGACAGCAATATATAGGCCGGTCTATTGCCAATTATTACCAATTATCGGAGCGCTTGTTGCAACCATTAAGGTTCACAAGGAAAGGGCGACTTGCGGCCTGTGATGAGGCAACGAAAGAGGCCTCGACCGGACAGAGAATAGTCGCTCCTTTTGTCTATATATATCATAGTCCTTGACCTCATAGTTATTGAGGTCAGACTCGTCAATACATCCCATTTAACTCCCATTGTGTGAGCGTTGCACGATACATATACACACAAACACTACACAGACCATGCAGTGCTCAACTAGACGTCGTGATCAATGAAGAAGAAACAATTGGCAGTTCTCGCCCCAAAGATCAGAATCGAAACTGGACAGCATATAAAAAAGTCACAAGCAATCGTAGTGCATCCGCAGCCGCAGGTTGCTCTACCAGGCCTTGGATGGACTAGGTGGAAAGCCTGATCAAGCTTTTCCCGACACGCAGCAGTGTCTTGACATCGTCGTCGTCTGTAGTATGGAGACCATCGTCAGCCCCTGGCCAAAAAGAGTCCCACCACGCCCGCAAACTCTGGCAGTTACCGAGCGTGTTCCAGCCAGTCTCAAGCTTGATGTCATTCAACACCCGTAGGAGCGCTTCCCTTTCAGGTCGACCGACGAGTATCGTTCCGGCGCTGGACAACAACTGAACGGCGTTGGCCCAGGCGATGGGATGTCGATTCGCGATGCTATTCGACACGATCTTGCGGCTCAGACCGACAGCTTCTCTGCATACGGACTCGGACATGAGCCGGACGGCCCTCTCGGCGGGTGTCCTGTCTGGGAAGGCGAGGATGAGGAACAGACAAGCCAGATCCATCATCTGCGTTGCTGCACATGCCGCGGCCGACACGTATATTATCTGCCTGAAGGGCATCCGCGGATCCTTTGGGGGCAAGTCAATGATTGGGCGGAGAGCGATCGGACGGCTGCTCTCGTGTGTATCCAGAGAAGTGGACATTCCGTTCCATCTCTCTTCGAGCTCCGATTGCTCTGTCGAGGTACGCAAAGGCTGCCGCACGTCACAGAGTAAATTGTGCGTCTGAGCAAGGAGCACTACCACGTGGTTGCACCATGAGTCGAGGTCCCAGTCGTGAGCACGCTGGCGCGGAGGAGCCAGCGAAGTTCCATCGGGAAGCCAGCGTGATGGGTCAAGCAAAGTGTGTCGAGCCCTGGCTATGGCGGCCAGCAGGTCCATCCGACAGTAGACCCAGAAGCACGACTGGGCGACGCCTCCGGATCGCCCATGCCAGCCCTGGCTTGAGCACAGAGAGAAGGTGCCGCTCAGGTGCGTGTGCCAGTCGAGACTTTGGGCATCGATCATTTCGCAATACCCTATGAGCAAACAGGACGCAAATACCGCAGCATGCCCCGTCGTCGACTCGCTGCCATTGCCCTCGCCCTCGCCCAGGGCTCGCGTCAGCTCCTTCAGCCCGCGGTTGTACTGGTCGAGCGCGTAGATCGAGCTCTCTCCAGACACCAGGGAATACTGCTTTGAACAGCTTGCAATTATGGAGCGGAACAAGGACGGGTTGGACAACGACAGGTGTGGCACTGCGTGAGACCAGTGTCTGATGGTGTCGAACATGTCGAACCAGGGGCCGAGGATGTTGCAGTATCGCTCCATGAAGAACGCCTCGGTCGGGTCCGTGATGGGAGGATGATGATACAATGGGCCTGGACTGCCAGCCGACTCGGTTGGATGATGCTGGACCGTTGGTCCATTTCGTACACTGCCGCCATGCGACAGCTGAAATTCCCCTCCGCTCACATCTGAGGGCGACTTTGGGTCCGGGTCCAAGATTTCGTACCGTGATTCAATCCGGCGATTCTCTGAGACGAAGATGCCACTTATAACATTGTTGCCGGAAGAATTTCCCTTGAGAGCCGGTAGCGGAGGAAGACCGGCCTCTTGTGGTGACCATTCCATGAGACTGAAAGATTTTGGTGGGTATTCACATTGCAGGTCATCTTGCCAGCAGCGCTGACAGGGCTGTTCTCCGTCGCATCTGGAGTGTCGTCGTCGGCAATTGGCACAAGAGAGTTTCGTTCTTGATGCTGTTCCCCTCTTGGAGCGATTCATGAATATCTGGGTACCATCAGGTAGAAGATGGGTTTTGCGACGGAAGTTCGAGAGAGTGGAAAAATATGGAGTTGGTTGAGCACTGACATGGAAGCTGACTTGGCAGCATCCGAGTCTGTGACGCCAACAGGATGCCCACCCACTGCATCTTATCTACGGTACTTCCACCCTCCCTTGCGCCCGCATCGAGACTTGTCACAGAAACTACTAGATTTGCTCTCTCATTGACATTGTGCCCAGCTCGGCTCAAAATGACACCGGAACTCCAAACTACGTGCACTACTCCTATCTAATGATGGCCATTGACTCCATTTGCCCCATTTGCCGTTGGTCGCACAATTTCCATCTCCAGCACAGGATCCATTCTCTTCTCCAGTGGATAGCTACCCCAGAAATCTTGAACATGCTTCATCAGGCGGTGATATGCCAGCCCTGACCCAGGCTGGATATGACCGATGATGCCAGCTCTCGAAGACTCGACTCTCTGGGGCACAACCAACGATCGGCCTAGGATGCACTCGAGACCTTTGAAGCCGAAGCTCATTGCCTCCCGCGACCCTGTCGGAACACCCAGCTCATCGAGGAACGCGATTTTGGTGTTGGGCATCCGCTCTCGTAGATAGTTGATAATGTTCGGGTTGTAAGATCCTCCGCCACCAAGGTAGATCTCGTCAATCCCGCCTTTCGGGCCCCATTTCTCGTAGGCATCAGCTAGAGCCTTCGCAGTGATTCGAGTTATAGTGGCCACACAATCTTCTGGGCTCGCGCCCTTTGCCAGCATGCGTTCGCAGATGTCTTCGCCCATTGTGTCGCCAAAGGTCTCCCGGCCCGTTGTCTTGGGGATATCATGCACGAAATAAGGACCGGCCAACACCTCGTCGACAATTGATTGATCTACTTTCCCGGCAGCGCCCATCTTGCCATCCTTGTCGTATTGCTGCTTCCCATTTGTGAAGTAGCGGACAGCAGCATCGATGAAAACATTTCCCGGGCCGGTATCGAAGTCGTAGCCTTGTTGAATGTCACCTTTCGGTAGCATCGTGATGTTGGCGATGCCACCAATGTTTTGCACAGCTCGGTTCTTGGTCGGGTGTGTGGCAGATAGTCCATCCCATGCCACGAACAAGGGGCAGCCTTGTCTTCCAAGAGCCATGTCACTGACACGGAAGTTTGAAAGACTGGTGATACCCGTTTTCGCAGCGATGATCGAGATCTCTGCCATGTCAAGGTGAGCCCGTTGTGGGTTCCCCTCGAACATCTCGGGGAGAGGCAGATGCCATATTGTCTGACCTTGACCGGCGATGATGTCCACATCATTCTCCAAACTGAAACCTTGTTCCTGGGAAAATTGAATGATGGCGTTGGCGGCGAACTCTCCCAATTGGATGTTGACAATCGAAATCTCTTCGGGTGTTGTTTTATTTTCCTTGATAAGTCTCATAACTCTCTTCTTGAGGTCGCCGTCGAAGGGCACCTCTCCCGCATGCAGTAGCTGCATTTTGAGCGGGCTGGTTGGACTGTCTTGTGTGAAGTGCATATGTACAACGTCGAGACCGTCCATGGAGGTTCCGGCATTGGTGCCGATGACCTTCAAGCTCAACGGCTTGCCTGTCCATTCGGAGATGGCCATGATGATTGGGGAATGAGTAAAGGAACAAAAGCAACGCAGAGAAATCGACAGCGGCAAAGATCTGGCTTTAGGGAGAAGTCTCAGGGCAGGGAGGGAGTGTGCTCTTTCACCTTATATATGCGAATTCATTGAAGACCCGGACCTGCCAGACACCCGACCCGCAGGGTCATCGTCTATGGCGAAGGCCACGAGCATGCTTCCGATGTTGTATTAGATGGAACCCTGAGGGTGCACGAGGTTGAGATTGCGCGGTTCAGACGCCCTGTGGAACTGAGGTTGCCACTGTCCGGACAGCACGAAACAGGCAATTGTCCAGGAAGGAAAGAGATTCCGGCAACAGAGTTTCGCCCGTGCGCTTGAGATCCATCGACTCATTGTGGAGGCCCCGAGAATTGCCCAACACTTGTAAGCGAACCCGCGTCCCATATTCCCCAGAGAAAGGTCGATGTGGTCAGATATTTGTTGTGTCTTCTCACAGGCCACACTATGCTCGCTTCACCTGAGTGACTGAGGATCTATGCCAGCCTTGCTTCACACCTCGAGACCCACCAAGAACCATTCACTCACCACCGAATATTCAGATGATATCAATTAAACCCGTGAAATTATCCCCAACACCAAGACCCCGCAGTGATGGCTCAGGTTAAAACCACATGGCTATGTGGTGGACGTCCATTCACTGCGGCGAGCAAGGAACCACGAGGGCCGCGGGCGAGTAAAGGAAGAAAAAGGCCGCGGGTTCGAATCCCCGACCGTTCGAAAAGATTATTCGCCAGGTAATTAATTCGTCCAGCTCCTGTAGAAAAGACTTCACTAACATAATTACAGATCAAAAGCTTTATCGCACTCAAATCTCTGTGAGTTTCAAGCCTGGTTCCACTAAAGTTCTATAGGCATCAATCGATCTACTACTATCCATCTCTCTCTGAATTTCTCCTACACTAAGTACCCACAACATAAAAAGATTCGACTTTCGAATTTTTTTTTTCTCAAGCCACAAGTGTTCTCTTGATGTCAGAAACAGTTACACCTCTCCCTCAACTGGAGCCCGCTACCCATGTTCGTGTTTGTACTTCGATGAGCTCTTCGCCACTCTCCAGAACGTGGAGACCGCAATGCATTTCCTTCCGGAGTAATATGTGGACCCGAGCGGCAACTTGGACATACACCACGGGGTCCCCAGTACTCAGACCTCCGCGTATGGGCCGAGATGTGTTTGCGTGGACTTAGCAACAGCTATGCGTCGTCTATATAAATCATGGACACCTCCAGAGCGAGAACATCCATTTTCCCTCATCAGCTGCCTTTTCACAGTCGACCGACTACCGCCGTAGCCCTGTCCCAGTTCTCTCCCGTGGATCAAACCGCTACAGCCTTCAAAATGGGGCTCAGCGACATGAAGTTCACCCCTTACACCTCGGCCATGGGCCTGAGTGGCCTGCGTCTGCAGTTTGCCATCGCCACGATTGCCACCTGCGCCTTTTGGCTCTTTGGTTACGACATGTCCATCATGGGAGGGCTCATCACAGAAGAGCCGTTCCTGTCCGTCTTTCCGGAGACCAAGGACGCAACCATCCAGGGCATTGTCATAGCCACGCTCGAACTTGGCGCCCTCTTTGGCGCCATCCTCTGTATGTTCTACGGTGACAGATGGGGAAGGAGAGGCACCGTCTTCGTGGGGATGTTGTTCATGTTGGTCGGCGGCATACTACAGGCGTCGGCATGGCATATTGCGCAAATGGTGGTCGGGCGCTTCTTGTCGGGCGTCGGCTTGGGCCTGCAAGTCGCGACCATCCCCGCGTGGCAGTCTGAGTGCGCCAAACCAAAGTCTCGAGGTCGATGGGTCATGATCGAAGGTGGTCTCCAGACCTCTGGCGTCGCTTGCGGCCAGTGGGTCGGTCTCGGGTTCTTCTACACCAGCGGCCAGGTACAATGGCGTGCCCCTGTCGCCCTCCAGCTGGTTCCGGCTGCGATCGTCTTCTTCTTCATCATGTTCCTCCCTGAAAGGTACAAACCCACACACACACCCGTCTATATTCTGTCCTCTTATGGCTTCTTGTTACTAACCTCACCTCCAGTCCTCGCTGGCTAGTCTCTCACGGTCGTTTCTCTGAAGGCAAAGAGGTCCTCTCCAAACTCCGCAACTTGGACGAGTCGCACCCGGACCTCGTTGCAGAGTTTGCCGGCATCATGGCCAGCCACGAGGCTCAAAAGGCCGAAGCCCCCTTCGCTTACAAGGAACTCTTGCAAAACGGCAAGACCCAGACCTTCCGCCGCATGCTGCTGGGGGTGTTCGTCAACGCCGCCCAGCAGCTCTCCGGCATCAACATGGTCTCCACCTACGCCAACCAGATCCTCTCGACCAGTTTCGACCTGAGTCCGGGCACGTCCCACCTCATTGCGGCTTGCGGCGGTACCGAATACGCTCTCTGCTCTCTCCTCGCCGTGTTCCTGATTGAAGGTCTGGGACGCCGCAAAGCTTTCATGTGGACCGCGACCGGCATGGCGGCTTGCTTTGTCGTCATCCCGATCCTGCTGTCGACCAGCTCCCGATCGAACCAACTGGCTGGCGCTGGTCTCCTTTTCCTCTTCAACACCTTTTTCGGTAAGTTCGACTCTCTTGTGGTTGGATGGCACTACTTCTGCCGCTGCCACTGCTGCTGCTGCTTCTGCTGTTTTTTTCCCCCTTCTCAAGCTCCCCCTTCCCCTTTTGAACCGCCGAGCCGAGCCGAGCTGAGATAACGTACGGCCGTGTGAATGAACACTGACTGGTCTGTTTTGTTTCTGCGCCACAGGTCTCGCCTGGGTCGGCGGTCCGTTTCTGTACGCCGCAGAGATCGCACCCCTCCGGGCCCGGGCGCCGTCGGCCGCGCTGGGTTCGGTCAGCAACTGGACCTGCTGCTTCCTGGTGGTCATGACCATCCCGGCGTCGTTCGCGAACCTCGGCTGGAGGACGTACATCTACTACGCCGTCTTCAACGCCGTCTTCGTCCCCGTCATCTACTTCTTCCTGGTCGAGACCAAGGGCCGGTCGCTCGAGGAGCTGGACGTCATCTTCGCGACCCCCGGCGACCCGGTCAAGAACGAGAAACGTCTCCCCCACGACATCTCCGTCCGGGACGCGAAGGTGGCGCTGGGCCTGGAGGACCACGCCCTCGCCCTCGGCGACCTCGACGACGACGCCGCCGTCGCGAGATCGGACAAGGAGATCGAGGAGGTCGCACAGGTACACACGGTGGAGAAGAGGGCCTACTGAGCTAGCTTTACTCAACCCCTGTCGGCTACCCACCTCCCTGACCAGTCAGTAGTACTCCGTACTATCCATCATCTGGTCAAAACCAAACCAAAACTACCTACTGGAGCTGCCCCCAAAGGCCATTGTCGACGAATCAGATTCCCAAAGGCGGCGGCGACGGCGGCACAGCATTGATATAGTTAAACACCATCAAAGAAAAAACTATCATTAATGAACATTATTCTAGATTCTAAAATGTAATGCGATGCAAGGCAATGCACAAAGCGGCCTCTTAGGGGGGGGAAAGAATCGAATCGTATGGCAACTCCGTACCGCGAGCAAATAACCCGCTCGGTCCCATTGCCATCCCTGTGTAATGTTGAAGGTGGACGAATGGTCCTGAAGCCACAGTCTAATGCAACTTCCCATAAAACCCTTGAAGATGTTTCACATGTCCAGGTGCCAGTTTGCCCAAACCATGACCCCGACCCCGTCGTCAAAATACCAGATACTAGTTGCGCCCGTGGCCGATGGCTCCTACGACGCTATAACAAAACTCCAAAGACACCCGCTCCACCTTGCCAATCAAAACTTCTCCATGAAACTCTTTCGGACAGTCCACATCCTCGCTCTTTTGCCATAAATGTACATTGGGATAGTGCTGATTAGGCAAATGACCTGGATGGCTCCAATGGCCAAGAACGTGGTTCGTGGCCCATCGGCCTCTAACCAGTCCGCAAAGAACAAGCTAAACACTAAGCCGTGAAAGATGTTCTTGCTGAAATTCAGAGTCACCAACGCCTCACCGGCATATTGTCTATAGCTGTCGACGCAAAAGGTGATGGACGTCGTGCTCCCCAGGGAACAACCGAAAGAAATCAATCCAAAAAAGATGGTCGGCACGATCCAGTTGTCCCGCTCTTGCGCCGACCAGCCGTAACCCATCAATCCAATCGCCGTTGTGATGGCAATAGGTATGCCCATGACAAGTCGAAATTCGGGTTCGTACACGCCACCGTTCTTCCGGGCCATGTATCGAACAATGATATCCGACACTTTACCGGCAACTGCAGTACCGAGAACACCCCCGATAAACGGAGAAATATAGACCAGTCCGGCCTGTAAGGAAGTGAAATTGTACGATTCGCGATTCTTGTAGATGGCCGTTATCGACTCAGACAACACGATCAGCCAGCCAACCGACAGTGAGTATACAAGTGCCGACCAGAGCACGCTAGGATAGGCATAGAGAATGAACGGCCGACAAGCCACCAAGAACCAATTGGATTTTGAAAGTCTTCCATTCCACGGCTTGAGTGTGTCAAGGTAAGTCTTTGGAGGTGCATGACGAAGAGTCGTCGTGTATCGTCCGAGTTTGAGACTGTCACTCGGAAAATACCCGTCGGCTGTCCTCGACTTTTCCGAAGTAGCAGGGCTCTGAGAGGCAGTCACAGGTATCGAAACCGCGTTAGGAGCGGTTCCTGGTATGGCGTCCTGTTGTGCTGCGCCATCTGCCCTTGCTGGTTGGGTAGTGGGGGTGATGCGGCCGCCGAGATAGTCGTTGTTCTTCTCCAACGCCACATAGTAGGGCGAATTGAGGGAATGCAGATGCGGAACTGAAGATCCTCTGGCTTTTGCCACGGCTTCTGGTTCAACGATGACTGGATCGCCCGGAGAAGTACGAGGTGCCCTGGTCGGAGTGTTGTCACCATTGCTTCCATCAGCCCCATGTGTTGGCAAGCCATGTAGAACCGGTGGTGGTGGCATAGATAGTCCAGTAGGCTTAGGCCTTCTCCGTCCTGACGTTTCTGTTACTGGTTCACTCGTCTGGACGTCGTCGAGTCCGCTCTCCTCTTTCTCGTCACAGGATCCGGAGGCGGTGCTTCCTTCTGAGATGGGTTGCTTTGTCTCTTCTGTGTAACGAGCATGATCTATGGCTTCGGACTGTGCATTTATGGATGTGTTACTCTCTTCGTCAAGTTTGGTATCGCTGGCCGAATCTTCGAATCTAGCATGGACATTTTGCTCATGCAGCATGTATTGCCTAGGTGTCATTGTCTTCTCAATGGCCGCTTGTAAAGCCGCTGGATCAGCCGAGTTCGGATGTTGTTCGTGTGACTTCGCATCGGTCAAGGGGTGACGAAAGATGCTGGACAAACTTCGCTGGTGAGTTGGCCTCCTTGACTTGGCTCTGGGCGTCCGGTCCCAGAACGTCTCCGGCACGAACAAGAATAGCAGGCAGAAGCAGAAACCCACTACCATGGTGACAACCCTGTAGACGGTGAGATCGTGGCTGACACGGCGTGGTTCGAGAACTTACCAAAAGACCCATCTCCAATCTTTGGCACCAATGATGACAGCACTGACCAATGGCACCAAATTCTTCCCACCCAGGAGAAGTAGGGTATAAATGCCGACCCGAAAGGCGCGTTCGTGCAAGAAGAAGATCTCCGCGATGGTGGCCGAGGGCAGACATTCCACCGGACTGACAGAAATGCCCTGGAACACTCTGGCCGTGGCGAGTTGAGCGTAGCTGGGAGCCACCGCACACCAGACAGAGGTGACCATGAACATGATGGCAGAGGCCAGGTACACGGGGCGTTTACCCCAGAGGATGGCTGTAGGGGAGAAGATGACACTCCCAACACCGAGGCCCATCATGTAGAATCCTGTGGTCAAGGCCACCCTCGAGTAAGACACGTGGTAAGTCTCGGCAACGTTGTTGAAGCCGGCGGCCAGAATCGGGGTGATTCCTCCGCCAACCATACAGTAGAAGCCAAGGGACAGCAAGGCCACGTCCCTTCTCCATGCCGGCCAGTTCAGCGGGTCGTTCAAGGAGTCGTCTGGCTGCGGATCCAAAATGAATTGGCCATCTCTTGTCTTTTTCTGGGTCGGGTACGAGGGACGTCTCAAGGGAGGAGTGAGAGGCTGCGCAGGCATGGAGGACGAGCTCCTCCGAGCATGCTGATGCTCGAGACCGAGGGGTTCATTGCGGTTGGAAGATAGGAGGAGGACCGTTCCCGGTACTTCCTCAGTCTCCTTATCGTTCAGGATACCAAGCGACCATTTCTCGATCTTTGGAGCCATAGGTCGAGAGGGAGAGTATAGCTCATAGCTAGGTAGGTAGAAAGGCAAGAGGAGACAGTGTCAGGAACACTACAGTGTGGACGAGCAGCATAAGAATAAATTCCAAGGCGAGGGTAATCCGGTAGGCTGAGATTGATGAGGGCCGTGTTCAGTCATGCGGTCGTAGGTGGTGGGATTGACAGTCTGGGGAATGGCGCCGGAGCCATGAAAAAGACCCTTGTATGACAAGAGAGGATACAGTGATAGGTGCCTGACTGTGTCAGATCTAAGGCTACCAGGCGCTGCGGATATCGAGAGCCGAAGCCCACTAACTAGCCCGGAGGAGAATCACCTGGTTAAAGTGTATTTAGGGGATCAACTAACCCCTATCTCGGGGTCATAGGGGTCTTCTAGGGGCTCTCCTCTGTACTACTCGCTATCCGGCTTAGGTGACAAGGCTCACCAGAAGGTGCCTGAGGTAGATAAGGATAGCCCATTTTGTTGGTAGTACCCTCGCGCTGAGCCGCCAGGCTTTGCTAAGAAGTTCACTTCACCCCGTGTCAGACACTACTATTTTTCCTTCGCGCAAAGTGATTTGCACCTACAACGTCACATTGCATGTCAGTAGGCCTTGGTGCGACATTGATCTCTGTCTCTCCCACTCTCTGTCTTTCCATCGACCACCTGGAAGAGGCTCACTAGACACCCCTGTGGCGACCCTAACGAGATCCAGTGTGCGCCGAGCCTCTCGCGTCTTTTCGCCTGCGGTACAGTGTTGGCAATAGGCTGCCGAGCGGGCCTGAGCCAACTGCGCCGCCGCCCTGCACATGTCCCATGTTCAGCCTGTGACAAGTCAGCTTGCAGAATCTCTCTCTCATATGTTGCAATCGACGACCTGCTGACCAGCTTGGAGGCTATTCCACGCAGACCGCCTCTGCACATCCCCCCACACCGTCACCGCTTCCTCCCTGGAAGGACGAGCCGCCAGATGACTCCAGAGGACAGAAAATGACAGGAGCCCGAGATGAGCCGGCAGGCTGAGGACGCGAACATACTGAACCTACTTGGTGTGTATGGATGGGGCACGCTGGATGCAAGATACGGCGCTTACTCGCTAATGGAGATAATCACTGAAGTGTTCATTCTTCATTCTTGAACCGAGGAATGTGTCTATCATCATCACCTGCACGTCGAGTCTATTGTCACACGGCAGCGTACGCGTGACAACAAATCTGACAACCACAACTCCCAAGTCATCTCTTAGAGTGATTTGTGCTTTGTGCTAGACTTTTTGTCTTTGAGACCAACCAGGGTCCTTTTCTCGTCTGCGACAAAGATGAACCGGGCACCGAAGATCTGATCGAGGCCGTCACAGTGAGATATAGCTCAAACATTTCGTGAACTCGTAAACTGCCAAAACACACAATGCGAGTGGGATTTCCCCGTCTTCGCTTGGGAAGAAACAACAATGTAGAAAATTTCCAGGTCGGTGTCCCCAACTTGGCCGTTCAGTCTTCGGTCAGTCTTCCGCGACGGGCACCGAACAAGCCTAATCCCAATGGTGTTTCGTTTTCCTTGCCACTGCCGTTGTCCAAAACCTCCCATACGCGTGGTCTCCATTCTCCTATTATTCCTTTACCCTCTTTGACCATTTGCAGTCCTTGGCCCATGTCCTGCACCTGGACCGACCCCGTAATATTGACACTTCCAAAAAGATATCGGAGGCGAACGTCGTGCATCTTGTCCTTGAGTAATTTTGCACACATCATCTTGACCTCGTCGCCAACCTGGTCTACGATGGTTGCAATCACGTCGAGAATAAAGTCATGCACGTTCTTGACCTTTTCTTGTTCCTGCTTGTTGCTGGAGAGTGCCGTCAACGCTGCAATGGCGGGATGCGTGAATATGAGCGCTAGACGAACGAGTAGCTGGACCTGTTCACTCTGACCTTGTTTCGTGTTTGGCCCGGTTCGCCCGGCAGAAATCAGTGACAATCTTTGTAGACACACCATGTAAAGGATAGCATCGAGGTAGTTCACGGTCGCCCACCCATTCGACCCCCCGGCGCCGCCTTCAGAAGTGTTGGCAATGGCATTTGGGCTGGAGGTCACCATCTGCGCATGGTTCGCAGTGACCGAGTTTCCAGAAAGGCCGGTCATGGAGCTGGGGTTGGAAGTAGCAACGTGACTGTTCTGAGATTTGAAAATTTGCGTCAATTTTTCCAGCAATTGGGTCATGAAACCAGTCATGGGGCTAGTATCTTTGACGCAAACACGGAAAGCTCGGTCGACAATCTCAGAGAGATGTTGGATATCACTCGGAAATACAGCAGATAGAGGGCTCGAAGTCCTGCCCATAGGGAACTTGGGTAATGCCTCCAAAAACTCACTCTCAACTTTGTGTCGAAGTCGGTTCGCAACCTCAGAACCCGCTGTGTGGAGCAATTGGGCAACGTTGCATTGTTGAACGTCTCGTTCCTGAAGTGTGCGTTCCAGGACATCCGTCAGTATGTCGACTAGTTGGCCTTGACCCTCGGAAGTCGTTCGAGCGGAAGTCAGCCACAATCGTAGCTGTATATGTCGACAGGAAAAGATATTGATGCCACTAAGAAGTCCTCGCAGGTCTACGGCGTCGGGTGTTGCGTTCCCAAGATTCAAAAAACCATCGAGCGTCTGTAATAGCAGTGCCGTGACCGATTCAGAAGGACGTGTTGAAGTTAGAGGGAGATCGTTCGCCAAAGAATGCACGAGGCTGATGGGCAGTGGTGCTTGTGAATCTGGCCTTCCCAGTTGAGTGAGCACCTCCAAAACGTGCTGGGGTTCTCCTCGACAATACTCGGTCCATCGGATCCGGGTTTGGTAGAAGGCAAGGTTAGAAAGTGATTCCCTGTCCGGCGCATGTAACCAGCGCAGCAAAGTGGCAGCAGAAGGAAGCTTGCGCAATTGCAGCTTGGTCAAGTCCATAGCCTCCAGAAAGCCAGCGAAAGTGACACAGCCAGCTCCTATCAGGTTTTGAAACAGGCAGGGTCCGAAAGTGGCATCAAGAAATGGTGCTAAACGCGTCAACCATTTCTGAATTAGTTTATCTGCCTGACCCTTTCGACATAGCCGCAGTCGGCTGAGCAGCTGGCAGAACGAGAACAAAGTCAACGAGTCATCCCCAAATTTCTGCTGTTTCTCGATGCGATCCACGAGAACTGAGAACAATCCGTTCATGGTTTGCTCCGACATGTTTGGCTCCGACTGCAATATTGCTTCAAAGTCCTCCACAAATGTAGCTCCCGCCTGTTGCAACGATTCCGCAATACCGTCACTATACGGTGAGCATGCCGCTACTGCGCGACCACGGTCACCTCGGACAAAGTCCTGCTGCAACGACTTGACGGAGGGCGTAGCGACGGGGTACGTGCTGCAGAGGTCGAGGAGGAAATTTGTAAATAGTGGCATCGCAGGTTTAGTAGAGCGCCAGGACATATAGATCTGACAAAGTCTCCTTTGGAGGACGTCAAAGGCGCCGATAGACTGAAGGACCTCGGAATGGGCTTGAACGGTAGCTGTAAGAGATGCCATCAATGCATCATCTTGGGTGTTGCACAGGATCCCGATCACATCGGCGAGGACAGGTTCGTCACCCATACACTCGAGAATGTATCGAATGAAGGCAAACTGCGCACAGTCTGACCTCGTGGAGGTCAAAGGCCCAGGCATGTCTCGCATCGCGATTTGCACGGCTCTCGCACGAAGCCACACGGAGATCTTGGATTTGACACTCCAGGGTAGGGAAGCGAATGAGGGTTCTGATATGTTCGGCGTCGACGAAGAAGCGCCTGCAAAAGATCGGGATAGCTGTTGTTCAATGTAGCGAATGTGGTGTTGATAAAGCTCCTCCTCGGAATTCAGGTCGAAGCCACAACGTGCCAAAATCGAGCTTCTCAGGTTGATGACGTGAGCCCCGGTGTTCTGGAGACACAAGTCAAGAAGAAAGAAGTTGACTTTGGAGAAATCGCTGATACTGTTCGTCCCTGCACCAGTATCCTGACCCAAAGTGACGGTTCCTGCCTTGGGGAGGCCTCTCACCATAAGCCACTGCAGGTACTTTGCGGTCGGAAATGAGTTTGATCGCGAAAGCTGTGCCACCAAACGTCTCAAGCATTGAGTATCTGCCGTAGTCTTTCCCTCCCTGCACGAAGAAAGATAATTTAGGATAATAGTGTCGACATCGAGACCCGCTCGTTGCCAGCGTCTCAACAAACGCGCGAAGAGATGTATGCGGGCGTCGGAAGACCGAAATCGCGTGCACGCCCATTCGAAGCAAGTAGATATCAGAACGCCGGTATCTGAACAGATAGTAGTGAGATTTGCAGCAAGCTTGGCCACATCGAACGGAGGCTTCAGTGTGTCCAGAACCTCGACGATTTCTTGTACTGCCGAACGTTTGTTGCAAAAGTCCCCTTTGTTAAATCCCATCGTCCTCTCGTTGATGCGGTTGAGTTCCTCCAGAATTTGCTTCTCTTGTTGGATTTTCCCATCCAAGCAAGTCTGGACGACCGAGTAGACTTCTGGCCATCTATCTGGCATCAAGAAATTTCGTGGCCGACTGAGAAGGAGGTCTCGGATGGCATGATGGAGTCGTTGCAGAAGTGGCGCTGCTCCCGGGCCTGCAGTCTTTCGCACTAGTTCATACTTTTCGATCAAGGTTTCTGCAAGTCTCCTGCCTCGTCGTCGATAGTAGCTCATATCTTGTTTGTAGATATGGCTGACCATCAGCCAAAAAGGAAGCTGTTGTAGCGATGCTGCCGCAAAAGATCGTAATATCCAATCAATATAGTGATCTCGGTCCAAAAGATTCTCCATATAGAGGCGCGTGCTTATGCGTATAGCATACTGTATATTGGACCTCCAATCCGAATTTCCAGCCTGACCAAGATACGATTCCAAAAATTGCTCGACACTGGTAGTCCATTCTCTCAGCCACTTTCCTTCGGACCCCATGGCAACGGCCGGGGTGGTGCCCTTTCTCTTCAAAGTCCGAATCTCGTTGGCGCAGACACACTTTGCAAACCAGATGGCACGGCTCAAAGGAACATGATTTTGCAGGCACTGGTCGAGCAAGAGTTGGCCTCGGATGCCTTGAGGAATCGTTCTACTCAACCTTCTCAAGGGCACATCGGCGTTCGCCAGGTCTGCAATCCACGACTTTCGTTTCGCTTCAGTCAAAGTGACACGCGGCGGCGGTTTGAAAGTGGTCGGAACATTAATGATGCTCTGCTGGCTCTTCTTGTCCAGGATGAGGGAAAAGAGGACCGAAAGACTGTCCACTCCTGATTTATGCTTGAGCGCATTGTACAGTGGCACCCGAGCAGTATTCAGCTCCTTCTCTGTCGGATTGGGAGGCTTGTCGAAGTACCCTTGTTTGACATTGACGTCGTTCAACACATCTTCTGGGTGCTTGCCAGTCCACGGGAAAAAGCCCGCGGCCTTTTTGGGGACGAAATGAGGTACACGTTCTGGTGAGGCCAACGAATCAGGGGTCGTAGGAACTGGAACATAGATTCGTGAACGATGAGTGGGCAATGGATCTTCGGTGGTCTTGGATTGCCGGCCCAAATCCCAAGGACGATGCGGCAAGTCTGGCACTCCATTGTCAGCGCCCCCTTCCAGCCACTTCCCATACTGCGAAGGATGAGCGCCGAACAATAAGGCAGACGCGCTTGGCGGAACCAAACGTAATTGCGAGGCGCCATGCTGCGTTGTTGTGGCCGTCGAGGCATTGCCGTTGCTGGAAGCCTGATTCAAGAAGCCATCCCCCTCCACCTTCCTCCGCTTCGTCGGTCGATCCTGTGTAGGTTCTGGATATTGTCTCTGGGGCCCGGCAGGTCTTCGCCCAGACGAGGAAAGGGCATCGCTCGCGGCTCGATCGAGGGAAGGTCGAGGAACATCGGGAGGACGTCTTAATGGGGGAGGCCGTGGTTCGGCCGGAGGGTTCGATGTCATGACCTGATCATCTTGACAGTACGAGCGTGAGAGGCAAGGCAGAAGCGAGGCCGCTTATGCCTCTGCGAGGGAAGATAGCTATGTTTCGCAAGTTCGGATTCGGTCGCAAGGGCAGGGTGGTCGCCTGGGGCGTACAGGTCAATTGAGCACCGTCCGGATCGGCAACGACAGATGGGTTGGCCAAGGATGTGTGGAGACGGACAGAATGGACGATCAAACAAGAGTGCTTATAACCGATAATGTGCTGGGTATAATGGTTGTGTCGATGTATTATCAGTGGGTTGTGGGTTGCGAAGGACGACGAAGGTATGAAGCGAAGGAAGTTGGCGAAGGAAACGAGTAGAGTGGAATCTGAGGTTCGCAGCCCGACGGCCGGGATGGATGCGAGATAGGGCCCCCGGGTGAATCGGTGCTAATTCGCTGACCTGAGCAGTCTACGACGACTGTACTGTATGTAACTCGTAGATAGAGTGCTGCACTGCACACTGTAGGTGTCAGGGAATGGAGCGAGTGGCACTGTGGAAGCGTCCGAGTGGGTGATCGATCTCAGCACCGACGCCAGCCAACCGCAGCTGGTTAGGGCTCGGAGGGTGACTGCGGCAAAAGGCCAGCACCACCTGGGTGCCATCCGGGTAGCTTTGCGTTAGCACCAAGCACGCCTGCACTGTACCGTACGGGGGAAGGCCGGGCGAGCCTGGGTAGGCCAGTCCAGTGCGCGGCGGCCCAGGCTACTGAGGCCCAGCCGCGGTATCGCCGTGGCCCGTGATGTTGGAACACATACCGCAGGCGTCTCGTCCACAGGGGCCCGGTCGGACCACATTATTCGGTGGCAATTGCAGGGCATCATCGTAGCACGAGATTCCAGCATTATCAGCTGTGGTACCTGGATTACTGCACTCGTGCCGTGGCTCCCACTCTCCTTTCCGAACCGTCAGCCAGCATATCACCCTCTCGTCGGAGAAACACTGTTTGGGCGCTCCGTGCTACAATGCCTAATGGGCGTCCGGACCACCGTGAGCACAGCTGTTATTGGCAGTCACTTCCAACATATTTCTTATTACCCGATGCCTGTGTCTTGTGCGTCGAAACCATTGGAGTCTATCTTGACATGTCGCTGAATCCCTGTTTCATGCTTATTTTATCCGTATCAACCAAAACACGCACAAATCCTCCGAGCAGGTCGCTCGATAAGCAGATAAGAGAGTCCAGGCCACTGTTACTCCGTCCGAGTACCTCACTTTTACTTACCTATCTATCCGTACAAGGTGCTCCATCGCTGTGGGTTTGCTGAGAACTGTCCCGTGTCAACGCCCAAGTCCAGATCAAGGTCATGTCACGGTGGATGTTGGCCTGCTGAAGATGACGCCCGCGGGCGACGGCGATGGCCATAGCGATAGCATCGACCCGACCATTGGGAAGTGCTGGTTGAAATTTGTTCTGTAATGAATCCTCATGACCTCGTGCAGAGCACTCGTGCGCGTTTTCCGTACCTCGACGGTGTTTCTAGGGATCTCAAAAATTGGCCCCTTCGAAATATACAGAAGTGTAACTCCTTACGTACGCATATGTAGACGTATCACTCTCTTCTAAGCCCTTCGTGTTCCGGATGACCCTACAGTACTTTGTACCCGCACGGCTTTCTGTTCTACTAGGATCAAGCAAGGTACATATTGGTCCGCTGGTCCAGTGTTCGGCCGACACTCGATGGATATGGATACGCACAAGATCTTAAGCGTACGGCATGTAGACTGCTACTGTTCGCAGTGCTACTCGTCACCGCATCACACCTCCCACGCGTACTGTACCGACCGAGTTTCCCGCAAAATTGTACAACCCATATACACTCAAGTCATTAGAAACGGAGTTCGGAATCGTGATGGTCGGAGGTCGCTCGCTACTCGATACGAGCCCTATCCACCAAGCTGGCATTAGGATTTTATTAGCAATTTAGCACGTGTTCCCAGATTTTTCCTTCCCCCTTTCGCACTCTTCTTCCGGAATCAATAATTGCTTCTGGACACACCGTAGCTCAGGTGGTGACACTGTGACACACGTCTATGACCGAGATCATCCGGCGCTTACTCGTCTAAGAATTATTACGAGATGAGCTGGATTAGTATTGTCGATGATTAAAACTCCGCCTGGGACTCGTAACCCCCCCGCCCGTAGCGATGCTTTGCGTGATGGGCAATTATTCTGTCGCCATCGATCCATCTCATCGCCCAACAAAAAGTTAACCTGTGAAGTTAAGATCGTGTTGGCTAAAATTGCCGAAATGGGCTTGGAACTGTAGATACGAGGACGAGGTCTACCTAGATACAATACGAGTCTCAACAATAATATCTCAGATATCGATGCCCAGCCCGCCAGCCGCGCTCCTTGTCCAGTATGTTACCGGCGAGAAAGAAATGGAAAGATACGCATCTGCGCCCAGTCTTATCTTCTCCCCTCTTCACTACACTACAGAATATCGTGACACATCTGACTCGGACTCTCGAAAACGCTCACCATTGCCTATCATCCAGTGGACGTCGCGGATCGGTTGAATGTGCGGGGGAGGATGACGGACGGTTCAGTTGACAATAATAATGACCACCTCTGACGCCGGACACGGTACAGTAATGCATGATGCACCGCTCACAACCGAATGGTAGCCGTGTCCATCCAGGGGGAAGATCCCACGAGCATACTCGTGCTGTGCAAACACCCACTAGTCACAGGGACAATTTTACCGAGTAATCGAGCAGCACCAAGAGGAAAGAGAGGGCTTAAACTTCGCATCCACCCACTCGGCCTCTTGGGCGCGGCAATATCTCAACCCCATCTTTTCCTCTTTCATCCTCGTCACGGACGCACCGTGACACTGACACACCCCAGGATTTGCCATCCTTGAACTCCTCCCTGGTCGGCAGGATTTTTTCGGCCGTCAACGCGCACAACGAGAAATGCACAAGCAGGATAGATTTGCCGAACAGATGCCGGTTTCTCACGCACGATTTCAAAAAGTATTCGATAATTGGAATTACTGATGCTTCAGAGTTCGAACTTAGGCGATCTGAATCATCCCACAATGCATGCAACTGACCAGTTAGTCAGGTCTGCTAAGGCGCCATACAAACCCCTGCCCCAAGTCATGTCCCCGTCCCCGTCCCCGTCCTTGTTTCTATTACTCTTTCTATTCCGAAAGCCCTGGAGTGCTTACTCGACACAGGATCCTCAAGGGAACAGCTAACTCTCGCCACCCGGGCGGTCCATACAGGACACACAACCATTGCGTACTCGGGAGAGAGAGTCCTTCACAATGCATCCAAAAGTGGTACCGCTTCATTACCTGGACGGCCTTCTTGATGCTCTTTCGGCTTGCTGAATCCCTCCTAAACGCTCTGTTTTCGCTCCCTGCTGGGCAGATCCGTCTCAGCCAAAGTTTGAGGTCGTTTCTGGTGGCTGCTCGCGCCCACCATGCTCCCAAATCGACTTCGTGGCCCTGTGATCAACGAGGCTTCATCCCCTCTCACGCTCCAATTTGAACTACCCGAGACTGTAAGCGCGCCATCGGGCTCTTCCGCCAAGTTCAACAACGGATCTATCTCGTTCTGGTCCTTGTTCGATGGGGGAAATATGTTTCCAGCTTGGGTCGTTGTGGGCTCCACGAAGAGCTGCTGGTCACCATCAAGATCAGTTGCAAGTGTTGATGGTATTACTGGCTTCTTGGACGATTGTGATTGAGGCAAGTCCCGGAAAGCCACTTCTCGCGCGATCTTGGCCAGTTTGGGGCTTTCCATCAGTGGCAGCAACCCTGGAAACGTTTCGCTACCAGGCCACCAGCTCGTCCGTCGACTCGTTTGCAAGGCCGATGAGCTTGTTGACTGAGTTAGAACTTTGGAGAGCCTTCTCTTCAACGGCCCTGTATCCACCGAGACCTCTCCTTCCACCCCAGTGTCACGGCCTACAGAACTTGGAATACAGTCTTTCGAGATAGCATTATACCCATCCTCGCCCCAAATGATCTCATACACAATGTTGTTCGAGACGTATCTGGTGGAACATCGCCGCATCGAGTTGAAAGCCTCCATGGGTTGCCCTGAAGGAGAGGACGGGGCTGGCATGGGTGTTAGCTCTGTGAAGATCGGCAGCGCAACGCTACTTGTCGATGGACGAGCCTCATTGTCCTCGATGGATGGAGCGGGAGGGGTGTCGGTCTTACTCCCCATGACTTGCAGAATTTCGGTAGGACTTGACCGCCGTTCACCCTTGCTGCTGAATGTAGTGAGGAAATACGACAAGAACCCAGTATATCTCCTGCTGAACCTGGGTGTCGGGAAGAATGTGAGCGACATACGTTTCGGTGACCCGGCTGTGGTGGCACGACGGAGGGTAATCATCGCAGGGGTTTGCGCCGTGTTGGGTTTCTGCGAAACCGCGCCCCTGGTCTCTGGAACCGGTGCAATCGTAACAAGAGCTCTAGTGGACGGTGCTTTGGACGGAATTGACCATCTCCGAGATCGCAAAATTGAACGTGCACGAAGTTCCGACTGAAGAGAGTATCGCTGAAATTCAACCGCAGGGAGCGAAACAGTCTTTCGTAGGCTTGGTGCAATGTATGTGCCGCTCCTTCTCCGACTTCTGGGACCGTCCAGAGTAAGTCGAGTTGTCGCAGTCCGATCTATCGGTTGTAGGTCGGCGGAGAAAGGATTGTGCCATCCATGCCCGTGACCCTGTCCCTTTTTCATTGTCAAGCTAATGAGATCTGCGGTCTCCGCCTTGAAAGGGTGGCATTCAGAGCTATCGTCCGACCGAGGAGGGCTCAAGAACCGCTCACTTCGCAGTATTTCATCGCTGCTCGTGGGTCTCGGGACAGAGAAGTGGTTCATTGACACGGCTGAAGATGCTGCTTCGTCTTCTCGACCGACAATAACAATATGCAAAGCACCAGGTGTAAGAATGATGTACGATCTAGGTAGAGCCGATAAAGGATACCTGGTGCAGGTCTGCAACGCAGAAGACGCATCGTTTGACACTTGATCGTGAAGTCAAATTGTCCGGAACAATTGCAGGTGGTGCAACATGCATCGCCCCAGCTTGAGAAGGAGCCGCCGCGGCGGTCCGAGTAGCCGAGATCGCAGCGCATACTCAAAGTAGGTTGTCTACATGAACCGTAAGAAGTCATAAGCTCGTTCGCAGGCCGTTGAATTCAATCAAAAATTTGACATTTCCCTTTACCCAACTCTCCGTGCATCTGGAAGCGCATTGTCCTGAAACACCAATCCCATCTGTCTCCTTGGCCACTCAAGATATGGTCTCCAAACGGGGTCAAGCAGAGCTGAGAGGTCAACGACCAGACTGTAGGCCCATCCGACGGCCCACCAGTGATGATCCATACATCGGAAAGCCCCTGCCCAGTGGGCGAACAGGATCAAAGTCCAAGGATCCCCCCGTTTGAGAGAGTGAATAAACGTCGTGGGAGCCATGATAAACCATGAAAAAATGTGCCCATCCCATTCGACAACGGAACGACAACGTGAAATGTCTCGCAGCCGCCCAAGATGCTCGAGATAAGAAGCCCTGCTGGCTGCAGGATCCTCGCCCCCAAGTAAAGGTATCAGCTTGGGGTCGTCCGCAACCTCAGCGAGGAGGTTGAAAGCTTCAGAAACGTCGGCAGGGTGTGGGGGAAGGTCACCCGGCTGCGGGTATCGTAACAGCTCCTCAATATCACCTTGGAGCCACGTATCCGTTTCCCTGATGACGGCATAAATCCCTCTGAGAATCATGACGATTTCGATGAAGTCGGCAGTAGGGGAGTGCAGAGGCAATGCGATGCCGGGAGACTCGCCCGGGTTCAGATCCAGCTTGACACTGTTCAATCCCTCAGGAAGTCGTTTTGAGGCAAAAGCCCAGATGGTGAGATACAGAGACAGACAGAATAGGGCGATGCCGTTGTTCTGATTGGGCTTGTTGACTGCGGGGATATAGCCGGCCAGCGCCGCGTTTTGATGAGCCAAAGCGACTTTGGAGTATTCGGCATATGCATCTGATGTCTTTGCTTGCATTGTAGCCTTGTGTAGAGCAGCAGTAGCCATCAGACCATGCAGGAGAAAATCATGACGTAGAGCTTCGGCAAAGATAGTATCTCGCCACACAGCGTGTGATGAAATTCTAGATGACATGGTCATGTAGGTGCGGGTAGAGTAGAACTGTACCAGCTCAAGATCTAGGAGATCAAAGCGCTTGGGTTGCGAGGTCAAATCTCCCCCAGAAACCAGAGTCGCAGATCGAGGTTGCCCAGAGAACAACAGGGCGTGAGTTGATACGTCGGGGTCAGAAGGCTGATAGTCGAGGCTTTTCGGCGTGGATGTGTCGTGCGTGGGCAAAGTTGTCGGCGTGGCTGATATAGCTTCTGAAGCATCCTCAACAAAAGAACAGAGAATCCGGCGCTTCACACAGCGCTGGCATTGTGGACTCGACTCGTCACACTGGCATTTGACAAGTTAGCTGTGCTCAACGCAAGACGAGACCAGGGTGAGGATGGCACCGTAGTGGAAGTGACGGACCTTGACTCTCCTCACTTTGCACTGCCTGCACCCGTGGTGGGACTTTGTATGCGACCGGCGCGACGGCATGATAGAACTGGTTACCTCTCGATTTCTACGCCTTGCACCATGGCCATTGTGAAGAGTGAAGATGAAACGGACGGCTGGGGCTGACGTTTACATTTCCTTGCGGTCTAGAATATTGGACTTGGCATTCCGCAGAATACGAGCTCGGCGCTGCCCGGAATGAGAGGGGCAATAACCAGGGTCTAGTCGGAGCGTCAACTTGTACAGCATGTCAACGTCGGCGTCGAGTCTCGGTACCAGCAGATAGACAGCGTATTCCTCTCTAGACATCGAAAAGTCCCTATGGAGTAGGCTAGTGGCCAGTGAGCGCCGAGCATTAACGATGTCACGACTCGTCATGTCCAATGACGGGACATACTTTGGGGGCCATAATGATGATACATATCCGACTACGGAATGGGGGTTTCTATAGATTGTCTATTTTGGAGTTGTGGCTTGCGGAAACCTCACATACAGTCGGAACCAGGAAATTACCTTCCCCAGCACAAGTTGTGCTGCTGTCTAAGAAACAAATTCCAAATCGCTAGTATGCCACTGACAATAATCTAACGACATCATTTCTTGAACTTCCTCATCGGCTCAAAGAAGAATCCAGGGTGGAAGGCGGTCATCAATACACAAGCAATGCCCACCATCCTGAAATTTCACGTCAGTACATAGTCGCACATTGGCTGCAGGTGATATCTGGGTTTCTTACATTCCGTCGAGCAGCAAGAACTCCGTCTCTTTTTGCATCAGAGTATTTCCCCAGCCTCCGGCCATCTCAGGCAGCCTAGATTTCATGAGTCAGAATTGCTTTGGTCGCAAAGAAGGTCCACCGGCCACGAACCGATAAATGCATCGAATCAGGATAGTGAAAAAGGCAGCACCGATGGCGAAACAGAATAGACGGAAGTTTCGACTCGTATTAGGGTCTGCCGCGTTCTTCTCGTACTCGCTTTCCGAATGTGCGAGAGCATTCGACTTCTTCGCTTTCTGAAAGCGAATGTAGTAGTCAAGGATGAGAAGACCGCACACGGACATCGTAGCGACTTGAAATGCAATGCCGGCCACAATCAAACCGTCACCAGCATCCAAAAGCTTCTTGTTTCCACCTTGATCGCCCGCAGCGGCAGCAGTACCGCCTCCGATGGCCTGAAGCACAATTGATCCGAAATCGCATCCGATGAAGATCCAGGGGTAAAGCCTCGGCTTCAGTCGTGAATGTTCTGGTCCGCAGTAAAGCACGAGATGCTTGAGCGTGACATAGATACCGGCCGCCAGAAAGCTGGGAGCCAGCACCAAGCAACAGATCTGAGTCTTGAATCCAGCACCGGACCAGGGGTTGTGGTGCATAATCACCCGACCAATGTAGCCAACGGCCTCACCGAAACAGCCAATGGCCACGACACCAAGATAGGTCCATGTCCGTCGCCAAGTGCCGAGCGCCAGTTGGAGCAAGAGACACAATCCAAACAGGGCAATGAAGAAAGAGTTGACGCTAAGGTTAGGATAGTAGCCATAAGTCGTCAACTCCACAGGACATTGCGGCGTGATCTCTGTACAATATCGTCGAGCGTGATGTGTGGCGTTGGAAGACATTCTCGTTGTTGCGCCAGTGGTCGGAGAGAGATCTAAGCTAACACAGACACATGAAATGGGCGACTTGATTGAAGAATGGTAGTGATTCACTTTGTGACTTCAGTAGAGACGACAAATCAAAAGCCGGCGTAGCGCAAGGAGAGATTGGCAGATGCCCAACAGCACAGCTAATTATCGGAGACAAAAGTGAAACTTGACGATCAGAAAACAGTCTCAGGAGAGATAGAAGAGTGATAAAGGCGCGAGAGAGACTACTGGAACGGTACTTAGCCCAAGATATCCGCGCTCCGTCTTCATTAGAGCTTTGTTGACCCATATTGGGTCGCCCAGATGTGCTTTGAACAGCGTAAGGACGTGTGGCGAACCCGAGGGGTGGAGTGTGCGACGACAGAAAAACGGACTTTCGATGGAGGGCTCGTTGTAACCGATGCTCGTTTATAGAGCCTCTAGTCCGGTTTGGGAATGGTATACGACACGGATCTTTATCGCTCCGGCCGTTCGGTAGTGTCACGGTGAGATTGACTAGGCGACTTTGGTCAAGGGAAATAAGAGTACGAGTACGAGTACGAGGACTTGAAATGGATTACGTTTTGTAGACCGTATATAATATAGTGATGGACAGGCAGAGGGTGAAATGCTAGTCTAGCATAGCGCGGTACCCAACGTGCTTCGCGCTAGGTACTGGTGGAGTGGGTATGGTAACAATATTCTATCCCGTCGGCAATGCCTCCATCACAATCTCAAATCGTAACCGTTCCCCTTCTCGAGAGCGCGTTTCCATGCAGCACGGTTTTGGCACCTCTGATGCCACTTGGCCAAGCTAGGGAACTTGGAGAAGTCGATGATGTTGTTCTGGACACAGTTGTCCGCCGGCCACGAGATAATGAAGTCAGCCCTGGATGGGGACGTACCCCCAAAGTAGTCCGAAGAACCAAGCTGTTCCTGCAGATACCTGAGGTTCAACTCTAATTCCGCTCCAGTGTATCCTTTGTGTATCCCGCTGTGTATCAAGGAAACCAGAGGCCGGACAAAGAACGGTGACATTGTTGCCATGGCCTTAAACAGAATTTCCGTGACCATAGGGATGCCTATGCTTGTGGCAGCAATGTTACACAGTTCATCGTCACGGATCCAGTCGCCCTCTCCCTTGAATCTGCCCTCCTTATCATATGTCTCGATCAAGTACCTCGCGATGACCAGCGATTCGACTATGACCCTCCCATCGCCTGTAGCTAGTTGGGGGCTCTTCCCAAGAAAGTGTGTTTGCTTCAGCTCTTCTGGCGCTCTTCGCTTTCTGGGGCCAGACTCGACTCGCTTGTGAAGGACAAGGTCATAGGGTATTTCAAGTTCTTCGAGGAGCCACAGGATCCGTTGAGATTGAGAGTCCTAGCGGGGTTCAGTAGTCACGACGCACGTAAGCGAAGTAAGCTCACACTCAGGTGATATAGAGTTGGTTTCAACGTTTCCATGGTCGATTATCGAGCAACAAAGAGACGATAGCGAAGTAACGAGCGTGGATTGGGCAAGGAATAAGGATGGTGGTCTTCGTACGGAATTGTGCACCTCGATGCGCTTCTAGAGGCGTCAAGCCGGTCGATTAGCACAGTCTTGCCATGAACTGTGTGCGCATTTCCGTGGGACTGTACAAATACGCGCAATCCGCGTAGGCACGCCTAAGGCAAGTGGATTTCTCGCAGTATCAAAGTAGGATTAGAACGGCGAGGACTGGTAGATGAAGGGCCCGTCAGAGGGCGTTGTGCACATAACATTCGGCAGGCTTGGCGCTGATACGAGTACGAGAATGAGCGATCACGGCAGAAGAATTGTCCAGGGCAGAGTATAGCTTCTTGCATTGAAGCAAGCCTAAAGGATGTCTCGATTGTTTGGAGTATATTTGAGAATATCTGAATCTCAAGACATTGTGCAGTAGCATGGTCATATTGTACCTGACGAGCGCCTAAGTTGCCCGCCAAAAGGGGGAAACACGTGAGGAGGCTTGGGGTAAATTGTTCTCGACCTGCGCAGCGTAAAGACAGAGTGCACCTTTTGGACATGTGTCAACACCGCGAACATTGAACACCAAGTCCTACAACCTACAGCCTCCATGCAAGCCCCGGTGAATTGATGATATGGAATTGTACATGACGATTTTCTTTGGTCTCTCCCTCGCTGCTCGCACATTCTAGCCAGACCGCGTTTCATTGTGCGCGGAAGCACACAAATCTCATTCTTCTTGGTTTGGTTGAACGAGCGAGAACACCATGCGGTTGGACGTTAAGAGACAGCTTTTTGCTCGTATGCTTGAGTCTCCCTCTCGCTGGTGCAATTGACTGATTTTGGCAGGCTCGGAGCGGGTGAAGGGCATTGATTTCCACAGGTGTGTTAGACCCCGGGACTTACCATAGGATTGAGTCGCTAACAATGGAGCAGTACTGAACCATGGGTATTTATACATGTACTCTTGAAGTATTTCGAGGCTGACTCGTCAAGATCCTGACCACTCTATACAACGGCCATGCTCACATTTGGTCGTACGAAACACAATCGATTATCAAGACCTTCGAGCTTACAGATGTTCCCGTTCGAGCGGGAAGGTTTATTGAGAGGAAAAACTGGATTGTATGTGGTAGCGATGACTTCCAGCTAAGAGTTGTGAACTGGAACACCAGTGAAAAGGTGAAATCGTTCGAGGCGTAAGTGTAGTGACCCGGAGTCGGTCGATGGTATTACTGACCGTGCGAATACAGTCACCCAGACTACATACGTGCGATTGTGGTTCATCCAGTGCTCAGCGTTGTTTTGACAGCTTCCGATGACATGACAATACGAATGTTCGACTGGGACAAAGACTGGCGTTGCGTCCGGGAATTCGTTGGGCATCAACATTATGTGATGGGGCTTTCGATAGTAAGTCACAAGTTAATGGGTCGCTGGACATCTTATTTACATGTTTACAGAACCCAAAAGATACCAACGTGTTCGCCTCTGCTTGTTTGGACCGGACCATCAAAATCTGGAGCATCGACAATCCGACAGCCAAACAAACTATTGAGGCCCACGAGAAAGGTGTCAACCACATCGACTACTACCCTCATAGCGATAAACCCTACCTCCTTAGCACCTCCGATGATAAGACCGTCAAAGTGTGGGACTACACGACGAAAGCTCTGATTGCGACATTAGAGGGACACACGAGCAACGTCAGCTTTGCATGCTACCACCCCGAATTACCAGTCATAATATCTGGATCAGAAGATGGAACAATCAAAATATGGCATGCCAATACCTATAGGCTCGAGCAGTCGCTGAGCTATGGATTGGAGAGGGCATGGTGTGTCTCATACCAACGAGGAAAACAGGGCGTTGCTATGGGTTTCGATGACGGTGCTGTGGTTGTCAAAATGGGTCGAGAAGAACCTGCTGTTTCCATGGATGGTACTGGTAAACTGGTCTGGGCACGACACAACGAAGTCGTGTCTGCAATCGTCAAGGGCGGCGACGCTTCCATCAAAGACGGGGGTCCCATTGCCCTTCCCAGCAAAGAGATGGGAACCACTGAAATATACCCCACAACACTGTCTCACTCCCCCAATGGCAGATTTGTGAGCGTCTGTGGCGATGGGGAATTTATCATCTATACCGCGCTCGCCTGGCGAAATCAAGCATTCGGCTCAGCCCTCGACTTCGCCTGGGGTTCGCACCAAAATCCCACAGATTACGCCATTCGAGAATCAGCGACGAGCGTTAAACTCTTCAAAAAACTGAAGGAAAGCGGAAGCCTTGACGTTGGCTTTCAAGCAGAAGGTCTTAGCAGCGGCTTCCTCTTGGGTGTGAAAGGCCAAGGTGGGATAGGAATGTTCGACTGGGAGTCAGGAAGTCTCGTTCGGCGTATTGAAGTTGAGCCGAGAGAAGTAAGTGATCTTTGACAAATCCTGAACATGCCTAACAGCTTTCTAGGTTTACTGGAGCGAATCGGGAGAGCTCGTGGCACTCGCCTGCGCTGATGCGACTTATGTCCTTCGTTTCGACCGCGAAGCATACCTCGAAGGTCTCAATAATGGCGACGCTGATGAGGACGGAGTCGAGGCTGCGTTTTCTGTGGTCACTGACCTACAAGAATCTGTGACAAGCGGCGAGTGGGTAGGAGATGCGTTCCTTTTCACTACGAATACCCGTTTGAGCTACCTTCTTGGTGAGCAAGTTGTGCACATTGCACAATTTGACCAACCAATGTATCTGCTGCGATACCTGCAACGAGACGAACGTGTCTACCTTTGCGACAAGGATGTCAATGTCGTGAGCTACAGGCTGTCTACCGCATTACTCTCCTACCAGACCCTCGTGCTCAGAGGAGAGGTCGATGCTGCTCAGGAACTGCTAGCGGAGATCCCAGAAGATCAGATGAACAAGATTGCTAGATTCCTTGAAGCTCAAGGACATAAGGAACTCGCTCTGGAAGTGGCAACCGATCCAGAACATCGATTCGAGTTAGCTCTTGGCCTGAATAACCTTGCCGTGGCGTTGGAGATCGCTCGAGAGTCAGACATGCAAGCCAAATGGTCATCGGTAGCAGACAAGGCACTTGAACTATGGGATCTGAAGCTTGCGGAAGAATGCTTCCTTCACGCCAAAGACCTAGGAAGCTTGCTACTTCTCCACACCAGCTCGGGCAATTCAGAGGGTCTATCTAAGTTAGCTCAGCAGGCGGAGGAGATAGGCAGCAACAACGTGGCGTTTGCAAGCTTATGGTCAACAGGAGACGTCCCAGCTGCGGTTGAGCTACTCAAACGTACCGGGCGATCCAGCGAGGCGGTTCTATTCAGCCAGACGTATAAGCCCTCTTTGACAAAACAACTGGTTGTTGAGTGGAAGGAGAGTTTGGACCAGCAAGGTAAAGGTAAGGTCAGTCGCTTACTGGGCGTACCAGGAGAGGACGAAGACTTGTTTCCCGAGTGGGAAGAGTATATCAGGCTCGAGAAGGAAGTTGGCGCTGCTGAACCGAAAACAGCACTCATCGACGTCGATGGCGATGAACCGCCAGCAACGAATGGAACTGCAAATGCTGATGGGGAAGACCAAGCCGCAGCCTGAATTGCGCACAGAGAGACTAGGATACGCGATGCCTACGTTTTATGATAGATTGGGATGTGGCAAAACGGGAGTTTAGCAGCTTGGTGAGCTTGCTTGATACTTGAAGTTAAGAAACATTCCTCGTGAAGAGCACAAAGACACCGATTCTCTACGTCCATTGTGCATAACACCAACTTATCAATTTCAATATCGTCACATATCCTTGAACGCCTTGCAACCCACGTGCTGTTGATAGTTTATTGCGACACCTCCCTGCAGGTATATTTACAACAACAAAACCGACCGTAGTGATGACATCGCCCGTACGAACAGGAGTAAAAACTTTCGAAACCCAGGATCTGGTACAGATGGTTGGTCAATCGTCGTCTTTGCCGCCGTCTCTGCGGCCACTGTCCGATCGAACATTACCTTTGACTCCGGCGACATGCTTGACTCGATGCCAGTGTGCCATGCGGCCTTCCAATGAGCCGGGCACCAGGAAGTACAGGGTCTGCGGGTCGTCCAGGCCCTTGAATCTGTGGTGGCCCAACCGCTTGATCGCAAACGATTGATGGTTCGTCAACGTCACATTCATGGCGAGGCTCCGGGCGTCTTCCTTCGTCCGCTTCGTCTCCTCTGGCGTTCTGAATCGATCGACGCTCTCGTCCTTCGCCACGTCGGCCAACTCTCCTTGCAACCGTAGCAAAAAGTCCTCGGACACGACGATCTGCCCTGGCTCGGTGACCTCGATGAAGCGCGCCGCCCGGTTGACCATCGGCCCAAGATAGTCCATGCGCTCAATGATTTCGTTCCAGTTGCACACGGGGGTGCCCCAGTGCGCTGACATGCGGAGCTTCAGGCCGCGGAACAAGACGTGTCCTTCGTCGTCGAGCGTTGTCTTGCCACTGGGCAGGTCGAGGATGCCGGCGGGCCAGCGTTCGGCGAGGAGCTCTTCCTGCACGTCCAGACAGAACTGGACGGCCGACGTCGCGGTGGAAAAGGCGATCATGAAGCCGTCCCCGTTCTGTTTGACTTCGTAGCCGTGGTTGCGCTGTAAGAGGGAGCGAATGCTGGCGTCGTGGAGAGACATGGCTCGAGACATGGCCGTGGTGTTCTTTTCCCACATGGCTGTCGACTTGACGATGTCGGTGAACACGATGCTCAAAGGACCTTCGGGCGGAGGGGGACCCGTGGCCAGAGCGATATCCGTCTCCTTCTCCTTCGACTCCAAGTTGGGCGTTCCTGTCTCCGGCGCGGCGTTGCCCTTGATTCTGAGGCTGTTGAGGGCATGCTTGGGCTTGAAGTCCGGGGCGTCAGCAACCCTCGTACTCGAGAATGACCGGGACGCATTGCGGCAAGCATAACCGTAGTAGGTGCCAATGTCAAAGAGGTCTTTTTGCAACAGAACAGATGTTGTGACCCGATTAGGAGAAGGTGGTCTTGGCGCAGTAATGATCCTTATTGATGTAGTTGGAGCTGCAGTTGTAGATGTTGGTGGTGGTGTTGGTGTTGGTGATGCGACAAAGACAAGTCTCGCGTGGTTGAATCCACTACACGTACGCCGCCCCAGGCTCTTCTTCATTCGGTCGCGCCTTGGGCTGCAAGGACTCGAGCCTCTGCTGTTGGCCGTCTGGACTGACACAAATGAGGTGGCGGGCTTCCATACGTGAGGCAAGTCACGGAGGCTCCGGAGAGCCTCGAGTTTCTGAGGAGTTGCAGACATGCCTATTCCGCCCATTTGCTACCCAAGCACGGTGGCCTTTTGATTTGCTCACTAACCCACCAGAGTGAGAATCTAACTAGTGGCCGAGCTTGGAGCGGACGATCTGGCTGGCGGGGGAACTAGCCGGCAAGTAATCGCGACGAGGCGAGATCTCGCTTCGCTTGTGGGCGAGCAATAAAGATACACACAGGTTAACGAGTCGCTAAACGTTCATGCAAGGCACGTTTCGCGTTTTCTCTTTTAATTTTTCAACGGCGAAGAGACGTGGTTTTGAACCAACAATTGGAACCTGGGTCCTTGTTTGGGCCTCCTGCGGTATCTGCAAACTTGCCTCATTGTCGGAAAGATGAAAGGACATTCTGACTGCGCATGTAGCCGATCCAAATAATGGAGCAAGGGGATGAATCAAAGGAATATGGGCGAGGTGCATAAAAGGATGAGAACAACTGTCCAGCAAATCTCATAACAATCGTGCCCGGTTCATAAACAGATTATCAAACTGGGGATACCAGACCAGGTCTCAAAAGAAAATGTTTGACGCTTCTGCCCGTATCTGGAGCAGGGTTCCATAATGCCACAACAAAGCGAGTTCAGATAATGCATTGTTTATAGCGCCTCCCAGGAGGTTGGGTAAGGCAGTCATTCAAGGAGATGGCAATGCGAGCCTGACACAGCAGACTGTCGGTGAAATTCTTTGACACAGAAACCAAATTGGCCGGGGTCACGATACACAGTGCCACCAAGTGAGGATACAGCATAGCAATCGATATCAGCTTCTCACTGCCATGTTCTCAGCGCGCTAGAGAAGTCTCGCCGCGGAGAATGTGTAGCCATTGGACAACACTTTGCGAGTAACAGACGTATATAGATACCAATGAACAAATAGTCAAGCAAGCATACTTGGTCAACCACGTAATTGAACGACGTACCAGGATGAATGCGACGCTTACCATGCATCACCGCTGGGCGCCTGGCTCAGAGGACATGTGAGGGTGAGCGATAGCGAGTACATGCGCATCTTCGAAAGGTAGGTGTCTGACAACGTTGTGTTCTCTCTCTCAGGACATGAGGAGCAAACCACGAGAGCGCAGTCATGGTGTGCCCGGCCTGCAGTGGCCCACTTACAGATGACTCTTATACTCGTCCAGGAAGTTGTACCCATACAGTACCCCTATGCCGTACTTCTCGGTAACGATATGAGCGACAACGGATGTGACATCTTGATCAGCGAAGAGGAAAGCTGAAGCCCTTTGAGACGCATAGATGAGCGGAGAGCGAAACAAGGCCGATCACAAGTGGCTGAGATGAGTGCGGGGTGGCAAAGCAGCCAATGGCAGCGCAGACAAAGTCATCTCACACTCCGACATCGGTCGCCTCCATTCACCACTCAATTCTGCTTATAACTCGTGTGGTGCAATTCGCAGACGGCCCTTCGACTCAAGATCACTCTCAATATTCCATCTCTGACTCTTATTCCTGGCGTCCCAGTGCTGAGTTTTGCTCCAAGATGCCTTCAGCCGATGCCAAACCCAGAACCCTCTACGACAAGGTCTTCCAAGACCACGTTGTCAACGAACAGCCGGATGGCACCGTTCTCTTGTATATCGGTGAGTTTGTCACTTTGTCCCCGGCGACAATATGATCATCTAACAGGAGCCGAATGATTACAGACAGACACCTTGTCCACGAAGTCACCTCTCCCCAGGCATTTGAAGGCCTGAAGAATGCAAAGAGAAAGGTTCGCAGACCAGACTGCACTCTCGCCACAACCGACCACAATGTCCCCACCACTCCTCGCAAGAACTTCAAGAATGTCGCAGACTTTGTGAAAGAGGAAGACTCGCGATTACAATGTACAACCCTCGAGGACAACGTCAAGGAATTTGGCCTGACGTACTTCGGCCTCGGAGACAAGAACCAGGGTATTGTGCACATTATTGGCCCTGAGCAGGGTTTCACTCTGCCCGGCACAACAGTAGTGTGTGGTGACAGTCACACGTCTACTCATGGTGCTTTTGGCGCCCTTGCCTTCGGTATCGGTACCAGTGAAGTCGAGCATGTCCTCGCTACACAGTGCTTGATCACAAGACGCAGCAAGAATATGAGAGTGCAAGTCGATGGCAAGTTGGCCCCTGGAGTCAGCAGCAAGGACATCATTCTTCATGTCATTGGCGTCATTGGTACCGCTGGAGGAACTGGCGCAGTGATCGAATTCTGCGGCTCAGCCATCCGCGGTCTGAGCATGGAGGCACGTATGTCCATCTGCAATATGTCCATCGAGGCAGGCGCAAGAGCCGGCATGATTGCCCCAGACCAGATCACATTCGACTACCTCAAAGGACGTCCTTTGGCACCAAAGGTGGACAGCAACGAGTGGAAAAAGGCCGTCAACTACTGGTCCAGCTTGAAGTCAGACGAAGGTGCCAAGTATGATACCGAGGTCTTCATTGACGCAAAGGATATTGCACCTACCGTGTCCTGGGGCACATCACCGCAAGACGTGGTCCCCATCACAGGCGTCGTCCCCGGCCCAGATGACTTCGAAGACCCAAACCGCAAAGCCAGTTGCAAGCGTGCGCTAGAATACATGGGCCTCACGGCTGGGATGAAGATGGAGGATATCGTCCTCGACAAGGTCTTCATCGGATCTTGCACAAACGCCCGGATCGAGGATCTCCGGGCCGCTGCAAAGGTTGTGAAGGGCAAGAAGGTTGCTCCCAACATCAAGCGTGCCATGGTCGTACCTGGCTCAGGTAACGTCAAAGACCAGGCTGAACGTGAAGGTCTGGACAAGATCTTCCTGGATGCGGGATTCGAGTGGCGTGAAGCTGGTTGTTCCATGTGCCTGGGCATGAACCCAGATATCCTATCTCCACGAGAACGCTGCGCAAGCACATCGAACCGCAACTTTGAAGGTCGACAAGGTGCTTTGGGTCGAACGCATCTCGTGTCGCCTGTCATGGCTGCCGCAGCAGCCATAGTGGGCAAGCTCGCCGATGTGCGAAAACACCATGATGATGCTACGCCGGTAAAGGGCTCCCCTAAGCTCGATGTGATGCCCGAGCACGTCGAGATCGACTCCGAGGAGGAACTCGAGCGTATCCTCGACATCCCCACCGACGTCGGCCCCCACGCGAACGACAGCGCTGTCAGCTCCAGCAGCGGCCTTCCCAAATTCACTGTCCTGAGGGGCATAGCCGCACCCCTGGACAAGGCCAACGTCGACACCGACGCCATCATCCCCAAGCAATTCCTCAAGACCATCAAGCGCACGGGTCTCGGTTCTGCGCTCTTCCACCCGCTCCGATACAACGAGGACGGCAGCGAGAACGCTTCATTTGTCCTCAACCAGGAGCCTTACCGCCAAGCCAAGATTCTTGTGGTCACCGGTCCCAACTTTGGTTGCGGCAGTTCTCGAGAGCACGCACCTTGGGCGCTCCTGGACTTCGGCATCAAGTGCGTGATTGCACCAAGCTATGCCGATATCTTCTTCAACAACACATTCAAGAACGGCATGCTGCCGCTCATCATGCCCGACCAGGCGAAACTCGAGAAGATCGCCGAGCTGGCCCGCGCCGGCAAGGAGATCGAGGTTGACCTGCCGAACCAGGTCATCCGCGACGCCGACGGCAACGACCTGGCGCGCTTCGAAGTCGAGGAGTTCCGCAAGCACTGCCTTGTCGAGGGGCTCGACGACATCGGCCTGACCATGCAGATGGAGGACAAGATTGCCAGCTTCGAGCAGAAACGGACTCTGGACACGCCGTGGCTCGACGGCAGCGGATACCTCAAGAAGTGGCGCAAGGGCCCCGTCAAGGTCGAGGCCGCACCTGTCCCCAAGACGAACCGTGGCGAAGTCAAGACCGATCCAGTCGAATGGTAGGACAAAGAAACCCGTCGAGTATTCTTCGATATGGTGTGCGTCTTCTTTTGGGGGATTTATCTCCGTTCGAGTCCCTGATGCGTGGGATGGTCGTGGGAAATTTGGGGAGCGTAAGAAAAGCTTCAAGATGTTTTTTGACAAATTTACTACTTACATGTGGCGCTTTGCTTTGACGATTGAGGGAAACGGGAAATGAATGGAATGAGCTTACTGGCAAAAGTGGGCAGTTTATTTTAGGTGTCGACGTCTATCTATGTCCATGATTCACGTATCATTACAAAAATGTCGCGCATCTATCTTAAAGTATATCATGACCTTCTTTTCCTTGGCCCGTTGGAATGAATCATTACTGGACACCGATCCTGACTGCCTGTTTGAAAAACAATAAGCATGTACCGTGGCGCAGTGACGCGGACATGGCCCTTGCAAGCCCCTTGCTTCTCGCGTTCGCGCGCGCTTACGAATGTTCGTAATAAACATAATCTATCAACTCAGACCTGCAAACGTCCCTTGGGGACCTGAGGAGCGTCACAAGGGGACGTACAGTACAGTGTACGACAGGCTACGAGCTCCCGAGTCCTCGCCCACCCACCTAGCCACCACGAAGCCAGTGAACTCCCGTCGTGCCCGACCGCCGGAAACCGCTCGAGGGCCAGGGTACTGTACTCCCTATCCTTCCAGGCGGCCCCCCGGGCTTGGTTCTATCACGGCCCAGGACTATTGTGTCCCTAGCTAGGTACCAAGCTGTCTTTAGCTAGCTACTGGCTCAAAGCGAAAATCCATGAAGGAAAAGTTGACGAGACGAGGGAGTCTCTTGCCGCGTATTGCAGCAGTCCTCCATGTCGGGTTCTTCCCACCGAAAGAAGAATTCCTTATCGGAGGTGGCATGACTCTAGCACGGAACTGGCGAGATGAAGCCCAGACAATTTATCAGGCATATCGTTATCTAACGATGCCCGACTAGTGCGTAACTCTTAGCAAGCTTGAAAAAAGAACCTGGCACTGTACGGCAAATTGTTAACCGCCCAAAGATAGCCCAAGAACTCAGCATCTCGTAGAGTACCCGGAGGTCCCGGTGTCCACTCAGTCGCTTAAACTTCAGAGAACAGTAGTGGGACTTTCCCAGAGTCTGCAAGAGACAATAATCGTGGAGATAGTGACAGGTTCATGCTTATTACTCACCGGGTTCTCTCTCATGATATTCCGTAGGGACGGTTTGAAAGACATAATACGGGAGTACGGGCCACCAATCCAAGGTGAACCATAGAAGTTTCAGTTGGGCACGCAACAGTACGTCTCCGTTGACGTCGAAAGAATCGTGTTCAAGGGAGGACCACTTCTGCTTGTTTTTCCCCTTCGTCGTGATCAACCTGCTCTTCCGAAATTCTTAGGCATCTAAGGCCATGCTAGACCGGGTCAATGGGAATCTCGACGGGGACTTTGGAGGTAACCATGAGTCGGCGTGCTTTCAGAGTGTCTCTTCAGTGGAGAGATGGCTGACGCAATCTGCCGAGTTGGCATTTCAGATGCGTGTTGGCGGGCTTCAAAGAAAAATACTTTTCCACCGCGTGGCAGCCACAAAACAACACATAACACGTGGAACAAGGTTCGACCACGTGGTGCAGGGAAGACCCATGGCGGCAGATGCTGAGATGCATGCAGTAAAGCCCCAATGGGCGGTAAGCCCAGTAACCTTGGCCCAAGCTGCGCCTAATTGGAGCCCAAGAGCCCTAGGATAATTTCCTTGGGTGTTGAGTGGTGAGAGTGGGGTGCTAGCAGCGAGCAGCGCCGTAAAAACGAGGCATGAATAATAGTCGTGTCAAGACTTGTGCCGTGTTTCATGCCAGTTTGAGAATAATCCAATTCGTCTTCGAGGATAGAACTGTGACAGCGCCAACAGGGAATGCAAGTGGGCTGCAGAGGACAAAAATATAGGCGCCTAGTGAAATAGTAGCCTATGACAGTCGCATTTATTGTCCCGCAAGCCAGGGTGTGAGAGACTGAGAGTTCGAACCATGTCAAGTCAATGAAGCCACAGCCACCCAGTCCGAAGGTCGAATAGAATCATGGTTCTCTCGTCTTGTCACACTCTTGTCACACTCAGCATCGGAAGATCAATGAGGACTTCCTTGTGCTGAAGACTGAGTGGCCATCGGTAGGCTTGCTGCCAGCAATAGCCCAGCCCATAGTGTACTAAAACAGATAAATAGTCACAAATAATCCAGTAAGTATCCTTGTAGTTGCAGTGGCCAGGGCTTCTCGGATTGAGCGGACCAGGGAGATGGGCGAGGCCCTTCAGGTGACCTTTTGGGAGGAGGAAAGTGTTTCCAACACCTCCTGTAGCAAAATCCTCGTGTGCCAGTCGGTGTGCCTCTGCCAGAAAGCGCAGTCAACATCACTTGTCCACCAGCTTGCCTGGAATCGGCAAATGGAAGACGGAACTTAGAGCGAGTCGTCAGCCCCAGGCTCAGCAGAGACATGGTCGAAGGCCGAACGGATTTCAGCGTTTAGCTGCCGCACTAGAGGAGGGTCTGTGGAGATTTAAATGGCCGTGCACACAGTGCAACGGCCATGTTGTAACAAACATGGAAGTAGGTGGGAGCTGCTGGTAGGTACGGAGTGTTAGAGCCTTCAGCCACGTCTCCATCCCATCCCATTCCGGTACATTGAGTCAAGTTCGTGGCCGGATTGTTTTCGCTCCCTGAGTGTCTTCCAGAGAACGAGTGTGACGGTTACACCCAAGTTGGAATCATCTGGAACAAAATTAAACTGCTTCCACGGTGGATCTGAAAATCTTCTGGAAGGTCTCGTCTAGGGGCAGACGGAAATTTGAGGGCGCCCTCTTCTGTAGTTTCGGCTCACTGTGCCGCTGTTGCCGCTAGGGGCTGCTGGAGCCTAGAAGTGACACTCTGGTGGCGAGGGGACGACAAGGATACTTGTATGTGCCTATGGGGGTAGGGTGCAATAGGGGTCGAACGCTGTGCTGGACGTCGGATAAGACCTCGCATTCGGGTTGCTGACGGGGCATGGAGTACTCTTCGTCCTCGTCTTGCTGAAGCAGGGGTCGCAAGGCCGGGATGAGAGAAGTCAGAGGCTTACAGTACAAGTTGATTGTACAAGTACCAGGATTCCAAGCAGGCCGTACAAATCTTTCCACGTGGCCTCCCTGCTGCATACGAACAATTGGCTAAGAAGGCATTTTCTAGTGGCCCCTAGGTGTGCATTAGCGCATCAATCCAGCACACGCGCTATGCTATTTATGGTCTAGATCCGTGCCGCTTTGCTCTCAAGAGCGAAAGCTTTGACGCCAGGGCAGCTTGGAGTTCAATCAGTACCTCGCGCTCAGAGGCTCTTCTCCCTTTAGTTCGTTTCAGAATCCTTCCTAGTCTCGTCGATCCTGACTGATTGAGCATGTTCGAATCTGACTGTGCGTGTCTATCTTCTCTTGTGTCATACTTTTCTCGCCTTCACTGCCTCTTTCTTCGTCTCCTACCATTGTCCGTATTCATGCAGCCTAATGGCACCACTAGTCTCCGCCTATCCTGCCGTCCTAGGACTTTTCCTCCGGAGACGCTTGTGTCGAGAGCCTTGCCATCTTCCCACCGTGGCCCCTGGTCACCGGCGAGTGACCGTGAGCCTGAGGGAAACAGGGATGCAGCAGCCACAATATCCATGAAGCCCTTGCGGGAGACCTCGCATGAGCTCGGTCCAGATGAGCCAACTACTTGTTGGAACACTTTGTGCGCCGGTCTGAGATGTGCGGTCGGCAAATACGAGCACCGGACAAAGCAGTGCCGCCAAATGTCACATGCAAAAACAACTTAAGAGGGTAGCTCAATGGAAGCATCAGAGCACTGCCGACACACGTGCTTTGAACGGCTTTGAACGTGTCCTCCGCGTTACCCATGCGATGGCTTCGTAGCTGCCCCAGGGGTCTCGTCATGCAGATGTTCATCCCTCCGGTCTTCCGAAACAGATGGCGTTTCCATGCCATCATTCGAGGACGGATCCTCCGTCTGAGAATATTGTACTCCGTACGCAGGGCATCTTTCCGGTTCGTTGGCCGGCGGTCTAATTCCGCAGGGTCTGGTCGAATTTGATATCTGACTGACTCGAGTAGCCGCCTTGAACGTCCTCATGTCCCACGCAGCATGACATGCTCACCAAGGATCAACAGCGCTTGTGAACGTGTACGAGTAGTTGAAGAATGCCAAGGACATACGAATCTCGGGCAGAGACCCATCCTGATAGTTTGCATTCAGATGTGCTGGTGTTTGATGATCAACAAGTCTCCATAGGATCACGGGGGTGCATCAAGGATGCTTTTGTGGCAAGCGGTTCCTAGTCCGGACGGATGTGATAGACTTGTGTAGCCTTGGCTCCGTTACCCGTGGCAGATAGTTGTGGTCTGTGACTCCAATTCATCGACGCAGTGGCCTCAGGCTGCACCGTCCCCATGGTGCTTAATCGACATCCGTACTCGTATCGGTAGGAGTTTCTTTGCCTCTTTCTAACTGCTGTTACACTAGTGGTCGGTGGCACTATTCTGATCGCAACACGAAGGACTATGCGGAGAACAAGAGGAGTAGTTACCCATGATCCATGAACAGGATTCCGGTGTACTGTAGGAATCGAGTCGGGTGTTACTAAACCCTCCGACGAATCCACTAGGATCAGGATTAGTTGGTTGCGGCAAACACTGTCACCCACGTACAGGCGCAATACACCGTAGGTGCAGAGTAAGGCCAAAGCTTAGTATCCTCCGGGGCTCCATATGGTGCAAGAGGCCTCAGTTTGCAGTGTCATTGGGAAGAGCCTTACGAGGCCTGTAGGGGCTAATGCAGACCCTAAAGTCAGGCGAGGTGTAGTGTGCATCAATCTTGGAAACACACGAATTTGTACAACACACACGTCCTGGCTGGTACGGTGAGGCCGGCGACCATTCAAGCCACCAGGTGTTCACATCAGTTGGGGAGTCCTACTGTTCTACACGCATTTTGTGCCAGGCGGGACGCCAATAGGGAATGATCTGTGCCTGGGAGCTGTCAATCAGTCAATTCAACCTAGTTTGCAGAGTTTTTATGGTGTCGTTTTACTCTCATTCTCAGTCCGATCCCAGATCGCGTTCCCTGGGTGGCGTACGAATTGCCTGAATAACCATTGTCTAATTAATTCTCCGCGGGCGCTTCCATCCTCTTGCCCGGCCCAGGGACGTGCGGTGGCGCGCACGTTTTTGTACGTTTTATTTTCCTGCCGCCTCTACCTTGCGTCGACCAGCCTGATGTCGTTGATCGTGTCCTCGTTTGTCCCACCGCCTCTTCTCCTCGCATTGATAATCTCAGAATAATATCTTGGTGATCTTTTAGACGTCAATGTCAAGCGACATATAGTCTACTGCCCACCTGCACCTGCACGAAACCATACGAGTGCCTAGCCATCCTCATTTACACGGCATCTCTCCCCCTGTGATAAAGCAATCAGACGAAACAAATTAGCGGGTTCACAATCAGATCAGCCCTAAGCAGATCTGTTCGACATACGGCGATAAATTCAGCCCTTGCGGCGTAGCCCCAGCCATCGAAACAATCTCTCACGGAGTCCTCGCTCTCGCTGCCCTCCTTCTGGCCAACGACCGAAGTCCTTGCCAAACCGGCCCCCTTTTTGTCTGCCCTACGCATCAGACTGAGTGGAAGCGGAAGGCTTCTCGAAGGTGTAATTTCGCACAATCACAAGAGTCCACAAATCACTGTGAAGGAAGAGATAGCTGAGACGGTAGCGGTCGAAGATCACAACCCAGACCTGTGGTCCCTCAAGGCCTCCGGTTCTCTCGCCAAAAGAGCGCCTAACTTCATCGGACGGGCGTCCCAGGTCAGACAACTCCTGGCCTAACTCGTATCCGACTCGTGCCGCCAGGGTCGGATTCTTCTCGAATTACACATTTATCCACCCTAGTACTGGACCCCCCGGCCTAGTCTGCGGCTTCAACGAGCTCCACCTCCTCGTGGTCTCGTGGTGAGGCAATCCCGGCTCTTCGTGGGTTGCGGATTGCGCCCCATTTGACATTTTTGGCCCACTCACCGTGCTGGGTGTCGACCGCCAGTCCTTCTGCAATGTGTAGCGGATTCCCTCCAAGCCGTCAACATCTTTACCCGCATGATTCCCAGTTCTCTTTATGCCCGAACCAAGCGATGCGCCTGTCGACGACTCCATGACCTCGCCAACTGAGAATCTGCCAGTTCATAATAGTCAGTCCGACGACGCTCGACATCCTTCTTCGCCTCCGAATCTGGCCAATCTGGATATCTCGCGCCCGCCACATCACCACCATACGAGTTCGACAAGTATTACACAGAGTAGAAGTCGGCGTTCGCTGGCCTCGCTCGCTCGGGAAAAAACCTCGAACGCTTTCGCCAATTTGGCTTCAATAGGCACCACAACTACTCCCAGTCTTCGATCCGCCACCTCCTCGGGAAGTTTGGGGAGGCATTCTGCCGTCACCGGTTCGATCCGTCCAAACTTGCAACGCTCACCAACATCACCAGAAGTCCAGTCCGTAACACAACGAAGAACCAGTGGAATCCATCATCCAGGTCAAGAGCCTCGAAGCAGTACCACAGTTCCACCAATGACGAATCCCGATCGCAACAATGGACGGATGCATCAGACTTCCTCCAAGATCCTACGAATGACTGACGACGAGAGACCTTTCACCCGAGACTTCAAGGATCTGTTCTCGACGCTAATTACCAGTCTTCCTCTCACTCCTCATCGTGTGAGGTTCTCTCGAGTGGAGGAAACATTTCTGTCGGAAGAAGCCATCACGAACCTGGGTTCTCTAAAGTTCTCGCAGTCCAACCGCATACCCGACCCCAAGAACCCAACCCGATGGGTCGTAACCACCACGACGACCACCTTCTCAATGGCTAAGGAGATGGCTCGTTCGGTATGTCAACGATTCATAGACGCCCGCCTTATCGAGTCCGCTGAGAGCAAATCGATCACAACGTTCAATACCAAAGGCGGTGTCTGGCAGCTGACGCCCAAGGGTCTTTCTATTCTGTCAACATTCTGCAACCGCAACGGCATCAATGCGCGCCACATCGAACCACTACTGAAGCGAAACCACATGCACATGGTCGCTCTAGAGAGAGACTCGTTGACGGACAAGATTCACCAAGATCGAGCAACCGTCGAGATCATTTTCCGACGATTCATGGGTTCTGAAGGTCCAAATCTGAAGAGCTCAGTATCTCTGTCCGACTCGGATTCCATCTCGGACTACGCTACCGGGTTGGTTGGTGTGAAGATGGCGAAGGAGCGCAGGGTACTTGATAAAGTTGTTCCCTACACCTTTACTGGAAAGGCAGCTTCCGACTGGCTCCTTGACTGCACCACCACCATCGACCGCAGGGAAACGTATGAGATGGCAGAGTTATTTGTCAAATGGGGTCTCATTCAGCCCGTAGTTGAAGACAGATCCTACACCCGCCAAAACCCAATGGCAAACTACTTCCAGCCCACAAAACATGCCGTGTATACGGTGACGGAGCGCGGTCAGCGTGTATGCGGCTGGATTGCGCGCCCGCCCAGTGTCGAGAGCGAAGACAGTCGCGACCTCAAAGAAAAGGGACGGATGGCAAGAGACTCCAATGTCGGTCGACTCAACGTTATCTTGCAGGATGCTGCTTTACGGTTGTTGTTTAGAGAATTTCTCAGGCAGTCACTGTGTGAAGAAAACCTTGGCTTCTATCTCGACGTAACAGAGTTCATCTCTGCATATCGTCAATTGGACGAGTCAGGAAGACTGAACAGGCCAGATGTCGTGAGGGAGACTCTAGCTGGGGCATACGGTATGTGTCTGGGCTAGCGTGTGCCTTGTCATTTATTAACAACCTCTCAGGATTATACAATTCCTTCCTGGCTTCCGGTGCCCCCTCCGAGCTGAACATTGACCATGCCCTGCGAAATCGCCTCGACAGCCGCATGATCCGCACAAACCCTGACGAGGAATCCATGAGAGAATCTCTCGACGAGGTCATCGAACTGTTTGAGCTTGCGCAGGCCGCTGTGTTCAAGCTCATGGCAAGTGTAAGGCATCTCATTCACCAATCCACCCGGCTTGTCACTAATTGCGCTGCATAGGATTCGGTTCCCAAGTTCCTTCGCGACCCCAAAAACGCCACAGTCTTCCGAGATCACGAAATTGATCTAATATCTGGCGCTAACCGTACCTTGTCTCCAGCCCCCGAAGGCATTGTGAGCCGGTCGAATACACGATCATGAGAAGCCTCCGCTACGGCTCCAAAGCAGTCCCATATGTCCGCAACACGAGAGCAACATCGACTTCTCCAAATCTATTTGCATTGCACATTTAAATGTGATGAATATTACGAACACAACAAGGGTCTGCATCGCGGATCTTCATGTACAAACAAGGGCATCTACCGACTTTTTGTCAATAATCAAGATTGTTTCGACAAGCGTGACCAGGAGTCTATAGACTCGTGGTAGGACTTGTCTACTGGTGGGTATCCCACATTTTCTGCATAGAAACCCGGAGGCGTTCAGCATAGCGTGGTCTATCTGGGAGGAGTTGAGAACTGTAAAGACAGGCATATTTAGCAGCATGGCCTTCCGGTCGGCATTTGCATTGGAAAGATACCCCTGTGGAGGAAAGCAAAGCCGTAGACGGGAAGGCGAAGGTGTGAGTGTCGTCGGGCTCTGGGAGTCTTACGCTCGTTCACTGTGCTTGTTGGAAGTAATGAGGCTGCGTGAGCCGGTGCTTTGGCATAAACTTGACCCTAGAGGGACGGAATATGGGAATACTGCACGATGCACATCGATTATCCAATTTTCCTCCCGTCACTCCGGCCTTGAGGTTCCCCGTTCAGTCTTAGTAAAACCCGTCCCGAAACTGCGTGACTAGAAATGTGTTTTCTCCCCACAGTTGTGGTGAGCGTGATGAATAACGGGGCGCAGCATTGTACACACGCCATCGTGGAGATGGCTTGCGAATATTGTACATGTTGCCGACACCCCGGGCTTTGGATTTGCGGTTTTTGAAGCTCAATGACAAGCGACTAACAGTCATATCGAAAGTCTGTCTCAATTTGGGTTTCTTGTTCAGATACTACGCTGACCGGACAGTCCTGTCGTACAACCCACCACCGTGAGATATAGCCGAGGGGATCGGCATTTTCTAGTCTTCACAGCATCGTTTCCATCGGTTATTGGACACCACCGAAAATTATGTTTACGTGAGAGCCGAGAAAGGGCGAACGGGGTTGATATCATCCTGCACGGCCATAAGACTGACCAAATTTCTACTTTGGGCAGCCCGAGCGTTGACAAAGGTTAAGCATCTAACAACTTTTAGAAACGACTCATAGTCCAGTCTGCATGAGATTGCTGCTGCGCATCGCCTGAAGAGATTCGTCCCCATCTACTGTAGAGAGTTGAATGTGCCCCAAGAGCTGCCGCCAATCAAATGCAGCTTTTGCCTAAAGACTAGTCCCGTCAAGGTTAGCGAATCTTCGCATTCAGGCACTGACCGGACATACGATGTTCCATTCCGGCGCGAGTGCGACGTCGCGCTTCACGACTTTTTGTAAGGATGAACGCCAGTGTTGTTGACCTTAACAATCCCGAAGCTACCGCACTGGTCACAAGCTCTTCGAGTTCCGAAATGTTTTAATCGTCGACGTCGTCATCTCTGCCAGCAGCACAGAGCTCGCCCAATCACGATGGCGAGTAGCGATGCCCTGCAACTCTTGAAATCCTCAATCGCAACCTCTAGACCTCCCATTCCCACAACATCCTCAGACCCATCCACAGCAGAAGACAATAGAACCGAATCTCTCGCTGATGCTACCCATCTCTACTTCACATACCCTTCGGCTCAATGCCTGCCCTTGGATACGAAAACCAGGTTTACGTCACAAAACCCTGACACCACGCAAGTCGACTTGCGGAGCATTTTTTTCGCATGGCTACAGAAGGATGTCACCGTGTCTGAGTACTTTGCGTCGGCAGGAGAGTTGGACAAAAAGCTACCCGAGGGACAGAAAATACGATGCTTGATCTTCGTGGAACGTCTGGATCTCATTACATGGCTCGAAGGCGCATCTGATGAAAGTGAACATATTAAGCCTATAGAGGGCACAGCTGCCGGTACAGTGGAGGCCGCCGACAGAGCAGCTGATGTCGCAGGTGGCACGGCGGTCCCGACGGTCGGTGGCTCAGGCGTGGGTGTCACGCAGACGGCGGGCGGGCGGCCTGTCAAGGTCATCGATGCGCGGTTGCAGGCAATATATAACGGGGAGAGACGAATTGGTGACCATAATAGTGTCTTGAGGGGTGTGAAGCCCACGGTAGGTTTCATCCAGATATTGGTGGCGATCCCAAGATCCTTCTAACACGTGATTCTAGGATTTTTCTCACGTTCGCAAGCACGCAGAGACATTCCTTGGACGGCGGAAAGGCATGGCTCCTTCGGGAAAGCCTGGGCAGGGAGGCAGACCGGCGCAGTTGGCGAGTCGACCTGCCACGGGACCTTCGAAGCCTATTCCGTCTGCTGTATCATCGAAGCGGTCCGACCCAATCATCCTTCTCTCGCCATCTGCCTCGTCTTTGCTAAGAATGTCCAATATCAAGACGTTTCTCGACACAGGATTGTATGTACCTCCGGACCACCCAACTCTATCCACGCAGACGACAGCGAACTTGCTGCACATTACGAGGACCCTACATTCGCTGAGCGAGAAGCCATTCCGCTTTATTCTTGTCGATTCGCCCGAGCACTTCAAGCCAGATTATTGGAGTCGAGTTGTCGCTGTGTTCACCACAGGCCAGGTGTGGCAATTTCGAGGATATAAGTGGCGGACCCCGCAGGAATTGTTCGGCCATGTTGTGGGCGTGTACGTAGGTGAGAAAGGCTTACCAATCCCGGCAGAGGTGAAAGGCTGGGGTAGTAGCGTCAAGACCTTTACAGTGGAACGATGGGACGAACGAGCCCACGGGGGGGACGTCGACCAGGAAACGCGAGTCTCGAGGAGATGGAGAGATAGAGAAACAGTTGAGGAGGTCTGGAGGGCCATCGAAGCCTATATGAGAGGTCGGGGAGAATGGAGAAGATGATGATAGCTGTACCGACAAAGAAACCTCACCGGCACGTCAAATATACGTGGCAAACTTGATACGGCATTCATTCGTCGAAGTCTGAGAAACGTTACTTGACACCAAGGCTCATTCATATCACGGGGGCAGGCATGAGCTGTTGAAGCTCAACATTGACCGAGTCAAACCACCTTCCTCATGTCGATTCGTGGAGAGATTCTTAAAGGGCAGAATCCGTGCGCAAAATGGACTTTGTGGCGCAGTCAGCTCATCCCCAGGCAACACTGGAGAGCCACGCTGGATGATCAGTATCATTTCTTCGGGTCACAGTAAATCGCTCCAGAAACCACTCGTATTCTGGATGAGAGTCATCTGATGCAGGAGCGCGAATTCCAATGGCTCAAAGAGGTTTTGCATGAGCATCCAGGCCGCCGAGAGACACCTTGGACACGTCTACGCGAGAAACACGGCCATGTCATTAGTTGGCTCTGATAGCCTCGAGCGGTTTTTTGAGCACGAAAGTATTCCGAAATGATTGCGGGAGCCAGAGGCATGCATGGCTACGATATAGCACTACAACAGATCGCAGCATCGTGCATGATTCTTCTGGTCTCTGTAAAAGCTCAACGACATTGTTATATCTGGAATCCTATTGTAGGCTTGTGATGCAGGAGCAGCGTTGCTATACGGATTAAGATGATAGAATCATCGACAGGTGAGCGCCTTGATGTCGCTGTGGTGAGGGGGGAGGGGCAACAAGGCTGAGCAAGGCTGAGCGATATCGCGTCATGCAAAAAACAAATTGCCGCCTCACATGCCCGGTATTTTCGCAATTACTCAACTTCCCCGTAGCAGCAGCAGCAGATTACGCATACTCCTTTTGCTTTAATCATTCTGAGACGTGAAACGTTCTTCTGCTTTCTCTTGACTCTCCCACCATCGACGTACTCATCTATTCCCCTTAACAGGCAGCCCTCGACACCATGGCAACGCTCAAAGAAGTAGGGTCCGAAGCCGGCTTCGATCAGCTGATCAAGAATGCTTCTCCGTCGACGCTGTTCGTCCTGTACTTCCATACTCCCTGGGCCGCGCCATGCGCTCAGATGAACACCATCCTCACGACCCTCGCCTCCACATACCCCGCCGACGCCGACGTGTCGTTCCTGTCCATCAACGCTGAAGACCTCGCTGATATCTCCGAGTCGTACGACGTCACGGCCGTGCCATTCCTCGTGCTTCAAAAGGGAGGCGAGACTCTCCAGACCGTGAGCGGAATAGACCCGGCCAAGGTCAGAGCAGCGGTAGAGAAATACGCAGGCGCAGGCTCCGCCGCAGGCAGAAATGGCATCCCGCCGCCGCTGCAGGCCACTCCGCAACAGCAGCCGCAGACGAACGGCGCCACGAAAGATCTGAGTTCATATGCGCCAAAGGACGCGGACCCGCAGACTGCCCCGGCGTATTCGTCAAACCAAGAGTCGCAGGCCGAATTGAATGACAGACTAGGAAAGCTGGTCAAGGCTGCGTAAGTCGTTTCTGCGCCCGCCAGAGTCCCCTGACCCGTGCAGGCGCCGGACTGTGTAAAATAATGCTTTGTTCTCTATGGCTGACACTTTCTCTTGTCGTATCTATCCAGGCCGGTTATGCTGTTCATGAAGGGAACGCCGAGCGCGCCACAGTGCGGATTCAGCCGGCAGCTCGTCAGTATTCTCAGAGAGAAGCAAGTCAAATATGGGTACGTTGCTGTTGTTGTCACCTGTACAACTTTGCATTTTCGGATGAGCGTGCAGAGCATGCTGACGAAGGGGAAATTTCTTCCGGTTCCTAGATTTTTCAACATCCTAGCGGACAATGATGTCCGAGAAGGATTGAAGGTGTTCTCTGACTGGCCTACGTTCCCGCAGTTGTACACGAACGGAGAACTTGTGGGCGGTTTGGATATCGTAAGTCTGACCCTGCACAACCCTTGAACAACATGTGTCCTTGGGTTCTTCTGCATCACTAACACATTGGGTGTTGTAGGTTCGCGAAGAGTTAGAAGCAGACCCGGACTTCTTTACGCCGTTTTCTGCCGCACAGCCTGCAACGGCATAGGTGGTCATCAGCATGGACAATTTAATGAGCGTAAAATGACATGATGTGTGTAAAATACAAGTGCAATTGTTTTTCCTTCCAGAAGGTCTAAAGACGAGCTTTTTTTTAGGTGACTACGTTACGTTTGTTGTGACTGTGACCCGTGAGTGAGTGAACCCGGGATGCGTATAAGGGACTGTTTCACCTCCTTCATACCGTCGAGTACTGCGTTGCATATATTCCGAAAGGTCAAACCTTGTGTAGCTTCTTCGAGGATTACTATTGTTTTGAAAATCTCACTTGGGCACGTGTAACCGGATGTTCCAAAAAAAAAAGATCGCGCGTCCAGAATTCCGTTCTGTTGGGTTTCGGCTGATAGAACACCTTAGGGAGAGGGTGTAGTGGCACTCTGACTCTGCGTCGTTGTTGACGGGTGGTGCGCTCAGTCGATGCTACTCAAGGGCAATAGAGTATTGGCTGGCAGTATCGCCCCCATGGTTCATGTCCTCTGCACACATGGACTGACGACGCAACAGGGTCAGGCTTGGGGGGTGGGGG